CTTAATTTATACTTTCAACGCATAGAATACGTCTCGTGGAACAATTGGAAATATACAAAACAGAAAGTACTGCGCTATCAAATATTTGTTGTTATGGTTATAGCTATACGCTAGGGTATCTTCAACTACTCCTATCAAGGCTCTCTATTGTTGAATATCTTCTTGTATCTTCTTCTCAAGTTTAAGGTACATAGATAAATAGATTACATCTTGTTTGTGATCGATGATTATGATCAATTATCATTGATTCTCAATATAAGCACATATTTTGGTCACCAGCACTACACGTTCAATTTTTGATTAAATACAACAATTCATACAACAACGAGTAGTCTAAACCTTTTATTTGTTCCTTCTACAAGTCTTTTCCTTTGAATATGCCTTACAAAAACAATAAAATGGCAATATAAGTTATAAAATTGTGATTTTCCTATCTTAATAAGACATATACTTCAATAATTCGCTGACCTTGTGGGTTTGTGAATTTAGAAATATTGAAGTGGTTTTCAGACTGTTTTGGTGATGTTTTTCTGAGATATCTGAACTAATTGCTAATGTTTCTTCTTCCATTCTTTTGCAATTTCTACGTGGCTAAATATTGGCTTGTTTTATGTAGCCTTTGTAAGTTGGAGAGTTATATTTTGACTTTTCCTGCTTGTTGGCATGACTGGTAAATTTGTTTTCCAGGGGTGATATGTATTCTCTATAACTAGAATCTAAAGAAGCTATCTATAGAGGATACAAATCCAGATTGGATAGGGAAGAAGAAAGCCTTGACATAAGATTTATGGCAAAGAAAATAAACTCTCGGAAATGCTTAAATATGAGACTTAGATATTATGTCCAAACCATTCTTCAAACGAATCGTATATGAACCACAAGTATGCGCAGCACAATTACATACAGCAGATTGTTTTATCTTTTATTTACTATGGTATTTCTTAGGTGGTTTGTTTCGGCTTCTCCTAACGTGTTTGTAAAATCGATATCTTGAGGGTACATGCGTTTTTCATGCATTTTACTCTGTTTACTTGTTTTCCGGGTATGTCGGCGGTAAATACCAAATTGTGAAAATCGCCTATAGCTGTTTGGCTTATCTTTTGAGCTATTCTTCTCAGTGAATTTTATTTCGATTAATTTCTTGAAGTGTTACTTGTACTCAGAATGGCTTACACTTTTAAAATCAACATTTGTTTGTTCCACTCCCTCCAAGTAAGCAGTTTTCAAACTAATAATTTTTGTGTTGGTAGCTTTACATGCTGAGCAGCAACCATCCTTAGATGTCAAAATCTCTCTTTTCTTGTCTCCGAGTAAAATTTGTAAGTTACGGTTTCAAAGCTCTATCTACATCTTTTGTAACTAGTGCTACCTTTTTTAGAGATGCGAGAGTTTTACCTTTCGGTATACTTGGTTTCTCTCCCTATCCAACCTGGGTATTCTCTAAAGATATCTTCGTAGGTTAGAAAAGAAATATATATCAATCCCGGAAAGAAAAACTCATCTACATAGAGTTGAACAACTTCTATATCGTCCTTAATACCATTAGAATCACTATAATTAAGACAATTTTCTATAAAGTAATCTACAGACATCTCTCATTCGTTTCCAAGTGGAGCCTACTCCCTAGTTGATCTACATATTCCTGAACTAATTTTCTGCTTTGAAGTTCATTTAGCATTTATTCCTTTATCAGAAATTAATCACAGGTCAAATAATTGGTATAAGAACCAGTAATAAATATCTGTGATCAATATAGTATGCACTTCACTCGGAAAGATAGACTGCTGAGAATAATTTGACATGATTCTACATTTGATGTAATCTTGTTTAATCTTTCTTTCTATTTCTAGCAGATTCAGAATAGCCGCTGTCTGGTGCTGGTAAATTGAACTCGAATAGGGAATCAAAATCATAAGCTACACTTCGATAAGGCTCAAATTCCATGTTGCTGACGAGCCGTCATTAGTTTAAATTTGAATTGCTAGCCTCGGTGCTCTAGTCTTGACAACTGGTAGCAAATTTGCTATATCGTTATCGGTAACTATGGAAATAGCTCTGACATCCACCAGAAGTATCTTTTCCCTGATGTTCGTTCTACTTCAGAAACAGAACTACTGTTGAAGTTCGGATATGACATTCGTAGCATTTTCTTATTTGCCACATGTGCCCCTCATTCTTATATAAATGGCTATAACTGTAAATAAGCATGAAACGGACTGTCAACCTGCTTAAGATTTACTATATTTATAATCCACAGCTTTTTATTTCTATTACTATATGCGTAATGATAAGAACAATTAAACTCTTATATCCACTAAAATAATCAGAAAATTCATATGAAGCTCAATATTGCCGAGTTTAAAAATAAAAATGTTTACTACATAATATTTCTCGAAAGCGATTACAACATGACCTCGTAAACAAAACTCTATCCTTTACTAAGAAGTTCAAATGTATGAAACCATAAATTCAATTGATGTCTCTACTTTTTGAATTCCAATTCAAATACACCTCAACCTATATACCCAACAACTCTACTATACTAAAGGCCTTGCTCTTCAAAAATACTATTGGCTGATGCTAATACTACTTCTTTTGTTGGAATTGGAGTCCAATTGAAAGTCTCCTTTGCCTTTTGACTGGAAGCTGGCCTGGGATAATCCTTAGGAGATTCTACTTCTTTAGTAGGAATCTTGGATGCCTTGTCCGCAGGCAAGTTCTCACGAAGAATATTTGCAAGCTGTAAGTATGGAGTACTTTCACCTGTAGTAAGAACATATCTTTGTCCCCCAGCTTTTGGATTAGTAGCGGCTTCGATATGAAGCTTTGCAACATCTCTAACATCAATCAAGGACATGAACATAGAAGGAATTTCCTTTAATGATCCGTTTAATAAGTTGACAATAAGGGCAATTGAGGTCGAATCAGCAGTACCTTCCTTCAATGTTGGTCCAAGGATGTAAGCAGGATTTAAGACTGTTAAATCGAAATGAGGCTTTTCTTTATCTATAAATTTCCAAGCTGCACGTTCAGCTAAAACTTTCAGATGTATATATGGATTATCAACTCCATTAATATCAGTCCAATCATTTTCAGTAAAAGGCTCAGTTCTGGTAGGAGATTGTCCGAAAGCAACAGTTACTAAAGATGAGGTAATAACAACACGTTTGACAGTTGGAGTAGCTTTAGCCCATTTTAAAATTCTTAAAGTTCCTTCTACAGCAGGTTTAATTAATTCTTGAGGATCTTTTGGTGCAGCTGGAGGGAAAGGAGATGCCACATGAAGAACACAAGTCACTTCTTTGAAATTTTCTTCCCAACCATCATCGGAAGTTAAATTAGCAACAAATAATGATAAATTAGCATCAACAGTCGCTTTAGTTAAGCCTTTTTCAGATGATAAAACAAGTGACTTGCGTAATTGATCTTCTTTAGATAAACTTCTGACAGAAGTCTTGACTTTAAAACCTTGTTCTAATAATTGAAGAAGGATTCTAGATCCTAAAAATCCAGTACCACCAGTGACAAGATAAGTTGCAGCAGTCATATTTTTTTTATAAGTGAAATTGAAGTGATTAATCAGTATTATTAGCAAAAGAAATTCCGTACAAGGATAGTAGACAAACGGGTAACCTTTTATACTGGTGATCAATTGATAATTAGAATAACAATAGTTATTAGGAGACCGAGTTCTTTATGCGGAGTTACCTAATTGGGCCGAATTCTTCGGAATAGCTGGAATATCTAATGTCAAACGTACAGTACATGTAAGTGAATAGTGCCACATATAGTTTTGAGATTATATCTTAAAATACTATATACACTTGTTAGTGGCTTAATTAATATATCAATTATAGTACTGCAACGTAATTACTATAAACTGTATATGAAAATTACATAACATAACAAAATATAAAATAATAATCTATTATACGCGGCACATTTGTCCTTCTCTCAACTCAACCATATTAATTTGATAGTGAACATATCCAACTACATCAATCTGCAAGTGAAGAGTATTCAGGAGTATGTTGCTAATCGGGCCAAGTTGTTGTCAAGCCAATGTCAAGCTGATTAGCTGTAGTAGTGTTGGAGCGGATCTGAAATTTATCTAACAGTTTTGTTTTTGGAGTAAGTCGAGTCCCAAAACACGAGAAAATTAAGTTTCAGACCCATTTTTAATTGCATAGATGGTTTGTAAGTCTCCGGGTACATAAAAGATGCGAGAGCCCTTAACCTATATTTTATAACCACTTTAAATAGTATCTTTGGTTAGCCAACTAAGACGAGGCGTGACTAAGTTTCAGTCCTAGCAAAAGTATTGTATCAATCAGTTTCGGATTCATCATTGTCGTTTTCACTAAAGACGCCTATACAATTTTCTAGTTTCTTAATTATGGATGATTTATCGTCAATCTATCTAGTTTGATGGTTGTTGTAACTGCCAATTATATGAAACAATCAAACAATGTAGTGTAATAGTTGCCGTTTAAATTTAACTTTTGATTCTTTTTTGTTTAATTGAACGATATTTAACTTTTTTACATATTGAATAGCAGTAAAGAAGGCGCATATATACCTCCCATTGGGTGGAGAATTAACAATATGATATATATTATCCAAATAATTTTAGTGTGAAACTATACTGAGGGGTCAACATTGCTTGAAACCGATTTTCAATATCATTTTACGTCCTCTTGTTTAAGTGAACTGAAATGTAGGAAATTTCTAGCATTGAAAATCTACTTGTGGAAGTCCTGAATAATGGCGACCAGAAATTGTATCAATGATCTTCACTCCTTTTATAGCTACTCAAATATGCACGTATAGCTATATAATAGGGAAATTATCTATAGAGACACGGTTGGTTAGGACTTCCAAAACTTATTCGAAATAGAGTATAAATAGAGAAAGCTTTTTTTTTGCTAAATTCTGCGAATTTGGTTGCAAATTCCTAGCAAAATTTGACCGCGACTTTATCTAATACTACACTATATAACTAACAATAGTAAAAACATTTATTAACTTATTCTTGGTAGAGATTTAAAATAATTTAAGTGTAGATTACTAAACAATAAAACAATAAATATTAATGAAAAATTTGGACCACCCAGTATGCCGTCAATTTATGAAACCCTCCATCCAGCGTGCTAACCAAAACATTTGTAAAAGTAATTAGAGTAGATAAAATAAAACAAAACCTATTAAAAAAAAGAATGAATCAAAATAAAAAATATAAAATAAATTTCAAATAATAAAACTAAACCAGGTTGCTAGCTACTGGAGACAAGATTTCATAATCAGATCCGACATCATTTTCACCATCACTGATCAAATCGTAATCTTCAACAGGTTCATCCTCTTCATCTGCCTTTGATTGTTGGTGTTCTTCACCTTCAGCCATATTTTCTCTTGCATCCAAATACTCAGAACCAGACAATGCTGCCTCCCTTGGTAAAGAAGGTAAGATAATAGAATGGGTCGAACCACTAATGCTAGAAGATTGTTCCAATTCAGAAGAGTCTTTTTCGTTATCATCTTCTACTACTTCGATTTCAACATCACCAACATCTTTCTCATCAACAATTGATTCAGTACCTGAAGTTTGAGCATCTTCCTCATCTTCCATTCTAACATCATCTTCTACTTCTGGAGTTTGTTCAAGGTTTATTAAATCTGGCTCATCAGCTTCATTATGTACTGGAAGAGGATCAAAATTGAAATTACCACTTAAATTCTTTATGTTTAATTCACAATAACCAGTATTGAAATCATTTTTCATAATCAATTTGAATGGGAATTTCATATGTGCGTTAATAAGGCCAATATTAAATTTTCCAATCTTTCCTGGAAAGATACCATGACGCTTTCTGACCATTACCGCAACAACAGATTTACCAAAACAGTTGACAATTTCTAATTTCAAATCAGAACAGTCAACAGTTTTTTTGGACTTATTATAAATAATGATTTGTGCTAAGGAAGAAGACTTTGGAACTAAAGTGACATTGATTTCATCTTCATTATTTAAAGTCAAATCAGTTTGTGTATCTTCATTTGAATCTTCGTCATCAATCCTAGAGAAAGTCATTAAAGAATCTTCATTCTCGTTGTAAATACCTTCCAAAAGTCCATTCGAAGTAGTAATCTTCAAGTTCATACCTGATAATCTACTGAAGATTTCGTGTAATCCTCCCAAATTATAAAATCTAGTTTGTCCTGGTTTGATGCTATTTGCATTCTTAACAATGACAATTTCGTTATGATTAAGGTTATAGAATTCAAACTTCAAGTCTCCACCAGTTATAGTATGTTTAGAGTTATTTGTCAACATTAAGGAGATGACTCTGGAATTATTACCAATCTTCTTAGTGTTAATAACAATCTTATCAATAGAATCAACTTTTGGAACTAAAACGGTAGAGCTTTCTTCCGAAACAGTAGTAACTGGTAATTCATTAGTAGCTTCTGGAGTAGTAGACTTTACTACTGAAGAGGTGGATTCAGCTTCAGAAAAGGACGACTGAGAAGCAGCAGGGCTTCCAGAGGAGTATGGAGGTACAGGAGCCAAATTATCCTCCAAAACACTTTTCAAAAGAGTGAATTTGATGTCATCATCCAATGCATCAGCTTCAAGATGTGCGGTTGATTCTAATAACTTAATTAATGATTCATATCTATTGGCATTCTCAACAATTTTTTCAAAACCTCCGTTAGCAAATAATGATTTGGCTGTGGTAGAAGAAATTTCAACTGGAATATCATATACTAATTCACCATTATCAAGAAATTGTCCACGGAATGGCATTTGTGTTTCAGGGACAGGAGGTGATCTATAATTATTCGATGCACCATGACGTTCACGAGAATACCAAGCGTGGTCTGAACCGCTATGACCATGGCGACCATGGTGACCATGTCCATGATGACCATGAGATTGACCTTGAGTTTGACCGAAGCATCTTCTACCAAATCTTTTTCTATCAAATTCAGAATCAAGATATGAAATTTTAGCCATTGGATGCTTATAAGAATGGGAACCTATATTAGTTTGGTTCAGATGTTGATTAGCTTCACAAGACTCACATAAATCAAAATTTGGACAAACTAAACAAGCATATCTGGTACCTTTAATAGGAACAAAAGTATCTGGAGAACATGAGTCACAAGCAATATTGGTATGAACAATTTCGTCAAGGTGATTCTTAGTCTTGGCATCTTTTTCAGAGCTAGGTTCAGAAGCTTTTGCATCAGTGGTAGAAGTGGTAGTGGTAGTGGAGGTTGAAGCAGAATTTGAATTTGATGCGGTGGCGTTAGTTGATGAGTCATCATTAAACAAATCTTTGAAATGTTCAAAAGCTGCCTCAAGCAAAGCATCTCCCAAGCTTGAAAAGTCCATAGTTTGAATCTTTCTCTTCTTAGAGCTTGATTCGGTTGATTCAGGTACTGGAGCAGTTGTATCATTGATTACCAACTTAATATGATTTTTAACCTTCAAACTTCTAGCCAAGGCTTTAAAATCATCAGTAGATTCCAATGCAACATAATCCTTTTGTTTCTTTGATTTTCTAAATAATTTCAATTGATTAACATCTTCAACATTTAACTTCAATGGACCTGCTAAATGCTTCAATAAGTCCGATTTAGACCTAATCTTATCAAATTGAGGACGTTCAATGGCTAAGGATTTTTCAACAGATGGTTTGGATGGATACATCAACTTAGTATGAGTTACCTTAATGGTAATTCTATTAGTCTTTGCATCACTCATGACGATTGACTAATTAGTTAGTGTTATAGGATAACGATAGTTAAGAAAGATTAGATGAATTTCAATTATCTATCCACACAAAAAAGGGGGGGCGAGATGGTGTGAGCACAAAAAATTAATCTGAATATGCGGGGGATGCAATGACGATAGTGCAATAGAGACTTAAGGTATTGCGATAGGTTGCAATAGTATAAGTAATTGGTTTAATGATAAATAAATTTAGACTTAATTGAAAAAAAATCAAATCAGAGCTAAATCTTTTAGTTATAAATGCCTTGAAACGAAATTCAACTTTCTTACTTTGCCTTCCGTTAGTTCAGAATTTGTATGATCATCCCCTAAAAATTTCCCCTTCTTTTGTAAATTTGCCATTGGATTCTTTTTATTCTATGTGCGATAGCATATATGCAGGAAATAACTATACTTAGTAGCTACACAGTTGTTGCACTGCTGTACAGCTGCAATAAAGATTAAGTAAATAAATTAAATAAATAAATATTAAATAAATAAGTACATTAAATAGAGAAGAGGCAATACATAAGAATTAAACAGTATAAAAAGCTTTCATGAAGGCATTAATTAAATATTAAGTATGATAGGTAGTTGTCGTTGAAAATTCAGATAATTATTCAGATAATCAATCTAATAAATATTTTCTTATTGCCATGATTAAAGCCATAAGGATCTGAGATAGACTGAAATTAAATATTAATAAATTATAATTGGATAGTACTCTCCTGAATTGACTTAACAAGGGATACAAGGTTATCATGATTAGTATTCGCTGGAAAATTAATTTCTTTCTAGATGTGGTTAGTATTGTATTTTTAGCATTAAATATAAAAAAAATTACTTACTTCTTGTAACCAACTCTTTAAATTATCATTAGACCATTCATTGATATCAACTATGCTTTGATCAAGTGATTCATATAGTTTTTTACTATTTCTTAAACTATCTGTACTATCATGCAATTCGATAGGTTCGTTCTCAGTACTGAACTTTGCAGATTTCTTTGATTTATGTGGCGATTCATTTTCTTCTTGTTCTTTCTCTCTTTCTTCTTGATTATCTTCTTCAACTTCCCCACTTATCCCATTGATGTAATTATAGATTGAAGTTTTTAAATGAGGAAATGTACTCAAAATTAGATAAGAAGATCCAATTAATGCTAAGCCACCCAAACCAATGTATTTAAGATTCCTATTCCTATTACTAGGAGGCTTGAATTGAAGAGACATTATCCTTCAATCAATTATATTGTTTAGTTATTGTATATTTTTGAAAGGGCAGCTATTATACTTTTTATAGTAATCGTTCAACTTTTTTGGTATTGGGAAAGAACCGATGATATTGCGTGCAAACATCCATACATCAGGGAGGGGCGATCAGTTGATTTTTTTAGTTACGGTAGCAGATTTTGCAACTACACATAAATTATAATTATTACAATTTGTTATATAGTATAGTTGATATAACCATACTATTCAGATTAAATTACCAATTAAACAATATACAGTAAATTGATGTTACCCAAATTTAAATTAATAGATACACTTTTATATAGAAGTATATCAAATCCTAGCATTAATAATACACATTACTTAAAGAAATTAAAGAATACCATACAAAACAAAACAAAATAAATACCACCAAACTTTTCCTTTTTAAATATCAGATATTACTGATTTATAATTCTTGAGAAGCTTTTGAAGATTTACCTGATTTCTTTGGTAATAAATTTTGATGAATATTTGGTAATACACCACCTTTAGCAATAGTTACATGACCTAATAATTTATTTAATTCTTCATCATTTCTAATAGCTAAAGATAAATGTCTTGGAATAATTCTGGATTTCTTATTATCTCTAGCAGCATTACCAGCTAATTCTAAAATTTCAGCTGATAAGTATTCTAAAACTGATGTTAAATAAACTGGAGCTCCACTACCAATTCTTTGACCATAATTACCTTTTCTTAATAATCTATGAACTCTACCAACTGGGAAAGTTAAACCAGCTTTAGCTGATCTTGAAGTAGAAGCTTTTTCTGAAGTTGAGGCTTTACCTTTACCACCGGACATTATTATATGTTATATGTTATATGTTATATAGTATATATTTTATTTTATATATATTTAAACAAATTAATTAAATTTAAAAGTTAAACATTTAGTGAATTTGGAAGTTATTTATATATTACTCACTAATTAGCAGTGACGTTCTCCATCATTGATTCACTACCGCTATTGCCTAATTAGGCTACATTATACCTAACATGATCTTATAATTTCAAGTACTGTATGTACACTTTTACTATGTATAGTTAAGTATTGTAATGGGCTACTTAATCAGGAGTAGTGAAGCAGTCTCATATTTACACAGTTGTACCTGTAAATTTCAGTACTTATATAGATACGGGTAAATTTTATCCTGCGCGAGTAAATTAACAGTGGCGAGCACACATTATGAAAAAAATCTAGAGGAGCGTGACAAGTATCCCATCATAGAGGAGCGCTTAATCAACAAGGGAACAAATACAAAATCGCATTTCGGACAAATATATAAACAATTCCTAATCCTGTCTAAACAATTTGTCAGTTTTATACTTTTTGTTCTTTTTCTTTTCTTCTACATAATTAGTAACATAATAATCAATTAATCATAATGGCCCCACCAAAAGCTGAAAAGAAACCTGCTTCAAAAGCTCCAGCTGAAAAGAAACCAGCTGCCAAGAAGACTGCTTCTACTGAAGGTAAGAAGAGAAGTAAAACCAGAAAGGAAACTTATTCTTCATACATTTACAAGGTTTTAAAACAAACCCATCCAGATACTGGTATTTCTCAACAAGCTATGTCTATTATGAATTCATTTGTTAATGATATCTTTGAAAGAATTGCTTCTGAAGCTTCTAAATTAGCTGCTTACAATAAGAAATCAACTATTTCTGCAAGAGAAATTCAAACCGCTGTTAGATTAATTTTACCAGGTGAATTAGCTAAACATGCTGTTTCTGAAGGTACCAGAGCTGTTACTAAATACTCTTCATCTTCTGCTTAAATTTAATAATAATAAATTAACAGTAGAAAGTTGAGTAAACAATACAATTATTAATTAGTCACAGTTTTCTTTCTTCTCACGTCTAAGTTTAGTTTTAATTTGTATTTTCATTTGGGGTTAAATTCTTTAAGTATTTGTATATTAGAAATATAAGTTTTAGTTTAATATTTTTGTAAATTGCAATCGAATTCATTTGATATTCAAAGCTTCTTTAAAAGAAAAAGGGGTTAATATTGTAGTATAATAGATAATATGGTCAGTTTACATGGAAGACGAAAAACGAGGTAATTAAATAAGTTCGACGATTATAATGAAACATTGTTGTCATTAGCTCAGCGTTATGGAGAAGGCAATGGTGATTAATGTTTAATTGATCACGATTTGATCCGTCATTGATACAAACATCAGAATCGAGGCTCTACAGTTAATTACAAGTATCAGCAAGCTAAAGGACGCTGCCGGGTTCTACTTCAGACAATGAATTGGGCGACAGTTCATCTTACATTCCATTTCTTATGAGAAATACTCCGATATTAAGAATACCCATTAGTATCATAATACTTACAGTATTAAGATTTCCGATCAAAATCCGGCCAAATTCTTTTTCCGGTATTAGAATTTCCGGTCACTGTAACATAAATCATAATACAGTGTCTTTACTTTTATCATACTCCAATTTTTTTTCTTTAGACCAACCGGGGAAATGATTTTCAAATCGCTGGTACTTCCGAGGTCATATTTATTCGTACTAAATATAGTACAGCATTATTTCTACGATTCATTTGGGAACCTAATTTAGGTCAATTTGATCCAGCACAACAGGTAGGTGAAATTTAATAACGATGAACTGTGATTTATTTGATATGAATCTGTTTTCTAATTGCTATGAAAATAACATGTGTGATATATTCTAATCTGTATTACGAAAATTTCCGGTCTCTGATACGAACAGTGCAAATCCGGTCCGAGGTAAAAAGCAAAACACTGTAATTACTGCAGTTAAGCGCGCACAAGATCAGAAGTGAGCCTAGCCACTTCCTGCGTTTCTTTTTTAGCTTCTACTAGCTAGCTTTGGGGGAAACGAATTTCAAAGCTGAAACTGGGGAAATGGCTGGCTATTTGGATTGTTTGAATAATCCATTACATTATGATTGGTGTTTTGTTTTGTTATAATTTTCGTCAGATTGTCATTGCACATGTGCTAGCTTCTTTTAGTTCATTGTTAGTTCTGACATTTGGCGTTTTATTTTTTTTTAACATGGGACGACTCCGCAATTTCGATAATTAAGCATCAACTCCTACTTAATGACACGAAATGTGTATAGAAGTGTACGTTTATTTAAATAATTACGAGATTTCTAGCGCTGTGGCCAAAACAAAATGCGGAGAAATATTACATGATGAAGCAGTACACTATGTTTAGACTTGAATCAGGTATAATGTTGTCAAGAAGAATTTGTAGAAGAAATGTATTATGAAATGAAATAATATTAATGAAAGTTTATCCGTTTCTCATCATCTCTTATGTGACATAGTTTCTATACCAAAAAGAATCATGACGAGTAGTGACGGAGTCGTAACGCTACGAACCGATTCCGGAACATATTCTAGAGTACTAAGAATAATCGGATTATTAATGGCTCATATCCATTAAGTATTATTAGTCCATCACAATCATAACATGTAATGGAAAAGTAATATTAACTGCACACCCCTATAATAAAAAAAATTTTCGCCATTATTACATAAAGTATTATTATTTTATTATTTTATAGTTATTATGGAATTGTTAACATGTTACGGATCTGCTCTAAAGGCCATACTAGAAAACCGTCATCATCAGAAAAATTTTTTCGCTGACTACTCAGCTAATAAACGAAAGCTGGGGCAGATGACTTTAAAAATGCGATACTATGAGAAAGATGTTAATTAATATAGATATCTCATTTGTAATATATAGAGAATTAGAGGTATAAGAGGATAAAGTATACGAGGCCTCCTATTAGTGGTTAACTTATACATTCGAAATGTAAGTATAAGCTAAAAGAAAGATATGCATAATAACTTAATTTGGAGCGCCTAGAAATTAGTGAGGCACCAAGTAATTTCACTTTTACACACTTTACTTTACTCGGAACACTGTAAATAACTTGAAACATTCTAAATACCGAATAATTCATTTGAATATATGTTTTTTGGTATTTTATTATTACTAATAATCAATATTCAAGTTGTCAACCGGTAGTTGCGAAAATAACTTGACGAAGTGATCAAATTACTGAATGCTCAGTAAAATGATCATGTTGAATGAAAAATTATTCTTTGTCATCGTTTGCATCTGCTACTATGGTTATTGAATCAAGATTATTTTACACTTAGTAAATTAGTTTAACTGTAGCGGTAAATTAAATGACGAGGTTACTAGGTAGTGCTACCAAACAAATCCACACAAAAAAAACTACTTCTTCTTCTTGCTATTATTATTGGCGTTACTCTTGTTGTCAATTTCAATTTAGTAAAGGTTTATTTAACCCCGACTAATTAGGCAAATTTCTGTTTACACCCCATATTTCAAAGAACTTCAAGAGTATATGATCACGCTTTTTTAATATGTTCAAGCGGGGCGGACCTGTATAGATCATCGTCTCATCACAAAATCAAAATCTCAAACTGTCAACAAAAAAAAGTTGTCTAATATATAAAGTCTATACATTATTCCCCAGATTTTAAACTTTATCATATGACAAAAGTTTTAGTTTTAAATCTTTTGATTTATATATAAATAGTTATATTTACTGGTTATTTATTATTTCTTTTTGTTTGAAATATAAGAACCCTTTACTACATTAATTCAACTACTACATACTTATTGATTATTTCTTTCATTGCAAAAGTTTTATCACGTGAGAAAGAAAAAAAATTTAACCGAATATTTAAGGCAGAGAACATTCAAGAACAGCCTTACTTAATCCTGGTCACGCTCACTTTAGCACCGTTTTTTTCCATACATTTTGTGTCACGTAAAACCGGATAAACTGCTTTAGTAAATATATTAGCAATTAATAAATAGCAAGCAATAAGTCAGCCAGCAACCACGAACCACGACTTTCATATCATCATCAATAATATACAACCTAGCCCATTGCATTTTGAATATCGCAAACAATTTTAAAATCATATAAAAGCATTTAAGTTTCGTTTTCCTTCTCATTTCTTATTAAAAAAGTACTATTATCGTTAGATTTAACTAGTTGATCATTCAAAAAGTTATTCATTCTGTATTATACTTTGAAATTTAAGTCATTCCTATTATCTATTATAATCAAGTCAGTTTATCTTGTTTATTAATTAGATCATTATTCCTAAATTTCATTCAATATATCACTACAGCTCTGTACTTACAACTTGTTAACTTACACAGTATAACAAAATAACTGATTAGATAGTCAGTTGAAAATTTTTAAAGGAATAGCTGTGTGTGTGTATCTATAGATTTGTTCTAGAATCACTAAAAATATTTTGCATATAATTTCCCAGCTTGAATCATCTTTAAAGTACTGAAACTTTTTTTTGATTCATTTTTCCCCCTCCCCCACAAAATCCACAAAGCAACAAGTGAAGAAATTGAAAATTTTATTTCACATCTAATTTAATCAAAATTTAAATAATTCATATATAAACAAGATGAAGTTAATATCTGCATCACAATTAGCCATTTCCCTCGCTTGGATATCTTGTGCTTCAAGTTTAGTCATCCCCGATTATAATGATTTAATAATTAGCGCTGAATCCACAAAATCATCATTATCATCATCATTATTATTATTGAATCAAAGACAACAATCACTTTCTTACTATGAAATCTTGAGCAATTATTTACCAAGTTTTCTTTTCCAATCAAAAGATGAAGGTGATGAAGTTAATAATGACTTTGAATCATGGATTCATCGTCAAAAGGAAATATCATTCCAAGGTATTCTTAATAATATTGGAGGTATAAGTTCAACATTATCAGAAACTGAAGTCAGTAAAGGTGCTGTTATTGCTTCTCCTTCAAAATCAAAACCAGATTATTTTTATCAATGGACAAGAGATGCTGCTTTAACCATTAAATCTTTAATTCATTATCTTGATGATGAACAATTTAATTCCAATGATGAATCAACTTATTCAATTAAATCAATTATAGAAAGTTATATTGAAAATAATTATTACATTCAAAGATTAGATAACTTGTCAGGAAAGTTTAATGATGATTCAAAATCTGGTTTAGGAGAACCAAAATTTTATCCAAATAATAAACCATTTGAAAGAAATTGGGGTAGACCACAAAGAGATGGTCCAGGTTTAAGAGCTATCACTATAATGAGTTATATTTCTGCTTTAAATAAATATAGCCAACCATTTTCAAATCAATTTTTAAATAATCAAACATTTGTTTATGAGGAAATTATTAAACCAGATTTAATTTATATCATTAAAAATTGGTATAAGGAAGGATTTGATTTATGGGAAGAAATTAATAGTCATCATTTCTATACTTCAATTACTCAATTAAGTGCTTTGAAGTCTGCTATTAATTTTATTGAATTAAACAATTATCCTGAATCTAGTGAATTTTTAAATCAATTAAATGAAACTTATAGAAATTTAAAACAATTTATTTTATTTGATTCAGGTTATAAATCAAATACTTTACCTTATATTGTTGAAACTCCTTCATTATTGAAATCCGGTAAACGTTGTGGTCTAGATGCTGGAACTTTATTAGGTGTTTTACATGCTCATAATCTTGAATTTGGTGATTATGATGATATTCCATTTGATATTGATAGTTCATATTTAATTAATACTCTTAGTGCTATGATTGCTGATATGAAATATAGATATCCAATTAATCATTCAAAAATTGGATTTGATAAGGCTATTGGAGTTGCATTAGGTAGATATCCTGAAGATATTTATGATGGTTATGATACTTCTGAAGGTAATCCTTGGTTTATTTCAACCGCTTCTGGTTCAGAAATTATCTATAAATTTATTCATAAATTGATTTCAAATAAGCAAGATATTATTATTAATCAACAAAATAGAGAATTCTTTAGACAATTTATTGATTTTGATAAGGTTCCAGCTCAAGATTTAGTAACTTTTATTAAAGAAGATTCCAATACAAATACTGATGTAATAATTAGATTTGGATCTCCAACATATAAAACCTTATCATATAATTTATCATCATTTTCTGATTCATTTTTAGAAATTGTTAAAGATCATGTTGATAACAATGGTAGTATGTCTGAACAATTTAATAAATATCATGGTTTTATGCAAGGAGCAAGAGATTTAACTTGGAGTTATAGTGCAGTTTGGAATGCATTTAGATGGAGAGAAAAGACTTTACAACTTTTAGATTCAACTTTTTAAGTTGAAATATAATGGATGCGAAAAGAAGAAAAATGATTGCAAAAATCAACCACACGCAAATACTTAAGGAAGGGGTACAGAAAGGTTGAACTTTAATAACCTAAACTATCCTAACTTATGAATTGAATGCTTTATGAATTTTTCTAATTACTTTATTTTATTATTAAGGGTACTATTACGGGTTTTACTATGACGCTATATGAATGATGGTTTATATTTCCTTTCCACGGTATTTTTGAATTATTTTAACATTTTCTTTCTTATCTAATTTTTAACTCTATTTTCTTTATTCTTATCTTATCTTATCTTTGTTTATATTTTGGCTGCCCCTGTTCGTGATGATTGTTTGGTATTAATTACCGTTTGTTATGTTATATCATTTTAGATTTTTATCTCATTCTACATTTTTATTTTATTATTAGTTTTATTTTATATACTTTGCATGTAATAGAAGTTTATTATAGCTATTATTATTATTATTATTAGTTTTGTAGTATAATACAATTAATTAAGTAATCAATCTTTATCCATATTATTAATAGTTTCAAATATTGAAATATGATTAAATTGTGAATCATCTCCTGATTTATAACAATCCATTGATCTATCCATCAATTCATTCATTTCTTCAATACTTAATAATTTATTGATTTGATTTTGTTTTTTATTAAGTGCCAGTTTAGAAAATTCATAATTGAAACCTTCTTCATTTATAGATTCTTCTTCACTTTCATTCTTAAAATTAGTCTTTGAAAACTCTAATAAATCTTTAACATTAATATTATCATTAGTTGAACCATTTGATCCATCAATCATTGATTTTAATTTATTAAATCGAAATTCTCCAAGGGTTATAACTAATTTCTCTAAAAATCTCTTGGATGAACTTTTAGTTATTAAAATTTCTTCAATTGAATTAGATACAAGAAATCTAAAAATCTTTACTGGTTTGGTTTGTCCAAGTCTATGAACTCTATCAATAGCTTGTAAATCCATTTGAGGATTCCAATCATTATCAAATAAGATAACTGTATCAGCAGCGGCAAGATTTATACCTAATCCACCAGCTCGAGTACTTAAAAGAAATACTTTATATTTATTATCATTATTAAAATTCTTAATTTCGATATCTCGAACAGTTTGTGAAGTTGAACCATCTAATCGACATAATTGAATTCCTTTAAAATTTAACCAATCTTGTACTAAATCTAATAATTTTGTGAATTGACTAAATATTAGAATTTTATGATTATCATTAAGTAATGAATCAATTAATTGATCTAATACTTGAAATTTACAAGAATTCTTAATTAAAATATCCATAAATCTGGCTTCTGATTTGGTAGAATTATTTCCATCAATTAAGAACGGTTCATAATACATATATGGTGAATTACAAATGTTTCTTAATTGCATAGTAAGATTCTGTAATGATAAATTTCGAACATCTTTATTTATCTTTTTGAATAAGGAACTAAGTATTAATCTTTGCTTCTCTTTCTTAGGTAATCTCTTATTGATAATAGATTCATATTTTTCTTCACCTTCAATGGGCAGTGGACTAATTTCAATATTAAATTCATCATCTGATTCGGATTCTTTATAATTTTTAATATCTTTATTCTTATTAGTTTGTCCGGAAAATATTTCTTGTAAAAATTCATCAATCATATTAAAATCATTTTTAAATAAATCATAATGATTATAATTAATGAAATCCTTTAAATAAATCTCTACTAAACTGTAATATAATCTATTATTCATACAATCATAATATAATTTATTTTGAAGTCCACTCAATGGAATATGAATAATATATTCTTTCTTAGGTGGTAAATCTTTAACCACGTCACGCTTTAATCTTCTTAAAAGGAAAGGTTTTAAAATTGTATGTAAATTTTTTACTAAACTTTGTTGAACCTCTAATTTAATTAATCTTTTAGTTTCATTATCATCCTCAATATCATTAGCTAAATTGGTTAATTCATCAAAATTAAACCATTGTTGAAATAATTCTAAATCATGGAAAATATCAGGTAAAATAAAATTTAATAATGACCATAATTCATTTAAATTATTTTGTAATGGTGTTCCAGTTAATAGTAATCGATTATTAGTATTTAATTTCTTTAGGAATTTAATTAAAACACAATTATTATTCTTTAACCTATGACCTTCATCAACTATTAAATAATTCCAATTAATTATATTCAACTTATTATAATCTTTAATTGATATTTCATAAGAAGTTAAAACTACATTCAATTTTTTTTGATTAACTTGTGATGATAAATTAATCTTTGCTCTTTCAGATTTTGATCCATTATATTTAAAAACCTTTATCTTAGGAGCAAATTTTTGTAATTCATTATACCAATTTGATAATGTAGATAATGGAACTACAATTAAAAATGGTCCTGTAATACCATGTTCAATTAAAAATCCAAGAAAAGAAATGCATTGTAAGGTCTTACCTAAACCCATTTCATCAGCTAAAATCCCATTTAATCCATTTTCATATAATGTAACCAACCATTCTAATCCATCTAATTGATAATCCTTTAATTTTCCTCCAGTAATTAATTTAGGTTGAATCATAGTGGCAGTAGTAGCTTGTGATTGTTCAATAGCTTGCTTAGCAGACTTGGTTGAATCAGAAATCTTAGTTGTAAGCATACTAGTAATATCTCGTTGAGCACTACTTTTCTTAGCTCCTCTACCTAATTTTCTTCTCTTCTTAGTGGGTGTTATCTCTGGAGTTGGTTGTTGCTTAGTTTCATGTTCTTGTTGTTCTTGTTCTTGACGTTGCTGCCTTTTCGCTAAACTACTTTGTAAGATATTGTCGGCTATAATTTGAGAATATAATTGTGATCTCAGAATTAAATTATTCAATCTATCCAATTTGTGATCTTTAGATAATCTATTAAAATCGGTTTGCTTATCATCCTGATCTATCTCATTGACTGTAACTTGTTCTTCAATCAATTCTTTTAAATGTTGTTCACTCTCATCAGGTCTTTCATCAACACTTCCCAGTGGTGTTAGTTCTGTTGTCTTCAATATCATTCTATAGGGGGTTTGGTTACGACTATTAACCGTGTCTTTGATCTTATAGATAATGATTTTTCACTTCTTAGTAGGACGCGTTAGATCTATAGCATTTTTTTTGTTGTACGATTACTGGCATTTGCACATTATACTACCAAATGCGGAAGTCTACATTTTTTTACAGCCAAATGGTAATCGAGAATTATGTATATAATACAATTATGACGGTCATATCAATATACATAACTTTCTTCTTCCTCTTATTTACATACGAAAAGTTATAATTTATATTATTGAGTCTAAAGCATGTGAGATATACCGATCATTATAGTAATCCATCTTTTGAGGATTGAATTTACTAACTATCAGCTGTCAACAGAAGCTGTATCAGAGTATGACTAGAAAGAAAAGACAACAAAAGAAAGTTAATAAAAACGACAAGAAAGTGAAAGATTTAGAGGAAGAGCAAACCGCTAACAATAGTATGACAGAAGATTCATTCAATCAAGATTTGTTCACTGACGCTATTGAAGAAATTGTTCCAGAAGTTGATGAAGAAGTGATTAATGATAGATCACATTTACTTCAAGAGTTAGAGCATTATCCGACATTGAAATTTGATAGTTATGAGCAAGCAGATCATGAAAATTATGCTGATAATGATAACGGTTATAGAGTTGAAGGAAATTCCAATTCTACTCATGGGGAAAAGTTAGACTCCTTTTACCGATTAGAACACCATAATCGACGCAGGCACTTTAATTCAAGGAATGCATTTGGAAGAAGATATGAAAAACTTGGAAATGAATGGAAATATCCTTCGAATAGTGAGGAAATACATTCTTCATTTTATGGAGCCTTCAATAATTATGCCGCTTCCAAAATTGAAGAATGCGAAAAGTTAATGCAATTATTACCTCGACTTGATGTGAATTTACAAGATGTTCCTAAATATAAGTTGAATTGGTTAATTAATATTTACAACCAAGACCCTAAATGTTTTGGATCACATTTCGAAAATAGCTATCTTAGAAAATTTATTCAAGAAACATATATGAAAAATGGCGACCATCCCTTGCTTTAATTCCTAATTTTTATAAAAAGTATGTTAAAAAAATTCATAAAATTTGCCAAATATTTGCTAAATTATAATACTACTCCTAATCCATCTTAATGCAAAATTAATATGTAATACTTATTTCTATGCTTGTAATTGAATTTAACATTGCATATCTGGCCACAACCATTTCAGGTACCGATTGTTAGATTAATTTAACCTCGACTGATTTATAGTTAAATATTTAGTAATATTATTGTTTAAGTAATATAATTAGCCGTTTAAAATCTAATTACATTTAGTTGTCAGTACTACTGTTTAAGAATCACGAGAGTCATATTATCGATTTACCGGGTTTAAGAGGGGGGCAAAGCGCTAGATACAGCACCGCGCTTAACTCAATGACTCTTTACCTAATTAGGATCGAGGGGCCAACAAAAGGAAAGTAAAAATAATCATAACCGCAAAAAAGTTGGGTCTAATTTGCAGTTTCCTGTTGACCTCACCACTAACATGTAAATAATTTTACAGATTAAATATGATGTCAATAAATGAGCTTAAAAATTGATTACGACTCCCCTAAAGATGATTCAATGAATTCGAAAATTTTTCACATCGTGTTTATAAAATATAAATACTTTACAATGTGTAGACCGTAATTAAACCTTTAATCACCTCATTCTTATCTTCGTCTTAATTATATTAAGTATCGTCATTACAATTAAAATTGGCTTGTCAATTGATCGTTCGGAGTTGCCATTAATTGCAGACACAAAATATCGTTTTTTTGCACTAATTCCAGCTAACTAATATTACACGTTGTACCACGCCAGATTAGAATAGTAAGGTCCCTTTTTGATATAAAGATATAAATAGGCTAAGAATTGCCACCTATACTTCATCATATACTTCACTGTGTTACCGCACGTACTCAATACTAGAATCAGTCATTCTATACGACTGAGCACTTACCTTAATTACAACTTACTGTTGTCTTTTGCTAGATATATACGAACATCTTATTACAATATGGGAAGAGAAAATATTTTAAAATACCAACTTGAACATGATAATGAAACTGACTTAAAAATCAGCTCAAGTGAAGAATCAAAACTTGAAAAACCGATTAAGGAACCTCCTGTTAAGAAGGTAAAATCTCATTCAAATTTTCCTTTCTCTCTCTCAAGAGAATCAACAATTGAAGATTTTTTACATAATAATCAATATTATGTTGAAAATATGAAACATAATCATTCGGATCTAGTTTTTGATTTGAATTCAAAGGGTCAATCTCCCCATACATTATGGATTGGTTGTAGTGATTCAAGAGCAGGTGACCAATGTTTAGCCACTTTACCCGGTGAAATATTTGTTCATAGAAACATTGCTAATATTGTTAATGCAAATGATATTAGTAGTCAAGGAGTTATACAATTTGCAATTGATGTTCTTAAAGTTAGAAAGATTATAGTTTGTGGACATACTGATTGTGGTGGGATTTGGGCATCTCTTAGTTCAAAGAAAATTGGGGGAGTTTTAGATTTATGGTTAAATCCAATAAGGCATATACGTGCGGCAAATTTGAAAACATTGAATGAATTTAATCATGATCCTAAATTGAAAGCCAAAAAATTGGCAGAATTGAATATTATTTCTAGTGTTATTGCCCTCAAGAGACACCCAAGTGCTTCTCAAGCATTAAAGAATGGAGAAATAGAGGTATGGGGTTTAATTTATGACGTGTCAACTGGGTTACTTAATGAAGTGGAAATTCCACAAGATGAATTTGAAGATTTGTTCCATATTCATGATGAACATAATGACGATGAGTTTAATCCTCATTAATGATATAATTACGTTTTTGAGATCTTGATATAATTTCTTCTAATATACTTAATTTGCATTTAACTCCACATTCACATAGCATAAATAGATATATAGAGGATGTTTATAGAAGCAAGCATTATTACAGCATCAAATTTATGACGTATGATATTTTCTTAACCAAAGTATAAGCATTTGTCACTGGTGACAATAAAAGAAGGTAATACAAACTTAGTCTTATTAATAGACACAAGAATAATATCTTGATATGATTTGACTTGTCGTATATTCGGGTACCATGAAGTATACTGAAAGAACGTTGAGCCGCTCTACAATTATATGCTGCAAAATTTATTGGTACTGCACATAATATGACATATAGAAGACTTATAAGGAGATTTACAGTCCCCAAATATTCCCAGAAATATTGATAAATATTTTGCCGTAGATACGATTTGTAATCAGAAAAAGTACCATTTAAGTTTGTTGTTCGTCAGATTTTCTTCTATGAAGACTGCTACAATACATGTGATTTATTAGAAATTATTTTATATTCACTGATGAGTAGTTCTAATAAGCCGACTAGGATCAGCAATCCGTATGTATATAGTATATAATATATATGTTATGTATAAATTTGATAACTTTCTTCTTAATTTTAATTAATACAAGAATTCAAGTTAGGTTACTTTTATGAGTGCAAATTGATTTGGTCACAATTAAACAGCCAAGATCTTTATAACGGTCTATAAAGGCACAAACGAAGCAAAAGAAAAGCTAACAAGGAAGCAAAATTGATTACGAAAATTTTAAGTAGAATCCCACTTCAAGTTGAAACGGCCTTCAGGGATCTTGTAATCTTCAATAGCAGCAAATACTTCATCAACAGTAGTAGCTACTTTAATAATTTCTCCATTTTTGACAGATACAAATTCATTGCTAATTGAATCTTCAATGAATTTCAAGAAGTTATCATAGAATCCATCAATATTGAAAATCACAATTGGTTTGTTATGAATATTAAGTTGGAACCAAGTAACTACTTCCATTAATTCTTCAAGAGTACCGTAACCACCAGGTAAAGCAACAAATGCATCTGCTTCTTCACCCATGAGCCTTTTACGGGTATGCATATCTTTAACCAAAGTTGTTTTACCATACTCCTTTGAATCTGGAATTGGAGTAGAGCCATCATGATTATCGATAGATTCCTTCAATTTAGAGTTTAAAGCCTTTTCATCAGTTCTTTCTCTAGAAATGAGAGCTTCTGGAATAATACCATGAACATATCCTCCATTAGTGGCGCAACCTCTAGCAACAGCACCCATAATACCGGTTGATCCACCACCATAAACCAAGCCCCAATTCTTTGAAGCTAATTGTGCTCCTAATTCAGTAGCTTGAGTAGCATATGAAGTTTTATTTCCAAAAGAAGATCCACAGAAGACACAGATGGTCTTTTCAGGGTTTAAGTTTGTCGAGCTTGTCATTATAATAAAAGTTGTAGTACGTTAAAATTGATAGTTAAATAGTTGAATTAATTTTTGTTAAGTCAAAGATATTGAAAAGTTTCCAACTGAATGAAATTTATAATAAAATAGTATAATTAATGAAAAACTTCAGCAGATTCAGGCAGTTTATATGTCGAATGTGGAGGAGGAGAGTGACCTGCATATAGAGCAAAATGCTGCCAATGCTCATAGTTAAGAGAGAAAAGCTGAATGACTCAAGCATTCTTACCGCGGGAGATCCGACAACTATTTATATTGGAATTCGTTCAAATGTTCCGTTGGAAATTACTTAAATAGGTATTAACAAATTTATTAAAATATTTCATTGGCTTAATGATATATAATTAATTGTTTACAATTATGTAAAAGAAATATATTTACAATTAAATTACTTACGTCGGAATGGAAAGAGGTTGCAATTAGAAAAACGTTTTCCCGAGCTTAAATTATTCAGTTTTAATGACATAATTTTTGATATCCGACCACACACGTGAAAACAAGCACGCCCCTCCTACCGGATTTCAAGGATTACATAATACAAATTAAGTTTTCGTTTTGCGTCTATTTTATGACGAAAATTAATTAATTCAGACGTGTCTCGTAAATGCCGAACAATGGTACCGATAATAGAATCTATTAATTTTGTGATTAACTCCTTAATTATATTACAGACATTGTCTATAAAGCAGCACATATAACCCATTGTTGTATACATTATAGACATTATGTAGAAGCATGTTTCAATCATTTTCTTTATAAAACTATTTACAAACAGTAGACGAAAAGCAAACACTGCACAATCTATAATTGATGGTTCGTTTAATCTTGAATTGCCAATACATTCATTAAAATCACCAGATATCTTTTATATATGCAGCAACTAAAAGGACATTTATATAATATATTCGTTAATTTGCGCACCTTATTTGATAAATTTTTTTGACGCGTTTAGACTAATAGGATACCTCCCTTAAAGCTTGACCATAATTGAACAATTTGAACAATTTTGCCGTCTAATCTTAAACAGATTAACTTTTATTCTGTTCAAGATACAAGTTTTCGCTGTGCAGAATATATAATCTTATTAGTTATTTCACTTTTTTTGGTTCTTTTCATTCTTTCATTCTTTTCTTTATAAAGTTTTGCTAACCACTGGACTTGACAGTATCGTAAAGAGCACAAGATCGCTAAGTATAAAAAGCCACCATGGGGAAAATCAATAGACAAAGCCTATTCGATCAACTAGATAGTATAGCACTAGATATGACTGATGAAGTCGAACAAGATGATATTATAGAGTCTACTTCTACCATACTGTCATATCATCATCATAGCAATCACAGTAGTAATCATCATAACAATCATCATAACAAGCACAATCACAATAATAACAATAATAATAACCGAAATGAGTCAGTGTCAAGATCTATGTCTACAAGCTCTACTTCATCATATAATACTGTCAATTCAGTCAATTCCACTACGTCAACCACTTCAACCATAACAGCACACACATCATCATCTATTCGACCTGAACTACAAAAACAATCAACCCAAGATTCAAAATTCCTAGTACGAAAATTTTCCCTTAAACAACATTCAAAAGCTCGTAATGAGCAACATAAGAATCTACTTTTACAACAACAAAATATGGTTAATATACTAGATTATCTTATTGATATACTTGATATGGAAAATAATCAAATACTAGAGGCTTTAAGTGAATCTGTTGATAAATTATCCAAATTAGTACCGTATAATACTTATAGAATAGAGAATTTCAATGTTAAATTTAATCAAGAGACCAAGCACATATGATGCATAAGATTACGATTACTTAATAAATTATATTATATTATATTATATTATATATGTATATAGATAGATGTATATATAGATAGATGTATATACTTATATATACTCATATAGAATACACGTTAATGTCCCTCATGATAATCCCTTAAATGCAAAACTACTCAAGTTTTGTACAGGACCCCCACCCTTAGAAGAGCGATAATCTCGAGTTGTAGTTGGAGTTGCAGTTTGTTGAGTTGATAATACTGATGAAGATGTACTATTTTTACCTCCCGCACTACCAGAAGTTGATTCACGAGGTTCTAATTCTAAAGATATTTGATATTGTTCTTCCACACTTGGACATTTATCAAACCATCCATCTAAATATTTTTGAATTTCTACTACACTTTGAAAATTATAACCAGTAGTTTTAAATCGATCAATTCCACTAACAATTTCAAAAGTTTTAGCACGTTTAGCAAAATTAATCATTCTAGTACGATTTAATAAATTATCTGGATTACCATGATAAACAAATGTTAAATCACTTAAAAAGACTCCAAAAAATGGTACACAAGGTTCACTACCAATAAATTTTAAAACATCACGATATTCATTAAAATTTCTCAGAGAATTCATTAATTTATTCATATTTTGTAAATGACTTAATGAATCAGTATTAACATATTTCCAAGTTTTCTTTAATCTATGAATTGGTGATGAATATAATGCTGATATAATAGCTGTCATTGAAGAAAAATTATTATATTGACGACACTTTTCTGCTACTTGAACAAAATATCGAATAATTTGTACTCTTCTTTTGGCATCATTCTTTCTTAAAATCATATAAGCGACATAATTAGTTAATTGATTTGATGCTTTAATAAAACTTTGAATATTTTGAATAGTTTCAGTTAATCCTGATTTATTCCCCCAAACTTTAGTTAAACATGCAAATTTAGTTATTTTAGAATATAAACTAAATTCTCGTATAGTTAATTGTCGAGCTAATTCAACATAATCAATATCTAATAATTTCATCTTTTTAGAAATTAATGATCCTTTAACTAATGGAGCTGGAGCTTTGGTAGTAGGTATAACTGGTTGTCTTTCAATATAAACCATTTCTCCTCGAAGTAATCTAACTAAATCATTAGTTAATTGTTTCCCAATTGAATAACTTTGAACTACTGGAGTTTGACTAAAGCCTAACCATTTTCTTAATATAGTTTCATTATAATAAGATCTTGACCAATGCTTTTCAATTAATAATTTCATTATATTCATAACTCGAATTCTTATAGGATTTTGCTTTTTAGTAATCCATGTATTATATTCTTCATAACTTAAACCTTCTGGAGCTTCAATATTAAATCGATTAATTAATAATCCAATTAATTCTCCTAATGACATCATCGTGGGGAAAGTAAATAAAAATGCTGAATTAAAATTACTATCAAATAAATCATGATGAGTTAAATGAGCAATTAGTGCTTCTTTTGTTCCACCTTTAATATTCCCCTTTAAATCTAATAATAAATCAAATTCTTCATCACCTTCAAGATACCATGGTAAATCTTTTGCCTTTTTATGACCTCCACTATAATAAGAATGATCATCTGATTTATCACTTAAGATAGTATTATTTCTTTCAATTACTAATAATTGAACATTAAAATCATCATGCATAACTCGAGTAGCATAATTTAAAATAGTTTCTCTTTCATCAATTAATTGTTGAACAAGAGTTAATAATGATTGAAAAAATTTACTACCATCAGATAAATATGATAACATTAAAGTATCAGGATTTACTGAGATTGCATCACCTTTAGTTTGATTAATTTTATTTAATAATACATTAGTTAATAATAATGAAGCCTTTTCTGTGGGATGTTTTAAAATTTCTCGATCATAAAATAATGGATCTTCATTTCTTAAACCTTTAAATACTTCAGGATCTTCTAAAGTTAAAGTTTGAGTAGCCATAATAATCTTTAAGATTAAATTATGAAATTCTTGTTTTAATTGAAAGAATTCTAATACTACCGGATAATCAAAAGTTAAATTAGATGATGATTCAATTTCTAATTTCTTTTGGGTTTGGGTTTGGTTTTCATTACTATTACCATCTTTAGTATTAGTATTAGTATTAGTATTAGTATTACTATTAATACTAGAAGATTTATTTATTAACTCTTCATTAATCTTTTCAATATCATTTTCTTCATTAGATGAATACCTTTTGATTAAACAAAACACAGTAAAATCAAATGATTCAATTAAATCAATCATTGAACTAGCATAATATAAATATTTATAAATTAATCTTAAAATTTGAGTATTTCTATCATTTTTTAAGATAGTATTATAATATAAATTTTGAGTTTCAGGATTTAAAAATTGACAAGTTTCTTGACTTAATTTATTCATTTCTTCCAGATAATGATATAATGAATCATAAGCTTGATGATCAATTATTACTTTAGAATGATATTTATTCTTTAAATCATCTCCACTAACATTTAATATAGGATTATTAGTTGTAAAAAATGGATTACACCAATTACCTCCATTAAATTCATCAGTTATAAATCTGGGATAAGTTTGAGGTAAAATATCATATCTATCTTCACCTTCATCTTCTGAAGCATCTGATGAATCATAATCTGATCTTCGAATTACTTTATCTTTACTTAATTTAATCATAATCTTAATTAATCCATTCATATTTAATCGTAAATTTTCAATTTCATATTCAATATGTTGAAAATATCCAATAAATTCTCGAGGACTAGTACTACTATTATTATTATCAAATGAAATTCCTGGAGACATGGAATTAACGGTATCTTGAGACAGTTGACGTATAGTTGATACTGAAGAAACATTTGATTGATAAGAATTCCCCGGCTTTGTACTAGTAGACTTATTTAATTTAAAAATATCAAAACTAAATAATTGACCTTCAGATGTGGCTTGCGAATGATGCATAACACTTAAATGTAATATACCATTAATATAAATTTGAGCAAATGAACTAGCAATTCTTTTTAATTTCCGTCTAGCTGATTTTTCATATTTTGTATCCATAAAATCTTCTTGATTTAATCTTGAAGCTGCAAAAACAATGGATATAATTTTATTTAATCGAGAGAAATGAGTACTGAATAATTGCTTATTATGATCTTTTAAAGATTTTAAAGATAAATCCAATAAATAATTAAATTGTTGTTTTAAATCACTCCATTTTGATAAATCTTGAGGATGCAGATAAAATAAATGTTCAACCGCAAAGAATGGTTTAGAAAAATGATGATATGATGAAGCTCCTGAACTTTGAGACATTGATGATGCATTAGAATCTCTCTTTAATGGATCAAAACTTGTAGTTGAATCACCTCTAGAATCTAATATTCCTGTCAGAGTATCTGAATTCCGATGATCTGATTCAACTGGAATTATCAGATTATTTGTTAATGATTCTTCACTTGGAATAGCAATTTTAGGGGGGAAATCTCCTACTTCAAAGGGGACTTGAGGTATAGATTCACAATAAATATCTAATTGTTCACAATAAAATACATAATCTCCATTAGTTGTACATCTTGGAATCCATAATAATAATTTCTTATTATCTTGTTTATATTTCTTTGATAAATTCTCGGCTTCTTCAATATCAGTTAATACTATAGATCCATCTATTAAATCTCCTGGTGTAATAGTATTTGAAATTGAAGGATGTTGATGAATTGATGAAGATATAGTACTTACAGATGCTTGATGTTGAGGACTTTGAGGAGTATTTGTATTTGTATTTGTATTTGTATTATTAGTATTGGATAATAATTTAGAATCTGATGGAATACTAGTTTCAGAACTAGCAAAACTAACTACCGAATTCTTTCTAGTACTATTTGTTGGAGTATTCTTTTCTGAATCTATAAGATTCTTTTGTAATAAATTTGCAAAAGTTGGTATTAATACATTAGCTGCCGTATTTGCAGCCGTTATTGAATCCAATTCTTTATTACTTTTTAATTTATTTAATACCGGTTGAACATAATTAACCGATCTTACATAATTATGAGGAAACCAGCCTCTTTGTAATTCTCCAGTATTGGTAATTATAACTCCATCCCACCATCCACTATCAGATTTTGATAATACATAAATTGTATCACCTAAATTTAATGGTAAATGTGAAGGTTGAGTTCCAGGAAATTCATATAATGCTATAACTGTATCTAAATGTTTTATTGGTTGATCAACTCGAACTTTATTATCTTGAGGTGATATAACATCGGGAGCAATTTCATCCATATACTGCGACATTATTTATTTTAAACTACACACACCTCTCTAATTTGGTTACGCAATTGATTTGAAACCGGTTCAATTCTCTGATAACGTGACTCACAAACAACTCTCACGTACACTCACACTGATTTGTACGAATTGAGTTGTGGTTTAACTGGTGTTGTTATAGAGGGTTGACTCAATAAAGTAAAAATAAAAAAAAATGAGTATGAGTATCTTCTCGGGCCAACCTGTAAAAATGTAGGATCGGGACCGAAAACTTACAGTTTACGAGATTACGGTTTATGTATGGAAGCTGTCATTACTATCTTTAGTAATGAGTGTGGAATGTGGAGAATGGAGAAATACTACTAAAGTAGTAAAGTAAAGTAGTATAATAACACAGTAGTGTAGTATTACAATAGAGTACGATTTAGGTACAAATAGTGAACAATGAATAGTGTGCTAAAGTAGATGGTTAACTAATAGGTAGTAGATACAGTTAGCAGTAAATTGAAGTTTAAATTATCTAATAAACCAGAACAGAATATTGTAATGTTACAACAGGTTACATCACTAGCCTCGATTTAGTGGGTCAGAAGACTACTTTGATACACTTTGTGTTTGTAAGTGCCTTTTACACTTTAAAGAATCAAATGGGGCAAGTCCTTGCAACTGGGTGCCTTTGTGTCACCAATCAAATGGTCTCGCCTGCTGTAGTTCATTAACACTGAATAGTATGTTAACCATTAACCATTAACAATTAACAATTAACCATTAACAGTTGACAATTAACTATTAGATCTAATAATCTAATACTGTCACTTATATTACATACATAATATTCAATTGAATTGACCCACTGATATCCCCATTCTGATAATAGTTCATTAATTTAGACGGAGTTCGCAAGTCAACTCCGAGTTATTACAGTGACAATTATCCGAAGTTTAATACCTCAGTAAATCACCTGCTCTAAATCACATCATATTTTTGATCAACGATTCTGACCTGTTCTCGAAGGCTTACGTAACTTTAAAGCTTTCGGTTACAACGGGCAAATAACTCCTTGACATCCCCTCCTCCTTTCCAATTAGTCACGTGCGCGATTCTCTCCACGTCACCGCAACTCTTTAGGGTAGGCTGTATGCAGCACGCTTGCCTAATTGGGAGGTGAGAATAACCATCACCAGATGAGCTTGGGAGATTAATAATAATCTTTGTCCTTACTGTGGTACAGTATTTCCCAGACGAATGTCGCACCTGTGGTATCCGAAAGACATTCTATTGGTAAGTATTTCTTCCCGAAGGCAAATTTCTTTCGCAAGTTATTTCTAACATACTTTAAAGCTAAATAAATCTTACTACACAAATCAATTGAAAATGAATTCAGCAATTGGCTGAAACGAGAATTCAAAATCGCCGTTTAAACAATTTCGGACTACCTCAGTATGAAAATACTCTATACATTTCACTCTCTGATGGTAAGAATTACCACCAATGAGGCAAAAGTCCAAGAATATAGATTTGCTATTGTGTCGCTTATTATGCTCGCAAAAGCCCCAAATAGCCTTTAAGAAGTAACAAATCATAAACCATATTTTTAAGCATTGTTCTACTCTTTGTGAATTGAAGAATTTACGTGAAAAGCTTAGTACTAGTAAAATGTCAGCAACTTTATATTATTGGTGAATTATATAAGATGGATATAATTATATATTGGTAGCGCGCAAGTATCCTGTTTTTTTATGGTTCAAGAAGATTTTATTTATTCGAAGGGCTTAAGCCTAACATAATAGCCCCAGTCCGAATGAATCTAGCTTGAATCACTAGATAAATAATACTTAAACCCTTCTTATATGGAGCAAATCTATAGATGAAGATGTAAGGAATGAAAGTTAAAAGTGAAACTAAGACGAAGAATTGTAGATCGGATCCCATAGTTAATATTGCTTATGTTGTGAGAGATATTTAAGATATAGTAAGGGAAAATATGTTGGATTAAGTATCATTTTAAATAAGTTATAAAAGCGCAATAATTTCTTTAAGGTTCACTTCAATGTTTCACTGATAGTGTCTAAGTTTTGTGTAAAGTGAAGTTAAATATAGTATTAGGGTATTCCTTCTATTGGAACAGTACCGTGCCCTTTAATTCCAGTTTCAGCTAATTTATGGATTTACATTAGACGCATTTATTTCTATTCATGATTGCTTAGTTTGGGGTAATTACACATATGTAGTATGATTTATTCAACTTACATAGTATAAAAATAGTAAATTTAGTTTGTCGCTAACGCTTGCGAAAAGTAATCTGTAAGGAAGAAATATACGCCTGTAACTTAGGGGTCATTCGGATATCACAGGTGCGACATTTAATATTGCAAATACTGAAGTAAATATTTTTAGTGGCATGATCAAAGTTATTAGACAGATGGTATTCTGCACACTTTTTTAAAATAATTGCTATGTAGGGGACTTGGAAATTTAAAGAGGGGAGCCATGTGGTTATGGGAGAATTTATTTGTTAGTGTGTGGGTGCAATTTTTCTAACTGGTGATGGTCCATCACCTAATGTCCATCACTAGCATATTCCAACAAAGGATTAATGTGTTGATATAAATATTTGTAGATATTTCTCTTAAATAGATTTTAATAATACTTTTCAATTCTTTTATTTCTTTCTTTCTTTTATTATTCATTAAGTATTCATATACAATTGAATATATATTATAAGTAATATCCCTTAAAAATCCCTCATAATGGTTAAAGTCGCTATCAATGGTTTCGGTCGTATTGGTCGTTTAGTTTTAAGAATTGCCTTAGAAAGACCAGACATTCAAGTTGTTGCTGTCAATGATCCTTTCATTGCTGCTGATTATGCTGCTTATATGTTTAAATATGATTCTACTCATGGTAGATATAAGGGTACTGTTGAAGCTGAAGGTGAATATTTAGTCATTAATGGTAAGAAAATTAAAGTTTTCCAATTTAAGGACCCATCTGAAATTCCATGGGGTGCCAATGGTGTTGAATACGTTATTGAATCAACTGGTATTTTCACTAAATTAGCTGGTGCTCAAAAGCATATTGATGCTGGTGCAAAGAAGGTTATCATTACTGCTCCATCTGCTGATGCTCCAATGTTTGTTGTTGGTGTTAATGAAACAAAGATTACTCCAGATTTAACTATTATCTCAAATGCTTCTTGTACTACTAATTGTTTAGCTCCATTAGCTAAAGTTATTAACGATGAATTTGGTATTAAAGAAGGTTTAATGACAACTGTTCACTCTATTACTGCTACTCAAAAGACTGTTGATGGTCCATCCCACAAGGATTGGAGAGGAGGTAGAACTGCTTCTGGTAACATTATTCCATCCTCTACTGGTGCTGCCAAGGCTGTTGGTAAAGTTATTCCAGAATTGAATGGTAAATTAACTGGTTTATCTTTAAGAGTTCCAACCACCGATGTCTCTGTTGTTGACTTGACTGTTAACTTAGGTAGAGCCACTTCTTATGAAGAAATTAAGGCTGTTGTGAAAAAGGCAGCTGAAGGTCCATTAAAGGGTGTTTTAGGTTACACTGAAGATGATGTTGTATCAACTGATTTCTTATCTTCTACTTACTCCTCAGTCTTTGATGCCAAAGCCGGTATCTTATTATCTCCAACTTTTGTTAAGTTGATCTCCTGGTATGATAATGAATATGGTTACTCCACCAGAGTTGTAGACTTAGTGGAATATGTTGCTAAATTATAAATGTAACAAATAGGATCCTTTTCTATAGTACATATGATTTGATGTTTCAAAGTTTCTTCTCTATTTTTTATCTAATTAAAATCTATAAATTTATACCACTTTTGTGAGTGATTAACGACAATAAACTAATTGACTATCTACAGCTTTTGTGAATTATGTAGTTAAGCTGTTGTTTAGTGTTTTGCAACTATTATACTAAAAGTAAAAGTATATGCTCTAATAGGAAAGTCCTGCACAACATCTACACACAAAAATCAAAAACATCCAAACATCCAAAATTACCTAAACTATCACCAATTACATGACGACCGTCAGACTATTAGCATTCACATCAATTGTATCCACATCCATAGTGGATTATTTATACAAACATGTCCATATTCTTTAAGGCTCCTCTAGATATAGATATAAGACTAGATAATGAAGATTCTCGAAAACATGTAGAAGTAAAGACTCCTCATGGTAGAATGGAGAAATTACCAATTTATAAAGATGGAGAATCGGTTAAGGGTCAAGTAACTATTCGTACAAAAGAAGGTAGAAAAATTGAACATTTAGGGGTTAAAGTTCAATTATTTGGATCTATAGAAACTAATATTGATGGATTAATAACTTCAGAATTCTTATCAATGGCTACGGAATTAGCATCACCATCTATTTTAACTCATCCTGAAACTTATCCATTTGAATTTAAGAATGTTGAAAAACAATATGAAAGTTATCGGGGAAAGAATGCTAGATTACGATATTATTTGAAGGTAGTAGTTTCTAGAAAGTCTTCATCCGAAATCACTCGAGAAAAGGAATTGTGGGTATTCCAATATATAACACCACCTTCAACTCCAAATGCCACTTCTACTACAACAAATGTAATTTCCAATAAAGCTCATACTCATCATCATAATACTAGAGGTGCCGATTCTAATTCCAATTCATCACCTCCCGCTACTCCATCTAAGGAAGGACATCAGACGGTTAAAATGGATGTAGGGATTGAAGATTGTTTACATATTGAATTTGAATATCTGAAATCGCGGTTTTCTTTAAAAGATGTGATTATAGGTCGTATATACTTTTTATTAGTAAGACTTAAGATCAAACATATGGAATTATCTTTAATTAGAAGAGAAACAGTTGGATCAGCTCCAAATCAAATAACAGATAGTGAAACAGTAGTAAGATTTGAAATTATGGATGGAGCTCCTGTAAAAGGTGAAACAATTCCTATAAGATTATTTTTAGGTGGTTATGATTTAACTCCAACTTATAGAGATGTCAATAAGAAATTTTCAACTAGAACTTATCTTTCATTGGTTCTAATAGATGAAGATGCCAGACGATACTTTAAACAATCAGAAATAATTCTTTATAGAGATCAATAACTTAACTTAACTTAACTTAGCTGGTATAGTAGTTCTCTCATTTTAAATAATATACAAAAGTGTTGTCGCGGCGCTATCAGTGGGTATTCTCGGCTAGAAAAAAACTATTAGATCCCCCATATCAAAAGTGCCCTTCGCTAACTCTTACTAGGACTTAAACCACTCCCACTATTGACTAGGTGACTAGTAATTTGGACTTGTATACATTGCTGATGATATAGCAGAAAATTAAAATTGTTATCTCACTAAATTTCCTTCTGTCTGATAACATATATAATGAATCTGTCAAGACTGCAAGCGATAGCGAATTCGAATTCGAATTCGAATTCGAATTCGCCATCAGCAATGAATTCGAGTTTAAGTTTAACTAACCCTTCACCTTCATCTTCACCTACACCTCCACTAGTAGGATTAGTATATAAACGACTGATAATATATAGTGAACTGGGAATTCTGATGATTAGTGATGAAGAATCTAAACTACTGTCATCTAGTAATATAAGTAGTCATAAAGCTACATCATTATCAGCCGCCGGTATACGAGCCTTAATATATCAATTACAAGCATTATATCTTCGAACTCCAGTAAAATTATTTCGACCTTCACGATTTGATTATTTAGCTTATGTAAGAGAATTAGCTCATAAACATAATAATATTAAAGAAAAACCTTATAGATTTAGTACTCATTCATCATTAGGAATGTTAATTACTGTAGCTAAAAAGGAAGGATTTAGATTTATACCAGATCAAGTTTTACCTCCATTAATAGCAAATTCACTTACCGGATTAATATTATATGGAACTTATTTAACAGCTTTAGATCATTATAATGGATCACATTTTCAAACTAATAAACGTCATGATTTTAATTATTATTCTCCAATTGATACTTGGAAAGCAGGATTTTTAGCTGGTTCTATTCAATCTTTAGCAGCTGCACCAGTTGATGCAATTTATACGAGACTGAATGTGGCAGAATTATTAAATGGTAAAAATCAAAACCTTTGGGTTTATGGTATAAATAAATTAAAAGAAGTTGGATTAGTTGGAGTATTTGCTGGTTATTCATTTTCATTTATTAAAGAAAGTTTAGGATTTGCCTTTTATTTTTCAACTTTTGAAATAGTTAAAACTCAAGGTTATAATTGGACTTATAAAGCCGTTGTTGCTTATAGAAGATCTAAAGAAAAAATTGTTGAAAAAATTGCAACCATTACAAAAATGGATGAAGAAAAAGTTGATGAAAAGTTATTACAATTTGAAAGGAATAGAACGGCTAAAATATTAAAATCTTCATTTATATTATTAGCAGGAGCATCGGCTGCATTTTCTTTATTAGCTATACAATATCCAATTACAAAAATTCAAAAACTTCATCTTTCTCGATTAGAAGCTTTAGATATTTATAATCAAGCTGCTAATATAAGTAGAAGACCTTTAATTAAATTATATTATCATTCATATATTGATACTTATCATCAAATACTTAAAATCAAGTATAAATCCAAATCATCATATTTCAATCTTGCTTATAAAGGATTTGTAAGAAATGCTCTTAGTACAATCCCAGCAACTTCTATAGGATTGTTGGTATTTGAAATTATGAGAACTAGATTATCTGATAATTTCGAAGATTATACAGTACTAGAGCCATAGAAATCATTATCATGTAAATAGTCTATTTATTATTTATTTATTTATTTATTATTTCTTTCTTTTAGGTGTGTGTATATAGAAACTCAATTTATAATTGGCCAGTCTTTTTTAAGTAAGCATTCCATCCAGCTTCTCTATATCTTTGCCCTTCAACATCAGGATCTCTACCTTTACCAAATAAACCTCTACCAACAATAATTATATCAGTACCAGTTGAAATAACTTCATCAACGGTTCTATATTGTTGACCTAATGCATCACCTTTATCATCTAATCCAACACCAGGAGTCATAACAATCCAATCAAATCCTTCATCAGCACCTCCCATATCTCTTTGAGCAATAAATCCAATAACAAATTCTTTATCAGTCTTGGCAATTTCAATAGTCTTTTCAGTATATTCACCATAAGCTAAAGAACCCTTTGAAGATAATTCTGCCAACATTAATAAACCTCTTGGTTCATTAGTAGTTTCTTTAGCAGCCTCTTTTAATCCTTTAACTATCCCAGCTCCAGTTATACCATGAGCATTAGTAATATCTGACCATTGAGCTATTTTATATACTCCACTAGAATATTGAGATTTAACAGTATTACCAATATCAGCGAATTTTCGATCTTCAAAAATCATAAAATTATGTTTTTTAGATAATTCTAATAATGGTTGAATGGTTCCTTCATATGAGAAATCATCTATTATATCAATATGAGTTTTAACTAAACAAATATATGGACCTAATTTATCAATTAAGGTAAGAAATTCATTGGTAGTATTAACATCGACTGAAGCACATAAGTTGGTCTTTTTAGTGTCCATTAATTTGAAAAGACGTTGTGCGACTGGAGAGGCGTGTGCATGAGCTCTGGCGGTATAAGTTTGAGTATTAACCATATTGGTGGTGGAGGTAGTGGTGGTGGTGGTGGTGGTGGTGGTGAATTTTTCACTAGTGGTAATTTTTTGCGATGAGAGTAGACAGATAGTGGAGAGCAGAGAGAGTAGAGAGTAGAGAGTAGACAATTAGTGGATATATGCGAGTGTAGGAAAAGACAGTAGACAGCAGAGTAGACAGCAGAGTAGAGATATAGTAGAGATAGCGACAGTATATAGTGACAGTAGATAGAGAGTCTTACGAGTAGATAACGTACAAGATACAGTAGCAGACATGCATCTACGATAGTATACAGTGTTTTCACTTTTTATTCATACCTCGGACCGGAATTGCTAAAAAAAAGTGGCATATATAATACAGTGATTTCTCTAATTGAATTGATCAATATACTTTACCTCTAGTGTGATATACATGGTGTTGTTATTTCAGTTTTACTGAGCGCAAATGCGACGATTATTCCTACGGACTATCTGGATCGATTTTCTCCAGTTCTTTCACAAGTGCAGCAGTTGTCCTACCAGCATGACCAAAGACAAGGTCGCCATTATAATATAATATGATAATTGCCACTATTCCTAGAAATGATATGAATCTAGGGTCGGCGTAACTAGTGGGATCTGTCATCTTCTGCGTTTGAAATCTCTATTTTGGAATTTGCATTAGCTCACTTATAACTGATGTCGAAAAAGAATTATAAAGCGCGAAGTAGTATTATTTATAGAAATGTAGAAACAAGTGATAATAGTACTGCAAAGTAAACCACTTTGTCATGCTGATTAGAACATAGACACGAGAAAAATAGTCTGAGTGCGCACTTGTACGAACACTACTACACTATGCGAATATATTATAATATGTATTGTCTATATGCTCAAGCAGACGATTCTGAAACTTCAGCTACTGGTTCACCAACTACACCTTCACCAACTTCAACAACTGGCTCTGGCTCAACTGGCTCAACTGGCTCAGTATGGCCTCGAGGTTCAAGTTCTGCCCTCAATTGCGGATATAACGTATCAATCTTATCCCATGATGCATTCCAAATACTACTATCTTCTACAAGCACTCCATTCGTTTGTAATACAAGAATCATATTCTTAAGTAATTCAGATCCGGATTCTTTAAATGATTGTTCAACTTTATGTTTACCTCCAAGATTATCAAAAGTTATAAAATGATCTAAGATACCTAACCAAACTCTTTCAGTTTCTTCATCATTAAATTGATCACAATAATTTAAAAATACTTTACTAATTAATGTTAAAGTTTCAACTTGAGTTTTGGAGAATCCATGAATATCAGTTTGTAAAACTTCTACTTTAGATAATTCTGATAATAATGGGAAAAGTCCATATTCAAAGATTCCAAATGCTGACAGTTCATTTGATAATTCAAATGATAAAACGGTAGTTTGTAAAGAATTAAGAGCAAAACTTCGAACTTCTCGACATGGATTAAAACATTGATGAGCTAAAGCTTGAATTAATGAATAAGAAAGATCTTTACCTTTAAATTCATTATGATTAAGTATATCTGATAATTCTGTAGTTAAAGTAATTGATCGTTTAGATACTTCTACAATATCTTTAAAATATAAACTATCAGCTTCTGAACCTAATGAAGCATTTTCTTGTTCATATTGAGATCCAATGGCTCCTAATGAAGATATTTCATCTAATAATCCAAGAAATAACATATAATTATTAGGATTTAATTCATGATTGGAACTTTTTATAATTCCTTCTTGAAATTCAAGTAATTCAGGAGCATATACTTGAAATGATCCAAAGAATCTAAGAAGTTTCCAATATGATTCATCATTTAATAATTGTTTACAACACCATGAATCATCATCAACTAAAGAAAATAATGGTTGTAATACTTGTCCTCCTTGTTTATTTAATACTTCTTTATCAAATTCCATTAATTCTTTAATAGTATCATTAATATTACAACTTTCATCACTAAGTCGAGTTAATAATAATTTATAAGTAATTAATCTTAATTGATTCTTTTTAGAAATTTCTAGAGGATTTAATCGTTTAATAACTTGACTAATTATGGTTTGATCTTTTAATAATAAACAAAAACAAACCGATATTTCTAATAAGAAAAGTGTTTCACTTTCATAATATCGTTTAGTTTCTTCCTTATATTCTGGAAGTGAATCTAATAAGATTTCAATAAATTTAATTAAATCGGTAGAAGAACCTCGAGATACCATTTCAAATACATTAGCAATCTTAATAGATTTAACACAATCAATAGTAGATAATGTCGATTCAATTTCTTGATCAGAAGGTTCAGGAGGTTCATCAGAATATCCCTTTAAAAAGGAAGAAAATGTCGATAAAATCCCCGAATTATTTAATGGTTTAACTCGCTTGATAATATATCGAGGTTTAACTTTGGCTAATGGAGCCAAATGAATTTTCAGTTGAAAATCATTAAATAAATTAGGATTAATTAAACAATTTTCAAATAAGGTTAGAATAATTCGAATTATTTTATTCCAGGCATTGGAAACTTTACCATCAATTTTTTTAATTAATCGAAATAATACTACGGTTGATAATTGAGCTTTAAAATCTCTACCAAACCATACGGCCATTTCACTAACCGTTATAGCTTCTTCTTTCTTTTCAATTTTAATTTGAGTTATGGGGATTTCATCACGTAAATTATCATCTTGATTAAGAATTCGATATTTCTTTGTAGTTAATCCCGTTAAATCAGCTAAAAGATCAATTAATTTATCTATTGGATTAGTTAAATTATAATATAAACAAATATTAGCACATTTATCAATTGATGACATTAATCGAGTTATAACATGATCATCACTGGCTTCTTTAAAGACTTGAATTAAAGTATCAATTAATGTATCAACAATGGATTCAAATAATACTTTATCAAATTGACATATTTCAATCCATGATAAATTAGCAGGATTATGAGTTGAATTCACTTGAGATGAAACTAAATTATGCCAAACATCATCAAACCATTTATCAGTTCCATGATGTTCTTCAGGCATAATAATTTCTCGATCCTTTATAGAATTATAGATCTTCAGTAAATACCATTCGGGGAAATCTTTACCATTATAAACTCCTCGTAAATTTCGTTTATAATCATCTAAAATCATTTGCTTTTTAACTTGAGGATTATGTAAATCAGTATTTAATAAAATTATTGAATATGATAATATAAATACTGAATCTCGATCAGGTTTAACGATTTCTTCTTCTCCATCTATTGAAGTTCCATTATTGGAATTAGCATATTTCTCAGCAAATGTTTCAACCACTCTTTCAATTTGTTGAGCTTCTCCTGGTAATCTAAAAGATTTTAATAATAATCTTAAAGCTTCATCAACTCTTAAACCATCAAAATCAAATAAATTCATAAAATGTTTAAGTAATTCAATATTATCAGGTTTAGCTAAGAATTCTCCCAACACTTTTTTATTTAATCTACCAGCTTTTGTAAAGAAAAATTTAGCAATTTCTTCGGCATCTTCACTAGATTTTATAAATCCTCCATCTTGTAATGCTTTAAGTCCCTTTTTAGGTTTTTCATTTAAAAGTTCTGTACATTTTATAAAAGTTGTTTTCTTAGTTCGATCTTTAATTAATTCCGGTAATGGTAATTCATTTATATCATTACCATTACCATTTGCAATTCCATTTCCAATTCCAATACTTTTAATTCGATCATTAATTCCACTAATAAATGATAAAATCCCTTCAAGACATATTGGTGGAACATTATCAGTTGTATTTATGGCTGATTCAGGTAATGAAAATATACATAAAGATTGTAAAACTTTTGTAGATAAATCAGAATTATCAAAATTACAATCATAATCAATAAATAAATGAGTGAAAAACACTGGAGATCTTGTCCATAATAATGATAAAGATTCTATTAACATTTCCTTGGAAGCCGCATTTCTTCGAGATACATTAGCAGTATTAACATCCTTTTGATTTTGATTAGGTTTATCTCCATCAGGTAATATGGATTTAAATATTAAACTTAATGTTAATTCAAATTGTGGTCTTAATTGTCGACCCAATACAATGGCTACAGTCGAAAATAATTGTAAAGCAGCCAGTAATAAAGCTGGAGAATCAGTAGTAGTTATAATTTGTAAGATATGTCTTGAAATTGGATCGGATACTAATGCTAATAAAGATGGATGATTCAATACTTCTAAACCTGAAACTTCAATGGCAGTATTAATTAATGATAATGCAAATACTCGAGTACTTTCCATATGTTGATATTGATTGGATGGAGAGATCATGGAGATTAAGATTCCAAGGAATTCATTAATACATAAGATTCCAAATGGTTCTTCAGTATCATCTGGTTTAGCAGTGGTAGTGGAAGTGGTAGTGGAAGTAGCAGTAGCAGTAGCAGTAGAAGCAGTAGCAGTAGCAGTAGCAGTAGAAGCAGGAGCAGTAGAAGCAGTTCCTGAAGATGATTGAATACTTTCTTCAGCATCAGTTTTACTAGTGTCTGAATCAGATTTATCCACTTTCACAACCTTATCATCATCCGATAACAGATCCTTAGGAGTTCCTACATTAGAAGGTTTTAAATCCGTTCCTCCAATAAGATCTTCAGGCAATTGAGTCTCCTGAAATTTAGTTTGTAAATCTTCTAATTTATCATTTTCTGGTTCAATCTCCTTCAATTGTTTAAATATTCTAACGGTAATTGATACCATAGCCATTTCTGCAGCTTTACGTAACACTTCACTTCTCTTTTTATTACAAGCCAATGATAAACAAGTTTGTACTACTTCAGATATAACTTCATTAGGTAATAAATTCGATAAAGGACTTTCAATTAATGATTCTAATAATCGTAAAACTTTTAATAATACTGCATCATCCGAATTTTGATCAGCTGCTTCAAATCGACAATGAGTTAATGAAGATATAATTTGAATTATAGTGATTTTTAAATTCTTTGATCTATGAGATATAATACCATAATTTAAAAATTTAGTTATTGAAGTTAAGGCAAGACTAGTAATATTGCCTGTAGTTGAAGAAGATTTAATAACTAATAAAAATGGTTGTAATAAAGTTAAACTATCAATTTCATATAAATCATTAGCATCCATTAAGATTGATCTTAATTGTAAAAAACTCGATAATAAAGGATTATGAGTGATTTGTCTATGATTACCAGGATTATTATTACTACCACTACCTCCTCCACTACTATTACTATTAGAATTATTTGAACTTAAACTGCCTAATCCTAAATTATGAGCCAAAGAATCATCATCATTTGAAAATAAATCTCCTCCTCCTAAGATGGCTGCTACACCACTTTGAGACCATCTTGTCATTTTTCTCATGGCTGATGATATAATCATACACTCATTAATCATAAGAGTTATAGGATCAATGGCTACTTCGTCTCCAGGACTAGGCCCTAAACCATAAGAATTAGTATTAGAATTAGAATTAGAATTAGCATTTGTATTAGTATTAGTATTGTAATTGGTAGAGTCTAATGTGGCATGAAGACTCATCTTACCAAAGGCAAGATTAGGAGTGGGCGATTTGGATAAGGGATGAAGCATAGTAAAATATTTGTCGGTATATACTTAGTTAGTGGTACTGTACGCTACGCTATGAACACCGTAGGAGTAATCAGTAACTATCCCTCGCTAATTTAGTGGTAGTACAACTAATCAGAACAAATACTCACAACAAATACCGAGCAATTGTCAATAATTTCTGATCCTCTCACTAAATTTGCCAGGCTGGTGGGTGAAAAGTTAAGCAGTTAGCGGAAATTTGTTCAACGTTTAGGGAATCGCGGTATGGATGTATGTTGATAGTGGGACGCGACATAGACGGTACGAGAAAGTGTATATACTACAAGAAAGTGTATATACTACGGTTATTACTATGATATATATATATATATATATATATAGTTATAGTCTATATAGTTATAGTCTATACACGCTATATAGTTATAGTCTATATACTTGTTACTATGAACACTCATATTCTTCTCATATAATAGTTCTTAAATGATGTCCACGCTAATCTCCATTCTTTCTGCTGTAACTGAGAACTAAAGAGATCAAAGTTATTTCTCTCTAATTTACGTAAATAAAGTGAGGTAGGGATGGATACCATAAATGGGGTGAAAATAGCATCCGGTATACCTTTTCTCCAACGTTTATAATTTCTTTGAAGTAATTCATCTTGTTGATTTTCACTAATAACTTGTTTAATCTCTAATTGTGTCTTAGTTAAAAGATCTCGTGCACTAAGTATATGATCATTAGCTCTTACGGAAGTTTCATAAATTATATTAATTAATTTTTCTTTAATTTCTTTTACTTCAGAACTATCACGTTCATAATGTCCTTGCATTAATCTTAAGAAAGTTTCTTGAGATAATTCAAATTTTGTCATAGTATCAATTGGTAATGTAATTTGATTTCTTGATGTAGCATAATATTGAAGTCCAAGTATCATTGAACTAATAGCAGTTGCTTGACCTATATGAGCAGATATATCACTTATTTTAGATTGTAAAGAAGGAGAATATTCTAAGAGTCGAATAGTAGATGGAGAAATCGAAGGTGATAATAACAATGCTTGAGTTAAATAATTCAATTGAGAATAAGTTCCTTCTCCATATGAACAAATATCATCAATATTATTAAATTGTTTATTCTTTAAGAAATGTCTTCTCGTTTGTAAAAATCGATGGAAATATGTAATATCCAAATTAAAATCATTTCTTAATCCATCTCGAAGTAAAAATGCTATTGGTTCTCCTAAATCATTATTTTCAAATGGATCTCTAGTAAATACTTTAGTAATTACATCATTCCAAAATTGAAATTTTATATCAGAAGTAGTTACTCCCATAGTCAGTTTCAATTGTGATGAAGCTTTGGATGATATAGATCCATAATTACTACCTCCATCATTTATTTTATTCACTTCTAAATTAAATGCTCGTATAGCTAAAAAGGTATTTCTTACTGGTTCTGGTATATATTGAGCTAAGAGATATGATGATCTATCTTGAGTCTCTAATAGTTTATTAACATCTTCAGCCGCTTTATATAGTTGAAGCTTATAAGTATCGGTAGATGATACAGAGTAGTATCGTCTTAAACCTAATCTACATCCATACTTCAACATAACAAATATTTATAGTACTTTTAGTTTAAATAACTAGAAAGATGTCTTAGCAATTAACTGAAAAATTGCTATATCCATAGATCCAAAAAGCGAAATGTCGCGCCGACATTATATGTTCCAACTTGCCAGATCTAGTCAATTACGGTTAGATAGTACTATTGTGGGATCAATAAGGAGTCAGAAAGGTTCTATTATTATTGTAGATAATGATCATACTGAGAGATAGATCTGAACAGTGATATTATAAGTTTTCCAAAGGGAAGGAGTTGACCCTACATATATATGATGAGCGATGGTATCAGTTGCACCGAACCACTAGCAAATAGATCCTAGCTCATTGGAAAGAAACAGAGTCAGTTAGCTACTAGTCTTACAAATAGTACTGAATTAGTATTGAAAGCGTATTGAAAGAGCAATGACCTCCATCGCTAACTCTTATTACATTATAGAGGTTAGCTCCGTAATTGAGCATCTCACTGTTAGTGACATCTCCACAAATCACTGCGAAATATTTCTAGTATGGCTAAAAATTTTTCAGTATCTCCATACAAACTAATACCAACAATAACCTCAAGAATTACCACTATGAAAGTAGAAGAAGTTAGACCACATGCATATTTGGATGTGTCAATAGGCGACAAACCTGTAGGAAGAATAGTTGTTGAATTATATGAAGATTTAGCTCCTGAATCTTCAAAGAACTTTCTAGAATTAGTTAAAGGTACTAAGAAAGTAGAAGATAAGCAGGGGAATATAAATTATTATAGTTATAAAAATAATATCTTTCATAGAGCCATAAAGAACTTTGTTATCCAAGCAGGAGATCTCATCTATGGAAGTATAAAAGATAATAAAGAATCTAGTATAGATGAAGAAAATTTAGGTAAGGGAAGTCTTGCTATGGTAGGAGATAACCTAATTGAAGATGAAAACTTAGATGAACCAATAGATAGTTCATTTAAATTATGTATGGCACATGAACCGGATGTTAAAGATTGTAATAATTCTCAATTCTTTATAACATGTTCACCACAACCTCATCTTAATGGTCATCATAGTGTATTTGGACAAGTTAAGTATGGGAAATCAGTTGTAAGAGAAATAGAACGAGTTAGTACAATACAAAAATCTCATATACCTAAACAATTAGTAATTATTACTGATTGTGGAGAATGGGATGAAAGTATGGAAATCCCAATTTTCAATGCTTGTTATGATACAATTGGAGGAGATATCTATGAAGAATATCCTGATGATGATCAACATATAGATAAAGATTCTAGTGAATCAGTATATAATGCATCAGTAAAAGTAAAGGAAAGTGGAACGCTTTTATTTAAAAATGGTAAGAAACAAGAAGCATATCTTAAATGGAAGAAATGTATTCGATATATTATGGAATACATTCCCGATGAAGATCAAGAACCCGAATGGAATCAAAAGTATATGGAATTAAAAAAGAAGGTGTATTTAAATTTAAGTCTTGTATGTTTCCAATTAAACCAATACCATCAATCGGTGGATTATTGTGATTTCTTATTGGATATTAAGTCTCGTTTAACTAGTCAAGAATTGGCTAAGATTAACTATAGAAAGGGGTTAAACTTAATTCAATTTAAAAAGTATAAGGAAGCTTTAAAATCCTTAAAGACTGCTCATGAATTATTACCTAATGATGAATTAATATCACGAGAAGTTGATAAATGTCAAGGATTAATTGATGAAGCCAAATTGGCCGAAAAGGTTAAATATGCAAAATTCTTTAAATGATATATATTTATTTATAGAGATGGAAGGGTATCAAATTTAAAATATACATATATATAGAGAAGTAAACCCACAATCCTAAACCCTAAACCTTAATGAGATGATTCAGTATCACCATTAGTTTCATTATCCATAGTACCGTTGTTATTGTGATTGTTATTGTTATTGTTATCGTTGTCATCATTACTGTTATTAATCATGGAAGTTAAATTCAAGAAATCAGCAATATCTTCACTAGAGTCACTAGGAAAGGTTTCAATTCCATTGGCAGTTCTTCTACTAGCAATTCCAGTAGGAAATAATGGTTCTGGTACTGTTTGTGAATTATTACTTCTTGGTCTACGAAGACAACGTAACAAATTGGCAAGTGGTTGTCCAAGACTAGAACCACTTGAAGTACTTTGTGATGCACTGGTGGATGGTGAAGAACGACTTGGAGATCTTCTATGGGATCTGGTTTGTCTTGCTCTTTCAAATATCAGAGGTCGTCCCTCTCTTTGACGATTAGTTGAATCAGTATCTGAATTAGAAATGCCAAAGTAATGAAATCTATCACCAGATGCAGTAGCACCTGGACTAGTAGCTGAAGCAGTTGGTGTTGGTTCAGGAATTGGTGCTGGAATCAGGGCTGAAGAAGGTGCTAATGGAACAGTTGAACTTGAAGTAGTAGTACTAGTAGAAGTAGATGTGGCAGTAGCTGTTGCAGCTGGAGTACCAGTTTCTTCATCATCTCTATTTAATGGAATATTAAATACGGTGAAATTATTTCCAAAACTGTCTTGTTGCTGTTGTTCATCAGCTACCGATGATCTACACAAGGGACATGTGGTATGACCCTTTAACCATTCACTTAAACATTCCTTACCGAATATATGACCACAAGGCATTTTAATAGCGGAATGATCAAACTGACCTACATAATCACATAAGTATTGAGGTTGAGATGATTGAGATGGGTGAGATTCTTGTTCAGGTACAGGGGTTTGAGGACGAGAAGGTACTTGACTAGAATTACCATTTCTACTATTACTTCTACTATCAGTTGCAGTTGAATTATCTGTTCCATCATGTAATTTTCTCTTTTTAACATCAACAACTTCATCATCTTCAATCTTAGATAATTCTTTATTTATATTATCAAAATCTTCAAAACAAATTGAACAAGTTTGATCATGCTTTCTATTAGTTTCATCATTACCATTTGAGAAATCTATTACAGTAGGAAATGAATTAAATTTATCAACAGTAATACCTTTTTCCTTATGTAAACCATTTATTATTGATGAATAAGCCATTTGAGTTGCTAATCTTATAAATTCTTGAATAGCTCTAGGGTCTCGATTAGATGAATTATTAGGTAATGATAAGATTAATGAACCAGCACGATTAGGGAATCGAGGATTGTTTTCATCAGAGAATACATAATTAACTGTTATAACTATTGAACGAGAATCATCACTTTCTGGTGAAGTATTACTTGTATTTGTGGTAGATGATGTATTAGTTGGATTAGCTCCTGGATAAGGAGTATCAGTTGCTGTAGTACTTCTAGTAGTAGAATTTCTATGACTTCTATCAAGTAAATTATCCATAAACCTATCAAATAAGTTCAAATGGGTTCTATGACTTCTATTAGGATTTGATTCAGAATTAGTACTTGTAGTATTAGAATTACTATTTTGATCTGAATTACTCAGACCATCAGTAGAAGATCCTGACCTCCCATCTGAACCTCTACCTTCATTATTTTGTTGGTTATTGTCCATGGTGGAGATAATGTCGTGGACTCCTTGATTTGTAATCTATCGGTTATTGGATAAGTATTAATGCGTATGACTTGGAAATTGACTATATATTATTTAGATATACTTTAACCACAAAGGTCTCACTATTAATGAGACTAATTAACTATTGCACTATTTATAGTATGTGTTACCACAGTGGTACGACAAGTGTTTATGGGTTCGTAATTACGAATGATCTTACCGGTTATTATATAGAGTGCGGAATTAAGGAATGTCACAAGATCAAGTGGTGGGAAAATAAATGGGAAATGGGAAATGGGGAATGTGATCCGAGTCATGTGTCGGAATGAGTAATGAGTAATAAAGATGAACGCGTAGGTAAGATATTATGTAATGGAGTAGTATAATAATATATAAGTAATAGATGTTATATAATATAATATAATAAATAATAAGTAATATAATAATAATATAGATAAGTGATATATAAAATAAAAAATATAAAATATAAAATATAAAATATAAAATATAATAATATAAGTAATATATAATAATAATGTGTAATAAATAATAATATAAAGTATATAAAACAGTGTAACAATGATGTATCACATAACCTGTATCACATACAGTATAAGGCATATATAATACATATACAGATAAGATCTCTAATATACAAGACACATATCTGACAGTCAACACACATCTGACAGTTAACACATATGTAACACGCATAATGCATACGTATTTATGATGTATAATAGTATATAAATAATATATAAATATAAATAACAAAAACGTTTTAATATCCATCTAGACCAATGTAAAGAAAAGTCCACCAAGTAAAAGAATTACAACATAAGAAACTCCTGAAGTCTTGGCTCCTGAACTTGAATGCCCACTTGAACCAGTTGAAGTAGAACTAGAAGATGTCGATGTACTTGATCCGGAAGTAGCATGAGTAGTTGGTGAATTATTAGCATTACCATTATTAGTAACTCCAATACCAGTAAAACTACCAGTAGGAGTGGTGGCAGCTCCAGTATTAACATTAACTCCAGTTAATGCACCAGTAGCAAAAGATAAAGCTGTAGGATTTGGCAGACCAATGGTATTTCCAACACTAGTAGCACTATAACCAGCAGCTTTAATGGCTCCAGGAATAGTCAGAGTAATAACTTCGATATCTTCATCATCAGTGAAAATAACATCGGCAACACTAATTTGCAAATTATCTAAATCATAAACCCAATAAGCATTTCTTAATACAATATCTCCTAATAATAAATATGTTTCTTGTTGAGGTAAAATTCCCAAAATACAAACTGATGATGTACCAGGAAGTAATAAATTACCTAATGGAATATTTAATACAAATCCTCCAAAATTAAATGATACAACGGCGTTTGGATCTGTAGTACATGGAACAACATAACCTCCAAGTGAATTACTATAACTACCTCCTAATGCTGCAGCCAAATTTTGTAATAAACTAGTTGGGAAATATGATAAAGTAGTACCAGTATCTAAAATAGCGGCATAAGTATTGGCATTAAGAGTTTCATTTGTTTGACCATTAGAGAAAGAAACAGAATTAAGTACAACTTGTGATCTAACAGCTTGATTAAATCCTGAAGTATTAATAATTGGTAAAGTAGTCAAATTACCAGAAATTTTGGCTCTATCAATAGCTCCAAATAATACATTACCTCCTGCATCATTAGCTCTTCCTAAATAAATTGAATAAAGATTAATATTAGTAATACCTAAATTTTTTAATCTTAAAGGTAAATTGGAATAAGTATATCCACTAGTTCCTACACTATTGGCATAAGTTACTTCCAAAGCTGGTAAACCAATACCTAAAACTCCAACATCAGAACTAGTAGTATTAACAACTGCTAATGATAAACCAGTAACATTCGTACTACCAACCAATACATTATCAGTACCCCAAACTCCAAAGGCTTCCGAATTATCAGCATATTGAATTTCAAAATCAACAGTATTATTTTTTTGCCAAGTATCTGAATTTCCAGTATTAAATGAACCATATTGAGTACATGTATTAGTAGTAGGAGCTTGACCTTGAGTTCCAAGTCCTTGAGTTTGAGTTGGATATCCACCTCCAACTCCAGGATTACCACCTCCGCCAGTATAGTAAATTGTATAAACTGATACACCGGAAGGAATAGCAGAACCACCAATACCTCCAAATGGCCACCAATTATTAGTATCTCTTTTGTTTATATCTTCAATTTCATCGTTTATAATTTCAGGCTCTTCAACTTCTATAATATCATTAACATTATTACTTTTATCATTTTCAATTTCAATTTCAAAATCTTTTGAAAAGAGACAATTCACATCAATATTTTCACCTTCATCTAATTCTTCGAATATAGTTTGTCTCTTTGAGTTTCCTGATTGATCCAATTGTACACATGTTAAATCATGAGACATAACCCATAAATCAGAAGAACCAGTATCGACCAATACACCTACAGGATCTTGATTAGATCCAACTTTTAAACTTGCCAAATAAAAGGTTTGTTGATTCAGAATTTCCATATTAACATAACCATTACCATCTCTTTTTGCTAATAATCGAGGTGAATGATCATAATTTTCATCTTGTAATCTTAATTCCCGTTTGGAATTAGCTCTTTTAACTTCAAATTCCAATTTAAACGGAGCAGTATCACCTGCCAAAACTACATTACTTAAGCACACAATGGTTGCTAAAACATTTTGAAAAGAATAGACCTTCATATTATTGATACTACTGATCTACTACAAGACAAATGAACAGTATACTTTTCAAAAACTTGAGAAATAACTGTTTGAATATATTGCCCTTTCCTCCCCACAGCCCATTGCATCACTGTTTTTATTATTATGCTAGGAAATTGCGAAACAATCGGGAAGGAAGCGCGACATTTCCTGTTTCGGGTGAAGTTTTGAGTTATGAGGATTAGTTATGAGTTTTTAAGTTTCCGGCATCTCAGGTCGCATGTCGTCGGTCGTCGTTTCGTTTCGTTTCGTCTTTAGTCGGTAGTCGTGTTTCAAGCCTATTTTTAGATGCAAAATTAATTAGTAACGGTCCGAGATTTTGTTTCTATGCGAATGTAATGACGTTGACGAGGGTATGACCTTTTCCGATGTCATATACATATTAAATGTCTAAATGTCGTAGTAAAGATCAACTTGTCTGTCAGTATTACTATTATTATTATTGCGGCAATTTTAAAAATTCTTAAATTGATAACGTACGAATATGTCTAGGCGAGAATGAGATACCGCATACACCTCACACAAATTCGCTGCCAAGTAATACAAAGCAAGTCAAGAAATTCTTGACCCCTTGAAATGAGACCTCAGTAGTCAGGGAAGCATAGAATGTGTCACAGAGAGAACTAACTGGTCACTAAACTCATTATCGTGTAAATATTGAAATCTGGGCGCCTGGCATAGCCCTAGACTTTGAATATGGTAAACAACAAACAAATTTACATTACAAATTGACTAGACTAGACTATAAAAAACAAAACAAGAGCATTAATAAACCAACCAGAGCTTTATATGTAGCGGCGTTATTTTCAGCAATAGTAACTGCTGGGGTAGTGCCATTGGTGCCATTGACTGCTGATGAAGGTTCAACAGTGGTACCATTGTAGACAGCAGTTGGTTCAACAGGCGTTGGTGCTTCTGATTCTTCTTCAGCAGCTAAGTCTTCAATTAAGATATCTTCTTCAGTAAGATCACCTGTAGGATAACTCAAAGAAGTAGGAGTAGGTTCATCAGTAGCTTCAGATGTACTTGTGGAACTATACGATTCGGCTTCCAGAGCTTTTGGAATCTGTTCATCCTTCTTGACGACTTGGATATCTTGAGTATCACTATGAACAACATTTCCAATACTGATTTGACGATTATCAAGATCGAAAACCCAATAAGCATGACGAATAATATTATCTCCGAATAACGACAGCTCTGATTTACCAATTTGAAGAGCACAACGACCATTGTCATCGGAATTTAAGATGTTTCCTAAAGGAACTCTTAATTCGAAACCACTAAAATTGAAAATAATAAGAGTATCTGGATCACTTGTACATGGTACAATAAAGTCACCATTCTCTAAAGATGCACCTAAAGCAGCAGCTAACCTATTGTAAGCATCTTCAGCCAAATAAGAGTATGTTGAACCAGAATCAATGGTAACTGGGAATAAGCTAGAGTCTACCTTGACCGTATCATGTCCATTAGTGAAAGATACTCCCAGAAGCATGATATTAAGTCTAGCTACTGTTCCATCTTCTGGACCAACATCATAGGATGCAACAACAGGAACTGTTGTTAACTGGTTAAATTTGTGAGCATCAACTGCTCCAAATAATAACTGACCATATTCGTCAGTTTTTTGTCCAAGGTAAAGTGAATAAAGTGTTCTATCAATAAGACCTTGATCCTTTAATGTCATTGGGAAATTGTTGTAAGATACAGAAGCAGTATCCTTTGCTGGTGAAAAATTATCCTGTTCAAGTTCAGGGAAACCAATACCGAAAACTCCCATATCTGATGAAGTTTTATCTACTACTGCAAAAATAACATCATTAACTTCAACATCACCAACGTTTAAAACATCTGAACCCCAATTACCTGTAGCAGTCGTTCCATCTGCATAAAGGATATTTAATGGAGGGATATCATCTTTGGAAGCAAAAGAGTTAGAACTATTAGGATCAAAAGATCCATATCGAGTACATAAATTGTCGTCCCTCTTATTATTAAATGGTTGTAAATTAGAGAACAAAGGATATTTTAAAGAACCCAATGAGTGCCTTTGACCAATAAAGTGTCTTTTCTTTACTTCTTCTTTTGCATAACATTGAACATTCAGATCTATGACAAATAAATCAGAAGATCCCGTATCAATTATTACGCCAATTTCATCTTTTTCTGAACCAAGCTCAAACTTGACCATATAGAAATCATCCATATTTTGCAAAGGGACATCTACGTACCCGGGAGTGTCTCTTTTAGCCAAGACTTCTGGTTCAGACCACTCCAGATTGAACCGAATATCAGCATTAATTCCTACAAGTTTGCATGCAACTGCAATCAAATATAATGGTAATAATTTCATATTGTGAATGTATTTAATCCAAAGATTACTTAGGGTCTAAATGTACCATAACCTATTGATAGTTCCATTGACCCACATATATATATATATTTACATACATAATACTATCTACACAAAATGTATCCACCCCATTTACGAATAGGAATGATTGTATGCTCATCTTGAGATCAACACCAAAGCGATATGTTCAAAAAGAAATTATACAAGTAAGATCCATTACCCATTGTTGTGGGCAGACTGTCAAATCTATGATGCAAACATATAAACAGAAAGAAAAAAACAATGATGCGCCATCGCGGGAGTTGCAGCCATTCACGCCAGAAATAAAAGTTGTCCCACTACGAGAAGATTAGTTCATTTTTCTGTAGATCAAAATGCTTAGGGATATATGTAATGCTTAGGGATATATGTAAATGATTTACCGATATACATACAAATATGTCACGTTGACATAACTCACTAAATATGTTTATATCACATAACGCTGTTACGTTACTATTACCATTGTTATTTTTATTAGGAGATGATGAACTGAATGATTGTGGTTTCTTGTCCCATACGACGAGCAAACCGCTGACACCCACCCACAAGATTCTAGAACCCATTCTATTAGGTGTCTGAACTTTTAAACAGTGCGAGCTGCGAGCTGCGAGCTGTACCGAACTCTGAGAACTCTGATTACGCTATGGTATAAGTATCTAGTATTACTAAATTCTGCTGAATCAATATTCAGGAAGACCCTAATTTTGAAAAGCACTGCACATAAAAGTATTGACCCAACCTAATTATGTGAACTTATACCAATATATGATAGCGATAGCCTTATCTACCTATCTTATTTCTATATATGTTACAGATATAAACTCCTAGAAAAATAGCTTTATGTTTTCATAATTCAGTAGAAAAATCACTCCTCTTTAAAAATGCCATACAAATAACAGTTAGATCCATCTATTGAAAGTCCCCTTAGCCAACTTTATGGTCAAAGTGTGTAATCTACTTCCTTAGATTTTGAACAAATTGCAAACTGACTCCACTATTACCATCACATTATGAAATTGAAAGTTCTAGACAAATATTTCAATTAATTAATTAATGATATCATACCATATAGTAACCCTAGATATTTGAGAGTGAGTTGGACACAAGGACACGACCAGATGACGTTTTTCTCCAATACTGAACTTGGCAATAGATAGTAGTAGTACCAATTATTTGCTATAGCTAATGAAGTAGTGTCTAATTGGTGGTAATGAATGAAGATCATAAACGTCAGGATAAAGCCATTGGCTTAGGAATTGAAACACATGAAGACCATGGAAAAAAATCTCCTGAATTGAGACCTATACGATTAGCAAAGAGAAGTTCAGAACATCATCAAGAGTCAACATCTCATATTCATAATTCTAGAAGAAGTTCGACTTCAAGTTCGGGTGCTACTGAAGAATTCCATTGTCGTCCTATACGATTAGGAAGTAGTAGTATAGTTAGCCGGTCAAGTTCATCGGTTAATACTCCAACATCTCCAACACTTAAACGAAAATCAATTCAAATTAAAGCCCTTCCAATATCATCCGATCCTGAAGTTAATAATTATGATAAAAATCATGAATTTCAATTCTCTCAAGTAGATCCTAATATTGATGATATAGTGTTTGCTATTTGTATTGTGGATTTCCATCATCAACGAGGTCCAGAAATTCAATGGTGGAAATCAAACTATTATCCAGAATATAAACCATCATTATTTAAAAACTTACCATTTCAAGCTTTACCTGATGGATCACATTTATTTGAAGAGACATTTTCAAATTTTAATCTTGTTTATGATTTTAAAAATAGTATTTCAATCGATAATGGTGAAGATATTAATAGTTATCAAGGTGATCCTAGATATCTTAAAACATTGTTTGGTTGTTCATGTGTTCGACAATTAAAAACCACCGATATATCACCAGAAGAAAGAGAACGTCATAAAGATATAACTCGATCAATTGTTCAGAAATCAGTAGTGATTATTGTTAGAAATAAACCAATCTTTAGTAAAATAAAAGAAAAATTATCTATTTGTACTCATAGTTATTTTCAACAGAATAATTTTAATAATTATGAAATATTGGAAAATTTATTTGATAGTTTGAATAGTACATTAAAGCAAGAATTGATTGAAGAAAGAGATGATGCTATACAACCAGCATTTAAATTACAATCAAGTCCTCTATTAAATCAACAACAAAATGATGATGAGAACTTTATAAATTTGAATTTAAAGAATCTTATACTTAAATTTAAATCCAATTTCTTAATAATCTTTAAGAGTTTATTCTTAGAAAAGAAAATCCTTATATTCTCTAATAATAATTTAGAAGTTTTAACTCAATTTCAAAATAATTTAATTAGTTTAATACCTGAATTAATTAATAATTTAGATAATTCAGGTTGTCCTTTAATAGATTATATTGAAACTCATAAAGGTTCATTAATTAAACCAACATCACTTAATTTAATGAATAGAAAATCAAAACTTCGATTCTTTGGTTTACCTTTACAAATATTTAATACAAAGAATAGTTATTGGAATCCTTATTTACCTTTACAACAATTAAATGAGTTAACATTTATAGATAATTTTATGATTGGATGTTCAAATTTCTTATTTGTTAATCAATTAAATAATTTTAAAGTTGATGTATTTATTAATTTAGATACTAATGAAGTTAAATATCCTCATCATGGGACTAAACCTGAAGATTTAACCTTAACTGATAAAGATAAGAAATTTATTAATTCTATAATTAATAATATAACAAATGCTACTGATACTGATTCTTATTATGGTAATGATGATTATATTCGAAATCAATTCGAAGATTATTTATTATCATTATTATCAACGACTCGATTCTTTCAATATCAAGAAAAATTTAATCAATTTCCTCCTGGTTTTGATATTAATGGTCCAACAGTTTCCGTGAAACATACGGGGAATTTATCATATTTTAATGATAAATTTATTGAACATTGGAAAAAGACTCAAAACTTTAAGATCTGGAATCTTATGGCGGATGAATTTATCTTTAATTTCATTAATCCTAATCATATAGCTTTTGATATTGTTGATGTTAATGCATCATCGAATACCAATCAGATTACTCAATTTTTTAATAATTTTAAATTCAAACAAACTGATTTGGCAACTAGTTCTACCACATCGTCCAGTAATATTATAGATCATGAATTGAAACCGCAAAAGTTCATAGTGGAAGATAATACTAATACTAATACTAATACTAATACTAATACTAATACTAATACTAATACTAATAATACGACTTCTAACGATCATAGTAATGAAATTAAAGGTAATGGTAATGATAATGACAATGATGATGAATTTGTAAATGTAAACAATGCCCCTCAGGAGCCAATAGGAAAGCGCATAGCCAGCTGGACTTCCGGGTGGGGTCTTAAGAAGAAATAGTTTATAGTGTAGACATATTTTATAATACATTCATTAACTTTGCATTAGACTGCAAAAAAAAATCCATCCCATCGCAGCAGCCCTGCGAGATGGAAAAAATACCAAAAATAAAATATACTAAAAAAAAATTAAAAAAAAATTAAAAAATTAAAAAATTGAAAAATTAAAAAAACCAGTAAAATTTTTATCAACGCTTTACATAAACTGGACATATATTGCCTAGTACTATTACCCATATAACTGTAAGTGTATCAATGAAGCATCCATTCCAAATTGTGCTTGCTAATGAAGCAGGTACACACCTTTTCAGTTCTGTGAAAAATCAAATTTTGGTGTTTGGATTGACAGGAGCATCGCAAGGTAAGTTAATAGGATCATGGATTGATCCTGTTGATAATTTACAACCATTACAGAAACAACAACAAGAAAAAATAAAGAAGCTTGTAACCGAAGTTGAAGATGGTGATAAAAAAGTTAAAGTTCCAAAGATTCCAACTCCTGGACCTGGAGCTCCACCAATTTATAATTATATTCGTTCATTATATTTAAGTCATCAAGATAAATATTTAATTGGTATAAGTGATAGTGATAAATCTGTACTTGTATTTGAAATAGATTATCAAAATAATGAGAATTGTATTAATCTTATAAAACGTCAAATATTTCCTAAAAGACCAAGTTCTATTACGGTTGATGAAGAAGATGATACAATTATAGTTGCTGATAAATTTGGTGATGTATATTCTATGGATATTAAAGGTCCAGTCATTGATGATGAAAAGAAATTGGCTCCTATATTGGGTCATGTATCTATGCTTAGTGAAGTATTAATTGTTAAACGTAATGCTAAGAAATTTATCATTACTGGTGATAGAGATGAACATATTAGAATTACTAATTATCCTAAAACTTATGTTGTAAAAGATTGGTTATTTGGTGCTGATCATAAAGAATTCATTAGTGTATTGAATATTCCTAAATTTGATGATTCATTATTAATCAGTGGTGGAGGTGATGATTTCATAAGTTTATGGAATTGGCATGAATCTAAATTCATTACTAAATTTAGTATAAAAGATTATGTCACTCAATTCTTAACTGATAGTCATTTACCACCTGAAAGATTCTTAACTGAAGAATCAGAAAGAGAAATGTGTATTTCTGAGTTAATTGTATTAACTTCTGATTCAAAACATTACATTGTTATATTATGTGAAAATATTCCTGCATTAATATTACTTGAATTAACTTCCGATTTAACTTTTAACTATGTACAAACTTTTACCACTACATTCTCCATTGTTGATATAACTGCCATTGAAGAATCTGGTACTATCATTGCTTCAGTTGATAATGAACAAGATGGTGAAGACAAGAACTTGATACAATTCTATAAACTTTCCAATGGTAAATTGCAAGATGCTTCTATAAGTAATGCATCAATCTCTACTAGCATTACCGAATTAAATCCTGAAATTGTTGAATCAAGACATGATTTCTATCCTTTATATAGTGTCAACACCTTGAGAAAGAGAAGTGAACACTAATTGTATATAGTTTACTCAATGATAATAATGGATATATAGTCAAGAAGTTTGTAGAAGCTTAAAGCCGACCCCACGCGCGGATGTCTCACTCTCACCAAAACAATACAATCAGATAAGGAAAACGACAAAGCCGTTTGCGCATTATCGCAGAGACATTTTTAGGGGATTAATAATAAAGGGGGAGAGGAGACAAACACCCACCAAGTGAGACCAAGATCCTTATATTAATACTGGGGTATAAACGAGTAATAGACAGGAAAAATATTACAATTACCGATCTTAAACTCAGAACTTAATTGAGTTAAGTTTTAACTTTATAGTGGTTAATAAAAAATAGAAAAGTATAAATCAGGGGGTATACAATATGGTTGCCTCATTGGTAAATTTACCAGATGATATACTATATAATATTTATGAATATCTTGAAATATCAGATTTGAAAAATTTGGCGTCAACCAATAGTGTATTCAAATTGGGTGTATACGATCGGCTATATAGATATAGTAAATATGTGATTACATTTGATGATGCGACTGATGATACAAGAGAAAGTAGTGCTAACGGACAAGAACAAAGAGATCTTGAAGATCTTGAAGATGATGAGGATGATGAAGAATATATTTTGTCTGATGATGATGATGATGATGAGTTGGATGTAGAGGATGACGATGACGATGATAATAATGACTTTGACGATGCAGACGAAGAGGATCCTTCTGATTTAGAAATGTATTTTGATGACTTTGATGTTTACTTTGATGGATACTTTGCTGACGTACTTTGGAATGAACTTGAAGATGATGAAGATGCCGATTATGAGTATGAATCTGATTTTGAATATGATCAACAATTTCAGTTTGATAATGTTCTTAATGAAGATGAAGATGGTGATGAATCTGAAGAAGATATTGATAATGGTCAAGATGAAATAGTAATAATCAGGAATTCTGCTCGTTGGTTCCCCCCATCGAATTATTGTTGTGGAAGGAAAGTAACTACTAAAAATCCACCAGAGGGGTTACCTATTGAATTTGTCAGTAATGATGAACGATTAATTGCACATATTAAACAGTTCAAATATTTTAATATCAATATGTCGATTAATAGTTTTAATGAAATTATTGATCGCCTTAATAAATACGAAGACTTATTGAAAAAGTTGTTTTCCAATGATGAAGGAAACAAGACTAAGAAAGAGATTAAGATATTTATCAAGCTCAACTATACATTTCAACTGTTTAATGACGTGAAGGATTGCTTAACCAATGTTAATAGATTGATCTATTACTTTGATCCACTGAAGCAAGAGGAAGGTGGTGATAATGTATTAGCCGCTTCTTCTTCTGTAGTCAAGAGCAAAGCCGAAGCCGATACCCGAAAAGAAACAGAAACCAAGACTGGAACTGGAGCAGTACAGTCTCTTCATAATCATAATCATAGACTTAAAGATTTGGAAGATAACTACTATCCGAAGGAAATGGTCAACAAGATACAGATTGATTTAGCTATTAATCACTATAATTCTTCAGCTTATAAATGGTAGTAAATAATATAAAAATAGTAATAGTAATAGTAAGTATAAAATAATGAAAATAAAAATCATATAATTAATACATTACACGTACATAATTTTTAATTTTTCTACAATACATATTTGTACATAACGTATACATAATATACGTAATATACATAATATACATTATTTTACATATAACTATTTTTATGATAAATAACACATAATACATATAATTATATATTATGCATATTTAATTTATATATATTAGATATAATTTATTACATACTAACTGGGCTTTTCGCTACTATCCACAATAATTAACTGTTACTATTTTTATCGTAATTGCGCAAAATTGTAAGGCATCAACTAACCAAAAAAAAACGGTGCAACATATGCTCGGATAACTTTTCAACTGCAACTAATACTAAAACGTCCCGGTTATATGGTACGATATTCAAGTACACAAATTTGTACACCTTAATTATAAATATTCACCAGCATATAAACATACAAATACAAATACACATACACACATACCGACAAAAGCGCAAACAAATACTGAGTACTACCAAGTATGATAAATATCATAAATATCCTATTGACTATCTTATGGGTGATACCCCTATGCTTAGCCGGGATAAATGTAAAAGCTGATACAGATACAGTGGATCCCAGTATACTTCTAGCCACAACAACTCCAAAGGCAGTCACTACTACCGGGTCGAATTCCAATTCAAATTCCAATAACAATAATAATAACAATAACAATAATAATAATAATGAAGATTCAGATACTACCGACATTTTAAAATTAACCATAATAAACCCCACTGCTCCTTCAAATCCTATACCTACAAGTATATCCACTAGTACGCCTACTACTAAAGCAACCTCAGTATATCATCCAACTGGAGATATAACCACGACAATATCAGAAGATAGTAATGATATAAATTTATTTAAATTAGCATTAACTATACAAGAAGGAGATTCATATTTCAATGCGGGATTTCAAATCGGAACTAATTCTTCATCAGGTAAGAATTTAGTGGATTTAAGATTGGATTTGATTCAACCAGAATTATGGGTAATGAATGGAGATTCATTCTTTGGATGTGATTTTCTTGATGCTTGGTGGTCTTCTGATGAAGCCAAATATCACACTACATCAGTATATCCTGCACAAGTCACTACACAACCAGAGTATGAAGCTTCAGTATGTGGACAAGGAGGATTATATTTCTCTACTGATGCATATCCTTCGGGTACTTCATCATTACCTACCCCTACCGCCACTGTACCTGGAGTTATAAATGGTGATCCATATGTATTACCATATATGAATGTAATAGATGCATCTGGAGTATTTGAAACAAATAATATTTACTTTAATACAACCACCAATAAGCAAGTAGTATTATCCAATTTTACATTTCTTAATGTTAATAATACTAATATGTATTTTGGAGGTTTAGGATTAGCTGGTCCACCACTGGGATCAGGATTTCTTGATTCTTTAACATCTTTAGGGATAATTAAATCTCCATCTTATTCATTATGGTTTAATAATTATTCCGATATAAGTAATGCATTAGGAGAATTAATTCCAGGAATAATAGATAAAAAATATTATAGTGGAAATCTTTACTCTTATGATATTCCACCTCATTCAGGTATAAGATTCCCTAATGATAATAATCTCGATGAATATTCTAATAATGCCTTAAAGGATTTAGTATTACCTATTTTACAATTAGATGATTTAAGAGTTCAAAATCAAATTAATGGACAATCTATAAGTTTACAATCAAGTTCAGATGAATCATTTGCATTATTATTGGATTCTAGATCATCATATAATTATATTCCATTGGATATGATAGTTAATTTAGCCATTCAAACCAATGCTTATTATAGTAATGAAGCTGAAAGATGGTTAGTTGAATGTGATGTAATAACTGATTCAAAGGCAACATTAAATTTTGTATTTGGAGCATTAGAAATTCAAATCCCCTTACAAGATTTTGTAGTTGATGCAATTTATATTGGGAAGAATTTAAAATTTAGTAATGGAGAGAAGGCATGTTATTTAACTTTCTTACCTGCATCATTAAAGGGTTATAATTCTTTAGGGTTACCATTTATAACTAACATTTATCTTGCCGTTGATAATGCTGGGAAATCTATTGCGCTTGCTAATTCCAATAGAAATCTTAAAGTTAATAAACAAGCTATTATTCCTACTGGAGAAGTTGATCCATTCAGCTTTGTTACTTCTTCTTCTTCTGCTGCTGCTACATCTACAGCTTCAGGATCACTTGCTTCATCTAATCAGAGTACCAGTTACATTCTAATTGATAGTTCAATCGGATATATTCAATCAGGTAAGATTCCATTTGCTACTCCTAATACTGTATCTCAAGATGCAGTACTTTCTTATAGTACAATAGATGGAGCTGAAGCATCAGGAGCAGGAGCTAATTTAGATATACCTGCCCGATTCTCAGGAGCAGTAATAAAGAGTGGAGAAATTATTATTACTGGAGTAACGGCCTTCCCTATGAGTACATCAACTGTATTACCAGGAGTTGCTAGTGCAGCCAGTGAACGTGCAACTACAACAAGAAAGAGTGAAGCCAATTCTAAATTTATTAATTTCTTATCTACTAGTCTGGATAAATTTAAAATTAAAATTGTTAACATATTTGTAATACTATTTGGTTTCATGGTAACGATTTGTTTATTGTTATAAAAAGATTTTATAGATAAGTTAAGTAAACTCAAGTTAAATAAATAAATAAATAAGAACGTGTATTATTAAAGACATCTATCTATAGTTTCCTTAACTCTATATTGGACCGATTATGTTGTTGTTCCAAGTCTTGACTAGTTTGATATTGGCTTAATTTCAAATAATGTTGTTTCTGTTCTTTACCTTCATAATATCGATAATAATTATACCATCCAATATCTAATATAGTAATTATTAATCCTAATATATTTATAAAATTTAATGTATCACCAAATATAAATGAACTTAATACAATAGTTAATAATTCTTTAAATATACCTGCAATTGATAATGTGGTAACTTGAGCTACTGTTAATAATTTAAATTCACTTAATGTCATCATAAATGCTAAAATCCCGGGAATAATCATTAAAGAAATAGTTTTAAATAATCCTACGGTATCCCAAACCGTTGAATCAGTAAAATTATCCCAACCTTCAAAGATTAATCCAATAATAAATAAAATTATACACATGGATGGAGATATATAAAAGATAGTTGAAATCGAATTAGGAGTATAAGGATTCTTTTTTAATAATAATTGAGTGAAAGACCATCTTAACCCACTCATCATTGAAGCTCCAATAACTAAAATAACTCCAAGATCTGAATCTTCATCATTGGAATTGGAATTTATATCTGTATCATTATTATCATTATAAACTTCTGGTGAATCCTTTTTAACCATCATTATAACTGAGATAGTCATAACAAAGACTATAACCACCAATCTCCAATTAAATTTTTCTAATCTAAATAATAATCCAAACATTAATACAAACATTAAAGATGAAGTCTTTAACATGGTATATAAACTTAAAGAAATGAATTTAAATGATACATTAGATAATCCAATATCTCCAGCAGATGCAATTGCACATGGAAGTATTTGTTTAGTATAAGTTAATATACTTATTTCAAAGATTTTAAGGAATTGAAAGAAATTTCTTGTATGACTAAATTTATTTTGTTGTTGATTATAATAGTCATTAACGGTTGGACGTAAAGTTGGATTAAAATATAATACCAAACTACTTAAAACCATTAAACAAAATTGATGAAATGATGTAATTAATATGGGGAATTTAAAATCTAACCCATCCTTACCAAACATCCACTTATTATAGATAGAAATTGATAAGGAAAAGAGGTACCATCCCAATATGTATATTATAGCTTCAAAAGTTCGCCTTGATATTTGAATAGTTCCGAATTTTATGTCTGTATTAGTGGAATTATTATTATTATTATTGTCATTATGAGCATTAGTATTAGTAGTAGAAGTAGAATTATCACCACTACTAGAGGTAGACGGGGATGGAGGTACGGAATTTGTCGGGGTTGTTTTCCCGGAAGAACTATTGGTAGTGGTCATAGAAAGATTATGTTGTACAAATGACAGAGTTCGTGATTTACCTTTATCAGATGACGAATTGTGAATATTGTGAGACGGACTGTCCATTATGACTCGGCTAACTGGAGCCCTGGAAAACCAAAAACCAAAAACTTGACGAGGTTTGTTCCACTAATTTATTAAGTACACTTATACTCAATTAACAACACAGCACAATTAGTATCTCTATAACAATACTTAAGTATTTAATTAGTATATGTAAATGTAGACGGTTGGCAATTTCACCGTCCTCCGCACGATTTGAAAATAAATAATATAATATGAAAATATAAAAAAGAAAAAGCCCATAAAATAATTTAATATATAAAAAAAAATTGAATCACTTTGTTAAAAAAAATAATATATGTGCAGAGACAATGTCGAAACGCGCACTTGCCTAATCGGGGAATTCCTCTACGACATGTCAGAAGAAAAGCAAATATGTCTAGACAGATATTGTGGAAAGTCGGGAATGGTCAATGGCCATTTGAAACTTTAACTTGTCCAACATACTTTTAGCAGCTAAACCTTACTACCTGTAGTTTAGTAACTTATAACTAGTGACTACAAACTAGTATAGGGGAAAAGAAAGAAAAAAAAAAAAGCCCAACTAAAATTAATCTAAAAAGACCATAGACATACATTTTGATAGACTACCTGGATCACCCTACCAAATGCAGAAAAGTACGGATCCTAACTCATTATTGACGCTACAGGCTGACTATATTATTAAAGAAATTAAACTGGTTCAAATCGAGAATCCCGGAGGTTTATACTCATTAATCATTGATGAAAAAGTCGAATCCATACTATTCCGAGTGCTTAGTAAAGAGCAATTATTAAGAATTGTAACATCTATAGAAAAGATTGATGAACCAAGACGACAAAATTCATATTTACAAGCCATTTATCTTTTGGATTTATCGGTATATAATTTAAAATGTATATTAACCGATATTCAAACTCATAGATATAAAAATGGTATAGCCATGTTCATCCCTAGTTATGATAATCATAGTATGAACTTTTTCAATTCGACTAAATTCTTAGGCAACCCCACCGTCACTCAGTACTTAATTCAGGTGAAGAATTGTTATTTGGATTTGTATCCTCAGGAATCTCGAGTGTTTTTAACTGATAATAAGACTCCTAATTCTATGCCTATCTACTTTAATGAGAATTGCGCTCAATTAGTTATGCCACAAATTAAATTGGCTGCTAAGGCATTAGTTAATTTAATGATAATTACCGGTGAGTATCCATTAATTCGATTTTATAATCCAAATGAATTGAATCCTAATTCGTATACGGCATCTCGATTATCGGAATTAATTGCTCATGAAGTTCAACAACAAATTGATAATTATGCTCGAGAGAATCTTGATTTCCCTCCTCCTTCCGATGGTAAACCAAGATCAATTCTACTTATAGTGGATAGAACTATTGATTTATATTCTCCTTTATTACATGAATTCACTTATCAAGCCATGGCCATGGATATAGTTCCTAGTTTAGAAAGAAAGGGCATTTATGAATATAATTTTGAAGATGAAACAGGTAAAGTTAATCAAAATAAAGCCATATTGGAAAATGAACATGATCAAACTTGGATAAGTCTTAGACATTATCATATTATAGAGAGTTCTGAATTAATGACAAAGATATTTAATGATTTTGTTCAGAATAATCTGTTATTAGTGGATAGATCTAAAGTATCTACTACTAGTGATATTCTGTATGTTATGGCTCATTTAAAGGGATTTGATGAAGAAAGAAGATTTATGGTATTACATAAGACATTAATTGAAGAATGTCTTGATTTAAATACTAAGCGCAAATTAGCCGAATTTGCGGCGGATTTCGAACAAACTTGCGCTTCTGAAGGGGTAACATTTGAAGGAGAAAGAAATAAAACTTTACATAATGATTTAATTATCTTATTGGCTCGAGATGATTTAACTGTGAATGATAAAATGAGATTAGTATTAATCTATGGATTATATAGAGGAGGATTAATTGAATCTGATTTTAAGAAATTAGTTAAATTCATTGGAGTTAATGATCGACAAATCATTAGTCTTATCTCTCGATGCTTTGAGAATTTACATAAGTTAGGATTTCCTGTAATAAAGGCTAATGTGAAGGATAAGCGCGTGGTTAAGAAGATGTTTCATACTATAAATAATGAGGGAACGTATAATACTTCCCGATTCGGTCCGGCCTTAAAGTCCTTAACGCAGAGTCTTATTAAATACAATTTGGATGAAGATTGGTTTCCGTATTTCAGAGATAAACCACTTCAGGAGGACTTACCAGCTAGTGCTCAGCTCCAGAACCAACACCAACAACCATCAGACAATGGGAATGGAACGTTGAGGAATGCTCGAGTTCGTCCAGTGTGGGCTCAGTCCTTAAACTCCACCAATTCCATTAGAAGTAGCCATTCTCTCTATCAACAACAGCATCAATCTAAACAAAAAGTCTTTTGTTATGTGGCAGGAGGTATAACCTATTCGGAAATGAGATCCATCTATGAATTGTCTACGTCCTTAAATAAGGATATCTATATTGGATCGGAATCCATCTTAAAGCCTCGGGATTTCTTAATTGGATTGCAAACCATCGATACAGCCAAGAGCTTAATGGATTTGGATTTGAATCTTATGAAACAAATGCATAAGTCCAGTGAACCACCTGCTTTCTTGTTGGATGATGGAAGACCCAAGGCACCTCCAGCACAAGCTCAAAGACAGTCATTACCCAATACTTCAGGGACTTCTACTCCACAGCAGTATCCTAAGAGATCATCATCAGTTAGTGTGACATCGTCACCGGAGAAGAAGGAGAAGGAGAAGACTCGGTCTCGATTAAAGAAGCTCTTTAAGTAGAGACTCGATAGAGACGAGGAGACTGTTAAGTAGACACTTGAGCTTTAGACTGAACTGAAGACTCTAACAGTTTCACACTGTAACACTCTGTACAATCTATTGTTTATACTATAAATACTATAAGTACTAATACTATATATACTATAAATACTATAAATACTAATACTATACATACTAATACTATACATACTATAAATACTAATACTATAAATACTAATACTGTACATACTACTAGTACTGTACATACTATAAGTACTACTAATACTATACATACTCTACACTTAATTCTCTAAATATACTAAGGAAATCGAAAGGCACCTTAAGCATCCACAAACACAAATACGAAGAACTAAATCCAAACTAACCACAGCTCCACTTCTCATTAGTCCTCTTGTAGAGCATACTTATATTGTTACTGTAGAGTGATAATTGGTTGGCCACTACCATAGAGATGGCTGCGAAAAGTAACAAACAAGTCGACTGAAGTAGACGCTTAGAGAGACTGTTGAGGAATGTTAAAGAGACCGTAAGTAGACCCTTGGAGAGACGCTCAGATAGACTAAATAACTACTTGCAAGTACACACTTAAAGAAACCATTAAGTACTGAAGAGACTGTGAAACTCAGTAGACTCTTAACTCTGAACTCTTAAGTAGACTCTTAACTCTTAACTCTTAACTATTGAGGTACTTTATGAACATTCTTCATATTCATACTACTCTAATGCTACACTAGCTACACCAAGTAGACTCTTAAGTAGACTAAAGAGACTCAAGCAGACTAGACACTTAAGAAACCTAAGCACACATCTACTCTTACAGACTCTAAGACTCATGTACACTTAGAAACACTAGACTTTATGAATATTCTTTTATTGTTTACTATTCTAAATACTAATAATATTACTATGACTATTCTAATACATCCACCTACTCATTAACGAATCCTCCTTGTTTACACAAGGAATAAAACAACGACTCCTTATTCTTCAATAAGTTCTCAGGACTATCAAACTCAGCCACTTGACCCTTTTCCAATACAATGATTCGATCAGAATCTAAAATAGTATTTAATCTATGAGCAATGGTAATAATGGTCTTATCCTTAAATTCACTTCTAATGGTTTGTTGAAGGATTTGATCAGTCTCTACATCTACTGCTGCAGTAGCTTCATCAAGCACTAAGATATTGGATGTAGTCATCTTTAACAACACTCTACCAAGACACATTAATTGTCTTTGACCAATCGATAAGTTCAGACCTCCTTCACTGACCTTAACATCCAAAGGAGTTTCAATATCAATGGATTTATCTCTTTCATCATACATCTTATGGACATGATCCTTTAAATGAGATAATTCAAGAGCTTTCCATATTTGTTCATCATTATACTCATTGGTTGGATCTAAATTAGATCTAATAGTCCCTTCAAATACTTGAGAATCTTGAGGAATAATCGATAATTTATGTCTTAAATCGGCCAATCCAATACTACTGGTTTGAACAGAATCAATATCGATTTCTCCACTAAATGCTTCAATAATTCTAAATAATGATAAAGTAATTGAAGACTTACCAGCTCCAGTTCTTCCAACAATTCCAATCTTTTCTCGAGGTTTAATATTTAAATTAATATCCTTTAATACTAAATCTAATTCCGGTCTATACTTGGTGGAATAATTCTTAAATACAATCTCTCCATTAGCTGGCCATTCCTTAGATGGTCTATTACTTTCAATAATCTCCGGAGCTTCCAGAACTAAACGAGAGTATTCCATAATTCTTTCGACTGAAACAATATTGGTTTCTACTTCAACTGTCATTCTTACAATCCAATTTAATGATTGAGTGATTTGTAAAGCATACGAGACTGATAACCCTACTAAACCAGCTGTTAATTTACCTGATTGTAAAGTTAAAATTGATAATCCAGCGGCTCCTAAAATAATGATAGATCCTAAGAATTCTAATCTAACTGCTAACCATCTATTGGCATTAATAGCAGGATGATAAGCGGCCATATTTCTATCAACTCTTGTCTCATTTAAAAACTTGAAACGATCTTCTTGTCCATAAGCTCTAATGATAGACACTCCAATAAGTGATTCTTGGAAATTGGCAAAGATAGGAGATCTGGACACTGAATCCAACCGTCTTAATTCTCGAGAAGTCTTTAAATAGTACTGTTGATAGTACACATAAAGAATTCCAATGGGTCCCACAATAAAGATGAATTGCCAAGTCGAGAAACAAATGACTCCAATGGTAAGTAACACCTTAATGGAATTATTGAAGAACATAGAGAACACCCGTCCTAACACTTCATCAATCTTATACACATCATTAGAGAAACGATTTAAGATTCTTCCAATGGGGGTAGTTTCAAAGAATGACATTGGAGCTCGCAAGACACTAACAGCCATTTGATTATGTAACTTCTTGGATCCTTCAATAGTACAGAAGATCCATAAGAAACAATTCTGAATTAACGAAGAGGCCGAGAATCCTACTCCCAATAAGAAATAGATTCCCAAGTACTTGGCAATATCGGGATTATAACCATATTCAGTATTGACTTCCGACCAATGTTTTAACCAGACATTGGAGCCGACATTAATACTGAAGGACACTACGGCAGTAACCAAAAAGATAACCACATTGAGAGGGTTACAGGCATCGGCATATTCCTTATACACGGCCCATTTGACTTTCCCCTGTTCAAGATGTTCCTTACGAGCTTTAGATTCTTCATCTTCGACTTCTTCTGGTTCATTGGCTACATCACGTTCTTCGTCGGGGATAAGCGAAGCATCGGATGCTCTTCTTAAAGAGCCGACTTCATAATCAGAATCAGAATCCAAATTGGCCAAGTCCACATCCACATCGTCCTTAACTTCTTCTTCTCCTTCTCCATCTTCCTTCTTAGCTTTATCTTTATCTTGATCGTCTCCTCCTTCCACAGTCGAAGAGGATGAACTGGACGTATCCTTCTTCTTTCCAAACTCTTCAATCAATTGACGGATCTTGGATGTCTCCTGTTTGAAGATCTCATCATACGTACCTTGTTCAATGATTCTTCCGTCACTTACTAGATGAATATTATCAGCAATACTTAACACTTTAATGGAATTAGTAGCCAACACTCTACACTTGGTCTTTAATAATCCATTAGGTCCTAACACATGATCAGTTAAATGTTTACCCACATGTTCATCGACGGCACTTAAGGGATCATCTAATAAATAAACATCGGCTCGTGCATACACGGCTCTGGCCAATGATAACCGAGCCTTCTGACCTCCACTTAAGGAGATCCCCTTTTCTCCGACTTCCGTCTTATCTCCCTTGGGTAAGATCTTTAAATCAACAGTTAACGCACAAGCTTTAAGTACATGTTGATAGAATTCCGCATCGTACTTATGACCAAAAAGGATATTATCCTTAACGGTTCCATTCATAATCCAAGGAACTTGTGATACATAAGCAATCTTGCCGTGTAACGTGACTTCCCCATCCAATTTATATAAATCTCCTAAGATGGCTTGAACTATAGACGATTTACCCGATCCTACTTTACCAACAATACAATCCAAATGACCCTTTTTGGCAGTTAAATTGATATTAGAAAGAGCCACTTTATAGTTCTGTTCACCTTTAGCTTTGGACCATAAGAAAGTTCCATTTTTAATTTCAACTGCTACATCTCCTACTTTAGAAGCTCTTGGAGCTTTAATGACAGCATCTCTTTGTAATTCAGCACCCGATAAGAAATTAGTTAATCGAGTAATGGCTACTTGAGCCTCTACAATATTAGTTATAACCATTGGAACCACAGCCAATGGGAAAGATAAAAGATTAAATAATGATAAGGCAGGAAATACTAAATCAGTTGATAAACTCTTATCCTTTTGAGTCAATACAAATAAGGCAAAAGTTGAACAAGACACTAAGAATGGAGCCAAAGACCAAGTGAAATTACTAAAGGCACTAAAGATCCCCATTCTCTTTAAATTCTTTAATTCCTTTTCATTTCTTACATGATTTAATCTATCCAAATATGGATGTTCCCAACCATACAATTTCAATGATTTAATGTTATTTAAAATCTCACTAATTAATCTGGATCTTTCATCTTTATTCTTCATTTGAGTCTTTTGTAATTTCTTTTGATATCTTGCAATTACGGCATTTAATGGAATCATAATTATCATAATTAATACTCCAGCCCACATGGAATTACCAATTAATCCATGTAAAGAATATAAACATAAAAAGATTTGGAAAGGTCCCGACCAAATGATTTGTAAATTTTGAACTAAATCTTGTAATCTTTGAACATCTACTGACATTAAATTAACAATATCTCCTGTAGTTGATTCTTGTTTAGTTTCATTAGATAATACTAAGGCTTTATTATAAATAACTGCCGTTAAAGAAGATTTAATTTTCATTCCTAAATCAAAGGCACGTTGGAAATATTGATGTAAACAAGCAGTTTGTACTACTGAAACAATAAACATTGACACAGCAATTAAAAACCCTCTGGTTAATGGAATAGGTTCACCTTGTTTGACTGATTCAGAATAATCATTAACAAACTTAATTAATAATCTTAATAATTGAGGTTGAACAAACGCCAATGCATCTTGTAATCCTTTAAACACTCCTCCTAACATGAATTGAGCTCCAAAGGCTTTAGCAATAGCAAAGAATAATGAAGGATTCACTTGATTAGTCCAATACTTATAAAACTCTTCTGAAGACGCAGTGGCCTTTAATTCTTTAGGTAATGGAGGTAAATCCCTTTCAGTTAAATATTGAATATATCCCTTTTTCATTAAACCTCCCATCCAATCAAAAGTAATTCTAGAGAATACATTAGCCAGATCATAAGGAGAAGTTTTAACAAGACTAACATAGATTGGTTTCATAGGTAAAGTAATTTCAATTACTAATATGAAGAAAGCATTAACGGTTGATAATATAACAAACGTACCAAATTGAGATTCAAGACCATTTCTTAAATTAAGATTAACTATTCTTCCAAGATTAAGGATAACTTGAAATAACCAATAGAATAATAACACTCCATTAGGAATAGTTGCTTTATATTGTTCAATATAATGAATACCTAATGCAATGGTAGTAGCCAATATATTAGTTGCTAAAGAAGTTTTAATAATTCCATCATTGGAATGAATACTGAAAAGGATAATTTGAAATATCAATTGTATACTAACTAATAATAATTTAACATAAAATGACCAAGATTTTCTATTACTAATAGATACTTTTTTATTTCTTAAATGAATAATTTGATAAGTACCAACAGTAATCATTAATATAGCTGATAATCCAAATAGTATACCTTGTAAAAAGCATGGAGTTAAATCATTATAAGTTGAAGATACTGGACCCCAATTTTCTCCAATACTATTACATCCATACCATAATTGAGAAACTTCCGTATGATTTTTCTTTAATAAAGAAATAGTGTCATCATTAAATGATTTAGACGTGGAAGTAGACGTATAATTTCTCGTCAAGTACAATACAGGAAGATTACTTAGTAAACTCCATCCATTAGGAAAATGTAAATGTCCTAAACCCACACTAAGTGGTTCTATTTGTTCCATTTTCTACTGAAGAAACCAAAAAGAAAAGTGTAAAAGAATTTCCTATTAATAGTTTAGAAAATTTTTTTATCAAATAGCCGTTTACTCACAAACCAACGATAACTTGTCGGAGTTGGGCTATCTGGTGGGATTATTGCAAGCATGGGGCCTCCAATTTTTCACCTAAAATTATTTTTTATATGCAGTGCTGATTACAAATAGATAAACGGTCAATACCTGATGCGGTACTTTGTCCGATGGTGTCAAATGGGTTAGTATTGCGGCATGGATGTATTCGCTGGTTAAAATTGAAATTGTTTTGTGATGCAGCGGCTTTAGAACCCAATGGAATTTGGAGGCTATAGATAGACGGACACGAAGAATGGTAACTAGAGATATAGATATTATTTAGAGATATTAGTAGAGACATTAGAGATATTATTTAGAGATATTAGTATAAATTATATTTAGAGACATTACTTAGTGTTAGTTAGAGACTTATAGATTACTTAGTGTAGACATTACTTATAATTTCTTAGTGTTAGTTAGAGACATTACTTATAGATTACTTAGTGCTATTGAGTACTCTATTCTTACTGTAGTCTCATTAAATGATATTAGTATATTTATCACTACTAGACTATGTTGACGCGTAATTGCCGTACTCTATTGTGAAATGTTAACTAAAGCATTATGCTTCCCTCCACTTACTACTAATCATCTTACGCTAAACAATTCCAGATTTTGTTGCGAAAATGTCTAAAATCTCCTCAACTCTCGTATACCAACCCTTATTTATTCATCTTTTCACTATACACCCATAAGCTCACTATGCCAGTTGATTCACTAGCAAATTCTCTAACTTCACTTCTACAAGTCTAATATCCCCTTGGCTGCTAAAAGGGTCTTAACCTTATATTAACGCTGGTCGTGCGCAACTTCCCAAAAAATTCCCACGACCAACAAAGAATCAAGGAGGAAAAATTTTGTTGATTGATAGATACTAAAGGAGGTGTAATTGGATAAGAAATATAGTAAAGTTTCAACAACGTACAATGGTAAGTAAATTCTTAAAGAAGTAAAAATCATACATTATGAAATATAATACTAACAATCTTATTTTTAATCAGTTACCGTTATATTTATTGACATCAGCCAAGAGTAAAGAGATCTTGATAGAATTAAAGAATGGAGAGAATTTAACTGGTGAATTAGTCAATTGTGATTCATGGATGAATTTAACTTTAAAGAATGTTATACAAACAAGTCCAAATGGTGAAGAATTCTTAAAGATTCCGGAAATTTATGTTAGAGGAAATCATATCAAATATTTAAGATTACCAGAAGAAATTATGGATCATGCCAAAGAACAAAATATCTTAAATATGGAACAAAGAAATAGAAATCAAAAGAGAAGAGGTGGAAATCAAGGAGGAAATTACAATAATTATGGTAATAATAACAATAATAATAGAGACAGAGATAATTCAGGTAGATTTGGTGGTGGAAGAGATAGAGGACACTTCAGAAATGATCAACAACAACATAGAAATGGTGGTGGACGTAATCGTTATAACAATAATAATAATAACAATAATAACAATAATAATAACTCCCAAAATCAAAATCAAAATTAAAATCAATAAACTTTCAATTCCCTCATCATTGTTTTATTTCACCCATCACTTTTTAACGTCAAAGGTTTTAATGAGTCTGTATAATTTATTTGCATAGTATTTCACTTCATTCTTTTCTTTTCTTTTCTTTTCTTTTTTGTAAATAGGAACATTTCATATAAGAATCGCTATTCCGTACATTCAGCTAAACTAAGCTAAACTAGCCTAGACTAATCTAATCTAAGCTAAGCTAATCAGTTACAGTAACTCTTTTGGGCTGATAGTGCGAATCCACAAATTGCAAAAAATGTCATTTTGGGGCAATTTGATCTTACGCTACTAATCTTCTCTCCATAAACCTCATTCACTGCTAACTTCAATTAGCTTACGTCATAGCTTATTAGTTTATCACATTAATTTCTATATCTATCCCATTGCTCCTATAATAATAGTTTTCTTTATTAGTATTTTATTCTCTTGCCGCTATGGCGTCGAGTCGATACCAAGCTGATCAGAATGAAGATGATGAACAAACCCCAACCCCATTATGGAAGCCATTAAGATTAACTTCATTACTTTATCCCTTACCACCAGTTTCTTGTTCGAAAATCAATAATGATCCTGTAAATGGAAAAGTTGATATGTCTCTGATGGATTCTGAAGAATTAGTTGAGTCTTTATTTATAATTGAAAGAGGACAAGGGGAAGGAAATTATGATCATGAAGAAGACGATGATGATGAAGAAAATGCTAATTTAGAAGAAGAGATTTCAGAAACCACTACAGAATTGGCCATTAGTGATGATCCTATGAATGGCATTGGCCAAATTAGGCCAAGACTAATTGAAATTCCCTTAATACGATTCGGAAAATTTAGCGGGAATATTGATTCAAGAGGTAGTAGATGCAGCAATAGCATTCATCACTCGAATCAAACCCAATTCAAACCATGTCGAATTTGTCAATATTATCCATATGTTCTGTCTAAATTATCCAAATATCCAAATGGATGGAGAATTGAAGATCTTAGTAATTATGACAATGATGATAATGAAGATATACATTCAGGTTCAGCTTCTAGTGGTGATTCTCAAAGGGGTCAATATGGAGATGACAATAATGATTTTGATTTCCCTCATGAAACAATTAACTTTGATTTCTTAGGAGATTATCAATTAGACAACTATGAAAATATTACTGATTATTTTAGTAGTATGAACATAAATAATCTTACCTTTAAGATGCCCAAGTCCAATAATAATTTAACATCTAAAGAGATTGAAATTGCATTACTCAGTTTATTGAAGGACCTTTCATATGAGATTGCACTTATGGAAAGTGGTACATCCAATTCAGTAGATACAGGTGCTTGTGCAAAGATAAATGAAATCAAAAGTCATGATAATAATGATGATAATGATAATAGAGGATACAATAAAAGATTACGGACTTTAAGTGGATTTTATAATTACTATGTTAAGAGCAATGATGATATTAATAATAGTAGTATCAATATCAGTAATAATGAAAATGAAACAGAAATAGAGAAAGAAACTGAAACAGAAACAGAAAGAGAAACAGAAACAGATAATGATAATGATGATACTATTACAATAACATCAAAGAGTATCTATAATCGAAGTTACATTCTTAATCCCTTAAGTAAATTAGGTTATAAAATTAGAAGCTTTTCCTTAAATTAAAAATAGTATATAATTATTTAGCTCTCTACTTTAATATTCCAACTTTTTAGATCGTCCCTAAACTTTATTTCATTAATTAAACCATTCAATTCTCTAAACCCCGATTCATCGAATTCATCATCGAATTCATCATTTATATGCTTTGCCTTTTCAATTAATTTAGGATTATTACCTAATGGATTTGCTGGATCATCAAATATATCATTTACACACTTTTCAGGACCATAATCTAATAAATTCGATAATTCTGGATCCCATGTATTTTCAAGAATTTTCGAATATAATCCATTAATGAGAGGATCCATTATTATAGATGACTTTTGATTAAGAGCATCATTATTACTTTTAGAAGATGATTGGTTTGAATGACTCATAGAAGATACTGCATTTGTACCAGAAGAATTATTAAGATTGCCATTTGAATTTGAAGCTGAATTACCTGATTTTTTAGAACTATTATTCCTTTTTAATTTATGTTTGAGGAATGTACCAGAATTTGATGAATGTGGATTTGAAGTATGTGAATGAGCTGATGTTGTTGGACTTTCGTCTTCAGAAGATATATTAGTTGAAGATAAATTACTATGAGAACCAGTAGGTGAACTACGATCATTATAGAATACATTATTGATACCTCCAAAGACATTCTTTCTTTCAAATTGAGGAACTATGAATCCGGAATTAGATATGGTGGTACCATTATTGGATGTAGAAGTAGCAGTCGATGTTTTACTTGGTTTATCATTCTTAATATTAGTAGTTTTGTTTGTGATAGTAGAACCCTTCACAGCTGAACCATCATTTATTTGTAATTGAGTATGAAAATCATAATCAGTAGGTAATTCTGTTAATGAAATTGTTAAACTTAAAATTGAATTAACTTTTGATTCTTTAAGTAAATATTTTGAAGTAATTGCTGTATCATTAAAGTTCAAATATTCAGAAAGATTTATATCGACTTTACCTAAATCAAGTATAGTTTCATGATTATTATGAGAATTATCATTTGATTCATCTTTATGACTATGAGACTTTTCTGTTACATAATAAATTCTTAATAATAGATATTTATTACCAATTAAATTCTCATTCTTCTTTAAGGGGAATTTTAAATTACAAGATAATTTATAGTTAAATACACATTTGAAGTTATGAATTCGTTTAGGAGATGTTGTAGCTGATATATGATTTGAAGATGCCGATGCACTATTCTTTGCCGTTGGTTTGGCTAATGATATTGAAGATGAATTACTAGTAGTGGTGGTACCACTGCCAGTACCAGTACCAGTACCAGTAGCATTACTATTGCTATTGCTATTGATAGTGGTAGTGGATGCTCCAGCAGTGCTACTTGTCGAATTGGCCTTAGATCGAGATTCTGTACGTTTAAGTTGTTGAATATGATGATGACGATGACCGGGTAACTTCTCCACCAATTTGTTATTAGTCCTCTTCGTATCTCTAATAGATAACTCTAAGAAGCATGACCCATTTATCTGAGGGATATTCGATAACTCATTGATGGTTAATTCAAATGCGAATTTGGGTCGTTTAGATGAAAACATGGCGGTATGGATCTTACTATAATTATTATATTATTATTAATATTATTATTACTACTTTACTACTATTATTATAAGTATACTATAAGCACTATTATTAGTAGTACTGTTTTAGTGCTGGTAGATAAGAGAGATGGAGTGGTCGGGTCGCACACAGTTTTGCAATATTTATTTTTCGGGAGTGCCCCATACCAAATTTCAATTTCAATTTCAATAATACGGATAGAGAAATAGGATGTAGGAATTCCTAAAATGGAATTAATGATGTGTCATAAATAAATTAATTACAGGAAACTGATCTGCAAGCATTACGCCTTACGCCTCGTTTGAGCTAACCAGTAAGTAATTACTGGGCCCTGTAAACCATGTGAAATGTGAAATAGCTAGTTGTTCTTATGCAGTGCGCCCGCCTTCGGTGCAGATCATTAGCTGGCAAGGATAAATTAATTGATGTGAGTATATAAGGGATGGTATCACCAGTAATGGAGGTAACAATTAAATATTACTAGTTACGAGTTACGAGTTACGAGTTACAACTTATTTATAACTTAAAGCTTACTGGTTCTTTTAGTGTTAGTGTTAGTGTTAGTGTTAGTGTTAGTGTTAGTGTTAGTGTTAGTGTTAGTGTCATTGTTATTGTCAGACAATTGTCGTGTCATTTCTCATTCTCATTTCCATTTCCATTTCCATTTCTCGTGTCTCGTGTCTCAGTCTCGCCTTTTTTCTCAGTCGTTTCTCTCGCCGTTTATCGCTTCTTGTGTCTTTCCTCCGCCGCACTGGCCAATTTGCCTAATTGAGTAAAACTTCACTTACACGACAAAAAGATCAGAAACATCCCAGACAAATCAAAACAACATCCAACACTACACCCTTCCCCCGTATCACGAGTATCACAATCACAGCCCTCATGACTACTGTACATCTGGTAGATACTCCAACACAGCTACTTCAGCCATTCCATAAATTATCCTTATCTCCTGTTGAAGATGATCAATTATCATTACCATCATCTCCACCATCTATACCTACCATTAGTAGTACTAGTAGTATCAATAATACCAATACCCATCATGTAATTGCACCATCCAAGCCAAGAAAGGAAAAGACAAGGGAAAGAAGTCGTATCAATCCAAAAGTTAATCAATATGAAATCATTACCACTTTCTTAACTCAAATTCTTAATCTTGATGATCCTAAGGCAATTCTGGGATCATTCACTTCTCGATCAATTACAACGGATATTTTACCAACCATTAGATTTCCTAATAATGTATGGTTAATTGATGATATTTCAGTTAAAGATGTAAAGATTAAAAACAATTTACTTCAAGAAATTAATATTATGTTTGAACAACAATTAGTTAAACATCCAAATAATTCAAGTACTAGTACTAGTACTAATACAAATAAAAATATTAATATTGATACCCAAATTAATTATTATGAAAAATTGTTGGGAGCTTATAAAGTATATAATTTACCTTCACAACCACCTCCTACATCTACTTCAACCATTAGATACTCGGGAGAAAATTATGCTCCTCCTATGTTGAGTTTACATGAATTGGATGAATCTCCATATGAACCTCCTCATACACCATCATCAACTCATTCCCATTCTTTCCCATCTCCTTCCACTCTCGATGAATCTGTATCTAAAACTAAAAAGAGATTCTCTGTATTATTGAATCATTCCAATCCAAATAGTCCTGAATTAAATTCAACGGAAACTTTAACTACCAGTCAATCAAATTCGAATAATAATAGCTCCACTTCCACCACTTCCACCACTTCTAATAATAATTTTAATTCAATTCTTTCTAAATCCAAATTGTATAATAAATTAAAGAAACATCGTGAATCCTCATCTCCTGTTTTACCTTCAAATCCTGTCATTGCTTCTCATTCAAATGGGAATGGGAATGGGAATGGGAATGGGAATGGGAATGGTACTACTAACGGTCTTAATATTAATTTAAATGGTAATACATCACAATTACCCAATAACAGAAATAGTATAACCAGCACAATAACTTCCAATTCAACTACAACCCCAAGATCATCAGTTATTGCGCGTCGTAGAATTAGTAATGGATCAGATATAACTAATGAATCTTCAAGAATTCCCTATCAACAACAACAACAACAACAACTACAACTACAACAACAAACTCCTAATAGTTTACAAGTCCCTCAATTAACTTATCAACAAAAATTAGAGAATAAAAAGGATAAGTACGAATATTACGTTCATTTAATTAGATTATATACCATTAGTCAACGATTAATTAAACAGTTGGGACAATCAAAAGATGATGATAATAACCATATCATTTATATTAAATATCTTGAATTTATAAAGGGTAAACTATTGAAATTTATTATGGTTGATGTATTAAAAATGATATTGGAGTATGGATCTTTACAATGTATTGGATCTATTAAAAATGGATATTGATTTGATTTGATTTGTTATCATTATCCATAATGTATATTTATTAAAATTATTTATTTCTTGCTGCTGGTCACCTTTGCTTTAGATTACTTTAGATTATATTACTTTACTTTACTTACTTTAGTTGATTGCTATTCTTAGATTGCATTAATATAACATACTAATTCCAATTATTTACAGGTACTTAACATCTGACTTATAACTCCTAATAATTGATCATTCTCACAAGCAGCAGCCACTCGTTCTTTATCATTTAATTGTTTATTGACTTGATTTTCAGATTGATGAGTTCCTTCTTTAATTAGAATCTTAATTCGATATCTGGCCGGCAAACATCTTTCAAGTCTTACTCGTATACCTAAACCAATTAATGTGGCTAATGAACAATGAGTTATTGTGGGAGTTATTCTTATGAGGATTTCTGAGATTTGTGACTTTGTAGGGGCATTGGTTATAGATATATCGACAAGATTAACTACTGCCAATTGTGCTAAAGTTAATGGATGTTCAGGATCAGATATACTGGAGATTAAATCAAATACTTCTTGTTCATCTATATCATCACTGACTCCTTCTTCTTCTTCCTCCTCAAGTTCCTCATCTGTACTACTCATCTCTACATCAGACACAAGACCTGGAACTTGTTCGTCCACTACGTTTCCTACTCTGATCTTTGGTAGTAATGATAATGATACGATCTTATCGACCAACTCATGATGACGTTGGTTATACTTTGATTCCGACAGTTGTGGCTGCTGGGTGAGTCTGGTGGGCAAAGACGACACGTCGACGATGGTGGGGTTTGCATTTATAGGATCAGACATTTTGGCAGTGTCTGTTATAGTTAGTTGTAGTTGTAGTTGTAGTTGTCACTTATCAGTCATTAGTAATTGAGATTTAATTTTTCAGTGTCTGTCTGTCTGTCTGTCTGTGTGTCGCATCTTGGCTCTGCATCCACACCGCAACCAAAACGACATTTGTTAACCGATACCAAAGTGCTATCAACCAGTTGCAGTGGAGGAGTACCAGTCAGTTGAGGAGTACCAGTCATGGATAACTATAAGGACGCCTATCTCCAGCAATTGGCTCCGTATGTGCGAGTCCACTTTAATGAGTACGAGTCACATGAGGTGAGTCAGGTGCTATGGGCCCAATTTGTTCATTACAGTATCTATGGTAAAGTATGGGATAATGGGATAATTAAGAATCGACTTACGAGTGTTCGATATATCATTGAGAGAATTGCTGATCCGGAAATAGAAATACCGGTTCGAGAAGTCACTAGCGAGGATAAGCATTCGATCTTATCTCCGTTCAACAGTGAGTCTGACTTATTTCCTAATGGGATCTTAGACGATAAATGGTTTAGTAAGTATATAAATGGCTTACCATTTGCTATAATAATCAGCTTTAAATTAAGTAGTGAACTTGAGCAATTGAGTGAAAGGATTAGCCAATTCAAACGGCAATGTCAAACTCAACATATAACGTTTATTGCCTTAATTATATCGGACAATGATGCAGTCAATGATGAAGAAGCAATTAATCAATTACGTATATTAACTGGTTTACCTCGATTAACAGGATTACTCTACTTAAATATTAGTAATCCAAACACTATAAAACGAGATTGTGAAGTGCTAGTACAATCCTTACTAACGAATTTAAAACCAATTGGTCATGAATTCTATACCAATATTGAATATAAGATTAAACAACGAAATAAGAAGTATTATACTATACCTTCAACCAGTCATTTATCTATGAAAGTTCAATTACAACCGAAATTCTTAGCTACGAGGAATTTAATTAAGCAATGTATAATAAATCAATTCATTAATTATTATAATCTTGATATAACTTTAAAATTATTAGAACAAGCTTATCAAAATCTAATTGAAATCTTAAGTGATGTACAAATTAAACTTGAAATTACAACCGAGAATCTTTCACAATATGATGGTAAATTATATAATCAAGTCCGTACCTTAATTGATGTTTTAGCACTTCATATAGTAAGAATATGCTTTTCAATTGAAGATCCTATACAAGCATTAAGAAGACATGAAATTCATGTATTAAATGTTAATACAATCATTGAAAAGGAGAACCACTGTAAATGGACTTCAATTCAATATGAATGGTTAGGACAATTGATGAAATTAATTCCTTCATCAATACTTAATAGTTTAACCACCAATTCAATTCGAAAGAAATCTCGATTAAATCGAAATATTCTTGGATATTTCGGAGGAATCCGATTCGATGATGATGATTATGAAATCATAACTAATCCTGGTTTAGTATTTATTACAGCATATACTTATCTCCAAGATTTCATATCTATACCTACTAAATTAAATTACTTGACTAATTATAATAATGAATCTGAATTAAGTAATCATAAATTAGATTTATTAAATAATGCTTGTCGATTAATTGCTAAGGATTTAAATTCGAATTTCATATCATCTCAAGAAGATTCTTATGAACTTTATACTTCATTAATTAATTGGTTATTAGGGGAAGAATATCTTAAAATTAAACATTATAGAAATGCAACGGAGAATTATTTAGCTTGTTTATCTAAGAATACTCGAAAATGGCCTCATATTTCAAAACTTATTATGATGAAATTATTATTGTGTTATTCATATCTTGAAGATCAACGCTTACAATTATGTACTATCTTGAAATTACTGTCATATAACTTTAGTGTACCTTCAACTAGTAAGATATCTCAATTAAAATTTGATTCAGATGCAGAGTATGATGTTTCAGAATTACCTAATTTATTCAAAGTAGATGTGTTTATGGCCAATGAGAATTTCAGTCCAGAAACGTCAGTATATGATGCAGTATTAATTCAATTTATACTTAAATCGACCATTAAACATCAATCAATTTATAAGCTTTTACCTGAATCCACTGAGGTTGACTTGTGTATCAAATCAGTCGAGGTAAAAGTTGATAAATTGGATGGAAAGAGAGCTAAAGGTATAAAGAGTATACTTATCAATAATAATAATCCCAGTAACAAAGATAAAGATGTCATGGATCAATCATTGAGTATTGTTGATTTAAAGGATATATCCAATGGAAATGGAAGTGAACTCATAACTGAGACTAATCTAAATTATTCAGAAGGGATAGATAATGTAGTACAAATCTTACAAACAGCCAATCATTCAGGAGTATATGAAATCCAATCAATTATCCTTAATTATACCATTACCCTAACTCATAATCAACAAGTAATCCATCTTGATAAGATTGAGAAATTCATTATTGCCGATTCCATCAAACTGAGTTTCCCAACTCATCATTTAACTTATTATACTGTCAAGGGACCCATACAAATGAGATCACATTTAATGGGATCTGCCACCTCAATTAAAGTGAATGCTTTAAAACCAAACTTATCAATAAGTTTACAAGATGCATCATTACTTAATTGTGTAATTCTTGGAGAAAAGTTAACTATCCCATTTAAACTTAATTTCCAACATCCTATACAAAAGAAAATCATTTATGATAAATTCCAATTATCTACCAATATCTCTGTATTAGATAAATCCAATCAAAAAGTTGATGAATTTAATATTCAATCGAATTGGAATGATTTAAAGGATGATGAAGTATTGGATTTATCTAATTTAGTTGACACTGGACAAGAGTATCATAAATTGAATGTTAATATATTTAAACCTCCTAATACCAATTATAAATCAGATGAAGGATTTAATATTTGTATTGATATTAAAGCCATAATAATTGAGAATGAAGATGAACATGAACATGGTTCACCACCATTGGATCTTCAACCATCATTAATCTATGATGTTGGTAATTATAATTTACCCATTATAGTTAATCCATTTCTGTGTAGATATATCATTAGTCCTCGATTAAGAATGGATTCTAATGATATGCCATCACCATTTTTATTGAATTCAGAAACTCCTACGCCGGCTTCAATGCCTATAGCCACTAGAACTTGGTTAGGTAAAGTATCATTTATTGATAATTTCAAATTATTTGAACATGAACAACCACAAAATCTTCAAGTTGTTGATGTTGAATTCCATATTAAATCCAGTAATGGAGATTTAATTGTGGATATAATCAATGAACCAATAATTAACCATAACCATAAGGATAAGGATAAGGATAAGGAGGAATTAAAGTATCAACAATTATTTACTATAAGAAGTAAAAATGGATATTCACATCGAGACGTTCAAACTTTAACTTCAGTGATTATTAAATGGAAACGTTTAGATCAAGAATCAATTAATATATATAAGAGTGAAGAATGGAAAATTGTCCTTCCCTTATCAGATCCTCGAGTTTTATTAACTATAGTACCAGATAAATCAGACAGTCAAAAATGTATTCTTAGATATGTGTTAGAGAATCCTACTCCCAGAATATTTACTTTTACAACTCAATTATCTAATGAAGATAATCAAAATCAATGGGATTTTTCTTATGATGATAATATTGTCCCCCTTCGTCAAACTCCCTTCCCTGTTCTACCATTTACTCGACATATTATGGAATTTGTTAGTAAATTTACATCACCTGATAGTATGATTAAATTACCGTCATTTAAAGTATTTGATGTACAATATAAAATCTTATTACCAACTTTATCAGTTGATGATAATATTACTGTTTCCAAACAAGGATTATTTTGGAATAAACAATTATCAGTATAATATTAAGATTAATATTAATATTAATTACTATATAGTAATATATGTACATACACTACATATATACACTAATTAATACCTAATAATTCAACATCAAAAATTAATGTGGCATTTGGAGGAATTAAACCAGGAAATCCTCTTTCACCATAAGCTTCAAAACCAGGAATAATTAATTTAGATCTTTCACCTAATGATAATTTTGGAATAGCATAATCCCATCCCATAATAACTTGTCCTACACCAATAGTACATTGGAATGGCTTACCTCTATCTCTAGAGGAATCGAATTTTTTACCATTTTCTAAAGTACCAGTATAATGAATAGTAACTAAATCTCCAATCTTTGGAAAAGTTATACCATCACCCTTTTGAATGATTTCGATTTTAGTGGCACGACCATGCATTCTTGAAGCTTTAAATCTACGAGAATGGAATTGAAATTGAAATTGAATTGATTGCCTTGATTGTCTTGACAATGAACTTAACATCTACTTGCTCTTAGGTTAATATGAGCAATAGTAAATTACGGAAATTAGTCTTCTCCAACATGATTTTTACTCGACGGCCGACGACATTCACGACATCCGCAGACATTTTCTCTTTATGTTATTATTTTTTGTCATCCATTTAAGAACCTTACCAGGACCCTATTATAGATATAAATAACTTTGTATATATTATGTATATATTATGGTTATTTATATATTAGACAAAGTCAGATCCACCCCTACCATTTACTTTGCTCTTTGCTTTTCTAGTAATATTGTAGGATATTAGATTTGATTTAATTTCTTTATTAGACTAGTAATGCTCCAATTACGTCACAGGAACCCACCAAATACTTCCGAGATATGTCTGTCATGGTTTCCGGTAAAGATTGTCTGACCGGTTGTTAAAAGTGGGTAGAAATATATTGTAAATAATAAATGAATAATTTTCATTTCCGGATACAGGTCTGTCTTTTCCGACCTCAAAGAGATTTCCGGTCCGATGGGTGTGAAATTGGGGGCTGGAGAATCACAATTTGAACTAAAGCACACGAACAAAATGCTTAAAGGCTGAGGACATCCTTTAACTACAGTTAATGATTGAAAATTAATTACAACTCCACTACAAAGCCTCCTAAGAACTTTTATCATAGATCCATATATAGTCACTAAGAATAAAATTCATTTTATCAAGTTAACTATAGACTTATACTACTTTGCTTTAATGAACCATTAATTCACCATGGGATCTTGTGATGTAAAAATCGAAATCGATCGTAGTGCTAGTAATGGAACTTTTACTAATTATGATATTATAAGTGGTACAGTAACATTAATAGTAACTAATTCAATTTCACTTAACTATATTCAAGTTAAACTTGAAGGAATTTCTAAAACTGAACTAGTGATACCTCGGCAACATAGGAATAGAAATGATCGTAAGGAAAAGGATAAAATAATTCGAGATATTCATAAAGTATTATATGATACTCAACTAGTTTTCCCTCCAGATAATGTAAGGCTGGTATCTCAAGCCAAAGAATTTACTTTAACTCCTGGAAATTATTCTTATCCTTTTGAATTTAAATTACCTTTAAATAATTCTTGTATAAAATTACAAGGTATAACCAATAAAGTTCTGTTTAATAAAAAGACTTTAGATTTAGTAATTAATAATGGGAATTTCAATTCAAATGTATTAAGAAATAAAGCTAATCAATTCTTATCATCTAATGGTTCGAATGATGGTAATTTAAATCATTCACAAAATTATCATATAACAACTCAATTACCTCCTTCATTAAGTGGTATAGGAGAATTTGCTAATGTTAAATATTTCGTTAAAGTTACATGTAAACGTTCATCATTTTTAAAAACTAATTTACGAGCTTTTGATCCATTTATTTTCTTACCCCTTGATTTAAATATTAATGAAAATTCTTCTTTAGCAGATTATGAAGAATATAAAGAAGTATTTGTAAGGAAAGAATTAATTTTTAGAGATAGAATACCTGAAATTGTTGGAGTAAAAGTTCCACCTCAGGTATTTGAAAAGAAAAGTCTTCCAAAAGTTCCATATGTTGCTCCAAAGAAGCCTGGATTTTTTCAAAAGATATTTGATAGTCCAACTCCAACAAATTCTTTACCACCTCCACCAGTACATAAAAAGCAAGGAGCTCATAAATATTATTCAGAAATTGAATCAAAAGATGTTCCATTTTCTTTTGAAGTAAGATTTAGACATCCAGCATTTTTAATTCCTACTAAAAAACCATCATTTAAATTATATCTTGTTTCAAGTTTAAAACCTTCGAGGTATACTCTTAGTGAATATGGTAAACCTGATGAATCTAATGGATTAGGAATAGTTTATTTACAAAATTTAAGATTTGATTTAACTTCAATAACTCAAATTACTGTACTTGAAGATGATGGAGGAGTTGGTAGAGAAATTCATACAGGTAAACGAGAGGAAAATATTCAAATTTGTAATAATAATTTTAAGAATTTAAAATTTGATTTAATGCATTGTAAGAAATTAAAATCATCAACTTCAACATCAACTTCATCTACAGCTAATGATCTTTATGAATTAGAAATTCCCAAGAAATATTTTGAAAATTGTGTATTACCAGATTATTTATCACCATCATTTAAAACTTGTAATATCACTAGAAGATATAATCTTCGTATAAGTGCTGGATTTTCTAGTGAAAAAGTTATTGATTTTAGAAATCAATCTGAATCTAATAAAAAGATTAAAACAGTTGATTTACATTGTGCTAATATAAAAGTTCTCAGTGGATTAAATATGACAAGTTCTTTACATTCTAATGCATCTAAATCTTCATTACCTCGAAATTCAAGTATTTCAACTTCTAATGGAATTCCATTATCTCCTCCACCAATTATTTCAAATTCTTCATCTTCACCATTACCATCTCAACAAATTATTCCTAGACCTTTAGAAAAGAGAGGTAGTTCAATATCTTATGATCAACCTCAATTTCCTCCTAATTTACCTCAAAGACCATCATATGAAAATTCAGTTCATTCTAGTGAATTAGAAGATAGTGCAAGTCCATCGGAATTACCTACTTATGATGACGTCATATTAGAATCTTCTTATCAAGATAATTCAGAACATATACGAGCTCGAAGGAGATATCAACAACATGAGCAGTATTATAATAATTTGGAATAAGTATACTACATACATTTTATATATGTATATATAGTACGTACTTTTAATAATATACAGGCATTTTATTTTTATATATTTTGGTCCGACTACACGACAATAGATCAAGGAGGAGGTGGTGGTGGTGGAAATTTGTCACCACACGGCAACTACTCCAAATAAGCTCTTCTCTCATTGATCTTTAAACCAGTAATTGATATAGTTATAACAATTCGTTTAGTGGATTCAATCAATTCTCAGGCATCATATCATCTGATTTTTTTTTTATTTGAAAGTTTGACCCTCCCAACAAGATCAAGCGCAAAAAGTTCATCTCAAAAATTGCATCAATTATTTATCAGCATCTTTCATTTGATCATCATTTAACATTTGTTTATTGTACGACAATTCTTCATATCATATCTATAATAACCATTAACATTATCCATAACTAAATTAAATTGGTAGTGTTAACATCAAATTCATTTTATTCATTATCCCTTAATATATTTCATATTTCATATTTCATATTTCATATTATATTATTTTTCATTTTCATTATTATAGATCTGATTTGAAAAATTTAAAATGTCAATGTATTTCAACCTGTATGACCAAGTTATAAATCTTAAGGTAAAAATCACTACTTTACTAGATCAAAATATAACTGGATTGATTTACACCTACTCTACGTCAAACAATGTCCTCGTGCTTAAAATAACTGAAAATTCCCATAATAAAAATTCCCATAGTAATAATAATAATAATAATAATAACGAAAATACTACTAACGATAATAATAATAATAATAATAATAATAATAAGTCGTGCTATAGAATAATAAACACAGCATACATAAAAAAAATCCAAGTTGTTAGTTCCATTAAAAAGAACGCTCAACAACTCGTTCAACAGCATTTACAAAATGACCCCTCTAAAAGAGATCAAATAAAAATACATCCTATAGCTATAAATGATCTTGAAAATACCATAAAGGAAGCTATATCTAATCATAAGATATCAGCTCATAAATCATCTAATCAAGTTTCTGGTAATACAGCTAGTTCGAATGTTTCTCCTAATTCAGTAGCTCATTCTACTTCTGGATCTCCAACTAGAGAAAGACGTGCTTCAAAGACTTCTTCTATCGCTACAAAAGTTTACAACAAATTTGTAAAGAAATATGGTGAAGAAAATGTTACATGGTCTGGAGGATCCCATAACATCATTATATTCAATGAAGTGAAATTGACCAAACCATATACTTTAGGTAATAAGAGTATACATAAGTTAAGTAAATCGAATTCAAAGCATTTTGAAGAAATTCAAGATACATTAAAAGAATTCTGGTTAGAGGTCGATAATGAAAAGCGTGGTGGGTAAACTCATATATAATTATATAATTTACATTTAATAGTTATAAATCTATTGGCTAAAATTATTGTAGAGAATGGGGATTATCCCAATGAATCTCTAATGATTCGAATAATTTACTACCCTTTTGCATAGTACCTTTAAATCCATCGAAATCTTCCCAAGTTAGAATTTTATTATTTCCTTCTTCAAATAGTATATTAAACCAGCCATAGCACCATGATCGGAAATTAATTCTAATATCAAACAGAGGTAACACAAGCTTCTGTTTAAGTTCTAAAGAATAACCATCTTCATTTAGAATGGCAGTATTATTATCAATATGTGATAATCTTGCAATCTCATAATTAGAATTATAAGCTTCAATATTTAAATTTAAATCAAAGACATTATTTAATTCAGGCGATAAGCCATTTACTTTAATTTTAAAACTATAATTTCCTTTTGGTTTAGTAAATAGAAATTCGGTATTAATATTATCAAGAGACTGTAAATATTTATCCCAATAATAGAGATATCTTCTTTGAGATTTAATAGATATTCCATCACCTGCAAATTCTTTCATTCGCAATTTAGTATATAAATTAATAACCAGTTCTACTTTATCTTCATCTTTATCTTCATGGTGGATGGAATTAGATGAATTCTTTATAAAATGATTTGTATACATCTTATAAGCACAACATATGGTGCCTGATCTACCTTTGCCAGCTTTACAATGTAATACAGCTACATTATTCTTCAGAAGAGTTAGAAATGAATTAATAGATTCACAACTCTTAATTAAAATATCTAATGGAGGAGCTTGATGATCAGGAAATCCATAATGATAAACTTTCCCATATACATAAGAATCATCATATCCACCATTATCTTCACTCCTAAAATTCCATATTTTCCATTTATCTCCATGATTAAATTGGAGAAATTGTACTAAATCTCCTACTGGATATCTATAAAATGATTTCCAATAATTATCAGTGGGTCCAGAACATACAATTAATTGAGGGGTAATATATGATAAGTCCAATTGAATACCAAGCGTCAGATCATAATGACTATTTTTAGGTGATGCTACAATTGATCTAAGCAAGGACTTCATTGAACAAATCTTACCTTACCTTAACAATCTTACTATTACTCCTTTAACTATTACATGTTGCAACCATCCATATTAAGCGTACTTAATTTTTTTTTTCTCCTTCTCTAAGGTCCCCACTACGAACCCTGAGCGTACATAATTCAGAATTATTGGTATAGGCAAAAAAAGGACAATGATGTATGTATTTATATATACAAAGAGTAAGTTGATGAGATTATTCAACAATTTACGTAGATTTTTTAAAGTGAAAGGGGCGTTATCTTGATATCAAGATATGAAGGAAAGAGAATATACAAGAAAACAAATAATGGTTGTGCTCTAAACGGATATTGTTGATGATGATTGGTTAGATTCTGAAGATGTAAAACTAGTAATGTCAATTGGTTGACAGTTGCAAATGTGAAATGAATGTATCTATGAGTAAACTAATATATGGATTACATCATATTACTTCTCATAATTTCTTTGATCTTAGCAGATAATACTGGATCATTTTTAATTCTGAGTTGCATTTTACTGGCTTCGGCAAATGAAACAGCTTGAACTTTTTCATCAAATGATCTTGCCAAGTCAGAAGCTTCTTCAAATAATAAGATAGCTTGATCAACTTCTTCCTTTTGTAATTTAATTTGAGCTAATGAAATAGCAGCAACTTCGGATTTTGGATCTAATTCATAAGCCTTTAATAATAATTTTTCAGCATCATCAAACTTTTCGTAAGCTTCTCTTGAAATTAAAGAAGCTTCATTAATTAATGGTATAGCACCAACACTGTAAGTTGGTAAAGATTCTTGTAATCTAGCAGCAATTTGGAATTGTTTATAAGCTTCAGCAATATCACCTTTATCAGCTAAAATTTCTCCATAATAATTTGGAACTTCTGGAGATGTAGCAAATTTCAATTTAGCGGCAGTGAATCTTTCAGTAGCTTCATCTAATCTATTGCTTTTATAAGAAATACATGCTAATTGAATATGAGCATAAACATTTTCAGGATATAATTCTTTAGCCTTTTCGAAATTCTCTTCAGCTTTTTCAAGATCTGAACGTAAATAAAACAATTGACCTAATTGATAATAAACATCTGGACTTTCTGGTTCTAATTGAACAGCATATTCAAAATCTTCTATAGCTTCATTGAATGATTGAGTATCAGTAGAAATTAAGGCTCTGATTACATAAGTTCTACCTCTTGGTTTTAAATTAATAGCTTTACCAATACTGATAATAGCAGAAGCAGGATCATTCTTTAAGAATTGGAAACTAGCTAAATATTCTAATGCAATAGATGCATTAGCAGCCTTTGGAGATTCTGGAGTTAATTCTTCAACATTATAAGCTTCAACAACTTCATTAATTAAAGCATCAGCTTTATCATAACCAGAAACTGTATTGGCATTAACATGTTGTAAGAATTCCCAAAGTAATTTATCAGCAGAATCTTGAGATTCATCATTGCTTTCTTCAGGAACAACATCTGGACGGAAACCTCCAAAGAATGAACCAATAGTTGAAGCAGAAGGTAATTTAAATACTTGTTCTTTATTTTGAACAATCTTAATAGAATGTTTTTTTAATACTCTTTCTAATACAGCTTCAATAGATTTATTACTAAATCCACCATAAATAGTTAAAGCAGTTAAATCAAACATTGCATTTGGATAATCTTCAATAACTTCATAAGAAGTAGCTCTTCTTAAAACACATTTAGTATAATCTGGTTTTAATTTAATAGCTTCAGTTGTATCAGCAATTACATTTTTATGATCATTTAATGCAGCATAACAAGCAGATCTATTTGAATAAAAAATTGGATCAATTTTAACTTGTAAAGCAGCAGTATAAAATGCAATAGCACGTTCAAAATTTTTTGATTTAAATTCATTATTACCATCTTCCTTTAAAGCTAAAGCCCAATCTTCCTTTTCTTTACGAGATAATTTATCTATAGTTTCTTGACTAAAATTTGGTAAATTATTTGAATCAACTGGATAAATAAATTCATGACTTGTAGTTATAGTTGATTTTTCATTATTTGATCCATTACCAGTAGAAGATTCAGTTACACCACTTTCTTCTGAATTTTTACTTGCCTTCTTCTTCTTTTTAGATTTTTTAGATTTTTTCCCAACTTCAGTTGTTTCACTAGTTTCTTCCTTTTCTTGTTGGCTTTGAAATTGTGATTGATTATTCAAATAATAGTAGGCACCAACAGCAGAAATACTGGCCACAGCCGTAATGGCAATGGCAGTTCTATTTCTAGTAATAAAACTATCCAAATTGGACATGACTCACTGGTTACTACTTTTTTAAACAGGTAATCTGAACTATAGATAAACCTAACTATGGCTTGCCAATTCGAATCGATTTCTCCAACGGCAATTTTACTCCTTTAAAATTTTCGTCTTTGGAATTTTTTTCACTGGTTTAAAATTTGCGGGATACAATGCTGACATAAGCGCCGCTTTGCCTAATTAGGTGATGATCAATATATGTCAAAATTACACTACTACATAGAATAGAATGTTTAATTCTTTCTTTCTTTCTTTCTATACTGTATATATCTATGTATATATGTAGTTGTTTCTTATAGTGACCCCGTGATCTTAGTATATTACAATAATTAACAAGTATACCATATTGATTATTAAGGAAATAATCATACTTCTTTGAACATTAGAAATGTTAGATTACTCTTATGTATGATTCATCAATATTGTTTACATGCGTAGGAATACTACCTTCAATATATTGCTAATGGAATGGATATTCTGAATTCTGATTTTGAGTAACTATACATGCAAAAATTCATTAATATTAAACTAAAAGTAATACTAAAAGTAAACGTAAATAGACATGCATTAATCAAATGTTTAATGTAAACCTCCTTATACAGATTAATATTGAATATTAGAGATCAAACCCTAAGTGCCAATTGCAGATATTCAATATCAATGAGTGGTATGACTTCTGAAGTAAAATAATTATAAGATTCGTGCGAAAGTTTATTGTAACTAAAGGGCCCAAAGGCCAAAATCTAAAGACTGTAAACCTGATACAAAAGCTGTAAATCACTTCAATGTATGAAATTATAAGCAACATCCACTGAGCCAGCTTGAACAATGGACTTATAAACTGTAATATCTTGAAATAACCAGAAACTGCCGCTATTAGTAGAGACAACTTTTTGCGGCCTAAAAAAATTATTTTTGCAGATAACAACCTCTGATCAATTAGCAGTATAGTAATTGAATTATACAAGGATATTTCAATTGATATTAGTTTGTATTGTATATATGATCTACAATTTGTACTATAAATATGTTCTACAATTTGTACTATAGTATATATTAGTTGGTTTCTATACTTTATACTACATCACTCAAAATAAAACTAAAACGCACAATATGGCAATCTCGGATACCTTTAGATACTACACTTCTAACTCATATAAAGTATTCCTTTTCATTTTATGTTCCTATATATATATATAAAGCTGTACTATACCCCAAAACGAAAAAGGATTTAATATAAAATTATTTAGACTGACTAGATTGATAATAAATACAAATCAAAATAAATTAATAGAATTGTAGTTTGAGATTTATTTGATATTATTTCATAAACACATTAAATTTAAAGTTAAGCATTAGTTTCTCACTTTATTAGTATAACCCTAAATCTAATCAACTTCTTCCATAGCAGATTCAACAGCTGGTTCTTCAGTAGAAGCAGTTGTAGTACCAACTTCAGCTTCAACTTCTTCTTCATCTTCATCAATATTTAATCCTAAAGAGATTAATCTATTGATTCTACCAGCAAATGATGATGGTTCATCTAAGGAGAAACCAGAAGTTAATAAAGCAGTTTCATATAATAAGGTAGTTAAATCCTTAACAGTCTTATCTTCAACACCATCAGCATCAACCTTCTTCTTTAATTCCTTAATAATTGGAGATTTTGGAGAAATTTCAAAGGTCTTTTTAGAAGACATATAAGAAGACATGGTAGTATCTCTTAAAGCTTGAGCCTTCATAATTCTTTCCATATTAGCAGACCAACCAAATTGACCAGTTCTAATAGCAGCAGGAGCATCAACTAATTTGTGAGAAACAACAACCTTTTCAACTTGTTCACCTAAAATTTCCTTTAAGGCTTTGGTTAATGGTTCAAATTCTTTAATTTCCTTTTCTCTTTGTTCCTTTTCTTCTTCAGTTTCTTCTAATTCGAAATCCTTAGTAATATCAACTAATTTCTTGTCTTCAAATTCCTTTAATTGAGTCATAGCATATTCATCAATTGGATCAACCAAGAATAAAACTTCAAAGTTTTTAGCCTTTAAAGCATCTAAGAATGGAGATTTTTCAACAGCCTTTTGAGATTCACCAGTAATGTAGTAAATATTCTTTTGATGTTCTGGCATTCTAGTAACGTAATCACTTAAAGAAGTAAATTCTTCAGTAGATTTAGTAGAGTAGTATCTTAATAATTTAGATAAAGAAGCTCTGTTTTGTTGATCTTCATGAATACCTAATTTAATATTCTTTGAGAAAGCACTGTAGAATTTTTCAAATTGTTCTTGATCTTCAGCAATTTCATTGAAGGTTTCAATCAATTTCTTAACAATATTCTTTTTAATAACTTTCAAGATCTTATTTTGTTGTAACATTTCTCTTGATAAGTTTAATGGTAAATCTTCAGAATCAACTACACCCTTAACAAAACTTAACCATTCTGGAATTAATTCATCAGCATCATCAGTAATGAAAACTCTTCTAACATATAATTTAATGTTATTCTTCTTCTTCTTATTTTCAAAGGCATCGAATGGAGCTCTCTTTGGAACGAATAAAATAGCTCTGAATTCTAATTGACCTTCAACAGAAAAGTGCTTAACAGCTAATGGATCTTCCCAATCATTAGAAATTGACTTGTAGAATGCATTATATTCTTCTTGAGTAACATCAGATGGGTTTCTGGTCCATAAAGGTTTAGTCTTGTTTAATTCTTCAGTTTCAGTAACCTTTTCAGTGACCTTCTTGGTCTTCTTTTCCTTCTTTTCACCTTCTTCATCTTCAACTTCTTCTAATTTTGGTTTCTTGTCATCATCTTCTTCCTTCTTTTCTTCTTCTTCTTCTTCAGGAACTTCCTTTTCAACTTCCTTAGTAACAACTAATTGAACTGGATAAGAAACGAATTCAGAATGTTTTTTAACAACTTCTTTAATTCTCTTTTCTTCCAAGTATTCCAATTGATCTTCCTTTAAGAATAATCTTAAAACGGTACCACGACCTAATTTTTCATTGGTTTCATCCAAGGTAACAGTGAATTTACCACCAGCATTTGATTCCCAAATATATTGTTCATCATCATTATTTTTAGAAATAACTTGAACATGATCAGCAACCAAGAATAAAGAATAGAAACCAACACCAAATTGACCAATCATTGATACATCAGCACCAGCAGATAAAGCTTCCATAAAACTTTTAGTACCAGATTTAGCAATAGTACCTAAATTATTAACTAAATCAGCTTTAGTCATACCAATACCAGAATCTCTAATTTCCAAAACTTTTTCTTCTGGTCTTGGAGTAATTCTAATAAATAATTCTGGTTCAGTTTCTAATTTAGATGGATCACTTAAAGCTTCATATCTAATTTTATCTAAAGCATCAGAAGCATTAGAAATTAATTCTCTTAAAAAGATTTCTTTATTTGAATAAACAGTATTAATGATTAAAGACATTAACTGAGAAATCTCAGCAGTGAATTCATGAGTTTCAACTTTATTGTCAGACATAGTTACTTACTTTTCTTACTTAAAAGTTCCTTACTTATTATGGCAAAATCAATCAATTAATCAAATTTATGAAAGAATTGTCAAATTGATTAGGATTTTTCAAATTTAAAAATGTCCTCCTTATATAATTACCAAATTTTTTTTCTAGTGCTGTTGCAAATTTCGTCCACTATTTCTAAAAGAATTTTCCATGATGTTCTACAGTCTATGTGCAGGGACATACATAATACTAATTAGGAAAGTATATTTATATATTTTATATATTTTTATATATTTTATATATTTTATTACGTTTATTAAATTATAATTTCTTCAGTTTCCATTCCACATCCTATACAACGTCGTTTAATCATATTTTCATGTGGTCCCGATATTGATAATGGTGCAGACCAATCATGTATATGTCTTTCCCCAAGTTCATGCCCATTTCTTAATTTTCTAGTATATTCTTCAGCTCTAGTTCTCTTTCTCATTTCCTTTAATTGATCTTGATATTTTTTATCTCGTCTTTTTAATCGGTTAGTTTCTCGTCTTTCCCATTCTTTATCTAATCCTTCAGCTGATCCCCATTTTTTCCATGCAAATTCTTCAACTTGAAATCGAAGATATAATTGCATTCTACTATAACCATGAGGATTTGGCTTTTCAATTCTTGGTAATAAATTAACATCTCGTAATTCTGGATCAGTTAATAAATAATCTTCTCGACATTCTGTCTTTGTAAGTAATGAATATTTTTCTGGCTTTTCTTTCATACATTTTCTACAAGCTCTAACTTTAAAATTTGTAAATAAATTTGGATCAATTTCAATTGATCCACATTCAAAACATTTTGGTGCATCTTCTATATTTAATGGTGGAGGTAAATCTCTTATTTCTTGAAGTCTCTTTTGTTTTTCTTTCCATTCTTCAAGTGCCATTGCTTCCTTTTGTTGAGCTTCCGTTAAATTACTTTCATCTTGATCTGGTAAAAATCCTCCTCGACTATCTTTCATAGTTGAAAAATCATATTCAATATAATCTTTCTTTCGAATTGGAGGTGGTTCATATTTATAACTTTTCTTAGTAACTTTAAAATCTTCTTGATTATTACTACTTCCTAGTCGTATACCATCTCCTCCTGAATTATTTATTGTACCATCTCTATTTCCTTCTGCTAACCTTTTTCGTATTTGTAATGCTTTCTCACGATTTGCTTCAATAATTCTTTTCTGTTCAATAGTTAATTCTTTTCTAGTTGGATCTACAAATTTAGCCACAATAGGTGTATTTGAATCTCGTAGTTGGGACATGGTTGATGCTCTTTGAACAGCTAAAGATGAAGATCCATCACCATTAGAAGTTGAATTTATAGTTGATTTTCCATTGTTAGATGAACTACCTAAAGCATTTGTATTTATGGATGAAGTATGATTTGTTGAATCAGTATTGGAAGAAGTTCCACCTCCCTGACGTGCTTTTAGTCTCTCTAATGCACGCTTCCTGTTTGCTTCCTATTTCTCATAATTAGTATTTTGACGCGATTAAATATATACCTTGTAAATAAATCCTATACTTACTATTCGAGCTCGTTGCTCTTCTGTTAACGAACCTCTAGAGAATGCCATAATCCATTATATATTAAGTTGTGCAGAGTATATAAGAAGTTTACTAATCATCAAAGTCATCTTTATAACTATTTAAGATGCTCCAATTCCTGCACATACTTATTTTTGCCATTTACCCTTTTGGGCAATGTCTACAGTTATCTCCGAAGATTATTAGTTATAAACATTTCTGTAACTATATAACTACTTAATTACAGACATAATTAATCTAAAGCAAGATTACTCTAAGGCTTCTACTTGTTCTTTTAAAGCCTCATTAGAACTCTTAAACCCCGCTTCAGTCTTTTCTCCCAAAAAGTATAATAAAATTGGAACTAAGATTCCTGAAAATTGTTCGGATTGAATTAATTCTGTCTTATTTTCATCAATTGGTTTAAATTCAAATTTATGATATCCAACAAAGAGAAAGTCAAATAACAAAGCTCCCTTCCATTCAAATATATATTCTGATACTTGAGTTACTAAAGGATTAAAAACATTTTTAGAAGTTGAACCAGGTAATATAAGACCAACAGTTAAAGTATCACCTACCTTATTTTCACTTCTTGATGCCTTTTGAGCCGTATCATTCTTAATCTTTACAACAAATGGATCCCAATTCTTGTGATTTTCGAAATTGTAGAAATATTCACTAACTGTTTTAGCTGGCTTATTTATCACAATGGATGTATTGATTACTGCCATGATTTTAATTTTGTATAATTATTAAATTGTAGAATTATATATATATATAGTACAAAAGATTATTAATTATACAAAAATTTACTGCAGAGGCAACTGCATACATTTTATACATGAGCCAGACCGATTGTGTGGCAAAGCGTGGGGACGGGGGCGGGAGCAAAGGACAAAAGATTTATTTATAGTGCGCACTAATCAATCAGTCAATGAGAGTGAAGCTAACTCATGAATGGAATCTAAGACTTGTTGAGCATTTTCTCTTGTTAGTAAATCATTATCAGTTTGTGTGATATATCTTAATAAATTAATGACATTTTGTTGATATTTACGGGGAAAGGGAACATTATCAGTTAATGAAGTCCCCATAATCATATCATCAAGTAATACTATTGCAGCTCTTCTCATTATTGATTCATCTTTACTCTTTTCTAATTGTAAGATACCAATAGCACAATCAATAGCATCCTCTAAATATCCTATAATTCCTAAGGGATTGGTTTTACAGGTAGTCCCAAGAATTGACATACTTGACATACGTAATCTATTATCTTGATCTTCTTCTTTTATCAGTTTTCTTCTAATTATATTAAGACAACTTTCAACAAGTCGCTTAGCATTATCTCCAGTTAATAATTCTTTATATTTTTGAACGTATCGAAGTAAAACTTCACCTATCTTTAAACGATCATCTAAATCTTCTTCTGGAGATTCATATAATTTAGTCATAATTGTTAATACTTGATCTTCATCCCAATCAATTAAACTTTCCAAACCTTTAATGACATTTATATAAATGAAAGGATCATTATCCTTTAATTGAATTAAATGTAAATTAATAACAAAATCAAGAGATACCACCAGAGTCTTCATCTCTATTAATTGTCTTAATAAATATAAACCATGAGCTCGAATAGGAACTAATGGATCATTTAGATTGGTAACTGCTCTCTTAAGGATCTTCTTTTGAGCATCTTCTTCATTAGTAACTGGAGTTTCTCCATTTAATAATATACCAATTCTACTATGTAATGATTCACTTGAACTTTTAATAGTTGGTGATATTCCTGATCCATTTATAAATCTTTCAAGTGATTTTTGAATCTTTTTAAGTACTTCTATTGAAGTTTCTTCTAATTCAACTGTATTTTCAGATAATATTGCTGACAATAACTCTAATACAGTTGGCAATGTCTGTTGCATGAAATCTCCATCAATTTCTTCATCATCATCTGAATCATCATCATCTGAATCACCTTGCTCTTTAGATGAAACTAATAATTCGGACTTAATAGGTGAAGTCTTTCTTTGAATATTCACAGATAAGAAATTATAAATTATTTGTAAAATTTCAAATGGTGTACTTGCTAAGCTATCCTTATATTTATTGGTTAAACTTTCAAGTAAACGTAAATCAATAAGAATTAAGAAAGGACTTTGTTCTTCAAGGCTTTCACTTTGACTTTGTTGTGTATCTAACCACCTTTTTAATATTGATATAAATAATTGATGAACAAGAGTGTCATCTTCCAAATTTTCAAGTAATTTAATGAATATTTCACAATTAAAATCCAAATCTGCTAAGAATTGATTAACTCTATTCTCTTTAGAAGAATTTTGAATGTTTGTAGAATTTAAAGAGATTTGAACTAAATCATTTGGTCCGATTTCAAAATGAAAATTTTCTATTTCATAAATTAAATTCTTTGCTATAACATCAAGACCATAAGATTGGTTTTCCTTCACAGTTGTCAAATAACTTACTAATATTCCTAATACCACTTCAGATGATCTTTTACTTTTGTTAAGATAAACATAATAAGACCATAAATTAAGGAGAATCGGTTGAAAAATTGCTTCTAATAATTCAGAATCTAATGATTTCTTGGTTAATGAAATAAGAACATTCACCACATTATTCAAATTTGCTTCACTGATAGGTTCATCAATTGGATTTAAATTATTCCAAATCCTAGCTATAATGAAATCCTTAGCAACTCGTGGATTTCTATTCCATAATTTCTCTAAAACATATCCTAAACAACTTGTAACTATAGGGCGATTTATATTTACTAACAAATCATAGACTTGTTTCCCAATAACATTAAAATAATCAGTTGTAGGAATTTCCCTTGGTTTAGATAAGACTACATTGGCCAAATGTTCAAATTTTTCAACATTTACTTCTTCTTGATCTCTTAATCCAAGGACAAACTCAATTAAGCTTAATAAACCATCATTCCGAGGGGCATTATAATGCAATGTATGTAATATATGTAATACTGGTTGTTTGAAATATGAAGGAGATGGTGTTGATGCAAGTAAAGTAAAAGTTTGAAATAATTCAAAAGTCAGTGGAACTCGTAATATAGAGTCAAATTCATCATTAATATCATATCTGGTATTAATAGCAGGGATAGTCATCAAAGCTAAGGCTATTGTAAGGAAATCTGAATATCCAGTACCTTTTAATAAAAGATCTCGTACATCAGAATCAATTTGAAAAATTTGATAAAATTTATGATAAATTAAAAGCATAAGCCCTTCAATTTGAAATGTAGGATTAGGAAGTTTGGAATTAGGTAACAATTTTTCAATTTCAGGTAATTTAAAATCAGTTTTACTAAATTCTCGTAAATTTCTCTTTTCAAATGGTATACCAATATGGAAAGATGCTATAGTAGGATATACACCATGAATAATTATTAAATTTACTACTTTACTAAAGGTTTTCATATCATGTAAGGATATTCTAATCAAATTTTTATCATTCATTGGAGTATTTTCATTAGATAATTTTTGAATTTCTATTAACTTATTAAGTAGATGTTCAACAACTTTATATCTCTTTTGATACTTATCATCTTCCTCATCATTAGGGAAGAACTTATTGTAAAGTGAATCAACTGTGATGGTGGTATAACTCTTATCACCAAATGCATCTTCCAATTCTATAAATAATTTATCTATAGGCTTGTTCCCTACATTCTGAGGTTTGTTTAAACCTTTAGTAACTGGATATATGTCATCAGCCTTTCTTCGTATAGTAGTCCGTTTCTGTTTTGTAGCAAAGGGATTTTTCTTGATAGGTTTTGGTTCAGGCACATGATCCACTTCAGACTTCACAGAACTCACTTCTTCTATCTTAGGAGGTGGCATTCCTATTGTGGTACTTTGACTTAATAGTAATTACTAAAGGTAATAATCAGCTTCTGCTAGTGAAAAATGTTTTATATGCAGAGATTTCGACTGCAAACTGGATGATAAGATCCACTGAATTTATAGCAACAATTTATTATCCCAAACGAATAGATTCTTCAGAGATACTCGGTTCGATTTCCTACAAGTATATAAGCCCATTATACATACTGTTTACTATTTATTTTGTTATGATTAATCTCTGGCCCGGTTAATTCTGCTCTTCCCAATAGTAAAGGTTACTCAGTAGCGAACATCGCAACCATCAAAAAAAATTAAAAATTTTAGAGAGGTGTAGTTCGAAGCTTCTCAATAGAACAAGACCTACTAGAAAAGTCATAGAGAACAAGTAAAGACGTACTTGTGAGAAGAGGACAGACACATACATTTATCAATAAATATTTCAAGAAAGAAACAAAGAAAAAATTAGTACACAAGTCACATCATGAGTAGCAAAGAAGTAATACAATTGACTCAAGAAGAGATGGATGCCGTGATATACGATGCCAGAGAAGGGGATTTAGAAACTCTTAAAGAGATATTTGAAGAGATAGGTCCCGAAGTGTTGACAACTATAAAAGATGATATAACATTGAGTACTCCTTTGCATATGGCTGCTGCCAATGGTCATGTTGAAGTAGTTAAATATCTTTTATCTCTTTTACCTCATGACAAAGCTATAGAGTATGCTTCTGCTACCAATGAAAGTGGTAATACCGCCTTACATTGGGCTGCCTATAGTGGACATTTACCAGTGGTTGAATTATTAGTTGAAGAATATAAAGTCGATGTATTTTTAAAGAATAAGTCAAATCATGATGCTATATTCGAAGCTGAGAACAATAATCAAACTGAAGTTGATAGCTGGTTTTTAAATAAATTCGCGGTTGAAGATGACTTTAAAGTCGAAGAAGACGGTGAAAACACTAAGATTACATATACTCCAGGATCTGAATCCAAAGAAGCTGATGAACGTGCAGCTAAGGCTAAGGAAGCAGAACAATTAAAGCGAGAAGAGCTTGAACAAAAAGCAGAAAATTTACGTATTGATGACGATAACTAGATGAAAGACATCGACTATGATTTTCTCCTTGAAGCCATCTAAATTAGCATTTAAACCTTACATACTTGTACAATATACATATATAACTTTATAAATATAAAAAAAATATCATTAGGTTGCAAAGTTGTAGTTACTTGTAGAGATAGAGGTCGTGTGAGAAGGATCAATTCCTTTAATTTTTCAGGTAAGAAAATTTTTTTGATTCAAGTGCATTTTGTAATCGATAGTTGAGGTAAAGTTGAATTAGTCATTTGCATTTCTAACCCCATATTCGCATAGAAATAGATTCATAAACCCACTATTACACAATATGAGTGATTTAGGTTTTGATCCTACATTGAAAAAGAAGAAGAAGTCCAAGAAGCCGGCTGAAGATTCGGCATCTGCATCACCTGCACCATCTACTGATGCTGGTGTTGAAGATATGTTTGCAGGATTAAAGAAAAAGAAGAAGTCAAGTAGTAAAAAGCTTGCTGATGATTTATTGGATTCTGCATCTAAATCTCCTAGTGTTGAAGATTTATCTGATTCTTTAGGAGATTTAACTTTAAAGAAGAAAAAGAAGAAGTCAAAGACTACTGTAGATACTACTGATTTTGAAGCACAATTAGAAGAAGCTGGTGTTGAAGATATTAGTACAAATGGAGAAGAAGCTGAAGAAGAAAAAGAAATTGTATCCGGCTTATCATATCAAACATTATTATCTCGTTTTTTTGATCTTTTAAAAGTAAATAATCCAGAATTAGCTGGTGATAGATCAGGACCAAAATTCAGAATTCCTCCACCATTATGTCAAAGAGATGGTTCAAAAAAGACTATATTTGCCAATGTTCAAGAAATTGCTACCGTATTACAAAGAAATCCCGAACATTTAATTCAATTCTTATTTGCTGAATTGGGTACTTCTGGTTCTATTGATGGTGAAAAGAGATTGGTTTTAAAGGGTAAATTTCAACCTAAACAAATGGAATCAGTTTTAAGAAGATATATTCTTGAATATGTTACTTGTAAAACTTGTAAATCCATGAATACTGAATTAAAGAGAGAATCTGCTAATAGATTACATTTCTTAAGTTGTAAAGCCTGTGGTTCTACAAGATCTGTATCTTCTATTAAGACTGGTTTCCAAGCTCAAATTGGAAGAAGAAGAAGAACAGAATAATTACGTTAATAATGCCCCATCATTTCAAACTTACATAGTATTATTCATATTATTATTTAAATCACTTTCTACCCTCTTATGTATATTATAATTACCATATATATATTATTATTAATACATTTATACTTTTCTGTTAACTTTTTATACTAATAATTATCTTTTTTAATGGAGTACACCATGCACTAGTTCCATCATTAATCATCATATATTGAATAATATCATTCTTAACTTTAGTTAATAATAAAGAATCTATAGTTGAATCAGTGATAGTTTTCAAAATTTCATTAATAAATATTAAATGCTGATTTGATAGTATATCAAATTGTGTCATTAATTTTGATTTACATAATTGTGATTCCCGTTCAGACATTGTATTGGTAAATTTTAAAGTTTTTTCTAATAATTCTATTAAGTCTAATTTATTTATTGTTTTAGATTCATGTTCTATTTCTGATACACTTGTAATAGTAGAAGATATAGAAACAGATCTTGATGGTGGAGGTGGTGGAACTTGAGTAGTGAATGATGAAGATACACTTCTTGAAGGTGGAGGTGGAGGTATCAGTATCAGATCTAAAGAACGTAAAGAACCAGTTAAACTATTATCACTAATACTAGTAAGTTGTACTTTTCTCTTTCGACTACTTAAACTAGTTAAACTAGAATTATTAGATGCCTGCATCATTATGGCAGGACAATCATTCCAACCTTCCATCAGTTCACCTCGTTGATATTTTGTTAATGTCATTATTTATGGAATATAACCACCACTATACAAGGGATTCCGAGACTTTATTAAAGTAAGCCATACAGCGGCACTTATAGTCTAGAAGTTGATAAATTCTTCGTACGTGTTATTAGTGAGAAATTAGGTGACATTTTAGTGAATTGCCCCAAAAAGAAAATACTGTGAAATTTTCATCGCGTAAATTTCATTATCATAAATGTTATCAATTTCTTAAAAAATTAAAAATTATATAAAATTACTATAATATAAGAGAATTAATAATTCAGCTTTCTTGAAAGTTCTAAAGCTGTATCTAACAACTTATCAATAGTTGGTCTTTTATCAGGATTTAATTTAAGACATTGATTAATAATATCCATTAATTCAGATGAATAACCTCCATTATTTTTTGGAATTAAAAATTTACCTTGAGATATTGCTAAACTAATATTAGCCCCTTGCTCTATCTCTAATTTTTCAAAAGGTGAATAACCAAAACAACAAGCATATAATAAACAACCTAGTGACCAAATATCAGTCTTTTCAGTAATTTCTGAATTTTTAACAACATCCAATAATTCAGGAGCTCTATAAGGTAATGTACAATGTTCTTGAGCTATATCTTGTAAAGTTAAAGCTTGTTGTCTATTCCTAATTTTTATTCTTGCTTTAGAACATGAACCTAAATCTACTAAAACAGGTAATCCTTCAGCTGATATCATAACATTAGCTGGTTTAATATCTCTATGAGCATATGGAATTAATTCCAGTAATTCAGTTGGAATATTGGTTGGACCATCTTCATCATCATCACTTCCTGGTGGTAATAATAATCCCTCTTCATCTGTACTTGTTGTCGAAGCATTATCATGTTGTTGATGTCTTTGTTCATCAGATGTTGTTTTATAATTATGCATAACTTTTAATCCTCTACATATTCCTATAAATACCTTTAATATCTCATCTTCTGGCATTTTATCATCATTTAATACTAAATTATTAATAATATCTTGTAAAGATTTTTCAAAATATGGTAATAATATATAAATTGATTTTGAACCATCAGGTTCATTAATAATTACTTCTTCAATACTTTGAATTATATATGGAGTTCCAAATTTAACAAATCTATGATAATTTTTAATTTCTTTAATTGAATTTTTATAACTTTCATCATTAGATCCAAATGGGCATCTTATTTTCTTTATAGCATATGGTGCATTATCATTATTTGATTTTACAAGATAAACGTATGAGAATCCTCCTTCTCCTAATAATTTAACAATTCTATATTTGATATCCTTAATTGTTACAGATGGTGAAGATAAATCAGGAAAACATGGTAAACATGCCCCTACAATTGACCATAAGATATCCATTATTGTTTGCTATTATCACTACTATCTCTGTACTGTAAGTTTGTGGTCTATAAGGGCTTGATCTGTTGAACTTTCCACGTGATTTTCTTTACAAACGAATGTTTGGGAATTGGTATGTGCACTTTTCTTTTATATTAATGCTACCCCGGTTAATAAATCATTCTTCTATTTACAGCCTTAAGCATTAAAAATTCACACAATCGTCTTATTTAAACATAGTATGAGAGTCTAAATCCACTGGAATACCAACATTTGGTATTAGATAAATTAAGTGGTTCAATAAGTATTGGACCTAGATTGTTTATAATTGCAGGTATCCGGTACTATAGTGTAAATACAAGTTAAAAGGAGCGTTTTTACTGTATATAGAAAGAACAGATAGTGAAACAGCACTTGTGTCTACTGATACTAATCTCTAAATAACCAAATTGTTTGACTTCTATTACCCTGTATTTTGAATGCTGGGTTTATTTGACTTTTTCTGTGCGTACTTCTTAGGTGGCAGTTGCAAAAAAACAACATATTCAAATAACAGTGTGACTAATTGATAGTGACCAAGCATTGGTGTGAATAAGAACAGCCTCCAATATAACTAAAATCCAAGTATGGCTTCCTCAGTAGCTCACAATTCTTGCACTCCCATTGACGGAACTGGGGATTCCTTTATTTCAGAAAGGATAACACATTACCCAACATGCAAAATCGAGTTAAATGGTAAGGTACTTTGATATGTGTATGATTTTTTGTTGAGCTACTGGTATTGAATTGGTCAAATGCGCGGCTATATTATTAGAATTACTGGGTAACCGTTTATGAGTCATAAACTGTTAGCTGGTCAAGACATGTTAAATTTGTCTGCCTTCCTAGTTAGGTATTCTGAGACCTGTTTAGCCTGAAAATATCCTAACCTTGTTACGAAAATTTTTTTGCAATGGTTTACAAAGGAATTCCCATTAATATTCTTTGTCACACAGTCAGTAGTTCTTAGTTTGTTATAACTCATAGTCTTGTTTTATCATATAATCCTGTTATTTCATAAAGTCTTGTTTTATCATATAGTCCTATTATATCATAAAGTCTTGTTATAACTATGAATAGAAATCTATAAGAAACTATTGAACTCGATAATTTAGGCAACCATGGAAGTGGAAGCAAAGAAGAAGAAATCAATCCAAATTCTTTAGTTAGCACAAACGATACTCCTATACCATTTGTAACAATTCCTACTTTATAGTCAAGTTCAAATACAGAAAGAAAAGAAGATCTTGAAATTATCTTTCTTTTAGTTTTATTAGTATCAATAGTTATTTATATTATTAATTATTTCTACCCTGTGGTTGACTCAGAAAATGTCTCTATTATTGTCATGATAGCCCTTGCACTTCTTATTTGTTACAAACATGGTAATGTTATAAGAAAATACTTCGTACCGCCATTTATTCCATACAACAGAATTAAAACTGATTATATCAGTAATGTTATAATTACATATATAAATGAGATCGTTGATAAAATTATTATTCCTAGAATAATTAGAGAACTCGGTGAAAGAGGTTATCCGATTGAAAACATTGAATATCCTGTTGAAGATTGTCCATTATAAAAAACTCCAATTATTAAGAAAAATATCGTTGCTGAAGGTGTTGAAGATGAGAGTTTTAGAAATTTAAATTGTTTATTATATGTATTTGCTTCATTAACTTCTGGTTTATCCTAAGATGAACCATCTTCATTTGCTGGTAGAATCAATAGATTAATCTCTTTAGGTTTATATATTGACGAAGATGAAGAGGTTATATATATATTTTTTCTGTTCGGGGTATAATACAGCTTTATATAAATATATAGAAACATAAAATGAAATGGAATTCTAATTTAATTTATATATATATATGACTTAGAAGTGGTGCACTATATAGAAATAGGGTGCAAAATGGCTTTTCAGGTGCATGCAGAAGGAAAAAAAAACGTTCCCTCATCATTTTTTCGTTTAATGATTTTCCGAGCTTTGACGGTATTCCACATTGAATTTTAGTATGTACAATATCTTTTGAGTAGTTCACGAAGTTAGCAGGTATAAGTTTTAATTTCTGGTTAAAGGACTTTCTTTTATTTAGTGAATATATCCATTGAGTTCTCATTAACTAACATAATAAAATATGGGGTTATTTATACCTACTAATAAGTTGGATAACTTAAAACTTTACAAGTATTCTTCGGAAGATCATTCAATAATTTCCAAATATATCCTTAAAAGATGGTGGGATTATTTTGTTCAAATTTTCCCAATGTCTATGGCACCTAATTTAGTTACTTTATTAGGATTATTCTTTATATTAGCCAATTTAGCTGTGGTATTTTATTATGATCCTTATTTAGAAGGTAATAATCCACAATGGGCTTTATTCTTTTATGCATTTGGATTGTTTATGTATCAAACTTTTGATGGATGTGATGGTTGTCATGCTAGAAGAACAGGTCAAAGTAGTCCTCTTGGAGAATTATTTGATCATTGTTGTGATGCAGTTAATACAACTTTTGGAGCTATTATATTTGGATCTGTATTGGGTATGGGTTATGGAGGTTTATTAATGATAACACAATTTGGTTCAGTTTGTAATTTTTATGCCTCTACTTGGGAAGAATATCATACTCATACTTTATTCTTAAGTCAATTTAGTGGTCCTGTTGAAGGAATTTTAATGATTATTGCTGTTTATATTATTACAGGAATTTTTGGTCATGAAATATGGTCTATTGGCTTATTTAACTTAAATTTAAATTCAATAGGATTAGGTTATTATCGAATTGATAGTTCTATTATTTATATAATTATAGGATTAGCTTCATTATACTTTAATATTCATGCAGCTATGACCAATGTCTCAAAGTATTATGAAAAGAAATTTTATGATGATAAAGAAAAGGCCAAGAAAGAAATTGATGAAGCATATAGAGGATTGACTCCTTTCTTTGCTTATTATGGATCAATTGTTACATTAGCCTGGATTTATCCTGAAGTTATTACTACATATGGATTCCCAACAGTAGTATCTATTGGTTGTACAATTGCTTTTTCAGTAGGTAGAATCATTTTAAGTCATTTAACCCTACAAGAATTTCCATTCATTCAATTCCCTATGTTTGTTCCATTAGCAGAATTAGTTCTTAGTTTTATAATGATTAATATTTACGGATTTGAATCTCAATTAACAATATTTGCTATTACATGGTTAGGTTTTGGAATTACTCTTGGTATTCATGGTCTATTCATTGCAGAGATCATTTATGATATTACAACTTATTTAGATATTTATGCATTATCCATTAAGCATAAAAAAGCTTAGATTATAAATATGATAAATTTCAACGTATAGTAATAATATACATTTTCAAATTATATATCATTAATAACATAAACTATAGTTAAGTATTTCGATTTGTCTTAACTATCTATATATATATATATGTACAAGAGCATAAGCAAATGATGTATAAAAACTCACTCCCCATAAACTAACCAATCACTTCATATCTATTATCTCTTTTCAGAAAATGCAGCTTCAGAACCTGGAGCCAAAACATCTTGAGCAGATTGTTGTAAGGAAATATCCTTTTCCATTTCTTGTAATTGAGTTTCGGCTAAAATAGCTAATGATAATGGTACTCCTAATAATAAAGCAGAAGAAGTTAAAGTCCAAAATAATGATCCAGTAGAATTAATACCACTAGTAATATAAGAAGTAATTGTAGAACCTAAGTTGGCAATTTGATCTCTTTGTTCTGGAGCAATTATATCTTTTAAAGCAATAATTCTATCATATACAGTTTCATTTTCATAATCAAAGTCATCATCTTCTAAATCTGATTCGGATTCACTTTCATCACTTTCATTTAATGAACTTTTGGAAGCTTCAACTTTACTTTCAACGTTTTCAAACGTCTCGTCGTCAATTTGAGTTAATTTGACCATTGTATATATTTATGCAGTATAAACACTAACTAATTATTCATTAAACTAAATTGTTGCTATGGTCGAAAATTTCGTAATGCTGTTGGTCGAGACTAAAAAAAAAAATTGAAAACGAAAATTTGAATTTTGAGCAGGAGCACACGACCCGCTCCAAAAAAATCTTAAACAATTCTAATTTGCAACTTGTGCAATTTTTGCAATTAACCATTAGAAGTAATCTTGATCTTCACTTAGATTCAATACAGGAATATCAAAATTATTATCCACATGATATCCTATAGATTCCATTTGTTGAGGGTATTTTCTAATATTATAAAACTGTAATAGAGCTCGTAAAGCAATTTCTTGATCTAAAGAATTATTAAAATCACTTTCTAAATCTTTACCACTCAACCAATTATCTTTTAAAGTTAATTTCAAATTAAGAAAAATTAAGCTAATTAAATCCATATTAACTGTTTTCCATTTTCTTCCTTGATAAGGAATTAATTTCTTTAATGTTTTCAATATTGGTTTTGTAAATGCTTCATTATCATAATTCATTACAATCATTTTAAATAACTCTGTTGGCTTTAATTCATTCAAAGTAAAAATTCTTTGGGTAACATTCTTAATAAGAATTTTCTTAATGATTTTTAATATATTGGATAATATAAATGCAAAATTCTCATTGAATTCAGATATATATACATGATTAATATTATCACTATCAATAATTTCAGGTAACTGCAGAATTAATCGTTTATTTATAAGAGTGATAGGTTTTTGCCTGATTCCATTAAATTTTTTATTTTCATAATTTAAGCATTGATTAAAAAATTCAAATGATGATATCTGAATCTTTGGATTCATAAGTTTATTTTGATTTATCAAAATTTCATATTCATTCAATTCATCATTCATTTTATCTCGATTAGATAAATTTTGTAAGTTGGAATTATTAAAACTCCTACTAAGATAATCCAAACTAATAGTGAAGAATTGTTGATCAAATAATATGGAAGATAAATAATAATATTTTAATACATGACTAATTTTAAACCATTTTAATAATAATAAGATTATACTAGTACTAGCTTTCAATGTAATTTCTTTAATATTTACAACTTCAAGTTGCAGAAGAAGAACAAAATTAATCTTCTCTCTAGCAGTATCATCACCAGGAATAGTATTAAAACTATCCTTATTTTTATTTGTATTATTAAAATATGAAGTTTGAGGATTTAACTCCCATTCTGCAAAATTAAGATTATAATCTAATCGATTATATTTGATAGTATCAACTAATACTTCTATAAAAGTATTAAGTCGGGTTAAATTCTTATTATAGAATTTCTCGGTTCTCATAATGGATTTTATTTCTGATTTATAATTTGGATACTTTTCAAATAAATCCTTCATATCATCCGTTTCATTTATATTATCAATATTGTCATTCTCATCGGATTTAACTTTCTCATCTCCATATTCACCTATATATCCTCTTTCCTGCTTCATAAATCGTTGTCTTTCATCCCATAATCTTTTAATTGAATAACTTTCATAAATAGATTGTTTTAAGATTTCATCAGCTTCTTTTATTGCATAAGGTACTTCTACATTTTCTGAATTATCTACCATTGATGATAAATTTGGATAAATGAATGGCATAGCTTGATTCACTTGATAAGATCTTCTAATTTTTTCACCTCCAGACATATAATCAGAAGTTTCTAGAACAGGTGAAGGGACAGGAGTTGCAATATGTAATGTTTGTGCTGGTAATTGACTTAAAACTGTATGTGATTTATTTGTTTTTGGTCTTTCAACTAAGTTTGTCAATGAATCTGAAAAACTATTTATTGCCATGAAATATTTATACCTATCTTCAATAGAAGCATGAGACAGAATACTTGCCGTATCACTTGTACTGTTATCATCTGCATCTAAAGCTTTATGAAATTCACTAAAATCAAAAACTTTTAATTCAGGATCATTATATAATGGAAATTTATCTAATAAATCCTCTCTAAATGCAAAATAATCTAATGGAGAACAAATTAATTTTGTCAGATCTTTGCCATTCTTGTTATTGATATCATGTACATTTATTAAAAACTCATCAGCTTTTTTTAATTGCTTGGTGTCACCCATTTCAAAGAGAATTAATTTCCAACACAATAAGATTAAGTACCTAGTTCTATATGTGTTATTTGGTTTCCATTTCCAATTCTCTATGAATTCAATTAATGATGCCAAGAGATCAACTGATGCTAAATAATCTTTAAATTCTGCTACACAATCATTCTCAGAATCATTTAGTACAGAATTGATCATTATATAGACTAATGTTAAAGTTCGAAAATAATTCATCTCGGTTAACGAAGTTAAACCATACCTTGATTTTTGAGAAATGACGTGTTTAAATAGACTTTGCAATAAACTTATCAAAGGTTTATATACTTCAAATTTAATAAGATTTATATTGTTGTCGATTATAGCCTCTAATTGATCTTGAGTGGTAGATTTGTTTCCATATTGACCTAAACTATAGTATAGTAAGACCTGTAATGACTCTGAGAGTGTGGAATCATTGTCCTTCCAGAGATCGAATTCTTTAGAGCTTAAAGAAGGAATAATTGATTTAATTAATTCGGCATCAAAATCACCAAGGGGTAATTTAAGTCTTGTATCTTCCAATTGCTTTTCAAATGCATCTTGTATTGTCTTCAATCCTCCTATAAATATTAAATCATGATATGAAAACCATTCATTGATCTCTTGTTGTAATCCTTCATAATCTCTATATTGATATTGTAAATGATATCGAGTGATTAAAAATTGATAATTAACTGCTCCACTTGATCCACTGGAAACTCCAGTATTCTCATGATCTTTTTTATTACGTCTATCATACAATTGATTGGATTTGATCTGTTCAGCTCTTGCATTTAATTTCTTTTGAAACGTTTCATCTAACGAATCCTCTAAATCTCGCGTGGTAGATGCATCAGGATGGTCAATTATCAGATCCTCCAATCGATCTATCAGGATCTGTTCGTCTTGCATTGTTATTTAGGAATATATTACATATCTTGAATTAGTTTAACACTAGCTGATTTTGAATAGTTTATATGGGTGGCTACATGCAGGTCCAACTGATGTCACATGATCTATAATTTTCAATTTCAATTTTCAATTTCCATTATGTATCTTTGCCGGATTTATTATTATACGTATTAGAGAATTCCAGAGTAATTAGAAGTGGTTCATCATTTACAGTTTCTAGAGTTATTAGTAAATGAATAACATAATATAAGTTATACTTACTAGCCCTTTATATATTGGTCGTATAATATTTATTTTAGTAGAGAGAAAATTTCTTATTTGTGTCAGAGTGTCTATAGAACCATAGTAACATTATACGACAGACAGGAAAGATATGGCAGATGAGAGTGTAAACACACCAGGAATTGGATCTACTAGTCCACTTGATATGGGAATAGATGATTCAATGCCTACTATTAAATTCTCTCCACAATCACCATTTCCTGAAGTAGCACCTCCAGCTAATGTTCAAAAGGAACTGTCCATACAGCCCGAGACAGAACCAACAGTAATTGAAAATAATAATACAAATAATAAGGATATTAAAGAAGAACAAGAAGAAGATAAAATCGATGATAATGTAGTAGAAGATGAAGAAGAAGATGAAGATGATCCAATAGTTAAATTACAAGAAATAGAAATCTTACCGGATCTATTTACTTTATTACATGATTTACAAATAGGATCTATACTGGCAAAAGATTTTGATAATAATGCTGGAAGTATACGATTAAAATTAAGTAATGTTCGACAATATCTTCTGGAAATTGAAGGTATAAATGAAACATTAAAGGTTAGAGAAGCTAAAATTGATAGTTTAAAAGTTAAAAATGCAAAGAAATATCAATTTTTAAGTAAATTTAAAAGTAGAGTAATTAATGAATTTGAAGGCGATATAGACATGACGAATTAATTTAATGTATTATTATTATTGGTGTAATATAAAGTGTAGTTTCCGTAGTAGTAAAATGGGAAATGGGAAATGAGAAATGAGAAATGGCGCGTCCTGCCGACATTATCGGTAAATGAGATAAATATTTTTATTTATTTTATTTTTTTTTTGGTTTTTCATTATCACTAACACCAAAGCAGAAATTAAAGAACCGTGAATAAACATGAGCTCGAGTACTGTATCATTCAGTAAAGTGTTCGAAGTCACCAAGCAGTATCCTGCATTGTCAGTAGGATTAGTTATTTTTACATTTATTTTACATATTATTGATATCTTTACAGGATTTTATCTTGCAGGGAAGTTTTCCTTAAGTCCAAAATCTATCTTTGAATTTGATTTGAATAGAGTATCATTTTATTTATTATTTCATATTAATTTAATTCATTGGTTATTTAATATTGCTACATTATTTACTCCATTAGCTATATTTGAAAGGAAACATGGTACTATTCATACTGGTATAACATTAAATTTATTAGCAGTTATTACTGCAATTCAATATACAATTGTAGGAATTTGGTTATATCCTGAAACAAAAGTTATTGGACTTTCTGGAGTTGCCTTTTCATTCTTAGCTTATTTAGCATATAATGAATCACAAATAACTCCAAATATTCATTTATTTCGTCAAGGTAATAGAGATTATAATTTCCCAACTATTTATGCTCCTATAGCAACCTTATTTTTATGTTATATTTTAATTCCTGGTTCATCATTCTTTGGACATTTATTTGGATTAACTTCTGGTTATTTATTAAGTTTTGGTTATATTAATGTATTATATCCTCCACCAAAAGTTATTCTTTTTATAGAAAAGAAGTTAGAAAAAGGTATTGAAAAGTTACAAAATCTTGTAATTTATTATAAAGAAGAAGATAATAGTCGTTCAGTAACTTATTCATCATCATTTACTAATGATTTAGAATTTGGTTCATTATTTAGTGCATCTTCAACTGCCACTTCGACTGTACCTCAACAAGCAACATTTAGAGGTGAAGGTCATATATTAGGTACTCCATCAGTTGGAGATTCAGCTGCTGCTACTCTTGAATCTAGTAATGTTTAGATCCATAATAAATTATCAATGTATATAGTCATTCATAGATTATTTATAAATATATATATACCTTATGCACTATTATAGTATAGTATAGTATAGTATAGTATACCTTATTATGCACTACTATACTATACTATTCCATACTATACCATACTATACTATACTATACTATACTATACCATACTATACTATACATTTTTGCTTTGCTTTGATTTGCTGTGCTTTACTATGCATTATTTCTTTGCTATGCATTATTTCCTTACTACATTATTTTTACCCTACCCCATAGTGAGCACTAAGCATAAAACTCAATAATCTCCCCCACACACAAATGGCCGCGGCGAGGCTCACTAAAAAAATATTAACTATGGAAAAAGGATAAACAAACAGTGAGCCTGAGACTGAGACTTGAGACCGAGACCGTTAGAGTTTGTGAAAAGTTAATTAGTGGAGTCAGTACCACCAACCAATTGCACAAGCATTTTATACTGAACAAACAGGTCACATGTCTTCTATAGAAGAACCTCCTGGTAGGGTAAGTATAACTCAACTGGTACCACACACACAATCACAATTTGAGTCTCATTCTCATTCTCAGTCTCAGTCTGTACCAATTCATGAACGAGCACAATCACAAGATATGCTTAATGGACGAACTCAAGATCATAAACCAACAACCACAACCACAACCACAACCACCAACACCAACACCAAGAAAAAGAAACGAGGATCTCGAAATAAGAATAAGAACAAGACTCAAGTCCCTAAGAATAAATCAGAAGTATCATTAGATTCACTACAAGTGCCTAAAGATTCTGGACCGGAAATAGCAGACTTAACTAGTACTATTTCAAATTCAAAGTCAATACAATCACCTAAAATTACTGAAAAATTACAACCAGCATTTAACATTAAACAATATGGATCTCATACAAATAATTTAAGTCCTCGAAAGCAAACTCTTATGAGACATAAGAATAGTGATGATGAATCAAATTATATTAATGAAGTGAAAAGTACTTTAAAATCAAATAAAACTAGTCCATGTATAAAGTCTCCAGCATCAAACAATAATAATAATAATAATAATAATACTAGTACTAGTACAACTAATACTACTACTAATAATCATAATAATAATATTGATGCAAATGGGAATAGTACATTAGATATGGAAGATAAAGTTACATTATTTAAATATAAATCGGCTAAAATTCTTGTTTATGAATCATCTTATACTTCAACTAATGGTGGAACTTTATTAAGTAGTGGAGAATTAGAAATATTTCAATTACATAAGGGTGATATTACTTATTTATCATGTGGTTCATCATTTATTTATCCTTTATTACCTAAATTAAAATTATTAAGAATTAGTTCAAATGAATTTATTATCCCATTACTTAATCCAGCTCGATATTGGAAAATAGTTATAAATTCAGATGAACCAAATGTAATTCAAGTATTACAAGGAACTTTTGAAAGAATAGTTAATTATAGTAGTTTATTAGAAAATGATAACAATATCAATAACAATATCAATAACAATAATGAAAATCTTGAACAAACTACTCCAACAACTTTTAATCATTTCCCCTTAATATCTCATGAAATTCCAGAATCTCCACCTTCAGCTCCTTTATCTCCTCATGATAATGGATTACAATTTAATCATAATATAAGTCCCTTAAAGAGATCTATACCGACATCTCCATTCTTACAACTGCAACCTACATTAAATAAAAAATCATCATCTCATTCAATTACAACAGCTATGGCATGTCTCGATGTATCAACGAAAAATTTAATTCATCCAAAACCTAAACGATTACCAACCAATTCTAATCCTTATCAATTAAATAATTTACATGAAGAAGATACAAAATCTGATTCATCATCTATGGATTCATTATTAGATGAATATGAAGAAAATATTACTAATACAAAATCTATAACATTTACAAAATCTCGTCCACCTACTAGACCTCAATCAATAACTTCATCAATAAAATTTCCTCATCATCCTCATCCTCCTCCTCATCCTCCACAATTTTCAAGAACTTATATTCAAGATAGTGAACAAGAATTCCCTAGTACTTCTTTAAGTGAATATAATCGTACACATAATGGAGTAGCTGCTAGATCAAGACGTTCATCAAGAAGTGAATTATATAATTCCGAAAGTAATTGGATGGAACCAAACTTTGATTTATCTCAAACAAATAATGTTAATAATCCCAATCTTAATAATAATAATAATATCAATAATAATATTATTCCTCGAATACTTACTAGATCAAGATCTAATCAAAGTATTAATAGTGCATCTCAACATTCTCATTCTTTACCTCATGGTCAAAGTTCAAGTCTGTTTGATCTTAACAGGACTTATAGGAATATTTATAAATCAATTGCTCAAAGAAATCTTAAATCTACCAATTATTTTGAAGAAGATTTAAAGAATTTTAATTCTAATTCTAATTCTAATTCTAATTCTGTATCTGCAAGATTACCTACAATAACTGCCAAAGTTCCGAGTGAATTCTCTGCTGGTCAAAAACTCTCTAAACTGGCATATAATCCTCGAGATATATCTAAATTAAAGGGATCTATAGCTATAAATAAAGATGTAGATCCAACTGGGTTAAGATTAGAATCATCAGAAATATACCAATTGATTTCTAAAAGGGATAATTTCTCAACAACTGGACATAGAGCCAGAACTGGAGGTAATAAACATCAATCAGATATTACTACATCTAGTGGAATTCCAAGATCAACTTCATTTACTTCACGATTATTTGGATGGTGATTAATTATTTAATTATTTAATTATTTATTCATTCATTTCTCTATTTATTTATTTATTTATTTATTTATTTATTTATTTATTTATTTATTCATACTCTATATCTTATATTTATTATGTACAATAGTTTCATTACAGGACTGTTAAATCTAATATTTCATTCATTATAGAAAAAACTATATTGGAATTTATTATATACAAAGACGGTTGTTATTAACATTTGAGAGTAGGAAAGTCTATACATGTGATGACTAATTTATAGGAGATCATTACATAAAAATCATGAAACTTTTTCTAATGAATGAGAATATATTTTTGACTTGTTAATTAATCAAAAAATTTAAATTTGTGGAGCTCCAGGAACTGGATTACCATTTGCATCAATTAAACCTTGTTGCATTAACATTAATTGTTCATTACCGGCAGCTTCAAATTGTAAACCTAAACCTAATCTTGAAGATTGTTTAAATTGATCAATTTCTCCAGAAAATAAAATAGAAACAGTTGGTAAAATTCTCTTTTCTAAAAATGCACTAACTTTACCATTAGTATCTAATTGACCTCTAAAAACAGCAGATCTATATTCATATTTAGCACCAATAGTAGTTTGACCTTCAATGGCAGTTTCAAATCCAATTGGAGTACCTAATAATGGATCACTTACAGGTTTTAATTGAGCAGCCACTTGAGTTTCTACACCAGCTTCAACTTTATCAGAAACTTTTCTCCAGAATGATGCAATTAAAGCACCTTGAGCTTGAATTTGAGCAGAAGCAATCCAATTACCAGCATTATAACGAGCAACATAAGAAACAAGAGTTTCAGGTGGAACTGGACCAGGTTGTTTAGAATACATAGCTTCTAAACCAACAGCAAAACTTGGAGTTAAAGATTGTAAAAGAGATCCAACAGCTACACCACTAAATCCACCAGATAATAAAGAAGGATTTAAAGTTTTTAAATTAATTGAAAAATCAGATGCTTGATAATCTTGTTCTAATTGAACCATTGATGGTTGACCATGAGCCAATTGTAAAGTTACTTTACTAATATTATTTTTATTCCAACCATAATTAATTCTACCAGAAAATGATAATTCATTATCAATATTACCTTGTATAAAATAATCATCAGTAGCATATAAAGCAGAAAAGGCATAAGGAGGTAAAACATTTGAACCAATAGATAAAGTATGAGAAGTTTGAAATACTGGAGACATTGAAAATGCTTTATTTAAATCAGCTCTTAAACCAGTAAAAAAATATTGATTCAAGAAAACATCTCTTGAAACTTCTTTATTAAGATTTTCAATAGTTCCTGGATTAGTTAATCCTAAAGATTTTCTATGTTCACTTATAGTAATATAAACATCATTTAAATATGAAAATACAGGATTTGAAGACCAAAATCCATTAGCCTTTGGTGGTTGAGGTGTAACACCAGGTAAAGTTGGAATAGATAATTTTGAAAGATCTGCTATTGGAACTGGAGTTCCGGTGGCAACTTCAGATTGGGACATTCTTAATTATGAAATTTTAAAATAGTATTAGCTATTCCTTATTTAATTTATTCTCCACTTACTATTGCTTGCCTCTCTCGATGATATTACTCGAATCAATTTTTTTTCACCGTTGAGGGCAGGCACGAACTTTTTTGGGTGCGGTTTAATTATGGCGAAATTTGTATGGTGGGATCGGTCAGACTCACACTAACGCAGGATATTTGGCGCATTTTGGGAGATTTCATGTGGGACCCGCGTAAGTGTGAGTATGGGGGGAATTTTGCAATCACTTAATTATGATAATAAGTCATAATAATTCGAATTATTTTGATATAATTAATAATATAAGAATTATAAATTAATAATAATATACGTATTAATAATAGTTTTAATTAAGAAAAATGCATGTAAATGTAAATTAGTGTATTATTATTATAATTAGTATAATTATATTTATTCATATGTATCTCGTGACCCGCATCACGAGCAGAGTCCCTCTTGTAGGAATAAAGTTTACTGCATCTTCACCGAACATTTTTGTCTAAAAACCTCTTGTCGTGCTCATGACGTACTAAATCTCTTTTTATTATAGCGCACAGGTCTCATCCGATTGAACGCAACATCTCTACCGCAATACTCCCAGTTCCTCACCTGTCGGCACTAAATTGAAAAATGCTGCATTATGTGCAGGGGCAGAGGCACCCACTCCGTGAACAATCTCATCAGGTGGTCGAGTATGCTAAGTATTAATCAATAAATAATAACCATAAAAATTATATTTAAATAGATAAATTACTATACAATTGAGAATTGAGACTTGAATTGATTTCTTTTACTAACAATATCAATTGAGTCATTTTCGTATTAGTATTTAAAAAAAAAGTTAGGTTTATTTTGCATTTTCATTTATTTCCATATAATCCTTTTACCATATCATTAACTAAATTAAATTAGATTAAATTTTATAATTAATTATTTAATTTAATTTTATAATTATTGAATAAATCAAAATGGGACTTCCACCAGTTAATGGAACTTCATGTTTGTCACTTTATGCTTCAACTAAAGATTTATTAACTCAAGCCATTAATTTTTATACTAATGTTATAGGATTAGATTTACATTCTGAAGATGGTGAAAAATTATATTTATCAAATGAAGATAATAAATTAGCCATTAAATTAATTGTTGATGCAAAACTTTCATTAAATTCTGATGAAATTTATGAAAAGAGGGAAAAATTAATTAAATTATTAAATGTTAATGATTGGAGATCTTTAGAAACTACTGTAGTTCTTAAATATACTAAATTAAATCAATTAATTTCAACCTTAAAGACTTTTAAACAACCAGTTCAAATTAGTCCAAATGAATTATATCCTAATGAAGTTTATACTGTAGATCCATTAGGAAATATTGTCGGATTTACTGCTACTGAAAATCCTTTATCAGTTATACCACCAGTTGAAAAATTCATTAGTGGAGAAAATATTACTTCAACAATTATGAGTACTTCTGTATCTGATAGATCAAGACAAGATGAAGGTGTAAAACTTAGAAGAAATATTGCTATTATGACTTCTGGTGGTGATGCTCCAGGTATGAATGCAAATGTTCGAGCTGTTGTAAGAGCTGCTATATTTAGAGGTTGTAAAGCTTTTGCAATTATGGAAGGTTATGAAGGTTTAATTAGAGGTGGACCAAAATATATTAAAGAAATGTCATGGCATGATGTTAGAGGTTATTTAACTGAAGGTGGTACTAATATTGGTACTGCAAGATCTAAAGATTTTAGAGAAAGACCAGGTAGATTAAAAGCTTGTAAACATATGATTGAAGCTGGTATTGATGCTCTTATTGTTTGTGGTGGTGATGGTTCATTAACTGGTGCAGATTTATTTAGATCTGAATGGCCTTCATTAATTAAAGAATTAAAAGATACAAATCAAATTTCTGATCATGAATTTAATACTTATAAACATTTAACTATTTGTGGTACAGTAGGTTCAATTGATAATGATATGTCAACTACTGATGCAACTATTGGAGCATATTCATCATTAGATAGAATTTGTCGTGCTATTGATTATATTGATGCCACTGCTAATTCTCATTCAAGAGCCTTTGTTGTTGAAGTAATGGGTAGACATTGTGGTTGGTTAGCTTTAATGGCAGGTATTGCAACTAGTGCTGATTATATTTTAATTCCTGAAAAACCTTCAAGTTCAAGAGTTTGGGAAGAACAAATGTGTGATATTGTTAACAAACATAGAGCTAAAGGTAAAAGAAAAACCATTGTAATTGTAGCTGAAGGTGCTATTACTTCTGATTTAAAACCAATTTCTGCTAATGATGTAAAGGATGTATTAGTTAATAGATTAGGTTTAGATACTAGAGTTACTACTTTAGGTCATGTTCAAAGAGGTGGTACTGCTGTTGCATATGATAGAATTTTAGCTACATTACAAGGAGTTGAAGCGGTAAAAGCAGTTTTAGATGTTACACCTGATACTCCATCTCCATTAATTGCAATTGAAGAAAATAAAATTGTTAGAAAACCTTTGGTTGAAGCAGTTAGAATTACTAAATCAGTTGCAGAAGCCATTCAAAATAAAGATTTTGAAAAGGCTATGTCATTAAGAGATTCTGAATTTACTGATCATTTATCTAATTTTATTGCTATGAATTCTGCTAGTCATAATGAACCTACATTACCAAAAGAAAAGAGAAAGAAGATTGCTATAATAAATATTGGTGCCCCAGCTGGTGGTATGAATAGTGCAGTTTATGCTTTTGCAACTTATTGTATGTCAAGAGGTCATACTCCATATGCTATTCATAATGGATTTGCTGGTTTAGCAAGACATGAATCAGTTAGACTGATGGATTGGTTAGAAATTGAAGGTTGGAATTCAATTGGTGGATCAGAAATAGGGACTAATAGACAAACTCCTGAAGATACTGATGTAGGAATGATTGCTCATTATTTTGAAAAATATCAATTTGATGGTTTAGTAATTGTTGGAGGATTTGAAGCTTTTGTTTCTTTAGATCAATTAGAAAAGGCTAGACCAATGTATCCTGCCTTTAGAATTCCAATGGTTTTAATTCCTGCCACTATATCTAATAATGTTCCTGGTACTGAATATTCTTTAGGTTCAGATACATGTTTAAATTCATTAATGGATTATTGTGATGTTATTAAACTTTCTGCTTCTGCTACAAGAGATAGAGCTTTTGTTATAGAAGTTCAAGGTGGTAATTCAGGATATATTGCCACTTTTGCTTCATTAATTAGTGGAGCTCAAGCTTCATATGTTCCAGAAGAAGGTATTGCATTAGATCAATTAGAACTTGATATAAAATCATTAAAAGAAGCATTTTCAGTTGATAGAGGTTTATCTAAATCAGGTAAATTAATTTTAAAGAGTACAAATGCTTCTAAAGTTTTAACTACTCAAGTTTTAGCTGATATTATGAAATCAGAATCTAGTGGAGAATTTGATGTAAAGACAGCTATTCCTGGTCATGTTCAACAAGGTGGATTACCATCACCAATAGATAGAACTAGAGCTGCTAGATTTGCTATTAAAGCCGTTCAATTTATTGAATCAGGTAGTGATACATTGAAACAATTTAAATATGCATTAGATTTCCCAAGTGATGATAGACAACTTCAAAGTACTGCTGCTGTATTGGGAATTAAATCTAGTCATTTAAGATTTAAATCTATTAGACAACTATATGATTTTGAAACAGAAATTGGTAAAAGAATGCCAAAACATATTCATTGGGCTAAAACTAGAGATATAGCTGATCAATTAGTTGGTAGAACTAGAATATCTAGACCTTAATCAAATAGAATATTCTAATGACTCTAAAGAGAACATGAACACAATATAGAAATGTATAGCTTAAAATCCTAAGTATTAAATATAAATTCTAAATTTATGAATTAACAAAGTTTCTTTGTATTTTTATTAAAAAATGTCATATTTTATTCCTTTTTCAGCCAATTTGGCACCCAAGTTATGCAAAGACGTTTTAACACATAGAAAATAATATTACTAAAAGCAGTCAAGAAATGTCGGACATTTGTCACATAGACACACAGCAACTCACAGGTACGTTGAATTTACAGGTATAACCGAGGACCTCTTTATATGCATTGATCCGTCGGTGATACGACAAGGATTGTTCATAGATGGAACATGGCTCAGATTTACACATACACACACAAAAAAAAAATAAAGAGGTTCACTATCTCCAAGTGAGAACTAAACTACTGCAAAGTCTTCTCACGACATGATGGAGTCTACGCAAGACATTACTCAGATCAACCGATCCTTAAATGGTATGTATCGATGAATAGATAAAACATGTGTCTTAATTAGTTACTAATACTATGTAGATATTAAATATGATACTTCAATAAGTAATACGCGTGAACAATTGAATGCTATTCAGTCTAGGCTTATAGACTTTAATAGTTCACTTATAAGTACACTAAATCATCTACCTAGTTTTGAACAAGGACAATTAAAGATCAAATTCGATGTTCTATTTAAGAGTATAGAATTGAAACAGATACAATTGAGTCAGAATAGATTTTCATTTATCGGTGATCCAATACCTCCACCCAGTGGAGTTAAGAACCAACATAATAAAAAAATCAGTACCATAACGAATACTACTATTTCAAATAATGATAATGAATTATTACTTAAAGATATTAAGGATCAATATATAGATCTAGATGGTAAAGGATCAAATGATAGTCATTTACTTGTGGTTAATAGTAGTGTATGCACTATAAAAAATCAGAATAATATACCGTCCTCTGTTCATATAAAGGATGCAACGGATATGTTCATTCTGCTTAAAGTAGATGGACCCATAATGATTCATAATCTTAAGAATTCAATTCTAATTTTAGAATGTAAACAATTAAGACTCCATGATTTAGATAATTGTATAATAATTATTGAACATGTCACTAATGATCAAATAGTAATAGAGAATTGTCATAAAATATTTGTAACTGAAAATAAAGTCTCAAAAATAGATACGATTAAAGTTAATGATTTCAGTTGGCCTAATAAATTATACAAAAATCCTAATTTTGAATATATAGACACATTAACTAGGACGGATATACTAAAGAAATTGAAAAATCTAGATCCACTTAAACCAAATTTTATGCCGAGTCAAGATAACATAGATATCCCTATTAATTTTAAACAGGATTTAGACAATATTATACAAAGTGCGTATAATTGAATTATATTAAAATATCCCGCGCATCTCCTAATTAGTGTGAATAAGAAATCCGTCATCATAGTAGTTGGGCCGAGATAGATTTCCTAAAAATATAAAGATTACTATGTAACATACATAAACACAAACACAATCTCCATTTACCTTAGCGGAAACTTGCTCCGAACCATTGCCTCCTCACTGATTCGATGTTGTAGTACAATACTGAGACACTTGAATTTCCTATATAAGCTTTTCCGATACTTTGTATTTTTTTACGTTATGTGCCGAACAAAATGTTAGTGTACCCCACATTTCATATTACCGACCATACTAACGTAAGAGGGAAATATCCGTTAAGCTTAAGTATGTCACCCCCACCGCGATTTCATTTCCTTATAAGATGTAGTTATGTCAAACTTGTATATATTAGTTAGAATCAGCTCTTGGCTTAAAATATATAAAATATATGAAATATTTTCACATTACTTTTGGTGTATTAGTACATATATACAATATATATAATACAACATAGTATAATATAATATTTATTTAGTAATGGTTTTCTTACCATCATTACCCCAGCAACTCGAGGATCCAGCCTTTGAAGATGAAGATTCTCCTTACCTTTATAAGGTTGGAGCAATAGCAATGCGTGATATGATATTCAAAGAAACTCCCTATCCTAGTGAATGGTTAAAAGGTGCAGTGCCAATTCCTGGTACTGGAGCACCCGGATATTCTGAAATTTATAGAAATGCATCTTTCCCAAATGGATTAAAAAGAGCTTTAACTGCTGAAATGGATACTTTTCATAAAATATTTAAGAATTCAGTAAATCTCTTTCATCAAAAACCTTGTTTTGGATATAGAAAGTATGATTACGCTACTCAAACTTCAGCTCCAGAATATACAACTTTTACATATGATGAAGTAGAAGCTATGAAGAAAGATTTAGGTGCTGGTTTATTATTTTTATTAACTTCGAATCCTTATAAGAATCCATCCAAATATGAATCTCATGCTAAAATTGATAATCATGTGGATAATTACAAACATTATAATGAAAAGAATATTTCCTTTATTCTAACTATATGTGCATCTAATAGATGGGAATGGATGTTAACTGATTTAATGTGTAGTTCTTATTCAATAACTAGTACTTCATTATACGATACCTTGGGTCCAGATTCATCCCAATATATTTTAGCACTTACTGAAACACCAGTCATTGTTTCTTCAAAGAATCACATAAAATCATTAATTGAACTTAAGAAAGGTGATCCAGAAAAATTGGGAAATATTATTAGTATAATCAGTATGGATCCATTATTTAGAGAAGATAAATGGTTGGTACAGTATGCAGATTCTGTTGGTATAAAATTATTTGAATATAGTCAAGTTTTAGAAGTTGGACGTTTATTCCCTTTGAAAGAATTAGTTCCCCATTATAAAACCGTATATGCTATTAGTTTTACTTCAGGTACTACTGGTTCTCATCCAAAAGGTGTTCTTCTTTTGCAACAAGCTTCTGCGGCATGTGCGGTCTTTGCTTTAACTCAAGTTAATCATCTTGAAAACTGGAGATCCTTTTGTTTTTTACCTTTGGCTCATATTTATGAAAGACAAATGTCTTCATTTACATTGACATATGGTGGTTGTATAGGTTTTCCTAAAATTGGAGGTGGTCCGTTGACATTAATCGAAGATTTGAAACTTTGGAAACCTCATTTCATGCCAAATGTTCCAAGAATTTATACTAAATTAGAGGCTGCTCTTAAGACTGCTACAATTGAATCAGACTCTATTTTGACTAGACAGCTTTTTACTAAAGCTATAAACTATAAAATTGCCGCCCAAGAAGAATATGATGGAGCTGAGGGTCGCCATTTTATTTATGACAAATTTTTTATTTCTAAATTAAGAGCTTCATTAGGTTTTGATAATATGCAAATTGTAAGTACTGGTTCAGCTCCAATTTCCCCATCCACTATCAAATTCTTAAAAGCTGCATTAGGTATTGGTATTTCTCAAGGTTATGGTTTAACTGAATCTTTTGGTGGTGTATCATTTGGTATTCCTTACGAAGCTAACCCAGGTGGTTGTGGTACTAATGGTATTTCATCAGAAATGAGAATTCGTGAATTACCAGAAATGGGTTATCATATTAATGATGCTGATGGTGCAAGGGGTGAATTATTATTAAGAGGTCCACAAATTTCTCCAGGATATTTTAAAAATGAAGCAGCTACTAAAGAAGCTTTTGATGAAGATGGCTGGTTCCACACTGGTGATGTAGCCAGAATGTCAAAAGATGGTAAAATATTTATTATTGATCGTGTTAAAAATTTCTTTAAATTATCTCAAGGAGAATATATTACACCAGAGAAAGTTGAAAATCATTATTTATCAAATAATCCAATTTTAACTCAAGTTTATACACATGGTGATCCTATGCAACACTTTTTGGTTGGTGTTGTTGGTTTAGAACGTGAATTATGTGTTCAATTCTTAGTTGATAAATGTAAAGTAAATGCAGCAGATTTACAAACTCCCGAAAAAATATTAGAATATTGTAACAAGTTTGAAATTAAGAAGCAAATTTTAGAATACTTGAATGGTAATATTGCTGATAAATTAAAAGGATTTGAAAAATTACATAATATTTACATTGAATTTGAACCTTTAAGAATTGACAGAAATGTTGTAACTCCAAGTTTGAAGTTGAGAAGACCAATTGCTAAGAAGTTTTTCTCTGATCAAATTCAATCTATGTATTCAGAAGGTTCTTTAATTAAGAAAGATACTAAATTATAAACTATTTTTATAAATCTATAGGAAATAAATAAATGTATAAAAGGTAAAAAAAAGCTATTTATATATTTATATATTTATTGTTTTGTATTTTGCAATTTGCAACAATTCTATCTAAAAAGGAAAAAAGTGCCGGATATGTCTGATTCTGTATATCCGATAAACTGTCTAGATTGATTCAGTGCCATAAATCTCCGACTCCAAAACCATGTTCATATATGACATAGTAGTACATAATAAAAGGATATAGATAGAGTCTAAATATGAATTCTAAGTATAAACTTTATATGATAGTAATATTAACTTATTATATGAACTATTAGGAGAGAATGTCGTTACGACGCTTATAAAATAAAATGTCACCATCACAAAAAAAGCCGCGACATTTTGCCTAAACTATTTTTTTTCATAATTGACCACCTCGAAGCCATTAATAAAGAACCAATCTTAAGACAACATTAAATTCAATTTAGAGGAAGATATATTGTAATTGAAAGAATGGTATGTAAAAAAGCTTTTGAAATGATAAGGAGATTCTATTTGTAAAGAATAACGTTACTAACATAAGGAAATTTATAGGCAACTACTACGATCTCTACTAAATCCCAAACAAAGGATTTGAATGGGTTATCACTTATTGCAGCACATTCACATATTTCAGGATTAGGATTAGATGAGAATTTACAACCTAAAGAAGCTGCCGAAGGTATGGTAGGACAATTAAAGGCCAGAAAAGCTGCTGGTGTTATTTTAAAGATGATTCAAGCTGGAAAAATTGCTGGTAGAGCAGTTTTAATTGCTGGACCACCATCAACTGGTAAAACTGCCATTGCTATGGGATTATCTCAAAGTTTAGGATCAGAAGTTCCATTTACTGCCATTGCAGGATCAGAAGTATTTTCACTTGAATTATCCAAAACTGAATCATTAATTCAAGCTTTCCGTAAATCTATTGGTATTAGAATTAAAGAAGAAACTGAAATAATTGAAGGTGAAGTTGTTGAAATACAAATTGATAGATCTATTACTGGAGGTCATAAACAAGGAAAATTAACTATTAAGACTACTGATATGGAAACTATTTATGAATTAGGTAATAAGATGATAGAAGGTTTAACTAAAGAAAAAGTATTAGCAGGTGATGTTATTTCGATTGATAAAGCTTCAGGAAAAATAACGAAACTTGGTAAATCTTTTACTAGAGCTAGAGATTATGATGCTATGGGACCAGAAACTAAATTTGTTCAATGTCCAGAAGGTGAATTACAAAAGAGAAAAGAAGTTGTTCATACTGTTTCTTTACATGAAATTGATGTAATAAATTCAAGACAACAAGGATTTTTAGCTTTATTTTCAGGTGATACTGGTGAAATTAGATCTGAAGTTCGTGATCAAATTAATACTAAAGTTGCTGAATGGAAAGAAGAAGGTAAAGCAGAAATTGTTCCTGGAGTTTTATTTATTGATGAAGTTCATATGTTAGATATTGAATGTTTTTCATTCATAAATAGAGCTTTAGAAGATGATTTTGCTCCTATTGTAATAATGGCAACAAATAGAGGAATTTCTAAAACTCGTGGTACTAATTATAAATCTCCTCATGGATTACCAGTTGATTTATTGGATAGATCAATTATTATTCATACTAGTAGTTACAATGCCGATGAAATTAGAACTATTCTTTCTACCAGAGCTAATGAAGAAGAAGTAGAATTAACTGGTGATGGTTTAGCACTTTTAACTAAAATTGGTCAAGAAACAAGTTTAAGATATGCTTCTAATTTAATTTCTGTATCTCAACAAATAGCATTAAAAAGAAGAAGTAATAATGTTGATCTTCCAGATATTAAGAGATCTTATATGTTATTCTTAGATTCAGATAGATCTGTACAATTTCTTCAAGAAAATTCTAGTCAATTTATTGACGATACAGGAGCTGTAACTCTTGGAACTGCTGGTGAAACTAATGGTGCATCAACTGCTCCTCCTGCTGCTGCAACAGGTGAAGAAGATAAAATGGAAACTGATTAAATTAACAGCTCCTCTTTGTAATATACTTTTATAAACATATATTTAAAATATACATGAGAAAATTTGTAATATAATATAATATAATTTAATTTAATTTAATTTAATTTAATATAATTATGATACGTATACTAAGTTGATTTGTCTATATGAAAATAAATCCTATAGCTATACTAGCAGAAAAATTAATTGATGCAAGTGATGTTATAGTCCGATTATATGTATGAAATAAAAAGGAAATACGAATTGAAGAATAATAAGGGATGTCATGAAATATTTCTTTAAAAAGGAGTTAAAATTTAACCACTTCCCTTAGTATTTAAGATTAAAGCAATAATCATACCGTATAATCCCAAGACTTCAGCAAAAATTAAGATTAAAACAATACCAACAAATAATCTTGGTTGATGCATATATTGTCTTATACCTTCATCACCAACTATACCAATAGCATAACCTGATGATAAACATGCAAAACCAACAGCTAAACCACAAGCTAAATGCATAAATCCATTAAATAAGGAATAATTTTCAGTTGGAGATAAACCTCCAGCAATTAATACAGATACAACTAATCCATAAACTGATAATATACCCGACATAACAACAGGAATTAAAGATTTCATAATTAATTCTGGTTTAAATGTACCAATTCCAGAAATACCAATACCGGATTTAGCAGTTCCAATGGCTGCTCCAGCTGATGATAAAATCATAGCAGCTGCACATCCAGCAAACCCAAAAAATGGGGCAAACACCGGCGACAAAATATCAGACTCAGACATTAGATCGATTGGAGTTTACAAATGTATGAACTAACCCTCAATGATAATTGCTTAATATGGTAACTCCCCTGGATACTGACCATTTCTCAATTCTCAATTCTCACTTCCCATTGAATTTTGTTGAAGCTAAAAGAGACATTTGAGAAATGTCGGACTGAATGTCGCACTGCTCAGACAACAAAATACAAAAAAATGTCACAGTCTTCATTCACGTCATTGTCACTTTTTAGATAGATGTCGGACCCGACATTTTCGCGTCTGTCTCTATCAACGTGCAGCGATAAGAACTTAAAGAACGAAAGTCGCCCCAAAAGGGTATTTCCTGGAACCAACTTTTATAGATAATATTGTTCCAGTCAATTTTACTGGACCACTATTACTTATAAGATACTTAAATATGATATCTACTAAAGTGTTAGTAGCATTGAGTTTAGTTATAACTCCTTCTTTAGCGTTTCCAACATCATTATTCTCTATATTTAGAGGTGAATTTCAACAACCTCAATTATTGGAAACTGGAGAAGGTGACTCATGTCCAATTGACATTCCATTAACTTGTACTAATTCAACACCAATTCATAATTCATGTTGTTTTGAAAGCCCTGGAGGAATCTTTTTACAAACTCAATTTTGGGATTATTATCCACCTATTGGTGATAATGATTCATTTACTTTACATGGTTTATGGCCAGATAATTGTGATGGTAGTTATGAACAATTTTGTGATGATGAATTAAATTTAAAACCTCATGAAATCAAAAGTATTGTAGTTGATCAATTTAAAGATAATGAATTATATTCTAAAATGATTCATAATTGGAAGAATTTTAATGGAGATGATGAAAATTTATGGATTCATGAATTTAATAAACATGGAACTTGTATTAAAACTTTAAGACCTACATGTTATTATCCATATGTTAAAAATCAAAATATTTATGATTTTTATAAAATTTCTATGAATATTTATGAGAAATTACCTACTTTTAAATTTTTAGAACAAGCTGGTATAACTCCAAGTGAAACTAAAACTTATACAAAACAAGAAATAAGTGATGCATTATCTTCACAATTTGAAGGATTACAAGTATATTTTAAATGTAATAGATATCAAGTACTTCAAGAAATTTGGTATTATCATTATTTAAAAGGTTCAATTAAACAAGAAGATTTTGTACCAATTCCATCATTATTAAATTCAAATTGTCCACAGGAAGGTATTAAATTCTTACCAAAAGGTTGGACTCCACCTAATGGTCCACCAAGTCCAAATCCAAATCCAGGTAGACCAAAACCTCCAATTGGTGGTGATAGAGGTTATTTAAAACTTCCAAATCATGCAGGATGTATAATATCTAATGGTCAATGGTATCAATATGGAACTTGTGCAACTTTTACAGTTTCAAAATCTCAATTTGGTGGTTATAATTTAAAATCTTCTAAAGGATATTGTGGATTTGATAAACAAGGTCAATTAAGTTGTGGATCATTTTATCAACCTGCTAAATATCAATTTGCTTATGATAAAGAATCAGGTGAAATTAGTTATGGAGGTTTAAGTAAATGGTGCTTTAACAAAGAGAATTCTCATGGTCATGGGAAATTCCAACAAATTCCTATCAAATTAGTTGCTAAAGGTGAAACTTGTGATGATCCATTTAGCTTAAAGTTCAATTAAATTAAAATTACAAAAGTTATGATTTTTTTTTTAATCCGTTGAGGATAACCTTTATTAAAATATTAAGTATATAATTTATAAAATCTACCATTTTTATTATTGATACTGTTATGAAAAAATATCTGTTTCATAGTAGTAAACAAAAACCCCAAAACATAAATGATGATAAAAAAAATGTTTAAGCCAATAAACCTCTAGAATGAAAAATAAACATGAAATATAAAAATATAGTTGAACAAGTCATTAAATGCAGTTGATGCAGATAAAAAAAACATGAATCGTAATTAAAGAACAAGTAATAATCAGGTAAGATTTACTTACCATCTGGGAGAATGAATAAAAAGGGCAGATTTAAATTTAGATAATTGAATTAATTATCTAATATCTGTAAATTTCAGCCTTGAATGGACCTTCCTTTGGAATACCTAAATATTCAGCTTGAACATTAGTTAAGGTGGTTAATCTAGCACCTAAATGATCCAAGTGACATCTAGCAACAGTTTCATCTAAAACCTTTGGTAATAAATGAACACCAACATCAAATGGACCAGTCTTAGAGAATTCTGGATAAGTAGATCTAAATTCTTCATCATGAGCCTTAAATAAAGCAATTTGAGCTAAGACTTGATTAGAGAAAGAACAAGACATAACGAAGGAAGAGTGACCAGTAGCACAACCTAAGTTAACTAATCTACCTTCAGCTAATAAGATAAGGTGACGACCATTCTTCATTAAGTATCTGTCAACTTGAGGTTTAATGTTAACAACAGATTCAGCATTAGCCTTTAACCAAGCAACATCAATTTCAATATCAAAATGTCCAATGTTACAAACAATAGCATCTTCTGGCATTTTTTCGAAATGAACACCAGTAATAATATCTCTACAACCAGTAGTTGTAACGAAAATTTGACCAATTGAAGCAACTTCATCTAATGGAGCAACTTGATAACCAGAAACAGCAGCTTGTAAAGCATTAATTGGATCAATTTCAGTAACAATGACTCTAGCACCCATACCTCTTAAAGCCATAGCACAACCTTTACCAACATCACCGAAACCAGCAACAACAGCAACTTTACCAGCAATCATAACATCGGTGGCTCTCTTAATACCATCAATTAAAGATTCTCTACAACCATATAAGTTATCGAATTTAGATTTAGTAACGGAATCATTAACGTTAATGGCTGGAACCTTTAATTTACCATCTCTTAAAGCCTTGTATAAGTGATGAACACCAGTAGTAGTTTCTTCAGATAAACCGAAACAGTCATCTAACATTTCTGGGTATTTTTCATGAACTAAATTAGTTAAATCACCACCATCATCTAAGATTAAGTTTAATTTTTTGTTATCTTTAAAGGCAAATAATTGTTGTTCAATACACCACAAGTATTCTTCTTCAGTTTCACCTTTCCAAGCGAAAACTGGAACACCAGCAGCAGCAATAGCAGCAGCAGCATGATCTTGAGTTGAGAAAATGTTACAAGAAGACCAAGTAACTTCAGCACCTAAAGCAACTAAAGTTTCAATTAAAACAGCAGTTTGAATAGTCATATGTAAACAACCAGCAATTCTAGCACCCTTTAATGGTTGAGATGGTCCATACTTTTTTCTAATATACATTAAACCTGGCATTTCATTTTCAGATAATTCAATATCTTTTCTACCAAAGGCAGCTAAAGAAATATCGGAAACTTTATAGTTATGAGCTGGAGCAGACATGTTTATTTATCAATTCTAAGATTACTGAGATCTGAAGATTTCAAATTCAAATTCAATGACAATTAATTTATTATATAACTGCTTTTGACGAATGAAGGAATCCTTCGCTATTTATACAGAGTAGAGTGAAAAAAAAATTTTGTGCTCGACGAGCTGCCTGAAAAAAAAAAAAAAATAAATAAAAAGAAAACAAGGAAAATAAAGAAATAAAGAAAAAGTAAAAGTAGCACGTTTAAGTTATAGTAGTAGTTGGGCAATAGGAATAGGAATAGGAATAGTTATAGTTATAGTTATGGTTATAGACACCATTACAATTACAATTACCGGAATGGAATGGTTATTGGACGGGTATTGTCATGTGTCTACTGGATGTACTGTACTTGTTATGTAGCCAATTGTAGTTGTTAGTTAGTGTCTATATACTTTAAGTACTGTAATAGCAGCCTATCTTTTGATGTGTTTGTATGCAGGACCGATGGAGGGAACCGATTTGTTGTGCTGTTTTATACGAGAGCGGCCGCTACGACAAAATCACATGCAATTCGAGACCAGCCCCATACGCGCGCGCCCACTCACTCCCTCCCCTTACTTGTAGATAACAGTCTTAACTATTAACTACTAACTACCAACTATTAACTATTAATTACAGTGTATTACAACTATTTATAAGAGATTCATAAATCATAATGACAGATAGACAACTATATTATTTAAAGGATGTAGCGAGCGTGTACAAACAAAGTACGATAGCCACAATCAAGTGTCAGTAAAGTAGTGGCCAATTGCCAAATGTCAATGTCACTTAAAATTATAATAATTAAAAATATATTATATTATTTTATTAAACCCCAAAGTTTACGTTATACCATTTTAGAACCCTCATAAGCATATTATCATTATATCTCAAACTTTAACCAATCAAGATCCTTTATGGTCTCTTGAGATTGTCTTGGAGCTTGAGCTTGAGCCTGTGCTGGTTGACTCTTTTTTAATCCATCAGTTAAGCTGGACTTTACCGATGGTTGTGCGATTGGTGGTTGTTGTTTTGATTGAGTTGCAAAATACAGTGCATTATTAATATTATTAATAATATCATTATTGTTAATAATATTATTACTCTTTAAAGCTCCTGCATCAACATCCATCATCATATCATCTTCATCTCCCACACTTAAATCTACAAGTTGATCATCATCTTCATGATGATTGAAATTCCTCTTTATTCCACTGGAATTAACATTAACATTAACATTCTTACTCACACTACTAGGTAATAAATCCATAACATTCATTGGAGTAGGCGGTATACTAATGGATTCAGCATCAGCATCATCATCTATAATTGTACTATTAATTCTCATTTTAGAAAATGAACTTGTAGAAGCATGTCTCATAGGTGAATCACCAGCCCCAGTAAATGCATTATTATTATTATTATTATTATTATTCATAAGAAATGTAGATGTGGTGGAGTTATGTCTGGATAACGAAGGATGATCAAAATATGAACTTGAACTCATAGTATTGAATCGTTGATTGAGAAGATTTATGTTAGAATAAGTGAGGGAGTTAGATGGAGTTATACTATCACTTCTACCTCGAGATTTGGAACTATTCATATTATTAATATTGTTATTGTTATTGATGATGTTAGTGTTATTGTTAGCATTATTGATATTAATTACCGATGGTTTACGATGTAATGAGGAGGATTGAAATGATGTAGAAATAGGATTATTATTAATATTAATATTATTAGTATTAAAATTAGTTGAAGTTGGAGTATTAACGGAATTTCTCTTCGCAAAATTTAAACTATTAGTAAAACTATTATTATTAGAAATTGAAATTCTTCTATTAAATGAAGAATTATCTCCATAATAATTTTCTACTAAATTAATATCAGACTTCTTTCTCTTAAATTGTTGATTATTATTACTATTATTATTAATACTTCCATAATAATTAGAATTAGATGATGATGGTAATATTAATTTTGAATATGGAGATGCTGGACTATTCATATTTGAAGAAGTGGTTGAAGATGAAGAGTATGATGTTGATTGTGAATTTGCAGGAATCGGTATTGATTTTTGAGTTAAATTAGTTTGACTCATTGGTTTAGGTAAAATTAAAACATTTTTATGTCTAGCTGATGATGAAGAACTTGAAATATATGAATTATTTCCATTATTATTAGGGGTTTGCATTGTATTTGATTTCATTATTGGTATACCACCTCCATTATAATTAGAATTAAATTTGACTCGATTATTATTGTTAAATACATTATTTGGTAAAGAACTTGAAGCATGCATATAAGCCGCATTAGCAGGAAGAATTGAAGGTTGTTGTTGATGAGATTGTTGTTGAGAATTTGATGGTGTTATGGCTGATGAAGATCTACGAGATGATCTCTTTTTAATCACATCAGTCTTTAAACTTAATGGACGAGTTGTTCCATGTAATTTGAAAAATAATCCACAAGCATTACAAAGGGTATTCCCGAGATGATCTTTTCTCCAAAGGGGGGTATTCAATGTATGACAATTATAACATTCAGTTCTATTATTGTTATTATTACTAGTATTATTATTGCTATTATTACTATTATTATTACTATTGGACGTAGATTCAGTACTTTCAGTCTTAAGCTTAGTTAATGATGATGTTAAATTAGATTTAGTAGTATTGGTGGTGGTTGAAGGTTGTGATTTAGAAGTTAATGAAGAGCTGGATGAGGCATTGGTGTTTGTATCGCTATTGTGTCTTGAGCTAGATTGAGAAGAAGTAGCCATAGAATTTGGAGATGAATCATCATTAATAGATGCTGGAGTATTTATTTGAACATTATTAGTACTAATTTTTCTATAGCCTGTAGTATTATTGGTATTATTGGTATTAGATTTTAATGGAGATGACTTCGTGATTGTATTGGTAGTAGTAGTTATAGTTGTTGTATTAGATTTTGTAGATGGAATATAAGGAGAATTTTTCAAATCATCTATAGAAAGTGGACTCAATAAGTCAAGAACTTTATCATGCTTTCCTAAAGATGGTGAAGAATCAGTAGTATCCATTTGCTGTTGTTCAAATACCATATGATTTAATTGAGATTTTGAATTTTGTTTACGTAACTGACGATTTTCTACTCGAGGTTGTAATGATAATAATTTCTTTGCTGAATAAAATAATTCTACTATAGATGGACCTCCATCAAAGGATTCTTGTGGAGATGATGAAGTCATGAACTAAAGCCGGTATAGGTGAGTGAATATTAAAAATGTCTTATAGTTAGTTTTTGTCTTGAAATTATAATGAGTTGGAGAGGCAAAACGTGACTGTTTCCGAGATTACAACTATACAGTGGTTGGCTGATTGTTGTAGACGGATACAAGTACTTGCTGGTGCTCTAACCGATGAGTAATGGATAAGATTTGGTTGAATTAATTAATTAATTAAGGGGATCTTCAAAAATTGTTCTAAAATTTTTCTTTCTTTTTCTTTTTTTGTCGTGGATATTTGTTTGTTTTTGTCTGTCTCACTTAATTTAAGGTGACTAAATTACTAGTGAGTAGGAAATTAGAAATAGTTAGTGAATCACGAGATATGAGCAACAATCGTATAGAAGAATAGTTAACAATATTGTTAATTAGATTCAACAAAACTATATGACAAGCAAAATAGAATAGAATAGAATAATTGATGAGATATAGAAAGTCACTAGAGACTTTATGAAAATTTTTATTAATCCGGTTATGAGAACAATAGTACAGTAGATTTATTAATTAACATGATTATTTTGTCTGTTATGTATCCTGGAAAGAACAACACCACGCTTACGTAAGCCCCCAAATGTCATGCCTGCCCAAGTGTCTGTCCGAGCATGTCATGTACAGTATTTAATTTATATTTTTTTTGTTATAATTATACAGTAATAATTTCTTAATTTCTTAAACTGGTGATCTCACTAGTCGCCTCCCTTTACTAACTATGTGACTTATCAAATCTAACATTTAACAGTTGTATAGCCACGGTTAGGAGAGGTTAGGTTTAATACTAGAATTAAAAATTAGAATCATAAGTCCGTGCCACCACACTACGAGTCAGAAGTTATTTGAGTCAGTTCCTGAGTCTCGAGTCAATTAATTTTTAATTAATCCATATATGACACAAATAGAAAGGGTTCCGAGAAATATGACAAATCCGCTACAAAATGTCTTTGTTTGTCGCATACTATAATTTATCTTGAGACAATGATATAATAAGTACTTTTATATTTTGTTTGTTTGTTTGCTTATGTATGTAATATGTATGTAATTACTGTTCTAATATACAAGATTTGGGATCCTATTCTTCCCCAACGACGCCATCATTACTATTATTATTATTATTATTATTATTGTTGTTGTTGTTGTTGTTGGTATTATTATTATTGTTGTTATTGTGGGATTTATACCTACGATAAGATGAATGATGACCATGGTGATGATGATTGTTACTATGTGAATGTCCATGATTTCTATTACCTTGATGATAGTGATTATTTTTACTTCCATCTGATTTATCTCCATTGGAATTATTTGTACCATTACCACTTGATTCTCCAATATCTGAATGTAATCTATATTCAAATGAAACTCCATAAACTCTTTCATTTGATCCTGAATCAATGGTATCAATACAATCTGATCCTTCTCTAATTGCATCACATTCTCGAATTACTCTTAATATAGAATCACAAATAATTCTTCTAGCTTGAAATGGAGTTAATTTCTTTGATTCTTCTTTTTTACTACTACTTTTACCATTAAAATTTAAATTAGAATTCCAAATACTAATAATATCTTCTTCTCTTCTAACACTAAGAACTAATCCACTAATATCATTTAATAATGATTCTTCATATTCACTTTCAGGAATTAATGATCCTGTCACAGTTTTTAATAATAATCTTTCCCAAATTAAACTGGTTCTCTTTCTAACACTGGTAGAACTTTCATCTTCTCCATTATTATTATTATTATTATTATTATTATTATTATTACTTGTAGTATTTGGTCGACGATTAAATCGGAATATCCATCTACCACCTTTAGTATTAATTGGATCTTCCCATACTGGACTTACACCACTTTTAAAAATAAGAAATTCAGTTCCAAATGATAATTCATGACTCTTTTTAATCCATGATAAACTAGTCCATAATTGTTCTATACTAGCAATGGAAACTGTATTATCATCACCTTGTTCAACATTTGGAAATGATATTTCAGTGGTGGTTTGTAAATATGAATCAACATTGGCAGCTGGTAAAGCAGGTAAAACATTAGATACATCATCTGATTCTTTATGATGTTGTTGTTGACGTTTTAATCTTGTTCTTGAATGATGCCACATAGTCCAACAATAGTCCAAAACATGATGATCTGATGGAATTGTGCTTACGATTTCTTCACTTAATTTAATTGGATCACGTTTAGGTAATAATAATTCTTGAGATGTATTATTGATATCAGAATTATTAGTCTCATTATTAATGAAAGAATTGAGGGTAGTTGAACTTGAACTTGAATTTGTCATGATATTATTAGTATTACTATTTCTATGAGAATGGTGATGATTTCCATTTTTACCATTACTATTTCCATTATTATTATATGATTTATAAGATTTATTGGTATTGGTATTGGTATTGGATTTGACTGAGCTAGTAGTATCAGTTGTTCCTTGATTTTGATTCATTATTCTATTGAACAAAGATTCTGCTCTTTTTAAATTCTCAGACATTATGAAGGATTATTTGCTATTTGCTATTTGTTATTTGTTATTAGTTATTTACTATGTATATGTATATGTATGTGTATATGTCAGAATGCTATGCTTTTAATATGCTATTAAATTATAATGTACAAGATGGTATGATGTTATGCTATGAGTGACTATTTTAAAATATCCTGGGATTGGTTCCAGCTAAGATTATGCTATACGTTTGTAAATTTCTTGTTTTCTATTGGACTATTTGATATGACTGACTGAATGATAGAATTCCTATTACTATTACTATGCTATGTTACCTATGTATGGACGGTTTCTAGTGCCTTTCCAATATATATTAATGCTGGAGATATGAATATGACCTGCTTGTGCTGTTAGCTGAAACTTTTTCGTTCTTCGTTCTGTTCTGTTCTGTTCTGTTTTTTCTGTCCGGCATGAAAAATTTTTATGGCTAATTTAGCTAAGCTATGTTAAGCTAAGCAGAGGCATGGATGTTTAGCTTTTTTTTTTAATGATTACTGGGGTAGCAACTCTTTACTATTACTGTATTATACTTAATTTATTATACTGAATTAATTATAATAAACTAAACATATATATATTGATAGATTACAGAGTATTAAAAAGTTTATGCCTTAGCATAATAATGTAAATAACCTCCTAAAGTCTTACATCCATTGATATAATTAGATACATCTAATTTTTCATTAATTGAATGAGCTCCATCATCACCTCTACCCATTGGTAATAATAATACATCAACTCCTAATTCCTTTTCAAAAGTTAAAGTAATTGGAATTGATCCACCTTCTCTAGTGAAATCAGGAACAATGTTCCAAACATCTTGAGTAGCTTTAGAAGCAGCTTGGAATGAAGCATTAAATGGATCACTAACCCAATAATTACCATCATGAATTAATTCAATCTTAAATTTATTTGGTGATCCAAGTTTAGCAAATTGTTCTTCAGCAAATTTAAATACTAATTCATCTAATTTTTTACTTTCAATATTTGGAACAGTTCTAATAGAAAATTTACCTATAACTTTAGCAGGAATAACAGTTTTTGCACCTGATCCACTAAATGCTCCTTCAATACCATGTAAAGATAATGATGGATATCTCCATCTATGTTTTAAAATATCTTTCTTATTATCATGTAAAGAAGTTTTAGATCCTGCAGCAGCATTTAATTCTTCAACTGAAAAATCAATTGCATCATATAATTTATCTTCTTTATCAGTTAATGGAGCCACCATATCTTTAATACCAGGAATTAAAATTTGACCAGAAGAATCAACTAAAGTTGATAATACTTTAATTAAATCAGTCATTGGTTCAGCAATAATACCACCAAAAATACCACTATGTAAATCAGCTCCTGGACCTTCAACTATAACTTGATAATAATTACATCCTCTTAAACCATAAGTTAAAACTGGTTTAGTAGTACCTAACCAATAATTATCAGAAATAGTAACTTGTTCAACATCTTTAAAATATTGTTTAGCTTCCTTAGCAACTAATTCATCTAATCCTAATGATCCACTTTCTTCCATACCTTCAAAACAAACAACTAAATTAACTGGGAATTCCCAACCTAATTCACGATGAGCTTGAATAACATTTAACCATCCAATAACTGGTCCTTTATCATCAGTTGATCCTCTACCGTATAAAATATCTTTAGCAGTATCATGATACATAGTAAATGGTTCAGTAGCCCAACCATCTTCTTTTAAAGCAGGTTGAACATCATAATGTCCATAAACTAAAACAGTCTTTTTAGCTGGATCATTACCATATTTACCTAATACAATAGGTGGCAATTGTAATTTTGGATCATTAACTGGTGGAGGTTGAATACCTAAATCTTTTAATTGAATATCATCAAATCCTAAATTAGTTAATTCTTGAACTAAAAAGGCAGACATTTCAAAAACTTTTGGTCTAAGACTTTCATCTCCCGATACTGATGGAATAGCAATGGCTTTCTCTAAACGACTAATGAATTGTGGTTTCAATTCATCGATCTTAGCGAATAATGGTTCTAATGGTAATTTATCGTATGACATTTTGTCTTCGAGTAATTAGACTATATCAATTGGTACTTAATTACTGATATTTTATATTCTTCAATTTAACAATAAACGGTCTTTGAACTCATTCACTGTCTGGCCCCCCCTCTGTCTCTGTCTCTGTCGGGGATCGATGCACCCATGCCGCATCAAAATTTTTTTTTTCTCGGTCTTGTAGCCGTTTGTGAGTATGGCAAATAAGGCACTTTGAATATGTCAATTTCGAATGCCCTTTAAAGTCTTGCAGAAATTCCTTCTATAGCCGTGATTTACTTCGGTTTTGTTTGTGTAGCTAATACTGCAATATATGACATACATTCGAAATCTATTAACTTTTGTTACTGTAATAATAATATGACTTAAATGTGAAAATGGTAAAAGAGTAAGAGTAATCATGTCACCTGCCCAATGTCACACCTTTTGAGACGCGACATAAATTCCTAATGAAAAATTCGACATTGTCGTACTCCAATATCTGTATACATCTGTAATAACATATTTTAATGAGTTGCAAATTGAACGATAAACCATGATTGAACAAGTTTAGTGGCAATGTCAGAATCAGACTCCGATATAGATCCTATTGACACCACTAGTGAAGAAGATGATGATAGCGATGAAGATTTCAATTTAATATCTTTCATCACAGGGAATGTTCTGACAACTTCAGAAAATAATGATCATAACAATCATGATGGAGAAGAAGAAGAAGAAGGAGCAGTAACAAAATCAAGAAAACTTCTTATTACAAGATCTAAAGCTTCAATTGTGGAGAGTGTACTGAAACGTATAAAGTTTAGTCCTTCTATATCAACTTCAAATAATAAAAAGAGAAATGGTAAAGATGATGGAAGTGATGATGATTTCAATATTCATTTACCTAGTGTATTTGAAACCGATGGAATAAAAAATGATAAGATTCGAAAGAATGATGTAATAATAAAGGAAGATTTTGTTACTGAAGAAAGTCAATTAAAGAAAGACTTTGAGAATTTATTACTTAAAAAACAACAAATCCTTACTGAATTAAATGATAATGGATCTCATGATATTAAAATATTCACCATAGAAAAAGATGAACAATTAGTTGAAAAGATATTAAAGAAAGGTTATAAAAATCAAAATAATCGACATTTTTATTTTATTAATAATGTTCATAAAATTCATAATGAAGATGGAAATCTTTCTTGGAACTCGTTACCTTTTGTACTAAATGATTTCTTCTTTTATAATTTAAGTACAATATCAGATTCCAAAGTATATGCTAAGCATATGAAATCTATACTTAATTACTGCTTGATAAATATTAATCATGTGGATTATCTAAGTCAATTAAATAAACTATGTGAAAATTTAGTTTATGTACGAGCAAAAGACATTAAATCAACTATTCTGGAATATGAATTTTTAAATTATTTAAAGCTAGTAGGATGTAATGTTGAATTAATTGAATCTCAACTCACGGAGCTGGTTTTACCATCATTGCCTATAAAATTAAATCATTTTAATAACAATTTGGAATTGACACTTATTCGACTTCAACTCATCTTTAATATTACATTGATCCATATTAAGGTAGAGAAAGATGATTCTAAATTTGAGAGATTATTATTATCTATGCTAAAGGCATTTTTATTAATAATCTGTGATTTCAATGTTAACAAAAAGCAATTCCCATTATTGCTAAACTTTATTAGATCAATATTTCCGTTTTTATATTTTGAATTCACAGTTAGAGAACCTTATAAAGATCATGAAATTAAGTTCCTAGAACTTTTAAATAAAATGTTACGAGAATTAACTACGTCGCTATATGGAATTCAACAGATATCTTCCAATAAGAGATACGATTATGAACTCCAATTCAATATAATTAGATTATTAAGTATATCATTTGGAACTTCTTCAGATGTATCTATTCATAAATTCATTAAAAATTTATCAATTTCTTTTATCCTTGATGGAGATCATCATGGGATTTCAGATGATGTTGATAATAGTAAAAAGCAACTTGATTTAACTCCTAATATATCCATATTGGAATTAATTTTCAAGAAACTTTTATCTATGGATTTGGTTAAAGGACTTGAGAATAATGATCCACAAGTTATTAATCAAGTACATAGTACTCACTACAAGATTCTACTATTAAATCATGTTCTACTTCGATCATATATAGATAACAATAATAATACAGGGAAAACTATAGATACATTTGAACAAGTTAGACAAGCTAATGTCAATCGATTGAAGCTGCTTATAGATATGATTGATAGACTTAAAACAAAGATTTACGATAACATTCGACAAATCGGATACGTGGATGCTAAATTATCATCAACACAACATCAACTGCTGAATCCAGTTAATATAGAAGAGTTGGTAAAACATGTGACGGATTCCTTCCATACATTAAATTACTTATATAATAAGTTTGATAATGACTTGTATCCGATTAATTTTGATATATTCTATAATAATTAGAGTAATTAGAGTAGGATAATTAATCAGTTATGACTAGTGTAATGGTGTAATAGAATAATAAAAAATAATATATAAATAGTTCATATGTATAGTATACATATGTGTTACTACTCGTAAGACATACCGGAAGTAGTAATGATACAACATAATTGCTAAACGTGGTGGTTGCACATGAACGCAAAATTTAACCGGCCGGGGCTGCGATAAATAAAAAGTAATGAGCACGAAGTTTGATAACCGATTCAACCATTTTCTCCGAATTAATATAATAATAGCTATAAATTATAATTATATTATATTCATAATTATATAATATTCTTTATACAGTTACAGTTTAATTTATTATAGTTTATATACATATATATATATATGCATATTGTTTAATATTAGTTCCAACATCATGACAAGCTCATCTTTCGCATCCTCAATTACTGGAGAACCAGTTTTATATGAGAATCCAGAAATTCAACATAATGAACAAGTTAAACCAGGTACTATAGTTAAATTACCATTTGGATATGGTCCATTACCAGCAGAAATTAAGAATAAAAAGATCTTTTATTTTGATATTGATAATTGCCTTTATAAACGTTCTACGCGTATTCATGATTTGATGCAAGTTAAGATTCATCAATACTTTAAAGATAACTTACAATTAAATGATGAAGAAGCTCATAAATTACATATGAATTATTATAAGACTTATGGTTTAGCCATTGAAGGTTTAGTTCGTAATCATAGAGTTGATGCTTTAGAATATAATTCAAAAGTTGATGACTCATTAGATTTAAATAGTGTATTATCTTATAATCCACAATTAAGAGCCATGTTAATATCATTAAAAAATTCACATAAATTTGATTACTTTTGGTTGGTTACTAATGCATATAAGAATCATGCCTTAAGAGTAGTATCTATATTAGGATTAGGTGATCTCTTTGATGGATTAACATATTGTGATTATTCAAAATTCCCTATTATATGTAAACCAATGAAAGAATTCTTTATAAATTGTTTGAATAAAACTCGAATTGATTATGAAGATAAAGAATCCTTAGATAAACAATTCTTTATCGATGATAGTGAACTTAATGTTAAATCTGCTTTTGATTTAGGGTTTGGTAATGTGATTCATTTTGTTGAAGTACAATCAGAGTATGAAACCTTAATTCAAAAACCAGATTATTCAAAATACTATAAAGGTAATGAAGATGGAAGAAAGATCCATATTATTAGAGATATTTTAGATTTACCAGATGTTTTATAAGCCAGCAGTGATATATATATAAATCTATATATATATATTATATTATATATAGGTATTGGCTTTTTTCCTGCTTTCAGTTTCTTAAATAGAGTAATAGAGTATTTAGATGGTTTTCTCTAGTATACGAAATCTAGCCTTTTTAACACTTATTAAATATTGATCACTAACCATATAACCATATTTGGCAGCGGGTGGTTTGAAGCCACTGTTTGCAAAAAAGTCGTGTGAATCATCGCAAAGAAATTTATCAGCAATACTTTATCAGTTATCAATATAGTACTAGCAGAGTATTGAATATGACTTCTAAAAAAGTGACTAAAGCTTATATTGGGAAGATTCTCTTTCTTCACGGGTATACTCAGTCATCATCAATTTTTTATGCAAAGACTTCAGCTTTACGTAAGAGACTTACAAAATTAAATTATAAATGTGTATATCTTAATGCTCCATTAAAGTTAACTCCGGCTCAATTACCGTCTAATGATGCATTATCAAAATTTGCATCTGTAGTACATAATGATGAAGATGATGACACAGAATATAGAGCATGGTGGGTTAAGCCACAAAATACAAATGATGGGATTTCTCTAGACGATGCTATTGATACTATTAAAAATTATATCAGAAATGGAAAATTAATTGCTGATCCTGATTTAAATCAAGATAATGATGAAGAAGATGAACAACTTAAAAGTTTACCTATAACAGGAATAGTTGGATTTTCTCAAGGGGCATCTTTGGCAGGGATTTTAATTCATAAATTTAAAGATTTATTTAATGTACCACCACCAAAATTTGTGATAATGTATAGTGGATTTAAATTAGATACTAGTGTTAAATCAGGAAATGATAAGTATGATGATTATTATGCCAAAGAAGATAAAAAGATTAATGATTATAATTATTTACACGTATATGGAGAATTAGATACTGTTGTTGATGAAACTAGATCGTTATCATTATATAATATAACGAAGTCAAATTCTGTATTATTAAAACATCCAGGAGGACATTTCGTACCTAATTCAAAAATTTATATTGATCAAGTTACTAATTGGATTCAAGTTGTAACTAAAGAATATGAAGCTAAGGATGAAAATAAAAAGAAAACTGTTGCAGTAGATGATGATATAGATTCATTATTGGATATGATCGATAATTTGGGTAAGGCTTAATCAATATGAGACTGTATAAATAGAGATGCTTAAGTCATAGAATAATTAATATATAGTAAATTTAATATGAATTTAATAGAGCCCAAGATTTTTTGCAATAAAAAATTCTCGATCTTTCTATTAGGTAAAAATCAGTGCGACATTACAAAAGATTTATGCTACATCTATTAAAAATTAGAAACTTTTCACATCCATTATACTACGACAAATATGCCTAAGATAGATATTATCAAACATGGTTGGAGTCATACGGTAATAAACAAACCATATGGTATATCAAGTTTTGGAAAAGAAGCAGGAGGTGCTTTCGATCAGCTAGTACTTGAAGGTAAATTGAATCCAGAAGATATACCCAAATTTAGGTTTGTTACTAACTTGGGAAGGAAACAAACAGGAGGAGTCATTGGAACAGCATTTCAGACATTCGCCTTCAAGCACCACAGTGCAGCAAGGCGGCGAGGGATGTTTTATGAAAAAATAGACGATTGTCAATTCTCTTTCAGAGCACAATATGTTGGATTATTCGCCTTACCAGACACTGTCGATATTAACAATTATTTCGAACTGATAAGACTGCGTTATTTTAAAATAAATACAATAACCATGCAAGGTTTCATTGATTCAGATGTTACAATGGTTGAACAGGAAGGATCTGTTAAACTTATTAAGACTCGTCCTGCCGAAACTTCTTTCACTATTTTGGAAGGGAAAAGGCCAAGCACCGATCTAATTGACAAATATCCAAAATTATTTAAATCAAAAATTATATATCCAATAATAATGAGGCCAGTAAGACGGAATTTTGATAATCAGATTATGAGTCATTTTAACGATAATTTTGGCATTCCATTTCTTAATGATATAAATTATAAAGCAGATAAAGGTCATGAACTAACTTTTGGAAGAGGAAACTTTCATTTGGAACCTTCAATTTTTAAATCTGATCAAATCGCTCTTCATTGTGCACATATTCATATCGGTCAAAGAAAACTAAAAGAAAATTTTATGTTCCCTATATATAATAAAGAAGACAGAGAATTATGGACGGGGTTTTTGCAAGAGGATGGATATTTTATAGATGAAATACAGTATAATTTGGTAAATTATGCCAAACGATTCCAAAGAAAAGCAGATTATCCATTCCCTATATTCAAGGCTTTGGGTATTACTAAAATTCATAAGTAGTATAATTAAATCTTTGAAATGATTTGATGGATCATAAGAAATTACTTACTGTATATATAAATAAATATAATCATCATGTATTGATGAATTTAACGTATAACATAAAAAGTTTGGATTTTTATCCTTATCACTTATATTGAACTAATAACAACGTATATACATGAAAATGCAATATTAGTTCAAATCAAAGTTCATCATGTGGAACTTGCTTCTTCACTTTCTTACCAGATCTATAATTAGAGTAGTACTTCTTTTCTTTCTTGGATAAGGGCCCTTCTACTGGTTGTGAATTAGTTTCATCCACAATCCATTGAGATATCTTCTTTTTGTTATTCAATTTACCATTTTGAGAATATCTCTTAAATGTTGAAGTAGAATCATCATAATATAAAAGTAAAGGTAATGATATATTTTCAACATCTGTGCTTAATTCTACTTCTTTTCCATCTATTTCTATGTGATTTGGAATGTCTTTGACATTTTTAATAGTAACAGTACCGAATTTAACACTACTTAAAAAGTCGATTGCAAGCGATTTAAATAATGGACTTACTTGGGAGTTAGATGTTAATAATAACACTTTAGAAAATCCAGAATTCACATCTCTTCCAAGCCAAGCTTTTAAGGATTCACTATTGATATTATGGAATCTCTTAGTATAATTCTTGAGCCTTGATGTGACAAATGACACCATAGCTTTTAAATTTCTTTCACCATTATAAATTTCACTAGCTGCTCTAGTATTTTTAACTTCATTTCCTGAAACATACTTAGGAGGTCTAAAGACCATAACTGTAGGGAAACCTTGTACTTGATATTGAGAACATAATGGTTTATTATATTCTTTATCACAATTAACTGCAGCTACATTAACATCATATTGACTATCTTCATGTAAAAATTTACCTAACTTTTTATATACTGGCTTTAACTGTTGACAGTAACCACACCAAGGAGCATAGAATTTAACAATGGAAGTATAGTTTGTTTTATGAATAACTTTATCAAAATTGCTAGGGGTTAATTCAAAAATATTGGGATCATCTTTGTATTCATCTTCAGTGGCCCGAGCAACTATAACAGCTACTAACTGTATCACTAATAGCAAATGAGTCCACTTTATCATATACATTTTATATTCTACTAGTTTCTTAACTATGATAGATCAAAAAGATTAGTAAACAATATACGTAGCAACTTTTTTCGGTGGTGAAATTTTTCAACCTAATTTCCGAACTCGAACTTTACAATTAATAAGAGAGTAGAAGAATATTTTTATTAAATCGAAGATTATGAAAATATAATTGAAAGATGCCATTTTTATTCTGTTTAAAGAAACTATAAAATAGAATGCATATTTAGTTGGGTCTATTCCCAGGTTGATAGTTCTGATTCTGATTCAGATTCTGATTCCTTCTTGTATAATAATCAGAAATTCCTAATGTACACTATTAAAACCTCAATTGGTTCTAATTATTATTTATATAAAGCGGGTTTCAATATACCCATAATTAATCTAGATATCACTTCGCCATTATCTTTGTTTGTTTCTGCATCTTTTATATTTCTCTGATTAGATGTAAACACCAACATAGTTAGATACACTAATTGAACCGTACCCAATTGATAAAGAAGCAATCAATGCATAGAATATGAATGTAATTGGTGACTTACTTTTACCTATAAATGCCAAAGACAAAGAACCAAAAGCCAATATTATTAATGTCAAAGTATAAATGGCTGTTAATGGAGTTACAGAACTGAAATTAACAGGATGTGAACCGGTTGTAAAATCAGTTGAATATTTTAAATATGAAGCTCCATATGATGTCATTGTATATATATTATGATTACGGTTAGATGATAAAAGATTTTTAATCTGTTAAAACAAGTTAACTGAATAATTCGTGTCAACGTTTCCCATAGTTCGTTTAGGTGATTGAAAAATGGTACATTACACGACACTTTTTTTTGGAAGCAAATTTTACAGCCAAGTAACTTTATACTATAAATCTAATCGTTTTATTAAATCATTATAAAATTATATATACTGACAGATTCAAGAATCTAGAATTGGTTAAACCAGTAAATTTGATCAGCGGCGGTCTTTTCCTTAGCATATTTAATGTTAGGTTGAGAAAGATCACCCTTAACAGCGTAACCATGAGGAGCACCTTGAAATAAATCTAATTGCCATCTAACATCTTTCTTTTCAGATAAGATTTTAATAGTTAATTCTCTTAATTCTGGAGTAAATGCAGCATCAGCTTCACCACTTGAGATTAAAAGAGGTTTAGCAAGGTTTTGAACAAGAACTTCAGAAACCATTGATGGATGAGCCACAGCACCAGCATCTAATAAACCACCTTCAGCAAGATTTTCAATAGTGAAGTAAGCACCAAAACAATAACCAATTCCAAAAAGCTTAGAAGGTTTATATTCAGCACGGAATTTAGTTAAGAATTCATTAACTATTGGGGTAGTAACATGAGGACCATGAGCACCAAAGAAAGTGGTTCTATCGAATTTTTCAATTGATTCAACTGCATCTCCACCTAAAATATCTGGAATGATGACTTGAATGCTACCTAAAGAAGATAAATAATCAGCAAGCAATAAATTGTTCTTTAAAGCAAGACCAAAAATGTCACTGAGAATAATAATAACTTTTTCATTACCGAAAGATTCACCAGTAACATAAGAGTGTAAACCAGCCACGGTTTTTAAAGATCCAACAGATTCACCTTCGTGATCGAATTTAATAGCACAACAAGCACTTGGAGGTAAAGAAGCCATATTAAGGATGAATGGTTTATATGTATATATATATAGTATAAGAATTAATGAAGGAAAATAGACAATTCAACCGTGTACAGTGATCTTTGTTGGTTTATATACTTTTAATTTTATTTCATTGATATTGGTATCTCAAAATGAAAAAGGAATTAAGTTCGGATATATCTCCCAAAAAGTGATCGGCTCGATCGACCCGCCACGCCAGAGAGATTTTGACAGCCGAACAATGTTTCTAATAAATATTGATGTTTGGATGTATGGCGACATATATAACGGTAACCGACCTTAATTTTTAGTAACTGTTGCGGAATGGATTTTCTAAGGAAGTACCAAGGGTTTCAAAAAAAGAAAAAGGAATATATTGCGGCATAGGTTTGTCTAACGTTAAGAATTTCAAAATATTTAATAAGCGGATCCAGGTCTAAGCAAGAGCTGCAAATATTGACCCACGGCTTTATTACTAGAAATGTCTGATTCCGGTTGGAATACAATTGATTCAGATGCGGTAAGTAAACCTATTTCATTAATTTATTATAATTTAGGATGCATATTAACAAAATTGAATTTCTAGGGAGTATTTACAGAATTAGTGGAGAAATTAAATGTTTCTAATATTGAAATCAATGATCTTTATTCAATTGATTCAGACTCTTTACGAGCATTGAATCCAGTTTATGGAGTTATTTTCTTATTCAAGTATGGACCTGTAGATCGAAAATATGCCAACGATGGAAATAAGCCATTAGAAGGAGAGTATGATATTGACTATCAAACTAAGGATATTTTCTTTGCCAATCAAACAATTCAAAATAGTTGTGCTACTCAAGCAGTATTAAATATATTATTGAATAAATATAAGGAAGTAAATATTGGAGAAGATTTATCAAATTTCAAATCATTTGTGGTTGGATTTGATAGTGGTATGATTGGTGAAACCATACTTAATAGTGAATTAATACGAACAGTTCATAATTCGTTTTCTCCACCATCATCATTTATAGATATTGATAAGGCAAAACCACCACCAGATTATTATGATAAAGATGATGGAATATTTCATTTTGTGGGTTATATTCAATCAAATGGATATATTTACGAATTAGATGGATTAAAGAATTATCCAATTAAACATATTGAATGTAAATCTAATGAAGAATTTTATGAAAAATTACCAAGTGTAATATTTAAAAGAATGCAACATTATGGTGATGAATTAAGATTTTCATTATTAGCTGTAACGGATAATAAATTAGAAAATGCTAAAAAATTAGGGGATGATTATGAAACTAATACTCAATTATTAAAACGAGAATCTTGGAAGCATGAAAATGAATTAAGACGTCATGATCATACAGGGTTACTAGTGCGATTATTAATTAATATAAGTAAATCTAAAAATGATAATGAATGGGAAAAATTATTATCCGATGCTAGAAAGATAGGTGGTGCTAAATTATTACAAACCATTGGTACCAAAAATAAATCTTAGATAGAATATATATTATTATATAATATCATTATATATACAGTTATTCTCCTGAACCAAAAGAAAATAATCCTACACCTGGTCCATGACCACTATGCCTTGAGAAATAATCGAAATCAATACTTATGGCATTTCCTAATAAGATAGCTCTTTGATCTAATGTTAAAGGTCCAGAAACTGATGGATATAAATCTCCCATTCCTGCAAAACTAGCAGGATCCATTCTTATTATATATACTCCAGTATCAGTAAACATTTCTCTACCTAAACCTACCCAATTTCTATCAACCGATGCAATTACATCACCAACATTATTTCGAACGGGGAAATCAAAAGATAAAAATGGGGCATCTATTTCACCAAATTGATCATACCTTTCAGTATTATCATCCTCTAATTTAAATAAATTATATCTTCTTCTCCAAAGATGCCAACTTTGAACTGATTCACCAATTGTTTCAAACATTAAATTATTATTTTCATCATAACCTGGTAAGAATGCTTTAATATGAGAATTTATAAATGAAAATGGTCTCTTTATAGTTAATAATAAATCTCCATACATATTAAATACATCAATATCAAATGGTCGATGAAGTCTAAAGAATTGTCTTCCAAGTACTTTTAATAATCCAATATCCTTTTCTTCCATATATCCAATTTGTTGTCCATGAGCATTAAATATTTTATAACGATTAGCTTGTTCAAATCCTAAAATAACATTCATGAATTCAATTTGTCTTTCAATAACTAATGTTGGTTCTTTTAATAAATCATAAATCCCATCTTCAGAAGTAATTAAACCATTTTCATTAGGTGGTATATTAAAGATTGTATGAAACAGGGAAGGTTCATCTCGATAAGCATTTGTATCTGTTGAAGGTCGTTCATGGTAATAAAATCCTCTACCTGCACCTGCACCATTGCTTTGATTATATCTCTTGACTTCATCTTCCGATATTTCACTGGTAACTCTTGTTCTTCGAGGATATTGACTAAGACTACGATTAATAAAGGTTGAGAATGATAACCGATTTGGTCTAAATGATTTAGACAGCCATAGTCTCAGACTTCTAGTTAATATCATTCTGCTTAACAATTTATCTATATAATATATATTTATTGTAAGTATCTAATGGAGTAATGATTTTACTATTCATTAAGTCATTATGCAGGAAAAGTGGGACCCAGGGACTGCTACTACAAAGGACAAAAAAATCAAAACACAACAGAAACAACAACACCTTTAATTAGTGACTAATAGTTAAATACCTAAAAGTCGGGTAATTGATATAATGAGAGTTCCATCCAGAAGAGCCGAGATCCGTGCAGCATTGAGAGCACGAATAAAGCAAATTTCAGAGGATGATTCTGATCTTGAACGAGGTGATTTAAGTGAGCATGAAGTATTAGATAAGTATAATGATGATGCTACCAATCATCTATCGAAAAAATCTAGTTCAGTGAAAAATAAGGAAGACAAGAAAGTTGATATAGTTAAGAAGCCTAAACAAAGAGGACCAATTAAGAAAGATATTATTGTTAAGAAATCTGAGGTTGAAAAGGGGTCAATTGAAGTTGATAAAGATGTTCAAGTAGAAGTAGAAGTAGAAGATGATGAATTGGATAAAAGAGAAGAAGAAGATTATTCTAGTGTAGATGATGATGATTTTGAACCTGATGCGGCTGAAGATGATGACGAAGAAGAAGATGATGACGATGATGATGAAGCTGGTGAAAAGAGTCTGAAGGAAGAATCATCTGGAACTAGAAAGAGAAAGAAAACATCAGATACAGCTAATACTACAACATCAACTAAGATTAAAAAGACTACTAAACGACAGAAACCGAGCCTTAAAGTTATATCTGACGGACTGGTTGATGAAAAGACATGTCCTGTCTGTGCTCAAACATTTCCAACTGCAGTTGATTGTAAAAATCATAAACGATCACATTCTAAACCAAAAATCCATAAATGTGAAATATGTCATAAAGCATTCAGTCAAATGCCTAACTTAGAGTATCATTATACTATTATACATAAAGATCTTCAAGTTAATGGTGCTGGAAAAGTTATTATTGATGAAAATGTAGCACCAATTCAACAAGGAGAAGAAACAGTTGAAGGAGAAGTTAAACCAGAAATAGATTACACCCAACTTCGAGTATTCCATTGTGGAATTGTAGGATGTACAAAGACATTTTTATCGTATGAATTATTATTAAAACATCGAGAAACAGATCATTTAACAAAAACTCGAATGACTTATAAACATCCCAAAACGGATAAGAAACATAAATGTACTTTTGAAGGTTGTGACAAAGCATTCGTAAAATATTCAGATTTAACTCGTCATGTTCGAGTTCACACTGGTGAAAAACCATTTCAATGTGAAGATTGTGGTGCAAGTTTTAATCAGAAATATCGTTTAACCACTCATTTAAGATCCCATAGTGGTGAGAAGCCTTTCTCGTGTAGTTATTGTGGGAAATTATTTGCTCGTGGTGATGCAGTAAAATCCCATATATTTTCAGTTCATCGAGAGAAGGGTGAAGCTTTTTAATTAAAGAATGAATTGCAGTTATGTAGTATTTACTATCTATAATATATGTTTGTATGGTTGGCCCCATATAACAAAATAAATTTAAATTTAAATTTAAACTAAACATACGCCCCATATTTATTCGGATAATCTTTTACGTCAATATAAACGTCATTATCATATTGTCCAACCAAGTATTGATCCATGAATTCGGCCCGTTTTGCAATACCTTCGATTTGGTTTTGCATATGAAGTATGAGTCGATGTGTTAGGTCCCTCGGTTAAAAGGATGCGAAAAATATTACCTTTGAAAAATTTTGGAATCGTATGAGTATTTGCTGAAAAGGATGTTTGACTACTAAGATGCTAAATTGCTTCAAATGACTCTGACTCTCACTCTATGTGACATATTACTGAATATTTTTGAATTACTAATAAATAAATAAATAAATAAATAATATAAAAACTATATAAATAACTACTGCAGTACAACTACTAGTAATTTTGTTTTTTGCGGGGGTAGATTGCTTTTCTATAACCTGTAGTAGAAAACTAATTCCATTACAATTTTTTATCAGCAGCTAAGGCTAATTTGGAATTAGAATTACCATTTAAAAGATCCTTCATGAATTCATAGACAGTAAAAGTAACAGCTTGACCTGGAGCCACTCTCATAATTCTTGGAGTAATACCCTTATATAAGGCTCTTGTACCTTCTTCCTTAATTAATTGTCTACCAATTTTAACAATACGAACTAATCCTGATTCGTTAGAAGCAAATGTGGTTTTCTGTAATCTTGTTTTAATTGTATCTAATGGAGCATTGGATAATGGACCTAATGCACCAGATACTAACCCAATTAAAGATGTTTCCCATGATGGTAAAATTTCTTGTTTATGATAATCTTGTAAATATTCCTTTAACTTAGAGTATACAGTGAAATTAACCCCTTGATTAGTAGCTTGTCTAGCAGCAGTTAATGAAACACCACGATACAAAGTCTTAAAACCTTCTTCTCTACAAATCAAATAAGCAGCATGAGGAGCATTTCTATATTTGGGAACATCAAGAGGATCAGCCATAGAGTGATGTTGAGCTTGTAATCTGATTTTAACAACTTCCATTGGGTTAACAACCATTACTGCTTCAGTTATACCAGCACCTACACCGGCCAAAAATGTTTGACCTGTTGTAATTGATCCATCTGGAGCATAAAGTAAAGAACGATAAAATTCATAAGAAGAAAATCTGATTCCCATCTTTGGAACAATACCGATCACAACGGCACCTAACCCTTTATAAAGAGATAAAAATGTTTCCTTTTGAGCAATGTTTATACCAGTTCTAATAAATCCGGGAGGTTTCTTACCTGATTTACGATATAATTGCATTCTAACTTTAATGGTATCTAATGGATGACAACATAAAGCTTCAAATAATCCAGCAGTACCACCGGCAACTAAATCGGTGACACCTCTACTCTTCTTTTGAGGTTTAGCAGTGGTTGATGACATTTTATTATGATGGTGTTATATGCAAAAGTGAATAATTAATACAAGTTAAAAGTATATGAAAATTATGAATATATATAAGTACTAAGTTGTCTATATGGAATGAACTTAGTTAAGATTGCTTAAAACTATACAAGTCAATAAAGTGCAAAAAATAAGTTTAAAAGACGATAAATGAAAGAAGAAATACGAAATATCAAAAAATCTTATGAAAGTGAAACTGATCTGGTTTTATACTTTAAAAATCTACTACTACGAAATATCGGTTCTCATGATGAAAGTTAGTATTTGTGATAATCCGGGGTAATGCTATTTGACCAATAATAAATGTGATTCAAAGACACGACTCTCAATTTGCTTATTCCCCGGAGAAATGGAAGTCTAATTTTTTGCAGCAGTTCTTGATTTTTGGTCTTTTTTTTTTAACCCGCGGGCCACAGGGACTTTTCATATGACTATTCATGTACATGCTATTACGTTTCGGCTTTCACAGAACTTGAATCATTGGTGCATGAAATACGTAGCAAAAAGACCACATGAGGTATAACTGCACACAGTTGTAAGATTATTAATACTAATATTGTTTACTTATATGGTACGTAATTAAATTTAAGCATCATTCTTTAAAGTCCGGGGTAAGTCCAATGAGAGTCATCCTGAAAATTATATGTCGGAATGTCATAACAAAAATACCCAATGTTTTCGGAGTTCACAAGTAAACTTCAATTCCGGTTTCAGGCAAAGATGTCAGTTTTCTTAAGACAATAATCAAACTGTACAGATATACCAACTAATACATATGTTACTCGTATATGTAGATTAGTTAAATAAAATTTATATATTAAATTTTACTCTACATTTTGATTGGTGGATAGAAATAAAAAGCCCAACATGATTCAATTTTTAGAAAACAATTTTTTATTTTTCAACAAAGTCCGGAGTAAATAATTTTAGTCGGTTAACTTAATTGTCAAGCAAGATTATATGTTATGTCAGGATTGAAATACTTTGTGTCCTGTAAAATGATTTCAACAAAATAAGGTAACTGAACTTTCAAAATTGTAATACCATCATAGATTCTAATATTATTATAGCCACTTGAAAATGGATTACTTATTACTTGTTCCAATTGTGAAAAACTGTCTATTCCAATGTTTGAAAGAAAAATCATGTACCTTCTTAAGGCGATGTCGACTTTGTGATATATCGATAATGAAAATTTACTATCCTCTTCATTCGGAAACGTTTTCCGAAAATAATTTCTTAATAAATAGTAACTGGACTATAGTTAGTTCAGAATTGTATAGATATATTCTATTATGTAGTACTTACTCGCGTTCATGGAATTCACTTCCTCGAATATACTCATTAAATCCGGGATTTATTGGCTCGATAGCGGAAAGATAAACTGCAATAATATGTCCTAATTCGTAAAACGTTTTGATTTTATAATTTGGAAGTGATGGAATGCTCGATGGCATGATCGCAACATCAGATGCTTTCACAGAGTTTAAAGTATATTTAATTTGATTCTTGGAGGTACTATTTTCATAACTGTCAGCGGCAACACCATTAATAATCTGAATATTTGAAATAGAATTCGAAATGGAAGGATTTGTTCCACTAGTGGTTTGAACTTCTGGGGTAGCTATTAAGTGGAAGTCATTCATTTGGATAATAATCAACTATGTCTGTATTATGGTGTTTTGTTATAACGTCCTCTCGCAGTAATTGCAAAAAAATATATTTTGTACCCCAGACAAATGCTGCACTAGATGCAGCGAGTACATTACGTTGATACATAGAGTAGTAATAAAACATAGTATAAGAAACAATAACACTGGATTTGCAAAATAAAAGTCCTAATTATAGAAATAAAAAAAATTCAATTAAGAGTAACATAGCAATTATTCCTTTGTAGCAGGAGTTGCTTCAGTAGCAGCATGAGCAGAACTAGTTGAAGTAGAACCATCCAGTTTTTGTAATTCACTAATTCTCTTTGCTTCTTCATGTACAGATTTGACATCTTTAGCAAAATCCTTATAAAATTGATGAACTTTCACTCCATAAGGATGTTGAGCAGCTTGATCATAGTATTTTGATAATTTAGAACTATATGAAGATTTAGCGAATTGATTTTGTAAATTGGATAATTTGTCTTGAGCCTTTCCTAAATTCTTATTGAAGTCTGATTCAGGTTCTTTGGAATGAATATATTTTTCATCTAATCCACTTAAAAAGTTCTTGAAATGACTCGAGTAACCCTTTTGTTTATCAAATTCAATTGATTTATTGATAATTTTGTCACTTAAAGTATAACCGTTTGCCAACAATTGGGTGACAATAACATATTTTGGTTTCTCTTCTTGACTGATATCATCATGTTCATGTTGGACTTTATGATCACCAGTAGCTGTGGATGCAGCAACACCATCACCAACAGAATATTGTGGTGGGGCATCGATATCTTTGGAAGAAGTTGCAGCACTCGTAGTACTGATACCAGATTCAACCTTAATTGGAGTACCATCCAATTCTGCTTCATTTAATAATAAAGCAGTATCGAGAGCCTTTGGAGAAGCAAAAGTAATTTCATAACTTTGAGTTGGAGTCTTTGAAACTGCTTTAATAGATGAAATATCTCCACAGAATGAAAAGAATTTTTCAACACGTTCTTGAGTAATTCCACTTGGAATACCTGAGGCAATAATAGTTGTCATGGTATAGTATTTGAATTATAGTTCAGCTAGTTTATATCAATTGAAGCTAAAGCAATTGAATTAAGAAAAATAGGGAGTTAAATATAAACTCTTCCCTCTTTCAAAGTCAATGGTCCCCCCTATAAAAATATATGTTCTAGAAATGTTCACCACGTAATGACAAGAACTTAATTCCTTTTTTGAGTATTTGGAACAAAGTGAAATTCATGTGACCTCCTGGGGCTTGGGGGCTGGGTTAACATCTATATAGACAGAAAATAGAAAATGTATGACGCCCCAAAACGGTAAAGATAAATCCCTGTATATAAATCCAAATGCGAAAGTTGCAGCAATTGACATTGCAGAGTAACCACATGGAGGGATAATTAAATGAAGTAAGACTGATTTAAAAATATTTAAAGATATATATTACTATTTTTGTTTTAAATTAACCATCCCAAATTTTATTTTAACATCTATATAGAAACGTAGTCTACTAAGTTGTAAAGTTCTATAATAATGTTTGACCCATTGCACATCTACCAATTGCGCAAGCTGCACTTACAGTATCTAAGATATGTTCTTCAGTTTCTGCTAATAATGGATTAGTTTCAACTATATCCATTGAACTCAATAATCCTGTTTGTGCTACTTCTTCAGCAATGAATAATCCTTCTCTTAATGATAATCCACCTTCAACTCTAGTACCAGTAGCAGGAACAAATGATGGATCAATTGCATCAACATCATAAGATAAATGGATGGGACTTTTTCTTTCTGGATTAACCTTATCAAGAGCCATTTCAACAACTTTTCCAATACCATATTTATCAACATGATACATGGAGAATGAAGGAATTTTATGTTCTCTTAATATTTTCTTTTCTCCATCATCAACATCTCTTAAACCAATAAATGCTAATTTATTAGCCTTTAATTTAGCAGGAACCCAACTGAATTCAGGTGGATAACTTTCTTTATCAATTCCTAAAATGAATGAAATTGGACAACCATGTAAATTACCTGATTCTGTAGTTAATGGAGTATTGATATCAGCATGGGCATCGATCCATAATACACAAGTATCCTCATTATGTTCTAAAGCTGCACTAACAGTAGCAGTTCCAATAGAATGATCCCCTCCGATGGTGATTGGTAATTCACCGGCTTCTAAACTAGAATAAACAGAGTCATGAATCCTTTTACAACATTCACTGACAATTTGAGCATTTTTAACTCCATATTTATCCTTTTCGTTAGTTTTCAAACTTTCATAATTAGTTCCTTCAAGTGGAGATTTCACTTGAGTAGTCCAACCAAGTGAACTAATTTGTTTTTCAAATCCAGCATTTAAAATATATTCTGGTCCCAATTCTACACCTCCTTTTGGTTGCCCACCTGAAAATGGAGCGGTAATAATGGCAGCTTTCTTAGAAGGATGAAATTTATATTCGATGGCTATATTTTATATTATAGTTAGTATTACGGTTCTTCTCTGCTCATCTCCCGGACTTTTGATATTCCTTTTGTGTCAATCAAAGCCTAATAAAAGATTTAAATATATAATACTTACTGTCAGTCATTATAATGAATAAATATATGCAATAACCTAATTATGTTCTGAGGTTTTTATACTGGTGATATGTGTGAACAAGAATAATAAAGAACCAAACACGGTGGTATTCGTCAACTATATATATTTATAGAGATTGTAGCCATTGATTCATTCCATTTATGGAATATCAGTTTTCGGAAAGTGACCGCGAAGGATGTTCGCCATAAATTGAATTTTATGGACAATGATAGTTAATGGAAAGAAACTGCGAAAAAATGTTACACTTTGTCACTGATCAAAATTGGAATCTTCGTAGATGGATAAGTCGGGGTAACCTTGAAGCGATGTGGAGGTATTTGTAGCTTAGACGAATGACTATATTCTTAAGCTTAGAGAGAGTTGAATATGGAGTATAAGTTATTTGACATGAATGATCAAAAAGATCGACAGGCACAAGTTCAATATTTATCTAAAGTTTATATTGAGGTTATAGATTATATATATGTCATTCAATATTAATCTAATCAAAAGCATCAAGACGCATTAAATGCCTAGTAATTACATGTTCTACATAAGAGCGCGTTTAGTTAACTTTAATGGAAATACCACCGAGCTTTTGTACACACTCGGGATCCAGGTGTATGTTTTTGTTTCTATATACAGGTGTGTATAGGTAGCGCAAGAGTAAATAGTTGCGAAAAAGGGCAAGATTACCATATATAAATTAGTTCAAAAACTACACATCATGAGCCTTCTTCTTATTTACGAATATGGTCTGTTCAGTATTACAAAAGTTGCAAGACTTCATGGTCGGACCTTGCACCACCAAAGAGGTAACATGCTTAAATTCATCCGCACTGTTGCCCGAAATAGCTTCCAGCTTGGAATCTTTGCCTGATGAAATTTTGTCACAAATTATAGACCACTTGAACCAACTCGATGTAGTTGATCTCAGTCTCGTCAACTCTAGATTATATCTGCTTTGCATGAATAAATTGTACAAGAGAAAATTATATTTTGTACCACGGGGCCGTACCATCATTCATCGGAAATTGAATACATTTACACATACAAATTTTACAATTGTAAATGATTGCACATTTCCCCAACGAGGGAACTTTAAAGAATCGGTTATAATTTGGACCATAGATTATTTACAAAGTAATATAGATATATACAATAAATTGGAAGGATTGGATCAAATGACATTTGAAAAATTTTCACTATTACATCTACGACTAAATCGTGAGCCTTCTTATGACTTCGTTGATCAGATAAAGAAAATGGCAAACAAATTAGGACATATAAGAAATGTGGAACTTTTATTAGACGAACCAAATATCAGAGCAATACATGATTTACAGGGAATCTTTACAGGAGTAAGATGCTTGGCTTTAAGAATTTATACTAAAGAACAATTTCCTTTACATTCAATCTTGCCTTTATTTTGTCCTGAAAAAATCCAAGAAATTCAAATAGATACTGATAGGTGCTTACATGAAAACCTCATCAATTTGATAAAATTATTCCCAAATATAGAAACTCTTATCGTGAATTCAATATCTCCAGTCCTTTCAAATGAATCTTTGGAACCGTTGTCTAATACTCGCCTTCAAAAGTTTAGTCTATTCGTAGACCATGAATATGCAATAACCATGGTTGACTACTATATTGGATTAGTCAAGGACTTACTTAATCAATGTGGCTCGACACTTCAACTTGTTAGATTTGGCATGTATCCAACAACATTTTTAGAGGTCGACTTGTTTTGTGGTCCAAAGAAAATTGACTATAAAGAAGTCAAGCAAGACATTAGGAACTTGGTATACTGGGTAAAAGAAAGGTTACATGAGTATCCAAGACTACTGTATTTCACATTTTACAATTATCTGTTCTTTATAGACAGACAAGTAGAGCCATGTGAATGGATTGAAATCAGTGGATGGGAGTTGTGAAATCGATGCAATATTCTGCAGATTAGAATCGATTCTTTCCGGCTTAGAAAATAATCCAAAAGCACCCTATGTAGTCAAATATAAGCTATTTGCAATTGTATATTTAGAGGAGGAAATATGACCGTTTGTTTGTCGTGCTACGAGACATAATTTGCGACATTAAATTAACATCTCATCCAGTCACACGACCGTTGAAAGTTCGACAAAACCGACCTGGCACTAATGATTTCAGTTTTGAAGTATTTTTTTGACATATTAGTAGGTCTTATTTTGACTTGCAGATATATATTTCTAACAGATCCGGTATAGTTTTGCAGCTGAATAAAGCATATGGTTTGAACAATAGAATAGCCAACTCTGAGTAGGATTTTTCTCTATTGACAAAGCCAGCCAACTTACCTTCTACTCACCTTATATGTAGTGCTATCAAAGATGTTGTCGGTACTTGCAGTTTATCTTATTCCGCCTTCATCTCATCTCTTAGCTTTGTCTCTGGGTTTGTAAATACTTAATTGAGTAATGTGAGCCGCGCACACTGTCTGTCTGATTAATATTATTGTGTTAATTTTTGTCTGATGAGCCTATTGGGGGAAAAATATGTAAAGATTTCGGAACTTTAAGGCACGTGTAATCAAAAATGACTGACATAAAGACAATTTTTTGGACAATTTAATTTTTAAATGTAGTTGCAAATCGTATACAATTCTGTGTCTGATAATTTCCCTCCACTATTCAAATCAGACACCACGATGGATGAAAAGATTGATTGATTGATTGATTCATTGATTGATTAATCAGACGACTTATATCATAATAAATATTTCCTCTAACTTGATTCCTTGACTTAGTTGAAGTAGGGATCTTTGGACTTGACCAATTCAAAAGTAATTACATAATGAAGTTTGGTAAGAGTTTTTTAACTCATCAAATTCCTGAATGGTCTATTTATTATATGCAATATAAACATTTAAAGAAGATTATTAAAAATATTGATCAAGTTTTTGAAGATTTTCAAGATAATGATGAAAATATCGATAAGAATATTTCTGATTTAATTAGTCAAATTTTATCATCATTCTTTTATGAATTAGATCGAGATGTTGAAAGAGTTCATGAATTTTATAGTGTTAAATTCAGTGAATATTCAAGAAGATTAGAAAATATTATTCAAGTATTAGGATATGATGAAAAATCCAAAATTATTAATCATCAACTTGAATCTAATGATGAACTTGAAGAAGTTTTATCAATCTTACAAGAATTAAAATCTGCTTTTAGAAATTTAAAATGGTTTGGTGAATTAAATCATAAAGGATTTATTAAAATTTTAAAGAAATTAGATAAAAAATTAACTTCATTAATTAATGATCATATTAATAATTCTAATATTTCTGATGAAAAATCTCTGTTATTTGAATTATCAAATAATAATAAAGAAACTTATTTATCTACTAGAGTTAATGCTTTACCATTTGCTAATGAATCAGATTTAATTAATCGTTTAGATACTATTAATGCATTACTTAATCAATTGGGTGAATCCAATAATGATAATTTAGAAGATGATTTCAATAATCAAAATGAATCATCAATAACTAGAAATACTTCAAGAAATTTTAGATTTCTTAGTATTGGTAATAGAAGGAGACCATCATTTGATCAAAATTTCCTTGATAATTATTATGATTTAATTATTGATGATCAATCAAGTTCATTAATTATTGAATTAAAAAACATTATTGATAAGCTTTCATTAAAATTTCTTATATCATTATTGAATAAAGCTGTAAGTAATAATTCAACTGGTTGTATTGATGGATTATTTGAATTTATGACGGATTATATAAAGATTAATCCTCAACAATATGAAACTTTTCTTTATGATCCTTCCGATATTAGTGGTAGAAATTTCTTTCATCAACATATAATTAGTCTTGGTAAAAATCAATTAATTAAAGATCAACAAGATACAATTCCTGATAATGAATCAGATGATGAAAAGATTAATAGTAATTTTGATGGATTAAGTTATGTTCTTCATAAAATTGATTCATTAAATTCTCCAATTTTGAAACATGTACTTGTAGCTAAAGATAATTATCTGAGAACTCCATTACATTATTCTGCTCAATATGGTTTAAAAGTAATTACAAATATAATTTTAACATATTTAGCTAATTGGGATTTACTTGATACTAAAGTATCTATTGATAATATAGATGTTTGGGGAGATCAAGAAGGTTTAACTCCATTACATTTATCAATTATTGGTAAACATCCAAAGACAACTGAAAATCTTATTATATTTAATAATAATAATACTCTTACTTGTCAAAGTTTACTTTTATTATCTGTTAGATTAAATTCACCTCAAATCTTAAATTCTTTATTATTACAAGGTAAGATTAATGTTAATTATACTGATTTAATTCATAATCATGAAACTGCTTTATATATTGCTTGTAAATTAAATTATATTGATTTAATTGAATTTTTATTAAAACATGGAGCAGATCCTGAAATTAGTGATGCATTATTTGGTTGGACTCCAATATTTATTGCTGCTAGTGAAGGGTATGAACAAGCAGTTAAATTATTAATTGAATATGGTGCTAATTATCAAAATGTCGATGGATCTGGTTGGTTACCAATGGAGCATGCATGTTTAAGAGGCCATTTATCAATTACTGATTTATTAAAACCAAATGATGATAAATTATTATTATATGATGTTTATCATCCAGAAAATAATATCCCTAGACAAGTTATTCCTTCAACTCCTACTTTAATTGCTTCTGAACCAGTCTTAAGTACTGATAAATTACCTGAATCTTCTAAACATATTACTATGAATGATATTTATAAACAATTGAAACAAACTGGTTCTTCATCATCTATTCCAAGATCAAAATCTCCCAATAGTAGAAGAAAAAAATCAGTTAAACCTATAAAATCTTTTGGTCATAGATATTTACAACCAGATGAATCAATGATCTTAATTACTTTAGGTACTACTGATTTAAGAGATAATGAAATTCCAATTGATATTAATAAGATTACATCTTCATTATCCAAATCTTTTGTAACTGAATTAGATACAGCATTATCATTATCAATATCTTGTCATCATAAATCAACCAATAAATTAGTTGAACCACCAGTTATTATTGATTTACCATTAGAAGATCAACATGGAAGTGCAACTGATCCTATCACATTTACACTTAGTAATAATTTAAAAGCTTCAGATATTGTAATTACTTTTGATTTAGTTCCAACTTATCAAAGTATTGAATCCACTAAAAAAAATGGAAGTGGGAATGGGAAAATTTTAGGTAGAGCTATTGCATTATTAAAGGATGCTTATACTAGTGTAGGAAATAATTTCCGATCATTAAATAATAATATTACAGTTCCAATCTTAGAAACTTCAACTTTAGATCTTTTAGGTAGTATTAGATTTGAATATTTACATGTTAAATCATTTCAACATGAATCTATGAAAATTACAAGATCAGATACTTATTGGAAACAATTAGTTAGTACTAGAGTTATTGGTCATAGAGGTTTAGGTAAAAATGAAAGTGGACGTAAATCTTTACAATTAGGTGAAAATACTGTTGAATCATTTGTTGCAGCTGCATCATTAGGAGCATCATATGTTGAATTTGATGTTCAATTAACTAAAGATTCTATACCTGTTGTATATCATGATTTCTTAGTAGCTGAATCAGGAGTTGATATTCCAATGCATGCATTAACTGCCGAACAATTTCTTGGATTAAGTGAAGATGGTCATAATAATATAGATCTTAAAGATAGACAAAGTAAAGATGATGAAGTATTAAGTAAACTGAGACCAAGATCTAAATCTTCTCATCAATTATTTAATTCTGGATTTGAAATGACTTCAACTTCATCATTATCATCATCAATTGAATCTAAAAATGATGAACATGAACAAGGTCATTCACAAAATACTCGTAGAATGAAATTAACAAGAACTTGGAAAGAAAAGAATTTTAAAGGTAATGCTAGAGGTTTATCAGTAGCATCAAATTTTGTTACATTAAAGGAATTATTTAAGAAAGTTCCAAAAACTGTTGGATTTAATATGGAATTAAAATATCCCATGTTAGATGAAGCTCAACAAGAAGGAATGGATGAAATTGCTATGGATTTAAATCATTATATTGATACTATATTACAAGTTGTATATGATGAAAATGTTGCAGGTAGAGATATTTTATTTTCATCATTTCATCCTGATGTTTGTGCTTTATTATCATTAAAACAACCAACTATTCCAATATTATTTTTAACTGAATCAGGTACAGCTCCAATGGCCGATATTAGAGCTTCATCATTACAAAATGCTATTAGATTTGCCAAAAAATGGAATCTTTTAGGTATTGTATCAGCTGCTGGAGCATTTGTTAAAACTCCAAGATTAGCTCAAGTAGTTAAATCTTCAGGTTTAGTATGTGTAACTTATGGTTCAGAAAATAATAATCCTGAACTTGCAAAAGTTCAAATGAAAGCTGGGGTAGATGCTGTTATTGTAGACAGTGTATTAGCAGTTAGAGAAGGTTTACGAAAGGATCAATACATCAAAGATATTGATGAGCCTACATCTATTCTCGCTTAGTATTTAGTGTCTATTGCTCACAAAAAAATTTTAGATAGTTTACTAGTTACTCGTTGCACATTGCTCGTTGCTCGTTTATCGATACTCGATGCTCGGTGCTCGTTGCTCGTTACTCGTTAGTTTGTTTTGTTATAATACATTTTTATTCTTACTGTACTGGATCGTTCTTTTTTCTCCGCGCACTAAACCTAAACGCTAATTGTGCTAATTAACTCTGTCTGTTAATATAACCTATCATAGCTATTCGTTGCTATACTATCAATTCTATGTCTGATTCAAATAGTAATAGTCAACGTATCAGTAATGCCAATAGTTCTGGCAAGGTCAGTTCGGATAATCTGAATCATCCTCCTCCTCCACCACAACCTCCTACCCATTCAAATGTATTTGCAAGACCAAATCAACCAAGATTACCGAGATCCGGTATTAATGCTGTTCACGTAAATCAAGCTCGAGAAATGGTAAGACTTCATACAAGAGGTAGATTACCTTCAGGAAATCAGAATCAATTACCCAATGAAACTTCTTCTTCTTCAATTGCAGCAGTTGAAACTACTAGAACTTCTGCAACACATACTATTACTTCAAATAATGAATCTATTTCTACTACCATAAGTAAAACTTCAACTCATCCTATAATGAATACTTCATCTTCATTCCCTAGTAATAAACATCCTAATCATAAGAATTCAAATGTATCAATACCTGCTGCTGCTCATGATGGAGAATGTAATAATCCCTTATGTGAACATTGTGGTGGAGTAATAATACCAGCACCTCTGGCATCATTCCCAATTCAAGATCGTCCATCAATAACAATTAATAATTGGAGTATATATACTATAAAGAAACCCATATTAAATTCTCAAGAATTAGATGATTTAAGTGAAAATCGATTTGATTTCCCCCTTCCAGAAATGATCTTTGGAAATAATGTAGTTAAAATAGTTAATGATCAAACTGGTGAAATTATAGAATTTAATGCGCTAGATGCATTAGATTCAATGGATTCAGAAACTAAATTTAAAGTAAGTTATCATGAAGAATGGTTAGCATCTAGAAAATCCAAATCATCTAATTCAAGTGAAAAATCAGAAAAAGCTCTAAAAGAAAATTCTACAAGAGATATGTCTACATTAACTGATAATTTAGATACATTAAAACCATATGATTGGACTTATTCTCCTAATTATAAAGGTACAATTAATAATATAATATTCGAAGAAACTACTGAAACTATCCCTATTCATAAATTATTAAAACCAGATCCAATTTTATTCTTTGATGAATCTATTTTATATGAAGATGAATTAGGTGATAATGGAATTTCAATGCTTTCAACAAAAATACGAGTTATGCCTACATGTTTATTATTATTATGTAGATTTTTTTTAAGGATTGATAATGTAATCTTTAGAATAAGAGATATTAGAATTTTTATTGATTTTGAAACTAATGTTATCCTTCGAGAATATAAAGAACAAGAATTCCCCTATGATGAATTATTATTAACTGTTACTAGTAATAAGAATACTAATGATCCTAAAAAATTATTAAGAGATATAAATTGGGTATCACAAAATATTCCTGTTATTTCAACTATAACTGAAACAAATCAAAGGAAACTACATTAGCTTAGTTTAGTTTAGTTTAGTTTAGTTTAGTTTATCTTATCTTATGTTATGTTATGTTATAGTTAAATTATATATTTATAGTAATATAGCATGATTAATTTATACTAGTATAGAATATAGAATATGGAGATTTGGTGGTGCGGCATGGATGTCGAATTTTTCAGTGTGGGTGGGTTGAAATTTTTTTTTTTCAAAGAAACCAAAAGTGCTACTAGTACTTTAACCAAACTTGCTTAGATACTTCAAAGATCTGTCGATATAATTTTTATAAGAATGTTTAAAAGAAGTGGTAGTAGACTTGCCGGCAGGATAATACAGCTGAAAAGATCATTTCATGATGTACCAGTTATAAATAATCAAAATCAATACTTAGCTAACGGTATTGAAGGATTATATTCACCAAAAGGATTCAAGACTGCTTGGATAGATTATCAAAAATATTTAACTTTAAATTTATCATTACATACTGTAGGAACAGAAAATGAATTAAAGCCACCATTTGAAATCTTATTACATACTGCCAAACAAACTACAGAACAACATACTTTCCATTTTGCATCTCAAGCTCATAATAATCACTTTTTTATGCAACAATTTATAGATAAATCTGAAGCAGCAAAGACAAGACCATCTAAATTTTTATTACAAAGATTAGAATATCAAGATATTCCTGATATAGAAACTTTTAGAGAAAGAATGTTATTATTAGCTGATTCATCATTTGGACAAGGATGGGTATTCTTAGTTGAATTACCTGATAAATCTCTTAAAATTGTTAGACATAATAATGATGGTACTCCATATTATTTTGGTAAAAATCAATCTTTAGACTTAAATGGAGGAGTTGATGAAGGTAGTTTTGAATATTTAAATGGTTTAAAAGATCGTGCTAAAAATAATGAAAGAGATTGGACTTTACCAATTTTAGCAATTAATTGTTGGGATCATGCATATATTGAAGATTATGGTACTACAGGTAAAGCTGAATATTTATCCAATTTATGGGATTGTATAAATTGGAATGTCATTAATAAAAGAATTTTCCAACTTTAAAACTACAAAAATTTATGTGTATAATGTTATGAATTAAATCTTGTATATAGACATTATAATAGATTCATAAATCGTCATTAATTAATTTGAATTCTTCAAAATCAAGCATTAAAAGATCTTTTAGTCTGAAATCATTAATAGTTTCAATATTAACAAGTAATTGATATTTCTCTAATTTCTCCGCATAATCTTCACAATTTCGAAGTATATTATATAAAGTTTTATCTTCAAACCAATTTATAGGTAAACTAGTTATTAACATAGGTAAAAAGTTACTATATTTCGATAATAAATTCCATTGAGCCACAAGATCTTTGTATATAGATTTGATTTCATTTCCAATAGATGTATCCAATTCAGGATCAAGTTTATCAATTTGAACTTCTTTACTCTCAACTAGTTGTTTATTCAATTGTAATAATTTATTATTAGATTCTCCTAATGAATTCAATTTAGGTTTTAAATCTTCTCTTAATAATTTCTCTATATTAGCTACTAATGTATAATATTCCTGTTCTGATTGTTTCCCTTCTTCAATCTTATTCATTAATTTAAATACAAGTCCATTATCTAAAGAGTACATTTTTTCTAAATTATGTAGTATATTCAATTCTGTACTAGTTAACGCTTTATTATCTTGATGAATTGATCGAAGTATAGGTCCAGTTAATTGGATATAATGATTTAATAATGATTCATTCTGAACTTTAGTATTATGAAGTTGTAAAAATGATTCTAAATTATCAGACTCTATCATAGGGTATACCCGTTTAATTTCTTCATATTTATCATTAATTTCCTTTTCCTTTAGTTTCCCAACAGTATTTAGTTCATTAAGATATATTAATTCTCTTAATTTATTGGTTAGTTCTTGATATACATTAACATATTGTTGTTCTAACCTATTAATGATAATATTTGTCTTTGAATTAGATCTGGTAACTTTCGGTACACCAAATGTATGTGATAGTATAGAAGTTGTGGAAATTAGCTTATCACAAGCATCTGCTAACTCTTGAGACATCCTGAATTGTGAATTGTGAATTGCCTAATCAATAGTAGTTAAGGTCTAATCCCCATATGGTAAACAAAAGCGTGTCTGACATAATTCTCGGTGAGTATCAAAAATCGACCACTCCAGAGTCGAAGTGAAGACCATTCAGGTTGTTGTAAACTGAACATTATCAAGCACCATATCTGAAAAATGTCAGACACATCTATTGCATTAAATAATTTCTTATTGTTGGGATCATCAGGTGCATTTGCTAATTTTGAACCTGAACAATTATTAAGTAATCATGATAAATTAGAACAATTCTTATTATCTAATGGTGATTCATTATCCACACTTGAATTGTATAGTCTATATGAATTACAATTCTATTTAGCATTATTGACCAAACATGATATAGAAGCCAAGGCCATGTTGGATAGATTGGTTGATCAATTTGGTGCTAATGCTAAATCTCAACGTTTAAAATTATTACAATCTATATATTTAGAAGCAATTGGTAAAAGAGATGAAGCATTAGCTTTAGTTAATAAAAGTCCTAATGAATTAAAATTGGCTAGAAGATTAGTTACTTTTGGTCGTAAAGCTGACTCTAATGATAATGAAGATTATATTCTGACTTTAACTTATTATTTGGATTTACAACCAACTGATTTAGTTACTTGGTCAGAATTAGGTCATGAATATAGTAAAATTGGTCATTATGATAAAGCTATATATTGTTTTAAAGAAATATTATTACAAGATGCACTTATATATCCTATATTTTATAAAGTGGGATTAAATTATTATTACAACTTTTTACAAGAAGAGAAGAATTTAAAAACAGAAAGAAAAGATAAGTTACTTGAATTATTAAATATTTTAATAAACTCTAGGAATAATTATTTAAGAGCAGTAGAAATCTTTGATGATTATACAAAGGCTTGGGTAGGTATTTATATCATTACACAATTAGGATCATTTAATGATAAATTAAAGAAATTAGGTGATGGTGGAATAAAAGAAGTAAAAGAATACTTGGAATATAATGAAAAATTAAGCAAATTGAGTGATAAACGGATTCAAGAATTAGCTCAACCAGAAGAGTATGCAAAGATACTAAATGATATTAAAAAATAAATGAATACTACAGTTTATATTATTTAGATTAATAAAACATTATATTTATTGCAATAATAGTAATACTAACAACAATTTATTTACCTTGAGCTTTGTCTTTATCAGCACAACATTGAGGACATTGACAAGCATTAACTGGACAGCAAGAACAGCAGCTTTCTTCGCCATAATTGACGGGATCTTTTGATGAAGCAGAATACATATACATATTGTAAATTATGAAGTAGTGATTGGTTTATACAAGCAAGCACTGTGGTTTAGATTACAAACATTTTAAATGGGGATTACTTCCCTATTTATATACTTTTTAGGTGCTCCCCTCCTTCATATATATAGCCAGCCTATAGCCAGCTGTCGGCAATGGCATCCCTACCCACTTGCAAATAGAAATGCTTAAGTTGTAAGTCTTATCTAAGTTTTTTTTGCAATTTTGCACTTTAGGTCTTATTTACGAAGAAACCTTTAAATGCTCGGAACCAGTCCTTTGTTAAGAGCCCAGTCAGAAAAAAGGCAACACGATTCTTCTAAAAATATTCGGATGCATTTAATGCTTAATGCAACAATCTTACTACTATATAAAGTTTAATAGATCTGGATGACCATGTCATTGTTTTTGGGGAGTTAAAGAATTCCCACTTTTACGAATTTGACCTAATAAATGGAATTTTAACTGTCTGGTTGTTGTAAACTAGCTCTTTAAGTGTCTCGGACTAATACACCCTTATAGAAACGATTATGTAATTCGGTCAATAGTATCCTTAGTATACTGAGGAATTACTGCTAAATTGAGCAACTTTACCACAAATTAATACTTGTCCGATTCGGCGATCTCTGTCTACATACTTTACTTTACCTTACATTCATAATATTATCTTCCACAATATATTATATATTAAAGCATTCATAAATATAATAGCATATATAATGGATTCAACAAGACTAGTAAAAAAAACTGAAGTTGAAATAAATAGCATAAGTCAATTCATTAGCTCATTAATTCATTCTTTGAATTGTTTACTTCTTAGAACCACAGGTACAAGATTCAGCACTTGAACATTTGCAGTCTGCACCACAATCACAACCCTTTTCGTCTCCGTAATTAACTAAAGTGTAAGCTGGCATAATTTCGATTTGTTTGATAAGTATAAATATATAACTAATTTAATTGATTAATTAATTGGTTATTAATTATTTTAAATAAATAATGTAATAAATAAATCCAGCGGGCCCGCTCTCGATCCCTATTTATATGTTTTTCCCATAGGGAGATGCCAGCGGCTTTTCATTTTTTTTAGCGGGGACAAACTGACGCTCGGTAAATTATACTTTTGATGATCACTAGAAAATTAGGCAACTTTAAAGAAGAATGTGCAGAAGGCGAAAACCACGCATCTGTTGCTTTGACAATTTAGCTTGGAAGCTTTTAAATTCTATAGAAATTATTTGAGGCGTTTCTGCCTATTAGTAAAGTTCCGCTTTGTGATTTTTTGCAACTTTTACCATAATTGTCGCAGCAATAAATGCGCTTTATCATAGACGATATCGATTACCAATTCTTATTATAAGCTAAAAGCGTTTATACGAAGCGTAGGCATGGCCCTGTGATTGCGTAAATGACGTGATATTTCTATTTGGGTGTGAAACCTACTCTATATATAAGAAAAGATTTTAATGCAATAAAACAAGATAACAAATATTAACTAATTAACTAAAATGTGAAGGGATTAATAATGAACAAGAAAAAGATTAAAATTCTCCCTTATAATTTAAATCTTCTCTAGCTAAAACATCATCTAATATACCAGCAGAAGCAGCAACTAAACCTAAGAATGGTCTAGATGGATCTAATACTTTAGATAAATATTCAGGATGATATTGGGTACCAACAAAGAATTTATGATCTTTTAATTCAATGATTTCCATTCTGGCTTCAGTTTCATCTTTACCAATAAAATTTAAACCTTTTTCTTCAATAGATTTAATTAATTTTGGATTAACTTCATATCTATGTCTATGTCTTTCTAAAACAGATTCAGAACCTCCATATAATTGTCTTAATTTTGACCATTTAGAATCTTCAACAAATTTAGTTGAATGAATACCTAATCTCATTGTACCACCTAATTTAACTTGATCAACATCTGGCATATAAACAACAGAAGCAATATCTTCAGGCATTTCACTATCAAATTCTTGAGATGTAGAATTTTTAATTCCTAAAACATCTCTAACAAATTCGATAACGGCAACTTGTAAACCTAAACAAACTCCTAAATATGGTACATCATTTTCTCTAGCATATTTGGCAGCGGCAATCATACCTTCAATACCTCTACTACCAAATCCACCAGGAACTAATATACCATCAGCTTGACAAACGTAATGCCAAGCTTTATGATATTTAGATAAATCAGAAACTTTAGTTTCTTCTTCTAAATCTGAAGATTCAACCCATTCAATCTTTAATCTTCTATTACAACTCATAGATGAATGTTCTAAAGCTTTAATAACTGATAAATAAGAATCCTTTAAATGAGTATATTTACCAACTAAAGCAATAGTAACAGTTTCAAATGATCTATCATGAGCAGTAGTTAATTTTTTCCATTTTGATAATAATTTGTCACCTTTTACTGAAGCTTCTTGACTAATTTCACCAATATGTAATTTCTTAGATAAGAATTTCATAATTTTTTGTTGAATTAATAATAACGGAACATGATAAGTTGAATTAACATCATGAACAGCAATAACTTGTTCTGGTCCAACATGACAAAACATACCAATTTTTTCAATGGTTGCAACTTCTAATTCTTCTTGACATCTACAAGCAATCATATCAGGAGTTAAACCTAAAGATCTTAAATCTTTAATAGCAGCTTGAGTTGGTTTAGTCTTTTGTTCTCCATGAATAACAGGAACTAAAGAAACATGAATTAAAGCAAAATTTTCAACACCAACTCTAAATTGGAATTGTCTTAAAGCTTCAACAAATGGAGCACTTTCAATATCACCAACAGTACCACCTAATTCTATAATACAAACTTCTGGTTCTAAACCAGTATCATCAACTGGAATTTTAGCAACTCTTTCAATCCAATCTTGAATAGCACTTGTAATATGAGGAACAACTTGAACAGTTTTACCTAAATAATCACCATTTCTTTCCTTTTCAATAACATGAGAATAAATTTTACCAGTAGTAATGTTATGATTTCTAGTTAAAGTAATATTTAAATATCTTTCATAATTACCTAAATCTAAATCAACTTCACCACCATCATTTAAAACAAAACATTCACCATGTTCTAATGGTGACATAGTTCCAGCATCAATATTCATATAAGGATCAATTTTAATTGAAGTAACCCTTAAACCTAAAGTTTTAAATAATAAACCAGTAGATGAGGCTAATACCCCTTTACCAATACCAGAAATAACACCACCAGAAACAACAACGTACTTCATCTTTATAAAATTATTTTAATATATATCTGCTTATGAATTATGAGAGAAGAGGCCCCTAAAAACACGTACTATGACACGTTATATGATTATTATTTTTAATTATTATTAGTTTTTATTACTATTGTATTTATCGTGATTATGAATGGATTGTTAGTCAATTTATAATTTAACTTCAATACAAACAAATCACTCGATTATACACCTTTATATTCTATAGGTAGGCCCTCTTAAATGAACTGTTTAAGCGGGAAGGAACAAGAACAAGCTAAACCAAGATAAACTTCATAAAATTTTTTTCTTCTAAATAGTGATGAGGTCTGTAGTATGGTGCTCAATTTTGTGGTCTAATTCATTTTCATTTTCATTTTAATTTTTCATTCCTTCATCTTTCTCGACTGCCTAATTAGGCAAGTCTATCGACCCGCCAGCTAAGGTCTATTTAACTTATAAAATAATTAAACATAAATATTATGTTAGCTAATCTATACACTTCAATTATGAAAAGTAGGTTGTAGGTATTCCTAAAGTATGAGATGAAAAAATTTATAGCTTTTCTGAAGTACCTATAATTAGCTGTTAAGTCACTCAATAGAGAATAGTATCTCTATTAAAGTTATCTAATTTATCGATATTTGCCTTAATGAGATGCTAGTATCTCTCAATTCAACAGTGAAAGGAAAATACAATAGCATAGGCATAAAAGGTGTACAATAAAATTCAATTGAATAACCTATAGTTGTATCTGTTTCATTATAATAAATATACTTATACCTATACTTATACTTATACTTATACCTATACTTATACTTATACGTATACGTATACTTACACGATCTTTACTCCTCCAATTTCATTATCTTCATTCATTAATATTTGAGCTTTTCCTTGCTTTATTAAATAATCTTTAACTATTTTTATCAATAATCCCTCGTCTAAATTCTTTAATGAATCAGGTAATCCACTTTCATCTGATTTAGTTAATTCATACAAGGTAAGAACCGTACCTAATTGACCAGTTGAATCAACATAATCGTATAACAACTGACCCCATTCAACTAGTGATCTCCAATATACATAAATACCCAATTCCGGTTTCTTAGGATCAATATATTGAGCTTTCTTCAATTTATAGATTAAATGATGAATAATAACATTTCTAAAGTTATCATTGGTAGAACGATTTATCGATTTATTTTCAAATATGGGTGGTAATGAATCAATCAGAAGTGATTCAATTTGACTATATTTTGGTGTACCATTTCGATTCAATGATGTTATCTTATAAAATTCACAATATTGAAGAATTATTTGACACCATGAATCTAATTGATTAGATAGGATTGTGGAATTGGGTTGTTCTGTGTATAGTGGAGGGAATGTGTGAATCTTTGGAAATACGAATTCTGTCGTCATATCATCAGTTAGTTATTTGTTATCTAATAGGGGTGTGTAATATCTATATATAGTTGCTTAATTGATAATTAGTGGTTGTTTGATTTTGAGGATATATGTGTCACGTGAAATTTATCCTATCTGTAACGCATTTACCTTTTTATTAGTACGTTTTCTTAACCTTCACCATTCTTACTTAGAGATATTACAATGTACAAAGTTAATATATTATCCAATAATGTTGTGTATTATGATGGTAATTAATTTTTATAAACTATTAAAATACAATGAAATATGAGCTATGTGATATTCAAAAAGTTATTATAAAAACCAATTTAAGCTTCGACTAAATCTCTTAATCTTCTGATGGTAGATCTAGCAGTGGCAGCAGCAGCAGTAGTAACAGTGTAAGCACCACCAGCAAAGGATTTACGACAAGATTTACAAGACCAGATACCAACGGCACCTCTTTGGACGGTTCTCTTACCACAGAAAGCACAATCGTATTTGGCGTGTTGTTGAACTTCCAATTTCTTGGTTTGTCTTCTTAAAGAAGAACCATATCTGACACCGAATTTACCGGTGATACCAACCTTCTTAGTTCTTTTAGTCCTATAAAAATTAAAGTTAGTATATTGTTTATTTCAATATAGGTTTAATCAAAGTATGAGTATTTCGAGAATAAATTCAATATATTTTCAGTTGAATTAGCTAATTATTGTATGGGATATGAAAATTTCACTTATACTTATAAACGTATAAGTATAATATTTTTACTTGGTTTTGATTTGGTGAGAATATGAATTTCACAGTATACATAAATTAGTATTTCTTCACAGTTATTGATTCTAATTTGTAGAAACTACCTAATCACTTATGGTAAGATTATTCATTCATTTATTCATTCATTTCTTCATTGATATTTTCTGTTTCCTTTTCTTAACATTTGACTTCATATTACTATTTGTATTACTATTACTAAATATCACTTGATTGATTCTATCATACAATACACATCTCTCTTCTCTATTCACTATTCCCCTCTCTTTCTTTCATTCTCTATACTCCACTTCGATTACTTTGATAGACTCTTTACATACATTTCGATATATTTATTCTATGGTAATAATAAAAGACCAACGATAGTAAACGTTTAGAAAAGTACGCTAATAAATTTTTTTTCACTATCCGTACTTTTTCTGAGCATTACCCCAAAACAGAAAGAATTTTTTGATGCTTGTGGGTCGTGCGAATGTGGGTATACTTTGGTCACGTGCTCTCCATGAGAATTAGGGCTGGTGCCCTCATTCCCTCTCTCTTAACCACTAAAAAATGGTAAAATTAGCATCTTGCCTAATTAGGAAAGACATATGTTGCAAAATTAAAACTACATAAATAACCTTATAATTTACAAAGATAATGGTGATTAATTGATTAATTAAACCCGCCTAACCTAACCTATAAATATGAGTAGTTGTTCTAATAGTTAGAAAGAAAGAATTAAAGAGTGTGTGTGACAAACAATAAAAGGGAAGAAAGAAAGAAAGAAACAAGGAACTTAACGGGGAGCATTTCGAGGAAATAATGCAACTTGATCCATCTCAACATCTTCATCTTCATTAATAACCGGTATAACTGGCTCGTCATTGGGAAATACTGCTTGTTGTTCAATCTGGGGAGCATTGGCATTACCATTATCATTATCTCTAGGTAAGCCTATCATACCAAAAGGAGCGCCATTATTTTGACGACCTTGACGTGGTGGTTGTGCTTGCTGTTGTTGGGGAGGCGGGAGTTGTTGTTGTTGTTGTTGTTGTTGTTGCTGACGCTGTTGCTGCTGCTGTTGTTGTTGTTGTTGCTGTTGTTGGTAGCCATAGACTCTTTGCTGGTGATGATTTCGTATTAAACGTTGAAAATGTTCCCGCATTTCATCTGCATTCATAATACCATCATTTAATTCTCTGTATATTTCTCGATTCATATCAAAAAGGGGAGGATTTCCTATATCCTCTAAGCCTAAACCTGCAGCTCTACCTTCCCAAGCTCCACCTCCCATATCAACATCATCATTATTATCGTTGTTGTTGTTATTATTATTATCGTTGTTGTTATCATTATTATTATTGTTATCTAATAATCTCCTTCTTCTATCAAGAAACAAAGCATGAATTTCTCCTTGTTCAATCAGATAAGTTCTTTCTTCCATAACTTGACAAAGATAATTTCTTAATTGATTAACTCCATGACCTGAAAATACACAGAATGAACTCTTTTGAGCTTCATTAAAATCAGGAGGAGGATCACGACAATATTGAGTAATTTCTCTTCTTAAAAATGAACTTATACCAGTTAATGATAAATGAGTTAATTTTGGACAACTTTTTAATAATAAAAAGATTGGACCAATAGTTAAATTTGTACAATAAGATAAATGAACTCTTTCTAAACAATCTTGTTCTCCACGACGTCTAACTAATTCTAATATTCCAGTATCAGTTATTAAACTACATTTAACTAAACCAATTCTTCTTAATTTTGGTAAATTTGATAATTCTATTAAGGTCCAATCAGTTAATTGTGTACAACATGCTAAATCAATATATTGAATTCGATGACAAGATCTTACTAATGATGATACACCAAAATCAGTTATTAAACCACAATGACCTAAATGAATATAATGTAAACTTCTACCTAATTGACTTAAAGCTCTTAATGATGCATCAGTTATTTGCATACATTTTGATAATACAACATTTCTTAATCTTGGAGCACAAACAACCAATTTTTCAACTAATTTATCAGTAATTGCATTACATCCAGTAATATCAATTATACGTAATTTTTCTAAATAATAACTATTTGGTAATAATTCAAATAATTTATCAGTAATTCCTGCTGCATTACTAATTCTAAATTCTCTTAATTGAGATAAATCAGTAAATATTCTTTTTAAATATTTATCAGTAACATTTGGACAATTATGTAAATCAATTTCTACTAATGATTTACAATTTTCATACATTGCTAATATACTTTCATCAGTTATATTTTCACTATTATTAAATTTAACTCTTTTTAACATTGGACAAGATTTTAATAATTTAATAATTGAATCTTCATGAACATTACTACAACCTGGAGCATATAATCCTTGTAATCTTAAACAATTTTCGGCTAATGCATGTATTATACTATCATGAACATCAGTTACTCCAGTTAAATCAATTGATTGAAGTTTTTCACAATTTTGTAATACTTGAGTTATTGGAGTTCTTGATAATTTTGTACAATTTACTAAAGTTAATCTTTCAAGTTTTGGACATCCAATAAATAATGATAATAAATCATCATCAACTAATTTTGTCATAAATGATAAATTTAATCGTTTAATAAATTGTCGATAATCCCAATAAGTTTTATGTTTTGGAATTTCCATAACTTGTTTAATCTTTTTAAATGATATATCATTTTGCATATTTGGTCTAAACCATAAAATTTCAACAATTAAATCAGCAAATTCTTTACAAACTGTTAATAAAGAAAATAAATCTCGACGATCTAAATTATGAAAGATTTGTAATAAAATTTCTGTTGGTAATCGTAAAAGGGAATTATTTTGAATATGATAAGTTTGAGATATATTGGAATTATTTGAATCAGATATTTTCCGTTTAGTAATTATTGCTTCAGTTAATTCTTTATAATCATTAAATTCATTATCCATTAAAAAATCTGAATCATAACGATTATGAGATGAACTATTTGAATTTGAAGTTTTAGTTGATTTTGATTTCTTTGGTATTTTTATTGCATGGGATTGGGTACTGCCCGCCGAATCTTCATCGACACTATTGGGAGAACTCATGACTAGTGGATTGACTTCATTAACAAGTCAAAATGTTATGTATGGTTACAAATGGAAAAGGAATTGGAATTGGAATTGGAATTGGAATGGGAATGGGAATTACAAAGGGAGGGAGATCAATAAATATAATGACAACGAATGAACAAATGGATTAGATTAGATGAATGAATAAATAAATAAATAATTTGTGTTGAGTTGAGCTGTTGTGATAAGTTGTCGTCTGTTGTCTTGTGTTGAATGAGGTGGGTGACTTTGTTAGTGTCTAAATAAGTAATCAATTCACGTCTATGTCTATGTGGTAATGCCACGGGTTTATGACGTAGAAAATCTATGAGTCCTGATAGGGTAGGTATATATATCTTTTGAATGTCTACCTCACAATTGTAAGGTTAAATCCTGATATGACAAATCTGATGAATGATATATGGATAGACTGTAATAGAGAATTGGGGTTGGAGCTTTATAGCGTCGTTTGGGTTTTGGTGATTTCACGCCATCAGACAAATAAAGGAGTGCGCCTGCATACACGCCCCCAGCCTACAAGCTACCGTAATTAGGCTTACAGACAGTTGCAGCCGTAGAGAAAATTCTGACATGAGAGAGATGAGTTCAAGAGATTGTAATAATATTAGTAATGATTTTATAAGGAATTATTATATAGAGTGTAGTAGAAGTATTGGATATATTTTAGTTGAATTTATTATGGGTAGCTGATTGTATTAGTGAGTTAATTACAAGAGTACATTCATCGTCTAGTAAGTTAGTGTAATTTGTCTGCGAAATAATGCTTGTCCTATAATATTGTGAAATTAGCAGGATATTAGTGTAACTCTTTTATACAAGCATTCTACTGGGTCTTACTGTAGAATGTATTATAGTTAATTGGATTATTCTATGTATTATTATCCTATTCTATTAGTTCTATTAGTACTATAGTACTATTCTATTAGTGTACTATTGAGTGGACTAATATTCTACTATTTAGTACTATTACTCTATTACTCTATTACTCTATTACTCTATTACTCTATTACTCTATTACCCTATTACCCTATTACTCTATTACTCTATTACTCTATTACTCTATTAATCTATAACTCTATAACTTCTCTATACCATCACTAATCTTTATTTATACTACTGGTACACTATTTATTAGGCAGTCTGTACTATTTATTAGGCAGGGCTACCAGACAATCGCTCGCGGTCTCTGAAAAAAGAATACTACACTAATTAAAATACACTAAATTATAACCACTAAGTAATCTCCACTAAAGCAATACCTCCCAATTCAATGGTAACATTAAGTGAATTTATTACTACCTTTCAACAAGCAATAACTCGTCAAGATGCTTCGACATTAATTACATGCCTCAGTATTCATCCAATCACTCAAGATGGTCCTATACAAGCCCAATTTAATGAACCTAATGATTTTGATTTATATATGGTAACTGAAAAGTTTCGACCTATAATTAAGAGTCATTTAAAACTTATGAAATGTGTATATAGATCTAAAGATATAGAAGGAGCATTTCAAGAATTAAATGAAATGGTTAATCATCTTATAAGAGCTGGAGATAATCAAACTAATTGGATTAATATTGCTTTAATTAATTCAATGAATGAATTAATAGCAGTTTATAAAGTTAAACAACAAAAATATCCTGAAGATATATCAAAATTTCAATTTCAAGATGATTTAGAAGTTGGATTTGAAAATAATTCTAAATTAAAAATATCAAGTTTAGAATCTCTTGCAAATACAATAAATAAAGCATTTAAATTATCACTTAATGATAAGAATTTAGATTTAAAATATAGTAAAAGAGTTGATATTTATTATTTTCTTGCTAATTTAATTCGAATTTATTTTAAAATGAATAAATTAGAATTAGCTAAATCTCTTGAAAAGGCATTATTAGGAGCTAGATTTAAATTACCAAATTCTAATGAAAATACCATTAATAAGAAATATTCAATAATTTATCTTTATTATAGTTCATTATTATCATTAGATAATGGAGAATTTTTAAAAGCTGAAGAGAAATTAATTGAAGCTTATGATACATTAAAGAAATATGGTCAAAGTAGTAATTTAAAACAATATCGTCAAATATTATTATTATTATTACCATTAAGATTATATAATCATGGCAAATATCCCAAGCATGAATCATTTTGGAATAATTATCCTGAATTAAAATTAATTTATAAAGATAATTTATTTGCTAGTATAATTCAAGGAGATATTGAAAAATTTAATGAATCAATAAATAAATTTGAAACTATATTCTTAAAGAATCATCTTTATTTATTAATTGAATTATCTAGACAACAATGTTATTTAAATTTATTTAGAAAGACTTGTAAGATAATTGAGAGTTTAAATGATAAACAAGCACAAAAACATATAATTCCTATTAATGGATTTCAATTAGCATATCAACTTTCTAGTAATACTAGTCAAGATGATGATAGTTTAGATCAAGTTGAATGTTTATTGGCTACATTAATTACTAGTGGTAAAATAAAGGGGTATCTTTCCCATACTAACCGATGTATAGTATTATCCAAGAATAATGCGTTTCCTCGAGACACTATATAGGGTATAAATAAATAAATAAATAATAATAATAATAATAATATATGTATACATTGGGGCGTAAATATTACTAGTAAATAGTAAATATTACAAGTAATAGTAAATACTACTACAATTACAGTAAATATTTTACTAGTGAGTCTATTACAACCGTTATTAAAAATTACCGCAATATAGGCTAAGTTGCAGTTGTCGGTTTGGATGATAATATCACAAAAGTATTAGTTAGCTTAAAATAGAAGCAATTGTACTACAAATTTGTCTAATAAATAGACGGCTATGATGGATAGATTTTGATTTGAAAGGGGGATGATCCGGATGTTGCAGGGGTGTCAAAGTCTAGAATCTTGTTTGTTAGTGATTCCCCAGAGTTACAGAGGTGTTCCTTGACCGGACTACTGCGGTATGGAAGTATTCCTGAAAAATAGGAGACGCCATCGAAAGGTTGAGGTTGCGGTCGCTGGTGGTCGCTGGCCCCCGCACGACCCTGTGCCTGCTACGACAGGTTTTCGTTCCATCCATAGTTAACATCGGCCAACGTATATATCACGAAATTCACTTAACTACTAATAACTTATATCATATAATAATAAAGCTTGAGCTTAATTAAGCTAATTTCTTGCATTATCAATTATTTAACATAGTTAACTCATTTCTATCATTCCCCCCATATCTTCCTTCCTTCAAGTGGTACTTGTTTGTCATAGTTAACAGTTAACAGTTAATGGTTAAGTCCAGTTGAGTCTGATCGTTTACTTGCTTTGATACTATTTTTGTATATATATATATTTGTTAATTGTTAATTCTTAATTGTTAATTGTTCTTGTGTTTCTATCATTGCTAAATTATCTTAATGAATAATAACCCTCCCAGTTACTTAAGTAACTCTCCCAATCCTTCATCTCCTGCTATATCCATTACATCTGCTTCAAATCATCCTTTTAAATCAAGAAGTAGAGCAGGTACTTTACCTTCTTCATTCTTAAATACTCCAACTAAACCTAATACAACTACAAATATTAATGGAACTTCTATATCTAATTCAGCTTCTCCTTTAGTATCAGGATTAAATCAAGATATAGTAGTTAATTTACCTACTTTAGATGGTATTTCTTTAGGGATATCTCCATCTCCTAATGCTATTGATATTCCCACTGTTCAGACCAATTTAAGTCTTAATCCCAATGCAAATCCCAATGCAAACCAAAATGCAACTGCAAATGCCAATCCTAATTTCTCAATCCCCACATCTAATGCTAGAAGAATGAGATCGGGATCTTTATTTTCAACTACATCAATTTGGAATGATGATGCATTATCCATTCATTCTCAACATAGTGCTGGAGGTTTATTAGATAATACTAGTTTACATTCATTTGATAATAATGTATCAACTACAGTTTCATCTCAACCATTATTATCTACTTCAGCTAATGGTACTAGTACTACCACCACTTTTTTAAGTCCTATTATGTCGGCTCAAAATTCTTCAAGTTCAACTAATAATCCACTTCCTTCATCATCAAATGGATCTGGAACTAATGGTCCTAGAAATAGATCGTATACAACCACAGCTGCAATTCCAAATTTAAATTTATTACCTAATTATACCAATTCATTAGATAATTCAAATTCAAATTCAAATTCAAATTCAAATTCTTCAGGTAATAGATTAAGTACTTCACCATTTATGAGTGGAATGTCTACTAAAACAAATGATATGAATGTATTATTAGATAATCTTATGCTTGGACAACCCATGTTAGCTCCTACATCTAATAGTAATGTAGCAACTTCACCTAATCATACTAATCTTCAATTACCAAGACACAGATCTCAAACCTATTCAGGTTCTACGCCTACCATTCCCGAATCGACGTTAAATTACCAACAGCAGATCCAACAGCATCAGAACCAATTCCAACAACAACAACAACATCACCAACAACATCAGCAGCAACAGCAACAGCAACAACAACAACAGCAGCAGTATCAACCGTATCAGCAACAGCCTCAACAACCACTCCTTACCGACGACTTTGACTTCTCCCAAATCGTCCTTACTACCAACTTTGAGAACCCATCTCTTGGACCCACCCGATACTTACTCATTGATAATTTACCACAGTTTATTGATTCTATTAAATTATGGAATATCTTGAATAATTCCTTAGGTAATCAAAGATCATTTGGTAGTATTAGATCCATTAGATTAGCTTCAACCACGACATCTAAACATGCATTAATTGAATGTACTAATCTTGATACAGCCATGAGTTTAAAGGCTAACTTTACTCATTTAGAAATTGTTCCGGGTATAATCTTATATGTTGCATTTGCTAAGATACTTGATCGTCAAATAGCTCCTGCTCCAGTTACAGTATCAGTATCTACTCCTACTACTACTGGAAGTAGCAGTACAAGTGAATCAGTAGCTATTAAGAATAGTAATAATAATACTAACAATAATACTAACAACAATTCCAACAATACAAGCAGTAACAATAACAATAACAATAACAATCTTGTGGTTAATGAAACAGTCAAACCATCCCCAACTGATCTCATCAATATCCAACCAAACTTGATGAATTCAATTAATAAATTAGTTACTAAATCCAATCATGTAGATTTAGATAAGATAGTTTCAATAATTAATAAGTCATTAAACTATCGTCATGAAAATTATCAGAATAACTTTGGACCTTTACCAGATCCAATTCCGTTAAGACAATTTGATTCCCCCAAGTTACGGGAATTACGAAAGATTTTAGAGAATAACGAGAATGCTTTGAATAATACTAATAGAAGTCCATCACCAGATCATAATTCTGGTGGTCCCACCAGTACCACCAGCACCACGATCAATGAAATTGGAATTGGATCAGATGAAGAATCTAATGAACTTAGCAATAAGACCATGACACAATTTGAATTAGAAGAACTTTGTCTTGCTATGCTTGATGAATTACCCGAATTATGTTATGATTATCTTGGTAATACCATTGTTCAAAAATTATTTACTTTAGTTGAATCACCATTAATTAAATTAATGATGGTTAAAGAAATTGCTCCTTATTTAACTCAATTAAGTATTCATAAAAATGGTACTTGGGCTATACAAAAAGTAATTAATGTATGTCATGATGATTTACAACAAAAGTATCTTATTGGAGCTAGTTTAAAACCTTATGCAGTTAAATTATTTAATGATCAATTTGGTAATTATGTCCTTCAAGGATGTATTAAATTTGGTTCCCCATTTAATGATTTTGTATTTGAAGCAATGTTAGATAATTTTATGGAAATTAGTTATGGAAGATTTGGAGCTAGATGTATTCGAACTATTGTTGAAACTGCCAATGAAACTGATTATATTACTAATGAACAAATTGTATTGGTAGCTTCATTAATTGTTGAATTTTCTAATGAATTAGTTATTAATAATAATGGTTCATTATTAATTACTTGGTTTTTAGATACTTTTAATGATAAAGGTGCCACAATAGATGATAGATATTGTTTATTAACTAATAAGTTTTTACCTAATTTGGAAGCCTTATGTACTCATAAATTAGCTAATTTAACTATCTTAAAGATTTTAAATAATCGTTCAGATTTAAATCTGAAACAATTAATTATGGATACAATCTTTGGAAAATTTGAAGATGCTCGAGATTTTGATAATGATAATATTGAAAAATCAAAACTTTTAGAATTAATTTTAACTGAGAATCATGAACATTCTGCTGGTCCTTTATTTATTTATAAGATTTTAACTAATCCATTCTTATTAACTTTAAATGATGGAGAAATTTCAGATACTACATTAAATGCTAAATATCAACAATTTATTACTTTCCAAATTAGACGGATCTTATTGGAATTAAATATAACTAACTTTCAACCTTATAAGAAATTAATGGAAGAAGTAGGACTTTCATCAAATCGTTTAAATAGAAATGGTTCAATTAATAATAAGAGAAAGAGAAATGGTAATGGTAGAGGTCAACAACATTCTCAACAACAACAGAATATTGATCCTCAAGCCATGATGAATCCTTATCAGTACTATATGCCCCAACAGTATCAACAACCTCCACCTCATCAACAATATATTCCTCCTCAACAACAAGCATATGCTCCTAACCAATTCATTCCTCAAGCATCCCAGGGTCTTTATCCAGGCAATGTCCCACAGGGCTATCAAGTGCCTATGACATACCAACAAGACATGTACCAACAGCAGCAGCAGCAGCAGCAACAACAACAACAACAACAGCAATTGCAGCAACAGGATACAGCCGTCATGCAACAGTTGGAACAACTCTCACTAAGCTCGGCTGCGTTAGGGTACAACTCGAACCCAGGCACTCCTGGACTTGCCTCGGGCCAGAACAAGAGTCTGTTTTTCAGCTGAACCTGAACCTAAACTAAAACTATGTAACTCCGGCTAAGTCACGACTATTAGCCGGGCTCTCTATTTATATATAATATAGTAATACAGTAATAGTAAGAAGATTGATGTAGTGGTAGTAATAATGTCGTGGTGAAGGAGAGAATAAATGTCGCGTACTGCACACAAAATTTTTCACCCAGTTGAACATTTCAAACTCATCATTACCAATTAGTAGTACTAATTAACTAGCACTATTAAGTAAATAAAGTATAGTAAAGATGTCGTTCATTAACATATGTCGTGACAACACCGATCCATTCTATCGGTATAAAATGCCGGCACTTCAATCCAAAACTGAAGGTAGAGGTAACGGTATTAAAACTCTTATTGGAAATTTAAGTGAAGTAGCTCGTGCCTTAGGTAGACCACCAGCTTATGTAATTAAATATTTTGGTTATGAATTAGGAGCTCAAACATCTATTGATGATGCTAATGATCGTTATTTAGTTAATGGAGCTCATGATACTAATGAATTACAAGATTCACTCGATGGATTTATTAATAAATTTGTTCTTTGTGGATCATGTAAAAATCCTGAAACTGAAATTCAAGTTAAGGGTAAAGATAATTTAGAAAGAGATTGTAAAGCTTGTGGTAAAATAAGTCCTATTGAACCAAAACATAAATTATATTCATATATTGTTAAAAATCCTCCTGCTTCAAAAAAGGGTAAAAAAGCTGCTACTGCCACTGCTAATGTTGTTGGAGGTGGTAAATCAATTTCTGATATTGCTCAAGATTCCAACGGTGGAGTTGATGGTGAATTAGGTGATGGAGATGAAGATGATGATATTTTAGCTAAGAAATTTAATAAAGAAGCTGCTGCTTTAGAAACTGTAGTTGTTAAAGATGAAGATTGGTCAGTTGATATGTCAGAAGAAGCTGTAGCTGCAAGAGCAAGAGAATTAGAAGGTTTAAATTTAAATGAAACTCAATCTAAATTTAATGAATTAGGTGAATGGTTATTACAAGAATCTGAAGATTCAAAAGATGATTTACCATCCGATGTTGAAATATATAAAAAGATTTCTGAATTAGATATTATTGATCAAGCTGAAACCGTTCAAGTATTAGCTCAAGTATTATTTGATGAAGATATTGTTAATCAAATTGATGCTCATAGTGGATTATTAACTAAATTAATTAATGGACAAGAAGAATTTGAAAAGGCATTATTAGGAGGTTTAGAAAGATTTCTTGGATTAGAAAAACCAGATTTAATTCCAAAAGTTCCTGCTATTTTACATATTTTATATGATAAAGAAATCATTAGTGAAGAAGTTATAATTGCTTGGGGTAGTAAAGTATCTAAAAAGTATGTTGCTAAGGATATTTCCAAAAAGGTTCGTAAAGCTTCTAAAAGTTTTATTAAATGGTTAGAAGAAGCTGAAGAAGAAAGTGATGAAGAATAGTGGGCTTATTGTTAATTTACGTTTACTAGTTAATTAGTTCTTTAGTTTTCTTATATATATTTTATATTCATTAATGTAAATATTGGTTAAAATTAAACTATTCATATTGTAAATAATTTATCTTTGTGGTGGAGGTGGAGGTGGAGGAGGTGGTGGTTGATTAAAATGTTGAAATTGTGCTACTGGTTTACCATTATTTTGGAAATTGGTTGGTATATTAGGTAAGTTTGGCATATTAGGTAAATTGGGCATGTTTGGCATATTTGGAGGCATATTTGGCATATTTGGAGGCATATTTGGCATATTTGGCATGTTTGGCATATTAGGAAAATTACCCATTGGCATACCTGGAGGCATAAATTGGGCCATACCTGGAGGCATCATACCCATTGGAGGCATTCCATTAGGTGGCATCATTCCCATAGGTGGTATAGATGTTGAAGATGGAGGTGGGATTGGAGGTGGAGCTCCTGAACTTAACATTTGTGCCATGAATGCTTCAGGTTTAAATTCTCCTCTTGTTTTATCTTGTTTATAACAATATTGAGTCCATGTAAATTCATTAAATCCATAATTAAAATAATCAGTAATATCAACTCCTGGTGCTCGCCATGGTTTTTCTTTAATAGTTTCAAGATCAAGATGAGTAATGGGTTTGCCCTCATATTCTCCTACTGCATTAACATCTATTGAACCTTTATTATCACTTTGATTTCTTACTATTATACTAGTTTTATTATCTCTTTCTACTTCTGTATCTACTAATGTACCCAGTGTATCATTATTTGTTGCTACAGCTGTAACAGTAGTAGTTGGTTTGGCTTCTTCTCCAATGATAATATCAATATCATCTTCTGAATCTTCATCTGAATCTTCATCTTGTGAATCTTCATTCTCTTCCTCATCTCCATTTCCATTTCCATCTCCATCTTCATCATCTACCTCTTTAACTTTATCCTTTTGACTCTCTTGTTTAATAACCAGTTTATCTTTCTGGTTACTTCCACTTTGTGATTTTTTCAGTACTTCTTCTTCATCCGATCCGTAAAGATACGCATCATCTTCATCTTCCGATATGTTCGACATTTTATGTTAATGTCTCTTGTTGTGATGGCTGGTTGACTATTGAAATTTTGAATTTGATATTTGGGTTGGTTTTTTCAGACTGTATACCGGACTTTTTTTAGTTGCAATATACATACACATACACATTTACTTTTACTTAGTTTATTTACACTTTATTTATAATTACTAATACATTACTTTTATTACTTTACATTAGTCTAATTATTGTATAATACATAATAAACAAAAAAACAAACAGATATAAACGATTACATAAGCATGGAACTAGGAGCCAGAGTCAGATGATGATGATCAATAGATGTAGTAGAAGGTATATAACCAGTCAGTTGTAACATCATGTTAACCCACGGTTGACGACGGAATTTATTTCTATAAATGATTCTATCAAAGATAGTAATCCATTCCATTTTCTCTTGTTTATTAGGAGCCCCAAAATCAATAATTTCTCCATTAGCAAACCGAATTTTAAATGCATGTTCAACTAATAATACATCACTAAAATTTCGATAATTAATTGAAGAATTATTAATATTTTCTTTATCAACATAAATAATTTCGACAACTTTTGATAAATTAATTTTGGCTCGAGTTTTATGAGAATATTCACTATGAGCAATTAATGAAGTTCCATGTAATTTAAATAATCTTCTCTTTCTAATTTCACAATCTCCTCCTTCTTGATATAAATAACCTTCATGAGTTAAATTAAGTTCTTGACTAATATCTTGAATAGTTTCATAAGCTGATTTAATACTGGTGGGTAAATATTCTTTAAGTTCAGTTCTTGGAATATAAAGCATTTTAACTTCTAATTGTCCAATTTTATAAGGTTTACCCTTGGTAAGTTGTTTTGATATTGGATCAATATATTTATCCCATTCATTAAAACAATTAAGATTAAAATTAAGTGCTTTACCAGTAATTTTGTTTTCAAATTGTTCTAAATCAATATAACATCTTGCAAATGATCCATCTTGAGCAAATTTATTTTCCCAAGAATCTTTAATATCAAATGGTACAAATTTTGTAAGAGTTATAACATCTTTTGATCCAAACATTCTTCCTAATTTATTTTTAGATTTAACAACTTTCCTTTCAGTAATTTCTCTTAAACCTCCTTTAGGTTTTTCATAATTCATTTTCATAGTTAATATAAATTGTAATGATTCTCCAACAGTTAATTCAAATTCTTTACCTACTAATACATTACTTGATTGTAATTTATAATTAGGAGTCTTTATAGAATGAACTCCATTATCTAAAGTAATAGATAATTCCGCATTATGACTTTCAATCTCAGGTAAATTAATATTCTTAAATCCAATAACTCGAAAGAATAATTTACCTCTTTCAGCAAATGGTTGAACTTCAGGTTCAGGTTCAGGTTGTTGTTCTAGTTGATTTTCAATTTGATTTTCAATTTGATTTCCATTTTCAACTATACCTGATTCATCTTGTGAATGATCTATTTGTTGTTGATCTTCCTTTAAAGTTCTATAATCATGATTACCCATGGTTAATAATGTAGCAGATGAAGTACCAGAAGGTCGAGAAGAATTAGTAAATCCTGATGGTACAGAGATTGTACTTGGTTTACGTTGATGATCATCATTTTCAAATTCTACTTTCTTATTATCTTCTCTTATTTTATAATTTATAAGTTCATCTCCATTAAATGAAGGTTGAGGTTTATGATTTATTGATGATTTACCAGGTGATGAAGGTATAATTGCTCCTGTAACGGCTTTACCTTGCTTAATTAATTTCATAGGTGAACCAATCTTAATAGGACGACCCTTTTGAGGAGTTGAAGGTAGTTTAGATGGTTGAATATCTATATTAATTGAATTATAAGTAGGATCTAAGGGATCTTTATCTTTCTTTTTACTCTTACTCTTACTCTTCTTCTTACCCTTACCTTCTTCTTCTTCTTCTTCTTCTTCTTCACTTCTTGGTGGAGTTCTAAAGATATTTGAATCAGGAGAATTAATTAATTCAGGATCTGGTTCAGGAAATGCTTGTTCTGAAGTAAAGATATTCTCTTTAAAGAATTGATCCTTTGATAATAAAGCATTACGATTCATTAATAATTCATTAGCTAAATGAGGTATAACATATTTAGTTATTGGACTTGATTCTGGTGATATATTATGAATTGAAGCTTGTTGTTGTAATTCATCATATCTTGTATCTGGTTCATTTACAATGGAATTCTTTTTTAATTCAATTCCCTTTAATTTAATTTTAGTATAATCATCTTGAGTTATTATCTTTTTAGTATTAAGAATTCTTTTAACATCATCTTTATCCATACTTGGTAAAGTTTTAATACCTGAACTTCTTATAGTAGGTTGTTTAATTATTGTATCAGCAAAGATTTCATCATTATAAAGATTTCTAGGTGATAAAATTGATGAAGATCTCTTTATTTCAAATGAAGGAACTTGAAATTTTGAATGAGGTTTTGGGTTTGGTTTAAGTTTAGAATTAAAATTAGAATTAGAATTAGAATCCAGTAATTGACGAGGATCATACAGTTTGGTAATGATGGGTTGATGTTGTATAGAAGCCGTAGCGGAGATTACGGAGATTGAATTCCGAACTAATCTTCTTTTGAATGATCCATTGGTAGTATTACTATTTGGAGCAGGAGGTTCAATAACATTAGGATCATTATCTATATTACTTAAAACATTCTTAGTACTCAATGGAGTAAAACTTCTTCTATTTCCAGCAATATTCGAATAATTACCTGAAGTATTTCTTAAGAATCGGAAATGATTCTCAAATCCTGAATCATCAGATAATTCAGGTAAAAATCCTGAAACTTGTAAATCTTCAAATTCAGGATTAACTACTTTTCGAGTTATTACATTAACTTCTTTAAATTTTCGAGATTTTAATGGTACTGGAACTGGAACTTTAGGTGCAAGTATATCATTATTACTTAAAGATTTGAAAGATTCAGAACTTATTTGATGATTCTGTTTCCATTTAGGTTTCTCCTGAGAATGCCAAATAGAAAGATAATTACTTGGTTTCTTTTCCACATCATGTTCTGCCGATAAGGATTCTTCAAATGAATCCTTTCCTGAATCCAAATTCTTAGTAATATCATGAAGAGATGAATAATCATGAGTTTCAACTGGTGGTAAAGTGATTTCTTCAGGTGGAGCTATATTTGATGAATTGGCTAATACATTTTGATCAGTAGTATTACCAGTATTATCTTCTTGTTGTTCTTCTGATTGTTCCTCTTCCTCTTGTTCTGGTCTTACTGGTGCTAAAGTCTTAGATATTAAATGATCGGATGCATCTTCAAACGGTTGAGAAGAGGCCGAAATGTTAGGGGATAAATTAACATCTAAGATTGGTTGACTCATATCATTTATAGTATCTCCATTATCTTCTTTATCACCATCATGACTATCTTCAAGTTTCCATTGACTATCCATATGAAATTGTATAGACATCTTAGTTGATTCTTGTGAAGATTCAAGATCTTGTTCAGTAATGTCGGAGGATGGGATTACTTGATTAATGATGGGATGAGCCACTGGTGTTGATTCAGATTCATTAGATTCAACTAACTTAGCAGCTTTACCTGATTCTTGTTTGATTTCTTCAACAGATGGTTCTTTCTTAAGTACTTGTTGTTGTTCTTCCTCTTGCTCTTCCTTAATGTCTACAACATCTTCTTCAGATTCAGGCTCATCCTTAACTAAGATATCCTGTAAGATAGGTTTAGTTATTGATTCAGTACGGTGATGAGTCTTTTCCGATGGTACTTCATTGAGTTCTGATTGGGATGCACTCTTTAAGAGATTCATTATAGATTGTTCAGTAGTATTATTAATGGAAGTATCGAATCTTTCGACTTCTGGTTCATGGGCAATTGCAACTACATTTGCATTTGCATTTGCAACTGGTTTCATTACTAATCCATCATGATCTTCTTCTTGATATTGATATTGATATTGCTGTTGTTGAGGAATCAACTGTTCAACGATTTCATCACTAAATCCTTTAATTCCATCATTTAATTGAATACCCTTATTAGTAGTGATCTTAGTTACCGAATCTAAACCTCGATTATCTTCACGTAATGATTGTAAAGAAGATTGAGAAGAACCAGAAGATCGTAATTGAACTTCAGTAGATTTAGTTAAAGAATTTAATGGATTCTCAACATTATCATGATTATGATTTTGTAGAGATAATGATAAATTATAAATATTGGAAGTGACATTATTCTTAGCTGCTTCATGTAAATGTTGTAAATGATGATCTAAATCATGATGAGTATCTTCAATTGAATGGTCTTTATCTTTGTCATTCTCATTCTCATTCTCATTCTCATTATGTTTAGATAAGAATAAATCCAATTTCTCATTTAATGATAAATTACTAAATTTATCATGTTTTAATTTATATTCATTTATTTTTAAATCATCATCTTCTTCATCTTGATCAAGTTGAATATCTGATTGTTTATTATGTAATAAATTTTCAAATGAATTATTAACATGAGGTGGAGGTACCGGAGGATGATCAGAATCATAATCATAATCTTCATCAGATAATTTACTCCATTGATGATTAATTGGATGAGATGATGGTGGTGGTGGAAGAATACTTTCATTATTTGAAGTATCAGCCGAATTCAATTGATAATGATGAATTTCTGGATTTAAATTGGTAAATACTACATTTTTCTTAGGCGAACTTATGGGAGTCTTTGAATTTTTCATAATTGATTTACTAGGAGATGAAGTAGATTTAACTAATTCAACAGTAGATGTCATAGGAGTTACAAAGGAGAAATCATCATCATTTGAATTATTATGTTGAATGGTTTTCTCAAAATTAATTACTTGTTGACTATCATCATTATCATCATCATTAAATTCGAAATTTCTTAAGAATGATTCATTTTTATTGTCAATGGCTGGAGTGATTATTTGGACTTCATTTTCACTAGTATAAGTATCTGAAGAGTTATTACTATTACTGGTATAACTCTTAGTATTTGTCATGATGGTAGTAGGAGTTGTAGTAGGGAAATTTAATGGTTTAGTAGGAGAATTATTTATGGATAAATTCCCCGGAATTGAAGGCTTTATAGAATTAGTTCCGATTTCTTGTAATAACAAATCTACCGACTCATTCTCATTCTTAAATATATCGGTACAAGTATTGACGGGAGTCATAAAGTCTTGGACATTTATTAGGTGTTGAGTTTCGGGATGAGATTCCGTCATCGTATTTGACGTGTTTATTAAAGATTTGAATTATTTAAAAAAGTTGTTGAATTAATGGAATTGGTTTCCGAAGTAAATGAATGACAAATTTATCTGGTAATATATGGAATTACTATACAGAAGAGTAGTTAATGGTATAGTTAGTTGAGTTAGTTGTAGTTTTAGTGTTTAGTTAGACAGTGTCATGACCTGTATATGGGGCCCATTTGTTGTTTACATTTGTGATGGTTTGGGTGGCCGCGACCCAATTAGGCAATTATATAACACGAGACAGTTCAGTACAATGAGAAGAGATGGGGTAGGCTTGGATGCTATGTTTTTATGCTATGTTTGTATGCTTGGATGCTATGCTTGGATGCTTGGATGCTTGAATTCTCGGGATTATGCTTAGATGTAGAGGATTGGGGTTGCATAGTGTGTAGGGTGGGCTGAATAGTACTATTATCCTTGTATACAGTACATGATTCATTAAAAGTAGTACTGTAATAGAATATGTGGCTAGTACCATTTACTGTAAAATACATTGTCAGTCATATAGAGCGTATTTTAGAGTATACTGTAGAGTATAGTGTAAAGTATATTGTAAAGTATATTTTAATTTGTATATCACATGGGTTATAATGTTGTGATATAGTGGCTCTCTGATCGTGACTCTGATCACGTGCAATTACTCCTGACAGACACACCCTCTCTTCGTCTAATCTAATAACGAATCATTTATTATACTATGACGAGATATTCTACTCCTTACTATAAAAAGACACATAATGTCTATACGACATTACCTGAAATATGGTTGTAAATTACTGAATTGAGACTAATAAACGACACGCGCTTTTTTGACTTTTATTATTTAGTTATTTTCTATTTTATAAACTTAAGGCGCGGTTTATTTACATTTTATAGCTGCAAAACCGTTTGAACAATACTCGCCAAACCCAACCGACAATGGTCTACTTGAGACACATTTCCACATAATTATCATTGTACGCGAATCACATTCACTATCATGATACAACTCTATAATATATTATCAATAAATCATCATGTAGTATATTCTACAGTTAATATACTTTAACATATTATAGTTTAGTATAACATACATACTAAACCCTAAATTACAGGATGAAACCGGCAGTGCTATTAGAGTTTTTTTTCCACTTTTTTTTTTCTCTTCTCTATTTTTTTTTTTATTGTTGTTGTTTACGTTGAAATTTTTCAGCCCATGGCATTGCATTTTGTCTTTAAGCTTTTTCCCCATTGGGTCAGGTCGGGGTCAATTTATTTTCCTTACGATACTCTATTCATCATCTTATTATATTTCTGTTTTCCTTATAAAACTACTTCGACTTCTTTCTGTTACGTATTGTTTAATAGAATTGACTAGACTAGACTAGAATAGATAACTCTTATTATCATTCATTAATAAATGCAATTAAAATCTTTATTTACTTTGGCTCTTGCCATTGGTACAGCAACTGTCAATGCTAAAGTTCAATCCGGTTGTTCCTTTTCAACCACTACAATTACTGATCCAGCAGATATTGCTACTTTAAATGCTTGTCCAACTATTGATGGTTCTATTGAAATCACTGGTGATGAAATTACTGCACTTTTATTACCTTCAGTTCAAGAAATTGATGGTAATATTAATATTTTTAATTCTTCATCTATTGTAACTGTTAGTTTTAATGGTTTAACTTCAGTTAATGGTACTTTAGCTATTCAAGCTTTAACTGCTTTAAACAGTATTGATTTTACATCTTTACAAGTAGTTAATGAATTAGATTTAGTATCTTTACCTTCATTAGCTGGTTTAACTATTGTTGAAGGTATTCAAAAGGCAAATTCAATTCAATTATCTGATACTGCTTTATCAGTTTTACCATTCACAACTTTTAATACTGTTGGTGTATTAAATATTAATAATAATAAAAATATTTCTTCTATTAATTTACCATTAGAAACTGTCACTGATACTTTATTATTATCTTTTAATAATGATCATGCTGAAATTGTTTTAGATGATTTAATTTGGGCATCTAATTTAACTATTCAAGATGTATCAAGTGTTTCTCTTAAAAATTTAACTGCTGTTAATGGTTCTTTAATTCTTGGTTATAATACTTTTACTCAAGTTGCTGCTGATAATTTAGAAACTGTTGGTGTTAATGTTGAAATTTTTGCTAATGATGATTTAACTAAAATTTCATTATCAAACTTAACTACTATTGGTGGTGAATTAAGATTATTCAATAATACTCTTTTAGAAAATGTTGGTAACTCATCTTTTGAATCTTTAAGTAAAATTAAAGGTACTTTAAATGCTGAAGGTAATTTTGAAAACTTTACTTTACCTGCATTAAGTCAAGTTGCTGGTGATTTCAATTTAATTTCAACTAATGATGATTTTGATTGTGATGACTTTGATGCTTTACATTCTGCTTCTAAGATTCAAGGTCACAATTATACTTGTGCATCTCCATCATCATCTTCTTCAGAATCTGGATCTTCTTCAAAGACTGCTTCAGGTTCTGAATCTTCTTCAGGTTCCTCATCATCATCTTCCCCATCTTCATCCTCATCTTCTTCTAAGAAGTCTGAAGCCCAAAGCAATTTAGTAAGTGTTTCAATGGTATTTATGACTTTAATAGGTACTGTCTTTACTATGCTTCTTTAAGTTCATCCATTTATTATTCTTTAAAATGTCGTGTTTATTATTTTATTTTATTCTGTTCAACTTTATTTACTTACTTGATTTTGTACCATGACTTTTATATTAATATTCTATAGTAAAAAGATCAATTAACAGAAATTAGTTAAATTACTATGTAGATCAATACTCTCGCTTCGAATCCTAATGGGGTGGTTTAATTGATATATGGCTTATTTATGATTCGGCCTAATTAGGAGATGAAATTGATCGCGTTAACACAAAATCATAACATCCAAATCTAGATTAATTATCTAAATTAAATACGAAGAAATGATGGGCAATGACAGAATAGAATGTCATGCTGATAACCTGGTGAATGAAAATTCTAATCATATTGATTGGACGAGGCTGTACATATACATTCCATCAAATATTTCTTAATACATCATCCTGCATTGGTGTTATGAGTTAATTATTTACATGTTTTTAGTTTCTATTTATACGCACCAACAAACAAGTAATTTGTCCCCTTAAAAAAGAAAAAAAGCACATACACATAGTAAATTAAAACCACAAATACAAATTAGGAAAAATTTTAATATATATATATTACTAGTTAATTATTATTAAATTTCATCTTGTATTATATAATTATACCTATATAATTCTAGTAAAGGATAAATAATTAGAATTGTTAGTTGTCAACAATAAAGTCTGCCAAAAAGGGTAAGAAACCATTCAACATGACCAGTTTTGATAGTCAAGAGATTACCGAGAATTATAAAAAAGCTAATCAACAACATTTATTTAAGTATTATGATACTTTAACTCCTCAACAACAACAAGAATTCTTAACTCAGTTATCTAAAATTAATGATCCTGTGAAATTAATTACTACTGTTAAACAAGCCATTGAATTATCTGGTCAATATAATTCTAATACTAGAAACTTTACTCAATTACCTCATGAACAAACTGCATCTACATCTGAATTAACTTCTGATCTTAAACAAACATGGACTAATTTAGGATTAAAAGCTATTGCTAATCAACAAGTTGGTGTTATTCTTATGGCTGGAGGTCAAGGTACAAGATTAGGATCAAATGCTCCAAAGGGTTGTTTCGATATTAAATTACCTTCAGGAAAATCATTATTTCAAATTCAAGCTGAAAAGATTCGTAAAATTCAACAATTAACTCAAGCAGAATTCAAGTTACAAAATGAACCTAAATTATTCTGGTATATCATGACTTCAGAACCAACAAGAAAGCCAACAGAAGAATTCTTTGCTTCTCATAATTATTTTGGTTTGGATCCAAATCAAATCATGTTCTTTAATCAAGGAACTTTACCATGTTTCAATCTAGATGGATCTCAAATCCTTTTGGAATCAAAGAATAAGATCACTGAATCTCCTGATGGAAATGGTGGTTTATATAAATCCATTCATAATAATGGTGTTCTTGATGACTTAATAGAAAAGGGAATAAAACATATTCATATGTATGGAGTTGATAATATTCTTGTTAAAGCAGCAGATCCTCTTTTCATTGGGTTTGCTATTGATAAAGAATTTGATTTGGCTACTAAAGTAGTAAGAAAGAGAGATGCCACTGAAAGTGTTGGATTAATTGTTCTCGATGATGACTCCAAAAGACCATGTGTCATAGAATATAGTGAAATTTCATCAGAATTAGCCAATAAAAAGGATGAAAAGGATCCAAACAAGTTATTCCTTCGTGCAGCAAATATCGTCAATCATTATTATTCAGTTGATTTCTTAAAAGAGAAGATTCCAGAATGGATTGATTCCACTAAATATCTTCCTTTCCATATTGCCAAAAAGAAGATTGCTAATCTTAACCCAAAGACTGATGAATTTGAAAAGCCAACTGTTCCAAATGGTATAAAGCTTGAACAATTTATTTTTGATGTATTTCCATCAGTTGAATTAACTAAATTTGGATGTTTGGAAGTTGAAAGATTAGACGAATTTTCTCCTTTGAAAAATGCCGATGGAGCTAAAAATGATACTCCAACTACTTGTAGAAATCATTATATGGGCTTAGGTTCAAGATGGATCCGTGAAAATGGGGGGATTATTAATGATCCTAATGCATTAGTTGAAGTTAGTTCTTTAACTAGTTATGCCGGGGAAGGTTTAGAATTTGTTAAGGGTAAAGAATTTAGTCATGGTGATAGCATTTAAAATAATATTAAACAAAATAATTTTACAGTATATTATTTATTATTATAACTTTTCTAGTTTTAATAGCATTTATATAAATTTACATATATGTGATATAATTACAAAAGAAAACATTTTATTTTAATATATATAAATCAATTAAGCAAACAATACTGTCTAAATCTAATCTATTAAATCCATTACTTCAAGCGGTTGGATTAACAAGTGTGACAGTAACTGTATTGGTAGGACTAAAGAAATCATCCCAATTGAAACTGGTAGTAGATGTAGTCAGAGTAGTAGGAGTAGTAGCTGGTACTTCTGCAATAGAGCTGGATGTAGGAGGGGCAGCAGCAGTAGAAGTTGGAGGTTCAACACTTGTAGCATCAACAGAACTAGATCCACTTTTGGTAGGACATACACCATTTCTCTTCTTAATTCTAATCTTATGCGGTTTGGGTACTGGTTCTTCTCTCTTGCCTAATAATAATTCATCTTGATCAACAATTTCTTCTTTTTTAACTAAAAATTTACCATGTTTCAACTTAGTTATATCTTGGTGAATGACAATAGCATAAACTTGTAAGGCAATTAAAGCAAGGAATAAAACTTTTGTGAATTTAAATAACATCTTTTATAGTAATATGGGGTACTTGGTTAGTAATAAATCAAATAATTACAATTTTTCATTATTTGGAGCCTATTTTATACTAAATCTTATAGAAAATTTCTACCATCATACTCTCATCTCTTTGATGCAAAATAATACTTTCTACAGAATTTGAAACATAACTTATCAATCATTCTATTCAGTACAGTGCCCATTATTATTTTCTTGCTTTCTTTTTCAATTCATCTTCATTTATTTTTCGCAACTGATCTTGCATTAAATTGATGATGTTCCAGACAAAATTTCCTATTTGGGCATTTACAATCAGTTGCAAACTACATTAAAAATAATTATTTTACTATATATTATATGATATTATATTATTTCTGTAACTCATCTCAAACATAACGTGCCACAGAATGCCAAGCCATTAGCAACATATTCACCTACGATCAACTTCTAATGTTTCATAAGATATTCAGAAAGTTACGACGTTCTTCTTCTCTTAAAGCATTATAAATCTTAAGTTGAGGAAGTTTGTTAATTTCATTGGGATTAAAAGTTAAAGATTGAACCCTATAATCTTCGTACTTCCCATTGTTAGTGGTATCTTTAAATTCTTCAATATGGGAACCAAGTAAAACATTTCTCAAAAGCTTATAATCACAATTTGTTTCATCATTAACATCAATTACTGCAAAAGAATTAGTTCTTACTTGATGACCTTCATCTGTAACAGAATTTGCTCCAATAACAGCAAAGGGAATTTTTTCCTGCAATGTTTTCATAAATATGTTATCTTCCGATTCATCCTCTTCACCTGGGAATGAATCTTCTTCATCATTTGTGAAATTAAACACTTCAATATTGTTTTCAAAAATTGCTTTATTAATCAAATCTTTGTTTAATCTAAGTTCTTCCTCTGTTAAACCATCAGATTTACTAATAACAGGAATCAAATTAACTCTTTGGCCAAGTTTTTTCATATTTTCAATATCGAAATCATTCAATCTTAGAAACAGTTAGTAATAAATCTTCAATATGAAACAAATTCACTTATATACATACCCTTTACCAGTAGGAATAATAAAATAAAGAGCAACATGAATTCTCTTATCAATTGGATTATGAGTTCTTTCAATCAACCGTTCGTGTTTAAGAATTCTATCATATTCATTTTCGATATATTTAATCAAAGTAGTTGCGTTACTTGAATTTTCTAAATTGAATCCAAAATTTTCAGTAATAAACACATTCAATTTAATTGGAATTGCGTTTGGATCAATAACTTCTAAAGTAATTTTAAATTTGTTAGAATTTTTATTCTTAATTTGAGTTAATTAAAAAGGTAATCTTACTAATTGTATGTTCTGATATTTCAAGCTTGCCACCATTCCCAGAATGATCAACGGTTTCTGAAATTGTGTTGAAGTAGTTCCTGTTTGAAAGCGTATTTATAAATGTTTTCTTTCCAGTTCCATTCTCTCCCACTAGAAGGACATTAAGACTTAATCCTCTCTTGGTAAACTTTCTCTGTCTGATTTCCTCAGCGGTAAACTGGAAACACATGTTAGTTTATCTAATCTTTTAAACAAAATCAATAATTATACTTACAGACGAAGAGTGAGGAATTGCGGAATACATATGGTGCCCTGACTATCTTTCAATGATATTGTTGGTTAATCAGTTCAACTAGACCACCACTTTTGACTATGTTGCCAAAAGAAGCAAATTGCAAAAGTTTACAGGGTAGAAAAAGTGCGAATTAAATATATTTGCAGTCTATACAAGAGATCTGAATTAGGCAATGGACTTATTCATTTGTTCCACGGCATAGTCCAAAATATAACTTTGTTCTATTAAGTCATCGATTCTAGTGAAATGACGTTCACTATAGGGAATTATAGAATCGATGATTTTCATTAAGCCCTTAATTTCAGCGAGCTTTTCATCTTCAATATTCAGAATGACTACGGAAATCAATTTTTGACTGATTTCAAAATATTTGAAGTTGACATTCCAATCTCTTACTTTTGTAAATAATCGGATTAATTGTTCATCAGATAAACTGATAATGGTTGATTCCAATACTTTTGAACCAATGGTTGAAGATGGATCATCATTGGTTTCTATACAAGATCTAAGAACATTGTATAATCTCATAGAATGATCCAAGGTAAGAGCCAATAAGAATGCATTAGGCCAATCTTTAGAATTAATATAATTAGATAAACTTTGTTCTTGTTCAACTTTTAACTTTTGATTTTGTTCCTTTTGTCTTATCTCTTCTTCAGTATTATCTTCCCATTGACTGATTTTTCCATCAGCATCAGCTGTGACAAATTCAGCACCATCTTCCTTTATATCAATAGACCAGATTCTATTATCATGATTATCAAATGTCTTAATGGTTTCTCCTGACTTATAATCCCAAAGTTTCACTAATCCATCTGCACCTGTAGATAATAATTGTGGACTATTTCTATTAAAGAATTTAACTCTTTGAACTGAATTAGTATGTCCTTCAAATGTTTTCAAACATGTAAAATCATTTAAAGACCATACTTTGACAGTCTTATCACCACTAGCAGTAACAATCAATTTATCAAATTTATAAAAATTTATATCCCATAAACCTCTTTTATGACCTTTCAATACCCCAATTGTTTCACCACTTTCAGTATTCCAAATCTTTCCAAGTTTATCAAATGATGCAGATGCAAAATATTCGTCATTAGGTGAGATGTCTATTGAATTAATATCCTTTTCATGAGCTCTTCTTGTATAATCTGAAGTTTTCACTATTGTGTTAGCTTGGGATGGGATTTTCCATTTTTTAATTGTGAAATCAGTTGAACCAGTAATTAAAAATTTAGGAGATTCATCAGATCTTGATAATGCTATAGCACTAACAGAACCTGCATGACCTTGAAATCTAGCATAGAGTCCGAATTCTTCTTCTTCTTCATCCCATTTCCATAAGATAGCTTCATTGTCTTTAGAAGCAGTTGCTATCCATTTACCATTAGTTGAAACATCTAAAGCATTTAAAAGATCTTTATGACCCTCATATAATTTTAATTCTAATGGTTTAGTAGTATCAACTATTCTTAAGGCAGGAGAATTAGTAGCTAAAGCTATTAAATCAAAGTTTGGTCCTACATATCTTATATCAGCAATAATTCCATGATTTCCTGCTATTCTTTTAGCAATTGGAAGTTCCATACCTGGTTCAATATCATAAGTATCTTGTAAGTTTAAATGTATTAAAGTTTGATCACTTACTATTAGTATGATATCATCATTATCCAATTTTATAGTATCAATAATAACTAATTCTTCATTAGTTTTGAAAGGAGTCTTCGATTGAGCCACTAAATTCCCAGTATGAATATTCCAAACTTTTAAAATATTTTCAGCTCCAGCAGTATAAAAGTATTCCTTATTATTTCTTAAAGTTAAGAATCCACCACATTCAATTTGTTCATTTATCAGATAAGTATTTATTGGTTTATAATTTTTAGTATTATAAATTATGGCAATATCATCTCTACCACCAGTCATGAAATATTCACCCCCTTCACTAAATCCTACTCCTCTTACAGCACTATTATGTTCATTACTTGTGACAATACATTTTCTTTTAACTAAATCCCAAATCTTTACTGTTCCCATAATATCTCCACTAGCTAATTTCCATTCAGTTGAATTTAATTCTCCATAAAATGCTAAGGAACAAACAGTAGTACCATGACCCTTTAAAGAATGTGTTACATAACCTCCTTCTATATCCCATACGGTAATAACACCATCTGAACCTCCAAATGCAAATAATGATGATGTAATATCGGCAGTAGATATATAACATGGAGATGGTAATTTAAATGATTTTATAATTTCTCCTTGATTTACATCAAATATACGTAATTGTTGAGATTGAGATAATATAGCCAATTTAGTTCCATCTGGAGTTATAACAATATTTGTTATTAATTCTCCATCTCCTTCTATTTTATGCAATATTTCATTAGTATATAAATTAGTTACAATGACATCTTCATTCAATGGAGTTGCCAATATTTCTCCATTGGAAGAGATTGTGGCAGAAGCTCCTCCAACATAAAATGGCTCTATATCCTTATGAATGTACGTAGTCCTTACTGAATCCATATTGACTGTATGTACTTAATTCACTATAACTACTACACCTACTAGAGCATTGAAATTTTTCAGATTTTTTTATTTTGGTTAGCGCAGAGCATCACTAAAAATTTAAACTATGTACAGAACAGAAAAAAAGTGTGAGAGTGAGACACAGACAAAAATGGGTGCTATTTACATATCTATGCCTAAAGATTTTGCAGTATTTTGCAAATATACCTCTATATAATCTTCAAAACCTTTACCCTTTCCACCATATCTATCACCTAGAAGAACTTGTCTAAGTCTTATAAGGAAAAAGATAAGTCCACTAAAGAATATATTTAATCTAATTAGGATTACATCAAAATATTCATTAAATTTTAATGATTTTTCGGTGGCTAGTGCATCTACCAGAGCTTTAGTTAATAAATTAATTCTATTAACGGGACTACCAAATCCTTGATTTAGAGTTTGAATCATCCTCATAGTTCGAGCTAAAAATAATAACTCAAGTGGGAATCGACTTTCATCACCTATGAAATCTTGAAATAAGCTATTAACATTTCTTTTATCATTATCTATTTTAGTTTGATCCAATACAGGTGGACGAAGTTGAACTAAAGTTGAAAATAATTCAATAGCTTGAATACCCCAATTTCTACCTATATCTTCTATTCCTTCTTTATTGTACAGGAATAAGTATCTCCATAAATTACAATATTCCACTCTAAATTTATCTGGTAACAGAATATATAATCCATGATCTAAAACAACCAATTGTTGTTTACCATTCTTATCAAACCTAGCCAACAAATCACCAGGATGAGGATCAGAATGAACAAATCCATATTTGAATATTTGTCTTCCAAAGATAGTTAAATATTGTTTCATCATTAACAGTACATTATAACCCAAGTCAAGTAATTTCTGCTTTTCTACTAATGAAATACCTTCAATCCATTCACTTACAAGAATTTGTTCAGTAGAAACATCTCGATAATTCTTTGGAATATAGACATTGATGTTGGATAAAGTAGGATCATTATCAAGTAGTTCTCTAAGTTTTTCAGCGTTCCCCAATTCATTGATGAAATTAACTTCTAATTGCATTTGTTTAGATACATACGAGGTAAACATACTCATAGGTAATTCAAAGACTTTTTCATAAATTTTAGCCATAAATCTATATATGAATAGATCAATAACAATCTGATTACCAATATAACTATGTTGAATCTTGACTGCAACTTTTTCACCACTCCCCTTAAGTACAGCCTTATGAACTTGAGCAATAGATGCACTAGCTACTGGATCATGATCAATCAGTTCAAATATTTCCGATTCATAATTTGCCCCTAAATTTTGTTTTAATACATTATCTATTTTACTCCAAGATTCTATAGGAGCATCATCATACATCTTTTCAAATCTTATTTGGTAAGCTAATGGGAAAATACTACCTTGATTTGCAATGGCTTGTCCAAGTTTAATATATAAACCTTTATTTTTCATTAACAAATCAAGTAAACTTTCAGCACATTTTTCATGTAAATCATTAATATTACTATAACTAGCAGTATTCAAACCATATTCATAAGCAATCCAAAGTAATACATATAATGCTCTAACTGATCTTGTAATTAATGATGAATATGCATACTTATCTATAATATATACCGAACCTCCGACTCCAATTACAATTGTTAATGATTTTAAAATTCTAGATCTTGGAAATATGCTTGATTCTATAATTGGCTTATTAACTCGAATTGATTTAGTAAACAGTCTAGTTATCTGTGGAGACCACTTGAGCGCAGAAAAACTTAGTGGTTTAACTCTCTGGCGCAATACTTGTCGAAACATATGCACTACCTCCCAATACTTCAAACTTTAAACTAAGACTGCTTTTCACTGGCATATCTCTACCCCATCTTATCCGATAATGGCAAAAAAAACGTCATAGACATTTTTTAACGTTTCGAACATGTCGTAGCAAATTAGCAGCAGAACAAAGAAATGTCGCACGACAACCAGGATTTTTTCTTTTCAACAAAACTAACTAACTAACTAACTAACTAGCAAAATATTAACGAACCATACTATAAACGGGATCTAAAGTTGTTGACAAAATTACCAGTAAAGATGATTGGATTAACTCGTCAATTAGCCAGAACATCATATCGTCAATATGCTACCAGTACCACTGGATCTCCTAAAAAAATCGGAGCTTTTAGAGGAGGATTTGTTGGATTTTTACTTGGTGTTACTGCGACCGGGGCAGGATCTTATTATTACTTATTAGATCAATATAAATTAGCTAACAATACTATAGTTGCTGATATTGTTGCATTACAAAATTCCATTAGTAAATTGGAACAACATATTAATTCTTTAGATACCAAGAAATAAATCTATTAAGAAGTACACCTCCGGGAGTGTTTCTTCACTTGTATATAATCAAACAAGTTGTACCATAGCATATACATATAGTATACACAATTGCTTGATGTGTATTTGATATTATTTTTTTTATTTATTCATTACTAAATACAGGTTATATATGCAATCTCTTTTCTATATACAAATTCAATGCAAAATTTTGTTAACTTAGTGTTATTTTAATTAATTAAATTAAGTATCTATGTATTCTATTTTCCCTCTTTTTTACATGTCCTTAATGAATTTAATGGCGTCCGATAATAAAGTCTTAAGTTGTTGTTTATCGATTTCTTGAGACATATCACCTATGAAATTCACTTCAACTTTTCTACCTCCTAATTCTCCCCCTTCAACAGTATTAAGTTCAATCATAGTATTATCTGATAAATCAAATTCCAATTTTCTTCTATAATTGATACTAAGGAAATTATAATTGACAGTCTTTCCATTTATTATCATCTCCAATTCAGGATGAATTGATATAGGTTCTCTACCTCTAAAATTCATAGCCGATTTCTTTAACCATACACCAATACCTGGTTGACTATTAAATCTACTATATCTGTCAGTTGGTGATGTTAATAACCTATGCATTTCTTTATGTGATTCCAATACATTGTCATCGACTTTAGCTTCAGCTTCAGCCTCATTGACATCAACATTGATATCTGTCTCGGTATCGGTACTGGCTTCAAGTGATTCACTAGGGTCCTTCTCCACTATCAAATTCCCAGATACTTGACAAGAAACCTTTAAATCTGAACCGGATGATGGTAGAGCTATATGTACATCATTTTCACCTTCTACAGTTACAGCTTGGAAGGTTTCTAAATCAGGAGTCTTATGTCCATTCAAATCTATCCAAATCTCAATTGGAGGATAATTCACAGCAGTATCTATATCTTCACCAATATCGGAATTTTCATTATTTAGAGGAATAGATGGTAGGAATTGAAGTTGGATTGTATATGTATTAGGATCTTCATTTAAGGATTGGTTTGATTTTGAAATTGATGGATCATTCCAATCATGGATTGGTAATGTAAGGACTTTGGAATTTGCAAACTCCACATTGGTGTTAAAACCATAATTGAGATTAGTAATGTTTTGCTTAGAAATCTCTGGCTTTTTGGGTATACCGGCTTTTGTAGACTCTTCTCCTTTGAATAATATATGACCAAGTGTTGCCACAAATATTGGAGGGTTCAAATTATCACGTTCAACCCCTTTAAGTTCTTCTCTATATTTGAAATCCAATAAGGTATTATAGAGCTGATCAATTTCTGCATCAGATAAAACTTCATTAATATTGAAGTCAGATACAGGTTCTTCCGTTTTCAAACCATCTTCAGAAACGTTATCAGTAGATGGTTCTTCTTCTACATTAATACTTTTGAACAAAGAAAGAGCATCTTCTTCATCTGTAGTTCTAAGTGTTTTCACTTCATCGAATTCATTAGCAAAGGATAAGTTGGTAGATTCAAGAGAATCATTAGAGAATTTGACTAAATCCCTAGCTAATGATACATTTTGGAAATCATTTGCGGGAGTTGGAGCTTTTAATTTGAATAAACTTTCAGTTCTATTATTCCAACTTATACACATATCATCCTTATAAGGTAAAAAGTCTAATTTATCAATATTGTCAATAAAGCTTTGAGGAATAAATACATCTTTTCTTAAATGTCTATGTTTATCTACACCCAATGACCATAATACCAAACGTTTAAAACGTTTAAGTTGTTTATAATGAGGAGATGTAACTTCATATATTTCATCTTTAATATGATTGAAATATACATCTGTAATTTTGACTAATTTCTTAGCAAACTCATCATATTTATCTCCCAAGAGTACTTTTAAGGAAATGAAATTTATAGTTTCTGTGAATGTAGAACTTAAAATAGAATTCAAATTGATTTCAGCATTATCTAATTGAGAAGATGAACCGGAAAATTTTATTATATCTTTATTAGAATCGAAAGTGACATTGACTCCACAATTATGAATATGTTCAAGAGCTTCTTGATTATTCAGTAAAAGTATAAATAAATCTCGTTTAGTTAATTTAAATGATTTGGACAGGAGGTAGTCTTCACTATATGATAAGAATTCGGCTACTTTAATCCTCCAAATATCTTCAATTATACGTTTAGCAAGAACACTCTTAGTTGCATTAATACTTTTCTTAATGAATTTATGTTCTGGTTCTTCGTATTTAGCTGAGGCATATTGTTGTAATTGATCCCTTCTAAAGGATTTCTTTAAATCCTGAGCCATTTTCTTGTATTTGGCTTTACTTACTTTGGTAATATCTGGTTTTAAACCATCTATGTTTGCTATTAACGTATTAGAAGTTTCTTCAACTTCAAATGTCTCATCAGTTGGAATAGTATCATGCAGATATTCATCCCTGAGGACTCGAGTGACTGCTTTTGATTTATTTAAACTGAGTAATACCCTTTTAAAGTTGTCATTGTTATGAATATCAGATGGGTCTAAGAAAATTTGCTTATGTTTACCTTCATATTTTGATGCTATATTTGAAGAATCTTGTAAATCTTGATGTACTATATCTGGTAAAATGTGTTTTAGTCTATGTTGAACGGGACTACAGCTAAAGCTTCGAAGTCCTATCAGCACTGACTGTACCTTATTGCTTCTTAGCACGGCTATCCTACTAGATAACATATGTGTAGTTTTGAATATGAATGATCTTTATTGATTATTAGACCATAAACTAATGCTACTTAAGTATGTGAATAATTTTTTTTCCTATTACATCTCAATTTTTTTAAAGAAAAGCACGTGACGTATCATGTGCCATAATAAGCATGACTTCTCATATGATCTGAGAAACGTGATCACCGTTTGATCATGCCATTTTCGTAACTGGCACCACCCTCGTTGAGTGTTACTTTTCTGAGCGCGCAGTCGCTATACTTTCCACCGTTGTTAGTTTCCCGTACGATAAGTCACTCGCTCGCTAAGTCTAACTCGAAATAAGGGAAACTCCGGCCGCTATCAGAAACAAAATTTGCAATCTTATTTCGCTAATGCTCACCCCAATTTCACATCTTATACGGAGCAATATAATTTTTTTTAAATACATATATAAACCCCCAGGTTTTACCAAGATGACTTTAAAAAAAATTTGTAGTTAATTAGATAATTAGATAATTAATTCTAGAAGTATAGATATGTCATCTAAAGTTATTCTTCGACCAAATTACTTTGCTAAATCAATAAAGAGTAATGGTATTGTTGCCCCATACTTAATGACAAGATCATTAATTAGAAATTTTCATGATACTCCTAATAAGCAGAATACAACTTTAGGTAATCTTAATTTCCCACCTCAAAATCATAGTACTAATACAACATCTGTAACTACTGAAACTATTAAACCTTTAAGTCATACAAAATCAAAATTAGCATCAAATATTCAAACTGAATATTTAAAGGATTTTAATAATTCAGAAATATTTTCAAATTTTGTTATTGGATTATGTACTTTAAATAAACCAATTTTAAATTTTTGTATTAAAGTATTTCCTTATGTTCCAATTCCAATTATTAAAGCTTTAGTTTATAAAATTTATTGTGGAGGAGAAACTATTGAACAAGTTAAACAAGCAGGTAAAAGATTATCTGAACGAGGTATTAATAATATGATGATTTCTTTAACTATTGAAGCATGTGAAGGTAATGATAATGTTGATCCAAAATATATTGTTGATGAAACTGTTAGATCAGTTAAAGAAATTTTAGTACCTCATACTTTAAAAATTATTAAAGAATCAGGTAAAGATATTAATTCAATACCTCCTGGTTATGTTGCATTAAAGCCAACTGGTTTTGCTGAAGATGCTGCAAGAGTTTTAAAACATTTTAATAAAGATAATGAATCAGCTAAAAAATTTGAAGAATTAGTTGAAAAGGCAGCCATTGTTTGTCAAACAATTTATGATGCAAATAAACAATTATCAATTGAATACCCCCAAAGAACTGCACCATTTGTTGTTGGAGTTATTGATGCTGAAAAGCATGATTTACAAGAAGGAGTTTATGAATTACAAAGAAGATTATATGCAAAATTTAATAAACTTAATGAACCAATTTCAGTAGTTGGAACTTTACAAATGTATTTATCACAATCTGCTGATTTATTAAGTTTAGAAGAAAGTTTAGCAAAAGAAAATAATTACAGATTAGGATTAAAATTAGTTAGAGGAGCTTATATTCATTCAGAAAAGAATAGACCAAGTATAATTCATAAATCCAAAGAAGATACAGATGCAAATTATAATCAAGGAATTTCTTATGTTATTGATTCAATTTTAGAAAATAAATCTAATGAGAAAACTATTGGACATTTAGTTGTAGCATCTCATAATGGAGAATCAATGAAATTAGCCACGACAAAATTATATAATTCTACTAATAAAGATAATAAAAATAAGAATAATGTCGTGTTAGGTCAATTATTAGGTATGGCAGATAGTATAACTTATAATTTAATTAAAAATTATAAAGTTGATAATGTTATTAAATATGTTCCATGGGGTCCACCATTAGAAACTAAAGAATATTTATTAAGAAGATTAGAAGAAAATGGTGATGCAGTTAAGAATGATAATGGATTCCCATTAGTTAAAGCATCAATTTCTGTTTTATTTAGACGTCTCTTTGGTTTAGCTTAGATATACAAGTAGATACTAAAAATATTTATAATGATAATGAATACTTAAAATATTTTAAAAATGTTATATATTATATACTAATTATAAATGTAGTTGTATCCCATATATAACTACTTATAACACATTGTACAAGCCATTCCCAATTAATAACTTTTACATCAATTCTTCCTAATTGGGAATTTCTTAATCGTTGACTTAATTTCCTCTTTGGTCCATCTCTCTTTGAACCACCATTACCACTATTAGTCGTCTTTTGTAGTCCGGCTAACTTAGTTTGAATTAATGATGAATCATCATAAACATATATATTTGCCTTATCTTTATAAGATAATTCTCGAATATTATTCATGACATCGACCTGCCTGTCACAATAATGTAATGAAGAAGCTCCAAATGAATAGAAGATAAATTTCGATAAATCTAATGTTTCATGAGCCTTTTTATTAAATACAATTATATTTGCATCTTGAAATAAATGACAATTATTTCTTAATTGTTCGTTAAGCAATAAGTCTCGTTCCCAATTAACTCTAAAATTAAAAATATCTAAACTCTTGATAGAATTCATATAACTTGATTGACCAGCAGGTAATAAATATACTGGCCATTGAATTACTTTAGATTTATCATTAATACAATCAAGAATATAAGTTTCAGATATTATAGGCCAACCTAATGCTAAAGTTTGTAAATATTTAGCACTACGACAAAATCCATTAGAAATCATAGCAGCAAATGAATATTTCTGTAATCCATTAGAAATTAATTGTAAATCATTACCATTATTATTAATATTATTATTTTCACTATAACTAATAAATTCATTAAATCCATCATTTAGTATAGTACCTCCATTATTTTCAATTAATCGATAAAGTTCATCCTTTCTTTCACCTTCAATATTTGTTAAACAAAATAACATACGAGAGAATAATTTATCTGATTCAAATAATATTGAATTTTTCTTAGGTGAAGATCTTGTAGATGAAATTGCAATTGGAGATGATTTAGTTCTAAAATCTTCAAAACTCTTTGTAATTATTGATTTATCTATAGGATCTTTTAATACATTTTTCTGTTCAAGAATTAAACTAAAATTTTGTTGATGATACATCCAATCAGATACTTCCATATAACATTCAGAAATACTTATAGATATTTCTGGTCCAGGATCAGGATTTCTAGTAACTTTTTGAACATATACTACATTATATCCTCGTATACAACTAATGCTTTTAATTGATTCATCATAAGTTAAACCAGTAACTTTAAATTGATTTCTTGATGTATTAATTCTTATAGTATCACCAATTCGAATATCTAATAAGAATAAATCTGAATTTTTAATGTCATAAATTCCTTCATAAAATTCAATTTGCAGAACTTCATTGCCAGTTTTAATTAATGAACCAGGATACATTTTAAGATTATATAATGCCCATAATGAAGTTTTAACTTTAAAATCTTTATCACTTAATATTACCAGTTTTTCAATTCTTAAGATTTCATTTGGTTGTTCATCTAATTCTATAGTTGCATTAGTTTGTGATTGAGTATTCACCACAAAATTCTTTCTACGTTTAGTGGTTACACTATGTGATTGGATAGGTTCATTAGTAGATCCATTTAATTGAGGATCTTCAATGTCAATGTCTTCAATTTCTGAACTAAGATATTCAAACAGATCGGTTATTCGCGTAGGTTGATCAGTCACATCATTAGTTTTTTTAGTTGATCCAGTAATACGATTTATTAGTGGAGATGATATAATATTTCCTGAATCAGATGATACTGATTTCGATGTTAATGCTGCTAAAGATACTCGTGGTATTGAAGTTCCAGTAGATGTATCAGATGAGCTTTTAATTAACTTTCTTCGTTTAAGTTTATTGGTGAATAAACTATCCTCATAGGGATTATCTAAGAAATTAATCAGTTCTCCTTCTTCTTTATCTATATCAGAATGTACTTCTATATCTATAACTTCTTCTTCATCTATACTAGCATCAGTATCATGTAAATAGATACCAGATGATTCCTGAGTATTGAGGACTTGTCTATGGGACATATTCCTCTCGATTGTTGAAGGGACCTGTATGAGTTTTGTTGTTATTTCTGTAGTATTATTGATATTATTGATATTACTAATATTATTAGTATTATTATCGTCAAGAATAGTCGATTCATTTTGAGTAGTGGTGTCTATTTCTACTTGAGTCTCCGAGTTGAGTTCCTTAATGTCTTTGTTAATGTCTTTAGGTAATTGCAATTGCGTTTCATCAGATGAAAATATTATTGGCTCTTTCATACTTTTGGATCGGTCTATGATTTGAGTATCAGGAAGATCAGAACCATGGAATGTATGAGATCTTATTGGTATATCAGTATTTTGTCTTTTAATTAATTTAGGAATTATTTGAGTATCTGCCATTAAAGTCGGTATTGGAGGAATCTCTTCATTATTATCTAACACATTGGAATTAAGAATAGTTCTTGTATCTATTTCAGTAGAAGATTGAGGTTGAGGTTGAGGTTGAGGTTGAGGCTCTGGCTGAGGCTGAGGAGGCATAGCCGTAGCATTATATTTAGGTAAATTATCAAAGAAATGATCCAGTTGATCATTTTCAATAACAAATGTACTTTCAACATTATCGTGTTGCGTTGTACTATCATCATTATTTAATATGGGTGAATCAGCTTGAGTTGCTTGAGTTTCTTGATGATCTCCTCGGAAAACAAGTGAATTATTCATATCATCAGGAGTTCCATGAGCATTGATTGTTCCTGCATCCATATGGTGAGTCTTACTCATTTTATAATATCATTATTTGAATTTATAGGGTGTAATTAAACAATTTGGGGCCTAAATTAGTGTTAGCGATATTGCAACTTTTCAGAGTGCTTAAAACATTTTTTTTCTTTACGCGACATGTTGTGTATGTCTCTCAATAAATATGTTATATACAGTGTTTTTACTTTTTATTCATACTAAACATTTTGCAATCAGAAAGTCGTGTACAACAAAAAGTTGCTATTTAGCTGCAATATTAGCCAATTACTTATCACAAGTTTGAGCTACTACAATCAAGATGTCCGGACTAATAGATAGGGTACAGTTGACTAAATCAGTTAATTTTTTAATAAGCAAATGAGTATAAAAATCTTCTATCTGAGTGTAAAAATCAAAGAATATTACAGGCATGTAGGAATTGAATTACTTAAGATAAATAATGCTAGAAATATTGCAAATAATTGAATATATATACACTAATTATACAAATTATACAAATTATACAAATTATACAAATCATACAAATCATACGGATCATACATATTATACTATGGGGGAGTGTGAGGTGCAGTGGACTTTTCTTGTTTAGTAATGTAGAGTAGATGGTCGAGTAGGATCATACCCTTCATCATAGTCAATATGTGCATGTGCGCCATTCGTAGCAGTAGTTGTAGTTGTACTTGTAGTTGTTACTTGTGGTACTCTGGGTACATACTCACTCTTAACCACGAATATAGCAAATAAACCTATTCTCATATCCTTTTTATGCTCTCTAATATATCGAGGCATTCTACTATCTCTGAAATCAATGGGTACAAGATAGGAATCCTTTACAAATGATGGTTTCCCAGAAAGAACTCCAACTTTATTTTGAATAAGTAGATACAGATATAATCTACTAAAATCAGCATCATCATCATAAATACTCTTAATCTCAACAAAATAGAGATCTCTTGATTTCATTATTTTATCTAAATATCCATCAGCAGTACTTCTATCTAATCTACCCATAACTGTGTAAGTACTATTGGTAAAAATATCACTACAAATAGCAATAGAAGTAGATAAATTTTTAGATCTAGTAGAAGTATAATAAGAAGCTGAACCTTGAAATTCAGCAAAATCAGGAAATTTGATAGTTCCCTTCCAAATAGGAGCAGTTTTTATAGGAATTTCTGGTTCATGACCAATGATTTGATCTAATGCTTTATCATCAATAATATCATTAACATGCTCTAAATCACTTGATTCAACTGATGATTTACTCTCTGTTGAATTTTGACGAGAAGTCTCATCTTTGGTCAGTTCAGTATTTTCATCATTATCTTCTTCAACTTGTTCTTCATAAGCATTCTCTTCATCTTCATCATCTTCTTCAAGACGAGGATTAATATTATTATAAGCACTAACTTGTTCTGTATCAGCCACTATTCTTGGCTTGGTGGTTATTTCATTTTCATCAACAGAAAATCTTCTATGATCTACTTTCTTAGTAGCAATACTAATATCAATAGAATCTTGACTTTCATTTTCATTCTCACGAATAATATCTCCCTTATGAGTTCTACGAATAATATCTCTTGAATCATTTTCTGTTAAAATAATATTTTTAATATTAGAATGATTTAAAGCTTCTACTCTTTCAATTTCTTGATTAATTTCTTTAGGAGTCTTTTTAACAACTTGATCTAAAGTTATAGTACCTTTAAGAATATCTTTCATAAAATATTTCTTTAATAAGAATAAGATTCTTCTACCTTCTGCAATATAAAGTTTAGCAGCATAAGTTGTAAATATTATATCTTCAATTTCAAGAGCCCAATCAGATGCTTGCTTTTCCTTTTCTTCATTACTCTTATCATAATCAGCTGGGAAACTCTTTTTAAAATAATTATAAAAGGCTAAGGCAGTACTAACTCGATGATCATCCTTTAATTTTTCTCTAATAATTAAACTACTATCAACTTTTTTCAATTCTGCAAGACATATATTACATATATGTTTTTCTGGAATATCTTTACTTGTTCTATATCCCATACATCTAGCATGTTGCCAAGTATTACATTTTTCACAAAGTACAAATGTTCCACCTTTATCATTTTCTTCATCATAATTTGAATTATCAGTTCCACAAGGTGTACATCGAACTTCACTTTCTTCAGTTTGTGGAGTCTTTTTGTTATCTTCTGATTCTTGATATTCTTCATCTACTTCTTCTTTACCTCCTGCTCGTCTAATTTTTTTCTTTCTATATCCTATTTCTTTAATATCTTTATCTCCTTCATTTTCGCTATCACTTTGAGTTGTAACTTCATATACTTCATCTAATAATCGTTTGGTATGTTGGCCCTTATTGGCTCTCGATGATCGCCTTGTACCAGCCATAACTATATGTTTAATGATATCAATCTTATTGATTAACCGGTAAGTTCTATGTCTTATTCAGAGAGTTGGAGTCTGAATTTGACTGTCGGGGTTTGGTTTTTGTTTCGGTTTCGGTCTCGGTTTCGGAGTGGAGGGGTTCGAACGGTTGAAAGCGATGTGTAATCAACCTTTCTAAACTATAAAATCTAAATAGAAAAGGGGGATGAACAATGTTTCAAATCTACTTAGTTAAGAGAAATTATGCTAGTAATAACTATCACGTAGTATAACCACTGGGTTGACTACTTTATAGGTCTTGTGGGTTAAGGTTTATATTAATTGTGTAGTAAAAGTGTATTGGATCAATTTGACGATGTTTGAGAAAAAAAGGTTTTGGGCACTGTTACACGACCCGTACGACAAATTTATACATAACGACATTTTTGCAATTTATTATAAACTGAACACCCTATACCTAACTATACACTTTAAATTATTATTTTTTTATTTATTGTTGATTGATTATTGTTATTAATCAAATGTAGAGAATTAAATGAAAGCCCGTGTAGTGGATCGTAGACTAAAGACCTTTGATCAATGCCATAAGGTCATTGTCATCACCTAACATTTCTTCTACATTAAGTAAGGCATTCTCATTGAATAATCCTGATTTGGTAGTTCTAAACCCTTCGGAAACTGCCTCCACTATAGACGCTCTTCTTCTCTTTTGTTTGGTGGATGATACGGGGGCTGTTGCTGAAACTACTCCTGTAGTGGTTACTGCTCCTGCTCCTGCTCCTGCTCCTGCCCCAGAAGTACTTTTCTTAATGGTTGAAGGTTTGGTGACAGAAGCAAGTTTGGATGATACAACTGAAGACTTACGATGTTTATTGAAAGATGATTTGACTGCACTAGTAGTAGTAGTGGATGGAGGATAATGAGATGTAGTAATACTAGGTTCTGGATGAAGTAAGGTATTATGTAAGATAGACTTATTTCTAAATGCTCCAAGTGGTACTCTTTTCTTTTGACTATTAAAATCTCTCCAGATTCTAATATCATTTTCATCATCATTATCTAATTCACTTACATTTAATAATTCATCTAAACCTAAAGCCAGATCATCTGATCCATCAAGTGGAGTTGCTACAATACTTCTTCTAGATTTATTTTTAATATCAATAGGTTTATTGATAATATTTTTGGTTTGAAGTATTCGTGTAGATAATCCATCAATTATACCAAATGGTTTACTATCAACTGCTAACCAAGTACCAAGAACTGGTGGACGATAATCAGCGGTTTTTGATGATAATACTTCTTTTGCCTTCTGAGATCCTACTTTATTCTTATTAGTAGATTTAGGTAATGATAAATCTTCATCAGTAGATTCTCCACTATCATTATCATAATCATCATCAATTCCAAATTTATAATTAGTTTCAGTTTGAGCCACTGTTGGTGCTATAGCTACACTTTTTCTTCTTAAATTAGAATTCATTGATGTAGTTAAACTCATACGATGACTAGTAGCAGTTTTACTATCCATACTTTTAAGAATTTCTTCAGCAAGTAAATCATCATCTTCTTCAGCATATCCATCATCATCATCACTTGAACCATTATCAGAACTGAAAAAGTAATTCCATAAATAAGCATCATCATCTTCATCACTATTCATTTCACTAGGTTTTGTCTTATGTTTATGTTTATATTTATCCTTCTTATCCTTTGACAGTAAAGTATCTTGTAAATTCTGTGAAGTTCGTATTTTGACTTTAGATTGATCATTATTATTATTATTGTTATTATGACTATCTTTAAAGAATGGAGCATTGAAATCAATTAAATCTTCATAACCATCATCATCTTCTTCATCTTCATCTTCTCCATCTGATTCTGATCCACTATCAAGACTACTTTCATATTGTAAGACTTGTTTCTCATCAGTTGGATCTATAGCTTTAAAAGAATTTAATAAAGTCTTACGATTATTAGAATCACTAAAACTATAATCTTCAATTCCAATTTCTTCTCCTTCTCCTTCATCATCAAATCCATTCATTTCAAATTCATTAACTAAGAATTTTTCTTCTTCTTTTAAAAATGGATCACTTTCATCATCATCTCCAATAGAATCAGCTGAACTACTTCTTCTAAATTTAATATTATTCTTACTTTCTTCACCATAACTTGTAAATTCTTCTAAATCATTATCGGCTTGTAATGTAGCTAAAAGTTCATTATCATCGATTTCATAATCATCATCAGAACTTAATTCATCTTCTTTAATCTTTGGTACAGGTAATAATTGAGTTTCAAAATCAAAATCAAATTCAGTTACTGATTTATCTGGTATTGGACCTGATGGAGTAGGAGCACTTTCCATACTTACATCTATTTCTTCTCCAATATCTTCTTCTTGAACCTCAAATTTTTCTTCTTCTACTTCACTAATTGCATTAGATTCCATATCATCACGATCATTAGACTCATCATCACTGTTACCATTATTTCCGAAATTATCAAATTCAAATGTGAAATTGATATCTTCTGGCAAAACAGCGTCAGACCGCCGCCTTCCGAATTTTGCCTTATTGTTATTATTGTTGCTATTATTATTATTATTGGTTATATTTTGTTTCTTCAAATGGCTCTGCTTCTGTTGAGCAAGAGCAGTAATATCGGAAATGTCAACTTCAGATTCAGAGTCTAATTCCAGATCAACGTCTGATAATTCATTGCTATTAGTGATACTATTGGGTTGTTTTGATTTTAGAGCTTTCATGGCTCGAGCGGCTTGAAGAGTTCTCACTTTCTTTTGGGCTTGTAACTTGATGAAATCTACATCAGATTCATCTGAACTCGAAACTAAATCTTCATCATCTTCATCGTCTTCATCATCATCATCGTCATCATCCTGGTCGGAATTTGCAGATCCATCAGAGATATCTTGATTCCAATCCCAATTAATGGTCTTTTTGGATGATTTCTTCTTAGAACTAATTCCTTTTAATCCATTCTTACCTGACTTTTTAGTATAAGAAGGGAATTTTTGATGTTTTGAATTAGACATTTCTTCATCTGATACGGCTGTTAATGAAGATTCAGATCCATCTGATATTGATTCTACTTCATATACAGTAGATGCATTATCATAAACTTTATCTGATTCTGAAGAAGACAGATCGGCTATACTGAATCTCCTATTCTTTTTATAACCATCTTTATAATAATTATTTTTATAAGCTTTAAAATTCTTTCCACCTACAGAATTAGAATGTTTGGAGATGGCACCTCCAACAGCCTTTGACTTCTTATTATAAGAAGAAGGCTTGGGACTTTTCGCCATTTATAATTGTCTATATTATATAATTGTTTGGATTGTTTAAACGGCTTTTCGTTTTTTTTTGTAAGTTGTTATCTTATCTTATCTTATCTTTTCTTATCTGATCTAAGTACTCTATTGGGATCTATTACTAAAGTTGAATATCGAATCTGGGAAGCTAGAATTAAAAAAGTAATATTGCCTATTGAGATTATACATAATATGAAACCAATGACTGTTAAAGTTTATTAGGGTCAGGGGATGTATCAACTTAGTTAGATGATACGATTCTTTTGATTTGTAGCTTTGGGATTTTTAACTGGTACTCTAAATGTACTGGATTTGGAATGGAATCTACTGGTAGTTGGTTATATCTTGAATTCAGTAAATTATTCAGTCAATGAATAGAAATACAGGTGAATTTAGTTATTTATAAGTAAATTGATTATTTGTTATTCCCTTTGAGATGAGGTGATTATGGGACACAGAGATACGCTAAAAAAACCGGAAAAATTTGGTTATTTAGCTCGAAAGTATATTATAACGATGGCTCGGCGGGATTCGCTGGGCAACGACTATTGCGTTAGGTATTGGTGTTAAGGTTGGGGTACTTAAGGATTGCAAATATCTTATAATTACCATAAAATTTTTCCTAATTCGTAACATGAGATGAGTTATTATTTTTTTTTTCTGTGGCCCATAGTTAAGGCCCAAAAATTTCACTACCGCATTATACGAGGGACTCTTTTCATTAAGGTTATAAGTTAGATGTATAACGTAAATGGTTACTAGTTAAGTGTACGCTTATGACTATATAAACAGCTACTAAATTTAGTTTTACTTGTGATTGTGGTTGTGGTTGTGGTTGTGTTTTGGTTGTGTTTTGGTTTGTGTTTGTATCATTCAATCATATAATAACTTACACATAATACTGAAAAATAATCTACTATAAGAGGTGAAAAATTTATTGAACATTAGTTATAGAGTATTTAAATAATCAAATTCAAACTAATCGGTTACCAAAAGTTATCGATGACATACTTCAATTGAAGCATTTCTAATTGCTTGGCCTTTTCAAAATTAATATTAGTTCCTTTGAATTTGGATATGCTAGAAAGGCCAAAATCAATGAAGTAAATACGTCCGTCAGCATAAATTAAATTTGATAACTTAATATCACCATGCAATATGCCTTTACTGTGGATATATTTAAGGGCTTTGGAGGCTAGTTGCCATGCCTCCAGTTTACTAATTGTTGATTTCGCATCTGGTAGGTATTGTTCTAATATGTAATATCCAATGAAAGGCGACTTCCATTTGATAAATCCATAGGACATAATATATGGTACGTAATTGACATGACCATTAACACCTTCACTACCAGCACTGTTGGGGATTTTGAATGTGATACCATCAAGAGAATTTTCTCTTAATATTTTGTAACACTCAATCTCTTTGCAGTACATACTTAAAGAGAATATGACACCTTTATAGAATTCCTTTTTACTGGAACCACTTTTATGACCATACACTGGATTATAAACCTTCAATACAAAACACTTGTTTTTATTAACTCCTGGGCCGATATATCGCACTAAAGCAACCTGTGAATTGTAAATACCCTTTTCTGAGAGAGTGCATCCTTGTAATTTAGAATTTATCTCGAACTGATGTTCAAGAATAGGATTTTCTGAAATTTCTAAATTATGAAGGAAAACATAATAATCCATTGGAACCTCTAAATCATTATTCGTATAAACTTTTCTTATTTTGTCGAGTTTTAAGGTACTAAAAGTTAATTTATAGAAACCTTCCACAATCTTATATCTATTTGCATCTTGCAATTGAATCTCGGTATCAGATTTTGAAATCCAAGTTTTTAATTTTTCCATATTCAGTTTGCTATTCTTATTAACATTCTTTATTTGGCTATTTATCACAATAGCCACAATGGAAATTAAACTAGTAGTTGAACCGTGGTCAAAAATGGATATTTGTAATTCTAGTGGATAGCTAAAACCATCATCTATTTTTGAAATATCTATACGTTCTTGAAAACTTTTATCGGTTATTTTTATGACAATAATTGACTGGGTATCAATTATTAATGCCAAATTCGTATTGGAAAATATCATCTGGTAACCTACCTGCAATAATAATTCATTAAGTTTTTGATTATATTCTCTCTCAGAAAAAGCATCCCTTAGTCCGCTAATTTTAAACTCTACCGGCACTAAAAATTTTTCATTTTCCTTTTCAAAGCTTATAGTAATATCCGGTTTTGACAAACTAGTATTGGAAGATTCTCTAATTACTGAGAAATTGTCAAATTTAGTATTGAAATAATCCAATATAGGCCCAAAGAAAATCTGTTCAAACACACTAATAACTCCAACTTCATTCTCAATAATTAATCCACGATATTTTTCTATATCTAAATTGTCATTTACAAGTTCTATGTTTAATTTGAAGTCTTTAATTTCCTTCTCTAAATTTTTATTTCGAATATCTAACTTTGGTCGAATTAAGCAAAATTTCTGTAAAAGACTTGGGTTTCTACCAGAATAGTAGATACTAGAAATACCAGAACGTTTCCTCTTACTTGAAGGTAAAGGGAAAGAGATTGAAAAAGATGCCGCTAAGTTGAATATTGAAAATAATCTCCCATTATGGTTTATATAGTCAGTTTTTCCATACTTATCTAATAAATATATATTGATCTCACATCGAATTAATTGACCGATTTTTCGATAATCTTCTATATAGTTTTGGGATGAAAGGTACAGCTTGTCAAACTGGAGTGAAACAGGTCTCAGTTTGACGATTAAGTGAAAACGACTTAAAATAAAAGATAATTTTAACCTATTTAGCCACAAAATTCCTTCTTCTGAAACGGTTGAATCAAGCCTTTGTTTCCACTCTGCTTCACAATCATCATATTCAACAAAGAGATTGTAATCCTTATCCTCCTTTAATTTAGCAATTATAAAATCAGTAGATGAATGGATTAGCGAATTGTCTAAATATTGTATCATGGCTGATGAATTGGCACTTAGAGAAATACAACTACAAAAGATTAGAGGAATACAACCACAAATAAAAGAATACAACTACAAAAAGTTCGCAGCTAAATTATGCGCAAGTTCGCAGCTAAATTATGCAAGTCCGCAAAATCAGAAGTATTGTATAAGAATAACAAACTTCTTTCCGTAATTTATAAAAGAGTAATTATATAATATAGTTCAGCCCGTATATTTATAGCCAGCATGATTTGGGGGAAGTTTCACCTCATAGTAAGATGAGCTAACTGATTAAGAGTTGCAGCCATATAGGCTTGGAACAGGTCGTTCGCTGGCCAAGTATTGCAATAAACGGTCACGTGAGAATAGCATCACTTAAATATTTAGTAGGCCTACAAGTAACTACTTGATTTTATTTAAAAGTGTATTAAATTGTTTACGACACCCCTCTCTACGTATAGTAAGAAGAGGAATGGATTATCGTAGTGTTGAAAGACTAATATACATAAATTTATTATTTAACTATTAAGCATTTAACTAGTTAATTAACGACTTAGAACTTCTTATCGGCTTCAGCACTAGCAGTTAATCTAGCACTTAATTCGATTTGATCCTTAACGGCTTTAGTCAAGTATTCGATCATAATCACATCTTGATTGTGAGCACTGAACAAATTCTTTAATTCTTCCGTATTAGATAAAAGTTGAGGCTTGTTTAATAAAGTATTACTTAATAATCTTAATAAATCAAGATCTTTATCACTATTAGCTTCCACACCTTTAGATTCTATGAAACGTAATAAATTATCAATATTGGTAGTGACAGCTTCTAATTGATTAGATAAATAAGATAAATCAGAAGTTAATGCAGTTGAAGTAGTATTAACTGATTTTTCCCTTAATTGTTTAAAGGCAATCTTTTCAGTAATAGAACCATTTATGACTTGATTTGGAATTGGAGTGAAAATATAGGAATTGTTGGTAGTAGTAGTTTTCCAGCCAATTTGTTGAGTTGAACCAGGTTTACCAACGGTAGCTCCAACATAAGTTGATAATTTTGGTACTGTTATTTGATTATCAGCAGTTAAATATTCTACATTTAAATAAATAGCTGGGAATGGATAAGCACCTTTAGAATAAAAATCATGAATCAAACTAGTAGTACTATCTATTTGATTAGAACTTCCAAACCATCCTAAAACGGCTTCCTTTGGATGAGCTTTTTTATGTAATTGGAATAAAGTCTTATGAACACTATCTTCAATAGTAATTGAATCTCCAGTCTCATTACATGGAACAACATAAGCATCTCTGATTTCAAGTTCTAAACCATCTTCTGATCTAAGACCAACTAAAGTTCCGATGATTCTCTTTTCAGCTGAAAGTACTTGTTTAGAAACAATTTCAAGGATTTGAAAGAGTGCTGGTGCATGTATCTTAATATTGGAAGCTCCTGTAGAAGTGGAACTTGCTGGAGCAGCAACATTTGGTCTGACCAAATGCATGAATGAACTTTCTCCAGACATCTTATATACTTTATTTAGTAGTTTTAAGGTTATGTATAAGGTTATTGATCTCGATGGTCGAAGTTTTTTCACTTTTTCCACTCTCTACAGGTTTGGTACATAAAAATTTTCACTCTTCCTCTGGATGCAGGACTTGCAACCTTTTATAGTGATACACAAGGAACTTAGCTGCTTACATTGTATACATTAAGATAGTATTGAGGTTATGAAATGGTCTAATATTGCATTGAAAGCTTATGGAACCCATTCGGTTACTCCTTTCCAAAATAACGGCCCTATCCATTTCATATTGATGGCTATTGCGTGTGTCCTCATACTTAAGACACACAAGACACTCCGCGATCTTGTACTTCTCCATTACAAGAAAAAAAAACAGAGAGGTCCAAGATCGAAGACAGGGCCTGCTAATATAAAGCTAGAGATTAGGCTGCATAGCTCAATTAATTGCATAGCTACCATATAATCTGGGATTGTGGATAGATATCAGAACATATCACACCTATAAATAATGCTGTTATACCCAGATAGAGCATCTAATTCAGATAGTACTAAACAAGGAAATGGAACTGGGGCTGGGACTAGCAGTTATAACAAATCCACTAGTCAACGAACTGATAATGGAACTGAAACATCAAAGTCAAGCAAACTGGATTCCAAACCAGTAGAAAAGGACAAGAATGTCGAGGGAGTAGTACATTCATGGCTATTTCTGGAAAGTACCTATTTGAATGAAACACCTAGTCGAGTTCAATTCCGAATCTCACGTGAACAGGAGCTAGTAGAAAGAGATCATATTCATCAATTCATAGTTCAAGTGGGATCCAAGTTGAAGTTGGATAGAAGTGCTATTCTTGCAGCTTCCATATATGCTAATCGTTTCTATATGCGAATACCGATAAAGAGAAATTCTAAATTTTATGTTGCATGTGGTGCATTAGCTATATCTTGTAAATTGCACGATAATTATAGACCACCAGATAAGATTGCTTTACAAGCTGCAATAGTGGCTACTCCCGATAGAGTAGTAGATGAACAAAGTCCAGTATACTGGACATTCAAGGATCAATTATTGTATCGAGAAGAATTGATTTTGAAAACATTAAATTTCGAATTAAATGTCACATTACCTTACGAAATAAGAGATCAACTTGTTAAAGATTTGTCTAGTTCCAAGTATGCCTTATTTTATTCCAAAAAAGAAGAGATCTTTAAATATTCTATTAGTCTTATAGAATTATTATCTTCACTACCAATATTTTTAGTATTTGATACGTATACTATTTTTGGTACAGCATTAATAATAGTCATATATGAAGCAAGGTCCAAATTAAAAGAGCCAGGTTTAAAACTCCCCGAGAATTACTTGAGGATAAAATTACAAGTAGATTCTACTTTATGTTATAGTTGTTTCCAGTTTATTCTTAAACTATTAGAGCATTGTGTTCATAATGAAAAGGTTATATGTAACAAGGCAGCTAAACAGAGGATAAAGCCTATTCCCAAAAAGGATTTTATAGATGTTGCTAATGAAACCATTTTAGACTAATCTTGTCTGATTAGGATATATCTGATTTTTGGGTGCAAATTGGGAATGTTTTTTTGCCCTTGCCGCCAACTTTTAAAAAAGTTGTAACTTTTATATAGCATAGTACAGATCTTTAGTTTCATATAGTCACAAATATTACATAATACTATATCATACTATAAGTTAACTTACTGTCTAATGTTCTATCAAAATGATGGAATTGACTATCTTAAACTTAACTTAATTGATGTTGTTCTCGAAATCCAAAAAGGTGGAATATTTCCCTTGTCAGACCAAAATCTATATACCAGAAAGGATATTGAAAGTAAACTAAATGATGTACTTGCTTATTATAAAGATGGTAAGTTGTTCGAAATATTAACGGTTATTCCCTACTTTCAAAATTTAGTATCAATTCCTCCCTCACTTCGCTTCATATTTGCACTTACCTTATATCGATTAGGAAGAATGAAACCAGCTTTAAGAGAAATGGCTTTAGCTATTGAATTAGAATTTGTTCCGGATAAAAAGCATATGTATATTTCACATCTTCAATCTATGTTTATTTCGGCAAACAAAAGAGATAATGCCATGATGTGTTCGGGTGAGATTATGATAGAATCCCAGGCTGAGTTAATGGAAAACGATTATCAAGTTGACACAAATATCCTGAATATGTTAATGGAACTACATACAACACAAAGTTCTTTACTTAAATCACCCACTGTACCTTCGGATGATTATTTTAAATATGGAATATTAACTATGCATCAGCAAGTAGATATGTTTCTCCAAGCCAATGGAACTCTTCCTGATAGGTCATTAGGTAAGTTATGTAAAGAAGTTCGACTGAACTTATCTAAGGTTGTAGACGATTTACAAAACCTGGACTTATCTGCAGATGATGTTGGACTTACTACCACTTCTGAATTGGTATTCGAAAGTATTTTATCATTTCCACCCATCTATTTATTTGAAGATCTTATGGATAAAGAAGGCAGCTTAAAAGCTTTTCTTAATTTTCATATGCCATTTTACGAAAAGATTCATTATTCTGTTAAGCCAAGTTTATTAATTTCTAGATTGAAGAAATGGAAAGTAAGAGATGTTTGGTCCATTGCTGAAGTAATGGTGGTTCATAAGACTATCATGGGATTCTTACAGTATTACCGGGAAGATTATGATAAAGCAGAAACTATGTTATCGTGGGTGTATAATTTTTTAATCAAAATAGAGGAGCTGTTTGATACTCCATTTTATAGTAGCATTCTAAGTGTTAGGAATTCACAAATCATGTTGATATTCATTGGTTATTGTAAAGTCAATAAACAACAACATTCTAAAGAGAAATTATCCAGCTTTCTTACTACATTGGCTACCTCGTTAAATGAAATTATAGAAGAGGAATCTTCAGCATCTTCATCGTTGGTACTATGTAACCTATATAATGTTTATGGCTTAGTGTCAGAACGACTTTCATACCTTGAAGGTAAGACAATAGCAATTGATGATGGAATGGGTAATTCTAGTGAAGCTACATATTACGAAAGAAAAAGATTAATTTGTCTGATAAAGAATTACATACAAAGTGTATCAGAAGTTTATGAAGATGATACCATAATTGTTTCATTCTATGATAGAATCTTATGGTGTATATTATTAGCGGGAGGAATTCATATCAAGACTTTGCACTTTTTCACATTACTTAGAAATCATTATTATATCACTTCATCTTATCAATATCTTTACAATGTTTTAGATAAAGAAGGATGGTTTTTTCAGGATAAAGATAAAAGAAATTTAGGCTACTATGAGAATGGTTGGGATATTATTGAGAAAGTTAATGCCGTTATGGAAACTCCAGAAGTCAAAAATATTCCTAATATTTGGAGTTCTGAACATGGAAATGTTCTCCTCATACCACAGATATATGAACAGAATAAACGGCTAGTATTATTGAATGACTCCTACGAGATCATAAATGAAGAGAAACAGTTTATAGAATCGGTCAATAATCACATTGAGCCCAAGCATAAATCTTGTCTCAAGAAGCTGGTAAGTCAAGATTTCTCTGAGACCATTATAGAAAGTCGTTCAATGATATTGACTTGGTTCGAATCTCATAGACTGAAGAATAAATCTATACCTAATGTAGTTCAATCGTTTATATAAAGTTAATTATAAATCATATGGTCTTTTTAGCAATCATTTCGCAACGATGAGGCCGGGATTTGAAGTCCACAGCCTGGCGCGAGCACAAAAGATTTGAAATTATACATAGTTTAGTATCATCGTCTATGCAACTTTTACTAGTAACTGACTGGTAGTCACAAATCGCCATGGATGATTCGGATGTTGATGACATCCATTTGGATATTTTCCGAGAACTAGATACTGATCTCATAGAGATTTTCAGACGGGGTCAACAAGGTTCATTATTTAGTGGATTACCTGCTGGACAGCATAATCAACGATTAGATACATTAAATGAATATATTATAGCCAGAACTGATCAACTTAGTAGTCGGAGGCATCATGAAAGGGAGAGAGATTTGTATTCAAGAAGTTTGTTCTATTTTGTATGGATTTTTGGATTATTACCGTTGCCGCCTTTAAGATTACATTCAATATGGAGGCGATATAAGCCCACTAATTTAAAAACCTTTATAATAAAGTTAATAACTAGAATACTAATGTTATGTGTTAAAGTGATTAGGTTTATCTCATTTATAATAGCTTCAAGTGCATATTTACATGGTATTTTACGAAACTTATTAATATTCAGTAATTTCCTTACATTTTCAGAAAACTTTATGAGAGATGTATTAACTTATATAATTAAGGATTCTCAAGATATTCTTGATAGACATATACAAGTGAAGAAACATGGAGGTGATTTATTTTATTTTACGAATTATAATGATTATCTGCTACTCGATACCATTAAGAATGTTCTTATTAATTGGTTAGCTAAATGCATATCCTCTGATTGTTTATTCTATAAGCAAGAAGATCATCCAGTTGATATTGAATGTCTGATACTGACCAATAGTTTAATATTTAAGTTTTCTGATGTACTAGTAGCTTTTTTCCCATCATTTTCAAATGAAAGAATGACATTTTATTTGAAATCTAGTACAGTTATGATATTTGTACTTTATGCATTGATTGGAGATCTCGTTTGTATGAATATAATGGTGTTTTTCTTTTATAATATTGGTAAACGAGTTGTGGGTTATAAATCAGTGTTTGGGAATTTGGGAGCTATCGTGTATCATACGTTATTTAGCGAAGTTTGCTAGAATTATCATAAATAACAAATATATGGTTATTAAAAATATGTGTACTGTAAATTTACTAGTTTTATAACTATTGTATTCAACTAATATCTCTACCTTTCAGTTGTAAGTCACTATGTTGCAAAATGGTGTTGTCTAAATAAGCGACAATTGATCTCAAATAAGACATAGTTTGCGACAAAACCTGCAGATACCGATTCTTCAAATTTATGGGGAAATATCTTTAATTGGTGGGGGTTTGTATTGCTAATTGAAAAGTTTAGACATTGCTAACAATAATACTGTACTAAAATGAGTCAATTGCCTGAGTATATGGATGCCATTGTATTCCATGGTCCATTTGATGTTAGAACTGAAAAGAGAAAAACACCTACTATTGTAGATCCTTCGGATGTAATTCTTAAAGTTAAATATTCCGGATTATGTGGGTCGGATTTACATAGTTATCGTGGTCATATTAAGGGACCAGTTGATACTATAATTGGTCACGAATTTTTAGGTACTGTTGTTGCCAAGGGATCACACGTAAAAGATTCAGACTTTGAAATTGGTCAAGATGTTTTAAGTACTTTCACTATTCAGTGTGGGGTATGCTGGTATTGCGAGCATGGATATTCGGGACAATGTGATAAAACCAATACTTTTGGTAAAGTTGGATTAGATGGAGGTCAAGCTGAATATGTTAGGATTCCTTATGCTAAATCCACTTTGATAAAGAAACCTGAAGATAAGAGTGGTAATGTTGATGATTCAATTTATGTGTTGATGGCTGATATCTTCGTTACAGGATATTACGGAGTCAAAAAGATCGTTAACAATTTAAAGAATGAATCATCAGAAGGAGCAGCTAAGCAGGATATTTCGGATGTTACGATATTACAATTAGGTCTTGGACCTGTTGGATTATGTGCATTAAAAGTTTTAAAGCATTTTGGATTCAAAAAAATTGTTTGCGTAGATAGTGTCCCTTCAAGATTAGAAGAAGCTAAGAAACTTGGGGCTTATGAAGTGATTAATTATGAAACCGATGGCGATGCTATTAAAAAAGCCATTCATGAAGTTACAGCCGGTGTTGGATTTGATGCTGTTCTTGAAGTTGTAGGTGCTTCTAGTGCTTTAAGAACAGCTTATGATTCTGTTCGTAGAAATGGATTTATCTGTTCGCTAGGAATGGCACATGGTCCACTACCATTTGATGGACTTGAATGTTACTTAAAGAATATTAATGTCTCATTCGGTAGATGTCATGCATGGTCTTTATTCCCTGAAGCTCTAGAAATCTTTGAAAAGATGAAGGGTGATTTTACTCATTTTATTGATCATAAGGTTGGCTTGGATCAGGCTAAAGATGCTTTTGAATTGTTTGATCATCACAAAGTTAACAAGGTTGTTTTTGATTTGAGTAATTAGATCTGTCGAAATTTCGCAGCTATTTTTGCAATAGTTATAGAATGATATATACATATACATATAGATATACGATATTTATATAATTACTATACACAATAAACAATAAATCCTTTGCTATTCTACAATACATCACATCACTTTACAATCATGCTCATAACTATATACTGTATACACTTAAAGTAAACCTCTAAGCTTCAGCTAATATCCGAAATACCGAATTATCCATTGCGCTCCTGCACACCGACCCACGGAAACTCAAAAAGAACTCGAAAAAAAATTTGTGGGAGTGTCGGTCCGTGGACGGGAAGAGGTGATTAGACATATCCATAGTTAATCAATTAGTTGCAACTGAATCGGTAATTAGATTAAGGAGATTACTGCAAAAATGGTTAAAAAATTGAAAGACGAGCAAAGGGAATCTTTTCTGTATGGTTCAGGACCAACAGAAGGTCTGAGTCAGAGTAATTCTTCATATCTTACTTCTAATGAATCTAATGTTAGAGGATCCGGACAAGGTCAACCTTCAGGATCAATTAATTCATCTGTACCTATACCTGGTACAACTACGGTATTACCTGCTATAACAGGACCTTCAATAGGTACTAACCCTGTAGTAGGTTCTCATTCTGGAACTACAGTTACCACACCTTTTGTATATAGTTCTCCAGGAAATTATCCTCCACCACAACAATTAGGTAACTATTCATTACCTCATGGGCCAATGCAATTAGTACCACCTATTTCTTCAACACAACATTTAGATCAGAATCATCATTTAGATAGTTCTAATAGAACTAGAATGAGGGTTAGTAAAGCTTGTGATAGGTGTAGAACTCAGAAGATTAAATGTTCAGCCTCATTTCCTTGTGAACCATGTAAAAGAAATAAAAAGGAGTGTACATATTCTGCCATATATAATACTACTGTTTCTGGATCTAATTTGAATGGAGGTTCAGCAGAATTAAGAGATAGTAGTCAATTTCCTATTAATAAGAGACAAAGAGTGGCCGTAGAACCATTTGGATTACCAGTCGTTAGCAGGACTAATGAAAGGGAATATATATCTCATTTAGAAAATAGAGTTCATTATCTTGAAAGTTTATTATCTACATCAACCAATGAAACTTTCAAACCTCCATCAACAAAAGAGCCAGAGAATCCCGAATTAGAAAAGTTGTTGATTAGTCCTAGTAGTAAATGGAGATTCCTGAGAAGACATCAAAATTTATTAATAATAGAGTTATGTAAGTCCATGTATGAGAATCTATCTGAAGATCTGAAAAAGGAAGTTACCTTACCTAGAACTCAATATTTTGGTTGGAATATGTCGGGTTGTAATTATATTAACTCTGAAGAATTACCTAAATTACCAGATTTGGTTATTTATCCTGATGAATATGTTGAGTATTATTTCAAAGAGATTAATCCATTACTTGCCATATTACACGAAACGGTTTTCAAAGAACAATATATGGCATATGATAAGTTGCTTCGAGAGCAATTTTCCCTTAATAAGAATGTTAATGATCGTGATTCGAAGACTAATCAGACTCGACTTTTCAGTGCTATTTTATATTTAGTATGTGCTTTATCCATTAGATTTATGGAAATGCAAAAGCCCAAGGGTCCATCTATGGAAAAATTAAAACTTGAAGAGAAATTGTTTAGATATGGTTATAAGGTTGTTTCAATCTTAAGTTTTGAATGGGAATCCTTTGAATTGATTCAAAGTTGGTTGTTGATTGCATTATATTTACGTATAAGTCATCGTCAAACATCTTCATTCCATGCTTTAGGTCAAGCTGTTACTATGACTAAAGCTATGGGTATTGGTCAAGACAATCCTAAACTTCATGTTTCAACTCCTTATGAAAGACTTAAGGCAAAGAGAATTTTCTGGTGTGTTTATACTTTTGATAGATTATTTGGTTTGCAAACAGGAAGGTATTCTGGATTAAGAGATGAAGATTTGGCTCGACAATTCCCTACATTTGATTTTCTTGAAGAAACTAAACGTGATGATTGGATAACTTTACCCGCATTTGCATTAATTCATATTGCAAGAATTTCTAATTTTGTACATACATCTGTTGATGATAATCCTGAATTAGTCAAATATCAACAGATCAATAAAGAGTTAGTTCAACTTCATGATTGGTTCAATGTCAATGGATTTAGAAATCTATCATTATTTAGTAAAACAGCAGAACCCGATGTTACTGGACAAATGCAACAGAAACAAAGTGGGAATGTGACTATTAGTTCATTAGTTAAGGTTCAAGTAAAATTACATTATTATGATCTTGTATTATGTTTCCATGGAAAGATTTTATTCAATTATATTGGAAGAAGAATTAGTAGCCATGGACTTAAAATTGAAATGGTATTGGACGCATGTCACGGTATTTTAGAAGTGTTAGATAAGACTAATAAGGCTGGATTATTATATACTCCATGGTATTTAGTGTTATTATTATTATTTAATACTGGTGTGAATGCTGTAACATTAATCAATAGTGGTATTTTTGTTGATCAGGCTCGGGGGATTTTAAAGGGAACTATTCGATTATTGACAATACTTAAGAAGTCACCCGTCCGTAATGAACAAGGTAAAATCATCATTAAGGAAAGATTTAAGATGGTTAAAGAATGTCTTTGGGCATTGAAGACGGCCAATAGAATATTATCATTGAGATTACAAGAGGATATAAAGGCATTAGATTCCATAGGTACAGATCATGGATCATCTGATGTAAACAAGGCTAAATTCGTTCAATTAGGATTAAATAATGAAGTTCGGGAGGGATCTTCTAAACAATTAGAGAATTCGAAAGATGAGTTCAATGATGTATTTGAAAAGCAATTACATAGAGGTGAAGAACCTATTGAGTCATCATCTAACCAGAATAATAGTAATAACAATAAAAATATTAATTCAGTTGATAATTCAACTCCTGGTTCAGATATTAATAATGGAGGGATTGGATCAGTTGATAGTAATGGACCTCGTGATCCTAACAGTGCTAGTGCTGACGATGTTGATAACTTATTTAGTAATCTTAAATGGTTCGATCAGTGGATGGACTTCAATTATGATTTTTAAACATTTAAATTTATTTTATGGATACTAAATAGTAATAAATGAGACATATATTTTATACGGACTTTAACGGTTATAGTTTAAGTACCCCATAATGTGTAGATAAGAAGTGCATGAAATTTTTCCGAAGTGTGCTGCAGATAAGTCTACTCCAAAAAAATAGTAAATTGGGAAGCAATACCCGTCTTCAAGTAAGTTGAACAAGTAGCAAGGCAGACACATAGGGGGTGAAGAGGCTGAGACGAGAATGGGAGAAGTATACCCGAGTTTTATATACATTCTTTTTTTGTTTGCAGTTTAATCTGGATTAAGTTATCTAAAGAGTGGACCATGAGCTCCGTGTCAGTATGGGTTCTATAATTCTTAACATTCGTATTTTTATATGAATAAATGTACATATACACATTCACACAGTAGCGTATAGCAACAGAAAATAGCAGTAGCAAAAGTCGTTAACGGCGTTATCCCTGAAACCTAACAATGCTAAACGGTTGTTGCAAAGGACTAGAACTTACGAATGAAAGGAGTAATCTAAAAAATAAATTTAATGTGGTGGGGGAAGGAGACATTTTCATGCAAGCCTTAGAGTAAATATTTTTATGGAAGGTGAGAACGCAAGCGGAGATAAGCTCTAGCGTTGAGATTTGCATTCCTACCTAATTTGGGGAATTTGTTATTGATGACAAGGCTGCAAGAGATGTCAATTAAAGGCAGCTAAATACATCCTACCATGACAAACAGCTCTTTGTTAGAAATCAGATGCTTTGCGTTAAACTTTAATGTCTTATGAAAAGATCTATTAATAAACTGGGGTCATTTAATATTTAACAATTTTATTAAGGTACTGACGAATCTCGAGACTTGGCAAAACCTTAATGAGCCACTTCTTTTACAGCAGTTACATGTTGTTGATGCAATAAAATAGGAGTTGATCTTTTCGTATTTGATAGATGGGGTGGCGCGACATAATAGTCAAAAAAATACCCAAAGCCGGGAATCTTTCTCAAATAGGAAAATTTTTTATTTCTTTATCTTGCCGGTGGGGCAATGTACGCTGGAGAGAAAATGAGGGGGCGGGGTAAATATATTAAGAATAAGCAGCAACTATAATTCACTTCAATATTTCTATCGGTTAGCTTAGCGATTAAATTCAATTCCGTAGGATTCAGAAGAAGTTCAAAACTGAATCAAAACTAAGCGAGAAAGTAAAGAGCAGTTAATCTTATGAGAACAGGAATCATCCAAGTATTACAATCAGTTGCTTATATCACCACGAATATCTCCGTGTTCGTTACTATATAGATTATTTTCAGGCGACTTGTCTATGGATTGATTTATTTAATTGTGGACTTAACCAATCTAGAACTTCTCTCGGGGTCAAAGGAAAATGTAGAGTCATGTGGAGAACGGATTGACACTTCCAGTCCACATTTGTATAACAGTAATCAGAAAAGAGATTCTATATAAAAATTCACATGGAAAATTAGTTACAGCAATAAATGGAACGGCTAGATGTAATTATTGATTTTCAATTTGCTATCATGTATGTAAAGTGTGGCCTGGAGAAGGTCTGGGAATATAATTGATGTGGAGAGCTTTTATTTTTACTGTTGCTTCTGTCCGCTTGCACTTACTGTAGTTTCCCATAGACTTTCGGAAGTCAATGTGCAATTAACCGATTTCAGAGTTATATGTTGGATAATAATAGTCTTAGGGCATTCGAAATGTAGCATGATATTGATGTTGCAACCTTTGTCAGTTATAGCGAGAATTAAAGAGCGAACTTTCCGAAATATCCCGTAATATCCCAAGCCGAATTTAGGAACAACTACACTTGTTATTTTTCATCTATGGCTTTCTAACATCCCTTTACTGTATCATTAACCGAGTAATTTCTTTGTAATTACTTTCAATTGTTTTACGTTGTTCTTTGTCTTTTAAATGATATTAAAAGTCTTTGTTCAATACCAATTCCGAGGTAGATTACTGTTATTTCCAGAACAGGTATAGGAGAAGATAAATGAGGCGATTTACTATACTGATATATGCATAATTATTTATTCTATACAATTCTAAACTCTATCTCCTTTTCATTGTACTCGTAGACCTACATATTAATATGGGGTTGATTGATTTCATTTGGGGGAGTACATATTATTTTCATTTCCTATTATAGAAACCTAATTCAAACTATGGATAACTCTTGCACCGCCTGCAGGCAAGAAACTGCACTAGAAATGTCTCCACGACATTCATTTTAAATGTGTTATATTTTTTTTTGGTTTATTGCCATCGGAAAAATTTTCACTTACCACATCAGTTTTACAGGTTACCTGTTGCTCCGAAAGCGCTTTGTGTACAAAAACTATACAGTCCAGCTGAGAAATATTTTTAGACCACATTTTAGATCGGTTGGGGTCATGGAGTATACGCGAATGGAGAAATCTCTCAAATATGTTGAGGTTTAGTGCTGGTAAATATTTATGTTTGTGTCTAAAAGTTTAGAGGACTAGTTTATGTAGTTTTGTTTATGCGGTTAACCCATCATTTAATAGACTCATCCGTTGCATAGATCTTATTCCTCGGAATAAGATTTAGATATACATGGCCTTTTATTTAATTAATCTTTACTTTTATAATTTTGGGTTAATCTACAACACCAATAGGTGCTCCCGGTAACATCATCACTACGATTACAACATTAAGTATTTGGTAGTATTCATCTTTTGAGCTTATAATTACCGAATTAGTCATGCGCAACTTTTCTTGGAACGTATATTTATGAGCAGATTTAGAAAACAATGTATCTCTCTAGATATCATATACCTGTCAAAAAAAAGACAATTTTTTTGTTTTACAAACACCAGAGTTGATGATGGTTAACACAATTCAACTCAACATTGGGTGTGAACAACTTGGCACATCATCATATGTTGGAGAAATTTGCAAGCAAAGCTGCACTCTCTGTACGATTAGTTTCTTTTTCTTGCCTTTAAACATTTCTTCGGATAAATTATATGCACAGACGGCATATAAGCTTTTACACTTTGCGGGTTTTCTTTTTTCTTACTTTTTATTTTAATTTCTGAAATATTTTCGACATTCCTGTGGATGTGGTTCAATACGACACGGGGGAAAACTGCAGGTTAGAGTTGTATACAGGATATGCATGTGGACACTTTTTTTCTTCTTTTTTTTTATTTAATTTCCATGAGACATTTTTTTGATATGTCTAAAGACAGCTCCAATAAATATAAGAACATATATGGAACTTCACATGTCGATTTTTTTTGTATATACAAATTTTGATTTCTTTACCTAGTTAATATTTAAAAGGAACAAATTACGTATATTTAAATTTATTCTATATTAATAATAATATTAGAGTGTACTGTTGAAAGTATTGTCAACTACAGAGTCAAATAATATTTCAATTTGTTACGCTCCAGATTAATCCGAACCAACCACAATTAAGTTAACATTGAATAGTCACTAAAGCACATTGAAATTGTCTAAGTGAAGTAGAAGAATAGTATCAGACAACAAGAAGACAAAGGGAAAGAAGAAAAGAAAGGAAATCAAAAGATAATTTATGATGAGTGAACCAGTAGTCCTTTCCTCACTTCCTGAACCAGTCAATAAGGATGCTGGCCTTAATAAAGATAAGAAGAGTAAAGAAGATAGACCTTATAAATGTACCTATTGTGATAAGGCTTTCCATCGATTAGAACATCAAACCAGACATATCAGAACTCATACTGGAGAAAAACCTCATGCTTGTACTTTCCCTGGATGTACTAAGAGATTCAGTAGATCAGATGAATTAACCAGACATTTAAGAATTCATAATAATCCAACTTCCAGAAAGAGAAAGAATAAAAATGATGGAACTCCAAATACTTCAACCACTACCACTTTGGAACCATTACCAATTCAAGCTCCTCCAACTGCAGCTATCTTCCAACCACTTTCAACTGCTATTCCATATTCGGTCGATAGAAATGGGAACGCTGTATATCATCAACCATACCCAGTATATTTCATCCCACAACAACCTCAGCAAGCTATAGGTCAACAACAGCAATATGCTTTTGTATCTATACCGCCAACTATCGAACAACAACAGCAACAACAAATTCCACAGCCAATTCCACAGCCTATTCCACAACAAGTTCAACCAATACCTCAACAGCATTACCAACAAAAGGGATCTGCTGTCTTTTCCTTACCATCATCACCAACTAATTTCCAGCAATATACCAATAACAATAGCAATAACAATAATGGTTCAGCCACCGAAACTAAGACCCATAATTCCCCAACAGTACCAATAATAACTAAATCAGATTCAGCCTCATCTATAAGTTCTGGCGGCCCAGTATTTAGTCATGCTGGTACTCTTTCAACTGCTAATTCAGCTATTCATTCTCTTGGAACTTCTCCAGACACTTCATCCAACTCAACAATAATGCAACCACCATTCCATCATAAGCCAACCAGTTCCATAAGTAATTTGAATGAATATTTCTTACAGAATCAACAGAAGCAAAGTCGTTTATTTAATTCATCGACAACTTCACTTAATTCATTAGCTGGTCTTAGCATCAATAATAATCTCAGTACCAACAATAGTGCAACAACTACAAGCAAGCTTAAGTCATCAAATTCAGGTTCTAACTTGGCTTCATTAGGAAGTTTATCATCATTACAACGTATGACTCCAATTAAGCCAAGTTTACATAGTACCAATTCTAGTAATAATGTTCGTCCATCTAACTTTAGTTTACCAAGACAAGTTAGTGCTACATCATTGAACTTAGAATTCTTTCAAGCCAATAATGGACCTTCTAATAAGAAATCTCGTCCAAATTCACCAACTCAATCTCTGGGTCAATTATTTATGATGTCTGCTAGTAGTAGTTCTGGAAGTAACTCTGGATCTAATGTTCCAAGTGTGTTACATAATCCTGGATCTGCTTCTAATTCTGGTGCTCGTAGAGCTGGTCAGTTTTTAATTTCACCTAATGAAACCCCATTACAAACACCTTCTCAATCCCCTCATTTGCAACCACAATCATTTCCTAATGGTGGAGCTACGACTCCATCTAGTAGTAGTGTTAATACATTAATTAGTACTGCTGCTCAAACTATTGAAAATGAAAAGAATCATGCTACACAAGCTCAAACCACTGCTAATAGCAGTGGTAGTATCGCTACTACAGGTACAGTATTACCACCAATTAGGTCGGTTTTAAGCTTTACATCATTGAATAGTTATCCACCAGCCTTTATGACTCCTTCTGTAAACACACCAGTTGTTGAAGAAGAACCAAAAAGAGTGGCAAACAATCATAATGATATGAGTTTATCTAATATCATGAGCTAAGCTAAGCTAAGTTGATATATGAGGTTATATACCCTTTATTTTTTTCTATTTAGATTACGAATTACTACTTTTTTTATTATTTCATGACAGGGAGGTATTATTACTACTATTAATGGTATAGTTTAGTTTATAGAGATTATATTAATAATAACATTATTTATTTATTAAATAGTTTGAAATGTCGTAGATAGAACGTTACCATAAAGAATGTCACAGCGTGAAATTTGGGCGCAAAATTATGAGGCACAGTATCAATTGCTTGGCTAAGTAAGTAAGTAAGGCGACCAGCGCAGGCAATGAACGAGGAAAGTGAGGAGACATACCAAACGTTGACGTATACGCAGTATTCTTGTTAAGATGTATCTTGCAGTGAAATTACTGAGCTACAAATCAGGTAAGTATTACCATTGAAGTTCCTGTACAGTTGTTCCAGAATTTAACAATGATCAAGAAATTCCGGTCTGGTTTGGGGATTATTACGGAATTTCGATTCACACAAAACTGTCCGGGTTAATTTTAAAAAACGAATGAAGATCTGGAGAATCGTAAGGTATGTGCCCGGTGACTGTGATTACATTGTCTACAATAGAAAGAATATTTAATGTGCTCAAATATCAGCTAATACATTAAGGACAACCCCGCTAATCAACCCCGCGTTGCAAAAACTACAGGTTACAGACGGCATTTTGGGAGATTTATTTCTAATACATAAATGTACTAGTGGAGGTGACCAAAGTACCCCATAGTTAGTTTTGCATACGCATGCAACAGATACTAACTGGGAACAAAATGAAAGGCGGAGGAAATTTATTTGATTGGATGGAGTCGACCTTCCTGGAGAATTTATTCCGGAGCGCACTGTATCAGGAACAATAACAATAAGGACTAACTGGTATAAAATAATAAGCAGCAGTAATGAATAAGATTTTGTGTTAGATAGATAATGTAGAAATAAGCGGAGTTAGGTGGATACAAACATACCGAGAAAGAAGGTAGAATAGATCAAGTACGATAGAAAATAATGGAAACATAAGTACAAAGAAGAAAGTATGGGGAAAGGATGAGAAACAAACCTGGAACAATCATTCATTCTGATAGAGGAGAAATAAATGGTCAAGTGGGGCAGATAGGGGTAGTAACGAATTTACTAGCTATAGCAAATAATTGTCGCACTTCAGTAGTACTGTGGTCATTGTAATTGTCGTATTTACGTGTAATTGGCTTATTATTTTAAAATGTCCATTTTCTAATCAATTTCATATCCATGGGAATAGCTTAGCATTACTTGAACTAGAGAAATACTGGAGCTTCCCTCCCCTCCCCCACGTTAGTCTAGTTTTAAGTTTTTAGTTACTGTAGTAGTTAATTATCCTGCATACAGACTGGCTGAAAACAGTAAGTTAACCGTAATACTGAAAAAAAGGTCGAAGCGGAGAATTGTCTAATTAATAACCAATTTAACAACACGACTATCACTATAGTGCATTGCACAAATTACTACTACACTTACATAGGGCGTACGATATATGGGGTAATGTCAATAAATGTAAATAAAGCTCAGTAAAACATATCATCAATTTTTCAAAGCAGAGTACTAACTCCAAGAAGAATCTTAATTAGTTCTATTGCTTGCTTGCTTATTGAGTGAGATGACATGACTGCCTAAGAGGATCTTCCATCAACTGAGATTTTACATTTTTGACACTATGTAATGGCGCGCTTGGAGCTAACAGTAAAAATTTTGGTTAGAGCGCCAAAGAAAAATGTGGGGGAGACCAACGTCGAGGTACGCTACTAATTTTTCACTATTGATTTGGTGGATGAGATTAGTGTAATATACTTGATTCAATGCTTATTCTCTTATATGGAGTTGTTACCACTGTATGGAGTAGTTTACAGTAATGACTGAACCCGTAGTAATTGCCAATTGAGTGTAGATCTAATCATTGAGCGATGAGCATCAAAGTATTGATACTTTTGTACTACTAACCTTTGGAACATCTATACACTGTAACAAAGTAATTGTAAAGATTTGAATCAGTATAGCCTGAATTGACCGACAAGAATTTACCAGAAAGATCAATAGTTCAATAGGTCATGTAAGAAGAAAAACTACAAGTAAGAAGGTAAACCACTGAACACAAACGTATGTATATATATATTTGCAATAATAGTACACCTTCCTTAGTAATAACTTGTAAGATATTTACAATACACAATAATAAATATAATAAAGTACTATATTAAGCCGAATAGTAATAAATTTGTTAGAAAGGTCCAAGCATATAACGCATTGAAATTTGTGTGTGTATACGATTTCTCGGAACCAGTTTCTTCGGTAGTTCCACCCCAATTTTGTGCCACCTTATTGTGTATTGCTCTGGAAAAATTAATTAGGAGCTATTGACAGATCCTTTGGAAAATGGGGATTATAAATAACCCATTGAATTTCTCCTTTTCCAATTAGAAAATTTGAAAGGGGAATCTTTTTCATTTATTCTTTTACTTATTAGCTTCTTTAGTTAATTCAAGTGTTTCTACTAATAGTAAATATAAATAATTAATCATGGCTTCTACTGCTATTAAATTAAATTCTGGTCATTTAATGCCATTAGTCGGTTTCGGTTGTTGGAAAGTTGATAACGCCACTGCTGCTGAACAAATTTACAATGCCATTAAAACTGGTTACAGATTATTTGATGGTGCCGAAGATTATGGTAACGAAAAGGAAGTTGGTGAAGGTATTAACAAGGCCATTAAAGATGGTTTAGTTAAGAGAGAAGAATTATTCATTACTTCTAAATTATGGAATAACTTCCATGATCCAAAGAATGTTGAAACTGCTTTAAACAGAACTTTAAGTGACTTGAAATTGGATTACGTTGATTTATTCTTAATCCACTTCCCAATTGCTTTTAAATTTGTTCCATTAAATGAAAAATACCCACCAGGATTTTACTGTGGTGATGGTGACAAATTCCACTATGAAGATGTTCCATTATTAGAAACCTGGAAGGCTTTAGAAAAATTAGTTAAGGCTGGTAAGATTAAATCTATTGGTATTTCTAACTTCACCGGTGCTCTCATCTACGATTTATTAAGAGGAGCTGAAATCCCACCAGCTGTTTTACAAATTGAACATCACCCATACTTACAACAACCAAGATTAGTTGAATGGGTTCAAAGTAAAGGTATTGCTATTACTGCTTACTCTTCATTTGGACCTCAATCTTTCTTGGAATTAAACCACTCCAAGGCTTTAAACACTCCAACTTTGTTTGAACACAACACCATTATTTCTATTGCTGAAAGAGTTAAGAAGACCCCAGCTCAAGTCTTATTAAGATGGGCTTCTCAAAGAAACATTGCTATCATTCCAAAGTCTAACAACCCAGGTAGATTATTACAAAACTTGGAAGTTAACGATTTCGACTTAACCAAAGAAGATTTCGAAGAAATTTCTAAATTAGACATTGGTTTAAGATTCAATGACCCATGGGACTGGGACAAGATTCCAATTTTCGTCTAATCTATTTATTCATTTATTGTATGTTTGTAGTTCTGGGTTGATCTTCAGAGTTCAAGCAGTTTAATTTTATTATTATTATTATTATTAGAGATAAACAAAATTTATGAATACTATCTTAGCGAAATTCAGGTAAATATATATAATTTAGGTTAGTCTATTGTTTAGCTTATTCGATTATAATACAAGCAATTAGTACGATCAAATATTGAATATAACTTTTTATTAAATACTGTAAACAATAATTAATCAGATTGAATCCAAAACAGCCTTACGACCAAGATTCAAGATCTTAAGAGTAGATACAAAATCGTCACGATTGATATAAGCTCCACACATACGTCTTTTACCAGTAAATTCAGTTCTGGAATGGAAACAACGCCAATTATCAAATATAAGACATTGACCAGGTCTTAATTGATAAAAGAGTTCATTGGCGGGATCAGTAATGATCGATACCCATTGACGAATAGCTCTATAGAATTTAGGTACATCTGCAGGATCGGCCCATTGATCCATTGTAGATCTGTCACTTTGATTCCATCTCACTTGTAAAAGGTTACCTTCGTCATCAAGCTTGAAAATAGGTTGAGGAATATCTGGTTGAATACATACCTTTTCTTCACCAGCCAGATGAGCAGGGATTTTAATTCTGGTGAAAAGTTCATAACTGGCAGGATCAGTCTTCTTGAGAATCTCAGCACATTGGAATGCATCGACTAAGGAAGTAGTACCACCTTCACCATCATGATACAAAAGGTGAAATAATTGTAAACCAGGAGTGTCTGACCAGTAAGTTCCATCAGTATGAGAAGAAATATCAATGTTAGTATAGGCCGTATCATTCTTCAGTAAATCACTGGTGAAATCCCAAAATCCTCCATAATGAGTAGGTCTAATATAAGACAACTTCTCACATAACTTCTCAGTATCTTCAGGAGTTTCAGGAACATTATCAATCAAAGTAAATCCATGTTTCCAAATCTTGAGACTCCAATCTCTGATAGCTTCTTCACCATCAGTGTCATCACTAGATTTGATAATTTCATTAAAGTCTACTCGAGGTAAGTTGTCCTTTATATCGGCAACTTTCCAATGAACTTGAGCTAATTTTGTTTCCTCTCCTACTAATTTAAGTTTAGCAGGAACAAGCTTTGGTTGATATGCATGCAAAAAAAGCCAATGAGAATCATACACACTGGAATGATTGTCCTGATCCCAAACAATGGCAAGAGAATCACCATCATTCTCAATATCAAAGCTGATGGCTTCAATATCTTCATTAATACTAGCGGAATTGAGTAATCTCTGTTTAGTAATAGTATAATAACATTGGTCACAGTGACAATTGTCCCGGAGCCAGATATTATGGAAGATAGCTTGATCTCCACGAGCGAAAGTCACGACAATTTGTCGATAATCTTCTGGATCAACAATTGCTGATCCAATCTTTTGCTTATATATTGTCATAGTTACTATACAATGTTACAATCCTAAGAATAAGTATTTACGAAAGAGAGTGATAGACGAACAGACAAATCGGTCGTCTTTGAAAAATTCCTCGAACCACCGCTATCTCCTGCTCTGAAAAATTTCCCCATACTTCAGATAAGCGCCTGCATAGAATGCGCCCACCAGCAGCCCACTCTGCTAAATTAATTAATAGCCTTGTCGCACGACCCATTATAGTTGGCCCCCTACTCCAAGCGAATCAGCTTGGGGATTAACTCTAAGATAAAGTTAGTTACTGAGTAGATACACTACTGTCTGTAGACTGTCACATACTGAGGACTCTACGAATATTATTTCCGTCACCTTCATCTTCACCGGAGTCTTGTTCTTCTCCCTGTTCAGTTCCTGTTCCTGTCCGCTAGTAATTTGCCTTTGTGTGAGATTGGTTTTGTGCCGACTCATCTCCAATACAAGCATAGCAAACACAGTGTTATAGTCATCTATAAGGACAAACTAGACACATAGAGAGATAGTATAACTAACCAAGAGACTCTAACCATCTACATCGGACATTTCGAATTTATAAGGATCCAAAAATTGTTCTCCTAATTAATATACATCAGTTTGTATAATTATAGTTGTGGAACGGAATTAACGTTTCCTATTCAAAATCCGTTGTTAAGGTCATTGTCATTGTTATTGTAATTGTAATTATAAATTGTTTGCATAACCAGTGCTGGTATACACACCGACCGCGCAAAGGATGGAAATTACATCTAACGAAAGCATAGCGAGCGTCAGTACCGCGACATCCATCACTACCGCCACCTCACCCACATCTCATCATATTTTATTAAGTCAACTGCAACATCCCGATTGGGTATCGATGGATATCGATAAGTTGGCCAAGTCACTATTCAATGGAGAAGATCAACCATTGAATGATAATATTAAGAACTTGAAGGTTAAATCAATTCAAGAATCATTGATATCATCAAGTTCTCAATTTGCTAAGTTTGTTGAATATCTGAGGTCAACTGATGGATTGATAAATAATGAGTTTAGGTCGAAAATTTGGCCTATACTTTTAGGAATTAATGATGAGAATGGTGGTGAAGTTTCTCATGAGTTACTACTGTCTAATACAACTGTCAATAATTCTCCTAATCCTAATGTAACAACCATTGAAACAGATGAGAATATAATAACTCCTACCAATAAGTTGAATACAATCTCAGCTTCTTTCTTCCTCGAAGATTTAAATACTAATGATTTACTACCTCATAAGGATGAAGATCAAGTAAAATTAGATATTCAAAGATCTTTCACTATTTTAAATCATATACAATCCCTACAATCTCAATTACAAAATGAATCATATACGACGATTTTCTCTCCATCAGATATGAATGATCTTAAGAAGAAATTACTGAATTTGATAATTAAAATATTAAGAAAATATCCTACTTTACATTATTATCAAGGATTTCATGATATTGCCAGTATAGTATTATTAATTTGTCATACTCATAATGAAGATGACCCTCAAAATGATTATTATATAAATGAAGAGTTAGCATTTAAATTATTAGAAAGATTAACAGTATTTCATTTACGTGATTTTATGATTAATGATATGAATCTCACTATAAATCATTTAAAATTAATTCCTACATTATTAGAAGTGGTTGACCCTCAACTCTTTGAATTAATTAAACAAACAAGTAATCAATACATTCAAACAGGTGGTATACTGTATGATTATAGCTTTTATCAAAGTATTTCTTGTATTCTAACTATGTTTAGTCATGATATTTCCAATATTCAACATATCTTGATAATATGGGACTTTGTTTTTAGTTATAATTCCATCTTAATTAATCCCTATATCTATGCAGCTGCTTTAATTCATTTTAAAGATGATATATTCTTAAAATTGAATGTAATTATTGAGGATGATGATACAGATTTTTCAAATGTCGATTCAGATATCGTCCATACTTTAACATCACCTAATTCATTATTTGATGGTTTAACTGATGAAGATCTTATTAAGATTCTTAATAAGGCCAAATCGTTACTTGAAGCTTATTCTATTGATGAAGTAAAGAATTCAGCCTCGAATTTCGATATATGGTTTAAACATTTTAATCCTAATTCAGTCTTATTGACATCTTCAAGTATTAAATTTGATAATTCCTATAAACGTGAACATTTTGATCAATGGTTAATTGGTAGTAATTCATTCAGTGAACTTATTCAACTACAAGAAGATGAAATTGCTAAACAAACCGTTCATGATTTAGAAGTTAGTCGTCGTATAGTTGAACAACAAGAAGAATTATCGAATTCCCTTATTTCAGAAACAGATTTCGATTCGAATTCTCATCTGTTATCATCATCATTAAGCTTGACATCAACATCTTCATCTACTATTAATACTAAAATCACTTCATCAGCATTGTTTAAGAAATTATTTAAACTTGATCATTCAACAAGACCTACTAGACCCACTACCCCATTATCAGATAAGGATGAAAATAAGAAATTAATTAATAGAAATAAGGATACTCATCTTATCTTCAATAATATTTATAAGATTAGTTTCACTATAGGATTTATTGGATTTCTAATTCATTTTCTCCTTATTAAAAATAATCCTACCATATATAACAATGGATTATATAAGATGTTTAGTAGTAGTGTTTCATCACCAATGAAAAAAATTGGTGAATCAATCATTAAGAATGAACCTATTCATACTATTACATCTGAAATCTCTAATATGAGTGCTGATATAATCAGTGATGTTGGAATTGCCTTTTATGATGTATGCACATTTGTTAAAAACTCTGAATTCGTTAGTCATGGTATAAGTTTAAGCCAAGTAGGTTTAGGAGGTATAAGAAACACTCTATTTGGAGCTGTTTCATGACAACTTGTAATTATAATTCACCTTTTTTATCATTATGTGTTTTTACCGATTTCTTTTCAGTTCTACTCCTTTTAGCCTTGTTCATAATATCTTTGGAGAACAAGCAATTTAGTTATCGTATTAACTTCTTTATGCCTGGATTTTCACTATACATACTTTTCTTCTATTTCTTTATTTCTTTATTTATTTATTTATTTATTTATACTGAATTATTTATTATCAACTAATATTACATATTACATATTAAAATCCATTGCATCTAACCACTCAAATCTATTTCATATATTAAGACAGTATCGGTGAATGAAGAATGTCCCCAACCTCTATTACCACTAGCACTTACCATGAATCTACCAGTTTCATCAACATAAAGGGTACTTAACATTCCTCCTTGATGTCCAGGAATAATTAAGAATGGTGTAGCTTGTTTCTTTGCATTAACTGCTACATTAGCATGTTCATCATAAAGGGTTAAATCATAAAGTCTAATATTATCATTTGAACCACACAATATAAAATTATTATTAGGCATGGTCGATATAGAACTTACAGGACCCGAAATCTTTGGGAATTGTAATAATTTCAGTACATTAGGAATCATAGTATCCTTATTTTGTCCTGATTTTGGACTTCTCTTATGAGGCATCTTAATAGAAAATTCTTCAACTACACTATTTCTTCTACCAGCATAAATAAATTCTCCACAATTCGACCATGTTGAAGACATACACCAAGGCGGTATACCTTCAGATACTCCTAATCTTAATACAGGATTGGCAACTCTAACATCCCAGATGTTTATGGTACCATCAATACTTGAACTCATAAATATATCTTCATTTTTATAGGTTTTATTAGAAATTTTACTATTATTAAATTCAGGTTGACTTGGAGCTTTATCCAGACTTTCTTCTTCTTTTCTTTTATTATTACTTATTTCTGTATCTCCTTCAGCATCACTTTCACCAAAGAGTGAATCAATATCTTTATCTTCTTCATCACCTCCATCACCATTAATAGATTTTTCACTTTTAATTGGTTCTGGTATTACTTCTTCTTCTTCAACAATATCAATAGATAAATCAGTTAAACCTTGGGGACGATATTGAATATTAGATATTTGACCAGAACTTCCAGAAAAGATTCGATTGGTCTTCCCCGTATGAAGATCCCATTCTCGAACAGTTTTATCCCATGATCCTGATAAGAATTTATCTTGACTAGTATTTAATTTAATTACTGATACTGCATCATTATGACCTTTTAAACCATCTGATTTCTTATTAGAATGAGGAAAATAATGATGAATAGCTCCCTCATTATATCTCATGGTATATAATGAAATACCTCCGGATAATAATCCTGATAAACACCAATAACCTGATCTTTCAACATCTAAAGCATATACCGGATTAACTTTAGGTTCATAACTGACAGATCCTGTACTAAAATCACTAACTTTTAATTTGGGATTAGCTTCCATTAATTGTTTTCTTGTCATAGGTTGTTCATTCTCCCAATATGAACATATAACTCCTGCTTTTGTTAATGAATCAGCTACTAAATTATGCTTTTGTGCCATAGTTAAAGGTGATTTCCCTTGAATAGATGCTATAAAATCATATTTCCGAATAAATCCATCTTCTCCTCCAGTTAATATCCATTTAGGACCATCAGTAAATGCCAATGAATGACATTGTGAAGTATAAGGTATAGCTACTGAAGGTATTATATCGAATTCACTAGCAATCTTAGCTTTGGCTATAACATCATCTCGGAAATTGATCTCTTTGACTGTGCCATCTTGTTGTTCCAATGATTCTGATTGATTATTATCTGTATTATCTTCTTCCTTATCTTTATCTTCTTCATCTGCTTCACCTTCTTGTAGTTCCAGTGATGGAGGTTTCAATTCCTCATCCTGGGTTTCTTTGGCGTCTTCAAACTTCTCCTCGTTATCATTATCATCTCCACCTTTATTACTTGATTCATGACCATTCTTATTAACTTCTGCTGTACCTCCTTCGGCTTCTGCTTCCGCTTCGCCTTCTTCTTCCTCTCCTTCCATGTCTTCATCCTCTTCTTCTTCTTCCTCCTCTTCTTCTCCATCCTCGTCCTCATCATCATCATCTTCATCGTCATCATCCTCACCTTCTTCGTCTTCATCTTCATCCCCATCACCATCACCATCTTCTTCTATTTCCTCATCTTCTTCTCCTTCAACATCTCCATAATTCTCATTCCCTCCATCATCCCCCTCTTCTTCTTCCTCTTCCATCTCATCCTCATTGTCTTCGACATTGAATAAGTCGTCTTGTTCGACCGAAGCCATTGTTTGTACTGAAGTGAAAAATTACTGTAATTCCTTCAAACAACCAAAAATTCTGCTAATTGAACTCACACTTCTCAACCAGCACACTAACACGTGTATGGCTCTAGTCAATCTACAAAAAAGCTAATTGAAGCTCAGATATATGGTCTTTACTTAGTATTATAAGACCATAATAAGCTGGAGTATGGAAATTTCCTGGTCTCGAGAGAGGGTGTATATGCAGGAAAACTACAACTACACAGTAGACTACTACAGTCTCTAACTATTATTACTAGTGGGGACTCGTAACTACAAAACTTGTTATATATGAACATAATGAATAGATTGATACTATATACCACTTACAGTAAGCTATACTAGCTAATACCTAAAGCATTTATTCGTAAATCCAACCGAATAAAGCTGGCTTGTATTCGACTAATTCTTCCTTCTTGAACCATAAGGCAATTTCCTTGTTAGCAGATTCAACAGAGTCAGAACCATGAGCAACATTTCTACCGGTTTCAATGGCAAAATCACCTCTGATAGTACCTGGAGCAGATTGTAATGGGTTAGTAGCACCTAAAATAGCTCTACCTTGTTTAACAACATCTTTACCTTCCCAAACAGTAGCTAAAATTGGACCAGATAACATGTAAGATAATAAAGATGGGAAGAATGGCTTAGATTGTAAGTCATCGTAATGTTCTCTTAATAAAGATTCATTAGCTTGAACTAATTTAATACCAACTAATTTATAACCTCTGCTTTCAAATCTGGATAAGATTGAAGAGACTAAACCTCTTTGGACACCATCTGGCTTAATAGCAATGAAAGTTCTTTCGGTAGACATTGTAATTGGATTCGATACGATACGATTGAGTTGGAAACGAATTGACTAACAACAATAAGAAGAAGAAGAAGAGGACAGCCGTTAAACTTCAGGAGTCGGGCAACGAACTACTCGACACCTGAAAAATTTTCCACACCTCAAAACAGGAAATATGCGGCGTTCGACAAATTTGTGCCACATCGTGGGGTTTGATGATGAATTTGCACGACCAAGATTTTTGCAGCATAGAGTTAGGGCATGGATAAAGTGTAGATAAAGTATGGATAAAGTGTTGTGTTGTGTTGTGAAAATAATGCTATAAAGAAGACAACTGTGTATATAATACAAAGTAATATTTACATAATATATAAAACAAAATTAGAGATTATTTAAAGGAAACTGATATTTGCACAAGAAGGGCGCCCTTTATTTAGTACGGAGAATTTGGATGAAGAACAGAATGAGAAATTATTAAGATTATAGAAGTGTAACAGAGTACTTTCATTGACACTGTTATTGTTATTATTATTGTTATTGTTATTGCAAGAAGAATTACCAGATGGAGTAATTTGAACACCAGATGTTGGAGTGAAATCAAACTCGTTATTTTCTGTTATGACCAGCAAAATAGAAGAGGAATCACTTACTGCATCATATTCAGAGTGGTCTTCAAAACTTCTATCATCACATGTGAAATACTCATCAAATTCTTGATCTTCATCTTCTAAATAGTAGCGAGAAAGATCAAATAATACATTTGTATTACAGTATGATCGTTTTGGAGTAGGCACAACAATCTTAGTAGAAACAGGAGTAGTTTCTTCTGTAGATATAGCAGTAAACTTTCCTAAATTTAGTATAGGAGTGTTTTCCACAGCAGTTTGTATATCAGAAAGCTCCGTTACGGAAGAGGAAGAATCATTAGAATTTGTAAATAACGAACTTGAAGAAGACAGACTATCTGAACTATACTTTAGTTTATGGCATTTATTTCTTCTATCGAAATAATTGATAATAAATCGAGGATAGTAGAAGATACCCTGTTTTATAAGAAATTTATTAAAGGGAGTATCATAACCTAATAATTCGCCACGGTTTAAGAAGTATTGCTTCTTCTCGTTATGTAAACACAGTTGAACAGAACTTCTCATAAGATAGATGTAAGATAGATGTAAGATAGATGTATTGATTGGTACAGTAGAATATCGAATATTGAACTACCAAACGAAAGAAAGAGAATATACAGAAGAAACAAAAGTTTACTGAATTAAATAAATTATATTATATATAGTTTATATTATAGTTCCAATATGTTCTGCTAGAGTTTAGCAGCCGTTGACAGGGTCGTGCACATAAGCCTGAATTTTAATTTGCGGCAAGACGAGGAAGAGAAGGAAAGCTTAAACAGCCGATGGTTATAAGCCAACAGGGGTAAGGGGAATTTAGGGAATTTAGGGAATTTAGGGCTAATTCAGTTATACTTACCTTAATAGTCCAATATAAAGATGCAATAACAGTGTTTATATTATATACCATTACAGTTAGATATATCATTGTTAGTTATTGTTATGGTTTCCCTGATACACCCACATTTACATTTTACCTTTACATCAGTATGCGGATTTGTACATTGTACTAATTCGTATAATAAAGAATGAGTAGTGAAGTTTCCAAATTAGGTATCCAGTGCATTGTCAAGTGCTGCTCATTGTTCAGTGTTCAGTGTACGCGCTTTGTTAAATTTTCAAATTTTTTATTATTGTCTATTTATTTTTCACTGGCTTTGTTTTGGTTCTGTATATAGCCCGCGCCTTTTACATATTAGCTTAAGGATATTTACACTTTAACACGTGTCAACCTGTAAATAACTCCAAAGAACTCCAAATCTCTCAAAATCTCACTAATTTTTACTAAATCTTCCTAATTCTTTTTTACAGGTTCCACTAGGTAAATAAAAACATCCTAACAATAATAAAATACACGCTCAACGTGAACTGGACTGAGCCAGGCGAATTCAACTAATAAATTAACTTATAACCAACACTTTCCTCACTACTTACATTAGTAGCCAAGTCCAACTTCTACCCAGTCATAGACATCCACTTCATTGTAACTTCACCGGCTTATTCTGACTGCCTGCTGGTGCCTACACCATAAATTTCTCATTAACTCATACATTCTTTAATAAATTCATTCTGATTCATAAACTTATACACATTCATTTTTTAGAAATCCACCAACTATCATTCATTCTTTAGCATATTCAACAATAACAACAAACATCATATCCCCATGACTACACTCATCCAACAACAGACTCATCGGTCGTATGATTCACCGTCGGATTATCCATCATCAGTTAATGTTGATAAAGTAGTTGAATCAGTAACTAATGCAACCAAAAGATTATCCCAGATCTCAACTAATACCACCAATTCTTCCAAAAAGAGAAAATCTCAAAATAAAATTGGACCTTGGAAATTAGGTAGAACATTAGGTAGAGGTTCAACTGGTAGAGTTAGATTAGCAAAAAATGTTACAACTGGTAAATTAGCCGCTGTTAAAATTGTACCAAAATCTAATTTTAAACGATTAGAAAATCCCAAATATAAACATCCTGATATTGCATCAAATAAAGATCGATTACCTTATGGAATTGAACGAGAAATTATTATAATGAAATTAATTTCTCATCCAAATATTATGGGATTATATGATGTTTGGGAAAATAAAAATGATCTTTATTTAATTTTAGAATATATTGAAGGAGGTGAATTATTTGATTATTTAATTAAACGTGGTAGATTACAAGAATTTGAAGCTATTAATTATTTTAAACAAATTATTAATGGAATTGGTTATTTACATCAATTTAATATTTGTCATCGAGATTTAAAACCAGAAAATTTATTATTAGATTTTAATAAAAATATTAAAATTGCTGATTTTGGAATGGCAGCTCTTGAAGTTCGAGAAAAATTATTAGAAACTTCTTGTGGTTCACCTCATTATGCTAGTCCAGAAATTGTAGCAGGAAAGAATTATCATGGAGCTCCAAGTGATATTTGGTCTTGTGGAATTATTTTATTTGCATTATTAACTGGTCATTTACCATTTGATGATGAAAATATTAGAAAATTATTATTAAAAGTTCAAAGTGGTAGATTTATTATTCCTCATGATTTATCTTGGGAAGCTAAAGATTTAATTACAAAAATGTTAAGAGTTAATCCTCAAGATAGAATTACTATTGAAAAAATTTTAGTTCATCCTTTATTAACAAAATATCCTGATCCTCAAATTCCTAATTCTTCATTAAAATCAAATGGTATAAATAAATTATTAAATATAAAACCAATTGATTCAATTAATAAAATTGATAAAGAAATTTTAAAGAATTTATCAGTTTTATTTCATAATTGTGATGAACAAACCATAGTTGGGAAACTTTTATCACCAAATAAATGTCCAGAAAAGATGTTTTATTATTTATTAATGAAGTATAGAAATGAACATTCAACTCAAACTTTATCATCATCAAATGATGATGGTGAAGAAGCATTTACTTCAAGAAAAACTATTCCTCGTTCAACTTCAATTGTTAAAACAACAACCATTGATCCTTTAACTGGTGAAAAGCAAGTAACTATAAAGAAGATAATTTCAAGTAATCCTTCATCAAGATCACTTAATAAATCTCTTACTCCAAATAATACCAATACCAATACTACTACTACTAATAATAATAATAATTCAAAAGTATTATCTAATATTACTAATACTAATAATTCATCAACTGGTTCAATAAAGAACTTTAAAGCATCTACTTCTTTTAATAAGAAAAGAACTATATTAAATAATCAAGTAATTTCAAGACAAATTGTAAGAAATACTAGTAGTAGTACATTAACGAAATCAAGAAAGAGTTCACCTTATTCTTCTTCAACAAATCTTAAACAAATCCCTCCTAAACAAGAACCTCCTAAACTTAAGAGAAAATTAACAGGATTATTGGATTTAAATGAGTATATGGATGATGATGATGATATTGTTGTGGAAAATAATAAAGAAAATGTAGATCATAATAGAGCTGAAAGTATTAAATCAAAATCAAAATCAAAATCAAAATCAGTTAAAGAAGAAAAGAAACCAGTAGTAAATGTAAATGATAATAAATCCTTATTAAATTTTGAAATGGTATGTGAAGAAGTATTTAATGATCCACAACCATCAGTAGTTAAAAGATCTAGTAAATCTAAATCTAAATCCAAGAGTCAAAGAAATTCTCAAGAATCTGATTTAGCCAGACGAGAACGAGAATTAGCCGAAAGAGTTCGTAATTCTAATGAAATAAGAGAATTAAGATTAAAGCATGAAGAAGAAAATAGGAAAGCTAAAGAAATCGATGAAGAAAGAAGAAGGCAATCAATTCTTTTACAAGAAAAGCAAAAGGAAGCATTAGAGAAATTAAGAAAACATCAAAGTAATAATGATTTTGCAACTTTAAATTCTAATCCAACCAATGCTCGTAGATATGTTACTGCCCCTTCAAGTATTCGATCATCATTAGATCCAAGAGCTAATTCTTTATTAAGAGCAAGATCATTAGCTGTTTCAACTACAACTACAACCACAACCATAACTACTCCAACTTCATCACTTCAATCTTCAAGACAAGTACTTCCAGTAATTAATGATAATACTAATAAAGTATTACATAAATTAGGAATTGAAGTAGTTCAATCACCTCGTAGATTTAGTACTGATATTAAAACTTCCAGTTCTAAAGATTTAGCCAGTTATTTAAATCAAGCCATACCTTCAGAAAAGGAATTGACTATTCAAGCATTTAATAGTCAAGAAAAGGAATTATCAGTATCATCTATTAGTAAATTTAAATCAGAATCAGAATCAGAAACTAATAAATCTCCTCAAAGGAAAGGTAGTGTTCAATCGACTTATTATAAATCATTATTAACTGATATAAATGAAAATACCAATGCAATTATCAATCAATCTAATAGACGTAAATCTAGTTTCACACCTAAGATATATGAAGATAATAATAATAATGATAATGAAATTGATAATGATATTGAAATGGATAATGATAATGATAATTATAGTCGAACTGCTGGTGATCTTACATTAATGTCTACTATAACTAGAGATGAATTACCTAATCCTCGATTCTCGAGATTTTCATTTGGAGGATTTCTTAAGGGAGATACTGCCATTGGCATTGATACATTAACTTCTTCAACTGGTACCGTAATAAGGAAAAAGAGATTTAGTGATGGATCATCTGATTTCCAACTGAAATCTTTAAAGACAGAATCTGGTAATGGTAGACTTGATAGATATGGTAGTATTAATACTAAAGTTATTGGTTTAGGAGTTACTACTAGTAGTACTACCAGTAAACCTAATGATCAATCTCGAAAAGTATCAGCCATATCATCTAAATATAATGATTCAAACTTTGTATCAATTAATGTAACTGATTCAGAAAAGGATGATGATGATACTTTTAATAATAATATAACTAATCTACAAAATAATGCTGTTAGTATTCAAGATTTTGCCGATGATGAACAAGATTTTGAAGATGATTCAGATACTACTATGTTAGATGATTCGCAATATTCAATTCAACCAAGTCATGATGATAATGATCAAAGTCGATTACAAGTTAATCATAATCATAATCATAAACACAATACAACTATAAGTAGATATAGTAATGGTAGTTCAATTAAACTTAATAAGAAATCTACCGGATTAGATGTTGATTTATCTAATTTTGATTTAATAAGTTCAAGAACTGCCGATGTAGGATTATTAAATACTATTCAACCAAATATAGTTGAACATCTGGATCTTTCAAAGGAAACTTTAATTGTTAAGAATTCTCATACTAGTACTACTACTGCTGATGAAGATATTTCATCAATGTTTAAGAGTTATCATCAATTATCATATAAGAAAGCTAATAAGAGAATAATTTCATCAAGTAAAGAAGAAGAAGAAGAAGAAGAAGATCAGGATCAGGATCAGGATCAGCATCATGATCATGATCATGATACTTTCCAAGGTAATATAGAACGTAACGATATCTTAGATAATTCATCAATTGTTGAAAGTATACTAGAACAACCAACTGATGATAAAGATTTTGAATATGAATCAACATCTAAGGCTTCTGGATCTCCAGCTTATAAAGATCTTGAACATTCTAGAATCGATACCGGTATCTTTAGTACTAAAGCATTAGTCTCTAAGCAACAACAACAACCACCACCACCACTACCACAACAACAAGCAAATCAAAATGATAACACATCTATTAAGAAAACTATAGTCATTAGTAATGCCAATGAAGCTACTGAAAGAGATTCTACTGTTAATCCTAACTCCAACCCTAAAAGAGTATCACTTTTCAGAAGAATGAGTTTAAATCCTAAACGTGAAGCTCCTAAAGTTCCTAAAGAAGCTCATACTACTAAAGGATTTAAACCTAATGATACTCCACAAAAGAGTAATTGGTTTAAGAGAATCTTTCAATCACTTACTTCTAGTCCTCGTACTAGTAATAATATTAATACTGAAAGTGCTATAAGTTCAGATAAGATTCATATAATTGATTCTACATTAACATCAAATGAATTAATTCGAATCATTAAGACACAACTTGAATTAAAGAAAATTGAAGGTTCAATAGATAAAGTTGAAATTGATGATGAATTTGGATTTATAACTGGAATAATTCCATCAAAATATGCTCATGGTCGTAAACTTAAATTTAAGATTGAAATAATTGATTTAATTAATACATCATCTTTACATATTATAAAAGTTAAAGGGACCAATAAAGGATTTAAGAATTTAATTAATATTGTTACCTTTATAATTAAACAAGAAGAGCAAGCTACTAATAATAGAAAATCAAATGCTTATCAATTTTCTGGATATCAGAAGTGATAATAATTAATATTTACTCTCTTTCTCTCATGTATACTATAGATTCAATTCATATAATATAAATTATTATTATTTACTTATACCTAATTACGTAAAGCTCTTAATCGTTCAGCCAATTGATCTTCCTTTTCTTCAGTCATATTACTTACTGGTGGACTAGCAATTTCAACTTTTGTCTCATTTAATCCTTGTTTCATTTCTATACCTGCTTCATCAGCTACTTGACTTAATAATTCATCAACTTGATCTTGTGGAGTGGTTAATGCATTAACATTATTTGTTGCCGATTCATAATAATTTGTGGATGCATCTAAATCTTCAAATTGATTTTCAAATTTATCCATAACTAATGATATTCTTTCTAAATTCATTGTTTGTAATGCTTTATCCATACCTCTAATAACTTGGGTCATATTACCAGTAACTGATTTCATAGTTACCGCGGTTTGAACACGTGAAGCTACCGCATCAATTCTTGAAGCTAATCTTAATAAATTTACTCGTTCATTAGATTTTCTAATGGCATTTTGTGCATATAATTGTGCAATATCATTATTACCTTGACTTAATGCTTTTTTTATTTTTGCCTTCTCTTGAACTTCTTCCTTAGCTGCTTTAGCTGCTTGTCTATTTAATTGTTTAGCAGTGAATTTCAATTGAAATAATGATTGTTCTAATCCAGCCATTATGTTCAGAAATTAAAATTAAATTAAATTAAAAGTTTTATTATTAATAATGTGTAAATATATTTATAATAAATGTGTGTGTTAATTCTTATCTTCTGCTAGGGGGACTAGTTTCTCCTTTAAGGTTTAGTGGATGTTGGTTGTGCGGAGAGTGTGACCTGCGGCACGTGCACGATCTATAGTGAAAAATTAATTAACTATCATAATCAATAATTAATTAATTATTTATTTATTTATCTGTTATTCTATATACTATATTCTATTCTAATTAACTTATGGTTTATTAGTAATTCACTATATAGTCCACTACTCATACCAACTACAATTATGTCACCTACTTGTAATTGTCTGCATGACACCATACCTAATGGTCTCCCACGTGAATTACATGAACAATTTAAAGATCCTAATCATCCTGCAAATTTAATTTGTGAATTATGTAGATTATTTTATGATAATAATTGGGTTACAGGAACTGGAGGAGGAATTTCAATTCGTGATGTTGAAGGTCCAAATCCAAATATTGTTTATATTGCTCCATCAGGAGTTCAAAAGGAAAGAATTCAACCATGGGAAATGTTTGTTGTTGAATTACCTGATGAAAAAATATTAAGAACTCCTAATGATATTCCAAAGGAATTAACTAAATCTTATAAATATAAACAATCAGCATGTACTCCATTATTTATTAGTTGTTATACATTAAGAGATGCAGGAGCATGTATTCATACTCATTCTCAAAATGCAGTTATGATAACTTTATTATATGAAGATCAATCAGTTTTTAAAATTAATCATATAGAACAAATTAAAGCATTACCAAGATTAGAATATAATTCAAAATCAGGTAAAGTTGAAAAAATTGGAAGTTTAGAAAATTTTGAAACTTTAATAATTCCAATTATTGATAATGTACCTCATGAAGAAGATTTAGTAGAATCTCTTGAAAAGGCCATTAAAGATTATCCTGGAACTTCAGCTGTATTAGTTAGAAGACATGGGATTTATGTATGGGGTGAAACTATTTGGAAAGCTAAAGTTTATAATGAAGCTATTGATTATTTATTAGAATTAGCTATCAAAATGAAAATTGCTGGAATAAATCCAATAAAGGATTAGTTGTTAGTTAGAATTAATAGAATAATAAATAATATTTATTCGGTATATGCTGAGTAATCTATAAATGCTAATGATATTTGATAATATGAAATGATTAATTAATATTTTGGTAAAGAATTATTATACAGTAGTATGTAGTACTAATATTATAATACTATAATACTATTAAATGAATTGAAAATGCAATGGTTTGATTTTGATTTTGATATTGATTGTTAAATCTTAAAAGTCTACGATAACATTATATCCTATTACAATGGATTTTTCGTCCCCTTGAGTGTATCACCTTTAATGTTTATCCAATCTAATTCATCATCTTGTTCTTCATCCACTTCTCCTACACATACAATATTACCCCCTCTCATCAAATATAATCCCATTTCTATCTCTTGATTTGGCTCATTAGCCTCTGAATATATTATTCGTTCTATACAATCACTTAACACTATATTAGTGGATTTATCATAACCCTGTAGTATACCTTCAAATAATCGGGCATCAGTTGATATAACACGAACTCTCTCTAAATATTTAGTTAGTAACTCAATTCTAGAATGAAATTAATCCTCAATCATTATACATACTCTCTAAGAAATCTTTTAAATCAGACATGGCTATTAATACTATGTTGATTTGCCAATGGTCATAGTGAAAGTTTTCAAGCATCTTGTTTATTTTTTTTTTTTTTTTAGTTTAGTGAGAATTGGGGTGCTGCAAATATTTGGCCGTAAACAACTTAATGAATATCATCAAGAAGATCCTCAATCACTCATGAAACAGCCAATATATACACAAGATACGAGTTACTCCAGTGATTCAGAGAGTCTTTTCTCCTGCAATACGTTTAAGGCTCCTGAAAGGAGTGGATGCAGCCAAAATAATCATCATCTGAAACATAATTCTACTTCAAAAGAGTTAATGGGGTGGGCCTCAAGATTAGAGTTAGAATCTATTACATTGAAGGATACTATCAATGATGAAATTGTCGGGACATTAGCTCTGATCAAGAAATCATTGAATGAAGTTTATCTGAATCTACTGAAGAGAATTGATGACATAGAATCATCACTACTGACAACAAAATTACAAGAAGTTGTCAATCAATTAAAACATAGAAACACGACAAATGATGAAACATTGGAAGAAGTGAAGGAAGAATTACAAGCTATAGTTACGAGTCAGGCTAGTCAATTACTGATCAATCGTACTCATTCTAAGGAAATACAAGAATTAACAAAAGCTATAGAAAATTGGTCCAATATATTTCCACAAATTAAGTTAGAATCTGAGATTCTGACACAACAATCAGTAGTTGAGAAGACTTCACAAGAAGTTAGTCAAATTAAACAGTATCTACAATTATTACTTCCTCGGGTTATGGGTATAGAAAATCACTATAAACAACTCGTAACAACTTACGACCATTTAATTTCTACTCCTAGTCCCGTCTCTGAATCGGAATCCAAAAGATCACTAAACCAAAAACTAAACCTTAATGGAACTTGTATCAAAAGAAGGCGATTATTATGAAATTACACTTTATTCTAACAAGTCTTTCGGCTATTTCTCCCGGTGTGTATGGTTAAAATTTTTTAACGGCTTTTTCGATGCGGTGCCGCGCGCGCTCGCAGTTTCCATTTGCATCCATTGTCTCATCTGCGACCCTTTCCAGAATCTATCTGGGAAGATTCTATTTTGCAGAACTAGCATTTTCTGAAGTTTAATGTGACTCATTTTGATAGTTTGCCTTTTAAATTATAAATACTGACTGATTTTCGCATTAGGTTGTTCTTTTTTTGCAAGCATTTTTAACCTCATCAACTAAAGGATAAACCTTATAAAAATGAGCCAAATCCTAAATTGTAGATTATTTAATAACTTTCTTATACCTCTCATTTGATTCTATACGTAATGAATTCTTCTAGTGAAGTTAAAACTGAAAAATCAATCGCAGATATGTCACTGTCACTGATTAGTAATATTAAGAGTGGTGTAACTACTTGTAACTCTAATGAAAGTAGAACATCTACTTCCGGAGGTATATGGAATAACTTTGTTGATTCTTTTAAACCAGCTATACCAGAAGAAACTTTAACCAGTATGAATATTGATGATAATCGAGAATTAACCGATATAGAAAGAATAAATTATAATTCGGCTAATTCAAATTTAAAGAGAAAATTAAAGACTAGACATTTACAAATGATAAGTATAGGAAGTTCTATAGGTAGTGGTCTTTTAGTAGGAAGTGGAGGAGCTTTAAAAACTGGTGGTCCAGCAGGTGTAATGATCGGTTGGATTGTTATGGCCAGTTGTGTTTATGCTACAATGCAAGGTTTAGGAGAACTTGCTGTCACATTCCCTATTAGTGGAGGTTTTAATGTTTATGCTAGTCGTTTTCTTGAACCAGCTATTGGATTTGCTATAGGATGGAATTATTTCATGCAATTTTTTGTTTTATTACCGTTAGAATTAGTTGCATGTTCAATAACGATTAAATATTGGAATAAGGATATTAATTCTGATGTATTTGTGATAATATTCTGGCTTGCTATTGTTTTTATTACCTTATTAGGGGTTAAGGGTTATGGAGAATCTGAATTTATATTTTCTTTAATTAAAGTCGTTGCTATTCTTGGATTTATTATCCTTGGTATTGTTTTAATCTGTGGTGGTGGACCAAATCATCACTTTGTTGGAGGTAAAATTTGGAGAAATCCAGGTCCATTTGCCTATGGGTTTAAAGGTGTGGCGACAACTTTTGTAACAGCTGCATTCAGTTACGGAGGAACTGAAATGATTGGATTAACTGCTGCTGAAACAGCAAATCCAAGAAAGACTCTTCCAAAGGCAATTAAACAAGTATTTTGGAGAATTGCATTATTTTATATTATTTCATTAACTTTAGTTTGTACTTTAGTTGCTTACAATGATGATAGACTTATTGGAGCTTCATCTGTTGATGCTACTGCTTCTCCATTTGTTATTGCTATTGTTAATGGTGGTATTAAAGGATTACCTAGTGTTATGAATGCTGTCATCTTGGTGGCAGTTTTATCTGTCGGTAATGCATCAGTTTATGCTACTTCAAGATCTTTAAATTCATTATCTGAACAAGGAATGGCTCCTAAATGGACAGGGTATGTTGATAGGGCTGGAAGACCACTTGCAGCCATTGCAATTACTAATATCTTTGGTCTTTTTGCTTTAATTGCTTCAAGTAATCAACAAGTAAATGCTTTCAATTGGTTATTAGCTTTATCCGGTCTTAGTTCTGTCTTTACATGGTTAGCAATCAATTGTAGTCATATAAGATTTAGAAGAGCAATGAAAGTACAAGGAAGATCATTAAATGAATTACCTTATGTTGCCCAAAGTGGAGTATGGGGATCATACTATGGAGCTATTTTAAATGTCTTGGTTTTGATTGCTCAATTCTGGATAGCTCTTTTTCCAATTGATACTCCTCCAAATGCAAATGATTTCTTTTTGTCTTATTTGGGTTTTCCAGTTCTTTTAGCTTCCTGGTTATTCTATAAACTTTGGAAGGGAGATTGGACTTTATTTATCAGAGCTAAAGATATTGATGTTGATGCTGGTAGAGCTAATGTAGATCTTGATTTGTTGCAACAAGAAATGGCTGAAGAAAGAGCCAAGATAGCTGAAAAATCATTCATAATAAGATGCTATAGATTCTGGTGTTAAACATGTGTAGTATATAATTATAATGGAAACGAAAAATTACGAATAACTTTTAATCTTCATACTAATGTAAAATTGTTAATTAATTATAAAGAAGGATTACAATGGATGCAAAAAAAGAAAGAAGCTCTTCGTGTTCGAAGCTTGTTAAAGCCCGACGCGGGGGTCGAACCCGCAACCTTTTGATGTCTAACATAAGAGTCAAACGCTCTACCGATTGAGCTAGCCAGGCTCTTTCTTGTTTTCCCAGAGTGCCAGATAATCCAAAACGTGACTTAATACATTATATGCAGGAATGGCGCTACCAAATTTTGCATAATTTCATATGTTTTTGCCCAGGGGGAGGTAGATGTCCTTAGTTGTCATCTTGTATACTGTTATATAGAGTCATTTGATATCCTGATCTAATAATCCAAGGAAAAAATGAAGAGTTTCCTCTCATTGTAAGATTTTCCCTTCGTTTTATCCCTCCGTTTTATCCCTCTGGGAACCACAAATACACTCCTGATACACTCCTGATACTTGGTCTAGAGTACATCGCCGACACTATCCACCACCACCAACTGATGGTGTGTGTCACCTTTGTCTCACACTGGTTGATTCTACAGACTATCATGACCATCTCTACCTTCATTGCTCCATTAGCAAAGTAGTATGGCAGAAGCTACATATTTCCCTCCCTCAAGAATGGATTACTATCATCGCCAACTACAACCTTAATACTACACAGCTTCTATTGCTAAATCGATACCTACACATCATCTACCAATTGTACAGTCGACGATGACTAGCGCATAAGAAGGGTAATGTGCTCGATCCATTAACTCTCCCACTTATCAAAAATTGGTTATCATATTTTTCTTCATCCTTATAAATCTATCTATTTTAATAACTACAAAATATGTCCAATAAGAGTATCTCGATGAGAGTTTTCACTAGTTACTAGTTTCTCTCAAAAATTTTGCAATTATTTATTCACTCTATATATAATTTTATATAGTGTGAATGCAATATATGTATTCTCAATATACACGATATTGCCACGGAAAAAAAGTTTATACAGTTTAGATTATTTACTTTTTTTTATTCGTGGTAATTTATGTATTTACACCACTTTATTCTTTGTTTAGCGAAGACTTCTTAATCGCTAAAGTTCTGTTGCTGAGCAATCAATTATGAAGTACGATGGACCAACTTTGAAAAAGGCTTATTGTTTCACTTTGTTCGGTGTCAGACTATCATAAAAGCTAATGGTATTCCGGCCCCAGTGACTTATTTATTAACTTACTAACTAAATATAGGACATTACTACTAACTATAGAATTGCTTTCGAGCCTTAGTCTAACAAACTTAATATATTTATCATCATATATCAATTCGCAAATATACTGTAGCTTGTATTAATTCAGTGGGGACCAGTATCTGAAGTCCAATATAACGTGTTTATTCTTTTAGTAATCGATCGATCAATCAATCAATCAATCAATCCTCATAACTTTTTATACAGATAAGTCTATTCCATGTGAATCATTAAGCTAGTCATAAATAGATTACTACATTAACTACAATACTCTGCCATTACGACTACGCCATTGGTATATGAATACCTCTCTAATGGATCTCTGACATTATTGTCGTACAATGTCAAGTTTAGAAGGGTTGTTTACAATAGAATTCTTTGACGCGTCGCACTGTCACAGTTAAGAGCTGCTATGGTAATTATAAGATATTTGTAACTAGTTAAATGCTTAATAGTTAAATAATAAATTTATGTATATTAGTCTTTTACCACTACGATAATCCATTCCTCTTCTTATTATACATAGAGAGGGGTGTCGTAAACAACTTAATACACTTAAATAAAATCAAGTAGTTACTCGTATGCCTACAAATAACGTGACCGTTTATTGCAATATTTGGCCAGCGAACGACCTGTTTCAAACCTATATGGCTGCAATTCTTAATCAGTTAGCTCATCTTACTATGAAGTGAAACTTCCCCCCAATCATTCTGGCTATACATATACGGGCTAAACTATATTATATAATTACTCTTTTATAAAGTACGGAAAGAAGTTTGTTACTCTTATACAATACTTCTGATTTTGCGGACTTGCATAATTTAGCTGCGAACTTGCGCATAATTTAGCTGCGAACTTGCGCATAATTTAGCTGCGAACTTTTTGTAGTTGTATTCTTTTATTTGTGGTTGTATTCCTCTAATCTTTTGTAGTTGTATTCCTCTAAGTGCCAATTCATCAGCCATGATACAATATATAGATAATTCGCTAATCCATTCATCTATTGATTTCATAATTGCTAAATTAAAGGAGGATAAGGATTACAATCTCTTTGTTGAATATGATGATTGTGAAGCAGAGTGGAAACAAAGGCTTGATTCAACCGTTTCAGAAGAAGGAATTTTGTGGTTAAATAGGTTAAAATTATCTTTTATTTTAAGTCGTTTTCACTTAATCGTCAAACTGAGACCTGTTTTAGTCCAGTTTGACAAGCTGTACCTTTCCTCAAAATATTATTTAGAAGATTATCTAGAAATCAATGGATTGATTCGACATGAGATCATGATATATTTATTAGAGAAGTATGAAAATACTGACTATATAAACTATAGTGGAAGATTATTTTCAATATTCAACTTAGCTGCATCTTTTTCAATCTCTTTCCCTTTACCTTCAAGTAAAAGGAAGCGTTCTGGCATTACTAGTAACTACTATTCTGGTAGAAACCCAAGTCTTTTACAGAAATTTCGTTTATTTCAACCAAAGTTAGATATTCAAAACCAAATTTTAGAGGAACAGGTTAAAGATTTCAAATTAAGAATAGATGATGTACAAAAATGTGAACGTATGGATCATTATTCCAATCCCACTGTTGATAATGAATATGAAGTTAAGATGATTTATGAGTTATTTTTCTTTAACCCTATACTGAAATATTTCAATACTAAATTTGACAATTTCTCAGTAATTAGAGAATCTTCCAATACTAGTTTGTCAAAACCGGATATTACTATAAGCTTTGAAAAGGAAAATGAAAAATTTTTAGTGCCGGTAGAGTTTAAAATTAGCGGACTAAGGGATGCTTTTTCTGAGAGAGAATATAATCAAAAACTTAATGAATTATTATTGCAGGTAGGTTACCAGATGATATTTTCCAATACGAATTTGGCATTAATAATTGATACCCAGTCAATTATTGTCATAAAAATAACCGATAAAAATTTTCAAGAACGTATAGATATTTCAAAAATAGATGATGGTTTTAGCTATCCACTAGAATTACAAATATCCATTTTTGACCACGGTTCAACTACTAGTTTAATTTCCATTGTGGCTATTGTGATAAATAGCCAAATAAAGAATGTTAATAAGAATAGCAAACTGAATATGGAAAAATTAAAAACTTGGACTTCAAAATCTGATACCGAGATTCAATTGCAAGATGCAAATAGATATAAGATTGTGGAAGGTTTCTATAAATTAACTTTTAGTACCTTAAAACTCGACAAAATAAGAAAAGTTTATACGAATAATGATTTAGAGGTTCCAATGGATTATTATGTTTTCCTTCATAATTTAGAAATTTCAGAAAATCCTATTCTTGAACATCAGTTCGAGATAAATTCTAAATTACAAGGATGCACTCTCTCAGAAAAGGGTATTTACAATTCACAGGTTGCTTTAGTGCGATATATCGGCCCAGGAGTTAATAAAAACAAGTGTTTTGTATTGAAGGTTTATAATCCAGTGTATGGTCATAAAAGTGGTTCCAGTAAAAAGGAATTCTATAAAGGTGTCATATTCTCTTTAAGTATGTACTGCAAAGAGATTGAGTGTTACAAAATATTAAGAGAAAATTCTCTTGATGGTATCACATTCAAAATCCCCAACAGTGCTGGTAGTGAAGGTGTTAATGGTCATGTCAATTACGTACCATATATTATGTCCTATGGATTTATCAAATGGAAGTCGCCTTTCATTGGATATTACATATTAGAACAATACCTACCAGATGCGAAATCAACAATTAGTAAACTGGAGGCATGGCAACTAGCCTCCAAAGCCCTTAAATATATCCACAGTAAAGGCATATTGCATGGTGATATTAAGTTGTCAAATTTAATTTATGCTAACGGACGTATTTACTTCATTGATTTTGGCCTTTCTAGCATATCCAAATTCAAAGGAACTAATATTAATTTTGAAAAGGCCAAGCAATTAGAAATGCTTCAATTGAATTATGTCATCGATAACTTTTGGTAACCGATTAGTTTGAATTTGATTATTTAAATACTCTATAACTAATGTTCAATAAATTTTTCACCTCTTATAGTAGACTATTTTTCAGTATGTGTAAGTTATTATATGATTGAATGATACAACAACAATCACAAGTAAAACTAAATTTACTAGCTGGCTATATAGTCATAAGCGTATTATAACTAGTAACCATTTACATTATACATCTAACTTATAATAATGAAAGAGTCCCTCTCATGTTATGAATTAGCAATAATTTTTTGTAAAACAGTTGCCAAATTTTTCTGAGAGGCTAAAAGTCGTAAAACTTTAAAAACTATTGGACTGCGACATTATACATTTTTGGCTGCAATTTTACAATAAACATAAACATAAACATTACAATTATTAATTAATTCAGGTATCTATCTATCTATAATACAAAGTATGCAATTGAACACGAGTTAGACGTTTGATTGATCATTATTCATCAATTTATTAAATTCAGCTTCATTTTTATATTTATCATGAATATCATCATTAGAAAAGAAATCAGTATTTGGAGTTGAACCTGTATCAAGATTGATATCTCTATTAGGTCTTGATTGATTAGTATCATCATTATTGGACCATGACATAATCAGATTAGTAGTATTTACTCTTGAAGCTTCCTTTGGTGAAGATCTATCTTCAAATAGTTTACTATTCTTAGAAACTAATTGTTGAATTTCATCATCAAGTTCATCATATTGAACTGATTTCCCTACAGCATCGGATAATAAGAGATCTAATTCATCCGAATTATGATTGGTTAATAATGGTGATGAAGGCATATTTACAACCATAGCCTTTTTATTATTAAGTGGAGGTGAAGATTTCTTATGAGTAAAAGTTTTCATATTTGGTAAAGATGATTTAGGATCAGATTTTAATCCATCAGTTGGAGTTTTAGAATCAGCAGGAGTTACTTGATCCTTTGGAGTAGGTTCAGCAAAGAAACTATTCATCCATTCACTTTGACCTCCCTTTTGAGGTGATACTTGAGTAAAAGATTTAACTATCATAGAATCAAAAGAATTAATAGCATCTTTGGTTTGTTGATCATGAGAAGGTGGACAATTTTCTTTATCTTCACCATCATCATATACATTAATTACACGAGTATTTGATTTAGTTGCCATCATTGGAGGAGTATAACCTTGATCTTGAGGTAAAGGATCAATATCAGTCAATGGACCTCCAAAGGCATTTATTTGATTCATTAAATCATTTAAATCACCATAATTTTGAATACTACGGGAATTAGAAGATCCCGATAAATTTGATGACTCATTTTGAGAATTAGATCGATTATTTCCTCGAGAAATTTGTTCATTATTTTGAATTACTTGATTAATTGCTGATGGTGTATGTGATGGAGTAACAAATTTATTAGAATGTTGAACTATTGGAGATGATGCAAATTGAGAAGATTTCCTCATAGCTATAGCACTAAGACTATTTGATCTTTCTTTATTTATTGTTGTAGAATTATTAGTTTCTATTCCACTATTACTAATTAATTCATTAATTTCTTCTCTATTCTTTAATTCTCTCTTATATCTTTGTTGTTGTAAATACTTTTTAACCACATTTTCTGGTCTCATAAATCCTTTATTTCTTAAGAATAAATAACACGCATTACATAAGGGACCAAACATACCTTCATAATTCTTTTTATCAAATTCTTTAGCTCTATGAATAGCAAAATAATTAGGTCTGAATTCTGTTTCAAAATATCTCCAAGCTATTGAAGATGTAGTTGCACAATTACTATTAACACAAATCAATCCATGATTTTTTGGTAATTTACTATGAGGAATTGTATGAGTTCTTTTACTATCTAAATCTTCTAAATCTGGTAATGATTGAAATGGTTCTCTAGATTGATCATCCAGATTAGATTTAGAATTAACTTCATGAGGTGGTTTATAAGGTGGTTGTTGAGGAGTATAAGGTGAAAGTTCATCGAAATCTCCATCATCATCAACATCTTCATCTTCTTCACGAAGTTCATTAGGTTCACGATACTCTGTATCATCAGTTGCATCAGACATTGGTTCTTCAGTAATTGGAGAAGAAATAGTTAAGGGTGTTTGATTAACCATTGATCTAGTACGCATAGCTCGTTGAGGTTGAGATTGAGATTGAGATTGAGATTGATATTGATATTGTTGATGATCTATTATATGCTTTCTATGTTTCCGTACTGGCTTATCAATTATCTTTTCCAGTAAGAAAGGTGCCAGTTTAAAACGATCTTGTACACTTTTAGTATCGTACCTTGATGCATTATTCATTTTATCTGCATTCATGATATTGAACATGGTTTGATTTGGAACATTATTAAATATAGGTAATGATTTAGTTCTAGTAGCCTTTATAGCAGAATTCATAGATGATTGAACTATTGGAGTTGGTCTCTTTTGAGGATATTGCATTGAACTTTGCTCATAGGGTCTCTTTTTCATGGAATTTGAATTTGAATGGGAATGTGATTGTGATTGTGAATTTGGTTGTAATGATTGATGATCTATTTGTTGCAGTTGTTGTTGAGATGATTTTTGTATAGTTTGTTGAGGTTGTAATTCTATAGTATGTAATTTTAATCTAATTTCAAGGGTAAGTGGTGATACATTTGCTTTATCACCAAATAAGAAACTAGCTGATAAATTCTGACATACTCTGCCCGGGATTAAATCTGATTTTGAATTATTTAAGAATCCTGACATAATTCCATTCGCTACAAATGGTTCATCAGGTTGTTCTGTTACATCCTTATAATAAACAGCATAATCTTCAGATTGTAATTTAAAATTCTCAGGAGAACTCTTAGTGATTTGTTGAATACAGCTTTTCAAATCAAAAGCTCCTAATGTTATTAATTCAGGATCTTGTTGTTCAGATCCAGATGATACCATCGGTATTTGAACAGTTTTAACTGAATACTGATTTTTGGATCGGGATAAGAATACTGTGGTATTGTTATTGAACGAGTATAACACTTTAATCTGCATTCGTTTATAGTTCTGATCTTCTGTATTCATTGTGCTGGTTGTTGTGATTATTGATTATAGTAAGTAAATGAAAAAGTGACGGGTAATGGGTAACGGTAATAGTAACGGTAACGATAACGGAATGGTAACGATTAACAAATGCAAGGAAAAAACAAACAAAAGGAAAGTGACTAATATGGATGACTAGTTGTCACTTGAGGTTACGGTAGTTGAATGACAGTGAAGACAGGATTGACAGTGAAGATAGAAGAAGGAAGGAAGGAAAGAAATTAATAACAAGAATATAGTTAACAGTTGAGAGTTTAGTAAAGTATAAACAAATGGTTACTACTACTACGTACAGTACTAACCAGTGCGCCCAGCTCAATTTCACGCCCTACCTGATCGCACCGAATACTGCGCTACACCCTGGGCAGGAAACCAGAGCAGGCAGACTAATAGTTGTGAAATTTGCATGTTTTGCTTTTTTTGTGGTGTATTCGCAGCTAGTGGATTTTTGGCGTTATGAAAACAACGCGACGCGATAACATTGGAGATGGACGGATGAGGAAGAGTGCGGCTTGCAACAATATGCTGGTTAGTATTAATTTTAATTTGCAACTGAGACGACAGGGGATACATATGTAATAGTTAGTGTAACCGAAGAGACGAATATGTAAATGTTCTATGATATGGCATGAAACATCAGGGATTTATAGTATGTCTATATTTGGGATATATAAGAAATGATATTTTAGTATGGATAACTAGTGTGAGTAGAAGGATTAGATGTAAAAATGCAAAGATGTAAGCTGTAAGAAATGTAAGCTGTAAGAAACCTAAGATGTAATTTGTTAGATGAATAACCGGTAATTTATGAGTTATACGACATTACACACTCTTACATAAAGACACGCTATATACCATGCATATGACAAAGATAGATACATATGACATGTAATTATAGTTGAAAAATATATTTAACAGTTTAATGTATGTGAAATAGCTTATGATAATATATATATATATAATATATATATAGTTGTAAAAATGTCTTGACTACACTCCTAATTCTAATATTTACAAGTTCTATTCTCTATGTACAGGTAACTCTAACTAATCTAACCCTATAAGAGCTCTTATTTGTCCAATATTCACACTAGCAATCTCTCTAGCTTTATCTGTCCCTTCTCTACAAATCTTATCAAGATATGGCTTATCATTAAGTAATTGCTCATATAAATGTCTCTTTGGATTGAATTCTTCTACTAAAAGTTCAGTAACTTGATCTTTAAGCTGTTTATGATCTTTAACCCATTGTAAATCTGTGACTGTATCATCAATTGATTTCCTAGTTAATCCCGATATAATATTAATAAGATTACTAACTCCTGGTCTCTGTTCTGGATCATAATATAATTTACCTTGAATTGAATCTGTAGTTGCTTTCCGTATTTTCTTTGCAATCTCATCAGGAGATTCAGTTACATATACACAAGAATTCTGATCTGGATCTGATTTCGACATTTTCTTACTTGGATTCCTAAGTGAAAGGATCTTCTTAGCAGGGGTGAGTAATGTCTTAGGGATTGGGAAGTAATCTTTACCAAAAACGTGGTTGAAACTTGAAGCAATATTCCGAGTTAATTCAAGATGCTGTGATTGATCATCCCCAACTGGGACATGAGTTGAACGGTAGATTAAGATGTCAGCAGCTTGAAGAACTGGATAGCATAGTAAACCAGCTTTTGTCTTTTCAAGTACTTTTTCTTCAAAGATACTACTGGATTCTTCTTGATTAGCTTTCAGTTTCCATTGAGTCATACGATTCAACATACCCATACTGGTGATTGTGGTTAAGTACCAATTCAATTCAGTATGTTCTGGAACTGACGACTGATGAAATAATGTACATTTAGTAACATCAAGTCCACTGGCTATTAAACTTGCTATAGCCTCCACTCGATATTGTTTTAATTGTTGAGCTTGTTTAGGTACGGTGATGGCATGAAGATCAGCTGTACCAAACAAATACCGAGTACCTTCAGATTCGATTTCTGATAAGTCCTTCCATGATCTAATGGCTCCTAAGTAGTTCCCTAAATGTATTTTTCCTGTAGGTTGAATCAACGAGAAGATAGTGGAGTTGGTGGGGAATTTTTCAATTCCTTGTATGGTCTGAACAGACTTAGTAGAAAGAACTGAGCCAGTCTTAGTAGATGAATAAGCTCGCACACTTCTAAGAGATCTTACGTACTGTGTCCTCAACATGGTGTTACCAACTGATGGTGGTTTATTGGTGGTTGAGGGTAATGGAAATGGATAGTGGTTCAGTAATTTTTTATGGTGCGATGATACTCATGATACTACTGGCTACTGATTACTGGTTACAAACACTAGTGGAATAATATTATTACTATATATATATATTAATTACACTAATACTGCTTGTATATTAACTACGCTACTGCTGTGAATCTTCTTCTCGGGGTCCATCCACTAGGAATCCTCCCGGTACATTTACTACTTCTATGCCATGACTCACCAATCTCTTCTCTAAACTAATTCTTTGAAATTGTCTCCATCTACTCAACTTTGAATATTCATGAAGTTTAAATCCAAACACTTTAGGAACATAAGTTTCCTTAGGATGTACTGGAATGACTTGTGGGAAATTTTGAAAGAACATAGCTGGGAAAGATGTACCGAAATAAGCACCATCAATGACAGAATGTCTCCCACTCTTTGGATTAAATAAATCTTCACATTTTGCACAATATAATTTTACTGAAGCTAATCTAGGTTGATCATTAAGTCCAATAGGTAAAAGAGGATGTAACTGACAATGAACTCTTGGACAATAACCAAAATCACCATTTCTAAATTTTTCAAACATTTTATTTAACCCTCGTGAAGTAAGGATATACCGAGCATGAATAAGACCATATAAAATTCTGGCATTATGTTCTAGAGCATCTCTATGTTCTTCTGGTTGCAGTTCGATATCAATAAGATCAGTAATTATATCAATTAAAGTTGGTAATTTACTAACTTCTTGATTTAAACCGGTTAAATTAAATCGATCCCTAATATACTCATCGTCCACATCACAAAAGTATTCATTACCCTTTATGCCTAAGAATAAATCTATCCAGTATTCCGTAAAATCGGAACTTGAATCATCCGTTACGTACTCTTCGTTAGCCATATGTATTATATTATTCACTAACTATACTGTTTATTTTAGTATTGTAACTAATCGTTTGCTGAGTTTCTCACTTGTCACTAATCTTTTACTTAGTTCTCACTCTCACTCTCACTAATCTCTAGTTAACAATCTCACTCTCACTATTCCTTCTGATTCTCACTCCTCTATGCACCACTTTTTTCTCGACCTTTGTATACGGCTCGAACAACTATTACTGGACGTTTACTATTGATTGATATTATTTATCGTTAATTCCTCAAATCATTCGTTTGTGCTCGTCACTACCAATTCCTCTAGCCTTTTTTTTGTATCTTATTACGTGGTCTATAAGTCTCTTTAGACTATGAAATATCTTAAGTTTCCTACAAAACTCCATGACGGAGAAGTTCATTCGGTCACTATCAATAGAGACGATACTAAATTAGCAACTGGTGGTAGAGATAATCGAGTACATATATGGAATTATACTGAATTAGTAGCGGTTGTATCACAACCTGATCCTCAAACCATTACAAATATTCAACCTACTATAACTTTTAATTATCATAATAATGTAGTATCAATTATTCAATGGTCTCCTAATAATTCACTGACATTTATATCTGCCGATATAGATGGACAAATATTTATTAATGATTTAGATACTGAAAAACATCGACAAATATATCCATTTCAAGATAAACAACCTTGTAAAATAGTGGACTTAACCTGGTCATTGGATGCAAGACTTGTTGCTTTCAGTACTACTGATGGTATTGTTCATATACTTGATATCATTAAAAATACTCATCAAGAACTTTCAACATTAATACATTTAGAAAAACTTACAATTCAACGAAGTCTTGCCTTTGATCCATTAAACAATTATCTTATAACTTTAGGTGATGATACACTTATTTATCTTTATCAATATCTGTATGATTCTAATCATGATAATTATCAATTTCGATTAATTAATAAAATTGCTAGACTTATTAATAAGAATCCATTAAATGTTAATTATAAAAGAATTTCTTGGTCACCTGAAGGTGAATTAGTATCTGTACCGACAGCTAGTAAAAATCAAGTATCATTAATTTCATTAATTTCTCGATCTAATAATTGGCAAAATAAAGTAAGTCTTGTAGGTCATGGATTAAATTGTGAAGTGGTTAAATTTAATCCAATTATTTATCAATTAGATAATAATGTATATTATATTATTGCAACAGCAGGAGCTGATAAAACCCTTAGTGTTTGGAATTCTACTAAGGATACTCCAATATTTGTATTACAAGATATAGTTAATAGTGCTATACTTGATTTAACTTGGAATAATCAAGGAAATACTTTAATTATAGCATCTCATGATGGATATTTAAGTATAGTATTATTTGAAACTAATGAATTAGGTACTGAAGTAACTCCTCAAATTAAAGATGAATTAATTAAATTAGCTAAAGATCATGTTAAACCTTTAACATATAAATATGAACTGGATCAACCAGCAGGTAATAGACGACTGAATAATGTAGCCATTGAATTATTAGATCAAAAGGATGCAGAAAGTATGGATCAACCTCAAACTAATGGAATTATAATTGAACCTACTACTAATGGTGATAATGGTATAGTAAAGGAAACTAATGGTGAACCTTCTGATCCTATACATACTAAGGGACTTATTACTCCTGAAGTCATAGATCAACCTGAATTAACTACAGAGTCTAGTGACTTATTACGATCGGCTATGACCACAAGACTGACGATAAAACCAACCAAACAAAAGGCCAAAACTACTCCAGTAGTAGATAAACAGAAAGTAACCACTAAGAATGGTAAGAGACGCATTCAACCTATGCTTATTTCCAATAATGGCACTAATAATGTTTCAAACACCATCACCTCCTCCTCCACCACCACTAGCACCACCAACAATAACAATAACAATAACAATAACAATAACTCTACTAATACAACCACTACCAAATCCTTAATGGACTTTGATAAGGCCTCATATGTGGTATCTAACGAATTTTATCGTGATAATAAAAGATTAAAGACACAAGAAGACGCCACTGGTAACTCCAAGAAACTTAAACGAGAACTTGAACCAGTTAAATTTATTGGGAATCCAATTTTAAATCCTAATACTACATTTTCAAAAGTTAGACTAGCTATTCCTAAAATTAGATTCAATTTTCAAATTTCTAGTAAGAGTGAAAGTTCGACATTTATACTTGATGTTAAGAATGGAACTGGTAATGAAACAAGACCATCAAGAATTACATATTTTAAAAAGGATAAAGAAGTATGGTGTGATTTTATTCCTCGATATATTCAACTTGCAAGTGAAGGAAATAAATTTTGGGCTATTAGTACTGCTGATGGACAAATTCTTGTTTATGCTCATACATCAGGTAAAAGAATATTTCCTCCATTAATTCTTGGATCACCAATTTCATTTCTTGAATCTCATAGTCAATACCTTTTAGCAGTTACTGCATTAGGAGAATTATATGTTTGGAATATTGAATTAAAAAAAGTAGAACTTCAAACTCAATTAACTCCTTTACTTGAATTAAGTAATAGATATCTTGATGATGGACTTTCAAAATCTGATAGTATAACTCTTTGTGCAGTTACTGCCAGTGGAATTCCTTTAGTAACTCTTTCAAATGGTTCAGGATATCTTTATAATAAAAATTTAGGAATTTGGCAAACTGTTAGTGAATCATGGTGGTCATTTGGATCTCATTATTGGGATAGTAATGATGAAACAATTAAACCACAATCAACTAATTTATTTAATACTGAAGCTTCTATTATAGAACTTCTTGAACATAAAACTAATGAAGAAGTTATTAGAAAGACTCGAACAGGTCGAGGCAAATATTTTAATAAAATTTCTAAGAATATGTTAATGAAAGAAGGATTTGAAAGTTTAGAAAATGCCATATCAGTATCCCATTTAGAAAATCGAATATTATGTTCTGAATTATTAGGAGAATTTAAAGATTTTCATAAATACTTTCTTATGTATGTTCAAAGAATTTGTGAATTAGGGTTAAAGGCCAAATTAGTGGATGTATGTAATGAACTTCTTGGACCTGAAGGTGAAGATGATAGTGAAAGTAAAAGTAAGAGTACTGAATCAATTGATAAATCTTGGCAACCGGTTATCTGTAGCTTTGAGAAACATGATTTACTTAAACAAGTAATTATAGCATGTTCTAAACATCGAGATGCTCAAAGAATATTAGTACATTTTGGGGAAAAGATTGGACTTATTAGTGAAGACTTATAGTCTATGTATATATATATATAATAATTCTAATTCTAATTCTATTTACAATTTGTATACATTGTAGGTATCCCATTTATGATTACTGAGAAGTCCTCCAATGGGGCCTTGTTCATTATGGACTAGATCTTTAGCTCCAGCAACATACTCAACATATCCATCAGGTCCACATACTATAGAAAGACTAGCATCTTTCTTTGGTTGTGTACTAGTGACTAAGGCTTGTTGAATGGCATTTTCATATCGAGGAGCTCTCTCGATTTCAGATTCAGTAACAGGGTTTGTTGCTGTTTCTGTAGCTGAACTATGTTTCTTATCATTATCCTTAAGTATATCCATCCGTAATTGAAGTACATCTACTGCTTCTGGTTGTGCTTCTGGCTGTGCTTGTGCTTGTGCTTGTGCTTCTAAACGTTGAGCACTCACATAATTTGGTGGCACTGGGTCAGAAATATCCTTCGATGTTAATCCCGACTTCTCATTATCATAATGATAATGAACAGCTACTCGATCAATCTTTTCAAGAAAGAACATAAATCTGGCAAGAGGTTGGAGTTCACCAGGTTTTTGAGCAGAATAATGAATGTTTATAAATCCTCGATAAGGATTTCTCGACATTAATACTTGAAGAATAGGTGCTATACCTGTACCTGCACCATAAAAATTTATATTATCGAATTCAGGAATTTGATGAACCTTTTTAATTCCATCCAATAAACTTTCAGCTTCAATCTTTGATGGTAAATCTCGAAATATTGGTCTTGTATGGAATTTTTTTAAGGGATGATAGGGGAATTTATATTCTACATTTGGACCTCTAAGTTCCAATTCATCACCAATATTTCTACTAGTAATATACCGAGATACTTCTCCATCATTATATCGTTTTATATAAAAGGTCATAACTCCTCCATGATCATATTCTTCAATTTCAGGATTAATTACTTTAAGTAAAGGTTTTTTCTCTCCCAGTCGAGTATACTCTGATTTTAAAAAGTATAATGGTAATGGAGTATAAGATCTTACAACCATAATTTCTGGTTGTTTAATATCTACTGACCATATTCTATCACCATTCCAAACAGATTTTTCTTCATAATTTGTAAGAAAACTATATCTCCAATGATCATATTTTGGTATAACTTCAATTAAATAATGATCATTATCAATTTGTTCTTTATGAGTTATAATAAATTTATGAAACTCTTGAGGATTTAGAAGTTCTTTACTATCAGCACCCTTTTCTGGAGCATAAATCCATACTTTAATTGAATATCCTGCCCATACTAATACTATACCACTAAGAATTTTAGGGATATATCTTGACCATCTAGTTGTAAGTTTAGGACCTTGAACTTTGGTAAATTCATCTTCATTAGGTAAACCAGGATATTCATAACTTAATCTTTGATGTTGTAATTTAGGTATATATGGTTTAACATTTTTTTTAACTAATTGGTCAAGTCCCAGTTCTATCGGATCTATAGGAGCTGGAGCTGATTTGGAAGTAGTTTGTTTAATATGGTAATTACTTACATCTTTATCCTTTTGATTCAGTGATGTTAATTCATCTTTCTTTGAAGTAGATGAATTAAATCTTACAGTAGTAATATTAAATTTCACAGAACTGTAGCAAACAGAACTGTAACCAGAAATTCGCCTACTGGTGAGTCTCAACATGAAGTTACTGAATTACTAAGTGGAGTACTAAAGTTACTGTAACTATAAGTAAAATTTCTGTAGTGAAATATTAATGCTATGCTATGTCTGAAAAATTATTCAGCGACATTTTTTCACTAATCTCATATATTACTACTACTACTACTACTACTACTATTAATATTAATATTACCACCACTACTACTGTTACTATTACTATTACTACTCCAGTACCATAGCCACAGCCACAGCCATGGTAAATTTATTAACTTCCATTAAGGCTCACACCGATAAAGCATGGAGTGTTAGTAGTCATGCTACTTTACCATTGATAGCTACAGCATCTAGTGATAAGACATCTAAAATTTATAAATTATCTGCTAAACATAAGTTCCCACTTATAGCCAAACTTGAAGATACTCATCAACGATCAGTAAGAACTGTATCATTTAAACCACCAGTTGGTGGAGTAGACAATCCACTTGCTAATTATTTAGATCTTCCTGCATTAGCCAGTGGATCGTTTGATTCCACCATCTCGGTTTGGGGCATTGATGAACCCGATCAAGATCTTGATGAAGATGAGATCTTGGCTCATCAAGCGGAAATATTAACTAGTCCATCTAATGAATGGAATTTAATGGCCATAATTGAAGGTCATGAGAATGAAATTAAGGCCGTAGATTGGAATTATTCTGGTAATTTATTAGCATCATGTTCACGAGATAAAACTGTATGGATTTGGGAAACTGATCCAGAAACTCTTGAAGAATTTGAATGTATTTCAGTACTTAATGATCATCAACATGATATTAAAGATGTTACATGGCATCCTAATCAAAATTTATTGGCTAGTTCATCATATGATGATACAGTTCGTATTTATAAGCAAGATCTTGATGATGATGATTGGTCTTGTGTAGGTATATTGAATGGTCATGAAGGTACAGTATGGTGTTCAAGGTTTGAAAATAAACATAATCCACAAGCAATTGATTCAAAAGTTAGATTGGTATCGGTTAGTGATGATTTAACGGCAAGAATATGGTCATCTACTAGTGAAATTACTGAAAGAGATGGATCAGAATATATTCCTAGTTCAATTAAACAAACTAATGAAATGGTATGGGAACAAGAAGCAATATTACCAACTGCTCATAAATATGCTATTTATTCAGTAGCATGGTCAAGTCGTACTGGTAAGATAGTAACAGTTGGATCCGATAGTTTAATTGTAATTTATAAAGAAATTGATGGAGTATGGAAAATTGAAAGTACTAAACAAGCAGCTCATGGAGTTAGTGAGATAAATTCGGTCATTTGGGCTACGCTAGATGATGGATCAGAAGTCATTGTGACTGCTGGTGATGATGGATACATTAATATTTGGACTCAATAGACAGATAAAGTAATAGATATATAGCATTAACAAGTAGAGTTATTCTAAATAAATGTCACTACAACTATTAATCCTAACACAATCCCTAATATAACCAAACAACAACACATTCTACCGGTAGATGATCGTTGACTTCTTTCAGCCCTTTGTAAATGATGACTAGCAGTACGTACATCCTCACTATAACTGAAGATATTACTTTCAATATTATCGATTTGAAACTGTTGCTCATTAACTATGCCTGCTAAGTTCTGGAATATATCATTTATAGTCTGCGTATCCTGATGAATACGATGAAGTTCTCGTTCTCTCTCTGCAATAATAAGTGTCTGCTGCTCCAACTCTTCAGCATTTACAGGTTCATACGTCAACTGAACTTGTACTTGGTCTTGATTATGTACTTGTCCCTCATTTTCACCTTGTGCTTGTGCTTGTGATTGCGCTTGTACCAATGCTTCAGAAGGTGAGATCTTACCGTGCAAACCTTCAAATCGTTTCTGGTAATTCTTGAAGTTATTGAGACTGTCTCTCACCAACTTGATCTGAATACTTTCCTTCTGCTTGAGATAGTTCAACACTTCGATGTCCTCATGACTCGATTCGATAGTATTAATAATCTTGTTCAATGACTTGATATTCTCATTTATTTCTTTATATTGACTTGTGATGGTATCTACAGTCGTGGTTATGGTTCCTGACTGAGTAGTACTATCTGGATTTTTATTTAATTCACTAATTTGGCTTCGTAAACTGGGTAGTAGTTTTGAATTAATGTGGTGTAATTGCTTATCTATAAGTTGAGATGTCGTTTCATACTCGGGATAATCCTTGTAATGCAGCGATTTATTGGTGGCTGTTCTCTCCAAGTCATTGGTGAATGACTCAGTATTATTGAACGACATTGTAGTGGTGCTAGTAGTGTTTAGTGGTGGTGTTGGAGGATCTTAAGTTACTGTGTGGCACAGTGATTCTAATTTTTACTGTTACCTCGTACCGGAAATGTTCATACCACCGGAAATTAATTTTTTGTATGGAAGGTTAGTGTAAAGACAAAGTCGGAAGTATGAATGAAAAAGAATGATCATGTAATTCCGAGGGTGTGTTTATTAGTATTATCAAATTGCAACTACATTCTAAATAAAACACTCTCATCGGAAGAAACTTCTGGAGGTTCAATGAACGGACGAATTGGTAAGATACCGTCATGTTCTATGTAAAACATTTTATACCTCTAATGGCAATCGCAATCTAAAAGAGTAGTCTAAACTTTAGAAAAAACTATGTATGATACAAACGTTCGAATGTTCCTACTATCATCTACCACATGAAAGGAGCCTACAAAAAATGGAATCCTCCAACGAAGTAACATCAAGGAGAAGCAGAGAATCACTTTTTACAGTATTTGTTGTATTACCTTTTCAATGTCTATGTTTTGTTTAAAGAACATAGTTCTTTATATATTTGATACTGACACATTACCCAATCCATTCAATTCTTGGCTAAGTAAATCTAAATTTTTATCAATAGTAATACTGATGGTAGCTTTTGTAGTATTTATTGCTTCATCTGTGCTCAGTTATATGGCTGCAAAATCCAATTCATTTAATAGAATGTATTTTGTACGTTGGGCCATAATCATGTACTTTATATTTCTAATTAGGGTTTTAAAACAAGAATTGTTGTTGATGCTGGTTTGGTCATTTATTGCTCTTATGCTTTTTATGTATCGTGAGTGCTAGTCCGGATGATGAAGTGGTATAGATTTTATTCAAAAAAGATTAGCCAATATTTTTGTGGGGTTCAAGTCATTTGAAGTCATTAGCAGCACACGGAATTCAGAAATTTAATGAAGTGAATAATTTAGAGTTTTACTTTATGAATTATGAACCAAGCGTGAAGAATTACACTAAAAGGAATCTTCAAATAACCAAATAGTCTATGCATTCGGCCCTTATAATATTCCTTTTAAGGATACCTCTCTATATAAGTCAAGTTTAAAGCTCCTTCATGGTACAAAAATATCATGTTCATACGAAGTAAGGATATTTCTTTATTTTCTTCTTACTCTGAATATAAGAAATATTAGAAGGGATTTCATCTCCTATTTGAAGAAAAATAAGGTTAGAGATAACTTTTATGAAAATAGGGGCTATTGAAAGTTCACCAGAAGTGGCTGTGTGACCGATTGGTTATACTGAAAGCTAACGTCTAAAAAGTTAACATGTATTGGAAACAAGAAAAAGTAAAACAAGTTATGAGCTCAATAGAGAAAGACTAAACAATAATATCACAAATCAATATTTTTTCAAAAAAGCATAGGTTAGTTGAAGAAAAATGATTATTGTCAGACGAGAACAATAAATTTGCAACTTCGCAGACATAGAGGGGAAATTTTTAATTAGTCAAATTAACTAATAATTTAATAGCTTATTCTATATGATCAAATCTAATCCTCGAAATTTTATTAATTCCCTCTGGATTTCTTATATAAACTTGAGCCCTGCGATACTGAGAAGATATACTGAAAAGAATTCTTTTCATTGTAATTTACTGACCATTTAATTCATCCTATATTTGGACCAAACTATCGTTGTTCTATAAACGGCTTCGTTGTTTAGACTGTTTCTTTTTGGACTGTAGTTTGATGTACTTAGCTATATTCAGATAATCTATATTCATGATCACTTCTGTGCTTAATCATACAACTTTCCATACTCAATATATTAATTCCTAGTTTCTAAAGCATAGTTCATTCACTTAAAGAGAGGCCACTCCAATTATTACTTTCATAAAAATAAACTTTCAAGCATATAACAACAACTTACATCATTGGTATAATGGCTATTATACTGTCATGTTTTCATATAGTATTAAGTCCATTAATCTTTGTAATTCAATTATTATTAAGAATATTTTGGTCTGGATTAAATGAAAGGTCAATTATAGGTTTAGTATTAAATTTTTGGATTAATTTCTCTCCAGTATTCATATGGTTATTAATATTCAAAAATGCTGGATTAATTCCGAAAAAGATAAGGCCACGAATTTTTGTTAAATTTGCCTATAGAACAGAGAATCTCTTGTTCAATTTAATAGAGCACCCCATTATCAACGCTTTATTCGTTTTCGTGTTAACTGCTGGATCATATTTATTATATTCCAAGATTTATAGATCAATAGGGACAATCAATGTACCTCTGCAATCATCAGTCACTTATCAAATCATTGCTGAAGACGAAATAGAAAGTCCTTCATACGAATTAGAACCAATCAGTGGGAGTGATTCAACCAAATCACTATCGCTCACCCCTTCTTTCTCATCAGGTGATACATCTCTAGAATTAAGTCAATTTAATTATGATCAAAATATTTCAACTGAAACATTGCATGGTAGATCAGAAGATGAGGAAGAACAGGTTTCTCAATTCATGGATCTTATTTATTTTAAGCACAGAAAGTATACACCAAATAATACTAAATTGCAACTTATCATCAATACAAGAAAAAATTTGCAATCTTCCAATCCCTATCGTCCCTTAAATTGTTGGTATTTATCATCTCCAGCAATACTTGCATCAAGTTGGTTTCTTCTTAATCTTGCTTATGCTTTCAGAGAACCAATTAAAACTTATAAGGATATTATTGCATGGTTCTTATATGTAATTTGTCATTTCTGTGCTCCATTATTCACAGCTATTTGGTTATACGTTTTTCATGCTCCAGGATCACTTAAATTATTCTCCATTGGTTTGGGAGTACAAAACATTTGCGGTGTAATGACCCATCTTTTATTTCCAAATGCTCCACCTTGGTTCATCCATCTTTATGGTGAAAACAAAGAAGCCAATTATGATATGCCTGGTTATGCAGCTGGTTTAACTAGAGTTGATGTAGCCATGGGTACTCATTTGCATTCCAAGGGTTTTCATATATCACCAATTGTATTTGGTGCATTACCATCGGTGCATTCAGCCATGGCTGTCATGGTATTCTTCTTTCTCAGTTACTATTCCCGTTGGTACTCTATCAAGATTATAGGTTTATGTTTTGTAATTTTACAATGGTGGGCTACTATATACTTAGACCATCATTGGAGATTAGACTTGATTGTGGGAATGGCATATAGTATAATAGTATTTACTATCTTACTACGTTGGATAAAGAGATATGATGAGAGATTTATAAAGAAAAGATTAAAAGGTGAACGCCTTGGGTCAGAGACTATGGGTATGAGGGTATTCAAAAATACATGTATTGAGTTTTTCTTTGACCCATTGAATCTTAAATAACCAAACAATGATGCATTAATAGTATTCATTATAAAATAATATTTAGAGTATATATTAAATTTAGTTATGTATAATGTCGTAAACAGAGATTGTGCGACATTCTAGAAATTTTACAATTATCTACATTTTCACAAAAAGTTATTAACTTCTACATCTATTAAACATGACTATAAATAAATTACGTAACTGAAATAAATTATTCTATAATGACTATGACTGCATAACAAACTGTTACACTTATTCTTGTTCTGATAAGAATTTTTCACAGTCTAAAGCAGCCATACAACCAGAACCAGCAGAGGTGATAGCTTGTCTATATTTCTTATCTTGAACATCTCCAGCAGCATAAATACCTGGAATGGAAGTTTCAGCAGTACCTGGAGTAGTGATGATATAACCAGTTTCATCAGTCTTTAATTGATTTTCAAAAACTTTAGTAGCTGGAGTATGACCGATAGCATAAAATAAACCATTAACTGGTAAATCTTTAGTTTCTTTAGTTTTATTATTATAAACAGATAAGGATTGTAATAATTTACCATCACCTTTAGCTTCCTTAGCTTCAGAATTCCATAAGATTTCTAATTTATCGTTATTTTGAACTCTTCTTTGCATAATAGTAGAAGCTCTTAATTGATCTCTTCTTACTAAAAGATAAACTTTAGAACCATACTTAGTCAAGAATAAAGCTTCTTCACAAGCAGAATCACCACCACCAACAACAGCTAATGGTTTGTTTCTGAAAATTGGAACAGCACCATCACAAACAGCACAAGCTGAGATACCTTGTTGCCAGTAAGTTTCTTCACCTTCAATATGCATTCTTTTGGCTGAAGCACCAGTTGCAATAATAACAGCATCAGTAGTGATTGGTTCAGCATCTTCATTCCATTCAGTCCATAATTTGAATGGTCTTTTAGAAAAATCAACTTTAGAAATAGTTTCAGTAATAATTTCAGTACCAAATCTAACAGATTGTTCTCTCATTTGTTCCATTAAAGTTGAACCATTAATACCTTGAGGGAAACCAGGGAAATTTTCAATTTCAGTAGTAGTAGTTAATTGACCACCAGCAGCAATTCCATTAGCTAATAAACCTTCATATAAAGTTGGTTTAATTTCAGCTCTAGCTAAATAGATAGCAGCAGTATGAGCAGCCGGACCAGATCCAATGATAGTAACTCTGTGATGAACCATTTTAGGAGATTTTGTGAGATAAGTATTAAAACTAATTGTACGATGAGATACACGTGATAGTGATAAAGATAATGTTAATTGTTGTTTATACAGTTTAATTAACATTAATAGTAATTTCTCCAGATCAAAAGAGATATTGCACTTTATTTATATGTCTTCGAATTTGGCCGTACCGGTTGAGAATTTCTTTTTCCATGCAGGGAGAATGACAAATGGGAGTCTAGGCCGATGAACGGCTATTAATAATTGGCTGTGGTCTCGTGCGCACGGTCACGTGTGCCTTACCTAATCAATAAGACTAGACCACAGATTATTAATGATAATTATTGATGGTCCCATTGCCTATTTGGGAAATAGAATGTGCTAGAACGCTACCATATAGCTGACTATTGCTTACTATTAGTTAATGCTTATTATTATTAGTGACTATTATTATTAGTACTTATAATTAGTGCTTATAATTAGTTTACTTACTTAGTTTATTTGGTTATTATTTAATTACTGTTTTTATATATGTTTTAATATACATTTATTAATTCTACATGACCTATCCCAATATAAACTTCTTGATCACGTCACAGTCCTGCAATTTGGGATTTAATAACACATTACTCATAAACCACTGTAACCCCTTACGTCTCTCTTCTAACCAATTGTTTGACATCATTATTCGTTCAATCAGAAAGTTATCCTTAGGAGGTAATGCCGGTATTAGTACTCTCTTAGTATTCTCATAGTGATGCATAAGATCCTGATAAAATTTCTCAATCTCACTATATCTTTTGTAGATGACTATAGATGAATAATCTGAGTCATCCAACACAATTTTTATTGCCCATGTAATGTACGATTTTCCATGCTCACCTTCAATTAAATGATGCTCTCCTACCAATACATTTGTTATATGCGATAATTTACTAACTCGTTTGGCTTTAGTACCAGTATCTTGACCTTGACCTTGACCATCACCTGCGCCTCCACTATCATCATCTTCACTCTCGTCGTTATGCAATTCAATGGGTACAGGTAATACCCGATTTAAGCGTGAAATAGAATTGGACTGATGCCGGCTCATGCTATCTCTTTACTTACTTACTGTACTATCTTGTATCTATTATATATCCTCTAATTTCTACTATATCTTCATATTATTATTACTATAATAACAGCAATTCTTCAATAGTCCAATTGCTCTAACTATATAATGTATAGGATATGTCTATCTCCTCTACTGTTGCTCTACTCCCTGTCAATTGATGACCCTTCGTACACCAGAAAAACTTAGTGGTGCTCAACTTTTGGTGATACTTCTTAGTGTCTGCATACAGGACCCTTCCATCTATATAGTCAAAATCATAATCCTTCTCTTCCATAAGCCCCAGATATTTACCAGTCCAGACCAAGTAGACCAAGTAGTAGCTATACAAATCATCATGTCGGATCCAATGAGATCAAAGTATCCCATGTGGAAACTTGCCCTTCATAAGTTCCAGGCCAGACGAGATATACCCTTTCGAAGAAAGTTCTTCATAGGCTATGATCTTTTTGGTAATACTTATTGGGAATTCACTATCGACGGCAATTTACAACGATTAAGAAGGAAAATGGAACCATATAAGGAACAACTCTTCAAAGTGGATTATTTTTCAACTGTACCACCTCCCTGGTTACAATGGTTAAGACGTACAAGATATGATGCTCCTACCCTTCAAGAATTAATTGAAGAACAATCAAGACAAGAAAGAATTAAGTTATTGGCTCAAAATGCTGATGCCAAGTGGTATAATGCGAAATTAAAGTTGGATGAGGAACAAAGATTGAAATTGGCAGATGAAATAGCGAGAAGTGAACAAGAGGCTCAACTGTTCAAACAGAAGTATGCTAGTGAAACAGAAAAAGAAACAGAAAAAGAAAAAGATGTAGATGTAGATCCCTGGAAACAATCCGAGGAATCAAAGAACGAAGATCCGATTCAATCGACTTCCATAAAACCTGGTTCCAGGTAGTTTGTTATTACTTGTATATAGTATTTAATTACACACATTAATCAATATCATTCTCATTAAATGAATCATTACTAGGAGTCGAAGATGTCGACCTTTGATGGTGAGACAATTTCTCTTGTACCATTTCAACCAATTGGTGACTATATTTCTCTAGTAATTCTTGTTCATATGTAATAACTGGTTGATCTAGTAATTTATCTCCATCTCCTAATAGGGTTAGTATATTAGTTAATTTGGATTTGAGTTGCAACTTGCCTTCTTCATCAATTCCATGATTTTCTTGTTTTAATCTTGATTCCATATGACTTAATTGGAATAGAGCCTTATCTACAAACACTTTAGGATCAGAAACCATACTTAGTGAAGTAGCTAGAGATTTAGATGGTGAAGTATATGAAATCTGTTTGGGAGATTTGCCTGGGGATAAAGTTAGATCTATCAGATGACGTTGAGTTCTGACAGGTACCGACTTTGGAGTTCTAGAAGGTGACAATGGAATAGCAGTAATTGAAGCTGAATTTCTTGTGTGAGATCTTGTAGGAGATTGAGGAGGAGGAGGTCTCGATAGGGGGGCAGAACCTTTAGTGGAAAGTCTCTTTAATGTAGCAGCCGTTAAACGAGGAGTTGGTGAAGAATCTGCAGAACTCAATTCTCGTCTTTCTGGTGAAGGAGTTGAACTTCGTAATGGAACTGTCGGAATGATTTTCCTAGTGACTTTAATTTCAAATGGATCAATTACTGATTTAGTTTCATCAATATCTGATGTTGGAGGGATATCGGCCACATTAAGATCATTACAAGTTTCATTAACCTTCCAGATAAATAAACATCCATCAGTTCCAATAGATACTAATTCATTATCATTCCTCATAACTAAACTTAATATAGAATCCAGATGGCCCCAACATGAACAAATAGATCTTCCACTCAAATAATTAAACATTCGAAGTGACTTATCTGAAGAACTTACAATAATCATATTCTTGAAATTTATAAAATTCTCCACAAGTAAACTTTCATTATTTCTATCATTAAATAATTTTAATGATCTCTTCAATTCATAAGATTCATTAATATCATATATTTGTAAACAACGATCAGTAGTAGAGACTATCAAATCATTATCATATAATTTTAAGGTGGTGGGACTGGCTTTAAGGGTGAGAATTTTCTCTTGAACTAGTTGCAAAATTGATTCTGTCTCAAATCGGTGAATTGCGACTGTACGATCAGATGAGCAAGTATATAATTTATTTGCATAGTACTGGATCTTAAGTACATTCCCATTATGAACAGCAATGGTTTGTAAAAGATCCCAATTATTTGGACTTGGTTGTTTGGCTTTGTAGAATATTTGGATCATTCTATCTCTAGATATGGTGGAGATTATTTGGTACTCATTGATTTCAAAGTAAATGATTTCATTAATAGATGATGTATGAGCTTTAGTCTTAAAGATGGTTGTTTGTGTACCATCTTCATTAAGCTCTATAATAAATAAGTGTCCATATTTATCACCCACAACCATATGATTTGTAAATGATTCAATGGCAGTTAAACTATTCAGGCTTAATTCAAAACTTGGCAATTGAAATTTCATAACTGTCTCTAACCCTCCAAGATTTAAGAGTCTCTTGATTTCTCCATCTTTGGAGAAAATCATAAATTCTTTCAGAAAGCAGCTTTTAATACCTCCCAAATCTTTGACTAAGGAAGTAACTAATGGTTTTTCTTGTTTCTGATTATTAACTAAGACTATATCTCCTGTCTTGGATAAATAAATCATATTATTGTTAGTAAATTTCAGTAATTTTAAGATGTTTTTGGTTTGAGTTATCTCCTTAGAAGGACTACTTGTTCTATTACTCGATACAACTCGTGGTGAATCAACTACTGTTAAACTATCAACTGTGATGAATTCAAATTTCCTTTGATCATTACCCAACCAAATTGATTCTGAATCATTATCAATCTCTATAGAATTAAATTCGAATTGTGGCAGTTCCAAAGATATTAATTTTAAGTCAAAATTCATTGAATTGTCTTGACCGATCTTTAATAATAAGAGTTGATTTTCAGTAGTTATAAGTAATAATTCATCATTATTCAATACACTAGAATCAATGAAATTGGCATTTATATATGGTCCAAGAATAACATTCTTGCCTTTCAAGGCATTGGGTTTAGAAACAATATCATGAAAGTCTTCTTCTTGAAACTTCCATACTTTTATAACTCGAAGTCCTAAGGTTACTATGTAATCATTGCACCATATGAGTTGATTGATGATGGTACTACATCTATTAGTAGCCTGTAAAGCTATTGAGCTAGTGGTTAATTTCCAAACATGAATGAATCCATCATTAATAGATCCTAAAGAACATAAGTATTTAGAATCGGGTGAAAATACTAAACAATTTACTGCAAATGTATGTTCATAAATCAATGCAAATGGGTTACCAGACAGATTTGGTGCTAAAGAAAATAGCAATATACGTGGCTGATATCCTGCTTCTCCTACTGCCAATATTCGTTGATCTGGTGATAATGCTATACAGTTAATTGATCTTACTCTATCCTTTAATTTAGATGGAGATGTTGATGTTGAGTCTGTATCATCCAATCCTGAACTACTCAGTTTAAATGGATCATTATTGGTTATTCCACCTATTCCATTATATATAGTAGGATCACCATTAATAGGATATCCATAACTATCTTTCTTTATATCTCCATTATACTCGAGACTCATATCAGATAAAGCCTTATTCAAATATGCATTGGCTGAACTAACAGCTCGAGAATCTCCACCAGAACTGGAATTGGCACAGAAGAACCTCTGTGACAAAACAGTAGTTTCGGAATTATTATTCACATTAATATTTCCAATATGACTAACTACTACTCCTCCACTAACAATATAAGCAATGTTATTATCTCCTATTGCTATTTGATGAGCTGTTCTTGCCGAAGTACCTACCAATTCGGAAATTTTTAACTGCAGGACACTGCCTGGCATGCCTCGGCCTCGTTCTGTGTCCATCTTAACTTCTGTTGGTAAAAGTAATAGTGCTTTAATAAGATCTATTCCATGATGTATTTAATTAACTCAACAAGTTCGAATTGTAAACAAAGGCTGTGTGCAGGACCTTTCCGTTACATGCAGGTGTGTCTGACCTGCACACAGTTCCCCCAACTTATGATGAGGTTTAACTATTAAGTCAATTAACTATGGAGTTTGAAAAATTTCCTATATTATACGATATTATGGCACAAGAAATAGTCTTGTCTGTGGCAGAGACTAATGTACTTCGAGCAAAAGTGGGACTTCCCTTAATACCGACAGAAAATGATTCAGAATCAGTAAAGCAAGAAGTGAATGAACCAATACCGGTTACCAGTGCAACATATGAATTATCAATAGAAGAAACAAATAAACTACGAATATCTATTGGTTTGGCTCCTATACCAGTAGAGAGTCATTCATTGTCTAGTTCTGAAGTGGAGAATCAAAGAAACCATGAACAAGCCTTACAGAAGAGTCAACGCAATGAAGAACTTAAGCTGAGAATCACTCAAGCAAAGACCAAATCTCATACTAGGAAAGCATTAAGTGGTAAAACATTGACTGAAGATTTTGAACCTATTAGCACTAGTAATTGGCTTGATTCTTTAGGTCAAAACAATAGTAAAAGTCAAAGTCAAAGTCAAAGTAAAAGTTCAACTGCAAAGTCCTTGAAGTCAAAGCTCGGTGGTACAAGTGCTGATATAAAAGTAGGACACAGTCTTAAAGAACTTCAAAATTTGAATGAGAATGATATACTCACACTTGACGATAACGGAATACTTGATTCTGATAATGAGGTAGATGCCACCTTAACTAATGAAAGACTTTCTAATAGTAAAAGACTCAAGAAAGAGTTGGAGGAACGAGCAGAAGCAGAGAATATAAAATTTAATGGAAGACATTCTAAGACAACCCCATTATTTGGGGAAGAAGATGAAGGTGAACAAGATGAAAATGATAATTCGGGAGTTATCTTAGGTGCTGGATCTACTATCACATTCAAACAATCTACTGAAAAGCCAGAACCTCTGCAGCATAATAATAAATTGAAGTTAGGACAATTATTTGATGAAATTGATCCTGATAATGATGGAGGTTTCAATGTTGCTAGTGATTATGCTAAGCCGAAAAAGGCATTGAGTATGAAGAAACTCAAAAAGAAGGTTAAATCTCAAAGCAAAACCATAACTCTGGTGATTGATGATGATGAAGGGATCCCTAAAGTAAAGCTCAATCGGTTTGATGATGAAGAGAATGAAGAGGAACAACTTCAAAAGATGCTAGAAGAATCCAGACGAAAGAAGCAAAAGCGTCAAAGAAGTGAAATGACCCCTGAGGATATTGCCAATGAAGTCACACGACTCAAACGTCAGGAATTACAAGATACAGAAGATGATGAGAGAAAGGCCATCTTCTTCAACGACACTTCAGATTTTCTTCATTCCTTGTCTAGAAATATATTGACTGGGGATATAAATGGTGCAGACAATGACATTGAAGATGATTTGTTTAAATCTACAAAGGTAAAGAAGGAAGAACATGATGAATATAAGTCTATAGTAAAGCAAGAAGAAACTCCAATTGACTTAAAGACAGAAGAACCAAATGAAAATGAAAATGAAAATGAAATACAAGACGATACACCACAGTTTAATAATGGACTTGCATCTACATTAAAATTTCTTCAGTCTCGAAATATCCTAGAAAAGTCGACGAACGAAGATAATGAGCAAGAAAGAAAACGCCAAGAAACCATCAAAGAAGCAGAAATGTTGCAAATTAAGATTTCCATAGAAGAGCGAATCTTACGCGAACAACTTGAATCGGATAAGAAGTATCTTAATCTTCCCAAACTGGAAAGGGGTGAAATATTTGACAGATTACTTGATGAGAAACTTACAGAAAAGGGGATCATTAAACAAATATCTCATCATAATCAACAACACCAACAAAAGTATTCTAAATACACAAATCAATCAGGTCATAATATTGTAGAAAATAAACTTAAATCATACAATCCAAAAGTTACAATATCTTATCATGATGATGGAGGTAATACCCTAAATACGAGAGAGGCGTTTAAATACCTTTCGCACCAATTTCATGGTGTAGGACCTAGTAGACCCAAACAAGAGAAACTTAAACAACAAAGGCAAAGACAAAAGCATCAAACCGAACCCCAAAGTCAAAGCCCAGACATTTCATCTACAAATTCAGGTTATGGAAAAATTGTTTGACACATTTCTGTCAATGTACATAGCTCGTAATAAACAGACAAAAATATATTTATCGTAAATTTATGCAGTGCGTTGACCGAGTTCGGGTGAGAGATGGAAAAGATAAAAAATTTTAATCCGCAATTGACAAAAAAAATATGCTCACCGGAATTAAGCCTATATATATTAATAATTACTTAGCCTAAATGGGATTTTCCTTATTGAAATTTTTTATCCAACTTTACTTGTATTAGTTAGAAATCTCTTATATATATTCATTCCTATTTAATAAGGCAGTATGAGTGATCAAGTACTATTTCAAATCAGTGGAATGACTTGTGCTGCATGCTCGGGATCTATCCATTCGGCTGTTGCCGGCTTGAACGGGGTCTCCGAAGTGGCAGTATCACTAATGACAGAAGAAGCTAAAATCAATTTTGATTCAACTATAATTAAAATTGATCAAATTCAAAAAACTATTGAAGATTGTGGATTTGGAGCTAAATTGATATCATTTAAACCACAAATGAATAATCAATCACAACCACAAACTCATCTTAACTTAAAAGAGAGCAAATTTGAGATTCAAGGTATGACATGTGGAGCTTGTTCTGCATCAATTACTGAAGCTCTTGAAAGCAATCCTAATATAAAATCTTCTACTGTATCATTATTAACTGGTGAAGGATTAATAAAGCATACTGGTGAAATTAATATTGAAGAAATTAAAGAAATCATCGAAGATTGTGGATTTGATGCCACTCATATTAAAACTATCAATCATAATCAGAATCAACAAGATCAATATCATCTACAATCAGAATCAATATCAGAAGAAGATGAAATTAGTCTACAAATATTTGGAATTAATAATCAAACAGATGTTATACATTTACAATATAATATAGAAGCATATTTAAATAGTCTGGCTGGTATTCATAATTTTCGAATTGCCTTTAAAGAATTACCTGATAGATCCAATGCTCCATTGGTAACAGATGCAAATTCTAATAATGTACAAGCCATGAGATCAAGTGATGAATTGGCTAGTGATGGAGATAATCTTATTGATGAATTATCTGTTACATATAATCCTAATATTATCGGAGTAAGAGATCTTGTAGAAGGGTTAGATAATATATCACCTGAAATCTCATTTGCCATAATAAATTCAATAGATCAATCATCTTCAACTCAATTAAAAATGTTATCTCGTATAAAGGAGATTAACTATTGGAGAATAAATTTCTTACAATGTCTTGGATTCGGAATACCAATAATTGCCATGTCCAATACTCAAAAATATGAATTTTGGTCTAATTTAATTCTTTTCCCTGGCTTATATTGGGTTTCATTATTACAATTTATTTTAGCTATTCATGTTCAATTCAAAAATGGAGCTACTTTTAATACCAAATTTATTTATTTTATAAGAAATGGAGGAAAGAATGCAACTATGGATGTATTAGTTTGTATATCATCACTGGTTTCATTTTTATTTTCAGTTATTTCTATAATATTAAGTGTATGGTCGGGTCAACAAGTATCACCACCTAAATTATTATTTGATACTTCTACTATGTTAATTATGTTTATATCATTTGGGAAATGGTTGGAGAATAAAGCTAAAGGTGCTACTTCAACTGCATTATCAAAATTATTGGCTTTAACTCCATCAAGTTGTACTATTATTAGTGATATAGATAAATATGAAAGATACCTTGAAATGCAAAGGAAATATTCTAAAGAAAATTCTGATGAAGATTCAAGTATGGAAAATTTTAGTACAAGAACTATTGGTATTGATCTTATCCAAACTAATGATATTGCAGTAGTATTACCAGGAGGAAAGATTCCAGCTGATGGTGTAGTTGTTTATGGAGAATCTGAAGTTAATGAAGCATTTATTACGGGAGAAACTTTACCAGTACATAAAAAGCGTGGTAATCAAGTTATTGGAGGTTCTATCAATGGAGCTAATTTAATTCATATTCGAGTTTTAAAAACTGGTAAAAAATCTCAATTACATCAAATTATATCCTTAGTTAAAGAATCCCAAATTAGTAAAGCACCAATTCAAAGATTTTCTGATTATATTGCTGCAAGATTTGTTCCAACAGTTTTATTATTGGCTACTATAACTTTCTTATTTTGGATAGTTATATGTTATTGGACTCATTCTGATTCTTTACCAATGGCATTTACTAAAGATGAAAATGGGAAATTCTTTGTATGTTTAAAAATTGCTATTTCAGTTATTGTTGTTGCATGTCCATGTGCATTAGGTTTAGCTGCTCCAACAGCTGTAATGGTTGGTACTGGGATTGGTGCTGAACATGGAGTTTTAATTAAAGGGGCAGATATTCTTGAAAAAGCCAGTGGTATAAATGTAATTTTATTTGATAAAACAGGTACTTTAACTACTGGAGATATGAAATTAGTTAATCATAAGATCATTTCCAATAGTAACTTTCGTGAACGTGATTGGTGGACCATTGTTGGATCTGTAGAAAGTAATTCTGAACATCCAGTTGGAAGAGCCATTACTAAAGCTGCCAAATCTCAATTAAATCTTAATTTTGAGGAAGATACATTTGATAGTATTATGAGTGATTTTAAAGTATTAACTGGATTAGGGATCAGTGCAACTATTCAAATTGGTATAAATAAATACTCAGCTACTATTGGGAATTATAAACTTATGGAAAATCAATATCCTAATTTAATGAAGATGATAGATAAAGATAATGAAATAGATAGATTGAATACTATTGCTTATGTTATAATTAATGATGAATATTGTGGTAATTTACAATTATCTGATAATTTAAAGAAGAATTCTAGAGAAATTATTCAATATCTATTACAACATGAACATTATCAAGTTGGTATGGTAACTGGTGATAGTAAAGAAGTTGCTGAAAAGCTTGGTAAAGAATTAGGTATTGCATCCTATAATATCTTTAGTCAAGTAACCCCTATTGATAAGGATAAAGTTATTGTTGATATCAAAAAACGATTAGGAGGTGTTGGAGTTGCCTTTATTGGTGATGGTATTAATGATGCTCCTGCTTTAGCCCAAGCTGATATTGGTATGGCTATAAGTACAGGAACTGATATTGCTATTGAATCAGCAGATATTGTATTGGTTGGATCTAGAACTGATTATGATCGATCCTATGATGAAAGTAGTAATGATTTGATTGGTGTTTTAAATGCCTTACATATTTCTAATGCTACATTTTCTAAAGTTAAAGTCAATTTCATATGGGCTGCTATATATAATATGATTATGTTACCATTTGCAATGGGATGTTTCTTACCATTTAATGTTATGTTACCACCAATTGCTGCTGCATGTGCTATGATGTTAAGTTCCGTGAGTGTTGTACTTAGTTCTTTAACCTTAAAAAGTTGGAAAGCTCCAAGAATTAATGAAGATTATACTACTTTTAAAGTTGATTTAGAAGCTATGAATGAAGCCTTTAATTTAAAAGAAGGAACTAGAGAAGAATTTGAACTTGTTAGGAGGAAAGGAAATACCCGAACTCTTGGCAATCCTATTAGTTATATGAAGAATTTTTTTAACAGATATTATACTTCCAGAAGAGTTTATACACATATTCCTTCATCATTATAGATTTGTTAGTTAGTTAGTTAGTTACTGTTTAAAAGTTTTTGTATTATTCTTTACTATATTAATTTAATTTTATGATCTACGAGATATATATATATATGAGTAGTATTGTTGTGTCTTAGTCGGTTAACTTCACTATCATGTGCTAGTCGGTAAAAGTTTATGTAGATTTTCTACCAAATTATTTCGTCAGCTTTTAGCTCCAAATCTCGCACAAAGTCTTTTTCGCCGCAAACATAACTTAAATCATATACAGTTACTGAAGAGGAGAGAAATTACTGTCTATTTCATTATTATTTGCATTAGGTTAAGTGTTAAACAATACGAAGTGTCTTTCTATTTTCTTCTCGTAGTATTATAGTATTAATATTTTAAAGAAGAATGATTTAAAAACCGAAAAGAGTGATGGATCATATAGAGTATATACTTCTACAGGGTATTCTCAGGGTGTTGGCTAATCTTGGCGATACCTTTATCACTTTGCTTGTACAGCCACATATTTGTTCTGAATTGATCTCCATTTGTAAGCAGCTTGCGTGCTAGAGGGCTGGACACTTATAGACTGACCTTGTTTAATGTTCAGATGGCAATATGTACTAAACCTATTTTGGCATCAATCTCGCACAAAGTAATTAATGCCGTTGACCAATGTAATACATAAATTTACGGTGTAAAAGGATTTCTGCCGAGAATAGAGAGATTACCGAAGTGTACCGAATAGTAAAGCATCGCAGATCTCGAGTAATTGGTTATGATATAGATGGTGACGTGGAGGATATACCATAAGGTTCATCGTAAGTTGTGTGCACTGAATAAAAGAATTTGTCACAAAACTATAATCGTCTATTTTTTAAAAACCACAACAAAGCTTAAGATAACGAAGTTTGCAATATGGTTCATTGGGCGAAACTTTAATTGTTTTCGACGACCTATTACTATTTTTAGTCAAAACCAATCGAACCAATGATAATCTACAATACTACAAATTCATTATAATAAAACAATGGTATAAATTAAGATAACGACTATTCTAAGTAGAAAATTTAAACAAGAAATAAAACTATGTTAATAATTAACTGATAGTGTTAACAAACTTATAAAGCTAATAAAGCACCAGCGGCTAAAGCAGCAGCACCGGCAGCGAATTGGACCTTGGCACCAGCACCTTCGTAAGTAGAAACGTTAGCGGCGGATGAGATGTTTTGAGCAGCAACAACGGAGGTAGAAACTCTAGCTGGACAGTTGGTGACGGTTTCTGGACATTCAGTTAAGGTAACTAAAGTGGTAGATAAGTCAGTTTCAGTGACATCAGCAGCAACTAAGGCAGCAGCAGCAGCAAATAAGGCGACGGTGGAGAATTGCATTGTAATTGAACGAAAGACGGTAAGTTGGATATGTTCTGGATAGATAAAAACCAAAAAGAAAAGAAAGAAACAACTATAAAATTTTGACTCAATTAAAGGATTCTACCCTCAACTTATATATTCGCATAGCCATGGATTTCGACATAAAGAGTCAGTAGTGTTTTGAGGCAATCGAATGAAAATTTTTTCAAAACTATATTTACCTTTCATTTCGAGTCATTATTTTTTAACGTTTGGCGCCTTCCGTCAATCAAATTAGCTTTAACCGCAAAAAAAAAGAAATTTACATACTTTTTTTTGACATCGGGATGTACAGGACTACCACTTTGGGAAACCAACCTTCCCAAAACGGAACACTCTGCATATGCCTTGTTTCAGTGGAACAATTTTGTTCGCGAGTCCCGAGGGCGACATTAAATCCGACATGCAACAAAGCTTCTCAGAGACATTTATCAATACGCTATTTTTAGCGACACCCAAATCGAGCTTGATCTGGCCCCTATTTGGAGTCTGGATGGCAGTTGCCCTATTGGGAATGGTTCTCTTTGGTCCCTTATCCTGTATGATTTCCCCACTTGTAATTGATATTACAATCATACTATACAATTAAACTTATCAAGATAACAACATTTAGAGTATTTAGAGAAGATTGGTAGAGTTTAATGGTGAGCCGATATCGCTGGACCCATTAGTAATACTATCACTTTGTTACTGTTATTATGTATTTGTTGATTGGTAGTAGAAATCCCCCCCTCCTACCCACCACTATTAACCCCTCTAACATTCCGAGATACCAGTACTTTATTTATTTGTTTTTATTTAGTCAACTTGGTAACTTGTTTGTGATACAACATCAGCAACACAACACAACATTAACAACCAATCAGTGAGCAGTACTTCGAAATTCATCTCTCATAATAATTACTTCTTCAAAGTTTTGTAACTACATCTGACGATACTTCAAAAAAAATAAACGCGCTTTTTGGCGAGTCATATGAAACCAAAACAAATAAGTGGAATAATTGCAATTTTACCGGTAGTATATACACACTCTCTCACACACACGATAGATTTTGTGCAGTATTGCTAAGAAATTCCCGAAAGTAATTACGAAGCACAAGGATATTATGACAGTAACGAAACTTTACAATTGTATATCCGAATTTCTTGTTTTGATAATGTACCTTAAAACCCTGGAGATATGGCCCCGCTCAGAGATCTTATTTGTAGAAATTATAGAATTATATTGTGTCATTCATTAATCGTTTATGTTTGTCTATATTATTACTATGTAACTATATTGATGAATCTATTAGTTGAATTCAGATCTTGGTGAAATATTCTTACGAGAATACCAATTGACGAAATCTTTAAGGGAAGATCTTATCCGACGATTATCTTTATTAACTAATGCAGTACCTAAAGTATTAATTAATTTTTCAATTTCTTTATTATTAACATTAGGTAATGAATTAACAACTTGATGTAACCAATTAATTCCAAGATTTTTATCAGGTACAATAACTAATATTTTAAGAATTAAATCATTAACATCTTGATGAACATCAACATTAAATTTAAAAATTAATCCATTTAATACAACTCTTAATAATTCTCCTCCATTATTATCTAATGTAAGGAATTCTTGAATTAATTTCTTAATATATTCAGGATTTTCATCATTAAATAAAGAAATTGGAGGATTTGATGAACCCCAACTAATTAAATCAATTAAGAAATGAACACATGAAACTATAGTATCATATTCATTAATTAATCCTAAAGTAATTAAACTTAATTTTAATACTGATTTCAAAAATTCTAAATTTGGAATAACTTTGAATGGATAATACATTAATAAATCATCAGACATTCTAAAGAAATCATCAATTACATCAGGTATACTTTTAATTGCTTCTTCATTACGTTCTTGAAAAACATATTCAAAGAATGTTGCACTTTGAGATAAACCAAATTGATAAACAGCTTCTTTAATTTCTTCACTAGTATATTCATCTCCATATTCTCGAATTAAAATACCAGAAACCCAAAGATAACATCCATATCTTGTACTTTTAAATCCCTCATGTAATATGGTAGCTATATCTGGTAATAAATTATTTAAATAAGTACTGAATGACTGAATACTTGCTTTTAATAATTTTAAGGTTCTTTCGCTAACAATAATAGATTTACCTCCAATTAATGTTAAAAGTTGAGGAATCAGGGGCCATATTTTAGCGATGAATAAATCACAAACTGGAAAGTTTGGATTTTTAAAATCCTTGGCTCTTAATACATTAATAAAGATAGTTATAATTTCAATTTGATCTGCAATTTGAGTATAAATATCTTCTTGACTTGCCGTAGCAGTTGGAGCTCCACCACTAGCAATAAAATTTTGAATCTTTTCTAATGTTGGAGCAATAAACATTTCTGTAGTCTTTTGTAAATTTTCAGTAGGAACTTTTTGAATAACATGAGCCAAACCATCAACCAATTCATAGGTAGATTCTATATCTAATTCATTATTGATTTGACCATATAACATATATAATTGTTCAAGATATCCAACTAATAATTCGGAACAATCTTTACAAAAATACATTAAAGCTCGAGATGCAGATACAATGATATCTTCATTGTTTTTAGTATCAGTTGGATTATTCTTTATGATTTCAAATCCTTTAGTAATATAAGTTAATTGAGGTTCTAAAAATTGAGGATTCTTTGCAGTCCATTCAGTATATCTACCTAATACTAAAGTAGCTGCATATCTTATTTTTGGATGATCAGGTAATTGAACTAAAAGTGACATAATGCTAGGTAAAATAGTATGCTCTTTGGTAGAAACTACTTTGGCCATTGTTCTCATTGAAAACAAAGCAGCTTCTAAATGTTGCCAATGAAAATTTTGAGATTCACCTCCAATTATTCTTTGAATTTGTTGGAATGGAATATTTAATGATTTAGTCGCTCCAACCACTGAACAACAATCCTTTAAAACATCACCCATTTCATATCTAAATTCTTTAAATTTATCTTCTTGTTCTTTATCTCCTTCGAACAAGTCATTATCATTGGCTGTAATAGGATAAGTCAAATGCTTTAAAATAATTGAAATTAATTCTTCATAAATATTAGAAAATACAGTTTTAGAAGATTCAAATTTTGGTAAAGTAATAATTTGTTTTAATAAATACCAAAAATAAAAAGTATACTTGACAATATCTAAATCTTCTTCATATTTACATGATTCTAATAAAATTTCAACTAAAGGTTTAAAATGTTTAGGATTCTTTGCAATTAATACATGCCATGATTCACAAGCTTCAACATATAATCTTGTGATTCCTTCTACTGTTTCAGGATCTTGTAATTTATTTGAACTTATCATATAAGTATTCAATTCAATAATTTGTTGATATAATGCATCAATTAATTCATAATTCTCGATATCTTTGGTTTCACCTATTATTGTAACAAGACATTCGATTGCTTTATCAAATGAAATATCATTGGATAAACTTTGAAATATTAATGAAGTAAGAGAATTTATTTGAAGAATTTGTTCGATAGGACATTCTTTAATCCAACTATTAAGACAATCTAAAATAATTTGATCAGTTTTTGAATCTTTAGTAGTAGATACTAAATTATCTAAGATAGCTAATACTTGTCCTACATTATTAGATATTAATAATTTTGTTCTTTCCATAAATTCTTCATCAGTTAATGAAGTTTTCTTAATATCGGATAATTCTTCTGGTAAGATTCTTAAGAAATCCAATAAACATGGTAAATATTGTTTATCAGAAGATAATTTTGTTATTATTTCTGGTACAGCTTGTTGCCAAGTCAAATATTGTAAACTTAATTGAGATAATGCAATGGATAATTGAGTTCTTATTAATTTTTGATCTTGTAAAGGATATTTCTTAATTAAATCTATTAAAGAATTTTTTAATTGTTCATAATTTGATTCAGGTAATTGAGTCAAATCATAAGTAAGTTTGGATCGTAATGTTTGTGCTGCAAACAATTTAAATTGAATATCATTAATTGAATCATCATTTAATATATTAACTACAAGTTCCCAAGCTTCTTGAGATCTTTGGAATGATTCAAGAAAATGTGTTGCTCTTATTTTATCTTCTTGTGCCAGATTAGAATACATAGTATCCAAGGCCTGTTTCAACTGTTGTAACGCTTCGGAAGACGACATTGTCTCGATATGTTATATAGTTATTATAGTTGAAGAAATGTTATACTTCTCCATCTTAGCCATGACTTTTCAATTAAAGCTATCAAAATTTTTCTTAGGACTTGTTTTGGGGCATGTCGCACGACCTTTTGACGAATTAAGCACGGCAGTTGCAAACTTATTGATAGTGTTACTTAATGACAGTAGAAGTTAAGACTGTATTAGTTAAGATAGACAACCTATAGATAAAAATTGATATTTAAAGTTGGGTATATTTTGTGAAGTATAAGTTTATGAAGTGTATATTTATGAAAAGTATATTTGTGAATAATAGTAACAGTACATCACATCTTAATATACTGCTACTAATTACTACTGCTATAAACACTATTGCGAATGATACTATGCCCTACAATATTACTACTGAAATATTACTACTAAAATATTACTACTACAAATATTACTTCTACGAATATTACGAATCTCCTACAAATAGATATACACAACTGATGGTGTTGTGTTTATAACTTTTCTTTTTGCTATAATTAATGTACATTAAATGAGCAAATACACGAGTCATAAACATAATGCCAAATCATCCCGTCCAAACTAGCTAACGTCATATGGAGTCTAGAAATGTTAGTATTCAAATATCCTAAAGGTTTTGAAAAGTTAGTATAGGTGTAACAATATATTTGATCAGCATACAACAAATGGCTCTGAGGTACGCTTATCCTATCTTAATTATACACCTAGGAAATCCTTAGAAGAATAAGGTTTCTTATGAATAAGATTATCCATGACCACCAACACAAACCAAAGAACCTTGCTAAAGCTCAAAATGCAAATAGATAATGAATAGGCTAAATAGATTACACCTTCAATGATTCTTATCTAACACGCGTCAACAAACACAGAAATCCACGTGACCCACTTAAGACAATAAGATCAATAACCAAAAAATTTTTCGAAATATACGAACCAGTGGCATGTCTGAATTTCGACATAGTTCCAAAAACTCAGTTCCAAATTAAGTTTTGAGTTCCTAGTACAGGTAGCCAGTAGTGTACCATCAAACCAGTTTCAATTTTGAATCTTTTGCTATTATCTAGTTTAGGTATAAATCATATCAATTCTCAGAAGAAGTAGCATTATAGGCGTAGTAATTTTATTTTATCGTGTCACTTTTTAAAAACAAACTTTTAATGTCCAGACCAATTGTTATCTCTGGACCTTCCGGTACTGGTAAGTCCACTTTATTAAAGAAATTATTTGCTGAATATCCAGATAAGTTTGGATTCTCAGTATCTAATACAACTAGAAATCCAAGAGCTGGTGAAGTTGATGGTAAAGACTATCATTTTACTAGTGTCGAAGATTTTAAAAAGGCTATTGAAGAAAACAAGTTCATTGAATGGGCTCAATTTTCTGGTAATTATTATGGTACTTCTATAAAAGCTGTTAAAGATGTGGCTGATCAAGGTAAAACATGTCTTTTAGATATCGATATGCAAGGAGTTAAATCTGTGAAAAAGACCGATTTAAATGCAAGATACTTATTTTTAAGTCCACCATCCATCGAAACTTTAAGAGAAAGATTAGAAGGTAGAGGTACTGAAACTCAAGATTCAATTGAAAAGAGAATCGCTGCAGCTACTGCTGAATTAGAGTATTCCAAAACTGGAGCTCATGATAGAATTATTGTAAATGATGATTTGGAAAAGGCTTATCTTGAATTCAAGGATTTCATAGTAAACGGTAACTAAGATAGACTATTTAATTAATATATACATATACATATACATATACATATAATTTTATATATATATAGAACTTTATATACGATATGGATCACGTGAAGTTAACGTCCTCGTTACAGTTGGGCCTTTTTCACTAATTGGGTTAATGCATTAGATTGCTATTCAATTTGAAAACTGTATAGTTAATCATTTGTGGATAGTAATTATATGTAACTTGTGCCGTTAGACAATTTTGCGTATTTTCTAAATAATAACTAATTTACGCAAACAAACTTGTGCGCTAATTTAATTATGTCTAATTTAATTTAATTTGCGCTTCCATAATATTTAATTTTCATCCTGATGGCACATTACGTCTCTTCAATGACCATTACAATAATGATGGAGTAAAAGTACGACGATTACAATCGAATTACATCAGATACATTATAATCCAAAAATAGCAATAAAAATAAAGTGTGCAGCGCATCTCATATCTGTTTCCTTAATAGCAATTATAATTACTTATTGACGCATTCGTAAATTGGATGCATCAACCCCTAGCAAATCAAGTTATGCTCAACTTGTATATGGATTCAAGGCATGTGGATACTTGTTTGTAATGTTATAGTAAAATTTGCATAGAAAATTAACTACAGTATTACTCTCGGTTAACTGTGGTACTAATGTGTATTGAGGTTTGGATACTTAGCGTTAATGAACAAGTTTTCATTAAAGTTGTTGTGCTACGAATTATAACCCAAGAGAATCGGATATTGGAGTTTCCACCACACGCAATAGTTTAATAATGAAAAGCTTTTTTACAACTCTTGACGACTAAGTTCTATCCAGTGGCATGGTTCAACTTGTCTGTCTATTACAAACAGGTAATTGTAGAAAGTAAAATACTGAAGCTTTGGAAAATCATCTATATTAATTTTTATCCAGTCCACCAAGTTTCTTATTTCTTGCTTAATCTCAATATAGTCAATACCGTAATCATACTTACTTCTATAGAAGAACAAGTCAATTGTTTGTAAGGTTGTTGGTTGACATGTTATACTAATTTTTACAATCACAAGGCTTGATCCAAAATAATTAAGTAAATTCTTGACTAAATTGCAATGCTCTTTAATATACGCTAATTGAGGAGATATACAAACATTTATACAAACATTTTGAAGTGGAGCCTTGGAGAATTGTTCAAACTGACATCTTCTAATGTAACGGTCGTCGTTCATGACAAGTGTTTTCAAATTGGGCATTGAGTTCACCAAATATGGGTAATATCCGCTATATGATAGTTGAAGTTCTTTGATATTTTCACATCGAAATAATAATAAAGCTGCGTTTAACACTGCTTCACAAAAACCATCAGAATATAAATATAAAGAATTGGTTTCAGAAAAGATCCCTTGTAATTGGGTGACACTTTCAAGATGTCCTAATAGCCCTATGCTTGATAATTGTACCTTCTTGAACGAGCACATAATATTTCTGTTACTTCTTATAAATTCAATATCAGGTCCTAGGTGGTGAGATAACTTTATCTTTAATATTTTAGACCTGAAAATTGAAGAATTTCTATTTAATAACTCGTTTGAAAAAGCGGTCTTCTCGAGTTGGTAAATTGTCATGTAAGTTTCTAGAGGTAGTCTATATTCTTTTTCTACAATCTCAAATTTATTCACGAAACTATCAATAGACAGCGAAAAGTATAAAGAACTATACTTTCCAGACAAAATTGTGGAATTTGTATATGCAAATGTATTCAATTTTCGATGAAATATGGCGTAGTCTTGGAAATCCTTGATGTCTGGATCTGAAAGAGTAATAAAAGCCCTCTTGAATAATTTGCTCATACATAACGAATAAAACCTTGAATTGGTAAGACATAGGTCTAGAACATCGAACTGGTTCAAGTGATCTATGATTTGAACTAAAATTTCATCAGGTAAAGACTCTAAACTAGTAGCTGGATTTGGAGGCTTTAGGGTAGATTTCACACATGTTGCAGTTCGATTTATCCATGCCTCATTGAGAATAAAGGCTATATTAGACACCGAGAAAGCCATTCTTTTGAATGCCATTGTAGATGAAGTATTTATTGGTCTTGACAAAAACTAAGAGAAAGTTGCGCTAATAACAACCCCAAAAGCTTTAAAGTTGCCCTTTTTTTTTTGCAACTTCCACTACAACTTTGTGTTTTCGTGCCCCTTTATTTTCAGACTATTCACTGCTTTCCTATTTGGTAAAAACAGACACGAATACAATATTGTATTAATATCTCAGATTCCCCTTAATACTGAAGATTTATGTAAATTTATGGAATACCCAAAGAAAGAAATTGACTTAATAAGAAGACAAGTTAATGTATTTAATTCGAGCCTAGCATTAGGTCACGGGCCAACTGGGTTAAGAACCATGGTGGCTAAATATAACGCTAACGCAAAACTTGGTTTGCACACGATATTATGCGAAAATTGATATTTGGGCAATGGACGACCTGTTCATAAATGGCTGCAAGTTTACTTGACTCTACACATGCAATACTGTCAAAACTATATTCATGAAGATAGGTATAGTTCTTATGTAAATTAGTTAATATTTATAAATTTTTGGAAGAATGCAATAGTTCTACTGTCATAAGAACATCCTTTACAGAAGGACATTGTTAATAGTCTAGATAGACTAGCGTATACCACTTATCATTATTAAAACATTCTGAATAAGAAAAGTATTCACAAAAGTATTATCTGTTTCTTCTTTGGTGGTTTTACTCAATAACGGAAACTTTCAGTATAAAATAATTTTATGTACTCATAATACGACATGCAATAAAAACCTATTTATGAACTAAAGACGTGCGTCAATACTTTTTCCTCGTTTTTTACAGCCATTTCCTGTAGGTAAACTTGAATAGAAGATAAATATTTAACAGCAGCCCCACTAGACACAACAACAGGGTGATAAACTAAATCTAAATACCAAAGGTAGCAATAAGAATAAAATTATTGTGGAATTGAATTGATCAGTACGTTCAAATATAGAAATAGAGTAATATGATGATAAGTGAAATAGTATATGTATTCAATCATTTTATACAGTAAAGTTGACATTGAAAAGGTTGAATTACTTTGACCATAGTATACTTTACCCCTGCTAATGATACATATGACCACACAAATGAACATTAGCATACTATGTCACTAAGGAAATGAATATTAGTTAGCAATTACCTTTTTTAGATATTCATTGTACAAATTGTCTAAGTGTAGATATTATCGGTGGTTATTGATGATTCTTATTAGGCTTGGCTAATAGAGTTTGTCTTTAGAGATGATCTCTAACAATTTCAAAAAAGTTTTAGTAGGTAAACTGATAATTCGAAGTTTGTTTCAGTCGCCCTTTTTTATATCAGAACTTAGATTTATTTGCTGTAAAAATCTCACTTTTTTAAAATCTCTTAGTTTTAGAACTTACTCTTTTGGCGGTAAATCTAGTCAATATGCAATTTGGAGCCAAATTGTTTATTTCCATATTGGAAAAAGCAGCAAATATAGTATGTAACTGTCTTACAATTATATATACAGTTAAAAACGACGAAGAAAAAGAAAAAATTGGCAAGGCATTATTTTCATTATTAAGTGTTTCATCTATTCTATTACTTCGTACTATAATTGTTAAAACAAGAAAATACCTACTTGTTAAGAAAGCCTTAAAACTTGAACAAGAACTTAAACTTGAAGTTGAAGAATCAATTAATAATAATTCGGATATATTTTATGATATTACAATAGGTCTTGTTAAGTATGATAGAGAAGTTGATTACTATAATCGCAGGCTTACTACGATACATTATGAAGGTCAAAACCGAAATGAAATTATGCTTTTCCACATACAATTTATCAATTATTTAAGTTATATAGATCAACTTAAATGGACGGCTTTAATGTTTGTGATGCTGATATCAGAATTTAATATGAAATATAATCAATTCAAATTAGAGTTAAATAACTTTATGACAAACAACTCTATGGAATATAATTTACAGAATCTAATTGTACTTAAAGGTCAAGTACTTAGACATAAAAATGACTCCAAAAGGATATCTACTTTAATTGAACATTATAAACAGCAGATAGAAACCTTGGTAACAAGGTTATCAAATATGGCACAACCGCATCAAATTTGATATAGTATGGGAATAATGGTAGCTTATAAATAGTATATAGAGTAAAATATAAAATATAATAAGATTTATATTCACAAAATGTGTAATCTTGAATACTTTCTTAAATATATCCCATATTACTGTTCTGTTCAAGAGTATATAATTAATATAAAAGATCAAACAACTAATCAGGCAAATAGGGCACGTGACCGGTTTCCCCTTACAAATATTGAGAGCGGCCCATAAATTTTTCAAAACCCGTAAAACCCCTATCCTTTTCAAGCTTAACTATTAAACATTATGGCTACCAGATTACCATCCTCATTCGGAGACGAAGAGTAAGTATATCGCAGGGTTGATACTTTGGGTATGGAAGTAGTACTAACAATATAAATTGTAGAGAATTGGATTATCTCCAGAAGATCTGGATGAAGTCGAAGCAACAACCATTGGTTCCTCTTGGAGCCTTTGCAACCACAGGTGCCATTGTATTGGCTGCTCGATCTTTAAGAAGAGGAGAGAAAATGAAAACTCAAGTTTATTTCAGATACAGAGTGGGATTTCAATTGTTGACACTTGTAGCTTTAGTTGTCGGTGGAATGATGTTCCAACTGGAGACCGAAGAACAAAAGAAAACTAAGGAAGATTTATTAAGGGAAAAGGCCAAACAAAGAGAAAAGTTATGGATCGAAGAATTAGAAAGAAGAGATGCCCTTATTCAAGCCCGGAAGCAAAGAATAGAAGAATCAAAGAACGAGTTGCGGAAACTTGCTGAAGAGGGTTTCAAGAAAGATTCGGACTCCAAATCTGTTCCAAACTCAACATCAGACTCCAAGTAGGTTAAATTTCATCTAAGTTTATTACAGTTACCTATTTATTCACGATAGTTTGCTTGTACATAGTTTTCTTCATTTCTTGCCTTCTTTTCTAGTGTATATTGTATATATACTCTATTCTCATGATAATAAAAGTTACGAAAGTTCACGTTCTAAAGCTTGTAATTGTTCCTGTGATGGATCATCCATGTCTCCTTCAACTAATTTATGCTTGGAAATAAATATGCTGGTGTCCTTAAGTTTAAAAGATAAATAATCGATATTCAAATCATCAAATCTAAAGGTATGAGCAATTTGTTTGACATTTAACCAAACAGGTAATTCCAGATTAGTAGAAGATATTAGATCACGTATATTTTGAACTTCTCCATCTATACTATCGATGATGATCATATCTAAATCATTATCATCGGATAATTCATCAACAATTCTGGTATAGTCAGATACTGTTTTGATAGTAGTGGGCTTGTTGAATAATTCTTTAATTTCATCATGGATGTCGCACTCCTCTTCTTCATCTGCATCAATTGATACTAGAAGTATACGTATTTCATTCAAATCTTCACTAAGACAGTTGGTTAAATTCTTCCATTTAGAACCTGAAGATAATGAAACAGTATATTTAGAATTACCATTAACCCACCTATTTCGTATTCTTTCTATACATGTATCATGATGAAGTCTCTTGGTGAACCCTCGAGCAAATCCATTCATCCCAACTAATTTGGTCTGCTGCAACATATGCATTGACTTCTGTAAAAGCTTATATGAAGTCGAATGAAATTTCCCATCGTATTGTTCTCGCTCGTATCGTAACAACATAGGAAACTCTGGTAAGAGATCCTTCTCTTCATGAGTCTGAAGATGCGCATTAAGCATTAGTAATCGTGAGGTTGCGTTGGTAGACATTGTATAATTTTTAGCAGCCAAAATGGGTATATAGTTTAATGGTCAACTTGTGTGTTGTTCGCAACAAATTTAAGTGCTAATGACCTTCAAGTATTGTAGTAAGTATAAAAATATATACTAAAGCCATATAACTAAATATGTGTCTTGTTTTAGTCACTATTTAAGTGATCTATGGGGTCCTGGCTTAAATGCTGTGGGTATGGATTATCGCTTTAAAATTTTACACTGTGCATCATGGCACGTGACTTGAACATTCCACTATACAACATTGAATATTGAATTTCAATATAAAATTCGTGAAAGAACTCATAAAAATATCATCAATCACCTACTGTAAACCCTAGCATTGATAAAATGGACATATAATTATTCCTAAATAAGGCGTGTCTACAGGTAACGCACACAACAAATTTTATATTGTGGGGAAGAGTTGCAAAAAAGTGAGGGACTTGCGAAACGAAATGGCTGCGACAGTACAATATATATGTATTTTGTATTAACACATTAAGAAGAAACAGGATGAATAAACTCAGATAATAGAACAGAGGTATTTGAGAAAGAGAAGTAATCTATAATCATTATTTTTGAGTAATCATTTTGTAATAATTCTAGGACGGATTAGTTTAATTGTCAGACCCATTAATTTCGTAGGCTTTTAAGAATAAATAAAGATCTTCCATCATATCTGTTATACCATGATTAGATTGATGATCTGGATTACTAGGAGTTGGACTGATATGATTGGAATAAACAGCTTGAACTAAAGATTGAATTTTAATTAAACCTTCCTTAGCTACTAAATCACTTAATGCATTAATTAATGTAGGAGAGAAATCATTATACCATCTATGATTCCATACCAATAATTTAATTACACTTTCCAATATTCTTTCATTTAATTGATTAACAATCTTACTATAATTATGAGTATACTGTTGACTAGAATTAGAAGTGGAATTCTTGCTTAATATTTTAGTTCTTTCCATTTGATAATATTTAAGCATTTCTCGTTGAGATTTAGCTGAAAATCTACCACTTAATGCATTACCAAATGCCACTGAACCTTCTTTAAAATGATTCAATCTGTATGCAATAGATCCTAAAATTTCCCATTCTAAAGTAGTCTTTTTATATTCCATTTGTTGAGCTTGGAAATGAACAGATTCTGCTTGCCACATAGTATATGCTCTCAAATCTTCATATAATAACATAAATAAGTTATCCAACCATCTTTCACAAAGTCTTTTCTTTTTAAATTCTTCTTCATATGTATCATCTCCTTCAGTCTCATCTCCTTCAACGATTTCCTTTTTTGGTGATTTAACTGCTACTGTTGAAGATGCATCAGTTTCACTATTAGCAGCAGAAATTTCTGGATTACTAGTGGCTGTAGTTGTAGCAGTAGTTGTTTCTCCATTTAATGTAGAATTAGTGGAATTTTTTCTGGCATGGCCATTACTGATAGTACTATTGTTTCTATCTTTACGATATTCTTCTTCCATAACAAAGACTTTAGCTCTATATTTTAATAAAGCTTCCCAACCTGTTTTAGCAACAATATCAGTAAGTAATTCATAAGCTTTAGCAAATGTGGATTTTAAATTGGCTGCAGGTAAATTAGATAATTGAGGATCTAATGTTTTTTGTTCTTGAGCTACTTCAATACTTTGTAAATTTGATACTTCATCTAAAGTAACATCAACTGGGAATGGTAAATGTAAATCTTCATTTCCTCCTCTTAAATTAACAACTCTTCTCAATACATATTTTTCTTTATGAGAATTCATTGGACAAGAATTTAAAGTTAATAAGGCATTTTCAAAATCTCCAAGTTTTGTATATACTTTTACTAAAGTTGACCAAGTTTTAAAATCAGATGGTGAAGATTTTACTGCTTGTTTTGCTAATTCTAAGGCTAAATCATATCTTTTCTTATCTATACAGAATTGAGTTTGAAGAATCAATAAATCTGCATCTCTTTTATTTCGAGTTATACCTTGATTCATTAATTTTACTGCTTCAATTTCTTGATCATTTAATAATAGTACTTGAGCTATTAATGTTATAACACTTGGTTCAGTTTTTTCAAGTCTAGTTAAAATCTCTAAAGCTTTCTCATAAGATTGAGTAAATTGAACACACTTAAGAAATCCATCTACCAAATAATTATTAATTAATGTAGGTTGAGGAATTTCAATTCCACAACCTAATTTTGGACCTTCATAAAATAATTTTTCAAAACCATCTAAAAATGAATTTAAAACATATTTAGATGATTGACCATTATTGAAGGGATTAATTTTACGTACTTCAACTAATCCACCTACTTTATTTGAATCTTCTTCATCATCAAGTAATGATCTTACTATAGAAGTTATAAAAGTTTCTAACCATAATTTTTCTAAATCATCATTACTTATTTTATCATGAATTAATTTTCCATCACTACTAACTACTGAACTTTCAAATTTACCAGGAATATGTACAGTAACTCTCATATCAACTTTTGAAAATGCATTGTATGAACAATATGTTAATTCAGGAACTTTCCAATGTTTCTTTTCTCCAAACCAATATTGAGATTTTGATGAAATTAATGTAGCTAATCCTTGTAATTGAGCAGCAATAGAAGCTGAATTGGATGTATCTATTCCAGTGAAATATAAAAATGTACCAAGTTCAGTACCCTTTTTTGAATTAATTGAAGCTTTATGAATATTACATAAATCGGCTGGTCCTAAATCACTAAATGTATGTAATCTACTAGTTCTTTCAGTAATTGATGAACCAGGATAATCTTCCTTGGCCTCGGGAATAGACGCCAATGTAGTCGGTAACATATCTAGATCCACTTATTACAATCAATTTATTCTGAGTGAAATACAATCCTTACCGTGTATAGTTAGTCTGTGCCGAGATTCGTTACTTTGAATTTTCTGACCGGTGCTGTGTTGTTTAGATTTTTTTTATTACTATACAAGCCCCTAATTTGCACGTTGACACGACCTCTCCACTATTAAAAATTAGTATAAAGCTAGTTATTGAAGTATTACAATAGTTTACAAAATTTTATGGTTAATTATATAAATATATTAATTACTGATAGAATACAGAGTGTAGTATACATGGATTCATAAGAAATCTCTTTTTTATAGTTTGTAGAATTTTTTGTGGTTGTTTTGGGAATATTAAGTCATCAATTCTTAGCCTTTTTGTTAGAAGGCTGTTCATCAACTTCGTCATCAATATTATCAAAATCTCTGGCGGTGAGGCAGTACTTTTCGGGAGGTAAATTCAATCCCCATTTTGGTATGACCGGAGGCAATGGTTTTGAATTTCTTTCTTCAGCCAATTCTAAGAGTAATTCTTTTGGAGGTGTAGGTTTGAATTGATAGTTGGTTCTTGCGGCAATAGCCAATCTTATATCATCGGTGTTAACTGCTACATTTGTGTTTGCATTTAAATTAGTATTGGTATTTAAAGGCTTGGCATGATCATTATATACCAAAGCATCTTTCAATACAGATTTAGTATATCCTTAAAGAGGAAATAGTTAGTATACATGTTGACTTTTAAAAAAATGAATAAATTAATATACTTACTATGAGCAAAATCCATGAGCTGTAACGGCACATGGTCTTGATAATTTTGAATACCTTGAGTGGCAAATATTAAATGTAATAATCGTACATCTCTAGGAATAACATTAGATTGTTGCAGGTTTTGATTAGAACCATCGGCCGTGTTAGTGGCTCCTGAGCTATTCCCGTTGGCTTGACTAGAACTCATGACAAGGCTGATATAATAATGTAATTTTATGAACTGTTATTCGTTATTACTTAATGATTCTCTAATTTGATTAATGACAATACATAACCTCTACTGTATATGAAGTTCTGGTCTTGTGGTTTATTCTGTTGACTTACCAGTATACTACTACTGTATTTCTATTTTCAAAGTGCTTTGAAAAACTTGTGTCTCACACGACATAAATTATACTTCCTATTTAGATCCTATAATTGATAACTAATCTAACTATAACAGTATCGTTAGTTCATGTCACGATGCTGAAAGCCAAAAAGTTAGAATCAGAAGTTGTAGAAAGACCTGATGATATAACAGTCACGGCTCCAGAAAGTCATGAAAATTTTACTAATATCAAACCATTTGAGTATTGGAATGATAAATCAGGATCAGATCGGAATGCTCTAGTGATATTGAACCAATCAATTGAAGGTTGTAATTTGTATAAGTTATGGCATAATACTGAATTACATGTATGTGCGGATGGAGGGGCAAATAGACTATATGAATACTTCAATAATGATACTAATGATAATAGGTCAAAGTATATACCTGACTATATAGTAGGAGATTTAGATTCACTAAAAGATGAAGTAAAGAATTATTACGAAACTAAAGGTTCTAAAGTTATACCTCAAATAACGCAATACTCTACGGACTTTACAAAGAGTATGAACATTATTCAATTATATTTCTTTTCCTCCGAACTGCGTCAATCATTGGATTCTGTACAAGATTTCAACAATGGTATAGCTGAACTGTTGGAGAAATTCAATGTACCAAATAATCAAGCTGCAATTCGTATATACATTTTGAGTGGTATAGGTGGTAGATTTGATCAAACCATTCATTCAATAAGTCAATTATATATCTTGAATGAATCAGTACCTTATCTACAACTATTTTTTATCACTACATCAGACGTCATATTTCTACTTAAAAAGGGTAAGAATTATGTATCGTACCCTTCTAAATCTACTTTTCATGATAAATCACTGGTTCCAACATGTGGATTATTACCATTGGGAAATAATGAAGTTATATTAAGTACTTATGGTTTAAAGTATGATGTAACCAATTGGCCCAGTGAAATGCTAGGTAACGTCAGTTCAAGTAATGGAGTAAGTGGAGTCACAGGATTCATAGTAGATGCATCTGACCCCATAGTAATGAATATAGAAACTTCTTATGCCATATAGAATAACCCAAATATAGACATTAATAGAATTATATACCATATATTAAATAAATTCCTGTATGTAGCCCCCAACTAAAAAATGTTTAACCAAACAGGAAGTGAAAAAAGTATCGACAAAAATTTTGTTACTGAGGATAGCCAGACATTAGCTTTGACTATATCTAGTGAGCCTATATAACCACTTCATACATACTAAAGCTAGATGCTTAGATCAGGAATAACAAGAGGGGTCAACTTGCTCGCGGCCTCTAAACCTGGAATAACGGTCCAAGTTCCATTGAGAGCCATGTCATCTATAAGTAGACCATTAATCAAAACTCAACTTTCATATAAAACTATAAAGTCTGAATTTGATTCGAGTATATTCAACCAAGTATCAAAAGATTCTATATCAGATATTCTTAGTCAAAAATTAAGTGTTACTGATGGCTTCAGAAATGCTAATGTCAAATATGAAATCATAGATTTTAATCAATACCAACAAGAAAATGGGATTGAACAAGAAGATAACACCATGCATATGGACTCAGTGTTGAGGAAAAGAAGATTGAAAATGAAGAAGCATAAATTGAGAAAGAGAAGAAGAGAACAGAGATCCTTGAAGAGAAGATTAGGTAAAATCTAGATGTTGATCTATTAACCAGTCAGTCTTTAATATCATTCTGTGATTATAGCAAACTACTTTTAAGATGTTTATCGAAGGATATTTGATTGGTAGAATATTCTTAGGTTATCATAGAGTCAGTGCCAGTTATAATCATCTACATAGAACTTTGATTCTTAAGTATCTTAGAATCACCATTTCATTCTGTATATATGTAATTTACCAAATTAGCATCATTTAATAAACTTACAAGGTATATTAATTATTACTAATAAATATAGTAGATAATATTTTGAAACACAAATTGATCTCTTTCCAGTATCTGACTCATTACGCAAATATCTGAATTTGAAGTACACTTTTTTTTCAGTGTTTTTGAAAGGTACTAGAAGCTTATAGAATCACCAAATCAGCCTACAATGTCAGAAATCACGTTCGTTACAGGTAACGCAAACAAGTTGAAAGAAGTAATTGCCATTCTTGCCAGTGAAGATGGTAAAGTTGGTAAATATACTATTACGAATAAATCCTTAGACTTGGATGAGGTTCAAGGTTCTATTGAAGAGATTTCTATTCATAAAGCTAAAGAGGCCGCAAAGATTATTGGAGGACCTGTTTTAGTTGAAGATACTTGTTTAGGCTTCAATGCTTTCAACAATTTACCTGGTCCATATATCAAATGGTTTGTTAAGTCTATTGGATTAAGTGGATTAGTAGATATGTTATACAAATTTGAAGATAAAGGTGCTAAAGCCATTTGTACTTTTGGATATTGTGAAGGTCCTGGAAAGGAAGTCAAATTATTCCAAGGTATTACCGATGGAAAGATCGTTGATAGTAGAGGTCCAACCAATTTCGGATGGGATTCTATTTTTGAACCTATTGGTTTTGATCAAACATATGCCGAATTAGATAAATCAGTGAAAAATACTATTTCCCATAGATTCAAGGCTTTAGATAAAGTTAGAGATTATTTATTGACTAATTGATGCAAAATGGTATTATTACCTATACATAATGTAAATAATAAATATATAAAGATTCGTAAACTATGCAGCATAATATTTGGAGTAGGCTATATCATGAATTGGTGGACAGAAAAGGATGACTATGATCCAAAGATTTCCTTTATTTTACCTAAGAAACCCTTCTTCTCCTTGTGAGCATTCTTGTCATTATATGAAGTTACAGCATATAAATTGTTTGGTTGATCACCCAGATGTTGACTACCACTGGATTTTGTTGATACTACATTACCAAATCCACCTCTTCCCACTGAAAAAGATTTATTAGAGGCTACAGAATATAATTTATCTTCATTTTTTGGAGATTTTGTAGGGGTGGGATCCACATCTTGAAGCTTACGGGCCAACTCAGGATCGTCATTATTTATCATGTTACCATATCCTCCTCTTCCGGTTGTTATTTTAGGTGTTTGTAACTTAGGAGTGGCTGAACCTTGAGGAACTAATTTAGGAGATGGGAGCGTATTTGACGTTTTAATATTACCGGCCCCACCTCTACCAGTAGAATAATATACTTTACCACTACCACCTGATGTTATAGGAGCGATATCCTTTGGAGGAGAATTCGATTTAGTCCTTTCGAGATGTGAAGATTTAGAATTTACTGGTTTAACATTAGACATTATTTTCTAGTTATTGTGTTAATTATTGTTTTAGTCACCAGTAGATGAAAATATGCAATAAAAGTGTTCACTTCAAAGATAAAGTGACTGTTAGTTTTATGGTTGTTGATATTGTAATATTTTTAATAATTGTATTAACAGTTGAAATGTCTGTTGATGCTCGATGATTTCGCTCGTTAACACAATTTCTTTCTTTTGGCCGATATAAACTATTTATATTATACCAGAAAGCCAAGAAAACAACAGTGGCTATTCTGCTTAATTATGGGTTCAATATTATATACAAAAATATATAGTAAAGGTAGTAAAAGTATTTGGGCGTCAGTAGAAAGTTTATATGCCCCGCCATTGGTTTCAATTTCGGTATGATTTACTGATGAGATGGCGCTAGTTATACGGCGAACTGCGCAGTTAGCGACTTTCTCCCCCCACCACATTTCCATTCGTCCCGCACTTGTCACTATTTCTTACACAGTAATTTGTTTCAGATAGGGCAATTTTTCGCAGGCGGGTTGATGACGCTGGATCACGCGCTAACAATCATGCGACAGAATATCCGGGGAATGAAGTCCGACTGGTGGGTCTGGTGTCAAAGTAGTAGCTATCATCATCATCTATATTGCTAAGATAATTAGCCTCATTTTCTGTATCTTCATCATCTTCGTTAATCACAGTCACATCAACGAAAACATCCCGGTTACGGTCGGATTTGGGACTGATACTGGTTACTTCTATCTTATTAACTTCTGCAATTATAACTTGCTCTTCGATATAACTTTCAAGGTCTGAGTCATTTTCATCATCTTCATCATCAGCATCAAAATTGTCGTGGCTTATAACTTTTTCTTGCTTTTGTTCTTGCTTTTCTTGTTGTTCGATATCCGATTCATTTTCTGCATCTGCTTCCGTTCCAGAGTCAAGATGTTTATTTATTCTAATATCATCGTCACTATTATGTAGATTGGCAATCTTCTTATTCGAAATATAGTATGACATGAGATCAATAGTACTAGCATCGTCTTCTTCACTCGTAGTGGGAGTCAATATGGAGCTGTTATTATTATTTGTTAAGAGATACAATAACGCACCTGTTAATTCATCGTTATCTTCAGAAGTTTCAGATGTATTTAAGAAATGATCGGAAGGATAATTCTGTCCCTCTAATTTAATCAATAGACACTCTTTGGAGTCATTCTTTTGTTTCACTGGACTTATCATTATTTCTCTTTCATCTACTTCCTGCTTTACATCTGTTCCAAATGTCAAAGTATCTGTAGACTTTGTTATATCAACTCTTCTGGTTCTATTACTCCAATCTCGAAATTTCAGAAATGAACGTTTCAATAGTGACTTGTTACGGGCTGTATTAGCCTTTGTTTGATCACCCTTGCCTGTACTTCTTAGTGTTACGTCTAGTTTGCTTCTCCACGACAGTTTGCCCTTCTTTTCAACTTGATCCACAATTTTCTTATCAGATATATTTTTCTCTGAAACCTGTTCTACTTCTTCATTTTGAATTAAGATTTCAGGAATCAGCTGGTCTTCTTGTCCTACTTCTTCTTGTCCTACTTCTTCTTGTTTTTCTTTGTTTGACAGGTTCGTTGAAATTGATTGAAACATTTCCTTTTGTACATCTTCTGCACAGAACTCCTCCCCTTCGGAATAATGGACATCTTCTGATTTTCTAGAAATGAAGAGTTTTCTAGAAGGATTTCTAGAAGGAATTTCAAAGTCGTGGCTCATACGCTTGTATGATGTTCTCTTAGCTGCATTGATTTCAAAAGAGAATCTGCGGTTTTTATTAAACCTCATTGATTGTCGTCTATATTGCTTCCTCTTGGATCCGGATAACTTTCTACTGGGGTTTCTTAGTGGAATCTCTATATCTTGCTGAAGCTGTTTAACTTTCGAAGCTTTGACTTGAGGGGGCAGTGGAGGCTTCTGTGTTGGTATGAAAGCTGAGTGGCTAGTTGAATGAAAAGTCGATGAAGTAACGTTTGGTTCGGAAATTCTAACATTACTATACGGTTCATGGATTACAACCAGCAGTTCAATTACTGCAGATTTGACCTCCATACTTGTTAAGAAGAAATTGTTGTCTTCTTCATGTTGTACAGATGTTAAATTGCGGCTTCCATTATCATGGGTGATGTGAGTATGTTTCATGGTCGAAGTTTCTTCAAAAGCACTTGAAATTGAGGAATTAGAAGTTGGAGGGCTGGAAATATCAGAACAATCTGAAGTTCTGTCCATTGATGATATATCATGATCATTATTGGTATATATTGCTGCAGAATTCATTACCGTCGAGAAACCAATGGTTTCGAATATAAATGTCCTCAAAACTTGAAACAATACATAATCAGAAATTTTACAAATAAGTTTTGGATTCTTTATTAGTTTCCCCTGATCACTTGTATTTTCTACAAATGTGTTTAAAATGTGTTTGAGATGTGTTCAATTATAAATTGGTCCCCTTTCTCCACGTACACATTTTTACCACTTACCCCCCAAAATTTCTCGTATTTTTTGGGTGCAACTTTTGTACATACATTATCTCTAAATGGGGCTCGTTGCGCGTTGGGGGTCATGAAACCAATTTCAAACGGCTATTTTCTCGGGTGCTTATTCCAATTGTAAATGACACATTTAAGCGAATTAGCTAGATGGATGATCTAGATATATATCTAGATATACAGAATTCAGATGTTTCAAATGTTTATTTGCTGTACCGCGTTATAAACCCATGTGGTTTATAAACGGTTATGAGTATTGTTATATTTTTATATGTTACATTAACCAACTCTTAAACTATTTATTGTTCAAACCAAATTGGCAGATGCTATTAATAAAGTAGGTTGAAACTCGTAAACAAATTTAACAAACTCTCTTTTTAAAAGTTTGGACACCTACAGTAAAGGAGCACATTGTAATATCGGATGCACATAGTTAAGAGTGACAGAGCAAGGTCTATAAATTGTATTTATTGACGTAAATAGTGAGCTGAGCTTTTCATTTCTTAGGAAGTTGTAAGGCCTTATCCCGGCATTTATATCAAATGTATCAGGGGAAACTCGGTTCTCTTTTGAGCTTGATTGTTCCAATAAGTACAACGTTAGCACCAATTTGGAATAGCTTTTTTGCACAAAACCGAGAAATTGTGCCATAAACTAATAATTGTTACCCTTCAGCAAACCTTATTTGAAAAAAGTAAACATCCCAAATAGTTTCTTTCAGCAATCTTGGGGATAACCTAAGGAAAAGCTTAATTCTGTTTTCTTTATCTCGCAGGACTTTCTGCTATCGATATTTAGATAGATATCTCTATGATTCCATGACATTTCCAGAAAGCAATCATGATGTTGACTTCGATGTCATACTTCACTTCTTAGAGGAACAATAGGACGGAAGAAACAAATATACAGTTCTCTTGCATTTGCTTGCTTCAATTTCAGCGTGGATAGCTATTTTTAAAATCCCACGTACTTTTGCTATCATAACACAAAATTGGTCATGATCGCTGCCCCAAAATTTAAAGTTGCTAAATATACTTTCTTTTACCATTTAAAGCTCAACATAACTTGCAAGAAATTATCTATATAAGTGACAATATTTCCACTTTCATGATTCCTATACTCGTTATAATTCTATTAGGTATACCGTAAATTTACATTAAAAAATTTGTTTGATCATGCAATTCTCCTTAGCTACCATTGCTGTCTTAGCCCTTGCTGCTACTGCTGAAGCAGCTAACAACACCACTTCGAGTCTGAAAGCTGGTGCTGCTGAAATCGTGAACTCTATTTCAGGAACTGTTTTAGGTGCGGTTATTGCTGGTGCTGTTGCTCTCTTATATTAGGAGCCTAACGTATGTTTTAGTTGTCCCAACGTATTACTATAATTTTTGTTATGAGACAATAATTTATATAATTCATTTCTTAGATAATTAAATAACGGCAGTAAGTATAGTACTTAAGATAAAGATAAGAATTTAATTAGAGATCTATATCTATGCTACGTAGGTACTTTAATAAATTATTATTCTATAGTTGTCAAAACCATTGTATATCTTCAATTTTCAATCCTTAAGAGCTTCCCCAAATAAAATATTTTCAAATAAATTGAACTTCATCTCTTCTGATAAATTAGCCACTTCTTTCTTATACTTGAATTTGAGGTCAGATTCTTCCAAAATCTGTTGTCTGATATTGTGAACTGAAACAAACTGATTCTCCTTAAAGTTTTCAAGCTTTTCCAACACTTGTAATAACATATTCTTTAACTTCTCATTTTCACTTACCAAATGATAATACTTTTCTTGAAAATTATCAATTGTAACATTGAGATCAACTGGGTCTAAATGGAATTCTGGAATTTCGAACTTTGAAATTGAACTGATCAAGTTATTCAAATTTTTATCTAATTTAGACTTTCGATTATATTCAAGGTATTTCACGAGAGCCTCTGACTCAATTGCTTCTCCATTAACGAGTTTAAGTAGATTTAAAATAACAGATTCATCTCCTGCGTCCTCTAAAACTTCATTTGAAGTCAACCCTTTAACTTTCTCTACTGCGCTGGCACTTTCATAATACTTCAAGTCTTCAGCTTTATTCTTAACATGATTCAGTTCCTCCTTTTTATTAAATTCTTCCTTAGATATATCCAGTTCTTCATCAAATTCCTCGAACTCAATTGGAACTTTTTCAGCCATTCTGAAAGTATCTTCTGCTGCTTCAGGTGGAGAATTTGATGCTTCATCACAATTCTGGAAGTTTTCAATCAAAGGCCTCTTTCTGATTGGAGATCCACAATAATTATAGTTTTCCTTGTTGGTAGTAATGGGTGTATTGATTGCAAAAGCTGAAGTTTCGGGAATCTGGAAATTCAAACTTGGCGGGTATTTCTTTGGAGTCAATGAAGTCCCTCGAACAGCGGATTCTTTTGCCTTGATATTCCTTAATGGAGTGCGTGACATTATAAATTACCCAAGATGTTTCTTCTTTATAATATGTGAAAATCGTCAAACTTTTCGATGTGATCGATGTATCAATATTACAAAACAATTTGCAACATTTGCAAAATTTATGCACTGCTTTTTCTCTACACAAAAAAAAGTTCATACTTTAAAATGCAAGTTTATTACTTCAAAATTCAATATATAATTCTAAAACTATACCAATGAAGAAATTTAAAAATGTCTATACATCATTTTCCTCTAATATACACAAGTTAACATACTGAGCCTAAATCGTTAATTAATATAACCTTAATATCAGAAGACATCAGGCAATCTTTCAATAACGTATGCATGACCTCCTACACTAATCAATGGGATCCCAGGAACCTTTCTTATTCTTCTTTTCAAATCTGCATCATTTGTGGCAACGATATAACATTTATGTTGAATAACCCTGTTGACTAAGCAGTCATCTGCATATATTCCTTTATGACTACACTTCAACCTTTCAATTCTATGATCTTTTGCAAGTTTCAATGCAATACGATACTTAGGTCCCAATTTTTCTAATTCAGCCATGACACAGTCTGTTATTATAGGTATAGCTTTGGCCATTAAACAATCCATTAAGCCCTTCACTATATCAACCTTCTTTTGAATGGAAAAATTGATAAAATTAGTATCTATTAACACCTGGTATGGAGGCTTAATAGCCAGGTTAAACTTGAAGAATAAAGCTGACGAAACTTGCGGTATAGATTTTGTTAATTCTGGATCATCTTTGGTTTTGTTGTTGATGTTATTAGTTTTATTATTCTTCGATATACGAGGATCTTTAGAGTTCAAAGTACGCTTAACCAATGCAAACTTTCTAGTCTTCTTAGCTTTACCCATCACACTTGTACTGGAGATATGGTAAGATGATTTGTCAACAATTTATTGTGGTCTCCACTTTAACTTAACTAAACAGAGATGAGACATCTAAATTTTTTTTGGTAATGATCTGGGTTTGTGACACTTTATGACAAAACACACGACTAAATGATTGCCTGCATATTAATATTTGCTACTATTCTTATAACTAAAGTTGGCCTAGTCTATAATTATCGGAAGGTGTTAAACAAGCAATTTGCTAAATTAATGGTTAAGTAGATGCTTCATATATTGAACTGTAGTGAAATTGAGTATTTTAGTTAAATGAGTTCATTTTGAATTGCCTGATCTCTTCCTTTGCAAACTTATGTTTAGGGGATAAAAGATCAACAATTATTATAGGGGTCTGTTAATGTGCCCTAATGACTATGCATGTGTTTTAATGTACCACCATTTTATTTAAAATAAGATCCAATAATAATCATTATTGTTTGTATTGTAACCAATTAGTTTGGGGGAAATATTTTAAACTTACGATTTCCCAATTGCAGATCACTTGGTAAGATATAATTACAAAAAACAATACAATAGACAGATAATAATTAAGATGAACACTTAATGGATAAGAACGTACCACATTCTCACTCTTAAGGAAACTTAAAATAGCAAGTATACGAGGCTCAAAAAACTTATGTATGTACTAATAGGGAAGCAAATTGACACTTCAAGGATGTCCTCACTTTTTAACGAGATAAATTTGGAAGTTACAGCTTTGGTAAACAATAGACACCTATAATAAGGAGAAGCTCCACAAAAATAATTGTCCTAAAAGTGCAGATCACACCTCCATTTAAGTCATGGATAGCTGTTTCGAACTGACCCTCTGTAAGAATTGATATTGTTTATGTCGCCATAATTAAAGATTCAAACAAATAGAGTCAGTTAAGTACCTAGATTAGCCGGTATTTTATAGAACAAGCTGTAATGTAGTACGATTTACGAACAGCAGCTATAGTTGAGCAAAAATTGCGGGGCGCGAAATTCCTTTTCTTTCGCTGGTCTTTCCTTGACAGTATTTGGTAGAATAATTCTCCTTCGTAAAAGCATATTGGATTTGCCTGTGCGTTTAAAGAAATGTTCTTGCATGTGCAGAACGACAAGCGGGTCCCAACAAGTTGTGGAGTTGCATTTATATATTTACGAAACTATTTGTTACTCAATCAAATGACCGAGGTGATAGGGCCATGCTTCGTAAAAATATTTTACATGCGAGAACAGATAGAAATAATTTTCTACACACCTCCTAAAAAAATATTTATATTTGTGTTCACTAGGAGATCCATCATGAAGGGCATGCATTTTTAAGCAGCTCGCTCTCGATGGATGATAGTGTAGTATGTTCCTTTCAATGGATCAACATCAGTCTTTATCCTTTCCAAGAAATCAATACATTCAAAACGACTCTCCCCAGTTATTATGAATGTTATTGATATAACTCAAATGTGTAAATTCTGCTTAGTCTAAATATAGCTGTATTCGCTAAGGAAAGCTACAAACGTTCAGCTTTAATTGCTCATGCTTGTACTTTATTTTTTTATTTAAATAAGTATTTTTAAATACATAAATTGATCAACATTTGTGATTATTTTCATGATTCTGGTTCGATATTTAGCAACATGTGCGGAGAAATGACAGCTAGTATCACTATTCAGCTGCAAACATTATGCATTATGGTTATGATAAGTTGAATGGGTAAGGTATCTGTTGGTCTCTGATGCATAAATCAGCCTGCAACTTCATTTTCAATCATAAGCACCTGAATACTCTCGTAATTTTCATCTTATTACTTTTCTCGTTGAGGAGTATAATGCATTAGATATGTTATGATGCTCCGCTTGATTCGGAATCTAGTATTTTCTTAGAGGGAGTACTGCAGTTTCTGGATTTAAGGAATTGGCTAGGAAAGGCATTTTTTCATTGTCTCTGTAATCAATATCCCATCACTGGTTAATGTGCCCTGATTTCACAGATTGATATTCGTACTTGAACCATCCCTAAATTAAGTGATAAAATCTAAAGCAATAAATCTGGGCATGTATTTTCGGCTTCTTCCCAGGGATTTACTTTCATATTTTTTATCTTTTCAGCTATAAAATTTTTTATGCAACTAATTCTTAAATAATAAATACTGTAAAAAATATCTCTTCCTTTGATAAAGAATAAGAAAAGGCAAAAGAAGGAAAAATGACCGAGCGCGTTGGCAATTTCCCAATGTGGCCATTTTCTAAGATCGTCAAAATAGAGACGAGATTAAATAGCTTTCTATGCGTCTGTAACTATTATCTAATCTCCATCGTAATGGCATAAACGCACAAGATATCGTCCCCAATTAATAACCGTGGAATAACTCATCTAATTTATATAAGATGTCATTCATTCTCACTGTACAGATAAGCGTGTCTATGCAATACGAGCTTTTGAGTAGGTAGTCGTATCATATCTCCGATGAAGGTGAAGCACGTCTGCTTTACAAAGAAAAGAGTGCCTAACCGTCCCATATATGGTTATGATTCAATTAAGGTACCAACTACATATTTTGTCAATCAAACGATTGTCTCATTGCGCCGATTCTAGGTTACTTTATATAAAGAAATTCTCTAAGCTGTCAAATAACCTTTTCGAGATGAAAAGTATCACTTTCAAGTAGTTATTCAACTTCAAAAAAATGACTGATAGAAATTCTGGATATGTACATCATAAAAAAAATATTTTATATTATTGAAGTTTTCCTTCTCATTTCCTTCGATGAACTAAAATGCATAATATTATTTGTAGTCAAATATAAAAACTGGATTTTAGAGCAAAGGTTATTTCCAAAGATGTAATGCCTGCCTCGTTAAACTCCGAACATGATATGAAAAAATTTGAATTTTAGGCTAGATTCTACGGCACCATAGCTCTAAATATTTGTAGGTTATTTTCTTCATCTGTTGCAAAGATATTCTAAGTAAACAACCAATAGCAGATGGTTCTATTTCAAATTGCTAACGTTACCATTAAAGAGGAAAAAGTGAAGTACTCTCTAAGAAGTCATTCTATACATAACTAAGAACACAAGTCTGATCTATATAAGAAGAATTTAACAAAAGGAATTATGTTTTGTGTAGTTAATTATTTGGTCTGTTGAAACTTTTTAAGATATGCTTTACGGAAATGTCTTCCTTTGTATATTCTTGGCTCTTTTGAATGGCATGCGCTTATTTCCTTTTTTGGCATTTTTCCGTGAAAAGTATTTTGTACCAAAAACGATTGTTCCTTCATTTTATATATTATTATGCTTATTAACGTTAATTCCCTTCTGGTTTCCACCACCTCCGATACACCTGCAGTAACAAAGTAAAAGTAACGTGAGAGGGGACATCGAACAACAGCTTTGTTCGACAATGATCTTTGAGTATCTGTTCAATTTAATTGCACAAAGCAGTTCTATTTTTCAAAGAAAAACTAACCATTAAAAAGAAATTTAAGGAGGGGCAACAATGAGGAGAAATTGGAATGTCACTCCAACATAATTAGAGTAAAAAATATTTGAAAAAATATTATTTGGTAAAGTTAAAAAATTATAATATAATTATTGGTCTCGGGATCAAAGTGCCGTTCAATTAATCACATAGTAAATGAACCTTATTAGTTGAAATGATCTTCTAGTATCAAATGTTTTTTGATAAAATATAGTAGTATTCGTAAAGTTGATTGTACTGCCAAACTGCTGAAGAATTTTATTCAAGTCTTACCGACGTCCCACGATGTGTCTAATAAACTTTTTTTATCTGCTAGACCTACAATTTTCTCATTGTAAATTTTTGTATTGCCTGCAAACTTAGCCCGCTTGTCTGACTTGGCTTTGCGGTTGATTTACAATGGCCTTCATTGATTTTTATCAATAGTTTATTTTCGCTGGTTATAACCAAAATTATTCTTAACACCTTTTGTGTAATGGGTCGAGAACAACAAAATGTTTCATTGTTGTAAATCTTGGACTCGATCTTAGAATTGCTTTAAAGACTACTAATGGCACATTAGTTGCATCAACATCTCACGTGCTTATACAACACTTAATATTGGGTTACTCGAAAATAAACGAGATGCTTCATTTTCATTCGTTGTCGTCTCATATTTCTATTTTCTGATTAATTTCAGTCATGGTCAGGGTACCAAACCATAAAAAGCCCCATTCGGTAATATTTCCAGTGTTGACGTTTACTCGTACACTATTATAAATGAGCAATTCTGCAAGTGTCTAAGATTACTCAAATATTGGACGATTCTAACATTTATTGGTCTGTTGTTTCAAATTAGTTCTAGCCCTGAATAATAATTTAATTCTTTGTGGTACTGCCAAAATTAAGCCCAAACTCAAACTATACTTTATTTACAGATCAGATCACTCGAGACATCGAATTTTTTTAATCACATAAGGCGTTTTTAAGTAATAGGATTCGCTACTAGATCGGGGTCACATCGCAATGCGACGGTTTTTGAATCTTTTTCAAAATCAATAGTATATTATTTTATTTCTTTTTTAAGTTACGAAGACAGGTACACAATAAGAATAAGCGTATATAAAATTAATTAGCTTTGGTGTAACATCGATTTAAATTAAACTATCTTTCAAAAGTTCAATTTTGAACCCTTGCACCTGAGATTTACGCTTCTCAAAACCTAAAATTCCCGGCATATATATTTTTTTGTTCCATAAATTGGTGTAGCATCTGCATATTATTTACCACCTATTGACCGTGGTGAGCTTACGGCGATCATATGCTAATGATGCACCCACAAAAAAAAGAAATTACATAGCGGGGCTCGATGTTGTATGCTACAGTTAAAATGCTTGCAATAATAATATACCCAATAATTAAATTAACTATACAAAATAAATAACCAGTATGCAAAGGAACGGAATAAAACAATTAATGGTAGTTAACCGCAAAGAATAGAAAAATATGAGAATGAAAGGAATGGAATATGACATAATTAAACAATTTTCAAAATAGATAAAACAAGTATAGACAAGATGTCATAGTTAAAATAAATATGGGAAATTCAAAATAAATATTATAATAGTAATAAAATTTGATAAAAAAACGGAGAAGTAAATAATGCTGTAAATTTGATTTGTTGTAGTTAAAAGTTAAAAGTCAATGTGAGCGTCACTTTGGGGGATTTCAGTATAATAACTCTGTAAAGCTCTCTTTAAAGCTGGGACTAACTTATCCCATCTTAAAATACGAACTTCCTTATCAAAACCTCTTGGTTTTCTTATTTCATAACCCATGATTCTCTTGGCCAATTCAACACGGTAGTCTTGATTAGTTGGTTGTTGTGGGTATTGCAGATGTCCAAAAGTAGGAGTGTTATTAGATGAGTTTCCTGTTGACAGATCATTCATACGTGAAGAGATTGGTTTCTTGGACCAAAATGGAACCAAGTTTGATCTTACTCTACCTCTTTCTCTTCTTTTCTCAGCTGAATCTTTGGCTTCAGTGCCTATTAATAATTCAACTATTTCGACAACTTCAACGGAGGTAATATAATATTGATAAGTCTCTCCATCATCTTCGCATCGTATGTAACTCTTAGGCGACCCTCCACTTCTTGGACTGTCTTCATCACCACTGCTTTGAGAATCATAGTACTCATCATTCAATCTTACTTTACATTTCAAGCAAGAAACTTCAACGACGTCCACGCTCTTAGCTGCTGGTAATGTGGTTGGGTTTTCATTAGCACTGCCAACAATTGAAAAGTTGGCGATTAACTTTGGACCTTTCTGTACTCTTTCTATTCTAATGATACGACGACCATCATCTTTTTCCAGCTTTGACCATTGAGGATAACAAATGTCTTCAATTGTAGCTCCATTCAAACTCAATTCAACTGGTAAGAAAATAGCATCACTATCAATAGATTGTTTTGGTGGTCTGGTGGTACTTCCTCCAGCAGATACACCTCTAATGACTCTGTATCTTCTGCTGCCACCTATGCGAGATCCATAACTGGTTTGAACTTTTTGATGATGTTGTTGTGTGATTAATTGATTTGATGATGATGGTTTGAAGTTTTCTAAATCATCTTCTTCGTCTTCGTCTTTTATTCTAAACGAACCAGCCAATAAAGATGGTGCAGATGCAGTATGATTAAGTTGAGGATTCATGTAATACTCTTGATTAGCAGCGTTTCCAGTAGAGGTAGTACCAGCTGTTGATGGGGGAGTATACGATAAATGATCAAAACTAGCAGTATTAGTAGCATTGGTATTTATCTGGGAAATGTTAGGTTGTATTTGACTATTGTGATGGTTAATATCAAATGACATAGAAGTAGCTGACATAAGTGATGATGATATGGGGTTGTTGTTCATTGGTTGTGGGGAGTAATATTTGTTAGAAGCACCTGAGTAATGAACATTAGTACCAGAATTGTCAAAAAATGTTGAATTGAAGTATGTGTTATCAGAACTTGAAGTAATATTATAATTAAAGTTTGGAGTATGAGAAGATAACAAGTCATAATCTACACCATTTGCAGCAAACATTCTATTGTTATTGTATACGTCATTGGTAGTATTAGTAGATGTATTGTTAGAGAATGAATAAAGTTGCTGTTGTTGTTGTTGTGGACCACTTATGTTTTGAACTTGTTGATGAGCAAAATGAGGGTCTTGTTGATGGGGTTGAACAGGTGTCTGTATGTGTCCCTGAGCTTGCTGTTGATGTGCTTGGACTCCATAGTTAACATAAGAATGGCCAGCATTCACATTCCCCACATTATAAGGAGAGCTGATGTTCGCATTAATATATGAAGCATTATTAGTAACAGTATTTGAACCTGCAACAGCACCAGTATTAGAAGCAGTTGTACCAACTTGGCCAACGGCTAAATTAGGAGACTCATGACCATAATTTGAGTTAGAAAATGTTTCATCAAAGCTTGGAGTCTCATCAAGAAAGTAACCTCCACTATTTGCAATCAATGGAAATTCATTCAATTGATTGGAATCTGAAGAAGGGTCAAGCATATCAAAGCGAATGGTATGAAGGAGACTTGGTGATGATGATGAAAACATATGTCAATAATTAAAAAATATAATTCGTAAAACAAGTTGATTGTAAAAGGTGAAAAATATCTGTCAATATATATTCTGTTTTTGACCGCTCTTGCAACAGAGGATGGAAGCCGGCGATGAGTATTAAAGTATGGGGGATCGTTCCTCGATGCAACGGTTACCAAATTAGACAGTTTCTAAATATAACAAGAATGCCAATGTTAACCTGCTGTGATCTAGTTAATCAAAAAGAAATGACCAAAAAAAGAGGTGAAGCAAATGGCAAAACGTCATTTATATAAACTGTGAATGTAGGACAGAATACAAATTACAGGAAACAAAAAAGGGAACGAATACAAAAAAGAAAAATATACTAATTAATCCAGTATAAAAAATAATTAGAAAAAATACATTAAAAAATAAATAAACAAATTAAAAAATAAATTCATCTACTCTTAAAAATATTCCCTGTCTCTATTAAAAAATAAATCCTTTCCTTGAAGATGCATTGCATTAAATGGTAATCTGAATGTTAACTATGTCAATAAATCCATAAAGAACAAAAAGAAAAGCTGCTAAAAAATATTTGTATTTTTGTGCTACTTCAGGAAATTCCTCAAAAAGTACGAATTTGGTTTTTCATATAATATTCTCAATGATAAAAAATATTATTAAAGTGATGAACTTCAGAAAAAAAGAAATTCACCCTATCTTTGATTTTCCTTTGATGCATCCACCTTGATGCAGATCCCATATAAAACTAATCGCAAGCTCGGAACAAACCTGGACGCATCCTCTTGCGTTGCAATAGGCTTTTTTGTGTACTTTCTTTTTCCTTCCCTCCTTCTTCAGCGCCTGCGTAACTGTGTGTGACCCAATTAATCAGAGGGAATGGAAATGTGAGATTGAATAGGATATTCAAGCGCATCAACAAAATTTTCCATTCTTCCTGTATGTTATCACAACATCGCACTACACCTTTTACAATGATATTGTTGTTCCTGATCTGTTAACAATGTATATTGACAGCTATTACAAGGAGAGAATTTATTAAAAATATAAACATAGTCCAGTATAAAATGGTCGTTGACCGAAGAAGTTTATTTACTTAGTTTCTAAGTCAAAAATCCATGACGTATTATTTAGAGTGTAAGCATTAGGTTTATATTTTGAACTTAATTTTGTGTTACGCGTTCAACCGTTATTATCTTATAGATAAAGTTTTGCTTTTCATTTTTCCTAAATGGAACTCTACTTGACTTAACCTCTAGGTCAACTGTGGGTACTATCTTGCATATACTTAATATTATGCTCGATTTTGATTGTCTGTCTTTTGTATTCTTTTATTTGTCTTGTTTTTGTGCTTCCAAAATCGACATACCTTTGGTCATTTTTTCTGCCATAGGTACAGCCTACATCTGGCTTATTCGATCTTTTTGTAAACTTCAACCTTGTTAAAAACCGTTCCTGACAAGTTAACTCTGGTATTACTGGCATTCTTCCGATTAAGTCTAACACAAAAATGATATCCATTAACAAAGTTAAATTAATAGGATTTTGACTCTTTCTAAGATTAGGCTCTATCCTCTACGATTGAATCATGTTCTTTTTGAACTTGTTGGGTGAACATTCAGTCATATGATATTCTTAACACGCATAAATTACTTTGACAATTATAATAATTCTAAAAAATAACAGTAATAGCTATTAAATAGATGAAAAATAACGTGGATAACAATAAAAATAATGAAGTAATTAAGGTAAATGAAAAGTGGGAAAATTGTGAGGGGTTGTGAAAATTGGTTGCTGTAGCATAATTTAATTGAACCATGGTCTAATTTAATAATTAACTCTACTTTTGTATGCTAACCTTCTGGAAGTCGAAGACAGATGTCAAAATAATACCTTTCAGAAATAATTTATTTTTTACGAAGAAGGTGAGTTTTGTTCATCGAGCATTGAATCGAAAGAAAAAGTTGAAAAATTTTAACATCAACGTGAAATTAAAAAATAAAATTATACGGAATTGTCAAATTTATTTTTATTATTCTCAAAATCTAGTATCACTTTTAGGTTTTGAAAAAGCTCGATCCATTATGAGCCCTCTCTTTGTGTTCTTCGGTGACCTTCGCCAGCAAGTCTACTACAGTACAAAATATTTTTGAATGGAGTTAGTTAAATCCTCCCACAAAAAGCATGAAGATGAGGAAAAATTTTATCTTCGATTACGTTCGCTTGATTCAATTACATCATAGCTTCAATTGTTTAAATCAACTTGAGGTGTATGTAAAGTTTCGATGATATTGTTTAGCCTCAAATGTAAAGAACGATCTTAATTCGTCTTCTAGAATAATTGTTCTAGAGCCTTGCTGTGTTCAATTTTTCCGATTCTTTTGTTCAAATGGCTATTTTTAATTTTTACTGAACAATTTAAATGCTTCTGATCTTTATCAAAATTGAGCTACATATTTTATCACTTAGTATAAACTTGTGTTTGATTCTTAAAATGACCAAGCTTTAACTAAGATACTTCTCAAACTTTTCACATGCTGTAATACAAAAGGGTTGGATCCAGACTTCATGTAGACCTATTTAAAGATTGTAATATGCAAAGAGTTTAGTACGAAGGGACCATATGTAGAAAAATAAAGTAAAATTCAACTATAATTGACATGTTTTTTGCTTGCATCAAACTAACGTACTACATCGTATGTTCGTCTTGTAGACTTGACGTTAAATGGCCACGGAAGCAAGAATAGTTGTCCCAGTCTATTGATTCCTAAAATATTATTAGTGGTGACCCAAATAACGTTTAACTAAAATTTATCTAAAATTCTCCTAAATCTATAATTTTATAAGGTGAAAATTAGAGAATTACGTCATGAAAGAACAATTTGTAATTACATTACCCTAATTTTCGAGGAACTATTAGAGCCCCATTTAATTACTAAATCTCCACTAATTTGAGCTTTAAAAATAATATTTTGTAACAGTTACATAATTTTCTCTACTGTGGTAAAGTCTTCTTTGAAGTCTTACTTTCATTCTTTTTCTTCTCACTAGAAAATATTTACATATTTTTTTAAACGCACGTCTACAAATGCTCCGAAAAAATATTCTCACTGATACTGATAATATTGGCATGGTTTCCCAATAAGGCAATTTGGTTATCCAAATCCTGCATGAGAAGCTTCAGCTATCTTCACAATATAAATGCAAAAAATAACTTGGTTCCATTCAAATAGCATTTGATTTACTGATCAATATGAATCTTCTTCCAGGATGATTGATAGCGGGGAAACATACATCTAATGATCAGCAGATTCTGAAAGGTGTTGCAAGTTAGGATAGTTCAAGCAAATTTACTACACTCAGTTTTGAACTATCTGAATTGCTTTGATCACACAAATAAGTCAATGTTTTTTGTACAAGATCTGAGCCCTGTCGCTTTTCTTTTCATATGACTTTCAGTATTTTCTTAAATTCGTATCAAGCTTCTTTTGCCTAGGTTTGCGGAATTAAACATATACTGACATCGTCTTATCAAGTCCTTGTTTAAATCATATCCTAATCTGCCTCATTTTGTGTCATTGATTAAGCAAACTAAGCACTGTTGGTATGTAGTCTCTGCGACTATCTTTGTTTTACATGTAGTTACATTCACTATTTCGTTATTTGTTAAATTATTGTCAGGCAAATTTCCCAGTAAAGCTTTGGTAATATAACTAGTAAACTACAGCTACAAGAATTTCACATTATTATTTACAAGAGCTCATGTTCTAGATCTTAATGATTGTTTGGTATTCTTAACTTCAGATACCGCAATTTGTACTTAGCCTTAGTTTCATATCAACCCTCGGACATAAAACTCCCAGTTTCAAGCACTATGTCGACCAGAACTTCTTTAAGAGAACGTATTTCCTAACTACCTCTTATCTAATGCATGTTGTGCAGTCTCGCTCCTCGTTAGCTTTTTTTGCCTACTGCTATTGTCAAAGATTCGCTTTCTAGTTTGAGCAGCGCAATTTTAAAGCAATTAGACAACTTTCGACCCGGATAAATATAATTCCTTGGTATCTGCACAATAAGGAGATGGTGAACGTTGGAACGTCTGTGATAATTCTTCCATTTGCTTATTTGCGTAAAACTAACAAAAGAATATAATAATGTGGAGTTATTTGCCATTCAACATCCGTAATTCTACTCCCGTATCGCCGTCATGGGCCCCTTTCGTCTATACATCGCTGATTTCTACGTTATTACCTCTTTTCCCTACTTCAATTGCACTTTAAAGCTTTTTTTTGTTTTGAGCTTTACAAAGACCGTGGACTGGTGATTCATATTTGCATGTGCAAAATTAAAACCATTTCGCGCAATCCACTTCTTAATCACTTTAGTGATGCGCAATGTACAAGATAATTCCTGTAGCACAGTCAGCTACTTTACTTAAGATTTTCCGTAATCAAGCTTTATCGTAAACACTCTTAAACGCAAACGAAGAAACTATTCAATCATTGTTCCTCCTATCTAATGAATTTCTTTTTCTATGCAGCTAAACATGAGCGGGTTTATTCTTCCAAGAATCAATTCGGGCCTAACCGGTTGGTGCTGACAAAATAGAAGTGGTTAATCGTGTCGTTCATCGCATGGAGCAGGCAAAACAACTTCTATTACTATTATGAACTTCCCAGAACACTACCTGTTGTAGTTGGTCCTTCGTAGAATGATAGATAAACTGAACCTAGAAAGAATTCTACAAATATTCCTTGGGAAAATCCTGAAGATCCTTTCATCCAGAGGAATAATTCGGAAATTACAGATTGAATTCTACCGTAAAAGCATCCTAAAATAAATTATTTATACTAAAAGTGCAAATCAAGAGAAGCTATGGCGTATCCCTACATGTGTCCCGGTAGGAAGTTATTTTCCGTCGAACTAAATGCATACGTAAAGCGACTTAAGTTTAGGCATAGCGTCTTATTAATCTTAGCGACCCATAAGATTAAGAAGGCATGATTGAAATTACTTTATTTTCTTTAGCAGTCATTTGAGGCTATTTTACACTATGAGAGTAAACTTCCTCGTAAGTATAAGATTTATTTTCCTAAGGTGAAGATATTTTTTTAAGTCTTTGAAATACTTTGAACAAAAATGCTGACAAGGCAATTTAATTACATAATTTTAAAGTTTTCCAACTTCAGAAGATTAAAAAGTTTTAGTTCCAAGATCAGCCACAAAGTCAAACATTAAATATACTCTTACCAGTCAAAGCAAATGATGTCAGAGAATGTCATTTATCCGCTTTTGATATTCTTGCATTATATGCTAGCATAAATTACAGTTAATTACAGCTAAATTCACATATAGTATTTGTATATGATAAAATTAGACCTTAATAAAAGAACCTGGAAGACTTTTTGGCATATAACATCAAAATTTATGTGGCTAAAATTGTAATGGAAGGAAGAATTGAATCTTTCCATACTTGAAAGTACGTTCAAAAACTAAATGAGACGCTTCTGCACATATACCATCTTGGGTCATTCGACAATGAATTGGTAGAAACATTGAGGCAATGCCGTTTTATTAGCACCAATTTCCCGACAATAAAATTAGCAGCATAAGTTCACCTCAAAAGTTGTGTGCACAGAAGTGAGCATTAAAAAATATGCTTTTACTTCCAGAGGGTACTCCATTAAGCCTTTTGGAGTCTTAAGGCTGCAGGTTGCAAATATAAAAAATTTTACTTAAGATTGTTTAATAATTCTACATTTACGCAAAGAGTACAAAATTAAGAAAATGTACTCCTAAAAAGGAAGCCTTCGCGCATCACATTCTTCATTTTTCTCTTCGATAAATGTATAATGACATAGTGCATATGTAATAGATAGCCATTTATCCAAACCCTACAGCAATTTTCGAACAATAAACCTTCCTCATCACGTCCAATCATAGAAATTTTTCAATTTATTTTTAATAAGTGTCCAGATTTGATTTAAGTTGTGGCTAAGGCTGGTGGGAGTATACATTCTCGACAGAATGCCGTTTCTTATTTTACAATGGCTTCTATACATATTGGATCAATTTTTTATTTTTTTTTAGTTTTTGATTGTTCCATTCGATAAGCTCATCGAGTCAAACATTTTCTCTTAACTTTATTAATTAAATTTTATCCTCTGATCTATACAGTCTGGCTTTCTAAATTTAGTAATTGAATTCCAAGTTATAATCCCGATTATGAACTCTATATTACTTGCCGGCATTTATTTTCCACAACAATTCGTAAATTAAGTCCACTTCTGCATCTTCCTTTTAGTTAGATCTGTAATGTGACGTCTTCTGCTTATTTTTATCTGTCCATTTGAAAGCACTTTGTAAGTTAATTAACCAGAGTTAGCGAGAATTGTTCTAGCTCATTCTAATTCTTGTTGTTGGATAATAATCTTCATGCAAATGCAACTAATTACCATATAATTAAGAAATCATCTTAACCTCCAATATGTTGCTTCTAATAATAGAAAAGGAGTGAAAGACAATCCTGTTGAAGTTGATTTTTCCAAAAATTTGATTCAAATCTACAAAAATTATAACTAGATTTTATCGCGACCATTCAAGTCGCAAATCTAATACAACTTTTTGACATTAAGCAAAATGCGACAAAATTTATACAGGCTTTATTCAATTTTATAATATGTTTATATAACTATTTATTGATTTCAGCTTTAGTTAAAATTTTATAGACAACAAGTACAAATAAAGAATATTCAGAATTTAATTACAACAAATTTAAAAATAATCATAAATAGCAACCAGGTAAAGTTACTATAATTACGGTCAATTTGATCATAACTTCTTCTTGTCGTATTTAGGATAATAAGTAGTAAACAAGAAACCATCAAGTAAGATTAAACCTGTAATAATGGATGCATGAAGACTTAATACCAATTTATTATCAGTGTTGATCCTACTCCTTTCTAAATAAGCAGCGTATCCGGCAGCAATACCGGTAATACCAACAACAGTTTGAGCAATGACTACTGGATTTTGCAATTCAGTTACAGTCTGAGAAAATACAGTGGAGGATGTCTTCGATGCTTTACTTGCAACACCTTGAATAGAAGTTTGAGCTTGAGCTCCAACGCGTTTCAATGAATCAAGAAGTTTGGCAAAATAAGATTCAGCTTCCTTTCTAAATTTTCGTAATTCCTTCTTGATTTTCTCACCTTCTGTTTTACCCTCTTCATAAGCATCTTTGGCGATTCCTTCAACATCCTTCTTTAAGTTTTCGTATTCTTCTTCAATCTGTTGAGTAGGAGTCTGCTTGTGGACTTCTGGAACACTAGGAAATTCGGAGGACATATCACTGTTTGTTTTAATTAATACCTAAATGGAAACCAGTATATTTGTTGTGAAGTGCTAGCCGTACTAGTTCTTGAATTATAATTTTATGAAACTTGGGGGTAAAGACGGGCTGTTATCTCAAAGAAAAAAATAGCTCAGACCACAAAGTTATAATGATAATTAGCGTTATCAATCGATAGTAGTATAACAAGGGATTGAATAGATTTAAATAAGCACTGAAAGGTCAAGCCAATGTGTGTAAATAATAGAATAACGAAACAGTTAAGAAAAAGAAGAAAAGTATGTGTTATTTATGAAATAAGGTGTTCATAGACAAAAAGCAACATTAAGTGACATGTTAGGGGGGAATTTAAGTGGAATTTGTGATTTGAAAATCTGTGACAGAAATCGCATGCCGTCACTAAAAGTTAGCCTAGGGAGAAAAACTCAAAGTGGCCGGGTACTAGAAGAGTTTATTTAGGGAGATAAAATGGTTTACATACAGATATACAATTAGAGTCATTGTTATACTTCTTGATTCAAGTTCATGAGAGGCAAATAATGACCAGAATAGTTTTATATGGCAGCTGGTAAGTGGCAAAACCTCTAGACCTATTCTTTTAATATTTGCCCCCAGAACTCATTTATCAGATTTTGTCGCCAAGTGAGTGATAAATTGAAAGCTAAAAAGCGTTGCGCCGCTCCTGCCTCACTAGATTTTTTTCCTCAGCCCTCTCCTGGCGGACGTTTTTGATTGCTATCTACTGTGCAGCTCCTGCATTCTACGTCGTTATCAAAATTATTTTACCTATTTAAGAAACTAACTACTCTCAATGAGCAACGAAAACAAACCAAACAACCCAAACATTCCAGAACTGTTTTTCAGCCAATAATATTCTCGATATATATTTCCTATGGCGCTATTTTAATTATGGGAGATTTATATTTAATCGTGTGCTACCTCACTCTATAATATTTCAAATCTTCTAAGGTTCAGTGGCACCATTGTCAAATGGGCTGATCAGTATCATTCGATATAATTTAATTATTTTAAGTTAAATCTGGGGAACAGCAGATTCCGAAGATTTCCGAGCAAGTCACGAGCATAGTGTCACGCTCATATTATTAGGGCTCTTACCCTACTGACACACACTTTTTTATGCGCACTAACAAAATCTCATCAACTATCTACAAACGAAAAATCTTTTTGAAAAATGCATTATCAATACTTGCTGGTTCCTCTTTTACATCAATAGCTTTATTATTGTCGATTGAAAACCACCAACCCGGCTTTCCACGTAATATTCCGACAGTTTCAGTAAAACTAGATATAAACAGAATGTCTGCTCCAGCTGCTCCAGCTCAAGAAGCTCCAAAGAGATCCTTTGGTAGAAACAACAAGAGAGGTCCAAGAAGAGGAAGAAGAGAAGAAGAAAAAGGATGGACTCCAGTTACCAAATTAGGTAGATTAGTCAAGGCCGGTAAGATTACCTCCATTGAAGAAATCTACTTACACTCCTTACCAGTCAAGGAATACCAAATCATTGATTTATTATTACCAGACTTAAAGGATGATGTTATGAAGATCAGATCCGTCCAAAAGCAAACCAGAGCCGGTCAAAGAACCAGAATGAAGGCTGCTGTTGTTATTGGTGACTCCAACGGTCACGTTGGTATTGGTATTAAGACTGCCAAGGAAGTTGCCTCTGCTATCAAGGCCGCTATCATCATTGCCAAGTTATCCATCATCCCAATTAGAAGAGGTTACTGGGGTTCTAACTTAGGTCAACCACACTCTTTACCAACCAAGGTTACCGGTAAGTGTGGTTCCGTTTCCGTCAGATTAATCCCAGCTCCAAGAGGTAAGGGTATTGTCGCTTCCCCAGCCGTTAAGAGATTAATGCAATTAGCTGGTGTTGAAGATGTCTATACTTCTTCTTCCGGTTCTACCAGAACCATCGAAAACACCTTAAAGGCTGCTTTCGTTGCTATTGGTAACACTTACGGTTTCTTAACTCCAAACTTATGGGCTGAAACTGTCTTAGCTCCATCTCCATTAGAAGTTTACCACGAAGAAGCTTCTTCTGGTAAAAAGAGATACTAAATTTAATTATACTTTCTTTATTGTATAGTAGTAATAAATAATCTCTAATAGTAAAATCGCTTGTAGAATCCCAATATGTATAATTCCCATTAATGCTATAAATAATTTGTTAATACTACAGAAGAATAAAACTATAACTTAAAAAAAAAGATAAGAATTGCACATTAACCAGTTAATGCTAGTTCAAATGAAAGTCCAGCTTTCAATTACTTCCAGAGAATTACTCTTAGTGTATGTTTGTTCTTTTGTTATTTTTTTAGTTTCTTATTTAATTTTTTTCAGTTTTCATTTTTATTCTTTTTTAAACATAACTTTATAATATAATAATTTCATTTAAAACAGATATAAACTCTCAAGAAGTAGAAAATAGAGAAGACAGAATAAAAAGTATGATATCATACTCATTTTCTATCCTTGAGCACTGAACGCACTGACTTGATCATCAGCAACGGCAAATGCTCTTGAAGATGTACCTACTGTCATAGTAGTATCAGTATGCTCGTCATCTTTAATCCAAGTATTAGGCTTAACCACTCTTTCAGCAGGATGCTTGTATAAACAATATTTATTCAGACAAGCAGCACCAAATCGACAATCTTCATTAAATGGATGAGCAAAAGTACAATCTAACCTTCTGCAATCACCACCTTCACGACAAGGAACTGATGAAGTAGCATGTCTTCTAGGACATTTAGGTTTCTTACATGCTGTACCAAACTTACATTGTTCAAGTGCAAGTTCTTTGGCTGATGGAGCCAGTTTAATAGCAGCAGATGATGGAGGAGGATGTGCCATAGTACAATTCTTATTTAAACAATTCTTACCAGCTTCACACCATGAAAGTGTATCTATCTTAGCATCCTTGTTTGCTGGAGTTGGATGGACGAAAGGACAGGTATCTTTACCACATTCTAAACCATATTTACATAATGCAGCCTTAAGTTGGAAATCAAATTGCTTCTTCTTTTCAAATTCCTGTTTGGAAACTTCCAACTTTTGAATTAACTCTTGATCTTGATCTGGATGTAAATAATTACAAGTTCCTGGTGCGTTAGGACAGTTTGGATATAAGAAACAATTCTTAGTAGGATGAGATTTAGGACATTCTTTATTCTTACAATAAGGAAAGTCAGGACATCTACCCTTCGGAATATTATGAATATTGACATTCTGATTGTTCGAGCTTAAAGCTTTTTCAAATTTCTTTTGAGTTTGGTCAGTTGGACCCTTTCTATGAGAGTTGGTACGATCATTACCTGTCTTACCTATTCCTCCTTTATTTATACCACCTTTTAAATTATTTCTTGCAGTAGCTCCTCCTATACCTCTTGTTTGAGTACGATCCAGAGTTGGTCTTCTAAAATCTCTAGGGTTTGTAGGTTTAGTACGTTCAGTACTAGTTTCAAGGAATGCAGTGTTGGGGAATTCCGGTATCTGTTGTTTGTTAGTTACTGGAACAGCAGCAGCAGCAGCAGCAGCAGCAGCTGGAACAGTGGTTGGAGCGACTTGTGGTGGTACTCCATTAGCTACCAAAATATTTATATATTGAAGCAACTCTAATATGAAATCAGCTTCAATATTTATTTCAGTTATATCTCTTAATTCTTTAATAATAGTAGGAACATCAGTATTCGATGCTACTAATACACAAATATATTCAGCAAGATCGGCAGCTTCTCCGGTATTATTGGGAAATCGCTTCCCAATCTCAACTTCAATACTACGTCTCACTTCTCGTCCAATAGGATCGTCTAAATCGAATGACATGTTTAGTTAGCTGAGGTGTATTTATCTTTCAGATGCGTTTATATTCGTATTAACAAATTATTCATAATCAAAAGTTTCGAGCTGGTTCAGAGATTCTAGCCGTTTCGCACGACCCATCTACATGCAGGCTACTCTGTATATTATTTTTTGTGTGTCCCAATGGGGAAATGGTTCGCAACCAAACTCTATATATTTTTGCAAGCTATACAAGTTGGAACATGTCCTCAGATAAGTGACCATCTGCAAGATGGAGATGGACCAAATGATTAATTATATTATCTAACTGTTCAGTAATACTTGAGGCCACCAAGATGTATGAATACATCAAAATAAAGTCAGTATTGGAAAGTGATAAGTCTGGTTGTTCGGAAATCTTTCTCCTTACTTCACTTAATTTATATAGCATTCTATCCTTAGCATGATCTATAGAAGCTGGTTTAGCTGGTAATGGAAATCCTAACCTTAATGAACTGGCTAACATATAAAATATTAAAAAGATCCGTTGTTCAACTTCGTATCGTTCTTCTTGAGTATATTTAAGAAGTGATTCTTCATTGGGAGACAAGATTGGATCAACTTTAATCATTAAATTCATATTTTGAAATGCATCAATAATAGTCGATGTACTTCGTAGAATATCTGAGTAGGTACTCACAGGAAATGTCCCTTTCAATCTAAATTCAATTGGTGCCTGTTTCAATAATGTTTCACATTCAGTCAATAAACTATTAATACCTGGTTCATCCTTAAGACCAATTAGGGTTAAACTTAAAGGATCATAATCTAAAATATCACTATTCCAAATCAATCCTAATCGTAACCATAAAGTAATAAGCCCTCTTTTCAATCTAGAACGGGCACTATTAGGTAAGAAAACTGAAGCCATGACAAGGGCCCAAATGATTCCAACTGAGACAGCCATAAATCTATGAAATGCAATTTCTCCAACAATTGGATCATCACCACCCTCATTCCCATCTTCTGTATCCTTTTGAATCATACTATATGAATACAATGCGGTCAAATTGTACGTCAATAATATAAATCTTCCAAATGGGTTATTCTTTTTCCAGAATAAAATAATGTAAAATGATGGAATAGAAATTAGAAATCCAGTCATTGCTAATGCATATACATTCCCATTAGTTATAATCCAAATAATATAAGCAGTGAATGATCCTAAAAATGTCCCCAATATTCTCCATTTAACAGTCATGGTAGTTCCACCTAAGGATTTGTTCATCATAATACAATAGATAGCCAAAGCCCATTCACCTCTCCAATTATTGAAGTATTCTTTAGTTCCTGGATAATAAGCGAATAAGGACAAGCAAAAGGCTCCTAACCCAACACGTAGACCAAATTGGAAATCGGTTCTTCTAAGTACCTTCAAACTTTTCCATAATTCGAAAGTATACTTGTCTGTGCCTGTTTTAGCCAATTCTTTGTTATGTGGACCATAATGATTCTGCAAATCATTAATGGCAGCACGCAATGTATTAGCTCGATCTGGTATATTGTTATTCTTCTTAACCCCATCCGGGTGACTATTTCTCCAAATCTTTAACCAAGGCCATGATAGTCTTGATGCTCTAGCATCTTCATATGTCTCTGTTAATTTCAAAAATTCCATCAATTCATTGGCATATAAGCCAAGAATTGATGCAAAATTACCACAACATGCTGTGATTTCTTCCTGTTCAGCTTTAAATAAGAAGTTATCAGTAGCTTTAAAAATATCTTGGGAATATAATTTCTCTAATGACTCTGCTTGCTTGGCTTCAAATAATTTAATAGCTTCACTTAAACTTATTTGTAAAGTAGTAGTATCAGCAAATTTATTTGGACTATCATCTCTATATTTTTCAAAGGGAACTTGACTTAAGATATCCTTCAAAGTAAATATGAATGATTTAATAGAGGGAGATAAATAATAGACAAATAAACCGAATAGTTGCTCACTGGTCTCAGCATCTACTTGACTATGATCATGCTGATTTAATAAAGTCATATTCTCTACTGAATGAGATAACCTCAAATCACCTTCACTACTATAACTATCCAAACTGGTAACAGAGGTAGCTTCTGAGTTGGCTGGTGTTTGAATATGATCATGTAAAAGGTGTTGTTGCATTTCTACCGAACTTCTCAAGGCCTGTATATGTTTTGTTAATTCAATTGTTGATTCAACCAATTCATTGAATAATAACCATTCTTTTTCTCTTCCATATAATCTTAGCTCATACTTAGCTTCTTCCAAATTATCAACCAATGCTTTTACATTTTCCTTTAAGCTCTTAAAGATATCAGCATCTTTAGCTGTAATCTTCTCATCTGTTAAAAATCTCTTTCCAAGAACTGATAAAGCAGCTGACATAATATTATAAGAATCATTCAATGATTTTCTTAATGCTCTTATCGAACTCTTGGGCCATACTAAATAACATATGGCTACAGATATAATACATCCAATCACAACAACTTGGAATGTAGCTTCCAATCTTTGGATTGGTATGACAGATGCATTCATACTACCTTCTTTAACAATACATGTGACTAAGGAAATAGATGCTAAAGAACATGCAGTATTGAACGTTTGTTTATTAACTTTCTGTTTCAGAAATGCAACGATTCCCAATGCAATCGAACTAACTACTAAATCAATACCATAACTGATTTCATCTTCACCTACATTAAAAAATATAGTTGAAATTGATCGACAACCAAAGGAAACCGAAAAACTGAATGTTAATGAAACTATAACATATATCAAAGTTTGAGTCATTGATCCCTTTGATCTGGTAGGATGGAAATATACTGCCACTGTTGCAACTACATGCTTTGAATCTGTAGATCCAAGAAATTCATCAAATGGTGTCCAATATACACCCATTGATGCTATCAAATAAGCCAATGAACATTTCAATACACTTCTATAAATTTCATTATGATAAAGCTGATATAATGGTAGAAAAACATAATTGTACCAATAATCTTGGAAATCATAATTGGGTGATTCGTACAATAATGGATCACGATCTTGAGAATTAGAATCGGTTAATGATAAACCATTGGATATAGATGACAATGACCTACGAACTTTCTGACCTGTCAGAGCAAGTATCACTGAACTTTGTCTTTTAAATGCTGAATAAGGATGTAATTTATTTCTATCATTTTGATTGAATGAAGTAAACTGTAATAAACTCTCGTTACTTTGATCAACATCACTATCATGAATGGCTATTTCTGGAACAGAATTGGTTGACGGTAGTACTCCCTGGGAGCCATAGTTGGGCTTTGCCATCGAAATACTATGTGTTATATTTGCTATTAATTTCTATTAGTTAATCTGAAAAATCGTGAATCATCTCCAGATTTTATTATTTTTATTTTTATTTTTATTTTTTTTTTAACTTTTTATATATTTTATTTTTCCTTATCGGTTCGATCTAATATGTATAAGTATACCAATTATATTTACAGTTTATATATACCCCCTGAATAATTATTCATAACCAATGATATCTCTGAAGAGGTCTTCACATGGAACCTCTGCCTTCAATCTAGCACATAATAAGAAAACTCCACTTAATTTTCTATGAAGGGAATAAGTTTCTTCAGGTGGAGGAGTTAATCTTTCATTCAACATTAAACCAATATTACCTCTAACTCTATCAGTAATGGTTTGATTATTGAAATCAAAAGGTTTACCCTTATTATCTATTGGAGAAAATGCTTCGCCTAAAACTAAAATGGATTCAACATGAGCTTTAGTCATTTGTGGTGATTCCATACCTGTAAGGTAACCTAACTCTTTAGAATAAAATTCAACTTTTTTATGATCCTTTTTAACAGCAGCTCTTAAAACTTCTACATAATTATTAATGAATTTATCATCAAATTGTCTAGCAGCTCCAAAATCCAATAATTCAATCTTATTGGTCTTTTCATTGTAAAGGAAATTGGCCCAGTTAGGATCGGTTTGCATGAACTTAAATTTTTTAATCTCTAAAAGACACAATCTCATAATATTAGTAGCAATCCAATTATTAGTTTCTTGACTCCAATTACCCTTAACAATCTCTGTACCTCTCATTCTTTCCATTGTCAATACATGTTCTCCACACAATTTATCAAATACTCTAGGAACTTCAAAAACTTCATCATCTTTTAATAAGTCACGGAATGCTATAAGATTCTGAGCTTCTCTGATATAGTCACATTCCCATTTTAATTCGGTTCTAGCATTAGCAATGGTTTTATCAAGAAATAATCCTGCTGGTAATAATCTACTAGCTGTTAATAACAATAATAAATTGTTTAAATCTGAATCAATAGAATCTGCAACTCCAGGATATTGAACTTTTACTACCACAGGAGTTAAATCTTCCGTAACAGCAGTGTGCACTTGACCAATTGAAGCAGCAGCCATTGGAATATCTTCAAATGATGCAAATAATCTCTTTCTCCAGTTATTTCCTAATTCTTGTACCATTACTCTTTCAAGTTGACCTGGAGGCATATAATGGGCCGAATTTTGAACTCTTAATAGGATTTGTTGAATTTCCTTTGGTAACACAGAGGAATCTTGAAAAGACATCATTTGACCAATCTTTAATGCTGCTCCTCTCATTTTTGAAAATTTCTTAGCCATTCTTTCAATATTGGCTGGTGATAAAATCAATGATCCGAGATTTAAATCTGATGTTGACTTTCCTGATGCAATATGTTTTAATCCTTGAGTAGCAGCACCAATACCTACACCAGCAGCTAATGAACCATAATGAAATATTCGAGCTAATCTTGAACTGGGAACTTCACTACTTGATAACTCAAACTCTGGCTTTTCTGCTTCACCTATAATTTTTGGACTAGCAGAAGTTGTCTTTTTCCTGGGCCTTCTAATTTGAACATCTTGCTCAGTATTTTGATCTTTATTGAAGGTTTTGGTTGAATATTGTCTTTTCTGATTTATATTATTAGTCTTTGGTGGATTATGACCTCTTGTAGTAGCTTCAACATTATTTCTTGCTTTTTCTGCTCTTAATCTTGCACTTTCAAACATTGAGTAGGATCCATCATAATCCCGAAGGGGTTTGGTAACAATTGAAAAGTTATAGAAATTAGTAGTTTCTTTCTTGACAATGTTGACCGATTGACATATTATGTTTGCAGCATTATTTGCCACAACCAAGGCTTCGTACAATTGCTTGGCAGTAGGCATTGTGATTACTGTTCTAGTGGTGTTTGGCAATATTGCTGGTTCATAGTTAATTTTTCAGTGCATGCTTTGAATTTTTCACTGGCGGATATCTCTGCCGCGGAACGGGGAATGGTTCTTATAGTAAGTTTTGAAGAGTAAGAGTTACTAATAACATAATCTAAAGTAAGACAAGAATGTAACTAGTACCTATGGTGCTAAGTTATCATTTTCAGGAGACTTGTAAGTGTATAATGTATTACAATGCATTGTGTTTGAATAACATATGATTAATGACTAACAATTATGAAATACTATTGCGAAAATTCGCAGTAATTGCAAAATATGTTACACTATAAGAAAACTATATTTTGAACGTTATATCTTATAATTAAGGTAACAGCTGATAACCGTATGAAAAATATGAACTAGATTACAATAATATGCTTAGATAAGTAGATTAAAACAAAAACCATGCTGTAAAATCTTAGTACATTCTCTGACTATACTCACCATTTTAACCAAACCAAACCAAAGCAAACTAAACCAAGTTAAAGTTCAATACAATGAATGATCTAGCAAATCACATTCTTACATGGTACTAGCTCAGCCTCCTTATTCCAAACCTTATTCACATAGACTTGTGATACTGCCCTAACTCTGTACCTTAATAACGGTTATATGCTATCCAATTCACACGACCCGAACCCCTTTCGCACACAATCCCGATTAGGCATAAATTGTGTTTGTTTATGTTTTCGGACACTATCTATCTTCTAAATTTAACCTGGCAGTGTAATTACTAGAGAAGGGACCAAGATACTTACAGCTCGTTTAACTACACCAGGCAGGACTACCGCAGTTAGTGACTACATATTCATATTTTTTTCCAGCTAGACTAATTCAGACCAAACAGGTATAAATCCGAAATTGAAGGTAAGCCAAATTTCATATTGCATTAACGAGAATGTCGAAGAGAAGTTCGATTATCGGTAAATCTCCAAGAGATGAATCCTTAGCTACATTTAATAATCCATACGAAAGAAGACTGTCATTTTTAGAGAAACTGCCTCAATTACCTCAGAATCAATTTGCATCACAAGATGAAAAATCACTTAAAGTCATTATTAATGATGATCCCGTAATACCTCAATATCAATTACAAAGTCAATTCACTAAGAATACTCAATATAATTGTAAATTTGTAGTTGTTGGTGATGGTGGTTGTGGTAAAACAAGTTTACTTATATCTTATACTCAGCAAAAGTTTCCTGAAGTTTATGTTCCCACAATCTTTGAAAATTATGTTACGAATATATTAGCTCCTAATGGTAAAAATATTGAATTGGCTTTATGGGATACAGCAGGTCAAGAAGAATATGATAGATTAAGACCATTAAGTTACCCAAATGCAGATATAATTTTAATTTGTTTTGCATTAAACAATATGATTTCTTTACAAAATGTTAAGGATATTTGGTATCCTGAAGTTAATCATTTTTGTCCTGGTATTCCAATTTTATTGGTAGGTACAAAGAGTGATTTAATATCTGATGTTAATGCTGATCTTGCTATTCAAGTTGCTACTGAAATAGGAGCAATTGGATTTATTGAATGTAGTGCCAAAAATATGTTTAATACCAAGACAGTATTTAATTTTGCATTAAACCATTTTCAAAAATTGAAAGAATTACAGGAACAATATGATAAAACCAACAAAAACAGATTATCCAAAGTATTTAATGGTCATTCACGTAATTCATCAGCAGCTTCAAGAAAGGGTCATTACAAGAATATGTCATATGATTCGACTCGTTACAATCCCGTACATGAACATGATGATGACGTTAATCAATTCACTAATCCGTATGAGAACCCGAATAAGTATCACAATGAAGAGTTTACATTTACCAGAGATGAAAAGAAAAAGAGAAAATGTATCATCTTATGAATGAATCTAAGCCCTATCGCACTTATATAGTATAGTCTTTATTCAGCATTAATCTTTTTATAGATTCTCTAGATCACAATTACAGTTTAATTCTTATTACTCCCATTTTAGAACTCTATTGATTTTTTTTCCTTCTCTCTCAGTTTATACATTCACTATTTGCAAACTTGTCGTTATATATAGAATATAAATTTGAACTTCCAGCTCCCCCACGCTTAACGATAATTTTATGCGCATATCGACAAACGTTTAAACTGAGAAACACTTTTCAACTCTGTTACAGACTATTGGTAACGAGCAGAAGGGTCATGTCGAAACAGTTCAATAGACTGCAATTGCAGACGTCGGAAGACTCCTCCAGTCATATCAGCCAGAGGAGTCAGAGAGTTCCAGTTGATAAACGTAAACATGAATATGAACATAAACATGATGATAAACAAAATAAACACGAACTTGATGAGCATGGAGATGGATTACCAGATGCTGGTAACCAATCCAATGATCACTACAAAACAAGATTGTCACCATTACGATATAAATTAAGAACTGCATTATTACCATATATAAGAGCAGAGACAGCTATATTATATAAATTACAAACAAAATTAAGACATCCTACGTTAGACTTTTACTTTGCGTGGACTGCTAATTTAGCCAGTCATACATTTTATGTATTGATGTTACCACCACCCCTTTGGTTTGGAGCTTCTAAATTAGCTAGAGATTTAGTATATGTTCTTGGATTTGGAATCTATTTTACAGGATTCTTAAAGGACTTTTTCTGTTTACCAAGACCAAGATCACCTCCATTACATAGAATTACCATGTCATCATATACTACTCAAGAGTATGGATTCCCATCTTCACATGCAGCCAATGCTACGGCTGTCACATTAATACTATTAGGTAAATTAATTGAAATTAGATCAGATTTAAGTTTTCTAGTATTCAATACTCTGTTAGCAGGACTTCTTATTTATTACTTATCATTAATATTTGGAAGATTATATTGTGGTATGCATGGATTCCTCGATATATTAATTGGATCATGTGTAGGAATCACTTGCTTTTCATTCCGTCAATTTTATGGAAATCAATGGGATGATTTACTTTTTAATAATTCATTAAATATATTCATTACTCCCATATTAATTATTATGGGATATATCTCATTAATTCATTATCATTCAGAACCAATTGATGATTGTCCTTGTTTCGATGACTCTGTTGCATTTGTGGGAGTTTTAATTGGATTAGATTTATCTCACTATGTAGGTGTCAAGACTCAATACTTAGCCGAAAGGAATCCATATCATGATGCGGTAATGATTAATTATGATTTTAATAAATTAGGAGTAATTAAGAGTTTTATAAGATTTCTAATGGGTGTAATTTTGGTAGTGATTTGGAAAGCCGTTTCTAAACCAATTATTTATACTATATTACCACCAATTTATAAATTCATTGGGATTTATTTACCTAGACATAATTATATTCCTACAGCACTTACTACCAATTCCAATCGACAAATTCGTTCAGCCTCTATTTCCAATGATAAGAGTGGAATTGGAGATATTAATACATTTTTGAATGCATTAACGGATCATGAGAATGTAGATGAAGTGGGTCCAGAAACTGATATAGATTATTATGCTATGCTTGATTATAAGAAAAACCAACAACAAAAGAACTACAGTAGTAGTAGTAGTAGCAGTAGTACTACTGCTACTAATAATAAAGGCAATGGATCTGTACCAGAAGATGATATAACACTTATGAAAACAAGTGGAGTATTTAAACCTCGATATGATGTAGAGATCGTTGGCCGATTAATTGTCTACGCTGGAGTGGCCACTACAGCTGTTTGGGGGTTTGCACTCACTACCGAACTTATTGGATTAAACTAATCTACATTCTACATTCTACATTCTACATTCTACATTCATACACTCTCTTCAGTATATAGTATAATAGTATATATTCCCAATTTAATTTGATAGATTTAGGACCCTAATGATAATTATAGTTAAAATATTCAGGGTGGGTGGGGGGTATGTCCGTTTGTATGCAGGAAGCCATTTCAAAAAAGGGAAGGTAAAATAACAACACAACAAGGCTAAGTTAACTTAACCGTTTATAGAATTAAGCAATTACAACAGTAGGTAAGCACACGTCCATTAGCCAATTACGATACTCCGTTCGGCCTTTCAACCTCGTGTCCCGTTACAATTATATTTACCCTCAGCTAACTAATTCTAGTTAGTCTTATATCCTTTTGTGGAACAAGCCCCGATTAGGACGATTTGTTAAAAACACTTGAGACTGAGACTGAGACTGAGACTGAGAACTACTGACAAACTGAGACACCCACACACACCAACAAAACTGAGACATAGACTGAGATACAGACTGAAATACAGTTAGTCGATCCAGTTCAGCCATTGAGCATCTCAGCCTATACCATTCGTTCATCTGGCTAGTGTCACTATAGATGAAAAATAATTGATTGATTCATAAATTTCATATATCATAACAAACATAAACATAAACATAAACTTCAATTAGTGACATTCCATTCCTTTCATCATCCGATTGTTTCACTTCTTTTTACTATTGTACTATTATTATTATATTATTATTATTATCCTATCATTACTATTTACGATGAACGACACTTATAGCTCAAATCAATCAAACCCTTCAATGTATTATAATCCCGCAGCATCATCAAATAATCAACAGTCAGCATCCTCAACTTCAGCCAATGCCAATAATTCCAATACAAATGTTTCATCTTCAAATGCTAATGCCAATAATCCCAATAATTCTTCAACTAATCCTAATAATCCCGCAATTATTAATGATATATATTCTCAAATAAATCAATTAAGTAATCATTTTAATAATTATCAAACCAATAATAATGAAAAGATTAATGAAATGAATATAAAATTAAATTTCATTAATGATTCAATGGATACAATAAAACATAATTTGAATGAATTAACTCAACAAGTATTAGTATTAATTCAAAATAATAATAATAATAATACTAACAATAATAATAATAATAATCCCAACATTTCGGGATTTTATAATAATCAAAGTAAAGTTATTGAATTATTTAATAAACATATCTACAAATTAAGTAAAGATATTGAAGAATTATCTCATCCATCAAATCCGGCTGTTGGGTCTGGTTTAAATCCTCAACTACGACAACTGCAACTGCAGCAGCAACATCCTCAGCTCCATTCTCAACATCATCAATTAACTTCAAATAGAAATAGTCAATCCAATAATTCGCAACCTAATAATTCTTCGAATGCGAATAATAACGCACCAACAAATTATACAGTTTCAGGAGAAGAAGTCGTAGAAGATTTGACAAGACCGTCATTTCCGAAATCATTAAATTTGAGATCTCCTGCCCCGCAAAATAATTCAAATCCTGCTTCTCCATTTATACCGAACAGATTTAATTTCGATTTAAATTCATTTTCTACAACAAGAAATACGAATACAGGTACAAATACTAATGCAAATAATTCTACACATGGTGCTTCATCTTCAACTGCTACATTTCCAAACTTTCATAATTTGCAAGATAATGGATCTACTCCAAATTTAACTAATAATGCTGCCAATAATAATACTGATAAAAGTTCAAATAAGAAAAAACGAAGAAAGAGTTCTAAAAAAGATGATCAACAATCACCCCGTCAAGTTCAAACAAATCAACCTCAACAATCATCTGTTCCTCCTGCTTTAACAGCCAATAATTCATATATTTTACCATTACCTACTTTATTAACTAGTGATGTAACTCTGAAGAATAATCCAGCTGCAGCTCAATTTATGTCTGTTATACCAAGACAAGGAGATAATGGATCCCTTTTAAGACAAGGATCAGGACGTCAAAGCTTTTTTGGAGATGATGATATTGATAATAATATTGAAGATTTAACAGCAGGTACAACCGCAAATGGGAATACTGCATCAAATCAAGGAGGAAATCAAGAAGATGTTAGTGGAGGAGAATCTAATAAATCCAAATCTGGTAAAAAGAGAAAGAAAGATGATGGAGAAGGAAATAATAATGGAGGAAGTAAAGTTAATAAATATTCTAATCCATTAAATTTACCTAAATATAGAATTGAGAGAAGTTTAAAATCTCTTACTGATATTTGGAAAGAATATGAATATGGATTAAATGATAAACCTCCATTAAAATTATTAGAAATTAAATATGGAGCCAAATGGAGAAATGAAACAGAATCAAGAACTTTCCTTAGAAGACGAAAAATTTATGAAGCTATTGAATCAGGTAAGAGTAAAGGATATACTGAAGATCAAGTAATTCAAGATTTAGAAGCTTATCGAAGTTATGAAATTAATGGAGCCGTTAAAAAGAAACCCTTACTGTGGTTATGTACAAATATTCCTGATAAGTATGTAACTTGATTCATATTATTATAATCCAATCATTTTAAGGGTATGAATGATTACTGAAAAAAATTGCCTATTTGGGTCTTTGTGTAACTCATCTCCAAACCGTTACTATAATTTTTTTTTTAATTTTGTTTTTATAGTGAATTTTCTTTTCAACTGCTATATGCCTTAACAGGAGTAGTATAACGGTGGAAGTTGTATTTAATATCTTTCTTTCTTTCATCTAGTGTATTTTTATTGTGAATTTATAATTGCCATTGCTTAAGTGGTTTTATTAATTTTGTAGTTATGACAGATAAGAAGCGTCCTATATCTCCAGTAAATGGTGAGGTTGAGCATGAAATCATCAAGAAGCCTAATAATGGAAATGGAAATCATAAGAATAATAAAAAAATTATAAAAAGAAAGTATAAGGCTAAAGATGTTGATCCTACTGCCCCATTGGGAGTTTTACAATTTGAAATTGATGAAATCTTATCGAATCATCAATTAACTCGAGAAGATATCACCAATAATATGAGTGGAATATTAAATGATGAAACTATTCAAAAAATATATCATAGAATAGTTTCAGATGTAACTATTGAATCACTTAGTTCTAATGGTGATGGTTTAGCATTAATTCCTCATCCAGATCCTACAAAAAAATTCCAAATTGTTATAGTTCCATTTGGATTACCAGGTGATAAAGTAGAAATAAGAGTATTTAAATCTCATCCATTATATGCTGAATCTGATCTTTTAAATATAATCCAGGCTTCAGAATATAGAGATGATTCACTTATTAATTGTAAATACTTTGGTAAGTGTTCTGGATGTCAATATCAGAATGTTAATTATGATCAACAATTAATATTTAAAAGAAAAACAATCGAAAATGCATATAAATTCTTAGCTCCACTCTTATCAGCAACTAAGGGGGCATTACCTTCTGTAAGATCCACAGAACCATCTCCATTGCAATACAAATATCGTACTAAATTAACTCCTCATTTCAATATACCATTCAAAAAGGTAGTAGAAGAAAGACCTAATCTTGGGTTTGGATCAAAGGGAAGACCAACATGGAGAAAAGATGTAGATATAAAAGATGGATCCATATTGGATATTGAAGAATGTGTCATAGGTACTCCAATAATTAATCAAGGAATGACAAATGAAAGAGCTAGATTCTCTCAAGAGTTTAAAAAATATAAGAAAGGTGCCACAATCTTACTTAGAGAAGATACAAAAGTTATTGACAAAGATGAAGAAATAATATTAGCTCCAGGATCAGGATCCACAGACGTAAATGGAGAGATCTCTCATTTACAATCACAATTACCAGAAAAGCAATTAGTTAAAACATGCGTAACAGCTTCTAGACAAATTGTTAAGGAATACGTTGATGGCTATACTTTCGAATTCTCTGCTGGTGAATTTTTCCAAAATAACAATTCTATTCTACCAAGAGTAATAGATTATGTCAGATCAAATTTGTCAATTGACGAAAATGATGCTAAAGATTCAAATTATTTGGTTGATGCTTATTGTGGCTCAGGTTTATTTTCAATTACTTGTTCTCAGAACGTCTCCAAAGTTATTGGAGTTGAAGTATCGGCTGATTCTGTTAAGTTTGCAGAACGTAATGCTGCCTCCAATAAGATTGAAAATGCTAAATTCATAGTCGGTAAAGCAGAAGAGATTTTTAAGAGTATCGACACTCCTGCTGATCGTACTTCTGTAATCTTAGATCCACCTAGAAAAGGTTGTGATGATGTTTTCTTAAATCAATTATCTGATTATAACCCTGCCAAAATAGTGTATATTAGTTGTAACGTTCATTCTCAAGCCAGAGATGTCGATTGGTTCATTAACAAGACAGATAATGGTAATAAATATTACGTTGAAAGCATTAAGGGATTTGACTTCTTCCCTCAAACTCATCATGTTGAGAGTGTCGCAGTATTGGCATTAAAAAAACAGGATTAGAATAATATATAATTTAATGATAAGGACAGTTTTAAATAAATTACTACTATACTGTAACTTCTTCTATCAATTTTGCAACCGTAGAGCAGGATTGAAATATTGTAGTGTGTCACGTGACAATAGAATCAATTAGGGCTACAGACCTGATAATAGTGCGTGTAAAAGTTAAACTCACGCACAAAATTAACAGTGTGAGGGAAGTGCGACAATGAAAATTTTTGATGAATATTAAAATTATACAAGACAGTTTAACTTGAAGGTCTTCTTCTAGTCTTTTGATACATATACCATAAACACATATCAACCAAAATGGAAAACGATAAAGGTCAATTAGTAAGTACCTAATAGAGAAGTGGAAGCAAGTTGAAACTAAGAATGAAGATTAATCATTGATTAAGATGTGGAAGATAAATATCTACGAACAGTAATATGTCAAATGTGTAGAGAACAAGTAAACAGGAATAATGAAAGTTATCAGAGAAGCAACTACATATATTAGAGAATAATGTACCGAATCAATGAATAAGTTAATATAGTCTGAGGTCAACCACATCACAGTGTCGTATCATTTCATTTCAACCGTAATTCTATGTTATATATTTAGATCAAATTAAGTCATCAAGAGTTTAACCAAGACTTCAGTAAGGCGAAGAAAAGAAATACTTCAATATGAATATACCTGTAACACAAATCATGATGAAATCATGATGAAATCGTATTCGTCCCTAGTTTCAACATACAATATAGAATAACGAAATAAATACTAACATTAATTTTTAGGTTGAATTATACGTCCCAAGAAAGTGTTCTGCCACCAACAGAATCATCAAGGCCAAGGATCACGCCTCCGTCCAAATTAACATTGCCAATGTTGACGAAGAAGGAAGAGCTATTGCTGGTTCCAACGTCACTTACGCTTTATCCGGTTACATCAGAGGTAGAGGTGAAGCTGACGATTCTTTAAACAGATTAGCCCAACAAGACGGTTTATTAAAGAACGTCTGGTCTTACTCCCGTTAAGAAGAACGAGTAAAAAGGTGCATTAGTTGTATATTTATAAAAAATCTTCTAACTTTTTAATATAAACGTTTATTACAGGAAAACAAAGTGTTCAATAGCCAAATCAAGCGACAGTACATTCATAACGATAACGATAACGATATACACATTGAAAAGAAGTTCAAAAAATATTTATTCATTCAGGATAATAATATTAATTAACCACATGTTTCATGATCGCTTCTATTTTATTATTCATGTATGAAGTCATAAAACACAAAATACTTCTACATATTAATCATGTATATCAGTTTCTTTTGAATATCACTGGTCAATCAGCTTGGTTTGGTAAAATTATTAGTTGTAGTCATAGTAGTAATTCATCCCTTTATGTATTCTATTAAAAGCGCAAAGCCTACGCTGGTATGCCGAGAACTTGCGTTCCCTCTTGCATATACAGGAAGATTCTTCCATGCGGACCTCCCAAAAAAGATCTGATCGCCAAAAAGAGCAATAAATTGATAATTACGGGAAACGAGGGTTCCCAAATGGGGGTGTAACATCCAGCGAAGTAGAAAATTTCATTATTCTATTCAACCGTATGATACCCCTAGAGTTTTACCTAACTGGAAACGCTATTTTTTTGAAAAATATTCTTAAATTATCATTACAATGCGATTGTAGATAATAACAATGTAAACACTTGACTAGGTAAGCGAACACAAAACACAGTTATATGAAATAAGTACATTCACAGTTTGATAAAGTGGTAGATGATTTCTTACCGGGATGTACCGCTTCATTAAACTGTCCATACCCCTTCATACAAACTATGTGGTAGAAATTCCCTTCCGCTCATTTCGCAATTTATAGGGCGAGGTGTGGGCATTCCGCCGGCACTTTAGGGAAAACAAAAGTATATTTGGCATTAAATTACCACATTGGATTTATTATTATTATTATTATTATTTATTAATTAAGTAATATAGTTTAATTGTGTGGTAATGCCGTAGCTTCGGTTTTTCGCTCCTATTACCTATCATATTTATGCTTTTAAACAACAACAAATAGTAATTAAATAAATAAATAATAAATAAACAAACAAATAAATAAATAAATAAATAAATAAATAAATAAATAAATAAATAAATAAATAAATAAATAAATAAATAAAATAGACAAACCAGCGATTACAAATGCATATATTAAAGTTTAACCAGTTGAACTTATACATCGTTGGCTATCTAATGTTCTTATCGCTAGAGAACTCTATAACTTAACCTATTTAGTTGCAATTATTCAACTTGTTGTGATAGTACCTGAACTTCCCCCCCAAGAAATTCCCCAACGTAGTCGCACCACTCCACCAACAGAAAAAGCCCAACCATCTTTAAAACTCCAATTACCCCTTAAATATTTATTTAGAGGATTAAGTTGTGTGTGTGGGTGGAAAAAGGTCAATCCTGCTGGGGGTATATATATATTTATAAGTAATGCATTCTATTGAATTTATAGAATTTATATTTATATATAGAATTTATATTAACCATATATAGCATTTACAGCATTTATAGCTTGACGTTTAACATCGTCTGCTAAGTCATTAATAAAGGTCAGTTCGAGCGAACCAACCCCCCCCCCCTCCGGTAATTAGCGGAACTTTTTCTTTCTATGCTCATATAATGACGCTGGCTATATTCACTCTTTTATACACTCCAAGTTATCTTCCTGGAGCACTTGTACTAGGTTCAACTTTGAAAAGGTTATTAGCACAACAGCAACTGCCTAATGGAATTGAAACAGGCATATTAATAGATAAACTGAAATTTACTTCTCATCAACTCAACTTATTGGGACAATTTTATGACACATTTGTCGATGTTAATCCTTTACAATCAACCATTACTGATAAATTAAATAATGATTTAGGTAGACCCGAATTAGATAAAACATTTACAAAAATTAACCTTTGGTCTTTAATCCATTATGATAAAATATTATATTTAGATTCCGATACTTTACCATTATTACCATCAGATCCTGATCAAGGTTCAGTTGTAGATTTATTACTGTTAGATTTTCCCAAATTTAAAATCTTAGCTGCTCCTGATAGTGGATTCCCCGATATTTTTAATTCAGGAGTATTTGTTTTAAAACCCAATTTAAATGATTATACTATTTTAGATAGTTTGGTCCGAGAATCAGTTACAAATCCTCATGTTTCATTTGATGGTGCTGATCAAGGTTTACTTAATCAATATTTCAATACCCAACCGGATTGGGTTAGATCATTATTATCACAAGGTAAACTGGATGTATCAGAAGCTACAACAACATCTGGATCCAATTGGGTTAAAATCCCATTCTTATACAATGTAACACCTTCTGCTCAATATGAATATTTACCAGCCTATAAGCATTTTACTACATTTAATCCAGAATTTCCTCCTTCAAATCCAGTGGATATTCCAATTTCTAGTGAAGGTGGTGAACAAGAAGATTCAGATAAGCCAATACTTGAATCAACTTTTGATACTTTGAATAGATACCATTCAACTGCACTTACTTTCATTCAAAGTGGACCCTCTCAAGTTAAATTGATTCATTTTATTGGTCCTTACAAACCCTGGAAACTGAGTTCTACAGCCACCGGTATTCATAGAGATTGGTGGAAAGTATGGATCGAAACATTTGGAGAAAAATCTGTTGATGAAATCATTAATCTTGATACAACTCCATATACTTTTGAAGCAATCCAAGAAACTCATGAGGATAACATTAAAGTGTATGTAGCTCCTCCTGAAACATACGAAGAGCCTACTTCAGAAGAGCCGGAAACAGTATTCACTCCAGCAACTTTATTAGATCCTTCCAATTATCAAAGATATGAGGATACTATTGTTCCAAGTGTTGATTCGTTGTGGGACCCAGCCAAAGAACCACCTCCTGTACATGATGATGGTTCATCTACTTATCATGCTCCATATGTTATGGAACAAAGTATGAGGTCATTTACTAATCAGTGGGATGAACAGGAACATTCAGAGCCTCCTCACTATGAAGAACCTGCACCACCTCCACCACCTCAATACCACGAGGAACCTGCACCTCTTCCTACACCACCACCACAAGTTGAACCAGTACATGTAGAAGTACCCAAATTTGCATACTCGCATTATGCTGAACCAGAAAGAGTATTTGATTCCAGTTCTGATTACTTCCCACAACATCGTTTGCAACCTCTTGAGAAGATTGATATCATCAAGGAAGAACAGGAATCGCAAAGTATCAATGGTATTGGAGAAAATGTGACTGAATTCATTGATTTCAATGAAAGATTAACTAAATTAGGTATTATTGAGGAGAGAGATGGATTTGAAGATATTTATGAAGAGAATGTGGAAAATATCGACGCAGAAGAAGAAGTCACCACTCACGATACCGAAGATGACAGATCGGATATTCCAAAGTTGTTCCCATGGGAATTCAGACAGTCTCATCAACATGTTGAAAGAGTCTTTGAGTAGATTTCTTAAGGCATTAACAAATCACTAATTAATTAACTAATTATTTAACTAACTAACTAACTTAAATTCATTCACTACTCTCATCAAAACTTACTGCATATGCATACTCTCCGTTCTATCGTTAATGATTAATTGCTCATTATTTATTATTAGAAAATATATTGTCATACCAACCATTGTAGTACGAAATATTGTAGCCTTGTATTGATATAGTGATGCTAGTATTATAGAACTGTAGTACTATAGAATCACTATAGTTGTGACATTTTACATTTTAATGGCTGCCAAAATGTCTATTTATGTCCTCCCTCCTATGCGACTTTATAGACGCTGCGGAAATTTGGTGGGTGCTTACCCGGACGTGAAAAATTTTACGCTAACAATTTGAGTGATGAATCAGGGAACGGGTACAAAAAAAATATATATCAAAATGGTTGAATAGTTAAGGATATAAGCTAGAATTAACCTAGTAAAAACTATTAGATTATTATATCAATATGGCCTCCGAAGGTATTACTGAAATCGATACTAACTTAATTGAAACTAACTATGACAATGTTGTCTATAAGTTTGATGATTTAAACTTGAAACAAAATATTGTTAGAGGTATTTTCGGTTATGGTTATGAAAATCCATCTGCTATTCAACAAAGAGCTATTTTACCAATTACTGAAGGTCGTGATGTTTTAGCTCAAGCTCAATCTGGTACTGGTAAAACTGCCACTTTCACTATTTCTGCTTTACAAAGAATTGATGAAAATCAAAAGGCTACTCAAGCTTTAATTTTAGCTCCAACTAGAGAATTAGCTTTACAAATTAAAAATGTTATTACTTCTATTGGTTTATATTTAAAGGTAACTGTTCATGCTTCTATTGGTGGTACTCCATTAAATGAAGATATTGAAGCCTTTAGATCTGGTGTACAAATTGTTGTTGGTACTCCAGGTAGAGTTCTCGATATGATTGAAAGAAGATTCTTTAAAACTGATCAAGTTAAGATGTTTATCTTAGATGAAGCCGATGAAATGTTATCATCTGGTTTTAAAGAACAAATCTATAACATTTTCCGTTTATTACCAGAAACTACTCAAGTTGTTTTATTATCTGCTACTATGCCTCAAGATGTTTTAGAAGTTACTACTAAATTTATGAATAACCCAGTTAGAATCTTAGTTAAAAAAGATGAATTAACTTTAGAAGGTATTAAACAATTCTATATTAATGTTGAATTAGAAGATTATAAATTTGATTGTTTATGTGATTTATATGATTCTATCTCTGTCACTCAAGCTGTTATTTTCTGTAACACTAGATCTAAAGTTGAATCTTTAACTAATAAATTAAAGGGTGAAAACTTTACTGTTTCTGCCATTCATGCTGATTTACAACAATCTGAAAGAGACACTATCATGAAGGAATTCAGATCTGGTTCATCAAGAATTTTGATCTCTACTGATTTATTAGCTAGAGGTATTGATGTTCAACAAGTTTCCTTAGTCATTAACTATGATTTACCAACCAACAAAGAAAACTATATCCACAGAATCGGTAGAGGTGGTCGTTTCGGTAGAAAGGGTGTAGCCATTAACTTTGTTACCGATAGAGATGTTGGTATGATGAGAGAAATTGAAAAGTTCTACTCTACTCAAATTGAAGAAATGCCAGCTGATATTGGTGCTTTATTCAGTTAAGTTAAGTCAAGTTAACTTTTTAATATCATCTTGTTTAATGTATTTTAGTTCCATAAACGCTCATTTATGGGCTCAAATCTTCTCTTATATATCATTCAAACTTCATCCCAATTAGGAATGTCTAATATAGTTTTTATCATTTAAGCAATAACTAGTAGTTTGTAGCTGATTTATCTACGCGAAAAACAATGATCCCAAAATGCGCATGCCTCTTCAGTATATGAAACGCATACAACAAATTAGTGACAATTATAGAGAATTAGTGATAAGTAATTTAGCGACCATTAGAGACTAGAATTTTAAAAAAAGGTAAACAACAGAAGCTTGCAGCAACATAGCGAGTATATAGTATATAACATAAAATTTAGTTAAAACTACTTGACTATAAATAATACAACACTCCCTACAATATATATATGAGTTGGCGAAGTAACCTTCCAGGCTCATATCCTGTTAATCCTCCTACATCTCCAGGATTACTTAGAGATCCCAATTCTAATGTCGTAGCGTCAAAGGTATTAGAACATGATCTTTTAGAGGGATTCGAAGAGAAATATATCATGAATCAAAAGAGTAAACATCAACTGAATATCTTTTCTCAATTAGATAATCTAGTATACATATTAGTAGGGTATCAATTTATAAAATATGCACATTCGGCATGTCTACTACCAATATTATTACATATATCATTACAGAAAGTTGTTGGTAATCAAGTTGTACGAAATAATAGTAATGGAAGAGTGGGTGGAATACTAGGGTTATTAATGTTAGCCAATGATGATGATGATATTGATCTTGAACTAAGAAATCAAATAAAGGATATAGTAATGACAAAAACTTGTTCGGCCATTTATTGGAAAACTGTATTTACCATATTTTATCATAGTTTATTTATTATGGCATGGGTAATGCCTATAACTAATCATAATAGATTAAGCCAAATAGAACATGGAACTTGGTGGTTTATATCATTTATTGGTGAAGATACACCTAATGATATTACATCCACTTCCAGTTATTGGACCAAACTAAGTAAATTAGGATTACCAGGTTTGATTATAACTGATCTTATTATATTATTTATACAATTGGTACTATACCAATGCATTTATAAACAATCTACATATTTAAATCAAGATAGAAGTATAAATGAAAGAGAAATCTTTTTAGTTAGGGCAGTAGGTGATTCAGGTAAAGCAGATGATAGTATCAATATTCATGCAGAGTATCCTTTAGTATTGAAAGTGAAATTGTATGAATGTTTTATGTCTGAAGCATTTATACCGGATATTCACCAGTAGGAAATTAATACATATAAAATTTTGCGATATACAAAACAAGTATAATTGTATGTAGAAGTAAACAAATTGATTCAATAACATGAACCAATTGAGTAAATGGAAGTGCGGAAGGCGAATAATTCATATTAAAACGAGATATTTAACAACACAGTCAGAAAATAATTGGTTATCGTTCCCATTCCAAATTGGGTATCCATATCTCAGTCCCGAGTTGCAGAAGGAGAAGGATGAGATACATCGTAAACTATTTCCAGAAGTAGATCCCAACACAAATGTTGATGTGGATATGCTTTCGATATCAGAAAGACTTGAATACGAACGAAGTAAAATCAAATATTCATATCCTAAACCGGAAAGGTTAACAGGATTTGCATTGTTTAAGCTGCAATATTCTACTACTCATTTCGATCCAAATGCCATATGGAATAAACTCCCACAAGAGAGTCAGTTATTATTTGATCATAGTCCTAATCTTGATAGACTACATCAAGAGAATATAAGAGTATGGCAGGGATATGAAGTAGTTGATTATCTCAAACGTACCCTGTCTAAACATGATTTTAATCCATACCCATTTCTGGGACTATATCCTTGGGAGATTGTGAAGGATAAGTTAAGAGATAGAGTTCATCATGAACATAAGATTGAAGCTTTTGAATTGGACTATTATGATAAGTTGATAGACGAAGCTTTCGATACTAGCACTAGATCAGCAGAATCAATATTTCATACACAACTACAAGCACAAGATCCCCATCAATTACATAAACCTGAGGAAATTACAAAATTGTACAATTCTTTACGATCAGAGGAGAAACAGATATATGAAGATATGGCTAATAGGCATTTTGAGCATCTTCTATCATGGTCAGTAATTGAATTTTACAACCAGGCACGCTTTCGAAAATTTTGGAATGATTTCATGTACAATACGACAATTGAAAAGAGACCACTACTTGAAGCTTTGAAAGAATGGAAATCTATGTCTGATAATGAAAGGAAACAGTATAATAAAGCGTCTCGTGAAAGAATAGACAAAGAAGGACCCTTAGATATTCAGACTGCCATGGTCATGGATTATATTTATTACGTTGGAGGAGTAGAAGGTGTTCAAGACTATCATTGGTTTCCTGATATGATCCAATCTACTCCAAGATTTTTATACCTCAGTAAATGTTATACAGAAACTAAGTCGACTTGGTAGGGACACTGCCGCCACAAAATTGGAAAAATTTCAGAAGACGCGTAGCTTTCTTAACTTCTACTTTTTGATAACCTCTTGTCGATCTTGTTGATTTTCTTTTAATATTAGCACTACAGTATATAATAATAAATAATATTAAGACCATGACCACCGAAATTGAACCAGTAGTTAAGAAACAAAAAATTGAAGAAACATTACAAGTATTTTTACGTTCTGAAAATGCTAAATTACCTACTAAAGGTTCAGCCTTAGCTGCTGGATATGATTTATATTCATCAGAAGCTGCAATTATTCCTGCTCAAGGTCAAGGATTAGTTGCTACTGATGTTTCTATAATTGTTCCTATTGGAACTTATGGTAGAGTAGCTCCAAGATCAGGTTTAGCTGTTAAACACGGAATTTCAACCGGTGCAGGTGTTATAGATGCTGATTATCGTGGTGAAGTTAAAATTGTATTATTTAATCATTCTCAAAAGGATTTTACTATTGAAAAGGGTGATAGAATTGCTCAATTGGTATTAGAAAAAATTGTTAATGCTGAAATTCAACAAATAACTGCTGAACAATTGGATTCAACTGAAAGAGGTGCTGGTGGATTTGGATCTACTGGAAAGAACTAAGTGTAAGTGTATTATATAATAACTTAAATAATGAATAAATATTTATATAAAGAATTAAAATAATGTTATTTAAAATTAGTGTATATGATAGGATTATAGATGTGGAAGGGTAATGAGTAATAAAATATAAAATGAGAAATGAGAAATGAATGAATTCATTCACACTAACTGATTACTTTTTAACTTCAGTAGTGGATTGTGATTCACTTTCATCTTTATGTTTACTCTCTTTTTCAGTATCAGCCTTTTGTTCTTCTTCAGGTTCAATCTTCATACCTTCGTTAGCAGTATCTTCATATTCATCTAATTTAATATTATCCTTAACTTGATTAACAGTATCTTTTTCTCTCAAATTTTCTTCTTGAATCATTTCATCTTGTTCCTTCAACATATTCAATTTCAATTTGGAATCATCAGATAATTCTAATTTAGCTACATTATAAACTTCATCAGGAATTGATGATAATACAGCTAATAATGCATCATAATATGTTTCAATACTATGAGCTTTATCACCATATGTATAAGTAGATGATAAAATCAATAAAGTTGAAGGAATTTTTTGTCTTAATCTTAAATCTAACCAAGTAGATAAATCTTCTCTTAATCTAGCTGGTGATACATCGGTAGTTTTAATACCTCTTTGAGAACATGCAATTTGTAATTCAGGAATAGTTAAAGAATCTACTCCTTCATAATCAATGGCTTTATCATCCTTAATAATAGTAAGTAAACGATGTCTAATTTGATAACGTAAAATAGAATCAGTTCCAAATGGTCTTAATGACATATATTTAGTCATAGCAACTAATTGAGGACGAGATAAATTATCTAAAACTTGATCATTTTTAAATAATCTAGCAACCTTAATTAAATGTTCTCTTGTTGGATTCATTCCAAGAGATATGGTTTCAAAAAATGACACGAAAGCTTCTTTTTCTTCTTCAGTAATCTTTTTTGATAATTTTAATCCTGATTCTTCCATAGTTTTTTTAATGAATTCAGAAGCAGATACTCTAGTTTTAGATAAAATATTTCTCTTTTTAATTCTATCTTGTTTAGATTCATAAGTTGATGGAAGTAAGTTTGGGAATAATTTTAAAGCAATAGGTAATAACAATTCTGCGAAAGGAACTAATATAAACATAGAAAATGGTACTAAACGTACTACATCAGTTAAAGTTCTTTGTAATTGATTTGATTCTCTTCTAGATAATGCATATCCTGACATATACTTTATAAGTAATTTAGTTGAAACTTTTAATTCATATCCTAATAATTTAGTTCCAGCCCAATAATGCTGTACTTCATGTTTAACTTTATCCCATATACTTTGTTTGGGTTTGACTGATCCATTTTCAACCGGAATAACTTCTGTATCTACAGTACCTTTTATAATTTCTTTAGTACCTTGTTCTGCATTCTTTTCTATTACCGTCTTTTCTTCGGATTTACTTGAATTTGAATTAGTTGGTTTACTTGTATTATTTGAATTAGTAGATTTAGTGGTTTGATATCTTACTTGAGACTGTACAGGATTGAAGTTTATGATACTTCTATATGTATGAGAATGCAAACTATAAGTTAAACTTATTGGTAATTTACTACTAGTGGTAGTCGTATAACTTCTTCTAGTTATTCCCGTAGTAAGACGTCCTATATTTTTCAAATTTCCACTGGAAATTACGGCTGACGATGTCATTTTCAATTCTACCAATTTCGTAAACCACTAGAGGGATTGTGGAGATAATGAGAAAAAGATTTGATAACAATTTAGGGAGAGTTTGCTAACAAAATTGACGACGAACGATATAATTTAGATGTAACTGGTGTGATCCAGGCAGTTTGCAGAAAGCCATTTGGGAACGAATTTTTCGGAGGCAGAGGCAAAAAAATGAGTGGGCTGGCGACACGACCGGCAGCAATATAACCGATCATGTGATCTGTGTCACGATACTTGCATTATATAGTTACTTTACTACTTTACTACTTTACTACTTTACTACTTTACTACTTTACTACTTTGCTATATATTGCAATTTCTAATATTAGTCAATTGATAATAATACCATATAATAATTACAAACCTATGTATGATCTACTCCTCATCTTCCCCTTTATTAATAGAGCCCTGCTCTTTACTATCACCACTAACACCCACAACAACAATCTTATCAATAACTGTATGATAATCTTCATTTTCTCCATCTAAAAAGATAGTTAAACTTTGTACTGATTGGAATCTTACAAATTTCAACTTGGCTTCAAACCATTCACTACCTTCGATTCTTTCTATAGTTTCCGAATGAGGAGCTTGAGCTCCTGATGCTTCATCAAAAGTAGGAACATTTAATTGGTTGGCATATACCTTAATTATATTAGGATCCTGAGTTTCATCATGAAGTTCATCTTCATCTAATTCTAACTCTTCACCTTCAGCAGGTACAAATTTCAGTATATTCTTAAATTTAATAAATACTGAATACACTTTAGAAATATTCAATAATGGTACAAAGAAAAGGATTTGAGAATCAGCATCTGATAATACTGTATTTGTACCATCAGTGAAAGTTAATTTGAATACATTCTTAAGTGCTTCAACTTTACCCTTATATAATGGTAAGGCATTTAAAGCTTGAAAATTAGCAAAATCAATTGATTCATTTAAAGTCTGAAATCCCCGAGGAATTAAATCTCTAATACTTTCATAAGCAGCATTCTCTGTGACTGGTTTAGGAACAGCCCCATTCCCTTGTCTAACTATAACTTCTTCTGAATCACTTTTAGCGCGTTCATTCATTTCATCAAGTCCAGCTATAAGGGCTTGAATATTAGCTCCATTAACTCGTTTATATTCGGAACCTTTTTCAAGAAATACAAATGATGGAACTGATGAAACTTTAAATTTGGTGGCTAATTCACGTTGCAGATCCAAATCAACTCGAATTATCTCTAATCTTTCATATCTACGACTAGGATCATTATAGAGCTGATCAACTACTGGTTTAATCATTTGACATGGTCCACACCACAGAGCCGTAAAATTGGCTACCACAAATTTGTTTCGGGCCACATACTTATTGAAGTCGTCCGTTGACTTTACAAACTGAATTGACATGTTTCTTACGTTTTTGGTATGATGGTGGTGTAATGTTCATTAACTCCGGTTGAAGTTGAAGTTCATCGAGATTTTATCTATCTGGCTCCTGCAGACAGGCCACAATCACCAGCTGCCCCAGCTCAGTGGCAGTGATAAAATTTCCAATTTTCAACAAAAGCACGTGACTTTCTATAATTAGTAATTCTATTATCCAGGCTTACCGTATATTATATTAATAATCAGTAGTAAAAGGAAGTAACCGAGTAACGTGACTATCACCTTTCTTAAGTATAGAAAGAAGGCGCAACTGATCGTAAGTGATAGTAAAATGATCGTAATTAATCGTAACGGACTTATGTATGTATACGAAAATTGCGCTGCGCACTTAAGCTAAATCCGTAGTGACTCACTAAGTACCTGTAGTATTACCATTAGAACAATCACCAATGAGTCCCGTGATAGCAGACCAGGTAGGTCAAGTAGATCAAGTAGAGGGACAGAGTAGTGAACCATCCACACCCAAATCAGCATCGGCATTAACTCCGCTACGGCTTTCTGTACCTGCTTTTGAGCAAGCTCCTAAGAGAGTAGGAGATGAACATGGACAAGAACATGAACATGTCACAGTGAAAGTGCCTCGAATAAATACTCCTCCAACAAATAAGAATATATCTACAGTGCCGAGAAGACCGAAGAAGGATGGGTTTGAATTGGATCTCAGTTTAATTGAGAATGAGAATGAGAATGAACTGGTGAAGAGCTCGAAGGAGGATCCTAGCGAGAAAGAAGGCTCGAGTAAGAATCAGAACCATGAAGAAGTCAAAGAACAAGTAAATCAACAAGTACGCAGTTCAAGTTCCAGGCCAGAAAAGGCACAACTTAAGAAAGTAGGCGAATTGGCCTCTCTCTTCCAAGATACCAGAAAGCTGCTTCAGCAGGACTGTAATGTAGCAGATACCATTAAACACAAAGAAGTTATGGATCCTACCCGAGATCATAAGATTCATGTCTCTAAGATATCACAAGCTAGAGCTGAAAAGGTTCGGTCTATGATTGGAGTGAAATACTTTCAAATGCAACGATTGTATGAATTATCATTAGCTCAAAGAGATAATAATACTCATCCAGGAGTAGAAGGAGTATACAATCCACTACAAATCATTAGAAATAGAGAATTACGAGCAAAATATCATGAATATCCTAAAAATCTAACCATGAAATCAGTACCGTTGGCATGTAATGTGTTTAGTAAATATAATCGAGATCCTAGTCATCCTTATAAAATGGTATGGTCTATTGAACTTAAAGAGGTATTAGGGGATGTGAATTTTCGTGCTAATCATTGGCATGAACTTCGGAATCCAAAGGGTCAACTTTGGTTTCCCCAATCCAAATCATCTTCATCATCTACTGTGACTAGTAATGAAGAGAGTAAGACTTCTGATTTAAGACAAAGAATCCATGATAAGCTTTTCAATTCAGAAGAGTCCATCCCCTGGCATAAGTCTAAATCTAGGAGAACTTCAAGTGCTACGGCTGCCAGTGGTGACAGTGAGTTATTAAGAATTAGTCGTACTAAATCGCCAGCCAGTAGGAGAATGAAGGATCGAGTAAAAAGACATACGAGAAAGCTCTATAATGGAGTTAGTTCTTCTTCAAGTGATGAAGATGTAGAGTCAGGAACTGAGTACAATAATCGAGGTGATGCTTTAAAACAGCAGATATTTAATAAAGTATCGGTTTCTCCAGAGCGAGTAAGAGGAGTGGAAGAAGATAATAAAAGTAATAGTAATCGTAGTAAGAGTGAAGTGTTGTTGATAGCTCCATCGATTAAGATTGATAGTGCTGATAGTAATGAAACTACTGATATTAATAATGTAATATTTAGTCCTATAGACAAGAAGGATAGTATTAAGATGGAAGTTCAAGAAGTTGAAAAACTGGAGATTGAACATGCTGAGAATCCAAATGGTGGTGAAAGTAGTCAAATGTCAGTATCAATAACTCCTATACTGCTGGTTCCACCTTTAGTAGATGCTAATCAAAAGGAATTTCAAGAAATGTTAGATGATTTCAATTACTTTGAGAAGTTTGTTAGTCTTAAATCCAATTATTTATTAAAGGTATACCCAAATTATACTCGAGCTTTGGCATTGAAATTGTCTGATATTTTACATAATAAATTATTTAATGTTTTCCATGCCACTTCAATAATAAGTGATGATTATTTACCGGAATATGAAGATTTATATAAGGGATTCTCTAATGAAGTTAAATCAGTTGTTCATATGATTAATGATGATTATTCTATTAAAGTTGATAATCTCTTGAGTAATAGTGATAGATCAATTAGTGAAATTAATGCATCATTGACTCTTGAGTTACGGAAAGTTAATGAACGATTAGATAAGTTGGATAATTCATTATTTGGTAATTCATTAACTAATCGATTAAAGGAGGGTCAATTAAAGATTAAGGATAAAGATAATTATGGAGTATTATACTTTTGTTTAGAGAATTTCATAGTTATTTTACTCCGAATTATTTGGGTTATTGTTAATTTATATAAAGGTTTGGAAATGGTGCTTTTATTCATATGGAGAATTATTAAGTTTATTATATATTGATTTAATGTTGTCTTCTATTAGTACTTAATAAATGCAATTCAGATATAAGATTATTGGCATTAATGAGATGTTCATATCTTAAAGCCATATCGCCAGTTAAAGATGTTTCTGTTATTGTTGTAGTTGTAGTTGTAGTTGTAGGTGATTTTGGTTTAGGTTTAGAAAATGTTTTATGAATACCATCTCTTATTCTCTTTTTAATGAAGTATCTATTCAACTGTAACAATTTACGATTTTGTTCATCCAATTCTTGCTCATGATCATTATCAGTTTCTTCATTATCAATAGGATAATCTGTAGGAATATAGTTATCTCCACTATCAATCAATACTCCTACAATAGTATACTTAGTATCTGGATCAGTAAGTAATTGTTTCAAAATGGATAATTTAATTTCATAATCAGTATTGTGAATCTTACCAACATCAAGTAAGACTCTTGGAGATTGTTTGGCTAATTTAGAATAGGAATATACCTTTTGAATTAGTTGTTTTAATTCTTCAAAATTAAGTTCCAAATTGATTTGTAATATTATAAATGTATCATCATTTCCTGTAGTTCCTACTACTGCTACTGTTCCAATCTTAGATACTGATAAGAATTGATGAGGTTGAGATGTAGCGTATAAAGCGTCAAGAGCTGCAGTTATTTTATGAGGATACATTGATTTATCAAACGGTAATTCGGAATCATTAGCAGTAAAACCTACTGGATATGAAACACCAGAAGCCAATTCACGATGTAATTGAGATTCAATTAATGTAGAACTTACCAATCCTAAACAATATAAATCATTCAAGTATTGTGGAGTTATGGTATCACAAGTTTCACCAACTATAGGACAAATTTCTGCTAATTCACATAATAATGCCCTACAAATGGGGATTCCATGTTGAATTTCAAATGTCATAACAGATGAGTTGGATTTTAATAATTCAGGATCGTCATAATTATAATTATATTTAGATAAGTTAGTTCTTATAGTTAATAATAAATCATTAGAAGAGATAGGATTAGTATGTTGAACTAATTCATGTAATGGATAAGACAATTTCTGAGATTTTAACTCATACTCATTCTTATTAGTTAATGAACCTAACCAAGTGGCACATGCTTTAGCTTGAGCTACATCTTTAATAAATGATGGACCAGTAATTACTAATAAAGGTTCTTGACATGTCAGTGGATTTAAAATATTTTGATTTAATATTTGACTAACTTTATTTCTATAAGTTAATATCTTTTCTTTTAAACTATCAGATGAAGGATATAACATATTTTGAATAACTTCTGGTTGAGGTACAGTGATATGACCACGTTCAGTAAGACAAAGTCCAGATACAGAAGATACACTAGAAGTTCGAGGAAGTGTATTAGTAGTTCCATAAATCCAATTAGGTCCCAGTACTGATCTAACAGTATTATTTCTATTATCATTTTCTCTTTCTATTTCATTTTCAATTTCTTCATCACTTAATCGAATTTCCTGAGTCAGCTCTTCGATAGACATTTGTGGCTTTATAGACGCTGAACTGGCTGCAACTTTATTACTACCCATATTTAACGTCAGTACACTATTCATGGCTTTACTATCCAATTATCTTATGAAATATATATATTTATAGAAATCAGAAATACCCCCAATAAACTTATAACACCACTAGAATCTTCGAATATCGGATTGGTTATGACATTTTGCATTAAGTCGATGAGTCAAATGTTGCATAAAAGATTATATAACACAAAGGTGGAATCAAATTTTTCCGGCAAAACGTTAGGCTTTACATCCATGCCGCTAGGCTTTCACTGCGGCGATTTAAATCCGGAGTATCACGGACTAAATAGTCACCTCACCAGGCATAGTATACATTGAATCAACTCAGTACATAAAGTAAGAATCATGCAACCACAGTCCATTGCCTTATTACGTAAGTATAAGAAGATCTGTCATTTAAAAATCTCAATTGATATACTAACTTTACGACTATAGAACGTATAGATACCGACGTGGAACAGATTCTTCAAAAGTTTGAACATATCTTTGAAGTGGCTCGTAATCAAGATAAACGTAAAGAATTGTTGGCAGTAGAGTCATTAACCATTGAATCAGATGCATTGACCATAATTCGATTCTGTGAGGATTTATTATCTATTTCAAGAGCTGTCAAGGAGACATGGTGTCTTGGAACTTTAAAGGTTGATGCTAATGACGATAAGATGATGAGTCAAAAAGATGTTAATAAAGTGTTTGAAAAGTTGAATAATTTGACTGATCATATATCTAAGTTTCAAGAAAAGTCTGAATTATCTACAGTATAAATTGAAAGTCGAGGGGGTCTACACGTTTCATTCATTAAATTAAATTCTAAAATTTATATAATTATAATACAGATGGCTTCCTTGATGGAGGACGAAGTTGAGGAATTTCCTTTGTCATTTGCTCTTCAAAGAGATCCACAAACTTTTGCACTTTACCGACTTTTATAAATCGGAATTTTTTATCTTGTTTGATATAGGATGGTACTGTTGGTGATTTATCCTTATAGGCATATTCCAATCCTGTATTATCATCATTATTTATTAATGACATAGATGTCATCTTGGATACAGTGTTTGTAGGTCGTTTGGGTGTTTGAGTATTCATGGTTGGATAAGACTGTTGTGTGATTAATGTTTTTCTGATAGGAGATATAGGAGGTGATAGGATAGGATCTGAATCTGAAATTGGAGCAGGATCAGGATGGAAATTGAATGCAATAGGCAGTTGAAGTAATTCAACATTATCAATATCATCATAAGGTGTCTCATGAATATCATTAAGATCAATAAAATCTTCATTATGTCGTAAATTATTTAGATTCTCAATAAATGAGTCACTCTTCATATCTTCTCTAATGGTTGATAATGAAGCACGAGTTAATAATTTTGTAGGTCTTATAGGATATTCATTATTTTTTAAAGTATCATTGGAATTTAATAATAATAAATCTTCTAATGAAGTTTGTGATTCATTATCTTCATCTTCTGCTTCTTCATCATACATGAATGATTTCTCTAATCCACTTTCACTTTCACTACCTTCTAAAGTTGAATCATTCAATAGGATATCATTATACATTCTAGAAATTTCTTGAGGGGTAGGTAATTCATTCCATAACTTATTTATCTCTTTGGTTAATTCTATCTTTATATAATTATGAATATGATTTGTAATAATTGAATTACATTGTTGTAATATGGAATAATGATGATTATTAATGAAATGTAAGGATATTTCTGTTGCCTCTCTATTAATGGATATATGATCTAATTCTAAACTTACTCGTAGTACAAAGATCTTGTCTATATTAAGTAAATTATCTACAAGTTGATTTCCACTTTTAACTGTACTTCTATTAAGATGAAAAGAGTCTGGTACCACTAAAAGGATATCATCTTCCAGAAAATCAGATGGTTTCAATGTATGATTATATGCAAGTACCGTTGTTAATGGTAAATTAATTATTAATGTAATATTATATCCTACTTTAATAGGATCTAGATCTACATGATCTTCATGATTTGTTATGAATTCATAAGATATGGTTCGAGCCTGATCGGAGATATTAGACGAATGGATCAAGTTGGGCTTGTCCCAGTCAGCACATTCAGCGGTGCTCTCCGTGCCCATACTGTTTGATATTTAATTAGAATTAGTAGTGATGAAGTTATAATAGAAGTAGTGATGGTTCGATGTGGAGGTAAACAAAGTATCAACAATAACACGAGTAATGTGTAAAAGCGGCGGTATGGATGTGTTGATTATTGTTTGGAGGTAATTTGCAGGTTTCCTCGCTAATTCTTAATTGTTTTGTTTTTTTACAGATTACATCGAATGCTCTGTGCTCTGTTTTGCAGATTAGAACCCAATATCTGAACCCATACTTAACATTAGTCCAACTATAATAAATATATTTTTAACTTCAATTGCCACTATGTCGTCGTATTACTTGACTATCATCGGCACACGTGACAACCCGTTGTATGAAGTGGAGTTCTCATCATTCAAACCGAATTCGAGTTCGACTTCGAGTTCGGCTTCGGCTTCATCTATACCGGGTCGAGCCCAGTTTGCTCCTGATGTGCGAGAGATTCTCCCGTTCATTGCCAACTCATCATTAGATATTATAGATGATTCACAGTGGAGTACCAGTAATTTCAATTTAGGTCGAGTAGATTCATTTTATGGATTGGTGGTGAATGCCTTTATTACTCAGGGTAATGTAAAGTTTGTATTATGTTATGATAATGTTGGTAGTGGAACTAATTCAAAATATGATGATAATCTTATCCGTCAGTTCTTTATAGATGTAAATGATTTGTATGTCAAATGTTTACTTAATCCATTTTATAGGGTTAACGATGCTATTGTGTCACCCGAATTTGATATTAAGGTCAAATTGTTGGCCCGTAAGTATTTCTAGATGTAAATAGTTCTAGATGTAATGTAATTAATGTATAGATGTAATGTATTTATTTAATGTTTCTTTGTACATATGTAATGTATGTAATGTATATATATATATGTAATGTATGTAATGTATGTATATGTATGTATTCAATCAGTCTAATACTTTCTCAGTTTCAATGGTATAGTTACCAGCTTCATCTTCCACTATAATACCATTGTTCTTAAGTTCAGTAAACATATCTTGTGGAATCCAACCTCCAGTAGCTGCAAATGGACTAGATACTACTTCCATTTGATACTGTTCTAAGTCTGCTTGATGTTGGTCCAAGTATTCAGCAGTGTAACTAATTGGGAATTGAGTATCTGTGGAATTACAAAGTTCATTAGCAACATATGCTTCCCACATAGATTGTAATTGGATAATACTTCCCTCTACGTATAAGTAATCCTTCTCATTTTTCAATTCAAGAGCTTGAATATATGGACCTTTAAGTGCTTTAATATGAGGAGAAGCAATTGCAATTAAATCATGTCTGTTAGAGTTCAATTGTAATTCCCAAAGTCTTTCATTACGAGTCTTGTAATACATGAATTGATATTGTTGTTGTTCTACTTCATCCATTTCCTTATAACCAACAATATCTTGTTCTAAATCATATACTTTAGCACCATTATATGTTACAAAGTTAGGATAACTACTGAAGATGAATGGTTTAATAGATGAATATTCAAAATCAATAAAGTAGTATTTGCCTTCATTGTTTATAACATTTAATGGATCCAAATCGGGCATGAAAAGACGAGGCTTGAAAAGTTCCTCTACATTCATAATGGACTTAGATTTGTCGTTGAGTAAATAAGGACTGATGGTTTGGAGATGTTCAAACGTTTGAATTTGTTTGTTAAGTAATGACACATCTTCAATAGTATTTGCCGAGTCAGCATCGGCTAATGCTAATCTAGTTCTTAAGTTCTCTAATTCTACAGAAGCAATAGCCTTTATAAGTTCACTTGGCTTGTTTGCATCCCAGGGACCATTAAGGTCATTGATTTGTTTAACCAATAATAACTCCTTATGTTTAGCAAACAGCTGTTCTACACTAGGTCCTATTCTCCATCTGTCCTTTAAGGCAGGGTCAGTTTCTCCATCATATGGAACATCATTGGCTTGTAAGGCATCTACATCTTTCTTGAAGTATAATGATCCGAACTTATTGAATGTCACAGATAACACCTTGTTTTGGAAATCAGCTACTGTATTAATAACCGACTTTAAGTTAGAATCGGTCTCATCTGAGTCAGCCGCCAAAGGGTCCCATTGCTTCATCAATAAGTCTCCTGGAATATACTCCATAAGGATATATGGAGCTCCTAAACTATTAAGCTTAGAGTCTCCATAAGCTACAACTTTAGGCACATTCAAGCCTAATTTCAAATCAAGGAAATCAAGGGTGGCTACTTCACTTTTGATTTTCTGAGTTACCGCATGGTCTGACTCTAACTTGTAAGGAATTCTCAATACTAATTCTTTGTCATTAGCTAAAGTTACTTTATACACTCGGTGATGTTTCCCCTCATGGATACTGGCTATAGTCTTAATGGTAGGGGCACTTTTTTTCCCTTGAGGTCCTACTAATGCTTCAGTTAAGTTATGACTCAATACATATGATCCATCATTTAATTGTTTAGGTCTTTCAATAGTACTGGCACTACTCGTACTACTGGTAGCAGATCTTATGACATTGATATCTTGAATAAGTTTACTGATTCCATCCACAGAGAATTTGGTCACACGACGAGACTTTTCTCCCTGGTCATTTTTCAACCATGAACCCCAAGTGTACTGGAAGAAAGGACTATTATCTGAAGTTGAAGTTGAAGATGTAGATGGTTCGGGGTTTGATGAGTAGTATCTGATTGGAGTTTTACATTTCACTAAAGGTACGGCCTTTGGAAATGTCACTTTACGTGCACCTGAACGTGTAAGTGGACTAATGGCTGAATAGCCTCGTTTAACTGTGACTCTCAACATGGTGGATGGGAGTTTTGTGGGGATAAAGATGGAGTTGTTGAAGAGTGAAAAAAAAATTTTGTGGACTCCGAGTAACGATTACACTTGGAGTGCATGTATTAAACATAGATAATAAATAGATTAAATATACAAACAATAAATAGATATAGTAGCATGGTAGGATAGTAGTTACTATGGGTGGGTGATCACTTCTCACTGGTGATGGTGTCGGTGTTAAGAAGATTAATCTTCTCCTTAAGAGTAATAGGTGGAGGCATCTTATAGTCAGCTGGTAATCGGTCTTCGAAATATCGGTGACCTCCTGATCCATATTCACTATCTATAGCTGCTTGAGTAGTAACTACTGAACATTCACTTGCATCATTATCCTGAATGGAATCCGTGGTAGATACTCGAAGATCAGTAGCATTTATGGAATTCTGATGAGATGATGAATTAGCCAAAGTAGACTTTAACGATTTAGACTGAGCATTGAGTGCACGTTGCTGTTGCTGTTGTTGCTGCTGGCTATGGATCATATTAGAAATAATATTACTAGAGTATGGTGTAGGTCCATGCCTGTGTAATCGTTTACCTTCAATACCATCTTTGGTGGCGGTAGTCGATAAACAAGATGTAGTGGAATTTCTTGAGAGTGATCTTGTAAATGGATCGTTGGGGACCAAATAGTCTGGAGGTGGAGTATCAGCTAAAGGAGGTCCATTAGGAGTTTCTGAATTCGCCAAGTAATCGACATTATCATCAGTATATTCTCTTTGGTAATCACTCTCAGTAGAAGCTAAAGAGATATTTGTTGAAGACTCGTTATTATTGTGACCGGCATTAACATATCCAGCCTTAATTTGAGGAAATGGTTTATTAATATTCACTTGAGGTATCGAATCATCAGCGTATGATTGTGATAACTGCCGCAAATTACTAGAAGTCACACTGTAATTGGAATTTGAATCATCTTCTATTTCGTCCTCATTGTGAGTTTTATGATGCTGTTTACGATGTTTTCTGATGGCAGGATTATTCCCATTATTCACATTAGTCTCCCCATTCCCACTATCATCATATCCACTAACTCGTGAACTTCCATCATTGGAATTATCTAAATCGGAATATTCGAACGGATCCAAATCGTCCGGCGTAAGATTTACCCTGCCGCTAAATATGGATTTGATGCTGGCTGCTGGGTGGGCCATTGTATGAGTATATTTGGATATGGCTTAGGTAGTTCTTAAATGTATTTTGTTATTCAGAAGTTTAAGTAATAAAGTGTGTTTATGGTGGTGTCTGGAGATGACTGACCACTCCACTTTTTCTCCTTGATCTAACCTGCAAAAATTCTAAAAAAGCATCTCAAAGTGTGAAGTTGCCTCACTAGAAAAATGGGGGGTGCGCTGCTTGAGGGGGAATAAATTACGACTGTATTCTGTCATCTGATTAAGGTTATATTATATTTCTATTTCTATTTATTATTATATATTATATATTATATATTATATGCTTTTATTTATTTTATTATACTACATAATATACTTTGTTTTATACTCTATTTTTTGGTCTATTTTATTCTATTAGTTTATCTTAAAAACTGTCAATATTAATCTAAATTCAACTCTAAATTTGACTTCGATGTACAATGGAGTGCTCCTTAAGTATTAGCGTATATGAACTGAAACACTCCTGAATAAGTCTCCCATGTTGTCCTACACTCTTAGGTTCAATATGGAGATACTGAATAAGATTCTGAAATAATGGAGTCACTTGACTGGCGATCTTCCATCGGCCAAAATAATTGAACATTATTAAACATGTCTTAAGGGTATTGATTAAATCTAATAATTCAATTGATGGACCTATTGTTTCCAAATACATTCCAATAACATTCAAGGCTCTATACAAACTTATCCAACCAATAATTACATTTCCTTTCTGTAATAATGCTAATGTTATATCAAAATATTCCTTACAGTTTTCAATAATAATATTCTGACTATGTTCATTATGTGGTGAATAATAATGAAGCTGAACTAATAAATAAGTATAATCTCGTTTCCGTTTAATACTTTCAAGCAGACCATTGGAACTTGGTATTACCCTTTGATTAGAGTCTCTTAACCAATGAATCAATTGGGCTTCAATGGATTTCCGGTCCGCATAAGATATGGTTAACGATATGGAACCACTATTTTTTCGTTTACACTTCATAATTAAGATCTCCAATTGTCTGATCCTTAATTGAATCAGATGTTCAAGTGTATCATCTATTAAGTAACTGTCACTAAGGGCAATAGATTTATTTAATGTAGATGTCACTAATCCCTCTAATATATATATATTTGAACAAAGAACTTTTAATTCATTGTCATGTTTCATGTCTCGAGGATCTAATAGTGTTATTAGTCTTCCTAACTTCCCAGATATTTCCCATGATGGTAATTCAGATATTTCTAATAAAGAATATATTCCTAACAATATTAATCGTTTAAGTGAAATAATACTCTTATGTGCCCAAAACTCATCAGAACACAATCCTAGTGCTTGCTTGAAAAATATTTGTGAAATGGTGAAGCTGATGGAATTATTTGCTACCGTCCAAAGTGGAGAAGCCGATGAATTCTCGTGTGATTTACTTCCAATAGAAAGTATCATAAACAATTCAAATAAACATTGTTGATCCATATTTGATGGGTTAAGTGTGAATTGATTTAAATAAGTTAAGAATTCCAGTGGTGATATAATTGGAAAATCATAATTAAATAATTTGAAATAAATATCTGCAAATGATAAGAGGGTAGACTTATATATCATGTTGAGGGTGTCAGCAGTAGGAATGATCTCAAAATCAATGGTATCCATCGTGATTTTCACATTTTGGGAAGTACTTGACTTAATTATAGGCAGGAGAGTAAATGGACCTAAGGGACTAGGTGTGAAATTAGTTGGTATAAAACTTGGTGGATAATGAATAATTTCATTTGGAACTTGCTGTGGTAGTTCTGAGCCTTTGTATCTTTTTGCTATTATATCATCTTGAGTGAAACTGGAAGGATTTGAAATATGATTAGAATTGTTTTGGGGTTCACTAATAATATTAACAGGTGTATATTGATATGGATACTGATATTGACATGGAATTCCTAATTCAAGGCAGTTCAGACAGGTTGGTGAGTTTCTATTACAATACTGATTATTTTCTCTACAATATAGACAGCTGGGTAGAATTGAATGACTGCTATATATTCCCTCTGTGGGAACTATTACTGGAACTGGAGATACTGGTAGTGGTTCTGCTCTATGTATTATGGAACTTTGATTGATAATTGGATTATTTATAAAATATTGTTGCGGCAATGTATTTTGTGATACTGGTTGTTGTTGCAAAGTTTCCAGAACAATGGGAGGTGGTCTCATTCTGAATTTATTGAACATTGTCGTTTGTGTATTTGGTTCATTATGAAATGTATTATGTATATTGTTGGGAATTGGGTTCCTGATTGAAGTCTCGGATGAATAATTTTTTAATTTATATTTATTAATTAACCCAATGTCCGTTCTAATTTCTTTACGCTGTCGTACTTTTTGCTTAGAAATACCTCTGGATGTATTTGGTCTAGTGGCCAAGTCCAATACTTCTTCTGGTTCAGATTTGCATATAGTTTCTGAATTTACGAGCTTTTCTTCGCCACTTATTCCTTTATCTATTAACTGTGCAATTGAGAGGGCTCCATAAGTAGCATTTGTTGTACCCTCATTCCCTTGATCTTTCAGTACATTATCGTTATTCATACTTGGTTAACACTTGAACAAGCAAGTCATTGACAATAAGAATATTTATTTACTACTTTTATAAGGTCTCTCCCCCAAAATTAATGAAGCCTTCAAATTTAAAATTTTTTTAATAGAATATACAATTAAAATTATGACAGAGCGAAGCTTAAAATGTTTTCTTCTTCCGTCAAAATATTATTTTAAACTCAATTAATTTAATTTATGGCTAAATAAGAAAATAAGCCAAGCAAGTGTCTTAATTTAACGTGTATAATATAACATGTAATGTATATGTAGAAGTAGTAGCATTGTATTATGTCGCTTACACATTACATTCAATCTGCTAAAGAAAAAAATAAGAGCTGTTCGCTTGCTATAAGAAAGACAGTATGCATTTCGAATTAAAAAATAATTGTTCCTCTCGTTTTGTAACCTTTGAGGCTGTTTTTTGACAAGTATATTTACGCGCGATTAAAAATTAATATTTATTAACCTCAGCTAAATTAAAATGGGAATGTTTACACAAATCGACCTGAATCATGCAACAGGTTATGTTTCGCTGAGTTATTATCTAAGAAGGAAGCAAGTGAATGTTGAATAGTGTCCATACACTCCAAGTTTTAAAGCTTTTTATGAAATTGCCAATCTTCGAAAATAGAATATTTGAAAGAATTACTAATGAGCCTTCGTCAAACCAGCAAAAAAGTTAATAAATTTTATTTTTTATTTTTTAATTTTTCTATCCTGATTTTGTATTTATTCCTATTCTGATATCTAATTCCTTCTGTTAATGCTCTAAAGAATTTGAACAAAAGAAATAATGCAACTCTATTGGATTGATATTAGGCATCAAGACACATTAAGTACACAAAGTCAAATGCAATGTCCAATGGTGTTTCTATAATGACCGTTTATGTCTATCCTCTGCGTATCAGGCGATAAATAGGTTCTTGAATCTAAGATTGACTAATAAACTCAAGGTTTAAAGTAAGTGCTTTCAGTCTGTAGAAGGGTACATTCCTGTTTAGATCTCAACTACATATTTAGAAGACTTCTCACAATATGCTTACATTTACATTCACATTCACCTTTACATTTACGCTTCTATACTGTGCATAATTAGTAAAAAAATAATTATTCGCATAAAATAACTATGCACCACTGGTGCCTCGTTCCTGCAAATGGAATTCTGAGTACATCTTCATTAGTACTAAATCAATGCTGATCCAAACATTTCACCTCCTTTCTCTAATTCAGTTGATACGTGCTAAAATCTTACTTGATACGGCTCTCATCTTTTATTTCGTAGTTCATGTAGCATATGCTATATAAAAAATCTAAATAACTATAGCGCACAACTTTTCCAAATACAACATAAGTCTATGAAAATTGTGTCTATGAAAGGTTGACAAACAGTAGTTCTCAGCAAAACATTTATGCCCTATATTACTGGTTGTGGTGCATATCATTTGACCACCAATGCTTAGTGTTATTGCCTGATAAAGTTAAATTCACCAGCCACAGTTCGCACTATCGCTATCGCTGATTTTTCAGACGATTATCACTATAACGCAGATATACCAGATGTTCTTTGCGTAGTACAACGAATATAAAGACAAATGACATATAAGCGAGTAGCTATTATAGGTGGAGGACCCTCAGGGTTAGCAATTGCAAAAGCACTTGCCTTTGAGCCTTACCAATTCGAAGCAATTGATGTATTTGAAAGAAGAGATAGAGTAGGAGGAGTATGGAATTATGATGGAGATAAGTCACATTTAAGGCCACCTGTTCCTTCGTTGGATCCAGGTGGACGGGACTACAATGATAATATTGAATTGACTCCTGCTGCATATGCATCACCAATGTATAAATATTTGGAGACCAATATCCCATCAAAAATCATGGAGTACGAACAAGTATTTTTTGATTCCGATGGTACGACTTTTCCGGCCAGAGAATCGGTGTTGGACTATGTGAAAAAATATGCAACTACTATTCCTAGTGATAAAGTTTATATTCATTTGAATTCTGCTGTGACTTCGGTAACAAAATTAGATAGCGTATGGCATATTGAATTTAGATCAACTATTGCCCCATATCAACAAAATAAGGAACAATATGATGCAGTTGTCATTGCTAATGGGCACTTTGAAGTCCCTTTCATTCCAGAAGTTAAGGGTTTGCAGAATTGGAACGATAAGGCTCCTGGATCTATAACGCATGCCAAGTATTATATTGATCCTGAACCATATCGTGATAAGAATGTCTTAATTATCGGAAATTTTTCCAGCGGTCAGGATATCTCTACGCAAGTATTGGTTACTGCTAAGAGTGTCTATGTTTCGATCAAAGATACAGATGAGGCAAGTAAATTGGATGCATCTGGATTAATTAAATATATTGGAGTTGTAGAAGAATACAATTATGACCAAGAGAGATCCGTGAAAACCGTGGACAATGAAGTGGTTAAAGATATTGATGTGGTGATCTTTTGTACGGGATATTTGTATAGTGTTCCCTTCTTGAATACTTACAAAGAGGATGTGTTATCGGCCGATGGTAACCAAATTCAGAATCTTTATAAGCACATATTTTATACGAAGGATCCATCTCTTTCGTTTGTTGGTTTACCTAAAAATGTAATTCCTATGCCTCTTGCTGAGTCTCAAGGTGCTGTAATTGCTCGGGTGTATTCAGGCAGATTGTCATTGCCAAGCGAAATTGAAAGAAGCCTTGCTTATGAACAAGAACTAAAAGAGCGAGGTTCAGGAAAATCATTCCATAGTTTGGCGTATCCTCTAGATATTACGTATTACAAGGATTTACAACAATTGGTCGATCAACATAAGACTGGATTCAACCCTCCTTTATGGGACGATGAAAGAGTACAGTTACGAGCTGATACATCAACATTAAAGAAAGCCCGTGTAGCTAACGTAGTAAAGTATGCGATTAAGCTCCGAAATGAAAGGGCAGATTCATTTAAGTTATTAGACTAATTAGATACTATTTAATAGACTAAATAGATTTAAGACACTTTTGCTTCCCTAATGCGCACTTAAACCTAATTAGGAAAAAAAGGTTAACTTAGCTGCTAAAAGCTTATGAATCTATAAACTCTTAAGACTTATCTTTATGAGGAATAATTACATAACAGTATGAATAATATCAACAACTCAATCAATAGTCCGATGCTTGAAACAGACGCAATGTTGTTGACTTGCACTTTGGTGTTTATTTCGTTGAACTGCATTACGTATCTTCGCGGAATCTTTGAGGAAGACAACTATGTTGACACAATATATCGACCCCAAGAGAGGGCAGACATGCAATCTGAAACTGGACAGAAAGGTCGTTTTATAAGATTAAAAACTCTTAAACGTAACTTTTGTGAAGCTTCCGATACCTTTCTCAATTGGATTGAATTAGGAGTATATCAAGCCATATCCTTAAAGTACTTGAAGGCTATTCAGTTCTCTATTTATTTTAATAAGGGCCATCCTGAAGATGTTTCTGAATGTTATTTCTTCTCATTTGATTATGAAAATAATGCTTTACAAGTTAATTCATCAACATCTGCAAATATTCCTATCCTGTCGAGATTGGATACGAGAGAGAAAGTTATGGATTTGATAAAGCGATTAATTCTTATCACCCAAAATTTAGATCCCTTGCCTGATGAATCGTATATTTCCATGAGATTACTATACAACAATAGTTGTCCTGCTGGATATCAAGCTCCAATTTTTAAGGATGCTTCTGATATGCCTGTTGCCACTGTTCGTACTGGAAATTATCAAAAGTCTTTTCAATCTGTTGGTGATATTAATATTGGTTTTAATAAGAGTTGTGTGGGAATTATAACTCAATGCTGTTTAGACGAAACTGCATATATAATCCCCATAGACCCATTTGGTCTTGTAGAGGAAGACATTCCAGCAGAGGATGAGTTTGGATCAGTTTTATCTTATGGACCTAATATAATTGAAATTCCTTCAATAAGTATAGGAGAGAACAACCAAGAAGATATAACAGCTGATAGTGGTCCTCTCACTTTGAAAGATATTGTTGCTGATAAACTATCATTAGAACCTACTCAAAGAATGATTTCCAATCAAAAACCATTTGTTTGGACTTTTCCTGAAAAGGAATGTATTTCAGGATGTAGTTCAGAAACAACAACGGGCTGTATTAAATGTCGTCGGAAGATTATTCCAGTATGCTATGGTAATTACAATGATCGAGATTTATTATTAATTAAATGCTATGCTTGTTGTTTTGAGAATGAGGTGTTGGATATACATTTAATAATGCTCATGAAAGCCAGGTTTTTATGGATACACTTAATGTATGAGGAAAACTTCCCTAGTTCAAAGGGAATGTATGAGCTATTAAATCTTGATGTCAATAAAGCTGAGGATAACGTTATTATGGAGACCATATTGAACATCTTTTTTGGTGAGGATGTCTTATGTATTAGTAGTAAACCATTTACTAAGATTTATTCAAGTGAATTAGTTCATGGCCATGGTACATTCAAGCCATTAACTGCTAATCTTGTTTATGATAACGAAAGATTATTAGAAACTAAACAGTATTATATTGGATTTATGCCCAAAATACATCCTGATCCATCGTTTTACGATTTCAAGAATCTATTATTTCCTAATCATGTTCGTACTAGAAAGAATGTAATCTTAAATAACTTGAGTAAATTTAAGAAAATGATAGTGGATTATACTATTAACGTGACAACCATGGATGAAAGTGATGCTAATATAGATAGACATAATACTACTACAGAATCGGTTATAAATCAGGGTCAAGTTATCAATCTGGATAGCAGCTTAGAATCAGTACAAGAATTAACAGATATCACAAAAATGTCATTTGAAGATGCAATTCTATTATTATCCCAATTCACAGAAGTATCTGATATTAATCATAATTGAGTTACTATTAATATCTGATACTAATCATAATTAAGTTACTTCTAATATCTAATCCATTAATAAATTTAATTTTGCAGCTTACAAGGAAAAATGTCGCACACATTCACGTGACTCCGTGGCTAATTAATAAAAAATGTCACATCGAACGCAAATTAAAAAATCACAAAATTTATAATTCACTGCATCCATTACAAAGAAAAACGTAAGTGGTTATTCTTTGGGAATATTATTGTCTGGTGAAGTTTTCTACTAAATTTTATACAAATTCTGAAAATTAACTTTTCCTTTATAGTTAAAAGTATATAATTACTATCATAGTATTGCTTCTACATTAGTTTAACAATTAAATAGATTGTTAATAATTTGAGAAATTTCTTATTGCATCAAAGTATTATTAATGAACTAAAGCATTCATAGTGTGAGCAAGTTTGTTAAATCAAGAGTTTTTTAAAAATTTCAAAATTATTCATATTAATATCTTTTCATTGCATGATAGGAAATGCCTCCAACCAAGAAAAATGGATCATCAGCTACCAGGAGGAAGCATACCAACTCCAAACTTGGATGTTTAAATTGTAAAAGAAAGAAAATAAGATGTAATGAACAATTACCAATTTGTGGGAATTGTTTAAAAGGTAAGAAAGAAGTTTGTTCATATTTGAGTTTAAATCAAGCTGAGACTGATCGTATTAGATTAACTCATTCATTAAGGAATAGTCAAAATAAATTATTGAATCAAGATTATAGATTACCTACATCATCATCAAATCCGAATATCAGCGATGATATTGATAAGGAACAAGTAGTTAATAAAAATCAAAAGAAAGGTGATAAAATTTCACTTGAATTTAAATTTGAATTAAGTAGACTACCACTACGATTCCCATCAATATCATATCCTCCTGTACAATTTAGTAATATGACAATTAATGATTTTTCCAATGAATTTAAGGTAATTCATGATTCTTCTTCTGATGAATCTGATGCAAATAAGAATATTAAATCAGGTAAAGCATTACCTAATGCACTTAATTTGAAGACTCTGTTTCATAAATTTAATTATTCTAAAATCAGTAAACGAGTTGAAAGGAAAATTAATGGGAATGAAAGTAATGATATGAATTATCATATAATTCTTGGAAAAATCAATATAATGGATTATTTTAATGATTTCTTAATTGAAATGTCTACTAATGAACCTTATATCGAGATTGTTCATGATACATTTATTTGTTTAGGACATACAGCAATTCTTAATCAATTTCATCAATTATTAAAGTATAATTCTAAATTTAAACAAACTTATAATTCAACATTTGTTGATGATTTTGAAAAGAAATGTTTTGAAAAGCATGGAGCCATATTAACTAAATTAAGATATGATATAGTTAAATTTCAATCATGGCATGATAATTCCCAAAATGATGATAGATTAGAATATTATACATCATTTTTAGGATATGCAAGTTTCTTTCTAACATTTTCAATAATTCCATTAAATTTTAGTGCTGAAAGTTATTTTAATTCTTCAAAGGGAATATTTGCAGTATTTGAAGTTTATAATTCAAAAATTAAAGATGTGGATAAAGCCAGTCCATTATATTTATTTTTATTATATAATATGCATTTTAATCTTACAAGTATTAATGTTCCATCATATAATCCTGAATTTATGATTGAAGTTCAAAGAAATCTTAATCTGTTACTGTTTATTTATAAAAATGATTCATTAAAATTTAAAGATGATGATTTAAACTTTTGGTTTGATAGATTAAAATATCAGTATAACAATTTAATTAATATATTTGATGAAAAATTAATGCCAATATTATTTAAATCTCGAGATGAAAATTTTGTAACTACTTATCCTGCAAGTATAATTTATGATATTTTAAAGAAATGGTTTTCAATTTTCCCTTCTGAAGCTATGGCATATAATCCTAATAATAATTCTAATAATTATCATGATGAACAAGTATTTTTAAATGATTTAACTACTACATTATATGTATATTATCAAGCAATATCTGCTTCATTAAGTGCTATATTTTCATCATGTAAATATCTTTATGGAATGAATTATATGTCACCTTGTTCAACAGTATTTTATCATGAAAGAAAAATTATGGAAACTAATAAATTTAATCCATATCATCAACAATATTTTAATTTCCCAATTGATGGAATTTTACAACGTCATAATTATTATGCTATGAGATTATTATCATTTTTTAATCGTAGAAATACTTTTTATCAAGATCATTTAGAATGGTCTTCTACTCCATATAATGATTATTTAAGGAATAATCGATTAAAATCAAGATCAATTAATTCTTATGAAGTACCTATAAAAAGTTTTACTACCACTTTAATTCGTCCTGAACATTATCCTACTAAATTAGATGTTTCATCTACTATGGGTAATATTAATAATACTACTGGTAGTACTATTGCTACTACTACTACTAATAATAATCAACAGAATCATAATAACAATATTAATAATAATAATATAACCACCAACAATAACAATAATCACAGTACCTTTGTTCCTAACAAAGAACCATTAAGAACCACATTAGGCAATGGGAACACATCTAATGAGATAGCTAACTTTGTATTCACCCGACGTGATGAAACTATGATCCAGAAACTCTATGCTAGAAATATTGAAACATTAAACTTTTTCGATCAACATTCAATTCTACAATTTGATTATGAAACCATGTTACTTTTACGAGATTATCGTCCTATACATGAAGCCCGAATTAATGGTCAAAAAGTGGATATGGATAATATCCGAGAGTACTACGAAGACAAGAGCATTATCTTGAATAGCATAATATAGCATAAGCAGCATTAGCAGCATTAGCAGCATAATTAATAGCATAAGTTTAAATAATATATAGAGAAAGAGTCAAATTTTAGAAATAACGCATAAATGTCGCGACATATGGATAGACATCCGCGACATCCAAACTTAACCCAAATACTGCGACATATCTCTGCCCAATATAAAATTTTAACTAACAGATGAATCATATTCACACTATAAATTACTTTAATAACCTCTACTAACATGTCAATAATCTTGCCCGGAGATAAGTTCCCCGTTAGCAGAAATCATGACGAATCGATCGATATAACTTTAGGACCAGGACTCTATAAAAGTGTTAATTCAGATACAATTTTACCAGTGCAAGCAGGAATCTTTCAAAGTAAACCTATAAAGAAACAACAACAATTATATTATATTGATAGTAATAGTCGGCGATACATTCCTCAAACCAATGATTATGTGATAGGAACAATTGTGGGGGTTGTAGGAGGTGAAAGTTATAAAGTATCACTACAAGATTTTTCTAGTTGTGTATTATTATCAATGATGGCATTTCCTAATGCTACAAAGAAGAATAGACCAAATTTACAAATAGGACAAATAGTATATGCTAGAGTATCTAATGCAGGTAATGAAATTGAAACAGAATTAGAATGTATAGATCCAACTACTGGTAAAGATGGAGGATTTGGATTATTAGATGAATCTGGTTACTTATTTTCCATAACAAATTTAAATTTTACAAGAGAATTATTATTCAATTCTGAATCTCCAGTACTTCAAAAGCTCAGTACTCGATGTAAATTTGAAATTGCTATTGGGATTAATGGTAAAATATGGATAAAATGTGGTGATGGACTTGTAATAAATAAGCTGGATGTTGATATGGATATTGATGAATCCAGTACTAATAATAAGAATTCTACTACAAATATAAGTTCTAAAAAAGATATATTAGTTACTTTAGCAGCTGTAAAATACCTTACTGCTTGTCAACACAAATCACCTGACCAGATAGATACAGTATTAACTCAATCATTTATAAATATATAGATTAATGTATAATAGTAGCTCATCGCGATAGTCTAAAAAAATTCCCAAGGTGAAAAATTACGATCTCGTAGTAATACTAGTCACACTAAACTTTACCCAGCACTATGGGACCAGTTTCAAATAATCTTACGACCGAGCAGTTGGCCCGTCAATTACGTAAGATCGAGAAGGATAAACGTAAAAAACAGTATGAAGATTTACAAGTTCAAGGTACTAATAATTCATCTATAGTGTCTAAGAGAAGTGTAGAGAAATTATATGAGACTCAACTTCATCCCGAAGAAAAACAATGGTTTGCAAGTTTTGTAGCTAAAAAGGTGGTTAGAAGATCACCTGCTATCAATAGAGGTTACTGGATTCGTATGGAAAGTATTAAAGTGTTGGTAAAGAAAATTGTGGATATGAACCCTAATGTCCCTATAATCAATATAGTCAACTTAGGTTGTGGATTTGATCCATTACCATTCCAATTATACCACTATAGTGATAGGCTACGTTTCATTGATGTGGATTATCCTGAATTAATCAATAACAAATACGGAATGATCTATAAAAGTCAAGATATTGTAGAGTTATTGGGACTTACTGGTACAGAAGATGAAAAATTAAGTAGTAATGATAAAGCTAAGGGTATACGAATTAACCACAACAGGTATACACTTATAGGTTGTGATTTAAAGAATGCAGAGTTGTATGAATCTCAACTTAATTACTTGGTAGGACTGGGTAATGATAGTGTAACCATATTTATAGCTGAAGTGTCGTTGGCTTATATGCGAAATGAGTATGCTAATAAAGTTATAGAGATCAGCAGTCGAATTAATCATAGTCATTTTGTTATACTAGAACAGATCTTACCGGATGGACATAATCATGCATTTGCTCAAAAGATGATAGCCCATTTCAATAAACTCAGAAGTTCTTTACATTGTATAGAAGATTATCCCACCAAGGCAGCGCAAGTGGCTCGATTCAAACAATATTATAACGGAGAAGTAGAGATCCATAACTTGTTTGAGAATTGGCACCAGCTCATTGACGATTCCACCAAATCCAAGATTCATGACATCGAGGAATTTGACGAATGGGAAGAGTTCATTGTATTCTGTCAGCATTATATCATCCTCCATGCTACAACCATGGCTGGACAAACATTGTATATAACCAACAAGAATAAGAATGTCTTGAACAGTCAACCGGAAATCGATGGCACTGTATCCATAAGTATCGAATCAGAATTGAGTCATGACGAAAGACTCCAGTGGAAGTTTCCAGGCGCTGCCTTAATCGGTGAAGATATTGTTATTCAAGGTGGATTAAAGCAGACCAGAACTAATGGTACAATGATTCTACACCAGGATCATATCGAAGAGATTGAATCCAATGAAGAGCAAGATAAATTCCCAGCTAGAATGGCACATTCGCTCACTTCTATTGGAGATAAGTGTGTTTTAGTAGGGGGCAGAGCTCGACCAGGTAAAAATTTTAATGATATCCATTTATTTGAAGATGGTGTGTGGAATAGTGCTGGCATGTTAGCTCATGGAAGAAGCAGACACAGTACTGTCAAGATAGATGATGATCATTTACTTATATTTGGAGGATTAGAACCAGAATCAGAGACAGAGATAGAATCATTCATAGTGTATGAAGTATCCACTAGTACAATCATACCAGTCCAAGTTCAAGGTATGTCCATTGGTAATATGAAGAGCAGTGCTATAGCCTACAATGGAAAGTATGGAATAATAGTTGGAGGTATGAATAGTGTAGAACAACCTATAGTTAATGGGTCCATTTACCAATTTGAGATCAGTAGAGATGTTCAACAATACCACTATAATCTTAGTGTAACTCATATCGATCATCACGCCTACCTCTTCAGTCGGATTGGATGTAAAGTTAAATTTATAACAGACTCCAAAGTCATAATTATAGGAGGAGTATCACCATACGAGATCTACAACGATTCCAATTCCACCATCATTACTTATGACATATCTACAAAGACAGTTCAAGGTGTTTGTATAAACGAGAGTATACGAACCAATAAAGCTCCATTACTTATTGGATTTGAGGCTGTTCAAGATGAAAAAAATCGGATTATTACTATAGTGGGTGGAGGAGCGGTATGTTATTCATTTGGTAGTGAATATAATGGAGTTTATACCATTAGATATTAAGTAGTAAGAATCAAGGAGTAGTAAGTATTAGCGAATTTTATGTAGAAGAGATGATGCACCGAGAAATGTATGATGTACAATTTTAGTGCGTTGTAATATACACAAACACGTCTAATAGATTCGCGTTCGCAAAAAATTATGGAACTAATTGAGAAACGATAGTGACAGAGAAATATTGAGAGAGGGGATAGTTAATAGAGACAATGAACCGTTACCGAGAGATAACAGAGTGACAGCGACAGGTAGTTATGGAAATACAATTACGAAAGACACATAACATGTAAAGAAGGTTTTGAATAAATGTGGGGAAGAATAATAAGAAAAGAAAATGACATCAGGTGATGAAGATAAGAGAAAGCGAAATTATCGAGTGCAAGAGAAGTATTTGTAGTTGTATTATTAATTGTTGCAATTGTTATTGTTATTATAATTGCAATTGCAATTGCAGTTGTACAGTAGTCATTAATTGGTAAATTAGTAATATTAGTCACAATAGTTACAGTAGGACACAATAGTTGTAGTGACAGTGTCACTAGTTGTACGATACTAAGTGCTGATAGTCTGCTGGTGTCTCCCCATAGTGGATAAAAAATAAAAAAAAAATGAGGAGAGTCATCCCTGAAAAACTTTAATTGAAAGCGCATTTATTAGGAGCCGAAGGGACTGTAGTGAGAAACAATGTACTGGTCTTAGTAGTAATAACAGCAACATTAGCAATTAGTAGCAATCAATAGTAGTAGATAGTTATAGACAAATTGTAAGAAAACATAACCACCAGTAACTCTCAGAACCCTCAGTAACTCACTTAACACGAGTCCCCTGAGAGTCATCCCCTGCTTAAGCCGAGTTGGAGTTGTGGGCTGTTTTGTGTAAGCAGTGCGGGATATCTCATCTCCCTCCCTCTAATTAGTGAGACTCTCCCTAAGCACCCCTCCTTTTACTGACCATAGTGAATTCTAAAACTTAACTACTCACTAATTCTCCCTAATTCTTTCTCACTAACTGCCCACTAATTAAAGTTAAAATATTTCACAATTTAAAATTTATCCTAATTATTACTTACTATATTAATATTAATACTATTTATTACTAATAGAATCGCAGCAAAATTACTGAAAGACTCCCTGGCCTCATGAATGATAACCCCCCACAAGCGGCCAAAGTCTCCCATCATCCTGCCCATACTCGCAGACATTCATTTACGTACGAGCCGATGCTGCCTGTAGCCCATTACCATAACGATCTAGACACCAGCAACAGTACGACAACGAATACATCCCCTACCTCCTCCACTACAACTCCAATTATTACGACTCCTACTAAACCTCACAATGCTACTACCACCACTTCAAGTTCACCTCCACTAGTACACTCCCTCTCCGATGATTCATTCAACGACCTCCCGCTATCCATGAGATTCATGCACAAACCCTCCCGTTCGCGAGAATTACTTGAAAAGGCTAGTGACCCTACTCGTCGTAATAGTCTCTTGAACACTCACATTGATATTAGTGATCCAGGAGATGTTACTGACAGTCCCCCCATTACTCAATCACTTTCCTATTCACCACCTCCAACTGAAGAAGTAATTCATGATGATGACGAGCCAGGCTATCGACTTGTACGGAAGAAATCGGGAGAGATTCTTAAACCTTCACTAAAGTCTAATGACTCTGCTTATTTCGATATTATGAAACGTTCAAGATCATTACCGACAACTCCTACATACAAGCAAGTTCATTTTGGTGGTGGTAATGATGTTAGATACTTTAAAAAGAAAGATAAACCAGCCGCCATTAGTGCTAGTAATTCACCCACTCTCAATGGAGATGGTGATGATGATACAGAGACCTTAAAGACTATGAAGAAATTGAATTTATCGGCATATCATGACTATGACGATGATGAAGATGATGATGACGATGAAGAGAATGATGAAGATGATGATGAATTTGTAGAGAACAATGTCCATGGTGAAACCAAGTATCCTCGATATGCCGAAGTGTTTGATAGTGATAGTGAAGAAGATAGTGATAGTGACAATAATATGAGTCCTCACTATAAGTATCAAGCACCTCCTAAATCAGTCGATTGGCAATTAAAACTTCTTAATTTCACTCCATTAACATCATACGACAGTAAGATCAAACAGGAAGTTCCAGTATTTCTAGAAAGACTTTTTATTACTGTAGACAAGAAGTACTTATTAGGCCATATAGCCGTGAAGAATTTGGCATTTGAAAAGTACCTTATTGTCCGATACTCCCTTGACAATTGGTGTACTATTATAGAGATTCCTACAGTATATGTGCCTGATCGGCCAGAGATCTTAAAGAGTAACAATTACGATCGGTTCATCTTTCAAATCCCCTTAGAAAACTTATTCAATAGTTTCCGAATAAGTAGTACCGAAACTAACAATAATAATACCAACAATACTAATACTAATGGTACTCTCGAAAAGACTTACCAGATATGTATTAAATACTACTCCAATCGTAATGAATACTGGGACAATAACAGTTTTAAAAACTACCACATTAAACTCATTCGAACTACACGAGAAGCTCAAAAGTCTCGTTCCAATAACAACAATAACAAACACCATATTACCAAATTATCTTCACCTCCACCTCCAGCCGATTACAATCCTCCAAAGAACCTGCGGATTCTGTCACACGATAAGAAACCCAAATACTCCCACTCGTATCTCAAACGGATTGTCTCGGACTCTCAAATCGAGTTGAACAAGAAGGACGAAGATACCTCCTCCAGTGATATCAATGATTTTGAAAAGAACAACTTCTATATGTCGCTGCCCATGCTTTCATCTTACAACACCAAACCCAAAGTTCCAGGTGGTGCTACGACTACCAACAATAACAACAACAACAACAATAACAATAATTCCACTATCACAGCAAAGCCCAATGATAGTGTAGAATCACTTGATAAATCGTCAATTCCCTCTGCTAAATCTAGTTTATCATCTCCACCTTTTACTATGCGACACGATGATTCTTCGGACATCTCTCCCGATACTGCCAAGCCAGAACGGCCTCCATTTGGAGCTCCACCATCCCTCGATCCTCAATCATACCGAGAACTCTTGGACAACTATTGCTTCTTTAATTCATCCAATCCTTCATCTCCTGATACTCATCCTACTTTCCAATCATCTCCGGTTTATTTTGGTGCTGGACACCTCCAATCTTCATCTGTCACTGCTAGACGTTGGCCAAGTGCCAGTGGTAGTAGTGATGGTACTATTAGTAGTCGAAATACATCTAATTCTTCGACTAAATCTTCCGAGTCAGACGTTACTATTCGTCCTCCTCCTTCGCCTCCAACTTCCCAATCGGACGCAAAACAAAACAGTACTTCTTCCTATACAATCTCTTCATTCTTAGGAATCTGAGAGTCTCTAAGAGTGTCTCTTAGTTATAGACGACTCTCCATATCTGTACGTTTAATATATATGCGCACTATCATACTACAATTATCAAACTCTCTCTCTAATTTACATATATTAAATAACCTAATCAAAACAATACATCTTTACGGCTCCACTGTCTAATCCAGCAGCAAATCGAGAGTCACTCAACCCTACACAACTTACACTAGAAGTGTTACCAAATGTATGTAAACATTTCCCATTCTGAAGATCCCATACTTTAATAAGACTATCATGAGCTCCGGAAATAATTCGGAAAGTATCAGCCGCAATAGACCATACTCCTTCAATATGTCCGAATTGAGTTCGGATACATTTCCCGGTTTTAACATCCCATAATTTTATGGTATTATCAAGTGATGAAGTGAGTAAATGCGTAGGGTAATTAGCATCCCATAATAATTCATGACTAGACTCATCGGCATTAACTACATCTCCGGCTTCTACATTATCGAAAGCACGTGCAGCCGGAGCAGTCAGTGGACGACTATGAGTATTGGTAGTGCCATTGCCATTTCCATTTCTATTTCCATTATCACCTTCATTCTCACTCTCGCTCTCATCTTCTATCAAGTCCTCCTTATAGGTAAACGGAATAACCGTTTGCACCTGACCAATATGTCCATTATTTCCGGCCCCTCCAAAGATTCTTAAACATTGATTATTCTGAAGATCCCACATCCGAATTGTAGTATCATCAGAAGCACTAAAAATTGTATTGGAAGGGGCATGGATCTTTACACAATTAACCCAATCAGTATGACCTCTTAATGTATAACAAGTTCTTGAATCTACATGCCATACTTTAACAGTATGATCAGCTGATCCAGATACAATTGATTTACCAGAAAAATCAACAGAAACTACTGAATCTTCATGACCTCTATAAGTTGCAATACATTGACCAGTATGATAATTCCATACTTTAATAGTAGAATCTAATCCACCAGTTATAAGTTTTTGACTATCAAATACAAGAGATCTAACTCCCTTAGTATGACCTTCAAGAGTTTTAAGACATTCTCCAGTATCAATCTTCCAAATCTTAATGGTAGTATCATAAGATCCTGTCATTAAATATTTTCGATTAAATTGAAGACATGTAACTCCATCACTATGACCTAAAAATTTCTTAATTGTAAAAGTACCATTTCTCCAATTTTTTTCAAGTTTATATCTTTCAGAATAAACTGATTTCCAAGGCCGTTTTTTTATTGGTTTTGGAGGTGATACAACTATTGCCAGAGAATTAGATTCTTCAATAGTTTCATTACCTAATTTAGGTCTTTTAACTGGATTAGGAGTACTATCATCAGTTGAAGTATTTCCATCATCTTGAGTTATAGAAGCTCTTCTTTTAATGGGTTTAATATCTTCTTCAGTCATTTCTCGTGCTCGTTTCATATGCATTAATGGTAACCCCCATCCACAATTTGGACACTTTCTATCAATATGTTGTTCACACATATGATGCCAAACTCGATCATCATCAGCTAAACTTTTCCATTTCTTCAGAACTTGTGCAGCATTACAAAGTGATCGACAATCAAGATAACATAATATCTTAAGAGAAATTTCTACTGGTAAAGTTGAAATAAAATCAATACGAATTAAAGTAGAAACTTCTTGAGATATGAATGATAATTGAGGGAAACAACATTGAGATAAGAGTCCTTGAAGAATCAACTGACGATGTTGAGATGGTGCAGCACTAAAGATTGACCATACATGAGATATAGCTTCTTGATCTCGACTTGGAAGTTTTTCCAATGAAGATTGAATCTTTTTCATTTTAGCTTCATCTGTATGTTTATTACAGGTAATTTCTGGATTATGACGATAACAATACTTATGGAAATTATCATTAGGAATAGCTGATTGATCACTAATATGTTTAACAAGGAATGGAGTTACTACTGATTCATTTTCATGAGGTTTGGATGTAGTAGAAGACGTTATATTGGGAGTAGATAAATGGTATACAGGAGGTGGAGGAGTTGAAAGTCGAGTGACTATAGATGAATGAGTATTGGATAAGTCAGGTTCGGTGATATTATGCTCGGTTTGCTTATGAGGTAGAGCTCCAGTGGTGGTGGAAGTGGTAGTAGAAGTGGTAGTAGAAGCCGTAGTAAGAATCAGATCGTAGGTCAGATTACGGAGCATGGATGAGGAGGATGATAATGATGCTGAAGGTTCCAAGTCGTGCTGACTGGTTAGGGCCGGATTTATAGGCGTACAGCTATCCTGTAAGTTCATCTGTGGTTAGTTATTTGTCGTGTGTAATGTGTAGTGTGTTACTGTGTGTATTTAGTGGTAGTGGTGAGATTTGTGTAGTGTGTTCTGTACTGAGTGTTCTTTACTGAGTAAGGATTTAGTTACTGAGTTACTTAGTTCAAATATTCACTAAATTATGGAGTGGACTGAAGTATACTGTAGAACTTACTGAAATGTGATACACTGTGACTTAGTAGTGGTTATATATGGTGGTTATTAGTGGGATTTAGTAATGGTTAGTAGTGAAAAAAGAAACGAAAAGATAATTGTGGCTGCGTATATTCAGTCACTGTGGAGAAGAAGAAAGAAAAGTACTGAAAAAAGTGAGAGAAGAGTATACAAAAAGAGTGTATAGGGACAAGTGAACACAGAGACGAGTGTACAGATACGAAATTTTACAGTACAGAGATGAGGGTAGACGAGTGGGTACAAGCCAATAAAATAAGTATAGTATTAAGTATAGCAAGTAAAATATAGAACAGTAAGTATATGGAGTACACTACAGTAAGTACATTAGAGTAGACTAAAGTATAATACAGGAGAGTAAGTACGTACAGTGGAACACTAGTGAGATTACTTAGTACTACTCAGTAGTATTACTATCTATAACTAATCAATTTTTCATTACAGTACATAACAATACTATAGTGACTCACTAATTATACTGCAACTGCAGTGTATACCATACCACTTACGATACATTCTCTACTTACTCTACCACAGTTTACCTTACCCTCTATTGTTACTTCCTTCTCTTCGTACGGCTAGTGTGGCGTATCAGTAATTCTCCTCACGCTACCTCTGCGCTCGGCTGACCGTACCGAACCGACACAGAATCACAGCCGATCACGTGCAATTCACCATACCATTGAAGAAAATATTTTGCAGTAATTGACATCTTGTGACACATTCAAACAATAAGACATCTTACTGCATTGTATAATTAACGATGATATATCATAAATAGTAATATATATGATACAGTATCACATTATCGTATAGAGTATCATATACAGTATCATATACAGTATCATATATAGAAGTCATATACAATCACTAAGATAACTAAGATAACACAGTAAAAACAGATACTAATATAGACACTAATATGGTACTGTTACTATACCTATAATATTCTATTGCCATCATTTACTATCAAATACCATTACTGTCATATACTTTATTTCCCTAATTAACTATTACTATCATACACTTTACCATCACTTTATCATCACATTAGTAAAATTTTGCTACTAACATTCACGTGCCAGATCACCTGTCTGTCACGTGCACTCTACCTCATCGAAAGCTCCAGAACAATCTCGAATATTTCTTTTACAACCTCTATAAATGTCTGCAAATCCCCACCCTACTGAAGACTTTGAAGAGTCTCATATTGAAAAGAAACCTAAACTCGTCTCTACCATGTCTGACGATCAAACCCCAACAACAACCGAGAAAAAGGAAGACTTTTTCCCGGAAATAGGTGATCAAGCTCAAGATGTCGATGATGAACAAGAACCTTCATCTACTAATAATGAAGTTAAACAAACTGGAGCATTTGATGCTGAAGGTCATCCAGTTCAAGAGATCGAATCTCTTTGTATGAACTGTCATGAAAATGGTACAACTAGATTACTTTTAACTAAGATTCCTTACTTTCGAGAAATTATTCTTATGTCATTTGAATGTCCTCATTGTGGATTAAAGAATAGTGAAATACAAGCTGCTGCTCAAATTGCTGAAAAGGGAGCAAGATATGTATTAAAGATTGAAAATAAACAAGATTTTAATCGTCAAGTGGTTAAATCTGAAACTGCTATGGTTCGATTTAATGAATTAGAAATTGAAATTCCTCCAAAAAGAGGTCAATTAACTAATGTAGAAGGAATTTTAGAAGATATGATTGAAGATTTACAAGCTGATCAAGAATCTAGAAAATCTGTTCAACCAGAAATTTATACAAAGATTAATGAAGTTATTAATAAGATTCATTCTTATATTAATGCTGAACCAAATACTCTTCCATTAACATTCACTATTGATGATCCAGCTGGTAATTCTTGGATTGAATATTCTCCTGGTGAACCACAACATAAATGGGCTATGTATGAATATACTAGAACTGCCGAACAAAATGTATTCTTAGGACTTATCTCTGCTGATGATGCCTTTAGATTACAACAAGAAGAAGCAGAAGCTAAGAAATCAGCTACTGCTCATAATGTTTCATCATCATTAGCTCAATCTTCTACCAAGACAACTTCTACATCTAATAATGATAATGATAATGATGAATCATTTAATCCTAAATCAACTGGATTCATTTCTGATCAAACGGAAATTGAAAACCTTGAGAATGAAGTTCAAGTATTTCATGCTACTTGTTCATCATGTTTTAAACCATGTGAAACTCATATGAAAACTGTTAATATTCCTCATTTTAAAGATGTTATTATTATGTCTACTGTATGTGATTATTGTGGTTATAAATCTAATGAAGTTAAAACTGGAGGTGCTATTCCAGATATGGGAAAAAAGATTAGTTTAAAAGTAACTGATCCAGAAGATTTAGCTAGAGATATCTTAAAGAGTGAAACATGTGGTATGAGTATTCCTGAATTAAATTTAGATTTAACTCCAGGAACTCTTGGAGGTAGATTTACTACAATTGAAGGATTATTAACTCAAGTTAAAGAAGAATTATATTCTAGAGTATTTACAAGATCATCCGATTCAATGGATGATGAAAATAAATCAAGATGGACAACATTCTTTGCCAGACTTGAAGATGCTATTGATGGGAAAATTCCCTTCACTATTAATATGATTGATCCGTTAGCTTCATCATATATTCAAAATGTTTATGCTCCTGATAATGATCCAAATATGTCTATTGAAGAATTTGAAAGAAGTTATGAACAAAATGAAGATTTGGGTTTGAATGATATTAAGACTGATTAGTTAGATTGTACATTATAGATCATCGCATAGAATATATTATACCTTAGTCCTGTATTATAGTTAATCGTGTATTATATATACTCAGTCATGTATTATAGTTAGTCCTGTATTATACTTTTCTATATACTCTCTAGGTTATTTACTAACAACTCTTACTTCTACTCCTTGTGGTCTATCCGGGACAAGTCCATCAATGATACATCCGGATGAGCTTCTTGTTCATTGATTTCTTCTTGAGTTAAGAATGGAGAAATATGAACTCCAGCCATTTCCGAAGAGCCTCTAGCAACTTCAAGGAATGGAGTAGGTTCCTTTTTGGTAGTGGTATAGGTTCGGATTGGTGATCGAGGGATATATGTACCTTCAGGATGAAGGTCGGGAATGGATTCCAGTTCAAGTTCTGGTGCAACCTGTTCCTTTTCATCATCATCATCATTATTATCGTCTTCGTCTTCAACATTGACCCCGGTCGCATCCTCGTCAAGCACCTCGGATTTCGCATAGTACCCATCAACACTCACATTATCGGGATCTAAATTAACTCCAAGATTTTCATTATGTAAGTAACTATTCCGGTGTAGGGCCAGATCAAATCCGATATTGGTATCTCGGATCCCTAAATTTTGATTTTGACGATACTTCCATCTACAAGCATAAGAAGCAATAGTTTCATATACTCGTTTAGTATGTAACCGTTTCTCTACTCTTTGAACCAATAATCTTCGTTCAAGAAAGTCGATAAGATTAAGACATTGACCGGCTTCAAAAGATGTATAGAGTGGAAGTTGGAGTAAGATGCGAGTGAACAGAATTCCCGGATCGTTATTCAATTCCATAGTTAACAATGCTTCTTCAATGAATGTTTCATAGGCCTTTCTCCGTTCCCGGATCTTGGGGATATCCATACAGTCCAAAGTATTCCGGATCGACTCGTAGTTCGGGGTCACATCATACGGATTACTTATATCATTCCGTTTAAACCATTGATTGCAAAGAACCGGAATCTCAAGTATTCCGGAATAGAAATGGAATGAAAGAGCTCCATCTAAGGCATGAAGTAATTTCGGTAATTGAATAGGCTTTATATATCCTGTCCCCTCGGGATCGAACCTCTGCCATGTACGTTTAAACTTCCGGATCTCTTCTCGTTGAATAAGATCTCCATATCCGGACCGGTGATTAATATAACTAAAACTATCCAAGATTAATGAAACGAACATATTCAAAAAGATATACATAGATAACAAGTTCCAAGCAATAAATAAGATATAGGCAAATTGTTTATTACCACAATCACTATTATCTATACTAGGACTTGTAGTACAAAATGGACTTTCAACCGTATAATCTTGCATAATATAATTCCAACCTTCACCAAAACTATTCCGGAATAACATTATAAGGGCCTTCGGAACTGACCGAACATTAATATTTCCCGATCCATTAGGTCCAATCTTGGTAAGTCCAAAGATTTGATTCATAGCAATTGCAAATACTAAAAATACCACTGCCCAAGTAAATGCCAATGATAAGAAAGTTGGAAGACTAGCAGATGCAAATCGAAGTAATTGATTTAATCTATTACTTCTAGGAATAACAAAAGTTAAGATTCCGACTAAGAATAATTTATTAATATTAACATATTCAGTTTCTGAATCATCCATAATTCCAATATATTTAGTTGTTGTAATAACAGCTCCAAGTGCTACTATATAACCAAATACATTCCATTTATTCTTAAAGAATAAATGAATTCCTTGAGCTATAAATAACATTTGATAATGAATAAGAAATACTCCTGCTGCCACCGTATAAGCGATTTTTCTAAATAAATCAAGAGCCATCCATGATGGATAACATTCAAGAAGAAGTGCCATTACATGGATAAAGAGAATGATATTAAGAAATCTAGTCCAATAAACATTCTTTTCAATAGTTAATCGATAACAAAATCTTCTTATAGTTGACATATTGGTTGTCAGTTTCCGTTTAGATGGTTTTACTTGTAAAAGAATCTTTTTTACATGATACCACAGGATTTGGTCGGAAGTCAAATAAGCACGACCAGTAGTCTTGGAATAATTACTAATAATAACTGAAACAAATAATGTTAAAATGAAGATAGTACTAATAAAATTAAACAATATAACAAACACTCCATTAAATGGTGAAGCATCAGTCTGAGGAACAGTTCCAACTCCAGTACTATTCATTAAATTTTGAAGTAAATCTGCCCAACCTTCTAAGGAAACAATTTCAAATAAAGTTGCAAATGCAGTTCCAAATTGATTAAATTCCAAATAAGGATGAGTATATACATTAGGACTAACAACATTCCAATTAAATACATCATTTTGATATTCATTATAGCACATACTTAAAGGAGATTGACCATCAAGACAATACCCTAATCGACCTTCAAAGATGTTTAACCCCCAAATCAGAAAGGGGAACAATAAACAAAGAGATATGATTCCTGCATTAATGATCTTCCCAAAACCGGAAATTAATGTATTATGAAAATTAGCCTTAGCTGTCTCACTAACAGTTAATAATCGAAGAGCTCTTAATGCCTTTAATCCTCTAACAAATCGTGCAAGATTCCCATCATCTTTAAGAAAAGCAATAAGTTCAATCCATAAGGAAAGTAATACAAGCATATCAATTAAATTCCATGAAGATCTCATATACCCATTGGGAGTAAATATTAAACCATCAGCCAATACTTTTATAAGAAATTCCATAGTAAATAATACATTAAATGCCACTTCTAACCAAAAGGACCAATTGAAATTGCCATATAATTCAACTTGTTTTTTCCTATATAACGGAGTTAAATAACAAGCAGTTACTACTAAAGCAATAGTAGAAATAAACATAACAAGAGTGAATATTTCCAGGACTCTCTTATAGGGATTAACTCCATCGATTCTATCACCATATGATGGCCCCACAATTCTTTGACTCATTCTTCGAATCCAATGATGAGGAGATATAATATAAAATACATAATTAAACCTCGGATTTCGATCCAAGAATCGGTTCTGTTTAACAATCAAAGCGTTCCGTTCAGTTAAGATATTCCGAGCAAAATTGGCCGGGTCAAAGTTTTCTAATGATATAGGAAGTTTTCGACTATCATTTGAATAGAATGGATTCCGGAAATAATTCTTAATTCGAGCATAGTTAACATAAATCCATCGTCTTACTGGAGTTTGTGGTAAGGATTTAACTGGTGAATCATCAATTTCTACCATACTTTCACTACTACTAGTTCCAACACTTGTATTATCACTATCGGATTCAACTTCATGTTCTAAGAAATCACTAACGGCTGTACCAGTTAAGAGCAAATTAACTACGGCTCGTTCAAGTTCATCACGACGAGCAGAACTCTTAAATACTCGTCTTTTAAACTTCCCCAACCATCCTGTTTCAACTTGAAGAGTTTGTAATCGACTAGTCATATTATCTATGAATTGTATAAGTTGTTTACGTCTTTTCCCTTCTTCTGACACTTCTAAAGTATTGGCTATTACGGCAATGAAAACATTCATAATTACCAGATTTGAAAGAATAAACCAAGCAATAAGAAATATAGCTGAGAATGCTCGAGAACTGGGATTCTTAGAATACTCCGTCATGGCATAAAGAATCTCTGTCCAATTCTCAGTAGAAGTTATAACATATAATCCTACAAATACATTAGGTAATGTATGCATAGGAAATGGAACTTGATCAAATTCATCTTCCGGTACAACTCCTTCAAAGAATCGAGATAAAATTATACTCACAAGTCCTAAAAGAATGAAATAAAATAATGCTAAATCACAAATGGCTCGAACATTCCCCATAATCTTTATCCAAAGATTACGAGTTATACGAGATGCAAGTACTACTCGATAAAATCGAAGTAATTGAAAGATAGTTAACCAATAATAGGCATGACCCAACTTATTCTTAATGGGTTGAATAATAATAATCCCAGTAATTATGGCTAATGATAAATCAAAAGTATTTCTTCGAGACGCAAAGAATAGCCGAAAGTTAGGGAAATGAAAGAGGAATCGAGCCACAATCTCCACGAGAAATACAACCGTAAATGCTGCTTCTATTCGATAAAGCAGGTGTCGTCTAATATCAGACATAGTATAATTTCGAAGACATTGAACTATTAAATCCAGAAAGATAAGGATTACAAATATGAATTCCAGTCGATAGTAATACTTTAAAAATATATTCTGATCCTTTAATTTACTAATTCTTTCAGCATAAGTTGAACCATCTTTGGAGGGGAATAAGAATCCTAAAATTCCTCGCTTTGAAGTAGGAACTAATTGTTCTTGAGTTTCTTTATTATGTTGAATATGAAATGAATTAACAATGACAGCAATAAATACATTCATAAGCCAAACCGTTAAAATGAACATAGCAAATATAAAGAATAAACATGCTGCCATACTATCCGTATCCATTGTATAATACATAATATCTGAAAAAGTATTAGCACTAATGATTACATAAACCATTTCTAAAGATTGTAAGATATTATCAAAATTAACTGTACCAGCATAAGGATTCTGTCCTTCAATACATTGAGAATACATAGGACATCTAAATCCCTTAATGGAAGTTGAATGAATTCCATTACTAAAAATATATGGTTGAGCATTACCATCTAATCCAATATATGAACCACAATACAGTTGAGAATTTATAAATATATCAGTAGGATCATTAGGATTTGTCCATACACAATGTCTTGTAAGGGAAGATTTAAATGATTGAACTCCTATAATTCCAAAGACTAACCAAAAGAATCCAATAAATATTGAAACATCAATTAATTGTGGAATTGCCGTCTTACAAGCTGTTAAAATAGTCGTAGTACCAGTCGTAAGATTACATAATCTTAAAATACGAAGACAACTTAAGGCTCGAAATAATAATATATGATGTTGAGCATCATAATGATTGATAGAAAGAAATAATGAGATCCAAAAACTTACCGTAGAAACAAGATCTATACGATGCCATGAATTCCGAATATATGCTCGATTAAGTTTTAATTGATCAATGCCTCCGTTAGTTTTGGGTAAGATAAATGTATTTTTAAGTTTGAATTGTTGCGATTCTGCTACGGGCACTTGTTCAAGATGTTCTCGATCTTCTTCATTATCCAATAATCTAGCAGAATATGAATTATTGGTAATATTACTATCATCTCTTCCCTTAGTAGTATTGGTAGGTTGAAGATCAATTTCTACATTAACTTCACCTCCTGTATCACTATCAGAGCCAGAACCAGATCCACTTCCTGTGGCTGATTCACTAGATACTTTGGAAGTATCATTATTACTGTTGTTGTTACTCTTCTTAGATCCAAAACGTGATCTGAGATTAGCAGCCAGTGCTTTAGAAGTATATAACCCTAATGATCTTAATAATATTCGAATATACTTTGGATTGAAGTAGAATTGTTTGATTTCTGATTCAGGATAATCAAGTCCCAATTCTTCATACATTATATGATCATCAGCAAATCCATAAGATATAATTTTACCTACTACTTCTACCGTATAAATAATATTAATCATTATTAATACATAATCTGCCCAATTATACCCTTCGGAAACATATCCATGAAGATGTAATGGATTCCATTGTCGATAAGCCAAAAGTCCTGTTTGTAAAAATAAAAGAATTAATAATGTAGTATTAACCCAACTATAAGTTAATGTCTTATAACATAATTGTCTTAATTTGGATTGAGGAGAAAATAATTTTAAGGATTTACCAAATATATACATATTACCAACGGTTGTTGAATGGGGAGTATGATGAGATGAAAGTCGTTTCCATGATTGATTACTTAAATTTTGTACTATAGATTCTTGATTTGGTTCATAACTGGATGTTTTAGTTAATCCTCCTACTCTTTCACTAGATTTATTAGTTAAATATAATCCAAGTCCTTCTACAATTGATTCTGTAGTATTTGGTTCATTATGATTAGATGGGGCAAGAAAACTAGTTTGTGATGTCAGACCATTATAATTACCACTATATGGTGTCAATAGATTAGGATTAACTTTAGAACCTCGTCTTACTGGTGATGTATCGGGTTTTTGATGACTCCCCGTACCAGCAATACGTTCTGACATTTTTGTAATAAAGTTTCCTGATCCATCATGACTACTAGGTACCTTTAAGAGTACATTCCCGTTCCCTGATTCTATGGCTACCAGATCATGGTAAATATCTTGACTAGATGTTTGATCCAATCCGGAATGTCTTAGATTCAGCGAACTGGAGTTACTCTTAAATTGTCTTAAAGAGTTAGAATTAGAATTTAAATTATTAGATTGAGTTTGAATATTAGTATTAGTATTAGTATTATCATTACCAATGGGTAATAAATCAAGCATCGGTATAACACTGGTATAGTCTTGAGAACTAGTATCTTCAGATTTTATAATAGGAGTAACTGGTTTGGATTCCTGGTTTACCGGAAGCCAATTAGCACTATTCAGGGAAGTTCCTAAAGCAAATCCCAAACCCTCTTTCAAAGCATCGAAATCATTGTCTTTAGTAGCTTCGTTTATAAATGATTTAGATTTGATTTCTGGTGATCTGGATCCAGCTCTATCTAACTTGTTTTGAATCCAACTAGTTCTATTTACGTGATGTGGTTTACTGGAAGATCCTGATATACTTGATCTATCATAAGATTTATTGGGATCGTATTCATCTTGGAAAATTCTATCTGTGGGTGATGCAGGTGGTGATCGTGATCGTGATCTAGACCTAGACCTAGACCGTGATCGTGATCGTGATCGTGATCGTAGTTGTGGACTTGCTTGAAAGGGGAAATTGGAATGGGATCTTCCCAGAGTTCGAGCTGGATCTTCTGATCGAGATGGAGGTAAAGGTTCTGGGGTATAGTCATTAAGATCCTGTTGGGTGGGAGCTTCAACAAGTAAGACAGGTGTCTTGGAAGGTTTCGATTTCTTCTTATTCTTACTATTACGTCCAGACATTGTAATATAGATGTTTTATCACGTCCTGTAAATTGTGAAAGTATAATAAGTTGCAGTTAAAAATAGAAGCCTAGCACAGTTAGAAATTACGATACGATGATAATTTCAGAACGGTACTAGTATAACATGCAACAGGGACTTTGATCATAGACTTGTACCAAGTCTCACTAAAATTAAGTAAATAATATATAATATATGGGTATTTGTTAGTTAATTAACTATAGTCTTACAGCTTCTTCTTCAATGCTGTCAGGCTATGTAAAGTGGCAGGTCTTGATTCCTGTATAGAGCCCAATAAATACCGATTAGGAATAGGATTGAGTTGCAGCCTTGGCTAGTTATAGTAGTGATTAAATACTACAATAATCGGGGTTACAGTGAGAGTAAATCAGCCAGAATAAATGAAGAATAAACAATACAGAATACACAGGAATATATTGTGAGTTGAACAGGTTAACTCCAGTGAGCCGTAGATTAGAGTAGCCGTACCGCATCTACTACACAGCCTGGATCGTGTGGATCCAGTCAAACTGAAGGTGCAATGCAATTGGTCCATTTCTGATGATTATGCAAGTCTCAGAAGCACAATAGTGTAAATAATATATATACAAATATATCTAACTATCCCCATAGGTTGCTATACCTCAAGTTTAGTATTCATCAACTAGGATCGGTGTCTTGTGCTACACATGTACTAGCAACACAAAATATTAATATGTCGCAACACTACATGTTCCATCAGAATATACACCGCCATAGTACATTAGCAGATATTGCTATAACTATTGCTACTACAGCGAAGAGTAGCACTAGAAGTGATAGTGGTGATGGTGGTGTTAGTAGTTATTGTAGTTATTGTAGTTATAGACAGTAAGAAGTCGTGCACACCGGCCAAAGTCGTGTGCACTCACTTGTCACCAAAAATTTTCAAAATATAAAATGATACTTAATACCATATGCAACACCAAAACAGTCTACAACCAACAATGAGCTCGGTGTTAAAGAAGGTACCGACTCAGGAAAGACTTAACCAAGCACGCCAGCTTGCAGCTGCTATTTTCGGGCATCCATGGAATCCAGAATGTAAAAGATTGGGGACAAACATATTGAGAGCCGAATTAAAGGGACCAGAATTAGTTAAGTACTATGGAGTCAATGAAGATATTCCAACATTTAAAGATTTCAAGAAATGGTTCCCTGAATTGAAGTTGGTGGATCCAAGAGAAACGTATAGATTACATATGATTCAAGATAGAAAGAAGAGAAATAAGGGTGCTCCAAAGAAGAAGAAGGCCTAAACTTTACTTGTATATATATTATTAATAAATGATACTTATGATTATATCACTGAACGTTTGGGACGTTTCCGTACATCAAATGTATCTGTAATTTCATCGGCTGTAAAGCTATTAGATAACAATGTTAATCTATTTGTAGTATCAGGACGATTTCTCTTAAGTCGTGGAAATACTTGTGGTTTGAAATCTGTTTCTGATTCTGATTTAGTTCCTTTATTTATTACCTGCCACTTATTATCCTGTAGAATGATTAATCTTTCTTCACCAGCTGTTGCATCTTTAAGAGTAGATGTAGTTCCACTATAAGGAATCAGAAGTTTATTAGTAGTTAGATCATAATCAATGATATGAGTATCAGTAACTACAACAAACAGATTAGAATTAACAAATGAAACACTTACTATATCTGAGTTATACTGGATCGATGTAATATATTTTAGTTCTGGTCCATCTATCAATTGCAATATAATCACTGTATTCAGCACCTGTAATATCACCGTAGAGTGTTCGCTGTGGATCTTCTTAATAGTCGTATCTGCAAGGGTAATATTTGTAGATTGTCGATATTTAATAGCATTAGAATCTGCCGTTTGAACCCATCCAGTACCATATACTTCCTGATTAAATCCTGTCTTCCTTACTAACCTTAAAGTACTTATGGAATATACAAGTAATTCGAATTCATATCTGTCACTGATAGATGCAACAAGTATGCACTCATTATTATCATTAGTGCTGGATTTGGTGTTAATCCAGGAATCAACATAATTAGTATTAGCAAGCTCTACCTTTCCTGAAGATGTCAGAAGTTCATCACTAAGATGTTTTATAGTCAATATAGGTTCAGCATTAGTAGTAGTGGTGGTAGTAGTCTCTCCACCCAATTGGGTAGATAGAAACGGCACCACATTCATTTCAAATCCATACAACTTACTAGATTCATCAAAGAAACTTAACCAACTACCAGATGATGACCAATGGATTGAACAAGCTGTGATTATGCTGAATGGTAATTTCTGGATTTGGAATAAAGAACTGATTGAACCTTTATTATAGAAATGATATATAGAACAATGGGCATTATATTCCACGGGACTAGCCACTATAGACCAATACTTGTTGCCCTTATTAGGTCTAATCAATATCTCATTGGTCAACGGCTTTAATATGGTAACTAAGATATGCGTACAATCAAGTGAGTAGAGCTTCATGTGTAAATTGAATTTCGTGAAAACAACCACTTGTTTACAATTAACATATCCACCTCCCCCAGATTGCTTTTCATCGTCTCCAATAGCTTCAGGTATCCATTGAAACCTATCAATGCCTTCAACCATCAGTTGCTGAATAATTATGGGTTTATTATGGTCATCACGAATATCAAACATCAATAACACAGCATAGTTATCCACAACTACACCAAACTTAGACGACTGTAAACCCACACTGACAGGTTCCCATGTGAACTGAGTTAACACCAATGACTTCACATTACCCATTTGCTCTACTCCATTGCCGTACACATCTCTTAAGCTATCATTAAGATCATAGGAACGATAAACACTCGATGACTCAACGGCGTATATCTCTACCGTCAGACGTGCTATCAGAACGATTCCAACGAACTTCCCACATGGTGATACTGCACTAAGCACCTCACCTTTACTTATACCACTCATTCTATATGAATGTCTTGATTAATCACATTATTCAATACCATACAAGTAGTATATTTATACTTAAAAACATTGGTCCTGCACACAGCCTGCCAAAGTGCGGCCTATATCCACAAACAAAATCAAAACAACAAAACCACAAACAAAACCATCCCATAACGAGAGGTCTAACAACAGTCATGGCACCGAAAAAGAAGCCAGTGGCGAAGAAACAAGTGAGTGTGCGGCCGCAGACAACAGGGAAACGCTCGGGACCAAAACTCGGGAGCAAAAACGACCGTATACTGGCCAAGTTCCCTAGTCTCTCACCTCCACGAAATCACCCTGGAGTAGTTAGTGACTCGGACGATGAGCCTATGAGTCAACCGAGTAGTCAATCCGTATTAGGTCGTAAGAATCGATTGAATGATCTCCTATCGTCCACAAATTCCAATTCGAATTCGAATTCCAATTCAAAGTCAAAACCAAAACCAAAACCAAAACCATCAACAACATCATCAGCATCAGCATCACGTCAAAAACGTATACCTAAGACCAACCAAAAATACCTGTTTGAAGAAGATGAAGGATTTATTTATAAGAGAAGTCAATCAGTTGAAACGGATACAGGTTCTGGAGCTAATGGATCCAAACGGAAGAGAAAACCAATTAGTACACCTGTATCTCGATTACATGATGAAATCCATAGTCTTTCACGAGATATGCATAATGATGAAGATTTACATTTATTAGATCTACATAATCCCAAACGATCTAAAACTACTTCTACAACCATCACTAATCCAAAGAAACGTCAATCACGGAAGATCCATAACTTTTTGGATGAATCTAGTATACAATTATCATCACCTATTCAAGATAGAGGTCATTATTCCGATGAAGATGATTATGTTGAACAAGTATCTCATCATACATTAACACTTGATGAACCGGTAAGTAAAACTGGAGATAAACAAAATAGTAAACGAAGAACATCTTATTATAATCGAGGTAAAAGAGTTCTGTCGATAGGTAATGGATTTGTAGGAGAACCTCATCAAGACGTTCCAGTATCTGATTACTATAAACTTTTAGATACTTCATTACCTGAACCTGATAGAGTTAGACAACTTTTAATATGGTCCTTTAAGAAAAGATTACAACAAGAAGAGAATAATAATTCTAAATCAGGCAGTACTGAAGATCAAACTGTATTAAATATTGCCAAAGTTATTAAAGAAGAAGTAGTACGAGATCTTGTTGAAAAATTAATTTCAATTAGTTGGTATAGTAATCTCAATCTTGATACTGATGATACATTAAGTAAAGAAGTTCGTATACCGAATCCTTTAAATGAAATTAATTTGCATAACATTGATGTTTATTCTAAAAAATTAAAGGCATTAATAAAGCAAAAACAAGAATGGCAAGATGCATATAAACGAGCCATTCAACCAATTGAAAAATTACCTGAAACCATAACTAGTCTGGTTAATAAAGATCAACTTGAACAATATTTATTACATCAAAAGGAAGAACAAGTAGATGCATCTATTCTTGATAATTCATATTTAGAAAGTGTTGATAATAATTTAGAACAAGTGAAGGAAAAAATTGGTGATAATCTCGAATCTGGTATTGATAAACTTTATCACACAACCTATCAAATGTCTAAAGTTTCTGAAATTGTACAAGCCATTGAAACTACAAAATTAAAGGATCAAGTATCTTCTTTATTACTGGATTATATGACAAGAAGAAATGATACTCATAATTCAGTAATATCAAAACCTTTACCATTATATGATATCTCATCTAAACCTACAAAATCTATTGATAATAAAGTATTACTTCGAACTTTAAGTAGATTAGGTCAACCACTTCAAAAATAGTTTATTCATACCCCCCATTTACTTCTTCACTGTATTTTGCATTTTTTAGTGACCCGGTCACTCAAATGGACAACTGGAACATTTAGGAATTTTATAATATTCCATTTATTGTTGTTGTATATTAGTTAGAAATACTATGTAATATTATGTCATTTTATTTTACTTTAATATTTCACCTTTTGATCTTCTTGATAGCTTGCATAGAATCCCCCTCGACTATGTGCTTCTTCATCCTCTCAGCACATTCCTTTTCCAATTCTCTTAGATTTTGCGTCCTTCGTCTGTCGTATTTCATATTTTGAAAACTGCTAAGGCAATGGTTATAATTCTTTAAATCACTGGAACGTAGAAGCTGCTCATTATTGTGGATACTTGTAATATCATTGCGTGATTCACTATAACCAATGGGTTTTATGGGTGCTCCATTCTTGCTTTTAAAGATACTGTAGAAAAACACCTTATCATCCTGTTGTTGTAAACCAATGGTCAACAATTCAAATTGTTTAACTCCTTCGGAGGCGTATGGTTTGATTTCATCCAATAATAAACCTAAGCCTACTTCTGAAATAAACACTTTTAGAATTAAAGCATACTTCTTTAGAAACGAGCCTCGTGCAAATAGTCCTGTAGATCTACATGGTGGTATAAAGAATAATGAAATCATATAGTTTCCGAAAAAATACGAATCAAAATTTTTGCCAAAATCAAGTGAATAACCATAATAATGCCTTGTTGGATACTTGTCTGCGGCGGCAAAGGCTTCACTAAAGTTTTCATCCTTAAAGTAATGATCTAGTTCTCTATAGTTAAATTTTTGCATCACTGCAGAACAAGAATCTGGAATAATAATGCTAGGATACACTTGGTGTACATAGTCGCCTGATTCGTTTGGAACATAATTTACAAACTTGGATTCCAACTCCGATTTCAAAAACTCCATCTGCCACTTATGGTTAGCAGTTTTGTCTTTAGGAGTAATCCGAATTGGTTGAAATGGAATTTCCTGTATTTCTCGGTTCTGAACTTTAAGAAAATGATCATGGACTATTATCATAAACAAGCATGGAATTCCATAACGTGCTTCCGAGTACTTGAAACATCTCATACTGCAACTTATCTGACACATAGGACCATCCATGTTGTGTATAATAGTAGGCTGTGGGTTTTCATCAAGCTCAATAACTAACATACAATCAGCCATAAAAACTATTCCCAATCTTATCCTTTCCTCTATTAGCATTAAAACGACCTTGTTGAATAAAATATGAAAGTTTTCTTCTCCAAAGTTATTTCTATTGTCGTAATCTTGATAATTAGCATTTCCATCAACTAGAATACCCATGTGGAACTTTTGAAGGGCAGATCCAAATACATAAGCTGCCTTATGAAGATTAAAGTTATTAAAATTACAAAAACAACTATTTTTAAATTTATCTTGGGAAAATTGGGATGTCTCAAGTAAAAAGAAATTCTGAGTAAATCTGTTAAACTTATCTCTTAGGAATATACTTGATCTGGCTTTTCTTGTTGTTGTATGATCTGATTTGAGAAGTAGTTGCTTATTTAGTTCGAAGTTATCAATTGCCTCTTGCAAAAATTTATCAGTAATTTGCATTTTATCTTGGTTTCCTGATTGGGGGATGAATTGGTAATGCTCGTCGAATAGATCTTTGTGGATACGATAAAGAGTTTTAAATTGTGGTTTTTGTTTCGAAGGAATTTCAGCAAGTGGAGGAAAAAACAATGACAGTGTTAATGCAAATAAGCGATGAACCATATTGGTTATCTGAGTCTTTCTTAAAATTTGCTTTTTACAAAGTATTTCCAAAATAATTGAATCTAATTCATGATGGGCATAATCAATTAAAAATTCAATATCAGGAAAATAATGCGGACTATTGATATAATTCTTATCGAGTTTTTCAAATGGATTATCTGAAGTGGGTAAGTGATAATTGAACAATAAAAACACTAGTCTAGCTTCATTGTTTAATATCATTAAAGAATAATCTTTCTCGTGGGATTTCTGACTAGACACTAACTCTTGCCAATTCTTGTTAAGCAAATCCTTCTGGATGGCATTATTGAAGTAATTGTAGTCTGGTTCATTAATCAATTTGTCCACCACATATTCGGTAGATTCGTAAAGAGTCTTTAAAATCAGAGGATCCATGAATAACAGCACTAACTTGTATTAAGCTTGTTAATTAATTTTTTTTTAACTTAAACTTTTCTAACAACTACAAATATATATAACTTTATTGGATTTTCCCTATTGCTTGTAATTACTTACTTCTCCCTTTTATAGTTTCACAACTAATTATTTTGCAGTTGCTTTTCCATGCAGGACCTAGCTTTAAATTGCGCTCTCCGCTTTTATTGGAGGACAAAAAAAGAAATGCGCTTGAGGTGCATCACCACCAAAATTGACATCATTTTTAACATGGTAATGCCGTGCTGTTCTTTTATTGGTTACAGTATATAATTAGTTTTGAATTTTTCCTGCTTGTTCCATAATTATCCGATTTTAGTTAATCCAGTTTAGTGTTTGTGCGAGATTTGGAGCATAAATATTCCGCTTAGACTTTACTACACTAAACAAATAATAAATAACTATAACAATAACAATAACATTCCCCGCGTACATAACACTTATTATCCATTAGTATATAGTCAGCCAATAGTATAAGCGTAGCAATTTCAAATAATTTCAAGTACAAAAGTCATATAAATATGATACTAAATTCATTTAATTATGAGTTGCTATTCAAAGCCAATTTGAGTTCCCTCAGTGAAACCCTTACCAGGCGAAAGCATATTGTTCATATTATATTCTTTAGTATGTTGGTATTATTCTTAATTCATTTGTATTTCCTGTCCTTTGCTACAGGTTATCCCCTTAGTATGGAACATGCCAAGTATTATGGTCGTCAAGATATTAATTTACGAACAGTTGAAGCAAGCCATGTTCAATTATATGAACTTATAAATAGTGCGGCTAATAAAGCTGTATTTAGTCAGCTACAATATTCAGAAAATGCCTATTATGATTTAGGTAATAATGTGGTGGGTAATGCTGAATTTCCTGTTTATAATCAATTTCAACGTCAACCATATGTGGCAAATGGATATCTTGGTAGTAGAATTCCCAACATTGGTCAAGGTTTTACTTATGATCAATTGACAGATGCATCTACAGCTTCTGATGATGATCTTTTGAATGGTTGGCCCTTATTCAATAAAAGATACTCTGGAGCCTTTGTAGCTGGATTCTTTGATATTCAAAACAATGTTACGGAAACAAATTATCCTGAGTTGTATGCCAATGGATATGAGAGTATAATTGCAGCTATACCTCAATGGACATCCTTAACATTATCTACAGAACACAATGGAAACATATATTCTTTGAATCCTGCTTTAAATTTATCAGGTCAAATCTCCAATTATCAACAGAATATGTCCCTTAGTAATGGGATAGTCTCAACTGAATTCACATGGTTGGACTCTCTTCAAATAAAATTTGATGTGTTGGCACATCGACAAGAAGTCAGATTAGGGTTGGTCAATTTAGAAGTGTCTAACTTGAGTAATGATACTTTTACTATTGATATAGAAGACGTACTTGATTTCGCTACAGCTCAAAGATCTCAACTCACTGGTGTTGATTCAGATAGTCTGGGTATCTATATGACATTCCAGCCTCATCAATTAGACTATATAAATGGAGCTATCTATTCTAAATTAATTGCATCTACTTCTCCAGCTGTTAGTAGCAATGAAACATCCATATCTCAACTGCTTCAAATTCAATTATCTCCTGGTGAATCTACCACTCTTGCCAAAGTCGTAGGAGTTGCCACTACTGATTATGATCCTTCAACTGCTAGTTCTCAACAAGATGTTTTAAATATGGCTAAGAATGTAGCTAATAGTCATAGTAATATTACTGATATATTTACTAGTCATAAAGTTGCTTGGGCTCAAACACTTGAAGCCACTCCAGCAGTTACATTTCCTGATGATTTATTACTTACTTTAACTACTAGAGCATCAATTTATCATTTAACTGCCAATACTCAACCAAATAATCATGGAGTTACTGCTGCTTTAGGAGTAGGAGGTTTAAGTTCAGATAGTTATGCTGGAATGGTATTTTGGGATGCTGATATTTGGATGATGAATGGTTTATTACCCTATATTCCTGCTCATGCTAAAAGTATTACTAATTATCGACTTCATACTCATGAACAAGCCATAAAAAATGTACCTCAAGGTTATGAAGGTGCTGTATATCCTTGGACTTCAGGTAGATTTGGTAATTGTACATCTACTGGACCATGTTTAGATTATGAATATCATATCAATACTGCAGTAGCTTTATCAGCTTGGGATGTTTATTTAAGTGGAGCAGGTGATGAAGAATATTTAAAAAATGTAGTATATCCATTAGTTAATGATGCTGCTTCATTCTTTTCAACTTATCTTACGAGATATAATAGTACTTTACAACAATATACTACTCATAATTTAACTGATCCTGATGAGTATGCCAATCAAGTAGATAATGGAGCTTATACCAATGCTGGTATTTCATCAATCATGAGAAAAGCTATAGCTGTTGCTAATCATTTAGATTATGAATTTGCCTCTAACTTTTCATCTATTGCTGGGAATATGTTTATTCCAAATTCTGGACTTCCTGGTAATATTACACTTGAATATTCAGGAATGAATTCTTCTGTTGGTATTAAACAAGCCGATGTGATTATGATGACTTATCCATTAAATGATGAAGAAGTTGATGTTGATCAAGCCCTTCGAAATATGGAATTTTATTCACTTAAACAAGTGAGTTATGGACCAGCCATGACATTCCCAATTTTCTCTATAGTATCATCTAAATTAGCTCGTCATGGATGTGCAGCTCAATCATATCTTCAAAAATCAGTAAGACCTTATTTAAGAGGTCCATTTGCCCAATTCTCCGAACAGAATAATGATAACTTTTTAACTAATGGAGGAACTCATCCTGCATTCCCATTCTTAACAGCTCATGGGGGATTTCTTCAAGCTATTTTACAAGGAATTGTTGGTTTAAGATATGATTATGAAGTGATAGATGGCAAGATTTCTCGAGTATTAGAATTAGATCCTCGAGCCATGCCTTGTTTACCTAATGGAGTTATGTTTGAAGGGATAAAGTATAATAATCATTCATTATCATTTACTATCCATGAAGATAGATTTTCTATTACTAATGATGGTCCATTACCCAGTAATATTAATAGTAATAGTAATGATAATACTAATAGTTCAGTTAAAATCAAATTAGCCTCGAGAAACTTAAAGGCTGGTACTTATACATTGGCTACGGGTCAACAACTTGTATTCCCCTTGTATACTCCTCAATCATCTTTCCCATCGAGTATTTCTGAATGTGGAGCAGCACGATTTGTTAATATTACTCAATCAGCTTATGGAGATGCTCCTAGTCTGATGAATGATGGAGATAATACTACCCATTGGCAATCATTCTCTAATTCCAGTACTGGGAAAGTGCTTATTGATTTGAAACAATTCAAGAATATTTCAAGTATGTTAGTTAATTGGGGTGATAAACCCGCTCAGCACTTGACAGTATCAACCACCACCACTGACTCTACTACTGCTAAACTTGAAACTGTATTTGACTTTCTTAGTAGTGTTGATTTTGGTAATAACTTGTATGACCATTATCAGTATGGTACTGTGCAAACTCAAGTTATACCTCAATCCCAAGTATTTGCATCGATATTTAGTGATTATATTGATATCTCAGCACCTTATGATGCTCAAGAAGCTACTCAGATTGATATTCCGTCTCATCAGAATGTGACAACTGTCCAATTTACTGAGCCAGTGTATCTGAGATTCCTCCTTTTAGAGATGGATGGAATTCATGATGAGCTGCCAATCGATGGAGATACAGGAGGTGCCAAACTCTTTGAGGTGGTATTGTTCTAGAGTGTTTTGGTTTAGGTTTAGGTTTAGGTTTAATTTTGTAATATTAATAATAGTATGTATGTATATAATTTTCTAGACTAATACAAGGCTTGAGCCATATCAATGAGTCGACTAACACCTCTATGCCAGGCACCAATTTCATCAGAAAAGTTAGTAGCGAATTGTAAATTAATACTACGAGCATTTTCAACATCCTTACGATCTAAAGATTCTGCAATAGTTCTTAATTGTTCAATAACTCCATCAGATAATGAATTATTATTCAAGAGATCATATAAGATATCGAGTCTCTTACCGGTATCAATACAGATAGTAGTAAGCTTTTCAGTGAGATTAGGAGTAGCCACAATAGTTTGAAGAATTCTATTGAGAGTTTCGTAAATTGGTAATGATTTTTCAGGAATATGACTTCTATCTCCAGCAGGATATTGAGCCGTAGTTGCTGGAGGAGGAGCTGGTGAAACACTTGAAGCAGCAGTTGCTGTTGCAGTTGCAGTTAATGTTGGTGGTGGTGGAGGGGCTATACCTGAAGCAGTAGGTGGAGGAGCCACTGCTGGAGGTGCAACTACAGCTACCGGTTGAGAAGCTATACCAGGAGGTGGAGGTACTGAATTAAATGGAGGTTGAATTGGAGGAGCATTCGAACCAAATGTAGCAGGAGGTGGAGGAACTCCAACACGATTAGAACCACCAGGAGGTGGAGGAGGAGGAGGAAGAATACCTCCACTCAAACTTCTAGTAGGAGGAGCAGTAGGAGCATAAGGATTCTTTGGAGGAGCTGGAGGAGGAAGAGTTGGAGGAGCAAAAGTTCCAGCATTACCAGCAGGAGGTGGAGCAAAGGCAATTTTAGATGGAGATTGTTCTGGAGGTGGAGCATAAGGATTCTTCTTTGAAAAACTACCGGCAAGAATTGGAGGAGTTTTACCAGGAGTAGCTGGAGGTCCAGTTTCAATTGGTGGAGGAGCATATCTATTATTGATATGAACAGGAGCTGGACGAGGAGAAGCATGAGTTACATTCGAAGCTTTAGAACTTGAACGACTAAGACCCTTTGGAGGTGGAGGAGCTATAGCTACACTAACACTACCAGAAACTTTTCTCTTTGGAATAATTGATTGAGGATTAGGTGAATTAATCGTTGGAGAAGGTGTAGCAGTAGCTACTGGAGCAGCACGACGAGCAGTTACTGGTTTAAAAGTATGAGGTAAATCATTCCAACCATCAGTTTCATTTTTAAACAGTTTAGCTGGAGGTGGAGGTGGAGCATTACCAACATTTCCAACCGGTCCAACTCCTCCAACTACTGGAGTAGGTATAGGAACAGCTACAGTAGGAACTGGAGGTTTATAAACATTACCAACCAGTGGAGCATAAGGATTAGAAGTCACGGTTCTAGCATAAGGATTAGTAGACAACGGAACTGATTGAGAAACAATTGGTGCTTGTACTTGTGCTTGTGCTTGTACTTGTGCTTGTGCTTGTGCTTGTGCTTGACCAATTGATGATTGACCAGAAATAACTACTGAAGGTACAACCCCAGCACTAACTCCATAAGATTTTACTGGACTTCTAACTTTCTTTAAAGAAGTAGTAATATTATTAGTAGTAGAAGTAGTTGGAGTAACTCCAGTAGCTTTTGAAATTCTTTCTTGTTCAGTACCTGAGAATTCCGAAGGTAAAATAGCCAAAAACTTTTCAGCTACATCAAATTGTCCATAACCAGAAGCTAAATTTGAGAATTCTAATATTGCTTTAGCAACTAATTCAGCTGAAGGACCAGAAATCTCACCAGTAATATGAGAAATAGATCTATAAGCTGCAATTTTTTGAACAAAATTAGTAAGAGAAGCAAATCTTGCTTCTGAAGGAGAAGAAATTGATTTAGTTTTTGAATTAGTTGATAATAATTGCTTTTCATAAGCTGGTAATTCTTGAAGCCAAATTGAAGCGATTTTATCAACAGCATTACCTGCTAAATAACATAAAATTGCATCACTTCTATCTTGTTTAGAAGTACTTGAATCAAGAATTCTATCACCTAATTCAGTAATTTTAGTTTCATAATCATATGAATCATGAGTAAATGATGCAATACTTTGAGCAATTTCTTTCCAATTAGATACATCGGCATTAGATACAAGATCAGTTACATCAGTTGATGTAACACTATATAATACTCGAGATAATTGTTTATCACTATTGGCTCGGAAATAAGCATTTTTAACTTTTTGTTTAACAGAATCAGATCCATCTAATGCTAATACTAATGCTTCAAGTAAATTATCACCTTTTAAACATTGTCCTACAGCTTCTTCAATCTTATTAGCAAGTACTAATTTAATAATCTTTTTATTTTCTTCAGTTTCATCAGCCTTTAAAATATTAAAAGCTCCTGAAGGAACAAAATTATTATCTTCAGTGAGTCCAATTGATCCATTACCTAATTTAGCAAAGAAAGAATCATCGGCACCATTTTCATCTTCATCATTTTCTTCTTTTTCTTTTTCTTCTTCTTCACCAGTTTCTGATACTTCTAATGATTCTTCTTCAACAGTAACTCCAGCTTTAAAGAGATTTTCTTTACCTGTTTGTAATAATTTCTTTAATAATTCCCAATCAGATTTATCAATTTCATTAACAGCTTCTGCTTCAGCTTTAGCTTCAATAATTGGTTTAAAATCATTTGAATTTAAAGCTTGAGAAAATTCAGTTGAATCTTCTTGACCTTTAATTACAAACTTTTCAATTTTAATAATACTTTTATCATTTTCATCTTTTGATACTTTAACTAATTTAGATCCAAAACCAAATGATACTGTTGATGGTCTTTTTAACCATACTGGAGCTTGTCTAATTTCAAATACTGGTTGTTGAGTTTCAGTACTTGATAATTGATTCCAAAATACATTATCATCATTTGAAGTTACTTTAGTTGAAACTGGAGGTGAAGTATCTTGAAGTGATTGAACAATAACTTTCCCATCAAATGATGCTGTAGCAAAAATATCTGGAGCTGATGGAGCAAATCTTGTTTGAAATGCCCAATTTGCGGTGGTTGGATATTCTGCTAATTTTTGTCCAGTAATTGGATTCCATAATAAAGTGGTATTATCTTTACCACTAGAAATTAATAATGAAGGATCTTGTTTACACCAATCTAATGATAATACCCCCTTTTTATGACCTTCTAAAATTTTTTCTGGAGCATTTGAATTTCTTAAATCCCAAGTTAAAATTACTGGAACTGCATCATTATCACTAGCAGTAATTAATTTTGTTGATTGACTTGGATGCCAAGCTACATGAGAAAAACTTGCTCTACCTGAAGGTCCAGTATATGATAAATGTAATACTTCCTTTTTAGTTTTTAAATCCCAAATTGATGTATAACCACTATTACCAGTACTTGCAAGAATATGAGAAACAGAATTATTCCATGCAACACTAGTAATTTCATCCATTGGAGTCATGGCTTGACCTGGAGTATAAGGATCAGTAAATTTTTGAGTATCCCAAATAAAAAGTTGACCATGAGATCCTCCACTAACTAATATATGATTTTGAATTGGATTAAATTGTAAAGTCTTTACTGGACCTGAATGTTTTGAAGATTTATGAATTGATGATTCAACTAAATCTTTAGATTTTATAAGTTTTTCAATATCCCAAAATTCAATAGTACCATTTTCAAATGCTGCAGCTAAAATTCCTTGACTTCTACCTTCAAATGGTTTTGACCATGCAAGAGCATAAAATCTATCATCAACTCCAGCACTAAAGATTGGTTCAGTTGAATTAGTTGGAGAAAAAATATTCCAAATTTCTAATCTAGATGAAGAATTAAAATTTGCATCAACAGCTCCGGCTACTGTACCTGTTGCAAGTAAAGGTAAAGTATCATGGCTCCAAGCAAAAGTGGACGTTCTTGATATTTCCGCGAGTTTTACCATGATTTCAAAGGGGAAAACGGGACAATGGTGAAAGTTGACGGTATGCTCACGATTTTGAGGTATTTACCCGGTGATTTCTATGGTAATTGTCTAATTTTATGGTAATAATTAGAGGTTGAAATTAACGTCGATGTTGATTATTTCCCCAATTGGTTGTTTGGATTCGGCCACCGCATTGATTCTGGTTGGACTGAAAAATCACGTGTGTGCTCATGTGATACAGTCATGTGACCCATTGTCTTTCCCAATTAGGAAGGTATACACTAGAATAACTAACACAACTTAATAACTATCACTACTACCACTATCACTTACTACTGGTAGTATAGTAAACTTATTCCGTAAGTATGACTGGTCTTGTGGTGAGTCGCCGCACAGCCCACTACATCATCACCCATTTGCTTAGAGATGTAGCTCAACCGTCGGCCCGAGCCTTTATGTTCGCCTACATCTATGTAGTACTCCCTAAGCTTGTAGATCATGGGATTCGATTAGTGAAGAATAAGAACTTTAAGGAGGTATTGGTTCGGTACTGGAAGGTGATGGTCAATGCTATTCATCCTCATAAATTCCCAATGTTTGCAGCCAGTCTTGTGGCGGGGATTAATGTCCTTGAACCAATAATTTATGAGATGCTTCAACGATGGTCAGGATTATCTAGTCCTGAAAGTGTCCTCTTTTTTGCAACTTTAGTATCGGCATTTGTGTCAGCTGGAGTGAGTTTCCCTCGATATCAAACTCATATCTTGAATTATGGTCGGTATTATTCTTTAGACTTGACGTTGTTATTAGCGACTCGAGCTCTTGATACAGCCTTATCTTCGACATTATACAAGGTAATATCACCTGGTATCTCTCAATATGGGGATGTTTTACTCTTTGTTGCCTCTTGTACTCCCATAATGTTTTCATGGTTTTATCATCCTGAAAGTTTACCTCCAGCTTATCGTCAATGGATAACTTCGGCTGCAAATATGGATGATGAACTTATTGAAGCCTTGAAACAAATTAAACAGGGTAATTTGGTATATGGAGAACATGGTCCCCATGATGATATATTAAATCCTATCTGTGATAGGTATGGTAAAGACCCTAGTGAAGGAAGTTTTGTAACTAATTTACCCATTAGTTGTGAACTTGTACATGCTTATAAGACTTCCAATTGTGAGTTACATGCTCTCTGGCGTTTTACAAGAGGATTCACATTTGCTTTGAAAGTTTATGGACCTTTGAATGCATTATTGTTATTGTTCCCCAATAAAAGAGTTAGTTTTCTTCATCGGGTTATGAAGAGTATTAAATCTACGGCCAGATCTTCGGCATTTTTAGGTGCATTCATTGGACTCTACTGGTATGCTGTTTGTTTATCAAGAACTAGATTATTACCTGTTTTATTTCCAAATACTCCTAGAACAAGATTCGATGATACTATTGGACCATCAGCAGGAGCATTCCTCTGTGGATTTTCATCCTTACTTGAAACGGCTCAACGTCGTAAGGAATTGGCTTTATTTGTGGCTCCTCGTGCCTTGGGGACTTTTGTTCCTTCTACTCCATCTGCCATTAATTTGAAACTTGAATCACTAGTATTCTCGGTCAGTCTTGCTATATTAGTGGCATATTCTCGTAACAGTCCGGCAAAAGTTAGAGGAATCTTTGGTAAGGGTCTTAGGCAAGTATTCCATATTGCTTCTCATGCATAATTACTACATCATTACATAGTTACATAGTTACATAGTTACATAGTTACTACATAGTTATATACAAATTTATAGAATTAATCCTATGTATTGAAAAGAATTATATAGAATTTGTTTAAGTTAGCGCTCGAGTATCATCACTCTCGCACGACTTTTGAAAATTCTAAAGAAACCCACTATATACTCATACCAACTAACCCTAATTGACATGACATGACGGATACAGAACTCGAAGATGATGTGGTGGAGTTTGACTTCCCGCTTCCCATTAAGTTGAATCAAAATCCCAATCAAATTCATACAAAAATACGTCAATTACTTCAACTTTCAGACGATGATGAAGACTTAAACTTTATCTTTACTACTACCGCATCATTATGTGATCCATTCACTCAACCAGAAGAGAATGAATCATATATACTTAGTGTAGATCTCGTTGGTGATCTTCTTATAGGTCTTACGTATTCCAAATATGTTAATGATAAGCGAGATGAGTTACCACAAGAAATCGAATCAATTAAATTTGATTTATCAACTAAATATTTTATATTATTAAAACATATTCATACTATACTTAATGCTATAGATGAATTAGATCTTCGATATTTAGATAATAGTGAAGATAATTTCCAAGATAATATTAAATTTTGGACTCCTCATCCAGAACTTGCTAATGATGAATTTAATTTAAAGATTGTTTATTCTATGGCTTGTGTATTAATTATGAGTATTTATAAATTATTTAAACCTTCTAAAGGTATATATAATTTAGCTTTAAATCCATATTTACAATATTTTCTTAAATTATGGAAATGTCATACGAATATAACACTTTTAGGTTTACAAATAGATCGAAGAATTGAAGATAATAATGATCAAAATCCTGAATCCTTAGAGGAAACTCCAGAAATAATTAAACAAGTACTTAAGGGAACTAGTAGTATACGATATGTATTAGCTTGGGTACTTAATCAAAACCCTTCACTGTGGTATGATGAAGATCTTGATGTAGTAGTACCAAGAGATGATAATAAAGATCTTACTAAAGAAACTTTATTAAACTTTATTCATCCTCTTGGACGAAGAATTGTTAATGGAGGTTCACTTCTGATTGATATGAGATTAATAATCATTGCTCTACTTATATTAAATGTTGGAGTCACTTTTGTATCGGGTCAGTTTCTGGAAACTGATAAATCTTCAAGAACTGAAGAGGAAGCTACTCGTCGATTTAATCAATCTACTATGATTTTGGAATTGGGAGATATTCTTATTGATCTTGAATATGATGATCGATTTGATGAAGATGTACGATACATGTTTGAGAATGAATATGATGAAGACGATGCTGTTGATGAATGGGAGGAAGATGAAGAAGATGTACAATTACAAAATGATGATATACAAGACACGCAAGATAAATCATTATCACGAGCTATACGATCGACTGAAAGTTCTACTACCATTGATTTCGATGAAAATGGAAGAGATTGGCGAGATTTAGCCCGAGGAGAAAATACTAAATATTCGGCTTGGTTCATTAAGAAACTTCGTGAATATGATGTATTGAAAAATAAAAATGATTCTGATGATTTCTTTGATAGTGAGACTGAACTTATTGAGTCATTTGACTTTCTTACAGTATCATCTATTGAAGGAGACTCTGAGGTTGAGAAGAGATTAGGACAAATTGTATTAAATACTATAGCTAAAGCAATTAAAGATGAACAAGATGGTAAAAAAGAAGGTGTTATATCACCTGATGCAATTTATCAGTATTGGTCATCTCCAGCTTCAGAAAAAGCTGTGGGTTTAACTCAAGAGAACAATAAACTTATTGTTCCAATCTTTAGTATTACCAATTTTGAGTTATTACTTCAAAACAATAATAAACTTGCTAGATGTATGATGGATGAAATGTTGATGTGTAGTGGATATAGGAGAGTATTAATCTGGTTCTTAACTCATAACATCAACTTATCAGCATTATTAATTGATTATGTATTTGAATTACTGTCTGGACTCCGAGGTCAGAATAATAAGCAAGTTCCTTATTTATTCACTCGATGTGGAGATCTGTTGGTGATTAGTGAAGTTGAGCAACTGATGTTATTACATGAATTCTTAACTAATTGTAGTGTTTACCTTTCTGCTACTGATGGAATTGAAATTGATGATGGTTATAAAGTGGTTCTTGCTGAATCTATAGCCAAGAAATATTTATCATTGTTATGTTTGATGATAACTCGATTAATATCAATAGGAATTATTAACTTAGATGTACCTCAGAATGAAGACAGCATTGATGATTATTCTAATGAACTTCGAGTATTGCTAATTAATTGGGTTGGTAAATTACCAGCAGCCAGAGAACTTTTCTTTAAGGTTCAGAATAGTAGTGCAAGAGCATCTGAACAAAAGGCGGTTAATTCTAGTACTAGTACTAGTGCTAATACTAGTGTTGATTACTCTATGGAAGATGTCATTGGTTTATTCAAAACGTATGACGCTATGGATGCTATAGAGATAACGCACGATATGGCTTCCAATACCAATCATAGAGAAATCATTCAATTCTATACTGACAGACTCAGTGGACTGATTGAGAGTTCTATATCGTTTGGTATAGTAACAGCTCCTAAAGTCTCACTACAGGACATTTCCCAAGACTTTGAGTTCTTCTTTACAAACTTCAATGTCTTATGTAAGATCGATACTATGGCCAGTATACTATTTAAGAGATTTGAAAGCTTTGTAACTAGTGGTACACTCGAAGTAGAAGCTCAGCATGAGCCAACACTTATTGAAGATAAAGAAGAAGAAAATGTAGACGCTGAATTTAATGCCAATTTCCTCAATGGAAGTGGACACTTTGATGAATCACAGGCTAATCCTAAAAAGAAAGGTAAGAAAAAGAAGAAGACCAAACGTAAGTAGTTAAACTAGTGTATTATATAGACTGTATATTAGATAAAAGATAAAGAATCTTCTAGTCGAGTCAGTTTGACAGGGACATAAATCGAAGTCAAAATGTATGTGTATGTCGCACTCCACCCTTTTGAAGGTTAGAGTCAAAGTGGGACAAGGAACAACGAGCATCAGTTAACCAGCTAATTCAGCAACCAACTAAAACAATAGCTAATGTTTACTAGACAACTCCGTAGCAATTTGATCAAATCAGTCAATATGTCTAGATTCTCATCAACCATCACTCCAGTAAGTATACGTGAACTATAAGTTGGCATTATTTGTATATGGTAATACTAACCATGAGTCATCTAGGTCCAAACCGCAACTGCCCCACCACCAGCTGCTTCGTATTCTCAAGCCATTAAAGTTAATGGTAAGTATAATTATTATAATTATAAATGGATTGTTATACTATTCATATATCAATTGAATCATCAATACTAACATTAACTCCCATTTAGGTTTCATCTACGTATCCGGTCAAATTCCTTACACCCCACAAAACAAGCCATTACCAGGTAATCCAACCATTGAGGAACAAGCTGAACAAGTAATTCAAAATGTTTCTAATATCTTAGAAGCTTCCAATTCCTCCTTAAAACACATTGTTAAGGCCAATATCTTCTTAACTGATATGAAGAATCAATTTGCTGCCTTCAACTCCGTTTACGGTAAGTACTTTAATGAACATAAACCAGCTAGATCATGTGTTGCCGTTAAGGAATTGCCTTTAGGAGTTGATTTAGAAATGGAAGTAGTTGCCATTGAAAAGAGTGAAAATAAATTATAGAGATATATCTCTGTTTGAAGCTCAAATGGTTCCATTCGTAAATTAGATATTCTAAATATACAACTACTATAAAGATTATTATAGTACGTAACCACACTACGTAGAAATTTACTAAATATTATCGAATGTTGGGTATTATTTACAATTACATAATGGTTGATAGGTGGTTTAACTTAATATTACTACCTATTCTTTAATAGTTATTTATAATCATTTATCATTGATAGTGTGAAGTCACATTTAATAAGTTGATGTTAGGGCTTCTGCCCTGTAATTATTACTTCCCACGTGACACTTTGTGCAGTATATCTTCGCACTAAAAATTTTTCTACTACTAACTCTCACAGTGCGATACTCACAAACAAACAGTCGTTTCTCAGAGAAAATTTTGAAAATTATATTATAGGTTTGAAATAGAAATTTCAATTCTTCTTTTAACGCTTCATACCATAGCATAGATCATCTTCAAAATGGCTCAAAGAATTACCTACAGAAGAAGAAATCCATGTATGTTTAAATTACTATGATTAGTTACTCGGAGTCGAACTTGAAATGTAGTGGAATCAACCAGTATCAATATAGAAATATTCATCATTCATACCCGTACTCATTAATAAAATAAGATTACCAATATAAAAATGTAATACTATAGTAGTTGAATAGTTTATGTCATCATCAGAATGCAATTAGAGGTCATATAATTGATGTAGTAAATGAATAATACCAACAACCTTTTAAAACTACTGTATAAGAGATAATCATATTTCATCAGACTAATAAGAATATTCAACCACTATTTAAATAAGAATACAAAATAAACCTCAACAATAATATCAACTACAAAATCAGTTTATTGTTCAAAGATTCAATTTCAATGAGATTATTATTATTATGAAATTCATTAACGTTCCAAGTTCATATCAGCGTAACTAAATTTTATTATTTGAAATGTTTAAGTACTAACAAAAATTTTATAGACAACACCAGATCTAACAAGGTCAAGGTCGTTAAGACCCCAGGTGGTAAATTAGTTGCCCAACACGTTAAGAAGAACGCTTCCAGAGTTAAATGTGGTGACTGTGGTATCGCTTTAGCTGGTATCTCCACTTTAAGACCAAGACAATACGCTAACGTTTCTAAAACTCACAAGACCGTCCAAAGAGCTTACGGTGGTTCCAGATGTGCTAACTGTGTCAAGGAAAGAATCGTCAGAGCTTTCTTAATTGAAGAACAAAAGATCGTCAAGAGAGTCTTAAAAGAACAAGAAGACAAAGAAAAGAAGTCTGCCAAGAAGACCGGTAAGAAATAAATCATTTAACATAAATCAAGATTTGTAATATAGTCTTTCATGGTATCTCATCTGTAAATTTCTTCTTAAACAACCCCCTTTTAATAAAAATACATACACGTTATAGTTATTGATCAATGTAATTGTAGATTTGTAGATTTATGAATTATTTAATATTGAAGTTTAGTTTCAGGTATTCTGAAGACCATTAAGCCGATACCAATAAGTAGGGACCATTCACCGAAGTTGTAGTCCCAAAATCGTAGTGGATGTTTTTTATACTATTAACATAAATATAAGTAGTTGATAGGCAGATTATTGTTATTACCCAGTCAAATAACTAATCTTCTAGATTATTTCGTTCATCTTATTGGTCCTTGAGTTCATATTTACATAGTTGTATTGCTTTTAGTAATATTTCATAGCCTTGGTGATTCTATGTAGCATATAGTTCAATTTTCGCAACTTATTTTGAGCTTTTCTTAAAATTAAGATTCAAAGGAAATAGTAGTGAAAATTCGTCACCTTACAGTTCAAGTACCATACTTGTTATTTGAAGACTCATTGACTTATACTCCTTCTAGATGTATTAAGAAAAGTGGCATTGGATTTAAGTATGAAATAAAGGATAATATTTTTTGATCAGTGCTTTGTCGTTTACGATAGAATCTCATGAGTATCCAAGAGAACTTATATGAATCGAAAATCATGGGAATAGTCTAGACCGAACCCCCAATGGAATACATTGCAGGCAATAACCATGGGGATATACTTCCGAGAGATAAAGTAGGGGGTCCCTCATAATGTTGAAGTAGGTTAATGCTAATGGTAGACCGGCTTAGAGTGACAGGATAAACATTCAGTCGAGAGTTACGGTAACTCGCCACGTCCCATGCAATAACGGTTCCATTCTCAGAATTTAGCAAACAATGTAATTCCCAGATGACGGTTGTGCCGTAATTTGCAACGCCATTAACTACTGCTATATTTGGCTGCAACAGCCATCGATTGACTTGAGTCGGTGCGAAAAATGAGTAATACGGAAGTGCGATCCCGCACCATCAGCCAAGGCTACAAACAATGTCTCATCGTATATTGTATATTACCATGTTATAGTTAGCTACATCGTGCCACTTAACTACGGAGTTGATCGGAAACGATGAAGTTTCAGTTTCCGACATCCCAGATCTTAGATTAAATGTATGTTTAACGTACAAAACACTATAAAATAGCAAAATAGAGTAGGTAGATTAGAGAGTAGGAGGACACAGTACAGTACAGCATAGATAGACACAACTAATAACACCTCGAAGCTACTGTTGCAACTAGAATGACAATAGACACAAGATGCCTTACTGTAAGTAATGCAGAATTGGTGCTTAGGAGGTAAGCAAAAAAAGAAATTAATTTCACGTATTTCCTAAATAGTCGCAAAAAATGATTCACTGATAAGGGATCGGAGTGCCTTTCAAAACAAAGTCACTTGCACCTTCCGTTACTAACGATGACTTTATATATAGAAATATATAAATATATGTATAAATAAATATACCATATTCTTAATTCTTGACCGTTTAGTTTCTCTTCATATATACTTTTAAGTTTAAATAGTAATAGTGAAAACCCCAATAGCATTGCCTAACTGAGCTATTGCCGTTCCATTCCCATCGGAAAGACATCATATCTCAAAATGGAATCTTCAAGACTAAAATATCATTTGAGTAACACATACATACCTCCTACCAAGGTATCGTCGGAGTCACAAGTACCCGACTATCATCCATGCTTAATTGTTCAAGACAAACAAACAGATACTAATAAATTAAAGCCTTGTGGTTGTGCAGACGCATACTGCGTTAAGAATGCCCCGGACTGGATTCCTAGAGCGAACCGTTGATAGTTGATGGATATATGTGAATAGAGTTCTGGGGCCTGGTTATTAGTGATTCGTCGTTGGTTGAAAATTTATCTTCTAATATAATGGTATAGATTCTTGTCTTAATTTAATTTAATTTAGTAATATGTAAGTTGTAATAAACAGTATGCACTTTTATTAAATGGTATCAAATGAAAAACAAGAGTAATTAAATTTACATATATATGAATAATGGAGACGCTAAGAAAAAATGAAGCTTTCTTTATCACTTAAATCATGCAGGTGTACTTCAGGAATACGGAAACTTGGTGAAGCAACTTGACTATGTTGATACAGCAGATATACTTCATCTGTTATTTCATTATTTGGTGAGTACTTCATTGCTTTAAAGGCATCATCTTGATTATTGGTCGTGAAGCTGTTCATACGACTATGGTAGTGATTTTGAGTATTGGAATTTGCAGTTGAAGTATAACTGTACCTATATTGATCATCAAATGGATTATTTTGCGGTAAATGCTGTAGTATTTCACCCCTTTGTTCTTGATTTCTGTTGTTCAAATCATTTTGAGCATCTGCAATTTCATTTTCCGAGTTTATACTGTATTGTCTGAAATGGTTTTGAACTTTGAAGTTTCGGTGATTAGATTCATAAGCTTTCTTTTCATCTACAAAGCTGTTTTCACTACCTGTATCATTGAAATCTACATCTTCAGCTTTCTTAATGTAGGCGTATGTCAAGATGCAATCTTTACCAAACATAAATGATGGATGATAGATCAGGTAAATAATACATGTTAAAAGTATCATTAAGGCATCTAAAGTCATAACATAAACCTCGTGAGTAATTAAATAACCTTTCCATCCTTGTGCTAATTCAACTACTCTATATATACAACGAATGTACACTAGCACAACAGAAAGAAGAATCATAAGTGGGATTAACCCAAACCCTGCCCTTTGACGAATTTCATCATGCTTCGGATTGTAAAATGGATTTAATGTTTGCTTTATATTTCTACCTCCCTTCGTATTAAGCAAACATTTCAAATAGTTTCCCACCGTAAATCTAACGTTAGTATTTCCGGTTCTAAAAAGACTTCTATTAATAAAATCAAACAAGAAGTATAGAAATAATGTCATGGAAACCACTTGGAACGCTATACCTCCTACCATTATATGAGTTCCGAATACTGTACTTCTAAATTCATTTAAAGCAATTCCAGCAATAGCACCTCCAATAGCCTGCACTACTAAACTTCCCACATCACAAACTATGAATATATAGGAAAACCACATCGGTTTTAGAATTGAATAATGTCTCCCATGTAGAACAATTAACTGTGCTAGTAAAAGATAAATTCCTGCCATTAAGAAAGCTGGAGCTAAAGTTAAACAGATAATCTGACATACGAACTTATCATAATTTGAATAATCACCTACAGTTAAGTATCTTGCCAAGTAGCCAGCAAATTCGAGTCCAGTCCCTAAAACAAAACAAAAGCCGAAATAGAAATGTCTGGACCACATAGCCAAACCTGCTTGCCAAAGAAAGATAATTGCAAACAAAATAGCCATCGTTAAATTAGCTGTTTTACTTAAATCACTAGAATATAAATTAGCTTCTTTGTCTAATGAAATTAAATTCAAGGTTGCATTATAAATTGCAGCAGTCATTTCAGGAAAGTCTTGAGTAGCAGTACCAGTAGCAATCATATTTTCATTATTAATAATAGTTAAAGATGCTTGAGCTCCTCTATACAAACGATAGAGTGAATAAAGGGAATTTCTTTCAGTTTCAGTGGCAACAGCATATTGAATAGATGTTATAGATGCACTTAAATCAGATGCATGAGTTGGAGCTATATAACTTAAGGTCTTTGTAGCTGGGAAACTTGTAGGAGACCAAGTACTTAAATAGGTATGATATTCGGATGGAATAAGGGGTAAGAATTTTGAAAAGTTAACATCCCCCATGGTTTCAACAATAAATCAAACAATGACAAAGGAACAGAATATATAATTAAAAAGAATGAAATGAACGAACTTAGATAGTTATAAGAATCCAAAAAAGTTGCAATGGACTAAAGTTCAAATATATAAAGTAAATGTCAGAAGTTCCAAGAGAATGAAAAGGGTTCATTAAAGGAAATTACCAAGAAAAATCAATATATGAGATTTGCAATTACTTATATGATCATTTACTTAATACTACACTTGCTATAATGCAAAATTGGGATTTAGACAATATAACTAAAAATTTAATCATGCTCCAAAAAACTCTATATGAAAGTTTCCTAATTGGGAAATGCGGAAGTGGCAGATTTCACTATTTCCATCATTACGAATGGCTCCAACGTGGTGGATAAAAATGTTCACCAAGAAATAGTATCCATAACCATGCTTACTCTGGGAGGAGTATGTAATATCTATTTGTTTACTGAAAGTATATCTCTCTAAGACATCTTGCTGGGGTTAGAAATAATCTCTAAAAATAGCTCTAAAAAATTATAATTATTATATCAGAAACACTGAACTCAGCCACTAAGTGGCTAACACTCGCCGTGTAACTTTAACCATCGTGTGCCACTATACTGCATTGCCCATCTTTACTAATCCACTAATATAACTTGCTCTTCGAGGATGGCAAAGCAGTAACTGAGAGACATCCATGGGTACGAAAAGCCCCTCGGCTGCGACAATTAGTCCCCCACAAAAAAGGCAACTTCCCCAAATAGGAAATATAATGGAGAAACCACAAAATCTAAAAGGACCACAAATTGCCTAATCGGGCTACAACTTAAGCTAGCTAAGAGATTTGGTTGCAACATCAGTGTACTTGAACAAGTTGAACCGCTACTATAGAAATATAAGCAGTAAGTGAGTGCCTTCTCCTGCAATTACATATCTTACACTTTCCGGATTCTGATAAGCGAGCAGGCTACAAAGCAGTTAAGACTGCTACAGTGCATTCAGTGAATGAGTGCTTTTGAATTAGAGTTAATTTTCATGTTTTTCAGTAGTGTATATTGTAAGTATTGTAAATAGGAGTGAGTGAATTAAAGTAACTTAGAGTATGAAGGCTTAAGCCTCCTTTTTGACATCTTCTTCGTTATGATTGGTGACTAACTCATTAGCGAGTTGCTCTCTTTTCCAGAATCTCAAGAGTAAATCTCCATAATTCTGTAAATCTTCTACAGAAATCATCAACTTAAAGTCAAGTAATAATAAGAATTGTAGTTCGAGGTAATTCAATTCCTCTAGTGGTAATCCGCCTACTTTGGCATATCTTAAATTTTTGTAGAAGATATCACTAAAGAATTTAGATGATACTGTTATACCAGATATGATTAATCTATGAATGTTATAGGAATCCATAACAAATAATTGTTCTATATCTGATGTACCTGATCCAGAATTATCACCAGAGTTTATTTCGTTATTAATGGCAGATGATGAGTTCAATCCATTCTTATTATTGTTATTATTGGATTTATGTTGATTCAAGTTATTGGCCTTCTTAGCTATTCTATCAAAGTAGACCAACAATGAAAGAAATACATCATTAGTGACTGGACAATACTTTAACACTCTGGCCAAATATGCATGGAGTGATATACCAGGAATGTTTGTACCGTGAAAGGCAAGAACATTGGCTAAGTATTTGTTTTTCATTTCATCTTCTTCATCATCAAGATCATCATCGACATCATCGTCGTCGTCATCATCAATATCATCATCGTCATCATCGTCATCGATATCTTCATCATACTCTTCTGCATCAACATCAATGACTTGATCGTGATCAATTTCTACATCTCCATCTCCATCGTGATCAATAACAATGTTATCATCATCATCATCATCTACATTGATCACATCGACATCTACACGATGACGGCCATCTTCATCATTACTTCTAAGAGGAGATCTCACTCCACCCAGTTGATGATATTGATTATGATGAGAATGTTGTTGTTGTTGTTGTTGTTTCTGTTTAAGCAATCTTCTCGCCTTTCTCTTTGCTTTCTTTGCCTCAATCTTCTGTAGCTTCTTTTGTTTCTTCTCCTCTTTCAATTGCTGACGAATGGCTATAGTATTATTGAAATGATTGGGGTGTAGTTTGTCATTAGCCTCTATGATCTTTGTTAATAAGCATGATAACATCACTATCAAGTCATTAACAGGGAATTCTGCAATGTTCAAGTGCTCTTCATATGGTGCAGCAGTGGCACCACCTTCACCTTCATTAAGTTGTTGTTGTTGCTGTTGCTGAGTGCTCTCTTGAAGCAAAGAGGAGAAGAACTCTGAATAGGACATGTAATGGTCTGGTTCGGGAGGGTTATATGATTTCTGTTGTTGCTGTTGTTGCTGTTGTGGTTGTTGAGGTTGTTGAGATGGAGGTGCTTGTTGTTTAGCTGAATACATACTTTCATGAGCCTGAGTAGGCGTATTGCTCATTGTAGAAGTGTTGCTTCCAGATAACAGACGATTGTTGAATTGGGGTCTGTTAAGGAACTGGTTCTGGTGAGGACTAGGTTGGGGCTGTTGCTGGAGAGAGTTACCGAACCCACTACCATTGACAGGAAAGGAATTAGGGAACCTTTGCTGTTGTGATTGATACTGATACTGTTGAGGTGGTGGTTGGTGATGATGAGGTATAGACACGGAATGAGATGAGTAACTGTTACCCTGAGTAGGGTCAAAACTGGGAGGATTGAATGAAGAAGATGCTGAAACAAATGAGTTATGATTTGATACAGAATTGGCCGAATCCATTGATATGTTGGTAGTGGGGATGGCATGGGGCACTACGTTCTGAGGTTTATAACTACTTGAAGATGGTTGAGGTAAGGTCTGAGGTTGGGCCGAGATGAAGTTATTTGTAGATGGAATGGAAGGAGTATATGAGTGGTTAGATGAATACGAAGAACTAATTACAGTGGGAGTGTTATGACTAGATGGAATATAGTTGATGGGTTGGAAACTATTATTGGCCGAGTGATGATCATCGGTCGGTACTTTGGATGATGAGTACTGATCGTACTGAGGTGTAGTGGCATTTGGTATAACTATGTTAGACGATGATGATGCCGCTGACAAGAGATTCTTAGTCAAGTTGGATACTTGAGGTTTGTGTTGAAATGATGAGTTATGGGATTCAAGGTGATCAGTGCTAGTATTAGCGGAGGATGAAGCATGAGGAGGTTCATTAACTGGAGCACCATTTGTTGCCGAAGAATTGGAGTTTGGAGCTGGAGGTTCGGGCATGATCAGCGTGGCAGAGCCTGTTTTATAGTGAGAACTCATGACCAGTTTGTGATAGCTATTGATGAAGTGGATGTTTGTGATTATTCAAGATGGTCGATGGGAGGCTAAAAAGTCGGACAGAGCAGGAATTATGGGACAGACACAGGCCAAATTAGGAAGCAAGATTAATGGACAGATACTAACACTACCTGACCGTTTAATAGTAGGATAGGTTGCTTACTGGGGGATATTTCACACAGAGGTGGTGTTGATTAGTGGGCTCGAGGTTATGTGTCGGTTCTCGTTTTGTCTTTTTTCGACTTGACTTTCTATCTGTGTCTGTCTGTTTAGTTTGTGTCAGACATTGCTGACACAAGTGACTCTCTACACTGAAGCTACAAACTATTGACTATTACATTTACTATGTCTACGGTAACTGCTGCTGCTAAGTGTTGTTCTTTTGGTGGTAATGGTAGTGATGGTGGTGTTGGTTATAGACTACTAACGCTAACTTGTAGGATCTTCTCTTGCCAGGCCTAGATTCCTGTCCCACGTCTGGGGCGAGTGGGGGGAGTAGGGAGAAAAAGTCGGGAGTCAGCGAACTGTGCCCTAAGCGGTTACGAGTGTAGACATCTCATTGGATATTGTAGATAGAGAATAGTTATGAGTGAAGTTGTCAGTGTAATTGTAGGCGTAGGTATTGCTAGTGTCACACTACTGCTCGGTCATTTGTATTGTTCGTTATAGTGTGCTTAGGCTATACTTCACAAAACTCTAACTACTGCAGAGATGGTATATGGTGCTTATTTATTCTCAATTGGTCACTCAATTAGTCACTCAATTGGTGGTATCTTACTATATTACTGAAAAAATCTTTTCTCTGTCTCTATCTCTTTCTCTTCGCCATCTCTTCACAAGATAATGGTGCCATCACCAGCTGAGTACATCCTTCGGAAACGTCCTTCCTTCGACTCATTTCCGCTGTCTGACAGAATTCCTTCTCGTTGTCTTTATGTACAGGAATTGTCGGATGCTTCAAATCACGTGGGGGAATACGTCAAAATTGTTTAATTACGTTCCTGTTTCCACACCTAAAATGGAATAAGACCATGGCTGAGCTTGTTAATACCCTGCAAATACTTCAGCTGTCATAAGCCAATTATTGCGCTTCCTGAAATAATATTGGTACATTTTTTTTGTATCCTAAACAAGCGCTTCATTAATATGCAACAATATATAGGGAGAATTGCTCCAATTGCATATATACAAGATCTCTGTTATACTTCTATGACACTTGGGAAACAAATTATGATCAATCCCAACAATGCAGAGGTGCGATTTGAAACAATTCTTAATTTATAGTAATCTTTCAAAGTAATAATTATTTTATTCTAAAGGTTTTGACAGCGATTTCCTGCCAAATTTGGAAAAAAACATCTACGAAACTGAAATAGATAAATCAAACTAGCTTAACTAACAAAGATGACCTTTACATAACGTTGATATACAATGTTCAACGTATACTTTATGAATTGGGATTCTCTACGATATGATTAACTGTATTGAAATCAAACCCCGTTCCTGCATATAACCAACACACTAGCAAAAGAATATATTTGAAAAATTAATATGTCTCCCGTTACTTTATTATATTACAGCCAACTACAACACAACATGTCAACAGCTTCCAAAATCACATTTGCAGCTAGTTGTGCTCTTGCAGCAGGCTCATTTGTGTTTATCAACTACTCTCAGAATTTAGAGAGAGAGGTTAAAAGACAGGGACCTATCAAAGACGCAGCTAGAATTGAATCCAAACGTCAAAGCGACTTTTCTAAGAAGCAATTGGTTAATGATGCGGAGCATCGGGAACAACAAGAGTTGAGAGATAAATTGATAAAGTTACAACCATTAAGTGACGAAATCATTCGTGGTGAAGATAAACCTTCATCGTAGGTGAATGCCATTGTTTATGACCCCATTAACGAACCATACGACGACAATGTCTCCCTTTCTTCGTGTATATAATTAGATAACTACATAGTACAAGCCAAGCCTGTAAATAATATAATAAGAGATATCTAGTATGTTAGTGTTCTTGGAGACACCAGAATGTAGGAAAATAAGCCAACAATAATTGTTTAACTTCAGTTCTGATGTACTATGATGCACTTCTTTTTAGTATACGAACATGACATAAGTTAATGTCCAATTGAATAGCAGGTTTAAATCTTGCTTCAAGAAACGCACCAAAACGGTTTGTTGATAGAGAAGATGTTAGATCCGTAGCAAGATCAAGCCAAGATACTATAATTGGATCAATCACGTTCGATAGTTATAAAGAAGAAGTAGTAGAAGTAGTAGTCTAATAGTAATGGCTAACAAAAATTTTCATCTGCGGTGGGAGGAGACATCGCCTGCACACAGACATAATAAAACGACATAAATTTTGCAATAACTCAGAAGACATGAATTAAATGTAATAAGTATAAGAATGAAACGAATGGAGTAATAACTCTATAAATTTACTTTTGAACATATGAAAGATAAAATGTGAATTATACTAAAAACCAAAAAAGAATAAGAAACAACAAAAATGTCTGAAGCTAAAAACATAAAGATAGATAGACGGGTAAGATAGATAAATAAATAATAAATAAGATACACTTTTAAGAATCCAAATTTGAGCTTTTTATGTTTTATATTTTTTTCTTTGAAACTCTAGATCAACTAGATCATGGCTATACTGTTGCGGATGTATGATGGTAAAGGTTATGCCTCTAATTTACCTACCACTTCTTCATCATCCTGGAATGATTGGTTCACCTCAATGTCATCAATGTCGTCCTCATCAACGACTTTGGTTTTGACAACTTCATCCAATCTAGTAAAGTTGGCTAAGATAGGTGATTTACTGATACTGCTAGGAACAGCCTTATATGAAGGAGATGGTGACTTTAATTCATCATTAGTAGCTGTCGAAGGTATACTAGCAGATGGGGTAGTTTTCGTTACGTATTTGTTATTATCAAGATATCCACCAAGCATAGCAGGCGATGAAGGTGGAAGGGCATGATTATTGGAGTTAGGAAGAGATGGAGGATACTGACTGATTGAATTCATTCTATTATACTTACCCGACTTAGCATCTTCTTGTTGGTGATGTTCAATGTCAGAATTGTTGTCAAAGGTATTTTTAAATGATGGTGGTAGAACCACAGAAGCATTCTCATCTGCAGGTGGAGTTGGAGTAGTATGATTTGTATCTGCCGAATTCACAGGAGAGAATGGTGATTCATCGCTGTAGTTTTGGTGTGCATGAGTTTGAGAATTACTATGAGAATGAGAAGCCAGTCGAGGAGGTTGATGATGACCACTTGTAACAGTACCTGGTTCATTCATTCCAACCAAAATACTAGCAGCCTCTAATAATTGAACTTGTTGATGTTTAGATATGAGTAACTTCTTAGTAACGTTCCATTCTGGTGTATGTTCCCAAAGATGTTTAGCTAATGATGAGATATGCTTATACCCTTTTCCACAAGCTTCACACCTTAATTCTTCCTTTAATCTACCTGTCTCACCTTCACTAATTCTCCTTACTACGAATTCTCTTGATAAAGTAGGAACTGAACTAGATAATGGTGGTGAGTTTATATAGCTAGAAGTGGGTGATAATGCATTTCCTGGATGGTGATGATGGTGATGTTGATGAGCATGGTGAGGATGATTAGCATGCTGTTGCTGTTGGACCTTGACAGGAATGGTATATGGAGTAGTATTTGAATTACGCCTATTGTAGTTATATTGAGTAGCCGTCATTCGTGCCTAACTATTCCTTTCTTCAGTATTAATGTCTCTAATGGGACAAATTCTCACGTTACTGCCTTAATGAATAATAGGGAGTGCTAACAAGTGAACATATATACAGTTGACTCTATCTATGCTGTGGAGGTGTGTGGTAACAAGTTAACTACTGATCAATACTTAACTGGTCGTTGGATTTTCTTTGTCGTTGACTATTTTTTTTCAGACTTTTTTGTTAAATCCAATGTTGCGTGTTTGTCACTGGAGCTTTTCAGACACTTAATTTCTTAAACAAAAGTATACCTATATATCTTCAAAGTATACTTAGGAATCTTTAAAATGTCTCTGGATAAATATGGAGAGTTGAAGTTTTATGAATTTTTTAATATAGCTAATACAAAATTGATGAGATTTATTTATTTTAGAATTTTTTTTAGATGGGTCTACATGCAGGATACACACTTTTTAAAGATCAACTTTAAATTGGTAGAGAGAAACACGGTCCTGTGGGGGAGATAATCGACGTGTCAAGTTGAATAAGTTATTATTAGTGGGTTAAGAACCATATTGGGTATGACTACAAGAAAGTAAAAAAGAAAATTTGATGGGTTTCAAACCTAATAGAATCTACCAAACCCAATTCCGGTCATTCGGTTATAACCCAAAGAAAACATTTTAAAATAAAAATTAGATAAAAAAAAATTAAATAAAAATAAATTTAAAATGTAAACCCTTCTTAACGTGAAATATTGGGCTGCTAAAAATATTGCATTTTTCTTTCCTTTTGCAGGTTCGCAATTGTGCTTTTTACAGTTATAACTCAATCGACAGAAATATGCGCTTTTGCACGTGACCGTGCGCATTATAACGAGTATTAAATAACATATATACAAAAGTACTTTAAGACATAGACCGTAGAAATCCGGGCTGCAAAGTGATTCTAAAGCTCCGAAATATTTATAGTATGTCTGAAAATCAATTTATGATTAAAAAAGTCAAAAAAGATTCAGTAAAGGTACAGTATTACTCCACGTTAGAACTAAATTGAATCAACTTTTGAAAATAACAGTAAAAATATACTTGTGTAATAGTTTTACATAGTACACTATTTATGAGTCCCGTTAGACAACGATCGATGGATTTATTCTATAATGAAGAATTTTTTCTAATTCTGGTGTGATTGGATTGTAGTTTGTTGCTGCAAAAAAACGACTGAAAGAACCAAAGATTTATTAAACTATGCATTATGTACCGAACTATATAGGAATTAACAATTGAGTTAGAAAGATTCTGCGTCTAGGATATCTACATCATGATGTATGACAGAATCATCAATACCCATAGTCACACGATGAATATTCTCATCATTAATGTGATTAGGTTGACTCTCATTATCTTGAGATACTTGAAATCCCGGTTCTGTCATATATAGAATCGATTGAATTTGTTGACCTAATGCTGGAACTGTTAATGAAGCTAAACTTTCATCATTATTTTCATGACCATCTAAAATATTTTGAATTAAAATTTCGATTTCCCGTAATTTATTAAAATAAAAATTTCGTTCTGTCTCTAAACTTTCCGACAGAAGTTTATACTGATTTAATTCTTCATTAAGATGATTAATTTCTTGAATGGATTCATTCAATTCTTTATTCAATTGATTAACCTTAAAAGAAGAAGTTGATGTTACTGGTTGGACCTGATTGATGGTATTTGAAGGAGTTAATGGCCTAGTATTTGTATTGGAAACACGTCTTGTATTCTTTGGATTATTTATAGTAGAACTAGAATTATTATTGGAAGTTGGTAGGGATTTACGATGAGTCAAACCTGTTGATGAAGAAGAAGAAGAAGAAACAGATGACGAAGAATTAACCCTTGATCCGGCACTATTATTATTGGTGCTTATCGCTGATCCACTATTAACTCGTAAGGTATCTGAATTTCCACTAACCTTTCTTCTTGATTTAGGATCATAACTATTATCATTAACTCGTTTATTTTCCAACCAGAACTTTCTAAACCATTGTAATAATTCCAAATTATCTTGAAGTCGACATTTTACTAATTTTTCAACATCAATATTTTTTGTAATTCTATGCTTATTGAATCCAGCTTGTAATACTTTCCAATTTTGTCTATAATCATATTCACCATTAGCATTATCAAACTTCACTTTCAACATTGGAATTCCTCCTACTATAGAATCCAATAATTGACAAAAGGCTGCTCCTGTCCCACATTGCTCAACTTTAGTATAGTTTAGTTCTAAAGTCGAATTTAACCATTGTAATAATTCTGATCTTGACTCACTTACCACCATAATTTCTTCTTGTCTATTGTTTACTCCGATTTACAAATGCTACTTGACAATGGATAGGGTCAGAGGTTTTCCATTCGATTCTCGATACGTTCAATTGATTAAGTGGTTCCCCTCCGTCTTAGTATACGTAGTTAGATCTTTTTTCTTATGTTTACATTTCGTTTGTAACAGATATAAAACGTTCCTGCAGAAAATCTTAGAGAGAGAGAGAGAGAGATCCATACACCAGCATTAAGGTGCACTACACCCATACCACAGTACTTAACAGCACACTTATGGCATGTGAAATTTCCACGAGGATGACTGATGGGTACAGCCATTTTTCAACCAACAAATTATAAACCACACCATAAAATGATGACCATTAGCTTTTAAACCTCTAGCTTTATTTATCTTTTATTAACTACTGAGTTCAATTCCAGTTCATTATCACTCTGTGCCAATTTGAACTAATTGCTACATAGAATTGTATATAAAAAGTGGTTTAAGCCTTAGATTTTTTCTTGAGTCTGTATTAGGAAATAACCATCTCACGAAGAGCAATTTGACATAACTACACTCATATCTACTTTGTAAGTGTATCAACCAATTGTTCATTTAATTGCTTTAATAGTTTCAATCTCAATTGTCTCAATTGTCTCAAAGCACGAATTCGTCAGATCAAGTCAGTCAATTTTTCATATACTATAAAAAGTATAAAGTGCCACGCCCCAGACCACATCAGACATTTAATATTTGATAAACCATGGCCTCAGACTCATCTGCCCAAGCATCGGGGTTTAAGAAGTTATCAGAATCAGCCATTATCTCCGATTCAGAATTCGATACTGACGAATTATCAACCCACCCTGAAGAAATTAAATCACATCCACCTATTAGAAGATCATCATCGTTATTTTCATTGAAAGATGAATTACCAAGACCTGATCAAAAGGAGTACACAGCCTTTATTGAAGATAATAGACATTTTTCATTAATTAGAAATTTACATATGGCTGATTTCATTACTTTATTAAATGGATTTAGTGGATTTTATTCAATTATCTCATGTTTAAGATATACTTTAACTGGAAAATCTCATTATGTTCAAAGAGCTCATTTCTTTATCTGTTTAGGATTATTCTTTGATTTCTTTGATGGTAGAGTTGCAAGATTAAGAAACAAAGCTTCATTAATGGGTCAAGAGTTAGATTCCTTAGCCGATTTAATATCTTTTGGAGTAAGTCCTGCTACAATTGCTTTTGCTATTGGATTTCAATCCACTGTTGATGTCTTACTCTTAACTTTTTGGGTCTTATGTGGATTAACAAGATTGGCTAGATTTAATATTACTGCTCAAGTAATTCCTAAAGATGAACATGGTAAATCAAAATATTTTGAAGGATTCCCAATTCCTACTAATTTAGCCTGGGTGTTTTTCTTTGCTTTCTTGGTTTACAAAGATTGGATTGAAGATCAAATTCCTCTTGGTTATCTTTTTAAAGATACTGCGTTTGAATTTCATATTATTTCCATTGGATTCGCCTTACAAGGATGTGCTGAAATATCCAAATCATTAAGAATTCCAAAACCATAAACGACCATTAGTGACATGATATAGTAAAATAAAAACTTGCCCCATATTCTCTTCCTATACATAATATCTACATAGAGTTGCAACCATAACTTATTTTTTATTCTACTATATATACAATACATATTGGGCAACCTATACCTTTTTTGTAAATTGTGGTTTTTGGAAGCTTACTGTTTCAACATCTTTGAAATCTATGCCATTAAATTCTCCTGTTTGCAATTCTTGATAAACCTCCTTTGGAAAGTGCTGTGGATCCAATAACCCCAAATCATTAACCTTCATACTTAATGAATGTTTCCGATTCAGAAGCTCAAGAAGATGACATAAGTCCCAAAAGGAATTATTGATAGGTTTAAGCTTGAAAAGGTAAGCTAATCGAAATTTCCAACTCATTTGTCTACTGGAGATATCATTCTGAGTAAATCCCAATTTTGCACATTCATAATGAAATAATGCAAGCAAATAAAGAAGTTCTTCATTGGTAGATATCCGCATTATCAATTGCTCGATCTTCAGTTCTGTCGACGCACTGGCAAGAATCTTTTGTTGATCATCTACTTCCTTGATAAAGTTCAAAGATCTGAATATGATATTATTCTCAATACCACGACGTTGTTTGTCTGACTTGGTGGAGTATGAACACACACCCTTTGATAATATACCCCCATATCTTAACTCATGCATACCCAGCCATATTCGGCTAACACTTCTCCCTCTTACCAATCTATTTATCATTACTATGGTATATTTATCTCTTAAGTAACATATAAGGAATTTGAATATGTCCGGCTTCCTGTATATTAAAACAAAATGGATCGGAATTCGAAAAACGCAATACTCCTAAAAAATTTTCAGACCACCTTACCGGTGATATCATACTAAACTAACAAACTATCACCAAACTTGTAAATATTAATCTGACCCTCTCTTTATAGACTACACTCATACTTAACACTCATAGAAAAATCACCATGTTGAGTCGTTGTATGTTGAGAACTGTCGGTATGCCATTGCACACCAGAGTCATCTCGAGAGTGGCATTAACACCAATGTCAAAGTCATTACCAAAATTATTGACAGGAAGATATTATTCCACTGGTAAAGATGCTGATAAAAAGAAGTCAGAAAAACCTCAAAGTATTTTAACTGAAGATATCTTAGCTAAGGCAGGTTTTGAAGATATTGATCCTAAGAAACAAGAAGGTCAACAAGAACAACCAGAAACTGAAACTGAAACTGGATCCGAAGAAGATGCTTCTGAAAGATCTAGTAGAAGAAGTAGAAGAAGAGCTCAAACTTCAAAGGATATAAAACGTGAAAGAGCTGCCAATTTATTCTATTTACTTACTTTTGGTACTTCTGTTGTTGGTGTTGGTTATTTGAGTAGAAATTGGGATAACGAACAAGAACAAAAAGCTTTAGAAGCTACTAATATTGATAATGGATATACTCCTCAATTAATGTATGACAGATTATCTGCTAGATTAAGTTCATTATTTACTTTCTTTTCCGAACCAGCTTTTGAACAATTATTGCCACCACCCGCCCCAGAAGCTTACAGAAGACCATTAACTTTAGTATTAACTTTAGATGATTTATTAGTTCATTCTTCTTGGGATACTAAACATGGTTGGAGAACTGCTAAAAGACCAGGTTTAGATTATTTCCTTGGTTACTTATCTCAATACTATGAAATTGTTATCTTTGGTTCTAATTATCAAGTTTATTCCGATAAAACTGTCAACAAATTAGATCCGTACCATGCTTTCATCTCTTATGCTTTATATAAAGAAGCTTGTCGTTACAAAGATGGTAAAAATATTAAAGATTTATCATTATTAAATAGAGATTTAGGTAAAACCGTTATGGTTGAAGTTGATCCAAATTGTGCTTCATTACAACCAGAAAATTCAATTGTTCTTAATCCATGGGATGGTCAAGCTGATGATTATTTAGTTAAATTGATTCCATTTTTGGAATATTTGGCTACTCAACCAGTTAAAGACGTTAGACCAATCTTAAATTCATTCAAAGATAGAAGTAATATCATTGAAGAATTCGAAGAAAGAGAAAAACTTTTAAGACAAAGATGGGCAGAAGATAACAAAAATTTATTAAAAAATGTAGGTAAACCAAATGCTGGTACATTCTTAGCTCAATTATTTGGAGTTCCAAGTTTTAATAAAGAACCTAAAATGCCATTAGATATCATTAGAGAACATGGACAATTCCAATACCAACAAATGATTAAACATTTGAATGAAAATATCCAAAAGTTCTTAGAAGATGATAAAAAATTCACTGAGCAATTTGGTAAAACTAGTATTAATAAATTGTTAACTGAAGAAAGACCAAGTCCTGAAAAGATTGCTCAAATGCAAGCTGAATTCAAACAAAAGCAAGAACAAGAAGAAGCTGCTGCTGCTGCTGCTGCTGGAAGCAAATAATGAATAATCAATTTTCTGTATATATAATTACGTCCTGTACTTTAAGTAATACAAACTTTGTATGAAGTGGATTCCGGTATCTAAGCGCAATAGTTTGTAGTTTGTAGTTATGGCTTAATTAAGCGAAGGTTGAGTACCTACCCGCACTATCACCGAAATCGGCTTGTCCCAATGCCCACACAATAAAAGAGAAGAAGCACTGTTAATTGCAGTAGAACTAATTTCTTACAGGAATAATTATAGGCAAGGCTGTAACCGAATCAATATAAGGTACCATCACCTGACATAAATAATTTGTAGTAGTGTAAACGATTTCCTCACGTAATCAGTATAGCGCAGAGTAATCAGTCAGTCGTACACGAGCCCTTAACACATGCCTACAATTTTCGCTACATAGTAAATGAGATTGGAAATGCCAACGAATACTGTTGTACAATTAATACAATTACTCCTATATTATTTAATGTTACTAATCAACAATTCCAAGCTTCTTATTCTCCCCTGCAGCCAATAAGAGTCGGGGGTTCAAGAATTTCTCCTCCCCATACAGTGAGTTATTTAGCCATAATTGGGTCACAATGACACAAAAAGATTTTTATCTTTTCCATCAGCACATTTCTTTTTTTTTGTTAGGCTAGCCCACTCGTCCCCAAAAACACTATACCGAAATTGAATTACTAACTATTAAGATCTTTTCTTTTGTCATAGGGTTCTATAGTAGAAGAAACCATTTAATAATCAATAGAATATGAGTGCCAAAGCCAGTATAGCTCCTAGACTGTATGGTTCACCCCCATCATCAGCTGGTTCACCACCTTCTAGTGGTTCCACTCCTAGACCTATAGTGTCCAATCTATTAAAACCTGGTTCGACACCTCCTTCAGCAGCAAATAGTCCACCTGCTAATAATATAATTACATCTTCAATAAATAGAGTTCAAGTACAACCCAATAATAATACTACTACTTCAACTACTCATATCATAACTTCAAAAGAATGGGTATTACCTCCAAGGCCAAAGCCAGGAAGAAAACCTAGTGTAGATACTCCAGCTTCTAAGAGGAAAGCACAAAATAGGGCTGCTCAAAGAGCATTCAGAGAAAGAAGAGCCACCAGAGTTCAAGAATTAGAAGAAAAATTAATGGAACAGGAAAAGGAAAAGGAAATCAAAGAACTTGCATTGATTAATACTATAAACAAATTAAAGGTTGAAAACCAATTCTTGTTAAAGAATTTAGAACAAATGAAGAGTGAAATAGGTTCATTAAAGACAAACCAAGCTAAATTAAATCAACAACAAAAGCAGATTTCTCAACCACATGGCCAAGTTCAAATTGCTCTGAACAATCAACAACCTCAGCAACAACAACAAGTTCAACAACAACCATTCAAAGCTACTTTCTCTTTAGGTGGTTTCAGTGCCCATAATTCTCCCATTAGTCAACCTATGGGATCTCCTGCTAGTTCAAACTATTCTGTTCAGCAAATATCTCCTGCTCCTTCCGCTGACTCACCTCCTGGTTATTCATCTAATACTTCATATTTGCGTCATAATTCTATAAACAAATCTACTACATCTTTGAATGCAATGACAGCAAACACAACTCCAGATAAAAATAATCAAACCAAGCAATCAATTGATTCAAGTAATTTTGATTGTGGAATTTGTCTCAAGGATGAATGTTTATGTGAAACTGTAGGATTGAAAGATCCAAAGCCAGAAGATAGTCAGAAAGTACTTGATGAAAAGTTGAAATCTTTCAAGCCCATGGCTGCAGTTTCATTAAGTTCTAAGAAAAAGAGACCAGTATCTGCTATGAATGACAATGTTAAAGAGATCGATTTCACCCAAAAGTTCAAACTGAAGCCAATGCCAGATCTTAAGAAATTAAAGAAGTCGGCTTCAGTTTCAAACGGGTTTGAATTTAATGAGAATTCTCCAGTTGAAAATTGTGGTTTCTGTTCCGATGATACTCCTTGTGTATGTAGAGAAGCTGCAAAGGAAGCTGCCCTTATAAACGAAAATCTCAATAGACAAGCTTCAGTTACTACCAACTCAGAAATGGGTACAAAGTCCTTACCACCTATTCAAGTTGATTTGAACAATGGATTCAGAAAATCTTCATTACCAGTAATGCATCCGGGTCCATCAGTTGAAATTAGTAATATCGCTAATTTAACTCCTGGAGCTGTACCCAATGTGGTTACTCCAACAACTAGAAGATCAGATTCTGTATCTTCCATGATTAAGAATAGTTCAACTACTGATTTATCTGAGGAAAAGTCTTCAAATTCAGATGGTGGTTGTACTGGTAATCCAGGTACTTGTCGTCAATGTCAAATGGATCCAATGTCTACATTATTTTGTACTACTGTTGCTAGTAAGAATCAAGCTCCAACTTCTGCCACTGTAGCAGGAGGTATTTTATCTAGATCCGGGTCTAAAACCAATCTTCCATCATTTACCAGCCTTAATGCTGGTACTAACTCATCCACAACTAGTAGTATGAATTCTCGCCCTTCGACTCCTGGACCGAATTCAAGTAATTCTGGAATCTTTATACCTTGTGCCGATGCTTATAAAACATTATCAAGACATAAAAATTTCAATTCAGCTGATTTTGGTACATTGGTAGGCAAGTTAACTACAAGGGGTATGCAAGTGGAGGTTCAATCAGTTGCAAATGTTTTAAGGGAATTGGATAGAAGGTTATACAATTAGGAACTTTTTTTATTTTCAAGGTTATTCATATATATTTAGCTACATTCAATTCTTCAATTTCATTATTTAATAATATAACAAACGTTTACATTACTTATAAAACTAGAACTATTTAGTTACTTTTAGTCACGTAGGCACCTGGAAGACCTTGCACTATATCAAGACACTTCTTTTCGCTATCTCCTGTTTCAGAGTCTAGCACTACTTGGTGATCATGTAAATCATGCCTTGCATTTTCATGTATTAAACCATCATTACCAGTAGAAGAAGGAGGGCCAGAAGTAGCAGAGCCATAAGCAGCTGGGGCTCCAATACCGGCAATACCACTCAAAGGAATTCGAGTTGCAAATGATTTAGTCAGTTTCAGTTTCTCTTCTTCACCTTCAAGTGGGATAGGAGTTGAAATAGATTCATTATCAAGAGTTTTAGTTGAAGCGTTTTCATCAACAGTGTTGTCTCTTAAATTAGGATTTAACAAAGATACTCCGCCAGCTTTAGAAAAATATGACTCCGTGTTTCGGTTCCCAGAACGTTCATTAGACTGGAGTTTTGATTTCTCAATGGATTTCTTGTTAGTTTGCTCGTCCTCCAGGTCCAAGTAACTCTTTCCAGAAGGAACCCCTGGTATTGCATCATATTCCTCAGCTACGGCTTTTGGATTTTCTCTTCTATCATCACCTTCAACGACTCGCTCAATATAAGGTTTAGTTGTATTAACATCTACTGCCTTTCTAGCTTCTGCAAGATGCACTTTCGTAATAGCGTCCTCTTCAGGATTTGAATTATTTTCAGATAAAATGGCATGTTTTTGTAATCTAGATTCCATCAATTTTCTCTGCTTTTTAGTCATCATAACTGCCTTAGTAGCTTCCTCGCCAGGTTGAAGATTATCACTTAAACCACCTTGAGTATCCTTTGCTTTAAAAAACAGTCCTACACCGGCTCTCAATTCAGCATCATCTGTATATAAGGGATTATCATTTTTTGATAATTCAGGATGTGGATCTACAACTGCTTTATCAGTTGTCTCTTTTTCATTAGTATAATCTGTAAAGACATCTTGTGGAACAGGTTCAGTAGAGTACACTGGAGGGTTATCACGAAGATTGCCCATAGCAGTTCTCTTTATAATATGGGGATCATATTCACTGTTAGTGGCATAATCTGAAGGTTCATACACATTATGAATAGGCTGAGCTAAGTCAGCTTTACGGTCAGTGATTTGAGGTTCATTTGTGAACTCGGGAGGAGCATCGATCGAATCAATGATTCTCAGCTTTTCTTGCTCATCTAATTTTGCACCCGAATCTTGACTGTGATGGTTAAGCTTATGAACTTGCTTTTTAAGCTTAGTAAAAATATTGTCGTTGTCGTTGGAAGGCATATTGGAGTAGTAATAGATTATCAACTTATTAATACAATTAATATTACAGGTAAAGAGTTAAAATTAGAAAAATGTGAAGTATGAACGAATTTAGGGGCATTTTGATAGCAATCATAAAATGCGAAATGCTGTGTAGTGGAACAATGGAATGAGAAAAATGCACATACATATACAAAAGTCACAAGAGGGATTGAATATGATAAAATAATGCAATAAAATTTATAATAGAGAAACTAACCAACTAACTATCTATACTCTGGACTCTTTTGACTCTTATTATATATCAAACGAGTTACTAGCCACTCTAAACTCTCTTGAAGTCCCTGATTTTCTAATACTGAGACGGGTAATAATTTGGAATCGGTAGCTTCAAGTTCACTAACCAATTGTATAAAAACTCCTGTTTTTAATGATACTAAATCTACTGCCTGTGGTAAGTCCTGCTTATTGGCTAGCATGAGAATAGGAACATTAACAATAGCTTCAGCTGTTCCATTAATATTGGACCATGTTTGATCATGAGCAATCTCTATCAATGTCTCATAACATTCTTGAAATCTAGCAGTATCTGTGGAATCAATTATAAATATAATTCCATGACATGAATTATAATATCGTGACCACATATTTCTTAATGATTTTTGACCTCCAAGATCCCAGAATTTAAGATTTATATTCCGAAATTGGGATGAGAATTCCGAATCGCTATTAGATTGAAATTTAATTGTAGTTGTATTTTGCCCTACAGTGGGTAATATTCTTCTAGATTTTAATATATCTGAAGTGGATTTAGGGGTATCACTACTTTGTCCATCTTTTACCTTAGACTTAGATTTAGTAGTATCTGTCGGTGATGGATAAAGTAATTTAACATGTTCTAGAAATGTCGTTTTACCGGCATTATCTAACCCTAATATAAGAATATTGTACTGTTCTCGTTTAGTATATTGTGTGTACAATGAAGATGCCAAATGAAACATTATTATTTCATTAATCACTTTCCCCCTCCACCGATTGTGTTATATATCTACAAGTCCTCACGTGTGTTAATTATGCTTGAATCAATATAGGATATATTTCCGTACTTATCTACGTGTTTATATCTTACTAACTATTTGGGGCTTTTACCCGGACGTTCCTTGGCCCCATACAAAAAGAGCAGGGCACACTAACAAAATTTTTCAGCCGATGGAGTAGTACTACGAACTAATAACTAAGTAACTAAGTAGTTAATTAACACAGTTACCTATGTAAAGTGTATGTATAATACTTACAGATGTTTGACAGTACACATTGGTTCATGTGATGAATAATTTGATAGGGACAACTGAGTGATTCGATGACGATGTTGTCAAATAAGATAGTAGAAATATCTGAACCTAACCAATGTGTAACTACTAAACACACATCTATAATCTATGGATTTTTAAAGAGTGAATTTACTAACATTAATAGAATCTTTATTTTATGTATTTTAGTTTTCGTTAAGTTGTTTTCTAGAGCTATCTATATACTATCGTATACTCAAACATTTTTCTTAGCAAGATCAGTCTTACTGACGTATATATAATTGACCACGAATAAAAACCAGGCTACAATAACCAATGCAGCACTAGCAGCATATAACCAGGAATTAGAAATATCCCATGATCTCTTGAATTCGTCATTGGCTAAATGTCTAACTGTAACAACCTGCTTATTTTCCAAATAAGTTAAACCGACTCTCTTGTAATCAAGTTCAAAAGTAAACATACCATGATGATCTGGAACTGTAAAGTTAACAAAGTATGCAAATGCATCTAAATCTTCACTGCCTTCTGTAGCAGCAACTGGACCCAATGGTTCTAAGTTTAATCTTTGATAAGGATCTAACATCTTGAATGAAAGTTGTAATTGATCTTCTGGACTTTTAACTTCATATGGAACCCACTTACCATCAATTAATTCAGAAACTCCAACTGTGTAAATGGCTTGATCTTTAATTCTGTATAATGTTGGGTTTGGCTTGCTTGGTTCAGCATTATTAACATGTTCTGTGAATCTTAATTTCAATACATCTCTCTTTTGGAAAGTCCAGTTAGTTAACTCATCAGTAACTAAAGATTCAGAACCAACCCAAGTGACTCTTGCATTATTTAATGCTTGGAATCCAATGGCTAAGAAGCCTTGACCTCCATAAGTCCAAGTAGTATCTTCAGTAATTTTTTCAATACCAGATTTAGCAGTAAAACTTGTGGCAGAACCTTGAATGATTGGGAATAATAATTCATTATTAGAAATTAAGGCAGCACTTCCCTTATAATTTAAATTAGGGATAGTACTAAGAACTCTATTTCCTTGAACTAAATTTTCATTATTTAAAGTTACAAAATTACCATCATAATTAAAATGATCAGTATATTGAAAATTCTTAGGAGATGGATAAATACCCAATTGATTTAAAAATCCACGAATTGATTCAGGTAAAATAGCTTGAGAACTTCCAACAACAAGAATATTAGTCTTTTCATTAATTAATTGTAATAATTTATGTTGATCAATTGATTCTTTAGAAAGTACAGCCTTCTTTGAAGATGGTAAAATAACTACATGATCATATCTTGGAGAATCTTCAAAGAATAATTTAATATCAAGATCATCATAAGTATGATATTTCACTTTATATTGACCTTCTAAATTATTAATTAATTGAGCAATTGAAGGTGATAATGAATTAGAATCATCTAAATTATGAAATTTACTATCATAAATTACCAACGCATTTTCAGTAACAAGATCCACTTGAGATACAACTGCAGTGACAACACTTAAGAACAAAAAAATTGCTCCATTAATAAGTCTATTAGCAAGCATGAGCAATTAGTATCTTATTAAATAACAATGTTGTCTTTTAGCTTTAGTTGGCCTTGATTCTATAGTAGTATAATTGGTCAATAATTGAATTGTTGCCCTACGTGTTTGAAAATTTCCAACTTTGTTCGGGGCTGCTATGTGCAGGGCACGTCATTTTTCACCATACAAATTTATATAGCGATGGATAGTAAAAGTATAAGTAGAAATATATTAAAAACATTTATTACTATTAAATACAGTTGGTATAGTATATAATAATGGTTATTAAGGTGAAGGTAGAATTTTTGGGAGGTTTGGATATAATATCCAGTAGTGTAAGAGAGCATAAATGTTCAATTCCATTAGAAGAAGGTGAAGCTACTATGAAAGATTTGATTGAATATGTTACTAAAAATATAATTACTGATGCAAAGGATATTCCTGTATTTATAGAAGATGATACGGTTCGTCCAGGAATATTAGTACTTATAAATGATACTGATTGGGAATTAGAAGGTATGGAAGATTATGTTCTTGAATCGGGTGATGTATTTACATTTACAAGTACCTTACATGGAGGATGAGAGCTATATGTACATACAACACTTAAACTTAAACTTATTTAAACTTACTGTATTATAGAATCATTATTAATATTATAACGGAACCAATCTGCATCCTAATAATCCTTGACCACCCCAATTATTTGTAGGCTTTAAATGTAATGTTAAAGGTACATTATTTCTTAATATTTGAACCTCTATTGATTTCCCAATCCCATTTCGAACACTTGATACTACATTAGAAAGTTTATTATGATTAGCTGCATGAATGCTTTGATCAAATAGAACAATTTGATCTCCTTCTACTAACCCAGCAGTATTGGCTGGACCATTGGGAGCAATTTCTCGAATTGTTGCAAATGGTACAGTATATGATAATGATGATGAAGTATTAGTGGAAGTATCTGTTTGTGATGATTCAGTAGCTTGAACATCTCTAATGTTCTCAAAATGTTCAATTAACTTCTTATCCAACACTTTCAACAATGCTTTATCGTCATTTCTCAATCTTATGATCTTTACTCGTATGAGTCTGATACTGACAACATCAATGTCACTTCTGGGAAATCCATCCAGTGTCAAAAGTTTAGTATCCATATCAGCATTATATTTATGTTTCAATAGATCAAATAATAAGCTTAATTGTGATTCTATAGATTGCTTGATCTCGGATAACTTCTCAAGTGATAGTTGCGAGTAATTAGTGTCATAATCCTTGAATTGAGATTCATCGAGATTTAAATTTCTCATCAATCCTCGGAATGAGTCATCCGACAAATCTCCTTCATCAATAGTCATTTTTATGTATTGGTGTTGTTGTGAGTTATGAGTTAAGTGAAGTGTTGGCGTTAATGATATTGTTTGATGGCAAAGACAAAAAGAGTGTGTCGCAAAATTATCGGTTGTCGCAAATTTATTTAAGGAGAATTATATCTTTTGCAATGAATGTCTACATACAGTTATATCGATATATATCGTATATATAAATAAATATGTGATAATTAGTGTTACTAAGAGTCTTCGGTGCTGACTGCAAATGAATATGTACTGACTACATCCACATCATCTTCTTCGTTACCTTCACTGATTTCCTTCCATGAGGCTATAGTTAATACTACAAATCCAATTACGACAAGGAGATCACCTAATAATTGTTGAAAATCTAATGTATTACCAAATGCAATCCATTCAACTATTCCAATTAAAAATATGGTAAGTAATGAACTAACCGATGATAATACAGGACTTGTTAATGCCATTAATGTCAAAAATGATGCACTAAATAAAAGATTTGATATAATAGATCCAACTATATATAACCATATCTTTCTTGTATCATCACCATAATTGAAGAAATTAAAACTATGAACTTGAAATAATTCAGCAAATATTATAACTGATAAAACTATAATACTGGTAAAAAATCCAAAGAATGCCATAACAAAGTTAGCAAATGTCAGTTGACGACGTGGAGTTATGATTTTTGCTAAATGTGGAGGAATACATAAATACTTTTTATATATCACTTCGTAGTATCCATATAAGATAGCCCCAATTAATATAAGCAAATTACCCCAAAATCTATAAGGATATAAAGATTCATCTGGAATTTCATCTGATCCAGAATAGGCAACTACAAATACACCAACAACAGCAATAATTACTGAACTAGCTTTCAACCAGGAAAACTTTTCATTCAATAAAGGAATAGCAAACGCATAAGCTGTAAAAGCAGAACAATTATAAATAGCAGTAACATCAGCTGCATATGTCAATGACATTGCAATATACCAAGTTGAACCAGCAATGGTTAATACCACAGTCACAAACGATGCTCTAGTTACAATATACTTTATAGCTGGAGTTCTAAAGAATGAATTTATACATTTTATTATAGAATTTGATGATGAAACATGAGGATTCTGAGAAATTAATTGATCAAGATTTTCTGTACGTTCATCGTGATTAATATTCCATTCATAAATTATTATGGCAGTATGATAAACATTATGGAATTGTTTAACAAGAGCCTTTTGAAAATATTCACCTAAATGAAGATTCTTTCTAGTTATAACATTTTCTTCAAGTAATTGTGAATGAGAATTTAATCGTTGATAAGTTGATCTTGATTGATCTCTATGTTTAATAAATGTACGAAGTACTGAAACAGACAAGGCTTGTAATGGCCATAAGATCCACCATGAACCATGAGTTACTAATAATAATATTATTGGCTCACTAAATCCGAGTTGATAAGCTTGAGATGTGAATTCAGTTTGTGTTACAAATGATGTTAAGGATATTAAGAACATAACCACAACAAAGATAACTTTGGTGGTTGATGCATGTGACACGGAGTCGGCCGAGGCCTCTCCTAATGTAGTTATAGCCATATTAATATTTTAGCATTGATAATGTCTACCTAGTAGAAACAGTATATGAAACTGATCTTTGAAGATAGTTTAAAAAATAGTCTTTGTCGGGGAAATAACCTCGTCACTTTATACAGGAATAACATAACCGATTATATTTATTATTTTATTATTGATATATATATACATAATCATACAAAGTATTATAAAGATTGATTAGTCACTATCACTTTCAAAGTCATCCAGATTATTTTGTTGATGGTGAATATCATTATTGGTTTCAGTTTCATCGTCTTCACTGGCATCGGAGTCAAGATAATACTTCCGAGGCTCTAAAATTTCACTTTCAACTAATGATAATCTTGGAACTAATCTTGGTAATATTATATTTACTACTCTTTCATCATTCAATAAACTGTCTATCCATTCATCCATAAAAGATAATTTATAATTAATAGGTAAGCCTTCTTTAGAAAACTCAGGTGTTCGTAATTTAACTCGTAACTTTCTAAAATCTTGACCATACTTATCAAATGTTGAATATATCACATTGGCTGAACTTGTAAGTCTTATATAAATTAATATTAAAGCAGTTAAATATTTAAATTCATTATATCCTAATTGGGTAAGATAAGTATCGATGATCTCTTGCGATGGATCTAATTCCAACAACCGAAATAAACAACTAAGAAACGGACTAGGTTTTCCTATAGAATCCGTACCAGCTATATAATTAATTTGATCAATTATTATAGGTAATATAGTTGCTTCATTTGTAAGATAAAGGTATTGCTTATAAAATAGAGAATCTTGAATACGATGTCGTATAATAGGTTCTATTAAATATGCCTTATTTACCACATTCCGTTTATCTAAGTACAGTGGTTGGATTTTCTTCTTGTTAGTACCGTTAGTTGACATAGAATTTACTTACACTCATTAAACCTTCAATTATAGAGGATAATATAATATAGTATAGTATAGTTAAATTGAATTTATAGTAATAGTAATTGACTTCATCATTTCCTGTATATGGAGAAAACTCAAACACTTTCAAGGCTTTCTTGGTCACGTGCACAAATTGTTGACAATTTTTGTGCTTCTGGTAACCTACCACATTCGATAAGAAATCAGTCAATTGAAACGAATTCAAATTGTAACAGTATACTTTCACAGTAATATTACAGTAAATTAAGTAATATTATTATTGTAGCATAACATTGTCATCATGTCATTCAAATTCCCAACTTTCAACTTACAATCAATTCAAGAATCATTACCAACTGTTGATCAAGTTAAAGAATCATTCGCTAAAGTTAATGCTTCTAAAACTGTAGATCAATTCCGTGAACAAATTACTCCATTTGCTCATAAAACAAGTGAATTACTTTCAACTCAATTAGCTCAAGTTCAACAATTAGCTAATTTAAATGTAGCAGATTCTAAAATTGAAGTTAGTGAATTACCTGCTGAATATTTACAATTAGAACATAATTGTGATTTATTATTAAAATTATATACTGATTTAATTCTGTTTTCTAATGAAACTTATGGTAAAATTAGTTATGATTATCCTCCAGGAAATTATGCTATTACTAAAATTAGAGAAGCTAATGTTGGAGGAGTTATTTCATCTAAATTTAATCAATTAAAGAATGTTTCTTCTCCACAAGAATTAGAAAATATCTTATTAGGTAGACAAGAAGCTAATTCTACTGGTGAAGAAGAAGAAGTATCAATTCAAACTACTTCTGCCAATCTTCCAAAAACTTTATTTGGACAATTATCTACTATTTCAGAAAAACATAGTGAAGAATTAAAAACTTCCAATAGTCCATTATCTCTTGCTCTTTTACAACTTTCATCTACTTATTTGGAAATTGCCAGTGCTAGATTAGAACAAGATAAGAAGATTACTAAAGATGTTAATAATAAATTAATTACTATTTTAAATGAAGAATTCATTAAAGTAACTGAATTAAGAAAGAGAGTCTATGCTTCTCGTTCAGATTTTGATATTATTAGAGCTAAAGTTGGTGATAATGATCAAGAAGATGAAGAACTTATTTCTAAAGAAGATTCATTAGTTAGTGCCACTGAAACTGCAGTCGTAGAAATGAAGAAATTATTAAGACCATCTAAGAATATTAATTTATTAAAAGTATTTGTTCAAGCACAAAAGGAATTTTTTGAATTGAGTGCTAAGAAATTAGCTGCTTTAAGTGCTGGTTTAGATAAGATTGAAATCCCAGAAGATGAAGATGATGATGAATAGCTCATAATCTCAGCCCTGGATTCATTTGTTGATATCTAGTGTTTGGCTGGTTTATTGTTTGGTTATATCTCGTGCTATTTTATTCCAGTTTGATTTTTTATATATTATATGTTAGTTCTAGTAAATTGTTTGATTTTTATAGTTATTTTATTACAGTATATTGGGAAAGTATATATAATGACTTCAGATAATAATTTCTAATACATTTGTAGGTGGGACTGCAAAACTTTTTGAGTTCAGTGCACAAACCGAAAATTTTCAGATCAACGACTTTTTAAGTCTACACATAAACTCAGTCCATAATAACAAGACATACATATACACAACAATTATATAACAAAGCTGAGAAGAAATAATGTCTGAGCCGACACAAGAAGAGAAGGAACAGAAATCTCAACAGTTACAACAACAGTACAATCGATTTCAAGAGAATATTGCTGAATTAGAGACTCAAGTATCTAATCTAGCTTCACAAATTCAAGAACATATTATAGTAGATAATACATTATCATCAATAGATCCAGATAAGAGACAAGGTAGAAAATGCTTTAAAATGATTGGAGGAGTGTTAATTGATAAATCCGTGGATGAAGTTATTAAGATACTTAATGAAGAATTGAAAACATTAACAGCAGATAAAGAGAAAGTCGAAAAGGAATTACAAAAGAATAGATCTGGATTACAAGATTGGTTAAAGAATAATCATGTTAAGATTATAAAGGGTAACCAATAGATTATTCTAGTTATCGTGTATATACGTTTCATCTCATATAATGTACAATAATAGAAATTATAATAGTAACAATTACAATTACAATAACTACAATAATAATAATAGACACATCAGGAACATTTTAAACATGAATAATTATAGAAAGAAGTGAAAAATATTACATAAAACATAAAATCAGCTAAGCAGTAATAGCCTTAACATATGATTCACGAGCTTCGGTATTCTTACCGGTATCTCTATTGATAGCTTCCCATTTTGGTTCATCTTTAAATAATCTAATAGCTTCAACTTCCTTTAAATCATTAGATAAAGTAAATCTATGATAAATACCAGCAGGTAAGATTAATAAATCATGACGTGATAACTTGGCTCTAATCCATTTATCACCTTTATTTCTAACATCAAAGTATCCCTCACCATCTACAATATATCTAATTTCTTCATCTTCATGATAATGTTCTTTATAAAATTGAGCCATCTTAGCATTATAAGCATTAAGATCATTTTTAAAAGCTGCTAAATTCAATTTAACAACATCTCTATTCTTATAATTTCTTTCCTTGGCAATTTCATTCAATTCTTCAATAGTTTCAACATATTTATAATATACACCAAGAGCCTTTAATTCTTCAACTGTTGCCTCAATTCCTGAATTATGATCTTCAGTAAAGTTTTCTGGAGTATCCTTATTGTCGTGATAGTAAAATTGAACCATAATGAATAACGATTTCTATTCTTATTTCTATTTCTTAGAACAACTACTTTGTTGCTGATATCCCAATCTATTTATACAAGCTTATGAATCAATTTAATTTCTAGCCCATGCGGTGCGTGCCATACGTAAAAAAATGTTCTTGTGCAATTTCTCAAACTGTGGCTAAGCTCTTAACAATAAATAAATAGACTATCGGACCACCTTTAGGCTAACTAGTCGCACGAGGGCCAGAATGTATTGGTTGCCATTTCAACTTTAACCGTATCTAAATATAATTGATCAATATATCTACATTGTCTAAAACTTTCATTATTACTTGAGTAGATAATAACGGAAAAAGAGTTGCAAAAATGTCAAGTTAGCACCATTTAACTCCTTTGTATCAATACCCCTAGATATCAGACTAAAAAGATCACTTAACACTATCAATGTAGATAATGAATAAATGACATCTCCTTTATTGAAATTGAGTTAATGCAATTAAAATATATTCACACCATACGAAGAATACTTTATAACGAAATGATATAAAAATCAAACGTACGAAAACATTAAAAAAATATATTCATTAATACTGAAAATCTCTTGAAACCAATGATCCTAGTTCTATATACTCTCTCTCTCTAAATATATGTCTTCACAGTAGCCTTTCCATGGCTGCAATCTATCGTAACTATGATTGTAAAATGTCGGTTGAATAGTTCCCAATAATGTCGTATCGCGACACAACGAAACCCACCTGAAAAACCTTAAAGACTGTTGAAACCTATATAATACATTGACAAGTAATATACATAATTTAGTTACTATACAATGAATGGACACAATAATGGCCATAATGGTTCAAGCTTCAATGGACGATATAATAAACAACCTCGAGATCCAAAAGAAGCAGAACGATTGGCTGCTTATAAACAAAATTTAGAACAACAATTAGCATCTCAAGAAAAGAAAACTGCCTTTAGAAGAATAGTTGATCATGGAAATAATATGGGAAGATGGTATATCAATAAAAATTTAGGATTGAATATCAAACAACAACCGGTGGGGAAAGTCCGTCCCGATTCAGCATATTTAATTGATCTAATGCCTTCTTTAGCTTATGCATCATCATCAAACCTTTCACGTAATAATAATAAAACCAATATGGGAATAATGGATATTGAAAGTAAATTTGTACATTTATCCTCCAATAAAGTTAAACATTCTATTAATGCGATTAAGTGGACTCCAGAAGGGAGAAGATTACTCGTAGCTTCTCATTCTGGAGAATTTACCATTTGGAATGGTATGACTTTTAATTTTGAAACTATTATGCAAGCTCATGATTCTCCAATTTTAGCTTTAGAATATAGTCATAATGATGAATGGTTATTGAGTGGTGATCAAAATGGTGGAGTTAAATTCTGGCAACCTAATTTTAATAATGTTAATAATATAACGGCTCATCCTTCTGGAGTAAGAGATATAGCTTTCAGTCCAAATGATTCAAAATTCTTAACTTGTGGTGATGATTCAACAATTAAGATTTGGAATTTTAATAATGGTCAGGAAGAGAGAACTTTAACTGGGCATCATTGGGAAGTCAAATCGGCTGATTGGCATAGTAATTTAGGTCTTATTGTTAGTGGTTCTAAAGATAATTTAGTTAAACTATGGGATCCTCGTAGTGCAACATGTGTATCAACTTTACATGGTTTTAAACATACTGTGAATAAGACTCGATTTCAACCTACAGGTACAAAGAGATTATTGGCAGCAGTTTCAAGAGATAGATCTTGTAGAATCTTTGATTTAAGAACTATGAAAGATATAATTGTATTACGAGATCATGAGACTGATTTATCATGTGTAGCTTGGCATCCACAACATGCATCTATGATAACAACAGCTGCTTTCAATGGAGCTATGAACCATTACTTATTAGACTCATATATTCCTGGTTCTGATGCTACAACTAATTCAAGTAGTACTACTAAAAATAAATTAGATACTACCTATACAACTTCAGCTATCGATACATTAGAAGCAGTTCATAGAATTCCATTTGCTCATGAAAAGGCTATTCTTACTTTAGAATATCATCCTATGGGACACTTACTTGCTACTGCAGGAAGTGATAAAACTGCTAGATTTTGGTCAAGAGGTAGACCAAATGATCCTAGATCTTATAAAGATGCTGTATACACTGATAAAAAGACTGGTGCATGGTATTATCTTGCTAATAATAATGTTAATGCCATTATTGCTGATGATGAAGGAACGGCAGCCACTGGTGCTAATACTTCATTGTTGAATTTACAACCTAGAAATGATAATACTTTACCTGGATTGAAATCATCTTCAATGATGATTCCTGGTCTTAATAATTTATAATGTCATGTAACGATAATTTAATATAAGAATCATATTTAGAATATTACAGTACAGTGGGGTGAAGAAGCACACGGCTACAAATACCTCTTTAGAGATGTACCTTACAGCATAAAGATGATCTGATATTACTTAATTCCGTTTTGGATCTTGTAAGTTTATCCGGAATGCATAATCTCTTACAAAATCTGAAACAAAAAAAAAATAAGTGTCTGGTGATACACATACATCTGTAACACATTACAAGGTTATCTTTTGTTAAGAAATTGTATAATATATTAAATTCTATATATAAAATACGAACCCAAAGCAAGCAATATAAGCTAGCAAAATATCAATAATTAAAGATTATATCCCAGAACTGAAAATTTTATAATTGTCTATAAACGTGTTTTTTTTCTTTTATTTTTTTTAATCCCTGTAGTGTGTTTAATGTCATCATTCCCTCCTTAATTTAATTTAATAGTATTCATTATTCATCTTTTCTTTATGGTAAAAGGCATTAACAGCTTCTATATATCTAGTTCTCTCGCAGGTAAAATAATGAGCTTTGAAATCGTTGAAGATCTTAAATAAGCTTGTAGGCTCAGTTTCAGTTTCAGATTCAAATTCATCTTTAACATTTAAAAATTCAAATGTCTCACCAGCATTAACAATTTTAACATACATATCAATAGGGTATGCTGATAATTCTTCAGTACAAATAGGCTCATAAACTTGATAATAATGTTCAGTCCTCTTTTTGAAATCTGAAATAGCTTCATTGTAGTCTTTGTCTCTATAATCTGAATTATGAGCTTTACCATTGATATTAAAATTTAATAATTTTGCATCAAAGCATTGAACATCAAGTATAATAATTCTTGTATTTGGTGCTCTAACATTCATTTGGCTTATCATACGTTGTCTTCTGGCAAGGGTAGTGTTTGTAGCATCTAAAATCCCAATTTGAGTGGTACCAGAAGTCAAATCTGTTATCAAGTTTGTTAATGTTATATCAGCAAATAATTCACGATCAAGTTTACCCTGAATATTATTTGGATTGAAATAATCTGAATCATCAAAGTTAGAATGATTAATACGACGAATATTACCAGCATTATATATTTCAGTCTTGTAAATAGTATTAGTATTCACAAATTGTTTAAATTGTTTTGCCACAGTACTCTTACCAGAAGCAGGTAAACCTACCAACATGATAATTAAAGATTGACTAACTTCTTGTTCATGTCTGTGTTGTTGTTCTTGTAATAATTTTTGATTTAAAATTGATGAGAATTCTAAGTCTCTCAAGTTTGACTTTGAATTGATAGGACTTGTAGTAGCAGTTGTGGCAGTTGTAGCTGCAGTTTGAGGGTTTGTTGATATTACATTGGTAGAAAGATTGGATGAGGGTATTGGATCAAATAGGGAATTAATGGAACTTGTAGAATCAATGATCTTCATCAGTGAAGATGTAGTAGGTGATGTACTAATATTATGGGAATTCATTTCTATGGATTCTAAGTGCTTTAATTTGGAATATGATGTAGGCGTGGCACTATTTGGAGTTGTAAGAAAATCAAATAAATCAAATATTACTTTTTTATGATTTGCACTTGTACTTGTATCTATGGGTTTAACAATAGATTCTTTAGGAGGATTCATAGTGAGATTATAATAAATTTAGCTTGGAAATTGCTTTACTATGATGAAATATTATTCTTTATAAATTAAATGCTTCTTTTGACTGATTTATACACTTAATTCATATTGGTTGCGACACAGTAAATTGACAGATAATGGCAAAATAAAAAATATAAAACAGGCCCGATGGACTAATACCAAAAAGAAACTATTAACTGATTTAAATCCTAAACAGTCTGCAATGACTAACAAACTAATGTAATGAAATTAAATTTAAAAAGTAAAGTAAAGTAAAGCAAAGTAAAGTAAATGCAAATAAAGAAAGAAATAAAAGAAACGAGATTTGAAACCAACGCAAATGTAAGGATACATCAACTAATTTATAAAACTCGTGCGGTTATATAATTTCTTGTCCTATTTAGGTACTGGCTGCGGTGATATGCTTAAGTATGAGGTTTGGTGATGATATTATGCTCTAAAATTTCTTTTTTCTATATGAGCACAAAAATTTTTCCGGCCGGAGTTTTATGAGAAGCCAGAAAATCAACTCAACATTTCCTATTTGGGAAGGAGGGGAACATTGAAATGGCCAAGCGGAACGTGTCTTTGTTGCTAATTACTGCGGTGTGGATTCCGAGAAGTAATTTAACATAGTTTGATAAGAAAATTGTCACAAGGGTGAGGAGTCTACACAAAGACACAGAACGAGAAATGGCGGTAAATGTGCGCCACGTAGATTTGCAGTAAAGGACAAGCGGGATACGGACCCAAGGAAGCTACCTGTTAATAATTTTAAAAGATTTACTTTCTGAGTCAGTATGAGTCTCTATCTGAGTCATTATGACTAGTAATACATACCTAATTCTCCTTTCATCCTATACTCTTAATATATTCTATATGTCATTATAATTCCGTTAACTATATATAATTATCTTATACTATGTACATGATTAATTATGATCTGATATTTACAGTGTTAATTTAATTTGTTATTGTCCAATCGTACTTAATCGGCTGAGGTTTTTTAGCATTGCTCCTCTCTCTAATAAGCTTCTTTCGTTTGTCGTTAACATGGATTTTGGCCTTTTTATATTTATGTTTTCTTAGAAATACATAATGTTCAGCTGCCCTTTTTAAAGCACTTTCCTCTTCAACTTTTTTAAATTGTATTACTTTTTCATGTTGCTTGGGATCAATTTCGTTATGTTTTTCATCTTTATTTGAATAACTCATCGATTGAATCACCTTGTCTTTAGGCAGGGCATTACTGAATGCCTTCGATCGAAATTCTCCTATCTTAGAATATGCTCTCATCACTCCTACTTCAGTTAACTTAGGGGTATCATGTTCCTCTAGTTCTTTTTTCCTTTCTAGTTCTATATGCCTTTCTATTTGTTCTCTCATTTCTTCGTAAGGGTGTTCAACTACTCCTATCTTAGAATATGCTCTCATCACTTCTACTTCAGTTAACTTACGGGTATCTTGTCTTTTTAGTTTTACTTTTCCTTCAGGAGCTGTATCAAAGACTTCAAAAGCTGATATATCTTTAATTGTTACATTCCTGGCAAGTTTTCTTAAGAGTCTGTTAATGCTAGAGCTAATCTTCTTTCTTCTCAATTCCTTTTTTGTTACTTTCCGTATCATAAATTTGACCCCAAATTCATCATCTATAGAAGTATATTTATCGTAATACTCACCGTTGTTGAGGTATGCTGCTGGCTCATTGTTAATAACAGGATGAACAATCTTAATATAATATTTTCTAACGTGGAGATTTGATAAGATAATTTTGTTAAATTCATTTAACTTATCAACATGATCAAGCATGTTCTTATATCTCTGTTCACGAGTTATATCTTCTCGAATACTAGTCTTAAATCTACTAGGAAATTCCTCAAGTTTTAGCTTTTCGTATGGAGTTATCATTACAACGTGAGCTTCCAAAAATACACTGCTATCATTCAGAGAAGTGTCTTCTTCTTTTACCGCATTGACCACTAATCGAAATGGTCTATTTTTTTCATAATGCTTTGTATCATCATGAATTCTGTCCAATAAAGCTTCCCATATTTTCATTGAAATTTTAAACTGCGTCTCTCCAATATAACTAGGTAAATTATCATTCAACTTTAACAAATCACAGTCTTTACCTTCATTTTGTACAAATTTTACTAATGCTTCCTCGTCAACAGACCCTATTTTACCACTTTTGTCAATTTTATCAGAATAAAATATGGCATCCAATTCTTCTAATGAAAAATATTGGAATCCAAAAAATGAATTAAGATTATGATATGACACGAAAATACCATCCATTTGTCCTATTCTTGCTTGGAATAAATATTTTAATAATGCTCCAGACTTAATTAGATCTTTAAATTCTCGTTCAAAGGATTCAAATTCACCATTTAATTTCCAAATTTGATACTTATTATTCTCAACCTCAGGATTATTGTAATCAAATCTAATGGCACATACGGCTCTAGTCTTAATATCAAACGTACCCTTTGGTAATCTCTCGTCATAACAATCTATCTGTGATCTCATTAAAAATGATCCATATTTGGCATAATTATAAACGTTTTCTAACTCCAACTCTTCTTCTTCTTCGTCCCTTCCGTTCAAAACTCTAACGTAGGATTTTTTAAATTTCTCAAATCTCTCTGGGTCATTTGTCAATAGTGCTTCTAAACAGTTACCCATCACTGACAACAATATCTCAACATCAAATGAATTATCTGAGGAAATAGAATAGATAAAATGTTCCTTCGGTTTTGAAGTTTTAGGATCTTCAATAACGGCTGATCCTTCTGGGGAAACGATTAAACTAATTGGTGATGTTGAAGAATATCCATCCATCGCAGTCAAATTATTTCCATTCCCAAATTTGGCTGATGATCCGTCATAATTATTCAATAAAAAGTAAAATTTAGAAAGAATACCAGTCATTGCTGAAGTGGAAGAATAATATTTGGATTTGGACTCTATTGCCAATTCTAGCGACTTTGAATGCTTTGATACAGGCTGGAAAGGTGGAAGACTATCAAAATCAAAATCTTTACGATCTACTATCTTCTTTAGATATGGCAGAAAATTGAACACTTTGGTTCTAGGATCTTGTAAAAAATGAACACCTGGAGAAAATAAAACTCTTTCTAAACCATGAGAAAGGTTCGGTATCTTCTCTTTAGGTGCTTCTTGGACTGTCTCGATTTCTTCGTGCTTAACAGAAGTGATAACATCAAAATATGGTTTCAATAGTTTACCTCTTTTTTCGTGTTTTTCGGATATTTGGTTAGCTCTCTTAACGAATTGCATGATATCTTCATCTTTTTTCATGAATTTGGGCGTAAATCCCTTTGAAGCTTTAAATATACTCCTCACTCTTCGATTTTCAAGTCGCCTTAATTCTCTTTCTACTCCACCATAACGCTTCTCAATTTCATCCGCTTGATCTTTGACTCCATAATATCTAAATTTGGATTGTTCTCTGTTCTTAGCCATTTGCCTCCTTACTCTTCTTTGCCGTTCAACTCTACCAAAAATGTCTTTCCTATTATTTTTAGTAGCAAAATTATTTCTAATAGCAAAAGTCGAAAAGGATGATCCATTTCCAATCCTGATACGATTTCGACTTAATAAAGTCAACATTTTTGTTATGAAAGCTATTATCAGCTTTGATTAAGTATATATTTACTGTTCTCTATTATAATTTCGATGTTCTGATATTTGTGTTTATATGCAGGATGGAAGAGCTATATTCAAATTCTAAGCTGCTATAAAAAGAAAAGCTTCATAATAAATCCTTTTGTGATTAAGATGTTTATTGCGCAATGATTCATCAAACTATAATGGTTCTATAATAAATGAAATATCAATGTCTTCTAAGTAAAATGAATTTTCAATTCACAATTACATTGGTTATTGATTTGATAAGACCCTGCTACACTCGATTCCAACAAAAATTGTATTAAACTACACTCGGCCGATAGATTTACTATATGTGGTTTTTGTTTGTTTTAAAGGTGTCTTGCTTTTGTATTCACTATTTGTTTGTATCTAAGCTATAGAAATTGTAGACCCAAGATCTTGTTCATCGAAAACTACGGCTAAAAAAGTAGACACGGTCCTTTAGGCAATTGAAAAACTTTCTCTTGACGTTACATTGTTTTTCATCTGACCTTTCTTCTTTTATTTCTTATTTTATACGATGATTAAAACTCATTCAAAGGTTATGTTCCATATATTTTGCAACTGCAACAAAGTCCTAAAAGAGTAATTTCTTTATCACGTGTATTTTATTTTTGTTAGGGTTCAGACCCTAGTATGATTGTTTAGTTGGGTTTTCTCCTGTATACAGAAGGATAAATATCAACACCAATACCGCAATACTTATTTTCCCTCACAATAAACAACAAACAGCGAAACTCTCACTGAGTGAAAAACTAATAGTAAAAAAATTTATTAAAAAAAATTTGTACTATAGCTTGGGTATACTTACAACTAGAAAGCCAATCACTTAACAATGGGTATGTGAACATAGAGTTAACATCGATTTATGAATGAAGAGAATAGAGGGATAGTTGTCTACGTCAATAATACTAAATGTATATCAAACAGCAGATTAATTTAGAAGAAGTAATGAAGTAATTAAATGTATTTCGTAAAGAATGATAGTCAAACATAACTGCAACTTTGTATCTACAACATTATATCAGTCACATTCATAGTATATTCAGCACATTTAATAATGGAATACGTATTTTGAAAGTCTAAAGTTCTGTGTTTAATATAATATAGAAGAAAAGAAAAGTCATTGAAGTACCTGTAGAGTGTGTCACCAAGCTCATCGAAAGTGATAAGAATAATTTAATAAAATCATCTTAAATAATTTAGTGGTTCTATAATTGTCTAGAAATAACTCCCATATTTGAAACTTTCGTAAAATTGATAACTATTTTTCAATTAATAGAATACTAACATTAATATTTTTATAGGTAGAGTTATTCGTAACCAAAGAAAAGGTGCTGGTTCTATCTTCACCTCTCACACCAGATTGAGAAAAGGTGCTGCTAAGTTAAGAACCTTAGATTACGCTGAAAGACACGGTTACATCAGAGGTGTCGTTAAGCAAATCTTACATGACCCAGGTAGAGGTGCTCCATTAGCCAAGGTTGTTTTCAGAGACCCATACAAGTATAAATTAAGAGAAGAAACTTTCATTGCTAATGAAGGTGTTTACACTGGTCAATTCATTTACGCTGGTAAGAAAGCTACCTTAAATGTTGGTAACATTTTACCATTAGGTGCTTGTCCAGAAGGTACCATTGTCTCCAATGTTGAAGAAAAAGTTGGTGACAGAGGTGCTTTAGGTAGAACTTCTGGTAACTACGTTGTCATCATTGGTCACAATACTGATGAAGGTAAGACTAGAGTTAAATTACCATCTGGTGCTAAGAAAGTCATTTCTTCTGATGCTAGAGGTGTTATCGGTGTTGTTGCCGGTGGTGGTAGAACTGATAAACCATTATTAAAGGCTGGTAGAGCCTTCCACAAATACAAGGTTAAGAGAAACTCTTGGCCAAAGACTAGAGGTGTTGCCATGAATCCAGTTGATCACCCTCATGGTGGTGGTAACCATCAACATATTGGTAAAGCTTCTACTATTTCTAGAGGTGCTGTTGCCGGTCAAAAGGCTGGTTTAATTGCCGCTAGAAGAACCGGTTTATTAAGAGGTACTCAAAAAACTCAAGATTAGATTAATTAAACAATAGTATATATCTTAATAGTTTCTGTTCAATCAATCAAATCAAATATAAATATAAATACAAATATAAATATAAATATCAAAAATCTGATAAATATTATAAATTTATGTATAATAATAAAAATTTAATATAGCACTTATAAATTATTTAATATTTATTTAAGAATAAGCAATCTTCTAATCCTTTAAAGGAGGTTCGACTTCTAAATCAATTGATTCCTTTTCCTTCGTAGAAGTATTATCAACTACCTCATTAGTAAATTGAATCTCAGTTTCTCCTGCTGAATTTATACTTGAAAGACCAGTAGTAGAAATAACTTCTTCTGAAGATTCTTTGACTTCCTTAGGAACAGTTGCAGCTTTTTGAACTTCTTCAATCTTTGACTTATAAGCAATATATAAAGGAGAAACCTTTCCTAATAACTTTTTACCTCTTAATTGACTTACAATGTCAGATAAAGAGCACTCACTTGTATCAACTGTTGCTAGAACACTAACATGATCTCTAATAAATGACATTGAAGCTTTCTTCTGTTTCGATCTATAAATATAAACTTGTCCGGGACAGTAGTCTTGTAAGAAATCTCTAATTATTTGATCTGTTACTTTGGCGTTTGCTTTAGGGATGTAAATTGTATTTTCTGAAAGCTCCTTGGCTTTCTTTACAAAACTGTACGCTAAAGATTCTTTGGATTCTGGTAATTTATCAGCAGTATCATCTTCATCTATAGTTTTCAATGGATTAGATTCAATTGCTTCAGTTGAATTAGTGTCAGAATTTGCAGCCTTACCTTTTTCAACATCAGATTCTTCAACAGAAATAGAATCTTTTTTATGATCCCTCTTATAGAATCTATTTTTAAATCCAAAATGCTTTCTATAATTCTCAATTGGAATGTGTGGTTTAATGTATAACTCACGATCTTTCAAAGTGATTCCATTCAATTGATCGATCACTTTTTTAACTTGTTCATTATCTTTGAATTCAGCGTAAGCAATACCAAGGGGTCTGGAAATACCACTGAATCTAACTGTATGACTAGGAATCAATACATGAGTACTTTATTAAATCATTGTTAGTATTTGCTAAAATATGTTTTGAATCTTATTTAAATTCAGCATAATTTGGCGCTAAATCTGCAGGGGTATTACAAACGGTTCATATGGTTTCAATAATTCTTCCAATTCATCTTCTGTGGTACTGTAATGAAGATTCTTAATGTATACACGTGCTTTCTTAAGAGTTTCAGACATGTTTAATTGATATAATGATTGATTCAATGATTTGACCGACAAATTGTTAAAGGAAAAGAGGGATCCTACTTATATACTATTTGGGAGGGATTTGCAGCACTTTATATTTGTGCACCATATGCAGGAGAGGGGATTTGAGAATGGTCAAGTCATATTAAAACTAGTAAGGACAAATTACATCTGAGTCGATCTCAGCACTACAGATTTATACAATCAACCTATTGATTATTAAAAATGTCAATATCTGTGGATTATGTATATTTTTAAATAAACTGATTGAAACCTAATTAATCCGTTAATATATATGAAAATGGTAAAGCGTGAAATATGTTAACATTATACAATGAACCATAATAAATATTATGGAAATGATTGAATTCTAAAATATGACTTTCTCAATATTCAATTATATTTAAGCGGCTCTCTTTTCAGCACGAGCAGAAGCTAAAGCTTTAGTGGTACCGTGTAAAGCGTATCTGTGGTTTCTCTTGAATTTAGCATCAACACCTTTTAAAGAAGGGTACTTGTTGGTCTTTGGTTTCTTGATACCATTTCTGTGAGCCTTTCTGGTTTGGTTGTGGGCGGTATGGTTCTTAGATTTAGCCATTTTTCTATAAATTTATGTTAGTAATTAATTCTGCCATTAATGTGAAGACTATTAAAGCAGTATTGAAGAGATTATTCTATTAGAAATAAATGGTTGTAATAACAAAATGTAGGATTTACATATTAGTCAGGGATTAAACTAGTTTGATATAGTTCAATACATAATAATGAATTAAAATGGATGAAGCATGAATTATGGATTTCTTACTTGAACTTTTAAATACTCAAACATTTCATTATACATTTTTCATTGACTGTTAACGTCTATTCGTTAACATACTGGTTGACATATTATTATTATAGTGGGTGGTTCGTTCGGTTAACCTCTTTAATACTCTCTATTCATCTGATTCATTCAAACATACCCTAATTAACAAATACTTTGCTGTAGTAAACAAGAAACTCTATTATAATATAGTTAAAAATTAATTTTTATTAATATTAGCATTGAGAGGGTTTCGCACTGTGCTTGGTGAAGTTGATGATTCGCACACATAAAATTTTTCGTACATCCTGTATATTTTAGTCACGTTATAAGGGCTGGAGCCCTAAACTCATACAAAACATGTATACCTTTATTAGAAGACTTGATGATATATACTAGTAATAATTACAAAATAGTGATTTAAAATATGAAGACGTTGTTCGTTTAATTAAATAAATTACGAAATAATAATATACAAATAGAGAAGGATTTAAAGGTTTTCCTAATTGGTTGGGACAGCAGCAGCCTTAGCTCTCTTAATAGCCTTGGCTTGAGCTTTAGCACCCATAATACCACCACCCCAGTGTCTTCTGTTATCTTCGTACTTTTCAATAAAGTTAGCGTTGATAGTAGAAACCAATTTAGCTAATTCAGCCTCATCAGCAGCGTTAACTTCAGTCAAAGCAACGACAGCAGCTGTTTTCTTATGAACTAAAGTACCTAATCTAGCCTTACCTTTGACAATAGCGTATGGAACACCTAACTTTTTACATAAAGCAGGTAAAAATACGACTAATTCAATTGGGTCAACATCATTGGCAATTAATACTAATTTAGCCTTCTTGTTTTCAATTAAGGAAACAACATGGTTTAAACCGTATTTGACAACAACTGGCTTTGGTGAAGCATCCTTAGCGGATTTACCTTCAGCAATAGCAGTGGCTTCTTTAGTTAATCTTTCCTTCTTTTCAGAACTGGTTTCTGGTCTGTAGTTGTTAAATAATTTAAAAGCTTGAGCAGCAGTATTCTTATCTAAAGTATGTTGGAATTGAGAAATGGTTGGAGGAACTTTTAATCTCAAAGATAAAATCTTCTTTTGTCTTTGTAATCTAACATATTCCGGCCATCTAACAAATCTTGATAAATTTCTTTTAGGTTGAATTGATTGACCGATACCGAAGTTCTTAGGAGTAGAATCAACTAAAGGGTTAGATCTAGTAGAAGTACCTTTAGACTTAGTGGCTAAAGGAGCTGGAGCAACTTTCTTGGAAGGCTGTGTCATTGAGTTAAAGTTAGTCAAAAGTGTTCTCCAATTAAATGTCAACGAACTTCCTTATGAAACTTCTTACTCTACAGTATCTTAAAGATACTCAGCCTGTGCATCAAGAAGTGATAGCACATTCTTTTAAGATGTCATATCTCTTTCATTAGACTTAACAAAAGTTTATCTGTTAAAATCTTCTAGAAAAATAATCCAACTTTAATTCATAATCCTTGACAGGTACGTGTCAAAGAATATATTGAATTAGGTTATTCTTAACCAAAAAGAACATATTGGCATCACTCCTTGTGCACAACCTTTTTTCATGTAGATGAAAGAGATTTAGCTTAAAGGAGGATGTTGATCCAACGTCTTCATATCAAAAAACATACCATTTTGTTATTTGTGCTTATTTGGTTTATTATTGTTATATATAAAGAAAAGAAATAGTAATTCAATTGAAATTTTTGAGTAGTTATAAAAAAAATTTTTCAGTATGAGACTTAGCTAACATGATTTAATTTACGCATGATCGTGATTTTATTTACGCATTGAAATGTATATACTACTAATATATTTATATAACTCATTTATATAACTAAATATGAAAATAAGCTTATTATAAGTAAAATAAAACATTATCATTCACCATCTTTGTAATTCATCAAAGAGTTCAATTCGTTTTGAACAATCTGATCTCAATGCCTTGATCACTGAAACTCTAACATCATCCACCATGGACGGATGTGCGCAGGTTGCAAAAGCAATAGGACCCTTACAACAAAGAATTTCAAAATCAATAATTTGCTGCAAGTTTGGTCTACCTTCCCTAAATTCTATAAAATTCAAACTTTCCTTAAAACTAGAATTAGTTAATGAATTTTCAATAGTTGTATTATCTTTAGTAGAATTAGTAGGTTTTCTTACGTGACTCTTTTCAAATGGTTCGGAATTCTCAAAACTATTTCTTGTAAAATCAAAGTCCAATGATCCTGCCCTAGTAATATAAATAATGATTTCAATTTCACATTGGAAAGCTCTCTTTAATTCATCATAAAACCAATCTATGCATTTGAATTCACGAATCACCCAGTAAATTTTGATATGTTTAATACCATTTGACTTGTGATACAAATCCAAGGCTTCAGCAAATAGTCCGGGGATTCCATTACCACCTGCTAAAAACACCACGGTATCAAATATTTGAAGTGGTAACTTCAGAGAGTATGGACCTTCTACCAAAACTTTAATGTGGTCTTTATTATCTGGACATTTCAATAAATGTTTGAATAATCCATGCGTCATTCCTCCTTTGACCTTAATATACAGAGTAATGGTATTTTCATCGCAGATAGAATCAACTACAGTGAATGGATGTGCTTGCCAAAAACAGGTAGGCTTGAAGAAGTAAATGAAAGAATGAGCTCCAGGATGTGCCTTCCAATGGTGAGGCTTTTTAACAGACACTTTTATAGTTTCTTCAGCTCGTAACTCAACTTGAGCTGTTTGAATACCAAAACTGATTATTCGTACAATTCTTGCCAATTTATCAACGCCCCATATAGTTATTGTGGCATAAAAGAATTGAGGGCAGTCAAAATGACTAGTATGAATCCATCCACCTACAACAACAGCAGTAGCTAATAAAATATGGATCAAAACAAATAATTCATAATTGGAGTTTCTAAATATCTGAAAAGAATGACCATTCAATAGACCAATAGCAGTTCCAGCAGTTACTCCAGCAATAACAAACCCTTGTTGAAAAAACTCCTTGTAAACACCAAAGTGTTTAAGTGCCATTGTATAGTTGGAAGCATGGACAATTATGAGTAAAATTGCACTTCGAGCTACCCATCGATGCAAAATCAAAAATCGACTGAATTGCCATCCTGTAAGGTACTGTAAGAAATTATTCCTTCCAGAAAACAAAAATATAATAGGAAGAGTATAAGCTACCAACCAACCAGCTCTATGTCCTATTGAAAGATGAATAGTGCCTCCTGTAGGTGTGTAGATATCTGCTGAGGCAAAAATGATCATTAAAATGAACCAAAAAGAAATAATAAAACTTTCAAATCTAAGAGGAAGAAGCATTCGAAAAATCATGAATTTCTTTATTGGGTTAGCATGATGTTTGTTATCTGTTGGGGCTAGGATGAAAATTGATCTAAAGTAATTTACTACAGGAGAATGGAGATTTCTGATGAGTGTTGGAGTAAAGAAATAAACCCAGTGGTTTATAGTAGCAAGCATCATTATTATAAACCAATAAGATTCAAGAAGAATCCCAAATATTAATGTGTAATTTGCTGTCAAAATACTTCCATATGCTTGATTGTAAGCTTCAGTAAATGCATTCTGGGGAACCGAAAGAGGGAAATATGTTGGCTGCAAAGCATATTCATTTTTTGGAGGATTTCTAGTTTTCATATAAGGGGTGGCATTCAAGTAAGCGTGCTCGAACTGTTCCAAAGTCAAGCCAGAACCTTCACAACTTTTTAAAAATTGATTTATCTCTTCGATAGAATCCGCTGCATGATCAATCATACAATGTGAAATGGAACCTAAAGCACAATGGTTATTGGGATTGCAAAAATTCTGATTTTGCTTTTCATCTGGATGTGAAAATAAAGCCAACTTACCTAATGCATCAGAACAAGCCATCCATGACACTTCAGTTTTGTGCTGAAATCTGAATGGTCCAGCTAAGGTTAGGTTGAGATGAAAAGTAGTCACCAAAAGAATTATTACAATTAACATATTCATTGGTGAATACAGAACATCTTAGAGAAAAAAAAATACCCTGGAAAATTTAACTTATATTTAAATGAGTTTAAATGAATTTAACAAACAGGATAACACATTCTAACCTAGACTTATTTTATTAGAAAGCAAACATTGTAAAAGTGAGAGTTTTATTTGAAAACTTTTGCACCCTCATTAATTATTTTTTTTGCCATCTTTTCTGCCAAAAGTGCTAAAGCATCCAACCCCCTAATGAATTAATCTCAAACCGGTCAAGTTGAACAATAAGATAAAACTTCATGGCTTCATTCATATTAAGCCTAGAATCAGTTCGAATCTCTTAAAATACAATCAACTTAGAAAATATTATCTTTATACGCTCAGTACATGATTTTGAATCTGAAAATAAAGCCCACATGAAACTAATCAATTTCATCTGATAATTAAGCTACACAATATTTACAGAGGAAGAGGATAAAGCAATAATCAATTCTTTGTCTTAAGATAGGGTCGAACGGTATTGCTGCAGAATAATACATTATTTGACATGTTCTCGTAAATGCCGGTGAATGATCTGCCCCTGAATTAAATGTTCTCTTGAGGAGAACGGTAATTCATGTGTTATTACTATGTTACTGCTGTCTGTCAGTGATTCTTGTGAGCAAAATTTTCTTTTCCATACCAATTCATATTTCTAGTGTTCATCATGATCCAAGCCAATATAGAGATAGAAATACATATATGATTGTTTCCGCTTATAATTGTATTGTTAATAATTCAAAAAGTGAACCAACAGCACTTTTTACTGCTTATATTCAATTAAAATCTACAGAACCAAGTTTGGCATTAAGAATCTTATCCGAATCTAGCCTGCACCTTTACAACATATTTATTCCCGAGAAATTGAAAGGATATATTAAGCAGTCGTTTATCCATTGAGCTTCAAGAATTTGTCACAAAGAAGCAAAATAGGAGCAAAATTGTCAGTTGCAATGACGACTCATGAAGGGCAATACTATCCATAAAAAAATGAGCGTATGTTTTGCCACTCATCAACCCCACTATACATAGATATTATCTTCTAAGTGTTAAATTGAGGGATATACTGAAATATGAGTCAGCCACATATGCTCTATCTTTCAGTCGCAAAAAAAGTATAAAAGGAGCCAAAATTCTCAAGAGAAAAAATTAAATTTTGTCATTAAGTCCATTCACAAGTCTATGGTCAGTAATTTAATAGCACAAAGTTTATTACCTAAGCTTTAGTTAGTGTTGGGTATTGCAGGTTATGGTTGCTGATACAGTACAAATGCATAGATATATGTATGCATATACTTACAATGTGGTCTTCTCAAAAGGTTGCTGAAATAAGAGGTTTCTAAAACATCGTTTTGTTTTCAGACATGATATTTTTATAAGTATTATATATTAAGGCATATTAGTCGGTTACTTCTATCAATACAACGTAGTATATATTATTACCGACTATGCTCTCCTTTAGCTAATTAATAAATAAAATATATCAGCAAAATTTGTTTTAATGTTGTAGTTCTATTTGAAGTTTCCTGTTGATTGTGTTTCTTTATACTCATGCCCTTCAAGTTGCTTCTAGTTCAGAACACAGTAATTGTAATTTATGTTAGCGATTGAATTTAGTAAAAATTTATTGCGCCGCAGGGTTTCACGTGACGCTAAAAACATTAAAATCCCCACCTAACAAATATCATATGAAAAGATACCTACAACTCCAACTAGCAAGAGACAGAAACTCAGTCTAATGATCTAATTGGCAATTTGCAAGTATTTTGGAGCCTTTTAATTATCCAACAGTCATCATTCAAGATATTAATAAATAATGTCTGATCATCATTCTGAATATCTCGTAGCTTCCTTTGAGCCATCCGAGGCTAAATTACTTACTAGTACTTCCAATACTAACCTTTTAAAGGATTCTCCTATATTAGCATCTGCTTTATCACAAATATTTCCTTATTTATTATTAATTGACAACTTTTTAGAAATTGTAACTTGGACTAATGATGATGTTTATCAAAATTTTCTTATTGTTGTGATTTATTCATGTTTGGTCATGTATTGGCAATCAATATCATATATTATTCTACCTATAATATTTTCACTTGTATTTTCTGGGGTAGTATGGTCAATAAGTTCAATAATTTATGATTCAAAATATGATGAAAAACCTACAATAGATGAAGTATTGCATACTTTACATAATATTACTATGAGATTTGAAATGATAATGGGTCCTGCTCAACATTTACCCTTTAAATTTAAGAATTATATTAAAATATGTATAATGACTATAATTTTAACTCCTATACATTTATTATTAGTTAAAACAATTATACCTCCACAAAAGGCTTTATGGTTTACGGGAATATTTATATTAGCATATCATTCACCTTGGTCTTATGCAATTAGAAGATTATTGTGGAGATCAGTATATGTTCGGATATTCATGTTTTATCTAACTGGATTAGATATTAAATTAGAAAGAGATTATGATGCTTCGAAGTTTCAAACCGTTTCCAGAGTACAAAGTCCATCTGGAAGTGATATTGAAGAATTAAACCAAGTACCTTTATTAACAGACTTTAAAATTATTAAAAAATCTATTTTATCACCAACTCAATTACAACAAATTGTTTTATTCGAATTACTTGAAAATGAAAGAAGATGGATAGGATTGGGATGGTCAAATTTATTATTCCCAGGTGATAGACCAAATTTTTGTCATGAAAAATCATTATTACCTGCTCCACCCGTTCAACATACAAAAGATGATTATCCATTTCCAATTTTTGAAAATGATCTTTATACATATCTGTGGGATTGGTTAGATACAGATTGGAAGATAGATTTAGAATTCAATAAAGAGAAATCAAAAGATGGTTGGGTATATTTTGATTCCAATTGGAGTAATCCAGGATTTAAAGATGGATTTTCAAAGTATACAAGATCAAGAAAATGGATAAGAAAAGCAATATTTATGATAGACAAACGACACACAGTTCATGATGAATAATCCCCTCAATAAGTGACAACTTATCTAGACACTATGTATGACATTTAACTAAAATTATATAGCCAATGTGACGATAACATTTCGCAGTCTAACATGGCCGGATTTGGCAGGTCTTTTTTTTTTATTTTTTTTTTTTATTTTTTTTCATCCCCGTAATGAGCAAAAAAAATTTTAGGAGAAGAGCTAAACTACTATAAAGTTGGTTGTTGTACTAAATAGTTAGTCATTAGGATATTAGTTGTAGTACTATGAGTTCATCAGCTAATTTGAAATACGAAGATATTCCCAAGAGATACATAGATCCTCTTGCTCCAAAGGATAAAGGAGAAGGTAGTCGAGTTAATGGTAAAGACTGGAAGATAAAGAAAGATGCATTCAGAGTAAAGACACTTGGAGTTAAAAGATTTAGTTCATTCAAAGATAGAGAAGAAAAAAAGCTTCAAGAAGAGCAATATAAAGCTAGAGTGAAAGAATTGAAAGAAGAAAAGGAATCCATCAGAAAGCAAAGAATCGATGACTTGAAGAGAAGAAGAGAGATCAAGGCTGAAAAGGAACGTTATGAATTAATGGCTGCTAAGATGCATGCTAAGAAGGTTGAAAGAATGAGAAAGAGAGAAAAGAGAAACAAATTGTTGAAAGAACGTTAGTTGAGCTATATATTGGTTAATGATTATTTCAAGAAGATATCAACAAATCTCCAAACAGTGATAGTTAATTTCACATCTTCGCATATTAGCATCTGTATTCATTTCTTACATTTTAAGTTAGTTAATACCCATTATTGAGGGTATTTGAATTACAAATTTCATGGGCATTATTATTCACAATTATCAGTTACATAAGTTAACAAAAAGGCTAGACATACCCAATAAATAAAGTCAGACTTTAGACATTTTGACACTAGGATTTGTCCATAGGCTCTTAGTCTATGACTTTCCTCTAACTATTAGTGTTTATAGATTAGATCTCTATTTCTATCTATATTACCAGCTTAATTATAATTCTGGTTAGTCTCCTTCCTAATTGGGAAAAACTCATCGCTTGTAATCACGTTATTCACCACGCGTAGACCGTTACCCGGATTTAAAGTCATTGGTATAAATACAGCTCGATTTTTCCCACTTTTCAATTTTTTTTGAATTTCGTATTATCCTGCATACGGAATTTGTGTCATATTCTTCCGATACTTAAAGTCTGGGGGCAATTAAGGAAGAAATTGTATAGTTGTTGAATATTATACTACATATATAAGCGTCATTTCCAAAGAAATAGTTTGATTAGTATCATTCATCTGGCGCGTTTTTAGGGATACATTGATTTGTTCATCTCATTCTTTTTATATTATTAATCATTAATTATTATTTTTATTAATTTAAAGTAATTATTTAATTTCATAGATTTAATTTAATCGAAGATATATACATACATCACGATGGATTCTTTTAAATTACCAACAAATCCAGCTCAAGCCAAAGCTTTTACAGCTCCAAATTCCTTGATGTTCCCTCAAGGTTTTGATGGTGAGAGTAAACAACAACAACCTCAAGAAGTTATAAAGAAGGAAGAAACAGCCGATATCGTCGAACCAAAACAAGAGGAAGATGATGGTGCTACTTCAGGTATTGTTCCAACTTTACAGAATATAGTGGCTACTGTTAATTTAGATTGTCGTTTAGATTTGAAAACTATTGCCTTGCATGCTCGTAATGCTGAGTATAATCCAAAGCGTTTTGCTGCTGTCATTATGAGAATTAGAGAACCAAAAACCACAGCTTTGATTTTTGCTTCTGGTAAGATGGTTGTTACTGGTGCCAAATCTGAAGATGATTCTAAATTAGCATCTAGAAAGTATGCTAGAATTATTCAAAAGTTGGGATTCAATGCTAAATTTACTGATTTCAAAATTCAAAATATTGTTGGTTCTTGTGATGTGAAATTCCCTATCAGATTAGAAGGATTAGCTTTCTCGCATGGTAATTTCTCTTCATATGAACCTGAATTATTCCCAGGGTTAATTTATAGAATGGTTAAACCAAAAATTGTCTTATTGATTTTCGTATCTGGTAAGATTGTGTTGACTGGTGCCAAACAAAGAGAAGAGATTTACGCTGCATTTGAGTTAATTTATCCTGTGTTGAGTGAATTCCGTAAATCATAAGGCATGAACAATATTCCCTTGCATTTCAATTTTACTTTTTATTGTCATTTTTCATTCATTCATTTATTAATTCATTTAATTTTATTGTATTATATCAAATCTAAAGCACAAATGAAATCAAAGAAGGTTGTGTAAAGTATAGTACAGGTTGGGAGCTTCAATTCGATAAAGAAAAATATTAACATCATCAATTTCATCATTTATTTGTTTTTTCTATCTTCTTTGTTTTATAAATGATGAAATAATAGTATAACAGAAACAATCTGAAGTTAAATATTCTCTTGATTTTATATGTATTTAAGGAATTAACTTTTATATTTATAGATCCATAATAATGAAGAAAGTAGTTTCTTTTTCAATGATGACTATTTATTAGTCAGAAAGTAATTTGCAATTGACTTTTTAGATTCTTCAACTGATGTTTTCTGTTTCTTTCTACTAACATATTGAAGTTTTGGTCTCTTTATTTGAGCTTCAGGTTGCGATTGAGGTTCAGGATCAGGAGTAGAAGTTGAAGAATCTGTACTATTTAAACTAGAAGTAGACGGTGAAGATTTAACTCTCGTAAACATCAGAGCTATATCTTTCATTTGAGTAAGTTTATGAAAGTATTTAGCTTCAAATCCTAATTTCTTTACTATAGGTATTGGTTGACCATTATCTTCTTTATCAAATACATCAAAATCTGTGAATACAGGACAATGATCTGAGCCAAGTATGAAAGGCCAAATATTAGCATTAGAAATATTTTTAACCATATTATAAGAACTTGCTAATATTAAATCTATACGAGATCCATAATTTACAGCTCGAGAATTTGTTAAAGTATTCCATACAGTATAGATATTCATCTTACGTCCTAATATATATCTAGTAGTATCATAAAGAAAACTTAATTGTTTAACTTCACTAGGATATGTATCACCTTTCATATGGAAATGAATTTGAGGTATGGTATATTTGTTTAATAGTACTCTTGCTTGAGTAGAAATTCTTTTGAAATTTTGACATTCTTCATAGTTTATGGATTCAAATGCTAAACCATCAGTACCTACAATTGGTTTAACTGAATTCTGTTTGATTTTATCGGCCATTGTTTCGGCACTGTCTATGAGATCAAGACATACATTGATATCTCCCATTATTATTACTTCTTTACCTAAATTAAATTTTAAATTATGACATCTCTGTAATAATGTTTGTAAAAATTTAATTCTATAGATCTCACCTTCTTCAGTTCCTCCAGAATTAGCTGGACAATATAAGGCAAAAATAACTACATTATTTGCTAATTCTATTACTATACATCGACCTTGTTCATCTAGTTGTAGTCCCATTTCTTCATTTAATTCATTACTATAACCTCCAATATGATCATCTGAAGGTAAATCTCGATAACTTTGACCATTAGAAGATTTTAAATAACCAGTTAAACCTTCTTCAGCCTTAATAACTGTTAAAGCTCTCTGAACACTTAATGGTTCATGAGATTTAGGAATTCTTATAAAGAGTCCTACTCCACTATACCCTCGCTTAATTCGAGGTAATGTTATAAATGATTTATAATTAGTTAAATGTCCGATATTTTTAATAGTAGAAATATTCGAATTGGATAATTTAAGTTCTTGAAGTGTAATTATATCTGCTTTTAAAAGGTTAAACATAGCATTATAATCTTGATCTATTTTATTCCATGGATGATAATTGCATAAGGTTTTAATTCCATTGACATTAAATGTTACATATCGGATGGTGGAGTTATCCAACCTCTTCGGTTCTATCCTAATTAGTGGATCTTCACTCGCTAGCTTATTTATATCCATTATAACGGTATTGTTAGGGTTTCTTTAATATTATTGAAGTCTAGGTTAAAGATTAACTATGTCATATTGGAGCGGGACACGACCCACCACAAGCTAAGTAAGTAATAAATAAGAGATAGAATTTAGTCGAATTAGAGTAAAATAGTGATTAGTAAATGAAATCGAGGGATTTGCAATAATTAAAGTATTTGTATTAACAATGGTAATCTTGATTGTTGACCTATCAACTGTCGAATTAAGGCCTAATATTAATTTTCCTACTGCTTCGAGAAAATTCATGAAGTAAATTAACTAACCCATAGTTAAGCTTAACTATTGTAACGCAACCAGTGCGAAAGTTATTAACGCATTACACTACACTATACTAATTCTCCTTCTAACTGTATTATGATTATGCTATACAAATTCTCCTTGTAACTATATTATGCTATCCCATTTCAACTGTTAGCGATTTCTCATCGGCAGTCGGAACCGAGCAGACGCGTCTACCTCGTAATTTCATTCTTTTTGGTTTTTCACACTTTTTTTCTCATTTTTTTCTTTTTTTTTTGTTTTTGTTTTCCAATCTGATACGAGCCGAAACAGACTTTGTTACAGGCTGAACAAAACTCAAAGTACTACTTCACTAGCCAGTAGCATTTGTCGGTGTTAACAGTAAAAGAGCTTCAAAGATGATTAATGCTGAAACGTTTAAGAAGACTTCTCCCTATAAAATCACTCATAATGATACAGCATCTCATTATAATTTAGCTAATACTACGGCCGAATTATTAAAATTTCAATTACAAGAACAATATCGAACTAAATTACAAGATTTAAAGGAATCAAGATTTCCGGAGAATTCTGGAAATAGTAATGATTTACAATTATTACATACTTCTATACTTCATGATTCATTTAATTCTCATCTTCAATCCAATTTAGATAAAGGTCATGTAACTATTAGTCATGGTCAATCAGTTGTTAGTAATGATTCATCAATATCTTCATTAAGTATGATATCAACTCCTAATTCTGAAGTATCGGATAATTTCGAACTTGAATCAGTATTAGAATCTAAAAATAATTATTTAAATTTAAAGGTGTTAATAGAAAATTCAATATTTGATACATCAAAAATTAATAATAATGCAATAATGTCATTACCAATGTTGAGAATTATCAAAAGTACTATTGAAGAAAAAAGAGAACTCCAACAGTATCTATTAGAAAAAACTCATATCTCACAACAATTCATTAAGGAAATAATATTAAGCGAGCGCGAACATGAACAAAACCAGAGTCAAAATCAGAATCCGGCTGTTGATATTGATGCTAAATTATTATCACAAGCATTAAGACTGACTACTTCATTACAAGATCAATTATTAAGGGTTAATCAGGAATTAGACCAACTCACCACTCAATTAAATAATCATAATATGGCATGTTTAGTACTTGGATATGTTGAAGATGTTACATTATCATCATCTGAACTTAATAATAATCAATCTTCTGATATATTGGGATCAAATTCTACTGCTAATGATAGCGGATTAAAATCTTCTATATCGGCAAATAATTTAAGTATGACTAGAGGTGAATCACTTCATCAATCATTCGAAGTTTTATTTTCTCATATTGCTTCAAAAGCTGCTCAATCTGATGTTCAATTACCATCTCCACCTGCCACTAATGATTCTATAGATTCTCGAATTAGATGGGCTTGTGATTGTATTGATAAGATTACTCGATCGGATACTTCACCTCCAGCAACAGCTACCACATCTTATCAAAGCACTCCACCTAAGAAATCAGACATTAGTTTCTTAAATGAAAACTCTTTCTTCTCGAATTCATCTCCAAAGAATTCTACTACCGATTCTGATAAAGTCTTGGCCGAATATAGAACGGCCCTTACTGACTTGAGATTTTCCTATCAATATTTATGTAAAGAATATGAATTATCACGAGAAAACTCTCAGAAGTTAATTCAAGAATACAGAAAGAAGATCCATCAATTGGAAACGGACATTACCAGATCTGGAGCTTCCACCACAGCTACTCCAACTTCGACCACCTTTAACAGCATCAACAACTCTACAGCATCTTATAATCAAGACTCTATACAATTGAAAGATAAAGAAATATCCAAGCTCCGTAAGGAAATAAATCTACTTAAAGTAGATAAACTTGGATTTAAAGCCAATAGTAATGGATCTAATTTCTCACTATTGGGATCTCCCAAATTTAATGAATCTAGTTCTATATCTCCCATAACGGGAGAATTGTTACAAGTTCCAGATATTGAACAAGCACCTACAGACAATGATGATCAACGACTGGTAGGAAGTGCGTTATCACCTTCAAGACCCAACTCAGGATATGGCGGAGGATCTATGAGTAGTGCTATATTGAGAAAAGAGTTTAAGAAGATAATTAGTGACATGCAAGATCACTACGAGATCGAACTTAGTGAAGAGAAGTTAAGAAGAAAGCAAATTCAAGCCCAGTTGGATAAAGTACAAGGCCACTCTATATAGATAGATATATATATATACACTAAAATTTTCAGTTCTTCCATGAATATATTACCGACTTTTTATGATTTACTCACTCACTAACTCACTCTCACTAATTATAATTTTTCTCCCTACGCGTACCAGAGCCCTTAGCGAGCCCTTAGCGAAGACTGCCTAGACCAGATCAAAGATCAAGTCCACTAAGCTCCAGCAAGCTACACACATCACACGTCTTCCTCCCACAACCCTTTAACGTATACCTTAACACATAGACACCACCCAACAAATGCTGGGTACCAATCGACCGGTACAGCCAGTGAGTCATTCCAAAAGCTCATCTTCAACACCCATAAATAACGAGTCATCCTCCACCACCACTCCAGCTTCATCCTACGAACAGTTCTTTCAGAAAGGATTCCAAAATCGTGATAATCCCAAAAATGGACAACCTCCTAGTGTCGTTACAATTACGGATGAATTTGAAAATCAAAAAATCAATGGCCGAATTATTCATGAATACATTGACAATGTAAATGCTAAGCAGCGACTACGAATGACTGAGCTAGATAATGAGGATGATAGTGAATCAATTGACTCTAATATCGAGCTCAATGTCGCATCTACATCACTAGCACTGATTCCTAGTTTGGAAATTCCCTCCACTCAGAATATCACAATAACTATCGATGATGAAAGTAGAAAGGTTCAGTTCATGATCGATCAGTTATTAGCTATGTCAGATAACTTTTTAACCAATGCTCACAAATTAGTGGTGGGGACTTGTAATAAATCAGGATTGATTACTTATAATAATATGATAGAATTAAGTATAAAGGCTTTATTAATGATTCTATCTAAATATAATCGACACTTAAACCCTGCATTGGAACTGACCATATGTTTAAGACTTGCAACTATAGTATTTGAAGAAACATTAAGTTTAGAATTGGCAGATACTTATGTTAATCGAGCCATAGATATACTGACTCGAAATAATTTACTAGGAATTCGATTTGAAGGTGAAAGTCTTCAAGCAAGAATTCTTCAACGATCTAATATGAATATGGTAACTTTATATCTTCAAGATAAAATATCCTTTTATGAAAGTATGGGGATTCCTGAATTTTCAATATGGTTCCAATTCTTAAAAGTATATCATTTATTAAATGTTGATGTATCAGCTGGGTTAATAGCTCTTCATAATCTTTTACTGATACCAATGTTACATCCTATATTAAGATCATATGGTTTAATGTTTGAAGCTAATCTTCATCTTCTTCGTGGTTCACCTCATCAAGCATTACAACATTTACAATATGTAGATAATATATCCATAAAACAATTACAGGCTATGAAATTACTTACGACATTTAATGCATATATTCAATGTAATGATTCAACCAATGGTAAATTAATTATGAATGAATTAAGTACCTTTGTTATGAAAGAACAAAATAATAAATGGAAAGGTTGGAAAGATAATGGAACTTTTTCATTTATGATTAAAGTTGAATCAATTAATACTGAATATAGTCATACTATTGAATGGATAGGAGCCGATGAATTTATAATTATCTTTTATTATCTTACAGGTATACATTTATTATCAGAAGCTGCTAATGGTAAGAAGAAAGCATATAAAGTATTTAGTAAATGTCAACAAATCATAAGTCAACAATTAAAGGAATTAACATTTTTAAATTCTGAATTTCCAACTGGTTCTAAAAGGAAATTATCAATTGGACAACTTGATCATAAGATTCGTAAATTAAAATATATTCAATATAATATTGATTATTATAAGGCATGGATTGGCTTTTTAAATAGTGAATTTAAAGATATTAAGTATCTTAATCAATTCATGACTGATTTTAATGGATGTCAACATGATAATGAAGATCAATTAATATTTGATGCTTTATTACCAAAAGTATATTTCATGTTTGCAATATATTATCAATCTATGGGAGATCTTCAAGTGGCTAAGTATCATTATATGAAAGTAATTAATCTTGTTTCGGATAAGTCGAAATTGAACTTGAACTTGAACTTGAACTTGAAATTGAATATTCCTGTAGAAATTCATGATATGAATTTTGGTATAAGTAATATATCTATGAGAGGTAACAATGAATTTAATGATTTATATGTATACTCCAATTTACATTTATTAATATTAATTCAATTTGAAATTAGACAAGTTACAAATCATGATAAGATACAAATTTATCATAGTTTAAGTTCTCATATTTTACAGAATTTAACTAAATGTTTTACTCCTAGAACAACTTCTAATGAATTCACTAGTAATTTTATATCAAGTAATGAATTATTGAATATTACTTATCGATTAATCTTATCAATATTTAATGATCAATTACCTCTGAATTTACTTTTACAAGATATAATTAAATGTGTGGAAAAGATTTCTATTGATTCATGTTATCCATTTATTACAAATCTTATGAATTATATTGCTTATATTAGTGCAACTGATGTTTATCATAAGAATAAATTCTTTGAAAAATGTTTATCAGTAATGTCTAATAGTTCAGGTACTGATAATGATAAAACTCTTAGTATATTTATATTAAGAAGTCTTATAGAACATTTTCGAAGTACAGGAGAGAATGATAAAGCAAATATGGCTGAACTTCAATGTCAATATTTTTGTAATGGACTTAGTGATAAGTTTAAATTCTTATTTAATAATATTGATCAAACTTAAAATGTATATATTTCAGCGTAATAACTAAACTAATAAATGTACAGAAACGTATAAACTACGTTGGGAATTATAAAAATGACATCTAGATGCTTGTATGCTTATTTCTTGACCTTCTTCTTCTTTTCAGATTTTTCTTCATCATCTTCGGCCTTTCTCTTCTTTTCCTTCTTTTCTTTCTTTTCCTTCTTTTCCTTCTTCTCTTTCTTCTCTTTCTTTTCCTTCTTTTCTTTCTTTTCCTTCTTTTCTTCAACTTCAACTTCAACTTCAACTTCTTCAATTAATGTCTTCTTTGGTAATTGAATTTCTGGTGCAACCAATTTAGATTCAGGAATAGCAGGAGCTGGTTCAGCATCATGATCCTTATATTCTTGTTTCCAACTATCTGGAGTATTTTCATTATTTCTACCAAATTTATCTAACTTACCATCAGCCTTTAATTGTTTCTTCTTTTGAGCTACTGGACCTAAACCCCATCTTCTTGGATAAGTATCTCTTTCCATAATAACTCTTTTAACTTTAGCAACAATTCCATGATCACAAGTTTGTAAATCTACAGTTGTCATTTGAGCAATACCAATAGCAATAGCTTCACCTTTAGTTGTCATTAATACAACTTCATCATATAATTCAATACCATTTTCATATCTTAATAAACCAGGAATCATTAATTTTGCTCCATAACATACAGAATTAACAGCAGAATCTTTAACTACAATTCTTTTATAACCAACCAATAAAGTTTCTAAAGGTTGAATGATTTTTCTTAAATAAGATTCATCTCTAGTATTATCATAAACATATTGAGCATCCAAAACATCATGTAATGTAACTAAATTATCATTTTCTCCTAAAGCTCCTGATCTAACACGACGTAATTCTTGCATATGACCTCCAACTCCTAATAACATACCTAAATGAACACATAAAGTTCTCATATAAGTACCAGCTTCACATGAAGCCCAGAATACTCCTAAACCTCTTTTATTATCAAATTCAATTAATTTAGAATCATAAATTGTACGAACTCTTAATTGTCTTTTAACAGCAGAAATTAATGGAGGTCTTTGAAATAAAGCACCAGTTAAATTTTCCAATGATCTACCTAAATCTTTGGCATCCTTTAATTCTTCATGTAATCTAACAATACAAACATATTCTTTACCAGCTCCTTGTTGAGATTTAACTAATCTTGTAGCTCTATCAATACATACAATTAAACATCCAGTAACTTTTGGATCTAAAGTTCCTGAATGACCAGTCTTTTCTGCTCTTAAAATTCTTTTAATCCAAGCAACAACTTCATGAGATGAAGGATTTGATGGTTTATCTAAATTAATTACTCCTGAAGAAATATATGATTTTAAGTCTCTCTTTAATGGAGATGACCCAGTAGGAATTGGAGTATAATGTCCAGATCTTACCAATAATTTGTCATAATTCTTCAACAACAATGGCCACTCGGATGTGTCGTTGGAGGGAGCAACTGACTCGGGCTTAATAACGTAATCACTCATACTTTAGCTCTGTTGTACCTTATATAACCTGCCTTAAGTAAATACATACATAGTCAAAATTTTCGCTTTTGAAAAAATTTAATGGCAGAGAAACTACATCGTGCGGCGGGGACTATGTGCAGGTGTCAAGGAGGACCAGAGTGCTCACAATTCTCACTTCCTAATCGGGTAATGCCATACATTATATAAAATGTCTTTTTTTATTTTGCAATCATATATATTTTTATATGTATACATTTACTGTTTAATGATGGGATAAGCCCATAATGTTGGTGGCTATTTCATGTTTGGTTAATTCGAGCCAGAAGAGTTCTCGGCCGAGGTTTCGCACTGTCTTTACACAGAGATCCGTACTATTATTATTAATGAATTCTGGTCCTTGATGGAAGTTACCACTAATGAGATTGATAGTATCTTTAATACTTTTGATTTCCGCTACTGTATCATATAATTGTTTAACTAATGGTGAATCTGGTATAATAAGATCATCTAGATCAATGGAATTATTTTGACTAAGCCAAACTTTATCTGTATGTTGAGTATTAAGAGCTTCTAATGATGATAATTCTTGATTAAGTGATGATAATACTGTCAATTGTTGAGTCAAATAGTTCAAATGTTCATCTAAATTATTCAGATTTCCATTAGCTTGTTGAAAATGATGATTTAACTGATTATATAATGCATCCACCTTTTCAATATTGAGATTAACAGAGGCTAGCTCGGTATTTATTGGATCCTGATCCAAGCATGCATTGAATTTACTTGATAATTGCTCTAATAATTGTCGATGAAGTGAGGATTGTACCACATTACCATCCTGTTGTTGATCATCATCTATTAAGTCAAGGACCAGAATCAGATTACTGGTGGACTGAGGTGTTGGTGTGGGTGATGAGACATTGGAATAATATCCCAGTTGTACGGGATACTGTTGGGCTGGTAAGGGAGAAGAATATTGGATAGGATGATGTCTTTCGAATTGTTGGTGGGTTATTTGTCGGATTGGGATAGCTTGTGGAGATATGGCTGTTGGAGCTGCTGGTTGAGAGTATTGTTGATATGGTTGTTGATGGGGTTGAATAAATTGAGCTGGTGCCTGAATAGGTGTAGGTACTTGAGGTGGAGGAGGAGGTGGAGGTGGGGTTTGTATTGGTGTGGCGCCTTGATCTGGTAAAGGTAATGGAGCTTGATATTTCAAAGGAATAGACTGCATTGGTTCTTTGGGAGGTTTAGCAGGTAATGGAGGACCTGTAGATTGAGGGGGTAATCCAGTTACTTGTTGAGGCAAAGCAGCAGCTGGTGGTGTAGGTGGTGGTGGTATTGGTCCAGTTGCCTGTGAAGGTAAACTCGTTTGAGATCCATTCAAATTGATTTTAGCAGGAACTGGAGGTGGACCATCGATACCAATTGGTCTGATACTGATTGGAGGATCTGCTAAGATAGCCTGATGGATAATATTAAGTAAGCCAAGTAAATTATACTGATCCAATAATTCCTGATTATATTGAGATTGATCGAATGTGACATCACGTTGCCAATTGGCCAAATAAGGATGATAAAACCTACCTTGAGAATCTACATGGTTTCCTGGTTTCAAATACAACAGTTTGGAATGGTCTGGTACAATATATACCAAGGGAATTCCATTATTTATTTGAGATGGTGATAGTCTTGGATCAATAAATGGATAATTTAATGGTACCCATATTTCAATAGGTACTTCTAATTCAGAATTGATAGGGATAGATCCATAAAGATTAATTAGTAATGCAGAATGACCACTATCAGTAGATGTATAGACATTTGTTCTTATTTTAAAATTAAAATTCTGCTTCAAATGGACTTGTAGTAATTGATAGATATGTTTATAAGCCCATTCTTTATGGACATACTGAGGCTGTAATACGTTATAAAGCCAATTGGCCACTTGGGTAGGAAGCTGGGGAGGCATCCTAGCAATTATGATAATTATATATAATGTATCTGAGGTATTTATGATATAGAGTATAATTATAGTTATAGTTACTTAGAGTATACGAGTTTATATTTGGGCGTGGTGCACGACACGGACTATCACCAGAAAATCTCAATCTCAATCTCAATATCAATCTCAATATTTTATTGATGGAGTAATAATTAGTACTTATATTGGTATATACAGGTTGGATTATATCATGAGTGGGTAAGTAACTTTTGTCTGTTAGCTATTTGGCTAACTGGTTTTGGTAATTGTTGTGCGACTGGGTAGTTGTTGTATCTCACAATTCCTTAGAATGGCATACTACCCAGGGTCACCAACATGACCATTACAATGACAACTACTAACATTCTGTCTAGTTATACTGTTATATTCGTATTTATATTGGTGGCTGGATTATCCGGTTTAACCTGGGTGTTTGCTCCTAAACAGAATCAGACTGTTTGGAGATCATCAGTGATATTGGGATTGGCCATGTGCTACTTGATGTGGGCCATTACGTATCTTGCCCAATTGCATCCCTTAGAAGCTCCTAGAAGGTCTGATTTGAGACCAGAAGCTTAAGCTTAGAATTGTGAAACCTTAGTGAATATACTTTAGCTGCTAACTCATTGGTTACACTACACTTGATTCATACATAATACATACAAACAATTATCAATCATACATCCTACAAAACACACAAATAAACCAAACGAATGGTTTGATTATCTGATTCCATGGTTATCTACTTCCTATATAATAGATGTCTTTAATTCTTTAACATGCCAGGCTCTGGACGATTTATTATAATTGATCGTCGGCTTGTACTATAAATATACCACTAGTTATCTCTCTAGTAATCTTTAAATAAACAATTTCTGTAAGTTGACAATTGTCAAATGTAAATTATTGATCATTGTGAGACATGTAGCCAGTTTACGGGATACAGTAGTATCATCTATTAGTATTACGTAGCTTTACCTTACTTAAACAGATCCGGGTAAATAGAGAAGTCTCCCACCTGCACACAGACCCCCATTCTATCCATCACCTTTAAATTTTTGACTTCTTTAAAATTTTTCATCTACCCTTTACTGCACTAACAATAATCATTCTATATAACTCAGTATATAGATAATAATATACGCTAGACGTCATTGAACTTTATATGTAGACATCACTCCTGTTTCTGCCCCAAATTCATCTTGCTTCCATAGAATTCTGGGTTCTGTTTATGGAGAAGATTAAGCCATTGAATGGAGTATATACAACTTTTGATACATCCTTGTATACTTTGTTTGGTGGATCGTGTGGTTAGGCTTGTCCTTGTGTGAATCTTTTCTCAAATCGTGACTAATGATTCTGATATGTCTCCACTACATCGTACTATTTTAATAACTCTATAAATTGATAACCGTAACCATAACTGTAATTAGTACTAAAAGTAATTAATGTGACCTCAGGTCCCGTGCCGAGTTCTCATAAAAGTTGCAACCACAGTAGATGAAATTTCTTAGTCCCCCACCGCAAATAAACAATAACAATAATATAAAGCCCTGAATCGCAATTTTCATGTAATATTTCCCCAGCCGTTTAACTATTGTTTATTGAATTTCCGGAATAGGATGAGACAGTGAAAAGTTGGCTGTTTGGCACCTTAAACTTCTTAGCTATTGCTTATTTACGTTCCTCGCTGGAACTTGTAGAGTGAATTCGTAATTTAATTTAATTAAATAATTATAAATATAAATAAAGAAGTCCATTTTAGAAAAATTTTCATTTGTAGATATAAATATACTTTTAACAATGAGTATTTATAATGGTTACCCAATAACTGATGAGTCAGATGTTCATAAAGATATCATTCTTGAGAAGGAGAAAGACATTGAAAGCTTTAAAGCTCCTGAACATGATTATGAAATAGAACAAGAATCTGAACTAGATCTGAATTTAGATTTACATTTAAAGAGGGGCCTTAAGGATAGACATATATCTCTTATTGCACTTGGAGGAATTATTGGACCAGGTATTTTGGTCGGTGCTTCTCTTGCCTTGAGTGGAGGTGGACCAGCTTCTCTTATTATTGGATTTGGGGTTACTGGAATTATTTCTTTTATAATGATGCAAAGCTTGGGGGAATTAGCTACGAGGTATCCTACTGGAGGGACATTTTCAACTTTGGGTAACAGATTTGTCGATAAAGGTTATGGATTAACTGTTGGATGGTGTTATGTGATTATTTGGATTGCCGTATTAGCCAATGAATACAATACTGTGGCTGCTATTCTACAATTTTGGTCTGGAGACAAAGTCCCCCTATACGGATATATCTTAATCTTTTGGTTCTTGTTCTTAGCCTTCGCCAATTTTGGTGTATCTGTATGGGGAGAAGCAGAATATTGGCTCACTATATTGAAAATCGCTGGATTAGTCGCATTTTATATTTTTTCCATTGTTTACGTCCTGGGAGGTATACCTGGTAGCGCAAAATTCGGCTTCCATTATTTTACTAACCCAGGTGCCTTTTCCAATGGATTCAAAGGTGTAGCAAATATATTTGTTTACTCGTCAACGTTCTTTTCTGGAGTTGAAACAGTTGCTTTGGCCTCCACAGAATCTAGATCACCAATTAGTGCTGTTCCAAAGGCTATTAGGCAAACATTTTACCGTATAATAATTATTTATATGGGTATTTCGATAAGCTATGGTTTAACTGTACCTTATAATGATCCGAGCTTATCTGCGGGAACGAAAACTTTAAAAAGTCCAATTTCCATAGCACTCCGGAGAGCAGGATGGGATAATGGAGTTCACTTAGTTAATACTTTCATATTACTTACTTGTATCTCGGCCATTAACAGCTCAATCTATATTGGGTCAAGAACTATTGTAAATTTAGCCAATGAAGGTGGTGCGCCATCATTTCTAAAGAGAGTTAACAAAAGAGGTGTTCCATATTTCGCAGTCATCCTTATGAATTTATTTGGATTTTTATCATTAATGAATATTAGTACTGGTGCGGCTGGGGCTTATAATTATATTGTTAATATCTCAGGTTTTGCTGTGTTCATTGTTTGGGGAAATATTTGTTTCTACCATATCAGATTTAGACAAGCTATGAAGATTCAAGGTAGATCTTTACTGGAATTGAAATATAAAGGATGGTTATACCCATGGTTGCCGATTGCAGGAATTGTTTTAAATGTATTCCTTGGCTTAATTCAGGGTTGGTCATATTTCAAGCCATTCGATTGGAGAAATTTTATTGATTCTTATGTTTTAATTCCATTCTTCTTCATTAGTTACTTATTCTTCAAATTAATCCACAAAAGTAAATGGGTGGATTTATCACAAGTTGATTTGGATGAAGGCAGAAGAAGAGAAGATTTTGATAAAGAATAATCGTTTTTTTTTTTTTCGTATGTTTTATTAATGGCTTAAACTTACTCTACTAACATCACTTGAGCACTTGGTTTGTGAAATAATTTAGTATATAACTGTAGCAGGGTGATTATTATAATTGTAATGAAGCTGTTATAATTCAGTTGCGCGGGAATAATAGCTACAGGTTACAAAAACGCAAATAAAGAAAACGAATACAGTCAGTCAAATTGTTGAATTGCTAGTAAATTCTCAATACACAACAAAGATTAGAATTTGCTCAACAACAACAACAATATCGTTTTCCCGGGAAATAAACGGGTTTTATAGTATCATTATAACCATAATTAAAGTTGTATAATACTAGCAATATAAAATTATTGATTCTATTTTTATATGTGTGCATATAGCATATAGCATATATGCAAGATTATTATTATTAGAGATTTGATTATACTATCGAGGGTATTTTAAAACCTTTCCAAGAGATCGGCATTACCTTATCCGAAAAAATCTCAAGTTAAAAGATTGTGGCAAATGTTCTTTACGATACTGATAAAGTAGATGTATGGACATGTGAAATTGTATGGATCAAAGTTGGCAGATGAGTCGCTACTCAATAATCAGGGGTTAAAGAGCGGAATTTCTGACCACAAATGATGAAAAAGAATACACGTATTTAATGTTTTGTTTGACTACAGGGGGATACTAAAAACTTTTAGGAACATATTATGATATCGGGTTATTTATGCCTTAAATCTTTATTTTTAGATAATCATCATAAAAAGGGAAATAAGAATTCCACTTTGAATTTTCCCTTAACGATAACCTATAAAAAAATATTGTTGACATCTAAGCCTGACAATAATAATAAAATTCCTTGACCCATATATGGCAACAATAGCTCCATTATAAGGCTGAGCAACATGAGCATTAATAGAAAATAACAAAATTTCTTGAGTTTAAAAATGGTTATACAATCATATACATTCATAATTATTATATCAAAGTAATATAACATTCAAAAAGGTTTGAAGACCGAAGCAATAAATATTACTCGTATGGAATGCCACAATTTTGTAGGTGTTTCTCGATTCATTTTATGCAAGTCGAGCGAAACGGAACCGCAGCGGGGCAAACGATCTCTGTTTGAACTAAAGATTCATGCAAATAGGTTACTCTTTCCGAATTTAAAGTTCAAATATGCAGGTCAACATTTTTATCTCAGATTAGGCTTTAACGCCTTTGTACTGAAAAGCAAACTCCACCGAAGAATGTGCAAAGAAAGAAAACTTTCAAAAATTGTTCTATTTATTTAATTAAACATTCTTACCTGAAAGCGAAAACAATGAACCGATCTTCTATAAACATTTTATAATTCTTTGCTCAGCTCTTCCCTAATTTTTACGATCGCTGCTTTTTGTCTCGGCAGATCCAGACTCTCAAGGGAGAACTATAAAAATATGATTAAATATATATGCTTTTATTGAAAATATCTCAGCTATTTTTGTTATTATCCTTTATTATTATCAATTATTTGTTATTATAGTTGTTATTATTTCTTATTATTATTTTTTTGTTAGTGGTATTTATTTTTAATCTCGATTTTCTTTAGCTAAGCTGGCTTGACATTAGTTCATGTTTTTGTTATGAAATTGACGCAGTTCTAGTTCTCGCTAGTCTACTATAACATACACATTCAGTGTACGTTAGCTGACATGGTACTACTCAACTTTTTTAAACAATCACGGAAAATATTAAAGTAAATATACTATCTAAATTTACTTTGCACGTATTGTAAGATGAATCGTTGTGGGTATTTTTTATGTTTGTATTAGGGTAGTACTAGTTATTCCCCCTCTTAAAACTTCTGTGTGAGCTATACGATAAAGAACTATATAATTAAAAATGCTAAGCACAATGCATTTATTACGAAGATATTTGTTTAGATCTTTAGATTCATTTTGATGGCATAGCTACTCCTACTCCTAAAATTGCCAAGGACTAGTTCTAATCTCAAAAATCATTACCCCTTAAATGTAAAGGTATGTATAACTTGGTCATAATACAATAAACACGATCGGCTGTTTAAGTCCACGAAACTATAATCTTATGCAGTGCTATGCGAAACATTTGAATCCAGCATTTTACTTCCTTTTTTATTTTTGATTTCTTAAATTTACTTCGAACACTCGTGTCAACTATTACAAAAATTTACTTATTTTCCTATGCATGCAATACAAAGAGACTAAATTATGCATGTATTTATTTTTTTGCATGCATCCTGCAACATTTATATATTAATTATTTTTTCTCATTGATATGAAATAAAATAAGTTTGGAGCTTAGGAAACAGATGTTTAGGACAAGCACACCTTAACAATATTTCTGCAATTAGGCAAAGAGCGGGAAGCACCGAAGTAGATGAGATGTAAGTGATGTATAAATGAATACAAAAAGGCAAGAATAGTCTGATAGATTTTTGTTACCTTTAAGGAGTAACATATAAGAATTTACTTGTTTGATTGTAACTTGATTGCTTTTTGAATTCAATTGCCCAATGGTCTAGTCCAGCCCATGCCGATCATATATATTAACAGTTCCTTAAAGAGTACCCTTCAAACTATTAATTATACGCTCAATAAAATAGACAGAGCAGACAGATTAACTCCACTCCTTGTTTTTATTTTTCAAATTGTAAAACATTATTTTCTACATAAAAGAATTTTTTCCCTAGCTGAACAGGTATTGTGTTCGGTTCTTTTTTTCTTTCTTCGTTTTCGTTTTTCGTTTTTCGTTTCTTTGTCTAATCACACCCTAACATAAAAAGAAACGAGATCTGAGAATTACATTTCTTTGAACGAAGAGTTAATTGGATAGCATTATGATTAAACAGTTTCGAATTTATAGATCTCGTATATGTTTAAAGAGCTAATGTTTTTTAATGCCAATTGAAGACGTTTATTACAAAGAAGACAGCAACTAGAGCCCATAGTTCACTGATAATGTCTATGCAATATATTGCCATAATTCTTCAAATTTCATTATAGTAAGTATTTTTCATTTAAGCCATGATTAATAAAGGTTTTTCCTTTAACCTACCCTTTTTATTGGCTATCTAAGCCGTTAGATGAACAAAATAAAACAGCTAAACAGTTTTTTATATGGCTTATCGTGTGTTTCTGGCCTCATTTTTTTTTTGTCTACAGTACCTATAACGATATAAACTTTATTAAATAAATACTTATTTTTGATGTTAAAGCGACTTTCATACGAATAATATCTCTTATAGGATTGCTTAATATTAATAATATTATAATTATAAAAGCTTAAGGGTTTATTTTCAAAGGAAGAAGATAGAATTTTTCATTCTTGACTTAGTTTACCTCTTGATACATTAACTAATGGTAAACAGAGTAATTTCTTGGTTCGAATGAAAACAATTAGAATATATCTACTGTTTAAGACTATAATAAATCTAGTTTAAATTGACAACAGGGTGCATGCTATCAATTATTTTTATTCGTATAAATTATGCTATCTCGTAAATTGACAGAATTACGAAAAAATAAAATGGCCATGAGTCAAATCTAAGAAGTAGACCAACCTCTCCACACAAAATACCCAATTGAGTTATTACCATGAATCATTTGTTAGCAAGCAATTGAACGGCATTTTTAATGTATTTTGAAGTTATGCAATCTAAACTCAATTATTATCATGCTAATAACGGTAATAAAAATATTGATATTATTCTTATCATTGAAAAATAATTGGCCAGCTAGGGCTTCTATCAATATATCGCATTCATTTATTTTCATGGTTAAGTTACCCCAAGATAAAATTGCAGCACCAATTTAAGATGAAATATAAACAGATTTCGGAGTGCGTTAAAACGCTAGTATAATTCTTCCTGTTCATTTTATTATTTATCCATGTAGTACTTTATTTGTTTTGAGGTAATTATATTATTTCAACATCCGGACAACGGTCAAGGTTTGTTTATCCATCAACGATTGAGCTGAAAAGAGTTTACCAATTGACAGATAGAGAATAAGTGATACTGAAGTGTGACACACATTTGAACTGTTTGATGTAAAACGAAAAGGTCATTTTTCAGGTTCTATAAAATTAAAAAGTAATATAATATACTCTAAACTCTAAATTTTCATTAGCATAACCGAATACGAAACGTAATATTAATTATCTATTGTTAACTACTAATATGAAAACTGCTTGAAAAGGGTGAAAAATAAATCCTTCAACTCTGCACTTTTTTTATTTTTTTAACATTTTGAGGTGCTCGTGAATTATAATTTGTGAAAAGAAACAGCTTCTACGGAAATTTACGAATAAAATAAGAAGCATTGTCTTAATCCAATGGAGCATGGAAGCATACACATATGCTTAGAGCTATACCGGAGTTTCATGCATAGGAATTCCTTTACAGGCTAATTTAAATTATATTATGATTGAAGAATCATTAATTAAGCTTATCTAATTAAAATGGGTGGTTTATTAATCTTCCCCTATTTATTCATTAATTGGAAGTAATTTAAAGAAAACAAACCAATTGAGTCAGATAAACAAGTGATTCATTTAAATTAAGTTTTCAAATATGGCTTATTTCAAATATGGCTTATTTCCAATATATTCACGATGCGCTCAATCAAACGAATTACAACTTTCCGAAATAGTAATCTACGTAGTCGTGAGCTGCTGTGGAAATTAAATACTTTCAAGCCCATAAACTGCTTCTGGTCGATCTATTTTTTTAAGCATCTTTTATTTTTTTGCCATTTCTTTTAACTGTGATTGGTTTTTGGGGCAAAATTGTATTAAGAAGTACCACATTTCATATTAATTTGCAATGATCTATACTGCTAATTAATCTGTTGTAGTGGTGTCCTTGTTTGCAACCTTAGGGATGAATTACAGGCGCATCCGCTTAATTTGATTTTGTGCAGAGAGCATCCTCTAATTTCTCTTAATATTACCAATTGATTTCTCCTCAATTTTTTAGTTTTACGGCGCTTTTTGTTTACACACTCTTTCCCTTTGCTCAAACTGGTCTTATTTTCTAGAATTGATGCCAAAATTCTTAAATTGATATATGAATTTAGTTTGGCAACTATTAACTAGATGTGAAATAAAAAACGGTCCTATTTTATTAAGAGATGATCAAACAAAGGGTAGTTAAAACGAAAAGGAGGGGATAATAATCTAGAGTAATTTAAACAGCTGCAGTTAACGACCACTTTAGATATAGTTACATATTGCATTATTTTTTTAGCTTAGCCTTTTTCAATATAAAGGGATGAGCCATAACAAATAAGTACATTTAGCTATTGGTTTTACCTTAATAAAAGTTGAAGCGTCATAAAATAAATAATGTATGTAGAAGTAAACGTTCAGAGAGGAGGCTCAATTAGTGCCGTTATGCTATTTGTTTAACACTCATCTTAGTTTGTTGTAAACGAGGATGCGTGAGAATTGACAGTAGTGGAAGATCTTTTTCTAAACTATAATTGTTTGAACAATAATTGTTTGAAGGGAATCAACAAGTCTTATTTCCGCTGTTAATGACACTTTAATAGGCTGAGATTTGTAGCCTCGAAACTTACATATAGAAATGGCCCTCTAATGACGTCCGCTGTACTTCTGCTTATTAAAAACAATAGAAAAGGGGATTTTTTGTTAAAAGACTGTACCAAGAGGATCGGTGGACAGCTTAAAAGGTTTTGTACTTCTAATTGTATTTATACTGTTATTGTTTAGCCTGTTTAGCACGCAACTTAATTCGGAAAGAGTTGTACAAATTGAGCATTTGAAAATAAATTAGAGAAGAAAACAAAAATTCGCCCCACCTCCTGTTCCTGTGCCCCACTTCGCATTCAAATATTATAGAAACAAGATCTGGATCCAACAATATTTCACTTCTGGTTTGTAGTCTATTTGCGTTGACTTCTCTTATCAGGCATGCTAATCGGTCGCATCAGCCGGGACTATTGTTTTGCGGTTTGTAGTCAGAAAAATGCTTGTAGCTATTCTTAGTTGTTTGAAACGATAGGTGTACTCGTATGTGAACTTGTATTAATCAAATTCGACTTGGCACCATGGCTTAAATATCTAACTAAAAGATAATGTTTACGATCCTGATATACGAAAACTTTCGTCGTTTTAAATAAACTTATTTGCAGCTTGAAATCTTGAATCAAAAAGGAAAGGTTACCTTGCATATAATGGCCAGCTATTATATGTAATAGTAATGTAAATTGTATCTAAAGTTGCATCCAAAGTTGCGTGTACCTTGATATTTTCGACTCCTTTAATGAAATAAATCTCGTTAAATTTCAGCTATTCAATCTTAAATCTAGAAAGGGCCATTTCCGTTAAAGAGGGGTGATCGGAACTTTATCTCGGAGAAGTTCGTATTTTTTCATTATATTTGTACGAGATACTTTCTGGGCAAGATGTTCAAGGTGCAAAATGAAGGTAACACTGAATCTTCTGAGATTGCATCAACAATGTGGCACAAACATTTGTAATTAGTATTGTGATGCTGGTCATTTGAGAGAATAATTGAGTATGTAAAAGAAGGAAAATGCCGTTCTGTTTTCAAATTTCTTTTATTGAGAATTGTATTATTCCAGTTTGGCTACTGCTAAGCGCATAAATAGAACAATTCTTTTTTTTATTCTTACGAACTTAAGATTATAATTAAGTTATTGAAGATTGAATTAAAGGGAAGATGAAGTGGGGCAAAATAAGAAAATTACGAAATGCCTTGGTAGGTTAAACCACAATAAAATTTGAAATGTCAAGAATTTAAGAAAAAGTTAATCTAAAATAAGATCGTTTCATATTAGTCGGAAGTTGAAGACAATTAGTATATCGGATCAAACATTCCACCTATATATATTGTTAGATAGTTTAATAGTTAAGTTCGATCCTCTTACAAATGAGAATAGTATTGAAAATAAATTACTTTCCGATAATGCTTTATGTGCAAATTACACAAACCGACAAGTAGATATAAGTAACAATAGGAGGTGTTTACTCATGTTATGCACGTATTTTGAATAATTTTTGTCCAGTGCATAATAATTATCGAAGGTAAAAAATAATTGTTCAAAAATAAAGTTTCTTATTTTTATTTTATTTTTTAATTCTAATTTTTAAACTTATTATCTATCAATTAATCAGTCAAAATAATAATTATTAAGGAAGTTGAATCTCTATGGTTACCAAGGGTTCTATATAAATATATATAAAGCCCAGAGGTTGTCAAATGTAATTTTTACAGCCAATTCTTATTTGGTTACAGTTTGATCTTACTTGTTCAATAAATAAAAGGTAGTTGAACCTTAAATTATTCAGAGACATTCAAAGTCTGTCCTCGTTCTAGTGTTTCGAAATCTGCTGGTCAGCTATTCACATTCACTTCATCACTACAGCTTACCTTCACTTTACATATTCACACTTCATATATTCCCACTTCAACTTACACAACTCACCTTCACTTCCTTCCATCGCTAGATTACCGTCTATTAATAATCTCTATTCCTCCTCAATAGACCATCCCCATTTCGCGCACCTTCTGTTGCCTTAGATTCTATCAGTCCGTTTCCGCCTCACTAAAAGGTGCAAGATTTTTTTTTTGGCCGCACTTCTCAATCGGGAAAAAAGAAAGACTTTTTGGAACTTTGTGTTTGTCCGATTGTATCCTTAATCGACGGGATTGTTTTACTATTGTTGCAAGCTTTGACGCATTAGGAAACCTTATCTACATTGCTATTAAACATCAACCCATCACCTGATACAATTATAATAATTAATTAATTAATTAATCATGATGTCATGTGATATTGGTTCAAGTTCGGGTAAAGACCCTAGAACTACATCAGCTACTATTCCAACTAATAATCCAAAATTTTCAGTTGTACCAGTAAGTGACACAATAATTGCTCCAATTCTTCCATCTAATACAGCTAAACAAAACTCTATTAGTTATATGCAATATCATAATGCTATTAATCCTTATGATATCTATAAATATCAAAATAATACAGCATATGCAACTACGACGGAATTAAACCATGCTTCATCTTTAACAAGTTCATCTTCATTATCAACTTATGGTTCACAAATAGGTTTTGAGCAACAACTTCCTTTGCAGCCACCGCAACAACTAGCTCAACCACCATCACCACAACAACAACAGCAACAAATTCAAGAATCTGCATATCAACCTATGTATCCATACGTAGACTCACAAGAAAATAATTATGTGCAGCCTTACCCTTTTAAAGATAATATTCCTTTCAAGTTAAATATATTCAATAATCAAAATGCTCCAATTCAAATCCAACATCATGAACAATTATCTAACAATTTCAATTCTCAAAACCACATTCAACATGTAATTCAAAAAAGATCTGTGATATCTCCTGTTGTAGTGTCACTGGTTGGTGTAAAAGACAACCAAGTTTCAACACCTCCAACTTCTCCCAGCGTATATCAGAATAATTCTTTCTATTCTCAACAATATCATCAACTTAGTACTCATAATTCAGTTCCTACAACTAGTAGTACTTTAACATATGAAGTTGAGGATCAACATAACCATGACGGATTTTTTAATACAGATATTTTTAGTATTGGTGATGCAACAACAGCAGCTGCCGCAGCTGCAGCAGCTACAGTTGCTTCGATGTCTGGTCCATCTATTTTGCCAAATTCACATATTAAAAAGTTTGCTAATTCTTTAGCTCATCCTTCAGTAATTATTCCAAATACACCTATTTCAGAAGGAGATTTTGAAAATTCTCCAAAATATATTACTACTGCTAACAATGATACACAGAGTTCCAAATCTCCTACCGTCATTCTTGAATCTCAACTTTCACCTTATAATAATATGAGAAGATCCATATCTTCTTCTAGTGTTATTAAATCAAATGTAATTAAAAAAGAATCTTATTCAGATCCTACGTCTCCTATGGATGTTAATAAAGCCTTGGCCTTAGCTACAAAGGCTTATTCAAGACATTTAAATAATGCAGATATTTATGATGAAGGTAGTGAACATCATGATCATGATCATGATGAATTTGATGATGATTACAATTCGAGACATCATTCATTACCATCCACTTATCATCGTAAATCTGGTGGTTCGAATAATGGGAATGATGTGGTCAATAATCCAAACATTAAAAACTTTAGGAATGTCGTTTATCAATTATACAGTGAACGGAAGATCAAAGAGATTAAATTGATTGAACCACATTTAAAATGCTTTAAGAATCACTGTAACATTAAATTCAATAACTACTTTGACTACATAAATCACTGTTATTTTGAAAATAACAAACTAAATTTTGTAGAGTTTAGATCATTCCGATGTCCTGTACGGGAGTGTCCAATGAACTTAATTGGATATGAAAAGAAGGCTAATTTAAGACATCATGTGGTAATTGAACACTTTCAAAGAGGCCAAGTTATGACTAAATATCAAAATTATTGTAATGAATTAACACAAATAATTTATGTATGTGGTCATGAAGACTGTGGCAAAGGATTTTATAGAAGAGATAGTTTGACGAGACACTTAAAATTAGTGCATCAAAATCATCTATCACTATTTAATCAGAAAAAGAGACAAATGCTGTTGGTACAAAATAAAGCCGATCATATTGAAGAAGAATATGAACTTGGCATTACTCCAAAAAGGAGAAAGACTGGAACTTAAAGAATTGGATCTTTAATAGGATTCTTTATTATATAATCATTTATTCATATTATTTGCTATTTAGTACTTCAATCTCTAGTTAATGGCTTTAATGCATTATCGTTTATCACCAATCACATGTCTGTAATTATAAGTAAGTTTCTGATTTTAAAGCTTATCTAAAATCTGTGGCTGCAGTCACGTGCGGACCCCACCAATTTTGCAATCGATTATTAGTCTAGTAGCCCCCATTAATTATAAATATTGATGGAAAGGGATTTTCAAATCCTATAAACTTCTTCTTTGTAAGTAACAAGTATGCCACCAATTGCTACTACAAATACTGAATTAAAGCCATGGGTTGCACCTGTGGAAACTAGCTACCAATTAGACTATGCTGATCTTGTAACTATTGATCTCTCTAAATTCGGACATAACAGACATCAACTTGCTGATGATCTCCATAATGCCATTAAGAAGAATGGAGGGTTCTTTGGTGTTATTAATAGTGGAATTGAGCAAACAGAAATCTTTCAATTGGGACAACTGTTCTTTAATGATTACAGTTTAGAATCTAAATCAAAAGTTCCAGTAAATTTTGAGACTGGTAACTATTTTGGATATAAATCTAAAGGGAACAAGTACTTGTTTGGGACTGATGTTAAGGAGAATTCAGAAATCTTTAATATTGCCAAGTTCAATGGTTTGAATGATGAATTTCATGACTTAGACTTTGTTCATAATAACTATGATCAACTCTCTAAAGTGTCACACGAATGCTTTGATATTGTGAGAAAGTTATTGATCCTCTTTGCTATTATCTTGGAATTGGATGATGAATTATATTTCGTTAATCGTCACAAATATGAGGATCCTAGTGATGATCAATTAAGGTACATGAAGTATCATCCTCGAACTCCTGAAGATGATAGTAAAGTCGATAACATTTGGGCTCGAGCTCATACTGATTTTGGGACATTAACTCTTCTTTTCAATCAGTTAGTGGTAGGATTACAAATTAAGTTGGGCGATCAATGGAAATACGTTAGACCTGTTAAGGATGGTATTGTTTGTAATGTTGGAGATACACTTAACTTTTGGTCAGGAGGTTACTTTGAGTCGACTATTCATAGAGTTGTTAGACCTCCACCAGATCAAGTCAATAAGCCACGTATTGGAGCCTTTTACTTTCTTAGACCTGGTGATAAGGCACTTATTGAAGTTGCACACTCCCCATTATTGAAGAGATTGGGTCTTTATCGAGAGACCAAGGAGCCTATTATAGGGACAGATTATGTAAGAAAGAGAGTGGTAGATTATCATAATAGACCTACATATGAGAAGCAGAGTAATGTTAAGTTTAAGGTAGGAGAGTTTGAGATTACTGATGGATTTGATTAAAGCTTTTTAATGAATGGATGAATAGTGTATAGCGTAGTTTATATTGTGCTGTATTACAGTTAAATGATACAATCATTTGCAGTTTATGTGATTCTCTATAAATAATATACTTACAACTAAGGTGTTCTGAACAGATATACTCTGTCTTTAAGTTTAGTCTATAGTAAACCATTTTAATTACTCACAAAAATGTTCTCATGTCACAAATTATTTCTGATAGCTTAACAAACGGTCATATCTCCTTGTTCTGTAAATATTCCTAGAATTATTTCGCAAAAGGCTTATATTTGATTACGTGGGATGATTTGGTTTTATTTCTAAGTTAGAAAGCTTTGATTCTGTACTGCAGAACATCGCCTGGATTTCACAACTCCCATCCACTGATTTCAATCCATTGCCATGGGTCTACCTGTCTGTCTATCAAGAACAGATAATTGTAGAATGTGAAATACTGTAGTCTTGGATACTGATGTAACTTTCTTTTATCCAGTATACCAAGTTCCTAATATCTTGCTCAATTCCTTGTGCAATATTCTTGGGACTGGTAGACAAGCCGGTTAAAAAAGTTGTTGTGCTCAAACCAAATCTGACAAGTTGAAGGTTCCAAACTCCAAGTAATTCCTTTAATTTATCTGGGCTTAATGATGATTCTTTTACAATTGTGAAATTTTTATGTGTAACTGTATTCCATTTCCGAAGAATGATGGCATAATGCTGTAGTTTAAAACATAATACCAACTTGTTTAATTTATTCATGCATGAGACGTGTAATCTTGAGTTTACAAGACTGAGGTCAAGTACATCTAGATAGTTCAAGTGATCTATAATTCGTGTCAAAATTTCATCAGGCATAGATTCCAAGCATGTGGCTATTTCGGGCGAGTATAGAGAAATTAGGAATGTTAATTTTTAATGGTACAAGGTTGGAATGTGAATTAACACAACTCATACAATATTGACCATACGATATTTTTAATAATAAGAAAGCTAGTAGGAATATATATATATTTAGGTTATACCTTTGGTATTGTTGTCCTTTTTTCGCAACTATTTAGCTGGTGACCGACATTTGTCGCAAGAAAGGATTCAATGCTGTGCAGATGAAATGTCGTGCCAATTCTTGTATTTGCAAATCCGGTTAGACTGCTATAAGAGTGTCAAGTATAACAATAAGACCATTAATTGGAGAATATACCTGCATTTACTGATAAAATAGTACTTTATAACTATACTATAAATCCTACAAAATGGGGATATTTAGATATGTATATAATAGAGTAAGAGATAGACGTAACGAAAGGGCAAGTAAAGATACTTGACTAAAGTCGACCTGTAGCATCATCCAGGTATTGGAACCATTCCTAAGCCAGTTGAGGCAGGCAGTAGGGCAGGGATAAATTGGGTATTTGAGCTTAAACTTAATTACATCTGTTAGTGAGTATATACAGAAATAGGTTACCACGACCCACTACGTACTATAGAAGAATATCTATATATAGCAATAAACACACTACACTAGACCACTGAAGGCTGCATTTCGAGTGGCTTACAAGACCTAACTAAAAGCGTTTTTATATGGAACATGCAATTGAGACATTTTGATTAGTAATTTTACAGTATAGAACACAACATACACATACATACACATACACACACACTACACGTGATAGTATACAGCAGAGTACACAGTATAGTACACAGTATAGTACACAGTGTAGTACACAGTGTAGTACACAGTATAGTACACAGTGTAGTACACAGTATAGTACACAGTGTAGTACACAGTGTAGTACACAGTATAGTACACAGTATAGTACACAGTGTAGTACACAGTGTAGTACACAGTATAACTATGTAGCAGTGTAGTACACACAGTATACTACATAGTACACATATTACGAGTACTCTATAGTACATATTATGAGTACTCTATACAGTATAGAGTCAGTAGTTGTTCTCCCCACATGGTAGCGCTACGAATTCGCGTCTTGCACAAATTCAACAATATTTCAAATCCATCACCAAACTACTAACACTAATCAACCATGACTGACTCAATAGAAGCAGTAAGTATAGTGATTAACTATTTGGTAGCATCCACCCACGACATAGTTACTAACCCCGCCATTCTAGACACCATCGTTGGATTTGAACGACATTTTGAAGCACGAAGACGAATATCCCAAATCGGAACTCACCATGGATGCCGAAAATGTATCAAAGTACTTCACTAAAACTGATAAACAAGTAGTGGATGTAGCCAAAACCAGTCAAAGGTTTCAGTATTTATTGGGCTTGACTGGATTGTTTCATCATTTCATAGAAGCCAAGGCCAATAAGGATCCATTATTTCGAAAGATTGTTGATGATATTCATAATGATAGTTCATTAAATAATGGAATTAAAATTAAAGGAGGAGTATCAAGAAGAAGAAAAACTGAAAAGGAAGAAGATGCTGAATTATTAAATGATGAAGTAGATACTAGTCCAATTCTTGAATTTACTGATAGTCCAAGTTATGTTAATGGGAAATTAAGACCATATCAAATTCAAGGATTAAATTGGTTAATTTCATTATATGAAAATAATCTTTCAGGGATTTTAGCTGATGAAATGGGATTAGGTAAAACTTTACAAACTATTTCATTTTTAGGTTATCTTCGATTTATTAAACATATTAATGGACCTCATATTGTAATTACTCCCAAATCAACTTTAGATAATTGGGCCAGAGAATTTAATCATTGGATTCCTGATATAAGAGTATTAATTTTACAAGGTGATAAAGATCAACGTCAAGATATCATTCGTAATCAAATCTTACTGTGTAAATTCGATGTAATCATTGTATCTTATGAAATAGTTATTCGAGAAAAGTCAACTTTTAAAAAATTTAATTGGGAATATATTATAATTGATGAAGCCCATAGAATTAAAAATGAAGAATCTTTACTTTCCCAAATTATTAGAATGTTTCATTCTAAAAATAGATTATTAATTACGGGAACTCCATTACAAAATAATTTACAAGAATTATGGGCTTTATTAAATTTTATTTTACCGGATGTATTTGCTGAAAGTGAATCATTTAATGAATGGTTTAATAATGGAGGAGGTTCTGATAATAATCAACAAACTAATGGACGTCAAGATACAGTCATTGAACAATTACATAAAGTATTAAAACCTTTTCTTTTAAGAAGAATTAAATCCGATGTTGAAAAATCTTTATTACCAAAGAAAGAATTAAATGTATATGTAAAAATGACTGATATGCAAAGAAAATGGTATCAAAAGATTTTAGAAAAGGATATTGATGCTGTAAATGGTGCTAATGGTAAAAAGGAATCTAAAACAAGATTATTAAATATTGTAATGCAATTAAGAAAATGTTGTAATCATCCATATTTATTTGAAGGAGCTGAACCAGGACCTCCATTTACTACCGATGAACATTTAATATTTAATTCTCAAAAAATGATAATTCTTGATAAACTCTTACGGAAATTTCAATCAGAAGGTTCAAGAGTATTAATCTTTTCTCAAATGAGTAGAATGTTAGATATTTTAGAAGATTATTGTTATTTTCGAGAATTTCAATATTGTCGAATTGATGGACAAACTGAACATGCTGATCGTGTTAATGCTATTGATGAATATAATAAACCGGGAAGTGAAAAATTTGTATTTCTTTTAACTACTAGAGCGGGTGGGTTAGGTATTAATTTAACAAGTGCTGATATTGTTATATTATTTGATTCAGATTGGAATCCTCAAGCTGATTTACAAGCTATGGATAGAGCTCATAGAATTGGACAAACAAAACAAGTTAAAGTATTTAGATTTATTACTGAAAATGCCATTGAAGAGAAAGTATTAGAAAGAGCCACTCAAAAATTAAGATTAGATCAATTAGTTATTCAACAAGGTAGAAATACTACTGCATTAGATGGACAACAAAGTACAAAGGCAGCCTCTAAAGATGAATTATTAGATATGATTCAATTTGGAGCATCAAATATCTTTTCTGATAATAATAATGATAATATTAATGGAGAAAAATCTATTGATATTGAAGAAATTTTAAGACAATCTGAAAGTAAAACTCAACAATTAAATCTGAAATATTCTAAATTAGATCTTAATGCTTTACAAAATTTTACAAATGATGAATCTGTTTATGAATGGAATGGAGAAAATTTTAAAAAGAAAGAATCTACTACTATTACTAATATTGGTCATGCTTGGATTAATCCTGGTAAAAGAGAAAGAAAAGAAAATTATTCAATTGATATGTATTATAAAGATGTATTAAATACTGGTGGAAGAACTGTTGGTTCAGGTCCAAAATCAGGACCTAGACCACCTAAACAATTAAATATTTATGATCATCAATTTTATCCTGCTAAATTATTTGAATTAATGGAATTAGAAAAAAATTATTATAAGAAACAAATTCGTTATAAAGTACCAATTAAAGCAGGAGATGCTTCTACATTAAAAGAACGAGAATTAGATCAAAAATTAGAACAAGAAGAAATTAATAATTCTCGTCCATTAACTGAAGATGAGAAATTATTAAAAGATGAATTACTTACTCAAGGGTATAGTAATTGGAATAGAAGAGATTTTACACATTTTATTGCCGTATGTTCTAAATATGGACGTAATAGTATTCCATTAATTGCTCAAGAATTTGAAGATAAATCTGAAGAAGAAGTTCGAGAATATGCTCGAGCCTTTTGGAAAAATTATCATGAAATTGATGGATATGAAAGATTCATTAATCAAATTGAATCAGGAGAAGAAAAGATTCTTAAATTAAAATTACAAAAAGAAGCTCTTCGAAGGAAATTATCTCAATATAGATATCCTTTACAAGAACTTATTTTAAAATTCCCTCCTTCTACTACTAATAAAAGAACTTTTAGTGAAGAAGAAGATCGTTTCTTACTTGTTCAAGTATATCGATATGGATTAGAATCTCCTGATTTATTTGATAGAGTTAAAGAAGCTATTAGAGATTCACCATTATTTCAATTTGATTTCTTCTTTCAAAGTCGTAATGCTGGAGAATTATCAAGAAGATGTACTACTTTATTAGGATGTATATTAAAGGAGATTAATCCTGAAGTCAGTTCAGAAGGTAATGGAAAGAGAAAGAAGGAAGATACACCAGAAGTTAAGAAGAAAGCTAAGAAGTAAAGTAAACTCAAGTAAAGTAAAGTAGCCTGTATATTAGTCGTAAGTATTTACAAATGTATAAGATAAACTAAGTAATTCATAAGTGAAGTGAATGATGTGAAGTGAAGGATATGAAACGAAGTGAAATTAAAATTGAAATTAAAATTAAAATTGAGTCATTAAGTACTCATGTCTCTATTGATTTTTACAGTTGATTAAGTAATTCTACTATAACATTTTCAAATGTTAATGGAGTTATATCAGAAAGATATCTTTTCACTACTTTACCATGTCTATCAATAATGAATTTTTCAAAATTCCATCGTATACCTTTAAATCCTAAAGCTCCTGGTTGTTGCAGTTTTAACCATTTATATAATTGTAATTCATATGGTCCATTCACTTCAACCTTTCTCATTATCGGGAAATTAACTCCGTAATTCTTATGACAAAATGTAACTATACGAGAATCAGGATATGGCTCTTGATTACCAAATTGATTACAGGGGAATCCAATAATTACAAGTCCTTTATCAGAATATTTCTCATAAAGCATCTCTAACTCCTTATATTGAGGAGTAAACCCACAATATGACGCGACATTAACAATTATTACTACTTTACCATTAAACTCCAGAAAATCAATGGGCTTGTCATTAGCATTAGGGAGTCGGTATGAGTATAATGGAGACGTCATTTTTCAGCACCTTCAGCTACTCACACTCTCACTCTCACACTCTCTCTTATAGTCTCACTATTGGAATGCTGTTAAATACCAACTACACTTTGGTAAAGGTAAAATGTCGTGGTTCGTGACTCTGTAGTGCTTAGTCATTTTTGCACCATTGAAATTATTTAATTAACGGCCGCCTGTGTGCAGGAGCATCACTATTTATGGGTTAAAGTGGTTATTTTCTTGCACATGACCTTGCACCTGATTAATTATACCCATTCCGGTAATACCCAAACATCACACGATTATCTTATATACACGTCTCCGGGGAGGCAATCTTTTTTTCTCATCCAATAAAAAACATACACAAAAAAAAATCTTACCATACTCCTTTCCTATCCTTAATTACTGATTCAAATCTCAATAAACAACGACTCAGTCGTCAATAGCAACTTTTAATTCACAACATCCATTGTACATTCATTGTATCGGTAGTCTGCCAATCAACCTAAAGAATTTCCTTCAACTTTTATCTCCCAAATTACCGAATTTATTCCCTTATTCTTTACCTTTTTCCTGTATTGCCCCAGTAATTAATACAATATTTTACTTTGACACTTACTCGGCTATACTTATTTTAGTATTTATCCTTACCTTATCTAAAGTATACTATAACATATTCAACTATTTTACTAAAGATATAGATATCAGGATATTTATTACTATAGAAATCTAAACAACTAGTGTTGGTAATAGCGTTATAAAATTTTTTTGGTGTATAATATCAAGTAAATTGTCAATTTTATGGTGTGAACCAATCCTTTATCCACATCCATATCTCAACTATTCATATACAGTTCATTAAATATTCATTACAAAAATTGTTTGTACGCGCACTGCTCCCCCTCCACAATAACTTAATATAAAATGTCCTTCAAGGTGAATTGGGATTCACTAGAAACTGAATCACTTAAACTATGGACTAAAGATTTATTGACATCTGCTTTAAATTCAGGTAAAACTCCTCCAATACTAGCATCAAAGATTCAAATTAAAGATTTGAATTTTGGTAAGATTGCTCCTGAATTTGAAATCCTTGAAATTGGTGAATTAGATTCTGATAGATTTAGAGGAATCTTTAAAATAACGTATCAAGGAGATTTCCATTTAACTTTACATACTAATGTTCAAGCTAATCCATTAAATATTTATTATTCCAATAGTTTACAACAAGAAATTAATTCTGATGATTCAACATTTATAACTCCTAAATTCTTATTATCAAATGAACAATTTGCCTTACCATTAGATTTAAAATTATCTGATATTAAAATTAATGGAATAGGTATAATTGTATTCTCAAAGACTAAAGGTTTAACTATGGTATTTAGAAATGATCCTCTTGATTCAATTAAAGTTAGTTCAACTTTTGATACTGTTCAAGTTTTAGCTAATTTCCTTCAAAAGCAAATTGAAAATCAAATTAGAGAATTGTTTAGAGAAACTTTACCAACTTTAATTCATCAATTTAGTTTAAAATATCTTAGTCTTGATCAATTAAATGAAATGGTTTATACAAACCATCATCAGCATCATACTAATCCAAATACTAACCATCATGAACTTTACGAAAATGACGAAAATAATGAAAATAAATCCACTTCTTATGGCTTAAAATTAACTAATGAAGATGGTGATAATAAAAGAATTATTTATTCTTACAAGAATTTACAGAAGAATCTTAAACTTTTTAATTCAAGAGAGACTCTTGACTTAAATATTCCTAAATTTAAACATACAATCCAAAGAACTCATCTTGATAAGTTTACTAAGAATTATCCAAACTTATTAAATTCCTTAAAGGATAATATTAATGATATTCAAATTGATAGTAATTCTTTAAATTCTTCCAATAGTATACCTATTGATTTATTAATTAATAAGAATTTTAATAAGATTGATAATATTATTGAAGAAATTAGTAATATTCAAGCTAATAATTATTACAAATTAGCCAATGAAACAAAATCTCATTCTCATTCATCAACTAACGGAACTACTTCGTCAGCTAAAGGTGTAACTGTTAAGCCAAAGAGAAGAAGAATAAAGATTAATAGATCCAAGAAATCTTCACCATCTTCTGATTTAACTACTGTCACTAGTACAACTTCTGAAATGGCTAAATCAGTTGATATCAGTCATGCTCCTTCAGAAACAACCACTTTAATCAATGAAAGTGCTATGAGTTCATTACCAATGACAACCACAACTTCATTAGAAGATTCAATTCTCCATCCTAAACCAATTAGAGTCATCAAAGCTCACGATAAGATCTTATCTTCAGATCAACTTATTAAGACAAATGATCTTATATTGAATAGTCCATCATTATCATCTCCTCCTCAACCTTCAACTGCTTCCTTATTATCAGGTGTTGGTATAGGTAATAATTATTTTAATTTTACTACTCAAACCTCTCCTATTAAGCAACATCCTCCACAATTCCCACCATCTCAATCACAAGTTCAACCTCAGCCACAACCACAATCACAATCACAACCACAATCACAATCAGTTGATCTTAAGGATAAATCCATGAATTATATTGATATCAATAAGATTAATGACAAGTTACGTAAATTAAGTCTTGAACAAGAACAACAACGTGAGAAATTGGTAAAACATCATCACTTTGATTATAATGGAAATCATATATTATTTGAACCAGCCATGATGGTTCCACCTCCTCCACCTTATTATCATTAAGGTACATACTATTTATCTTTACTTCTGTTTATACTGTACATAGAATTTTGGTGTTTTTGTTTATTTATTATTATTATTATCATTATTATTATACGGTCCTTACCTTTTATGATTACCTTTACCTTTAAGTTTATCGTTATCTTTATCTCTATCTTTATCTAAGATCTTACTAGTAGTAGAAATGGTTGCAATAATTATTCTAAAAATAGGTGTGCTTATATGCACTCCACACACGTAAAAATTTTCGATGTTTTTAATTTGACCAAATGAGATAAATGATGAAATCCGATCTGCCTCGAGAAGAGGAATGAACTTGAGTAAGCAGAACAGGCTTCATAATTACTTAAGTTAGTGATATAGTAAATTTGACATTTAGTCATAGAGGCATATATATAGTGAGTTGTTTGTTTAATCGTTTAATTAGTCAGTCGTTTAAGTTAGTCAGCCAGTCGTTTTAGTCATTAAATTACAAGTTAAGTTAGACATGACATTCGGAAGTTTTGACGAGATATGTTTAAAGACATCCTTACCATTATGTTCAGTTCTTGGGTCAGTAAATACTACTTCTACTTTCCAAGTAGGTATTTTACCTGAATGTTATGCTAGATCAGTTGAATTAGCTAATACTATGATCTTTCAAATTGGTAATGCATTTGTTCATTTTGGAGGTCTTGGAACTTTTCTTATTATTATTTATAATATTAGAGCAAAATATACTGCCATTGGTAGAACAGAAATGTTATATTTTTTATATTTATTAATATGTCTAACTATTTCATCATTAATTGTTGATTGTGGAGTTAGTCCTCCAAGTTCTTCATCATATGCATATTTTGTAAGTTTACAATTAGGATTTACATCAGCCGTTTGTGCATGTCTATTATTTAATGGACTTTTATGTTTCCAATTCTGGGAAGATGGAACTAGAAAATCTATGTGGACTTTAAGAATCGTTACATTTCTTTGGTTTGCTATTAATTTCATTGTCTCAATCATTACATTTAAGAGTTGGGGTACTTCATTAGATAATAGAGATACTACTGCATTATTTATTGTATCATATATTATTAATGCTATTATTTTATTCTTTTATGTGGTATCTCAAATAATATTGGTAATATTCGCTCTTGATAATTATTGGCCATTAGGTTCAATCTTTCTCGGAGTATTTTTCTTTGTAGCCGGTCAAATTATTACTTATATTTTTACTATAGATATTTGTCGAGGTTTATCTCATTATGTGGATGGATTATTCTTTGGATCATTATGTAATATCTTTAGTGTTATGATGATTTATAAATTTTGGGATTCCATTACTACTGATGATTTGGAATTCTCAGTGGCTAATGTGGAACAAGGTGTTCATGCTTTTGGAGGTGGTGATGATGAAAAGAGACATAGTGGATTCTTCTAGTATTTAATTAGATGTCTATAGTTGATTATATAATATATAATATATCATGGTTATGGTTATAGCTTTATGTGTAGTGTAGTGTAGTGTAGTGTAGCACATCACATGGGTTGGGTCACGCTATCCATCACTACCCCAGTTAAATTTTACTAACTATATTAAACTGCGCCTCTGTACCAATAATTTTCAATTTACAAAGTTTAAAAAGTATCCTATTACGAGGCGACTTATCTTAACGACATTGATTTGACGAGTGATTTGGAGATTGTTCACTAAGTTTTATTTAAACGAACTATATTTAGAAGCACTACGTAATGTCGCGACTGCCGAGAATTAAACCTGCCTTATTCGGGTAAACATTCAGTAGCAATACAGGTACACTGCATTGAAATTCATTCTCACTGTCAATAATCTTAGTTGTAATAGACTCGGTAATCGTAGTAGTCATAATCTCGGTAATAATCTCATTAGTAGTAATACGAGCAAGCAGTAAGTAATAGTAGTATTAACAGTAGTAATAGTAGTAATTAATCCCTGTGACTCCCCTCCGACATTCTCATTCACGACATCGAAAAAATCCGTGCCTCAAACAGGAAATCACGTATAGTTAAACTACTACACCAAAGGTTCTATTCATAGTTAACAAGTACAACAAGACAGTTAACCCATAACTAAATCAGATTGATTCAATTGTATAAATAAACACAGCCTTCGTAGAACGACATTTTTACATTCATGGCAAGTACGAAGTTGGAGTCTACTGAGGCTCCGTTATCAAGTTCAACGTCATCATCTCAATCATTAGACTTGTTAGAATCAGAAGAGATTAAAACTATTTTAAAGAGTGATCAAAGTTTAGAAATTCTTTTAAATAGATTAAAACAAAGTATAACAACCGCTGAAGAATTTTGTAAATATTTAAAGAAAAAGGCTCAAATTGAAGATGATTATTTTAATCAAACTAATAGATTTGCAATTAATATTAGATCAAATTTTAAACATTTACAGGGGAAAGTTAAAGATGATTCATTTACTCAAAAATTAGATGAAATTATTGAATTTGATCAAAAGATTAGTCAAGTAGGAATTTCTTATGTTTCAGCCATTACATCAATGTTTAATGAATTAACTAAATTAATTGATGTAGTATCAAAAACTAGAAAATCAATTAAAGATGAAGGTAGAAGAAAGGAAAAAGATTGTCAAGAATCAATAATTGCTGCCGAAAAGGCCAAACAAAGATATATTAATTTATGTGAAGATTTAGAAAAACTTAGAGCAATGGATCCTAATCGAAAGCAAACTTTTACTCTTAAGAATAAATCTCAAGAACAACAAGAACAAGATCTTAAAGCAAAAATTGATTCAACTGATCAAGATTATAAAGTTAAAGTAGCAACATGTAAAAGATTAAAAGATGAATTAATTCTTACTTATCGTCCAACTAATTCTCGTAAATTAAAAGATTTAATTTTAGAATTAGATATGGCAATGAATTTACAATTACAAAAATTTTCAACTTGGAATGAATCTCTTGTTATAAATACAGGTATATTAATTAATCCTTTACCTTCATCTAATGGGAAACAATCAATGAAAGCTATTGCCAGTTCAATTGATAATGGTAAGGATCTTTATAATTATTTAATAAAAAATTCATCTAATGCTAATAAAGTTAATAAAGCTTTAGTACCAATTGAATATGTTCAACATCATTCTCAAATCAGAACTGGTCATCAACCATTTGTTATTAATCAACAAAAACAATCAAATAATTCATCTGTACCTTATCCAACAACTAGTAATCAAAATACTTCTGTATCATCATCCAATACTAATACTTTTACAAGTCCTTCAACTAATAATGGTAATGGATATCCTCATAGTACTACATTTTCAATGCCAAGTTATGAAACTGCTAATACTGGTCCAACTGCTATAAATTCATCAGGTCCAAAGGGTCCAATATCTCTTGATACTAGTTTTACCAATAGTGCATTTAATAATAATAACAATAACAATAACAATGGTATTGATACTCCAAATAAAGATACACCACTTGCATCATCAGTATATTCAACTCTTGATCCACAAAGTCAATTCCCTCAAGTATCACTGGAACCATCATTTGGAATTCCTTTAGAAATAGTAGCGAATAAATCAGGTAAAGATAATGTACCATTATTAGTACTTAAATGTATAGATATTATTGAAAAATTTGGTTTAGATCTTGAAGGTATTTATCGTACTAGTGCCAATAAGAATTCTATTGATAATTTAAAAGATTTAGTTGATCAAAAGTATACTAATTATAATCTTATTGGACAAAATATTGATCCAACTAATGTTCTTGATGCAGATATATTTTGTATTGCATCATTATTAAAGAATTTTTTTGCTCATATTCCTGAAGGATTACTTACTGATGAAGCTAGTCAACAATTTATTGATATTGTTCAAAATACTAATAAAAAATCTGAACAAGAAATTAATACAGCAATTCATCGACTTATATTTACATTACCAGATTCATCATATTTTACTTTAAGAGCTTTATTATTTCATTTAGATAATGTTGCATCTCATGAATCTCGTAATAAAATGAATATTAAAAATTTATCAATTATTTGGGGTCCAGTAGTATTAAATCTGGATTCTGATAATGCTGATGATTTATCTTATAAGAGTCTTGTCATTGAAAAATTCTTATTAAATGCTCATAATATATTCTATGATGGTGATGGTAATGAATAAGACGTTAAAGACTTTATATAGTATTATATATATATATATATGTGTATATATTATTTACATATACTAATTTAATAAATTAATTAATACATCATGAATGGTACCAGTTTACTGGATTTCTTCAGCAGTCCGTCATTTCCATCGTTGGGTTTATTATTGTTATTGTTACTGTTATTATTGGTGTTATTATTGTTGGTGCTATTGTTGTCGTTAACATTATTATTGTTGATATTGTTGTTACTATGACTGAAATTAAATCGAGGTTTAGTCACTTTATGATTTGATGCTAACGTCTTAATCCGGAAATTGTTGCGATAATCATTATGATTATGATGTGATCCATGATTATGTGAACGTTTCTCTTGTTGCTTAAGTTTAGCCTCTTGTTGTTGTCGTAACTCTTCATCTTTCTCTTGTTGTAGTATCTTATTATAATCTTCATCACTTATTCCTACTAATTTCCGACGAATATCCTTTAATTCATCCTTTAAGAGATTATGAAACTCTGCTGATTCAATAATCTTATCTTCAATATCCTTATCTACAATACTTAACAATCCACTGCCACTAGTTTGTTTCTTATAGTAATTCAAAGAATTATTACTACTAGTGTTACTATTACTATTAGTGTTGGTATTGGTGTTAGTGTTACTATTACTTGAACTAGACCCACTTTCATTATCTTTCCCCTTATCCTTATCCTTTGACTCACTAAGAATTTCTCCTTGAATTAAAGCTCCCATAATCCCCTTATTCTTCATTAATATACTAGGATCATTTTTAATCTTATTCTCTACCATAATTCTTAACTTTAATAGTAAATTAGCATGAGTCTCTGAAGACTTAAAGTTACTCAATAAACTTCTTCGTTGTTTATCAAATGACCCATTTTTCTTAAAAATTGTCGTGAGTTGTTTGGGGTCGGTGACTTGTGATACATCACCATCTTTTGGATTCTTATCTGTCATAACTGTGTAGTGACTTGTGTGTATAATTACTTAGTTAAGGTACTAAGATAAGCTTAGTCGAATATGGACCGACCGAAAAGATCGGAAATAATATAATTCCGGTCGTGCTAATATACCAGTTTAAAGTTACGCAACAGACACTAAGTCATAAGTAACTAACCAACCAACTAACTAACTAACTAACTATCTAAGACTAAGTCGGATATGGAACTGTCTTCACAATCTGCATCTCCGGATATAGTACCTACTATTCTTGACTTTGCCAGTCCAGGTCCCGAGTCTCGTTTAAGTTCAAGTTCAAGTTCAAATTCAAATTCAAATTCAAATTCAAATTCATCTAGTTCTAAGAAACGATCTAAATCAAGTCATCATGGTTCTGATAATGTTATGAATACTGATTCTATTGATGAATTCTTTGATGAACTTCGTTCCCAATGTTTTGAAGTCATTGATTTTGTAATTCTGTCTGTGAATTTACCTCAAAGTTACGGTGAATATTCTCGAAATGTTGAAGCACTCTGTCGTAGAAGTCATACAGAACAAGAAATTTTAACTAATCATTTATATGATAGTTTATCAACCAAATATAATTACTTTCATAATATGATGATTGAAGATCAATCACTTGAAAATTATGTAAAAATTATTAGCCAATGGGAACATATTTTACGTATCTTAGCATTATTATTCAACTATTTAGATAGAACTTATTTATATTCTCATAGATCTAAATCACAGATTAGAAAATTTGGTGCTGAATTATTAGTAAATGATGAACAAATTACTAATCGGTTATTTAAATTATTTATGGATGCTGTAACAAAATATAGAAATGATAGAAGTAAAACAGATTTGTTGATTCCAACCGGAAGTATCATAAGAAGATTTTATCTGTCATCATCTTTTATGAAAACAACATACTTAAATAAATTAGTCCTTCCTACTGTACCAATTGATAAGACTGAAATTAAACATGGTAAGTTCTATTTACAATATGTATTAACAGAAATCGATTACGAAATTCAATTCTTAAATAAATGTGGATTTGATAAAGAAACCAGGAATAAAGCATTCCATAAATTACGTTGGCAATATATCTTTAGTGAATTTACAGATGTAATTCAAGGAAACCTTTCTTATCTTTTACTTCCTCAGAATAGTAGAGAATTAGAATTAATTCTTGACTATTGTGAAGATGTAGAAAAATTAGATACTATTAATTTATTAAGTCAATTCGCTTATCAATGGAAATTATATTTAGATAATAAACTTCAAATGGTTGATAGTGAAAATTCTTTAGGATTAATTACCAAATTATTGGATTTCTATAATACATATCAACTTATGGTGGCATCATCATTTAGAGGTATACCATTATTTCAAGCTGAACTCAAGAATTCCCTCAAGGATTATATTAGAAAAAAGGATTTTAATTCCATTATTCTTTCTCAATTATCGAAATATTGTGATGCTTATTTCAGAAATGTTTATAATCGTCGAAAACAAGATATTACTTTTAAAGATTTCAAACAGAATGTATTGAATATTTTTTATTCAATCACCAATAAATCAGAATTCATAATATATTATAAACTTGATTTATCAAGAAGATTACTTAATTCCAAAGATATAAATTTAAATGATGAAACAGAACTTATTGAAGGATTCAGTAAATTGATTGGTGAGAATGATGAAGGGATTACTAGTTTAAATAAAATGATTGCCGATATAATTATGTCAAATGAAGAATTGAATATTGTTAAGGATGGTATTTCATTTAATTGCTTAGTTCTAGATAAGAGTGTATGGCCCACAGTCCCTCCATCAGAATTGCAAATCGAATTACCTGAATCTCTTCAATCATTCATTGATGATATTAAGAATCATCCAAAGATTGATCGAAAATTATTACACTGGAATTATTACAATTTCTATCAAATTATAATTAAAACTCAATTCAATGATAAAGATAAAGAATTATCAGTTAACTTATTTCAGGCATTAGTATTACTTGCATTTAATGATCATGAAATACTTAATATTGATGATTTATGTCGTATAACTCGTATAGAAAATAAGTCTATTATGAAAAGAATCGTTAATTCATTAAGTACAGATAGATACAAATTACTTAATCAAATTAATGATAAATATATTGTGAATGATTCATTTACTGATAAATCACTGAGAATTAGAATTCCTTATGTTAAAGAAAAAGAATCAATTCCTCGTAATCTCACTACCAAATCATCAATTGAAGATGATACTGAAGCGGAAGAATTAATTAGTCAACGTAGACAAACCGCATATAAGAGTACATTGGTTAGACTTATGAAACAACATACTCAATTAAAAGTTGTTGAACTATTCAATCAATGTATTGAAATTTTAGAAGTCAAGGGCCCCGTGACTATTCAAGATTTAAAGAACGGTTTAGAAGCATTAATTAACGCTGACTACATTCGAAGAATCGATCAAGACTCAGTCGAATACATCCCATAATGATGTATGTTCTAATTACAAATAAGTATATATTAACGAAATAATGACTCTTTTATAGAATGAATATTATATATGCAATGATCGGAAATTGGTTAGGGGGAAATTAAGTATATTAAATTTATTAAATTTATGAAGTTTATGAATCTCATAAACACCTTCATTAACCGCCTTAAATAGGAATTTCTTCAGGATCCTTGTTTTCAATCCAATGACTTCCGAAGACTGGAATCTTAGAATAGAAAGTTTGTTGGAATAATGGCCAACCTTCAGTAAAGGTAGCAATTCCAGCACCAGTAGCTCCACCCCATAAGATTAAATTTGGTAAGTATGATCTGAAAAGGGATGGGTTAACTCCTAAGAATGAGAAGGCAGCCTTATAAGCTGGTCCTTTAATGTAAGCAACCATATTTGTTTAGTATTATTGAATTGGTTGTAAGTAATTAATGGCAGCCAAAATTTCTATGTTTTCACTGCTCATTTTTGGTTGTCATTTTCTGTGCGATCATTGGTGGAACTTGAGACACGTGATCTGTATCACATGACTAGAGATTATAAATTAATATTAAATAAATCATTAATAAGAGTATATATCTACTATTATAGATCCTACAAGTACAAGTGAATAACTTCACACGTACATATCTATAGTTTATAGTTATTTATACCACATAAATTAAGTCTGTGGTTTAAAAAAAGTTTTAAAATGACAATTTTTAATATGTATTATACATGACAAAATGAGAAGCAGTTATGTCCTATAATCCTATAATGCTATAATTTAATATAGTTTAACAAGAATCTGGTTGAGAAAGAACGTAATCTATAGCTTGGCCTACGGTCTTTATGCTATCGGCTTCATTATCAGGAATTTGAATGTTGAATTCATGTTCAAGTTCCATAACAACTTCAACAACGTCTAAAGAATCTAAACCTAAATCTTGAACAAATGATGCATCTTCTTTGATTTCTTTAGTAGCATCAATCTTATCATATCCTTCTAATAATTCTAAAACTCTTTCTTTAGCATCTTCTCTAGTTAAACCTGCAGGTGCAGAATAAGTACGAATGAAGGTTGGTTTGATTTGAGTCATCGATAATACGGATCTAATTGGTTGTTGACATGCAATTCTGGCTCCAACAGGAGCTCTCATAGATCTTAATACAGCAGCTCTAAACATTATGTACTGAATATATAATTGGTAAGTTGGATATTGATTATTGATATTAACTAGTAATGATTTTACTGGTTAGCCAAATTTTTTAGTTGAAGGTCGCGACATCTCACTACGACTAACTTTGTTTGTCCGACATCACCAATAGCACACCCAAAGTCCATACGACATTTTTCTTCCAATCTCATAGAAATTTTTTTTTCACCAATCAATCAGTTTGGGGTATCTATAAACAGCACATTTAAGTAGTGTATTATAGTCCAAATGTTTAAATCATTACTTCAACCTATAAGGTTGAGTCCTGTGATGTCATCAGTATTGGCCATTAAACCAGTAACTTCATATATGCAATCTATTCGTTCAAATATACCCGCAACTACACAATTAGCTAATAATCTTATGAATCAACAAAAGAGATATGCTACATTAAATCAAATTAAATTTGGTAAACAAGGTAAACCAATTAAGCCATATCAAAGTAAATCACCACATTTAGATAATAATCCATTTAAAAAGGGAGTAGTATTAAGAGTTATGATTCTTAAACCAAAGAAACCTAATTCAGCTTTAAGAAAATGTTGTAGAGTTAGATTAACAAATGGAAATGTTATATCAGCATTAATTCCTGGTGAAGGACATAATTTACAAGAACATCATCTTGTATTAGTTAGAGGTGGAAGAGTTCAAGATGTTCCTGGTGTTAAATATCATTTAGTTAGAGGAGCATTTGATCTTGCTGGTGTTAATAATAGAACCACTTCAAGATCTAAATATGGTGTTAAAAAGCCTAAACAAACATAAACATAGTCATGCATCTAGTTTCATGTATATAGTAATAATAATAAATTTCATTTAATTTAATTTTTCATATTTATACAAAGTCTCTACCTAAACCCTGCCCACTTCAAATCTTCTACCACTAGCAGTCTTCCTATTTTCAATAGCTTTACCTTCATCATCAACATTTTCTGGTTTAGCTCTATTTAAAATCTTTAAGAATTCTTTAACTCTAAATCTCATACGTGAATGCATGTAAGCTTTTGAACATTTAATATGATAATGAAAGTAATTTCTAAAATATTGTATATGAGAAATACAATTATCTCTTCTATCACCTTTAACAAGATGTCTTGGGAATAATACAAAAGTTATATAACCCTTATTTTCGTCATCCTTTTTACCTTGAACATAATTAGTAATATCTAAAGGAGCTTCCTTATGAGAATATAATACTTGAGGAGCCGTTTGAACTGATCTCTTTCTAGCATCAACAAATTCTTGTAAGAATACTTTACCAAAAATTTTATCAGTTTCATCTTGAAAAACAGTACTAAATATAACAGTAACTCTATCAAATGATGGTTTAATGTATATACATTCATCTAATCCACGATATTTAATTACTAATACTTTTTCATTTTGTAATTCTTGTTGAATTTCTTCTGCATAAGTATTACTATTAGCATAAGTTTGAACTAATTCATCATATCTTGTAAAAGCTTGTTCAAATGGAGCAGCAATTGCATGTCTCTTTAATAATGCCAATTCATTAATTACTTCATTCTTTGATTCATCATCTATTGATTCAATCTTATTAGTATCTAATACTAATGAATAATTATAACCTTGTTCAATATCATTACCTGATAAAATAGTTAAAAATTCATTAAATTTTGAATATTTCCCATTCAAATATTCAACAACTCCATACTTTGCTAAATCATCATAACATTTTAAATAAATTGAAATTAATACTAAATTCTTTTCATCAGGAAATGTAGATATATGATAAGTAGTAAAGTCAAAATCAGTAATAATTCTATCGATAGATTTTAATGACTCAGAATCAGGGAAAATCCTCTCGGTCAATGTCTTTTGCACCAACAAGTTATGAGGCTCTATTTGTAACATGTTTGATTTATAATGTTGGGGTCAATTGGGTCAATTGCTTATAGTCCTGTTGGCTCCTATCACTATTTCCATAGTTAAACATCGCCAACCTCGCCAGCCGAAAAAGGGGAGGTGCGGTGTGGAAACATCTGTCTATGTGCAGGATTTATTCAATCATTAATTAACTGTACAATTGTCAAGTGTAGCTAGTACTATTATTAGTAAATTATTAATGTATGCTACATTACTACTCAAACTGATAGAATGATTACTAGGTTGGAGCGCTACCAATGTAGTTATTACTATTACTACTAAATTAATATGCTAAGTACTACTAAATTAATATGCTAAGTACTACTAAATTAATATGCTAATTACTATTGCGCTTGAAGCTTTTCATGAAGCATATTTAACTTCAATTGAGTTAATCTCATAATCTCCTCTACTTCTTGTTTGGAATACTTCAGACTAACAAATTTAGTACCTTTGTTCTTCTCTACAACTTCTTCTTCAATATCTTCACTACTCACATTAATCTTTTGATTACTAACTTTATTAAGCCAATCCCATAATTCAACTTCATTTTGCATTTTGATTCTTCTATCCTTAAGTGATGTATCAACTGATGGAATAACCAAATATTTATCATTATTAATCTTAATTCTCGATGTAATATGTTCATTATCAAGTATAACCACATTAGATCTTGATCCAATATGAGTAATACCATGAAACATATTAGAAATTATTAAGAATCCAATGAAAAATATTATATATCCCACCATACTTGAACTTACAAATGGTATAGGAATCAATTTACCTAATGAATCAATAAAAGCTGTGAATTGTTCAATGGCTGACTTTTCTAATTGAGGTGGAGGAGCTAATTTTTCAAATGTTGGTTGTTTAATAACAGTATTCTTTCTACTTCTACCACCTTTCTTCTTGGATTTACTTACCTTAGATTTTCCACCAGCTCCAGCTGAAGAAATGATTTCATTTAATGTATCAATCATAACCTTCATAGATTCCTTTTGTCCATCAATACTACCTTTTTCAATGGCTCCTTTAATCCATGATTTACCTGACCATTCAATTGTTGTAACAACATAGAGTTTTGTATAATTGTTTTCGGCCCAGCTGAAAAACATTTTAGTTATAATTTTAAATGAATTACCACTAGGAACATCTGGTGTTTGAGTGGTTTGTTCTACCAAGATATATTTATCTGGTTGAAACTCAACCAATTTATCTTCAATTACACATTTGGTTTGTTTGGGTCCAATTGGTCCTGATAATGGTTTAATATAAGTATAATTTCTTTGTTTAGACTTAGTTGATAATTCCGTTATATTAGCTTCTTCAATATCAAAATTTCTTTGAGTTTTTAAAATCTTTATATATTGAGAAGTATCAGCACCAAATAATAATAAAAATACAACTCCTACAGGAGCTCTTAAAGTATCTTCAGTTATAAAAGTATCATTTGGTTGTTTAGAATATCCATTTTCAGTTGGAGCATGATTTAATGGACCTACACTTGGTAAACCTTTAAAATCATTACCATTACCATTACCTGAATTTGCAGTCTCTTCATTACCAGAATGGTGTTTTTCAGAAGGACTTGATTCATCATTATCTGAATCATTTTTACCATCATGATTATGATCTAAATTATCATGATCATGATGTAAATCATTATTTACAGATATGGAATTAATACTATCATCAAAATCTTCATCATCATCATCATCTACATCAATATCTCGATCACCATCCAGGGCACTTAAAACATGATCAATATTACTATCATCTTCATCAGATAATCCTACAGAATAATCATCACCATATTTTTCATGACTAAATGATTTAGATGTTAATGAAGATTTAGAACCATTTCTTTTACCATTAAATAATTTAGTTGGATCAATATCAGAATTTTCAAGTAACACTTTATGCCAAACTGTTGTAATTAAATTAAAAGTTGAATCACGACTTAAAAAAGTTGCAAAAATATGTTTATGATGTAAAGTTCTAATAATCATTCCATTTTTAAATAATACTGCTGTTGATTTCTTTTCAATTTGTATAACTTCTTGTAATGGAATCATTAAATTTGTTACCCAACCTAAAATATTAGAATTGAAACATATATAATGACTACTAAGATACATTCTTCCTTGAACTAAAATATCTTTAGATAATGCACAACTAAAATCATCAATTAATGGATCATTAGGAGGTAATTTCTTAAAAATTTGATGAAAATCCAGATTTCTCTTGGCTGAAGCATATTTAAGATTAGAATAATCAATAATTTGATCTAAATCTTCTTGATCAGACAGATATTCTTCACCTGACTCATTATCACTATCACCAGTTTCTTCACTTCTAGATTTTGAATCAGTTTTATTACTTTTAAATTTTACTAAATCATTAGATAAGTTCATACTGGTAGTAATAATTCCATTATTTATATTATTAGTGGTTATTGATTTTCTTCTTACTTTTTTATTTTCATTAATTCCGGCTGTAGATAATTGATTATTAAGGGGTAATTGTCGATTAACAATATCCGGACTTAGAGCTCGCTTAATACCATTAGAATTATTATTACCATTCTCATTTGAATGAATAGGAGTTATTGTTAAACCTCTTGTTCTTGATTCAGATCGTCTACGAATTCCTGGAATAGTTTCTAAATTAGAATCAGCTTTTAATTTGTTATTGGTAGAAGAATCAGGAACTCCAAATGCTGATAAATTTAAATCTCCATTACCTAAAGTATTTATAGGAGATTCTCTTACTGAACTGAAATGAACATTAGATGTAGCAATTTCATCTTCACTTCGATTTTGACTATTTATTGCTGATGAAGGTTCATGAATTAATGGTGTACCTGATTTTGGACGTTCTTCTTCTTCTTCTTCCATTGAAGATTTCGATGTAAATTTCGATGGTTTAAGAAGAAAATCAAGCTTAGATGAAAAGGAATGATCTTTCTTACTTGAACTATTAGATGATATTGGTCGTATATGTTCACCACTTAATCGAGATTCTCTTTTAATTGATTGACTAGTGGATTTATTAGGATTACCTTCATAAGCTGCTACGACATTTTGAGCTACCGATAAAATAGATGATATTAATCCACTTGATTTAGGTTCTGGATGTTCTAATTCAAGTTCATGTTCATTATTATTAACGGGTGATAATTCATCAACTTCAGGATTGAATTGAACAGGAGGTGAAGGTGTTATCGGACTATTCATTGAATATCGCGAGATTATACTCTGACGTTTAGAATTGGGATTGGAATTAGATGTGGAATGTGGAGTAGAAATTGGGTTCTGATTGGGATTGGAAGGAGTTGAACTACTGCCAGCTGTTTTAAATGAATTAGATCTGGATCTATTAACCACCTTACCATACACGGGACTTAATGTATTCAGCTTATTGGTTAATACAAGACCCGGAGTACCGGTTGAATTGGATCTACCTCTTGTTCTAGATTTATTCACAGTATGAATAGAATCAATAGCAGGTAATGAAATTGCCGAAGTATCCTGCAAGAGGAGATTGCTACTACCATTCTTCTTTTGAGATCTTTTCTTTGATAATGAAACCATATCCCCATAAACTAAAGCAAATAAAGTAATGTAAAACTAGACGATACTATAAGCCACCACAAGGTAAAATAGGAGAGTGAGAATGTTGCTGTTATTTGAAATGGTTTGGTTAACCGATAATGTCGTCCTATTCGTTAATGAACTTCTCACACAATATAAACGATAATGAAATGCAATCACAAAGTATGAGCTAGTACTGCCAACAACGTGACAATAGTAAATATTGCGAGTAATATTTAGTGATTAGTAAACCCGTTACGCAATTGTTATTGTGAGTTTACTTAAACAGTAAATATTCCGCTTATATAACAAAATGTACTACAGTTATATTTAAGTTAATTAGCTGTCGTATAAATTTCACTCAGACAAAAAAAAAAGACGCAAAGTGCGGAGGAGGTCTGCTGTACATAAAGAGACGTAGTTAGTGGATAGAAATGTATGTGTAAAAATTATTAATGGGAGTATGCGGTGCGAGGCTGATAATGAGATAATGACATAATACTTTTGGCTGCTTATATCTAACTAGAGTGGGGCATGGGCATACTGGAGCTCTAAGCTCCTTTACTTTTACATAGTCTAGTGAACCCAGTCGCGTGGGTTTTCTGATAAATTAGCTATACAATAATGTATGCTTAATAATTCTGATATTTAGGGTATGAGTTGTAATTTCAGTTTGTAGAGCTGGTCATTTTCATATAGAGTATAACCTTATATATATATATATTTAATTGCTTACTTGCCAGTAACTCGTTCCCCTCCGCAGATCTGGCTCGAAGCTTATTTAAGATTATCTTTAATATGACGGAATTACTGCCAAATATGGAATGCGCATTCTCATGCAAGCCGGATTGCAGCGGCTTAGAAGATATAATTGTGATTTAAAAAGTATTTATTAAAATATATGAAAAATACAAAACAAATTAGTTAAAAGGGTAACGGAGGTGAGAATTGAAGAATATAATTTTGTACTAACACTTTTAAATGAAAATCAAACTTTTGAAAACTTATCTAATTGAATAATGGAGCGAATAATGCATTGGATTGGGCACTTAATTCAGTATTGGCATCATAATCAATAGAGAAAGCAGAAACTGTGGTTTGACAACTTCCATAAGCAAGAACGTAGTTTTCAGATGGTAAAGAACAATCACCATTGTAACAAGCAGCAAGAGCATCCCAAGAGGAAGAGGTCCAAACAAATGAATTAGAAGTAGCATTGTAATACATATCAGCACCGGCAGCAGCTAAACCAGAGAATCTAGTATTAGTCCATTTTGGAGAAATACAAGTTTCATTTTGATAACCAACAGGTGGGAAGTTAACATTGTAACCAACACCTAATGGCAAAGCTCTTTCATTGTCACCTTGAGATTTAAACAAAGTGTCAACTAATTCGGTGACTAATCCAGCATAAATAGTAGATGGTTCTAAAGTATCATTAAGATCTAAGAAATCAGTGTATAAAGAATTGTTACCATTAGAACCAGAAAAAGCAATAGCTGGAATATTTCTGTAAACTGAGTTATAAGTAGCACCCATAGTACCAGAAATAGTGTAGAAAGCTCCTGGATTAGTACCTTCATTTGGACCAGAAACAACTAAATCAGGTCTGAAATCTTCAGATAAGTTAAAGTGAACTGGGAAGACATAAGTTAAAGCAAATGCAACAGCTGAAGCAGGAGTACCATTGAAATACCAAATGTGATCATCAAAATCTTCATGACCCCAAGATGGAGCACCAGCCTTAACATAACCAAATTCACCATCAGTTTGTAAAGTAGGAGAAGTTGGAACATCGAAACGACCACCCCAACCAGATCTTTGAGAAACTGGAGCAACTAAGTAAACTTCATGACCAGCTTCTTTCAACTTATAGTATGTAGCTCTAATGTTTGTAGAGATCCAAGAATCATCATTAGTTAAAAGAATATTCTTAGCGAGAGTGGCAGTAGCCAAGAATAATAAAGCAAGATATTGAGTTAATTGCATTTTTCTTAGTTTCGTTGATAGAACAAAAAAAATATTAATAAAATAATGTATATTAAAATAGAGGAATTTTTCAGCTATTTATAATACTTGGATTGGGATCCCTTATAAGCTTTCATTGATAGATATGCCCTATAGTCATGGTGAAAAATTCGATATATTCCAAACGAAGTAGAACAAACCCGATATACCCAGAAAATTATATAAAAGTAACACAAAAAATACGAATTCTGCCAATTAAGAGGTCGATTCAGGTCAAAAATTTACTTCTCTATTGATTTACAGCTAGTAGAACGGCTCTAAATGTGTCTTGCAACAAGAACAGACATTGTGCAGGATATATTTATTTTGTGATCCAAGAATGCGCTGGACCTGCATGGTAATCCCCCACCCACGTTTTGTTATATAACTGTTTACCAAATGCAAGTAATTAGACCAAAAACGATCAAAGGGAAAACAATTGATTAATGAAGCATTCGACTTTGAATAGATTGAAGAGTTCAGCACATCGTAGTTACGTTTTAGTTTTTTCTTGAGCTGAAGTTGGATGACAGCATTGTAGGACATCAGTCAGCACCAACTCTTTTCCTGTAGTTTGCTGACGTTTCGCAGCTTTGTATAAGAATAAAAGGGGGCTAATAGGGGAGGCTGTTTGGTTTGAAAATAATTTAGCAGTCAAATATTCTTGGCTTTTTGCGCTTTAGTTGATTTTGTTCAGGGCTACTTTACTTATTTAAAATTTCATAGACCTATTATTTATAAGTTATTGGTTCAAGTTAGTGTTACATCCAGCTCATGGGGTAGCTCATGAAATTTCAGCAGTATAAAACAAATTTGTTATAGTTTAATCATAATTTAAAGTAGAGAAGTTAAAATGCTCCTATCCTATTTAAGATACATTGTTACCTATTTTGTGCCGTAGTGTAGTTCGGAAGTTTTGCTTGAAGTAATTTTACATGCATAAGTGATCCAACTGGTTACCTCCGGTTTGAAATAATGAAAGGATGCAAGAATTTTTCTTGGTATTTTTATTCCTTATTCTCTACATCTTAAGAAACATGTTTACCAAAATACTGTATGTTCAGATAAAAAACGTTTTGTAATTTGCTTCAAAATTTTAATCAATATAATTTCTGGACTTTTCAGCAAGCAATCAGAGTAAGCCTCATATTCCTTGAAATATTAATACTATGTTCAAACTTACTCTCATGAATACATAAAACTAGTACGGCTCTGAAAATACTAAAAAACCTTAAGCCTTCTTCACATGGTAGAAGGGCCCATTTTCCCGTTTCTTTGCGGAAGCACAGACAGTTATGTAAATTGTTGCAATTTAGTGCATGATAATTAATTAATAGGACAATAACAATGCAATTGCCCGAAATTAAATTAATATTGTTTTTTAACCAACTACGTTTGGATGCAACCCAACAAGAGTTGTTACGAGATGTATGTTTATTCCGGTGGAAGAGAAAATTCGGCCCGTACTGTCACTTTCAATTTTTTACTTTTTGTTTAACACCATTACTTCTATCAAATTACTAAGCATTTCTTCTTCGATTTACTCTGTAGTAATGGTATATAGTTAATCGATGGAAATATTATTTTAAAAACAAAGAGATGGCAAATTATAAATCTGGGCAAATATAGAGGGGTTCTACTTCACTCTGTTTTAAGCCCTTACTTCTTGATATAATCTTATAAATTCTCTAACAATCCTCACAGTATATTCTATAAAGCCTTTTATTAAGGAAGACTCTATCAATAATGATAAATGCAAATATATGAATGAATATAACTACAATTATGTATGTCACCTGATCGAAAGACACATGACTGATATCTTATAAGGAAAAATATAATCCCAGCCCTCTTCTCGTTTGGTTTCTCCACTATTTCCACTAATTATTCCACCTCGGTTTCAGCCATACATTTCTAAAGATTGGAACAAGCACACGACCTGATTGATCAACAAAAGTCATTTCCAATAGATAAATCCATATTTACGACGATAATATTAACTACTTTATGTACATAAATTACAAGAATTAGTTATAAATAATTTAGAACTTCTTCTTAGTGAATATACTAATTAAATTGAATTGAAAATTTATTGATTAATTGATAATATCCCCTTAAATTCCTTAGACTAATACGAAGTATATCTATAATGGCTATCTTCTCATCATTAGCATCATTTTTTAATCGTCACAAGAGGAAAATCCTTATTACATCTGCTGCTACGATCTCAGTATATTACTTAATTAATCAATTTATAATTAAGAAATTTAGAGATTATCAGAATTCTTTAAGACAAGAATATATCTTTAAGCAACAGATTAAACAGAGATTTATTCAAACTCAACAGGATTGTTATTATACTATACTTGCATTATTACCTGTATTGACATCACCAATAATCGAGCATTTACCGGTCGAATTAATTACGCAAGCATTGAGATTAAAGAAAAACACGTCATCATCACAGCAACCTCAAACGATAGCACATGATACTAATGGAAATACAACTATTAATAGTGAATTAACTACAGATAATTTAAATATTTTGGATAATAGTAATAATAGTGGTAGTAATAATAGTAACAATAATAATGAGAAATCTAAATTGAATGTTTATTTAAATAAATCAAAGGTGGAATTATGGAATTTATTAAAAATTCAAACTATAACTAGAACGTTGACATTATTATATTCTATTTCGGGTTTATTATTGGTGACAAGATTACAATTAAATATTCTTGCTCGGAGATCATACTTAGAATCAGCTATAATTATGGCTGGGGCTAAGCCTACTCAAACCAATCCAGACATCAATCCACATGATAATTACATTGTTGAGCAAAGTTATTTATCATTAAGTTGGTGGTTATTAAATAAGGGATGGCTTAATTTAAATTCATATATTGAACCAATTGTGATTGAGAAGTTTGCTCAAATAAATCCTAAGAATGAATTAACGATTAATCAATTTGATGGCATTTTACAACAATTAATTAAACAAATAAATCACGAACATAGAGATAATGTATTAAGAAATTTATTTCCCAATAATTATGATGACTTGATTGAATCTATCTTAAATACTAATCCAAGTCTTACCAATCAATTGGATTTACCTGATTCAAATTTTACAAAATTAATTAGTGAAACGAGTCACATAATGATAAATGATCCATATTTTTTTAGCTTATATTCCAACTTAGTCTCCAATGGATTAAGTACTTTAATTGCTAATTTATCTTTAAATTTAAATCATGGTGGAGGATCTAGTAGTTTATTAGTTTCATCAGGAAATAACTTAAAGGAAGGTGAACAATTTTCAGAAGAATTATTGCTTAGTAGTAATAGTATTAAACCTTACAAATTAGCTAGCTTTTTAGCTCAATTATCGATTCAAAATGGTATATTGATTGATAATGATAATCTTAAAGATGAAGATGAAGATAATTCCAATCAATTTAATGATGATGATATTGAAGGATTTATTAATACATTAGCAAATAATGATGGAATCTTTAATTCACCATTAAATGAAAATAAAGGTAATAGTCATTTATCTGGGAATGTTTATCTTAACACTTTAAATGAAACAGAGGAATTAGACGAATTCAGTGCTGGTATTTATTCCAACTTTGAATAAATTAGTTATTCATAGAGTTTATATATATATATATTCAATACAAATACTAATAATACTCCGTAACATTTTTTTGCCACTATCTCATAGTCTTATTGGTACTTATCAAAAGTTCGTAAATCTATTAATATTTTTTAAGATTCCTGTGATCGGGGTATTTCGATGATTTCAATTTTAAATTAATTAATTTGAATGATTGATTGATTGATTGATTGATTCATTCTTCTCAACAATAATGGCTCGTCCTAAGGTAACCTTAGTGTCTTCTGATGGTGAGACGTTTATAGTTGAACAGAGAGTTGCAGAAAGGTCAATTACAATCAAAAGTGCCATTGAATTCGCGGGAGTTGATGGATTAACTGCAGATATAGAAATACCCCTACTTATTGAAGGTAAAGTTTTGAAGAAAGTAGTAGAATGGTGTGAACACTATAAAACTACAAAATTCCCTGAACCTGACGAAAATCAAGTTGATGTACTAAGTCGTCCTCCTGTTCTAACAAAATGGGATAACAAGTTCTTTAGGCTTTGTTTTGAACAAGATATGATGTTTGAAATTATTATGGCTGCTAATTACTTAAATATTAATCAATTACTACATGTAGGATGTACCACTGTTGCAAACATGATGAAAGGTAATTCTACTGAACAAATAAGAGAACTCTTCAATGTACCTAATGATTTCACCCCTGAAGAAGAAGCAGCCATTAAAAGAGAAGACCGATGGACGAAATAGTTAATTAATAGTTATAAAAGTTAATTAATAGTTAACAGTTAACAGTTAATTGTTAATAGTTAATAGTTACTTATTTAGGAATAGTATTTATAGAAAATAGTAATTGTTTTAGTCGCACCCAGTACACTTGTCTGGCATACTGGAACCCTCATAATCGTACTTGTTCTTGCTTGTCGTGATAGTCGAAAAAATGTGGCAGTAAAATATCTGAAACACTTAGTTGTTTCCCACCATTTTTTTTATTACGCCTAGTGATTTTATATAAAGGATTGGTAGGATCGTTTTCCAGAGTTTCCAAAATTTAATCTTTATTTGATTGATTGAGTACCACACAAGTTAAGTTACATCACCATAATATATCATCAAAATGTCAACACCAAAGATTATAATTATATCGTCTGATGAAGAGAAGTTTACAGTTGATCAGAAGGTTGCTGAAAAGTCAGGAGTTCTTAAGAATATGATTAATGATTTAAATCCTGATGGATTAACTGAAGACTTTGTAGCACCTACTCCAAATGTTAGAGGTATTGTATTATCAAAAGTTTTAGAATGGTGTGAACATCATAAAAATACCGTATTCCCTGATGAAGATGATGAAGATGCTAAGAAGACTGCTCCTATAGAAGAATGGGATAGATCATTTTTTAAAGTTGATCAAGAAATGTTGTATGAAATTATTCTTGCTGCTAACTATTTAACCATTACTCCATTAAGAGATTGTGGATGTAAGATTGTTGCTGAAATGATTAAAGAAAAGTCACCAGAAGAGTTGAGAAGAATTTTTAATATTACTAATGATTTCTCTCCTGAAGAAGAAGCTGCTATTAAGAGAGAAAATGAATGGGCTGAAGATCGTTAAGTGTTTAAGTATGAATAACTAAAGTTCAGTATTGTTAATTTTACATAGCTTATTTCATCTATTTCATCTAAATGTATTTATGTTCTACGATATATTATCTACGTAATAGTAACAGTTGTGTAGTTGTGTAGTAGTATGACTATGACTATGACCATATAGGGTTAAATTATTGTCCCTGTTCGCACGACCATTCCCACCAGCAATTAAATTTTTATAATCGATTTATCGCAAAAGTGTTCCATTTCCCAATTTAGAACAAAAGCACTATCGATGCAAAGTGTCTGAATTTAACACTGTCTGATTAATTTGTCATATAGAACTTCTAATCGAATTAGTCAACAATACATTTTCCAGTTATAAGGCCCATTTTATATTGTTAGTAAAGAAATCAGACAATTATACGATAGGTAAAAGTAAGAAATATTTCGCTACCATTTCCATCAATAATTTAACAATAGATATTAAATATTAAATTCAATAATGTCACATCAACAAACTGACCATAATAATAATAATGACAGTCGTAGTGAAGTAGATGAACATGAAGATCATGAAGATCATGATTTATTTACTGAAACCTTGACAAAAATCCCTAATTTAAGTGTCGAACAATTAACAAATTTAGAAGAAGAACTTAGTCAAGAATTTAAATTTGTTAGTAAAAATTATATTACATCACGACTTTCACGAATAAATAAATTAATTGAAAGAATTAATAGTCTGATTAAAATTGCTAATGCGAACGATCGTAACTGGCTGCGGATTTATAATTTTGAAGTTGAGACTATTAATAATATTAAGACAAATACTGAGGATTTAATCCTTATGAGTATGAAACAGATTGAAGAAAAACTGGATATACTTAAGTCACTTGATGAGTATGAAGAAGAGTTACGAGAAGTTGTAAAGAATCTTCAAAGTCCCTTGGCATTTGATGGAACTTTGGGTGAGATTAATAATAAAGAAGATAATGATGCAATTAGTAGGCATACTAATTCTAATACTAATACTACTAGTTCTAATAATAATGGGAATGGTAATGGTAATGGTAATGATAATGGTGAACATGATCCAAGTCACCATGATCATTCTAAATTACCATTTCCATACTTATTCGATAAATTCTTTAAACCACATAAGAGTGGTTTAAAGACAATAGTTAATGAAAATGAATATCAATCCAAATTACTTCGAGATAATTCTCTTGGAAATTCCACTATAATTTGGAAGAGATATTATTATGAATTAATGCAACGTAAACAAGCAATGATATTAAAGACTTATGATGAATTAAATCAATTATATAATGATTATCATAATGTTAATTATAATGAAAAGACTTCTCGACAATGGAAACATTATTATAGAACAGTATTAAATCTTAGTGATACTAAATCAGCAGTTGAAGATTCCTTTACAATTAGACAAAATGCTACAATAAATGAATTTAATCATAAACCAATTCCTGCATCAGTAATTGATACTACAAATACTAGTAATGTTAAAGATCTAATTCAAAGTAATAAGGATACTAATTATATTAATCTTGATAGTCAATATCTTCAAAAGAATAAGTATGAATTGACTCATCTTAAACGAGGTATTATACAAGCAGCAGTAGATTTTGAAAATTCTCAAAATTCTCATCAATTAGAGAGTCAAATAGAATTACATCACCCTCGAAAGAAAGTTAAGTTGAATGAATTCTCCGGATTGACCAATAGTGAGATTGATCTGGATTTACAATTATTAAGAAAGGAAATCAATAAAGCAAATAAAGGTGAAGGTGAATCCGAGGTTGAAGATATTGCAATCACACAAGGAGAAGTAGTTGATAAATCTATTGGTGATGAAGATCAACAAAATGATAGTGAAGCTTCAGATAATGATAATGATAAAGATAAATATGAAGGAGAAGGAGAAGGAGAAGGAGAAGAGGATGAAAGTGATGAAGATAGTGAAGAAAATCATGAACCCGAAGTTAAAGTAGAAGAAACTGAAGAAGAGATATTACTTAAACAAAAATACAAACAACTTTTAGGTATACGGTCTACACTGGTAGGTTCATCGTTTAGAATACCTTTATTACCTCCTATAGATAAATTTCCTACCATCTCACCTTGAGAATGTTAGTTCAAGTCTATATATATTTAGCAATACTAATACTAATACTAATACTAATACTAATACTAATACTAATACTAATACTAATACTAATACTAATACTAATACTAATACTAATACTAATACTAATACTAATACTAATACTAATACTAATACTAATACTAATACTAATACTAATACTAATACTAATACTAATACTAATACTAATACTAATACTAATACTAATACTAATACTAATACTAATACTAATACTAATACTAATACTAATACTAATACTAATACTAATACTAATTATTCCTTTTCTAATAAAATACTGGCATTTTTCAAACTGGCCTCTTCTACATTGATATCCAATGATTCTATAAACTTAAATGCCTTTGCTGAACTATTTGATAAGATAAATCTATCATTAGATGATAATCCGTATTCATCAGCATGCTCTTGTAGAACGTATTTGAGCCATTGAAAGATTATTAAGATTGTATCACTTAAATTAAATTTATGAACTAATCTCTTACCATTAGGAAATCTAATTTGAATTCTTGTAACTGCTCCATTTGATGGTTCTTGATGATCAATGGGTTTAATTTGATCAAATGGATCGATTGATTCTGGTTCCTTTTCATGTTCTGGTTCTTGTTCAATTTGTGGAGATTCTTGATCATCATCACCTTCACCTTCACTATCTTGACTATCTTCAATAGGAATTGCATCATTAACTGAATTACCTCCATTAGCAAGAATAGATTGTTTTAATGCATATTCAATTTGTTGTTCTTCAGAAAGAGTATCTGGATCAAATACTACTTCATGTTTAACAGTAGGATTTTTAGAATCAGGATGTAAAGAGAATTTACTTAAGAATTCTTGAACATCATCAATCCATTTATCAGTGGTAGGAACTTCACCATCTTTCCATTTTAATACTCTTTCACCAGTTAAAGGATCTAATATAGCAATATGAGGAAAAGATTCAACTGAATAAAAATTAGTATAACTTATACCATTAGGAGAATCATGATGATATTGTAAAAAGATAAAATTTTCTTTAATTATAGATTTTATATCTGATTTTGACCAAAAATCTCGATTTAATACTTGAGATTGGAAATCGGTTGCATCTTGAATATTAATTAAAATCCATTTATTATTTGCTTTACCTTCTTGTTTTGCTGTATCTATATTAATTGGACTAATAATATCAAATGGTGGTCTAAATAATTCTGCCAATCGTCTTTGAGTGGCTGTTAATTCATTAATTCTAGATTCTCGTAATCTACGTCTACGGGATAATGGTCTATCTCTTTCATGTTCATGTTCATCTGAATCAATTATCATAATCTCATCATCTTCATTATTATTATCTTCATTATCATATCCATATCCATAGTCATTAGTATTGGCATCATGATATTCTTCATCTGAATCAGGTGAGTCTCTTCTTTCCATCGATCTATAATATCTATTTTCTTCTTCATCAAATCTTTGATTAAATACTCCTCCTCTTGATGTTCCAAACATATCGGTAGGTAAATTACTTGGACCAGAATAATGAAAATTCGATTCTATTAATTGTTCATGTCTATGGACAGTTGAATCTGCTTCTCTTACAGTTGATTCTCCATACGCTTCTTGTTGTAATCTTTGAGCCAATTCTTCATCTTCATTATTATTATTATTATTGCTATCAGTTATGGTGGGTGCAACTTGAGGATGATTTGATTCCATGAATAATGTTACGGCATATTCCAAATCTCCATTAGTTAATTCAAGAAATTGTTTGGCTACTGCCTCATCTTCAATGCCTGTCACAGCAAGAAATGTCGGGATTTGTTCTTCCATTATTATGTATTGAATAATCTTTAATTGATGTATATCATAACGAATCGATCATATATTGACCTGTTTCCGGTAAGAGGCAAAAAGTCGTATTTATTTATTTATTTGCTTGTTTTGTTGCGACATAAGATATCCCTCCCTCATGTCTCTGTCTCTGTCTCTGTCTGCGTCGTTTGTCTATTTTTCTGCGTCTTGTCTTGTCTTGTCTTTGTCTTTTTTGTTTCTTTTTCTCGCTTTTGTCGCATTGTCTCCAGACCCAACGATGCCGAATTGGGTAAATGAATCATTGCTGGCTGGGACCATCGCACATTCACTACGACACTTTTATACTTTTACTTATATTTATACGAAGTACAATCATATTAACAGAGGGAATAGCACAATAGCATAATACCAGATAGTAGTTATATACAGCACAGACAGATCATTCTATCTTAAACGAAATTATAATCGTCCCATTCCAACTTTGTAGACAGTTTTCATTAACAAGTGTCCGATCGAGTCTACCCCAACTTGTTGTGAATCAGTCAGTCAGTCAATCATTTCGGAAATCTCCATATCGATCCGGTTTATATATCAACCTTGTGTCTTACTACCAATACTTGATTTATACTTGACTTGTCTTACTGCGTCATCCGTTTAACTATACCCAAACATACAAACTACTACTACTCATTTCAACGACTCAAATTACTCATAGATATATCAATTTACGACTTTTCAGCATATTATATTATATTATATTATTATATTTATTATTATTATTATTATTATTATCATTGTTTATTTAATCACTTTATGACCAACTAACGAATTCAGCCTTTTACTTAATCTTGTTATATTACTTATTGCATCTTATTGTTCAATTCCATTAGGTTAGCTATTATATTATTATTATTATTATTATTATTATTATTATTATTATTATTATTATAACTATTATAATTATTATTATTATCATCATTATCATTATTTTCATTATCATTAATATTTTTTTTACTTTTATTCTGACATTCATTTCGTATCCACTACATCTACCATGGACGAATATGAAAGATACGACCATGGTGCGTTGTTGAGAGATCGATATCAAAAATGTGGAGACATTAGTGAAGGTTCTTATGGTTTAGTATCACTTGCTAAAGATACTTTACATAATGATATTCTTGTTGCTGTTAAATTCATTTATCCAATAGGTTATAAACGAGATGGAGGAGGAGATAATGATAAAGAAAAAGATCAACGACCATCTTCAAGTCCTGCTAAACTTCGATCTCCTAATTCAAAGCCAAAAGGTTTTAAACATAATAAAGATTCCATACTTAATGGACTTTATCAAGAGGCAGAGAAAGAAATCAAGATCCATAAGATTCTTGGATCTCATGCCAATATTTCTACATTGTATGATCATTTTGATTCTTATTTAATTTTAGATTATTGTTCTCGAGGTGATTTATATGAAGCAATTCATAATTTTAATGGTCCAACAACCACTCAAGATATTAAAGATGTATTTCAACAAATTTTAAATGCTTTAGAATTTTGTCATAATCATGGAGTTTATCATCGAGATTTAAAACCGGAAAATATTTTAATTACTGAAGATTGGTCAATTAAATTATGTGATTGGGGGTTAGCAACTACTAATAAAATTATAACTGATAAAGATGAATTTGATGTTGGATCTGAACGTTATATGGCTCCAGAATTATTTGATTCTGAATTAGATAATTATGATGCTTCAAAAATTGATCTTTGGTCAATTGGAGTAATTTTATTAACTTTAGTATTTCATAAAAATCCTTTTCAAGTAGCAAATTATTCCGATAAAAGATTTATTCAATTTGCTGGAAATCGAGAAGTGTTATTTGATATCTTTCCCCGTATGAGTGGTGATATGTTTAAAGTTTTAAGATCTTGTTTAAATATTGATCCGGATAATCGTAGTTTACAAAATACAAAGAATGATTTAGAAGAACTTCGATATTTTACAATTGATGAAGAATATTGGGCTAGTGATTATGAAGAAGATGATGGAGAAGATGAATATGTTGAGAATGAAAATGAGAATGACAATGACCATGAAAATGAAAATGAAACTGAAGAAATCGATTATAATTATAAGAGAAATGATATTCTTGGTCAATCACCATTAAAACCAAGATTTGTTAATGAGAAAACTTCTCAAGAAAAAGTTTCTTCTTCATTATCTACTACTGATAATGATTCTAATCGTATTAAACATTATGGTAATATAGAATCTCAATCTCGAGTTTTAGATGATTTCCCAATTCCTCATAATCATAGAGCTGATGCACTTCTTTCAAGTACAACTAATTTGAAACCAATTCCAATTGGAAGCTTTGGAGGTGGAGGTAATAAATTTAGAAATACTAGAAAACCATTTAATGTAGCTTCTTATAATCAATCACAAAATTTAAGAGTTCAACAATCAAAGTTTAATAGAGAAGATTTCTTTACCCCCAAATCAGTTTTTAATCATTATATGGATAAATATGGTGAACAAAGATTTAATAATATTGATAGTAAAATTCATGAAAATTTACCATCAAATGGGGATGGTAAAAAGAGGAAACTTCGCTCTTGGAAGAAAAATTATCGAAAGAATAAACCAAGAAGTAGATCTGGTAGACGTCAAGAACATTCTTCTCAATATCATCATGGGAAGGATGAAACTTCTAGTCAAAATAATAATAATAATCAAGGAACTTCTCATAAGAGAAAGTCTAGACTGTTTTCTGCTACAAAAGCTAGAAAATTCATTGGAACTCCTAGTAATGTTAATGCTACCAACAGTAATAATAATACCAATGGTAATGCAGTTGCATCTACTTTCCATCTGTTAGCTCCAGGAACGCCTCATTCTTATGGCTCATCTACTGGAAAATATGCTCCTCCTCATTTAAGATCTCCTACTTATGCTAGATCTCCTGTTATTGAACCGGTAACTGAAGAGATGCTGAGATTAAATTTGAATGATGAGGAAGTATTCCATTTGGAAGGGGATTTTGAATTAAGTGAAATTGATAAATTGAAATCTGAAAATGAAAGTAGTAGTGGTTATGGATACTTTAAAAAACCAGCTTATAAAAACAATAATAATAGTCATAGTAGTCATATTTTAATATCTGAAAATGATAAAGTAGTTCAAGTTACAAATGCTATTAGTGAACCGATTGTTCCTAATACTACTATTGTTAATGGTCATAGTTTTAAGAATACATTTATGGGTCAAAAATGGCCAATATCTGCTCAGGATAGTATATCCACTCTTTCTTCTTCAGCCAATTCTGTTAATGGTAAATATGTTCCACCATTTAGACGAGGTTCGATATCACATCAAACTCCAGCAGTTCCAGTTCCAACTTCATCTGGTACACAATCAGTTCAAGTTCCAATTCCTAAATTTTCTAAAAAAGGTAAGGATGATATAAGTCATTCTAAATTTCTTCCTAATGGATCACTTCCTTCTGCCATCTTAAGTGGAACATCTTCAGTGAATGGAAGTGATGGATCTTTCTATAGAAAAGAATGGAGTGATTATGAATAGTTTATTGATAGTTTAATTAAAAAGATCAGTTTAAGAAAAATATACATATACGACATAGTTTATTATACTAATAATTATACTATAGAAGATTCTATCTTTACTGTAGACGATACTATCTTTTGTAAAATATCTTCCTTCTCTTCATGGGTTGGAATAATTCTATTATTAACTTCTCCCAGACTTTTCCTATGATTAAAAATAGCTAATGCATCATCAAATTCAAACTTCTTAACAAGCTTAGTGTAAAAGAGTCCACATGCATTACATAGAGGTCCTGAACCAGGGGGACCTTTTCTCCATTCAGGAGTATCTACACATTTACAATGGACACATACATCTACTGTTTTCTTTCTAGTGTATTTCCTTTTGGGTCTTATAACTTTCTTCTTCTCTCTTTTCCCACCTTTACGTTTACTAGATTGACTTGGAGATTTAGTAGAAGCATTTGAAGATATATCATTTGATGGTAATGGATTAGATACAATTATACGATCTGAATCTCGATCAATATCATCACTGTTGGTCAAGTGCAGGATGGAGCTGGTAGCAGCATACCTATACTTTAACGTATTTATCAAAGTTGAAAGAGTACCTAAATTGGCATTAACATTATAATTATCTGATAAATTAGCTGGAAAACTATTAATAAATTCCCTAAAGTTTGATTTTGTCATCATAGCAACAGAAGAATCTGCATTAATAGTATAAATAACATCGTCTCCATAAGTTACATTCTGACATAACTTATTCTCAAAACTTGCTTGTAACTCTCCTACACCAATAGAAGTAAATATTGCTCGATAATATAAATCAAGTAACCCAGTAAATACATTATTTTCCAATACCTGTAGTGATGTTATATCATTAGTATTGGGAAATGAATTAACTTGAAGATATGGGCCATAAGCTGGGATTTGGTGTTGTGTTTGGTTCTGAGGTTGATATTTAATTTGACATAGTTGTCTAGCAGCTAAAACAGAATCGGAAATGTTATCGGCAATGAGATGGGGGGTCCGACGTTCTTGAATCAGTTGGATTAGAGTTGAAAAACTGGGAAGAGTAATTTGATTGATTTGGTTATTAGTTAATGGAAACCGTTGAGTAGCAGGTGGATGAGATGTCATGATAATGTCAAGTACCGCTAGATTAAGATCTTTAGTAATAAGCACAATCACAAAAGCAATAGATAATTGATTGACACTCTCCCAATTTATTTGATCCAATTAATTGATAAAATCTATTAGCAGTATAAAATGAATTCTAGAGAAGTCTAATTAGGAAACTACAACAAAAAGTTACAATGATAGAAATGACTGCAAAACGCAAAACGGTTAAGATCCATCATAGCGCCTCGCGTGAGATAGGAAAGTTTAATATGCTGCAAAAGTTAAAGTATTTTATGCATACCCCAATTAGGAAAGTGTGCGGTGAGGAGTTTGTACCTGATGAGATGGGGCAAAAAGTACTGTACATGTGTGGGCGTGCGAGTCTAGACGATTCAACTATGTGTTTCGGATTGCTTTTGTGACATGTTTTACATTCGAGATCTGAAACATATAAATAAATTACCACTTTTCTCTAACACATATAGAGTGATATAGAATAAGTTTCAATTGTGAATCTAAAACATTTATAGTTAGTTTAGTTGCATCAAGTGTTTCATCCTCAACAGTGTTAATTAAGTATATTGAACTCTACCTTAATTATTAGTGAGTGTATGTACCAAACATATATCATTATCACCATTAATATTAATTAGATCATCGAGAAATAACTTAAACATCCCCTTACTTTAGTTCTCCTCATCTTTAAGTTATTGTCACTTGTTATACTATTGACTAATACAGACATCTTTTTCCCAATATTATTCCTATTCCTATATTAATATTAATATTGTACTTCAGTCATGACTGGAGTAACAATTAAACAAGAAATAAATGATTTAAGTCCTACAACTGAAGAAGCAGAAGATGTACAAGAATCTTTAAGATTAATTGAAGATCTTAAATTCTTCTTAGCCACGGCACCAGCCAACTGGCAAGAAAATCAAGTTATAAGAAGATATTATCTTAATCCAGATGAAGGATTTGTAAGTTGTGTATTTTGGAATAATTTATATTTCGTAACTGGAACAGATATTGTAAGATGTATTGTATATAAATTTCAACATTTTGGTAGAAAGATTATAGATAGAAAGAAATTTGAAGAAGGAATCTTTTCTGATTTAAGAAATTTAAAGTGTGGAACTGATGCTATTTTAGAACCTCCACGATCAGAATTTTTAGAATTCTTATTTAAGAATTCATGTTTAAGAACTCAAAAGAAACAAAAAGTATTCTTTTGGTTTAATGTACCTCATGATAAACTTATGGCTGATGCTTTAGAACGAGATTTAAAGAAAGAAAAACAAGATCAAAGTCCAACAACTATAGCTGTTCGAGAGCCTGCTCAATCATTTGAATATGATGAAACTCAAACTTTATATACTCAATTAGCTGAACATATGGCTAAACAAAAGAAGTTAATTGATGAACAAGAAGATAAATCATCACCAGAATATTCAACTACTACAAATCCTATATTACTTCAACCACAAGGTCAAGGACAAGGTCATGGACATGGACAAGGACAAGGACAGGGACAAGAATTTGAATTCTTAAATCATGAAACTCCCTCCCAATTTAAAGCTAATTCAGATAATGATGATGATTTCCCTCTTGATTATTTTGATACTAATGGACAAATAATTCTGGATGATTATGTTAATTTAGATACAAATTTTAAAACTGGTGGTACATCATATAATAATGTTAATGAAGAAAATTATGATTCAATAGTTGATTCATCATTCTTCTTTCAACCTTTAAGTCAAGGCGCAGGAACAAGTCAAGTTGCTTATAATGAAGAATATTTAATAGAACAAACTTTACCTATGAGAACTCCTGTATCTCAATTACCAATTCAACCTAAAATACTATCATCAAAGGAAGAAATGTTTCCACCATTTCCTAATCAATTTCAACCTCCATTATCAGCTAAATTTCAAGCATTTCCAAGAAATTCTATAACTCCTTCTCAATCCATGTTCCCCTCTCATTATATTGATCAATCTGGTCAACCAATAGTTATGCCTCCATCAGATTATCCAGTATCTTATAATATGAATATGAATATGAATATGGCATATCATGAACCAGATTATTGGTTACCAATGTATGGAGATGGAGGTCAATACGTAGTACCTAATGAACAAGAGTTTATGGTACCTGTGAATAATCCTCCATTTATGCATCTTGCCCATTCTCAATCAATAGCAAGATCTCCGTATGTAGTGTATCCCCAGTCGCATTCCATGTCTCAGGCTATGAGTTCGAGGCTTCAACAGCAACAGCAACAGCAACAGCAACAGCAACCACAACAACCACAACAACAGCAACAGCCACTTAAACACAGCAGACAGAAATCAAAGGCAGGCATTACTAAACCAGTCCATGATAATGGTACTTTGACTCATAGAGCGACTCTCGATCAAGTGATCAATAACAATAACACACGAATTGTTTCTAAAGATATCGACACTTCAGATGCATTTGATGGAGGAATTCCTACCCCAATGGCATCTACCTCTCATTTAGAGAATTAACTATAACCATTAGTGTAACTCTTATGTAATTTAAATACATGTATTACTATACTATACTATTTATAATTAGAATTATAATTCATTATTCACTATAATTCACTATAATTCACTATAATTCACTATAATACTCTACTAACTTCTTCTGAGTTATAGACAATTGCAGTAACACAATCTCCATACAATTCTTGTCATCTCCTGTCTCAACATTTACATTATTAATACTAATAATCTTACTAGCTTTCAACATTCTTCCATAACATAATATAACATATCTTCTAACATCTACATCTCGATTACTAATATAATGTCTTATCTTATCATCAATATTTGATATAAATTCATTAGAAAGTATTATAGTAATTGATTCACATTCTAATAATTTACTTAAACATTCTAATGAAAATATAAGTGATTTACATGGTGATGTATAAATTAATGATTGAAGAATTATTTCAATTATTTCTTGACTATGATATATCCCGGTTAAACATTCATCAAAGATTTCTCCTAAAATTTCTAATGAAGTATCTGCATTACAAAGATTAATTAATATTTTCCATAAACAATTAATATCAATTTTAATTCGATAAATTAATAATTGATGTAAAAGAATTAATCCATTAGAAATATCAGTTAATGAAAGTAATTCAATTTCTGTAAAGAATTCAATTAATGAATCTCTTATATCTTCTTCTTGTTGAGGATTTTGAATTTGTAAATAATCTAAGGCATGAGATATACCTCTTCTACTAATAGTTCTAGTCTTTAAACTTTGACATAACAGTTCAAAATCATGAGGTTCTTCAAGTTGTTGTTTTTCAATATCAATCTTTGATAATTGTAAATTAAACCAATTCAATTCAGAATAATCATAATCTCGAACCTTTTGAGGTGAACCTTTAAAATCTTCATATATATCTATTTGTTTATTCTTAGTAGATATATTTCGAAGTGGATCAACTTTATCAATAAAGGATTGAATTGGATCTTTAGTTTCAAGTCGAACTTGAGCCAAATCATTGGCTAGTTGATCACCTTCTACTTTTGTAACCATGAAAACATTTTCATTTTCATTTTCATTTTCATTTTCATTTTCATTTTCATTTTCATTTTCATTTTCATTTTCATTTTCATTTTCATTTTCATTTTCATTTTCATTTTCATTTTCATTTTCATTTTCATTCACATTCTCATTCTCATTTTCTTCTGATTGTTCTTGAGATAATTCATCCATCTTTTCATCTCCATCAGTATCATGGACTTCTAAGGATTCTGATTTAATACTTATATCTTCACTAGATAATCGATCTTTACTAATCACATGAGTATATTCATCATTAGCTTTCTTAATAGGCCATATCATAGTAAAATCACTAGAAACTTTGACGGGTGAGAATTTATCAAGATTACTCTTTGGGGCAACTTCAGTTAATTCAAATACTGAATCAGGAATTTCTCTAATAAATGGTTTTAAATTATCAATTCCAATAATATATTCAACTTCATCTTTAATATTAGTATCAGTATTAAAAAGATCTAATTCTGAATTAAATAATACTGGATTAATTGTATGAACTTTAATTAATAAATTTGAAAATAATTCATAAGATTCAGTAGATTTTAATATAATTATTAAATCAAGTAAATTAGTTGTAAGTTTCAGATAATAACTATCACTTATAGGAATTTTATCAAGAGCTTTAAATAAAAATTCAAGTAAAAATTTAGTTAATTGAGATTTATATTGAATAATTTGCATCATAAGTTCATCATCTCCTAAAATATTAGTAGTACTAATAATATAAGATAATAATTTTATAATTGATTCATAAATTGGATCAATATCAATAATTCCAAGAATTAAATTAACTAATTTATCATCAACTTTATTAATAATTAATCCACAAATTCTTAAGAAATCTTCACAACTAAAGAATTGAAATACTTTTTTAAATAAATCATCATTTGAAAGTATAAGTGGTTGTAATAATTTAGGTTGACGTAATGAAATTTTTTGTAATAATTGATTAACTTCAGTTGAAAGATCTTCTTCTCCCATAATTGCATACTTTAATAAATTTATACCTTCACTTATAAGATCTAATTGATTAGATGATAAGAATTTTAGAATAGGATCACTTTGTTTATCAAATGAATTTATATTATTGGTAGGAATAATAATAGATTCATTAGAATCTAATATAGGTAATATTGATGGAATTATAGGTTTAACAATTACTGGAGATGGTGGAGATGGTGGAATTGGATTTGAAATTGGATTTGAAATTGGATTTGAAATTGGATTTACCACATGATTCACTATAGGTAAAGGTTTAGAAGGCATTGAATTAGATTTAATTCGATTAACTTCAATTCTTCGAGGTTCAGTACCTCCAGAATTAGCTCTTGAAGATGGACGAGATATTTGCTTTTGCTTTAATTTAAGTTCTTTATTTCTTTCAATAATAGATTCCTTTAATGAAGGTCTTGATCTCTTTATATTAATACTAGGAGTATTAATAATTATAGATGGTTTAGGTTTAGATCTTTCAATAGCTTTAACTATATTTGGTTCAAATTTATGTAATAAACCTTCAGCTTCTTCAGGAAATTTATCCCAATAACACCAAAATAATTCTTTAGCTGACAGTCTAACATTTGGATTAGGATCAGTTAAAAGTTTATTAAGAATTTTATTACAAGTATCTAATCCAGTTATAAATGAATTATTATTAAAAAATCTTATAATTATAATTTGTAACCAAATACTAGCATATGAACGAGGTTGAAAATTTTTATCAATTGAACTAGTATAAATTCTTTGTAATAATCTTGAAGTATAAGTTGCATTAGTAAATATTGCACATATTGCCATATTTGCATTCATTGATGCTATATGTTTTGTACTTGAACTAAGTCTTATAAGACTTGGTAAATATAATTCAATTAATGAATCAAAATTATTTTCTAATATTATAGCTGCTTCTTTAATTAATTGACATCCATGAGCACTTAATGTTGTTCTTAAAGAATTAATAGCTTTACAAATCCCTTCAGAACAATCTTTTAAACATAAGATTATATTTTCAATAGATCCATTATTACCTCGAATAATTGATCGTAATTTAATTATATATTTCTCTCGATTAGACCAATTAAATTCAGTTTCTTTACTAGCAAATATTGGATTCATTTCATGAATTATTGAAAAAAATGATTCTTGATTATCATAATTTATTGGTTTAATGGATGTATCTACTTGATAATTAACTTTACTTAATAATTGATTTAACTTTGGATCTAAATCAGAATCTTGAGATTCTTCCGATTGATGAGAACCATTGAAATCAGTATCATTAACCATTACAGGAGTAGGTGATCTTGTATGAGAAAGTTGAGGAACATTCTGTAATTTAGGACTTTCACTTCTTATCATATTTCGTTTTGGAGGAGGTTGAGAATATGTTGGTTTCTGAATTCGAGGAATATGCTGCAGTGGTTGTGGTTGTGGTTGTGGTTGAGGATTATGAATGACTGTATCTTCTGAAATTCTACTTATAGAATCTCCAATTATATCATCCATAATTGAATCTTTAACATTTTGAGGTACATTCAGAATTTCTAATTCTCGAGCTAAATCAAATTTATATAATTTATTATGTCTCATATTATAATAATCAACTAATAATTCTTTAATACTATGAATAACATCTATTGAATTATTTGTTGCTAAGATTTTAGTTATATGAGGAATAAATTTATCAAGTTTAAAATGAGGATTTAAATTTAAAATTATATGATGTAACCAATTTATTGATTCAATTAAAATTCTTGTATTTCGATGTTTAAATGCTACATCTTTAATTGATGTATCTACTTCAATTGGGGCAGATAACCAATACGCTTCAAGAGCCTTTCTAGCAGATGCAACTGTACTTGATCTTGAATCACCTAATCGATTTATAATTATTGGTAATACAAGAAAACTTTGACTTTTTAAACTTGTACCTGATTTATCTTGCATACTAACTCGTTTAATTAAATGGGATAATGCACTAAAACTATGAGACAGAATTCCTAAATCTGGTATATCTGCTGCAATAGATAATGCTTCAATATATTTAGGTACTTGATTTAAATCTACAACTTCTTTCTTAACATGAGTCTTAAGTTGATTCACTAGATCAAGTTTAGTAGATGCTGGCTCATCTCTTGAAGTCATACATCGAAATAATTCATCAGCAAAATTTAATGATACCAGTGACATTTTTGACAAGGGTAATCTTTTCTAATATACTGTCAGTAAACTTTAATGGTATTATATTATCTAAAGTTTACTTACTGAACTAATTATCCTGAATTATCACTTACAGTGGACTCGGTATTGACACTGTTTATGGCTCACGCGCACAAAATGTTTGTTTACCTATTTGGGTGCAGGTAAAATTCACTTTTTGCAATACTGTGGGGGGCACTAGTGAAGTCAGTAGGAGACTAGTGGATTAGAGTCAGTAATGGAGTGATGAAGTAACTAGACAGTGAAGATAGTATCTTACCCTGTTGATGTGTGTGTTGTGTTCAATAACTATTTCTTCAACAACTTTCATAGTATATTTCTAAGCAACATGGTGTTTCTTACTCACTACTTTTCTCACATTTGGCACAAATCTGAAACAAACTCATCTGTGAGTGCGCGTTAACAGTCATTGTTAGTAGTTAAAAGACAAAAGTATATAACCTGTGCACATTGTAGCAAAAATAATTTCGCAACTTGGCGTTTAGCAGCTTTTACAAGTCCTAATATCAAATATGAATATAACTTTTAACACTTTGATAAAAGATTCAGTTCGTCATTACTTGAACATACTTGGAAGGAGACTGTACCTTCAAGTTGATATTATGGAAGATCGAAGTGCTTTAGCTGAAATGAATGAAAGATACAGAGGTTTAGACGATAATCAAAGACTTAATATTGCCCCAAGACATGGTCAAAATGACGATCAATATCAATTATTATGCTTCTTGATTGCTGATTTCAGAGTAATGAAAAAAAAAAGTACAATAGAGAGATTACAGCGGGATTATATGGAATCTGTTGCATTTTTCGAAGACATAAACTATATTATTGACATTGGAAAAGATTCCATAACAAGTAGTGTGAACGACCTCTACAGGCCCTATCATGAAGGTTTAAATTTTTCTATTGCCCAAGTTCTTACATTATTAAAGAATATTTTTTATTTGTCCATATCTTTTAATTTTAATCAAACCTCCAGAATAGGAAGAAGAGTTGGACAAATAAATAAACCAACTACAACACTATATAATCATTATTCAAAAATTTTTCCAAACACAAAAACACCAATTCAAGATTCCACACCAATTCAAGATTCCTACCTTTCAAGAATTGTAAATAGTTTGAAAATTCGTATTTTCATGTTAACAGATGTCGAGTTTTTGATGCCAATATTTCTGAATCCAATCTACATCGTCAGTGAGAACGACCTCGTTAAAGCTTCAGAAACATTTTACCTCCGTTTACTCCATCAACTCTTTAAAGTTCCTATATTATACGAAGAATCAATAAAAGACAGTGACCTGGGGTGTCGAGTCATACCAGATTGTTACATTCAGTTAGCAGAAGAGAAGGTTACCATCGAATTCAAAAAAATGTAATTACCAGTGTTACAGAACGAATTAATAACATTCCATTTGAATCTCCGTTTAAGATGCACGAAAACGTCATTCTGATATTCAGCCAAATAACATATCAACTGTTATTTGGGCTGTCGCTGACGTGTTTCTTAATTGATCGTGACAACATATTAATGATGGATATTTTTTTGCTGTATGATCCAAAGCCAATGAAATTCGAGTATATGAAACCGGAATTGCGAGTAATTTACTCTTTAGTTCTTATATATACCTGTATACGTTAACCTACGAGAAGCATCTTTCTCATCAAAAGAGGTTCTTTTGAGATTACCTTCAGCTGTTTTAGATGCTAATATCTTATTCTTCATGGCTAATGTCTTATACGAAGTCAGAGTATTCGTATTTTCAGTATCATTGTAATCGTATAACATAACATAACATAACATAACATGATAATACATGAAAAATGATATGAATGAATCGTACTGTAAACCATAAAGCTAATAAGAACAGATATACATACCTAATAGAAGTATCGCGGCATTAAGGATGTGTATATTAGATAGATAGATAAGAGGAAATAGAATAGTGTAACCGTGTTAAATAAACCGACCGCTTAACAGATATGTTCCAATAACGTATCACCTACGGTACTTCAGCCGCCCTTTATCCTTATCTCTGAGTTGCCCACAACATTATTAGATCCTAAATTACTATATATTTACACAAGTCCTCTACTTTTATACTTGCATCTCTTATATAGTTTTATCTCAATATACAAGTATGTTCTGCTTGTAAACTATATAGTACATACATTCATATAATAATTATAAGTTGAGTTAGACAGTTTCTAAGTAGATTAGGGTCACATTCTAAATTTACTCTTAAGTTTCACACCTTATCTTAATTTGCCCGACACAATAAATAATTTCGTAATTAAAACTATACAAATTATGCTTCCAGAAATATTTGTTCAATAGCTTCATAAATATAAGACGCCTCGCCATATACCGAATAACTACCTCTTCTCACGATATCCTCATCCTCATCTTGATCATCATCTCTCAGACTAGATTCCAATATACCTGCAAAACTTAAATCATTAAAAATAATCTTACTTCCATCATATATAATATTGGATTGATCGAGAGAGCCTATCACAAGACCGACTTCATGTAACTTATCCAACGATTCATTTGCTAATTTTTCATTCTTCCCCTTTCTTCTTCTAGATTCTAACATAAAATTCTCGAAGTCCTCTTCAAGGCAATAGAACCCTGAAACATTTGATAAATCTTCAATTTTTAGAAACCCACATTTATATAATGTTGGAATATAAGGAAATCGGTGTGATCTTAAATTATATCTGGCATACTTCCCTGTAGGACCATTGCCAACATGCACATACGCCCGCACTGCACGACAGAAACATTCTATTAGCTTAGAAAGACTAACTCGAAATTCAATGTCTGCAGTATCTCCTTGAACCCGCTTACAATGATTGATGTCGTAAACTCTCAACACCATTGTGTTATTAGCTCCCGTGTGCCGAACTCTGAACATCCTCGAAAAGCCTCCAAATTCTTCTCCTAGTTCTTGTATGTCCTCGAAATCATTGGGATCAAGATCTTCAAATTGACTGAAAGTCGTTAGAAATTTAAAGTTCTTCGAACTGATCTTTAAGTCGTCCCATTTATTGTGGACATAAGCATTGTCCTTTTTATTAAACATTGAAAATTTATCTTTCCATAAATCCTCAACAAGATCATATCTAAATTTCATAATCTTTGTATTCTCTACTTCCGTAATTAGTAGCGATTTCTTATACGTATAAATTCTATCATCTTCGTTTGCAAAACCTTTGATTCTAGTAAGGACAAACGCCGCAATAATTAAAGCAAAATTATAATCTTTTGCATACACATGATGTATTGTACAACTAATGAATCGAATGACTCTGTCATCATACTTGACAGTTTTGGGCTCGACGTTCACATCCAATTCAAAAATAATCATTGAATCAATACTAATGATAAATGCAATGTCAACATTTCCAAATAAGCATGTATAAGTAGTTTCATTTATCATCTTTCGGAAATGGACATTTGACTCATATGGTTCTTCAAACGTCTCAACATCTTCTAAAATGTTACTCAATGGATCAGCAGTATACATAACAGATATCTTCGTATTGGTTGCAAATTCAAAATATGCTTCAACATATTGCAGATAGCTTTTATTACTGCTATCAAACAAATTTCTAATTGTAAATAAATTCAGTTTATTCACATAGCATTGGAACAAACAAGAAAGATTGTGCAAATAAAGTGCATTTGCAGAAAGAAAGAATTCGAACCATGAAGCAATATAGTTTATCCGATCGACACCATTATATGTTCTACCCATATTTAACAAATCAGAAATGGAGATAAACGTATTATTCAATAATGATTTGATAATGTAATTTGAATCAACTTTCTTTATGAGAGGGTAAACTTCAACATATTTCTCATACAAACTTCCACCTGTGAAATCTTCATCTTTACTATCTGGCGTCTCTCTTCTCCGTGGGAAGCATGTAGGATCAATTTCTTCTTTTGTTGATAAAGCGAGATTAAAAGTAAGCGACAACGTAAAAATATTCTTGAATAAGGCATTAAGTTTAGTTGTATAGTCCTTACTGTGGGAACTACTATAATCCTTATAGATTTTCAAAACGATTAATGAATGTGCTCCTTCAGCAATGTGAGCCAAATCATCAGTAAATTGATTAGAGCTAGCATAATCCTCATCAATGTGAAAATATAAGTTTTTATTCTTAAGCACTGTGAAATCACCTAACATAAAGCATAACTTTTGAAACTCTTCTTCATAAGGATGACTTTTGGGACGGGCTTCAGATATATTGTTTTTTTCATCATTACTTAAATTATCATATTCTGTTAACATGTCCTTCAATCTTGTCTCATCTTCCATAATGTTATATTCTAGATCATCTATAAATTTTAAGAAGAACTCAACTGATCGTTCTATTTGATACTGAAAGTATGTCATTTGTATTTAACTGTCTAATTGATTGTAAGGTTTAATCCCTTATTTTCGATATTCAAAATATGCTGCTTTTATGATGTTTGAGAGCTGCAAAAATCTGCGGTTCGGGTGTCCTGCGCGCGAGTATTGATTAGCGTATAACTATAGTACCGCTAAACTTTTACTTTCTACAGTAAGTAAAATTTCGCAATATTCTGTTTAGCAGCTTTTGCAGAAATTCAGTTCGTCACTTTTTGAACATCCTTGGCTCTACGTTCAAGTTTATATTGTGGATTATTAGACAACAAAGAGCAATAATCAATAATCAAAAAGTTAATAGTAATCAAAACAACACAACATTGGGGAGAATCAATCAAAAGTATATGAGATATGTTGATTTTTCAAAGTCGTAATACAATTATGTATCCGGAAATATTTCTTCAATAGCTTCATAAATATAGTACTTCTCATAATTACCTCTTCTCGCGATATCATCATCCTCATCTTGATCCTCATCTCTCAGGCTAGATTCCAATATACCTGCAAAACTTAAATCATTAAAGATAATCCTACTTCCATCATATATAATGTTGGATTTATCAAGAGAGCCTATCACAAGACCGACTTCATGTAACTTATCCAACGATTCATTTGCTAATTTTTCAATCTTCCCCTTTCTTCTTCTAGATTCTAACATAAAATTCTCGAAGTCCTCTTCAAGGCAATAGAACCCTGACACATTTGATAAATCGTCAAATTTTAGAAACCCACATTTATATAATGTTGGAATATAAGGAAATCGGTGTGATCTTAAATTATATCTGGCATACTTCCCTGTAGGACCATTGCCAACATGCACATACGCCCGCACTGCACGACAGAAACATTCTATTAGCTTAGAAAGACTAACTCGAAATTCGATGTCTGCAGTATCTCCTTGAACCCGCTTACAATGATTGATGTCGTAAACTCTCAACACCATTGTGTTATTAGCTCCCGTGTGCCGAACTCTGAACATCCTCGAAAAGCCGCCAAATTCTTCTCCTAGTTCTTGTATGTCTTCGAAATCATTGGGATCAAGATCTTCAAATTGACTGAAAGTCGTTAGAAATTTAAAGTTCTTCGAACTGATCTTTAAGTCGTCCCATTTATTGTGGACATAAGCATTGTCCTTTTTATTAAACATTGAAAATTTATCTTTCCATAATTCCTCAACAAGATCATACCTAAATTTGTTAATATCATTATTCTCTGTCTCTGTCATTAGTAGTGATTTCTTATACGTATAAATTCTATCATCTTCGTTTGCAAAACCTTTGATTCTAGTAAGGACAAACGCCGCAATAATTAAAGCAAAATTATAATCTTTTGCATACACATGATGTATTGTACAACTAATGAATCGAATGACTCTGTCCTCAGACTTGACAGTTTTGGGTTCGATGTTCACATCCAATTCGAAAATAATCATTGAATCAATACTAATGATAAATGCAATGTCAACATTTCCAAATAAGCATGTATAAGTAGTTTCATTTATCATCTTTCGGCAATGGACATTTGACTCATATGGGTCTTCAAACGTCTCAACATCTTCTAAAATGTTACTCAATGAATCAGCTGTATACATAACAGATATATTCGTATTGGTTGCAAACTCAAAATATGCATCAACATATTGCATATACCTTTTATTACTGCTATCAACTAAATTTTTAAATATAGTTAAATCCAGTTTCCTATCATAACATTGGAACAAACAAGAGATGGTTCTAAAATAAAGTCCATGTATAGCACCAATGAATCCGGACCATGAAGTAAAACGGTTTATTTGAAAAAATGTATTATATGATATACGCATATTGAACAAATCAGAAATGGAGATAAAAGTATTATTCAATAATGATTTGATAATGTAATTTGAATCAACTTTTTTTATGAGAGGGTAAACTTCGGCATATTTCTCATACAAACTTCCACCTGTGAAATCTTCGTCTTTACTATCTGGCGTCTCTCTTCTCCGTGGGAAGCTCGTAGGATCAATTTCCTGTTTTGTTGATAAACCGAGATTAAAAGTAACCGACATGTTGAAAATATTTTGTAATAAAGCATCAACTTTACTTTTATAATCTTCATTGTAGGAATTGACATAATGTATATTGATTTTCGATGCGATACATCTATATGCTTTATGAACAAGGTTAAGTAAATCTTCAGTAAACTGATTAGAGCTAGCATAATCCTCATCAATGTGAAAATATAAGTTTTTATTCTTAAGCACTGTGAAATCACCTAACATAAAGCATAACTTTTGAAACTCTTCTTCATAAGGATGACTTTTGGGACGGGCTTCAGATATATTGTTTTTTTCATCTTTGCTTAAATTTTCATATTCAGTTAGCATGTCCTTTAATCTTGTCTCATCTTGCATAATGTTATAGTCTAGAATTGAATCATCTATAAATTTGAAGAAGAACTCAACTGACCGTTCTATTTGATACTGAAAGTATGTCATTTTATTTAATTTTATTTAACTGTCCAAGTAATTGTAAAGTTTAATCCCTTATTTTCGATATTCAAAATATGCTGCTTTTATGATGTTTGAGGGCTGCAAAAATCTGCGGTTCGACTATTGGCGCATTAGAATCCGGCTAGGAAAATAAGAAATCAACATCACATTCATTCAAAGGTTCAATAGTCACCCATCTCGATACTACATTCCGTTTTCAATTACTGATTATTACTACATAGATTCAAACCTCCACCATTACTGAGTATCAATTACTACTTTCACTGAGACTCAATTTTATTACTAACTATTACTACGTAGATACAAACCATAACCCCACTACTACAGCACCAGTAACTAATCCTAACCCTCTAATGAAATTAGCCGTCATTGGAGTTATTTGTTGAGATGACTCAACATCTTCATATCCAAAATCAATTTGATATGATTCATCTGATTTATTATGTTCTTGATTAAATTGAACTAATTTACCTCTTTCATCATGATTTGTAATATATAAGATATCTTCTTCACCTTCATCTTCAACCACCACATTTTGAACATTACCAAAGAAATCAGTTAATAATACTTCACTGGCATTTCTATTAAATAAATCATATCTAATACCTGGATTTGAATGAACATTTTCATAAGTATATTCATTAAATAATTTATCCATAGTTTGTTTAGAATCTTTATCAATTTTTTCAAGAAATTCTAATGTATAATAAGTAAATCTATCAATAACTGCTACTCCAATATCCATATCTGAATGATGAGAATATGAACTTTCATCAAGTTTTGATGATCCAACTGCTAAAATATTAGGTGAATATAATCTTTCATACATTGTATTAGCTTGACATGTATCAATCATAAAAAAGATTTCATTATATCTTTTCTTTTCATACATTTGTTCAAATGCATCTGCTATATCATAAGCTCCAATTTCTTCTGCATCTTGAAATTTAAGAAATTCATTACCTCCATGACCAGTTAAATATATAAAGATATTAGAATTTTCATCAGTTAATAATCTTTTAGATCTTGGATGATCTGGATCCCATCTATCAGTTAATAATCGAATGAAATTTTCAACCGTAACTTCATAACCTCGATAATCAACTTCAACTTCATCTCCATAAACATCAATAGCTTGATTATTATTATTAAATACAGTACCTGGAAAGGCATTTCGAGGATTACAAGCTATATCATCAGATAACATAAGTATAATTTGAGAATCAGGAATCCCCAATCTTTTAACTGTTCTATAAAGTGAAAGTACATTGGCCATATGTCTGTAATTAAACCAAAATCGTGATGTTGATACTAATACTGCCCAATTATTAGTATGTTTGGATTTACTAATAATATGATCTGCCTCTTCGGTATTAACCACATTTATATCTCCTCTAACAAATACAGTAAGAATACTAAATATAGTTACTAGAACTATATTCAATTGTATCTTCATCCTTATAGATATTAATCAACTTTTACTTAGTAATTAAGGTCTGATTATAAATATGGTAAGGTGTTAAAATAAATATTTCGTCAAAGTGCACGACAATAATTTTAGTTCTCTTATACAATATAATATTTATAAAAAGTTTATGATTTGTTAACATTTATTAACATATATTAACATATATTAACTCTACAATTACGTAATCATTACAAGGTAACGACTTGTATTTTATTGAACATATAAAAGGTATCTTATTAAAACTTTTTTTTAGTTAGGAAATTATAAATTTACATAACAGCTCTAAAGCAAAGCGACAATGGCTAATGGAAGAGCAAGAGCCCAAGCAAGAGCGAAAGAGGTAGCAGCAGCTGCACCTTCATAAACTGGAACTTCTGGAGTGGTACCATTACCAGCATAAAGAGTAGAATAGATGTTAAGAGTAACATAAGAGGTAATATCACCTGAAGTAAAAGTAGAAACAACTGGAACAACAGTAACAACTGGAGCACTAGAAGTTTCAACGGCTACAGATGGAACACCAGAAGAAATCTTGGTAGCAACAACAACTGGAGCTTCGGAACTGGTTGGAATAGCAACTTCAGAACTAGATGGAACAGCAGCTTCAGAAGTTGGAGTTTCTTCACCAGATAATGGACAATAAGTGGTGTAGATAGTGTTAACATCAGTAATAACGACATAACCAGTAACAACAGGCTTTTTAGTACATACATGATCGGAACAACTAGTTATAGTGACAACAGTTGTAGAAATATCGCTGTAAGTGACAGTGGAAACAGAAGAGTTACCATAGAAAGAAGAAGAGGCAACAACGGATGGAGCAGCAGAAGAGGATGGAGAAGGACATTGTTCATCGTTTAAGAGGTTCTTAGCTTGAACAACGAGATTATCACCATTAGCATCAACATTTAACCAAGCTCCAGAAGCATCCCAGATGGAGATACCTGCAAAAGTAGAATCACATTGAATTTGAGCAATAGCAGCTTGAACATCAGCAATATTTTGTTGTTGAGCTTCAATACCAACAAATAATTTCAAGTTTGGATTACCTGAGGTTGGGGCATATGAATTCCAAGTGTCGAAGTTAAAGTTAGAACCAACGGCACAGTTGTTGTTGTAGAATTGAATGAAAGCGAAGTCAAAATCAGCAGAAGATAAAGCATCACCAACATATTGATCTGGGAAAGGACATTGAGGAGAAGCAGATAAGTAATAAGTTTTAGAATCATCAGAAGCATATAAAGTTCTTAAAGATTGAGCTAAAGCAGTGTAACCGGTGGAAGAACCTTGTTCGATATCGAAATCGAAACCATCAACAATAGCATCACCGAAAGGTCTTTCTGGATCAGAACCAGCACCAAATTTATTCCATAAAGTGGTGGCGAAATCTTGAGCTTGTTGGTCAGAAGTAAAACCATAAGTACCATATTGACCACCTAAAGATAATAAGACGGTTTTACCTTCACTTTGACAAGTTTGAATATCTTCACCAATTTGAGCACAATTTAATAATCCACTTTCAAAAGTATTACCACATTGATTAGCAAAGTTAACATTTAATGGATCTGGGAAATCATTAAGAAATGATAAAATAACTACATCAAGATCAGTTTCAGCACAGTAAGTACTTAATCTTTCTTGACCACCAGCACCATTTTGACCCCAATAAGCAGCAACATTATTAGAAGCATTAATATCAAGGGCAGCATAAGCTTGGGAAATTAAAAGAACAGAAGAAATGAGTGTTTTAATTGGTAACATTTTATTTTATTTTATTTTATATTTTACTTTTGTTTGAATTAATCAATAATATAACGAATGACTATAGTTGGTAAGAACTAAATGAATGACTAATTAAGGAATGAATGAATGGATTAAAACAAACAGATAATAATATATCAGTAAAGAGTAATAATTAAAGAGAAATTTTATTACAGTAATTACAATTAGACTAGAAGGGGATTTACATTCTATATATTATTTTATTTAATGAAGTAGGGTACCATACTTCAAAAATTAAATTAAAGTTAAACCAGGAAAATTTTCGCAGCAGTCGCCTCTCCCAAACAAGGCACTTTTTCGTCGTTTTTTTTTTTTTTTGCCTCGTATTCTTTTTCTTTTTCGCGTTGAACAATGACTGCACTTGGCACGAATTTTACGGTACATTGGTACCGAGAGTCGGATTTATATCGGAAGACCGCTCTCAGCTGTAAAAGTTATTAGTGCATATGATCCAGGCGCACATTTTGGACTAAATACTATTAAGCCTCAGCAATACTTACAATTGCATACTAGAACTGTTTACTATTTTATTACTTACTCTACTATACTATACTGTACTCTACCCAAGTAGGAAAGTTTACATGCACTGACTAAGCTGTGCCGTACATATGTTCATGTTAATGGTTAAAAGCTCGTACGAATTGCCAAGATAAATCATGGTTACTGTTCCATGCTCGCTATCAATATTAGGCAACGTTCACGAAGAGAATTTTTACCGAGCATCAATATTTTGCTTCTAGTGCTTTGTGCGACTGTTGATTTGTTTATGATTTGCTGTTTGAGAAACTTTATAGTTTTGTGAACACCAACAAACTAAACCTAAAATAGGCGCGCATTCAACTTGAGCCAAGAGAGACGTAGAATACTGTCTCCACTTCCTTGTTAATTAAATTTAAAAGGGGCCATGACGGTGCTTGTCACGTTGCTTCTAACTTTTCAGTTTAATTTATACAGTAATAACTCATACGATTTTTATGATTTTCATTTAATGCTATTAATTTTCTCTAACTAACTATTTATATGCTCGCTTCGTTTGTTTATTTACCCCAGCAGCTAAGTAAACTGGATTATCATTTGAATAATTAGGTTTATCTTGCTGATCAAATATCTTCTCTACCACGTTATTAGTCTTTTTACTTGGACCAATTAACATTTGTAATTCCCATCTAACCCATAATGATTGTGAAGAATATTTTAATGCAAATGTTAAACCAGCAGCTCGACTTCGACTCAATTTTTTTAATTCTTCTGCAAGGGTTTCATATAGTTGAGGAGTTTCCTTATAATCATATTTAACTCGATATGAAAGTTTCTTAAGTAGGAATTCATATTGTTTATTACTTAAAGGTCCATTACCTTCAGAAAAGAATTTATATGTTCCTCTATCAAGACTTCTAAACAGTATATTAGCTTTAGTTAATACACTCTCTAAATTCTCATTTGTTTCAATAATTGCTTTAGTAGACATTCTAGGACATTTATATCCCAGATAACGCAAAAATGAGGCCGCAGTAAATTTATTTAAACTTAATTCAAATAAAACCTTACCCTCAGTATGTATTCTCTTAATTAACATAAAATCTTCAAATGTGAATGGTAATCCCCATATATCATATTCTAATCTCAACCACTTTAATTGACTATTACGAAATACTTCATTTACAACAACATTCTGTTTATACTGTTCAACATCATGACTTTCAACCGCAAGAAATCCATCAAATGAATTAAATGTTATAATTAATTCTTCTTTAAGATTTTGAATACTAGTTAATCGTTCATGAGTATCCCTTGCAATCTGTTGTCTCTCAATCTCTTTTTTAACTAATTCTTTTTCTCGTTCGAGTTCTTCTTCTGTATCCAAAATTTCCTTTTCTTTAACAAGTTCAGGATAAGTCTTTTCATTAATATCATAATCAGGTGGTAAAGAAAATAAAGTAGGAACTGATTGAATTCCTGTACCTCTTGTTCCTGCAATATCTATTATATAACAAAATTCTTTAGAATGATGATGTCTAAGACCTCTACCAATCATTTGAACTAATAAAGATCGAGATTTAGTAGGTCGAGCTAAAAATAAACTATCAATATTAGGTATATCAGTACCTTCAGTAAACACTTGAACATTACATAATACATCAATTTTCCCATCTTTAAAATCTTGAATAATATAACTTCTTTCTGTTTTAATAGTATCTCCTGTAACATATTGTGCATTTATACCTTGACGTTGTAAAACATCACATAAAGTTTTACAATGATTTATATCAACACAAAATATTATAGTACTTTTAAATCCAAATTTTTCTCGTAATTGAAGATATGATAATACAAGAATAAGATTATTATCACTAGTATTCATTACTTCTGATAAACTATTAACTTCATAATCATTTAATTTAGTTTTAACTTTATGCAAATCTATATCCATTTTAACACTTAAAAATTTAACATCAACCAATTCTTTATTACTTACCATTTCCATTAAATTTCTTTCAAAAACTATCTTATCAAATGTAAAACCCAAATTTTTCCCATCATTTCTTTCCATTGTTGCAGTAAATCCTAATACATAAATATCCAGTTGAGGTGTATCAGCTCCAAAATATTTTAATATTTTAATCCATGAATTTGCAGCTGCATGATGACATTCATCAAGTATAATTGTTTTAAATTGGGATGGATCATACATATTAAGTCGAGTCATTCTTACTAATGTTGGTACAGATCCAACAATTACATCTGCATCATTTGAAGGTTTCAGTGATCTCATATCAATATCTACTTTTAAATTAGGATTTATTGATCTTATAGTATCAGCTGCTTGTTTAACTAATTCTTCTCGATGAGCTAGTACAAGAGTTTTATTTCCTCTATTAGGTGATGAAGGTTTAAGTAAAGGAATTATATGAGAAAATACTACAGTTTTACCTCCACCTGTCGCAAGTACAACAGCTGGACGTCGATTTCCTTCATCAATAGCAGTTTGAACGCATTTAATGGCTTCCAATTGATAATCTCTTAATTGAATAGTTCCATGCCTCACTATACTACTAGATAATTGTCGACTACTTAACTTTAAACTTCCAAAACTCTTACACAACATCCTTCCTTCCTTACCTCATTGAAATGATGATCTCAACATCCAACAGTAATATAAACACAGAAGAAGAACCGTTTTTGATGTTCGATATATTTTGTCCCCTGTGCCATCAGCCGCACGCAGCCCGCGCACACCGCATAATCTTGCTGCGAATTTTTTAACTGACTGTTAATGGATTTATTTATTTATTTATCTATTTATTTATCTATAATATATCAACTCTTATATATATCTACTCTAGATCTCTTATATACGTTATGATAATATAAGTCCGGACTACCATGTACTGGTTCAACATTATTATTCGAATCATTTTCATTTGTTATTGAAGGACTATTAATATGAACAATTACATAACTACCTTCCTCCTTAATAGGATCTTTATGAGATCTAATATATTGACCAGGATTTATAATAATAACTCCTTTAACTACTTTAACAAATGATTTCATTTCTGATGTACTAATAAGTATATCGGGTATAGAATCTCCTAATTCTGATAATCCTAAATATGGAACTTCTAATGATGAACCTCCTATATCAGTATCAAATAATTCTTCAATCATTAATCCATCTCGTAAATCATTAATTAATTTATTTGGAAATATTTTTTTCTTTATTGATCCAGGAAATGTAGGATAATATCTACGTTGTTCAAATATATGATTAACAATTCTTTCAAATCTATTATTTGATAATTTCCCATCATCTTTATATACTTCTTTAACATCTTTAAATAAATCAAGATTAGAATTCCCAATTAATACTTCATTAATTGAAAAACTAGCAGGATTAGGAATAACTCGAATATTCTTAGGTAATCCAAATTTCTTTCTATCAAATGAATCTTGAGGATAAGAACAATGTTTTATACATGAATCAGTTAATGACGGTACAAGAATTACTTGAATTCTAGAATCAATCCTTTTTAAAATTGGAGTAATTACCTTTTTAAATACTTCATCTAAATTCCGAGGTGGTTGTTTATCACCAGGAATTTCAATATCTCCTAAACTTACCAGATTATTATTAAGATCAATAAATGGTCCATTTAAGATAACAACATGAGGTTTTATATTAGAATTAATTGAATCAACTAAATTTGATAATTTTTGATAATTTAATGTATGACTATTTGAAAAAGGTCCTGAAGCAATTAATAATTTTAATCCAGAATCATTTGTTAATTCTTCATAATTTTCAAGTTCTTGTTTAGTAGTAACTGCTGCTCCTAATTCTGGTAATTGTAAAATTTCTTTTACAATAAAACTTCTACCTGTAGGATTACTACCTTTTAAAATAACAATTTGACCTGGGAAAAGTGAATAACCTTTTAAATTTGATAAATCTAAAGGAACTCTTTGACCAATACCTGCCATACGAGAAGTTTCTAAAAAGAGTGAAGTAGAATTTAATGAATAATTACCTTGTTTATCATAAATTGGAGAATCTGGAACAATTCTACCACTACAAAGAATATCGAATTGAGAACTTAAACATGGATTTCCAAATTGAGTAGATTCTTCATCAGATTTATGTGCATCCAGATATAATTGAGCAAATGAATCAATTTGTTCATCTAATACATCAGCACTTTCAAGTAATTTCATAGCCATTGTTCTAAATTTAAATTTAGAAGCATCGAAATTTAATCCTAATTTATATGGTTTTATAGAAATAGTTGAATCTTCATCTAATTGAATAAATCCTTTTGATTCTTTAATTTGAGGATTTAAAGTTTCTATAATAGTATTAGATTCTTGTTGATCAGATAATTTATCAATAAGTGGAATAGTATTATTAGGACTTTGAAATGAATTATTAGCAGTTTCATAAGTTACTGGAGATGATTCTCCAAAATTAGCTCGAGGAGTTTTAAATTTTGGAGTTGAATCTTCAAAGGGTTTCCTTTTCAATGGAGTACTTGGTACTGGAGGACTTGAAGAATTTATTGAAACATTAGGTCTCATTATTGGTTTCCTTTTTAAGATATTATTATTATTACCTTGAATATCTCTTACTCTTTTAATACCTGGGGTAGGTTTAGAACTTTCTAATGAAGATTGAAGATATTCTTGAAATTTATTAAGATTTGGTATAGTTAAATCTAAATCTTGTTGAACTCCTGTAACATTATATGATTCCCAACTAATAAATAAATCTTCGGGTGATACATTAAATATGGTGATAAGACTCTCTAATTTTTCATATACATCTTCTGTCAAATTTTCTGAGGGTCCAAATGATGCAGCTAATGCTGGTCTATACTTTTTACTATCCATAATGGTCCAATAATTCAACCTTCTGGTGTTGTTGTTGTGGTGGTGGTGGTTTTCAATTACTGTTAATAACTTTTCATTCTACGCGTGAATAGTCTACTGAATTATATATTAGCGCGTCCGATCGAGACACTCTTTTTTTTGGTGCGACCATACAGGAAAATTAATTTTATATATATGTATGTGAAGTACAGCTATAGATACAAGGGAGGAAATAGTTAAATATAGTTATAGTTATAGTTATGTTATAGTTATGTTATAGTTATGTTGTAGTTATGTTATGGTGATTCATAGTTCTAATGTGTCTAGTTTTCTGAAGCATCAACAACAGGTGCTGATTCAGATTGATTGGATTCCTTAGATTCTTTAGATTCTTTAGATTCTTTGATCTCTTCAGTTGAATCAACTTCCTTTGGTTTTGATTGTTCTGGTTGCTCTACTGGTTTGGAATCGGTGGGAACATCAGATGATTCTTCAGTAGCCTCTTTTAATTCTTGTGATTTTTCATGAGAATGCTTCTTACCATTACCATTACCATTACCCTTTCCACCTTTTTTAAATCTTTTATTTCCACGATGATTATCATTGAAACTATTACGTCTCTTAGTAACATCATTAACTCCGAATCTTTTACCACTTTCTCTCATTTCTTGGAAAGTAAGTAAGGACATTTTCTTTAATATTTTCTTACTATCAAAACCTTCTTCACCTTCCTTAACAATTCCTTCAGGATAACTAAGTTGAATATTACTTAAAATATAATCAGCATCCTTTTGAGTTTTAAATTCAATATCAACAACTCCAAAGAATTCTTTATTAATTCTACTTTTAATACGACGTAATGATGAAAATACTTTTTCTTCAGGTAAATTTGGAATAATTTTATTATTAAACCATGATTCTAAATCTTCTTGACTAGCATCTTTTGGAAATCCTTCAATATGAACAGTATTTCTCTTTCTTGTATTTTTAACTTCATTAAAATCTTTAACTGGTTCTTTTCTTCTAATCATATCTTCATTAGATGAAAGAACTAATTCACTTGAATTTTTTAAAGCTTCAATAACTTTTTCTTCAGGACGATATTGTCTCATTCTACTGAATGTTAATATAGTCTTTAATTCAACCCATCCATCATTTGCTTCATAAATTCTCCACAAGAATTTATCAGTTTGTAAGTTAGAATCAGAAAAATAAAATTCAACTTGTTTTCTAACTTTATCTTCAAAATCTTCACCCTTATATATGGAATCTGTCATTGTATCTAACCTATACTTTGTGACCCAAGTTGTCTATAAATTTACACTTAGGGTCCTTAGTATTTTCTGCAAAATTCTTATATATATATATTATGTTAGCTGAAAAAAAATTAGTGTTGAGTCGATGCGGATGCTTTCGAAGGATGACTCGTCACGTGTGCGCAGCACATGACTCCAATTAGGGCAGTCATACATAATTAGTTAGTTAATTAGTTTAGTTAGATGATACTATTACTATACCTAACCTAACCTATAAAGTTTATATGATTAGAAAGGGGGGATATATTATAACCAAATATAGACCTAATTCTTTACAATTACTATTTACAGTTCTGAGAAATATGTCCCAGTCTATTCAACCAACTGTTGAACGTCAAGAAGAATTATCTCAAAATTATCAATCAGTTTTACAACATGTTAATAGTCTAACACAAGAATATAATGTTAAAACTCCAGTTACTTTAGTAGCAGTATCGAAATTAAAACCTTCAAGTGATATTCAAGCTTTATATAATGCTGGTGTACGTCATTTTGGTGAAAATTATGTTCAAGAATTAATTAGTAAATCAAAAGAATTACCTCAAGATATTAAATGGCACTTTATTGGAGGTTTACAAAGTGGAAAAGCAAAAGATTTAGCCAAAGGTGTTAAAAGTTTATATGCCGTAGAAACAATTGATGCTTTAAAAAAAGTTAAACAATTAGATAGAGTGCGTGGTGAAATTAATGGTTTACCTATAAATGTGTATCTTCAAATTAATACATCTGAAGAAGATCAAAAATCCGGATTTTCAATATCTGATTTAAATGAACTTTATGAAACATTAGAATTTATAATTTCTGATGAATGTAAAAATGTAAATTTAATAGGATTAATGACAATTGGTTCATTTGCTCAATCAACTGCTGAAGGTGAAGATAATCAAGATTTTAAAAAATTAGTTGAATTAAAACAAAATCTTGATAAAAAGTATGCAATTAATTTAGGACTTAGTATGGGTATGAGTAGTGATTATGCTCAAGCTATTAAACAAGGAAGTACCAATGTTAGAGTTGGAACTTCAATCTTTGGTGCAAGACCTCCAAGAAACACAACATAATTTTATATAGAAGCATATATTGTATAATATATTGTATAATATATATATAACATGTACATTTTAGTTTTACTTGTAATTTTTATTTTTATTTGTAATTTTTATTTGTAATGTAATTTAATTTTATTTGATAATTAGATAGTTCAATTTAAAAATGCTCAATTGTTACTACCCTTCTTCACTTCTTACTACTACTCTTAAATAACTTCTTGATAGATGATGATTTCTTTCTGGATTTATCACTAATTGAGCTAACTGAATCAGCAGTATCCTTCACACTTCTCTTCACATTTTTAATGGAATCACTATAATCACTATCTACAGTTTGGAAAGTAGTGTCAGCTCTTGAAACATCAGCTTCATCATCATCAACTGATGTAGAATTTCCAGTTATACCAGAAATTACTTTAGCACCAGCATCTTTAGCTGCAGTAGCACTTTTAACTGATGGATCTTCAACGGCATCTTTTACAGCTTTTGAGGCAGCAACAACATCTTCAGGTAAAATATGTTTCTTTGTATCAATCGTAGTATATTGAGGTTTATTTTCACTATTTTTAGATACAATGATTTTATCACTTGAATCTTTAACCTTCTCTAATTCTTCTTTACTACCAATAATTTCAGGTTGTTCTTTAATTGCCTCAACAGTATTTGAAATTGGTTTACTTATACGAGTAGTGGCTTTGGTTACACTTGGCTGAGCTGAAGTCAGAAATCCATTTTTATTTTCAGGAATAGTGGTAATAGGAGTTGATTGATTTGTGATACCACTAGCAGTACTACTAGAGGCACTAATTGGCAAAGCAACAATTGGAATAATTGGAAATTTACTAATTGTATCAAGATTAGCTTGTTGTGAAAATCCAGCCCATGGATCATTTATTTCTGGACTATAATGAGGTTTGACTTTTCCAGAATAATAATCATGTCTTAATTTAAGGTCATTTTCAACAAAATCATTATCCCATTCAACTTGAGATTTATACAAATCAGAAAATTTGGCAAAAATATTATAGGCAATTAAAAATACATGTTCCGAAGCCAATAAAATTAATAATAATTCAAGACTTGAAGAAATATTAATGCTAGCATTATCAAAAGTAAAAGATCCCAATTTCTTTGGTGGAGCAGTACCATGACGATAAAATGCAGTTACTAAAGGTGAAATAATTGAACCTAACCAAGTTAAAAGGAATAAAGCATAATTCCAAGGATGAATTGAATCAACTCTAGTTGGGATTGGTGGTCTAAAATATTTACCATTAGATAATTTAAAAATATCTAATTTAAAGGTAATTATATTAAAAATAATTGCAAAAATTGGTGCCAAAGTCCATACTGATCCAAACATAATAAGATAACCAAATTGAGTAATTAAACCTCTAAAATCATCATTAACATTATATTCAGGTAATTCAACTGCTTTTCTAACATTATCTAACCAAGCACCTTCCTTTTCATTATCTTTAATTTCTAATTTCTTACTTGATTCACCATCTTTTGATTTATTTAAATATTGTTTAATATATCCAAATATAAATTGTAAAATAATTGGTAAACCATATTTTAAAAATAATTGAACAATAGAATTAGTTACAATAAAATAAAAGAATTGAGCATTTAATCTTTCTTGATTAATTTTAAAATCTTCTTGTCTCTTTAATTGAATTAAATATTTATAATAAAATCTATGTTCACCAATATTATGAGCAAGAGTTTCTTTAATATAACCTAATTGAGGTTTAATTAAATGAGCAAATGGTAAATAAATAAATGAAGTAATTAATAATGGAATATAACTTGTTAAAAAGTTTAAAACAAAAGTTTTAATTAATATTGATTGATCTTGACTATAAATATTATCATGATCTTCCCAATTAATTAATTTATCTGATACTAAATTAAAAATAATAGTTAAAATTGGAACAAATACTGATAATAAAATAGTTGGAATTAAAGTTAATAATGATTTACCAGGACCATCATAAATATCAGTTAAAAAGATTTCAATTACAAAACAAGCCAATTGATAAGATACTAAAACAATAGTAAAAAAAAGAGCAATTGGAATAAAAACTAATTGTTTAATAAATCTATAAGCATCACCATTATCTTTATGTTGATAAGATGAATGTTGTTCGAATTTTTCATTAACTTGAGCTAATTTTGAATTATATTCTTCAATTAAATGAGAATTTTGAACTCCCCAAAAATTAACAAGATATTGTTGTTTTCTATTCCAAAAAGTTATAAATAAAACTCCCCATACTAAATTTATAAATGAATAAGTTAACAGATAAGTTTTACCTGATTTTAAATAAGATGTAAAACCTAATACTGCTAAAATTGCTAAAGCAAATAAATAAAATTTTAAGAATTCAAAATAAAGAGAGATTTGAATTCCAAATTTTTCTTTAATAACATTAGTTGATAATAATTCAATACTTAAAAGATGACTTTGAATATCTTCAGTAAAACTTGTATCATTAAAAGAATCTGTAATTGGAATAATTGCTTTTATAAATGACCAATTACCTTTATTTGGAGTAATACCTACTCCACCAAATTTAACTGGAGTAATTAAATAATGATAAATAATTCTTAATCTATCAGATTTTGAATTACTATTATTAGTTACTCCAAATTCATAATTTTGAATTAAATCCTTTTCAGCATATTCAACATATTTATAAGGAGATAATTTAATAAATACTAAAAGAGTTGGAGGATTAACTGAACCATTTCTAATTTGAACTGAAAATCCAAAATTATATAAAGTAGTAATTAAATTTTTAAGATTGCTTTTTGCTTCATGATCAGGGGTACCTCTCTCATTTTGAAGAGGATAAGATATGGAGAACACATAATCAGGATTCAATGCCTGAATAGTTTGAGACATCACTAATGATATTAAATTTAAACTATCAGTAAATTTGAAAGGAATTGAATTTAAATTTAAATTTGAATTGAATTTTGAATTGAACTAGTAAATAAAATTTATCAATTGAACAAGTAGGTGTATTGTGAAATTTAAATTAGGCTCAACCAGACTCTCACTCACTCACTCACTGTGTGTGGTTGAAATTTCATCACAGGAAAAAAGAGTGTACTCCCCATGGAATTGCATTATGTTGCTGCGCATTTAGATCTGTTCCTGGCTACTACCACGCACTGGGCTGAACAGAAGTTATTCACAAAGGGCTGATATTGTTTTTGTTAGAGTGCTTTATTTAGCGCGTGTTATTTAATATTTAGTGAGTACAGCGTAGTGTTTTTAACTTTGTATCATTTAGTGACAATTATTTAGCGACAATTATTTAGTGTGAGAGTTATTACTGAGCGTTATTAGTGAGAATTATTAGGGAGAATTACTACAATGAACTACAAGTATAGTCCGCATTCTCCGTAAAAGATATAAATAATCTGGAGACCCTGTGCAACATATACCGACATTTTACGAGATATCTCATAATCATATACAATGATCTTTCCTATGAGGACAAACAATATACTCTAAACAAAATGACAGTGACTCCCCTCATAGTAAAATAATTCTTGTCGATTGCGTGGTGGGTCATCTATTCTTACATACAGGATCCTCGCATTTTTGTATATAAAGGCGATGATGACCAGCAAATGGCAATTACAAATTAATTTATTACTTCTTTATTTAGTCACAAGACTGTTCATATTCAATACTAACTAATAATTTCTAGGAGTTTCAAAATGCATACATGATAATATTCTAGACCTCAGCAAGATGTTAACAAAGGAAACCCAGCCTTATGTCTGGAACCAGTATATCAAATGAGAATCTTTGTCCAAGCTGTTTCAGCGTATAATGTGAATGAGAATCGAATGGTAAGTCTAAATGTTTTTTCTACGTTTAATAACTATCTATAAGAAGATTGGCGGTTTTTAGCTATCTTTATATGTATTTGTCTAACCTTTTAGTGTTTTTTACTTCTTGTGTTTGTTTCACAATTTTTTGGGCTATAATCATTAAAGTGTTAAGTTGTATTTTTTTATTTATCCGAGAAAGTATCCTACCATTTTTAGAGTAAGAGTAATCAATAATCCATCATATGAGTATATTAAATTTCCTAGAGTTAACCATAAAACAAATTTTACGTGTTCTGTCAATAATCATCATTTCAAAATGTTATAAATATCACTGATCCTTATCTTTCATTCAACTACTGAATTATAAATCTAATTTTTACGTCTTTACATAAACTTGCGATCATAATCAATTAATCAATTAATCAATTAATCAATTAATCATTATTATTATCCTTATTATTATTATTATTATCATATCATTATTCCGAAATTATAAAGTATAAATTATAAATTGTTCTCAAATATTATCCTACTATATTATCCACCCTAAGTAAGTGCGGGCTATTCTAATTTTTTTTATGGGATGTTTGTTTTGTTATGTTTTTTCTGTTTTTTTGTTTATTTTGCAGCCTATTGCAATTCTAACGTTTTATTTTAGTTTTCAAGTTGTTTTCTTCTCCCATGTCAAGCGTCAAGAATGAAAAGTCAATTTAGAAAAGTTTTAAAAATAAAATCAATTTTAATCAATTTTAATCAATTTTGTATCTTTGTACATGATCATCCTGCTGATATCATATATTATTATTTTTTCATATTAATTAATTTTATTATTAGTATTATGCTATAAGATTTTAGTTTCTTCATTTCATCCGTTTGTATATATCTGTTGATTATTCCTGAGTATTTTTTATTTTCATCTTTATCCTTCATGTATATATCGATTTTTCTTTATGTTATATATCCGAAAGAGTTTGGTTCAGGGTTATAAAAATGTTAAAGAGTGTCATAAAAAAAGTCAAAAAAAGATCTAAAAAAAAAATTAGTAATAAATGGCATGGGGAAGGACTTTGGTTGGGTTTTGCTTGCTTTGGTCTAGGGTTATATCGTGTATGCATTTAAAATATAATATATAGTGTTTATGTGTATGTGTATGTGTATAATATAATAACGTATAATATCATATAATCATAAAACTAACAAAAAAAAAAAAATAACTATACAAAAGTGTAATTGTAACTTAACTCCATCCAACATAATCTCTCGCAACTGGTCTGAAAATTCTAATTCTACCACTCTTAAATTCACTTAATTTATATGATTCTTTCTTAACATGACCACTAGCATCATTTTCAATAACTTTTAATTTATCCTTTTTACTAGCATCAAATTCATAAATTACTGAAATATATTCTTCAGGAAGTATAATTGATTTTGATCCAATTCCTATACCTTTATGACTCAGGAATTTCCCATTCTTAATCCATAAAATATCTCCTGGTTTAATTTCATCAATTTTAATTATATTTGAATTATTAATATTTTTATAAACAGTTACTCCAAATGATTTACTACCAATTGGTTTAACTATTGATGATGAAATAGTTTCAAGAGATAATCTGGCAATATTATCATTAACTTTATTACCAATTAATTGTCCAGCATAATTAATTATTGAATTACTAAATGATCGATGATAATTATCTAATAAATCCTTTCGAACAATAGGAATACTCTTTGTAGATAAATTAACTAATTTAAAGGTTGATCTAGGATCTTTAATTTCATATTCTAATTCAATGACAATTTGTGATAAATCATAAAATAATATATAATAATCTTTATACTCAATTTCACGACCTCCACGTTTAGTAATTCTATTTTGATCAATTTCAAAGATTAAATCATTCCCAATTCTACTAGTTAAACTATCAGGTAATTGATTAGTTAACCACCATGATGATGCAAGTGGATTAGAATTAATATCATTTTCTAATTCTATAAATACAGCATCAGCTTGAGATTCTTCTTTACCACTACTAGATTTACCACTTCTTGAATCTATTGATTTTCTAGAACCAAATGATGCTCCAGTAGATGTAGTACTAATTGGTTGATGAGCATATACATCAGTAGATGCTCTTCTAATAGTTTCAGATGGTGGTGGGAATGTGGTAGGAATTGGAGGAATTGCAGGAGGAATTGGTGGTACACCAGCTACCGATGGTGGATTATAAAACGATGTTGGAATAGTTTGTGCTCTAGCTGGAACATTTGGAGTAAATGCAAAATCATCATCAGAAACAGATTGTGATATTTCTTGATGCTCTAACACTGGTGTTGCATCATCATCTTCTTCTTCATCATCATCTTCATCATCTTGTTCTTGTTCTTCTCCTTCATCCTGAGCTTGGTCTTCATCTTCATCTCTGTAGGAAACATTACCAGGAACTGGAGCAGTTGGAACGGGTGGTGCAGTAGGTGGAGGTGGAGGTGGAGGACGTGATCCAATAGCAGGTGGAGCAGATGGGACCTGAGGAATCTGTGGAATATGTACTGGCACTGGTGGAGGAGCACCAAGATCTCTTGTAGGAATTGAAGGAGCAGATGGTACAGGTGGAGCAGATAAAACATTCTTGTTAAGTGGAGTACCGGTATTCTTAGTAGGTGGAGGTGGAGGTGGGATTTCTACATCACTTTCAAGAGTATTAGTTTTCAAATCAGATAAATCTTCATCAGCTTCATAACCAGTAGCTTCGGGTTCAATAGGTGGTTGAGTGATTTTGATTGGTTCAGAAACCTTTCTAATATCATCTATACCACTATCAGATGCCTCTACAAGATTCTTAGATATGGGTCCATTCTCCTTATTCAAAGCAGCATTTAAATTAGTTGGATGTTCTACTTCAACATAATGATCATCAGAATCAGAATCTTCTTCAACCATAGATGAAGATTCTCTTAAAATTGGTGGTTGAGTTCCTGTTGGTAAACCAGGAAGTGGAACTCTAGGAGCTGAAGATGGAGCTGGAGCTGGAGCTGTTGGACTTTCTGGTCCTGTCTCTGATTTTGAAGATTTCCTTGACTTGCTAGGAGTTTTTTCAACAGTAGCATGAGCTCCAAAAGGTGTAGCCATTCCCATCATACCAAACATATTTCTACCACCAGACATCTTAGCCATACGTTCAACTAATCTTCTACGTTTATCATCTTCATCTTCTGATACATCTTCAGCCTCATCTTCTTCGTTATCATCTTCATCTTCGTCAGCCTCTTCATGTTCTTGTTCATGCTCCTCTTGTTCATGTTCAGCCGCATCGATTTCTTCAACATTCTTTTGAATTACTTCACCCTGATCTTCTTGATCTTCTTGACCAGCTTCATCAATTTCATCAGCTTCGACTGTTTCGTGGCTGGCTATGGATTTTCTTGGTGATAATTCTTCATGGGTTGCTGCATCTGCTGCTGCTGCTTCATCTTCTGCCTTTTTCTGTTTTAATCTCTTCTTTTCTTCTTCTTGTCTCTTTTTCTTTTCTTCTTTCTTCTTTATGGCTGCAGCTTCACGTTCAGCTTCTTCTTGTTGACGTTTTTGTAATAAAGCAATACGATCCTTTAAGCTTACTTTTGGTTCTTCTGGTTCTTGCTCTTGATTTTCATCAACAGAAGTAGATTTAACTATTTCTTTTTCATCATGAGCTACATCATGAATGGCATGACTAACTAATGAATCATCTCTTGGTTTAACTTGAGGAACATAAGATGAATGACCTGTAGCTACAAATTGCTTTTTAATACTATAAGGATCATTAATTCTTTGATTTCCATGGAAGGGAAGTGGAACCTTACTAGAAATTGAAGTTGAAATTGAAGATGAAGTTGGACTAATTGGTGGCTTATTAGTAGTAGAAGACAATGATTCATCAATTGATTCAGTAATTGGTTCATTTGGCTCAGATTTATGACTTTGAGATTTCTTAGGTGATGGACGAGTCGTTGGAACTGCAATTGTAGGTTCTTGAGGAATTATTTCTACAAAATTCTTAGGAAACATACCTGATTTCCCTTCGAATTCACCTGAATACCATTCTTCATCTTCAATCTCAATAACAGTAATGATCTTTCCGATCCCGAAACTTAAATCATCCTCGTAATCTGACTTATATTCGAAAATCGATTTGACCTTAAACGGAACTGAAGGTTCAGACATGTCTTATTGTGTAAGTCAATATAATACAGATTGTGGTGGTATACTATTGGCTTAATTACTTAATTACTCTCTATGGGTAATATATAAATTGTAATTGCTCCTATTAAATTTCACTAATAATATTACTCCTATATTCGGGTTGATTGGGGAAATGACAATTTTGTGGATGAGTGGTTAGTATGCACTCCGTTCCACATTGAGCCTGCCTGACCTGTACCGTATATTAGAACTTTTATTATGTATATATAAATATTATATGTATTACTGTATATTATTTTATATTACTGTATATATATTATATTACTGTATATATAAATTATATTACTATATATATATATTATATTATTATATATATTACTGTATATTACTATTATATATTATTGTATATATTATATTACTGTATATTATATATATTCCATTCATATGTCTCAGAAGCCGTCTTCTTCCACTATTCAATTGACTGAAAAAGTTATTACTTCTTTAAGACCCAATAAAGATTTTAATTATCATAAAAGTACAACTATTACATCATTAGATTATGATGATAGTGGTCAATATCTTATATCTTCTGGTATAGATAAATCTATACAATTATATGATATTCATAAAGGTATTCATTATAAAGATATAAGATCTCAAAAATATGGAGCTCATTTAGCTCGTTTTACTCATCATGAATTAAATTGTTTATATGCATCAACTCCATCATTTGAAGATGAACCAAATCATGCTATACGTTATTTATCTTTGGCTGATAATCAATATATACGATATTTTAAAGGTCATAAAGAACAAGTTACAGCTATAGAAGTTCATCCAATAAATGATACATTTTTAAGTTCAAGTTTAGATCATACTATTAAATATTGGGATTTAAGATCAAGTAATCCAGTAGGAAATTTAAATATTGGACAAAATGGAGTTATTGCCTTTGATCCTTGGGGGATGATATTTGCTATTGGGAAATTTCCTGATCCATCATCTTTGAATGATAATATTGCATCATTATCATTTTATGATTTAAAGACATTTGATAAAGGTCCTTATCTTCAAATAAATTTAGATATATTACCTCGACAAAGTTGGACAAAACTTGAATTTTCTAATAATGGAAAATTACTTTTAATAGTTAGTGATTCAAGTATACATTATATACTTGATTCATTTCTGGGTCAATTATTAACAACTCTTCATTTAGAAGATATAAATGATGAACCTCATGATTCGAATTGGTTATCATTTGATTATCCATCAAGTGGTTCAGCAACATTTTCTCCCTGTGGGAAATTTGTTTTAGCGGGAACTCCCCTGGCAAATTTAAAAATATTTAATTTATCCGATTTAAAATCAACTGATGGGAAAACTCATAGAGTTGATGTTCAACATAACAAACATAAAACTTATCCTGTATCTCTGTTACCCAATAATCAGGGTATTTCTAGAATGGTATTATTTAATCCTAAACTTCTTACGGTAGCAACAGCTGATACCACTGTAACATTATGGCTGCCAAATTTATAGATGTAATATTAATATTAATAGTAATAGATTTTTTCTCATTGCGAGCATACAAAGAAAATTGAAAAATTCATTGTAAATTTTCAATATCTCTCTATAATACTTTAATCCTTTGATTAAACAATGATACGGCAGTTGAAGAGTATTAGTGGAAGAACGAGTATTAGTGCAGTATCGAGCATTAGTGGAATAACTAAACGATTGTTTAGTCAAAGTCTGTTTCCAGAAATAGATGAACAAATCAATTATGATGACCAAATTCGGTTGCTTGAAATAGACGAACAAACTAATAGTGGTCATATTAATTTGAACCCTAAGCCGACATCCATTATACTGACATCTATTATACCTACATTCATAAATAAACTGGACTTTAAAGATTTTAGTCATTTCTGTTCATATAAACCATCAGAAGAACTTCCTACATATAAACGAACAGATAGGCTTCCCCAAGTTCTAAGTGATATAAAAGGTGTTGATACGATAACACATAAAATTATACGTAAAACGAATATGCTCAATAAATCCTTTCTTGTTACTGATAATAACTTTTTCCAATTAAGATTCTTTTCAAAAGAGCATTTTACTTCACAGTTTAGAAAATCAACTATATCAATGGCAGTAGACTTCTCTAAGGGTTATGTTATGAATAGTTCAACATTGGAAAATTCTCATATCTATTATGATGGTAAGTATAGATCATTAGAGTTCTTTAAAAAGAGATGCAGACCATATGATAGTGCTATGTTTAGATGTAAATATCGAAAATTTATTAGGAAACAGTTATTTGATACAATCCATCGCCTAGCTGAACATTATCAACTTCGAGAGCCTGAAGTTATTTATCAAGGAATTTATAAATTTGCTTTTAAAAAGGTAGCTTATAGTACTGAAGAAAAACGTGAAATGGTAGAGAGTATGTTTAAAGGACTTTCTAAATTGTATGTAGACAGAAACGCCATAAGGATATCCGAACAACGAAATAGAACAGCTTGGCGAAATAAGAATGAAATTTTGCTTCTTGAAAGGCACATAAGAGACAAAAAGAAAATATATGGTGTTAAAAAAGTTAAGAGTGATTATCCATTCCTTGAGACTAGTATACATTTTATACGTAAAGGTGTCGATTTGGAATTTTATGAAAATGTATTACCCAGAACGTTGGGAATTAAACTGAAACCCAGAAAGCCGGCGACATTCTAAAAAGAAACCCATTTATATCTGCCTTATATTCATATTTAAATGAATGTAACCAAATTTCCAGGTCAGTCATGTCTTTGTCGGTGTCAAATACCTTTCTGTTACAAATTTCACAAGTTGTATTATACTTATCCTTTAGATCCTTAAGACTTTTTTGTCTTAATAATTTTAATCTCTCGATCTTGGCCGCCATTTCAGGATCAGATTTAAATTTTGTAATTTGATATAAATCGATACATTCATTGTTTGATATCACGGATTTATCGACGCTTTGAAACTGACCAAATTGAGGATATTTTTCAAATAGTCTTGTATATAGTTCAATCTCAATTTCATTATTGATAATATTTATTTCTTGATTGTATAACTTCGAATTCAGTGGGTTATAAAGGAAATCATTTACAATTGGATAACCCATATTTCGAAGATGAATTCGTATCTGATGCATTCTTCCTGTTAAAGGTTCACATAATACAATACTTTGATTTAACTCTTTATTATACTTCAATAATTTAAAAACAGTTGTAGAATTTATAGGTAATTCTTCTGCATTTAATGGCTTTATATATCCACCAGTGGAATTAACCATAAATATAGGACAATTAATCATGGTTTCCTCATGTGGAAATCTCCCATTTACTCTTGCAATATATTGTTTAGTTATTTTATTTCGATTATTCTGAAACACATTATGATATTTCTGAGATGCTTCCTTAGTTTTTCCAAAAATCAATATTCCAGATGTTACCTTATCTAATCTATGGAAAGGCCATAAATTAACATATCCATTTTCTTTCTTTAATATCTCTGTAATTGAATTATAATAATAATTCCCAGTAGGATGTGTAGGTATTCCTGCTGGTTTATCAACAACTAGTAAATCTTCACTTTCATATATAATTTTAATTTGTGAATCAGGAACAGTTGGCTCATGCATATGTTTGGAATTATAAATCACATCAAAGCCATCAATTTGTTTAATTAGAACATTTTCTAACCCTTTGATTACCTTTGAACCACCTTTACGTCCCACATTAGATTCTATATACATCAATCCATTCTTTATATCTTGCTCTAGAGCTTCTCTACTTTCACCAAATTCATTTGTGAAAATATCAATAACAGTTCGGCCTATCCATCGCGGTTTGGGATGCGTTTTGAATTTAAGGTAGTATGGAGGTACCTTTCTTAATCCCCTCTCAAATCTATACATATATCAAATTCTAGTAATCTAGTAGTAATAAAGTATTTGCATCTACAAAATTCTACATTTTAAATTTTTCAGCCTAAGAAAAAACCTTTATAACTATATAAGATGAATGGATATATTCGAAAACAAAAATGAAAAATGAAATGAACCAAATCTTTTAAAATTTTATGTAGCAGAAGTTGGTGGGAAAACATTCTGCAGATTGTAGCCTATAACGTTACCAGGTGGATCATATTCGCAAACAATGTAAAGTCCCCAATTCTCAGCTTGACAATTTTTATAAGCACATCCTACACTTGTAGAACCTTTCCAAACAAGTTGAGTAAAATGATCATAAGTGTTTGCAGTTTGGTAATTATATGTTTCTCCCTCTACATACCAAGCTTCAACAGCTGCCGGACCATTTGCAAAGCCTGCAGCTAGGTTCTCACCGTATGGACCATGGGTATGAGTTAAAATACCAGAACAATCGTAATTGTTAGCATTATTTTGTGCATAGTTATAAGCATCAGTATTCCATGATAATGGAGCGACTTGATGAATAGCTCTGTCTGTATTATGAGCATCTAAAATCAGTCTTGCGAAATTGACATCAATTCCCGGTGAGTTATAGATAGCATCATAAATCCCACTAGTAGATGATGAATCTGATTGAGCCAGTTGAGAAGTTGTACTAGTGGAAAAAGTAGATGGTGTATATGTGCTAACTGGTGATAATGATAACGGAGAAGTACTTGCAGCTTCTACACTAGCAGGAAAAGATGGTATAATTGACTGGAGCAAAATAGATGTCACTGAGGATTGTGGACTTGATGGGTAGCTGGCAGCTGTAGGAATTGTTTGCTGTATAATACTCACTGTTGACAATGATGGCACGGCTTCTGATGGTGTTGCTTGTTCAGTAACTGGGGTTGGTGATGAGCTGGAATTGAATGCTGCTAAAAAGTACAGATACCACTTGTTCCAAAAAGAACTGGTGAACAATTGGCTAATTGTAGTTGAGAGTGAGGAGGAATCTGAAGATGTTGGAGCTGCTGCCGGAGCTGCTGATGGAGCTGCTACTGGAGCTGCTGCCGGAGCTGCTGCCGGAGCTGCTGCCGGAGCTGCTGATGAAGCAGCTGATAGGGCCCCATTTGGAATCAACGTGGCAAATAAATCATCAGCAGCAATAGGAGATGTAGCCTGGATTATTGGTGTATTTGTTAGAGTCGCTTGAGCAGTGACAGTTTCGAACAATGTCACAAATAATGGAGCTCCTGTAACTAAATCCAAAATTAGGCCTAAAACAAGTATTTGAATTCCTGGTAAATACCTCATAGTACTTTTGATTACTGTTGATCAGATTTCTCAAGATTTAAAAGTGTAGGATCATTTTCAGTATTTATGGAGTCAATAGTTGCAAATTATTAGTGAGATTCGCAAAATAAAAAAATTTCCTATTTAGGAAAGGTGATAAAATATTTCCTTCCTAAACAGGTACAGTATATTTCAATGCTAGTTAGCAATCATCTACAACTAATTATTATCTTAGGCTAGTAATTAAGTCGATGTGGGGTCAGATTAAACTAAAATTAGGGTCTAGCCCCCATGTGGTAACTAGTTTCTTGGTTGTAACCTACTGAACAGATTTATATTACTATTCTATATATGTTAACTCTATAAATCTTCTTGTAAAATTTCCTTTAATGTCAATGCTATAACTTCAGCAATTCCACCTCCAGTACATCTAACCACTATATTGTAACCATTTTCTTGTACTTCCAGTTCAATTGATTTTACTTTTGTTAATACCCCATAATTAGATTTTTGAGTATGTAAAATACCTGCCCCTTTTATTAAAAGATTTGAAGGTGGATTTTCCGGACTAGCATAAACGATTGCAAATCCAAGTCTTGATAAAAGCCTTATAATATTTGGATATGTAAATGAAGCTGAAGGAATTACTGTAGTTGTGTATTCTCCTTCATTTGTTCCAAGTAATTCACCAATTTGTAACCACCGTTTTTCAAAATCATCTTCACTACCTAGAATAGTAGCTGATAAAGTTTTAATTAACAATACTGGGAATTTGAGATTTAATTGATTAAATGAACCTCCGCACATGAAAGTTACCGATAATATAGGACTTTCATTATTCTCTATTACACTTCTAACCTTAATTTCTATTTCTAAAACTGACTTATCTCTAATGGTAGATTCAGGAACTTGCTTTAAATTAAGTAAATAACTAGGATCAGTATCACCAGCTCTACTCTCTAATTCTAAGACGGTAAACTTTGTAATATCAGTTCCTGCAGTTTTGGCGGAATTGTTTATTATGGTGAATCTAATTAAGATATTGTTACCTTCTTTTAAAATTCTATAAGTAAGTTTAATTAAAGGGCTTTCAAAGAATATACCAGCATCAAAATGAAGCATTCTATAATATCCAGAATACCAGTTTGGTGATAAGGCTGTCTTAGTATCATCAAATGGATTAGTATCATCTTCTCCATTAGTAATATCTGCTGTTGGAGATTTTCTTGGAATATTCTTGGCCAAAACTCTTGATTTCCTTCTACTAATATCATGATAACCTCCAATACGATGAAGTAAAGAACTTTCAACATTTACAAAAGCAGGTAATGGTTTTATAGTTTTTTGAGCTAATTCAAAATTACTACTTATAGTAGCCAATTTTAAATATTCATAAGCTCTTGTCTGAATTTCTAAATCCATAGATTTTGATTCAATTTCAAAAAGGTCAATAATTTCAGGAACAAAATCATTATCCGGGAACTTTACTAAGAATTTTAAGAATGTAGATAATAACATTGCTCTAGTAAGTAATGATACCCTAAAATATGATTCATAAAGTAATTGAAACTGAGTATCTGCATCATTCACTAAATGACCATATTCTCCTAAGACAAATCCAGCAACTTTTATAAGATTTTCAGATAACCCTGTTTGAATTGGTTGAGATTTTCCATTTGCACTTAAAACTAAAGGATTCTTTAATAAATTTATGATTAATTTACAAGTTTTCTGTTGTAAATCTTCATTATTTACAATTATTTGAACAATTCTTTCCCATACTTCATTACCAATATAGCTAACCCCATTAGAATTATATCCTCCTCCAATAGATAATAATTTCAACATAGTAGTGACATACCATGTAGAATCTGTTGCAAACCTTTCTGCCAATACTGCAATTTTTATACCAAGTTCAGATTTTAAGCTAAAATCAGAAAATGGAAAATAATCTAATAATCGATTAATAATACTTGAAAATGTTAATGGAGTACAAGTTGCATATAATAAATCTAAAGCTTTTCTTCTTACTGAAATATCTTTATCATATAATAATTGAAATAATTTTGGAATAGTATCATCTACTCCAACTGGTATATTCAGTCTTGAAGTTAATTTTGTTAATGCATCAAGAGCTAAATAACGTGTATTAGTATCTGGAGAATTTAATAATAATATTAATGCATTAATGGCTCCATGTATAGCATCTTCAGAAGCATCTAAAAATACTGCTAATGAAACTGCTTGAAATAAGATTGAACTTTGAGAATTTCTATTTGGTAAACCTTTTATTGATTGAGATGCATTTTGAATTGAAGTAGAAACAACTTGTCTAAAATTATTTAAAGTTTGATCATCTAAATTAGAAATACATAAAACTGGAATATCTTTATCTTTCATTAAAAAGAATTGTTCCATAAGATGTAATAATCCTACTACTAACCATGGAGCTGGAATTTTATAATAATAATATTCTTCTGGACATTTACCTTCCACTACTATATTAAATAATTTTAAACCAATTGCTGGTATAATTGATTTAATAAATTGAGGTTTAAGTCGTACTACATATTCGACTAATGGCATACTTGAAATAACAATATCAAAATCTTTATCATCAATTAAAGTTAAAATTCTTGGAATCCAATTATTATTATTTATAATAACTTTTGGATATAATTTAGATAATGCAAATAAAGCTATAATAGCTTTTCTTTTAACTATAGGTTTATGAATTGGAGAAGTAACAAATGAATAAGTCATATCAATTAATTCTAACCATTCACTTGAATTTTCATCAGATTCATCAATTTGATAAGATGCATTATCTGATAAATTAAAATTTGAAGCAATATATTGAATTGCTAAACAATTTATATCTTCATTATTTGATCGTAAATCTTTAATTAAAATTGGATATACTATATTTAATGTATTATTTAAATCAATTTTTGAAGAATTTTTATTAGCAAGAATTGATATTGCAAGGTATCCTAATTGTTTTTCACTATAAACTTGTGAATCAACTAATTCAATTGCATGTTTTAAACCAAATTCTATACCTTCATGATAACCATTTAAATAGATATATACTAGTTTACATAAATATTTCTTCTGTTGATATCCATTCAAATTAGTAGCAAATTTAGTTTGAATGTTATTAATTTCAAGATTAATTCGTTTAGCTTCTTCTTCGGAATCATTGGAATTCCTCAAATTAATAATAAATTGGGTTAACCCCTTCATTTGTGATGGTGCCATTGTTTATTCCTCCACTCTTTTATATTTATATTATTTATGCTAATTTAAATTTAAATTTCTTTCAATTGGTTCAAGTAAATTATCTCCACATAAATCCATCCATATACTCCGGACTATTTAAGTATCATAGTATATTGATCGAGATCTCTCTCTATATCTGGAGGTCATGTGCTCTTGAGAACGTGACCGTGTATAATTTTTTTTTCAGTCGTGTACTTATCCCCTTTTTATTACTAGACCCTCATAAAACTCTCAATTGAAAATTTTAATTGGACAGACAAACAAATCCGAAAACTAAAGAACCATTTTTTTTGTTAAGTGTGCCCCAACCAAAACCTTTCAACAAAAATTTTGAGTACAGAGGGAATTGAATATCAAAATTGAATATTGAATTGATTGGTCGTCTTGTATTCAATTTACATCTAGCATATCAATAATGTCATCTGTAGCTAAGACTGTTGCCACCAAGTTAGATTGGACTAAGGTTATTACCTCCTTAGGTTTAACCGGATCAACTGCTGCCTCATTAACTGCATTCAAAAAGAGAAATGATGAAGCTAAAAAGGAATACTTAACATTATCTTCTCAATCTACTAAAGTTGATTTTGCTCATTATAAATCAGTATTAAAGAATTCTAAGGTTGTTGATGAAATTGAAAAGTCTGTCAGTTCTTTTAAACCAGTTACTTATGATGTTTCTAAAAACTTAAAGAGTATTGAACTCTTTGAACAAAAGGCTATTGAAAATGCCAAATTAACTGAAAAATCTGTTCTTGAAGAAATTTCTCAATTACAAGCTACCCTTAAAGACATTGAAAGTGCCAGACCATTTGATCAATTAACTGTTGAAGATGTTGCTAAGGCTAGACCAGATTTAGATGAAAAGGTTACATATATGGTTAAGAATGGTAAATGGGATGTTCCAGGTTATAAGGAAAAATTCGGTGATTTAACTGTCATGTAAGAATGCATCAATTCCTTGCTCCATTTAATTCATTATATCAAAATAAATTATATTACTTCGTCACGATCTCATATTTTTATACAGTACATTATATCATAATAAAATATTAAAAATATTTAGAATATTTATTTACTTATTTGGCAACTTGTTTATTGTAGAAAGTGCCAATTGATTCCAATTTAAAGTAAAATGAGCGATTAAATTACAGTTACTTCTACTTTTGTCTCTTTCTCGCTATAGTATAGTATTACGTTCTGAATCTCAGATATAATTAATACTATATTTAAATTATACTATTTAAGCATTTCGAATCAGAATAGCTTGTCTTCAGGACCAATTGAAACAATATTATAAATACCTCTATTAGAGTTTTATTTCAATACTTTAAAGTAACTTTATCGCATACCATATAAGTTTATCAAAAGTATTTGCTAAATAATAAAAAAACATTGGATTTATGAAAAGACAATAAAACTTTTGGTTCAGTAGTGTATAATTTAAATTTAGAATTGATACCCTATAGGATATGTGCAGCAGTTAATGCACTAACCTAGGCTTGCTTCCATAGTTAGAATTTACTAATAATAGAGCGCAAGATTATTTCGCATTAAAAAGTGCAAATACAAACTATTTGCGACTAAAATAACTGTTTTTACCATCTCGCTCGCATAGAACTACTTAGTGCGGTACATTTTGACCTATTGAGGTTACAGTTAGCTTTGCAATGCTCACACAATTGCTATTGAGCTTGGCTCATATAATATTTATCGCTGCTGCAAATCTATCGCGCAAACACGGAACAGATTACTGTATTGAGAAGCGCAAAAGATCTACAAGTGACGTTATACGAATGAGGTTAATTTTTCATTTTTCATATAATATATATATGTATGTCATTAACAATTCAGTATCACTAGTTAAGATTTTCTAGTAAAATAATGCTCGATATTTAGTATAGATTATTATGTCATGGAACACTTTAACCATACCTGAAAAAGATCGGGTCAGTTTGTCAGTTAGACATCTTAATGTTTCTGTAAAGCTGGAGAAATCAGATCTTGAATCTCATCCTACAAAAGATATCTTACATGACATTTCATTTGACTTACAAAGTTGTAAAGTATTAGCGATAATTGGTGGTTCTGGAAGTGGGAAAACTACATTGTTGAATACTTTATCTTCAAGATTAAATATTAAGAACAAGAGTTTGGAATTTAAAGGTAATATTATTTATTCTACTCCTGCTAACGATAAAAGAATTAAGAATTCATATTTGTTACAAGATGATGTATTTCTTGCGGGTTTATCGGTATTTGAAACCCTTAAATTTCAAGCTGATTTGCGTTTACCTCCTAATGTAAATGATTTTGAAAAGTTACAGTTAATTAATTCATTATTAGAAACATTAGAACTAACTCATTTGAAAGATACAATTATTGTATCATTTACAGGGTTTATAAGTTTATCCGGTGGTGAACAAAGACGACTTTCCCTTGCTATTCAATTACTTAGTCGACCTTCCATATTATTTTTAGATGAGCCCACAACTGGTCTTGATGGTAGTAGTTCATTAAAATTAATGAAAGTCTTAAAGAAACTTAGTTCACCACAAATAGGTATTACAGTAATTCTTTCAATTCACCAACCTAGAATAGAAATTACCAAATTATTCGATAGAATATGTCTTATGACCAGAGGTGGAAGATTAGTCTATTTTGGAACATTAGCTGATTCAGCCTCGTATTTCAATAGAATTAGCTTTTTAAATAATAATTCTGTAAGTAGCAGAGAGTCCACTAATTTTGTGGATTACATTATGGATTTATCAGTTAAAGATTCTACAACTCGTGAACAAGAAGAAATTACCACAAGTAGAATAGTTAGATTAGTTCAATGTTGGAAAGAGTACAATATAAATCGTATTGATGATATGAATTACGATAGTTTAGGAAGTCTTGAAGACTTGATTCAAAAGTTTTCAAGATCTACTCACTCAAAAATACCATTTTATAGAGAAGTTTATGTTTTAACTAAAAGAACATTCTTATTGAGTTGTCGTGATATATTATCATTATTAGCTATGAATGGAGCTTCACTCATAATTGCTGTTTCAACTGGTTGGATGTTCTATAGACCAACTCCAGATTTGTCTGGTATTAGATCTTTAACTTCATCTTTATATGTTATGCTTGAAGTTGTTGGATTCTGTCCAGTCTTTATAGAACTTGGCCGATTATGGAATACGGATGGCATTAACTTTTTCAGAGAACATAAAGAAAACTATGTTAGTGTTCCAGGTTTTATTATATCAAGAAGATTAGGAAAGATGTTTTTGGAAGATATTCCCTTAGCAATAATCTTTGCAGTTATAACATATTTTATGTGGGGTCTTAGAAGCGGCGTAGGATACTTTTTCATTTATTTCGTCATAACTATATTAGTCTCATTAATTGGAATGGCTTCGGCCATGGCCTTTTTTGCCTTAGGAAAAGATTTTGCAGTTGCAGTCATGCTTTTGAACTTATTTTACCAAATTCAAAATAGTGGTTGTGGATATTTCGTCAATGCCGCTACTATGCCAGTGTATGTTCGTTGGACTAAATATATTGCATATTTTTGGTATGCATTTGGAGCATTAACTGCAAATCAATTCTCTAATTGGCATGGAGATTGTCCAATCGATGATGCTAATCAATGTATTGAATATTCAGGTAATTATCAATTGAAAATGTTAGGATTCCCCGTAAATTGGGTAGCAGAACCAATTGGGATTTTAATTGCATGGTTATTTGGATTTTATATAATTACTTATCTTGGATTACGATTTAAGAATTACGATGTAGAAATGTCTAAAACTAAGAAGAATAGAATTGGAGGCGAAGATGAGGAAGATTATGAAGAAGAGAAAATTGACATGGATAACGATAATTATGATGATAAAGAAATTAAGTTTCAACCTCCTGTTGCAAAAGAGGAAGTTATTGAAAATATTAATATCTCCCTAGTGAATATTGAACTTAAAGTTTCACAAAGGAATTTATGGTTCAAGAATACTAGTGATGTCAAAGTATTACTTGATGATATTAGTGCAGAGTTTACTAGTAAATCTCTTAATGTAATTATGGGTCCATCAGGAAGTGGTAAAACGACACTATTAAATTTGATTTCGAATAGAGTTGCAAAAAACACATCATTTGCAGCCAATGGAAAAATAATCATCAATGAGATACAAGAAATAAGTCCTCTTGAGCTATCAAAAATTGCTGCATATGTTTCACAACATGATACTTCATTAATTCCTAATTTGACTGTCAGAGAAACACTTTACTTCCAAGCCAAATTAAGATTACCTAAAGAAGAGCATGATAGAATTCCTTCATTTATTAATAATTTAATTAGAAAGACAGGTTTAAAAGATTGTGCAGAAACTTTAATTGGATCTGAATTTGTAAAAGGTATATCAGGTGGAGAGAAGAGAAGAGTATCAATTGCAATTCAATTATTAAGTCGTCCAAAGATTTTATTTTTGGATGAGCCAACTTCTGGTTTAGATTCATCTACTGCTTTATCAATTTTAACTTTATTGCATGATTTAGCAAAGAGTAATGACTCAACTATTATCCTTACTATCCATCAACCTAATGAAGATATGATCAAAATTTTTGATAATATTTTATTAATGAGTAGAGGTGGGAAAGTTGTATTTAGTGGTAAATCTTTAGATGTGAAGAGCTATTTCAATTCTATTGGATATACGATTCCTGACAACAAGAATATTGCCAATCATATCCTAGACTTGGTTTCTCGAGGTATTGAAGAAGATAAAGAAGCTATGGAAAGTCGAGTTCTAGATTTGATAACCAAATGGAAGCATAAATCATTAGATTTTGCTGCCAAAAGTAATAAAAATAATAATAATAATAATGCCTATATTGATTTAGCACTGCTTCATAAAAGAAGAGCTCCTTTCCAAACAACATTATTAGCCATTACTAGTCGTCAATTTTTAAATACAATAAGAACATTTGATATTTTATTCTCTCGAATCTTTCAAACAATTTTCCTAGGTATAGTTCATGCATTATACTTTTCTCCTTTAAAGAATACATCGCAAGGTATATCCAACAGACTAGGATTAGTTCAAGAAGTTTTAAACTTATATTTTGTTGGATTAATCAATAATATCTCCTTATATCCTATGGAAAGAAATATCTTCTATCAAGAATATAAGGATGGAGTATATGGAGTTAGTGAATTTACTACTTCTTATCTTATTAATGAACTCCCCTTGGAATTTGTTCCTTCAATTATATTTTCAGCACTTATTGTATTTGTTGTTGGACTTCCTCGAACTCCAGCCATGTTTTTTGCCATGAGCTTTTGTTGTTTTGCATCAATTAATATTGGAGAATCTCTTGGTATAGTGTTTAATTCCCTTCTTAATCATTTAGGATTAGCTACCAACGTATTATCTATAATCATAATGTTTGCTGTATTCATGGGTGGTACTATGTCCTTACAAATGCCTCAGTTCTTTAGAGCTATAAATTGGATTAATCCAATGAAGTATGCAGTGGGTATTACTGCACAATTAGGATTTGAAAATCAAACTTTTAAGTGTGTGGGTAATATTTCTTCTTGTACTTTAAATAGTGGTGAAATGGTTTTAGAGTATTATGGGCTTGGGGGTAATATGGCAAGAGATTTTGGGTGTTTAGTTGCATGTCTTGTTATCTACAGAATACTTTCAGTAGTGTCGGTCTATCTTAGAGTTAAATATTTTAACTAGTAATTTAAACGTTTTATTTTGTTAATAGATATATTTATATTTATATTTATAGAATTTCAACATCATGAAACCGGATAATTTAATTTAATTTAATTTTAGTTAATTCAGCATTCAATTAATTCAACAACATCTAAAGTAACTGGCTGACAGTGATAACCAATTGGTTGATCATATAAATTATAAAATTCACCAGATGCACATTGAAAGAATTTTGTTGATTCGCCTAATGCTAATTGACCTTGATCGGTAATTGACCAACCTGCAGCATATATGGCACCATATTGAGGTACAGGACCATCAAATTGAAATTGATGACCAGAAACTATACAACCAATTCTATCACTTGAATCTCTTAAAATTGAATTAGTAAGAGTCATTTGTAAAGTTGTATTTGAAGTACAAGCAACAGCATAAACAGGTGATTCAATTTCATTAGTGGTTGAATGATCATAATCTTCTTGATCATATCTTTTTCTAATATTTGAAAATTCTTCATCAATAGAGTCTACACCTTCGGCGGCATCAGATGGATTTTCACCTTCTTCTTCTCCATCATCAAGGCATTCTTCTTCTGGCTCTTGAGTCCAATCTGAAGGAGTAACCAATACAGTTGATAATGTCTTCTGAATTTGACCATCTTCTATTTGATTTATAACATCAATTGATCTAGTTGGTTTAGGAGCTGGAGTTACAACAGTGGTAGTTAAGGATCTAATAATTGAAGAAATAGTTGGTTCTTCATATTCTCCATCTTGATTAAGAACATATGGACTAACAACAATTCCAAAGGGGAAACTCACAGTATCTAAACTTCCTTCAAGAGGTACAAAATCAGGTTTTAATTCAGTCCAATCACCGCCACTTTCAGGTACCCAAACATCAGTAGCATTAATTAAGTTTGGTACATATGTCACAAGACAAAGAATCCAAGAATAGTAAGTGTTAAACAACATTGTTTTTACCAGTAAGTAACTAAGTATTTAAGTAATAACTCTAAATTCTGTATAATCTTTCAAATAAGAACAAGTAGAAAGTGGGTGTAATGTAAAACTTTCCCGCTGTAATGATTGCAAAATCGTCTTTTATCTACACAGTAATGCGGCTCAACCAAGCGTCCCACCAAAAAGAAAAAAAATAGTGGGGGCCTGCATAGAGCTCGACCAAACATGGATAATTTTAGACAGCCACTAATATTGACTAGATGAGTAAGCAATCAACTCATTAACTATTGTAGGACTCAACAGTACCACTAGTAAAATAGATATTAGATATTTAAATAGGGTTAAGAAAAATGTTTAGAAGAGTATTGTCCAACACAGGTAGATTAGGATTTGCTCCAGTGATTAGTAAGTCACATTTCATTAATGTTAGATATATGTCTAGTGAAATTAAGAATGCTATAGATCAAGCAGTTGCAGCAACCCCAGTTGTATTATTTATGAAGGGTACTCCAGAATTTCCTCAATGTGGATTCTCACGTGCCACCATTCAAACTTTAGGTCAACAAGGAGTTGATCCAGCTAAATTTGCTGCTTATAATGTATTGGAGGATCCAGAATTAAGAGATGGAATTAAAGAATATAGTCAATGGCCAACAATTCCTCAATTATATGTTAATAAAGAATTTATTGGAGGTTGTGATATTATTACCAATATGGCAAAAAGTGGAGAATTGGCTGAATTATTAGAAGCTAATGATGTATTAATTCCACTTGAAGAAGAAGAAGTTCAAGAACCTGAATCAGCTAATGTTAAACCTAGCGAAAGATCTTAGAATTTTTGTAATTGGTTTTTACATGTATATAGTAGAATGACTAATAAACAATTATATTAATGACAATAATAATAATAATTATAATAATTATAATAATAATAATAATACTAGTATTTGCCAAAAAGAAAACTAACCTAAACTAAATAAACCAAAAGATTAATTAAAACTAAAACTAAACTAAAACTAAAACTAAATTTAACGTATGGGAACTCCAATAATAAAAGCAATAACCGGATGAAGTAAATAAACAAAATAATATAATACTAGTAGTAAATTGAATAATCGTTATTATTATTATATAATAATAATAATAATAATGATAATAATAGCGTCAATAGAAATAAATTCTTCTTTTTTCAACCAGATAATGTAATGGTTGTATTTGAATTGTTACTATTAAGTGGTGGAGATACTGGTTGCGGTGGTGGAGAATTTGCTGATGAACCATTTTTCTTCAAACTTCTAGAAACTGTCGATGAACGTCTTCTCGATAGTAAGTTTGAATCATTAAGATTTAAAGTGAATTTGAATTCTCCATTAATTCCAGATATTATTGAAGATGATCGAGTTTGATATTCTCCTTCACCTCCATTGGTGAGATCAGTTTCTGAAGAATTGGCCAGATCAAGATCATACTCTTCATCATCATTATCAAGATCAAATGAAAATCTTCTGCGAATAGTACCATTAGTGGCAGGGTTAGATGTAGGAGATTTAGGAAGAGCTGGAATAGGTGCAACTATAAAGTTGGAATTTGAATTGGTAGATGAAGATCTTGATGGCTTAGAAGAATTCCTCTTGAATGAAAATTGATGTGATAAGCTTGAAACTTCATCATCTTCTTCATTCTCATCGTCATCATCTTCTTCATCTTCATCTTCATCTTCATTGTCATCTTCCTCACTGTCAAAATCATCGTTGAGCAACTTACTCTTATCAATTCTGAAAACATTTTTAAAGTTCAACTGATTAGGTAATGGACTCTTGGGATACTTTTTATGCATTCTAGTCATAGCTTCTCCACTACTTTCACTTTCAAATCCATCATTTTCCTCTTCATCATCTGTATAATGATGTTCCTGTATTCTTTCAATAAATTGAACATTGGCTGTGGCAGCCGCATTCATAGCAGGATTATCAAATACTTTTTTAATTGCTTGAGCTCGAGGAGATAATAATGGTTGATGTGAACCACCTAAGATTGATGCAGGGGCAGTTACTGATGGTGCAACAGATAATGATGCACTTCTTGAAATTGAAGTATATTCATCACCAAATACTTCATATTTATTATTGAAATATGAAGTAGAAGATAATGATAATGAAGGATCTAAACTTTCGGCAACTGGTGGTTGATCAGCTTGAATCCAAGGATGTTTCCAAATCTCATCTATAGTAATTCTTGTTGAAGGATCAATTACTAACATCTTTGAAATAAGATCCTTAGCTGAATCTGAGATTTCATCCCACCATGGTTGAAGAAAAGTATAATCAGCATTAAGAATTTTTAAAGTTAATTGATTTGCATCATCATCATAAAATGGAGGAAATCCACATAAAATTGTATAAAGGAAACATCCAAGTGACCAAATATCTACTGCTTTATTATACGAATTTTTCTTTTTTGTCTTTAAGAATGAATTAAAACGACGTGAAGTTGATGATGATGATGAAGGATTTGAAGATGAACCACAAGTAATAACTTCCGGAGCTGTATAACCCGCTGTTCCACAGGGGGTATTTAATGGTTGATGAAAAGGATCATCTTCAGGTTTTAATTGTTTAGCAAGACCAAAATCTGCCAATTTAATTAATCCAACAGATCCACCTCCAACATTAATTTTAAATTCACCTTCATCCTTTTTAGAATCATCATCTGATTTTCGAAGACGAGATTTAAATATAGATTTATCACGAGGGAAATGAGGGATTTTTAAATAAAGAAGATTTTCCGGTTTTATATCTCGATGGACTACACCATTATCATGAAGGTATTCTATAGCCGATAATAATTGTTTAAATACATGACGAGATAATTCTTCTGAAAAATAAGTATATTCAATAATCTTATTAAAGATTTCTCCACCATTACAATATTCAAGAACAAGGAAACAATGCATTGGAGTTGAATAAGCATATAATAAATTAAGAATATTAGGATGAGATTGATTTGAATGAGGATTTTGAGATAATTTATTCATAATTTTAACTTCATTTTGGATATTAGTAAATTGTTTTGAAGTTAAATTAACCTTTTCAATTACTTTTATAGCTACTACTCTATTAGGATGAGATTTAGGTACTGAAGAATCAATAGCTTTATAAACAGTTGAAAATGCTCCATCACCAAGAACAGATATTAATTTATAATGTGAAGGTAGATCTGGATATAAATCATGAATAGGAGTTTGAAGTGAGAAATTAGTATGGGTAGTATTTGAAGTATTAGGACTTACTGATGAAGAATTTGTAGTAGTTGCAGTTGTAGTAGAAGTCGTTGAAGATCTCATTATGCAAAAGGTTTAAAGTGTTAAAAGAATGACTGAGTTAGTTTAAAGTAATGATGAGAATATATATATATGTGTGATATGATATGATATAGAAGCTAAATTGCAAAGTATTAGTATCAAATGTGAAATGTGAAATATATACAACCGAATGATATAGTGCAGGATATGTTACAAGCAAGAATATATATCACTTATAAGTAATAAGTTAGAGTTGTAATAAATGGAATTAAAAATTGGCGGATGAAACACTATGATGTTTCTTTATATTTTAATATATTTTTCTTTTGGATTCTGTCTTTCTTTTCTGATCTCAATGTAATGATCTGTTATTTCCGCTGTCTGATCTTAATGCAATGACATATTCCTATTGTTAATACAAATGTGGGTATTATTGCAGTAAGTAAATGTGGGTGTCAATGAAATTAGGTGGTAACTATGGGCTGTGCTGCATATAGACTTTTTCATGGAAAAAAAAAACTTTTGGTTCCTGAAAAGATCTTTGCCTCCTTTCAGTAATAGTTTTTTTTTAGTTCGATATTTGTGGATGTGTAATTCCTCCTCATTACTACTTAGTTAATTCTAGTGGTGGGAAAAAAGAATAAACTATTGGTGATTGATTAAAATACTAAAATATTCAGCCTCTATTATGGTGTTCACTATATTTGTTAATCTTTATTTCTTGATTACTTTACATTATATTACTTTATTACTTTATTTTCTTTATTTCTTATAGTTTATTTATCAATTCATTACATCGAGATCGAGATTCGAATCGTGACCAATATTCATACCTATTCCATTCGTTCAAATTGGAAATTTACATACCGTTTTTATCAAATTTATTAAGTTATAATGGTGAAAATTCTGTAAATATAACTAATAATAATTCGTATAATTCTCCTATAATTATTTTTAATTATACTGGTTAGTATATATATAGAGACTAATGGTAGTGTATTCCCCTCAAATTACATCATAGTTGACATTAGCATGCAGTTTTACAAATTCAACAGGCTATTGTTGCATGTTAGATGTAAACAACGAGATTTTTTTTACAGGTTATATTGGAGTAGTGTCTTTTTTTACTAATTCCATTATATAATCGGTTGTTTTTAGTGCTGTTAGTATGCAGGTCAGATACTATAAATAAATAATAAAAATTAAATTAATAAGTGAATTAAACAATAAAACAAACTGATAAAAAATAACATTTAACATGTAAATAAATTAACCAATTTGTCAATCCAAAATCTCCCTTACTACTTAGTGACAGAATAAAAATAGCAAACGATTTTTGAGAACAATTAACACAATCACTTAATTAACAATTAACAATTATCAATATGTAAATAATGTAATTGTAGTGTGATCAATCAATAACTAACTCTAACTCATATTTTTAACCAATATAAGTAATAATTAAATAAGTCTTTTTAACCTTTTATAATTTTAACATTCTAATCTGGTTATGTCACCATTAAGTAAAATTATTCAAATGTTTGCTATCATTCATTATCGCGATTGTTTTGACTTTTGTTTGATTGCATTTTTTTAGCTCCTCTCTCTGTAAAAAGGCACCAAATTTCAGTTTCCATATCTTGTTTACGTTTCATATTATATTGTTAAATTTTGAAAGCTTCGGTTACATAACCTTTACCCCCTCTATATTGCAGATTTTGGTTAAGTATGTTTGACACGAAGCTGACGCTGACTTAATGTCAATTATCAAGCCATCGGACTCGGCTTACTTCGTAAACTTTATTAAATCTTATCCGTTATCTGATTCTCCGCTTAATAAGATGTATCATTTTACTTTATTCATTGATATTTTTTACTACACGTTTATTTCCCACATTTTTACTACCTACTTCCTTAATTAATTTATTATAATACATATCGTGTCCCGACATTGTATTCCCTTACATTCTATGTTTCTAGCGATAAAATAACCGAGATTCTAACGAGACCTGGGGAAATTTATCTTCTCTATATTGCTGCGGTATGGATGTGTCCAAAATCACATCCACACTGCACTGCTTGACCCATGAGAAGAGCATCACTATCAAATTTTTTTTAACACCCAAATTGAGACTCACTTAACTATGCGTTATACTTAATATATTGATCTGACACATATACATACATATATATATATTATTATAATATACAATATACATTATGTCGTCTAAGCGATCTTTACCGTCTTCATCAAATGTGGATACATTATTACTTGAGAATATTACGAGAATTTTATCAGAAAAGGATCATAATGCCATGCTTGAATTATTCGAATCTAGTCATAATAAAATAGAGAGACTTATTTCCAATTGGTCATATTTTTCCTCAATTAATGATCATCATCAATTTATTGATGTTTCTGTCAAATTATCTAAAATATCAGCAATTCTTGTTGAAATTAATAATAATGATGAGAAACTGAATAATCTCGATATTAAGATTAAACTTGAGACATTAAAACCATCTATTATTACAGCATATAAATCAATATTAACTACTCATATAAAAGTCATTTATCGTGCCTTAAATAATGCACGAGCAGCATTAACTAATCCTAATTTACGAATTCTTACTAATATGATTAATTTTGATTCTACTATAGCCATTGAAATTCTTAATAATTTCGATCTTTCATTATCATCTTTACCAAATTTATTAATACCTCCAAAAGTTCCTACCACTTCTAAAAATGATAAATCATTAGGAGATCATCTTATTATTAGAGTTAATTTTATAAAATGGTGGTTCACATTTAATACCAATTTACCTAATTATCATAGGAAAGATGTTCTCACTACAAATTTTAAAATTATGAATAATCTTTGGAAATTTATATATAGTGATAGTGAAGCTACAATTAAATTTATAATTGAATTCATTGATAAAAGCATTTTAAATGAACCTCATTTCAAAAAATCAACTAAATGTAAAATCTTGAATGATAATTTCATGCATAAATATCAACCATTATTCTCTAGATTTGATAAAGAAGAATGGTTTATTACATTCCTGGAAAAATTAGTTAGTGATTCAGTTTATGGATTAACTTTCCCAAATCCAAGGGTTTGGTATTCTTCATCCTCCAATAATTCATCTGGAGTTTCAATATCAGTTAATAATAAATCATTTAAGATTAATAATAAGCTTATCTATACATTCTTAACTACCCTCAAACCAACTGAATCTTTTCAACAATTATCGTTTGTTATGACAATTCTTAAATCAAATCCTGAATTAATAGCTCCATATTTCAATTACCTTGTTCAACATGGAGGTGGATATCATGATCCCTCTTTAACATCATGGTGGATTGCTCATTCATTATTATATTCAACTATCCTTCAGATTCCAATCATTGTGGTACAAGATGAAGATGTTTATGATACTTCTACAAAATTCAATATTAAATTAATTGCTGATTGTATAATTCCAGCAGCAATTTCAAAACAAGCTATCACCAAATCATTAACATCGAATAAACCATTAATTATTCAATTGACTCTACAAATATTGATTCATATCTTAACCAATGTTGAACGTATATTAAAAATAGTTGATAATAAACAAGGATTATTAGATATAATAAAAGTTAATTTACCAGAAATTAATACAATTATTCAAACATTTGAGAAGCATGAGAAAGAAGATGAAGATGGAAATAAATTAATTAAATTATCATCACTCATGGTAATTAATAAACTTTCTGCTATAACTGATAGTGGGAATTCAAATGTTTCAAAATTAGCTAATAATGGAATTAATTTACTCTTAACTTCTTTAACAACTATATCTCATTATGATTTATCATTATTAGATAATTATTTATCTATTCAAACCAATCAACAACAAACATCTCAAGAATTTAAATGGTGGAATAAAACTTCATCTACTTCATCATCATTCTTTACATCATTAATTAAATTATCAATTAATAAATCTGTTTCTGATGTTTCATCAACATCATTCAATTGGAAAATAGTCAGTCTTCTTGTTAAACTTTGTCAAACCAATAGATTACTCTTTAATAGAAGTTTACTTGAATCTCCATTGGTGGCATTAATTCAAGCCCTTTCAGATTTGAATACAGTTGTCGATGATAATATTTGGAATTTAGTTGATGAATCTATCTCAAGATCTGTTAGAAGTCCTTATAAATATTTAGATCTCTCCCATTCAACTTATGATGATATTAGTATATTTGTGGTTGCAATATTTGAACAATTTAAGTTCATTATTAATAAAGAAAATGATATTACAACCAGAAATCATACGGAATTCTTATTAACTTTTATTAGATATTTGATTGTGGTAGGTGAATCTAAAATAAGTTTATTGAAGTTATGGAATACATATGTTGATGAAGATATCAGAACAAAGAATATTTCACAATTGGATATCTTAGAATTTGATGGGAATATGGTAGAAAATCCAACAGAAATTAATTTCTTAAAGTATATTCTTACTAGTCCTATCACCTATTTAAATAAATCATTAACTATATTGGAAAAGAAATTACCTACTACTGATATGGAATTTGCAGCTTTAGTACTTAAATTACAACTTATAGTCCAATCTGAATTATCTATATCAACAGATGCATTGATTATAGAATTAATTTCTAAATTGGGTAATTATCTCATCTCAAAACCATCAACTCATCTTATAGATTATATTATTTCATCTAAATTCTGGGGATCATTATTTCTTTCTAATAATGAAATTGATGAAAAGAAGATACTTTTTGGAGGATTATTCAGTGAAGTATTACAACAATTATCAATTAAATCTATAAATGTGAGTCCATTGAATCAATACGTGTATGAACAATTCAATTCATGTGAAACTTTGAGTGTACAATATCAACTTTATATTTCTAATTTTGGTTGGTTACTTACTAATAGTCAGCTTCAATCTATTAAGATTAATAAATCTAATGATTTATTGAAATTAACAATTGCATCTCTTTATCATCAAAGAAATATGGTTATATCAGTAGCTTCATTTAATGATATCCGTAGTATTAATGGTGAACTAGAACAAAAGAAGTCAGATATCTTATCTAAACTTGTCCATGATAATTTAATCGATTTTGAAGATGATTTACCCATAATAATTAAAACTCTTGTTGATTCCAAACAAGATTACTATTTATTAAATGGTTTACTTGAATCTACTGATTCTAAAACTAGACATCTAGTTATTGAATACTTACTGATTATGGAATTTAATGAGAATAATTCTCAACAAGTTGAATTATTATGTTTTGTTGCCTCATCATTAGCTAAAGCACAAGCTAAAGCTACAACCCCAAATGATATTAGGACTGATAAAATCTTTCAATTGGCTTCTAAAGTCACTTTGAGGGCATTAAAGAATAATAATATTCTTGAATCTAATTGGAGTCAAACTTTAAATATATTAACTCAAGGAATAAATGGATTTACACATGATGAGAAAGTAGAGGTGGTCGAAGATTTGTTCAAGTATGTTGATACTCATGGATTTAAGTTTTCTGTAATCCCTGAATTTGCTAAATTCTTAAGTTCGATTAGGATTATAATTCCTCCTATAAATAATTGGATTCATAAATCCATGTTATATATAACTAAAAAGTTTGCTGAATCAGAACATTTATCATCTAATTTCCAAGATTTCTTAAATGAAATTGGAATTATCCTTATGTCTGATATTCAAGTATGGAAAATTGTACCATCATCCATTTTAAATTCACAATTAGAAGTGATTTTAAATCATTCCAGATGGATCTCAGAATCTTTATATTTAAAATATATCAATATCCTTATTATGGCAGGTAATAAATCAAGTATTGCATTTGAAAAATTACTTCAAATATTTATTAATAATGAAGCCAATCTTCTTAGTGGTCTTCCCTCGACTGAAAATTATAAATCAAGATATTTTTCTTCATTAATTATTTTCAATTTATTTAATTTAGATCCTACTAAGAATTCCAAATCAACTTTACTTGGTGAAAAATTAATTCTATTCTATCTTGGTTCTATTAGATCAGAAGATATTGTTATTAAACATTTATTAATTAAGATTGAATCATATACTATGAAATCATGGATTAATAAAGTATCGAATTGGGAATTTATTGAAGAATTATCTAATAATGATATAGAATTAATTGGTGAAGATCGTTTAATTACTTCTGATGGTAAAAATTCTTTAGTTGTATCATTAAATAAGAATTTTATAAAGAATTCAATCATAAATATGACAAACATTTCTATACAATTTCCAACTATTAATGGAAAAATTAATTCAAAATGGCAATTATTGGAACTGTTCTTTAATAAAAGTGAAAGTTTAATTAATTCTTCATATGGCTCTACCATATATGATCCTGAATTTCTTATGATGCTTATTATTAATAATGAAGAATTAGTTAAAGTTGAATCATCTGAAAGTGATAATATTAAAAAGCCTAAATTTGATATTAAGAAATTAATAGATTCTAATATTTTACAATTTATTGTTATGCTGTTATCAAATCCAACAGTTTGTTCAATATCTAAAATTTTATTAAATGGTATAGCTGATTCTTTACAAGATGAATCAGAATCAGAATCAGAATCAGAAAATAATAATAATGGTTTTAAAGATTCAAATATTTATAAAGTTTATGTATCGAATATTTTGAATACTTTAAGAAAAGATATTCAAATTCCATCATTAATTTGGTATATTTATTCAAGTTTTGTACCAATTTTATCAAATCCTGGACATTTCTTATATGAAAAATCTTTCCGATACGTTTTATCGAATCCAAATTTGAAATCAAATGATATACCTCTTTATTCTAATATTATTTTATCTAAAACTAATGATTCTGAGACTGAAAATGATGAATCTTATTATAAACAAATTGTATGGTTAATTGAATCATTAATTGAAGGTACTACTACATCAGAAGATTTAGATTTAATTAAATTTAGAAGTGTGATTGAATGGATAATGAATTTAACTAATTCTCCATTCATTTCTATGAGAATTAAAACTTTAATACTTAAATTTTTGTATATCATTCAATCTATTGATCAAGGAGCTGATATGCTTGTCACTAGATTTGGTATCTTGACAAGTTTAGATCAATATTTATTAAGAGTTAATAATGAAGATTATGCTAAGAAAGATACATTAATTAAACATCAGTTACAAATCAATATCGAACAAGTTATTCTTAGATTAGGAATAGTCGGATTAGGCAGTAAGCGTATTAGAAACTGGACTGAAGAGGATTTACCTAATTACGTAAAGAGAATTCATAAAAGTTGTTCTGTATAGACAATATGGTTTATCTTATTAGTGGAACTGACCGTTTGAATTATCTGATGAGAGGTTTAAGAAGAAGGAATACAAAATCAAAATTACTTTACATATACATATATCTTGTATATACTAATATAAACAGAAATTATTGGACTAGCTTAATGATAGTGAATTTATAGACTGGTAGCTGAGTTACAATATGTTATTGAAGCAATCAATTATTTTTAGGTTTCTTTTTATCTTTGAAATCCCGGTGCATCATTTTTGACTTCATTTTATTTGAAGTTGGCTGATGTTCAGAGTCAAATGCTCTGTCAACATTATCATCATCGACAGATTCAAATTCCTCAGCTGGTATTGACATATCTTTTGGTTTCCTATTTGCAATTGGCCACACGGCTCTTTCTCCTGCGAGCATTGATAGACCAAAATCTATGTATCGAACATCGTCACCTGTAATCATAATATTCGTACTGTGAATATCTTTATGATATACATGGTGTTGATGCATGATACCAATCTTATCTTTTGCTATAACTCTAAGTTTTTCCTTATTAGGACCATCATAATTTTTTAAAGTACAGCCAGTAATTTTTTCCATTATAATATAAAACCCCATTAAAGGTAAAATGCCCAGATTGATACCTATATGTTCATGAAATTCGTCAATACCCTCATTTAGTAAACAACCATGATATTCAATTTTAGGACTTATATTTAACCCATCTAATACCAGGAGTGATCTGACTTCAGTATAATGTATCTTAAAGCATCTTTTAAAAGATTCTTCAACATTACTCTCCTTTATAGGAAAAATCAGTGATCGCAAAGGATCAGTGATTTTCAAAATATATTCCTTATCCCCTTTCAGAATTTCTAGAACGGTCAGAATTCTTGAGTTGAAGCGACTTCCTGAAATTAATGAAACAATGCTATAATCATTTTGAATATCTTTCATAGTCATTATTTTAAATTTTTCATCCTTTTTAAGAAATAAGGCAGCATCCATCAACTCGGGCCGAAATCTGTTTTGCATAAACTCTAAATTTGGATTATATTTACCCCTTCCTGAGCTTTTTATCGCCTCCATAATGTACGGGTCAAATGAATAGCTGGCATAGTCTGACACAGCAGAATTTTGGTACGCATATGATATACCTGGTGAATCATCTAATAATAATCCTGGACTTGGTGGTGCTAGTGGTCGTGAATCATTTAATAATACTCCTGGGCTTGTTGGTGGTAAAAAGGGAGTTGGTGGTGGTAAATCATCTGATATATGACTTAAAGTTGAAAAAGGTATGGGTATATTATTTATTTGGAATACCTGCTTTAAAAAAAGATCTATGCCGTCATAGATACATTTGCTAAGTGTGTCTCGGGCATTTGAAGTGATGAATAACTTATCCTTAACGTTTAAGCAAATCTTTCTATTTTCTTGAAATTTCATCTTAACATCTTTCAATAAAACAAATAAATGGAAATTTAATGAATATTCCAGTTCGATAATATTTAGAATGGAACAATTCATAGGACGAAACAATGAACAAAAATTTGTTCCATCGAAGTCTCCGATATCGTTGAATTTAATAAACAATGTTGTGGTATAATCACTAATAAAAAAGCAGTTGATTTTGTAAAAAACTGCTTCTCGGATACATTGTGTGAAAATCTCCACAAACGACGAGGATTGTTTACTATGCACTTCTGATTTTAAGAAATCATCAAGATACTTTTTAATGAATTTCCTCTTACACTCAATAGGGATATACCCATTATCAATTTTTATTCTTAAATCGGGCGTTATGTATAGTGTGTTTCCTTCAAAGGTATCATACTCTGTTCTTGGACCATAGGCCTTACCTACGCATGCTCCTGGATTGGCAAACAAGTTATTTAAAACTATATCTTGAACTACTGATTCATATTTGTTCTCTAATTGGAACATGATTGCATCGTCTAATTGTGCTTTCAAATCAGATATATAAAGTTTAATATCATTGGTATGGTCAATTGAAAAATCGACCACTTCTCCTTCTGGGTAAACCATTCCCATATAGCTCTTTAAACTATGAGACCTTGTTTCTCTTGGTTGTGATGATGGACCAGTCCTTCTGCGTTTAACACTTCCTTGATTGGTGCTTCCATATATATCTGTATCATCAGCTTCATTTAAATCATCTCCATCTTGTTCTTGTGGATGTAATCCATCAATAATAGGAACTCTAAAGCTCATCAGCATAGAAAATGACCAATATTTAAATAACTGCACTGATAAGCTCATGAGGAATGGTTCAATTCGCTTGATTACTTGGTACACTTGTGGTGTTGTTGGAAAATCAAATATTTGTAGAATGTGAAAATTGAAGGATCTTAATATAATTCTTAATAGTTCATCATTAGGGATATCTGTAGAGAAATTGAACGGCTTTAAGAAGTGTTCCACTTCCTCCATGTTCGGATGTTTTAAATACTGATCCAACATTTCTACTCTTTTTAAGTAGTTGTTTCTTCCATTCTGATCAATCTGTATTGGATTAATTTCACCATCAATTACATTAGAAAGACCTGACAAAGCAGAGACTGCATCCTCAGTATTGATTATATCCTCGAGCTTCATTGTGTGTTATAAAATAGTTCTCCTTTGAAAGACCTTTGATTACTTTCTATATTTGAGCACCACATAAGCAGAAGATTCGCAGCCCACTGGTTGTCGGTCGTGTTGCACGCAGAACTACGCATTTAGCAGCAAAATCTATGCCGCAATATTTAGTCTTTATATTTATTTTAAGCTATAAATGGAAAAACGAAGATTATAGGAAAACTTGTTGCCTCTTAATTTGCTAAAGCTACAACCCAAAATGATATTAGGACTGGTAAAATCTTTGAATTAGTTTCAAAAGTCCGTGCATTAAAGAATAATAATATTCTTGAATCTAATTGGAGTCAAACTTTAAATATATTAACTCAAGGAATAAATGGATTTACACATGATGAGAAAGCAGAAGTGGTCGAAGATTTGTTCAAGTATGTTGATACTCATGGATTTAAGTTATCTGTAATCCCTGAATTTGCTAAATTCTTAAGTTCGATTAGGATTATAATTCCTCCTATAAATAATTGGATTCATAAATCGATGTTATATATAACTAAAAAGTTTGCTGAATCACATTTATCATCTAATTTCCAACTAGTCAGATTAGGCAGTAAGCGTATTAGAAACTGGACTGAAGAGGATTTACCTAATTACATAAAGAGAATTCATAAAAGTTGTTCTGTATAGACAATATGGTTTATCTTATTAGTGGAACTGACCGTTTGAATTATCTAATGAAAAGTTTAAGAAGAACGAATACAAAATCAAAATTACTTTACATAGATATATATATATATATATATTGTATATACTAATATAAACAGAAATTATTGGACTAGCTTAATGATAGTAAATTTAAAGACTGGTAGCTGAGAAGCTGGTTACATATTATTCATGTGGAATACCTGTCCTAAAAAACGTCCTATTCCGTCATAGATATACTTGGTAAGTGTGTCTCGGGAATTTGAAGTGATGAATAACTTATCCTTAACGTTTAAGCAAATCTTTCTATTTTCTTGAAATTTCATCTTAACATCTTTCAATAAAACAAATAAATGGAAATTTAATGAATATTCCAGTTCAGGTGTCTCGATAATATTTAGAATATCACACTCAATTGGACGATATAATGAACAAAAATTAGTTCCATCGAAGTCTCCGATATCGTTGAATTTAATAAACAATGTTGTGGTATAATCACTAATAAAAAAGCAGTTGATTTTGTAAAAAACTGCTTCTCGGATACATTGTGTGAAAATCTCCACAAACGACGAGGATTGTTTACTATGCACTTCTGATTTTAAGAAATCATCAAGATACTTTTTAATGAATTTCCTCTTACACTCAATAGGGATTTTCCCTTCCTTAGTTTCTATACATAAATCGGGCGTTATGAATAGTGTGTTTCCTTCAAAGGTATCATACTCTGTTGGTGAATTTTTGATCAGGCCTACGCAGGCTCCTGGCTTGGCAAACAAGTTTTTGTCAACTACATCTTGAACTCCTGATTCATAGTTGTTCTTTAATTGGAACGTGATTGCATCGTCTAATTGTGCTTTCAAATCAGATTTATCAATTTTAATATTGGTATGGTCAATTGAAAAATCGACCACTTCTCCTTCTGGGTAAACCATTCCCATATAGCTCTTTAAGCTATGAGATCTTGTTTCTCTTGGTTGTGATGATGGACCAGTCCTTCTGCGTTTAACACTTCCTTGATTGGTGCTTCCATATATATCTGTATCATCAGCTTCGTTTAAATCATCTCCACCTTCTTCTTGTGGACGTAATCCATCTATAATAGGAACTCTAAAGCTCATCAGCATAGAAAATTTCCAATAATCACCTAACAGGGTTGGTAAGCTCCATGGTGTAATTTGCTGGATTACTTGGTATACTTGTGGTGTTGTTGGAAAATCAAATATTTGTAGAATGTGAAAGTTGAAGGATCTTAATATAATTCTTAATAGTTCATCATACGGAATCTTAGTAGAGAAATTGAACGGCTTTAAGAAGTGTTCCACTTCCTCCATGTTCGGATGTTTTAAATACTGATCCAACATTTCTACTCTTTTTAAGTAGTTGTTTCTTCCATTCTGATCAATCTGTATTGGATAAATTTCACCATTAATTACATCAGAAAGACCTGGCAAAGCAGAGACTGCGTCCTCAGTGTTGATTATATCCTCGAGCTTCATTATGTGTTGTAAAATTGTTATCCTTTGAAAGGCCTTTGATTAACTTTCTATATTTGAGCACCACATAAGCAGAAGATTCGCAGCCACTGGTTGTCGGTCGTGTTGCACGCAGAACTACGCATTTAGCAGCAAAATCTATGCCGCAATATTTAGTCTTTACATTTAATAGTATGTATTAATCTATAAATGGAACATTAATGAATTCGCTCAATCAACCTATACTGGAGAGAGGGTTAAAGATGTTGAGACATTGGAAATAGTAACCGATTTGACAAAATGTAAAGAATTACGCTTCTTGGAAAATGAATGGTGAATAAAAAAAAAACCTTAAGAAACAAAGTCAGCCTCATCGAGGCTGACAGAGGATAAACTTCTTGCACAGCTAAGATACTATAATTGTAAAATTCATCTAGGTGTTGTGTAGACAATATTGAAGTATATCTAACGGCTTTAGCAAAGCTCAATTATCAGGAATACAATAGCATATTTTCCTGAACTCGTACACAGGAGCATACTTCCTAAAATGGTAAGCCCATAGTCAATCGGTATCCAAGGGAAAATGTATATTTACAAAAATGGAAATGGAACTGTGCGATATGACACGAAATATATATGCTCCATTAAGTATTCTTCGCCTTAGTAATAAAGTACATTTAAGTGTTGATATATAAACAATGGGAGTATGTATGATTTTTAGAATTAGTGCAATTCATTAGATTGTATAACTAACTGACTAACAAATGTTTCAGCTTGGTAAATTGGCCCACTATTCTTTCGATTTGATCTTGATATCAATCATTTTAGCTGGTATTCATCGTAACACAGGATTGGTATTTGATAGTTCCCATTTCTCATCAGTTGATTTCAGAAGATGGTTCGGTAACTACTTAGCCTTTGGAGAAAAATGTTATGACTCCACTGTTTCATTACTCAGAATGTCTGGATATTTCAAACAGAAGAACTTAATTTACGATATGGTAGACAGACACGCTAGTAAGTTCCTTAAAGAACAAACTGGAAGAGATTTAGATGACTTACAAAAGAATCAATAGATTGTATTCTACTATTCCTTAGTTATTACTTAAATTAAAGTGTCTGTTTTTATTATGAATCGTATTAGTCTTATATAATTTCTGTATTTATTTGTGTATGTATTTATTTCTGTATTGTATCCTTCATGAAATTGAGTATTATTGATGATGTAGGTATTGTATCAAGGGAATGGTTGTATGCGATTGAACCAATTGCCATCGAAGTTTATAGCATATCAGAGTGGAAAAAAAAGCATTATACTGAAAGGGAAATTTAGAAAAAGCTGTTAAATTCTGAATTCTGTATGGGTCATCATTTAAAGAAAGTATGTCAATTGTGGTTTGATCTCTGTCATGGCCAGTCATTGTTATAATCAATGCCTATGCACTTCAGGATGATCATATATCAAAGGTATCAAGATGCATAGTATTGAATGATTCAGCTCACGTCTCTACTTGAAAAACGGATACCCACATATAACCAATTTAACTATTCAAATACTAACAATTGACATTTAGTAACTATGATTAAATGATGAAGCAAAAGTTAATGCAAGCAGATTTGGTAGAATCATTTATAAATGCTATAAATATTGAACAAAAGTCGGATGTACTTCTTACCAATGAATATTTGGAATCATACTCGCCCAAAAAGTTGGCCCTGGCAGGATTGGCCATTATCAATTTGATAGTCAATAATATCAAACTTGGTTTGGGTGGGAAGACCTTGATCGAATTGATTCTTGATCCTTCCCTCAAGAGTACGCCCAATGACGAACTTCAAGTTGGATCCTTGAGAGTTGGTGATATAGTCAAATTAGATCGAATGGGTAAGTCAAAGGATGTCAAGGGAAAAGAAAAGGAAAAGAAGAAAGAGAAAGAGAAAGAGAAAGAAAGTATCGGTGAATCTTTAGAGGGAGTAGTGATAAGGCAAAATTCACAATCTATCACTATATCAGTTGATGATGACTCTTCTGAAGAGAAGGTGCTTGCACTATATAATAATACTTCCAATGATAATATAAGAATGTGGGTAGTTAAACTTACAAATAGTATTACTTACAAGAGAATGCTATCTACAATGAGGAAATTAGGAGAGCTTAGTGATGGAGATAAATCATCAATAGTTAGACTTCTACTTGGAGAAGCTAAATATCTTCCAACACCATTTTCTGGTCTGAAATTAGTGGAATTCTTCAATCCTAGTTTAAATGATTCACAAAAGTCTGCTGTTCAATTTGCAGTGAATGAATCTCCCATAACCATCGTTCATGGTCCTCCAGGTACAGGTAAAACCAGTGTGATCTTGGAAATCATAAAGCAATTAACGTTCAAGAAGGGTGAAAGAGTTCTTGTTTGTGGTCCATCTAATATTTCCGTGGATACAATTTTGGAAAGGTTATCTATTCAGTTTAATGGAACTGAATCTGGTAAAACTCGTGATAAATTAATAAGATTAGGACATCCAGCAAGATTATTAGAAACAAATTTAAGACATTCATTAGATATCCTCTCAAAGGCAAATTATGGTGGCGATAATAATAATAAAGATATATTAATGGATATCCAGAAGGATATTGATGATACATTAAGAAAAATCAAGAAATGTAAAAGATATTCTGAGAGAAGATTACTTTATTCTGAACTCAAAGGATTTAAGAAGGAACTTAAAGTTCGAGAGAAAAAGATTGTTCAAGATCTCCTAGTTAATGCCGATGTTATATTAAGTACATTACACGGTGCAGGTTCGTATGAATTACTGGCATTGTACAAAGATAACAGCTTAAATTTCAGTCCTTCTAATCCATTTTTTGATACTATTATAATTGATGAAGTTTCTCAATCATTAGAGCCTCAATGTTGGATTCCTATTTTGAATCATATTGGATTTAAAAGATTAGTAATTGCCGGAGATAATTTACAATTACCTCCCACAGTGAAATCTAAAGATGAAATAGAAGCACTTCTTGGAAATCTCTCTATTGAGAAAGTAGCCAATCTAGAATTTACATTATTTGATAGATTAGTAAAACATTTAGAAGGGAATAAATTCAAAAGGTTATTGGATACTCAGTATAGAATGAATAAATATATTATGGAATTTCCTTCAAATGAACTATATGAAGGGAAATTGAAAGCATTTTCATCTGTATCGGATATTTCATTGCTTGATTTTAAACATGTTAAAGAGAATGATGAAACTTCACCGATTTGTATATGGTATGATACTCAAGGAGGAGATTTTCCTGAAAAATCTAATGAAGATGATGATAATGGTCATATTGGAGAAAGTTCAGGTTCAAAATATAATGAAATGGAATGTCTAGTTGTCATTCAGCATGTTAAGCATTTATTAGAAAGTGGAGTATTACTGAATCATATAGGGATCATTTCTCCATATAATGGACAAGTAACCTTACTTAAAAAGAGTTTTCAATTAGAAATGGAAAAGGATTCTAGATTAGGTTTCGAAAATGTTGAAATTTCTACGGTGGATGGATTTCAGGGTAGAGAAAAGGAGGTGATTATCATTTCATTAGTTAGATCCAATGATATACGAGAAGTAGGATTCTTGCGTGATAAAAGAAGATTAAATGTTGCTATGACACGAGCCAAAAGGCAACTATGTGTTGTTGGTGATCTCGAATTGATGTCTCAATGCGGTATCAAGTATTTACATAATTGGGCATCATTTGTTGAGAATGAATCCCGATCTGATGATGTTGAAGGGCTGAATGTTTTTGAAATACTATATCCGGATTTAGGAGATTATTGATTTTCGTGTGACATGCTGCACTGTGTGGTGACTTTATGTCAGCAGTTGCGAGATGCTGATGTTTATTCTGATGTTTATTTAGAAATAACAGAGTACTTATATCGATTAATGTAATCAATGGTAATTCCTATTCTAGATCTAACTCTAACTCTAAGTATAAGTATAAGTCTAAGTCTAAGTATAAACCTATTTCAATTCTTCTATACTAAATGTAGAATTAAATAAATAAGCGAAGAATATTATTCTATTAAAAATTTATGTGATCACAGTACTTAATGCACATAATATAATCTTTCAATTGACAACAGAAGATAATATTAAACGGTCGAGTTTCTAGAAAAGGACAGCCAAGTCTCTCCTGACTGTTATAAAATAATTTTATTAATCGACTCATTCCCGATATTTCCTCATTAGTTAAGCTAAGATTGTCTGGAGATAAATAAACAATTACACAAAGTCTCCGATTTGCATATAAATTAAACTATTAACAAAAGGGGGAGTACTCAAAAACGCGTGTAAACGATTGCAAAAACGTACAATGACAGAAATATGATTTAGATTTGTATGTTTGAAATTCCAAGACAATATATGACTGGAGAATGGCAACATTATATGAATTAAACTTTTGTAGTATTAAATTCAGGTTTGATTCTTGGTATTTAGTATTTCTGTATATATATCAATATTCTTTTCTGTTTTTATTTTATATATTGTTTATTTTATTTATATAGTTATACCCAGTCCTTTCCTTTTTATTAAATCATAGCTTGTAATTCAGCTAAATTAACTTATACCTACTCGTGTCGCTCCTTTTACTTTAATAATTCATTCATTCATTCATTAAAATATTTATTTATTTATTTATTTGTTCATTAATTAATTAATTAATTATTTAGATATGAAATTCTCGAGTGTTATTCCATTCCTTGCTTTACTGTCCTTTGGTTTAGCTAAAATCGTTACCGTAACTGATATTCATTATACAACTGTTTATAATGGTCAAGCAATTGTTCAACCATCAGAAGCACCTGATGGTGTTATTCATTATACTACCATTATATATGTAGATGAAAATGGTAATATTCTTGAAGATCAAGAAGCAGCCAGTACTCAAGCTCCTCAAGCTCCTTCAACTTCTTCTGCTAATCAAGGTCCAGCATTAGCTAAAATTGCCGATGCTCAACCAACTACTTTAGTGACTGTTCAAACATCTGCTGCTCCTGCTCCTGCTCCAACTTCTTCTTCAAGTACATCAAATTCTTTTGGTAATGTTAAAGATGTTCAATTCTCTCAACAAATGTTAGACCTTCATAATCAAAAGAGAGCTGATCATAAAGCTGGTGCTTTAACTTGGTCTCAAGAACTTTACAATTATGCTCAAAATTATGCTGATCTGCAACCATGTTCCTTAAACTTAGTTCATTCTGGTGGACCTTATGGTGAAAACTTGGCTGTAGGTTATTCTGGCGCTGCTGGTGCTTTTGATGCTTGGTACAATGAAGGAAATAATTATAACTACGTTAGTAATATTTATAATCATTTTACTCAAATTATTTGGGTTGGAACTACTCAACTTGGTTGTGCCTATAAGCAATGTAATGTTCCTGGTATAAATGGTCAGTATGTTGTTTGTTCATACAATCCTGCTGGAAATATTATTGGTAAATTTATTCAAAATGTTTTACCTTTGTTTATTTAATTTAAAATAAGTAAATTTTCTATATATACCCCCCTCCCCCCATATACGTCATAAAAGTTCGGTCTAACCATCATATGAAACTCGTAAATCAGTTACTGCTGAAGGAATTAAATCATAGGGAAATATCAGAATATAATTAAATTTATATGATAAAGTCTGTAAGCAATCTGGGTATGTCACATTATTAATCAGAATTATATTATTAGAATCTAAGAATAGTTTGTTAAGAATAGGTAGGTATTTCTCAAAGTTGACATCAAGAATAATATTATTTGGTCGTGGTTTAGAATTAGTGAAACATGTATTATTTAATTCTAAGTGATTCAAGGTATTGGGAAATCTCTTAATCAAGTTATTATCTATAATATCAAGGGGGATTCCACTTAAAGAAAGAGAAGATAATTCCATCGGTAATTTAATACAATCAAGACCACCAACAATAGGATTATAACTTAAATTTAACAGTCTTAATGTTGATGGATAAATACAATCTTGAGCAGGTAATCCAAATGTAATTAATTTATTTGAAGATAAATTCAATTCACATAATTCATAACCAAAATGAACTCTTCTAATATCACTTATTTCATTTTCAGATAAATTTAATTGTTTTAACTTTGGAGACATATTAATATTTCTTAATGCAACTAAACCAGTAGACATCATAGATAATTTTATTAAATTTGTAGTGAAAGCATTAGTTATTTCAAAATAATCAATTTGATTATTATCTAATACCAATTCTTTCAAAGATGATGGTAAAGTTCCTAAGTCATCTAAATCATCAAAATTATTATCAGAAATATCAAGAACTTTTAAATTTGTTGAATTTAAGAAGAAATTATCTGGTAATGACTTTAAGGAGTTATTACCCAAATATAATTGTTTAAGTGAAGAAGGAAGTATAAAATTGATTTCTTTAATAAGGTTATCAGATAAATTCAATATTTCTACTTGAGGAGGAATTTGTTTCTGATTTAATGTTTTTATATTATTATAAGAAATTCTGAAAATTTTAAGACTTGAACCAAATTCTATTATATCTTCTAATTGTTTAATTGAATTAACCGATGCATCTAAAGTATGAAATACTGGACTAATAGAATAATTTGGACCCTTTAAACTTAACAATTGATTGGTTCTAATAATGAACTTTTCTAAGAATGGAGGCATTATAAACCCATTCAAATGAGTTATATCATTAGCTGTTAAATCTATTACTTTCAAAGTTCGAGGTAAAGATTTAAAAATATTTCTTGTAATTGAATCAATTAATGAACATCTAGGTAAATATAATTCTTCAAGTGTAGGAGAAGATGTTAAATTCCATAAATGTCGACTTTTACCCTTCATTAACAGTGTCCTACCAGTTTGAAATTGAAGTTTATTAATTCTACCTCGTAGATCATTCATTAATTCATAACAATGAGAATTTTTGGTAATAAATATATCACTTTCATTAATAATTTGTAAACTATATCGACATTCAGGATCTCTATAATATCTTTCAAATACAAATATATCAAGTAATTTTGTAAGCCAATCTGAATCCGATTCATTAATTAAATTAATTAATAATACAATTTCTTTAGGAATTTGAGCTTTATTTAATTCTTCACTTATAATCATTAATTTTTTAAGTACTTCAATACCTCTTTTCAATCCAATTACAAGAAATGAATCATCAAATTCTGCTAATGAATACATAATTTTAGCGGCATCATACCCCACTCTTTTAGGTATACTCTTACTTATAACTAATCTCTTACTAATTACAAATTCAAGTGCTATTAATTGAAATGAATTGAATTTAAAATTATCAATGAATTTGTCGTATACTGTACTTGCTGAAGCAAGTTCAAATATTTGTAGAATGATATCATGTGGAAGATCATAGAAATCTATCATGATGTTAATTACAGTTGCTAACTCTAACTATTACTCTAACTATTACTCTAACTATTATTCTAACTAATTACTTACTATATACAACTATTAGAAGAAATGTTTATATTCATTATAATAATAATCTCATCATCTCGGTTAACCCCACCATTTGTAATCGGACTATTAAAGATCTGATACAGTAGTGAGTGAGTGAGTGTGAGTGTGAGTGGGTGCTTGTGTGCAGTCCCCGCCATTTCTCGAAGCCTCAGTCTAATTTTTTTTTGACTCTATAACCGAGTTCTGGATTACGATGAAGTCATAATGATTAAACCATATATAATTCCTCAAAAGTGAAATGAATGGGAGAGACGTAGATCAGCTGGGTGAATATGTGGGAGATCCATATATAAAGCCCGAAGATTACCCCGATCTAGAATTAGAAGCGGGTACTTTATCACCAGGAGATAGTTATGAGTCAATTCAAGGTGGTTCAAATAGTGGAGTTAATAATATTTCCAATACTAATAATAATAATAATAATAATAATAATAATAATAATAATACCAATCCTAATATTAAACGATCTACACTGCCTTCTGCCCCTCGTCAGAAACGTACATCATTAGCATGTATCAGATGTCGAGCTCGTCATATTCGATGTCCTGGTGGAGATCCTTGTAAGAAATGTCAATTAGCTAAGACAAAATGTGAATATGTTGAAGCAGATAAGAAAATAGTTGTATCAATGAAATATTTATCTAAATTACATGATGATATAGCCCGTTTAAAGAAAGATAATGCTGTATTAAGAAATAGTCTTAAAGAAGAAGAAAATAAACGTTTAAAGAATACGGTTGTTCAACTGAATAGCTTTTCCAATAATATACGGAGTCCATTATTTAATAATAATAATGATAATAATAATATTAATATTAATATTAATAATAATACCAATAATAGTACCAATAATAACCATACCAATATCAATAATATAGCCAATAGTATCAATACCATTCCTAATAATAATTATAATAATAACCATTACCGATCACAGCAACAACAGCAACAGCAACAGCAACAACAACAACAACAAATGAATTATGGTAATGAAGTTATCCAACCATCTTTGGATAAACATGGAAGACTAATACAATCTAGAACTGGTGAAAAAGTATATGTTGGATCATCTTCTATGACATTATTTGGTCTTGAAATTCAAAATATGGTACCATCATTTCTGTCTTCTACATTATTAACAGGTTCTTCATCAACAACTTCTCCATCTCCATCACCACAAGGTTCATCACCTAGATCAGATCATACTATAACTTCAATAACCAAACATAAACGAGAAACAGAAATCTTGGAAAAGGAAGGTAATGCTTATCGAATTACTCTTGCTAAAACCAATACTCGACCGGGATTATCAATTAATTTTACATTACCATCATATTCATATGCTATGTTATTAGTTGATACATTTATAAATTATAATGATGGATGTTTTTATTTCTTTAATGAAGGACTTGTAAAGAGATTTCTTATTAATTTATATTCAGGAAGAGCTCATGAAAATAAAAAGATATTAAAGAGAAATATATCAACTAAAACTGGTCCATTAGAAGAAGAAAATACCATTAAAAAGGATGCTGATGATGATACAATATTAGAAACCATTTGGTTTTGTAAAATATTACTTATATTTGCAATTGGAGAAATGTATCTTGGAACTGAATCAAATTCTCATGTTACAAAACTGAGAGTTCAAGAAAAGATTCGTAATGAAACTAAAAAGAATAAAAATAAAGAAAAGAAAGAAAAGGATACATTACCTGGTTCAGGATTCTTTTATCAAGCATCAGAATTATTTACTGGATTATTTGCTTCTGGAGCTATAGATAATATTACAAAAGATGGAGGTATTGAAGTTATGCTTTTATATGCATTTTATTTACAAGTAGCAGATTGTACAATTGCATCATATTTTTATTTTGGATTAGCCCTTCGTTCAACATTAATTTTAGGATGGCATGTTGATGCCGATAAAGAAAATCTTAATAGATTTGAATTAGAACATAGAAGAAGAATTTGGTGGACAGTTTATATGTATGAAAGAATGTTATCATCAAAAGCAGGATTACCATTAAGTTTTGCTGATGATAGTGTTTCAACCGAATTACCAATTGATTTTGAAATTGAACCAAATAAAAATGATAATGAAGATGATGTTAAAAGTTATTATATATTTCCTCCAGCAGATTATATTAATAATTGTGTTACAATAACTCAAATTAATGCAATAATTTTATCATCATTATATACAAAACAACCAACTATAAATATTTTACCAGTAGTTTCTGATCTTGTTCATAAATTAATGAATTGGAAAAATGCATTACCAGATTTTTTAAGAGTTGATTTCTCAGCTGATAATGTAAGAATTACAAGATTAATTGTTAATTTAATGACAGAATATTTTCAAGGTATGAATTTAGCTGTTAGACCATTATTATTTCATTTTGCTACCAAAAAATTAAAGGAATTACAAGTACAAAATTCCGTTAATAAATATGTTGATTTATCAAAATATTCTAAAAATGTTTTATTTTTATTAAATGCATCATTTCAAGCTTCAATAAATACTATAAAATCAATTTGGGCTTTATTACCTGAAAATATGGTGGCATTATTTGGATGGATGGATAGAGAATATTTATTTACTTCAGCTTCAACTTTAATATTATTTAATGCATCATTTGGAGTTCATGATGCAACAAAGGAACATCTTGATCATGCTTTACAAATCTTTACTAAAATGAAAAGATTAGGTAATTATCCAGCCGCTTTAAGACGAGCTCAATTATTAAAATTAATTAAAGTATTAGATTTTAATGGAGTTATGAATGATTTATTAATTAAACATGATGATGAAGAATTTATGGTTAGTAATGAAAATTTAAGTCATGTAGAAGAAGTTAATGAAATAACTAATTCTAATATTAATGATGAACATTTAAATCAATTAGATAATGAATTAGAAAGTGAATTAGATTTCCCTCCTCAATCAAATCCAATAGAACCAACAAGAATGACATCAGAATTAAGTAATGATTCTTTTGATTTTAGCTTTTCTGTACCTTCTGGTATGCCACCAGTTAGTGGTATGGCTGGTGATATTTATAATTCTGATTTGGCCGGTATAGAAGGTTTAACTTATCTTGATGAAGAACAAAAATTATGGAACGAAATTACTCATGATGCAGGATGGTTAAATGTTGGTGGTGATGCTCCTACTAATTTTTAAAGTTTGAGGGGAGGCCATAGTAATTTATTCAATTATATAATATGTAATAATAATAATGAGTAGAAATAATAGTAGTAGTAGTAATAATACTTATACAGAAGAAGTGTTACAACTTATATTAATACAAAATGATATAGTATACAGGTATATAGATTAATTGAGAAATTCTAGTCCTCCACCAGGATTATTGTTTGGACCTAAATTCATTTGCTGTAAAATTTGTTGAGGAGATATAGCTTGTACGGATTGTTGTGGACCCCCTTGTTGTTGAGGTATAACATTCTGCAACATAGGACTCTGATAATTTTGATTGGGATTATTTTGACCATTAAATGTAGAAAATTGTGGTTGAATAAACTCTTGTTGAGATGGAGTATTTAATCCATTGGAATTGGGAGTTCCTAGAAGATTACCCTTGTTCATCATCTGTTGTTGAGAGACTTGTCTATTTTGTATAGCTTTCTGTTGTGGAGCCATTTGAGGTTGTTGTTGTTGTTGTTGTTGTAGTTGCTGTTGCTGCTGCTGTTGTTGTTGTTGTGGAGGTAGTGGAGCTTGAGGTGGAACTTGCTGTTGTTGTTGTTGGAAATGCTGTTTTTTCATCTGCTGAAGTTTAAGCTTAATATACTGCATTGCTTCAGGATATAAATCTTGAAGTTTATTATAAAGTTGAGTTAATTCAGGCATATCAGTTGGAGGAGATAAGATTATTGGGAAAGATGCTTTTGTTTGAGATGATTGTTGAGATGCATCATTATGATATTTCTCATGAATATAATTAAGAACTGTTAAATTACAATGAAGTCTCCTTATACAATTCTGATATGATTCAATAGCTGCCAGTTTAGCTTCTTGAGGCATCAGTTGCATTGCTTGAGGATTGCATAACATGTTATTATATATATTTATAGACTTTTTCATAAGATGCGTATTAATTAACAATAGACACGTCACTCTTTCTCTATCAAGATCAAGTGGATTCCGATTATCCGTTACCGTAGTCATGTTTTATAGTTAATTATTATTTTCCCTTAATTATATATACTATAAATCTGCTAATATGGCATGGCTGTTTTGTTCGGTTCCAGGTTTTTATTTTTATTTTATTTTTTCCGGTTTTATTTCATGTCCCTCGTTGCTTCCTGCATCCGTGCCGCAGGTGGCTGCTGCCAACAAAATTTTGCGCTTTTTTTGCAATCTAATACAAAGATTTTATTTATTTACATAATAACTAATTAACTAACTAACTAATTAATTAAGTCTACTTATACTATTTACATGAATGATATTTCTCGAGCTATGGTCTCTTGTCTGGCTTGAGAGGCTCTTCTCATACCTATATATGACATATCAAAAGTTCCTCTACCTTGAGTTATAGATCTTAATTTAGATGAATAACCTATCATTTCTCGTAATGGAGCTTCAGCAATTATAATTTTTTGATTCTTAAAATCATATAATCCTTGGGAATTACTTAATGTATAATCAGGAGGTAAATATACATGAGTTGATAAATCTTTATTAGCATCTAAATCTTGAGATGCTTCATCTTCAACTGATAAAATAATTGCTTTACATCTATGAGTTAAATCATGAGAAACTTCACCTAAATCTCCAGAATTAACATATACTTTTGTTTCCATAAATGGTTCTAATATTCCAAAACAATCTTTATTTTCTTCAATATATTGACAAACTGCTTTTCTACTAGTATCCAATATTTCAGGAAAATTAGTTGTATTTTCTGTAACTGGGAATTTCCAATGTTTAACTCTAACAACAGTTGAATGTAATGATAATCCAAATATTGGTCCACCAATTTGGAAAGCTGCTATACAACTTTGAACTATTCCTTCTTGAATATCTTCAAAACTATGTTCTGATTTCCATCTTCTCTCTTCGTGTGCAAGAAGTGCTTCTGGAGCTGCATTTGGTTCTAAAATAATAATATTATTATCTTCTTCAAATATAAAAGCTCCTTCTTCTTCTGCAAATATACTTTCGGATGCTTTACCTTCAAAAGTATCCATTTCAATTTCAACTGATACAGTTCCTTCAGTATTAGTAGCTATTGAAGAAGTGAATTTATTCTTAACAAGTGATTCTTTATATGATACTGCAACATCTCTAAGCCTTACTTTAGCCTTCATATCATTTAATAATCTATCTCTTACAATTTCTAAATGTAATTCACCCATTCCTCCAAGAATAGTTTGACCCATTTCTTCATCAATTCGAACTTTTATAGATGGATCTTCACGAATAAGAATCTTTATACATTCATTCATATGTGCTTGATCTCCAGCTGTACGAGGTTCAATAGCAGAATTGAAAAGTGGAGGAGGAACTTCAATTGGTAAAAGCTTTAAATGAGATTCTACTCCAGAAAATGTCTTTTTCAGAGGACTATGACTTACTAATGTATCACCGGTAAATATATCATCTTCATTACCAGTAACAACTCCAATATTCCCAGCTCCAATATATTTAACTTCTTCAGGTTCATCTCCATGCATAAGTAATAATCTCTTTATTTGAAGCATTTTACCAGTTCTAGTATTTATAGCAATTGAATTTGAATGTAATTTCCCACTATAAACTCTAAAGAAAGTCATTACACCTTTAGTAGCATGAGTCATGACTTTAAAAGCAAGTGCTACTGTTAACAGAGGATTATTATTAATCACAAGTCCCTTTGATTTATCCATAGATATTTGAACTTTCCTATCAGTGATCCTTTTATTCTTACTTCTTGTTTCTAATGTTGAAAGATTAATCTCAGGAAGTTGGGTTTCCAAAGGTGAAGGTAAATAATTAACAATTGCATCCATTAATGGTTGAACTCCTATATTTCTAAATGAAGCTCCACAAAATACTGGAGTTATTTCATTAGCAATGGTTGCTTTACGAATGGCTTTATTTAAAACAGTTAATGGTATCTGATTATAATCTTCATCACATTCCAAAAATGCATCAATGACTGATTCATCATATTCACCTAAAACTTCAACTAAAGATTCTCTTCCCTTACTGACCAATTCATATAGTTCAGAAAGTTTTTCATTATCTTTATTAATATCAATTACTTCTATATCATCACCAAGAGAATTTTCTTCAGGAGTCCATTTCAAAAGCTTTTGATGTAAAATATCTATAACACCAGTGAATTTTGGTTCTCCATTATTGTCTTCGAAATAAGGCATATTACATACTGCTACCTTAGTTCTTAATTTTCCCATTATTTCTTTAACTGTTCTACTAAATCCTGCTCCAGGTCTATCCATCTTATTAACAAAGGCGATTTTTGGAATTCCAAGAGAATTGGCTTGTTTCCAAACTTTTTCAGTTTGAGCTTCTACTCCAGCAACTCCATCAAGAATTGTTACTGCACCATCCAATACTCTTAATGACCTAATTACTTCAAATGTAAAATCGGCATGACCTGGAGTATCGATAATATTAATCTTATTATTATTCCAAGGTATAGTAATGGCTGCCAGTTGAATAGTGATCCCTCTTTGTCTTTCAGATGGTAAATAATCTGTAACTGTATCTCCTTCATCAACATTACCTATCCTCTTTGTTCTTCCACTATAATATAACATCCTTTCTGTAGTAGTAGTCTTCCCAGCATCGATATGAGCAATAATTCCAATATTTCTGGTACGATCCATTCCAACTTCATTCAATTTTAAATTTGAACTTACAGTATATGACCCATGGAGGTACCTTTTACTCAACTTATATAGTGAACTCTTCCATATTCGTGACATACCTTCTAGTGGTATCTATAATTACCTGCTTGAATACATACTGAATAGGGTAAGTCGATATAATTTTTCACTATGAAAATAATGCGACAATCTCAGCCGCAATCCATTATCTCATACAGTTTATCACTAAACTTCAATATGCCATTAATATAAGAAAAGAGTGCAGAGAGTATTGGGGTGGATTTTGTTTCTATAGTAAGGAACAACTAAGACATTTATGAATTAATACATTTATTCTTATATTGTTATCTGGATCTGTTATCAAGTTGTATTTTTCATTAGATTTGTAAGTAAATTTCTGTAAGATTTAGGCTAATCTTGGTCAATATTTCGTAATTTCATAAATTACTAAAGTTTATATAAAAAACCTTATGGAGGGACTGAAATGTAAAAAAATTAGCTTCTATGCTAAATAATCTACTTCTTTTTTAATTTTAATTGGAAAAACATTCAAAACACCCATAAAACTGGTAGCGCCGGGGAGAGATCCTGCATATAGTCCTGCAATTGCCGATCACTTTAAGAGTTTCTACAAACAATACTCCGACTACGATTGAGGGAGCGTGGTATAACGGTTTCGAGCGCGATGTGAAATATTTGCGCAACGGTTCGAATCGCAGAGGGAGTGTGGTCTAGAGGTATGATTTACGCTTAGGGTTTAACTCTAATATGCGTAAGGTCCCGGGTTCGATTCCCGGCTCTCCCCGCTTTTATTTTTTTAATTCAGGGTATGGCTAGGTATTTAATATAAAGAAACTATGCCTGCTACTGATATTTAATAACATAGTCATATTTAATAACATAGTCATATTTAATAACAAATTTTAATTTAATTTTTTCGGTTAAAATATATTTTTTTTCTGTAAAAATGCGAGGATTTTTCGAAAAATAGATGATTTTGCTGTTTTAATTTATCTTTATCTTTTTTTATGTCGTCTATATATCCTGAAGTAGAATTGGACAAGTCTTTGTTGTTCAATGGTTTTAATAAAGTAGTTTCAATCTCTTTCAATGAATTTTAACCTATATTTGGAAATCAATTATATTGAATTCAATATAATTGTTGAATAAATACATGCGTTCTAGAAAATTAAGTCTAGGCATCCATTATTGAACCTATGCATCAGTATTGAAGCAATCTTCCAGCGAATGTATAATTGCTATTAGTCTCTCAATTATTAGTATGCAATATATATGAAGTCCTGGTATAATGTTTATATGCATAGATTTAGAGCATTGTGTAAATCTCACGTGTACGGTCCGTTAAACTTTCTGTTCCGAAATTCTTCTTTTGTAATTCAACTCTAATCCTTCAACTGCCAGTAATTCAAGGTCATACAGTCTTATTGAGCGTGATGTATATATCTATGAGCTCAACAATTAAACAATAATCTGCGTTTAAGAATGATTTTTGATTATTAATTGGTCTTGCCCTTGCCCGTTGTTCGGTAGTTGATTATATCGGAGACTGAACGGACTTTGGTCTTCTAAGCCATGAGGCTGCAATTATAAAATTTGTCATCTGGTTCAACGCACCTTTTATACGAGTATAACGCTTTTTGGGTATATTCTCGGAAGGCCCGAACCGCCTCTGTAAATCTTGGTTAACTATGCTGTAGAAGTATCAAAATGCTATAAAGCTTTCCAATTTCGCAGCCACTATGTATAACTTTTCCTTTTAAAGGAGCAAGATTAAAGATGTCAAATTTTACACCTGTATCCGAGTCAATAATTCCCAATGAGCCCATCGACAACAAAGCCAGAGGGCAGGAAGACTTAGGGAACATAAAGGATGGCTTAACATTAGAGATTACAAAGGATGGAAATGGTTCGCAAGGAACTACAATCCAGGGCGAGGATATAGAAAAGCAACAACAAGATGCTCAAGAGTTATACATGGACAGTGGATATTCATGGGCGATTTGTTTTGCATGTTTTCTACTATATTTTGCTAGTTGGGGTCAGAACTCAGGATTTGCTATTTACTTTTCATATTTCTTAAATAATAATACTTTCCCAGGAGCTACAAAGATCGATTATGCTTTTATAGGTGGTACTGCTTTTGGTGTAGGGATATTTTTTAGTCCCTTAATTAACTACTTTATTGGAAAAATAGGTACTCGTCCTATTATCGCAATAGGTAACTGTCTTCAATTCACAGCATTAATGCTTGCAAGTTTCAGCAAAAAGAAATGGCAATTGTATTTAACTCAGGGATTAATGCAAAGTTTTGGCCTTGCTCTAGTTTTCATGCCTAGCGCAGCCTTAATACCACAGTACTTTAAAAAGAAAAGAGTATTGGCGGGAGGAATAGCGACAGCTGGTTCTGGTGTTGGAGGTATATGTTTCAATGTGGGCATGCAACACGTTGTTGAGACAAAGGGAGTATTTTGGGCCTTAAGAACTCAAAGTATAATTGGATTCATTTCAGTATGGATTGCTATTGCCCTTATAAGGACTAGAAACAAGAGAATAAATGTCCAGCTTACAGTATTTGATAAAGATATAGTAAGAACCGCCGGATTCTGGATATTTGCATTTTTTGTGATTACATGTATGTTTGGATATGTTATTGTTCTATATACTTTAGCACAATTTACTACATCTCTTGGATACTCTGAATATCAAGGTTCAATTACTTCTACTATGGTCCAACTAGGAAATGCTGTAGGAAGGCCATTTATAGGTTTAATATCTGATAGATATGGAGGTGTTACAGTGGCAATTGCTGCTTATGCAATTGTTGGTATCCTCTGTTTAGCTATGTGGATTCCAGCAAGGACTTTTGGTACTGTGATTGCTTTCGCTATAATAGAAGGGGCATTAATGGGATCAATTTATGGTATGTTAGCACCAGCAGTTGCTCGTACATTTGGTATCAGAAAGATGAATGTTACATTCAGCATGTTTTGGATGATTATGGGAGTTGCCGGATTGTTTTCTCCAGTAATTGGAATAAAATTGAAACAAGGTGGAGGAGGAATTGTTGACCCCACACAGTATGTTAATTGTTCAATTTTTGCTGGATGTTCCTTCCTTGCTTGCACGATAGCTTTGGTGATTTTAAGAGGTTATATTAAAGCAAGAGATCTAATTTCAGAGAAAGGAGACTCTGATTATATGGATCCCATCGGAATAACAGTGTCAGCAAGAGCAGTCTTAACTAGTTGCTTTAAGACTAGTCACGAGAAGACTTAGCTCTCCCAACTTTGCAGTTTCGAAACCCTACTCAATACATCTACCAATCATGAGAATATCCATAGGTATGATGTTTGTTCCTACACGATTATATATATTTACATACATTTGTCTTCCTTTATGTAACGAAGGGCTGAAGTTTGCAGCCATGTTGTACCCCAAATATACACGAGTCAGAGTCCGCCTCCTTTCTTATTCTATATTTAGTAAGTCAATATTAATTTAATTTATTCTGAGTGGAGTATAACAAAATAGGCAAGGAAAAGCGGCTCAATTTTGCCGACATTCAGTGATTTGGAGATCTGATAACTTTAAGTTGCTAGTGCCGCTTTTCAGAAAAAAACGCAGTATTTCTTTAAATATCGGCGTTTCCTAATAAGTCGGAACGACTGAAGCCGCATAAAATATTTTTTTAATGTTCTTAAATGAATAAAAATATTTTCGAATAACAATCTAAAGTATAAGTAGCCGATTTTTTAATTTTTGCTAAATTCCAAAGAAGTTAAACTATAGCCATCTAATTAGGGGTCAGGATTAATATAAAGAGGGCTGAAAAGGAATTCAAATTCCTCATACCATATAACGAGTTTCATAGATTACGCATTATTTTAAGATATAAGCCTTCTCTAGAACGTTCGGAAATGTCATCTAGAATACCGGAGTCTGACTCACATGAAAATGAGATGAAGCTTAACCATAAAAATAACGAAACCAAAGATTTCGACCCAGATTTCAATAGAGTAGTGTCCGAGATAACCAAAGAAGGTAATGACTCGAATGATACTTCTAATCAAGACAATGATATCGAAAAACAAAATAAGAGTGATTTGCATATGGATAGAGGTTATGCGTGGGTGATATGTTTTGCAAGTTTTTTACTTAACTTTTCAAGTTGGGGTCAAAATTCAGGGTTCGCTATTTACTTCTCATATTATTTAAATAATAATACTTTTCCTGATGCAACCAAACTTGATTATAGTTTTATAGGTGGTATAGCATTTGGAGTGGGTTTATCATTCAGTCCTCTCATAAATTTTATGATGGGTAAAATAGGGACAAGACCAAGTATAGCAATAGGTAATTGTCTTCAATTCACAGCATTAATGCTTGCAAGTTTCAGTAGAAAGAAATGGCAATTGTATTTAACTCAGGGATTAATGCAAAGTTTTGGTTTAGCACTTATATCTATTCCTGGAACAACAGTATTACCTCAATATTTCAAGAAGAAGAGAGTGTTAGCTGGTGGATTAGCCACGGCTGGTTCTGGTGTTGGAGGTATATGTTTCAACCTAGGCATGCAACACGTTGTTGAGACAAAGGGAGTATTTTGGGCCTTAAGAACTCAAAGTATAATTGGATTCATTTTAGTATGGGTTTCTATATCTCTCATAAGAACAAGAGATAAAACAATCAATATTCAATTTACTGCATTTGATAAAGATATAGTAAGAACCGCCGGATTCTGGATATTTGCATTTTTTGTGGTTACATGTATGTTTGGATATGTTGTTGTTCTCTACACTTTAGCACAATTTACTACATCTCTTGGATACTCTGAATATCAAGGTTCAATTTCTTCTGCCATGGTTCAACTTGGCTCTGCAATGGGTAGACCTTGTATAGGGTTATTATCAGATAGATTCGGAGGTGTAACGGTTTCGCTGGTTGCTTATACTGTTGTCGGTGTCCTTTGCTTAGCTATGTGGATTCCAGCAAGAACTTTTGGTACTGTGATTGCGTTCGCTATAATAGAAGGGGCATTAATGGGATCAATTTATGGTATGTTAGCACCAGCAGTTGCTCGTACATTTGGTATCAGAAAGATGAATGTTACATTCAGTATGGTATGGATGATTATGGGAGTTGCCGGATTGTTTTCTCCAGTAATTGGAATAAAATTGAAACAAGGTGGAGGAGGATATGTTGACCCCACTCAATATGTGCACTGTGCCATTTTTGCTGGTTGCTCCTTCCTAGCCAGTGCTGCTTCCTTAGTTATATTGAGAGGTTACATCAAAGCCAGAGACTTTGTTTCCGAGAAAGGGGATTCCGATAGCATAGATCCAATTGGAATAACAGTATCTGTAAGGGATGTACTTAAAAGTTGCTTCAAAGAGAGTCACGAAAAGACGTAGACCAGTACGGTTACCAGTACGGTTACCAGCTTACACTACTGGACACACCTATTTATTACCTACATGTATCATCTAAGTATACAATCTATATATTAATATTTATTTATATGCATTTATATAGAACTTAATAATAACATTAATATCATATTAACAATTCCGAATTAGGACATCAATTACGATGTTCCGCATAGAAGCTGAAAAAAAAAATAACAAACAGTAAATAAAAAAAAAGTCAATTAATGCAAGAAGCCAAGACAGAAGAGGACAGTAATATGGAGACAACACCGGCTATACCCGGAGTCGAAGGTATACAGAACACAATAAACAATACTAATAGTTCTGCAAATAGTGGAGATCAGTTAAATAGGCAGGTTCTGAATTCTAAGTCCGAAGAGATGCCTGAAAATAATCAATTTGCTGCAGATGCAAACCATGATGAGGAGCCAGCTCTTAAACGTATTAAAGTGGAAGGAGGAGCTAAAAGTGATCTAGAATGGAACTCAACGTCCAATGTCACTAGTACCAATACCAATACCAATACCAATTTAATACAGGGCTTGGTTGGTCATGTGAATGTACGGAAAGATGAGGGAGAAGATAGACTGAAATTTCTATCATCAAACATAAGTAATAACAATAACAATAACAATAATAATAATAATAATAATAATAACAGTAATAGCCATACTGATATTAAAGGAAATAGCAGTCATGTATCGAGTGGATCAAATACAAATAGCATCCATTCTGCTACAGTACCTACATCTACAGTACTTCCAAATCCGAGATTACCTATCCATAATTCTCCATCAAATAAGAATGGTAATGGGTTAACTAAATCCATGTCTCCTCCTATAAAAATTTCAACAGTTTCAATACCGACGAAAAAGGAACATAGACTAGTATTATTATACGATAGTCCTCGTTATTATCACATCATTATGCAACTCAAGGAACTACGAGAATTACCCAATTCATTAGTAACCCTAGTAGAATTAAATGATATAGGTAAACCTGTTACAGATGAATTTATTGCTAGAACTAAATTTGATCACTTAAATATCTGTATAGAGCATAATGATGAATTTGAAAGTAATTTAAAGAGATTTGTTCAATTCATGCAAGATAATCCTAAAAAATTTGAAGAAGTTGAAGATATTGGATATCATATACATTTTGCACCCGGACGGAAATGGAAAGACTATAAACAATCAGAAATTGATCAATATAAGGAATTTCTTGATACTTTGGCTAAAGTTGGAGGTGATAAAGTTACTCATAGTTCTGTTGTAAATAAGTATGATATGGATACAGTATATTTAACAGAAAAGAATGAATTAGCTAAATTAGGTCAAGAGATTCAAGATGATATATCACGATGGAAAAATTTGAAAGTATTAGACTATGGAGAAAGTAGTATAAGATTTTTACCAGGAGTTAAACTTCCAGATAGTTTAGAAGTATTAAATATAGGTGGTGGATATGCATTAGAAACTTTGACAGGATTTAAGATACCACCAAATTTAAGAACATTATTGGCTGGCCAAGGTTCTGTTCATAATATAGATAGTATTAAATTTCCAGATAGTTTAGAACGTCTAGAACTTGAAGATAATAAGATTTATTTCTTAAATTATGCAGAATTCCCATCAACTTTAAAACATCTTGATATATCTCAAAATAGAATTGAAAGTTTAAGAGGAGTAGTTTTCCCAAATAATTTAACATCTTTAAATATAGGATTTAATCCAATTGATTCAATAAAAGGAGTTAAATTTCCTGATAATTTAAGTCATTTAGAAATATCTAATATACCAAATGAATCAATGACAGGAGTAAAGTTTCCTGATCTGTTACAAGTACTTAATCTTCAAACATCAATGACTACTACTAGAGGTTTAAAATTACCTCCAAATGTTAAAACATTAATACTTGCAGGAAATGGAGTTAATAGTATTAATCCTTTAAAATTATCTAATTCAATTGAAGTATTATATTTAAATGATAATAATATTAAGACTTTAAATAAAGTAATATTTCCTAATGCATTAAGAGAATTATATTTAGGAGATAATTTATTAACAACATTAAAAAATGTTAATTTCCCATCAACATTAGAAGTTTTAGATTTGGAAAATGACCCAGATTCAGAAGATCATGATAAACATATTACAACATTAAAGGATGTAATATTTCCACCTCATTTAAAAGTTTTAAAATTAGGTTATCATTCAATTAAAGTAGTAGAAGGAATTGATTTACCTGAAAGTCTTACATGTTTAAGTCTTTCTTATAATGATCTTCGAGTTATAAGAAATGTCAAATTTGGTAATAAATTAAAATTATTAGATTTAAGTGGTAATCCTGATATATCAAGTTTAGATAATTTGGATATACCTGATTCAGTAACTGAATTAAGAATTTCAGCTGAACAAATAAGAAATTTACCAGCTTATATTGTTGAAAGGGCTAATAAAAAACAATTATTGATTAAGAAATCAGTTGTACAAAGTTGAAAAAAAAAAGACTTAATGAACTAATATATTAATTAGAAATTTGTATAAAAATATGTATAACTACAAGATAAAATAGAAATGTATATACTATATACTGTTATTACTAATCAAGGATATCTTCTCCTTCTTCTTCATCAGAAGAAACAGTTTCTTCAGCTTCTTTTCTTTCCAATAATGCTTGTAATTGAGCATCTTCAGTAGCAGTAACAGCTTTTGGAGCCAAGGTGACTTTACAAATACCACCTTTCAGTTTAATAGTTTCGGTTATTTTTTCAATGGCACTTTCTAATAATTTAATACCTTGATTTTTATCTAATGCTTGAACTGAGATAACATATAATGGTGCAGCCACTAATTTAGCTTTAACTTGCATTTGTTCAGTTGAAACACTTTCAGCTGCAAATAAAGCTTCTTTAATAGCATCAATACCTTCGTAACTAAAACATGAAACTTCAACATCAGCTCTTATTTTAATGGCTTGAGGAGTTAATCTTCTAGAAATGTATAATTTTAATTCTTCCAATATATCTACAGATGGTGCTTCAATTTCTTCAAAAATGGTTGGATCAGTAATTGATAATTTAAATGCATCATAAGCATGACCAAATTTTCTACTTAATGGCCAGCCAATGGTTTGATATAAAGTTTCTAATGAAACATTGAATTTTTCAGCACAATGTCTTAAAATAGAGTGTACTGCTTTAGATTTATTATATCTTTCATCACATTTAACTATATCTTCAGCTGAAACTCTTCTTTTAGATAAATCAATATAACCCTTTTCTTTATCAACTCTTAATACAACAGCAACTTCATTTTTACCAACACGAATTAACTTTTGAATGGAACGAATACGCCTTCTAGACAATTCAGATAACAATACCATTCCTTCAATATTATCATATTCCAATAATTTTACATAAGCTCCCATTTCAGCAATCTCTTGAACATTGACCATGACAACTTCATCCACTTCAGGATACTTATTCTCATAAAATCTGCATTGTGAAGAACTCATCTTGTATATGTAAGGTGAATTTCAACTTTTCCAGTAAATAACTTTATGGGTTATTTGATAATTTCTTAAGTAGGCCCTGAATTCAGTGATGACTTCTTACTATGAATCAAATTCAGTTTTTTTCTACACAGCGTTGGTAATTTTTTTTTCAGCTGACTCAGAGCTTAGTCAGCGGCAATAAAATTTTTCGGTTTAGTACTATGGGATAGAAAATTTAGTTGCAAAACTTGAGCGCTTACTTTGTGGAGAAGATAAGCTTTATAGTTGGTGGTTATTGTCATTTCATTGATTTATTAATTTATCACATTTATCACTAATTGGTCAAATGTTAAAAGCAAATGCAGCGTTAGCTCCAAGACCATTTGTTGAGACCAGATACAATAGGTTTAGAGATCCACAAATAGGTATAGGTGGTGAGAAAAATATACATGTACAAGGTAAACATCACTTTTGTACAGATGGAAGATATCAAATTGAAAAAGTATTAGGTAAAGGATCCTTTGGTGTAGTATGTGTTGCACTTGATTTAAAATCTACTTCATTAGGGTTTGAAAATAGGGTTGCAATTAAGAAAGTTTTTGATATTTTTAGTAGTACAGTTATGCTCAAACGAGCCATTAGAGAGTTAAAGCTTATGAGACACTTTAAGGGTCATAGAAATGTGAGTATTTATATTCCTTAACCTTTAGATATCCAACAGAGATAACAGACTAACATTAAAAAAATTATTTAGATTGTGAATTTAATAGATTTGGAAATTAATTTTATGGCTCCCTATCAAGGATTATATTGTATTCAAGAATTATTAGATTTAGACTTATCTCGAGTCATTTATTCTGGTATTCAGTTTTCTGATTTCCATGTTCAAAGCTTTATTTATCAAATATTATGTGGATTGAAATATATTCATTCTGCAGATGTCATTCATCGTGATATTAAACCAGGTAATATATTGGTTTCTTCCCAAGGAGTATTAAAAATATGTGATTTTGGATTAGCCAGAGGAATGAATGAACAATATTTTGGTCCTAATAATCATGCAATTACAGGCTATGTGGCAACAAGATGGTACAGAGCTCCTGAATTAATGTTCTCAAAACGTATGTATAACGAATCGATTGATTTGTGGGCTGTTGGGTGCATTTTAGCTGAACTCTTTGGTAGAAGACCCATATTTTGTGCAAAAAATCCATATGACCAAATTGAACGTATGATTAGAGTGCTAGGTACACCAGATAGAAATGTTGTATATAGACTTAATTGGAAACTTTTCCAGGATACTAGAATTCATTATCCAGCTGGTAATTGGAAAAGTCTTTATCCTTTTGCATCAAATCATGCATTGAATCTATTAGATAATTTGATTCAATGGGATCCATTAAATAGAATAAGTACTACAAGAGCATTAGAACATCCTTATTTACTGAAAGTTCGAAATGCGGACAAAGAAGCAACATGCAAAACTTTTGATTTTAGTTTTGAGGATATATATACCAGTGCGAAAGAGTTAAAGAAATTATTAGAACTTGAAGTCTTGGAATTTAAAAAGGAAAGAGGAATAGTTCCCTCTTGATTTATATAAACTCATTTTTGTAAAATAGTCATTTTAAATAAAAAAATTATCTATATTATCAATTGACTATGACGTGATATTCTACTTAAAAAGTAAAAATTTCTACTTAGTTCTCAGTATTTTTGGACCGAAAATAACTTTCTGGGGTAACTTTTTTTTCTTGCCGAGTATCACTTTCATATGAACAAAATTATGCTCTTACCTATAGCTCTTTGTACGAGTAGCCCCACTTGTGAGCAAACCAAATTATTCAGTATATGGACCGAGGTCTTTTGACCAAACAAATATAAATTAAGCTTCATTCCTCTTAGTTTTAATCATGAATATGCAATTGCAGATCTTAGATTGTAAAAAAGGCGACATAATCTAATCTACTAAAGTATTATAATATTACTACTGCGTAATTTGGTTTGTAGCCACTGAAATTATACAACAAAAAGAAATTAAAACAACAAATTAAACCATGCCTAAAGGAAGCCATCCAGATTTGGAAGTTGTGAAGTTTACTGTTGAAGTTGGCGATAGCGAGGAGACTATAGACGTTCAAGTTGAAGGTGTCGAAGATGTTATTTTCAACATTCCTGAGAGTTCCAAATTTGTCACCACCATTTACTTTAGGGTGAAAAATAGAGAATTGAAAGATGTCAAATATAAGCAAGTAATTAAAAAAGCTGGAGTTCCAATCAAGACTCGTGACCTTGAACTTGGACCAGTTTTCCAACCTTCAGATGAAATCTATAGTACTGCATTTCCAGAAGATACCACTCCAGGAGGATTTTTCTTTAGAGGAACTTATCCAGCTACTTCAACTTATTACGCTGATGGTGAAGAATTATTTACTAGTGACTGGACCTTAACCATAACTTCTAAAGCGTAAATAGACAGACAATTAGCTATTTAATTTATTGAGTTAATTGGCCCACTTAGTATTTATGTATCTATTTATCTATTCATCTATTTATTTATGACTATTAAATATATAAAAATCATATAGCACAGTTCTCTTCGAAGTAACATGGAGAAGTACTATGTTGCAAAATTTGATTCCCCCATAAGCAACCTGGTTCTTTCCTAAATAGGGCATCTGCGGCTTGGCGCTCTTTGCGGTTCGACTATGTGCCAGACCTGGAGATCCATTAAATGAAGTCTAGAACCAGATGGCAACTATTGTAAAGAAACAAGCAACACAATACTAGGTGTTTAGAAAGTTCTAATTTATACTTCGGAGTATTACTTATGGTTTTAGAAATAAATTCATCTAGTTTTGGGAACTACTTTAGAAGAAGCTTTTGAACAGCCTGTATTTGTTAAGATAAGATAAGGGATAAGCACGATAAAGATGGTAATTCGTCCTGCAACTCATGCGGGATCATGGTACTCTAATAATCCTGCTAAATTAAAGACACAATTAGAAGGGTTTTTTCATAAAGCCAAAAAGCTAGAACATTCATTATCGCAAGAAAAGGTTAAAGAATCTATTCATGGTGCTAGAGTATTAATTGGACCACATGCTGGATTTGCATATTCTGGTGAGAGATTAGCTGAAACATTTACTGTATGGGATAAATCTAAAGTAAAGAGAATCTTTATGTTGGGTCCATCACATCATGTATACTTTAAGAACTCCGTGCTTGTATCTCAATTCAATGAATATGAAACTCCATTTGGTAACATACCTGTTGATAATGATACAATTGATGAATTACTTTCAATTAAATCATCAAGTAAATCTAGAGGTCCAGTATTTAAGTATATGTCATCAGAAGTAGATGAAGATGAGCATTCATTTGAAATGCATGCTCCATTCATATATCATGCAACTAGAAATTTACCTCAAGGAACTCCTAAAATTATTCCCATACTTATCAGTGGAATGGATGATAAATTAGGTGAGGATTTAGCCAATGCATTATTACCATATCTTGCCAATGAAGAGAATCATTTCGTTGTAAGTTCTGATTTCTGTCATTGGGGTCAAAGATTTGGTTATTCAAAGTATATCCCCACTAAAAATGATACATCCATTACTGAATTAGGATCTAATTTAGTTGATTTGGGAATGTTTCAAAGGCTAAGTTCAAACGACCTTCCAATTCATGAATCAATAGAATTCTTAGACAAATTTGCTATGCAAATCGCCAGTGATGGAAAATATCACGAATGGAGAAACTATATAACTACAACAGGCAACACTATTTGTGGTCAGAAACCAATCGGAGTGATATTGAGATTATTAGAGCTCTTTACTGAATCGCAGTCGCAGTCGCAGTCGCAGCAACAATCTTTACCACCTTCATTTAAGTGGATTGGTTACTCACAAAGTAACGCAGTCTACAAGCCTAACGACAGTAGTGTATCCTATGCCTCTGGCTATGTCGTGTTATGAGCCATGTCACCATTATGAAACTGTAACGAAATGTGTAGAAACTATATACACCTAAATAAATAAATAAATAAATAAATAAATATATGCTAATGCTAATAAAGACACCTCTGTTTTTTTTTTGACAGTCTGCATACTAGTCTTCATTATGGAACTGCGCGGGACCAGAAACCAAAAACTATCGGAGCAACGCAAAAGGGTCCGAGCCGCAACTAACCAATAACCAATACCAATTCCAAACCAACCATAATAAATTCTAAGGTAATAAATCGATGAGTGACGGGAAGTTATTTATCAAATCCAAGGCCACTGAGTTGCGGACTGAATTGGATCAAGCATTAAAGAAATCCAAACCTCATAGTAAAGTGAAAATAGTACTTAAGAAGGTAATAGCCAATATAATTTTAAATAATAATGAATTAGTTCCTTTATTACCAGATATAATTAAGTTATTAAAAATTGATGATTATGAGATCAGAAAAATGAGTTCACAATTTATTGTTGAGTATGGACCAGAAAATGCGGCATTAGCAAAAGAAGCTATACCATATTATACTCGATTTCTTGAAGATCCATCACCTTTATTAAGATCACTTGCTATTAAGACATTATCTACGGTGAAAAATAAAGATTTTCAAATTATTTCATTTGAAGTAATTAAAAAATTACTTAATGATAATGATCCTGAAGTTAGAAAGGCTTCAGCATATTGTGTATCAAGATTATTTCAAAATGATCCTGATAGAGCTATTAGAGATCAATTAATTAATAATTTAAATGAATTATTATATGATAATAATCAAATTGTTGTTTCTAATACTTTGGCAGCTTTAAATTCAATTACTGAAACTAATAAATCTTTAACTTTAACAATCGATAAAGCTCATTCAATTGCTCTTATATCTCATCTTAATGTGGCTAATGAATGGTGTCAAGTATACATTTTAAATTCTCTTTCATCTTATGTACCACAAACTTCAGATGAAGCTCTTGAATTAATTGAAGCGGCTTTACCATCTTTACAACATGAAAGTTCGGCTGTGGTATTAAATGCAATAAAGATCATTGTTTATTTTTGTAATTATGTTAAGAATCCTCAATTAATTATTCCATCACTTTCTAATCGATTAGGAACTTCCCTAGTTTCATTATTATCAAAACCAGCTGAAATTCAATTTCTTGTTTTAAGAAATGTTATATTATTATTACTTGGAAGAAGAGAATTAATTAATCTTGATGTGGAAATGTTCTTCTGTAAATATGATGATCCAATTTATATTAAAGATACAAAATTAGAAATAATTTATTTATTAGCCAATTCTCAAAATATTCATTCAGTAATTCGAGAACTTGAAGAATATGCTACTGAAATTGATGTATCAATGTCTAGAAAGGCTATTAGAGCATTTGGGAATTTATCAGTTAAATTAGTTGGAGCTGCTCAAGAATGTGTAGAAGTATTATGTGATTTAATTGGTAATGGAATACCTTATATTGTTCAAGAATCTGCCATAGTTTTAAAGAATATATTAAGAAAGTATCCTCAACGATTTGATTTTGCTGTTGATGTATTATTAAATCAATATAAATTAATAGATGAACCAGATGCAAAGACTTCTTTAATATGGATAGTTGGTCAATACGATGATAATCAAGAAAGATCTATTAAAATAATTAATGATTTATCATCTAATTTTAAAGAAGAACCACTTGAAGTTCAATATGCATTATTAACAGCAGTAACAAAACTATATTTGAAATATCCAACTGAAGGAGAATCATCTATGTTAAATGTTTTAAAATGGGCAACTGAAGAAGTAGATAATCCAGATGTTAGAGATAGAGCTTATATATATTGGAGATTATTATCATTGGATGAAAATACTTCAGGAGATGGTGGTTTTCAAGAAAAATCAAAACAAATAATCTTAAATTCTAGTCCAATGATCTCTTCCGATAATGATAATATTGATCCTAAAATTCTAGAAGAATTGGAATTGAATATTGGAACTCTTGCATCAATATATTTGAAACCCGTACAACATGTGTTTAGACTAAGTAAAAAGAAGCAATTAGTTCCAAGTCCAGCATTACAACCTCGAATTATAAAAACAGCTGAGCCTGATATTGATAATTATAATGAGAATGAGAATGGGAATGGGAATGGGAATGGGAATGGGAATGGAAATGGGAATGATAACGAAGTTAATAGACCAAGTAAACCACTTCCAACTAGACCAAATACATCTAGAGTCAATTCTTCATCCAATACTAACCATAGTCACTTGGCTCCCCATAGAAATGCATCATCCACGCTTTCTAGTAGAAGTCTGGTAATTTCGGGCCAAAAATCTTTAGACTCTGCTGGATCGAGCTTTGAAGATAGTAATGGTAAGAGAGAAGGGTTTGCTAAAAGGTTAAGTAGGAGAGCATCTCTAATTACTAACAGAAAGTTATCTAAATCATAAATTAAGATATTCCATATATATATATAAAGACATAACATACATACATACGAGACAATATATCTATCTACTCTTCTTTCTTTACTGTAATTGGTTGAAGAGATTTTCGAGCTTTACGAACTTTAACTATCTGAACATCTTTAGCAAACTTGACTATTGAACTTTTGGTTTCTATAGTTTCATGACTAATTTCAGGCATATTAAGTTCTGGACCCATTCGAAGATTCTTGAATTCCGTTTCAAGATCAAGACCTAAAAGGGATGCTAAAATAATCATAGCTCCAGGCTTTGACATAACTGTCAGCATCTCACTACAATGAGTACCAGCCACACAATTGGGACAACCCCATTCACATTCACAAGCTTTAATTCTATGATAAGTTGTAAATAATAAATCATCAAAGTATTCAAAAACTTTAGCAGACATTCCTGAACCGGATTCTCCTCCCTTTGAATCATAAAATATTAAACGAGCTGGACGTTTTCTTCTTGACTGTCTGGTGGAGAATTCCTTTTCTGGAGCTTTACATTCAGTATTTAATTCATATTCTCCTATGGCAGAATATCGATCTAATGGTACATCTACTATACTATTACCTCCAATGAATAAAGGACTCATATTCATTATGGCATGTTCTGCAGCATGAATCCCTCCTGCCAAAGAATAATCTTTAGCCTTTGTAAATGAAACTGCCTTGTCAGGAATATCTACCCAAAACCCTCGAGATTTAATTATAACTGGAGGATTCTTCAGTTCAACTGCTTCAATAAATTCTCTCTTTCTATTAATCTTAAAAAATCCAAATACTACCAAAGTAATCTGAACTTTACCAAAGAAAATTGGAATATCGGAAGTTCTATTCAAATCTTCTGAATAAAGTTCTTTGACAAATTGAATCTCCATAGGATCTACATCCTTAAAATCTCTTTGTTGAGTAGTCCAATCTACTTGGACTCTTTCTACTTTAGCGAATTTCTCCTTAGCATTAAATTCTTTTACTAGATAAGGTAAACCTTGATGTAGGAATATTCCACCTTCATATAATGTAAAGCTTGTTCTCAGGGCTTCAACTTCTTCAATGACTATATTTCTATCTTTAGTTATATCTACTACTGCAAATGTATCATTTTCAATAGCTCGAATAGATACCATACTTGCTGGATTAGGCAAATAAATAGGATTAGGTCCAAATGTTCTCAAACTATTCTCAATTAATCGGGATTTACATATCCCTTCAAAGATTTTAGCTGCCTCTTGACTACCTTCACCAGTAGTAAACCATTTCAAATCTATATGTAAATCAATTGGTTCTTCAAAAGCTGCACATTGTAAATGTTGTTCCAATATAAAGTTTGAAGTACTTAAGCTTGATAAATTTTCAACGCAAAGATCTTCATATGAACCCTTGACACATAATTCTTCACTATGGTCCAAGTAATATTGATCAACTGGCATACCAGAAGCAACATAAATAGCTAAACTTCCACAAGAATTCTTTCCTCTACCAGCTCTCCCAAATTGTTGATGCATATTCAGTTTCAGAGTTGGGAATCCACACGTTATAACTACATCTAAATATGATAAATCAATACCTAATTCAAGAGCATTAGTTGCTACTATAGCTCTCAATTCTCCAGTAAACATCTTTTGTTCTATAATTCTTCTATCACTCTTAGAATACCCTCCACGATATGCCATTACATCACTCTCCAAAATGTTTGGATTCGTCATACTCTTAATAATTATTCGAACTTCTTTCATTACTAATTCACACATAGCTCGTATAGGACAAAATAATATAACTCTTACATCAGGAAGTTTACAAAGTAATTGAACTAATATCTTTGCCAGTTCAGGAATTATATTTACTCTGGGGATTAATTGATTAGTACCATCAATGGTTGGAGTTTGACCTCTAATATTCATTAAAGGAGGTGGTCTCCATACTATGAGCTTCTTTTCTACACATGGACTTCCATCAATAGATACATGAACAATATGTTCTTCTTGAGGAATTCTACAAATAGTTCGAAAATGGGATTCTGGATCCAGAATAGTAGCCGAACAAGAAATAAATCGAAATGTTTGATATCCTGAATTAATAAATTTATGTAGTCTCATTAATCGGCCCATAATATAACTAACATGAACTCCAAATGTTCCTCGATATACATGTAATTCATCAAGGACAATATATTTCAAATTCTTTATAAAAGTTTGCCAATCTTTATCAGTATAATGAGGTAATAATGATACATGGATTAGATCCGGATTGGTAAATATAATATCGGCATATTGTCGAATAGTCTTTCGATCTTTAAATGGAGTATCTCCATCATAAGTATCTACAACTATTCTTCTATCATTATTCATTGGTATATGACTAATTAATTCTTCTAAATGTCTCTTTTGATCTTGGGCAAGAGCTTTAGTAGGAAATATAAATAATGCAGTAGAACCTCTCAGTTTATTTCCTCTCTCAATATCCCATAAAATATCATTTAAGATTGGTACTTGATATATTAAAGACTTACCAGAAGCCGTTGATGTACTAACAATAACATGATCAGGGATTCCTGATATTGGAATTAACGATTCTAATGCTTCAACTTGATGTGAATATAAATCTTCATCTAATGCAATACCCTTATACTCCAAAAAGGCCTGTTTCAAATCGGGGTGAATCATTTCATGATTCAGAAACTTTCGATAATCGGCTTCTTGAGTAGAGTTCAATGTGTGAATTGAAACTATTTGATCTTTATAAAATGATTCATCTTTCAATACCAGAATCATTTCTTCAGTTCCCTTAGTGTTTGGAGTTTGGTTGAGTTTGATTTCTGAACCCTTACTACTTACAGGATGTTCAAATCCCGGTTCAATTGGGATTTTCAGTTCAAACTTTAACGCTAACATTTCAAAAGGATCATTGAAAGAGTTATACTTTTGTAATTGTTTCCATAGAATTGTTTTAAATTTCTCATTTCTACTCTTAATTATTGCCATTAAATTAGTCTGAGATAACAGTTGAGTAGTTAATGAGCTACTAGATAAAAAGAATTCATTATTTGAATCATCTTCTCGTGGTCTTTTCTTATAATTTCTAGCTACTATGGTGGCCGCTTTAACTCGTACATCCTGAAAATCAAATATTAGTAACTGTTTGGAATGCTTTATCACATCTGATTGCTTGGCAATCTTCTCATACTCATCTTCAACCGTCACTGGTTCATTTTGTCGAAACCCGTCTCGTTTATTATACTGGACCTTCTCCAAAAAGGAGAGCATGACTTGATTTTCATCGACATATCCAAAGAATATATCCCCTTCAGGAAAGAGATTCTTAATTATGGTTAAGTCTAGTTTAGTGATATCATGATTTAATTTATGAAGTAATTCAAACGTGGGGATAACCGATCTTGAATGGGAACATAAAAATGTAAGATGAGTGTTAATCTGAGTGAAAATTTGATAGAGTCTTCGGACCGATTCAGGGAATTCACTGATCTCGACTATAACTTCGTCTTTCATCGGCTAATGATCATGAGTCTATGATAATTAACCGTGTAATGATAGTGAATAATTATAGATTTGTAGATTTTCAAATCAAAATGCAGGTCGGCATCGCGAACCGCAGCCATTACAGCAATCGTACATCAAAAGTTCCCGATTAATTATATAATTCGGGATTTTTAATCCGATGACTATAGTGACAATTATACAGTAAACTATCATGTTTGATAAACTTAGACTCAAGGAAAAGGCTGGTAAGATAAAAGAATCTGGACCGGTAGTTAGTCCTGGTCAACCACCATCAATTCGAGAGATTTATCAATCTAGAAGAAACTATGGGGTAAATTTAGGGTCTTGCTTTATTCAAGAGAAATGGATATTTCATGACTTATTCCATGGGAATGCTTCTTGTGAATTGGAATTAGCTGGTCAATTGAGTAAGGAATTGGGTAATGAAGGAGCTAGAAGTAAATTAGAAGAATTTTGGAATGGATTTGTTAATGAAGATGATTGGAAATGGTTACAAGATCATGAAGTAACATCTGTTCGAGTTCCATTAGGATATTGGAATGTTGGAGGTGGGAAATTTACTAAAGATACTAAATTTGAGAAATATGCTCTGAAAGTTTATGGTAATTCATGGACAATATTTAAATCGAAATTTATAGAACCGGCTGCAGCCCATGGAATTTCTGTTTTAGTTGATATTCATGGTTTACCATTTGGAGCTAATGGGGCAGATCATAGTGGAGAACAATCTTCTGGTGAAGCCAAATTTTGGGAGAATGAATCTGCTCAATTACAAATGTTAAGTTTATTTTCCTTTATAGCAGAAGATTTGAAAGGTTATGATAATATAGCTGGAATTCAAGTAGTTAATGAATCTGTATTTGCCGATGAACCAGCTAAAAGACAAAGCACTTATTATGCAGCTGCCATTAATCTGATTAGAGAAAAAGATTCTACTGTTCCTATTATTATTTCCGATGGTTGGTGGCCTGATCAATGGGTTAAATGGATTCAAAATCATCAAGATGGTCGTAATTTAGGTGTAGTTATTGATAGTCATTGTTACAGATGCTTTTCAGATAGTGATAAGAATAAAAGTCCTAAACAAATCATTGAGGATTTGAATAAAGACTTATTGACGAATCTTAGTTCTCCCGGTATTGATTTTGTCGTTGGAGAATATTCATGTGTTCTTGATGGATCATCATGGAATAGAGATAATGCTCAACAAGATAGAGATAATTTAGTAATAGAATATGGTAAAAGACAAACCAGTCTCATTCATGAAAGAGCATCATTTGGATCTTATTTTTGGACATTTAAATTTCAATCTGGTAATGGAGGTGAATGGGATTTTAAGACTATGACTGATAAAGGGGCTATAGGTGTTCCATTTTCAATCAAGGGTAAATCATTACCGGATAGATCAACCTTTGAACAAAAGCTTAACAAATGCTTAGAAGATCATAGTAACTATTGGAATAATGCCAATCCCAATGAACACTATGAACATAAGAGATACAAAGAAGGATTTACTACAGGATGGTCAGATGCCAATAAATTTGCTGAATTCAATGGTTCTACTATCGGAAGACTTGAGCCGTGGAAAAACTCACGTTTGGCCGAACATATCGGAGCTCGGGGGAAGCTGGCATTTATATGGGAATGGGAACAAGGCTTTGATGCGGGGATTAAGGAATTCTTAAATAGTATTTAGGGGATAGTATAGTTAGATTGGTTTAAGAATGTTTTTATTATATATAAGGTATGTAGACATATGTAGATATATAATATGTATGTCGGGTCGTGTATGGTAGCGCAGACTATGTCTGTCTCTGTTCGGCCTGCCTGTCCGCTTATACAGGAGCCAAATTTGGCAGGCGAATATAAACCGATGTCCTATTACAAATCCACCCCACGTTTGCCGACAAACAACTATGACTAATCGGGTCCAGCTCAAGTCGATAGCGGAGCTCAATGCCGTAGCCACTTCGGTATATAATGAACTCATCAAAAACACCGCCTCAATAGCGAAGCTTCTAAAGTATCAAGTAACATTACTTGAACTATTAAGTATACAAACTAAGAAATTAGATAGAGTAGGATATTGTGATTATGAATTTGCCTATATATGTTATTCAGTAGCATTAATGCTCTATGGGCATACGGAGCGAGATGTGGCGGAAGAATTCCAGAAATCCATCAAGGTTGCCTTGGTAAAGAAGAAGGATCAGTTTGATACTGTCAAGCATTTCTTAGGGCAATCGGATCAAGATCCGCTTGTACAGCGATTTCAACGGCTTGAATCGGCCGCCTCTACTTCTTCTACTACTTCTACTACTTCTACTACTTCAACTAACTCAGGATCATCACCAGTACAAGTACCAGTACAATTGGAAGACTTTAAATTCCGAGATTTCATATCAGCACCACAACTTCATTACCTCCTCAATCTGCAAACATATGGTAACAAGATATTACTAATAGATTTTCGAGAATCAAAGGATTATAACCATAACCATATCAAGTACAAAGAGATAATCCATATCCCTCCATCAGTATTGCATCTGCTTATAGGTACTACTGCTGCTACTACTACTACTACTACTACTAATTTAGATAATATCACTGATCAGGATTTAGAAAATCGTCTTAAATTGCATCTACCTCATGAAGAATATTTAAGATTTCAAAGCCGATACAAATATGATTTAATTGTCATATATAATTTGAATTATGGACATTTATTTATTGATCGTTTAGATAATTTGAAGGCCCTTGTAACTTCTGATAAACCATTAAATAATCCATTTTCAGAATTGATTGAGATGTTAATGTTTAAGAATAAATATATAAGTTCTCATCTTAAAGCATATCCAATTATCCTTGCCGGTGGAGTTTATAATTGGCATGCAGTATATGGAGATCAATGGCTTGAAAGATCTCATGTCACTCATGTATTAACTAGACCAGAAGCCAGTCTTTCTCGAGGTAGTAGTACTACTACTAATTCTCAACCATCTTCTAGACGAGGCAGTTATCAAGAAGATTCCAATGTTTCGCGAACTGCATCACCATATCTTCGAAATTTTGGTGATTACTTATCGACTGCTAAATCAACCTCCAATACTCCTATATCTAATTCATTTTCACCTAAATCTCCTCAAGTAGTAAGCACCAATCATAATCAACCTCTACCACTACCTCCTATTGATGCTCCCATAGCTACTTCCCCTCCTTTACAACAAGCTCCACCCCCTAAATTAACTCGAGCTAATAGTTCGACTGTTACTATAACTAAAACCAAATCTAAAGAAGTTAAAGATGTTAAACAAGTTAAAGAAGTTAATGGACAATTCTTAGAACAATATGCTACGGGACTTGTTAATCTCGGAAATTCATGTTATATGAATTGTATATTACAATGTCTCGGAGCTACTCCGCAATTAACAGGATTTTTCTTTCCGAATCTTAATGGTTCAGGATTAAATAATTATCGTCAACATATAAATGTTAATAATCGATTAGGAACCAAAGGAATATTAACTAATAATTTTGTAGGATTATTAGCTGATATGTTTAGAAGTAATGGAAGTTCATTTTGTCCAACTAATTTTAAAAAAGTGGCTGGAAGTTTATCTCCTGGTCAACAATTTGCCACATTTGATCAACAAGATTGTATTGAATTTTTAAATTTTATATTAGATGGATTACATGAAGATTTAAATCAAATGGTTATTGTTAATGCCGAAGATAAAAAAGCTGTAAGTGAATTAACTCCTGAACAAGAAAAGACTCGAGAACAATTACCCATTAGATTAGCATCAACTATTGAATGGGAAAGATATCTTAAATTAAATTTTTCAATAGTAGTTGATTATTTTCAAGGTCAACATTTATCTCAATTAAAATGTTTAGAATGTGGCATGACTTCAACAACTTATAATTCATTTTCAATTTTATCATTACCAATTCCTGAAAAACTTGGAACTATGAATGTTCTGTTGGATGATTGTTTAAAGGAATTTGTTACTACTGAATTATTAGATGATAATAATAAATGGCATTGTCCACGATGTAAACGATTTACTAAACTGACAAAGAAGATTTCTATAACAAGATTACCACAAGTATTAATTATTCATTTTAAACGTTTCAAAGTATCCCCAACAGGATATTTTAATAAATTAGATACATTTATTAATTATCCCGTTAAGGAAACTTTGGATTTAACATCTTATTGGCCAGAAGTTGGAACTTATTTAGATGGAACTAATAAGGATTCCTTAACAAGAGAGAAGGAAGAACAAATCTTATCAAGTTTACCAACACGGAATCAAACACCTCCATTTAGATATAAATTATATGGAGTAGCTAATCATTTTGGAAATTTAACTACGGGACATTATACATCTTATGTATATAAGAAGAGTGATAATAAGAAACTTAAGGGGTGGTGTTATTTTGATGATTCGAAGATTACTTATAATTGTAGAGACAGTCAGGTGATGAATAAGAATGCCTATTGTTTATTCTACCAGCGAGTGTAGTAGTAAGTAAGTAAGTAAGTAACTATGTAACTATATAACTATGACTAAGTAACACTACAGTATTAGATTGTACACTCACAGATTGTACACTCACAGATTGTACACATTTCTGTAACTCACACATTTCTGTAACACTTACCTGTAACACTCACACTCCTTAGATCTCCGTAACTTTTATCTTAGGATGATTCTCTATAACTCCCTTACTCATCCCCACCCATAACCAATCAACTTTATTATCCGGATTAATATTTATTTGTCCCTTAAATCCTTCTACAAAATTTCTATCATTAACAGTAATACTCGTAGTAAAATTAATGAATTCATTAAATATTGATATTAATGACCAAAATTGTAATTTTCTTAAACAAGCAATTACTAAACTAGTCACTTGACCTCCATTTAAACAATGAATATATATAGGATAATGATTTTTATGTATAACATAATCTAATGCTTCAAGTACTGTAGTATACCCCATTGGTACTCCACGTTTCTTCCCCTTTCCTGATTGACTACATTCTAAATGGATAAGTCGTATATTATTCTTTATAGCAAATTCATATAATTTAATATCTGTTTCGGGAGTTATCGGTTCAGGTGTTAAACTTATTATAGTTTCAAGTTGAAGTGATTTAAGAAACTTGAAATTTATCTCTCGGGGATATGCTCCTCGGTATAAGTTTTCTTGTACTACATTAAATCTCAACGGAGGAGTTAAGGGATCGGGCACTTCCATTGGACAGGGTTTTTACGGGTTGTAACTGTACTGTAACTGTACTTTACTGACTGTAATAACTGTAGTGTTATACTTACAACTAATTAGTTCTTAACTATGGTACTACCCCAATGCCTCCAACATCCACACCGCAATACATACATCCTTACTATACCAACCAAACTCTTACTAACATTATTAGTATTATATCATTATATATTATTATTATTAATATGGAAACTCTCGCCTATTTAGATATGATTAAGATATTAGTATAAACGACGAGAGGAGAGGATTACATTACAATTATATGTACAATTACATGTATGGTTTGAATTTTTTTTTTGGACTTTTTATGGGGAGGGGGTTATATGGTTTGGATGGTAAATTCTTAATAGAATTGACCCAATTTTGGCATCTTAGTGTCTTCAACATTAGTAGCAAGAACATCTTCAATTGACCATCTTGGAGGTTGACCTGGAATTTTAGATCCTCCAGCAATACCACTACTGAATTTTAAAAAGATTAAATCTCCTAATTCATCGAATTTTCGTAAAACATAATCCAAATCTTCTTTAGTTAAAGCAGAACTAACACATAATCTTGCTCTAGCACTAATTAATGGTGTAGCAGGATAACTAACAATAACAACGGCAATTTTCATATCATATAACATTCTTGAAAGGGCTGGCATTTTAGCAGGTAAAAATAATAATAAAGGTATAACTGGTGAATCATCAGCTCCATAAACAATAAAACCTAATTTTTTTAATCCAAGTCTTAAATAACGAGAATTAAATGCAATTCTTTCTAATCTTTCTTTACCTTCTCCAGGATTTAAAGTACCTTTAATAACACTTAATGAAGAAATAATTTGTCCTAAAACTGGTGGTGGAACACATTCAGAATAATTTTGAGTTATATAATTTAATCTAAATTTATCAATAATTTCTTTATCAGCAGCAATATAACCTCCAGTAGCTCCAAAAGATTTTGTAAATGTACCCATTAGTATATCAACTCTTGAAGGTTCAACTTGAAAATAATCACAAACTCCTCTACCTTCTGGACCTAAAGCACCAATTGAATGAGCTTCATCAACAAATAAATAACATTTATATTTTTCCTTTAATTCAAGAATTTTTGGTAAATTAACCATATTACCTTCCATTGAATATAAACCTTCAACAGCAATTATAATTTTTTTCCAAGGACGATGAGTTTTTGGTTGACCTTGAGCAATTTGAGTTCTAATTAATTTTTCTAAATCATTCATATCATTATGTTTAAATACTTTAACTGAAGCTCCTGATAATCTAATACCAAATCTAATTGATGCATGATTTAATTCATCACTAATAACTAAAGTTTTTGGATCAGCAATTGAAGCAAATAAATTAGCATTTGTACCATAACCTTGACTAACAATAATTGCATCTTCCTTTCCAACAAAATCAGCAATTACTCTTTCACATTCTTTATGTAAATCTGTGGTTCCAATATAAGATCTTGGAGAACAACCTGAAGTTCCATAATCTTCAACACATTTTAAAGCAAAATCAGTACATACACCATGAGATTGTGCAAAACCTAAATAATTATAAGATGATAAATTTAAACATTCATTTGAAGTTCCATCATAAAGATAACCAGTTTTTCCATGTCTTATTCTATTAAAGCATTTTATATAACGACCAGGAGCTCCATGAATTGGTCTAGCAAAACAATCATCAATTCTAGTTTTTAAACGACGAACATAAAAACTTTCAAATCCATCATACCAAGGTGCATAACCATCTTTTTCTATTAAATCAGCATATTCTGATGGTTTAAAGATTTTTCCAAAAAAATCTCTAATATGACCTATTATAATTAATATAAGATAACTTATATAAGTTGCAATATAAATAATATAAGGAGGTTCATCATCTATTGGTAATGGAAGTGGTTCACCAAGTGGATGTTTAGATACATAAAGATACTTTTCTGAAGTTAATTTACCATATTCTAGTTCAGCTAATTCTTCTGCTGGTCTATCATCAGGAAGTGCATTGGGTATATAAGGACTTAGAGTAACCATGATGTTATGCAAAATTTAAATTAACCAAGTAATGAATAATTAATTATATGAAATAAATAAGGAAAAATAAATAGTAAGTATATAAATAAATGATGTATCAGTTAACGAGGGAATGAATAGAATCGAATGGGGTCTATTGAATGAAATTATGAATAAATCAATGAATGAGTGAATGAATGAATGAATGAGTGAGTGAGTGAATGAGTAAGTCCAGTGAGTGAAATATTATGACGAGTTAATGAGTAATGAGTATAGTAATGAGTATAGTTATGAATGAGTGGATGCCCAAAAGTACAACTTAGTATATATTCAATTGTTACGTATTAGTCTGTCGACAACTGAGTTGTTGTAGTTGTAGTTGTAGTGGTTTGCTGGACTCGCTAATGACTATGACTATGACTACGGTTATTAGTTATTTGTCTATTTGCTCAGTGGGGGATGAGGGCCTCTATGCAGTCAGTTGGAATCCAGGCTAACGATATAGATCAGATCTCTAACTATGCCAACTGTAACTTCCACGTATAAGTGATTTGTTCGGCTGGGCTAAGCGGTGCTGGGGATGGTTCGGTGTGGTTAGTTATGGGCTCGAAGAATTTTCTTCGCTTTTGTTCTTGTGCGTTTTGGTTTGTGCGTGTTTTTCCCAAACGGGAAAGGTCGATTGGCAAACCTTGGCTCCATTCCGGAATGGGAACACGGGTATCGGGGTGTTTGTTAGGGGATGATAGAAATTAGATAAAAATTATATAGTATACCAAGTAATTACGTAGTGTAGGCTGAGGTTAATGGAGAGTGGCGTAGTTTTACTGTTAAGCATTGATAATGCCAATTGGGGGCCAGTACGTATATTTCCGTTCTATAATGTACTGGATGCTAAGGGAAAAAAAATAGGGGTACGTGAAGTTTACACCCCGACCGCAGTAGTTAAGCGATCACTACGTATACTTAAATAGTTTATAATGGCGATCTTCATCACCATATAATCGTAATAAATAATCACACCGTGGTACTTCCCAATCAATATGACCAATGGTAAGTACCGTAACATCCTTAAGATCTGTTTCAATAAGATCATGACATCTTATCATAATTTCTTCATCATCCATACAGGAAAAGGCTTCATCAAGAATTAATAATTCTGGTTTCTTTATAATAGCTCTTAAGAATAAAGTTAATTTTTGATCAGTAATAGTTAAATCAGTAAATTTACTATTACCGTAAATATCTAATCGATCTTGAAATTGTGATAAAACATTACGACCAAATTCTGTAAGATTCTCTTGTTTACCTTTCATCATAAAGTTGGAATTACCTACATCTTTAACTAATCCATTTAATATAATTTCATACATAGTTTTAGTATGTTCAGGAACTAAAGCATGTAATTCTGGTGAAGATATTCCAATTCTATTATTGACATCGAAAAATGAAATTCCATTACCAGTCTTTCTTTCAATACCATTAATAGACATTACTGATCTCCATGATTGAGGATGATCGGCCGTAATAAGTGATAATAAAGTAGTCTTACCAGTTCCATTATCTCCTAAGATTCTCCATTTAGAACCTTTAGGAATTACCCAATTAAAATCTTTAAATATTACTAATCCTCGATAAGCTACCGAAGCATTATTAAATTCAACATGAGGTGCTATATCTATTTGTCTTAAGGATTCATTAGTAATTTCAATAGGATTTTTATGTTTATTTAAATGTCTTTCATGAATTTCATGAACTCCTTCAATCGATTTAACACTTTCAGTTAATTGATCAAATACTTCATCTCTTTTCCCACTAAATTTTAACCCATTTTCATCAGCGTAAGCAATATGATCAATCCATTGAGGAATTTCATCTTGAACTCTTAATCCAAGTACTATACTAGTACCTAAATCTTGACTAACTCTGTATAAAGATTTTGATACCATATCTGTTGCTCGAGGATCTAAACCTAAAAAGGGATCATCAATGATTAATAAACTTGGTTTAGACAGTAATGACTTGGCAATCCTAGCTCTTCTTAATTGTCCATTACTTAAAGTATTAATCCATTTATTTTGTAAATGTTCTAAATTGAATAAATTTAATAATTGTGAAGTATAATCAATTATTTGAGTATCTACTTTAACATTATAATTATTAGCTCCAGTAATATAATTCTTTACAGAATTAACATTATCAGACATCTCAAGTTCACCTTTAGATGCATAAGTTTCATATCTAGCTGACATATGAACTTTATCTAATCCTGATCTATCTCTAAAGTTTAAGAATTGTATTTCATGATACTTAAAGTCTTTAGCTAAATGAGGATATACTCTTGATAATGGTGGATCTGCAATATAATTTCCCGATATAACTTGAAGTAATTGTGACTTTTCAGGTCCTAATACTGTCCAAAATGAAGGATGATTATTTCTATCATTAGGACGATATATTTCAAAATGACTTATAGGATTAGGGAAGATACGTGGTGATAATTTGGTAGTATCTTTCTTGAACACAGCATTTTGGATTCGTAACAAACAATTGGAATTGTTTAGAATCCTGCTACTGCCTCTCATCCTGTCTGTATGTGTTAGTACCTACAACCACTGGAAGATCCTTATGTTCTGTTAGTTAGTAGTAGTGAAAAATTATGAGTCAGGGCCGGAAATCATCGATCGGCTCCGGCGAGAAGTTGGGGTAAACGTTCTATGCTGTGAGATCTGTGTGAGTTACAACGAACAATATTTAACATATTATTGTTATCGGTGATAAGTACAATATATCCATATCCCTACTAACTAACTAATCTCTTACTCCTACCCATTACTACAATACTTTGAATTCATAACTCTTCACATCGAGAGGAGTGTATACAGCCACTTGCTATTAAGAGTCAATTTGACACGTGACCGTTCACCCGCCTCTCTCTCTCTCTCCCTCACAAATAAAAATGAACAGACCCTTGTTAAAGAGCAAGGATACGATTTATAGCCCCATTAGAGTATCACGATGGAATTCACAGATCCCGTAGTTTCTGAAAAGGAAACAGAACAGGAATTAGTAAGTGTCGATTCCACAATTGCTGAACCCACTAAAACTGAACAAACTAAGAAAACAGAAGAAGCTGTAGAAAAATTAGAGAGTGAGATCGATAAGGCGTACACAGCAGTTGAAGCTAAATTTCAAGATTTATGGAGTAATGCAACTAAAAATGCTAGTGGATTACAAGATAAATATAAATTGGATGAACGTAGAGATCAATTGCTCGGACAATTAAATGTAGCTCGAGAAAATTTAGCTAATAATAATAATATTGTTGCAGTAAGAGATAATTTAAAACATATTGAAGATCAATTGAAAAAAGTTCAATTACCTGATGTTAAAATTGATTTAAAGAATTTACAAGATCAAGCCAATACTGCCCTTGATTCATTAGATGCTACTCTTGAACAAGTTGAAAAGCAAGCAGGAAAATATGTTAGTTCTTTTACATCTTTCTTAACTTCTATGGTATCTGTTGAAGCAGAACCTAATGGAAATGAAGAAAAGGAAACATTATTTAGTAGTTCTAATCCTATAAGTAGTCATGAAAGTTATGGTAGTACTCGTTATGATAATGATTTATTTAAATTGCATACCAGTGAAAGTGCTTATATATCATCAGATTTAGATATTAAAAGTGAAGTAGAAGCATTTAATGCTGATTCTAAAACAGATGAAATATCTAAATTATTAGAAAAATATCCTAATACATTAACTAAAACTATGAATGATTTAGTTCCTGTTAAGATCTCATATAATTTATTCTGGTACCGTTATTTTAAGAATGACCAGAAATTAAGAGATTCTGAACAGAAGAGAAAACAATTATTATTAGATGGTAAATCAGGATCAACTGAAAGTAAAGGAGATGAAGAAGATGAAGATTTTACTTGGGATGATGATGAAGAAGAAGAAGATGTAGTAGATGTAGCAAAGGAAGTCAAAGATCCTAAAAATAATGCTGGAGCTAAAGCTTCGGAATCTAAGAATTCGGAAGAAGACGATGATTGGGAATAGTTATGACTCTTGTATATTATGGGGGGCACTCATGTTATTTTATTTATTTTAATTATAATCGTATATGTTTTTTTGCAGTCTTAACTCCGCAAACAAAAAAATGTAATTACAAGGAGCGCAATTTTGAGTACCGCCAAAAAAAATAGAAAGATTAAAAATCGAATTGTTCGGAACCCCCTCCCGAACTAACATAACCAGGAGACTTTTGGTACACGATGAGTAACAACCAATTAGGTGTACCCACTCTTCGGAGTAATGCTAAACCCTCTGCAAATATGGTACTGAAATTGTCTGGTTTGAAACAGACCAGTCACGAGTACAGTAACTCTAAGAAGGGGGCTAAGACGAACTCCCATTCGACGAATGCATCCCATCAGCTGCACCAACAACTGCTGCAACAACTGCAATCGCAGCCACAGCAACTGCTGCAACAACACCTGCAACTGCAACTGCAACAACTGCAATCCAATCATAATCAATTCAAATCCAATAATTCTACGAGACGTGTATGGGTCAAGAAGGTGAATGGAACTCCTACGACTCTAATTATTAATCAAGACTATATAGTAGACGATTTAAAACAGGATATAATGTATAAGTTTCCCAATTCATTGGCCAAGATATATGATCCTGCTGACTTGCGTATCATATTAGTTAGAAATAATCAAAACAGAATTAACTTGGAACCTGACCAACTGGTATGGACAATCTTGGATCAATATTTCCCTGGAGGAATGACAAAGAATAATGCCTTTTTGATAGAAGAACCCATTCCTGAAGTAAATGAACCTCATTCCAATGTCTCAAGAGGTAGTATAGGATCTTTAAGCTCTCCATATGATAGTGTCCCTCAACAACAGAATTCAACCCAACTTTATCATACTGCCATGTCTCAACAACATTATCCTCATGGTAAAATCCAAAACACAACTAGATCTACTACTCCTACATATTATCAACCCAAACCACAATATTCTCATCTGCCATCAAAATCAATTGCTCATATTCCTGACAGATCTGTATCTCCTGCAAATGTAACTCCCGGAATACTTCATAGACGTGCTCATTCAAATCCTTCAAGATCTCCATCAATAGATTCTAACTCTCAGGCAGTTTTGTTGTTACCTAAGAATTTTTCATTGAACCCAGCTAATGGTGGTCTTAGTCAGGGTAAAAAGAATTCAATTAGTGGAAGGAATAGGGATTCAACAAGTCCAGAGCAAACTTTCCCTCATAAATCTGACTCGATTGGACAACGTGAGAGTGCAAAGGACAATTCAATCGATGCTAAAGTCAATACTGATTCATTTAATATTTCTCAGCAGCCCGCAGGCGAGATGAAGAGAAAGGTTTCAGATTCTAAACGTGAAGAAGATAAGAATTCCAATAATTCTAATAATAATGGTAGTGTGAGCAAAATCAATAACGGTAATAGTAATAATAGTGGTCATATTGCCTCCAGTACTACAACGAATAATAATAATAATAATAATAACAATGGCAATGTCAATGGCAACAATAATAATAACAATAATAATAACAGTAATAACAACAACAATAATAATAATAATAATAATGCTAACAATAAACTTACGAGATCCATTAAAGGACCTAAATCAGCTACTGATAGAGTGTTGCCATCCATTTCTGTACTAGTTGTAGAAGATAATGCTATTAATCAAGCCATTTTAGGAGCTTTCTTAAGAAGACACAAGATTCATTATCAAATTGCTAAAAATGGTCAAGAGGCTATTGATAAATGGAGAAAAGGTGGATTCCATTTGGTATTAATGGATATTCAATTACCAGTTAAATCGGGAATTGAAGCTACTAAAGAAATACGACACTTGGAAAAGATAAATAAAATTGGTGTATTTGCAGAAAGTGAATCTGCTATAGTTGGATCATCACAAGAAATTACTGATAGTGAAAGATTAGATATGGATCTGTTCCGATCTCCAGTCATTATAGTAGCACTTACTGCATCTTCTAATTCCTCAGTTGATAGAAAAAATGCATTAATGGCTGGATGTAATGATTATTTAACTAAACCAGTCAATTTAGTATGGTTGCAAAATAAAATTACCGAATGGGGATGTATGCAAGCATTAATTGATTTTGATGGTTGGAAAACTGAAAAACTCCTCAAATCAACAGAAAGTCATGACTCGATCCTCAAACCAACTAAACCAAATGATATCATGTCTTTGACCAGTAGTCAAAAATCAGTTATTACTTTATAAGGAGAATCCTATGATATGATATGGTCGTGTGAGAATGCCCAAAAAGTTCCAGTAAGTGAGGAAAAAAAATCATAGACAAAAATAAAATGGCAGTCAAGCTTTGACACTAGTAGTTTAAGCCAAACCCATCCAATATAGAGTTAGAGATGTCTGAGGTTATTGAAGCACCAGGTGCCAGTAATGATGTGGCTGAAACCACCATCTTACCATTGGAAATAATTGATAAGTCTATAGGACAATATATACATGTGTTGATGACGGGGAATAAAGAGTTCAAGGGAAAATTAGTTGGGTTTGATGATTTTGTTAATATGGTACTTGAAGATGTTACTGAAATAGATAATGATGGGCCTTCATCAACTCCTATCAAACAATTGTTATTGAATGGAGCCCATGTAGCTATGATAATACCAAGTTAATAGAAATAATATTGTATATATAAAGAGTGTGGATAAACATGTATGCAATCCACAATAAACCAATGTACATTAAAGAACAATATTTATAAATTAGTAGTGTAGAATAACAATGAGCATATAAAATCGATAGTTTGATAACAAATGAGGAGTTCCTGCGACTAACGGGGGTGGCAAATAGGTCCATGTATGGAACTTCCAAGATTAAGATAGAAGGAAAAAAATATATATACGGTTACAAATCAGTTCGCCACCAATCTGGGGTATAAAATTATAAAATTATTAGTAGATTCCTTTAAAGAAATATATCGGTACTAAGTAGTACATATAGAGGTATATAAGTTAAAATTATCAAATAATGAGAATCACTATATCTGTTGAAAGTAGTGGGCAATTAATAAATGTAGATGTCCCGGGTTCATTAATTCTTGAAGATTTCAAGGCTTACTTGAGTGCTGAAACTGATATCGAGCCTACCAAACAAACTCTTTTATATAATGAATCTCCCTTATCTGATTTGACAAAGTCATTGGAGGAGTTGGGTATTCAAGAAGATGACATAGTTGTTTTAAGGACAGTCCGAGCCTCTTCTGGTGTTAATGCTGGTGCTAGTTCAAGTGCTAGTATTGGTGTTGGTGCTGGCGCTGGTGCTGGTACTGACGTAGTCGATAACCAAATAGAACAAACTAGATTACAATTCCTTAATAGTGCCCAGCTTAATGAACAATTGAGCAGAACTAGACCAGACATACATGCGGTCCTAAATGATCCACCTCGATTCAAATCATTAATGCTACAACAATTGGAACAGATTCAACAAACTGGTGGATATGGTATATCGGGCCATAGACAAGAAGAATATAGACGTTTACAAGAAAATCCAGATGATCCAGATAATCAAGCTAAAATTTTAGAAATGATCAGAGAAGAACAAGTTGAAGAGAATATGAAATTAGCCTATGATATTACTCCTGAAAGTTTTGCATCTGTTGATATGTTATTCATTGATATTAAAGTTAATGGAGAAAAGGTTCAAGCATTTGTGGATTCTGGTGCACAAACCACTATTATATCTCCTAGACTTGCTGAAAAAGTAGGTATTGCAAGATTAATAGATAGACGTTTCCAAGGTGAAGCAAGAGGTGTTGGATCTCAAAGGATTGAAGGTAAGATTCATAGTGTGCCTATTAGTATAGGTGATTCTAATATCGATATACCATGTTCTTTTATGGTCATTGATACACAAGTCGATTTATTATTTGGATTAGATATGTTAAGAAGGCATAAATGTGTTATTGATTTGGAGCATGACAAGTTGATTGTTGGTGGACACATTGAAACTAAATTCTTAGCATCATCTGAAATTGAAAATAATTCCTTATTTGGAGGTAATGGTGGTCATGGTGGTATAGGAAGTGGATTTGGTGGAAATATTTTTAGTGATACAAGACCAGCCAATTCAACACCTACAAATGTTCCTACAAGTAGTGTAACATCAGCTGCTGGAGCTGCTGCTGCTGCAAGAGCATCAAATGCTGGTCAAACTAGTTCCTCAGCACCTTCGAATGTAACAGTCCCAGCACCTAAAGAGGAAGATATTAAGAGATTAACCGATTTAGGATTCTCTAGAAGTGAAGCTATAGCTGCTTTAAAACAAACAGACGGTAATGTTGATTTAGCGGCTTCTCTATTGTTTCAATAGATATATCTATAATTTGAAATATAAAATTAAAAAGTAATTAAAAGAATAAAATTATTATTAAGTAAATATCGCTAAAAAGTTTAAAATCTACCCTTGAAGAAAGATCTGTAAGGGAATTTGGCTCCTTCTTCATCTATTAAGGCAACATCATCTTTACTGACTTTGAAATCATAAATTTCAAGAGCTTCTTTGATTCTTTCACTCTTTGAAGAAGTAGTTATTGGTAAAATTCCCTTATCTAAAGTATATCTTAATAAGACTTGAGCTGGAGTTTTGTTATACTTCTTGGCTAATTCAGGAAGTACAGATTTTAATGGATGATCTTCAATCTCTTTACCATCATCATCAACAATTCTGAAAAGAGGACTTAATGGACCATAAGCTTCAATTAAAATACCGTTTTCTTTAGAAAACTCAACTATATTTTCCGATTGGTTTTGTAAGTAAGGATGATATTCAATTTGATTAACCACTGGGTAATAATCTTTACCTTCCTTTTCACTAACAGCAATAATTCTTTTAAGATGTTCAACTGCAAAATTAGATACACCAATATATCTAACATGGCCAGCCTTCTTAGCATCAATTATTTCTTGCCAAGCTTCTTCAAGAGTAATATTGGAAGTTGATTTATCAAAAAATGGATGATGGATTAATAACAAATCAATATAATCAGTTCCTAATTCTTCTAATGCTTTTTTAACAAATGTAGCTGGATTTCCTTCTTTCTTTGAAATATGAGGACTGGCTGCAATATATTTAGTAGTAATCCATAATTTTTCTCTAGGAACTTGACTCTTAATAACAGCTTTAGCAATTTCAGGATGAGTATTATAAACTTCAGCAGTATCTAAATGATTATAACCTATATTAATAGAATAAGCTAATTTATCAATAATTTCATTTTGAATTTCAGCATTTTCAGGATCATTCCGTTTATAGGCTTTCCAAGCAGTTCCTGATCCAGCACCAATGGTGATTGGTTCACCAGATTTAGTTTTAAATGTTGGTTTTAATTCTACAGTCATGATCTAATTCGCTAATTGTTAATTGCTAATTGTTAACTTTCACAAACGACTAATACTAATTCTACTAAAAAGTAAATCTGGAAAACTTCTATTTCCAAAACTTTTCAAATTACTCATATTTATACAATCTCCGGCCATACTTCTTATCGCGGACATACAGCCACATACAAAAAACCACACCGAGTGTGGTCTAAATTCCGTAAGAAGCCACAAAGTTGTATATAAGCTGAAAAAGAAGATAACATCCATACCGCTGCTGGTAGTGAGATCACTCCAGGTTTCGGTATATCATCTCTAAGTGGGGGTTATTTGAGTTTAGATTATTTAATTAGTTAAGGTATAATTGTTTGTATGATGTCAATCAGAAGATTTCATCAGAGACAGTTACTTCGATTTCGGCTTGGAGATGTTAATGGGTTAAATAGTTTATTAATATCTTGTAGACATGTACATGTTTACTCGTCGAGGCCAGCCACGTCAATGACTCGAAGGCCTATAAATTATATAAATAAAAGATCTTACGGTAAGTTTGAACAAGAAATTGAAAAGTTGAAATATGATCAAATGCTTAGAGATAGATTAATATCATCTGGTATTGGAAATGATACTCATTTGAAAGATAAAAGGCGATTACCATTGAAAACCATTATTTTATTAATTGCAACTTCTAGTACATTGACTATGGTTGTATATGTCATAACTCAATTAATTAAGTTCTATGGAGAAACAGATGATGATAATGATGAAATTAAAACAAAGAGAAGAGCCATATTCTTACCTATTTGGTTAAATCTAAACTTATTATGGCAAAAGTCATTTACATTCCCAGGAGGAATAATGTATTTAGATAAAGAATATTATGAATATTTGATGGTTGAAATAGATCAATTGATTAAGAATAAATCTCAAAATCCTGATTTGGTTGATTATCTAAAGCTTTTAGAAGATGAAAATATTAAATATAGTGTTTTAGAGCATGTGTCAATGAATCACAGAATTAAAGAAATTTTTGGCTTACCACTAACAATAAGTAGTATTGAGGATGATCCCTCAACGCCACACCTCAGTCTTTGGGTAGAATCAAAATATATTAGTGTATCTGGTATACAGATAGAACTTGAACGTTATAAATCTATTGAAGGTCAAACCCATGAAAACAAATTTAAGGCTAATGCATCATGGGTAGTTAAACCTATTAATATAATAACATCTATTAATAATGCATTGATTCTGTTGGGTTTAAAATTAGATCGTTTGGATAATGAACAAATTAAAACTCATGAAAGAAGTAGTGGGAAAATCCATGAAGTACCTATAGTAGATAATAAAGATCATAAGGTTATCAATGGACCCAAAGATTATGAAATTAAATTTAAGGGAGAATTACAATTAAGTGATAAAAATCATTTTGAACTGGGTATCATAAAATATCAGGGACAAATTGATTTTGATCATCTTATGATAAATCGAGGAGTTAAAATCACGACAATGGAACTAATAATGTCTCCAAAGAGTAATCCTGGTGAAAGAATTACATACAAAATTCTTTAGCCTATTTGTATATAGAAATAGACGTGTTACTTCGTAAGTCAGGTCCTTCCTAATCGGTGTTAGTACGTTTGGACTTTCCCCGGATGGATTTGGGTGTTAAGAATGAAATTTAGCGCCCATGGTCCACAAATACAAACCCAAATTGTAGAAATTACTCAGGATTCGCAATTATTGATATCACTAGAATGCTTGTATCGCTGTGAGTATAATTTGTTAGTGGTTCAATAAAGGTTTGCTAACAAGTTTGGTAAGTTCTTATGGCTTTTATGAGTTCTAGCTGTCGCTTAAGTTTTGCGGACATTAATTTTGGTACAATTCTAAGAGTGCACATATCGAGTCCTGAGTACCAGTTGCCAATAATTTTTCAGCAGTTCAGTCTGTTGTCTTCCAGTTTCCTTTTTCCATAAAATGGAAATTATAAACTTGTAGATTATTTTGCAATTTTGATAATAGACATATGTGGGATTTAATGTCGAATTTTATTTATGTCGAATTCTGATCTGCGACATAAATTTTGTTTGTTCCGAAGGAACAGGTAGGTATTTCGATCCTTTTGTGAAATATTTCAGATCCAACTCTAACAACAATCACTGATATTTGTAGTAGAAGCCTGGTTTTAAAGTTATTAATGTTAAGTATGAATGGGTCCAGTAGTACTGAGAACTTTGAATCTCCTCAAATCATAGTTGAGCAGCTTGAAATAAAGGAAGAACTTGAAGACTTAGAGGGGAAATCCAAGACTAAGAGACGGAAGTATACTAAGAAGGCAGGAACTAAAAAGGATAAAGATGTTGGTGATTCGATCAGTGGTGATAATAGAAAAGCAGCTCAGGCCACCAGAACATTGAAAGCTTGTGATCTATGTCGAAGACAGAAGACTCGATGCTTTAGATCTTCAGAACGGAATTCATGTTTAAGATGTATATTTCTTAATAAACCTTGTTCATTTGAGCTAGAAGCTGTACCAATGCCAATGACTAATAGTTCGATTAGTTCTGTCATGAGTGATAATTCTGAAACTGATAGGAAACTTGATCTTATTTATGGAGGATTGACTGAAATCATGTCCTTGTTGAAGAATGGCAATTCCAATATTAGTAACAATAATACAACTAGCAACAACAATAATAACAATAACAGTAATAATAATAATAATAATAATAATTTTGAAAATGACTTAATAAACAATGACGCCAGATTGCTTCTAGAAGCAGCTAGTTCTATGAAAAAGTCCTCAGTTCCTACAACTCCTTCACTTTCATTTTTTGAAAGTTTGTATAATACCAATAGAAGCAATACTGGACATCAAAGTCATTTGAATGAATTTCAAGCTTATGAAGATACTAATGTAGATAGTCAATTTTCATTTCAATCACCCACAACTTCATTAAAAGCAGCACCCTTTTCAATTGTTAGTAATCAAATACCAAGTCGAGATATTCCTAAACCTATATATGATTTACTAAATTTATCGACTATAAAGAAAGCAACAACAACTAAAGCATATTTCGAACCATCTGATGATATTCTTTCATTAGGAATATTGACATTAGCTGAAGCATGTGATTTGATGAATGATTTCCGAAGAAATTATGGACGTTGGGTTTCATTTCCTCTGAGTTTATCAACAGAAGTATTAATTGAAAGGATACGATATAAATCTTCATTACTTTTGACTACTTGTTGTTTACTATCTTTGAGATATTCTTTGAATGGGGTTAGTCCTGGAGATATTAATAATTTTACTAGGAAAAAGAAGACATATAAAGATTTAATTAAGAAACTTGTTAAAGATTTAGATAGTTCATTAATTAAGTATACGGCATTTCAAGGTACATCGGATAATAGTGGAGATATTGAATTTCTTCAATCTTTAGTCATATTATCAATTTATCTGTTATCGCTTTCATCTATTGTTCCTACTACAATGGATGATGATGATGATCCTCAAGGGATCGATCTGGATTTAGCAGGTTTCAATCTTGATGCTTGGTTCTTATCAAGTATCGGATTAACCACCTTTATAACCAAATCTACCTTTGGGACATTGTTTAAGAATAATAATCGAATTACTTCTTCACCAAATGCAAATGCAAGTACAGCTACAGCTACTACTACCACTACTACTACTTCACCATTTACAGTCTTATATGATGAATTAGATTCCGATGAATATCAGACTCTAACAATCTTACGGATTTATAATCATCTATGTCTTGTGCATTTAATCAACTGCGTATTCTCTGGTAGAATGTGTGTAGTTGATGAAATTAGACTTAATTATTGTACAGCCACTTTAAGTTTACCTAGTGCAACTAATTTCGATGGTAGAATGGTTAGTGAAATTGGAATCTTATTAATAGCCTATAATTTTGTTCAAGTTCAATTCAATAATGTTAGCTCCACTCGAGATCTAAGGGAATTAGAGATTGGATTTAAAACCGTTAAGGAAGAATTGAGAATGTGGTATGATCAATGGGAATATTTATTCTCTCAACCTAATTTACAATTTGTCGAATTAAATTATAATTTCTGTTCATTGGTTATATATTATTGTTATAACTTTCTGAGAACTAGTGTGATTAAACCATTTAAGAAAGATGCTTCACCTTCTACAATTAATGACAATTCTTCATTATATGATGAAAATAATATTCAATATATCTTAGCTAATACTAATAAAGATGGGTTAATTAAAATGGTGGGTCATGCTTATAAAGTGGTTAGATTTGTTAATGCTATAGAAAGTGATTCATACTTTGCCTATTTATCTGATCAAATTCATTTCTGTTTCTATTTCAGTGCCATTTGTTTAATGAATTTGTTAAAGTATCTTCATAAAAGTCGGCAATTAACAATCCTCGATGAAGTACTGGAGAATGATCCTGAATTAATGATTGCATCTACTAATTATCATCCAATTACTGAAGACTTGCGTACTTTAATTGATAAATTCAGTAGAGTTGGTCAGGATAATCAGGATGATATAATCTCCAAGTATAAGGTGGGATTGAATACGCTTCTAAAGGAAAATTTTGCATTATAGAATAAATATTATAGAGTTCATATATAGATATATAGATATATATATATATATACATATACATATACATATACATATTTCAGTTTACTTAAGATGTCCCTTATAGTTACCTTCCATATAATCTATATGAACAAATGCTCTTTCAACCATAGGTAATGTTTCAATTGAATATTGTAAGGCTTCAGCCATATCATGACAATCTTTAAAGCTAAGATTATATTCTTCCTTAGCAAATACAATATCTATTTCAACATTTAAATTATCTCCTACATGATAAGCTTTAAGGGCAGTAATTTGTTTTATAGGTTCAGCAAATCTATAGGCAAGGTATAATATAACTTTATAATCTAATGGATCAGCCGCTGCCCCAGTTAAATTATTAATATGTTCAAATGCAGTTTTACTCCAACCAAATATAATATAGATGGATAATAATACTGCTCCTAAGGGATCTAACCACCAAATATTTAAATAAAATCCAATGGTTGGCATTGCTAAAGATACCAAATTAAATACAATATCTGTTTCTGCATCTTGAGCTAAGGCTTGAACTGAACTTGAATTACTCTTTGAACACCATACCCAACAGGCAATTTTACTTATAATAGTAATAGACATAATTGCAATTGAATCTAATCCAATTTGTGCTGCTATTCTATCGGAAGGATTACTAAATACTAATCGTTTAAATGCTTCTTGTCCAACTTGAACAAAGGAAATGATAATAATAATAGAAAATACAAGAATACCTAAAGGTTCTAATCTTGTTCTTCCTACAGGGTATGCATGTTGTATTTTCCAATCTTTTGAAGTACTTAATTTGTTGGATATAAAAATGATGAATGTAGATAAAAAGTCTAAGATAGAATCCACTAACGATGCCACAACGGAAATAGAATTAGTTAAAAGGGTTACTATAAGTTTCCCAATCAATAATATGAAATTTAGAAAGAAATTAACCATAATGGCAATATATACTTGAGAAGCTTCTTCTTCTTCATCATATCCTAAGAATTTAGATCCATTTTGATCTACATTTCCTGGAACATCATAAAACCGGGAATATTTATGCTTCATAAGGTGATGCAGATGCAGTTGCAGTTCTAAATCACTATGTTGCAGTGTTTGCCTTGTAATATGAGAATTGGAAGTAGTAGTAATTCCAATATCAGTATCTTCTTCATCAATATCTTCATCCTCTTCCACGTGAGTGGCTAAGATTCTGGAATCTTGTCCATAATGACTCAACATATTATAATGAATCTTTCCCGCATCTAAGAAATTATCAATTTCCTGTAATCTCTTAATAATTTCATTCTGCTCTTTATAATAATTTCTTACTGATGCTTTTCTTGATTTCATAGTATCCTTTTCAATATAATAATCATACCAATTACATAACTGAGTATAACTTCCAATCAATCTACTTGGACGCATTACACTAATTATACTTAATCTCTTTTGATGTTCAGGATCAGATACTGAATATACACTAGCTTGATCAAGAGGTCCAAGGATAAAACTACCAGATCTTGATCTAGAAGTAAATGTATTCCCAGTATATAAGGAATTGTCATGAGGAGAATTGGCATTAGATACAGTAAATTGATTTGAAAATAATCTATGAAATAATGGTTTTTGATATTGAGATGAGATTGTAGAAGCACGATGTAATTCTATTGGACCATCAGGTTGTTTTCTTAAGAATTCTTGTCCGAAGTCAACACTGGCATTGGTTAAGTCACTTGTTGAATAGCCAACTCTATTTAGCATACGATGAGATTTATCCTTAGATATTTCATCACTAATTCCGTATGACTCTCTAAAGTTCTCCGCTAATAATGGTTCGGTTTCGTTACTGTCTGAGCCATCGGACATTCTGACAATTTATAGAGGAATTGCTGCAATTAATGATAACTCGGCAACCACTGACTTTTCTTTCTAGCAGTATAATATGCAAACAGTACTGAGCGGAATTAGAAATTAGAAATTAAAATAAAATTTAGAGTTACAATTAAAGGCACACAGCCATAAGCTCATCTTTAATTAGCAGTTTTGTGGTTCTGCGACATTGCTGCAGCGGCAACGACTTTTGAGTCACTGCGAAACGTTGCCCTCGGACACGGAGTTATTAGAGACTAGTAGTACTAAGTGAATAGAGTAGATTGAATTAGAGATAGTGAGTGGTGGATGGTTTCGGTGGTTTGAGTGACTACTGGATAGTCCTAGCCTATATAAATCTCAGTTATTTCTATCTTAGGAATATTGAATAGGGGAGTTGTACTATATTAGTGGTCCTTAATTACTGCGAAAGTCTAGCTAGCTTATGTTTGGCTCAGTACAGTAGAGCATAGGTCTAACTGATTAATGATATTATATACTATCAGTCTATCTATATATCTATAAACGTATATACTATGTATATATGCATATTATCTATATACTATACTGTGTATATGTATATGTACGTCCACTCCACCTCCATAGTACCATAGCAAACACATACCCTAACCAGTACAAGTTACCCGCACTCTTCGCAGTCCCATCAAAAGCTGTCGTAAAAAAATTTTCGAGACACTTATTTTCCACTCCAACTTTACTAGTTCTATTCTTAAGTACTGTAGTAAACAGTGAACAAGAGAGTCTTCATGATGAATTGGTATGTACATATTCGTTCAGTATAAAGATCTTACTCTAAATAACACTTTATTATATACAACATAGACTCGATTAGTGATTAAACTCATTGATGTAACATTTTTACTGAGGATGTAAATGCAGGACAAAATAATTTAGGAATTCTTCGTTTATGACTTTACAAGTGTCTGTTGTGTATAGTTTAGGATTGATTTTAAGAGTGAAATGTGCTTATTATCGAATATGGAACCTTTTATACTAACGGTTAATGTTAATTAAAGAGTATGTTATTAATATTTTCGGATCTATAGTCGATCCGACCCATTTCTCAGGAATTTTGATTCGTCTTTATGATGATTGTTAACACAACACTCTGTCCGGTGAATCCTGAGCCATTGGATAAATACATGCATCACCATCTGATTTTCAAAGATAAATCATCAACTGTGTTTGATATGGAGAAATGGGTTGGTTAACTGGCTTTATTATGATATTAAGAGCCATTATACTAACTATTCTTTAGAGCTTATGCTTATTTACTTGTACTTGTACATGTATTTTTACTTTTACTTTGATTCATTATGATCATGATGTCATCTTTCTTTCACAAATAGTAAGTCTTACATTAAAACTTAAAACCACTTACCATATTCAAATACTAGTGACTATAATGATGATAAACTTTATTTTCAGTTCTGCTTCTGAACCAAAATAACGTGAAGATAACCCTTTTACCAAAGCTCAATATCTGACGTATAGTTATTAGTATTGTATGAATTGTGGGTTGAGGATAAGAGTATTCTTTCCAAAAGTACCTTGACTAACATAAAAATTATAGTACCTATTATATATTGCTTTAACTAGTTTTAATATATATGAGTATATTTATTCATAATTATTTATCAAATGTAGAATCTAATTAAACTGTAAAGATAACAATTTTCCCATCAATACCTGAAGTACTAACCTTATTATTACTAAATAATCTAATACTAGAAATAGTGTTTTGATGGATAGTACTTAAAGCTTTGGAACCATCAGCTCCATTACTTGGCTTATTAACTCTACCTTTTAAATCTAATTGTTTAAACATATTTAAAGCTTGATGAGATGAAATTTCTTCTTCATCATCATTATCTTTTCTTTCAGGAATATCATTGATTAAATCCTTTTGTTTTTCAACTTTATAAGATTCTTTCCATTCTGATTCATCTCCTTCAAAGACAATGAGATTACAATTGTGACCTCCCACCACTAATTTATTATTACTTAAAAATACAAATGATTTAAATGGTAAATATTGAGTCTTAACATTAATTATAGATCTTGGAGCTAATCCTTCACCTTCTGGATAAATAATACCAATGGTTGAATCATGACTAACAAATCCTAATGCATTACCATCTGGAGTAAATGAAACATCATGAACCCAAGCTCCAGTTTCATTAATAAAATCTCCACATAAAGTTTGGAATGGTAATTTTGAACCCCAAACTGTTGGTTCTGGTTTTTCATCAATACCTTTAATAAAAGCACTAAATACTCTAACATGACCATCAGTAGATCCACTTGCTAATAAGACATTATTTGGATGCCACAGTAAACTAGTAATGGTTGATTTTAAAGGTTTCTTTAAATGTTTAGATACCCACCAATCATTTTCTGCTTCATAATAACAAACTGCAATAACTCTATCAGAAGATCCAACAGCAAATTTTTGACCATCAGGTGACCATTTACAAACTGTTGCAGCACGATTAATTCTTAATAATACTAATGTTGGTTTATAATCATTACCATCAAATTCCCATACTAAAGCATTACGATCTTGAGAACAAGTTAAGATTCTAGTTCCATCGGGAGAAATATCAACAGAAGTAACTGTTTTATCATGACCCTTTAAAATAGTAAATAATTTAGGTTTAATTGTTAAACTACTAGACACTTGATAAAGTTCAACTTCATTACCTTTAGTAATGGCTAAGAATGAACGATCAGGTGAAAAGGTATGATCTTTAATTGGTTGATGACCCAATTGGTAAATTACTGGTGCGGACATGATTTTTTTTTATTTATTTATTAACAGGAGTCTACTCTACTGTTAATTGCGGTTGGACTGAAGAGTGATGGTAGAGCGACGGTATCGGTCGGTCTAATTTGGCCGATGGTGAAAAAGGAGTTGGTGGTCGTGGCTGTGTGCAGGAAAATTTGCCTAGCCATTACGTTACTTACAATTACATAGTTAAGCATTTGAACATGTATATTTAATTGTAGTACTACAGAGAGAGGTTGTGAATTTTATGTAAATTTATGGTAATATGATAATGATAATACGATAATATGATAAAACGTATTGTTTGAGTAGGTAGTTGTAATTCTTAAGCGTTATGGTTATCATGTTCCTTAGCATCTAAGAATTGTTTGGTTCTAGTCCATACATGTTGAACCTTAGGGTTTTCAATCTTGCTGACTTTACCATCGAGTCTTTCAACAATTGTTTCAAATAATACTCTCGTTTCTTTATTATAAAGAATTCTAAGCCAATAGAATACTAAGAAAATTGTTAATTGATAACCTGAAGAACCTCTAAAGAATAAAGTTCTTAATAATAAATAGGCAATAAGAACCAATTCATCGTAAGCAATAACAGTAGCCAATAAAGCCTTTTCCTTTAAAACAGGTTCAATATTTAAATGTTTTGAAATTTGTAAAAGTGAAATAAGAACGTAAGGGATAATTTTAAAAATTGACTTGAAAGTAAAAATCCATACAGAGGCTAAAATCAAGTATTGAAAATTTTGGTGGGATACCAAAGTTGAGAATGCTGGTAAATATTCTAATCCAAATACATGACTGAAAGTAGCTGTTAATGCTGCAACTGCTCCTAATAATGATAAACGATAAGATATCGTATTAATATAATAAAAGTTTGGAAGGAATAAGATTTGAAATAATAATGAAATAACTCCAAATCCAACTGTAACCGCATGACCTGCTAACCATATTTTTAATTTTATTGGATTAGTAGAATTGGTCTTTCTAACTAATCTCTTTTTCTTTTCAGATTTTGGAACTGTCTCATTAGTAATTGGACCCTTAGGATCGTTAGTACCTTGAGTTTCTTGCTCTTCTTTAGCTGGCAAAGATGGGTCAGCTGACGAAACTTTTGGAACTATTGGAGCTACCGCTTCAACAAACGTGTTGGTACCGTTAGATACTGAAGTCATTGTCCCTTCAATTGAGTGTCTATGTTATGATAAATTAGTGTTCTTCACGACTTTTCATTCTTTGATAATGACCCCTTTGTTTGACAGATGGTAAGATGAAATTTGGGGGGCTCTGTGCAGGAATCTGATGTGGTCACGTGCTTTTCTTTAAATTTATTTATTATAGTTAAAGCAGTTAATAGATTACAATACCTTTGTGATGATTCTATATATTAATCAAGTATCTAGTAGAATATATGATTTGAGAATGATTCATTAATTGTTTCATGCAATTTGGGTGGTAAAATGTACAAGTTTCATATATTCACTATATTTAAAACTGCTGCGCGTACCAAACAATAAACAAGAGGAACCATAGTGTTAGTCCAATAGTTTCTTAGAATTCATTAGAAGACAGTTAATGAATTAATAATGGCAAGTGTTGATCTTTCATCTATATCATCATCAGGTTTGCTTCCTGTTGAATTTGAAATTCTCCAACAATATCAATTTCTCAATTCACAACTCATAACATTGAATAACGAAATAACGCGATTGACTTCTAAGTCCACTTCCATTAAAGCTAGTTTAGCATCAAATCCAGAATCAGGTAATTCACATGTTCTTCTTGAAAATTTACGAAATATTGAAGTCAAGATTGGTTTAATTCATACATTATTTAAGGGGGCTGTCTACACATTGTTTCTCGATCAAGATAATGATGTAGAAGATCAAGAATTTGAACAACAAGAGGGTGTAATAGATGATGAAGAGGAAGCAAACTCGTGAATAAAAAGATAACTGACAAGATAGTGGTCTTGTATTTATATTTCGCGACGATTGATGAAAGCACACAACTCATCCAGTAGTGAAGATTGATGGCCCTTTGTTGGACAGTTGTAAATGTCCAGCTCTTGTATGCAGCTATCATCATCCAAGTGACTGTAATTCATGTTGAAGATATTGGAAGTATAAAGTATATGTCTGTGTGTCTAACCCCCTACGTAATGGTTGGTTTTAACGTTTTAGATGGTGAATTGTAATACGAGTTGTCTTGGTTAATGAAGGTGATGGCACAAACAGTTTATTCTGAGAATCTCCACATATTTGAATCGATCAATCATGACACTGTTCCTAAAATATTTATTGATATAGTTAATTGTACTAGAATGTATATCCCTACACTTAAAGTCCCACAATACTTGTAATAACTTAACAAACTACAAAAATTTTGTTAATTATTTGTAGATTGTTTGTAGCGAACAGATATCTTGTTTTATAGAATTAAATGAGCATAGAGTATAATTAGTCCAGTGAAATCTATTCACAATTTTCTCCTAAGAATAGTCCTCTTGAAGTCTTCAATTAAGTAGTCTTAGTAACCTATGTTAACAATAGAAATATAATCATGGCAGTAGTAATGGTAGTCTAGTAAGTATCGCGGTTGGGCGAGCCCCTGAGCAGTTGTCAAAAGTCAGGCATAGAGTAACAATGGTTAAGATCTAAAAGGTTTTATAGGCTACAGAGTATTATAATGAATAAATGATACTTTATATTAAACTAGTTAAGCAAAGTAGTTGAGGAAAATTAATTATACCATAAGGCATTTTTTACGACATAGAGTTAGTAGAATATCCTAGATTGATTATAATAAAGTATTATCACATACTTATAAACCATTTTCCTACGATTTCGACTACAACGAGGCACTATGGGGTTGGGAAAACTTAAAGCACCAAAAGAAGAAAAGAAGGAAAGAAGAAAAGTAGAAAACTGGAAAGTAAAAAAAAATTTGTAAGCTATTTATACTCTGGTCAGATTGCTATTACCCTCAATGCACATAAGTGACAAACGATTATTAATTTCATATATTTCTATAATCAACTTTTATATGGTTCATTTTATGTACTTATATACATTATTCAATGTTATAGAAAGTGCAATATTACTATTAGAAGCAATACATATGGTTGGTAGATTGAAGACTAAAATGGCATAAAATTCATCAGGTGTATAACTACGTATAGCTTGTTTATTGAGATAAAACATCCAACATCCACACATCTAAAGGAACAGTAGGAGATGCAAGTATAAAAGTAGAGGAATTGTGTAACTATATAGTAATTTAGGATCTAATAATGTCCCAGACAGCTTAGTAATAAGCTTAAGTAATGGGAAGCACAATTAGTAGTTAATAAAAGATAAGAGATAAGGGTGGCTGATCTGATATAGGTGATACATCATTGAAACATATCTGTTACATATTTGCAACATCTAGATCGTGTGCACGATATCAGACAAGATAAATTATATTTCTTGAAGGAATTGATGAAGCGATATGTGAGACCATTAACATATATAATTTAATCATGGAGATTCTCTCAGTCATGATGCAGTTCATAATTAAATCTTTCTTTCAACACAAAAGGGATTCATGCAACAGAATGCACCATATCGAAGTAGATCTTGCAGAACAATAATGGACTTATAATTAGATAATTAAGCAAATGATTGTAGAAAATTGAAGTATGCGAATAGTTGATTACTTAAGTAGTGTTACTTGTTTGTAGGCTCATTAATCTGATCAATGAACATTGTAATAACATCATTATTCTGATAATAAATCAAATTTGAAAAGAAAGAAAGAAAAATATTAGAATTAAAGAATATTAGAATTAAAGAATATTAGAATTAAAGAATATTAGAATTAAAGAATATTAGAATTAATGACTATTAAAACTATAGCTTTCAATTCAACTTTTAATTATGACTTAAAAAATAGCCACCGTAGACTATGTAGTCCAATCCAACCGTCGATGCCCATTAATGGTTCGGCTGAAAATAATAATTCTATACTCTTATCTCCATATCATGAAGACTGATGTATAATAATTAAGGAAGCAATGAGCCAGACCAAATGGAACTATGGTTGCAATGGAAAAGTGTATATCATCTTTTGAAAATTATAAGGAGAAAGACGCGGACCAAATGTCAAACATCCTTGTGTACACTTGCCAAATATGAAAAACCCTATAAGAGAGATCTGCAGAATACAAAAAGAAATCAATGAAAGGCGTTTGGCACAATGCAAAGGTATGGAACTATGTGTAAGTATATTTCCAAAATCTTCGATAGGAGGTTAAAGATACTTAAAAGTGGTGGACCAAATGGAAATGCGAATAGGGTGGCGGACCAAGATGGAAATGAGCAATGACGACACTTAATACCGCTAAAAGTAAGTAGTGTGCGAACAATAGAAATCTCAAATAAATGTGTGCTCGGGAGTGTAAATGTGATAATAATAAGAATTTATCTATGAGAAAGAGTGGATATGTGAGAGCCCAAATTTCCGAGGCATATAAAATGATTCCTCAAACCTTCACTTACATTTAGAATCCAACTTTGCATTAAAAGAAAAAAAAAGAAACTTGAGTTTTGTGCACGTATGGAAAAACTATTCGGTCAGACAAAAAATTGGTTTTTGTCTGCTGTTCTTCCGTATTGGGAAACTGTTCAGATTTATTTCGTTTGGTGTCACAACTCCAACTTTTATATTTTCTTTAGAGTTTTAACTCCCGAGAGGGCAGGATTAGCGATGCTGGAAGGCCCTTCCGCTAGGTTGTATTTATTTAAGGTTGGGATTTGGCAACTTCGTATTTTTATTCTGAGTTCTCCACCTTTCGTCGAATATCGGAAGACGACGAATATGTTTCATATTGAACGATTTACGATGGTACGATGCTATGGAGGAGAAACATGGAACGTGAATCCGTTGTGAAGGAATAAATGAAGCCGATTACCAAAACTAGTCAAAACCAAGAACTCAAGTTGACTACGACGGTTCAGAATAAGCCAGTACAATCCACCAATTCTTAACAAATAAGGAAACTTTTCCTCGTTCGCCAGCTTCTTAATATTGGTGTTAATTCTTCTTCAAATGTAGTTGTTTGGGAAAAAGGTAAATAGGACAATGGCCACAATAGGATTCTAGAATGTAAAGCAAAGACCAAACTACTCTATTTGGTACTCCACGCGCATACAGCCACCCTCCACCAAAAAACTCTCCTATCTCCAGAATTACTTTCTGAATCTTACTTTTACCGCTCGCATCAATGGACGGCGCGCATTCCCGAGAATTCAGATCGTATCTGTGAGCAAAATGGAAACAAAAAAGAAAATCAATATGGTATGGTTTCCTCAAGAGGTAATGAAACGCAAGTGGAGAAAAACTACAAAAATAAATAGTCCCATCTATCCATTCACTACGCAACAACTACTTAAATGTAAATGAAAGTAAGAGTCATAAGTAGGGGGAAGGTTATACCAGAAAATGAATAAGTTGAGCTTGGCATTATCTAAGTTCGTAGTGTCATTATCTTTACCCCGGCAGTCTGTACCGTAATCTGGGGAGCTTCTTACAGCGACAAGTTACACAAGACCGTGAATGGACGGGATTTTACTTACAGGAAATCTTAGATATACCAAGCATGAAGAAGATACACTAAATAGAACAACAAATTAGCAGTTATTAAAAATGAGCCGAGACTCTGGAACTCTCTCACTATATCGGGAAGCATTCCGAATAATAGGCCCTTCCGAAAAACATTTCCCCAATGCTTATTTTGTAGCACATTACGGTTCTATGAAAAATAATCTTCAAAGCAAGCAATACTAACACGGAAAAAAAAATACTAACTAGCTGTGGTAAAAATATTTGTTGGATTCTATCTTCACTATATTCGTCCTATTATTTTAGGTCATAACGCGTAGTCTCTTCACTATTGCTTCTCCACCAGCATCATATGCTTGATGAAGGTCTAGCCGATTGCTCTGATTTATTTGCAATCATCAACATAATCACATGAAATGTAGTAGTTTGTTTGCTAATACTGGATCTAAGGAAGTACCTTTTTAGTACGCACGTGACTATCGCTTTAAAACGGAGATTAGGTGGGCACTACTAGTTTAGCCCGCTAAACCTAAAAGCATTCTTTATCATATGACATTTTTGATTCTGGAGCTTATAGAGGAATATCTGATGTCAATCTTAGTTAATCGCAATGTAGTGAAATACAGCAAGTTAAAGTGTTCGAAAATGAATGATTTTTATATTATAATGCATATACTTTTTGTCTAAAAAATTATATACTAAAGAATTCATTAATGCCTTAAACCAATGTTAGTTTAAAGTATAATAAAATACAACAAAAGAATTGAAGGGGAATGACCATATAAAAAATGCAAATTAAAGGAAACCGAGAATTGAAACACAGCAATGATAATAAATTAACCAATTAAGTGTAATAGTAATAATTCTTTCTATAAAGAAAGAAATGATGAAATAATGCAATAGGAATATTTTATAGTTTTGAACCAGTCAAGCACTTATAAGCATTCACGGTCCAAAAAGTCATAGTCAAAAGAGATACCATTTATAATTTCTCTGGTATTGACAATGTAGTGGAATGAAACTCTCTTTGCAGATTTGGTGTTCGACTTTTTGATGGAAGATCTTAAATTGTATTCATATTCGTCATCTTCATCAACTTCAAAGTATGAGCTGGCTGATGATGATACAGAGTTCTTTCTTTCAAATGATAAGATAGAACTAACTTCACTTTGGCTATCTTCGTCGTCACTTAATAAGGAACAGACTTCTTCGTCTTCTTCAAAAGTACTGTAGTATGATGAAGTTTCGATGGTATTATCTTCAACTTTTATTTCTGGGACAATGACTTTTGGTCCAAATAACCAAGTGATATCTGAATTCTTATCCCAGTTGATTGCATGAGGTGGTAATTCATCCACGTTGAATATGTTTTTATTGCATCTTCTCCAGCAAATGTTCTTTATTCTTGAAGTGATTAAATCATCTGAGGTAGTCTTATTGTTCAACTTAATGAAAGTTAATAAGTTTAAATTGTTATTTAAGTAATGTTCTTGATCCATTGGTATGTATTCCAAGTAGTCAATGTTTTCTTGGGTAGATGCATGAGAATTAATGGTCGATCTGGTTATTACCATATCGTCTTGTGATATGTACTTCATAATGAAAGTATGTATGATATGAATAGATATAATTTGAAGTTGAATTATAAAAAGTGGACCAAGGATTAAAATTAGAAAATAAGATTGGGAAATTTCGTCTTACTTATATACGTATACGAACTCGAATTCTGCCTCGCACCTAAAATTCTTTTGCATCTGATGTCAAATTTCCCCTTCTTTGGAATGGGTATGGAAATATGGAACATTGAAATGCGGAATACAACACACAGAACTTAAAAGATCAAAAAATAAAAAAAGAAATGCATATGAGAAAAAGAAACAAAATTTGAGATAGGGGATAATCAGACAAAATCTTGTAAAATTGAGAATTCTGACAAAAAATAAAACTAAAAGTGGTGAAAGGCACATGATGAATAAGAAATATGACTAAAATGCTTAAGAAAAGCGTATACTAACTACTGCAAGAAGAATATCATCAAGTCATTTAATACCTTGATTATATGCCGTGGTTGATGGGGGTTATGAAAGTTATTTCTTGTCCCTGATAATCATTCAACCTATTTGGATTATCATAAGATTTAATTGTTAACAAACATAATGACGGAGAGATCTTAATATAGATTCTATCATCGTTTACTTTTTGAATGACTATTTAGAACATAAATACCTTGAACATTACTTTGTATTCGGTAGAATAGGCTATGTACGAACCACTACTATTGCATTGTAAATTACTGCTCTTAATTATTGCAATGTAAGTCAGCAGAGCATCAGTTTTTAATTATGTCATTATAGTCGGGTTATGCATTGAATTTATCCGAGCTTTAAATTTTGTTTTTTTTTCTTGAGACCATGGTCATTTTCTAGATGATTGCATTTTTTGTCATTCTGATAAATATTTTTTGGATTATGAGAATTTCTGGAAGTGTAATGAGGGTGATGAGGGTTGATGGATAAATGTGAATTATTTTTGTACTTCACACACTTGTGATATCTTGACGATGATGTCAAGCTATGACGAACTCTCATAGCCTCAAATCTAACTGTATTAATGTCAATGTTTAGCTTTTTCTATTTTACAAGATGGTATGTTCTCATTATGATCGTTTACTTATATAATTCGCTGTATAAAGTATCTGCATATTCTGGGCCTACAAGTTTTCTGTAAATTGAAATTCGAATCTATTTAACAAAAAATAATCTCATAACCTGTGACAAGATATGAAAGTCATTACAGAACAAGTGGTTGCTTTTCCATAGTCTTCATTCTTATCAAATGCGGCAATGTGATTTATCCTAAAATTCGTAGCCAATGTCCTTCTTCTGCATACTATCTCCTATGTGGAAAGGTTCCGCAATACCTAAAATCCTTCTTTTTGATTTTCCAAAAAAATAATTTTTGACTATGGAATTTTGGTGTGTGTTAAACTCCTTTCCATTTATCCACTAGGCAAGATGTGATATATCTCTTCGTCACAGTCTGTCGACGATCTTCGTATATTCTCTGTGATTTCTTAATCTTTTTGTCTTAGTCTTTGTGAAATTGAGTTAGCTGTTCAATCGTGAAGTTGGCACAGACGACTGGCTTTAACAATACATAATCCTCATGCACCTCAGACGCCTGGTTCTGTGGGCGGGTCTCACTCAGTTTATTATTTTAGTCTAGTTGGATCTGAAATTTGGGGTTGAATGCATATCTTTTCGTCTCTGGCATTTCATTTGATTTCATTAAGTGCCGCTTTGGAAACTACAAACGAATTGATTATATCCAAGAATCATGTATAGTCTAGTTTTATTTAGCAAGTCTATTTTTTATTGTTGATGTTTTGACTATTTTTAGGTGTAGAAAATTTGGCTTATTCTGTTAGTCATATCCTCGGTAGAAGAATCCTTGCCTACAGGTAATATTCTCCGGGGTATGGAGACTAATTAATGTTTCTACTTATTAACTTTACATTCTCTTTCGCCTTCCTTCGTACCATTTAGAAAGTTGACTTCGACTATCTTTGCTGTTTCTTAGTTATGAATTTTACTACGCAAATAATAACATGAAATGAATTGTGGGGATAAGAAAATTATTTTGTGCTTTTCTATCGTCGGTACTTTGAAGAATATTTTCCATACTATTAAATATCTACAGTATAAGAAAGAGAAGAACAGGTTATCACGTTCCATTAAGTTTCATATAATCTTATTTAATTATACCTCGTAAGCTTATTTGATGTTGTAGAAATTAATGTCTGCCTTTTAAAATTCTGGTCACCTCAATAATCTTAGCAGTGCCAATTTTTCTTAATTTTTGTCAGAGAATGAGCTCGCAATTTGCGTTGTCACTTACTTTATTGGGAGATCTTGGTCGGCTTTTTTTTTTTGCATCCTCTATATGTACATTCCTTACATACATACGTATACGGATCTGACGTATCTTTAGCAATACAGATTGCAGTTCATCTCTTCACAACCGTAGCTGTCTTGCTTTGCCTTTAGTTTGCAGTCAAACTCAAATCAGTGAAAAATGAAAAATTTTTTACAACTTCACAGAATCCAGGATAATCTGAAGCAATAATTAAATCATTTGAGATGAACATCCCCACTTCACTAAATACCCCAAATAAGTAGTCCGCAAACTTAGTTACAACCTTGAGGCCTTGGTCTTACATTTTAACGTCAAACCTCGCTTGTGTTTACCCTCTGCTACGGTATTGCGTAAATGGTCTTGGCTTTCGTCTATTCATATACATATTGCTATATAAGTGTTTTTTTTTCCACCATACTGACAGAACAACGGATATTCAGACAAATGACTGCATCAACTGGACACCGGACATTTCATTACTGTTACTTTTGTCTTTGTCACAACTGGTTCTGAATTTCTCCGTCTGTCGCTTGAAGCAAAGAGTTTTTGCGACAAAACTTTTGGAGCCTCTCAGTTGCTCGGACTCTGATCACAAAAATTTTCAGTACTTTTCTTTTTTAACTGTGGAGGATGAGATAAGTCGCTGTATGCAGTCGCACGCTGCTGACATAAATGATAGTAATAATTTGTTAGGGAAATTGACTAATAATAGATCCACCAGTACGTACTATCCAACTCCACAGTTTACTACAGGTAGTTGTTACATACAGATTAGTTTATGTTGTTTATTTTATTTTAACGGCTCGAAGGAAAATCTTAAATATTTCAACTACATATACTAATCTGCTCACTATAGATTATAGAATCAGCTTACATATGATAAGTAATAAATTAATTTCAATATGAGTGTTTCAAGACCTACAGTTAAAGGTGAGTCGAATTCGGCAAATTCTCCATTCCATGCCTCACCACCTGTATCAGTTGCATCTAATTCTTCAAACATACTAAATCATACTAATAGACAAAACAGTAGTACTTTTTTAAATCGTTACGAGAATAATAGTTATAATGAACAAATCCAAAACTTATCATCTTCAAAGGGTGAATTTGATTATAAGACTATAAATAAGCATCTAGTTCCTAGTGATGAAATGCTTAAATTACAAGGTGGAGATATTGCTAGACAACTTTATCAACAAATTGAAGAAGATTCAAGTACTTTGAACCCCAATGGAGTTCGTATTGGTCAGACTGATTCGGTATCCTCGCCTTCATCTTCTGGTGCCCCCAGAAGAAGAACAAGAAGTTCATCTTTTTCTACTTACCTTACTGAAACAAGACGTGAATCAACTGCTCTGGATATAAATGTACCTGGTGGTTTTCGTCGTGAATTTATTATTAATAGATCTTTAAGAAATAATGAAGAACCTCCCAATTTTCTTACAAGAAATTTCATTGAATTTTTAAGCATATATGGACATTTTGCTGGTGAAAATTTCAGTGATGATGAAGATTCCAATCATGCTAATGATTCTCAGAGTTTTGAAGATGTTTTTGATGAAGAAGCCTCTTTATTAACTAGATCTAATAACAATCACTATTATTCAATACCCAAACAAGTACCCAAACCGTCAACTAAATATAAAGAAACTCCCAAGGGTACTGCCAGTGTTCCAAAGGCATTTTTCCTTGTATTCAAATCTTTAGTAGGTTCTGGAGTATTATTTTTACCTAGAGCTTTCTATAATGGAGGGTTATTATTCTCTATTCTAGCATTAACTGGATTTGGGATTTTAACTTATTTCTGTTATATTGTGTTGATTGAGTCAAGAAAAGTTCTTAATTTAACTTCATTCGGTGAATTGGGTTATAAGACTTATGGTAAACCTCTTAAGATTTCTATTATGATATCTATCATTATAAGTCAAATCGGATTTGTTGCCACATACATTTTATTTACAGCTGAAAACATGTTAGCATTCATAGATCATATATTACCTTCAACTCCTTCATTTGTCACTACAGCAAATATTGTCATAATTCAATGTATCTTATTGATTCCATTAGTATTGATTAGAAATTTGGCTAAATTATCTTTAATTTCATTAATCTCTTCATTATTCATTATAATTGGATTATTGATTATCTTCTGGTTCTCGGGAGTTAATTTATTGGAAAATGGAGTTGGGCCTAATATTACACGTTTTAACCCTAATAGTTGGTCAATGTTAATTGGGGTTGCTGTAACATCTTTTGAAGGGATTGGTTTGATTTTGCCTATTGAACAATCAATGGCACAACCAGAAAAATTCCCTATGGTTTTATCAATCTCTATGTTTTTCATCACTGTATTATTTGTTGGTATAGGTACTATTGGATATTCTTCATTCGGAGATCAAGTGAAATCCATTATTATCTTGAACTTACCTCAAGGTAATGTTGCAGTTCAATCTATCCTTATCTTATACTCATTAGCTGTATTTTTAACAGCTCCTTTACAATTATTCCCAGCTATTAAGATTGGAGAATCAGTTATCTTTTCATCAAATCATAAAAATAAAAATGAAACTGGGAAATTGTATCAACAATCGGGGAAATATAATCCTCAAGTGAAATGGCTCAAGAACTTATTTAGAGGTTTATCGGTATCCGCCATTTGTACCATTGCATATTTAAATTCCAAAAACATTGATAAATTTGTCTCTTTCAATGGATGTTTTGCATGCATCCCATTGGTCTACATATACCCTCCTTTGATCCATTTGAAGACTTTGACCATAAAGAACAAGTTAACCAATCTTGAGAAATTCCTCAAAGCAGCTGATTACATATTAATTGTGGTAGGAATTGTAGCTGTCTTATATACCACCTATCAAATCGTATTTCTTAATTAGATAAACATCATTACTCATTCATTATAAAAGCATACTATATAGAAGTTTTGTCAGTCAATAAGTCATTTAGTTAGTTTAGTTTAGTTTAGTTTAGTCATAGATATACAGACATAACCACCCCCAAATTCTGACAGACTTTTGTCTGGTACAAATGTCTTTTTCTTTTTTTTTTTTTTGCAATTAGCGCTTCGCATTTGTATGAGAAAAAAATCCGATCAGACATAAACTTAAATCCCGTAACCAAAATAGGATTAAGAGGCTCATAGCCGAAGCTAGAGTCACGAAGAGTCAAGTCACTTTGACAGTTGTAGATGGCTACGGTTAAGAAAAGGACTTCTGACGAGTTGAGGTCCGACGGTATTAACGAGTCAGTTCCAATTCTGGCAGAACCTAATTTGTCAGATATGACTCAAGCAGACGAAGATAACAATAATGTTAATAGTAATGGTAATGGAAATACTATACAACCTTCTAAAAGATTATTAAGTTGTCAAAGATGTAGATCAAAAAAAGTCAAATGTAATTTCGGTAATCCTTGCGCGTTATGTGTTAAGGCCGGAGTTGATTGTGTTCAGGTTATTAATGATAATAGGAAAAAACGTCCTGGAGCTAATTATGTTACTACATTGGAGAATAAGTTTCAAACTCTTAGTGAGTTTTTTGTTAAACTTCAGAAGTCACAACCTGAAAAACAACGGGAATTACTTGAAGGTACTGATTTGGATGAGTTAATCACTACTTCAACTCCTTCATCATCATTGAAATCTCCATCGGCTCCAAGTTCCAATAATCCACCATCACCAACCTCTGCCCATGGCAATGGAGATTCCAAGATTATTGATTCAAGTGGAAATAAAGGTTCTAGCCCTGTATCATCTTCAGCCAATAATAGAAACTTTCATGAAGATTCAGGAGAAGCAGTTTATGGACCAACAAGTGTATATAATGATAATGTTATACAAAAGCAAAAGAAATCAGGTACTAATAATAAAACTGGTACAACCAATTCAACATTATCTATTAAATTATTAAATAAAGATGAAGATATTTTACATTGTATTAAATTATTCTTTACTTGGCAATATCCTGAACATAATATGTTTATCTTTAGAGAAGCATTTTTAACTGATTTCTTTAATCCTGAACCTAATAGCTTATATTGTTCAAAAGTTTTAATATTCAGTATATGTGCTCTAGGATCACGAATGAGTGATGAGGATAGAATATATAATAAATCCAAACAATATTATTTTGAAGCCAAGAATCTATTATTATCTCAATTAAGTCAACCATCAATCACATCATTACAGAGTTTTTTATTATTGGCGTTTTATGATATATGTAATGGATTCAATTCAAGTGGTTGGATGTTGAGTGGAAATGCTATGAGAATGGGATTTGATTTAGGATTCCAATTAAATCCAAAAGTTTGGTTTTTACAATCAAAGGATAAGTTAAGTCCATTGGATGTTAAAATAAGAAGTAGAGTATATTGGGGGTGTTATGTTGCTGATCATTTTATTTGTTTATTATTGGGACGTCCTTCACTATTAAAAATGAGTGATGCATCAATTCCTGAAACCAATGATTTACCAGATTTGGAATGGATTGATGAATATACTTATCAAGGATATAATAAACGTCAAAATAAAGATAGTAAAATAATTGATCCTTCTTATATATCTAATCCATTAAAGAAAATGATTAATTTAATTAATATATCAGATAATATGTTAAATGATATATTTACAAAATCAGAAGAAGAAAATGATGAATCAAATACAGAAGATTTAGATTTAGTATCAAGATTAGATAAACTTACAGAATATAATATTCAAATTAAGAAATGGAAAGATTCTCTACCAGAAGATTTACAATGGGATAGGAATTCATTAAATGAAACAGGAGATAATCCAACATTTACCAGTATTAGATTCTATTATTATATATTGATATTATGCTTAAATAGACCATTTGTTGGTACTCCATGGCAAAAGAGTTTGGATTTATCTCCACTTAAAATTTGTAATGATGCCATCCAAGATTTACATGTTGGTATAAATAGATTTCAAAAAGTTAATGGAACTCAAAGAACATCAATTTTTATGGTTTATTGTTCGATTTTAGCAATATCTATAATTCTTTTAACGAATTCAAGTACTCAATTACTTGAAGAGACTAAAGATCAGTTACAATTTTTTATGAATGTATTATACGGAAGTTCCAGAACATGGAAATTAGCCGAAAAATCATATAGATTGGTTAAAGTAAAACTTAGAAAGAGAAATGAAGAAGCCAAAAAGTTAGAAAATAAGGAAAATAGTGAGAAAACTAGACATAAACGAGCAAAATTAAGAAATGAATTGAAGAAACAAACATCTCACGAGGGGAAGAGTTCGGCAGAACTGTCAGTAACTAATACACCTGTGGTAAAAGAATCTCCACGGGTGGGTACAAGTACATTTGATAATCAGTTATATACAAACAATATTGAACCAGTAAGTGAAATAGGTTCAAAACACGCTTCACATCATGAACTTTTATCTGTACCTACATTACCTAATGTTCAAAATGATCAATTTAGGCCGCCTACTACCAATCAACAGTTTGTTGCTCAAGGAATGCAAAATACCACACTGAATGATGTAATATATAACAATCGACCGGGAGATGAAACCACCAAGACTTCAGTATCATCTATAAACTCAATCAACAATTCAATTGTTGAAACCAATACTGATATCTTATTCAATGACAATTTAGACTTCTTAGGTGGTCCACCAGTGTTAATGACTTCCGATTTATTTAATGAAGATTGGGAAGCACTTTTCCCCGATTACATTTTGCACCCTAAGGGTTAAACTTAGAAACTTTCGCACACACACTCACACTCCTCTCTCCCCTCTCCCCTGACTATATAATTATATACCGTCAATATCTCACGTCGTTAATGATCCGGTAGGTAAAATGTCTGTAGATGCTCTTGCGCACGGAAAAACTATCACAAGAAATTTCTCGAAAACATGGCGGCTTTAATAAAACCCACCGACATCTAACTACAGTAGCAGTCAATGGCTAGCGAAGTTAAGGTATCATCACCAAATGGTGAGTATACCCTCGTAAATATATGGGTGATAACTTTGGCATTAAAATTATTACTTGCCGTGGGTTATCACTCTACTGATTTCGATGTTCATCGGAATTGGTTAGCCATAACTAATAAGTTACCCTTAAGTAAATGGTATTTTGAAGATACTTCACAATGGACTTTGGATTATCCACCATTCTTTGCCTATTTTGAATGGGCTTTATCACAATTGGTTCCATCAATAGTTAAGGAAGATGGTTGTTTAGATATTGTATCAAGGGGTCAATATGGTTTACCAACTATATATTTTCAAAGATTTACAGTCATTCTAAGTGAAATAGTATTATTCTGGGCTTTACATTGGTATATGCAAACATCTAAAACAAATGACCGTGCTACTTTCTCTAGAAGTTATGTAGTAGCTGCCAGTCTTGTTTTATCACCAGGTTTATTAATAATTGATCATATTCATTTCCAATACAATGGTATGATGTATGGATTCTTAGTATTAATGATAAATAATGCTAGATTGAAAAACTATCTTTGGTGTGGATTTTGGTTTGCATTATTAATTTGTTTTAAACATATCTACTTATACTTGGCACCGGCTGTCTTTGTATTTTTGTTAAGAAGCTATTGTTTGAACTTGAAATATAATAAAAAAGTTAATGTGTTGATCAATTTAATTAGATTCGTGAGATGGAAGAATTTGATTAAATTGGGTCTTGTGGTTATAGCTGTTTTTGCTGTAGCATTTGGACCCTTCTATGATCAATTACCTCAATTATTCTCTCGTTTATTCCCATTTAGTCGTGGATTAACTCATGCTTATTGGGCTCCAAATGTATGGGCTATTTATTCCTTTTTAGATAGAGTTTTGATTCAAGTATACAGAAATCTAACCTTGAGTCGTTACCCCTTACAACAAATCTTTGAGTTCAATCCTGACTTGTTAAAAGATGAATCTTTAATCCAGACTTCTACAAGAGGTATAGTAGGAGATATTGAATTTTTGATATTACCAACAATCACTCCAAAGTTGACATTTTATTTGACATTATTTTATCAAATACTAGCATTATTACCATTATTTTATCAACCAACATTTAGAAGATTCATTGGAGCATTAACATTATGTGGTTATTCTTCTTTTCTCTTTGGTTGGCATGTTCACGAAAAAGCTATTTTATTGGTAATATTCCCAATTTCATTCTTAGTAAGTAGGGATAGACTCTTGTTAGGACCATTTAATTTACTTGTCTCCTGTGGTTATGTATCATTATTTCCATTAATTTTTACTAGTATTGAATGGCCTATAAAAGTTGTTTATACAGTGTTGTGGTATATAATATTTTATTTCAATTTTAGAAAAGTAGTGAGCATTCCAAAAGTACTTGAAGGTAATATATTAGATAGAGTTATTCATGGATATATTTTAGGTTTAATCCCATTAGTGGCTGTGACTACTTTAATGGATATTTTTGAGAATAAATTTGAAATTTTGAAAAGGCTCGAATTTTTAAAATTGATGTTCTATAGTGTCTATTGTGGAATTGGAATTATAAGCAGTTTTAATGGTTTCTCTTCGTATTATTTCATCTACGATTCTTTGTGGATTGATGATTAGATAAGTTTTTTTTAATGTATATAGTTAAGAATCAGATTATAATAGAGACTTTTATAAGACAAATAACTAAGTAACTTCTCTTCATACTTGTAGAGATGATTTGATATACAAAGAAAAGTAAAAAAACCAATGCTATTAAATTTAATTAAGTTTCTGTTATTTGGGTGCAAAATGTTTCTAAATTTGAAAGAAAGTTTAAGGTGAAATAAGCCTTCTATGGGTTTAAAATTAAGAGGCAAGTCAAGAATGTTAAACAGTATTGTTATTTACTACTTATAGCTAACAAGATGGTTGTAAGACTCTACATAGGTCCTCATTTTATGATGTTTTATCCTCAAATAGGAAAAGTTGGTACCGGTATAAAAAAGTCAAAATGTGGTAGCGCCGAATATTTGCACGTGATTGTCACGGGATCACAAATATAATTCCACGAATTATTGAGAGGTCATAAGAAACAAGAAAAGGGTTTTGTGGTCTAGTTGGTTATGGCATCTGCTTAACACGCAGAACGTCCCCAGTTCGATCCTGGGCAAAATCACTTTCTTATTTTTTCTTTTTTTGCACTTTTTATTGAAATTAAATGTCTGATATTATTGTAAATAATTGTCTGAAGGTACCACAGCACATATACCCCCAAAGCCAAGACTAATAAAGATATTACAATAGATCAACTCATTTCACTTAATTGATAGAGCCGCACATAATTTACGTAGCATGCACTAGTGAGAGAGGATTTACTAATCTATAACTTTACATTTCAAGATCTTTTCTATATTAACAAACCCTTTGGGGCCAGATAACCTTTTCCTGTCGGCATAATTTTTATTCCAAAGGTTTCGCTCTCTATCCAACTAGATATTTAATCTCAATAGATAGATTCTTAATTAATATATATCAAACCTGAAAGAGAGCTAAATGGTGGATAGTTTGTAATCAGGGTCACAACAGATATATTAAGGAAATATCAAGAAAACTTCGGTATCATGTTACATTAAAAGTTGAAGGATACATTCAGAATTGTCCGTATGATGTATGCATGAAATAATATCCGGATAATTATTATGCTTCCCAACCAGCAGTTACGAAGGTAAGGAACCATTTCCATATCAAGATCTACAACTAGAAATATAAGTAAAGGCATTAAACTGACCACCGGAACAGAGAGCCGCCAAGATTTTCCGGTATCACTTCTTCGTTATACAATTAGGGAAAATTACTCTTAGTTAGCGAAGCTTTGGGGCTGCTCGTAAATTTTTAGTGACCCTCAGCTAACTTTGCAGTCACCAAAAAAAAAAAGTGAGACGAATTAAGGGACCGATCCGGCAGCAAAAAAATAAACTATGCAGCTAAAACAAGTGACGTTCGGTGATTAAGAAATGCTGATGTCATGTTCCGCCAGTACAAATACAGCAATGACGTGGTAGATTTAAATATTTTAGTTAAATGCATGTGTGTTTTAATGATAGCGAATCACCGGGTCATCTTAGGGATTACAAACCGATTGCTTTTATGATAATATATAAAGATCAATAATTCTTTGAGTTCATTGACAGGAACTCGGATCCAGATCCCAAAATTCTCAACCACTAAATTAATTTAGATTATATATATTCTACACAAAACAATTACTTTACATTTCAACAAATGTTCGACGCTTCTGATTACAAGCTAGAAGACCTAGAAAATGCATTAGCCAATCATGTTCATGTCCATTCCAATTTCAATGGAGTCCTTGTAGATAGAAACTTGAATGTTATTCTACAAGATCTTATTTTGCATCCAATTGAAATTATAAACATCGTTCAAAAACTTGAGAAGGAAGATACCAATATCTTATGCAAAGATAGAGATGGATTCAAATTCCATGAAGACGCAAAGTCTTGGTTTAGTCATGTCTTAGATCATAATTATGAAGATTCAGATGATGAATTCGCGGAAGGTATCATAGGTGAAAAGATTTACAATTTTTAGCTGGTTTAAAAATAAATATAAATCTTAAGGACAAAGCTGTGGCAAATTCAATTTAGCATATTTAATTCTATAGGATCAGATATTTTATCAATTATTATCATGGTTTATGGGTATTTAGGAAATAAAAAATATAAGTTTTACTTTACTACATATAGTATTAGGAGCAACTCACAAGGAATAATTGATTGCTTTCTTGGGTAATTTATAGCAGATTAACAAATAATGCGATACATTACTAAATCGGGCAGTAATATATTTTAAGGTCGTGTAGTCATGGCTTTATACCTTGCTTTTTTGCCATCTTAACTTTTTTGCCATCTTAACTTTTTTGCCATCTTTTTTCTTCTAACATTTTTGATTCTTGATTTCTTATATAACATTTATTTCCAAGTCAACTGAGAGGAAGTACCATATAGATCTAAATACTTAGGTGAATTTGCACCCTTCTATGGACCGTTTATGTTAAGTTCCAGAATGAGACTGCTAACGTGAGCTATTTCAAATTCTTTCATGATCGTAATAAATTTGGCAAAGAAATCTAAGATGATCTTAACAATGTGTTCTAATGCTACTAACCATTCAGATAACTGTTTATTAACTTTTTCTTGGTCGGCACCTAATTTTTCATAAAACTCCTTTCTCTTTGGACAAGATTTCAAGGTTAATTTGAAATCTGACTTAATAAGCGTGCTATGATATTGAGATAAAGTTTTATCATAAGTTCTAGTGAAAGTACTAGCCAATTCATCACCAGGATTTTCGACCGTTTCTCTTATGGATTGAGATATGAATTGTAATTCACGAGATAACCTTAATAAGGGTGGAATTGCAAACCTATCGTCAGGATAACAGATAGCTTCGGATAATATTATATCTTGTAAAGTATTAGAACCTTGTAAATGTAGTGTCTTTCGAATGTCAGAAATATTACTGGTCATATCCTTTTGAACAATAGCAAAAACTGAAGAACCTGTTAAATCAAGTAATTTAACTAGAGACTCTGAGGCATCTAAGAAATCAACACTGTCGATCTTATTATCAACAATTTTAACATCCACGAAGGATTTTTTCATTTCATCAAAGAATGTAGACATATTAAATTTTGATTATACAACTTTTGCCATTTTATGGTGATGCTTCTATATGAATTGATAGCGTTTTGCCAATCAGTCGTATATTATTACTCTATAAAATACATAAGAGAGGTGTTAGAGAATCTAACCTTTTGGAAAACTTTAATTATTTAAATTTACTAGTATACCCTGATATTGGCCTGTACAATCCTGCATACATTTTTTTTTTTTCAATACAACATTTATTAAGTTCTATGTAAATAGAGAGTCATAAATGGTAAAAAATTTAGAGAAACTATGTAGATAGTAAAAAACTCTTGTTGGTTAAGGACATTGATAAAGATTGTAGTCTTGTTGAAAAGAAAGAGGTACTGGAGTTATCCAGTTAGCGTCTTGGCTCTATTTATTCAGCCAAGGTGAAGTATGATACCCATCGATAAAGAACTTTGTCGGTTAGTTTGTCACTAACCGGCTCAGTTCGTCGTTTCTTCCGGAGGGAATCAATAGCTTGTAGGTATCTGTTGATGCGTGTAGCATTTGTGATTGAAAGATTTGGATTTGCAACTAAAGCAGTGAAGTTAAGCGGAAGTGGAGGTCCGAGTTTTTCCCAGAGTTTGACAGCTACTGTACAAGACAAGTAGATGTGGCTAGCTAGTTCGGAGTTTGATACCGTAGTTTTGCATATATCACAGGTATTGTCTGCGATGGGATTGTAGTGGCGTCTGTAGCCTAAATTGTAGCGATGTAGTTCATCGAAATTGTTAGGAGCATTAAATTTTAGATGATTCAATCTTGTCCAGAATTTGATCCATTGAGCTTGTGATATACTCAAGTCAACTGACCAACCATTTGGTTCAAGGCATACTCTTTGCTTGGTCTGTTTAGCCTTGCTTCTGCTTTTGAAAGAACTCGGTGTGAGCTCATACATGTCGTTAGCCCATTGGAAATTACGGGGCGTTTGGAGGATGAGTTGTTGTATTTCTTCTTCTGAATAATTTTGAGGTAGTTCAAACCGATAAGGATTTTTACTCTCAGCTATATCAAACCATGCTGAGAAATAGCTTTGTTCAGCATTAGTAAAAAAATTGGCGACACACATGGAATCTTTAAGAAAGACAGAAGGGTCAGTCTTATGCCTGATGGGGGTACCCGCAAGGAGACGAAACCAAGGATATGTTAAACGTTTATTTGGTTGGAGTGGGATTTCTGGAGGAACATAAGCATTATCATTGATATACTGTTGAATTTTATCTCGAAGCAATATCTGATGAGATTGTTCGTCGTTGATTAAGATATTGTGTATAAATCTGGCTCGACGTCCTTTGACTTGTTCTTCTAGATCAAGAAGACCAAATCCTCCTTGGGCCTTAAGAGCATAAAGATTAGTTACACCAATGTGAGAAGGAAAGAAGTTTTTGATCATATCATTTATTTGTTTGATGTCTGATGACAGCATAGGATGATGTAAGTCTCTGAAATAAAGTTTGGAAAAAACCAAGGAGTTGATTCCTTCAGCTTTTTGATGGATTGATAGAGTTCGAACCGTTGTTGTAACTAGTCCTACTCTGAGGCTTTCAATATATGTGGGCCACAGAAAATTATTTATACTGATTCCTAAATATTTGAAGTTTTGATCTCGAATGGGAGATTGTGGAAAAGGGAGGACTTCTTCCATTGGTTCATCCGTGAAATGGTAGATCTTGGATTTCTTTTGGTTGATTAGTGAACCTGAAGCTTGTTCAAAAAGTGCTATTTCCGATTGTATCGTAAGCAAATCTTGTCTGCTACCAGTGAAGAGTGTTACGTCATCGGCAAAGGCTAAATACTTTTGCTCAATTGTCTGGCCACACCTAAGTGGAAGTTCAATTCCTGATAATTTGTTTTCTAGCCTAGTCAAGAAAGGCTCCAAAGCTATGTTGAATAATAATGGAGATATTGCAGATCCTTGACGGGTTCCGGTACCCAAAGAGAAGGGGGGACTGAGGAAATCATTGACTATGACTTTAGCTTCTTGTTGTTGTGTAAGTAGCATGATTATATTGGTGAACTTTAGTCCACAGTTGATGTGGAGGAGTAATTCTCTCAAATAGTCATGATGGAATCTGTCGAACGCTTTAGTAAAATCAAGAAGTATAACCGATTGATATTCTTGTGGTTGTTGTTTGAGTATATGGTTAACTAATGCTCTGAAACGCATTATTTGTTGATCCATTTGTCTTTCTGGCATAAACCCAGTTTGGTTTTTACCGATGATAGTGTCGATATGTGTAAGTAATCGGCGATTTAATACCGAGGCAATTAGTCTAGTAGTTGTATTGATTAATGATATTGGTCTGAAATCCTCCACTTGTATGGATTTTTCCCGTTTGGGAATGATTTTGATAATGACTTCTTTTAAGATTGTAGGTAAGGATGATGAGGTAAAAAGGTTGTTGGCGGCAGAGACCACTAATGGACCTGTTTTATCCCATGTCTTTTTCAAAAATCTGAAAGTAAGACCATCAGGTCCTGGTGCACTTTGATTGCTTGTATTCTTTAAGGCCAATGTAAACTCATCTAAGTCAAAGGTTTGATTGAGTTGACGTTGTTGATCAGTCGAGAATTTCTTATTGAAGCTCTGAATATATTGATTCATAGCCGTTGGATAAGTATCTCTTGGAGTGAACATACTTTTATAGTATTGGGAGATGGCATTAAGTATGTCTGGAGTGGTGGAGAATTTTTGTGACCCTGAACGAATCACAGTGATTAAGTTATTTGAGTAGTTACTACCATTAAAAGCTTCTTTTAAGTCTTTAAAATATGAAGCAGTATATGGCGTAGTTATGTTATTATTTTGGGTTTCAAATACATTTACCCCTCTGATCTGGGTGAGTTGACGATATTTGTTGGTAATTGGTTGAATTAGGTTGACCATATCCGCCAAAGAATGGAAGGGTTGGTCTTTGATTAAGTTTATGAAGTCATCGTCATCTAAGTATTTCTCGGGAACTATAAAACGTTTTCTTCCCGCCGTGATACGTAGATTCTCAGTTACTAATAGATGAAAACCTATAGCTAAGTGAGTGGTTGATATTTGGGATGGTTTTTGCATGAAAAATTTTAAGATTTTTTCATTTTCAGGATTGGAGATGTAAAACCGGTCGATTCTACGTGATGCTTTATGGTTTCGGTTGGTAGGAGCTATAGTGTTAGGACGGAGGTATTTGAACGTATCTATTAGACTGTTTTTGTTAATAAGTCTGATAAGATATTGAGTGGCCTGAATATCTCGGGGCTTGGATGATTCGTCTGAGTGAGGTATTACATTATTAAAATCCCCACCAATTACAATGATGAGATTGTGGTAGTGGTTAGCTTTAATAGTTGAGATAGCTTTGTCTATTTGGTAAAATAGATATTTTTGTAATTTGAATTTTTTTCCTGTGGGCGCGTATATGGATACTATTAAGTAGTGACGATTATTTTCTAATGATTGGATAATAATGTCTGCTACATATGGTTGGTATTGTTGTTCTAGTTGATTTGATAGAAGCGAAGTTGATATTATTTTGAATTTTTGGGAATTGTTTTGAAAAGCAATTCCCGTTCTTGAGGATGGTCTGGTGTAGGCTAAAGTACTACTATTTTTGGAAAGGGTTGTCGATAAGTTATCTGCATCACCCGCCTTGATCTCTGTTAAGAGACTTAGGTCATGGCGTTTAAGATACTTGAAAACGTTTTGATGATTTTGGGTTTGTTGTATATTTATTGTTGTGAATTTGAGTTCTTGACGAGATTGTGGTCGTAATCTTATTTTTCGGTTACGAAATGATAGTATGTCATTTGATTTATTCATAACTGATTGTTATTTAAGCTGGAAGGGAGATTGTCATCAAAAGACTCTGTAGCAAGCAGAGTGTTTGAATGTTGGCTGTCAGATAACTGCTCCTCCATACGGTTGGATGCTTTCATGACAGCGTTTAATTTTCGTTGATGTAGAATTCGCTCTTTTGGCAAGTCTCCTTTTGGTTTACTTGGAGAGCGGAGTTTGCCAATCAGTGGCCTGAGAAGACCCTGATTTAGCGAAGGAAGTCGTCTCGTAGTGGAACTTGGCGACTTCGTGGGGGTTGAGTTGGTGGAACTAAATGGATGATTTGGTTCCTCTGCCATAGTTAAATCGGTATCAATTTGAGTTGGTTCTAACGATGGCTCGTCAGAACGGCTCAAATCAATATCAATTTGTGTGTCTATGAAACTATTGGCAGGGGTAATAGTTTCTGAATAAAGGTTTTCAGAAGTTTCTGATTCAGTGATATTTTTTGCAGCAATTGCTGGTTGGGTTTCTTGATTATCATTTTTTTTGGAGTTTTTGGATTTTTCAGTATTTTTTTCGGAGGTTTTTTCAGAAGTTTTTTTATTTTTTTTTTGTTTTTGATTTTGGTGTAATAAAGCAGTAACAGTTGAAGTGGAGTCGGAATCGGAGGAGGAGAGTTCTTCTTCATCTTCCTCGTCAGAAAGGACCATAAATGGGTTGCTGGTTTGAATAGCAGAAACAGCAGGGTTTGGAATTGAAGATTTTTTAACCGTTTTGGTTGGGGTGGTAAAACTACCATTTTTAGTTTTTTTGGTTGATGGTTTGACCATTGATACGTCATTCTTAGGAGGTTCGTCATAGTCAGTGGTGCGAGGACGTTTGTTTCCTTCGGCCTTTTCTCTAGCAGCCTTATGGCCTGGTCCATTATGTTCACGTGAGTCACATCTAAGACAAGGAGCATTTGTACATCCCCATCTAGTGTGGGCTTTAGTGTGACAGTAGGAGCAGAATTTAAGGTGTGATTTGATGGAGACTTTATGATTTTCAAGTATTTTCCTTGTGCCCGTGGGAATTGTGTCCGTAGTAAGGTCTACGAGAAAATAAAGGGTAACCATTCTTTTCTTGTCTTGAATTTTAGAAAATTTAGGTTCAGTACTTTTGATAAGTTTAAAGTATTGTTCCGGTTCTGAATCCAGAGTGGTAAGGACCTTTTGAATGTGGGCTGGAGGTGAGCCCGAATAAAGGGATTGCATTCGATTATCAAATGTCTTGGATTTAGTTTTGGGCTCAGGGCCGAAGAAATCTCTAAGTTTGGTGCTGGCCTGTAAGGCGTCATCTTCTGGTAACTCATACTCAAGAAGGGCAAGAGAGTTGGAGATCTTGTGATTCAAGGTAAAGTAGAAGTCAGTACCATTAATGTGAAGTGGTCCTGTTGATGAAGAGGAGAGAACCTCTTTAACAATGGATTGGATATCAAAGTGATGGCTTTCTGGGTATGTCTTAGGATCATACTTATTCAACAAATGGTTTAGTTGGTGGAAAGTGATTGAATAAATGTCACTAAAATACATTTCGGTACAGTAGTCTCCATTTATGAGCAATCTAAAATGATTCTTGAGACTGAGGTCTCTACAGGTTCTCAACGTTTCCACCAAAACTTCTTGTGTTTCGGAGTTGAGATCTTGTATACTTAATTCTAAGTCTAAAAGGTTGAAAGACGAGGCAAAATCCTGATCTTTAAGTTTAGAACTTTCAAGGAGTTTTTTGAGCTCCTCGTATTGGTTGACATGCAACCTAGCTCTAGCGAAGACCCCTTCGAGATTGTGGATCTTCTGTTCAACATCGTTTTCCAATTTTGTAAAGAATTGGTTGAAATGTTGGTCTAAAAGGGTAAACATTGTTGGAGTGTCAATGGGAGGTTGTTGGGTAAAATCAATACTAAGATTGTTTGTGGTGAAGATATTTTTACCAGATTCTTCAATGTATAATTCTTGAAAGTCTTCTGGAACTTCCTTTAACCGATCTTTCAAAAGTGTATAGGCACTAACCCCCAAGTTGTGATGAACTTGGCGGGTATAGTAGAACTTAGCGTATTTAACACGTTCTTCATCGTTTAATAAAAGATCTTTCTCAAGTTTTTCAACAATAAGTTCGTATTCCTGTAATTGTACCGGGTTTAAAGGATTATCGATAGGAGGAAGTGTAGACTTTTCCTTAGTTCTAGTTCTAGTTGCAGCCGGTTTAGCAGCTTCAGCATACGTGAGCGGAGTCACGTGACTGGTTGAAAAATTTTCGACCGTTAAATCGGAAATGGGTTTTTGGCTGGTAGGAGCCGAATTCAGGGAATTACGGACGCTTGACAGCTGGTCTAAAGAGTTTGAAGACAGAGATGAGTCCAGGACATATTCCGGAACATCGACGTCGATCAGATCAGGTTCTAAAGCCCCTTGTAAGGGGTTGTTTGAGTGGACACCTGGGGATTCACTCGCAGTTTCATAAGTCGACAGGGCCGACGGGACTAGCGTCCTATCAGGTGGAATCGGCTCGGGAGGAGTTGGGGGAGGTAATGACTCGTTAAGAGATGCGCTGGGAGTACTGTTTGAGGCCGTTAGACCTATATTAACAGAGTAGTCAGACATTTTTTATCACGAGATAGAAAATCCTGCATATAGAGAGTATATCAGATATCTATGAGTAACATTCCATCTTTACTTCACCATAAATTGGCCTGGCTAGCTCAATGGCTAGAGCGTTTGACTTTTAAGAAAGTTTAAAACACATACTTAAGGTATCAAAAGGTTGCGGGTTCGACCCCCGCGTCGGGCTTTAATTTATTTTTTTTTTCATTTCGGGAAATTGTGGTCACGTGAGCCATTTTATAATTTTTTGAACAACATTGAAAATTAGATTCGTCTTTTAACATAATGGCATCGAAGGGAGAATAACCAGAAGTATGTCGAGTGAAAAGAGAGTAGAAGCCGATGCGGCCGAATTGTTGTCGTCTCTTTCCATAGGCGATGCTAAAGGAGTTGACAGTGAACCTAAAAAGGAAAAGGAAAAGGAAATTCCAAAGGGTCCAAAGGGAAGTACCGAAGAGGTAAGTTCCAAGGAAGAAGAAACAAAGGAAGAAACAAAGGAAGAAGCAAAAGCTGAAGTAAAGGAAGAAACAAAAGTAGAATCTGAAAAAGAAACAAAGAAAGATGATGTCAAAGCAGAAGTCAAACAACCAGAAACTAATTTGATTGACTCTACTTATGATGTTAAAGTTAAGCTTGCCGATATACAGGCAGATCCTAATTCACCATTATTCTCAGTAAAATCATTTGAAGAATTAGGATTATCTCCAGAATTATTAAAGGGATTATATGCTATGAAATTTAATAAACCGTCTAAAATTCAAGAAAAGGCATTACCTTTATTACTTTCAAATCCAGCTAGAAATATGATTGGACAATCTCAATCTGGTACAGGGAAAACAGGAGCATTTTCTTTAACAATGTTATCAAGAGTTGATGAAAATAAACCAGTTACTCAATGTGTATGTTTAGCTCCAACAAGAGAATTAGCAAGACAAACTTTAGAAGTTGTATCTACTATGGGAAAATTTACTAAAGTAACTACTCAATTAATTGTACCAAATTCATTAGAAAGAGGTCAAAATTCAAATGCTCACATAATAGTTGGAACTCCAGGTATTGTACTTGATTTGGCTAGAAGAAAATTATTACAACTTAATTCAGTTAAAACTTTTGTATTAGATGAAGCTGATAATATGTTAGATGCTCAAGGATTAGGTGATCAATGTCTTAGAGTTAAAAGACTTTTACCAAAGGAAGCTCAATTGGTATTATTTTCAGCTACATTCCCTGATAAAGTTAGACAATATGCTGAAAAATTCGTTCCAAATGCCAATTCTTTAGAATTAAAACAAGAAGAATTAAATGTTGAAGGTATAAAACAGTTATATATGGATTGTGATTCTGAGAATCATAAATTCGAAGTTTTATGTGAATTATATGGTTTATTAACTATTGGTTCTTCAATTATTTTTGTGGAAAGAAAAGATACTGCTAATATATTATATGCTAAAATGAAAAAGGAAGGTCATACATGTTCTATTTTACATGGAGGATTAGAGACAAGTGAAAGAGATAAATTAATTGATGATTTTAGAGAAGGTAGATCTAAAGTATTAATTACAACCAATGTTTTAGCTAGAGGTATTGATATTGCATCTGTTTCAATGGTAGTTAATTATGATTTACCAGTAGATAAAGATGGACATCCTGATCCATCAACTTACTTGCATAGAATTGGTAGAACTGGTAGATTTGGTAGAGTTGGTGTATCTATCTCATTTGTTCATGATAAAAGATCTTATGAGATTTTAATGAAGATTAGAGAATACTTTGGTAATATTGAAATGACAAGAGTTCCAACTGATGATTGGGATGAAGTTGAAAAGATTGTTAAAGCAGTAATTAAAGGTTAAATAGAGTCTCTAGAATTCTTACAAAAATGTAAAATATACAGTTAATATATATATATATAAATATATACGATGATTTAAGTTTAGCTATTTACAAATATAAGTCCCCAATAATAGATTGAGTTCTTTGAGGAGCTCTTTGAGCAACAACGTCCCAATCGATACATTCCCAAACATTATCCAAATAGTTTTGTTTACCAAATACTCCATAATCTAATAAGTAGGTTCTTGGTGATGCATCAATGGCTAAGAGAGGTACCAATTTCTTATCATTAAATAAAACATTTAATTCAGCTTCTTCGATAGTTCCTAAGGTTAATTCATCAATTGATTCTTCAACTGTTTCTTGTTTCACTATAGATTGTTCTGATTTACTTGGGGATTCTTGTTGTTGTTGTTGTTGTTGTTGTTGTTGTTCTTTTTCTTGAATTTCCAATTGTTTAGCCTTTAAAGAAGCCTCTCTGACTTTCTTTTGTTGCTTTAAACGATTGACTTGACCTGATCTTACAGAATCATCAACATAACCAGTATTATAGGTGTTAACGACTCTTAAGTTAACAAATTGTGGACCTCTACCTGATTTTGTTCCACCATTATTTATAGCAGTTTGACTAATATTACTTTCAGCCACTAACCATGTAACACCATCACCTTTAATTCCTTTAGCAGAATTAAGTAATAAAGTTCTGAATTCTCTTAAAGATCCAAAGGAATCATTAATCCATTTCTTTAATTCATCACGAGGTTCATTATTAAATTCAGTTAATGGACTAGCTAATAATGAATTTGAATCAGCTTTTGTAATTTTATGAGCAGAATTTTCACTTGGTCTTATATTTTCCATAAAGAATTGTAAATTATATAATAAAGTTGAATAACAATAAACTCCATAAAATTCAGGTTTATGTATGGTTGAACTTATTAAATCTGGTAAATTATTTGGAAGTGAATGTTCACCATCTGTAACAAACGTTTGCTCTATACTTTGATTTAACCCATCCACTAATTGTTCACCTCGATTGAACCATACTTCATTGATGGCTTTATTAGAGAATAATCCTTTAAAATCACTCTTCTTAGATTGAATAGCTTCTAAAGCAGGTAATCTTGATAATCTATATGTTAAATATCTTTGACTTAATTTAGATAATCCTCCCACTTTGCTATTCAAACTCACTCCCACTTTTCTACTATTAGATATTCTCAACATGGTCGTGTTGGTGCTAGCGTTAGTACTAGTAACTGTTTAAATTAGCAGTAGTGTAACGAATAGGTGCCGTAGTTTATTAGCCAATTTGAAAAATTTTGGATGAAAAAAAATTTTGGTGCAAGAGTCACGAGCAGAGTCACGCGGATGAAAAGTAGTAGAAAGCATGAACAATGGTGTGTGTCTACTGTTACTGGCTTACAATTCCATTATCAAATAGTAATATGTTTATATAATTGATAGAAGTATCCAGTGTAAAGATCTGAATGACTATAGTATAGAAATAATACAATTTATACAAAATAAAATCGAAAAGAAAGACTCAAAACAATAAACAACAAAAGCACTAAATGAAGCATAATAGTAATAAAAAAAAGACTAATTATAATAATAATAATAGTAATAATAATAAAATAGATAGAGATAAAAAGTAAGATAATAATAATAATGATGTAAGGAAACAAGAAATGAATACTGATTGACTGCTCTGTATCACTTTTCAATTTGCTATGGCACTAATACTGTTTTTCTGATTTTGTTGTTTATGATAACAAGTCAATAACCGTAAGACATCAAAAGCAAAACAACAACTATAAAGTATTACTACTATAATATATATTGTTGTCATTGAGTTTGATGAATAATAAATGAACCCCCGTGTAAATACATGTACATGTAGAATGCTAAAAAAAGATACCCGAAATAACAAACAAGTAATAAAAAGAAACACATTAACGTCTAACTTTTAAACTTTTAACTCTTCTAATCAAGGAAGAAGCTCCATTACCACTTCCTGATGTTGACGAAGGTTTTAATTCGTCTGTACTTAAGCTCTTGGTGTTAGTATTCTGATTAAATGATCCCTTTCTAGTAATATCTGTAGAATCATTCGAATTTCTTCGAGAACTATTTTCACTTGTAGCACTATTTTTTCTTAATCTTTGTACAATTGATTTCTTTCTACCAATACCATTAACGCTAGCATAATATTCTTGAGTTTCAGCTGCTCTTGAAGCTGGAGCTCCATCCAAGAAAGTAGTTGATCCAAGACCTTGAGAAATTTCTCCATGAATTGGTTCTGCTTTAATATTAGCATTAAAATCAACCACTGATGGATTTGTATAAATAGTTGAACCAGAATTAATTTTAAAACTAGGTATAGCCATATCTGTATTATTATTAATAGGATTAATATTGATATTACTATTGCTATTATGACTACCGTTACGAGCAACATTACTATTACCAGGTGATATATATTCTGTACCAGCAGGACCTCTTCTTCCAACAATTTCATTTTGATCTTCTTCGTAAGTTCCAAAAGCTAAATTCATTTGTTCATTCTTATCAATATTACCAGCTAATCCTTTAATAGAATTATTTGGTCCATCAATAGGGAATGCAGCCACTGGAGCAACTTTTGAATTTTTATTTCGATGAGGTGTACAAGCATCAAATGGTCCATCATGATGGAAACCTCCTCCAAAGAATGCCGTTACATCCAATTTATCAATAGTATCCAAATTCTTTGCTTTAACAGGTTCTGCTGGTTTCTTTTTAGATGGTGATCTATTTCTTGAAGATCTATGTCCACTATGATGTCTTGAACCAGAAGATGGTTTACTTCTTTCTGAACTATGATGTCTATGACTTCTTGAACCAGAAGAGCTTGCATTTGAAGATGATGAAGATGATTTTTCTCGAGGATAATCTTTTGTAGCAGCTTCAGGACCAGCTACTTCTTCATAAGATGGTAAACTATCAGGTTTTGGAGGACGACTAGGAGGTTTTTGAGTAGGATGATGAGATTGAGATTGAGACTTTGATTGAGATTTTGATTGAGAATTAGGCTGAGTAGGATGACGTCTTACTGTATTTTCACGATTATTAGAAGATGGTTCATCTTCACTATAAGCTCCAGCAAATGGATTATTAGATTTCCTATAAACACGAAATGGGTTAGTTTCCACAGACATGATTTTGAAACTAAAACTAAAACTACTTCAAAGTGAATCTTTGGTAAATTAACAAATTAACAAATTAACAAATTAACAAATTAACAAATTAACAAATAACTGATTAATACAACAAATTTTTACTTAACACACTATACTTAACCAATTCCGACAGACACTTTGCTCACACCCCGAAAAAGAACAATGCAAAAAGGTCTGGATCTCTGCTAACAATATAAATATATTATCTATCTTTTTTTTTTGCGTGGCCTGGTTCGGTATAAGTAGTTTATCGTGAGATAAAATAGGAGGGGCACAGTAGGCTTAGAAAGGCTTGAGGACTGGACTGGGTCAGGTGCTAAGCAACAAAAAAAAATCTATTATATTATATAGTATTTATACTACTACCATTAGCAATATAAATTATGGTTATAGTTGTAGTAGCAATAGTGAGAATTATATTACTGTTGTTGTTGCACTATTATGATGAAGACCAAAAGCGGAGTAAGGAGGGGGCAGTGATCATGCAAATTATCGTGTAAAACAAAAAACAGGTAACATGACCTGTGCTCACGTGCATGCATGCTAATTTAGAATCTGAAGTTAATTAAGTTAATTAAGTAAATTACAGTGTTTAATTAAATGGAGTTATCAGTAATTAGTAATTATTAATTTCAATAATTCATTAAACCCAGATTCACTATAAAGAAGTAGTTAGTAAATGTAAATAAAATTTATACGTACTTTCCGTAGTTAATACTACTATCACTACCAGTTCTCACTGGCTTAGGAGGAATGGGTTTTCTATAATTGTAGTTATCACCCCTATGATTGACAGAAAGACCATAATTGTCATCGTCATCATCATCTTCATCGGATAAGTCAAGTAATTGCTTATTCTTTAGAACCCAATCATCAAAGTTAGGAGGAGTATTATGTCTATGGGCTTTAGAATGAGATCCAGAGCCATTGGAATGATTGGAATTGGAAGTATATTGTTGACGAATAGTAGTTGAAACTTTCGTTGGCAGTTCCAATGATTGTCTGAATGGATTATTGGAAGATACTCTTTTAAAGGAATCAGTAGAACTATATGAATGATTTGGTTGTTGGTACATGATTGAAATTTATATAGAATTAAATATTATAGACGGTATGGAAGGACTGATATATAAGTTGGAATTGACGTTTGAAAAGTAATTAACGCGTTGAAGATATTCGTCAAATGGGTATGGGAATTGATTGAATACTGGGAATTCAAATTTGAGCTTGAGCTAACAAATGAGGGAATATGACCTAGTCTCTAAAATGATTGAAGAAACAACAAATACTGATAGAACAAGAAGTTGTCTTACCAGTTAAAAAGGATTCAATATTTGGTAGATATACAAAGACTGTATGAGTGTCAAAGATTAGTATTATAAAAGTTAGATATAACTAATCAATAGGGGGCAGGGAGTCAGAAAAAAAATTTCAACGACACCACCACTAGTTTACCAGCAAGAGAATTTACAAGCGAAAGTGACAACGAATGGGATAAGTGACGAAAATGACTGACGGGAACACTCGACAAGATCGTAGTTGTGAATATTATAAATTATATAGTGAATAGGTAAGAAAAGAAAGTGTTGACTTATTTTTTGGCTATGTGTACAAAAGATTGACGAGAATTAAAATTCTTTTTTTTAGGGGGAGATTTGCGGGAGAAGTCTCAGTAAATTAGTGTCTCAAGAGTTTGTAACTATCACAGTTACATACAAGTATTGTAGCTAATTTATTTAAGTTATATATAATTAGTATACTAACCATCTACAGATTGATTATAATATGATATCTAGTATATCTACTGGCTATAACATAAGCATCTAATAATGTACAATAGATTGTAAAATGTCTCAAGTCTTATGTCTCACCAGACAGACAGACACCATACTAATATCTTCAGTTAAATGACTTACATAGAGGTACGCATCTGACAGTTTAGTTTATTTTCTAACTCACCTCAAACACATCTGCAACGCTATCTGGTATAATAATTGATTGTCTTCTGTTTCATGTAAAGAATGTGGTAGTTTCATATCTCTGCCACCACTAAACAATAGCCGTACAGTATACAACATCTACAATCTACAACGATTATCCGCCTTCTCGCCCCCACTTCCAGTATTGCTCATTAATCGTCACTGACTGGAACTTATGTCCACTTAATATCGTTAACCACAAAACGCGTCAGATTCGCCTTTACCCTAATTATGATTTTGTGGTCTGTTGATTGTCTTTCCGCATTAGGCAATATTACTCTACAACCGACTAAATATTTAGACACTGACAATTTATTAATTACTGTAATGTTAGCAGTAGACATGACAGCGGTAAACTAGAGACAGTAAGCAACAGTAATATATGATTGTAACCGATACTGTGGCATTGTTTAGCATTCATTGGTCATTATTATTTAGATTATTTAGCCTATTTTATTATGTATCTGCTCGTTTATTTTATTGACGGTTATTGTGACACTTAGACATAAATGTCCAATCGTCTATATGCCAAATATTTTATAGCCAAGCCTACTTTGCATTTTGCAGCAACGTTACGCAACATTTTGTATATCAAGTAATCTATGGAAAGTAAAGAAAGAAATATAGATATGAATTAATTAATTAGTTAAAGAAATGAAATAAAATGAAATAAAATGAAATAAAATATCAGACAAAAATTAAAAAGAACTCCAAGTCCAATCAGAAGGTACCTCTCCAACCATAGACGGTCTTCTATCATCAATAGCACTAGATCCATTACCACCAGTTCCAGCTGGTTTACCTGTTCTTAAAAATGTCCCTGCCACACCCGGTGTTTGAACCGACAATTTTCTCTTATTCTTGTTTTTTAAATCATTGCCAGTCGTCTTCTTTCGTAATTGTTCCTCTTGCTTCATTTTATCAACATACGGATTCTCAACATAAATAAATGGACTATGTTTTAAAAATCGCGCAGTCACTTTATTATTAGAATCTTCATTGCTATTAACATCATTAAGGAATGCCTGATAAATAAGACTACACTTTAGACAAACTTTAAAAAGCTTATAATAGTTAGGATCAGTCACTGGACGAACCTTATCTTGAGCTGTGGATGATGAATTAGATGAAAGTTGCTGAATGTTCTTAACAATGGGAATAACAAATCTAGCATTAGAATCCAAGAGGATAGGTTGATCATGTTGTGGACTTACACTTCCCAATTTATCATTTTGGACTAAGCAATCATCACAATATATCAATCCACAGAATCGACAATGATGTTTGCTTCTTCTGGTTGAGAATGAAGCTGGAACTTTAGAAGCTGCAAATGATAATTGTGCATCTTCAGTCAGAGTGTTATTAGTCAGATTTAAATAATGATAGAATAAAGCCAAGAGAGAATTATCAAAGCTTTTAAAACATTGCATACAACGAGATGTGAAGTTATTACTCTTCCAATGTATATGCGTAGGTTCAATAGCAAAATTGGTGGTAACAAGACTGGTTGTAAATGAATGCTTTCTTGAAGTCAAAGTATCATGCTGACCTTCGTCTTCACTTTCATCTTGCTCTGCAAAGGTATCATCATCATGATCAATAACCCCTTGATTTGGAGAAGAAATGGTATATATCGAAGTTGCAAATGTATGATTAGTTTGAATAGGAGTGAGAAGTTCAGGATTTAAAGGAGTAGTATTATTGGGACGAAGCACTGCCGGAGTACTAAGTGGTTTTTTGAGTTGATAGACTTGGTTAATAGTTGCGGTTGTTGAAGGTTGGTGTGAAGAAGTCGATGATGCTGTAGTAGTTGATGTCATGTTGGAGATAGCTGAACTACTTGATGATGTACTCGAAGTAGTCGTATTATTCTCCGTTGGATTAGTATTCGTATTGGTATTGGTATTGGTATTGGTATTGGTATTGGTATTGGTATTGGTATTGGTATTGGTATTGGTATTAGTATTACCAGCATCAGAAGTTACTGTCTTAGTGGTAGTAGTATTAGAATTAGTATCATTTGTGGGATGGATAGCAAATGAAAGTTGATTCCTAATTCTATTATTCTTAGGTATATAATCAACAAACTTCTTCTTATCATCATCCATCAAGTTATTGATTTGTTGATTCAACTGAACAAATTCTATATTACGTTGATATATATAATTATTCAACGTATATTCTCTCAACAATTGTTCATCTTCCACTTCTACCTGAGATTCTAGTGGAGATTGTTTTGTTTGTTCAGTACCTTCTTTTGTAGACTGGGAATCCAGGACTTGCCTATCAGGTGATATATTAAAGGCTGATGCAGGGTCAGAATTATTTTTATTATTATTTGGAAGGGAATATCTTCGAAGAGGTTGATTAAGATCAAATGCAGCAGGTAGGTATTTCTTAGTTGCAGTATTAGAATTATCTTGAGCTTCCTGAGCTTTGGCAATCACTGGTTTTACCTTTTCAGCTGTATCAACAGCAACTTCTCCCTCTTGATCATCATCATCATTACTCTTCTTCTTCTTATAAGTGTAGTAGTTCATATTATTCATTCTTGGAAATCGAATCTGTTCATCATAATCAACATCTTTAAACATTACTGCAGGAGATGAATCACTTTCTTTAGATGTAGAATTTTTATTATTGGTTGTTGTTGTTGTTGTCGTCATTGAGGCAGTAGTCATTATTGAAGTAGTTGAAGATGATGATATTGTTCTACAAAGTGATGAATATCTATTTTTAACCACGGAATATTGATCTATAGGCTTCTTTTTAAAAGAGAATGGAGGTAATTCATCCTTTCCACTATTGCTAGAATTATTAGATACGATACTAGATGATTTTTGAATGGATACATTATTACCACCATTATTCCTATTATTATTATTATTAATATTATTAATATTATTGTCGGATGATAGTTTATGATTAGGAGATATTGAAGTTGTATTATGAACCGAGGTAGAAGGAGATTTGTTGGTCGTACTATCTCCCAATAGTAGATCCGTCGAGTGATTGACGGCACTTCTAGTTGTCATTTTTATTACTTGAATATATTAGCTTTTTGCTCTAGTCTATTCAGTGACAATAGAATAATATGGAATAATTATTTTGTAAAGGGTTATGAAGTAAGGGTCGTTGAAACAATGTGATGATGATGATGATGATGTGCGGACCCTAAAACTGATTGAGATCGTCGTACAAGTTTTTTGATATAGATGGATAGATAATTCCTGTGAGTTAAGGGCGAAAGTGTCTAAACATATATTTGTAGCAAGTTGAAGGTTAAGATGTCTTCCAGAGCTGAATCAAAATTTGGCGAGAAAAGAAATTAATGGCTATTCTAACTAATAATCCGATTCTTCTATTTCCTTGCACTTTCTTTCCTTTGTGCTTTGAACTTGATAAAGAGGAAGTAACTATACAGCTTCTGTTCCTTACAGATGCTTTTGTTTTTCTAGTTGCTACTTTTCTTCTGGCTTAGTTTATTACTTGCCATTCATCAATACCCTTAAATTTTAATTAGTATATAGCTTATCAAAAAAAAAAAAAAGAATTGATTGTTTTTAGGTTTGTGTCACTACCGGATTAGGATATCCATGTAAAATTTGACATCAATATGTCGAATTTCTTTTTCGTAAATTAAGGGTATGTCAGCTAAGATCAAGAGTCCATAGTACTTTGTTAAGAAATCAGAGCTAAAGAGTATTACAGTAGTACACCAATGATATTAATCCATAACTCCTTATAGTTTAGAGAGATTGAACTTAAGTCCCTACTTAGACTTTCCTTCTCTAGGGGTAATAATGCTCGTAATACTTCCGAGACAATGCAGGTAGAAAATAATCAAAATTAATTAGCCAAAAATTTCGCCTGTGTGCATATGCAGGATAATGGGGACGTTTTGTGACCATTTAATTTTGGTAATACTCAAGTTTAATTGGCTGATGAGCCATTACAGATAAGTTAGTAAAGTAATTAAACTAATTGTTTAACTAATAGTTTAACTAGTTTTTATAATTTAAGTTGCTGTTAGCAACTTGGTTGTAATTACATTTTTATGGTTCGTCACATAACTTTATTTTGTATGATAATAATCAGCTCACTAAAACTAACACAAGATCTAACTGTATTCACATGACAAAGCAATGGAAAGAAAAATGTAAAAAGCAAAAAGTAAAAAGTTGAATGGAATTCGACACTGGTACACGACCTGCGTGCCCAATAGGGAAGGAGTTAGAGACACGAGTAATTACTACTATATAGATAGTAGTAGTACCTACTAAAGTATAAATATGGTGTAAAACTAAATTGAGCTGATTTGTTTAACTGCAGTATATAATATACAAGGCTGCTACTCTCCGTGGGGGACCCCTATTAAAATTTAAGAGCACAGGACTTGAGCCTAATTTTCAATTGTGTCATTTTTAAATTTGTTGTTGTCTATTTGCTTTCGTCTCCTATCTACCCCTATACTTTTGAAAATAATAAACGATTTGAATTATTTTGTTAAACGATAATAGATGCAAAATTTGTAGCTGGTACTTGACGTTATTGGCTTTAGTTCTACAATTTTAAAGTATTTTTTTTTTGTTATTATTAGTATTAATAATTAACTAATCAGAGTTTTATGGAGATACAACTGTAAAGTAATTACAGGTAGATATAAAAAGTATATAAAAAACGAACAAACAAACAATGAATTATAACAGTAAATTAGAAGTATAGCGACAAGAGATGCAAAGTAATAGTTACCATAATAGTATAGTTGTAGTAACATTACTAATGCATTGTAGTGGTGATAAGTAAGTAGTAGTAGTAGTAGTAGTAGTAGTAGTAGTAGTAAATGAGTAACCACATAACAACTTAATCTTAATCACTTAATCCTTTAAGACAATATACAAAGCGTATAAAATAGCAGGGAACCAAATGAAAAGACATAATACTAAATCAATCCATAATGGAGTTGTAGCACCAACTTTCATAAAGACAGCTAATGGAGGTAAGAAAAGGGCTAAAATAATAGCAATGATTTTTTCTGAATCCATGATTAATTTCCGAAATGAATATGTAATAAGTCAATTGTAAGTGAATGAACAAGTTAACTGAAAGTTTTGATCGATTGATTACTTAAAAATCCAAACAATTGAGCAATTTAGCAATTCTGAATAAATCTACTTACTTCAAACGGATACATTCGAGTTCCTTTTATTTGTTTTGGATGACTTTTATTAGGGGCTGCTGTGTGCAGGAGACACCACCTATAATATTATGGTTGTTATATACCGAACTATCCACCCCCCCCCCCCCCCCCCCCCCCCCCCCCCCCCCCCCCAGATTTTAGTCATTCATGACTCTACTTAAGGATTTGGCGGAGTGACAGGTGTAGCCATAGCCATAGCCACTCTTGGAACATTTAATGTAAGCATCGTAGATGAGCATGATCTGAGAGTAGTTACTTTGGTGGAAGCGGCGGATTCGATACTATGTCTATGTCTTTGATTATTTCGAACGTGACCCACTATTTGATCATAACTTTGATACTCTGTAGCATGAGTCGTAATGTATAAGGCATGAATTATTCCGGGGATATATAATAAACAAGTGAGTAATAAGTTTAATGCCAACACACTGGTGAGTCCAACACTGAGATACACTGATAAGGGAGGAAATACTATACTAATAAGTATGAGGATTAATGACATAAGGCTTACTATAATAAAAGATAAATTTAAGCTAAATTAAACTAAAGTCTACAGCGTACTTTTACTTGTATATATACTGCAAAATTGTGCCATTACCACACATGGACAATTATAATTATAATTAAGGATTAATATGTCATAGTTAATTAATTGCTTTTTTATATGGCTTAGAAGGGTAACTTTTTTTGATTCTTTACTATATAATAATGCTAGCTAAGCTAGTTAGAAATGATATGAAATGATATGAAATGATATGAAATGATATCTAGGGTAGGCAGCGGTAGTGTAGGGCCAGGGCCAAACTAATCTATACACATCCGAGCAAAGATATTCTCTAATTGATTAAAGAACCATCGACTCTGAAAGCTTACAAGTCCCACCGTTTTAGCTCGAAGTCGCAAGTTTCTATCGTCAGTAATTAAGATACAGTACCGAAATAATCGAGCATGTTTAGAATTTAATATGACTGAATTTGCAGCACGATTAGATTGATTTTGTTCCTCTTTATTGGCTCGATAAATTGATAATCTTTGATTTATACCCTTAGCCAGTTTTTTACCAATCTCATCATTTTCATTAACTGAATTTAAGATGGTTTCATCAACACTGGATCTCCAATTCGAATTATTTTCAAATTCCGTTGTTTCATTAATATCAGACGCAACGGTTCCATCATATCTTAATGGTAAGATTTCTTTGGATAAATATAATTCACGAATTATAATAACTGATCTTGTAGCTGCATCCGCAATTGTTGCTTCTGCAGATTTTCGAAGGGCTCGTAATTCTTGAAATACAATTAAAGGAATCAGAATCTTAAAGATTCCATTCCGAACACATTTAAATACTCTACCACAATGTTTTAACCAAATATTTGTATCTAAAGTAATGTAAGTAATATTAGTATCCATGTATTCTCCAAGATTTCCATCAATAAATTCGGAATTTATATTTATATTTGGATTTCCATAATATTCGGCATTTGCTACAACCAGTTCTTGTTGGTGGTGTTGTTGTTGTTGGTCAGACATATCTTCTTCAAATTCAGAATATGCTTCTTCTTCTTCATCTTCTTCATCCTCATTATCAAATCTTCCAAACCATAAAGTATCCTTTTGAGCAATACTAAATCCATCATTAGCACTATATAAATTATCAAGTGAAATAGCTTGAAGAAAATTATTTTGAACAAATCTTCCATCACTCAAAAGAAATTCTTCCATATAAGAATAAGGATCTCCTGGTCTTGAATTATTTGATAAAACTACCGATGAATCAGTTGTACTATGAATATTTTCATCATATTTAAATTCATTGGGAGTTCTAACAAGTCCAAAATCATACAGATCTGCCAATACTCTAGCTAATAAGATAATTCTAATAATTCTTTCATCATTTTCACTTTCCATAGTTTTCCGAGATTTTTGATCTGATTCAGTTGGCATAGTTACAACTGGATAAGTTCCACAAGCTGGCATATCAAATAAATTACTATTTTTAACTCCGGCTGATTCTACATCAGTATAATCACATTTTAATTCAATACAATCAAACCATAATGTACCCCAACATTTCCAAACTTCAGGAAGGGTTTCATTATTATTAAAATAATGAATATAATCTGGATAATTATTAATATAATGACTACATAATTCACTTAATCTTGCACTATTCTTAATAATAGAAAGTAAGGAATTTAAATAGTTAATAAAGGATTCCCAGGGGAATAATTTTTTAAATAACCATTCAAACATTGGCTTAGAAGTCGGGAATTTTTGCGATGCTTCACCAACGGAAATCAAAAAATATAACCAAACAATAACATGACCAGTTGAAGCTTGTTTTGGACCAATTAAGTAATGATTTAAGATTCGAACCGATAATTCCAACACGGATTTATTAATAAATTGTAAACAATAAAACCAATCATTTTCACTTAAATCTAATGCAGTAATGGATTGACCTTCAACTCCATTTATGGCTTCTTCAACTTGTTGTTGAGTTTGAGAAACTCTCGACTTCCGTTTTCGATCTTTCTTATCTTTTCTTTCTTTAAGAGCTTCTGGTAACATAAAGATCTTGGAAAATGGATTCTTGGCATCTCCTAATCCTACTAAATGATTAATATTAGCAATGGCAAATGAAGAACCTTTATTAAACCAGAAGTTCATCTTTTCTATGGCGTTTGTTGCGCTGGGCAGGTGCTGTTGTTGCTGTTGCTGCTGTTGCTGCTGTTGTTGTTGTTGCTGTTGCTGTTGCTGCTGCTGCTGTTGTTGCTGCTGCTGCTGTTGTTGTAAATAATAAGGATGGTTAGGATCACTAATCAATGTAACACCCGTAGCAGTATACAATTCTCTCGTAAAGAAATTATACCCATTAGAATCGGAACCAAAAGTAAGACCATACCGAGTTACAAGATCTATTCCATATTGAAGTTGAGTATCATGAATACTTTCAACCGAATTCGAAACCGATGTACCATCATTTCTATTACTAGAATAAATACTTAATAAAACTTTATGAATCTTTATAAAATCAATAATTGGTAATTCTAATAATGATAATATATTTCTTTGAGTACAAATATTCTCAACCACTAATTTTAAATAATGTTGAGTTGGAACAAAGGGATCTCGACAAATTACTGATTTACCAATATTAACTAAAGCATCTAAATTATCTTGTTGAACAGTACACATATGATAATAAATTTTCCCATGACCATATAAAGTTTTCATAGCAATAGAATACCAGTATTCTGCACTAATTTTCCAATCAATAAATTTAGAAGGATATAAAGCAATTGCCATTCTTGATAAATCTCCTAATTTTTCCAGCCACCAACCTTCCATTTCTAATGCTGGATCAGTTAAATTTGATATAATATTAAAACAATAAGATATAAAGCATGAACAAATTTCATGATCTTGAAATATACTTATAATATTCTTTAAAACTTCAAGAAATCCCACAATTCCATAAACCCACATTCTCCGAGGAATTTTATATAATTCGACAATATTTTTACCGGTTTTAAATTGTGTTTGATTGGATGAAGGTTTTAATGCCGTGACAAGAAAATCATAATAATTATCTAATAAAGTTATATTATGATGATAAACTGTCCATAAATCATTCAGTAATTCTGAAGTTTTAACTGTATTGGATGTAATTGAATTATTGGAATTTACTGAGGATGATAATTGTTGATTAATTAATGGGGAATTCCCATACATATTCATATTCATATTCATATTCATATTCATATTGGGTGTATTAGATACATTACTAGTGATTTGATTAATTTTAACGGTGATTTCAATGCAATTCTTTTGAACAATCTCTTCAAAATTAACAATATTCTTATAAGTTTCCTTTAATTTTGTAGCCAATTGTTGTTCTTCATCAGACATGGCTCGATGTTGATTTGCTGATGATGATGATGATGACGATTGTTGTTGTTGCAGTTGCTGCTGCAGTTGCAGTTGCAGTTGCTGATCCAGTTGAATATCAGATGATTTAACGGGATTTATATTCGATTCTCCTGTAATTGATGATACATCATTATGACCTATATCATGTTGATCCATGACGGGGTTTGAATCAGACAGATCTGAATGATTTTGATTAGATAAATTAGTTAAGGGATTTGTATTAGGACTTGAAGGAACATCATAAGCCGAAGGAGTTGGAGTCTTCATAGCACCACCCGTAGTAGTAAGATTCCTCCTTATATTACTTCTTGCCATAGGATTATTAGTATTCATTGGTTGATATCTTGTAGTGGGCGATGAGCCATATTGAAACTCTTGAGCCGGACCGGCCGTTGGCATTCTTTTATTTGAATTACCAATCATATAAGTCGATAAACTACTTTGTCTTTTTTGAGGTTGAGAACCAGATATTTGTTCAATTTGTTGGGATTGCGGTTGCGGTGATTGCTGTGGTGGTATGGATGTGTGATGGTGGAGGAGTTTATTATTGACCACTAGATCTGGATGAGGATTGGCGTTATTGGAGTTCATGATGTAGAAAAAACTCCCGAGAAAAGGGGCCAACGACAACTGGGATTAATGAAGATTCCAGTCGCTGGCTATATACACGTAGTAGAGATCTACTAAGGTCTAAAATAGTAGTAGTTAAGCTTATCACCCAGTGTTGGCTAAGGTGTTTTCCATCAAAGGGTGGGCGAGGACACGACTTTTCCCTGATGACAAAGACGGCTCGAGCTGATGGGGGAGAGGGAGAGAGAGAGAGAGAGAGAGGAGAGAGAGACTAACTACTACAAAAGTTGTAGGGAGTTACTTAAGGTAGTTCGTAGAATAGTGAGTAGTTCATAGTGACTGCTAAATAGTTTAATTAGTAGTGACTTTGTAGCGACAGTTACTGCGTAACCGGATATATTTACAGTGTAGTCAGTAGAGTAGTGAGTGGTTACTATGGTGCGTGCATCTCGCTTACAACCGAATACAAAATAATAATCCTCTGGTCAACGGTACGGTACTACATTGAGTGGTGGAAGTTATGACTGACTGAGTGACTAACTGTTGTAGTGAACAACTGAATGTATAGTTTCTCTACTATAGTGTATTGTACTATACTATAGTGTATTGTACTATACTATAGTGTAGTGATGTGAGTACTGTCTGTATTGTAGTTGTGTGAGTACCTGTCAGTGCTATGAGTATCTTCTCTGTCTGTCTGTCTTCTTCTTCACTCTCATAATATGATATAACGTAAGATTTTATATTAAAATGAACATACTAAGCTAAATACAATTCTTTCATCAATAATATTCACAATGTAAAACCCATATATCATCTATTGGAATTTAACGAAATAATTATTCTTTTTCATTTTCATTATCATTAAATGAACAGGAATGGAATTAATAAAAGAATATACCATGAAATATGCTGAATGTAAGGTTGAATAGTTTACTTTAACTTCTTCTTTGGTCTTAATTGATTAGTGTGTCCACACTTTCTCTTACGACAGTTAGTGGCTCTTGGTGGTAATCTGGCGTAACATTTACGACAGATAGACTTTTCACAGTTATATTTGGAAGCTAAAGCCTTTAATGATGGTTCAATCATCTTTAATGGTTATTATCTGACTGAAGTATCAAGAAAGTTGTTACTAGTAAAAGTAGTATGAAAGCATTTAATTTTTCTTTGTAGAGGTGGATGGAAAATTTTCGAGTGGGTGCCCTGCATAGAGGGAAGAGTCGGTGACCTGAGCCGCATGGGCCTATTCCAGCCAGAATTCAAAAATGAAAATGAAAATGATTTGAGAGGGTCATGTGCATTCTCTCGCAGATTAGGGCTCCTACCCTGGCACGCGGATTCGCCCAAAATACGACATCAATATCATGTCGTTCCATGTCGCAATGTTTAGCCTAAACTTAACCAGCGCTTAATTAGCAGCCCAAATAGGACTAGTATAATAATAATTAACAACTTTAAAGCCATTGAGAGTCATTGACAGTTATGAGTGACCCAAGTGAAGACTCAGAGGTCGTGCAGGAAGTCATTGGAGACCATGATCAGGATGCAGGAGATGCAATGGATGTAGTAACTGAGTTAGATGAACCGTTGACCGTGGAGTCACAAGTGGAGTCACAAGTGGAGACAGAGGGTGAGTCAACTGAGCGAGTGGTTGAGTCAACTGAGCGAGTGGTTGAGTCAACTGAGCGAGTGGTTGAGTCAGTATCTGATACGGTACCTGAGTCTGATGTGGTAGAGGAAGGAATAGAGCCAGTGACTGCACTGGTTGAACTGGTGGTTGAACCAGTACCTGAGACAGTTGAGCCAGTGACTGAACCAGTAACTGAACCAGTAACTGAACCAGTAACTGAGACAGTAACTGAACTGGTAGTTCAACCTGTTGAGTCAGTTAGTCCAGCAGTACCTGAACCAGAAACAGTACCAGTACAGGAAGCAGTACCAGTACAGGAAACTGTACCAGAACCATCACCTATAGTTACACAACCAGCACCACAACCTTCTGCTGATTCAATCTCCATAATCCTGTCATTCCTCACCATTCCTGAACAATTCATCAGTTCTCTCGATAGTAATATCATAAATGCCATTCAAAAGAAAGCTACTGATTATAATGAACTCATTTCTACTCATTCATTCATAAAATTACAAGCAGAACTGAATCAAAATACATCTCATAAAGTTATAAATGAATTAAAGAATCGACTTCGAACTACTAGTGGTACAGTTAATCAATTAACTATTGAAAATGAATCATTAAGTGAAAATTTAACTAAGAATCAACAACAAATTAAACAATTGGAAGAATCTAATAAATTATTAATTGAAGAAAGTAATAAATTTCATCATCAAGAAACTCAAACTAATCAAGAACTTCAACAATTACAAGATTCCTCTACCCAAAGTAGTTATAAATATACTGAAACTATTAATCAATTATCTAATACCAATATTGAACAAAGTAAAAGGATTAATGAATTAACTAAAGAAATTAATAATCATCGAAATGATAATTTTAATTTAAAACTTAATATTTCCAAATTAAATAATGAAGTGGATTATTTAAAGAATCAAACTAAATGGTATGATGAAGAACTTAAATCAACTCAAACCAGATTTACTGAATTAATTAAAAAACATGAATCGGAATATGTATTAACTTCCAATCAAATTACCAATTTAAGTTCAAGAAATGATAGTTTAGAAAAACTTAATAAATCATTAAATGATCAATTAAATGAATTAACTGAAAGAAATGATCGAGAAGTTCAACTTGTATCAACTTCAAGTTCTAAATATGAATTTGAAAAGGCGAAATTCTTAAAGGAACTTGATAATAAAAATGATCTTATTGAATTATCAAAGATTCAAAATGATCAAAAGTCTCATCGTATAGATCAATTAGAAAGTTATATTGAAGATATTAAACAGAAATCTACAAATTCATTAAATTCTTTAAGAAATGAACTTTCTATAAAGCAAGAACGAGTAATTGAATTAGAAGAACGGATTAAACATACTGAAGAATTATTAGATAAAGAATTACATAAAGAAACTGAATTACCCAAATTAACTGATTCTTCTGCTCTTATAGCTTCATCTCAAGGGATTTCATTATCATCATTATATTCTGAATTTAGTCATTTAAAGAAACAATTATTATTAGAAAGATCTCAAAAGGAGAAATTGGCTAATCAACTTGAATCATTTGTTAATGAATTAGAATCTAAAAAACCCATAATAACAAATTATCGAGAACAAATTGAATTTTATGAATCATCTATAAAGGAAATGATTGGTAAAGTTGAAACCATTCGATCAGAAAAGGCCCAAGTTGAAAAGGATGCCAATCGATTAAAATCTCGAGCTATTGAATATGAAAATGAACTTGGATCAATTAAACGTTTAGCTCGAGATCTTGGCCGTCAATTATGTTATTATTTAATTCATTCAAGAATTAGAGATAATGATCAAGATCCTTTAAGTAGTGAAGAAAAGAAAGCCATTGAAAGTATATTACAAAAGAGTGGCCATTATGAATCATACGGAGAAACTGAATCCGATAAAATCATTTCGGATCGATTAGTAGATTTCGCCAGTATTATAGAATTACAACGAAAGAATTCGGAATTACTTACGGCTGTTCGTCAATTGAGTCAAAGTTTAGAAACTAAATCTCAACAATCTTCTAGTATTGAATCAGCAGCCATTGAAGAAGCTAAAGATGCTATCTTAACCCTTCAAAGTGAATTGGATAGTTTAACTATTAAATATGATGCTGTAGTTAAAGAAAGAGATATACTTAAATCAGGTAATCATGGAAGTATAATGACACGAAATGATAGTCGATACTTGACAGAAATTAATGAAGATTTAAAACAGAAACTAGTGGATAGTGAGGGAGTACTTAAACATATTCAAGATCAAAATAGTAAAATCATTAATGAATTAAATGATAAGATTCGTCACATAACTACCGAAAAGAATGAATTATCTTTACAATTAGCTAATGCCAATAATCTGGTACAATTAGCAGAAACAAGACTTGAAAATAGTCGGAAGACAATTGACAATTCTAGTCAAGAAATCAATCAATTACGTCAAGATGTATTATTCTGGAAGGAACAAACCAATAAACAAGAAAGTTTATTAATTCGAAAATCCAATGAACTTCGAGATGTTGAAGGGAATATCAATAAAATGTCCATTAATGTTAATAATCTTGAAGCCGAAAAGCAATTCAATTCGTCGGTAATTGGCTCATTAAAAGTAGAAATTGATCAACTTAAATCGGATAAAGTTAAATTAAATGAATTTGTATTAAATTTACAATCCTTATTAAAATCTCGTGATGAATCCGCTTCAGAATTGACGGAGAGATTAAATAAATCCATTGAAAATTATCAACAATTACAAGAAATTCTTAGTGATAAAGAAGAGAAATTATATATCTTATCTAATCAATCTGATTTAGCGTTAAAGGCTCAAAATGTTAAATTAGAGCAAGTTGGTGAAGTTAGTCAACAGTTATTAGAAACTAAACATAAATTAAATGAGAAGGAAGCTGTGATCGGCCATTTAAATGATCGAATTAAAGAATTAACTAATTCCTTAACTAGACGACAAACCGCACAAGCTCAAGCACAACTTGAAACTGAGAATGATAATAATGAAGATGATGATTCTACTAAACAAGGATTAAGAATTGAGATAATTCAATTAAAGGAAGATTTAAAGATTGCCGAAAGTCAAATAGATGATTTAACTAATTTGGCTAGAGCTAGTGAAGAAGCATTGGTTAATGCTACTAATAGTTATGAAGAGTATAAACAAGATACCCAAGCCAAATATAAATTGGTTGAACAAGAGAAGAATCAACTTAATCAAGAGATTAATCGAGTTAAAGCACAACTTGAACAAACCACAAGGGAATTAGATGTCAATAAACAATCACATATTAATGAAATTAATAGTTTGAAAACGTCACTCAATGAATTTGAAATTAAAGCCAATGCTTATGATACGATGGAACAAAGCTTTAATGCAAAATTGGCGAGTGTTAGTAAAGATTTACAACTTCAAACTCAAATTAGTACGGATGCTCAAGCCAAGTATCATGAAGAATTACAAAAGAATAATGGATTATCTCAGACTATTGTGGAGTTAAAGGATAGTGTAGAACAGTATAAGAATGAGATTCAAAGCTTACGAGATTCTGTGGCCCATATAACGGCGGAATTGAATTCTAAACAAGAAGCATTATCAGCCCATCAGATATCCATTGAAGAAGAATTGGAAGCTGGACGAGTTACGATTGAAGAATTAAAACAACAGAATGGTATACTATTAAATCAAATTGAATTAAGTAAGGGAACAGGAACAGGAACAGGAGTAGATGAAGCTGATTCAGGAACTAATGAACTTAAGGATGTAGTAAGTTTCTTAAGAAGAGAAAAGGAATCATTTGAAGCCAAAGTTTCTGTACTTGAAGATGAGAATCGGAAATTATCTCAACGACTTGTCCAAGTCTCAGAAGATTTATCAATTGCCAAGAGTATCTTAACCAAATCTCAAGCTAGTTCAATTGATTTAGCAATTAGTAGTAAAGAAAGTAATCAAATTACTGAACAATTGGAACAATTGAATGTATTCCGAGAAAGTAATATCACCTTAAGAAATGAATTATCTAGTAAAGATAATATCATTAAATCATTACAACAACAACTTGATTTGGTAGAAGAAGAATTAATTCCTACCAAGAGTAAATTTGAACAATTAACTACAGAATTAGATATTCAAAAGCAACAGGTTGCTTTAATTAAAGAAGAAAATGATCGATTAAGACTTAATGTAACAGCAGGAACTCCTGAATCAGAAGCTACTATTCAAACCTTAAGATCGAAATTGAATGATATTACCAAACAAGCCAATTCCAAAATCACTTCCTTGAATGAAAGAATTGGTGAAAGTAATTCAACCATTGCCAATTTAAATCAAGAGATTGCTAAACTTAGTGCCAGTAAAGTTGAAGAGGTTAAGAATGTTGAAGAGAAATTATTAAAACAATTGTCGGAAGCGCAATCTGAGTCTCAGAAATTAAGTGCTGAATTAGCTCAATTAAAGGCTCAACCACAATCTCAACTGGAAGAAGAAATTGATAGTAAAGTCAGTCAGTTGAATGCCGAATTCGAGAAACAGAAGGCTGAACTTGAAACTAATTTACAAGCTCAGTTTGATAAGAAACTTGAGGAAGAAATAAGTAAAGTTAAGGCCAATACCAATACCGATACCAATGGAAATAGTAATGTAGAAAGTACCAAGAAAGAATTAGAAGCAGCTGTACAAGAAAAGATTAAGGAATTGGAAGAATCCATTAGTAAAAGAAAGGAGGAATTGGAAAAGGAGTATGAAGCTAAAGTTCAGAATGGAGATAGTAATGCCTTGGCATTAACGAAAATTAATGAGCAACATGAACAGGAGATTAAGAAGTTGAAGGAGGAATTCAATAATCAAATTGAAGATGAAAAGACCAAGACTAAAGTTCAAGTTGAAAAGCTCTTTGAAGTTAAGATAAAGATGCTTAATAAGAAGCTTGAACGATTAGAAAAAGGGTCACCTGCTCCTGCTCCATCAGGAACTGGAACTCCTACTCCAGTTCCAGTTCCTGGATTTAATCAATCATTTCCAGTAGGGGTTAATCCATTTGCTTTACCATTTAATATGGCTCCTGGACCTTTTAGTTTCCCTGGATCTGTACCTGCCAAACCAAACTTTCAGTCTAAGCCAGTTCTGCCAGTTCAACAAACTATTCAACAGCCTGTTAAACAAACAACTCAACCAGTTCAAGCAGTCCAATCACCACAATCTGCGCAATCAACTCCAGCACAGTCAGCACAATCAGCACAACCAACACAACCAACTCAAGCTCTACCAAAGGGTACTTCACCTGCTCCATCACCAGTACCAGAAACTAAATCATCAAAACCTTTAGGGTACCCTTTCACTGAGTCGACTCTTACTGTGCATCATCCAACAGCCACGGTAGAAACTAAGAAACAGGCCAAGAATGAAAAGAAGAGAAGCCAAAATAATCATCCTGGAGCTAACAAAAAGCAAAAGGAATAAGTAATTGTGTATTAATAAACCAAATATAAACCAAATATATTTATATCTACTAACCTAAAACTAAAACTTAGACTAAAACTAACTTAAACTAAACTTAAACTAAACTAAACTAAACATAAACATAAACATAAACCTTAAACACTTTCAGAAGGTTCAAGTAACTTACTACTACTGGTAGCAGGTTCCTTTTCAGCATTCTCAATGAATTCTTGTTTCACTTTAGATTCATCTATATTGTAATGCACATGATCAACATAAGTATTACCTCTGGAATCAGTATGACTAATCTTATTAATTTCAGAATAATCAGGACATAATTCAGCCCCTTTTCTCCCAATCAAATACCATGGTAAATTAAAGATATCTTCCATTGATTCTAAGGATCTACCAGCCACTTCAGGGACAAAGAACCAACACCAAATTAATCCAATAACCATAATTCCTACAAAGAAATAAAATACCCCATAATTTGTCATAGTTATAATCATTAATGGTAAAGCCTTTGAATTACCATATTGATTGGCAAAATGTAATACCATAACTAATGATTGGGCAAAAGATCTAATTTTTAATGGGAATAATTCTGATCCAAGTAAATATTGAATATTATTATAACCCATAGTCCAACCAGTTCCTGAAAGGAAAATAGCAGCAAGAGCTCCTTGAGCTGCTTTCTTTTGTGATGGACTTAAGACTGCATTAGCATTAGATGCTTCTGGGACTATAGTCATGAATATAGCAAAATATAATATGGTTATTAATTGTAAACTAAGTCCAATATATAATGCTTTTCTTCTACCAAGGAAATCAATAAAGAGGAAAGCACTCAAGTATGCTGATACAAATTTAACAACCCCTAAAATAGCAGACATCTTTAATTGATCAGTTCCTACAACCCCTGCAAAACTAAACAATTGTGAAGCATAAATAGTAACAGCATTAGCTCCAGACCATTGACCCAAGATTTGGGCCATAGCACATACCACAAAGAATCTATATCTTAAAGATTTAACCATAATAATATCTTTAAATTTTTGGAAAATATTAGTATCTCTGGTAGCTTCCTTTTCTGATAATACTTGTTCATTAATATCACTAATTTCTGCAACAACATAAGGATGATCAGGTGGTAAATGTCTTAATTTAGATAATTTCTCAATGGCTTCATCGGCTCTATTAACTTTTAATAACCATCTTGGAGATTCCACACAAAATAAAAATGAAAAAATAAATATTAAACCAGCTAATATTATCTTTAAACAAAGAGTAATTCTCCATTGGGCATCAGAAGTATTAGAAATATGAAGGGCTGTACCCCAATTAGCAAAATATCCCAACATAATTCCAAAATATACAGCTCCTGAAAAGATAGATACACAAAGACCTCTAATTCTACTTGGAGCAATTTCAGACATACTTGGACCAATAGTGGTAGTTTGTCCAATAGCTAAACCTTCAAGTAATCTACCAGCATATAATTGTCCTACACTTGTAGAACTAATTTGAATAGCCGTTGCAACAATCCATAAAACACATACTGCTTGTAAAGCTCTAATTCTACCTAATCTATCAACCGTATACATGGCAAGAATACTTCCACCAATAGAACCTAATTGAACCATAGATGTAATATTGGATTTCAAATCAGCAAGTTCATTGGCACTCTTAGACTTATCATTAAGTCCAAATCTAGTTTGAAAGGATGGAAGACTAATATTTCCCGAAACTAAATGGTTGCAAAGTTAGTATCACACTCGATAAGCGGTAAAAAATGAGAGTTGAAAAAATATTACAACACGTCATAAGGGGTATAACAAAATTAATACTTACTGTTACCTTCATCATAACCTCTAGCAGCACCACATAAACCATAAACAAATACTGTCAAGTAAAGTGTCATATTATAGATTTCTGGTGGTGAATCATCGTGACCAATTTGCCATTTAAATTTCTTCTTTTGTTGAGGTTTATGATAACTTTCTGGGATTAATACACCCTTTTCACCATCTGACCTTTGCGAAGAAATGGAAGCATTATCCTTATCTTCCTTGTCTTTCTTATCCAACATATTGTATTTATTTAGCTAAAGTTAAAGAGTTTGAGAATACCAAGAAAAAATTCAACTTTGGATCTGTCAAGCAAACTTTAATTACTAGATAATTTTGCTCAAGTAGGATACTTTCCAAGAAATCAAGAAATTAAGAAATCAAGAATTATCGAGTCTACATCTCTACATATATACTCTACATTGGATATGTTCAACGATAAAAAATTATTGATCAAATGAAGGCTATTGTATTACTCCGTGCATAACAACCAATGTGGGGAAGTATCGGAGTGATAGCTCAAATTCTCTGCACAATGAAAGCTTAAACCTCACCTCACCTCAATTTAACTAATTATGGAAAACATTCCAAAGGTGCTGCAATAATAATAGAGGTAATTTTACACTTGCATATTTTGTCCAGAAAAATTCAACAATTATTTTTTAGTCATTTATTCCGGGACTCAAATTGGAATATGACAAAGAAAGAAGGTTTAAAGAATGGGGTTCATAAAGGTGGAGATAAATCTTGGATTGTTTATTGAACTCCCAAGGAGCGAAGTCACATCTAATGTTACGTGTGATATTATCGAGAGGTATTTGGATTCAATTATGGTATGTTAGTATTACTCAAAGAATTAGAGAATAGCAAGGTGCGGCATTAAACTAGCCCATCATCCTTAGTTATAATACCGATGTCTTTTGTTTAGGTAATCAAGGCTCAGCAAAGAATTGGAAATTTTTGGGATAGAAGTGGGGTAAAAGGCTTTACCCTCACGCATCAAACAGTTTCAGGCCACCACAACTCCCACCAAAAGTAAAATGCTGCGGTCCGCCTTACATCAATGAGCTCGTGTAGATTCTGACTCTTATGATGAATGTAATGACCAACCGAGGTAACCTAATATCACTAAACATTGGAATTAGAACAAACATGATAAGCTAATATCCAATAATAAACAGTGTGAATATAAATAAATATGCTTCCCCACCTTGACTACCCGTCCGGAGTTCGCCAGCTAAACGAAACTTTTTGCGTTAAACATTGCGCTTTGAGATGCGACTGCATGTAAATCCAGAGTTCAAAACACAGAACAAACTGACAGGAACAGGGACTTCGATCCCCCACTTATGTGCCCCACTTAGACCACTTTAGTCCTAATTAACCCATAACCCGGAATAGCTTTGATATCAAATTTGCAGTAAGCCTTCAGTTACATACAATTTGACCAATAAAACTTTAGCATTTTGTAAATTGCCACAAACACATTCCAACCGTAACTACTCCGATTTTATGTCATCGGCCAAGATGATTGGCTTGTCGTCTATCTCCTCTTCCTGTGCCTCCTCTTGAGGCTTGAGGAGGGGAAGATTATTGCAAAATTTATTGATAGTTAGGTGGAGGGATAACTAGTAAGCTTTGTTGGCAAAATTGATAAGGAGTATTGTAGTAGTCAGTAAGATCAGAAAGTGCATATATGGATAGGATCGGAGTAAGAAATGCAATAGGAGCCGGTCCGTCAATTAATTGGGGGGTCAATAAAATCTCCTTATTGTTGCTATATGTCGCAAGAGTAAACTACTTCAGATTTAAATGCACATCCCATTGGGTTTCAATGGTTTCGATCGATTGCAGCCATTTTATTTGAAATCTTTGCTCAACTCTATATATCTCTAGATTTGTCACTTTTTGAAATTTATTTGCTTGAACTAAAAGAAGTATCTATAGCCTGACTTACATTTTGAGTTATTGTTACAGTTACAGTTACAGAATAGTCAAGTAATTAGTCATTTCACAAGTCAGGTGCGATGTTAACATCGGTTCGGGTAGCTTGCTGCGTATATTTGGATGTTCTTTGATTTACAAGGGTTGTACGACTGGATCAGCTGACGTGATTCGTCAAAAGCTCAAGGTTTTCCGAATTATATGCTTTAATATGCTTTAAATTATTTTTTATTTACAGCACAAAGATGCAATTTCAGGAGATCGACAGATTTCACCAGGTCTACCATTGTGGGAAATATCGAACCATTCAAGGATCTTTTGGTAGCAACTTTAATTACCAAAATGTCCACAACTCTGGCTGCAATGATAATTTAATTACTAGTTATTGAAGTTTACGAGAATTTAATCTACTACTGCTTTTTGGTGTATTCGGCTCTGATTGGATGAAAAGCCTATCCCAATACGAGCAAAAAAAACTGTGGGTTGGCTTAATTTAGTAAATTGCAAGTTCCAGAGATAAGGATATTTTTTCTCAATTATTATCTTGTAATTATACAGAATATCCTTGAATTACCATGAATATCCGAACCTAATGTGAAAAAATTATGGCGGTGATTAAATGAACGCCGTTATAACATTTGATCAATTTAACTAATTTAACTTAATTACCTAATGAAGACATTAGCCTAACTATCTTCATTTGGTTCATCAACTCATTGTTACATTAAAATTATTAATAAAATAGTTCCAATAAGACTTAATCTTTGTGTCCACCGTCGCCTCCCCCACCACCCCCAATTTCCTCACGTGGATTTGCAACATAACTTTTCCAAGGTTATGTTAGTGGGTTTCGTTTAAATCTAATAGAGTAGTTAGGACCATTACTATAGTAACCGCTTGTGCCGGATATCGCCTTTATAAAGTAAATAATTTATGAGAATTATACGGCGTTGCCCACATTCTATACCTTATTTACAGTTACCAGTTACAATTAAATTTAAAATTACACGCGGCTGGACTTCTTGAGTTCAGAATATAATTAAGCAGTTCACTTTCACACTCATTACTCACACTCAACAGCCTAATGGGACTACTCCCCCATGACATATCATAATGATAACAAGCAAGACTGAGATATGTCGTGATTGGCTATAAAGCATTCCCGTTGGAATAATATTTTTAGTTCGGAAAATTTTTAGGCTGGAGCCACAGTTTGTTGCGCTTGCAAAAAATATGATTACCGCTTTAGGACAGTCCCATCATTTAGCAAAGATTTAATAAAGATTCAAACGGTTGGGGATGGTAGTATGAAGTCGGATATAAATATCATAGGCAATCCCATTGTGTAGCAAAGGATCTCCTTCTAAAAAAAATATTAAGGTTGCAGAAAATATGGGCTTTGCAAGTAACTTAAAATGGGGATTTATTCCAACAAGACGTGTTCTTGATGAAGATGAAAATGGTAATTTCACTTATCCTGAATTACAGAAGAATACCGATGATAGTAAAGAAAAAAGTTCATTAGAAAAAATTTCCACTACTGAAGTTGATGAAAAATCGCATGAAGTGTTTGAGTATAGAGACGAAAAAGATAGAAAGTGGTGGAAGTTCTTTGATGAATATGAGTATAGAGTTACTAAGACAGTTAAGAATAAAAGAAAATGGTATAAATGGTTCCATGATGATGATACTGCTGCTGAAAAGAGACTTATTTTAAAAGTGGATATCTTATTAACTTTTTATTCATTAATGGCTTATTGGGTTAAATATTTAGATCAAACCAATTTAACTAATGCTTATGTTGGAGGTATGCAAGAAGCTATTGGAATGAAAGGTAATGATTTTGTTAATACTCAAGTTATGTTTACTGTGGGTAATGTTATTTTTCAAATTCCATTTATGTACATTCTTTATGCTTACCCATTAAATTATGTTTTACCATCTTTAGATCTTTGTTGGTCTATATTGACTATTTGTCTTTATAGAGTCACTAATGTTCAAGGTTTAAAAGCTCTTAGATTCTTTATTGGTGGTTTTGAAGCTACCAGTTATATTGCTTATCATAGTTTATTTGCATCTTGGTTTAAAGGTAGTACTGGTGAAGTCTCAAGAAGAGCTGGTTTCTATTATCTTGGACAATATCTTGGAGTTCTTACTTCCGGTTTACTTTCAGGAGCTATTGAAAGAAATATGGGAGGCATCAATGGACTTGACGCTTGGCAATGGATTTTCATTATTGATGGGATTATCTCTGTTATTGTAGGTATACTTGGATTTTATATGATTCCTGGTACTCCACAGGATTGTTATAGTATATTCTTAACAGATGCCGATATTAGAGTGGCAAGAAAGAGAATGATTGCTGATCAAAAGGATTTCAAACCAAGAGAAAATGCTCTTAAATACTTCTTTGATGTTAAACTTTTAAAGAATATTCTTACTTCATGGCAATTACCAGTATTGGCTCTTTGGAATATTTTCTGTTGGAATAATACTAATGGTACTTCTGGTGCTTATGCCCTTTGGTTAAAATCATTAAAGAATGATGAAGGTAAGCCCCGTTTTGGTCCAGGAGAATTACAAGATTATACAGCATTAACACCTGGTTTGGGTCTTATATGGTTAATTATAACTTGTTCAATTGCTGATTTATTTAATCTGAGATGGTTTGCAATTATCTTCAGTCAAGTATTTAATTTTACAGGAAATGTATTACTTGCAGTATGGTATATTCCTGAACGAGCCAAATGGTTTGCTTGGTGTCTCCAATATTGGTCATGGGCCATGGCTCCTGTTCTTTATTCATGGTTGGGTGATATATCTAGAAAGGATGTTAGAGAAAGAAATATTATTTTGGTTATAGTTAATATCTTGGCTCAACAATCTACAGCTTGGATTGCTGTATTGGTGTATCCTACAGTAGAAGCACCCAGATTCTTAAAGGGATATTCATTTACAGCTACTTCTGCATTTGCATTATCTGTTTGGACATTTGTTGTATTATACTTCTATAAGAAGGATGAAAGAGCCAATGCTAGGGCTAATGGTATTATACTCTATAATTCCGCTACGGATCCTGATTTTGTACCATCTGAAGTTGAAGATGAGACTGATTTAAAGAGGGATTAAATAGTATAATTAGTTAATATAAATAATTGTTTAATGATTGTTAGTTATAATTATTGCAGCCATTAGAGTGCGTATGACTCGCAGTAAAACAATAAGCAGTATAGAACACTCTATAAGTACACCTATAAATAGAACAACAGAACACTCTATAAGCAGAACACTCTATAAACAGAACCCTATAGGTACAACTGAATATCCACACATATATCTAAGTATATTATACAGTTAGATAACTGACAGAGTTATAAATGTAGTAGTAAATGTAGTAGTAAGTAGTACGACATCAATGTCGCAGCAACAATGTCTCCTCCTCCTACACATAAGCTCATCTAAAAAGTGAAATATCCATCCGATGAAAACTCCTCCATCACTAAGAAACATCCTTAAATTCTACCTACACTTAGTTAGAATGGGTGTTCCTGCATTATTCCGATGGTTATCGAGAAAGTATCCCAAAATCATTTCTCCTGTAATAGAAGAAGATGTTGAAGAAGAAATTGGTGGAGCTAAATATTCTGATCGGAACCCCAACGGAGAAACCGATAATTTATATCTTGATATGAATGGGATTGTACATCCATGTTCTCATCCTGAACATAAGCCAGCTCCAAGTACTGAAGATGAAATGTTCTTAGACGTTTTCACTTATACAGATCGAGTACTTATGATGGCTAGACCAAGAAAAGTATTAATGATAGCGGTAGATGGAGTAGCTCCAAGAGCTAAGATGAATCAACAGAGAGCTAGAAGATTTCGATCAGCTCAAGATGCTAAGATTGCTGAAGAAGAGAAGGCTCGAGATATTAAAGAGCGAGAATTACGAGGAGAAATAATTGATAAATCTATTAAGGAGAAGAAATCTTGGGATTCTAATGCCATTACTCCTGGTACTCCATTCATGAATGGATTGGCAGAAGCTTTAAGATATTGGGTGGCTTATAAGTTAGCTAGTGATCCAGCTTGGGCTGATTTACAAGTAATCATTAGTGATGCAACTGTCCCTGGTGAAGGAGAACATAAGCTTATGAATTTTATAAGATCTCAACGTCTGGACCCTCAATATGATCCAAATACTAGACATTGTATTTATGGATTAGATGCCGATTTAATCTTCTTGGGTTTGGCCACACATGAGCCTCACTTCCGAGTCTTGAGAGAAGATGTGTTTGCTAATCAAGATAAAAGAATGACTGTATCAGATCAAATAGGTCTTACATCAGAACAAGAAGCTGCCATTGCTGAAAGAGATAAACGGAAACCATTCTTATGGCTTCATATTAATGTATTACGAGAATATTTGGCGATTGAATTATATAATCCTCAATTAATGTTCCCATTTGATTTAGAAAGAGCCATTGATGATTGGATTTTCATGTGTTTCTTTGTTGGTAATGATTTCTTACCTCATATGCCAAGTTTAGATGTTAGAGATAATGGGATTGATATTCTTGTCACCTGTTGGAAACGTTTATTACCTCATTTAAAGGATTATTTAACTTGTGATGGTAATTTAAATTTGGATTCAGTAGAAAAGTTAATGGCATCATTAGCCAATCAAGAAGATGATATTTTTAGAAAGAGAAGAGAGAATGAAAGAAGAAGAGAAGAAAATCATAAACGGAGAAAGCTTATGCAAGAAGAAGAAAAGAAGATGAAGAGTATTTATTCATCTCAAGTATCAAAGGGTCATGATAAAGCTCCATTATTGGCTGATATTAATATGCCATTAATGACTACTACTGGACAACTTGTTGAAGGGTATGCACAATTATCTAATAAAGATATTGTTCATAATCGAGACATTATAACCAAAGCCAATATGTCTAATGCCGATGCAGCATCTGCTTTAAAGAAATTATTAGATGCTAGAAAATCTAATGGTGGAAGTGGAAGTGGAATTAGTGCAGTAGAAGCCATCAAGCAAGCCGAAGGTGATGAAGAAACTTCTCAAGACAGTACTACTGAAGCCGAAATCGAAGTAGAAGAAGAAGATAATACTAAAAAGAGACGTTTAGATGATGATAATAAATCTAATACTAATGCTAATACTAATGAACCAGAAGATGATGTAGCCCCAGGAGATGTCAAATTATGGGAACCAGGTTATAGAAAGAGATACTATCAAACCAAATTCCATGCCCAATCAGATGAAGAGATTGAACAAGTGAGACGCAATGTGGTTCGATCATATCTTGAAGGTATATCATGGGTTTTACTTTATTATTATCAAGGATGTCCGTCATGGCAATGGTATTATCCTTATCATTATGCGCCATTTGCAGCAGATATATGTAATGTTCATGATATTATTGGAGAAGAAGGAATTAAGTTTCAATTAGGAACTCCCTTCCGACCATTTGAACAATTAATGTCAGTATTACCGGCAGCATCAGGTCATACATTACCAGAAGTATTTCGAGATTTAATGAGTAATCCTAATAGTGAAATCATTGATTTTTATCCAGAAGAATTTAAAATTGATATGAATGGACAAAAGATGAGTTGGCAGGGGATTCCTCTTTTACCATTTATTGATGAAACTCGATTACTTAAGGCTGTACATTCAGTATATCCACTTTTAACAGAAGATGAAACTGATCGAAACACTAATAAACATGATGTATTATTTATATCCAGTCATAATAAGAATTATAAACGATTTATTGATAATTTATATAGTAATGAAGATGGAACTATACAATTCCATAATGCAAAAAGTGGTCTTGGAGGTATTGCCAGTAAATTTAACAAACATACCCTTGAAGGTCAAATGAAATTCCCCTTGGGACAAGGTGCTTTACCAGATATTTCTAATAGTGAATATCTTCAAGTTATTTATCATATGCCTCCTAAAAAGCCGGGGAAATCAATGTTATTGAATGGTTATATCTCACATCTCAAAGTGTTAACTGAAGATGATAAGAATTCCATGCTTTATGGTCAAAGGGGTGGATATGGACGATTCAATAGTCCTCAAGATAATAGTGGTTATGTCAATGAAGGACCTTCTGGTAAGCAATTATACCTTGCGTATAATATGCGGAGAGGAGGATTCAGATCATTTATTGAACATATGAAGAATAAGACCAGCTATTATGAGCAAAGTTCATCGGCGTACCGAACCAATGCCAACTACAGAGGGAACTATAGAGGTAACTATAACAATGGTAATAACGGTAATTATAATAATGGTAATAACTATAACAATAACTATAATGGCAATGGTAATGGTAACTATGGTAACAATAACTACGGTAACAATAACTACGGTAACAATAACTACGGTAACAATAATAACTACAGTAATAACTACAGCAATAACTATAGCAACAACAGATATCCTAACCAAAACAGACAACACTCTAATGGAAACCCATCCAATGAGTCTAGTCGGACTGGCTACTTACCCCCTCCTGGCAGAGGTGGTAGAAATGGATATAGAAGATAGTACTATATTAACTAATATATCAATATATTAAATTAGTCGAATTAGTCTAATTGATTATATAAATACTCCTATTCTTGTATACATTATCGGAAACTGAAAATTTCAATTCAGTTTCTTCTGTAGCAGGTAACTCAATAATACTCCCATCTAAACAGAATCTTCTCTTTTGTTTAGATATTAAGTTTCTGGCTTTAAGAGTTAGAGTATCATGTTTCTGTAATTTCTTATAACTAACTCTATGGTCATTAATATGACTACCATTACTATATACTTTCCCCATTATATCCATAATATATGTTCCATTATCTTCAGTATTGAATGAAACAAGATATAAACTATCCTCAAGGATATCTCCCTGTGGCAGAATCTCAAACGTAGGCTCAAATCGCTTAGAAGCAGTAATTAACCAATAAGCAAAGGGACCCAGAATTGTTGTTTGTCCATTATTAATAATGAACTCACCTTCATATTTTTGTTCTTGTTCTAAATTGGCAAATGCCGCTTTCTTAAATCGTTCTAAACCAAACTTTCTTAATTCCGGAGTATCACTATCAGCTACAAGTGATGCATGGAAAGCCCATGATAATACTACTAAAAACTTTAATGGTTGAGTAATTTCAGTAGTCTTTTCATCTCTCACTAAATAATATGATCCCTTAGGAAATTCCACTTCATAGAGGTTTAGGGGTGATACTTTAGTAGAGGTTATTAATTTCTGAAGAGCATTCACTTCATCAGTAAGATCTATTGAAAGTGCCAAACTATTACCTGTTCCTGAGGGGAATGGGAATATAGTGATAGTTGATGAGTGTTGAGATTCTTCTAATCCATTAATAAACTCATTAACTGAAGTATCACCACTTATAAAGATGATCGTAGTTGGTTCATCATTATCAAATTTATGAGCATACTCAGTAATTGTCTCGGCCGAGACCGTAGCTATATACTCATGTTTGACCCTTAAAACATTATCGAATAAAGGTTTGATTAGTTGTTCATATAGATTCTTGTCAGTCAGACGACCTGTTCCCGAATTGACCGAGTCTAATATCACCACTTTATTGGTAGTTAAATGAGTTGGTAAACTTTGGAGCCGAGGGATCTCCGTACCAATCAGATCGGCATCGGCTTTAGTAACAACCAACTCATAAGACGTGTCACTGGTTACCTGAACCAATTGACTAGTTCCCGTTATATACACTAAGTCTTTGGTAGTGGATGTCATAGTAACTTTGTAGTATCAATGGCTCTTGTGGTTATGGAGTTGTGGAGCTTATCGCACTTTTATAATGACTTTTATATTGCCTCAATTAAAAGTGTGGATACCCTGTAAATTACTCAGCATTAATTCAGGTTCAATGACACTCGGAGAATCCTTTTAACTAATCGATTACAACCAATTGCTTAAACTTACCTATCAATTGCTAGTTTAGTATAACTACAAAAGTTAAAAATTAAAAAAAAATAAAATGACGACAACTGCAGGATTCGAACCTGCGCGGGCAAAGCCCAAAAGATTTCTAATCTTTCTCCTTAACCACTCGGACAAGTTGCCTTTTATTGTGAAAATCAAGGAGCTCAGTGCGTGAGAGAATTTAAAAATCACGTGAAAGTCACGCGAATTTCACGTTTTTGATCACGTGCCTTATTTTGCATCTAGAAAGTTTTTACTGTTTTGCATCCCTTTGCAACTTTAGAAATAGTTAAATTCTACTTCTTTATCTTTTAAAGTCATAAATAGTTTTGTTATTGAATAAATCTTACTTATTAATTCTAATCTATTTTCAAAATATTTTCGCAAAACTTTTACTTAAACAAGTAATGTACTTAACATACCTAATCACATATACCTCAACTCTTGCATATGTTGACTTATGTATTTTTCATGACTTTCATGATTTTCATGATTTTCCCAGATATTCCCTCTACTACACATAGCATTAACATCACATAGTAACATAGTACTTTAACCAAATGTGTAGAAAGGTAGGTGCAAATAAAAATTGGCGTGCACTATTGACAATTTGACAATTTTCAGATATCTCTATTAGATAAACATCTAATAATACAACTTAAACCATATTAGTCTGTATAATTTTCGGAGATACGTATTTCTCAAACAGTCATTTCAAACCAGAAGGGGAAGTGGCCATAATTATCGGAGCTTCACAACATCGTAATTGATCAGTGTACTTCACTGCTACTAATTTTGCACCCATCTGTGCAGGACCATCTCGCTCATCGCATAGTAAAGTGAAATATTTTAATAGCCCATAGTTAACAGACAACCTTTAACAATTCAATTAAACAACTACCACACGACAGTAAACCACTATGAGTGATACTGTGACGTTCAGTCCCACGCGTGCAGAGGTGTTGTACAACAAATACCGAGAAACTAATTCCGGTAGGTCAATTCCTAGGCTCTATGCCTTTGAAAAGTCTAAATCAGTTAGTGAAAATTTAGATGAATTGGCACTATTTGCATTACAAACTTCTACTGTATTACCAGTACTCTATTCATGTCATGATATCTTTCTTGACTTAGTGTCCCGGTGGACACACAGGTACTCAGAGTTTGAAGAGAAGTTTTCTACTACTACTACTACTACTATTCCCGGTACTATAGTTCTTGCTACCTTAGCTCGTATAATTCGAGTGTACCATCAGTCTATCAACATTACCGAGCATTTTGTTTCATCCATTGCCATATTTGAACGATTATTGACAAACTCATCTGTATCCTCGGCCGAGCTCGAAGTCATCTTACTTTCCTTCTATAGATTAATCCTGTTCGATCGTCATCGGTTCAATTCTACTATAAATCCTCAAGTGTTATATTCCATTATTAGTACTAATAATACCACCGACTTTGCTGTATCGAAATTCTTAGCCATTAAAGTATTAGCCATCTTCCTTAATTTATCAGAAGCAGCCGAACAACGATTAATAGATCACCATATTGGTAGTCAACCAGTGCTTGGAACTTATGAGAATGATCAGGATATCGACTATCGATTCTTAGCATTGTTAGAAGCCAAGAGACTTGCCAACTTTACCAATTTACCATCAGTTACAGATACAGTCATTACAGATATAATTCCTTCATCAACAATAATTACCATTAGTGCATCAGATTTACATCCCACCGTCACTTCAGTATGTGGGATATTAATCTCCAACTTTAACCAAACACAAGATCCGTCTCAGCAAGTGATTCAATCCAACTTTGTCCCTACCGACTCTGCTGTAGCTGCATTAAGAGATATTGCCATAACCATTCAATCCAATAAACCTGTAATGGTATATGGTAAAGCCGGATCAGGAAAGACATTCTTAATTAGTGAATTGGCTCGATTAATGAATTATGATACTTCGATAGTTAAGATCCATTTGGGTGAACAAACGGATGCCAAACTCTTATTGGGAACATACTCTTCAGGAGAGAAACCAGGAACTTTCCAATGGATGGCCGGTGTTTTAACCACGGCTGTTAAAGAAGGGAAATGGGTATTGGTTGAAGATATTGATAAGGCACCTACCGAAGTATTATCAGTATTACTTACCTTATTAGAGAAACGAGAACTTACGATTCCATCTAGAGGAGAAGTTATAAAGGCCCAACCAGGATTTCAATTAATTTCCACTATTCGAATTGCTAATGATTCTACTAAAGATATTATGCCTGATTTAATTGGATCTAGATTATGGCATAAGGTTAAAGTAGATATCCCCAATGAACAAGAACTTGTAGCCATATTACATAGACGATTCCCGCTTTTACAGAGATTTCTTCAATCATTCATTCGATGTTATGATGAAGTGATTCGTATCTATTCGCTCAGTTCGTTTGTATCATTGAATAAAGGTTCTAATCCTCGAGTCATCTCGTTCCGAGACTTAGTGAAATTCTGTTCTAGATGTAATAAGATCTTAGTCAATCATGGGATTGTTAGTGCTGATCAATTATTGGAATCATCCATTTATGATGGGATCTTTTCTGAAGCCGTTGATTGTTTTGGAAGTGCCATTACTGAACCAGCTGCTTTAACTCCATTGATTAATAGTATAGGTGCAGCCCTTGAAATCCCCACTTCACGAGTTCAACTCTATGTGGCTAATCATGTACCATTACTTATTGATGAAGATGAAAAGCTTCGTATAGGGCGAGCCGTATTAAATAAATCATTAACGGTTAATTCAACTAAGAAGAGTCATAATGTTACATCATTTGCTCGAACCAATCATTCCTTAAGACTTATGGAACAAATCGGTGTAGCCATAGAAATGACTGAACCAACATTATTGGTAGGAGAAACAGGTACCGGTAAGACTACCGTTGTCCAACAAATGGCTAAACTTATGAATAAGAAACTTGTAGTAATCAATGTATCACAACAGACGGAACTGGGAGATTTACTTGGAGGTTATAAACCCATTAGTGCTAAATCTATAGCCATTCCAATTCAAGAGACATTTGAAGAACTCTTTACTGCCACCTTCTCCGAGAAGAAGAATGCCAAATTCTCGCAATTACTTGCCAAATGTTTCAATAAGAGTCAATGGAAGAATGTCATTAAGTTATGGAAAGAAGCCATTAAAATGGCCATGGATATTCTTGATACTAATCAGTCAGAAAGTGTGAAGAAGAAACGGAAATTAAACAATGATCAGAAACTGGCCCTTGGTCATAAATGGCATCAGTTTGAACTGGAAGTAGCTGACTTTGAACTCAAGGCTGGGTCTCTTGATACTTCGTTTTCTTTCAAGTTTGTCGAAGGGTCCTTAGTCAAAGCCGTTCGTCAGGGGGATTGGTTATTGTTGGATGAAATCAATTTAGCATCGCCGGATACTTTAGAAAGTATTGCTGATTTATTACTGGAATCCGTAGCTCAACGATCCTTACTACTTACTGAACGAGGTGATGTTGAATCTATTGCTGCTAGTCCTGAGTTTCGACTCTTTGGATGTATGAACCCCTCCACCGATGTAGGTAAACGAGACTTACCTCAAAGTATAAGATCACGATTCACTGAGATATATGTACATCTGCCTGATCAGGATATGGGAGATTTACTTGCAATTATTGATAAATATATTAGTCGATTTGCCTTAGGTGATGAATGGGTAGGCAATGATATTGCTGAACTTTACTTACAAGCCAAGACACTTTCTGCTACCAATAAGATTGTCGATGGGGCCAATCAAAGACCTCATTTCAGTATTAGAACCTTAACGAGAACTCTTGTCTATGTCCTGGATATTGTTAGTATCTATGGCCTTAGACGGTCACTTTATGAGGGGTTCTGTATGTCATTCCTAACGTTATTGGATGCTACTTCAGAACAACTCTTACAACCTCTTATTGCCAAGTATACGGTGGGAAGACTTAAGAATGTCAAATCCGTAATGCACCAAATCCCTCCTCAACCATCGAGAAATGGACTGCAGTATGTTCAATTCAAACATTATTGGCTTAAACAGGGTTCTGATCCAGTAGTTGATCAACCTCATTATATCATTACTCCATTTGTAGAGAAGAATATGCTTAATTTGGTTAGAGCCATAGCTGGAGAACGATTTCCTATTCTTGTGCAAGGTCCTACTTCGGCCGGTAAGACTTCGATGATTCATTACTTGGCCTCTATCTCGGGTCATAAGTTTGTTAGAATCAATAATCATGAACATACAGATTTACAAGAATATTTAGGTACTTATGTATCTGATTCATCTGGGAAGTTAACCTTTAAAGAGGGGGTCCTTGTAGAAGCCCTTCGTAAGGGGTATTGGTTAGTACTTGATGAATTAAATCTTGCTCCTACTGATGTTTTAGAAGCATTGAATCGATTATTAGATGATAATCGAGAATTGTTTATACCAGAAACTCAAGAAGTAATTCATCCTCATCCCGATTTTATGATCTTTGCAACTCAAAATCCTCCGGGATTATATGGAGGTAGAAAAGTATTATCTCGAGCCTTTAGAAATCGGTTTTTGGAATTACATTTCGATGATATTCCTCAAGATGAATTGGAAATCATCTTAAAGGAACGGTGTCAAATTGCTCCATCTTATGGTAAGAAGATTGTCGAAGTGTATAAACAATTACTGGTTCAAAGACAACTGAGTCGACTCTTTGAACAGAAGAATTCCTTTGCAACTCTTCGAGATTTGTTCCGATGGGCTCAAAGAGAAGCTGTAGGCTATGAAGAATTGGCAGCCAATGGGTATATGTTATTGGCCGAAAGAGTTCGGAATCATGAGGAGAAAGTAGTGGTTAAACAAACCATTGAACGAGTTATGAAAGTAGTTCTTGATATGGATGCTTACTATGAGAAACTTGAAGATAAAGCGTTATTTGCAGTAGACTCTTCCATAGTTTGGACTAAAGCCATGAGACGGTTGGCTGTGCTTGTGAGTACATCGCTCAAGTATAGAGAGCCCCTCTTATTGGTAGGAGAAACAGGATGTGGGAAGACTACTGTATGTCAGATTCTTGCTCAGTATATGAATAAACAACTTATTACGGTTAATGCCCATCAGAATACTGAGACTGGAGATCTTTTAGGAGCTCAAAGACCAGTCAGAAATCGAGCTGAAGTTAGTGGACAACTCTTACAGAAATTAGCGGAGTATTTCCAATTACTGAGTTTATCCGATGTCACATTAGATGAACTTTTAACTCGATTTGATCATGAGAAACATCACGATGAAGACATCACTCAGCTTAGAAATCGGGCCAATGTCCTCTTTGAATGGGCCGATGGACCTCTTATCCATGCCATGAAGGATGGTCAACTCTTTCTCCTCGATGAGATCTCATTGGCTGATGACTCTGTGTTGGAACGGTTGAATTCCGTTCTTGAACCAGAAAGAACCATCCTTTTGGCAGAGAAAGGTACTGATAACTCTTTCATTGCTGCTAATGAAGGATTTGAATTTCTTGCCACTATGAATCCAGGAGGTGACTATGGGAAGAAGGAGTTATCGCCTGCTTTAAGAAACAGATTCACAGAAGTATGGGTTCCCTCTATGGAATCATTTGATGATGTAAGAGAGATAGTTCTGAATAAACTTGTCAATAAGGTTTATGTCGATGCCATTGTGCAGTTTTCTCAATGGTTTGCTACTAAATTCGGTGGTGGGAATGCCTCTAGTGGAGTTATATCTCTTCGTGATATTCTTGCTTGGGTAGAGTTTATTAATAGTTGTAGTGAAACTATTACTGAACCTGTAGCTCTCTTGAATGGAGCATGTATGGTATTTATCGACGCTTTGGGTACTAATGCTACTGCCCATTGGGCCGAGAATGAAGTCAAGTTGATGGAACTTCGGGCTGAATGTATACGAGAATTATCGACTTGTTATGGTACTGATCTCTTACCGTATTATATCAGTTCTGTACCAGTGACTCTTAGTGATACTCAGTTAACCACGGGGATGTTCTCTATCCCAGTCATTGGTGATGGAGGTGCTTCTTCATTCAATCTTCTGGCCCCTACTACGGCTGCTAATGCTATGAGAGTAGTTAGAGCCATGCAAGTAATTAAACCTATTTTACTTGAAGGTAGTCCTGGGGTAGGGAAGACTAGTTTAGTATCCGCTCTTGCCAAAGCTACTGGACATGCGTTAGTAAGAATTAACTTATCGGAACAAACCGATCTTGTAGATTTATTTGGATCGGATGCTCCAGTAGAAGGTGGTACTGCTGGACAATTTGCTTGGCGTGATGCTCCTTTCTTAAGAGCCATGCAATTGGGTGAATGGGTCCTTCTTGATGAAATGAATTTGGCATCTCAATCCGTTCTTGAAGGGTTGAATGCATGTTTAGATCATCGTGGAGAAGCATATATTCCTGAATTGGATAGAGCGTTTCCTCGTCATGCTGACTTTAAAGTCTTTGCAGCTCAGAACCCTCAGTATCAGGGAGGTGGCCGTAAAGGGTTACCCAAATCATTTGTTAATAGATTCAACGTGGTGTATGTGGATACGTTGAAGGAAGAGGACTTGAGACTCATTGCTCAACATTTGTATCCGCAAGTGGATCCTATCCAAATCAATAAGCTTATCAGTTATGTATCCCAATTAGAACAACAGGTAGTGGTTCAACGGAATTGGGGAGCTTCAGGTGGTCCATGGGAATTCAATTTAAGAGATACTCTTCGATGGTTGGAGTTGTATACCAGTAACAGTATTAATGAGTCTGTATCGGTGGCTGATTTCTTTGCTATGATCATTACCAGTCGATTCAGAAGTCACGACGATAAGCAGAAAGCTACTGAGTTGTTTGTTGATGTGTTTGGTCAATTACAGACTCATGATAACTACTGGAATATGAGTAGTAACTATGTCCAGAGTAGAGGAGCATATATGTTAAGAAATACTAATGAAGTGTTTAATGATAGTCTGAATCAAATGGCATTACAATGTAACTATTCTGCCATTGAGACAGCCATCCGATGTGTTAACCTCAACCTTCCACTAATCCTTACTGGACCTACAGAAGCAGGAAAGACAGAACTTGTCCGATTCCTTGCCCATACTGCAGGGGCCAAATTAGAAGAGTTTGCTATGAATAGTGAAGTGGACTCAATGGATATTCTTGGAGGATATGAGCAGGTTGATCTTACCCGAGAAGTCATGAAGGTAGTAGACATTACTCAAGGGGTAGTTGTCCATATCCTTAGTCAAGTACTTGTTGAATCCCTCGAGTTGACTGCCGTATGTTTACAACTACTTGAACATATCACCCAGGGTATCACTATATCCAACTACCACACTTTCCATACCTCCTTACACCATTTGGTTCACAACTGTGACAATGACAATGTCAATGTCCAATTGACTCAGGTGTATAGCCAATCAGAAGCACTTTTAAAGAAACTCAGAGCCAAGCAGTCCATTAAGTTTGAATGGTTTGATGGACTCTTAATCCGAGCCGTCGAGTCAGGATCCTGGCTTGTGCTTGATAATGCCAACCTCTGTAATCCATCGGTGCTTGATCGGTTGAACTCTTTGTTGGAGACCAATGGTTCATTGATTGTTAATGAATGCAGTAATCCAGATGGGACTCCTCGAGTCATTGTACCTCATCCCCAATTCCGACTCTTCCTTACTGTCAATCCTAAGTACGGAGAGTTATCTCGAGCCATGAGAAATAGAGGGGTCGAAGTATTCTTAGAGGCTATGCCTGAACGGACACTGGAGTTTGACAATGATGTGCTTAGCCATAAGACTGCTCTGTCGTATCTCCCAGTCACTGAATCCCGCACTCGTCTGTGGGTCACAGTTGATGATGTTCTTAGCAGAAGTAGTGTTACTGCTAGTTCTTTGGACATGTTCAGTGCTGTTCTGAGTGTACTTACCCTCACTGATTGTCAGCATATCGATGCCTGGAAGAGTACAGTTCTCAACAGCTCAGAGTTTCTGCAACTGTACAAGAACACTGCCGTGGACTTGTGCAATTTGGTGCAGTTTATGGCCACTCGAAACGTTTTGAATGTTATTGGTAACGTCTACTCTACTTCATTATCTGCCAATAGTGTAGTGGCCAATAATTTGGCTGCTTATACCACCACTCAGTCTATCCATTTACTTGTCAATGAGTACTTGAACACAGCGGTGCTGACAGTGGCTCCAGAGTCTACTATGGCTGAGTCTACCGACTTGTTTCTGGTGATTATCAATATGATTCATAGTCAACAATTAGTAGACATCACCCAGGCTAAGGCTATGGAAGCCAAGATTAGTGACTTGTCATATGTAGAGAAGTCAGCAGCTCATCTTTTGGGAAGAAACATTAAGGTACCTCCTCGTTTAGCTGTTTTCAAATTCTTGAAGGAATTGGTTCTGTTCATTGATACCGTGTTTAATGATAGTTTACACAGTATATTCACTGATAAGTCAGTGTATAAGGCACTTGTCCACTTACAACTCATGTGGCAGGGTTTATGGACCAGCAGTCATACCCAGAACGAATCTCAAGTTCGTATCTATCAGGATATGGTAGTAGAATGGAGTAATAGTTGTCAAAGTATTGAAGTTATAAGTCGTCATTTACCTCAACTTAATCTGATTGTAGCCGAGTTTGGACAACGTCTTCAACTCACTACTGGTCAGTCAATGGATACTCTTTGGTCTGCCTTTAGAAATAACTATCCTCATACTCATCAGGGTTGGACAGATGCCTTGATGTTATTTGAACTTTGTCATCAATTTGATGAAGTAGCCAAGGCTCAATTTGTTGAGTCTAGAAGTACCATTGATGAGTTCAGAGCCATGATAGTCGATGTGTATCAGTCCATAGTTCAAGGAACAATTGGATCACCTGAATTTGCCGCTTTATATGATACTTTAACTAAGGGTATAGCCAACTTGAAGGCTGTATCCGATACATTTATCATTACCAGACATAATCACTTTGAGTATGAATTCTCTCTCATCTGCTGCTATCTCAGATCGGCCATGACCTTTGGAGGTGATAATGAAAAGCTTATTCAATTGAGCTTTATGGCTTCTACTCCTACGCGAGAATTGCTTGGTCTACTGACTTCTGATCAATTTAGACCATATCCTGCTGTACTCAGTCATTCCTGGATTCAACAGGATTCATTCACTGGTCCTTACTTTACCAATGGACTCGCCCAATCTTTATTGAACAAGGTTGCTAAGCTTGGAGGTCAGCCTGGAAAGTACTTACCACAAGTGCTTGTGGATATGAAGACACTCATGGGAGAACTTGGAGGTAATTCTCAGTCGATTCTTACGAACCAGACTCAACTCTTTGCTCATATTCTTGTGGTATGGATCACTAAGTTTGCCGAAGCTCATGGGGATTCATACGCCCCTCATGATTTGCAATATATCTCTAGTTATGAATATACTGGTGAGTCTATTGCCACTTTGATTGAAGTATTACTTAAGTCCACCAATTCCTTCTTTTACCTGGTGATTGAGAAGTACTTGGGACCCTCCTTATACCTTGTGAGTGGCTCTGGTTCAAATACTTCCCGCTTGGGGAAGGCCTGGGTGTTGTTTGCCTGTGGAGCTCTTCATTTGTTTGTCCCTAGCTCTTCTACTGATCCTGCTATCAGGGAGTATGTCCACTTCCAACAGTTTGAGGATCAGAAACAGCATCTCACCAACGTGATAGATGCCTGGAGAGTGGTTAGGACTGTTCGCAATGGTGATGAAGTCACTAAAGTTGAAGATAGTCTTGCCAAAGTAGAGGACTTGGAAGTGCCATTAAAACCCAAAGTGTTTAGAAAGAATGAGTCTATTGATCAACTTTTTGAAGAATGGAATGCATTTATGGAATCCTCAGGTGATGAACAGGCCATTGCTGACCTTTTAGAACAGACTGACCAGTTGTCAGACTCTGATTTGGCTTCTCAAATGTGTCTGTTGTTACAGAGAAATTCATCTCAGTTTATTGTCCGTTTACAGACAAACTATCCCTTATATGCCGATATAAATGATATTGTGACTGGGTACGTATATGCCCTCAAGCTTGGATTCCAATTGATTCAAATAGCTAAAAGTGTAGAGGTATCTAGACACTCATTTGATGGAGTTTCTGCTGTAGATGCCTCAGTATTCTTGTCGCCTTCTCACTTATCCAGCTTGTTCTATAAGGGTCAACAGCTCAGTAAGGAATTAGGTATTGATTCCCATGCTCCTGAACAGCTCATGCTCTATTTTATGAAGCTTTCGTTTGTTCATGATGATCACCAGGTGCTTGCCGAATCGCTTCGATCATTATACTACCGTTGGTCCTTGAGAAGAATGAAAGAAGAAGAGCTTAATCAACAGAAGGGTAGTTTGTATAAGCATACCCAGGTCGATGAAGATGCTGAAGAAGACTTTAAGAAATTATTCCCTGATTATGAACAAGTTCTTGATGTGGATGCTACTGCCAGTTCCAATGGCGGTGCTGCTACTAATGCCTCTAGAGATGATACTTATTATATGATTGCCAAGACTTATATGGAATATTTCTTACATCAAGCAGTACCAGACATAGCTGATCTTATTAGAGAAGGTACCAAATTGGTAAGTGTCAGCGAATCTCGAAGCCAAATGAGTGCCTCTGTATTATCTTCAGTCATAGCCGAGATGTTTGATTCCTATACCAACTATCATACTCCTCAGACAGATTTCAACTTCTACCGAGATGGATCTACCACTGAGTTCAAGCGGGCCACTGAATTAGTCAGTAATTTGTTGGGGTACGTATTGAAACTCTTGGCAGAATGGCCCGAACATGCCACTCTCCAGAACTTGGCTCAAGTAGCTCAGGAGTTCCTCTTATTCCCTCCCAACTATTCCATGACTCGAGTGTTACAGAAGATCGAGCAGTTGTATACATACATAGCCGAATGGCAAAAGTATGCCTCCAGCCAAGTGTCTCTCAAGACTCATTTCGATGAGTTGACTCACTTGATAGTCAGTTGGAGAAAGCTTGAGTTATCGACATGGAAACAACTCTTTGACTATGAAGAAGAAGAACTTAAGAAACATATTGGGAAATGGTGGTTCCACTTGTTTGAAGCCATCATCATCCCCACTTTGTCGGGTGAAGAAGTTCAAACTAGTTCACTCTTGAGTACTCTCAACATCTTTATGAGTAAAGCTACATATGGAGAGTATGAGTCTCAGCTTGAATTATTGAAAGCTTTCAATAGTCACATACATGTTATAGCCCCTCATGGACCAGTCGATACTTCTCTTGCCAACTTTATCAGTTTCTATAATCAATTTACTCCAGCTATTAAAGAATCCTTAGCAGCCAGTAAACTTAAATTAGGCAAAGATATTACTGAAGTTATACTTCTTGCCAGTTGGAAAGATGTCAATATCGATGCTCTTAAGCAGAGTGCTCGTCGGTCTCATAATAGTTTGTATAAGATTGTTAGAAAGTACCGTTCTGTACTTTCTCAGCCAGTAAATGATATGGTGGAAACAGGACTTTCTGGTAAGGTTGAAGAACCAAACTTAGTCGTAATCCCTCACATTGTTAGCAGTGTTCGTAGTGATGAGTATCAGGCGGTATGCTTACAAGTGGCATCTTTTGCCAATAGACCTAAGAGACTCCAGAACTTATCGATGGTTGATAAGAACATGACAGTTTATGTCAAGCAAATCAATGAGGATACTGTACCATCATTGCTTGAGTATGCCAATGAGATTGTGGATCAAATGAATGAACTTAAACGTGAAACTCCTGCCACTGCTACTGAAAAGAATAAGAAGTTGGTGGCTAATCTCAAGACCCAAAAGAGGAAGTTACTCAGTGACACTTTGAAGGAATTGAGACGGATTGGAGTCAGTACCTCCATGAAGAAAGAGACCCTTGGCTTCCAGCTGAGTGTGGTAACCATCATGAGCAACACCTCAGTGTTTGATGACAGTTTGAATGGCTCAGACGTGTACTACTGGCGTATTCTTGATATGCTTCCTCGACTTCGTGCTGCTGTGGGTAGTGTATCTGAAGATGTGCCACCGGCGGATGCAGAGAGAGGACTTGCAGCTGCTGAGAATCTCTTGCATACTCTTATAGTGCAAAGAGATCCTCTCAGTAGTCTTGCAAGAAACGTAACTGAGTTACGCAAAGTGTATACTCATCTCCAGCATGTGACTACTACCACTACCCAATCACTTATCAAGACATCTCAGATAGAGTCTATCCAGCTCACTGTCAAACAGATCAAGTCCTTTATTAACTATGTACCTAAACTCATTGATTTCTGTATTCATGTGGGTCAGGCTGTAGCCAGTAGTGGCCATAGTGTTACACTTGCAGTGTTTGATACTTTTAAGAGTCGATTTGTCAGTTTCCAATCTCAAATTGGTGGTATCACTGGACCGGTGTATACTGAGCATGAACAAGAAGTTATTGAACGGTTCGGTACGGTCTATACTGAGTTTATGGATGCTTTACTGATGTGGAAATCTCAGTATCCTACAACAGCCTTTATAGCTGACAGTATCATTGGGTGGTGCCACAACATCAAGCTCAACACCTCCATCACATCCTCTACTTCGTTGACATCCCTCTCGACTGTCACACAAGTAGAGCAATCCCTTCGGGACTTATCCAACTCCATCTTAGTAGCTGTTCAACAGGCCACTGCCGTTAATGACGGTACTATTTCGGAAGATGACGACAAGTGGTTGGCTACGTCTCAACAGAGACTTATCAAATATGTTAAGGCCCTTCATACGCAACGTATTATTAGTCGACTTGAATCAGTTATGAATGATTTATGTCATATCGAGCACGGTAGTGAATCCTCAGTGCAACTGGTGGCACTCATCGCCGTGACGTTACCAATAGTCGAAAACTATTTACAATTATGTCAAGTTGTACTTGGTAAAAGTCGACAAAATTACTGGGACATGTCGAAGTCTACTTATGTTCTTAGTAGTGCATTACTTGTCTTAGCCACTAAAGGATTCTGTGCTCCAGAGCCTCCTAATGAACAGAAACAAGATGAGAATTTACATGATGGAACTGGATTAGGAGATGGAGAAGGAGCCACCAATGCTTCAAATGATATTGAACAGGATGATGACTTGACGGAGGATGCTCAGAAACCCAATGAGGATCAAAAGGAGAAGGATGAAGGAGAAGAAGACGACAATGAAGCCGTTGATATGGAAGGAGATATGGCTGGAGAGTTGGAAGAAGCCAGTGATCAAGAAAAGGAAGATGGAGATGAAGGAGACGATGAAGAAGAGTTGGATGAAGAAGTAGATGATATCGATGATCTTGATCCGAATGCGGTTGATGAGAAGATGTGGGATGAAGAAGCCAAAGAGGACTCGAAGGAGAAGGAGTCTGATGATGTGGATAATGCTCAAAATGATGATGAAATGGAAGCCAATGAGAATGAGGATGATGCGAAGAGTGATCAGAAGCCGAAGGAGGGAGGCGATGATGCGGATGAAAAGAATGAAGAAGGAGAAGAAGAAGAAAAAGAGGGAGAAGGAGACGAAGAAGAGGAAGAAGACGTGGGCGAAATGGAGGACGAAGTGAACCACGACGAAGGAGAAAAGTTGGATGATCATGTGCCAGAGACTGAAGTATTGGATCTTCCAGATGATATGAATTTGGATGATGGAGACGAGCCAGAACAGGAAGACAGCGAAGAGCCCGAGAAGTTTGACGACATGGACGTTGACGAGAATGAAGAAGAGAAGGAGAAGGAAAGAGAAGAAGACCATGAGGCTGAAGGAGAAGAAGAAGCTGCTGAAGACGCTGAAGATGCTGAAGGTGAACAAGAAGCTACTGAAGATGCACAGGTCAATGAAGATGCCAACGAAGACCAGGAAGAAGGAGAAGGAGAAGACCAAGAGCCACAACCAGAAGAAGAAGAAGAAGCGTCTGTGGTCAAAGACGAAGACAAAGAAGGAGGCAATGATGGCCAAATTGATCAAGAGACAGCCGAAGGAGCAGATGGAAATGATGACGACAATAATGATGTCGACATGGAGTCTGCTGTCAAGCAGGAGTTTGGAGATAAAGGTGAAGGAGCCGATAACCAAGTGACTGATGAGAACAATGACATTGGAGCCAGTGGGTCTGCATCTATGGATGCTCAACAACAAGATATGAAAGAAGAAGCCAGTCCTGACGATGCTCGAGAATCTGCCAAGGAATCTCTTAAACAATTAGGAGATGCACTTAAGGAATTCCATCGTAGAAGACAAGAAATCAAGGAAGTATATGAAGAAGAAGAGACTGCCAAGACAGAAGAAACCGTGGCTGAAAGACCCGATGAATTCCAACATGTGGAAGGAGAGAATGCTGACTATGATACTCAGGCACTTGGAGCTGCTGATACTGATCAGATCCAAAAGATTGATGAGGATATGGCCATTGATGATGAAGAAGTTGACCAGAATCAAGAGCCAGTTACTGAAGAAGCCCAAGACGCTGGTGAAGATATGGAAATAGATGAAGCTGAAGCTGAAGAAGAAGAAGAAGAAGCCGAAGCTGATGCAGATGCAGAGAATGCGTCTGGTGATACTTCGGGACAAACCAAAGGAGCTTTGATTGGTGAAAGAAGAGATGTGAAGGATGACATCAGTACACTTGTGGATGACGAGATGGATGATATCATTGAAGAAGAAGCTGCCAAATTCCGAGATATCACCATCGATTCAAGTGATACACCACCAGTAGACATTGAACAAGCTCGTGAGCTTTGGAAGCAGAGTGAACGGGCCACATTAGAGCTTTCTTCAGGACTCTGTGAACAACTTCGACTCATTCTTGAACCGACTTTAGCCACCAAATTACGAGGTGACTATAAGACCGGGAAGAGACTTAATATGAAGAGAATTATTCCATATATTGCGTCTGACTTTAGAAAGGATAAGATTTGGTTGAGAAGAACCAAACCATCCAAGAGAGAATATCAAATCATGATTGCTGTAGATGATTCTAAATCTATGAGTGAAAGTAAATCTACTTCGTTAGCATTCCATAGTATAGCTTTAGTATCTAAAGCTCTTACTCAATTAGAGAGTGGAGGATTATCAGTAGTAAGATTTGGAGAGGATGTTAAAGTAGTTCATCCATTTGATAAACCGTTTAGTCAAGACACTGGACCTCGGGTATTCCAATGGTTTGATTTCCAACAATCAAGAACAGATATTAAACAACTCTGTAAGAGTTCACTTGATATCTTTGAAGCCAGTCGAGCCTCTATTACGGCCGACTTGTGGCAATTACAGATTATTCTTTCCGATGGAGTATGTGAAGATCATGAAACAGTTCAACGACTTGTTCGTAAAGCTCGAGAAGAAAAGATTATGATGGTGTTTGTAGTTATGGATGGAATTAATAGTAATGAGTCCATCTTAGATATGAGTCAAGTAAGATATGTCAGTGATGAAGCCGGAGGAATGAGTCTTAAGGTGGATAAGTATTTGGATAGTTTCCCATTTGAGTACTATGTGATTGTCAGAGATATAGCTGAGCTTCCCGAGATGTTGGCCTTGATTCTTCGCCAGTACTTTTCTGAGTTGGCACGTTAGGGGTGTGTATAGTAAGTGTATATAGAATTAGATTAAAAGTAATTATCAACTATTAGATAAAAGTATATTAAGTATTCTGTATTAATTGTATTACTATATAGTGTATAAAGTATAACTACTACTACTACTTCACTACTACTTCATTCTTATTCAACTTGACTCGCCCCAAACAGATAGAGATGTCATCCAACTTCCCTCCCACACTCGAATTATTCCCATACTTTTCATGGGGTAAAGCATTAACCTTCTCATTATATGGAGTATATGCAAAATCATCAAAGGCAACTTCTTTAGCCTTGAGGAGTAATTTATTGGCTGCACTACTAAGACTATCTTTCTTAATGTTTAAGAATTCATCCAAATAATGTACAATCTCCCAATCATATAAGTTATCGGAAAGTCCATCCGAACATACTAAGATGATATCATTTTCTTTAAGTTTAAAAGATTTAACCCATGCTGCAGAAGATGGTAAGATAGTTAATGTCTGAGTTCCAATCTGTTGTGGACATAATTCAGATACCATTTGTACTTCATTGGTCATAACCACTTCTCCATCTCTAACCACATAAAGTTTGGAATCTCCTATACTGATCATTTGTAAGTATTCTCCACTAAGCATCCCCAATATGAGAGTCGAAGAACCTTGAAGATTCTGAAGATCCATAAGATGCAGAGTGTGTAAGAATGAATCATCCAAGATTTGATTAATGTCTCGTCTCTTAAGTAGATGCGGTGAATGACTTATCCGATACTCAGTCATGAGTCGTGAAAAGGTTTCTACCATCGATCGAGACCAGATTCCTGAAGAACATTGATCTTCTCCTTCCTTATCTTCCCATCCCGACACTCCATCGGCCACGGCTAAAATGGTAGGAGACACCAACATAGTATCATCACCTGCCCGAATAGAAAGAGTATCAGATGGTGAACCATGAGGTCGTCTTCTTGGTAATAAAGATGTAAGTTGAGTTGGTTCTGTTAAATCAGATAGTGAATGAATTAATGGGAGAGAACTTATACTGTGATAAGCAAATGATGAATAGGCAAAGTCGAATTTAAACTTATCATTTCGAATCACCTTCCGCATCTGTTCTCGAGTCACTACTGGATATTGAATGTAAGGGATTTCTATATCTTCATCATCAGCGATGACATCGGGCTTTCCAAATGATAAAAAGTAATTTCTGGCACCATTAAACAAGGTCTTTGAACTGGAATTTCGCACATTCCGTATGGCCCCATGTGTCAGTATCTTAGGCACTATCAGTCTAAGTATTTTCATCTATTTATTGGTGAATACAACTAGTAAAGATGATATGTGGAGAGGATGGTCCGACCGGATTTTGTAATTCGGTCTAATTTTGCGCGGCACAAAAATATTTTTATTTATTTATTTCTTTTTTTAAATATTTTTTTAAGCGCAACTTCGGAGTTTGCACCCACTCCGAAGTATGGCACAACACTTCCTATTTGGGACATTTATTAACTATATACTTCTCATAAATACTCTACTCAGCCACAACAGCATCATGAATCACTCTGTATGGAGGCGTGAAACCAGTATGAAGTTGGAATTGTCTTTCACCTTGATTGACTAACATCTCTACGCCTGGAATTACACTCCATTGATATTTCTCATGAGCAATTCTCATCACTGGAGTTAATCTAGGCTTATAGGCCGCTTCAATAAGAGTTGGAGTAAATCCTCCATTCTTAGTAGTACTACCATGATATAAGAATCTTTCTAATTTATTAAGTAAAGTTTCATCAACTGGTTTATCGGCTGGAACACATGATACTACTAAAGAAACAGAAGCAGCCGCTTCAACTTGTTCAATGGTTTCTAAGATTTGAATATTATAATCAGCTGGGAATGATTCCTTAATTTCTCTAATCTTAGATGAAGTACGATTAATCATATAAATGATTTTACATCCCATATCATGTAAGGCATAAACAGCAGCACGAGAAGTTCCTCCTCCACCTACAACTAATCCATTGACATTAGAATTCTCAATATTTGGAACTCCATGTCTAGCAAATGATGTAGTAATACCTACCCAATCAGTATTATCACCATATAATTTATTTGGATCATTAGATGAACGTATGACTGTATTAACAGCCCCGATCAATTGAGCAGCCTCTGATAATTCATCAACATGTTTAATAATATCTAATTTCAATGGCATAGTCACGGCTAACCCTCCGAAATTCTTATCCTCATGAATCAATTTCTTAACTGCAAGTGATGCATCATCAGTTTCAAATCTATCAAAAGTATAAGGAATATTTAATTTCTTATAACCGGCATTATGAAGATTAGGAGATCTTGAATGATCCACTGGTTTACCAACAATCCAAAACTTCTTTTGAGTAAATCCTCCAATTTCGGCATAAGCCTTATTGATTTGGTTTATACTAAGTAATCCAGATGAACCATTAGTAGATTGTTTAGGGATTAAATCATGAGTTACAGGAGTAAATACTGTATTTAATACTCGAGATAATTTCCCTTGTTCTCCTCGATTTATAGCAATTAATGGTTTTAAATTAGCAGCCGACCGGAATACTTCTAAATCCAAATTATCTTGAAATGAAGTAGCAGTTCCCACTAATTTAACTATATCAGCTCCATAAGATACGGCTTGATTATACTTATTTTTCCATTCTACATTAGTCCATTTCAATACTCCGGTATTATCATAATGAGAAATAATTATCCGAGTAAACGCTTTCCTCTCTAAGATCTTCTCAATAAGTGAATTAGGATAATTGGATTGAAGATCCAAGTATTCAACTCCGAGTTTAATTCCCAATAAGAGTAATTCTTCAAGTTGTTCAACTTCATGATCAGGGAACAACCCACCTTGAGATTCAGTACGAATAGTATAAATGATCGGTAAATTCACATACTTTCTTAAAGTAGCTGTTTGATCAGCCACAAAGGTCTTGGAATACTTGTTTAAACTATCAACTCTTAACTCAATGGCTTCACTTCCAACAGCTATTTCTTCTAAATGTTCAGCTACATCATTTAAATCTTTAAAAGTTAATGAGACAGCAGCCGATCTCTTTCTAGATAATTCAGATACTTGTAAACCAGTAATGGTTTTAATATAACTAATAAACGAATTTCTTAAATGTTTGAATTCTAATTCATTATCACAATGAGAAGAATAGAAATGATAATTGGAACATTCATGATACCAATTCTCTCTTCTAATCCAAACATCTTTAATTTCATTAACATAGGCTGGTCTAGTCGTATCGGCCGATAAGAAGACTACAGTTTCATCTAAATCTCGATGTAAATGTAATACAATTCCTCCTTGTTTAGTATAATCTTTTAAAGTATTTCTGGCATCTTCTCCTTCAACAATTCCTCCTCCAGTCGATATAACATAACCCCGAGATTTCTCAGTAAAGATTTCTTTAGCAATAGCAGCTTCTTTACTTCTGAATTCTTCCCATCCATATTGTTTAATAAATGTTCGAATATCAGTGCCAACTCTTTGTTCAAATACATCATCTAAGTCTAAGAATTTAAAGCCAAGGAATGTAGCCATCCACTTGGATAATGTTGATTTACCGGCTGCTCTCATTCCAATAACTATAATGGATTTATCACCATTGGCATGTTTATCAATGAGTAAAGATGAATCATCAGCATCAAAGGGTAATTCATAACCATCAAGTTGAATATTAAATTGACTATGAAGGGTATCCCACCATCCTGGCCATGTCTTCCCAGTACATGATCTTTCTTGAATTAATACGGGTTGGTTACAAAGACCGGCCAATAAGGAAAATGACATGGCCACACGATGATCATCATAACTTTTAATTCCTCTCTTTTCAGTTGAAGGATTAACTAATTGTTCAAGTTTAACTCCTTGAATTTCAATTCCATCCGGTAATTCGTGGGCCTTAACTCCGAACTTGGCTAATTCATTAACCATAGCTGCAATTCTATCACATTCTTTAACTCTTTGATTAGCAATACCAGTAATGGCAGTAGAATTTTTTCCATCATAAGCAACAGCTGCTACTACCGATGCAGTTAAAAATGCATCTGTCATTGGTTCCATATCAACATGAGGTAAAGGTTTTAAATGACCCAATGGAGGTCCAGTTACTGTAGTAGAAGTAGCTGATTGTTCCACTATACATCCCATAGGTTTTAATACATCCACGGCAAATCTGGCATCTCCTTGTAAAGATGAAGATCCAATATTTGGAACTGTACATGAAGTACCAGTTAATGCAGCAAACGCAAGAGGATAAGTTGCTGATGAAGCATCTGATTCAATTACATATTCTTGAGGATTCTGATAAGTGCCCTTTGGAATAATATAAGTGTATTCTTCAGTGAGTGATTGCTTCACTTCAATCCCAAAGGATTTCATCATAGCAATAGTCATATCAATATACAATACTGAGATTGGTTTACCACCGACTAATTTAAGTGTAACTTCTTCTTCGGCATAGGGGGCACACATTAAGATTGAAGAAACATATTGAGAAGAAATAGTGGCAGCCAATTCAATTCTTCCACCCTTTAAACCACTTCCTGCCTTAATAACTAATGGTAAAGATCCTTCATTGTTCAAGTATTGAACTTGAGATCCATTGGCTCTTAAGGCATCGACCAATGGTCCAATAGGTCTTTGTTGCATACGAGCATTCCCTGTTAAAATAACATCATCTAATGAATTCTTATTAGGTTTAACCAAAGTAGCCACACTAGTCAAGAATCTAGAAGCAGTTCCGGCATTACCCAAATACAATTGTTCATTAGTAGCAATAAAGTTACCTCCATTACCTTCAACTACAATGGTTTCTCCATTATCTTCAGTAGTTATCTTGGCTCCTCCTAACGCAGTTACAGCATCCAACATATGTTTAGTATCATCAGAATGTAATAAATTCTTAATACGAACTGTACCTTTACCTAATGAAGCTAAAATAAGGGCACGATTAGAAATCGATTTAGATCCAGGAGGAATGATTACAGTAGAAGATTTAAGTGACTGATCCTTAAATGGATGAACTAACACTTCATCAGTTAATACAAATCCTAAATCTTGTTTACTAATTTGATGAGCCTTCAATTGATAACATCTACCAATGGATTCAAGTAATACACATCTGATTTTACTACCATCATTCTTCTTATCAATAGCCATTTTCTTTAATAAAGTATCTAATTGAACATAATGACGTTTATTACCAACTTTCTTTAAGAATTCTTTATCATCAATGGTTACTGGTAATCCATAAGCCACTAAACATTTGGATAATCTGGCAACGGCTACTTGAGATAAAATACCTAAATATCTTGCCAATTCAGCTTCTTTAATCATACCTACAGAAACACATTCTCCATGTAAAGCTTCGGGAGTTAATACCGCTTCAATAGCATGACCAATTGTATGACCGAAATTTAAGAGATTTCTTAATCCAGTTTCCTTTTCATCGGATGAAACTACTTCGGCCTTAACCCGAATGGATTCCAATACTGTTTTAACCAATTCATGTTTAATTGATTCAATATCAGGAACTTTAGCTGTAACTACTTCAAGGAATTTCTTAGAGAAATTCTCTAATCTGGTGAATTCTTCTTCATTCCAAATAGCTGCAGTCTTTACAACTTCAGCCATCCCATTAATAAATTGTCTAGTAGGTAATGTCTTAAGAAATGATACATCAGCAAATACATATTCTGGTTGATAAAAGGCTCCGACGAAATTCTTACCTAATGGAGTATCAATAGCTGTTTTACCACCAACTGAAGAATCTACCATAGAAAGTAAAGTAGTTGGAACTTGAACATATCTAACCCCTCTCATAAATGTAGCAGCAACAAATCCAATCATATCTCCAATAACTCCACCTCCAACGGCTAAAATTACTGTATCTCTGGTACATCCTTGTTGTAATAAATAATCTTCTACAGCCGCTTTGGTTTCTCTACTTTTATTATTTTCACCTGGTGACACTTGATATTGAAGAAGTCTGGATTCTGGCCTTAATTCTTTTAATTTACTAGCAAATAGTTGAGTTAATTTACTAAATGGTTCAGTTCTTCCCATATTAGTATCGGTAATTATCACATAAGTTGAAGAAGCTTTGGTGTTAATTACAACTTCAACTATATGGTCCTGGATGCCGTACCCCACATGAATGGTTTCGGCACCCAAAATGGACACTTTCTCTATAGTTGACATGGCTTAATGACTTAAACTGTACTACTAGTGGTTTAACACTTGTGGTAATTTTTCACTTTCGGCCATACTGACTCACATTTTTTTTCACCGACGTCACGTGTGTACGCAACCATCAACCATCTCATAGGGCCGTTTCCGGTATCTCATCTAGACGATAGAATCAAATGTTACAGAGGGTTAGTGGAGTAGTTCGATGGAGAGTGGAGAGTGAGGTGAAGAATTGTCTAGTGGAGTATGTAGTGTGTATTATACAGTGAAGTTAAAAGTACATGTGAATGTTAAAATGTATGTAATAGCTCTATGATGTCATTGGTATTTGCACCCAATAGATTACTCAAACTAGAAACACAGTATACCAACATTTTAAAGAGTTTGAAACAAGTTCGATAACAACTACTTAAAGTAGAAACTAAAAAAAAAGACCATGAATATGGATATTTTAAATTTAAAAAAATACTCCGCGACGGGGAATTGAACCCCGGTCTACCACGCGACAAGCGGTAATTCTAGCCACTAAACTATCACGGATGATTTCTGTTTGAAAAGTTTTAGTACTTTGTGTCAGAGTGTTTCTATCACGTGATATATTAGTGGTAAAAAGTCACGTGAATTGACTCGTTGCGAATATGTGAAAACAAAAATTTTCAACGATTAGGACGGTTGGTGTAGTGGTTAACATATCTGCCTTCCAAGCAGGTGTCACGGGTTCGATTCCCGTACCGTTCATTCTTTTTGCATTTTCAATAATTTTTAATAATTAATCAAATAATTATACAACACCTATATTTTTAGGTCAATGAATCTACTATCAATCCCTTATACTTCTAAGACTCAATCTCTATTACTTTCGAGCCAATTGACATCTTATTTTGCAATTTTTATTTTTGCAAGAATTCGAGGAAAAACTTTGTAAAAAAAGTTTCGAGTACATATCAATTTATAGGTAATAGTAAGGAGAAGATTGAATGGTAATGATCCGTTTCTTGAAAGGAGGCTCTACATTATTCAAACAACCGTTCCAGACAAGACTACTTCATCAAACAGTCACAATTAACATGAAAAGAACCGTAGAAGATGAAGTGAAACTTAGTAAATCAGAAACTAAAATTCGGGATATTTTAGTTGAATATTGTAATTATCATAATAAAAATTTGAATCATAATGATAATGATAAATTAGAATTAAGAATTACTGGAGGTTGGGTTAGAGATAAATTATTGGGTAAAGAAAGTCATGATATAGATATAGCAGTAAATCATTTAACTGGTGAAGATTTTGCTTCAAGATTACTTAATTATTTAAGATCTCATCATAATGAATTACATGTTAAATCTCTTCATACTATTAAAAAGAATCCTGAAAAATCCAAACATTTAGAAACTTGTACAACTAAGTTATATGGAGTAGATATAGATTTTGTTAATCTTAGATCTGAAGAATATACGGTTGATAGTAGAGTTCCAGTAATTGAATTTGGAACGGCTGAAGAAGATGCTTTAAGAAGAGATGCAACTTTAAATGCATTATTTTATAATTTAAATAAGGGGGAAATTGAAGATTTTACTGGAAATGGTTTAAATGATTTAAAGAATGGAATATTAAGAACTCCATTACCTCCTTTACAAACATTTTTAGATGATCCATTAAGAGTATTGAGACTTATAAGATTTGCTAGTAGATTTGATTTTATTATAGATCCAGAAACTTTAGAAGCTATGAAAAATTCCGATATTAAAGTAGCATTAGCTTATAAAATCAGTAGAGAAAGAGTTGATATTGAATTGGAAAAAATGTTTAAAAGTGATAATCCTTCTTATGGTTTAAGATTAATAAATTATGCTGGATTAACTGAAAGTTTATTTGGTCCTGAGAATTTCATAGAAAAAGCGGCAAAATTTAATGATGAATCACTTATTGATGAACTTGAAAATGCTGCCCATTCATTAAAAGATCAACTGGAAAGAGTCACAGCAGTGTTTCCTATCTTTAAGAAAATTATTGAAGAAAAAGTTTCAAATGATAGTAAATTCAAACAATTATTTATTGAAGTATTGAATAATTCAGAGTATCAAAAGCCATTCTGGTTAGCATTAATTTTATTTCCATATCGTTCTATATCCCTTAAACTAAGTGCTAAAAAAAATGGTACAGAACATGCTATAGATATTATTATGAGAGAAGCCTTAAAGGGTAAAAAAAGTGATATTGATAAGGTAGTCACGATAAATAAACAATTTGTCTTATCTAGAAATACTTTAGATAGCTACTTTCATGATCCTAAATCCATCAAGAGATCAGATTTAGGATTATATTTAAGAAACTTTGGTACTTTCTCGGATTTAAACATCATACTCAATGCATTTATAGAAATTGTCCAACAATATACCTACGATGAGTCTAGACTATACTTAGTTCCACATCCAATTGATGATAATAAATCAAATATACAAACTTCCTTAGAACAAGTCATGGTCCAAACTGTCACTAAATATGATAATCTCCTTTTTACAATACAACGACAGGAATTACAACAAGTTCATCAACTTAAACCATTACTTGATGGAACCACCTTAAGTAAAGAATTCCAACGTAAACCTGGTCCCTGGATTAAATCTGTATCAGATCACATTTTAGTATGGCAACTAGATAATCCAGAAATGGGTAAAGATGAATGCATACACTATGTAAAAAGTATTATAAATCAGTATTTATAGTTTTTATGTATATACAAATACAAAATTTTTGCACCCTAAAAATTTGTACTCGCACGAATATCCATCCCACTAACAACTATAGTACCCTCTAACTAACAACTAACAACTACTATAGTTACCAGTAAATTTACTAATACACAAATAAAACAACAAATGGGCACTCGACAAAATCAAGATCTTGTACTATTTGAAGATCACTCTTTGGTACTGGAACAAGTGCTCGAAGGTTCACTATCATATTTGGCATTAGTGACTCATGTTCAAGGTACATCACCCAGTTGGTTAATCAATTCATTAGTAGAAAATTCATTAGTAGGTACAGCATCACTTGTCAATAAAGATTTAAATATTAAGATACCAAACCGATCCCAAGTGATTTTCATTTCATTTCTCAATCCCAAGCTGTACTATGTCAATGCATGTAAAAAGAATGGGATTGATCTTGAATCCATCACAGGTTTCACTTATATTGATTGTTTTACTGATTTATTTACTACCATAATAAAGGATACTTCTAATGCTTCTGGATCTATAAACAAGTTATTTGATGAATTAAATAACACTATAAGTCAAATAAATGATCGTAAGAAAGTGATATTTATTGAAGCTCCTGAACTTCTTTTACTGGCCACCAATATTTCTACTAATGAATTATTGTTTAAATTGGTGGGCCTTAATAAATTATCACAACAATTATTTATAATAAGTAATAAAGATTATCCTGATCTAGATGCTAATATACCAGATGATCCTGTATTCAAAATCACTGATTTCCTTATCAAATTATTTCATCGTTCAAGTTTAAATATAAGTATTCAACCTTTATCTACTGGTAGAGCCAATGATATAACTGGTAGTTTAACTATATCTAAAGGTGCAATTCCCTATAAAACATGTAAGGTTAATGAAAAGGAATATATCTACAATATAACTAAGGATTCTAATATTAAATTATTCTTTAGATGATTTATCCACCTCTCTTTCTATGTAAATTATATAAATCATCTAATGCAAATTCTATAGAACATCTAGTCCATAATAAGGGGAATAAAGGCCAAATAGATCTTTCCCCTACCAAAACCCAATAAGGGATATTTTCCATAGTTTTATGAACGTCAAATACTCGACCAAAGTCTTTAACTAAATATCTTAATTCAGGAACAATTGTAATTTCTCTAATACTTGATAAGGATTGTAAAGATGAAGGTTTTTCATCAATAAAAAATCTTTTCATTACATCATTTAACATTCCAAGTTTATTCATAACTACTAGTCGATGTTGAATTTCCATACTAAGTAAATTTTTTATATGCTTTTTAAATGTATATGTTGTATCTCTAGTAAATTTTTCAATTTGATCAATTGAAGTACTTGTTTTTTCAATTATTGACATTGTACCATTTGATTGATCCTTTTTAATATCATTATATCTTATATTACCATAAGATAAATGAATATGTTGTAAATCATTACTTATTAATGGAGCCAAATATGGACGAGCTAAACTAATAATAAAATGATTAACATTAAATAATTCGGTTAATCTAGTATATGGAGAACTTTCAATAGGATATTGAATATTTCCAACCACTTTTCTTTTAAAATATTGTTGCAGATAATTAACATCTTGAGGTTTTAAATATTGAATATCAAGTTCAGGAGTTTGAGGAACTATATTATTATTAAAATCTTTTACATAAATTTGAACATTATCAGAAAGAACTCCTGTACCAATTGATGCATAAATAGCTGTCCAAATAATTACATTTGGAGCAGTTATATAATTTAATAATGATGGAACTGATTGATGAGTTGGATGAACTACAACATTAAGAATCTTTTCTGTCTTTAAATAAGCTTCTTCAAATGTAACATCACCAATTGTATCTCTAACGAATTTTAAGAAAATAAGAATATCTTGAGAATAACCCTTTTTAACCACATTTTCAATTACATTACCATATCTTTCATCCACATCATGATTTAATCGATCGATATTTTTCATAACATCAGCAATTGAAATCAATATAGGTATTAATTCTTGATCATTTAATGTACATACTAAAGATGCAACTGCCGCACCAACAGCACTACCACCGATTATCCTCGGTAATAAACCTTTAAAGTATAAAGCTTTTACAACTCCTAAATGACATAAACCAAATAATGAACCACCTTGTAAAAGTAAAGCAGTACAACCAAAAGATTGTCTTGCATCATGAAAAAAATCCAATTTAAGTTGTTTACTATTCATAACAAATTCTCGTTCATTATAAATAGATTCATTTAAATAATTTAAACAACTTAATACTTCAGTAATATATTCTTCTATTTTAAATTTTGTACCAACATAAGATTTAACATATAATCTCTTTTGAGCTATACCACCAAAGTTTCGAATTAATCCTGATCTTAATAATGACATAATTAATGGAGAATCTTGTCTTAATCTTGCGTCTCTTAAAAGTTTTATTCTATCATTAATTAATATATAATCATAATGTTTTGATATAACATTTTGTCTCCAAAGATCCATATTAGTTAGTCTATCAATCTCTGTCACGGTATCCTTCCATTCATTATAACTCTTAACATTTCGAAGATGTTTAAGTAATTCCTTTAATGGATCTTTACTATGATAAAAATTGTATAGTTGCTTAACCCAAAAGAAGAAGATATCTATTACAAAATCTATTATGGCCCAGAAAAACCCTGGTGTATAATTACCCACAAACTTAACTATCGGTAGTACAAACTTTTCTACTATCATCTTACTTGGCTTAGCCATAACTTTAATAAATGGTTGATGTGTATACATTTATTAAGGTTAAAAAATGACTATGATATTGGTGAGCCCCACAAATTGCTGGTTCTGTGATTCAGATTATCACGTGAAAGGTATAGCTGCAAAAAAAGTTTAATACAACTACAATAAAATTAGAAAATACAAAATACATAATACAAAATAAAATTAGAAAATGTATATGAATATATATTAGTAATATATATAATATTATTTCACATTTTAGGGTCATTCATTTTAATATCTTTTTACCTTTATTAAGGAATCTCTTTCCAAAATCAGATGCAACATGAACCTTATCCTTTACATGTAATACTCTCGTACGTGTGGATAATTTCCGAGGACTCTTATCAGATTCTTGAAAAATCTTAGTAGCTAAATTACCAAGATTTACAAATTCAGGTACATCATTCAGTTTTAATGTGGTAGATAACCAATTAGTAAGTCCAGTTTCATAATTACTTTCTGCTGAAAGTGCCCGAGTTAATTCTTCAATTCTATCTGGGCCATGAGGAGTTGACATAATCTTTTTCCAATTACTAACTGGATATTTCTTACCTTTAATTGGAACAGGAATATTTTCTGAAGTTATTCTAGATGATACTCTTGAACTGCTACTATCAAGTAACATAGACTTAGGACGTTGTATAGTTGAAGTTTCAGATCCAATTCGAGTTCCTGCCGTACTATTAGATACTATTCTGGTAGTACTTTCATGTTCATCTTCTTCATCGGGATTTTCACTAACACTTGGTAATGTAGCATCAATAGTTGCTGGTATACTGTGAACATCATCATAATTACTATTTCTGGATGCAAAATTTTGATTGACAAATGCTCCTCTAAATGAATCTGTATTGGGCTTCCAACCTCCCATATCGAATGTATTGGTAGAATTCCTCCTAGACTCCTTTTCCGAAGAAATATCGGCTTTGTTAATACTGTCAATTGAAAAATTACCCGTAGATAATGACCCTGTAGAACCAACTGGATGAAGTTCATTATCAATAGATGCTACTGGCTTAACTACATCGATTGCCTTTTCACCAGGAGATAATGGGGCTGTTGATATATTCTCTTCTTCAGTATAACCATAGGAATCTGATGTAGTATCAACTTCATCATCGTCTTCATCTGATCCAGCATAGCTAGCACCTCTTATATCTGATTGAACATCATTTATTAAAGATTCCAAAGTTTGGACACCAGCTGAAACAGCTCGCTTATGAGTATGATCGGGACTATCGTCCTTATAAACATCGAGAATGTCATCTGACCTTACATCTTCTTCATCTGAAGAGAGGTCATGATTTTCATCTGGACTCTCCACAGGTCGCCTGGTTGTGAAAATTAAGGAATCATCATCATTATCGTCATTAACTTCATTATTATTATTGTTATCGTAAGTACTAGAGTGACCATTCTGATCAATTTGACCATTTGATCCAATTACGGATAAACTATTGGACTTTACAGAAGGTACTAATGATGATTCATTACTTAAGACTGAGGAATCTGACCGCACGGGACTTGGCGGAACTGACACTACAGATGTAGCAGGAAATGGAGGAGTAGGAGGATTAAGATCCTCTATAATTAATCCACCATCTTCACCTAATTGAACTCCCAATTGAAAATCTTCCAAACTCTCAATCTCTAACTTATCAACCATCAAGTCTAGTGCGGGCAACTCCTCATCCTTTCCTATTATATTATTTTCGTTATCATGATTAATACTAGAATTTTCCGGTATTTCAAACCGTTCTGGTTTCAATTCTTTATTGGGCACTACTTCTTCCGGTTCTTCCTGATCATCGTCTTCTTCAAAATCTTCATTCATAGGCTCCCAATCTCCACCATAATTAATTTCATCCCTTTCCCATCTTTGAGATCTTAATCTCGTAGGAAGTGACATTATTCAGTATTATATTCACGTTTACCTAAAGGTATTCCTATATGCAATTAGATAATAACTCTAGAGTATAAGTCTTATGATCTACACTTGATAGTTGGTCATTTCCCGTATTTACTGAGCCTGGATCAAATCCAGACATTTTTTTTCTTTGTTTTGTGGCAAGTAGAATAAACGAGGCACATAATCAATTGAAACTGGTAGAAGAGATGCTATATAAAGAAATAGTTTAAACGGTCGCAGTCACATGATAAACCTGATATTCATATCTTGAGGATGAGAACAACTCAATTGAGGTTTTTGTGAATATTTTTGACTTAAAAGTGTTCTCATATTGTTTAATAAAGATAAATATGATTGATCCGGCATATCGGTTAGTACCTTAATAAATGACCAAGACATAGCCCCTGTAGCTCGACCATTTTCTTGAGCATCAGCACTAGTTTGATCATCTTTACATCCAGAAATTGATATGACATCAGCTGGTGATGCTTTGATTTGTCTAATTCTATCTTGATTAACATTAGACAGATTAGTAACTTTTTTAAATATATCTGTAACGGCTGAAATTGCTCCTCCTATATTACCTGTTTCATAATCCATTAATGCAGTAACTGCTCCCATACCGGCATCTTTTAATAAATTTGGTTCTTTAATTACCCCCTTTGTAGAATAAACATAAGGTAAATCTAATGCTGTACCTGAATGACATGAATCATATAAGGCAGTTAATCTACAACCTGGAGGTAATGGTCTAACCATAATTGCATGCATATCATCATCAACTATATGACCTGCTTGTTCAAAGTCAACTGGATAGATAACTTCATCATATCCACTTTCTTCATCTCCATCTAAATCCTTAGTAATACCCCCATGACCCGAATAATGAAATACTAAAGAATCATTTGGTCTAGCATCTTTAACTAACCATTGCATGGCTCTGATAACATTATTTTTAGTAGGAACTCTACTTAAATCATGTTGATCATCAGTTAAAATAACCATATCTTCCCATTTATAACCCCATCTTTGATTTAAGAAATTACTCATATTTTTAACATCATTGATACACCCTTTTAATTCATTACGAGAATTAAAATAATTGCATCCAACTAACAAAGCCTTTTTTCTACCAGAACAATTAGAGTATTGAAATGTGTAATTAGTATTTTGTCCAAAACTTTGAGCACCCGATGGTGGTCCATGAGCACCACCAGATCCATATTGATTATGGTTTCCATATTGTTGTTGTTGTTGTTGTGGAGGTGGTGGCCCTGGTGGAGCTCTGTAGTAACCTCCGTCTCCACCATATCCACCATAATTTCCTGGGGGAGGTCCTGGTGGAGGTCCACCATAATAACCTCCTTGTTGTTGAGGTGGTGGACCTTGAGGTGGACCATAATTATTATAAGAATTATTACTAGCACCTGGAAACATAATTTATACAGATACTTAACTAGTTACTTGTACTATAACTATATGATTCGTTACTTTCAACTGAAATTCATATAACCCTACTGTGAAATTTCTCAACTACATTGTGCAGGATTCTCCTATTATAATATATGTATGGTTTATTAAACATATGTATACATACTATCTATAGAAAACTGTTAATTTATAATTTAGAATCACTATCAGGACCATTTTGTTGGATAAGTAATTGAGGATAAACTTCATTGGCAAATCCTCCAATATGCCAAGCACCACCATCAACAACTTCAATAGTACCGCTAACATAAGAAGCAGCTGGAGAGAATAAATAAACAGTAGCTTCAGCAATATCACGAGTAGTTCCAAATCTTTGTAATGGAACTCTTTGATCTAAATTAGTACCAGTAGCTAATCTTGCAAAACCTTCAGTTCCCGAAATCATTCCTGGAGCAATACAATTAGAACGAACTCCAACAGGGCCTAATTCAACAGCCAAAGCATTTGATAAAGCATCAACACCTGCCTTGGCAGCTCCAACATGTGTTTGTAATGGAACACCATAATAATGTAATGTAGCACTCACAAATAAGTAAGCTCCTTTAGTCTTTCTAACTTCTTCAAATGTTGCTTTAGCAGTATTAAAAGAACCTAATAAATCAATAGAAACAACTGATTTAAAAGCATTAGTAGATAAATGATTAAAATCAGATAAGAAATTTCCAGCAGCACCAGCAATTACAAAATCAATTCTACCTAATTCTTGAACAGTCTTCTCTACTGCCTTTTTAATAGATTGAACATCACGAACATCAACATTACCAAGACCAAGAACTTTTGCTCCAGGTCTAAGTGCTTGAATTTCTTCAGCAGCCTTTTCAGTCTTAGCAACATTTCTACCAAGAATTACCGCATTTGCTCCTAATAAAACTAATGCTTCAGTTTGAACTCTACAAATTGTACCTGCACCTCCAGTAACAAAAGCAACTTTACCCTTAAAGAGGTCTGGTTTCCAAGAACTATTATTAACAAATGATTGATCTAAAGTGGACATTATGAGGATTTGAATTTCGATATATAATTAATTATAAAACAGCTATTAACAAAATCTAACTAATTACAATTAAACAATTAATTACAATTGATATTTTAATACCCAACGAGAATATATCACTTATATATGCACACTTTATTATGGATTACAGTTGCAGACCTTGTGAAAAAAATGTGGGGGTAGATATTTAAAAAGGCCGAGGCACAAAGGTCGGCACAAAATATTTGACAGTTTGAGTGCAAAAATATTCGGTGCATATCTGATCTTGCGGGTCTAGTTCGGTTATAGTCTACTTTTGTTATTAAGAATGCAGTAATCACCGAACCTAAAGAATAACCTATGGGACAGTAGATAAGAAAATTGTGTAGTATTGTCTGTATTTGTATTTCTGTATTTTCTGTATTTTCTTGTAAGTGATTTTCATTGAGTGGAGTGGAGATAGGAAGACAAGAGGAGAGGGTGCAATTCCGAGCTACACAGATGATACTAAAAATACCAAAATTATTAAATATTAACTGTATAAGTCTATGTACAAAATTTCTAAAGATTATGAATTGTGGGGATCATTCGTTATGATGCAAAGGTACGTTTTTCATTGGAATCTAAAATTGAATCCAATTGTTTTAAGGACATTTGATAGAGTAATAACATGATAGAACTTTGAACACCAGTCCAGATAAATCGTGGACCTACTCCAGAAAATGCACCCAATATACCTTCATTCTTGTAAATAGAACTTAAAGCTCGGAATGTTGATGCTAATGGTAATTTAGATGGAACTTTAGTTTTAGTTGTAGTTTTAGTTTTAGTTGTATCTATTGTTGATGATTCAGTAGTTGCCGTCTGTATTCTTGTTTTTATAACATCCAATGGAGTTGTTAATGTACCTGCTAAACCACCAGCTGCAGCTCCAGTAGCCAACTCCATAGATACAGGTAAATCAGATGATCCTTTATTATATATAATAGCCAATTGCCTAAATCTTTCATAGAACGCAAATTGTAAGGCACTGAATGGTAAATCTCGAAATAATGTTTCTTTATATCCGAAAAAGAAGGCTTGATTACCTTCAACTTTTGAAATTGATACAATAGCATTTATTAATCCTTTATAATTATATCCTGAACCCTTGGTATATGGATTATTATACCTTCCTTGTAATTGAAGTCTTGTTTTTAATACTTCTGATGGAACATAAAAAATACTCGAAGCAAAATCTCCTAATATTCCTGCAATAAAATAAGAGAAGGTTTCATTCAATTTATAATCATTAATTAATTTTCTTTTTGAATATTCATAAGTTCCAAAAAATGCAGCTGTTGAAGGGAATGATCCCAATATGGCAGGAGAATATCCTCCATATAAACCTCGAAAGAAACCTTCTTCTTTAAATATGGTTATATACGCGGGTATCATATTTTTATATTTGAGATGATGAATTAATCCTTGTTGTCTAGTTTTAACGGTATCTAAGGAATGCATGGATGTATCACCAACCATACCACCAAAACCTCCCGCTAACATACAATTAAATACTGGTGATAAAACATCCTTATCATGATTGTTATCATTTTTAGGAGGTTGAGGTGGAACCTTTGACTCGTGTTGATGTAGAGATTCATGGGTTGGATCAAAACTCAACGGTATAGCAGAAGCTGTAAATACTTGTGACATATCATGAACAATGTAAAGTGGAATTTATGATTTTGATTTTATGAATTTAATATAAATAAAAGAATGTAATGATGTAAAATTTAAAATTAAAGTAATTGGTCTATAGCACTCTGATCATCAATTCAATATAAAAGTAATACTTTAACAATCTAAAATAAATAAGAATCTAATGGGAAATGGGAAATGGAAAATGTGGAATATGAATTAATTAATAAATTATCTATAAATAAGAGCCGTTTGGCACGGCATATAATTCCGTCTATGCTGGGTTTCTATTCACACTAAAGCTTTGGTGACCAGTGACTACTTTTCACAGCACTTTTTTTTTTTTTGTCTCTGCTGCTGTTTCTTTTCTTTTCCTGTTTCTGACTCGTCGATTTCGTACTAAAAATGTTTTGATCGCAGTGTGTGCAGGAAATAACGGCTGCTACATGACTTTTTTTTGCTAGTGATTTGCAGCTGGTTATTGACTGATGTTAAGATGTTTATTATTACGAAGGGTGAAACACACCATGCCTTTTTATTGCAGTGACGCTTGTTATATACTTAGTTACTTATGTACGTATGTACTCATTTAGTTATTATTTTGTTTATTGAAGCCACCACTTCAAATTAGACCAGCCTCTGTCTATTCGGTATGTGAGCAGCATGTAAATAGATAGTACATTTTATACTTTGTTAATAGATCAAAAGTACTATTCCACTATAAGTTCTGTAATTCTGAATATGTAACCACAACAGTATGATTTGGGTAGTAGTCGTTAGTCATTACTTGTTACTTGTTAGCTGTTAGTCATTAGTCGTTAGTCGTTAGTCGTTACTTGTTAGATGTCTTAGATAGTAGCGAAAATTTGTGTGAGCAGAGAAAAATAAATTTATCACTAAGTGAAAAATTATATTTATGCTGTAGATATAAATCTTATAACCCTGGAAATCTGTAATATGATATGATAAGACTAGGTATACGAAGGAGGACTAATATACGGCAAGTAAACAACTTTATAACCTCTCGGATAATCACTCGAGGTTATAAAGTTCTTGCTTTAGAAAGTTCTTGCGATGATTCTTGTGTTGCATTACTTGAAAAATTCCTGCCTGATGAACCTCCAAGAGTTATAGATCAAGTTAAAAGAACTTTAAATTCCGCAGATGTGGGAGGTATATTACCTACAGCAGCTTATGATTTTCATCTTTCAACTGTTGGACCTCTTGTTTCTGAATTTTGTAAGAAACATAATTTAAATGCTCAAAATCCACCTTCATTAATATGTGTTACTCGAGGTCCGGGTATGACAGGATCTCTTACGACAAGTACACAATTAGCCAAAGGTTTAAGTATAGCTTGGAATGTACCTATTGTTGGAGTTCATCATATGCTTGGACATTTACTTGTATCTCAACTACCAAAGAAAGAACAACCAAATATATCTGCCCCTAAATTTCCATTTATAAGCTTACTTTGTAGTGGTGGTCATACCTTATTAATTCATCTGAAATCATTAATAGAGCATGAAATCATTATTGATGTAAATGATATTGCTGTTGGAGATTCTTTAGATAAATGTGCCAGAGAATTAGGCTTATATGGGAACATGTTAGGTAAGGAATTAGAAGCTTATATAGATAATTTCCCTCTGGAACTTAAACAAGAGTTGGAAGCAGTAAATGTTGATACAAGATTTAATCCCTATAAATTCAAATTAAAATTACCATTTAAGAGTCCATCATTTTCCCGTATTCCTAAAACTATTCAATTTTCATTTGCTCAATTCCTCAGTAATATACAATCTTACAGAAAGTTTGAATTAAACTATGAACCTTTTAATGAAAAGACAAATCAAATGATTGCTTACAAAACTCAAGAAGGTATATTTGATCATATAATAGATAGAATAAATGTGGCTTTATATAAACATGGTATACCTACAAGTAATTATAGAAGAGCTGATAATAAATTTATCGGAGTTAAGGATTTTGTATGCTCTGGTGGAGTGGCTGCAAATAAGAGATTAAGAGAAAAGTTAAGTAAAGATCTTAATTATAGAGAGAGTTTGGGTCTTCAAGATGATGAAGCTTTAACATTCCATTTCCCTGATTTAAGTTTATGTACAGATAATGCCATAATGATTGGTGTTGCCGGAATAGAGATATTTGAGAAATTAAAGGTTAAGACTGATTTAAATTTCACTCCAATTAGGAAGTGGCCAATGGACCAGATATTAAATGTTGATGGATGGATTAAAGTTGATGATGAGGAAATTAAACGGGTTTGTAAATATTAATACCAGCATATAGTTAAATTAGAATTCTTGTACATATTTTTTGCATGCACATAATGTATATTAATTAGTTAGTTATCTATATCCTCCTCTGGGATTGTATCCTCAGGTTCATCTCTATTACCTAAAAATGCTTCTGTTATATTAAATCTTTCAATTAGATTTTGCCATGTAGTATAATTAAGAGTAGCAATATTATGTTTGGAACTATTCTCCTTGGCATCTCGAATAGCTGACTCACCCTCAGTGGGTAATACCCTCCTCACCATTGGAATACCTTCACCATTAGTATATAATTTCAATCTAGCATCTTTAATTAAGAAACTAGTAAAGAATAAATTCTCTACTGATTGAGCAAAGGAGTAGGGATTTATTATTAGTTCAAAGAAATTGACATCACCTTCGACATTCTTAGATAAAAAGGTCTCATAAATAGATCTAATCATATATGCTGTATTTTGTTCTTCATTTGTCGCAATATCACTAGCTTGAACGATTTTTGCTCTTGTTGATATACTTGATTTGGTATCATCAATATTTCTGACTCTATTTTGAGGTCTCCGTCTTTCTGTAGCCAAGGGACCATTTAAAAAGTCATTTTTAATTGATCTTTTACTAATTTGATAATATAATGCTCCCAATCGTAACCAGTTGAATGAGTTAAAGGTCTCTTCCCAAGCGATTACTCCTCCTTCATCTTCATCTTCTTCAACTTCTTCTTCATCATAATTATCTTCATTGACAAGAAGTTCACCATCTTCATTTTTAACTGTAGATCTTGAGCCAGCAAATCTCTTTACAGATGATAAAAATTCACTTTCAGTTAAAGATAATCCTACATCATCAAATTTTAAATTTCTAGCATTAAAGGCAGCAAAATCTGCTGTTTCTTTGAATGCTTCTGAATCCTTTAAATGGACTTTTGTATCTCTAACATTTTCTCGTTGAATATTTTGAAATAATGCTTCTAATTCATTAAGATGCAGTATAGTTAAATTGGATGCTTCACCTTTCTTAGCTCTTGCTCTACTATTTCGAACTTCTTGTATTAACTTTTCATATCCTTGTACGTATTGTTGCTTGTCTAATCTTTGAGATTTTCTATGAGGACCTCTCTCATGATCCGAGCTTGAGCCTGAACTCGAACTCGAACTCGATATATCAGAGTCATCCAGACCTGTTGTAGTCATTGGTGTATGTCTATGTGTGTGTTATGGTATATGTCTTGATATGCGAGTTGATGATAATTGTATATGGAAAATTAAAAGTTACGCGTTGATCCACTACATTAATGGGGAAGAGTATTAGTGTGGTACTAGCCAAAGAATGAGTGAAAAGAATGGTGAGAATTATGAGAATAAGATCGTTAAGTTGGATGAGTCAGTTATCAATAAGATTGCTGCGGGAGAGATTATCATTCAGCCAGCCAATGCGTTGAAGGAAATGCTTGAGAATTCTATAGATGCCAAATCTACCATGATAGAAATATTGGTTAAAGATGGAGGTATGAAATTATTACAAATTACTGATAATGGTCATGGGATCAACAAAGTTGATCTTGGATTATTATGTGAAAGATTTGCTACTTCCAAAATATCGAAATTTGAAGATCTTGAGAATATTGCTACATATGGGTTTAGAGGTGAAGCATTAGCCAGTATATCTCATATATCGCGTTTATCAGTTGTAACTAAGACATCAGAATCTCCGTTGGCGTATAAAGCGTATTACGTAAATGGGAAAATGTGTAATGCGAACTTTAAAGAGTCAGGTGATAGCTCCATTGAGCCTAAACCCATTGCTGGTAAGGATGGAACTCAGATTGTAGTAGAAGATTTATTTTATAATATTCCTTCACGTTTAAAGGCATTGAAATCTAAAAGTGATGAATTTGGTAAGATTTTGGATGTTATAGGAAGATATGCTATTCATACTGGTCATGTGGGGTTTAGTTGTAAGAAATATGGTGAGTCACTTCAAGTATTATCAACTAGACCTGGTGTACCAATAAGAGAAAGAATACGAACAGTATATGGTACATCAATTGCTAGTGAATTACTTGATATTGAATTAGACGGTTCATTAGCATATAATAAAGATAAACATAATGGGAATGAGAATGAGAATGAGAATGAATCGATATGTCATACGCTTGGTTTGATTAAAGTATCTGGAGTGATTACTAATGCCAATTACAATAATAAGAAACGAGTACAACCAATCTTCTTTATAAACCATCGATTAGTGCTGTGTGATCCATTAAAGAGAGCAATAAATTCTGTATATCAATTTTTTCTTCCCAAGGGTAATTATCCATTTATGTATCTTAGTTTGGAAATTGATCCTAAGAATTTAGATGTAAATATTCATCCAACTAAGAGGGAAGTTCGATTTTTAAATGAGGATGAGATTATCGAGCTTATTGTGGATAAGGTTCATTCTATTTTATCGAGTGTTGACACGTCTAGAAAATTTAAAACTCAATCCATATTAAGTAAAAGGACCCTGGAGGAGGAGAATGTGTCGCCAATAGTAAAGAAATATAGACAAGAGAATAAGTTGGTACGAGTCGACTCCCAACAGAGTAAAATAAGTCTGTTTCTAGTGCAGGACATAAGTTTGCAACCGAAACTGAATAAGTCGAAACTTCCTGTTATAGAAGATAACAGTGAACAAAAAGATAGAGAAGAGGTGGACGTTGAAGTTGATGATGAGATAGAGGTAGAGGAAGTTGAAGATTCAGAAGTGACCAATAGACGACGAACCACAGTAAATCTTAAAAGTATTCAAGATATTAAAGCCGACTTAAACCAATTGGTTGATAAGCCTCTTAGCAATGTATTCAACAATGCTGTCTACGTTGGAATAGTTGATGAAGCTAAACGTCTTTGCTGTTTCCAATATGATGTTAAGTTATTTTTATGTGACTACTCTTCGCTACTTACAGAGTTTTACTTTCAGCTTGCGTTAACTGAATTTTGCAATTACGGAGATATTCGACTTTCTGAACCTATCTTACTTGAAGATATTTTAGCACCGTTGTATACTGGGGACGCTACAATGTCAACCAGTCTCACCAGTATCAGTGAGATAATATCTACCGTATACAACATGTCCGATATGTTTGAAGAATATTTCCGATTAATTATCAAGAATAATGATCAAGGTAAGCCAATGTTGATATCATTACCGATGATACATCAAGATATACAGGTTTGTATGACCAAATTGCCATACTTTATTTATAGACTAGGCAAAAGAGTTGACTATAGTGATGAGAAGGAGTGTCTACAAGGTATAATGAGACAAATTTCTCTCCTCTATATACCTGAGCCCATAACTAGTGGAGACAATGAAGCTAGAGGTCAATTAGATCATCTATTGGAACATACCGTATTTCCAGATATTCGTAAGCGATTTCTCGCTCCTAAGACATTAGGACGGGATGTAGTACAAATAGCCGATTTGCCAGGTCTCTACCGAGTATTTGAGAGATGTTAACTAGCATATAAATATATAGATAATATATATATATAGGATAATATATACTTCTTTACTATATAGGTAGTATATAATCTATATATATAGTTCTACATAAATGCACGTGAGTTATATCTTGATTTGGATGTATTGTATTGTATTGATTGTATCTCACATGGAGTTTATCGTCTGTAACTCCATATTACCCAATACGGTAATTTTTTTTTCAGTGAACACCCAACGTGAAAGTGAAAGTTAAGTACTGAACAACGGTACAATCACTAAAAATCTCTATATAACATACCATTGACTATTCAGTATTAAGCCAAAGCGTAACGCATACTGTGACTGTGACTATGCTTATTGAAAGTTCTGTAAATGAGAAGTATCTCCGAACTTTAACCATCGGTAGTTTCCCACGACAAGTATTACTGTTTCAGGAATCACAAGATTTCTTTCAACAATTAGTATTTATTGATTATCAATTACAGCTATTGATTCAGAATGAGTTTGGACGGAATGAGTTTAAGACTGCCAAACAAGTAGAGTATCAAGGAAATAAAACCGTTCGAGGTAAATTAGTTCAACTCATTGATTATGTTCATTCTATTACTTTAAATTATGGTAATGCAACCAATTCTTATGAAGAGAAATTATATTATTCAGTATTAATGGCTCATTTATATTATCTTAATAGTCAAATTAGTGAAATGAATCAGATTTTAAATTCTGTATCTTTAACTCCTCAATTTAATTATAATTCAAATTTATCACTTCATCATAATGAATTTTTACAATATTTAAGTTGTCGATATTATGTCCTTCTGGGATTAATTGATGCTGAAAGTTCTTATAAGATTTGGCTTGAATTTCTTGTGAAATTATCGGTTCCATTTACTAAATCAAATGTATTAGCTAATTATTGGTTAGACCTTATGTCAACTAAATTAGTCATTAAATTAACTCAAAATGGGTTAGAACCATTATCTTTTACTAAAGATATAAAACAATTACCATTCTATTCCAATTCCCTATCCACCATTCGATTCAGTCAATTGTTATTAAGACCAGAGAATTCTAAATTTATTAATGATACATTTAAATCAGGTTATACTCAATATCTTTTAGAACAATTAGAAGAAAAAGTTCATAATAAAAGTCCATTTCCAGAAGCATCGAATTCTAATAAAAGTTTAGAAATTTATATTGGAAATTTATATGATTCATTAAGTAATATACCTCAAACTCAAACCATTTTAAAATCTAGTTTATCTAAGAAATTCTTAGTTAATTCAACTTCTAAGACTTATCAATCTCAAACTGTTTTAGCTAATTTAATTAAGACATTAATTGATTTAAATGAATATGATGAAGCCTTTGCTGCCTTTAGAACTTATATAAGTTATTTGGAAGCCGATCAAGAACATCATGAAGGACATATTAATAATATTTTATTAATTATTGATATCTATTCTAAATGTATTCTTAATTTTAATCCTTTAACATCTATAATAACTCCTTCTAAAGTGAAAAAATTTAAGTATACTACTGAAGATCGTATACTTGATTCATTAGCTAAACATGTTAAAACACTTTTAAAGTATTTAAATGAGTTAACTAGTTATTGTGATTTAACTTATGATAATGAAACTGATACTGAAACTAATCCATTATCATTTCTTTATCGAAAATATAATGTGAATTTATTACTTTCCGATTCAACTCAATTGGTTGAATTAGTATCACGAGCTTGGTATTCTATAGGTCATTATTATTATTACTTATCCATTTATGGATCTTCAACAGAAAGTATCTTACAATCCAATATTACTAATCTTTTAAAATATTATAAGAATGCTTTAATTATTAATTCTACAGGGAATGGACATTATTTATTTGATTATGCTTTAGCTTTAAGTAATAATAATCAATTACAACCAGCATTAAAATTATGTAAATTCATTCTTAAAAAGTTTCCTGAATCATTTAAAACATGGAATTTATTAATTTTATTACAAAGTGCATTTGAAGCTAATCTGCCTGATAGTAATAAAGAAGCTATACCAGCCAGAAACTTTAGTGATACAGAAGATACTGAAGATGAAAGTCAAGCATTTAGATTTAATAATAATCCTAAATCTACTACAGTTATTGAAGAAGAAGATGATCAACAACTTGATAAAGATAGAAAGAAAGAATTAGAAATTCAAGAGAAATTATCCGAACTGGAAAAATTTGCTAATAATGCATTAAATATTGCCGGATTAGTAATTTTAAGACATCAACAAAAGAATTTACAATTAACTATTGAAGCCAAATATGAGATATTACAATTGAAATTAACTCAATTGGCAGTTTGGGAATCTATTCATGGAGTTCAATATATTCTTGATTATTTACCTGAAGTATTTATTACTTATCATGAACTTTTTGATAATGTTGAAATTGAACCAACTCCAATTCCTACTTCCAATACTTTACGAGAAGAGAAATTGTTGACTACTACATCTAAATGGTCTCATAGACCTAGTGTTATTGATCCAACACCTGCTATAACTCCTAATAGTCTTAGTACTGTTGTTAGTAATGGTACAGGTGGACCCACCAGTAGTGGAGCCACTTCAAGTACAGTAGTTTCTCATCTTAATACTACATTGATTACCAATAATAAGGAGAAATTAAGTTCTGGTGTTGATAAAATCAAACGAATTTCGCTTCTTAATAAGAAAGAAAATAGTCATAATCATAATCATATAACTCATCCTGGAGCATTAAGAAAGAATTCTTTAAGTAAAGATATTGATAATGTTACCGAACGAAAGATTTTACAAGATATGTGGCTTTGGACAGCAAAGATCTTTCTTAAGATTGGACTATTAACAGAAGCTGAACAATGTATTGTTGAAGCAGAAACTATCTATGAACCCAATTATAAGACATTCAGTTGTTTGGGACATTTAACTTGTAGAAGTAGAAAATTCTTATCATTACAAGAATATGAAAGATCCTTAGAGATTTTAACTACTAAATTTGGTTATAATCGTATTGATTATGGAGAGACATTACTTGGATTATGTAAATTATTTATTATGGATGATAAGCCAAGTAATTCATTATTTATTTCTACTAAGGATGCCGATGCGGGATTAATTAGAATTAAGAATTTATTAGAGAAGTATACATTAAGTTGGCCATATGGTCATAGTAATGTTGAAGTATGGTATTACCTTTCGAAGATCTATGAGAGTATTGATGATAGAGTGTTACTAAGAAAGAGTTTATGGACGTGTATTGAGTTGGAGGATTATCGACCAGTTCGAAGCTTTAATATTTGTGATAGTTATAAGTACTGAGAGTGAGTAGTGAGTAGTGAGTAGTGAGTAGTGAGTAGTGAGTAATACATAGTACTTATTAGTAAGTGTATGTGCTTAAGTGTTTACTGTGTGCACTGTGTGTATGTGTACGACATTTCTCGGTACGACATTTAAAACTTTTTGAACAGAGCAATAGTAAAACTAAAACGCTCTACAGTACTCTACAGAATTACCCTGTACAGTACCTCATACTAAGCATCTATACCCTTCAGTAATTACTGGTCCATAGCGTAATATAGAAAATGACAGAAGTAGTCCCTCAACAAGTGTTATACTGTAAAGTGTGTAGTTTTCCACCAGAATACTGTGAATTTGGAGTCTCATTAAAGAAATGTCAAGAATGGTTAGAAGATGCTAATAGTGAATTATACGATAAGTTATACGGAGAAGAAGCATTAAGTCAGAAATTCTCTAGTACATTATCAGTAGAAAAGCAAGAAAAGATTAATGCCGAATTAGCTAAGAAACAATTAAAGGAGGAAGCTAAGCAAGAGAGAGAATTACAGAGAAAGTTACAATCCAAGATTACCATTAAAAGAATAGAAAGAAATAGAAGAAAACATGTTATAACCATTACTGGATTAGAATTATTAGAAATGGATTTAAAGAAGTTAGCCAAACAGTTTGCGTCTAAATTTGCTACGGGAGCTACGGTCAGTAAGAATGCCGAGAAGAAGGATGAGATTATTATTCAGGGTGATGTGAGTGATGAGACTAAAGAAGAGCTTGAAAAGATTTTAAACGACAAGGGATTGAAGGGCATTGAGATTGAACAGATTGACGATAAGAAGCTTAAGAAGAAGGCTGCTGCTGCTGCTGCTGCTGCTGGAGCTGCTGGTGGTGCACCAGCTTCTTCCAACTAGTTACTATTAACTATATCTATTATTTATAAGTAAATGAATGTACATAATATTTGACTATAAACTAACTAATAATACTAGCAAAAGAAGAAAGTAACCATTACACCATATTAACAACTAGTTAATACAGCACCATAATAAATAAAGAAGTCGTAACAATAAATAATTGCCATTGGCAAGTAACGAACGGAAGGCCGGATATTAAGAATAATAATAATGTCGATGATAATAAATATAATTAAACTCTAGGAAAGGAAATAGTATAGTACAATGAATCTGTAGAACCAATAGTTACATGATTCTACAATAGGGTATACGGGCATAGGTAAGGACAAGGGCATTAAGTGAGTAGTTCATGATAATAATTTTGAAATGGTAGGCACTTTATCTTGATTAGTACTTTCTGAATTATGACTGCTACCTACAGATGGAATAGTTGAATTTATACCAGCAGCATATTCTCCAGATAAAGATTTTATAGAAGGTAATTTAACTTCCGAGTTGGTATTGAAATTTCTGGAAGAATAGTCGGATGTTGAAGTGGTTGGATAGATTGAAGTTGCCATTAGTGGTGATTTTTCAAGTGAAATAGATTTTAAATCTGTATAACTAGTAGTGGTGCTTCGGATGGGTAATACCACCGTTGATGGAGCCTTTACAGTTATAGATGGTAATACTTCATCCTTCTTAGGAATGGTTTGAGCTGGGGCAACTAAGGGTGCTGGAGGTGGAGGAGGTACAACAGTTAATTGTTGAGTTGGAGGTTGTAATACTGTCTGTTGTCCAACTACTGAGATGGGGACCATTTGAGGTACCCCATTAGGAGCAGTTGTTTGAACTAATTGAAATGTTTGTGGCTGTAATGAATTACCAGTTGTATAATATACTGGTCCTGGTTGAAGAGCAACCAACTGACCATAAGGTGGTTGTTGAAGGACATGACCATTGGCAGTCATAGTTGGGGTAGTATTGACTGTTCCTGGCATAGATGGTGGAGCAACTGTTTGAATTATGGAATATGTTGGGCCTGGTAATACTACACCATTTGGTTGAGTTGGAATTCCTGGGCCTTGTACTGGTACAGATACTGGTACAGAATTGACTTGTTGAGTACTTGTAGGTGGAAGTGATGATGGGAAATGTGGTGTAGCAGCAGGCACTGTGGTAGGAGTATCTATACTTCGACTATTACTCTTGGATTTACTATTAGTATTCTGAGATTTAGCAGGTGAATCCTTTTCTGATTTAACTATAGTTTGAGTAACAGTAGAATCTGAATTAGCCATAGCAGTAGGTCCACTTTCGACTTTCTCTTGTCTTAAAGTTTGATTATACTGAGCCATTCTTAAAGCATTTCTTGCATTAGTATCTAAAGTAAGATAAGCACAATGTAATTTACCTTTAGTACAATTCATACATGCCGGTAAAGTTTCATCACATTTAATTCTTCTCTTTTTACATGTGCCACATCCAAGATGGGAATTACGATGTTTTCTTCTAGAATTCTTTTTATTGGCATTTCGAGATTTTATATTACTTTCAAATTCAGGTTTGCCCACTCTGTGATGATGGTTATGGTGGTGATTTATATTTGAATGAGTATCTGAATGTGATACTAATGGAGCAGACAGTTGTGATGGGGATGTACGACTAGCTTTCAGGTAGGGAGACATTTTGATAGTGAAATTTCCCTGAGTGATCTTTGATATTGAAGGTAAAGTATTAGTATTAGTATTATTATTATTATTATTATTAGGATTATTATTATTTGAATTAGTAGAACTTGAAGATGATGGTGAAGATGACGATGAGCTCGATGGCAGTGTAGATAGAATTGATACCATAGACTTAGGAGGACTCACACTAGTAGCCTTAGCAGGCAGAGATTGATTAGAAGTTATTTGACTGGGACTTTTGTTAGGTGGAGCCGGATTCTTTAGGGCAGAATCGAACATATCCATTGTATGGATGGTATAAAAGTATTGTAGGTAGAGTTACTTATTTAGGAAGTACTAAGTAACTGATCAGTAAGGAACGAAAAATAAAGGAAAAGAAGTGGTAGATAAAATTGCAAATGATTCGGAATGGAATTTTGCTTTCAATAGTGATTCTTAACGGCTATGTGTGTTACATATGGGTAAGTGATATTAATAATTCACTAGGTTCTGTAATTTAGTTTTTACCATTAGTGATTTGGTAGTGACAACCGTCATTTTGTCTGTCGGATTTCCCGTTTTTTTGGATTATTTTTTTTTATTTTTTCTTCGTTTCTTTTTTGTATTTATTTTTTATACATACTTAACAATTATGTATTATAATAATTTTATTTTTAACTTTTATTTTATTTTATTTTATTTTAATTTATTTTCTTTTCTCTTCAGTTTAACAACTATATTTATCTGATTTATTTTCTGATGCATGCCTGGATATGCACCAAACTGGCTAAAAGTTTAGGGAGGAAGGCCAACTTAGAAAGTGGCTAGGGGGATGTAGGTTGGAGTAATAGAATATAATATTAACAAAACATAAGAAAGTTAATACTTACAACAGAGATAATATTAACAAGCAAAGGAGAGTGAACCATGATTACTTAAAACTTTAATTAAAATATCAACATTCCTGATCATACTGATCATTGGCTTAAATCAGAGTAACAGCTTTATCTCATAGACGATTCTCATATTTGATGGCACACTCACGCACACACGACACACACAAATTTACGAATCAAATCAGTAAATGTAGATTTACGAGATAAGCATAGCAACTATCGTAGAATAATTACAGAGCCCTTACTTAAGGGATGTACAGATTTTTCTTGTCTATGAATTACTAAACAAACTCTCACTGGTTATGGTCAACAATATGTACAAGATGCTAGGCAAAATCAAACATTATATAGGCAGACTGAGAAGAGCAAACACCAAACTAAAAATAGATCTCGCAAAGATAATTACAATAGACTTAGAGTAAGACTCTCATACCGCAGTTTTAGTCTCATAACCTGGAATTCCAAGAACTCTCCCGAAATTTGTATAATAAGATCTGAAATGCCGCCTTGTGTGGCAATGAAAGAAATCTTTTGTGTGTTGATATTATTGAAAATTTGTACAATCAGAAGACTATGTTCTATATTTGTCGATCCTGAACTCTTTTCTTGTCATTATAGAACATAAGTCGTACACGATAGCTGTTACTATTTTCATTCAGTTATTGTTTATTAAGTCTATATATTGTCTGAAGGAATGCAACTTTTCCATTGAAAAAAATTCTTTCTTTTCAACGTAAATGCTTTGCCTAGCTGCGTCGGCTATAAAACTTATTTATATTTATTTGTTTCTGCATATATTAGATCGAATTATATTTCTTCATATTTTTATATTTTTTAGTTCTTACATGGCATTTCGGTAGGTCTTTACGGAGTTCAGGAATTATTATTGATGTTTTACTTTTTTTACGGATCTCATTGCCCGGACTGAAGCGCTTTTACGAAGGTCTTAGAAAAAGCATTTTCTAGCGACGCTTCACGCAGGTAGTTCACCGAATGCCGAGAAGAGACAGACGCCTTCAGAACATTTAATTAGAAGGACGCACTAGCTAAAAAAGTTAAAGTAAAACCATTTCAATGATTTGGATGTATATATAGAACAATTACAGCGATATTTAGTACTGAAACGAAGACCATCTAAATTCTGGTTTTTTTTAGAAAAATAAAATAGAAGACTTCTAGCGAGAGAATGCTTCTTGTCGTATTGAAATCAAGGCAGTAACTTGCGATACCATAATGTCGTCGTATTTTTCTAGACAATGGATGTCGTATTTTTTAACTTTTGTGAGAGGATATATCTTTTACTATTAGCTGATCAAAATCTTACTATTGCTACTATTTTGCTACTGCTTTTAAGTGATCTTTTAACGTCTTAAAAAAGTATTCAGAGATTTTTCATTTGAAAAGTTGTGTAAGCTTCTGATATGCAAAAACTATTTCATATTTGCTTACTGTCAGGTGAAATAGTTAAAATCGTTGACGTCACGCTAACCTGAATTTGTCTTGATACTGCTGGAAATCGTTGGTATGCAAAGGCCACAATTTCTAAAATACAATGAACATTTTTGTAAAGAATGAAAGGGATGCTTACTTAAGCTCTTCGAATTGACTTGTGATTCCTCCAATATTTCGTACCTTTTTTTTGCGAACTACCAGAAGAACAAAGAGGACGCGATGATCGGAATAAAAAATAACGATAAAAAAAATACCGGAACAATAGGAGGAGTAAAATCTAAGTAAAACTGAAGCATCGGTCATTTAATTCTTGCAAAAGATGCCGATGTCAAATATAAATATAGAAAAAGTATTATGTATCGTATTAGTTTCTGTTAAAGGCATCGCAGGAACATTTGCCACCCATAGCCCATAAGAGAATATATAAGCAAAGCTGATCGACACCATTCCGAGTTCACCGTCGTTATATATTCAGTCTAATGGGGCACATTAACATTATGTTGATTCATGCACTACGACGGTATATAGAAGCAACTAATGAAGCATTAGCCCGACAAAGGAATTATTTCGGCCTACGCTTATGTATAAGAATGAAATGCGGAATCAATGCTTTCGCTAGTAAACGGTTACTCAACAATATGTACAACTACATAATAGACGAGTATACTCCAGCCCACAAATTCTCTTATAATGGTTTTCAAATTGAAATATGCAGTTAAAAATTAAAATGAAATTTCTTAGCTATGCCCCTCTTGTACAAATTATGCCAAAATACACTGCAGTCAATTCAGTCTTAAACTTTAATCTTGTTTAGACATGAGCAATACTTGAATGATATGAATTAGTGATGTATCATTCTTACCGTTGCTACAACAGTTGCAATTCATAGTAGTCGTAAATTTTCTGGTTAGACTTGCCATGATTACGTCATAAATAAAATGTACGAACAATGATGATGCTATTGTACATCCCCTGCTTTTATTTTTTCGCACTTAGACATTTTTAAGCAGGTGCGGCAAATTGACAAAGAAATGTCTGAAACTTTTAATATTTTGTCTGATCGATTAACAGTCGTATAACAGCGTAAGATGCAAGTTTAGCCATTTGCGGTATGTTTTTTATTAAATGCCGAGCAAGTGAAGGTTGCCCCTGTCGTATTTCAATTTTATATTTACATTTCAACATATTATAACCTCCACATAACAATACCGTCTAGCTTATTGTATGAGGAAGACGGTAGTCACAACTCTGTATATTAACTTCTATATAGCAATGTTTATTGTTATTTTCAATAAATGGTTTAAATCAAGTTTATTCTTGATTTCCAAGCCCTAATGCTTTTTATTCGACTCGAGTTTACAAACCTGTCTCGTCATTCCTTTTGAATAACATAATTATGTAGTTAGTGATATAGTTAGTTATTGTCCGCTAAGTTTCCTTCTACGGTAAATATTCAAATACTCAGCTTTCGTCCCTGGTTGTTTTTATACGCCTTGCATTCTATCATTGTTCGATTCTATAACAGACATAGATACGTGTTCAGTCAGAAATAATTCCTACAAAATTGTCTCAGAGCAATCACGAACTTGGTAGTTACCGATTATAATTCTAATTGTATTTTATGCAATTAATTATATAAAGTATGGTGGATAGTTGCTCAATCTAACAGATATCTTCTCCCAGAAAAAGCATATATTATTTTCTTCATGCTTAATTACTTAAGATTTAGTAGATTTCAGCAGCACTCTATTCCTATTATATAATTGGAGCACCAATTATTTCCCAATGAAGTAACTGTTGTGTAATCTACACTTTTAATTCTACATATATTTTCTAATGATGGTATTTTTTAACTTTTGGCATATGCGCATACCGCACATGCACTCTGTTGCAATACCTACAAAATAATTTCATCCTCCACCATTGTCTTCGCATATCGGGAAACTGAAAATGTCGTCGTAATTTTGTTGTTATTTTAGTTTGTCTTCTTTGGTACCTACGTTAAAATGGTGTTCTTCACAATAGTGTATTTCTCAACAATGGTGATTCAATAAAATGAGTGGCTTTACCATAACAATCGTCTGCAAATAGAGTTATGAGACTCATTGTTGACGTGCAAAAATAATTAATTTCAATTTCAATGCAAGGTAAGAAGCGCTTTAAACTAAATTTAACGTAAATGAAAGCACAGATCCATTGTTGAACTAGCGCGGTGTTATTATATTTCAGCTCAATCGGGACACAAGATAATTTGCCTGGTCTGCATCATTTCATCTCAAGTTATTGTATTTCATGTTCAAAGTGATGAACTAATTTCATCTTCAGTGTGGCCGAACTAAACATCAAGAAGACCTTGGCTATTAATTAGAGTTACATAATGACCGTTAAGACTACCTCGGATGGATAATCTTCACTATATATATATATTTTTTTTCACTGCGAAAGGGATTTGAGATTTTTTCAGACAAGAAATATTTTATTGCAATTTTTATAAATACGAACAAAGACCGATGAAAAATTATAAACCATTTGGTCACGTGCTCGTGATCGCGTGACGAGTTTCTCCAGGAAATCAAAATTTTTCTAACGGCTCATCAGCACTAATAGCCTCAAGTACTGTGGGGCCCTGCAATGGGAAATTTAATATGACAGATCAAGAAGCGAATAACAACAGTGTCAATGACTGTGGTAAACAAGGTAATACAAAGTCAAAAGTAAAACAAAGGAAAGGACAAACTGATGAAGAATATAGAATACAGAAAGCAGAATTCGAAGAAACAGGTCCAGTAATAAATACCCAGGATTGGTTTATTGATAATAAGAGCAAATTGGAAACGATTAGTAAAGATGCAAAAATCGACCGAAAGTTTATATTAAATGCTATTGAGCTTCTATATTTTAGACGTAGGTATGATGAATGTCTTCAATTTATTGAGAAATATGCTGAGTCGATGTATGAAAATGATGATATATCATCAGGTAATAGCAATAAAAAGATCGATAAAGATTTTCAGCAAATCTTGCATATCAAATCAAAGTGTACGGAGAAGCTTGTCGTTATACAACCCTAACCAGCGTAGTTAATTACCATCAACGATTAGCTTCTATATTGTTGCACCTCTAGCCTATTGCTTATTTTATGAAATTTATGTATTTATCAATGTATATTAGTGTATAATCTAGGATCCAAATAAAGATCACCCATTTAAACCTTTGTATTAAGTAACATTTTCTGACATATTATTAACGTTTCACCCAAATTCGTACCTCGATGCTACTGACCAGTCGTTTTCTATAAACACTATCATTAAACTCATCACCATCATCAAATTCTTGCTTAGCTTCCTCGGGAACTTGCTCCCTGAATTCATCTAATACTTTCACTGTCGACGTTATAATATCCACTTGATAGTGTAATTCCTCATCGAAATATAATGCTAGTGAAAGTGCCTTCTCGATTGTCTTACCCATTCCCTTAACTACGATGTAATTCACCTTTTTATACTCTCCATTCTGATACTTTGTTTTCCCTCGACTTCTAGAATTAGAAGAGATCATTGATTTATCGAATTTGTCCAACAGTCTTTGAATCTTCTTAACGGCTGATACAAATGGTGTTGAGCTCTTTACGAGAAATGTAGTCTCTCTTTCCACTGCAGATTCTATGCGTACGTTGGGTGAATGCTTTATATGTCGTCCTGCTATTCTTTCGTTCTTAACTATCTTATCATTTGCTGTGGTAGACATGGCCGGCGGATTATCAATAGCTCTGTCTCTCTAGCGATGTAGTTCAGATTTTTTCAATTACATATATTTTTCTCACTGTTAACTTAAACAGAGTATCTCCTCCAGTACTATTAAGAGAAACCAGCAACAAATACCATTTACAAAGTTATACTTTTTCGTCTACTTAAACGTCTTAGAGTATTCTTATCCATTGGCATATCTTTAGTTTTTTGTGTTGTTAAGGCGTTCTTTAAACAAGATTAAACAAGATCAGTGTAATTAACTAGAAACGCGTATCCACCATGTTCTCGTCACAAGAGTCTATACAAAGCCGGAAGCGTTCAGCAGAAGAAGAGGACGTAGAATACGGCAGTGACTACCACAGTAACACATCTTATGATTCAGATATGTATACATCACACGAATTCAAGAAACTACAACGTCATAAAATACACTCCGAACTTCATTATCACAGTATCCAAGTGCTATTGGATGCCCAGAGGCAGTTAAATCGTTTGGAGAAACAACCGGAACAGGAACATAATGAAGTTCAGATGACTCCAGAACATCAACAAGAAGCTCAACCGGAGTCTCAGTATCATCAGAAACCCTTCTGGCCTCAGCTTAACAAACTTGGCTCCTCTTAGTAGATCCTCACTACTATAGCATACAAAAAAGTATTTGAGGTAGTTTACAGGTAATGCACTGTACGAATTACACCCTAAAATAGTTAAGTTATCACCCACGAACACATCAATTGTCTTATACAGAGTTGGGTATAATATAGAAGTAGGGTGTCTTATACAAGTGGGGGTCATAGTAATACCTATACAAGTGTGGGGCCTTCTGAGCATTAGCATAAGTAGCATAAGCATTAGAATTAGTATTAGCATACAATACTAAGTTGAATACCATTCGACTAATTACATAGGGGCATATTGCCTAAACCTACATATCCTGTATAACATCATGTATCGATCATTCTGGCAATGAACAACACCATCTAGAAGTTTAGTATATAGTACAGTGAAAGCCGTACAAAAATGTAGAATGCGTCACAAAAGCTTAGCGGTATGATTGAAATTTTCATTACTTCCCTAATTGGAGATAGTACTGAACAAACTACTAACTGTAGAATTTTTAGTTTCTGTAGATATTTGTATGTTAGTGGTAATACGTTAGTGTTAATTGATCTGAATATGTATATAGCCATAGCATTGAGGGTGGTACCGCTAAGGCAGAGTCTGAGTCTGTATGTGTGTCGCACCACTAGTTTAGTAGGCTGTGTAGGAGTACGATTGACACGTCGATTCCATATATCTAGACCCCTCAATTTCAATCCTATAGTTGATAATATCATTGAAGAGTTAAAGAATGATGATGACGATAAGAATCTGAAGAACAGTAGACAGGATAAATCTAACATAAATCTCAAAGACCAGCACCAGAATCAACAACGACGAGGACAAGGACAAGGTCAATACCAAAACCAAAACCAAAACCAAGATGAATCCAGATATGAGAAATTTAAAATATTTATTATCAAATGCTTAGAAACTATGGGTATTACTATTAGTTCCATATCTATACTTGGAGTAGCAGGATTTTTATATCATAAGTTCTATAATATTCATGTTCTTGATAAAATGAATGATGCCTTCGAGATGGGAGACCCTGCAGCTCAATTAGCCATTCATAAGAGAACCCATGATGATAATGCCGATTCAAATGAATATTGGGTAGAACGACCACAACAGAAACAATTGGATGATATAATTAATGGAACCATTATTGGTCGATACTTTTTGTTGGTAGGAGAAAAGGGAACTGGTAAGACTTCTCTTATATTAGAATCAATGAAAAAAGTCGGTGGTTATAACGTTACCATTTTTGATGCTCATGCCGATCCAGAAATTTTCAGAATTAGATTAGGTAAAGCTCTCAATTTTGCTTATAATGAAGATTATATTGGTTCGTTGTTTTCAATCAGGGGTCCAAGAGATACAACTGCTTTATTGGATATTGAACGTGCATTCAGTAAACTAGAAGAATTAGCTATTAGAAGAGTTCAGAAAATTCATAAACCATTAATTGTTATTATCAATAATGCTCATTTAATTAAAGAAAATGAAGAAGGTATCAAACTATTGGAATTATTACAACAAAAAGCTGAAGGACTTAGTGGTTCAGGTTTGGTAACAATTTTATTTAATAGTGATGATTATTGGGTATATGAAAAGTTAAAAAAGTTAGGAACTAGATTAGAATTAATTAATGTTCGAGATTTCAATCGTAAAGAAACAATTAGTTCATTGAAATATATCAGACATAAATATTTCCGAAATGATCCACAACATCAATTGACCGATGAAATATGTCATCAGATTTATGATCTTATTGGTGGAAGACCACAACATATAACTCAAGTGGCAAGACATAGAGACATAATACGTGCATGTCATGAAATAATAGACCGTGAAAAAACATGGTTTTTAAATCAATGTGGATTATTGGGAGAAGCAATGGATGATGATGTTATGGAATCAGGTAAATTTTCTACTAGTGCTATGTTACTTATGAAAGAATTTGTTAAAATGGATAGAGAAAGAATGAATACATTGATTACAGATAGTGGATCTGATCATTCAAGATATCGAGATCATCAATTACCTGAATTACCTTTATGGAGAAGTAGACAGATAATGACTAGAAATGATTATATTCAACAGTATGATAATCTCAATATATTTACTATAGATTCAGAATCAAGAGTTCGTGCAGATTCTGTTCCCATGATGCGAGCATTTCATGAGATTGCATCTCAACCACACTTTGAATCGTTATTAGAAGATACCATACAACGAGTTGCCGACATAGAATCATTAGGGAGAACTCGAGAAATTGTTGCCAAAGACTTAAACTTAGGAAGTCATTATCAAATATCGAAAAAGACTAAGGATGAGTTTGAAGTGAAATTACGACCAAGTGAAAAGGAGAAGAGAGTTCATGGAGATTTTGAAACTCTAAGAGAAGATGATGATGACGATTGTGATGATGAAGATGATGATTTATATATGGAAGATATAGATAGAAGAGATACTAGAAAATGGTGGAAGCGTAGAATGAAGGGATTTGATCAGACCTATCTGGCCTACCCAAGTCCCACCACTACCCATCCTGAAGATGATCATGAACTGTATTAGTATGTATTGATTAAGTAATTATTTATTAATTCACAAAATCGGTGGTATGCTTTTTGCAACCGAACCTTCACGTGAGTCATGAATACTCGAATTTCTTTTGAGTTACCGCATTGGGAAAATTAAGCGGATGATAGATTTTCTAATTGTCTATATAATTTGTAATCTTATGGAATCTATTATTAATAGGATCTTGTTATAGAGTAAATATAGAAAGAATGACTATAAAGGCAGGTCCCGTAAGGATCAGTACTAGAGAAGCAGCCGAAGCACTCATTGATCGATATGATAATTTTTTATTTGATTGTGACGGAGTAATTTGGCTTGATGAAAAGGCTATACCGGGAGTATTAAGAACTATTGAATATTTAGAATCTAAGGGGAAGAAGTATGTGTTTGTGACTAATAATTCATCTAAATCTCGTCTGGATTATGTTCATAAATTTGCCAAATTAGGGTTCAAAGGTATTACCAAAGAGAGAGTTTATCCAACTTGTTATGCAGCTGTGGCAGCTCTTAAGGATACCTATGGAATTGAATCCGGAGCTAAAGTTTGGGTATTAGGAGATTCCGGTATTGAACAGGAATTGAAAGAGGAAGGTTATATACCATTAGGAGGCACTGATGAAAGATTGGATGGACCATGGAATCCAAATAGTGAATTATTAAAGGTTGATCCCGAAGTTAAAGCCGTAATTGTTGGATCAACTAAAGATTTCAATTATAATAGAATAGCTCTGACTTTACAATACTTATTATATAATAATAAGTCTATTCCATTCATTGGAGCTAATATTGATAGAACATATCCTGGACCAGATGGATTAATCCTTCCTGCTGGAGGTAGTGTTGTTAATTACATGTACTATACAGCTCATAGAGATTTTTTAAATGTAGGAAAACCCAGTACAGTCTTCTTAGATACAATTCTTGCCCATAATGAATTTGATAGACTGAAAACTTTAATGGTAGGAGATACATTATATACGGATATAAAGTTTGGAAATGATGGACAATTAGGTAATGGGGCTGGATCATTATTAGTCTTATCAGGAGGTACAAAGGTATCTGATTTAAATCATTTGATCCAGAACCCCCACTCGTTTGAAGACGGAGAAAGCCTTATACCATCATATTTTGTCGATTCCTTAGCCACTTTAACCGATTGGTTAGAGTGATCTGACACACAATTTTAATAGACACTATATACAAATATACAAATATACGTAAATGCTTATGCGCACACACTAAATATTAATTTACCACCTACCGTAACATGATATTTTTCTGACCTATACCCTTAGATTGATTGTGATAAGTTACGAGCTCTCACAAAAAAAGTCTGTGGATCAGGAATCACTTCACGGCTAAACCACTAATAGTCATTGCCACCCACACCGTATTACTCATAGAATTTTATATAGTGCTGTAGAACATCCTTCGAAAAGGAAGAATTGTATCTTAAATCAAATTTAGAAAGAAATATAGATCAATTACTATTACGAAATACACAATACGCATTACTCATTATTCATTACTAATAGTCGGACCATGCTTAATTTTACGGGACAAACCAAAAAGAGAGTAGTACGACTTGGTGATGCCGGCCGTTCTGGTCCATTGGGTCCGAGAGGTTCAGCGGACTATCTTCATCAGGCCAAACTTCAAAGAATTCAACGTGAAGAACAACGACAACGAGAGAAATCCGCCACATTAATTCAAAAGAAGATAAGGTCATATCTCCATAGGAAACAGTTGGGTCAACAAATTGAGAGACAATGGCTTAAAGATTATAATCATTGGCCCGATAATTTATCATGGAACCAATGGTTTTCTCAAATCCCTTATTTGACAAGATGGGTAATTCCCAAAGAAACTGAAGAGTCAGTACGGAATTTCCTAGATATTATAGATGATTTATTGGAAAAGTCTCCATACGAATTGACACCAAAGCAACAGACAATATTTCTAGATTCTTTAATAGTATTATTAGCAAGAGGTTGGATCTATAGAGGTATAGTTATTCGGTATATCGATAATCTATGGATAAAATTCGGTAGTATTGAATCAACAAATACTGAAGATTTAATAAGATTACTGGCAAAATTTATAATAGAAACAGCTCGAGGTCTGAGACAATGGATAAATGCTCGAGATTTATCATTAAAAGTTGCCATTTCTAAACCTTCAACTGAGATATTTAAGATACTATCACTCTCCAGTGCATATAATGATATTACTAATAAATCAGATTATTTATCAATGTTTAAAACCATTTGGATGACTAGTCTGTTTGTTGGTTCTGAAGATGGACTTTATCTATTAGATAATTATTTAACATTACATGGAGATACTCAATTTGATGAAATAGATTTTAAAGTTCTTGCGGATATTCTACAAAATTCTAAAATAACAATTCGAATGGTTCCTACTAATATTGATTATGATCTGTCCAATAATGTTATTAGTTCTTTATATTCAACATCATTTATTAAATCAGCCATTACATTTTTAACTGATGATAATCAATCAGTAAGAAATTCAAGTTTACATATAATATCTCAATTAGTATCTTTACATCCACCTTCAAAGAGTAAATTATGTATGCTTTTAACCATTACTGCCAATGCTTTTCGAAACTTATTTGGAGCCATTAAATCTCATCATATTTATCAAGGTTTCCTACAATTTAGTCAAAGGAATCAAGATTATGTTAGATATGATCAAATAAATCAAGTATATGAGACAATAAATGAATCTGAAATTAAGACTTTTTGGGATTTAATAAGTACATTTGAAGAAGTATATTCTTATTGGCTTGTTGTATCAAATGATATTGAAAGTTTTCTGGATGATAGACTTGATCTTACAGAGGTTAGTGAATTTCTATTATTTTTAAAATGTTTATGTTTAACATTAATATTTCTTGGTAGTAAAGGTTCAGAATTAATTAATGATATTGATAAAATTAAATCTATATCAATAACTTTATTAAATCAATTATATTCTAAGAATTTAAGATTGAAATTCTTAAATAAAGAATTCTGGAAACCAGTTGAACTTAAATTTGATATAAATGCTTTACTTCCTAATGTAGCTGATGAAGAAGAAAAAAGAGTTAAAATTCAAGAACTGTTTGATGATAATGATAATCTTCAAGATGATAATGATGATATTCTTATTGATGATACTGATTTTAATAGAAGTAGAAAACTTCCTATTTTAACTGAAAAGGGTAATGATACTAGTTATAAATTAGAAGTATTAAAGAAATTACCATTTTTTATTGATTTTCAAGATCGAGTTAAAGTATTTCAATTTTTAATTGAATTAGATAAACAAAGATCAGTAGTTTATAATCCATTTGCTCTTGATGATAGATCTAAATTATCAGCTAATATTCGTCGAGAAGAATTAGTTCATGATGCTTATGACCTGTTTCATATGGCAGGAGCTAATTTAAAAAATCAATTAAGTGTAGTATTTTTTAATCAATATGGTCAAGAAGCAGGAATTGATGGAGGAGGTATAACAAAAGAATTTTTAACTAGTGTAGTTAAAGAAGCATTTAATCCACAATTTGAACTTGAATTATTTAAAGAAACTCCATCAGATAATGAAATTTATCCAAATGATGATATCTTTAAAAAAGTTAATAAACAAATTGATGTAACATTTCAACAAGAAAGATTACAATATCTTCGATTTTTAGGTACAATTATGGGGAAATGTTTATATGAAAATATTCTTATGGAAATATCATTTGCTCCATTCTTTTTAAATAAATGGTGTAATGAAAATATGAAGAATTCTATTGATGATTTAAAATATCTTGATCATGAATTATTTGATAATTTAATGAAACTTGTTAAAATGTCTGAAACAGAATTAAATGAATTAGATCTTAATTTTACCATTAATGAACCAATAAATAATCAATATTATTCATTTGATCTTTTACCTCCAAATGGAGAAATTACTCCGGTTACATCAAGTAATAAATTAAATTATATTCATCAAATATCTAATTTTAAATTAAATTTTTCTTTACATATTCAAACTAGATACTTTTTAGATGGATTATTTCAAATTATTTCTTCAAGTTGGTTAAGTATGTTTGATTCATATGAATTACAAATGTTAATTTCTGGAGCTCAAAATGATATTAATATAGAAAATTGGAAAGAAAATGTCGAATATGGAGCTTATTTTGATGATGATTTAACTATTAAATACTTTTGGGAAGTTGTAAGTGAGATGACTCCTCAAGAAAGATTTAAATTAGTTAAATTTGTAACTTCAGTAAGTCGAGCTCCATTATTAGGATTTCAAGCTTTAAGTCCAAAGTTTGGTATTAGAAATTCTGGAGCTAATAAAGATAGATTTCCAACAGCTTCTACATGTATTAATTTATTAAAATTACCAGATTATCAAGATAAAGAATTAATAAGAAAGAAATTATTATATGCTATTAATACCGAAGCCGGATTTGATTTATCATAATTATTGAAAGATAAATATATTTAATATTAAAATATTTTAAAAACTATTGTACAAAAAATTGGGGATCTACATAGGGTTTATGCATATATATATATATGATATATATATGATATGTATAAAATATATATCACTTTAAGCTCTTAAGCTCTTAAGCTCTTACTTTTCTTTTGTTCTTTAACAAGACCTTTTGTTTGACTTGTTGTTGTTCTTGTTCAGATTCAGATTCAGAAGCAGATTCCATTTCTTCATCATCACTCATCATATCATCAGAAGCAATTTCTTCTTCTTCCATAGCATTTTGTTTAGCTTGTTGCTTTTCAGCTCTTCTTCTTATTTCAACTTCTCTCATTCTTAATAATTCTGGATTTTCTTCGACTAATTTCTTATCAGCAGCCAATTTCTTATCTTTATTACCTCTCATTCTATTCTTATAGAAAGCTCTTTCTCTCTTTTGTCTAATTTCTTCTATTCTTGACATAGCTTTAAGGGTTGTTGCAACTAAATCTCTATTATATCTGACAGGTACATTTCTTCTAGCAGCAAAGGTTAAAGTAGAATCAACTACTAATTCTTTACCAGCAGCCTTTCTAAAGGCTTTAGTCCATCTTAATTTTCTTGGATTACGTCTTTGTTTAAATGCTTTATGACATTTAGAACGACAGAATCTAAATTCTTTAGCATCGTTTCTAACAAACATTATCCCATGCAATGGATACACGGGAGATGAACAGAAATGACATTGATAAACTCTCATAATGATAATAGAATATAATAGAATATAATAGAATATATGTATGTATAATATGCAAATAATAAATGGTAATAATGATCTAATCGATTAGATGGGATGAGCTATACCGTAATATAAATTGTAAATGGTAAATGTAAATGTAATGTTAACTATACTAAATGAAAATTTGTATACACTTCACAGTACTATCTCTTAATACTCTCTTATATACACTAACGTTCTGTAGATCTTATTACTAAACTATAACAAACCAAACTTGTGATATTGACCCTCCATCTACAAATTATGAATAATTCTAAAATTTTTTAGAGATGTGCAAAAGAAAAAAAATTAGTGTGGCCTGCATACAGAGCAGAGAGAAAGAAAATTTAAGCAGTATCAGATGGAAACTTTTCACTGGGTGTCTCAGTGATCATTCATCTATATCATTTGCCGTCAAATAAGTTAGTAGTACAATTTCAGGTAATAGTACGATTACATAATAGTATATTTAATATAATTACTATAATACTATAATAGCATACTAAAAATAATCCAGAATGGTTGCTAATAATATCGAAGTTCCTACATTACCTATACCGGGAGAAGGACTCCAACCACAAACCATAGATATGAGTTCTCAACAACAACAACAATATACTGGACATTTACAACGTAAGAAGGCTCCAGAAGGAAGTGCAGAATGGTACTTTGATCAAGCATCAGAATGGGTAGGAGAACATCCTTGGTTAACCGGATTTGCTGTATTAGGAGTTGGACAACTTGTACTTGGAAGAATTAAATCTAAACAGCCCGGTATAAATGGTAAAGCATTTATTAAAGGAGGATTCGGACAAAAGATGACAGCTAAAGAAGCATTACAAATATTAAATTTAAAAGAAACAAACTTATCTAAAGCAAAATTAAAGGATCAACATAGAAAATTAATGTTGGCTAATCATCCAGATAAAGGTGGATCACCATTCTTAGCCACTAAAGTTAATGAAGCCAAGGACTTTTTGGAAAAGAGAGGTGGAATGAAAACCAAGTGAACTAACAACTAATAACTAATAACTAAGAACACTCATGTAGATATAGACCCAATGTATATAAGTTCAGTATTGAACAAAGCAGTCAGTTTAATAATTATATATAGTAATGTAAATTGCATTAAATTGAATTAAATAGAAGTAAATTGAAAAATCCCGGTCGTGCGAAACCGCCAATATCGCTCCGCCAGAAAAACTGACATAGGGCCTAAAATTAGCCAAGCCCGTCCCATCTCCAGTGTTTACCAATTGGTAGTATAGTGATAGACCATTTGTAAGATTCAATTATTGTATCAATTGGTTAGTGTAGGACACGTAGTTACTGCATATTAGTTTGGGGAAATACACTGGCATTTTTTTCATATTTATAGATCAATTTCATTCTATCGCATTCAAAATTCCCCCTATTATCATTTATTAATCCGGATATTCCTCATCACACTATGACTACTTATGAAAAGATTGTTAAGGGAGCTACTAAAATAAAAGTGGCAGCTCCCAAGCCTAAATACATAGAGCCTATCTTAATGGCAACATCAACTGATTTAGCCTTAGAAACTGAAAATCTTAGTACTATTATGAGAACTTTACAACATAGACTTCAAGATAGTGCATGGTCAGTAGTTTATAAACTGTTAATTGTTATTCATATTATGATAAGAGAAGGTGATAAAGATGTTGCTTTGAATTTTTTAGTCAATAAATATCCTCAAATGCTTAATTTATCAACTTCAAATATAGCTAAAAATAGTGGACTTAATAATGATGTTCGATTTATTGTTAAATATGGTAAATATTTACAAACAAGAGTTAAACAATTTGAATCGACTGGAATTGATTATGTAAGAGATGAAAGATCCAATAATAGTTCTAATCAACAAGGTGGAAGATTAAGATCATTACTGATTGATAAAGGTTTATTAAGAGAAACTGAATCAGTTCAAAAACAAATTGATGCATTATTAAAGAATAATTTTATGGAAAATGAAGTTAATAATGATGTTATATTAACTGCATTCAGATTATTAGTTAATGATTTATTAGCATTATTTCAAGAATTAAATGAGGGAGTCATTAATATTTTAGAACATTACTTTGAAATGTCAAAAGTTGATGCTGAAAGGGCGCTTAAAATTTATAAAAAGTTTGTTGATCAAACCAAATATGTAATTGATTATTTGAGAGTAGCGAAACATCTTGAATATGCTACAAAATTACATGTTCCAACCATTAAGCATGCACCAACAGCATTGACTTCATCATTAGAAGAATACTTAGATGATCCTAATTATGAGGCTAACAGAAGACAATATTTGAATGAAAAGTCTAATAAAGATTCTAATGGAAAGACTAATCAAACAGGTAGTGCTCTGTCTCAACAGCAACAGCAACAGCAACAGCAACAACAACAGCAACAACAGCAGCCTGTGCCAATCAATGTTGCCGTTCCTGATCAAACAAATGGTGTCTTGCAAAGAAATAATTCATTAATTGTTAGACAGTCAACATATAATCCATGGGGTACTATTGCAGTTCCTGCAAGTTTTGCACAAGTAGCTGCTGTCAATGGTATTCAAACCATACCTCAGCAACAGCAACAACAGGTTCAACCACAACAAGGAGTTGTATTATCTCACACAGGAGGGTTCTCAGTCTTGCCAACTATCGCTCAAGGACAACCCCTTCAACAGCAACAACCACAACCACAACAACAAATTAATGCTGCTTTTACAGGAGCTGGTTTTGGTGGATATGGTGCACAACTTCAACCTCAACATACCAATACCAATCCATTCTTAACTCAACAACAACCTCAACCGCAACCGCAACCTCAACCTCAACCTGTTCAACAGCAGCAGACTCAACAATCTTTGAATACTGTTACTCCATATCAACCATTTCAACAACAATTCCAGGCTCCACAACAGCAACAGCCTCAACAATTCCAACCTCAATTTACATCGTTACAAAGATCAAATACTAATCCTTTTGCAAGATTAACTGCAACTGCAACTGGTCAGCCATTACAAGCACAAGAAACTAATCCATTCGCACAAACAAGATTTGCTAGTGATAGCCATACTACTGCATTGACCTTTAATAACGAACAACCTAAACCAATTCAAGCCTCAGCTACAGGTAATAATCCATTTAAACTTTCCCAAACTACTACTAATTTATTCAATACTGCAGAGGCAAATGCTCAAAGAAATGTTAGTCAACAACAACCATTGAAACCTCATGTAACTGCAGGAGGTTTAGAACATATCCCTACTATCCCAGTATTCCCTGAGACTCAGAAGGAAGCGCAGAAAGAGTTTTTCTTGAATAATGCTAGAACATCTATACAACAACAGTACACTAGTCAGTTTCAACAGCAACAGCAGCAGCAGCAACAGCAGCAGCAACAGCAGAATCAACAAGGATTTGGCTACCAAGTTGCACCTACAACTACAAGCCCTGCCCCTCAACAATTTCAACAGTATGGACTGCCATTTGCACAACAATTCTCACCCCAACCTCAAGCGCAACCCATACTTCAACAGCAGGTTACCCATTACGATGGTCCCAGCTTAATTTAATTCATATTGCATATAGAGTTTGCCCTTTTTTTCTACTCCCCGTTTATATCTGTCTTTCAAAACTATTTCGTATTTACAATATATAAATTGTTAAAAGTTTCTAATTTGGTACAGGGTCCTTATTGTCCCATTGAAAGTCTAAGAGATCGTCATGTTACATAAAAGTTGGGCATAATTTTTTAAAGATATTTTATAAAATAAAACAGAAACGACATTATGGTTATGCAATTTTCACCATTGTGTCTGATTTGCACTTTATGCCTCACAAAGATATAAGTGTACATTTAATCGACTTGTACATCGGTATTCCTCTTTCCTCTTTAGGTGCGCGCATTTTATTTTTACTTTTGAAACCCTATTAGTGCAGATGCATAAGATAAGGGCATTAAAATAAAGGAACAAACTCCTATACAGTTCTATATTTATGCAGTAGTTAATGACAAATTTGACAATTTGTGAACAGACATTTATTTGAGCTATTTATAGTGACATTTGTTAAAGCTATTTATAGTGATACATACTTTTGCTCCCATTCTATTGAAACTATACTTCACTTGAAATGTTTATCAAATGTCTTAATATCTTTATTTCTTACTTTCTAGTAACATCTAGCTTAATTGGTTATGTATCTGCTATTAATATGACAGAGTATTCAAATAAAGTCTGTTATACAATGTTACATTCTAGAGTGTTTAGAGAAAATGTTAATATAACAAAATATGTATCCGATGATGAATTTGGCAATGTGTTTGTTGCTCTTACTAGGTACAAATTAGAACTGGATGAAGATGCAGATATGATTACTGTGACTGATAATGACCTTGACGAAGTGGTGAGAAAGATTTCTGGACATATCTCAGAAAATTATAACTCACTATATAATCCATCTGTCGAATATTGCGAGTATCAACGTATTGTTAAATCTAACAATAGATTAGGATCTAATGATCACGAAAGGCAAATTCTTAAAGATTATAATGATCATCATAGGCTTGATTCATCAATTGTCTGACCATAGTCAAAGACCTAGTTGCTGATGATATTAAATAGGAATAGCACGACTTTTATCCTTCTACTCACCAATTATATCTATATTAAATTAGAGGATCGTATTTGAAATATAAATTTACATATTTAAACTTAAACCTATCAGTAGTCTGACTGCCAAAGCTCCTTATTGTAATCTTCAGTCACATCAGAATCTTCTCCGTACTCTTCTTGCCATTTAGTGAACCCACCTCGCAAAACCCATACCCTCAAGGATGAGAAATATTGTTCCCTCTCGGGATCATTAATTCCATTCAACGAATTTATAAATTTTATAGTTGATCCTGGACCTCTAACTTGCGATAATGCGCAATGAAATACAACATCATTAATTCCATTAGTAAACAATCTTTCTTGTAAATCGGGTAATGTATAACTAAAGTTACCAGCCGGATAATGATAGCAACCTCGAATATGTCCCCCTATATAATCTGAATCTCGAACATCCACAACTGCAAATTTACCTTGACCTGTAGGTGATCCACCCTTAAACCAAGTGTATAACGTCCTAGGATTTAGGAAATTTAAATCAGAAACCGTATGTATCTTTCCCATCAGGTTCTATTCTCTAATACCTCTACAAACCACTATAAATCTCTATCAATCTCTATCAATTGTTAGATATTGTTTCTCATAAACTGAGGACATCTCTCCGGCCCAAATCAAATCAAATCAAAGGCTCACTAAAAATTCATCCGCCTACCGAAAAAAAGTTTCAATTTCCCTATGAAATAAATCGTGCCAGAGGGTACAATCGTATCATATTATCGTTGAAATTATATGGACAAGGAGTAGATGAGAATATATAGTTGCTGTGAATATTAAAAATAGATCATATAACTCATTAAGTAACTATGTCTCCACCCAAAACTAAAAAATTAAATAGTAGCACAGCTAGTATAGCAAGTGATAAACGATTATCAAGAACAATATCAGTTGAATCAATTGCTCCTAAAATATCACAATTGTTTAAGAGAAATAGAAAAAGAGGATTTGAAGATGATGACTCCGTAGTCTCTTCACCAATTGATACACCACGAGATTCAGACGCCGAAGAAGATGGCGATAAACATAATGGTGAAGAACCAGTAACTAAAAAGAGAAAGGTTAAAACTAAACAAGAAGAAGAATTCGAAGAAAATGAAAGGAAACTAGATGCTGAGTTACCGGAAGAATTAAGAAAGTTCAGACCAGCTGGTTATAAATTCAATTTACCACCTACTGATAGACCAATTAGAATTTATGCTGATGGAGTCTTTGATTTATTCCATTTAGGACATATGAGACAATTGGAACAAGCAAAGAAATCTTTTGAAAATGTTGAATTGGTATGTGGAGTACCTTCAGATATTGAAACTCATAAAAGAAAGGGATTAACTGTATTATCAGATCAACAAAGATGTGATACTTTAAAACATTGTCGTTGGGTTGATGAAGTTATTCCTAATGCTCCTTGGTGTGTTACTACAGATTTCTTAGATGAACATAATATTGATTATGTTGCTCATGATGATTTACCATACGCTTCTGCAGATTCAGATGATATTTATAAACCTATTAAACAAATGGGTAAATTTTTAACAACTCAAAGAACAGAAGGTATTTCAACTTCAGATATTATTACTAAAATTATTAGAGATTATGATAAATACTTGATGAGAAATTTTGCTCGTGGAGCTACTAGAAAGGAATTAAATGTAAGTTGGTTTAAGAAGAATGAATTGGATTTAAAGAAACATATTAGTGATTTTAGAGTATATTGGGAAAAGAATAAAGAGAATTTTAATAATGTATCTCGAGATTTATATTTTGAAATTAGAGAATTTATGAGAGGTAAAAAATTTGATGTACAATCATTCTTAGATAATAATAATCTGGCAACTACTAGTGATTCTGAAGATACTATATCAAGAATAAGTTCACCATTAACAGAATTTGCTGCTAAATATATGGGAAATGCTAATAAAGATTTAAATAATAATAAATCTATTTTTGCTAATGTTAGAGGTTGGATTACTCGTGATGATCATGATGATTCATCTAATGAAGATAATGAAGATCCAGATACTCCAAATTTAGCTAAATCAAAAATTAGACCCATTAAAGTCCCTGTAACTCCTAATAAATCTAGTCCAAAAAAGCCTAGACGAAATTCCACCAATAAAAGAGCAAAAAAGTAATAAACCTTTAATAATTTCATTTTTCTATATTTATATATTACTACTCAATCATCATTATTACCTATATAATAATAACATATAGTAAGGACACTTTGCACATTAATGGCGAAAATTTAAAAATACATAGTAGTGCCCGTTGCCTCTTCGCGGATAAAATTAAATTATTTATTATTTCTTGTGCGATAAAGTTATAAAGCTGGAGAAGTGTGTAGAGTAGTGTATGGTTAGTCAAGTGAATATCCAATAAAGTAACATAGTAGTTTGACAGTCTGGAATTGTTCAATGCAGTGTAAACCATGAGTAAGGATAAGGCGGGAAAAGAAAGATCTAAGGAAGATACGTTACTCAACCTCGAACATCTACAAGAACAACTAAAGATTCAACAAGAAGAGTTATTTCAACAACAACGAGAATTATTATTACATGAACCGGAACTTTTACGATCTGATACTAAACGACTGTTACTTCTGGTTGGATCACAAGATCAACTGGTAAGTCATGTAGGAACTTCTAATACATGGAGTTTTACTCAAGGTTTAATTATTGGACAAGTCAGTGTTATATTTGTAATTATTGTATTTATAAAATTCTTTGTATTTGCTGATCCTACACCTACAAGTTCAAAACCAAAATCTAGTTTGGATGGTTCTGGAGTTATAGTTAGAAGAGATAAGAAAAAGGGAGATGATTCAAGAGTTGGAGGAGATAGTGAAGAAGATGAAAAATATAGTAAGAATAATGTTTCAACTATTCTTGAGAAAACATATTATAATGTAGAAAATCATGCACCAGAAACATTAGATTGGTTTAATGTATTAATAGCACAAACCATATCTCAATTGAGATCTGAAGCTATCTTATCAGATAATATTTATCATTCATTAACAGAATTTTTAGAGACTGCTGATTTACCTGATTATTTGGATAAAATTAATGTTACTGAAATTGATATTGGAGATGATTTTCCTATTTGTTCAAATTGTAGAATTAAACATAGTAAAGATGGATCTGGTAGATTGGAAGCTAAAATAGATGTTGATTTAGCTGATACTTTAACTTTAGGTATTGAAACTCAATTATTAATAAATCATCCAAGACCATTAACGGCAGTATTACCTGTTCAATTATCAGTATCAATAGTAAGATTTTCAGGTTGTTTAACAGTTTCTTTGATTAATACCGGTGATCAAGAATTTGCAGATCTTCAAATGTCTGCTTCATCTTCTGAACAATCAACACCTGAACCAAATGAAACTGTTGATGTTCCAAACACTTCAAGTGCAACACAATCTCCTCAAATTGGATCTAATGGTTTTCTTTCTTCTGCTCCAATAAGTAAATCTGTATCAAAGGAAAGCACTAATTTCCAAAAGAAACCATCTAAGAAAGATAACAATTCTAAAGAAGGTACAGCATTAATGTTTTCATTTTCTCCTGATTATCGTCTTGAATTTACAGTCAAATCTTTGATTGGTTCAAGAGCAAAACTTCAAGATGTACCTAAGATTTCATCATTAATTGAAAATAAGTTAAGAAGTTGGTTCATTCAACGATGTGTAGAGCCACGATTTCAAGTAGTTAAATTACCATCTATTTGGCCAAGAAGTAAGAATACTAGAGAACCTATAAGTACAAAAACTGAAGTAAGTGAATGATTTATTTTGTATATAACGAGTAATAAAAATAATAGATTAATGAGTAAATATAACAAACAAAGCAAAGCGAAAGTAAATTAAGCTAATGAACCACATGGAGTATATTGGAAAAACATTAAGCATTAAAAAGAACATTTGATTAGAAGATCAGTTTTTAGAATATTATTAAATTCCGTTGCTTTCCAGAAAGAGGCTCTACATTGTAAGTGTGTAAATAATGTACATGGTAATATATTAAGTATACTGGCATCAATGGTATTACGTACCATACAAAAACAACTATCGATTAAAGAATATGTTTAATAAATACCGAAAGACGAAAAAATATCGAAGAAGGAAACGCTTGAAAAAGCTCGAATTTTAAAGAAGTTAGAATTTTACCTAAATAGATCATACGTTAGTAATCTTAGTCTTATTTTCCTTTAGGTGTATCATCAATTCTTTTAAAAGGATTCATAATGTCGTAAAATAATTAAGTCAGAATGTTACCTAAATAGATCATAAGTTAGTTTTTACATAGTTAGCAAAGCTTACTACAATAATCAAAGATTAGGATTGCCTCTAGAATTGATCAACAACAAATACCTACTCCGCTAAACGTAATCAAACTTATAGATTCAAAAAGTTGGCTGCCAACCCTTTAAATAGTGTGCGCGCGTGCGTTGCCAAATACATCTTCAAAAGCTCTTTTATTACAACTTTACCACATTTTTGTCAATTTATTTATTATATTAAGATTACTTTCAAACATCAGTAAGAGAGATACTTCTAGGAACCATAATCCATTAAATTCAATCTATGGACTACCATGACCATCTTATATATCTTCAATTGTAACAATAATTATACTTCTTCCAAAATATTTTCCAAATATACACTAAATCAATTCTGAGTCAAAACAGTTAATCTTTCCTTTAATCTTAAGCCAAACTACTTCATTATGTTATCTAATCTCTTCTGCTTTGTGTTTCCCGTTTGATAATGCCAATAATAGACAAATGAAGTGGGAAAGTGTCTGCAAAATTTTTTTTTTCCGTAGCAATATATTTATTCTCACTATACGCACAATTATATATAGAGTGAATAAATACTTGCAAAATTTTTGAGAGAAACTAGTAACTAGTGAAAACTCTCAGCGAGATATTCTTATTGGACATAGTGTGTAGATAATAAAGTAGATAGATTTATAAGGATGAAGACAAATATGATACCCAATTTTTAATAAGTGGGAGAGTTAATGGATCGAGCACATTACCCTCCTTATGCGCTAGTCGTCGTCGACTGTACAATTGGTGTATGCAAAAAACCACTTACGTCCTGCATATAACAAATATCTTGAAATTTCACTAGAAATGCAAAATCTCTAAAAATTATTTACAAAACTACTCTCAGTCAAGAAATTCACCTATTAAGACATTATAAATTAGAATTAGAATTCTCCAGATTAGAAAGAACCATTAAATATCCAAAATTGAGACCAATACTAGCACTTTTAACAATTTTGATCACGTGATGAATATCATGTGACTAGTCAAAACTGCGTACCATATTTTCGTGAAAATTTTCGTTTTATGCGCGAGTAGTTTAGTGGTAAAATTCAGCATTCCCATTGCTGTGCCCCGGGTTCGATTCCCGGCTCGCGCATATAACATCCACATTTTTTTCATTTTTTTTTAATTAAACAAGCATACTAATTAAAGAATTAAAATGTAATTATTTTTAATTATAGGAATTAGACGATTCTAAATGTCTATTTATTCGTTTACAATATCTCCTCTTTTATTACTTTCATGGTGTTCCGTTTTCGTAACCTTTTCAATTACCGCCTATTATACGTGTCCTGCATAAGGCCCCACGATCTCAGCCCTGATACCCAGGAAAAAAAATATGGTACTGCTAACCGTTAGTGAAGAGATCAATTGATTGGAGGCAAGTAATTGAAAAATTTATTAACATTAAGCATTGGTTGTGGATCAAAATTAGTTGGAGATGGATCCACATTTGCTACTTGAGTGTTTTTCAGCGACATTGCAAGGAAATCAAGAAATTCGATTACATGCAGAAACACAACTTCGAGATTTAACCTTACAACCGGGGTTCTTAGGAGCATGTTTAGATATAATTTCATCAGAAGATTCTCAACAAATACCTCATGGAGTTAAATTAGCTACAGGAGTATACTTTAAGAATCGTATAGTTCGATTTTGGAATGAGAATTCACCTGAACAATTAAGAATTGATCATGATGAGAAGCCTTATATTAGAAGTCGAATTTTATCAGTATTAGTTAAAAGTGATTATAATACTAAACAACAATTAATTCCAGCATTAAGAACTATGATTGCAAATGATTTTATTAAATGGAATAAATTATTATCAGAAACAGGAAATTTATTACAATCAATTCCTCTGGTTGTTACTAAAGATGAAGATCTTTCACTGTTATATACTGGATTATTATGTTTTGCTGAAATTTCTCGAACTTTTAGATGGGTTGAAAATGATTCTAGATCTGAAAAATTATACCCTATGATCAATCTTGCATTTCCTCATTTATTAGCTGTTGGTAATTCTTTAATTTCTTGTGATAATAATAATTTTACTGAATTAATGGCTGAATGTCTTAAATTAATCTTAAAGATTTTTAAATATGTCACTTATTATGATTTCCCTGAACCATTAAGACAACCTGAATCATTTCTGCATTGGTTAAAGTTTCACCAATCTGTTTTAAACTTACCTACTCCAAAATATATTGGAGATACATTATCTGAACAAGAGAAAAGTTTCTTTCAAATTTCAAAATGTTATAAATGGTCAATTGCCAATATCTTTAGAATATTTACTCGATATGGTTATTCTAATTCTTTATCTAAAAAGTTTAAATATAAAGAATTTCAAAAATACTTTGGTGCTGAAATTTCTTCAGGTTTAATCAATTACTATTTTTCAATTGTTGAACAATTATGCAACAAGACCAAATGGATAAGTTCTCAAGCAATTTATTATTTATTAGAATTATTTGCTCAATGTATTATCAATAAGCAAACTTGGCAATTTATAAAACCTTATTATGATACATTGATTAGATATTTTATTTATCCTATATTATGTCCTGATGATACTTCATTGGAATTATTTGATACTGATCCTCATGAATATATTTCCATATATTTTGATATTAATGATGAATTTGATAGTCCTGATATAGCTGCATTAGGATTCTTAGTTACATTGCTTCATAAACGTTCACAAACAACTTTAGAAACAATTGTAAATATGATCTATCAAGAACTTAATGAATTACAACAACAAGAAGAAACTTTACAAGTGGCCAAAAGGAAAGAAGGAATGTTAAGAATAGTTGCAAATGTTGCTCCATACTTAATCAATCCTGCCACTAATGATATTAATCAATTACAAAATTTCTTATCAGCATTAGTGATTCCTAATTTAAACTCAAAATATGAATTTTTATGTGCTAGAACTCTTGATGTTCTTAATAATTTTTCAGATATTCTGTTTACTAATTTGGATCCCCTCATAATTTATCAAGGTATAATTACTAATTTTAATGAAAAAGATAATTTAGTAATTAAATTTGAAAGTGCATTATCTATTAGAGCTTATTTAAGTCATGATCAATTTAAAAGTATTTTATCAACTATGATTATTCCTGTGATGTCAAAATTATTATATCTCAGTAATGAAATTGATAATGATGCAATTGCAGTAGTCATGCAAGAATGTGTAGAAAGTTTTAGTGAACAATTACAACCATTTGGGGTTGAACTTATGACTAAAATAGTTGAACAACTTCTTCGATTGGTTACTGAAATTAATGAAATGAATCAAAATGAAAATTATGATGAAGATGATGAAGATAATAATGCTCAAAGTGATAAAATAATGGCAGCTATTGGTTTATTAAATACTATGATTACTGTATTATTATCATTTGAGAATTCTCAAGAAACTTGTTTAAAATTAGAAGAAATATTTGAACCAGTAATTCAATATGTATTAATTAATAAGTTAGATGACTTTTTATCTGAAATTGGAGAATTAATTGAAAATACAACTTTCTTATTAAGATCAATTAGTCCGGCAATGTGGAGAATATTTGAATTACTTTATTCATCATTTATGGAACCTAATGGTGGAGGAATTGTTATGATGTATATTGAAGAATTAATTCCAAGTTTACAAAATTATTTACTTTATGGTATTTGGAATGAAGAAGGTTTATCCCATTGTCAACAATTATTTCAAATTATTAATCAAATATTTGCCTATGGAGATGGAATGGGAGAAATTAGATTTGGTTGTGAATTAGGACAAACTTTTATTCTTACTTATGGAACTAAGAATCCAGAATATGTTGTTAAATTAACAGAAAATTTTGTTAAATTATATCAAGTAAGTATTAAAAAGGATTCATCGAGTCAAAAGTTGGGTAATGCAGTTAATTTAATTAATATGATTGTTGCAAGTATATCAATAGATCCAACTGGAACCACACGAATTCTTAATGAACAACAGGATTTGGATTTCTTTGATAGATGGTTTAATAAAATACCACAATTAAATCGTGTATATGATTTAAAACTTAGCATAATTGGAACTATTTATTTAATGGGATCAGGATTTGATCAACTTTTAAATAAATTAGGAATTCAATTAGCAATTCTCTTTAAAAAATTACCTGTTGCAATGGCAGCATTAGAGAGAAAGAGAAAGAATTATAGTTCTTTCGAAGGTCAAAGAGACTTGGTTGATGCTTCAAATGTACATGATGAACAAGAAGAAACACAACAACAAGAAGTTGGCCCTAATGAATATTTAAACTTTTTACAACAAGAAGACAATAAAATTAAGAATCTTGATTATTATGAAGATGAAGAAGATGAAGAAGAAGGTGAATTTGATGATGATGATGATATGGTAGAAGATCCTTTAATTTCAAATCCATTAGACAATGTTGATGTAATGAGTGTAGCTAAGAATTATTTACAAGAGTTACATAGGACTGATATTACAAGATTTGAATTAATCTTTAACACCATTCCTGTTCAAGATCGTCATATAATTGAGAGTTTAATTGATTAAGATATAGTAACCGTTTATACGTAAGATATTTAAGAATTTACTACAAGCAAATAGTGACTATTATGTCAAAATAAATTTATAGATTGAAGTATATAAATTATCTAAATATTGTTAGTAATAAACCTAAACCTAAAAGTTTGATCAGTTAGTTAGAATGAACGATAGTCTGTATATTTTGCATGGATATCATTGAAAATATGACTTTCAAGTATTTCATGCAAAATTTAAGATCCTTTAACAAATTGAAAGTAGTAATCTTAATACAAGGAAGAAATTGAGCAATATGCAAAATAGTCAGCTTATGGAATTCAAGATTTTCTGAGAAGATCCGATATTTCAGATCCGATAATGGTTTAGAAATTCCCAATAATTATATTATTAAATACATAAATTAAGAAAAATTAGAAAACCCATATAACAGGACTGTTAGTGTCGTGGATTAACTACGGTTCATCTCCGACATTATTGAAATGTCGTATCAAGTTACACTACTACTGACACTCTTTATTGTCACTTATCTTTATACCATTTATATTCTCTCATATCAATTATGTGTGTATCGTATCGATACACTACTCCTTGATTCCCTCTAACTATTTAAGTAAGGTCCTTTATGAAATAGTTAGGACCACACCACTTCTAATGTTTCCATTGTTCTCTTCATCAGGGGAATATATAACCAAACCCACAGAGTCAAATAGTCCCGCTGGGTGAAAGGCTGTTTAATTCTAATTTAACTCTGACTCATTAGAACTATAATAAGCTATTATTCTAACAGGTTACGATGGTTAACAATCATTATTCAGTGAACATGTGTCATATGTCGTTGGACCCAAAGTACCTGGTATGAAGATGGGCAACCAGCAGATTGTTACCTGTAAAACTCAAAGTTACAAAGATTAAAGGAAGAAAGAAAACTCATGTGAAATGTGCAATATTCTCAGGATTTTTTAATGTCATGACTATGACGCCAACTCCATCGAATAATTACTGCCTGTTCTATTTTTCCATCTTTAATGACCGTTTCTGTCTTACTTAATCTGGCTGTTATCTTTGCTTTACAGAAGCATTTCTTAGAGAAAAGTCGACGTTGTCTTGTTTCTAATCTTAACTTTTCTTTTGGTTTACCCAGGAGACTACAACGAAAATATTGCGTCCATGCCAGTTTCGAATTACCAGGGCTGGTATCATTCTTTACCCACTTTGCGTGAACTCTTTGGTTATCTAACCATACGGGCCAGTCGGACTCGGCAACTTTGAAAAATCTGACATCATCATCGTCATCATCATTATCATCAGGAACAGCCTTAGCAAGATCTGGATTATAAGTAAAAATGAATTTGGTTTTAGTCATTATTACTGAATTGAAGTATAAGATAACAAATTGAAAATTACTACTAATAGCAACTTAATAAGACGAAGTGTACCAACTAAATGTTATTATAGTAGTAGCAATAGTACATTGATAAGTAAGCCTCTAATTGACGATAACAATTCGAAGCTAGAATTAACCTAATTAATAATTAAAAAGGAATGAATGAATGATTAAATTAAAAGAAGGAAGGATGTAAAACTTAGAGGAACTTAAAGAATGTAGATTGTAGATAGTAGATTGTAGATTGTAGATTTTAGATTTAAGATTTTAGAACTTTTTTATAATTTAAAGATTTTACAATGAATTAGATGAAAAGCTAACTGAAATGATAGCAGCTTGAAATGATAATTTGAATTTATTTTCTGCAAATACACGAGCCTCAAAGTAGTTATTGGTTCGTATCCTGAATTGGATCTCTAGTTGCAAAATTTTATTTCAGTTGTTGTGAATTATTTTTGGTTTCCACGTCTCGTTCCTTGAGAATATCGATTTTTTCCTTCTTAAAAAAGAAATTAGGCGGTGCACACAAGATTTAATTATAGCTCATTCAAAAGTGTAGAATCGGTTAAATATACGCTAATGCTTATCCCGTAAATTCTACTCTAATTTACATACAGTACTATTATGTAATTATGGTTACTAAATAAAAGTAAAAGCCATCAAGACCCACCTATCCGGTTAATAGCCTGAAATAATATTTTTTTACATAAAAACCAAGAAAAGTATGACTTACGAAATAGGCATATTTATATCAGCAGGATCTTGAACTGCAGAGCAGGATGATACGAATGGTTATGTTATATTGACAATAGATACAAGTCTCTTGACCCTTAATTAATTATCATGCGCCTCGAAGTGTAGTGTAGTACATTGCTACAGCAATGAAATATCCTTAATTAACGATTATTAGCAATACCACAACTAATATAGTACTTGCATCCTATTTAAGTAAAACACCTCACTAATTGCCTAATACTTTGTCCCTCGTGTGTAATTTCACTAGTACTAGATTAAGACGTCTATTGTGTATGACATGTGCCAAATAATTTGCATATGGCTATTTTTATTTTAAAATCTTTTTTGTGTCATTTAATAAACCGTTTGCATCCTAACCCTTTTATTTTTAAAAACGTGGGTGCACATATCAAAGCCAAAAGAGTAACTTACCCTTACATTTTATAAACATTTTACACACGATGCTAATGATGTTATAAATAATCAGGGTTTCGCTTTAAATGCTTGATTTATGATTTATGCTTATTTTATTTAATATTCAATATTAATACTTTTATACCACTATATACCAAAAATGCATTTATATTATATACTATCTTTATTGATACTATCAAATCAAGTAAATGCATTAAATATTTTATTATCTACTTCTGATTCTTGGGTTTCTAAAAATGTCAGATCATTATATCATTCCCTTACTCAACAAGGTCATGAAGTTCTTATAGTTGCACCTTTATATACCAATAGTAAAGCTCTTACTGTTGAAGATTTTGAAAGTGCTGAAGGTGAACTTGAAGATGGTGGTGAATTTAATCATCTTTTAGATATTCATCAAATGTATTATAAGAAATTATTTGATATTAATAATAAATCTCCAAAGGGAGTCATTTCAAAAAGACATATTGAATTACAAAAGCAAAAAGTAATTCCAACTCGTCAATTTGGTCATGATCCTTTAAATAATCATATTTGGTATATAAATTCCAATCCATTATTAACTATGAAATTAGCTATGGATATAATACTTCCAACTTATTTCCCAGAATTTCAACTTGATACTATAATCTTTGGTCCTAATGAAGGTTCTGATGAACTCTTAAATTCACAAATCTTTAGTTATTTATATGATACAACTGCTGCACTCAAAATTCCTGTTATTAGTGCATCAACTCAAGATAAACATCATATCTATTATCAAGATGAAAAATATTTCAATATAAATGATGTTTCTCATCCTTATAAAAATAATGTCTTTACCAAGAACTTAAAATTTATAAATTCAAGAATTATAGATTTATTAGATAGCATTGCTGGCAATGAACAATCTAATTTCCACTACTATAATGTTAATTTCCCATCAATAAATCATCATAGTTCAAAATGTCAAACTACAAAGAATGATGGTACTAATCCAGGATTTAAAATTACTCATTCGTCTTTAATGAAATCTTCAGAAATTAGTTCATCAATTCCAGAATTCAAATTAACAGAGAGTGATGTAATTACTATCGATTATACAAAAATAAAAAAATTAGAACGTCGTTCTATGAATTTCGGTCAAACTGCTAGTAAAATTCTTCATCTGATCCCAGGCATTAAAACTGAAGGAGAATATGATTCTCCTGTGGTTAAAGTGTTACAGAATTGTGATATAAATTTAGAAGTTTATGATGTATAAATTAAGTAGGTGGCTATGTAGTATACAAACCATTTTAATAGACGATTAATTATGATTATCATTTTTGTTATTATGCGGCCACGTTCTTTGTGTATAACTTTGGGGGCGCTCGCGTATAATTCGGAGAATCTTCGCAATTACCTAATAGAGAAACAGCCGCATATCAATTCCGTTAATTTACCTTTTATTCATACCCCGGACCGGAAAATTTCTTATGACCGGAAAATAATCTTCAAATCATTGACCATACTGATTACATTTAAATTATATCGAAACTCGCATAAAGAAACTCAATGTGACTATGAAAGATAAAAGGATTGGTATGTATATATTCTGATCAGTATGCAAAATTGATTTACGTATACAGCTACATGACACTTAGATATCAGAATAAAATACACCTGTCCCTTTTTTTCACCGTTGACACAAGTTCCACGTTTGGACTTGATAAATTCTATATCATCTTTTTTGCCTAAACAAGCTCCACCTGGGCAGTCTGCATGACTAAAACAAAAAGTTCGCTTCTCGAGTGTATTGGAATCGGCTGGCTTGATAGCTGCTGCCAATACTAAATCCAAAATTAAAAATAATACTGTTACCTTTGCTGCAAAAAATGTTGGTGTAGAACATCATACAAAAAATGAATCTGAAGGATATACTCGAGTCATTCTAGTTTATATCATAATAGTACTGTATATCCTCGTCTTTATACTCTAGAAGAACCGTAAATAGCACCAGAATGTATCTAATATATGAAAGAACTTGCCTTTCAAGAAAGCGGCTCCTGTTAATTGTACCAGCCCAATAAGAATATCCCCCAATTTTCATATATTCTATAAATTCAAATGCTGCCTTATACAACGCCCCAATCGGTTAAACATTCAATATGTCTTATCCTCATTTGAATGCCCGAATTAAATTCTCAGGAGCTCCAATTTTTGAAATCCAAAGCACTCTTTAAAATACTAATATTTCTGATCACATTTGAATATATCTCGCTTGATAACATTAAAATTCTCAAGGATCTCACACTGTGGGAATAACTCTTATATTATGGTTAGATCTTGACAGAACAGTGTCGCCAATTTGCGCTTTTTTATTTGAAAATGCGCCCTCAAATAAAAAAGCGCGCAACCGCCTTTGTGATCGAAATTTGTTATCAGAATAACCTATTATAACAACCACCGAATTCCTCTTCGAGCAATGAATTAAAGAGAGTATATCCTCAAAGATATCCATTTGTGTAACTATTTAGATAAAATGAATCGGTAGTACAGTGTTTTCCATATGAAGGTCGCACATCTTGTATTCGAAAGACATTTCTTTACTAACTGATTATTTGTCCCTCAGAAAAGCTTCTATTCGCTGTTGCACCCAAAAAATTTACGTTGATGTTGAATTCAATTTACTGATAATGAGATAATATATTTTCATACGATATAATCTAAATGATTCGTACTAAATAATTCTAAAAAACGCAGAGTGTACAAATGTAAATTCGTCATAGTAGAAATCAACTGGCTCGAAAATAAATTCAGCTGTGCATTGCGCTTCAGCATTTCCACAAGAGTCGACATTGATCTAATAACCACTATCCAGCGTCTCGACTACATAAAAATAGTAAGTTCCCAACCAGTAATCGCAATAGTCGCTTTGGATACCCATGACCATTCCTGATTGGGTGTTATTATTCATATAGTCGACCAAGTAAGCTGCAATTTTACTAGCCATACTATTGACCTGATCAGAAGACATCACAGCAGTATCACCAGTCCAATTACTGATCTCAAATCCAACACCCGATTGGGTATACAGGAAATTGCCTCTCTTACTCTTACCCTTAGCAGTATTGGGTAGGTCAGGTTGTAATGGTGTTAATCTAGTGGCAATTATTGTATTGTTGTTGATTGCTACAGTTTCATACCAAGCAAACAGTGTTCCATTAACAGTAGACTGTATTGGTGGCAAATGATACACACCAGTGGTACCATTAGTCACGTTGCTAGGTAATACAAAGTTTGTAATAGCACTCTGATTAACATCAATGTAATGTAAATCCAGCATGATAGCCTTACGTTCCGTGTAGTGTAATAGAATATCATCGTGAGTAATATTATAAGTGGGCCTCCCACTAGTTCCATCTCTTTTTTTGAGTTCGTCATGCTCAGCAACTTGGCTATCAACCAGTATGATGTTGCAGCAACTGTTCCTGCAACCCAGACAATCGAGTTCTCATTGACGACTAATCTAGCATTAGCAAGTGCGCTTGAAGCAGTTCCACCGTCATCCCATTGGTTATAGATATAACTCCACTGATCAGCAACGTAATCCCATGTGAACAAAGCATAAGTTGTCCACACCGTAACTGCCCCGACACCGTAATTATTGTAAACTGCTACTGACTGAGCGACAAGAACACCTAAAACAGCACACGTTGGAGTAGATGGTGTCGGTGGATCCCTCTTGTCGAGATCAACTTTGACCTCAGAAACTGACAATGCAGCACTAATCACAGCAAATACAACTAATAATATTATCAAGCAATAACGTCTCATACTAATAAACAAAATTACAAGGTTAAGTTAGCATATTACTAATAGATATATTATTTATTAATTTTGGTACTATTTATATATTCTCTTTAGTACATATTGATACAAGGTCTCACCCCTTCTAGCAGCACGCCTCTAATCTGTTTCCAGGGAGTGAAATTAAACTAACAATTACTACGATATTCGGATAGAAACAATTACTGCGATATTCGGATATGACAGGTGCGATATTCACCTGGAAAATACTGAAATTGAAATTGGATGAAATATCTTACATATAGAAAGTATACTTATACTTATTCTATTATTGTCTGATATCAGCCATATATTTCTCAAACATAGATGTAATTCTCCTTGATGCAGCATCTATCAATACATCTGCAGTTAAAGTTGCCGGATCATATAACTTCAGCAAACCGACAATTCTATAATCATTAGCATCATAAATTGTAGATCCGTACTGATTCAAGTTGTTCTTGGTTATGTATCTGGCACTAAGCTCTCCTATAACTGCAAATTCCTCTTCCTCTTTCTCATTGGATATTATCACGATATACCTATCTTGTGAAATCCTTATCATGCAACTCCGAGTATCTAAGTAAGTGATTTCATCTTGGGTAGGAATTGAACTATTGATTCTTGAGAATTTAATAAACACTTCTTTAGACTCACCAAATGTATAAAGTTTACGATTAAAAACAGTCACATTTGGATAAATATTTTTCTCTTCAATATCAATGAACTTATCAGAAGCAAACCATTTTTCGGCTGAGTTGGTGATAACTTCGCCGTCTCCGTTAGAATTAGATGTTAATTCAGTCATCTTGAATGTTATATTTGCTTCTTCAACAAATATAAATTTTTCGAAGAATGTTATTATTGGTACTCCTAAAATGAATTGAACTCAAGGAAAGGTTTATATGAGATAAAGAAAGAAACAACATGGAGAGATAAAGAGAAGTATCCGTTTTGAGTTTTTCATAGTACTACCAATTCATTTTATCTAAATATTTACACAAATGGATATCTTTGAGGATATACTCTTTTTAATTCATTGCTCGAAGAGGAAATCGGTGGTTGATAACAGATTCTGATCACAAAGGCTGTTGCGTGCTTTAAAATGCGCCCTCAAATAAAAATGCGCAAATATTGAATGTTCAACGGGGCGTTGGGCAGCATTTGAATTTATAGAAAGTTTATTAATTTATCTGCAAATGGTAATAATTTTAACTTAAAATTTGCTAATTTATCGGATGTTGGGTGTTGGATGTATGAGGGGTATATTCTTATTGGGTAGCTGGTATAATTAACAGGAGCCGCTTTCTTGAAAGGCAAGTTCTTTCATATATTAGATACATTCTGATGCTATTTACGGTTCTTCTAGAGTATAAAGACGAGGATATACAGTACTATTATGATATAAACTAGAATGACTCGAGTATATCCTTCAGATTCATTTTTTGTATGATGTTCTACACAATTAAAATGTTGTTTGCAGCAATTATTTTTAATTTTGGATTTAGTATTGGCAGCAGTTATCAAGCCAATCAATTCCAATACACTTGAGAAGCGAATTGTTTGTTTTGGACCTGAACACTGCCCAGTTGGTCAAGCTTGGTTAGGCAAAAGAGATGATATAGACTTTATCAAGTCCAAACGTGGAACTTGTGTCAACGGTGAAAAAAAGAGACAGCTTGATCCAAATGAGATTTGGTTAATTTGATAGCTTTCCAAACATGTGATTCATATTTATATAACTGTATAGATTATATCTTTCATGTTGTTTTTATGATATGACAAATTCATATTAGGACTGTGATGACTATGTACATAAATAATACTAATAATCTCATATTTTTATAACTAATTGCATATATTGTATGAAAGATTCATTCCGGTGGTAGGTTCTTTTCCGGAGGTAGATGGTTCCGGTCCAAAAGCTGCAAAGTTTTCTCACAAAAATATTTTGGGATTGGTGATATCACGTGAGATAAGATTTGTTAGATAAGCCTCATCTTGTATGGCAATTCGGTGATTTTTCAAAATGTATATGTAAAGTAAAACCCATTACAACTTCAATTACCAATTACCTAATTGAAATATCAATTATATTAATAGACTAATAATAGACTATTTTATAGTGAGAATTACCATTGGGAATTCTAACTTAAAAGGTTGAACTATCTGGTGAAAGCAATGCCACAGTTAGTTCCGACCATATCTCGGTCTTCAGTATTTTCGAAATTATCAACGGCAATACCAAAGGATAAATTAGGTACTTTATCATGTATATCACTTATTGTTAATAAGATTATTGGTACAGGAATCTTTCTGAATCCTTCAATTATTTTTAAATATGTTGATGGAAATGTTGGATTATTTTTATCATTATTCTTATTAGGTGGGATTATAATCTTTTCCGGATTAATTATATATCTTGAATTTGCATTAAATTTACCGATTAAAAATGGAGGAGAATTAAATTATTTACTTCGAATATTTAAGAATCCAAAGGGACTTACTGGATGTATATATTCATTTCTGATGGTATTATTAGGTTTTAGTTCAGGAAATTCTTATGCATTTGGTAAATATATCCTTTTTGCATTTACACCTCAAGATCAACAACCTTATATTAGTGAATCACTTGTTAAATTAATTGGAGTATTATGTATTTCCTTTTGTATATTTTTACATGTAAGATATCCTAATCAAGGTACTCAATTATTTAATTTCTTAGGAATATTTAAATTATTAATTCTTGTCCTTATTATATTCTTTGGAGTAGCTGCAAGTATTGGTTTAATAGATATTGAACCTACTAGTAATTTTAGAGATATTTGGACTTTTAATCCTTCAACTTCAGCAAGTACATCTTCAACTTCAAATGCTTCTTCAGTATATAATGTATCAGTAGCTTTATTAGAAGTTATATATTCATTTAAAGGTTGGGAAAATGTTAATTATGTTCTTAATGAAGTTGAAGATCCTTATCATATTCTTACAATTGCCGCACCATCAGCTGTACTACTTACAACCATCCTTTATTTCCTTGTCATTATTTCATATCTTATAGTTATCCCAAAGCAAGAATTACTTGATAGTGGAGTTCTTTGTGCAGGGATCTTCTTTAATAAAATCTTTGGTGAAACAATTACTTCAACCCTTTTACCAATTCTTATTTCATTATCAAATTTAGGTAATGTTTTGGTAGTTTCTTATGCTCATTCACTTGTTAATCAAGAATTAGCCATTAATAATTATTTACCATTTTCTCATATCTTTCAAAATTTGAATTATTCATTATTCTTACATTGGTTTATTACTGTAATAATTCTTATTGGACCTCCACTGAATGAAATTTATGAATTTGTCGTAAATCTTTATATATACCCTGGTACTTGGATTAATGTAGCTATAAGTATTGGATTAATTTATTTGAAATTAAATAAAAAGAAGGAACATTGGAATGAATTTAATACTATAGATCATTCCAAACCTAAATTACACCTACCTGAAGAGTACTTTGAAGAAGATATTATTGAAGATCCTTTTACTACAACTGCCAATAATGATAATGACGATGAAATTCAAGACTTTAATCCTCGTCAAAGATCTTCAAGTTCTGGAAGTGCAAGTGCAAGTGCAACACGGGATCGTCTAGCTCGATTGTCTATTTCTTCACAAACAGCTTTATTACCTCATTCATCATCATCATCAGCAATTGCCTTCACTAGCCAAAAGATCATTAAGGCACCTTTCTTTTGTGTATATTTATTCTTAATTGCTAATCTTTTCCTTGCATTATTCCCCTTTGTTCCTCCTCCTAATAAGGATTCAATGATTATACCGTTTTGGTGTTTCCCTGTTATAGGTACTGGAGTACTCTTACTTGGAGCTATATTCTTTTACCTTCGTCCGTATGTTCGATTGTTAACGGGGAGTATTACTAATGTTAATGAAATAAAATATGAAGATGAGTATGAATATGACCATGAATCTTAATATGCATTATATATATGATTAAATAGTAATATACTATACTGCTATACGATACTACTATAGTATACTACTATACTATACTACTATGCCATACTACTATACTATACTACGATACTACTATACTATACTATAGTAGACTATCACCAGTTACTATTGGAAGATAAGAGGATCAACTTCTTCTTCTTCTTTCTCCCCTTCTTACCTTCCTTCTCTTGACGTTCCATTTCTTCTCGAGCTTTCCGAATCATTTCTTCAGCATCCCAACCATCATCACTGTCATGTATATCTAATTCATTATTTTCATTATCATTTCTTTTAGGGATCTTAGTTCCCCATACGGTTGTTTCATATTGTTGAGTATCTTCTGGTCCAATATCTCCTCCTCCTTCATCATCATACAGTTGATTACCTTCACTTCCTGTATCATGATCATGTTCATGTTCAAGTACTGGTAAGAATCTACCTCGATTATCACTAATTGATAAACTTCCAATTCCATAATCCATATCGGAATAATTCATATCAGATATAGATCCATCAGTAATAATATTATTATTATTATTACCATGACTATGACCATTATTTTCTTGAATAAAGAAATTTCTATTCCGAATTTCTTCTTGATTTAAAGCTCTTCTTCTATTCCGTTCTTCACGTTTAAATTTTCTATTCAGACTTAAACTTCGTTTAGTTAAATCTTCTTTAAATATGGCCCATACTCCTTCTTTAATCCGTCCCTTCCAATTACATTCTAAAAATCCTAATTGAGTACCGATTGGTAAATGAGATAAATATTTATATTTAGTTAATGAAGCTTCTTCAGTTAATTCTTCATATCGAATATTTTCAATTTTAGCCACCATTGATGAGGGTAAACTTTCATAATTATCATTATAACATGCTTTAAGTACTTTCATATCTAAAGGTGAAAGAACAAATGTTGCACTAGCATCAAACCCTGTTTGATAATAATAAAATGTCTTATTATCAGTAATAGTTGTTGGAGTAGAAGTAGAAGTAGAAGATGAATTAGAATTAGTATTAGTAATGATAGTATTTCCAGATCCAGTAGATGCTTTAAAATGAGCTATCCAATTATCAATATCATCATCAATATTATCCATAGCCATTTGAACATATTTATAACTTTCATGATATAATTCCTTTTCTTCTTCATAATTTAAATGAATTTGAGCCTTTTCAAATTCATACATATCAGTTAAAGATTTTAAATTCCCCTTAAATATTCTAGCATATTTATTACAATCAGGCATAGGCATAGTTTGATTATACCAGGGGAAATTACCAATAATTTCATGATATTCTTGATATGATTTTGGTAATGACATAATTTTATCTTGAGGTCTTGCCATTAATGTTAATACCACTTCATCACGAATTTTAGGAACTTCAAATCTATCATCAACATTATTTATAAGAACTGGTTTAACATCATTTTTTCTAATAATTGATGAACATAATGGACATTCTTTATATTTTTCAATAACTGCCAGAGATTCTCGTTTCTTTGCTTCTGGTAATTCACTATCTAATAAAGATAATAAACATTTTAAACATACTATATGACCACAAGTTGTAATCATTCTTGGAGCTATAGGATCTTCAGTAAGACAAATTGGACATGCATTACCCTTTGGAACAATAATTCTCATAATATCTTTAACATTAACTGGTATATTAGGATCCATTTCTTGTGATTTATAATCTTGACTATAATCTACAATGAATTTATAATTAACATTAATAAAAGACATCCCCTTTAGAGGGATTTTATGAATTATATCTCGTTTTGATCGACTATTACTACCTCTTCTATTATTCTTACTATGATTATGATTAGTATGAAATTCATGCAGATCTCGATAAGATTGATACTCAAATAAATGATCTATAGAGATCATCTTATTCTTTCGACTATTACTTCCAGCAACTCCACCTTGTTTAATTTGTGTTTCAATTTGTTGAGTTAAATAATCATTATAATAATCTTGATCTTCTCTACTTGATTTAGAAGGCTTTTGTTTAATTCTAGCCTTTTGCTTTTGTCCTTGCTTTTGACTAGGATAAAAGTTTTGCTTAACTTTATCAGTTGAACTACCAACTAAATTGGATTTCATACTAATATTACTATCACTTTTAGTGATCATTGTTGCTAAATTACTATTACTCATAATATAACAAACAAACAATAAGGAATATGTAATAAATCTCTCAATATTGATGCTATTTATACCAAAATTTCGAACCTTGGGTATTATATTGATTCTTACAACGATTAAAGGGAGTGGTATGTTATTTCTTTCCACCTCCCGAAGGTTAGTTAATCCTTAAAGATTGACTAATGGTTAAGTATAACCACTTTCTCTACCGGGTTAAAGCTCCGTGCTCGCATCCCACTCAGTCATCATATTGCATGTTAGACATAATGTGTAAAATTTTATCTACCTTGTGTCAAGTGCAATTTAACTGACTCGGTTTACAGGTTAGGACGGTATAATAAAACATCCATACCGCTGGCTTTGCTACAGTACCAGAAAAGTCAATACAACTTATACGTGTAAATCAATTGACAGTAAGTAATCAATATTAGCATTACCATACATTAATATCAATTATGTCATCATTGAAGAAGACTAATTTAGAGTAAGTATACAATTTAGACCGAATATCAAAGAAAGTAAATTTGATATCATATATAATATTTTAACAGAATCCTTCTAACCATTTTTTTCAATTATAGTTCAGTAACTGATTTACGTCAAACTACTGATGACAATTTACCAGCTGCATTAACAGAATTAGGATATGATCAATCATTTAAATTAATAGATACTAAATTAGCATTAGGACTGGTAACTGTGGTAATAGCAGGACTTTTATTTCTTGTAGATAAAAAATATGAATTTAATGAATCTTATAATATTACAGTTATATCAATTTTATTATATGCTATTTTTAGTGGAATATTATTATATTTAAACAGAGTATATAAGGATGTTAAATATATTGGATATAATTCAAAGGGAGAAAAAATCACAATTGCTGGTTGGACAAAAAAGTTTGATCCAATTTATTATACAAAGATTACTTTAAATGATAAAACAACCATTGAATCACAATTGGAATTCAAAAAGTTTTTCGATACACTTGGATATTTCAATAGAGAAGCCTTTGTTACTGTATTAAAGGGACAAATTACTAAAAAGTCACAATAATCTTATATATATATATATATATATATAAATATAAATGTATATTTACATACTAATAAATATCTTTGCATGTTGACTTGTCTATGACTTTTGTATCCATTCGAGAAAGGTATCTTGCTAACTTTTGTAAACTGTACGGTAAAGCTCTAATTGCAGGTAAAAAATTAGCATACAATGGACTTGCAATTACTCCAATTTCTCCATAATTAATCTTATGAACTATTTTAGTTGCTAATTGTTTAGATTCAACTAATGGTGCAAGAAATGGCATTGGAGGTTTAACATCCTTAAACATATCAGTATTTAATTGTCCAGGAGTTACTAATAACATCCGAATTTTAGAATATTCAGATAATTCTTCTACTAAAGATTCATGAATCAGATACATTGAAGCCTTAGTAGCTGAATAAATTGATAAATTCTTAGGAGCTAATACTCCAAGAATTGATGATATAGTAACAATATATAATTTTTTAGATTGATAATTTTTAATATGATTAGAGATAATACTTTTAAGAATATGAATTGGTGATAAAGTATTAACATTGAATAATTTTAGTATCTCATCTTGTTCAAGTGTCAATAATGATTTATTATGTCTTATACCAGCATTATTAATTAATATACTGATATGCTGTCCTTTATGATTTAATTGTTTAACTATATATTGGAAAGTCTCTAAAACTACTTTATCATCAGACAAGTCACATGAAACATAGTGTATTCTTTCCAGGTTTATTTTAGGTTCCACTATATCAACAATAATTATTTTTGAAATTTTTGTTGTTAAAAGTTGTTTAACAATATCGGATCCTAATCCATTAGATCCTCCTGTAATTAAAGCAATATCTTCTTCTTCTATATTAGTCCATAAACCTTTACTAGGTCGCTTATAATAATAATTCACTATAGAAAATATCACTACTATTGCACATAATGTCTTAAGAGTTAAACTGTAATATTCTCTATTCCGTCTAAATCATTCTAGTTAGTACAACGAATCAATAATTAAAATATCTTCTAATTTTATAACATACCCAAAAAAGCCGAGTACAAGAAACAATATTATTATTGAATTTAATCCTGCATAGTCAAAGATAGTATCTATACTGAATGTCATAATTATCTATAAAGGAATACTGATTATTTAGTTGAATGCAAAATATATAAACTGCTATAATACATAAAGTCTATAGTGAGATGGCTCTATATACAGGAAAATCAAAATCATTCATGAGTGTTTCTTTAAACTATTATCGTAATCATACCCTCTGGCAATACCTCCTCTACCTTCTTCTAAAATGGCACCCTGTTCATTTCCATCTTCTTCTCCTTCTCCATCTTCAGTATTAAAATCACTACCTAATCCTGTCCAATGTCTATTTTGTAGATGAACTGCCGATGTTGATACAGTATTTTTAATAGCAATAGTAGCGGAGAATTTCTTAACCAAACTATTTGAAGAATTTGTAGAATCTTCTTCTTGTTCTTCTTCAGCAGTAATACTTAGATGATTAATTTGTCTTAATGGTTGAGATGTACTAACAAATGTTCCAGTGACAGGATCGAAAACGGGTGGCTTATCTTCCTCTTGTTGTTCATTGTTTCTTGGCTCTTCTTCTTTTTCTTCTTCTTCTTCTTCTTCATTACTTAAATTTCTCAAGATACTATTAAAATCAGTAATCCATTTACCTGTCCATGTGAGTTCATCACTCAAGGCAAGAAGTAATTCATATGGTGTCACAATAGGTTTGAAGTATTCATTACTTTGATCAATAATTATACCTTGATGATCACATCCAAGTATACACCACATATCTATACTTTCAAAATTAGCTAATTTAGCGACATTTGGTTTACCAACCACAAATATATAATGCTTTTTTCCGGCTTGTTTGATTTTTTGTCCTATTTGATTTATTAATTTCTTGGTATTCATTAATGATAATGTATTAACTAATAAACCAACTGTACCAGCCGAACGAGCCATATGCATATACCTATAACGACGCATTAAATTAGGGAAGGGACCTTGTGAAATATTTCCATCAGCGAAAAGTGTTACTGAATTAAATGTTGTGGTTAGTTGTAATAATCTTGGAGTTTCAGGTTTGGTTATATGGAATAAATCATACTCTTGAAGAAAAGCTGTATTGTCTTCTTCATTATCAATAGATGAAGCATTAAGTCCTATTATATTTCTATTAAGTATTCTAAATGCTTCCTCGTTCAGTCGAATTGGTTCATAACCTATTATAGTTGCTGAAGAGTTATTGTCTATGGCTAGATCTGTATAAAGTAAATGGGGATATTCATCTTTTAATAAATTGTATAAATCCCTTAATAAATAAGTATGAGGAGAATCAGACATAAGAATAATTTTATGACCTTCATCGACTGGGAATCTTTGCTTAAACTGGACAATTAACTTTTCAATATCAATTTGTGGTTTTCCAAGGACATAGGCTACTGGGAGTTTATCAATAATATTTAAACATGCATCACCAAAATGAATTACTAGATCACTATTCACATGTTCAGCAGCAACTTCATCCACACAACATGGAGAATATGAAGTATCAGCTAAGATCCAGATAGCTTGACTTTGAGAATTATTATCATTATCATTATCTACTTTTTGACAACATTCAGAATTAGAATTAGACTTAGAATTACAATTACAACTAGAACTTGTATCAATTGAAGAACATGTAATTCCTAATCTTCTTTGTAATTCATGAACTATAGTAGCTGAATCTCCTACTAAGGAATCAGGAAACTGAAGAGTGACTCTCTTATACTTTAAACGTCCATCCTCACCTCTCTGTTGTAAGAATTGTATAACTTGTTCTAAACTATAATATTCATTAATCTTGTCTATTATTTCAGTTTGATCTTGAGGATCTTTAAGATTTAAATGTCTTCTTAAATTTTTTTCACTAACAACTTGAGCAAACTCAAATGTCGTATCATCCTGATATGTCGATAGAGCAGGAGCTACGAGTTCTTCACTTGTCATTATATTTATTAATGGTTGTGAAATATTTTAGTATTGTACATAATCAATTTGTCTATATATTTTTTTATTTTTTTTTTATTTTACTAAGGCACCTCAGCGGCATCGAAATGGAAGTGGTCTTGTGCGACATTGTTCCAGAAAAAACAAAATGTCTCTTTGCACCTATAAATGTCCGGCCCAATTTGCATCAATTGGTCTATAAACAGTTACACTACCTTGAACTAAATCCTTTAAGATATATTCACCATCCATGACTGTTCTAACTCCATTAACATTTTGTTCGGCTACTTTAATGATTCCATTATTATTATTTAATACCACTGAAGTATGATCAGGAGCTCCAACTGTTTGAGTTCTATGACTTACAGAATTCTCAAATCGACATGATTTAAATTGTAAAATATCTCCCTTTCTAACTTCATCTAATTGTTGAGTACCACTGACTAATGATACTGATCCATTAATACCTTCTATTTGTAATATAGGATATCCATGATGATAATATTCAGAAACAAATGCATGTTTCCCACATCCTTTAAGTAAAGCTTCCTTAGCAAGATCCCAACATTCACCAGATCCAATTTGTTGACCATAATGATGTTGACACCATGCACTAATATGTTCACCATATTTCTCACTATAACCAATTAATTCATTCTTACTTGGAATCTTACTATCAATTGGTGAAGGTATAAATTCTGTAATTTCAACTTGAGGATTTCTAACATTAGTATTTGTCCACACAAATTTATATCTAATAATTGATAAATCTTTTAATCTAAAATTAAATTTACGCTCATAGTTAGTTATATTTCCTAAGGTAGAATTTTGATATGAAGTAGAATAATTTAATCCCAGTAAATCTTTTGGTAATTGTAATGGCCCTGATGTATTAGCAAACCATCCTGATTCTAATTCTAAATTAAGATTAGGTGGACCAGTACGCACTGGTGGAGGTGGAATCATAGCTGGTGATCTAGAATAATTTCTTGCAGGTGGAGGTGGAGGAATTGCATTTGCATTTGCATTTGCATTTACTGTAGTAGGAACAGGTTCCGGTTCAGCATGTTCAGTTCTGATTGGTGGATTTACATCTAATTTAGGTTTATGAGGAATTGGAGGTTTAGGTTTATGAGGAATTTCTGGCTTGGGTTTTGTAACCTCATGAACACTAGTTGAAGTTGGGTTCAGACCAGGACCCTTCTGCAACTGTTTATTTAAAAGTTGTCTAAAGTCAATTTGTTCAGGTTCAGCGCTAACTGGTGATTGAACTGGTGCTTGAACTGGTGTTGGAACTGGTGCCGGTTTATGTTTCACTGGTGGTGGGACCTTTTTAGGCTTTGGTATTGGTGCAACTTCAGGTTCATTTATTGATGTTTGAGCAAACCTTTCTGCAATCTGAGCTGCAAAATTTGGTTGAATGTTGCTTGAGACTGGCTGTTGAACATGTTGTTCCTCTGCAAGTTCTGCGTATGGAGGTGGAGGACCAAGACTAGAAAAAGTTGAAGGTTTCCTAACAGGTTTAGGAGGAGGAGCTTTCTTTGAACTCAATTCTATTCCTACATCATCTGGTCTAGGAGGCATTGGAGGTTCAACTTCATCACTTTCATCTTCAACTTTAGTAGATAATTTCTTTGGCTTAGGCGGAGGACCTTTACGAACTTTTTCAGATTCAATAGCTTGTAATTGATCTTCGCTTCCTGCAGTATTACCTCTATGAATCTTGGGAGGGGGAAGAAATGAAGAAATTGGTTTATTTTCTACTCTGTTCAGATCCACTGGATGGGTGGGAGTTTGTAAAGCTGAATTTCTTGTGGGAAGTGGAGGAATTGAAGATGTTGATCTTGGTGGAGTAGGAGGTATATGAGCTGAACGTGGAGGTTGTACAGCATCATTAGGGCCCCTATATATCTTTGGAGGTGGTGGACCAAATTTATTCACATCAAAGTCCATAAGATTGGTTCTAGTAGGTAATGAAGGAGGTTCAGAACTGGTTGGTTTTGGACCCGAATAAGTTGGACCAGTGGATGATGGACCAGTAGAAGTTGGTTGATTAGGCACAACTCTAGATGGTTCAGGAGTATTACCCCCTGACCCTCTACCTTTATGAACAGGAGGTGGAGCAAATGATGTTGGATCAGGAAGTGGAGTTTTTGGTTTAGGTGGAGCTTCTTCCAGTTCCATTCTGATTCCAAAATTATACTTTCTTGGTTCTTCAACAGGGGCGAGAGGGGCAGGTTGACCAGCAGGTTGTTGATTATATGGTAATCCAACCTGGGCTGGGGCAACCGGTGGGATTGGATTAGGAACTTGTGCTTGATTATATGCTCCATTGTTGACTGGTTGTTCAATTACTGGAGGTTTGTGATAAGGAGAATCATAAGTTAATGTACTTGTGCTTGCATTAGGAGCAGAAAGAGGGATCAGATTAGAATCATATCTTGCTGGAGGAGGTGGAATACCCTGCTGTTGTTGTGGTGCTGGTGGTAGAGTAGGTTGCTGTTGCTGTTGCTGATACTGCTGTTGTGGTGGTGGTTGCTGTTGCTGTTGCTGGTGAGATGGGAAATGTTGATGAATAGCATCACTAGCTGCCAGCTTCACACCTTGCTGAACTCCCAGCAGAATAGCCAGCAGGAGTGATTGTTGTAATTGATCTTGGAATGAGAGCTGAGCTTGTGGAGCTTGTGGGGCTTGTGGCTGCGTTTGTTGTTGAGGTATCTGAGGTGGTTGTGAATTCTGGGATTGGTTTTGATCTTGGAAGTTTGGTGCCTGCTGTCCATATCCTGCTTGTTGCTGAGTTCCATAATTTGGCTGTGAATAGCTTTGTTGTGAAGTGTTTTGTTGGATAGGTTGTTGGTATTGAGGAGGTTGTTGAGGGGGTTGTTGCTGTGGTTGTTGGAATTGTTGCTGTGGTTGAAATTGAGGTTGTTGTTGAAATTGAGGTTGTTGTTGAAATTGAGGTTGTTGAGGGGGTTGTGGTTGTTGCTGATACTGTTGCTGGGGTTGAGATTGTTGCTGGTATTGCTGTTGCTGATACTGCTGTTGTGGTTGTTCTACTTGCTGGTATTGAGGAGGCTGAGGAGGTTGCTGTTGGTATTGGGATTGTGGTGGTTGCTGATACTGTGGTTGTTGAGGTTGTTGAGGTGGTTGATACTGTTGGGGCTCATACTGCTGCTGCTGCTGCTGTTGTTGCTGTTGAGGAAATTGCTGATACTGCTGTTGATTATACTGCTGTTGCTGGGGTGGTGGGGAAGGATACTTTCTCTCTGCTGGAACATAAGCTCCTACATTCCTTTTGGGTGGAGGTGGAAGAGTTTTCAATTGATCTGGAGTAGCCTTTGGTAAAGGAGCAGCCACAAATTGTTGACCTCCTTCTCCTTCTTCTGCTTCACCCTCCTTTGAAGTTGAACCTGAACTTTTACCATCTCTATTCTTATACATTTGATAACCTCCTTTACCTACGGCTTTAGCTCCTCGACCAACACCCTTAACAGTGGCAATTCCTGCCGCTTTAAATGAGTCCTTATTATTATCCCAGAATGACATATCTTTCTACTCACTATAGTTACTCAATTGACAATCTATATACTTTTCTATAGGGAGTATGGCTTTGACTTTATAGTTGAAAAGTGTTGAAAAATGCCTTGTATACTGTAGCATGGATGTTTTCTCCATACTCGACTGTTACTCCTATAAAAAAGGCGGAGTGAGGTGTGCGGTGAGGGTGCTACAAACGCAGAGATCGTAGATAGTAGACAGTAGAGTAGACAGTATCCAATTAACTACCAGTATTATAATTATTACAATTACAATTACAATGATAACCTTAACTATGAAGCATCTATTTTAATTAATATTTATCTAATCTATAATAAAAACAAGTAAGTAACTAAATATACTGCCAGCAGCAAGTCCAACACTTAAAAATACTGCGGTAAACCCTCCTGCTGCTTCTTTTTCTTCATCAGTATCACAGAAATTTGCAACAATCATAAAACATGAAGTACATAATTGACCATTAGAAATTCCAAATAATAATTGTAAAATTATATACCAAGAATCAGAATTTATAAGTGCACTAGATTGATTAGCAGCTGAATATGGATGAATATTACAAGTTAAAAATAATGGAATAAATATTAATCTAGCAATTGAATAAATTATTAAAGTTTTAGGATTTGTAATAAGCATATGTAATTTAGGATATCCACAAAATATACGACCTAATAAATCTCCTAAATTCCAAATTAAATAAATAAATGGAATAAAAATTTCCTTTTTATAAAACCAAAATTTAGATTCAGTATTAACTGATTCAACTGTAGATGCAAAAACTGGGAAAATTAATGTAACACTAAAAGTAATAAAAATAGTCAGGACAATAAGTTTTAATTTTGACCATAAAACTGAAAATGGAACATGAGTCTTTTGTTTAATATCTGGTTCATCAATAATTTCTGAAGAATTTAATGGTTGTTCTTCAATTAATTGATTTAATGATCGATATGTCGATTCAACTTTATGATGATTAATCCAAAAAATCATAAGTAATGAAACAATTGAAATTAAACTAGCAGTAATATAATAAACAAATACTCCATAATTTTTTTCAACATGATAATTTTCATCAGTTGAATTAGTCTTTTTATCACCAACTAATAAAATTGATATAATTAATGCTAAAGCAGGTAAAACTCCAGCAACTGCTTGACCTACCATAACTGCATTTGCATAAATACCTCCTAATACATTAACAATAGCCATAGTACCATTTTGAGCCAAACAAGTTGCTAATGCTGATATAAATACCATAATCATTAAAATAGTAAAAAATGCATTATCATTCATCATAATTAATAAATCAGATATACAAGTTATTGACATAAATAAAAATACAAATATAGTTAACCAAAGTCCAAGACTAAGTCTAAATTTATAATTTACTCCAGCTTGAGCTTGAGATAAATAATAACTATATAAAATCGAAGTTATTGTTGAAACTGACATCATTGTTGATGAATACACTTTAATTAATGAAGGTGAATGACTAAATCTTTCACCATAATAAGCAGAAGCAGAAAGGAAACAATTCCATGGCCATAATAAGGCAATACCTACTATAGTAAAAGTTATATAACGAAGTTGAGAAAGTTTTATTATAAAAGAATTTGAATTCAATAATCTCAAAACTATAGGATCATAATCTTGAGATTGTTGATGATCATAATCATTATCACCTTCACGAATCAGTTCTGAAGATTCTGTAGATCGATGAGTAGTCATCGTATCTAATTCTATATCAGGAGAGTCAACTTCTGTTGGATGATAAGACAGCACGATTAGTTGTTATGTTATATAAGATTTTAGAATCTCTTATATTTTTATATTAGGTTCAAGATAAGGAATTATCACGACAAACAAAGTGTGCATATTTCATGTTTGTCAAAATTTTATTGACGCGTGATATGACTACAATGAGTTTGTGACTACCATGGGTATTGTAATTGTCGGAGTATATAAGAACGATATTGGTGCGTATCCAATGGTAGTGCAGATATTCATTTCAGTAGTTAAGAAAAATATCAATATTACATGTTAAAGGATATTTACTGGTAGAGTACGTAATGGTTCTATAGTAAAAGTGTTATATCTCATGTATAGAGAACTACATATATAGCGAATGTAAACGACATTTTTGTAGTTTTGCAATTTTGCAACTCTCTCAAGAGTAACGTCTAATTTTAACTTTTACATTAAAGAAAAAGATAATAATGCATATTGATTTGAAGTGATGTTACGACAATACCTAACGATATTGTATTTATAAATCAATCAAAATAGTTTATGAATCTATTTACTTACGATTGTCAAAGGGTGAATGGAATTGAATATGTCGATCAGGATAAAGATTTGTATACTCTTCCCGAGTTAACTCTGTTCTATTCTCAATTTCATCATCAATATTAATCTGTTCAGGATTAGAAGATGCTGATACTATCCGTTTTAATTCATTCAAATCTTCAACTTCTGTTTCTATTAAATCGGTTAAGTCTCTTTCAATTTTAAAAAATACTCTCATAATTAAATAATTGGGTTCCTTTAATGGTAATCTCAATGGTGATTTCTCAGAAAGCCAAAAAATATCTCTATCACTATTTGAAAATACATTCAGATGTCGTCTAGTTAATTCATCTACTTCTAAAGTTTTCTTCTCAAGAATTGATAATATCAGTGACCATTCTTGATGTGTATATCTTTTCTGAGGATTTTCAATAGAGTCAGTAATTAACGGCTTTAAACGATTAAGAATACTCAAAATATTTTCATACGTTTCTTTTTGATGAACCATTTTATGAGTGATTTTCTCCCTAACCCCTTGCCAGTCATGATGCTGCTCTTCCTGTCTCGCCTGTAGCATCTGTGAAAAATCCTCCATAAATTCCATTTTACCAGGAATATCAGAACTTAATTCACTTACTTCTTTATCTTCATTACTGCTCAAATAATCTTCAAGATCATTCTGTAACTCTTTCAGTAATTCTTTCTTTGTTTGATGTTCATCTTCAAGATCATCTCTAAATATAAATTTAGATAAATAGAAACTTAAAGTATTAGCCATATCGAATAATTTATCACCAACATTGGAAATTAAAATAGTCATTAATGGTACTGCTGCAACTGACCAAGATACAAAAAATACTCGACCTAAATGTGATCTGGGAGCATAATCTCCATATCCAATTGTAATTAAACAAAGAAAACAAAAATACATACCATTAAAGTAAGACCATCCTTCAGTAAATTTGAAAACCAATGCCCCGATAAACCAAAATACCATAAAGATAAATATTGTGGCAATTAGTGAAGCATTTAATTGTTCTGTTTTAGCTTGTCTCCTAATAACTCTCATTCTATGGAATGATTCATCAGGTGTCATATCTTCTTGAGAATCTTCAACCTTGGCAAGTTCTCTCATTCTTTTTGTTTCTATTCTATGCCAAAATATAGTAGGGCCACCTGAAGTTAAAACAACTTGACGAATCATTGCTACCAATAACCCCATAATTAAAACACCACCCATTGATAAAACCAATGCCATTACTTTTGCTCCCGAAGTTTTAGGAGTAATATCTCCTAAACCAATAGTAAGGAATGAAACTATACAATAGTAAAGTGCAGAACCATATGTTAAATCGGCTATCATATTTGCCATAATACAGGATCCAATAACACACCAAATAACAAAACAAATTGTATAAATCATTAAAGTCCTTTGCTTAGTATCTAAATTAAATGCTGCCGGATATTTTCCTAATTTATAACCTATAAAATTGATCAGTAAAGTCAATGAACAAGCAAAGTAATAAGCACAAGTGAAAACTCCAAACCAAAACCCTTCTGATCTTGCATATTGTGGATCTTCACCAACACAAGATTTATTTGTAACTATTACATCAATTAGAAGAAAAACACATGCAATGATAAAACAAAATATTGAAACACATTGACTTACCAAATATTTAATTGTACCAGAAAAATTCATTAATAATGATATATTACCTATAAGTCCAAAGACTAAAGATAAAGAATTTAAAGTAGTCATAGCAGTTCCATCAGCAATTTCAAGTCCTGTATCATTATCTATTCTCCAATGTTGAATTAATCCTATTATGGAAATCATATTAGCAAGGGGTCCAAGACAAGCTGATATAAGTGGGAAATAAGAAGATATGAAAAACCAAAATACAAAATGAGCTTCACCTGGTCTAACTCTCATAGATGTAACTGTTGATATCGGTATATCTAAAGTATTTTTAACTACAACTTCCATATCTCTTCTTAAGATTTTATTCTTACTACTATGGAATACCAATGGTAATAATTTATCTTCATAATTATTAACATTAAATGATAATTCCCTAGATGGAGTCAATGAACTTGTCACTGATCTAAACCTTTTTCGAAATTGTTTGACGTTATCAAAGGTCATATTAGTATTTGAATATATAATGATGGTGGTGATGAGGTATGCATAGATATTATTATATGGAGGAAATAGTACAGTTACAGTTATAGTTACCTAATGTTATTATTGAAAAATTGTATAACGTCTATATATGATGAATAGTATAGTAATAATTGAAAAGTATAATTCAAACCACTTCTTTTCATTTCATTAGATGGGGGCTTTTATGGAGTTATTGAAATTAATTAAAATTAATTAATTAATTTACCAAATTAGTAAATTAAAAAATAAATTGGAATGAGGAACCATTTTGTTCCCTGGCAATTTATCTATTCACATAACATAACTGCAAAAACGTTTGGAAGAAAGTTGTAGCATGTGAGAATCTGCACGTTTGCTTTGACGGATTTATAGGACCCGTTATGACCACATGTCATACTTGTGACAAATAAAAACGAAGTGAAGATCTCGACTTACTACACTCTAACATATCCAATCTAAGTACAGTAGGGATGATGCGATTAGCGAATTACTAGGACAGATTTTAGAGATGCGATAATGGCTTGAGAACCACTCAAATTACTAAATTTGGTATGGAATTTATCTATATACAGATTGGATAGATACAGGATAGTGTCTATATATAAATGTTGTTCGTCTGTTTGATTTTAAGCGTATAACTCAATATAATTACAAGTAATGCTGGAGTATGCTAGAGGAGATCATCAGTAAAGACTATTTTTTAATATGGGAAGGGGATTTCATTTTCTGGCTTTAAAACGTACTTTCTCAATAAATTCTTTGCAATGTTCTTCTTTAATGGTTTGGTGGACAATTGTGATAATATTTCTTCACGCTTTTGACTCATTTCAGGTTCATAAAATTTATCAAGAATATATGTCATGAACTTTCTTCTATGTTCAATTTCATTAAGTTGAATTTCTTCTTTATTTATATCAAGTGGTAATATTTCTTGTGTTGAAGGCCATGATTTAATCTTATATTTGTCTTTAATATCATTTATTTCCTTTAATAATTTTTCTCTTTCAGTTTCTGAAACATTTGAAGCTTGATAAGCAATAGCAACATCATCTAATTTTCTTAATGCTTCTATTCGACTAATAGTTTCTAATAAATTAGATTTATTTTGTTCAGTTTCAACTCCTTTTTGTTGTTCAATTTCAATTACTCTCTTCTTAGCTAATTCTTCATATAAAGCAAATTGTTGACCTTTATTCACTTTGATTTCAGCAATAGCAAAAGCTTTTCTGCTAGAAATTTTAGGAATAGACTCTATTCTAACTATATCACCTTCTTTACAGATTTCACCTTCATCATGAACTAAATAATCTTTTCTCTTAATAAGTTCCTTATGGATTCTAGAGTCATACACTTTTCTTTGAACCCTTACTTTTACGGTCTTGGACATCTTCCCTTGTGACACCACAAGACCCACAAAGTTTTGTTTAGCCATCTTCTTACTTTCTTATAGTGAATTTATTAATCAAAGGGCTTGTCTTAGTACTTTTGATTCTTCAGTTAAATTTTTTTTTCACTCCACCAACTGAAAAATCTTGAAATGTTTTGAACATGGGACACGACCATATTGATAAAATCACACATACTCTACACATAATACAATTTATACAATTAATTTATTAACAATTATCTATTAGAATATGTATGATAAAGACTAGCTTCTCTACTTATTAATTGCCTTTAAGACTTGAGCAATTTTTTCTATTAAAATTTTGTTTTCTTGTTCAGTACCGATTGTAATTCTGAGAGCTCCAGTACAATTTAATTCTTTACCTCTAAATCTAACCACAACTTCATTATCTACAGCCAAAGTGTTGTATAGTTGTTGAGCAACTTCATTAGATGGTACACCTTCTTTGTTTAATACTTCAACCAATATAAAATTAGAATCCAATCCTCCGATATTTCTACCAATTCCTTCAATTGATTGTAATTTATCCAAAACTAATTGACGTTGTTCAATAGTATTGGCAACATACTCGGCCATTATATGTAATCCGGAGTCTAAACTAGTAGCTCTTTTAGCAACATTAGAAGTTAATGAACTAATATTATAAGGATATTTCATGGCATTCAAGAAATAGGCCAAATCAGTAGAACTATAAGTAATACCTAATCTAATACCAGCTAATCCGAATGATTTTGATAATGTTTGAAATACAACCAAATTTGGATATTGATTAACTAAGGTGGAAACTGATTCACTATATTTTGAATTTGGATCCAATGTGAAATCTATATAAGCTTCATCTACAACAATTAATCCTTGCCAATTGGCAGCTAAGGTCTTTTCCAATAATTCAATGATATCTGAAACTGCAAGTAATTTACCAGTAGGATTACCTGGTGATGTTAAATATACTAATTTTATACTTGAATCTTTGACTACCTTATCAACCACACTAGAGATATCAACTTGAAATGATGGATAAAGTAATGGAACTTTAACAATTTCCACATCATTAACAGTAGCACAAATTGAGTACATTCCATAAGTAGGAGGACATATCAACATCTTTTCCTTTCCAGGTGCACATACACATCGAAGTAATAAATCAATACTTTCATCTGAACCTACTCCAAGGCATAAATTTTCAGGTTTTAACTTTGATTTTTCAAAATCTTTAAGAAATTTATTAGGTTGAGAGTTACGGAATTCAATGATTTGTTGTTTCAATTCGATTTGGTGTGGATCAGGATATCTATTTAATTCAAGTGATTTCTCATCTTCTGTTAAGGTTGTTAATGCTGGTCCATAGGTATTCTCATTGGCATCTAATAATACCCCAGTTTTAAAGTCATCTCTGGCACACCTATAAGGTTCGAGTGATAATATATTGGGCCTTACTACTTTTTTCAAATCAAACATTGTTAATTATCCACTTGATTACTGATATAATTTATTCTTGCTTAAAGTAGTAGTTATATGAATTTTGACTGAAAAATTTAGAATGTCTCTCTTTTTTTTTTATCGAGTCAATATGACTCTTACTTTTATTAAGCGCGATTTCCCTATTTAGGTAATAGATAAGTAGAACTAATTATTAACCCCAGCCGTAAAGAATCCTGAATCAAGTTCTGACTCTTGGGATATTCTTAAAAATTGATTATAATTTTTATCAGAAAACAATGGTGATAAATATTGTATTTGTGAATCATGATCAAAATCTTTCTCGCTTTCTTCAGAGTCAGAATCATACTTCGAATTTTTTGCAGCCTTAGTCGAGTTCTCATTTCCTTCAATTGAATTCAGTTTGAGTCCAGAATTAGAATCTTCATTAACACCTTCTATTAAATCATTTATTATAGTATCATCTTCAATTGACGAATTTCTTTCTTTATCATTAGAATTTGGTTTTAGTATACCATCTTCGACAATTATCTTATCATTAACTTGTGTATATTTATTTCCTTGTTTTGCAATGTAACTCTTTGATGCAGCATCAATTTTTAATTGTACTCTTTTAACTAAATCATTAAGAGTAGAAGCCTCTCGACTTTCAATAACATCGTGAATTTCATTTTCTATCCTTTTTCTCTTCATTTCAGCATCTTTTTCTACACATTTAAAGATATAATACAAGCTTTCTGGAGTCATCTCTGGAAGATTTCCCTTTGTATAATATAAATTTAGTGATTTGGTAATTTCTTGGTAGAGGTCATACTTCTCAGGTTCAATTTCATCTATAAGAATAGTATCCTTAGAAGCATCTAAAGATTGTTTAAGAAATTTAGATGTATTGTCTAATTTATCATCTTGGGAGTAAAGCATCTTTCTAAAATACTTTCTAGGAGAAAAGTCATGACGTTTCTTTGAAATTCTACCTCTAAAGGTATCTTGATTATTTGATAAATTAACTAATTCCAACTTTTCTAAATCTTTTAGTTTATGTCTATGGGTTTTGGGAGAAAATACACCATCTTCAAATTTTGCACTCTCACTGGCAGGAGATTCATAAAATTCCAAAATACTATTTACTGAAACCCTTTTCTTTTCATGAGGTCCTAATTTTATGACTTCTTCAACTTTCTCTAATTTTGGAATATCTGGATTAGATTGAAAGTTGTTCATTATTGCTTTCTTTATGGATGAAAAAGGAGATTGTGAAAGATTTTCATGAGTTTCTGTTTTCTTATTATGATCATCTGCTTTGACATTCAGATTAAATCCAAATGTATTCATTATTGAAAATTTCTTGCCTTCCGGTATTTGCAAAGTTGGTAAATAATCATCCTTTTTACTGTTTTCGATTGTAGGAGTAGTTTGATCGGTTACTGAGAATTTTGGACCCTTTGGTTTCCGAGCAGTAAAACTATTAAAGATTGTTGAAGTCTGGCTTACATTATCGGCGTTAATATCATCATCTATAGTCGTTGGGAAAAGTTTGTCCCAATTCGATTCTGAACTCTTAACTTTTGGACCATCTTCCTCATTTGTAACAATATTCTCGTTGTCATTAACATCATTGGTCTCATTGAACTCTAACCTTGTGGGGTTCCTATTGGTTTTTCTAAACCTTAATATATTGTTCTCCACATTTTCAATTACAGGTGGTGAAATGGAACTTCCGGATACAAATGAGACAGCATCATCAACTTGATTAATTTGATTAATCATATACATAACCATAACCATAAATATATTGTTATTAGCTTCATCAGCGGTAATGTTTCATTCTCACACAAGATTTTTTGCAATCCTAATCTTGCAATTTTGTGTCGGTGATTCTCAACACGACACCGGCAAAGAAAATTTATTACTTCGTTGTTATATTAGTTAGCTTATTAGGGAATCTATTCAATAACAATAATAATAATATATAAAGATAAGTATGAGTGTTGCGATAAGTTACGATCCCAAGACCAAGAAGCTTGTAGTTCCAGAAGATGCAGATATTTCTTCTGAACTTAAATTAGAAATTGATCAATTAAATACTCTTACTCAAGAAATAATAGCGAACGGATCGGATGTTCCACCAGTTCCAACTCCAGAAAATTTTAATAAAGATATGAGTAAAATGATTAAAAGATTATATGAAAGTGGAGTTCAAGCATTTAAAAGTGGGAAATTTCAAGATTCTGCTAAACAATTTTCTATTGGTATAGAAATGATTTTAAGAAGGCATAAATTTGAATCATTTCAAGGTACATTACAAGAACTTAGTTTATTTCTTATGAGTAGATCTGATGCATATTTAAAGACTAAAGAATATTTAAAAGCTTATAATGATTCAGATATGTTAATTGGTATGATGATGAATACTCCTGATAATTTTTTAAGAAGAGGTGTAGCTAATTTCTTTTTAGGAAATTATGAAGCTGCAAGAGCTGATTATCAAAGAGGTTTAGCATTTGATGAAAATAATGATAGATTACAGGCTGAATTAACTATTGTTTTAGATAAGATTTTAGAAGAAAATGGTGATTATCTTTAGGATTATAATATGAGTATCATATTATCCTTATAATGAGGGAGGTAATTGATTTTGATTATTAGTCATATCATATGATATATTTATTTGACTATATACTTATTTAATTATGTACTTATTTAGTACTGTAAAGGTATTCGGTATTCTCTATACAATACCTCTTGTTACTGTTTCAATGTATATTAGTAGTGGTTATATAATCAAATACCAAACTTTCCAAAAGGGAAATTTTCCATCGCGTATATAGTGAATATTAACGATAGTGATCTAACTCCAGCTGTAACTAACAAATTACTGAATACTAATACTATACACAGGCCAAATATGGCAAATGACGGAGTTATATATCTCTCGTCTTCGGACGAAGATATGGAAGACGATATTGGACAAAGGGCCCTTTTGGATTTACTAAGGGATCGTATACATAATCAGTCTAATAGCAATAGCAATAGCAATAGCAATAGCAATAGCAATAGCAATAGCAATAGTAATGGTAATGGTAATGGTAATGATATCAATAGTATGAATATCAATACTAATACCAATACTAATACTAATACTAATGCCTATAGTGATAGACCTCAGTTTGAATCTAATGATAATAGCGTAATCAACTCAGAAACAAGCTCAATAAGAGAGAGTCCTCCTATTACTAACTCTTCATCTAGTATAAGTATAAACGTAATAGAACCTCCGGTCACTTCAAGATCAATAGAGAATGGTTCAAACCCCGGTAGAAGACAACGACATCGATTAGAATCACTAACTTCTGCTCCAAGACATAATCATATCACTAGTGGATTTAATCCAAGAGTATCACCAGTACCCTCTGGTCAATCATCTACTACCACTTCTACACCTTTATCTAATTTCCCCGGCCATTTCCCAACCGAATCTTCTGATATATCCCAATTTCCTGGTTACTTCCCCTCAGATAAGTCTCCATCAATAGTACAAGTTCCAAGTACTCAACTACAAGCTCAACCACAAAGAAGCAAACCTGAAATGCAAATGCAAATACAAAATCAAAATCAAAATCAAATACAAAATCAGAATCAATATCAAAATCAAAATCAAGCATTAGTTCGAACTAATAATCAAAATCAAAGTCTTATTAGGAATAATAACAATCATAATCATAATCAAAATCGATCTAATATGCCTATTATGATGTCATTTAATGGAAATAATTCTAATAATACTAGTAATGATGATATAGAAATTATCTCTCTAAGTTCGAGTGATGATGAATCCAGTAGTAGAAATGAATTAATGAATCCTACTAAAATGTACACTCTTTCTGATTTACTTGATGCTCGAGTTCAACCTCCTCCTCAACCTGAAGAAGATGAAGTTATTGATTCAGATGATGATCTTATGATTATAGATGAAGAAGAAGCCAAGAAAGTATCACATTTCAAACCGTCTGAGTTTAAAAGACATAATGATGTGTTTAATTATAACAGTTTAGTTCCAGCTTTTGAACCACCACCTGATTCAATTCATCCAAATGGTAATATACTGACAGAAAATTCATTATTTAATAGACCAGCACCTGTTCCTCATGTTTCAGATCCCGGATTTCAAGTAAGTAGTCATGAATTAAAAGAATTAGATAGTCGAATTCATAATTTATCTAAAGAACAAGAAATGATAAGAAGATCAGTAGTTCAACTTGCTAAAGAACAAAAGGAATGGTCAGAAAAGATTCAAAAAGCTAATATAAAGATAACTGATTTAAATAATATATTAAGTACTGATGCAGCTAATGGATTAAATCAAGATATTAGAAATCTTTTAACTGCCAAGGAATCAGAAGTTCATAGATATAAAGCTAATCATTCTCATATAAGTAATATGTTAAAACATACTATGGATAAATTTCGATCAATTCTTAATCAAATTCAAACTTTTCAAGCCAGACAAAGTGAAATTAGACATCGAATTAATCCAATGAATCATGCTAATACTTTATTAGGTAATAATCTTCCTCCAACTAATTTACAAGTAAATGGTAGACCATCATATATTGAAGATTCTTTACAAGATGAAGATATTCAAGATTCTTTACCCCTTGTAGGATATCTGGCAAATATTTATACTGATAATAAAGATTTACAAACATTAATTGATAATATAAGACCTGATGAAGATTTAGTTGAAGGATTAGAACCAACTCCTAAAGAACTTTCAATTAATTTAATGAAACATCAAAGAATGGGATTAACTTGGTTAAAAAGAATGGAAATTTCCAATTCTAAAGGTGGGATACTTGCTGATGATATGGGACTTGGAAAAACCATTCAAACCATAGCATTAATTATAGTTAATAAAGTTGAAAATCAATCTCCAACCCTTGTTATAGCTCCAGTATCACTTTTAAGACAATGGGATGCAGAAATAAAATCAAAACTTAAAAGTGATATATTAATAAGAGTAGCTATATTTCATGGTAATGATAAAAAATCTCTTTCATCATTTTCAAAACTTGAAAGATATGATGTAATATTAACTTCTTATGGTACATTATCATCCGAATGGAAAAAACATTTTAAAGAATCATTAGAACAAACTACTGATAAAAAACAATCAGCAGTTTATATGCCACCAAGTTCATCAGGAGGTAAAAGTTATATATCACCATTTTTTTCAAAAGATGCATTATTTCATAGAATTGTTTTAGATGAAGCTCAACAAATTAAGAATAAATCATCTTTAGCATCAAAAGCTGTAACTTATTTAAAGGCAGAATCTCGATTTTGTTTAAGTGGTACTCCAATTCAAAATAATGTTGAAGAATTATATCCTTTCTTAAGATTTCTTAAGATTAGACCTTATAATGTTGAATATAAATTTAGAACTGATATTGTTTTACCACTTAAAGGAGGAGATTATGATGAATTTGATAAAGATAATAGTATGAAGAAATTACGAGCACTTTTAAAAGCAATATTATTAAGAAGAACAAAAGATTCATTAATTGATGGTAAACCAATATTATCATTACCTAAAAAACATGTAATATCTGATTTTGTTGAAATGGATAAAGAGGAAAAATCATTTTATGAATCTTTAGAACTGGGGATTCAAAGTAAAGCTCAAACTTTAATGAGTCAAAAGAAAGTTGGACTTTATTCAAGTATTTTAACTTTACTTTTAAGATTACGTCAAGCATGTTGTCATCAATATTTAGTTGAAATTGGAGAAATGAAATCTAAGAGTGAAGATAATTCCGGTTCAAAGAAGAAAAATTGGCCAGAAATGTTAAAACAATTATCCATGTTAGAACCTCAAGCAATTGAAAGAATTAAGAAAGTTAATTATAATTCTAAATCAAAATCGTCTAATGAAATTAATACTGGTATTAAATCGGATATTAAACCTGATATTATTAAATCGGATATTAAACCTGATTTACTTGCCCAAATAAGTACAGAATATTCAGTAGCAGAAGAAGATGCTTTAACTTGTCCTATTTGTTTTACAGATATTTCTTCAGAAGATCCTATATCAATATTAGGAAGTTGTGGACATGTTCTTTGTCAAGGATGTGTTGATTCACTTTTTGAATATAATACAACTGATGAAGATAATCGAGGAATTCGTCAAACTAGTTGTAAAGAATGTGGCAAACCTTGTAAAGAAACTCAAGTTATTGATTATGTTCTTTTTAAGAAAAGACATATTGATATGTATGATATTGGTAGAATGAATCAATTTTGTAGTGTTTATTATAGTAATAATGATTCAAATCATCTGATGATAAATAAATTGGTTCAAAGAGATGGAGGATTAACTCCTTCAATAAAAATTGAAAAATGTATGGAACTTTTAAAATCAATTTTTAAAGATTATGGTAATGAAAAAGTTATTATATTTTCACAATTTACTACTTTATTTGATATTATGGAAAAAGTTTTAAAACGTGAACATATTGAATTTTTAAGATATGATGGTACCATGTCAGTAGATTCAAAGAATAGTACTATTAAGAAATTTTATCAATCAAATATTAAAGTTTTATTAATTTCTTTACGAGCAGGATCAGTTGGTCTTACATTAACATGTGCATCTCATGTAATTATAATGGATCCATTTTGGAATCCATTTGTTGAAGAACAAGCTATGGATAGAGCTCATAGAATTGGACAAGAAAGAGAAGTATTTGTTCATCGAATATTAATAACTCTGACAGTTGAAAGTCGTATAATGGAATTACAAGAAAAGAAGAAGATGTTGATATCTGCCGCTCTTGATGAGAAAGGTATGAAATCAGTTTCACGTCTTGGTACAAGAGAATTAGGATTTTTATTTGGATTAAATTCCTTACAATAGTAGGAGTAGTGTGTGTGTGTGTGTGTGTGTTTTATTTATTTCATAAATTTGTATTATCAATACTAGATTAATATCTAAATTTTTTAACTTTAATTAGGTTTCTTTCCCAATCTTCTTCTGTTATTAAGGGATTATCGATATAACATAAATTCCATCGTATAACAGATTCGAAATCAGCATTAAATTTAGCTAATGATTTACATAAATAAATTATTTGTAAGATAAGTCCATCCTTTTGACCTTGCAAATCTATATCTGAATCAAATTCATCATCTTGTTTAGTTTGAATTATTTCTGGTAAATATTCAATTAAACTTGAAGATAATTGATTAGCTAGACTTCGTATAAATTGATTAATTAAAAGATCATCTTCTGAAGTAGTGGTACTAGTAGTAGTACTAGTAGTAGTACTAGTAGTAGTACTAGTAGTAGTACTAGTAGTAGTACTAGTAGTAGTACTAGTAGTAGTACTAGCAGTTGAAGAATTAAATATGGCATAGTAAATTGATAATGAATTGAATATGAATTCTCTATATACTTCAATAAATCGTTTTAAATAAGTCAATTTATTGAATTTTATTAATGGTTTTAAATTCGATATTTCATCAGTTATAAATTTGTATCTAGCATTAAGAAATATGATTTTAAGTAATTTATCCTTTTGTTGTTGTTTATTAGTTGAATTGGATTTTATGGAGAATGTTGATGATAAATTGGTTGACAGGCTAGTAGTATTAACTATATCTAATTTATTTAAAATTTGAAAGATCTTTAATATATTATTCTGTTTTAAATTAGTATTTAATAATTTAATTAATCCCTTAACCATCATTCTTAATTCATGTTCAACTTGATTCTGAATCTTTTGAAATATAGATAATTTAGGAAATCTAATAATTAAAGCTTGAGTTAACATTGATATTTCAAGTGATTCTTGATAATTACCTTGAAGTATACATAATTTACATAAAGTTGGTAATTCTAAAATATCTAATACTGAATCAATATTTGATAATATTGAATTATTAATCTTTATAGCATTAGTTAATTTTTCATTAATACTTATTTGAAATTTATTAGGATGAATTGATGATGATGATGATGATGTTTGAATATCAAGAACTTTTAACATAGAATCAATTTCTTTATTATAATCTACATCAATATTATCAGTTATATGATGTAAATCATTACTAATATCTATAATTAATTCTCGATTTTCATTAGTTAATGATGCTAACTTAATATTAATTTCTCGCTGTTGACGATCTAATTCCGCAATCTCTTCTGTTAACGTAATTTTTTTCTCCACCCCATTATTATTATGGTTATTAATATTATTATTATTATTATTATTATTATTATTATTATCTCCATCTCGTGATGTCGCACTAGAAATTGATGTCGTAGTAAATACTTCTGTTGACAATAATTCATCATTAATTAATAGATCTTGTAAGTACTTTTCTGAACTCTGCCTCAATTGAGTATCTGATTCAAGATACTTAATTAATTCTGGTTCTAGTCCAGATTTTAGAGTATCCAACAATATATCAGACATATTTTATTATATTATCCCATACTCTATATAACATCAAATTTGACAGTACTTTATAGCGTGTTAACTCTTTTCGTGATAAATCCATTTTGTTACATACACGCCCCCCTCATACACTCACCCATAATTTTGTTCGATAAAGGGACTTCGAGGAAGAGACTTAAGTTAAGTCAAGTTAATTTTATTTTATAGTTTAATTATATTGGTTCAATTAATTGATAGAAAAATAATAGTGCTAAGATGGAAGGGTTATTTTTCAATGTTAATTATGGATATGTTGAAGGAATAGTTCGAGGTTATAAGAGTGCATTATTAAGTTCTAATCAATATGTTAATCTTACTCAATGTGATAATTTAGAAGATTTAAAATTACAATTATCTTCAACCGATTATGGGAATTTTTTAGCATCTTATTCAGGAATTTTAAGTACAAGTATTATTCAAGATAATTTATCAAAAAAATTATATCAACAATTTCAATATTTAAAATCCAATTCAAGTGGGAAATTAACTAAATTTTTAGATTATATTAGTTATGGTTATATGATTGATAATGTTTCATTAATGATTACTGGAACATTACATGAAAGAGATAGATCGGAAATTTTATCTAAATGTCATCCATTAGGTTGGTTTGATACTTTACCAACTTTATCAATTGCAACTGATATTGAAAGTCTTTATAATACCGTATTAATTGATACACCATTAGCACCATTTTTTAAAAATTGTTTAACAGCTGAAGATTTAGATGATTTAAATATTGAAATTATTAGAAATAGATTATATAAAAATTATTTGGAATCATTTGTTGAATTTATTGAACAAGAATTTACAAATCCTGATCAAGAAATTATGTTAAGATTATTAAATTTTGAAGCTGATAAAAGAGTTATTAATATTTCATTAAATTCTTTAAATAATCCTGATTTAACTACAGAAAATAAACTTTCTTTATTACCAAATTATGGAAAATTATATCCAACTTATCATAATGAATTAGCTCAAGTTGATGATTTTGAACAATTAAAATCAATTGTTGAAAATATTGGAGAATATAAAGATATATTTAGTGATGGTGATAATGGTTCTGGTAGTGGACCAAAGAATTTGGAAGATTGGTTTTATTTATTAGAAATGCAATATTGTAAAAATGCATTCACTCAACAATTTACTTTATCGACTGTTTGGGCTTGGTTAAGATCTAAAGAACAAGAAATTAGAAATGTTACATGGATTGCTGAATGTATAGCTCAAAATCAAAAAAACAGAATCGATAATTATATATCTGTTTATTAATTCTATCCAATTTATTTCTTCATATTAGTTGTTTCTTATAAGTATAAAATTATCATATATCATAAATACAATTCAAATTTTAATTTTAATTATAATATTATAAAAATAATGGTATTTCAACTGCTCCACCAACAGTTTTGATTTCTTCATCTTTCTCTTCATTATTCTTATTATTCTTATTATTCTTGGACTTTTTACGACTAGATTTCTTCGGAGGAGGTCGAGGCTCTACTGATTCATGAATAGTATCGTTAACTTGTATTGTACCATTTTGAGCATTAGCCGTAGCTGAGTTGTTTAATGCAGAAACGTTTCGGAATGATGCGTATGAAAGTGTTGGTCTTGTAGGGCGATTTGAATCATCATCATTTTGATATTGTTGTTCATCTTCTTCTTCGTCTTTTTCATCTTCTTGTTCTTCTTCTTCTGCTATCATTTGATAATCAGAAGCAGCACTTACAACTTCTTTATTCCCATTATATCTCTTTATATAATCATAACTCTCATCATCAAAGATATTATTAATTATGTTAACTGAATTTCCATCATCATCATTAGAATTCTCATCATTAATTAAACTCATTGATTCTAACATATTAAAAGTAATTAAAGTACCTGTATAATTAACCAATTGAGGATTTTTACATAAGAATTGAATTGATAGTATCCCATTAATATCTTTGGAAATCTTACATTTGGAAGAGAGTTTACTGGCTTTAATAATCTTTATAAATGTTGAGAAATTATAACATGATATTATAGATGAATGGATTTGTGCATGAGGAGTAGATGAAGATGTAGATGGTGATGTGGAATATATTTTAAGTTGTTCAAGAATAGTTCTTTCATTAGGAAAGATTAATTTCAGATGACCTATTGGACCATTTGAAATAAAATTCAATTGATTATCAATAAATTTAATCTTCTTTCGATTATTTTGTTTTTGTTTATTATTTCCAAGTGATCTTATTTCATTAGATACATGTATATATAAATCTGTTGTATTAATTTGATTTAAATCTTGAAGTAAATTGGAAAATACATCACTTTTTAACATTAATTCAAATTGTAATTCATTATGATTTATAAGTAAATAATCAGTATTATCATTAGTTTCACTATCAGGTTCAAAATCATAAGGATAATTCATATCAATAAGAAATGTTAAAAATTCAATTTTTTCACTCATAAGATTATCTTCAAATTCAATAATTAATGGTTCACCATGACCATTATATGTTATATAACAAGTGACATTATCAGTAGTAGAAGAATTTAAATTTGAATTAGAATTAGAATTAATAGTTACTGAATTATTATAATGATTGGAATTTGAATTAGATGCCTTTAATTTGGAATTGGAATTAACTATAGAAGAAGATACAGAATTAAATGCATCACTAATTAAAGCTATATCAACTCCTAAACGTAAATCTTCACCTAATTCATCAATGGCATTTTCATTATATATAAAATTAAATTGAGAAAATAATGTAGGATCGATATTTAATTGAACATTTGATACATGATTATATTCAGTATATATGGTTATACCATTTTGAGATATTATGAGTAAACCTTGAGAATTAATGGCTGTTAAACATGAAAGTATATCTGCTATATGAGATATTTGACTAGTGGAAGCTTTGAATGTATGGCTTTTATTATGAGATGAAATTTCATTATTATTATTATTATTATTATTATTATTATTATTATTATTATTATTATTATTATTATTATGATTATTATTATTATCTACTGGTTCTTCTTCTTCCTGACTCGGTAAGAATAATTGAGACATGAGTTTGGCTACTGTCTCTTAAGTAGAATCAGATAGTTTAAGCTAAGAATAAACTATTTGTAGTTGGACGTGTCGTAGTCTATGTCGCAGATCACAAATAATTCGCAATCATTTAAATGTCTCTCACCCATGGTTAATTTCTACATAACTCCTAGTCTACTATATTGAGCTAGTCTTATTCTCAATTCACCATATCAGAGCATTACTTCATGGATGGTAGATATTATTCAATTTGATCAATAAACTAAGTGTGAAATTCCACAGTAATTCTATCCCTATTCATGGGAATACCTGTATCTTATATAAGGAATTGAATCTATAAAATGTCAAAGAACTTGTTATGGATATTTTATAATATACTTACAGGTCTACAATTGAGCACTTTCATATAGAGATTAAGCTGAAGTTTATGTTAGAGTCATTCCGAGAGGATGAAAATGGCGACTGTTGGACTTTACTTAACCATATGCCAATAATAAAGCTTTGATGTAACCTTCTGCGAAATATTAATACTCATTTACTTTTCTTTATCGGAGATGCGTTGCACCACTGCCAATGCGACATGAAGTAACTACTACAACTTATCGTTATATTTCAAAGTAAGAATAGTTGAAAACATTGGGTAGTTATAGTGGTCATACATCCATACCCATACCTATATCCATACCCAGATAGAAAACGTTTGTGTATCGTTGACATTCTTTGTTCAGCCTGAATGCCAAGAAACAAACAAAACAAAATAAATGTATAGTATTTGTGCCATATATCGTATGGACACGAAGGAATTCGAATTGTAATTTGTAGTTATTGAACTAATTCGATGGAGCCCATTAGTCGATTAAAAAAAGTATAATATACTTAACATACATACATTAATCTTGTACATGTATATAGTCATAGTAACAAGTACTCAATTGCCTCATTAAAACAATAAACACCGTACAGAACATTCTCTGCATCAATAATACAAAAACTTCAGCTTATCTCCATAAAATCTAAATTCTAATTTAAATTACATCAGAAAATTTTATAATTTATTAAATTTATAAATTTATAAATATTATTATTTCCTGATTTTCATTCTATCTTATTTCCCATCTTATACTATTTATACTTTTCCAGCAAATGTCTCATTATTAAAAGTGCTAAAGTAGCATTATCTTACATAACATAATATCATATATATATCATACAATATCATATAGTATCATATCATATCCATAATAATTTAATAAAAATTTCATAAATATATCAAATTCATTTAATTAAATATCATAATGGTGTGGAGTCAATTAGAGCTTGAAACTCCTCATATAGCGTATGCTTGTGTGGGGATATTTAGTACTCTATTCTCTCTTGTATCATTATTTGTTAAAGAAAGATTATATATTGGTGAAGCAACCGTTGCAACAATAGCAGGTCTTATACTAGGACCTCATTGTCTTGGATGGTTTAATCCAGTTACTTGGGGTAATACTGATTATATAACTCTTGAAATTTGTCGAATAGTATTGTGTATTCAAATAGTTGCTGTAGCTGTCGAATTACCAAGAAAATATATGAAAAAGCATTGGTTATCAGTTGCAATATTTTTATTACCTGTAATGACTTGTGGTTGGTTAATTGTTGGATTATTTATTTGGGTTTTAATCCCCCATTTTAATTTTAGTGATGCATTATTAGTAAGTGCTTGTGTAACAGCTACTGATCCTGTTTTAGCAGCTGCAGTTGTTGGTAAGGGGAAATTTGCTGAAAGAGTTCCTGGTCATTTAAGAAATTTATTATCGGCTGAATCAGGTTGTAATGATGGAATGGCATTTCCATTTATTTATCTTTCATTAAATTTAGTTTTATATCCTGGTCAACCAGGAATAATTATAAAAGATTGGATAACTTTAACCATATTATGGGAATGTATCTTTGGTTGTATTTTAGGTACATTTATTGGTTATTCATTAAGAAAATTAGTAGCATTTGCAGAAACAAAAAATTTAATTGATAGAGAATCTTTTCTTGCAATTTTTATATTTTTAGCCTTTAATTCTGCTGGTATTGGTTCAATGTTAGGAGTTGATGATTTATTAGTTTCATTTGCAGCTGGTACATCATTTGGTTGGAATGGAGAATTTGCTAAAAAAACTGAAGAATCTCATGTATCAACAGTAATAGATTTATTATTAAATTTAGCATTTTTTGTTTATTTAGGAGCTATTATACCTTGGCCTCAATTTAATAATGGTGCACTTGGCTTGGATGTTTGGAGATTAATTATTTTAGCAATTGTTATTGTATTTTTAAGAAGAGTTCCTGCCGTTTTAGCTTTAAAACCATTTACTCCTGATGTCAAAACTTGGAACGATGCATTATTTTGTGGACATTTTGGTCCAATTGGTGTAGGAGCTGTATTTGCAGCTATTTTAGCTCGTAAAGATTTAGAAGCTCATTATACAACTGAAGAAACTCCCTTGGCTGAATTACCTAATGAATCTCATCCTCATTATCAATTAATTGCTACCCTTTGGCCTTTAGTATGTTTTATTGTAATAACTTCAATTGTAGTTCATGGATCTTCAGTAGCAGTTTTAACCCTTGGTAGAAGATTAAATAAAATGGCAATAACTTTGTCATTTACAATTACTGAAAATAATGATCAACCTGGTTCATGGTTTGATAGATTAAATGAAAAAGTTAGATTAAATGATTTAGAAAAAAATGAATCTATTTCTTTAAGCAGAATAGATACTGATGCTCCACCAAATTTTTCAAGATCTAATAGTATTGAAACTAGTGGTATAAAAGTTCGACCTGCTGGTGGAGCTAAAAGAAAGAGAAGAAAGAGAAAGACTGGTGGACCAGGATCTAGATTAAAAAATACTCTTTCAAAGGTTACAACTCAAGATCAACCTGATTTAATTAATAATCCAACTTTTGAAAGACAAAGACCACAACCAGAAGTTTTACAATTGGGTAGTAAATCTCAACCATCAACTTCGGCAGAGGAATCTCCAGTTAAATTAAGTGATACATCATCATCAACTGGTCAAGGATCTTCTAAAACAGCAGCCACCAATGTTTCATATAATAAAGAATCTGGTCATGAAGAATTTGGTGAGAAATTATCTGAGCCTGAAAAGCCTATTCCTACAACCATGGTTCAAGATGGTGATACATTAATTGTTGAAGATCAACATGGAGAAATTCTTGATACTTTTAAGACTACATCTCCAACACCTTCTCCATCTCGTCGTCCAAGTGTATCTCCTGGCCCTGGTCTTGATGAATCTGCAAGTATTCATTCTGAAGGTTCACTTCGTCGTCATATTTCTCGTTATTCATTCTCATCTGATGAAGGTGGTGAAGCCGCTTCATCGGATAATGAGAAATCTATTGATCGAGCATTATCCAGAACAATTAGTGGTAAGAAAAAACTGATGTATAATAAGAAGAATCCAAAGCAAAGAGTTAATGTTTATAGAATGGATAATTTAATTATTGTTGAGAATTTAGATGGTGAAGTCATTAGAAGATTTAAGATTAATCATAAACCTAGAAAATCATCAGTTAGCAATACAACAAATACTCCTGAAATTAATGAAATAAGAGGTAGATCAGGTTCAATTGTTGGACGTGCATTAGCATATGTTGGATTTAAAAATAAAGATGAAAATGCGAATGTACCTACTATTAATATTAGTGAATCAAAGCCAAGTCAAGAGCCTTCTACTTCTACTGCTACTAATCTGAATATTGCTACTGGAAATCAACAGTACTTGTCTATTAGACCCAGAAGAAGGTCACCATCGATTCGTGAACGGGATGAAGAAGAAGAAGAAGAAGAAGAAGAAGAGGATGAAAACTTGTCGCAAGACTCTGAAGATGCTGAAGATTCTGAAGATGAAATGGAAACGGAAGTTGAAAGAAGAAGAAGATTGGCTGCGCTTGGCAAACTTCCTGCTGCTCGTGATGAAGATGATGAAGAAGATTAGTCAAACCACAATAAAAGTTAGATAATAATACCCCCAGCATAAGGTTTTATTGATTTATATATATATTAACTAATATAATTATAACTAATTAGCTATTACTATTTATTTCCTTATATACATAATAAATTATTTCATTAATTTGCAGCTTTTTTCCATCCCGCGGCTTGTCGGTAGTCGGTGACTTGCATCCCCACAAAAAGAGTTGAGGTTGTGCGAACGACATAAATTATCACTCACTAATTAAGTTCCGTAAGTAGTGTTGTACTATATACTTATACTAGACATCATGGATCTGTCACTATCATTCTCTTCAGGGTCATTCACGTCTAATCGTGTCATAGAAGACACGTACAAGCTTGCGTTGAAGTTATTTATGAATAAGAACTTTGATAAATCATACTCTATAATTAATAAATTATATCAAGATAGTACAATTGAATATCTGAAGGGACTCATTTCTGAAAGATTATTTATTAAAATTATTATATTATATTTAACACAAATTGGTTTAGCACTTGGTAAAAGAACATCATTTAGATTATCCCAAATTGAAAATAATCGAGTCATTAATTTAATTATACAAGATACATTATTAAATCAATTTAAACAATCTTTTGGAGGAGATATAATTAATATTCCTTTAGAAATTATTTATAATTATGTATTATTATTCATTACAAATCGTGAAGTATTATTGGTTAATGATAAATCATTTTTAGCTAAAATTAGAACAATTTATGGTACAGCTAATTTAAAAACTAATGATCATAATGAAGATAAATATTTAAAACGTTTAAATGATTTATATGTATTTGAAGTATTACCTACTTTTGATGAATTTGAAGAATCTCAACATGTTATTCAATCAAATCCTATATATTCAGATGATATTAATGAAAATTTAAAGAAATTAAGACAAATTCAACAGAATAAATGTGAAATTATTGAACAGGAAAAACAAAGAGAATTAGAACGTAAAAGATTAGAACATGAAGCTAAACAACTAGAAGTTGAAAAACAAAAGGAACGTGAAAAGCAACTGAATTTGAAATATAAATCCATCAAGGAAATTCAAAAACAATACTCTCCATCTTCATCGATTGAACAAAAGTTAGTTAATGATAATGATAATGAAAATAAAGATTTAAGTCAATTAAATCAATTAAATCAAATTAAATCAAGATTATTCTATACTTATAGGTTAATTAAAGATTATATTAAAGAGAATTCACCAATTATTCTTATTATAATAGTCCTTCTTTTCATTATAAATAAGTTCCTTAACCTAAAACAAATCAAATTGAAGGATAGATTACTTGAAACAATACGAATGGCTTTCAAAGTTAGCTTTTTATAGTCTAGTATATAATGTGTACATATATATATATATGTGTTTATATATATGTATATATACCTAATAGAATTTAATATGGGGCTACTATGTCTCGAGCCAAAAAGACTGCGAGTATGCATTTACAAAACTATGGCGTTTTCTGAAATATTCACAATTTTTATCATCAACTGTATATCTCAACCACTATGACTATAAGTAGTACTACATCTGAGATTCAACAGGGAATTTGGGTCATAGGATATGGATCATTAATATTCAAGCCTCCTCCACTTTATTCATTTAAAGTTACAGGATATTTGAAAGGTTACGTAAGAAGATTTTGGCAAAGTTCTTCAGATCATAGAGGTACACCAGAATCTCCTGGTAGAGTTGTAACTTTAGTATCACTAAAAGATTTAAAATCAAATTCTAAATTCCATAATGATTTACATATGTATGAATTAAATGGTCGTCCTTATGAATCTGAAATACTTGATGAATCTGAATCTGAAAAATTCTCTATCCAAGATATAGATCATAAAATTAGTCAATTAACCATTGATGATTTAAGAGTATGGGGTGTCGCATATTATATATCACCTGAGCATGTTCAAGAAATGAAAGAATATCTTGATGTTCGTGAACAGGATGGTTATTCAACTCATAAAGTTCCATTTCATATCATTCATACTGAAGATACTCCAGAATCTAAACAAGTTCTTAAACATACTCAAATAGATGAAAAGACAGGTGATTATTTTATAGAATCAATGATTTATATAGGAACTATAGATAATGAATCCTTTATTGGACCTGAATCAATTCAAGATACTTCTAATATCATAAAGCATTCTAAGGGCCCAAGTGGTTTAAATTCAGAATATTTAATAAAATTAGCTAATGCTGTACGTCATCTCGATGATAATGGAAAATCAAGAGATTTCTATCTTGAAGATTTAGTTAGTTTGGTAGCTCATAATTAGCTTATAATATATACCCATTGCATTTATAGATTATGTATATTATTATTATCATATTATTATTATCATATTATTATTATCATTTGCTAAACTTGTATTGCAAAAATCTAATAGTTTATTAAGAAAAATAAAAAAAAGAAGCGAATCTCCCGGGGGTGAGTCGAACACCCGATCTCAAGATTACTTTGAGGAGAACCCATTACAGTCTCGCGCCTTAGCCAGCTTGGCCACCGGGAGGTTTTCGCTGAAAGAAAATTGTCTAGGCAAATCATAACAAGTTAAACATTACTTTTTAACTATTGCGGCATGGATTTTTATCCATTGGGCACGACCTTTATCCCAATTTTCATTTTCTATATAAAAGATGTATTTGCAGTTTTTATGATTTACTTTAGATATGGCTTATATCACTATGTAATTCGAATCTCAAACTTACTGTTATCTGTCTTGGTTGGTCATAGAATATAACTTTTAAAAGGAAAATTTAATTTTCATGGAATATATTTTCTCAAGAATGCTGCAAAAAGTAATAAAAAGATGTGAACTCCATTAATTCTATATATTATAGTAAATTAAGTTAATTCTAGAATGTTCTTTTCTGATCTATAATACTATTATTAAGGCTATAAATCGTATAGCAATATTATGGTAGCTTATAATCCTACTTCGTCTCTCTACAATATTTTCATAATTAACTCTAAGCCTTATGATATTATTTACAGATATTTCAAAAATTAATTCCTATGTGTAATAAATATATTGAATTACGATTCTATAAATCAAGGAATTGCTCGGAAGCCTGAAGTAATAAATTAGATAATTGATCAATCTCATGTTGAGCTCTACCAAAATCACCTTCAAATGCATAGTCCCTAATACTTGGGAAAGTATTCCATTCATATTTTCCATTATCTTCTTCTGGAGCAGAATAAGGTACTCCAAAAAGCAAGTTGATATAACCAGGTCTCTTTGGACTGGCATCTTGGGAAATAAACATTTGATTAAATTCAACCATATTATCATTCCATTTCCATCTATTCATAGCAAGTAAAGATGGTTCAATTCCAGAAGCATCTTTAACATAAGTATCCCAACTACCAACCCATTCATCAAATCTTCTTCCAGTAGCTTTTAATACATCATTGGCTCTACCAATTGATTCCAAATGCATTTGAGGAATATTTTTTTGTTTTATGTCCTTTACTAAGTCTTTAAAGTATTTATCTAAATCTGATTGATATTTAGAAATTGACAGTGCTAATCCATTAAAATCATAAGGTATTATAGGTTTTTCTACCAATTCTAATACAATTAAAGATATTAATTCAAGCAATTGTGTATGTTTTGTCATTAAAGGATCAATGTTTAATTTATTAAAATTTTCAAAAGTATCATAACAAGAATTCTTAGGATATTTCTTACCTGAAAATTTTATTTCAATTGCAGGAACATTCACTAAATTAATAAATGGTATATAATTTTTTTGTTCTATCATATTATTAGATATATCATCCTTACCATTATGTTGTTTCTTATAAAGTTCATATAAATTAATATTATTAGTTTCATCTGATTGAACTTTCTTAAGGGTATCTCTAATTAATTTATGAAAGAATGGATTTGATTTGATTGATAAAGTATCTCCACTAATTGCATCACTTAAATCAATATATGCATAACCTTGTTGCTTTAATTGATCTTTTCTATTTTGAATCCATTCAGCAGATCCTGCCAAATTATATTCAGTGGCATCAAATGATATAAAATAAATAGTTCTTGCTGGTATCCAATTATAATGTCTTTGAAGAGATGTAAATATTTTAATTAATTCTACTAATAAAGTAGTCCCAGTATTGGCAGATATGGCTCCATAACCAAGTGAATCTCTTGTTGCACCAATAATTATTCCTTTTTCTGCTTGTTCCCTACCTTGAATTGATCCAACTACATTCCAAAGGGGATGAGTTGGTCTTTGATCATTCTTAATACCTAATTGTATCTTAGGACCATTTTCAATTATACCTGAATAAAATCCATTTTTATACTTAATCCCATTCTTACCAAGTTTAGATAAGAAGACTAAACCATCAACATATGATATTGGTATAGTCGGTATTTTAGGAGTTATATCAGATCTGAACCAAGGTAATCTACTAACATACCCATCTTCTGAGGACCATCCAGGAGTTAAAACATCTCCAGGATTCATTCTATTTAAACCCATATTTTGTCTTTGTATATATCCATCATATTTTATAGTATTATCTTCTCCAATTTTAGCTTCTATTTCAGGAGAAATAAATATGATGGCTTTAATTTGTAACTGTTGAGCTACTTTAACTTTATTCAGATCTGGCATAGATCCACCATAATTTAATAATAATATTACATCCTTTAAATTCATCTTACTTTCTACTAATTGTTTAAAATCTTCTTCAGAACCATAATTACCATAAATATAAACACTTTCAATAGGTTCATTAGTATTTAATGAATTAGGATTAAATGATAAATATTGCATATCTGTATCATCAGTTTCATAAAGTTTAGCTTGGAAACTTCCATCCGATAATTTGACATATGTTTGTTTATCATTAAATACAGGATAATTAATATTACTTTGTAATTCATTAAAATCCATATTTTTAATTCCATTATTAGCCATATAACTTACAATATATTTAGCATATGTTAAGTCTCCCTTTGATCCAGCAAGATGAGGCATAGATGAAAAATATTCGAGATTTTCTTCCATAGATTTTGGATCAATATATTCTCGTATTGTTTTACCTAATTTATCTATATCATAAAATTTACCAGTTGAAAATGCTCCACCACTAGCTCCACTAATACCTTCATTTTGAGTATATTTTGTCATAAAATATATGAATCCCATAATGAAAATTACATATAATAATCTTTTTACTACTAAGGGATTTCCAAGTTTTAAAAGTGACTTTTCATAAGTATCTTGAAGATATTTATAACCTTCATATATTGGATCAATTATTTGTGATACTGGATGTATTACTTTATTATTGAAATTTGATGCAAATTTTTTAGTCATAAATGAAGCTCGAGAAAGTAAACCAGAATTACTCGAATTATTATTATCTTCTTCAGTATATCCATCTTCTACTTCAAATTGTTCTATTCCTTGACTTGTACTATTACCTACTTCATTAGCTAAATTAGATTCTACATCTTCATAGTTAGGAGGAAATGAAGGTAGATCTGATGGTCCGGAATTTAAGGCCTGATACGGCTGACTACGTGACATCTGACTATTCTTATATATCTATTCTTTATTATAATATCGAAGTATATCAAAATACTATAGTAATTATAAATTATTATATATCTTCCACATAATCTAAATTTAAACGATTACTGCGCATTCTTTTAGGGGAGTCTGTCTTAACAAAACAAACAAAAAAGTCATAAAAAACCTTTCTTAATAAAAGTCGTGTGGATCCATACCACAGTAGTAAAATGACTACTCGCTAATCTTACACTACTTATAGAAATTATTATCTTTAAGATTATATCTCGGACCGGAATTCATACCGATTAAAATATATTCATACCACAATTTTTATTTTCATAGTAATTAACAAATATATTCATATCAATTAAATTACACTTAGTAAGGCTTTCAATGTGCCAATTGAAGAAATCGAATTTGGAGAAATGTAATAAAGGTTTGGATAAACGAAGCACCTGTTCGGCACATAAACGTGATCTAAAATTAGTCTAAAAGTCAAGTACTTAATTATATATATTAGAGGGGTTCATAACTTTAATGAATTCTTTTCAAGTTTATAGACCAAAGTTTCAAATTTAATGTAATTATTATAACATGTCGGATCTAAAAATGGGAATACTTGACAAGCATAGAATCCAGCTAATTTTGTTTTAAAATCAATCCAAAAGAATAAATTAGCCATACCACTCCAATAAATTGATCCCTTTTTTCTACCAGTAGGTAAATCATTACTACTGTATGCATTACCACTTAAAGAATATCCATCGGGTGTAATTCTTTGAATTTCATCATCATTAAACATTTTAGTAGATAATGATGGAAATTCCATTTCTATATCTGTTGGTAAATGATTTTTAATGGCAAATTTTACTGTTTCTTCCTTTAAAATTCGATTACCAGTATCAGGAGATATCCCATAATTGAGCCAAACTCTCATGAACTTTAAATAATCTCCCACATTTCCAAAGATTCCCTGACCTCCCATATCAATTTCAGGATCTAAAGTTACTCCTAATTTAGTCAATAACTTAAGGCTCTTATCTGATTTACGAATATGCAGTTTAATCATATTTGAATCATCATGAATATGAAAAGTACATGATGTCATTCCAATTGGTTTAAATATAACTTCATCAATATATTCTCCTAACTTCTTGCCTGTAACTTCTTGAATAATTAAACCTAACCAATCAATATTATGACCATACATCCACGCAGTTCCTGGTTCATGAACTAATGGTATCTTATGAGTTGAAAAATATTCTAAAGTAGGATAAATAGCATTAATATGAAGATCTTTCTTGGTAGCTAATTTGAAATAATCATAATTAAGAAATGCATACGAGAAACCAGCTGTATGAGTTAATAATTGTCTTGCAGTAATTTCATTCACTGGAGGTTTAGGAGGAATTGTAAAGGATCCATCTTCATCATCCACCAGATCAGGTTCAATTAATCCAATAGTTCCAATTAATGGTAAATGTTTCTTAACTGGCTCATCAAGATCAATTTTACCTTCTTCCCATAATTTTAAGAATGCCATAGAAGTAATAGATTTTGAACATGAAAAGAAACTCACTATATCATCTGGCTGTATTGGAACTCCTGTCTCTAAATTTCTAGTTCCGAATCCATTAAGATATATGGTTTCTTTATCAGTAGTAACACCAGCAACTAAACCATTTATAGGTGGAGTCTTTGCACCGGTCTGTTTTTCCGTAAGCAGTTTGAGGAATGGATCTATTTCCTTAGCAAGAAGGCTCTTTCTGTCTGTCATTCTCTTTATATCTTAGGTAACAGACTTATAACTGTATCTTGTACTTAGTACTCTAAGAGTTCAATATATACATGTAGCAAAGTGGGTGTTGTTGCTTCAGCTTCAACTCTAAATTAAATTGTACCCCACATGAAATTTTTCATGTGTTAAATTTCCGCTCTAAATCTTTTTTGCAACATCGGCTGAAAACCGAACCTCACTTTCTTTCAATCAGGCAGCCGCCAAAGCATATGAACAATAGCGGGACACCAAAAACAATGAAATATAGTGTTATAAGTAGGGGATTAAGTTTCCTTTTCCTCTGGGGATTAGCCAAGGCCTTTATTCATCCAATTACAATTCATGGTCATTATTTTGTTGACACAGTTTCAAAGGAGCCGGTAAGTTACTATATACACTTCAAATACATAAGAGCGATACTAACTTTATTATATATATATAGTTTTTCATTAAAGGAGTGGATTATCAACCTGGAGGATCTTCTGGAGTGACGAGTCTTAAGGACCCTTTAAGTGATCCTGAAGAATGTGCTAGAGATATCCTACTTTTTCAAGAATTAGGAATCAATGTTTGTAATACCTATAATTAATTTATGAATGTATAAATAGAAATGGTCTACTAACTATCCTATAGACAATTCGTATTTACTCAATTAATCCAGATCTCAATCATGATGTTTGTATGTCATTGTTGGCAGCAGCAGGTATATACTTAGTCTTGGATGTCAATTCTCCTCTACCTAATCAACATCTTCATAGATATGAACCTTGGGCTTCTTATAATATTGATTATCTAGAACATATATTTAAAGTAGTAGAACAATTTTCTTACTACAATAATACTTTAGGATTCTTTGCAGGTAATGAGATTGTTAATGATCCACAATCTGCTAAAGTAAGTACTACAATTTTAAATTATATTCTAAATGTTTATTCTTATTCTAATTCTAATTTTGTTATAGAATTCTCCTGCCTATGTTAAAGCAGTTATAAGAGATTTAAAAATGTATATAGAATATAATTCTCCTAGACCCATTCCAGTGGGATATTCTGCAGCAGATGATTTGAAATACAGAATCCCTCTAGCTGAATACCTTGAATGTATTGATTCAAATCCAGCAGAATCTGTTGATTTCTATGGTATTAATTCATATCAATGGTGTGGAGAACAAACTTTTTATACAAGTGGTTATAATTTACTTGTCGAAGATTATAGTAAATATAATAGACCAATTTTCTTTTCAGAATATGGATGTAATGAAGTGTCACCAAGAATATTCGAAGAAGTTAATTCTCTTTATTCGACTGATATGATAGATGTATTCAGTGGTGGGTTAGTTTATGAATTTAGTCAAGAGCCTAATAATTATGGTTTGGTAGAAATATTAGCAAATGGTGATATTAAATTACTTAAAGACTTCACTCTGCTTAAGACTCAATTTGAATTATTACCTGATATTAATTATAATTATGTTGCTAATTCTATGAGAAGAAATGCTAAGGAAATTCAAGCCAAATTAAAAAAGCAAAAATATGCCTTACCAATATGTGATAATTCTTATGATAACCTTGATATATCAAAGGGAATACCCCAAACTCTTGCCGAAGATATGATTGAAATAGGAGTACAAGTTGCAAGAGGTAAATATGTTGATCTTGATCCTGTCATGCTAAGTTCAAAGTTTAAAACTTTTGAACCAAATGGTGAACTTCATTTAGGTGAAAAATCCATTATTCCAGTAGTTGATATTATGTCAGGAACAGATATTGTGAGAAGACCACATATTAAGGGATTTAACAATTGTACGTATAATGACACCGAAGATGACTTATCAGAAGATTCTAATTCTGATTCTGATTCTGAACAGGAAGAGAGTCCTTAAATTAAGCATGTATAGATTCAGATTTTCTTATAATCCTTTTTTCATGAATTACATTACTAACTATTTTATTATAGCTGCTTCGTCAATTGTTAGCACAACAATAACTAAATTTTATGCATTACTTGTTGTTATATTTAGTTGCTATAATTTGATTTATTAGATAAATTTTCCCTTATAGAACAAGTCGATTTTATGCTGTTGTAGGATTTCTATTAAACAATGACTGTAATTTATAGTTTAGAATTGTAACAGTACATTTTGAATCATTTGATATTAATAGAGGATCTAATAATTTAGTCCAACCTACTCTATCTAAACCTTCAACTGTGAGATCATTTGTGGTTGACATAGTGAAGCCACACTTAACACATGTTTTAACTGTTCTCACCGAACATTCTTTAGAGAGAACAATGGTAACATTTTCGATACACCCTAAATATTTTAGTAAAGTTTCAAGATTATCTGTTGGATTTTCCCATACATCTTGATCATTATCATCATTTTTGTGAGCATTACTATGATCAAAACATTCTACTAAATCAAAATTTCTTAACACTAAATTCTTTAAACTTGAATATCCACCATGACCAGAACATAATAATTTAAAGAATTTATTATATTTTGAATAATTAAATATATGTTTAGAATATTCTTTACTATAGAATATCGATGATGATAAATCAAGAATTAATGTGGAAAGTTTATTATTCAATTTTATGAAATCAATTATTGATAAATCATTCCCTGATAATACATTATTTAATTCTAATATTTGAACATTATCAAAAATAAATGAAGATACTAATTTCTTATTAGGAACTTTCCTTTTATAAGTATTAGCATAAAGACATGAATTTAATGTTAATTTATTAATATTAGAAGAATATTTATTGGTTGAAGATAATGATAATAATTTAAAATCATCAATAATAAAACTAGTTAAACATAATTCATTTATAGCATCGAAATTTGATAAAATTAAAGATATATGTGATAATTTGAATGGAATAGACCAACCAGATTGAGTTTTCAATTCAACTTTTTCAATATGTCGATGATTATTTTTTATAATCTTCTTTTTATTAAAAATTGATGAAAATGATGTAGAAGGTATTAAAGAATTTTCTATTGGGAATGCAAATTCAGGAGCTATTTGAGAAATAGTTAAAACTTTTAATCCATAACTATTATTCAATAAATTAGAAAAACATGATATATATTCATCAAAATTCCAAGTAGGATTTAATGAAGATTCTGCATCAATTTTATAACTACCAGCTATTGTAATTTCAAATTTTGTATTTTCTTTAATTAATGGATTTATAAATTCAATTTCTTTAATGAAATTTATTTGACTACTGGTATGATTATCTATTAAAAGATGTTCATGAGCAAATTTTTTAAAAATTCTCGAGGATTTAAATGTTAACTTATTATATAAATATGTCTTATCTATAATAGTTTTAAATCTTTTACATACTAATGATAATTTTAGTAAGGTTTGAGTATCTTGTAATGCAAATATGTCTAGTAAGATTTCATAAGGTAATGAACAAATATGATAAGGAGGATATTCTATTGGTATACTTTGAAATCGAGATTTGTCTATCGACTTCTTTCTCCCTATTAATTGATACCTCTTCATTGTTAGATTAGGTGTACGGCTAACAATAGTGGAGTGATAAATATAAAATATGACTTTGTACTCTGTACTTTTGTATGGTCAAGTTTTCTTTAACGTTATTTAACTGTTCTCTTTACTACAACTTAACTTATACTAGACTTCACTAACTATACAGACCTCTCTTAAATAAATGCCTGTATTGTATTACTGTGAAATAACCATCTGTATTCTTCGCAGCTCTATTTTCTTTTTTTATTTTTTTTATTTTTTTTTAATTTTTTTAATTTTTTTTATTTCTATGGAACTGCTTATCAGTCACTATATAATAGTATAGTATAATATATATTATAATATATATTATAATAGTATTATAATAGTATAGTATATAATATATATATAACATCACACAATATGGCAGAAGACCAGAGGCGGCTCCTTGAACAACTTATGGGAAAGGATGCTATGATAAATCCCATAGCCAGTCGAAGAGAACCAGATATGTCAAGTCCTCGAGTTTGTAAAAGTTTCCTAGTAGGAACATGTCCACATGATTTATTTGTAGCTACAAAACAAGATTTAGGTAAATGTCCAAGATTACATCTTCAAAAGCATAAATTAGAATATGAATATCGAACTAAAAAATTAGGAGAAACATTTCCTGAATTTGAATATGAATATTTTAATCATATTAAAGAATATATTAATAAATTAGATAGAATAATTAATGATGCACAACAAAGATTAACTCAAACAAGTCCTGAAGAAAAATCTAAAATTGAAAATATAACTAAAGAATTAGATAATTTAGATACTAAAATTGGATTAATGACTCAAGAAATTGATTGTTTAATTAAAGAAAATGAAATTCAAAAATCCTTATATGAAACTATAAAACTTAATGAATTATGTAAAGAACGAGAGAAATTAGCTGAAAATGCTAGAAATTTAGCTGAAAATGTTGGTCAAACTTCTCAACAAAAACTTCAAGTATGTGAAGGTTGTGGAGCTTATTTATCAAGACTTGATAGTGATAGAAGATTAGCTGATCATTTTGTTGGTAAAACTCATATGGGTTATGTACAAATGAGACAAGCATATGATGAATTAAAGCATAAAATGAAGAAGCTGAAGTATAATGGAACAACTTATAAACCAAAGAAATCGATGGTAGCATACTAATGATAATAATAATATTTAACATGTATATACAAGTTTGCATATAGACGGAATACAGAATATATATACTATATATATTTTAATCTTCCTTAAGAGGTTTAATACCCTTACCAACTTTTTCCTTTGAAACATAACCTAAAGCAGATAATCTTTCGGATAAAATTGGATGAGAATGATGATATGATGAATATAACCAATCAGCATCCATAGTAGATAAGTTTTTACTTAATAATTTAATTAATGAAGTACTTAAATCAGAAGAATAACCACATTTTTTAGCATAAGCATCAGCCTCAAATTCATGTTTTCTTGATAAAGAATTCATAGCGAATTGTAAAACAAATTCAAGAGGTCCAAAGATTTCTGAAAATAAGAGGAATCCAACCATAGTTGGTTGAACAGTTGTAAAACCAAAAGTATTGAATAATGAAGAATTATGAATAAAAGCACTGAAGGAAGAAAACATGATTAATAAATGAATTTGAGCAAATGATAACATTTTTGGAAGATGACTTAATTTCCAATGACCAATTTCATGAGCTAAAACTGCAACAGTTTCTTCAATAGTTGAATGATCAATTAAAGTATCAAATAAAACAATTTGTTTACTCCATGGTAAACCAGTAAAATAAGCATTAGAATGAGAAGATCTCTTTGAACCATCAATAACATATAATTTAGTTAAAGGAAATTCTTGTTTTGAAGCTAAATCTTCAATTGCTTCCTTTAATTTTCCATCTTCTAATGGAGTAAATTTATTAAATAATGGTTGAATTAATGTTGGGAAAATAGTCATAGCCACTAATTGAACAAATAATACAAAGAACATAGTATAAATAATAAATGAATCACCAAAATAATCAATAATCTTTAAGAAAGCAGCGACAACAGGAGAACCTAAAGCAATAGTAAGACCAAAACCTTTAATAAGATCAGCAACCCATAAACCAATAGTTTGTTTATTAAAACCATATTTTTCTTCTAATACAAAGCTATAATAATAAGAACTTGGTAAAGAAGTTATAGTTGAAACTAATTGAGCAACATTAAATAAAAAAATTGATTGAGTTATAACACCTCCCATAAATTTAGGTAAAATAAATGAAAGTCCTGACATAAGAGATCCACTAAAATCCCAAAATTTAAATAATAAATCATATTTAATAGTTATTAAACTTTCAATTAATCCAAGAGTACTTGTAACAAATTTAAATTTAGCCTTAGATCTTGAATAAGCTTGAGATTTATCAAATGTTTCTTGTGATACCTCTGCTTTTAAACTATTTGGAGGACTAGTCTTTTTTAACACTTGATATTGACGATAATCTAAATAAGTATCAACAACAAATCTTCCTACTGTTAAACCAGTAAGGACAAGTTTCCAATCAATAGTTGGACTATCAAGGAATGAAAAATTCTATGGGTTAAGTTAGTAAAATGAAATTTATAATAATAAAACTTTCAAAGTTTTAGTATAGTGTCACATATACCACATGTACTACACACATACTATAACTAGAATACTGCATACATACTTGTGCTAAGGAGAACATGGTTCAATTGATTCAAACACTGCTCAGTATATTAGTGGAAGGCAATAGTTAATGTTCAGGAATTTTTCACGATCGCACTTTCATTTTATGTTACGTACCCCAACTGTGAAAATTGTGCGCACTACTTTTAGTGAAATGTCTTAAGTTGTACGGCACCATGAACTTACAGTACTTACAGTACTTACAGTACTTGCAATTTACAGAATTTCTCAGTGTCAATGTAGTCGAAATGGAATGCTTAACATGTGCTAAGTAAATCTGTTTAAGTGGTATGTTTATGTTCCCACTCTTACTAAAGCTTACTGAACATACTAGCACTAGTTAACTTACCCTATTAGCAAATACTGCGAATGTGGGGTGCGAACAAAAATAACAACTACAACTACAACTACTTTACAACAGATTTAATATCTAATAACGTTAAATTCTTTTAGTAATGATTATCTTTTTATATAATATAAAAATCTTCTTTTGGATTGCATAGAAATTATATAGCGAGGACAAATGATTAGTTGTTATGAATCAAATCTATTTAGATTCAGCAGCTAATTTTTCAGCCTTAGCAACAACATCTTCAATACCACCAACCATATAGAAAGCATTTTCTGGTAAGTGATCGTATTTACCAGCTAAAACTTCCTTAAATGATTTAACAGTATCTTGTAATCTGACTAATCTACCTTCGATACCAGTGAAAACTTCAGCAACAGCAAATGGTTGAGATAAGAATCTTTGAATCTTTCTAGCTCTTTCGACAGTTAATTTATCGGCTTCAGATAATTCATCCATACCTAAAATGGCAATAATATCTTGTAAAGATTTATAAGCTTGTAAAGTTTGTTGAACGTTAGTAGCAACATCATAATGTTCTTTACCAACAACGGCAACATCCAATAATCTTGATTTAGAATCTAAAGGATCGACAGCTGGGTAAATACCTAATTCGGAAATACCTCTAGATAACACAGTGGTAGCATCCAAATGGGCAAAAGTGGTGGCAGGAGCAGGATCAGTTAAATCATCAGCTGGGACATAAACAGCTTGAACAGAGGTAACAGAACCCTTCTTGGTGGTGGTAATACGTTCTTGTAAAAGACCCATATCAGTGGCTAAAGTTGGTTGATAACCGACAGCAGATGGAATACGACCTAATAAGGCAGACACTTCAGAACCAGCTTGAGTGAATCTGAAAATGTTATCGACGAATAATAAGACATCTTGTCCTTCTTCATCTCTGAAGTATTCAGCAATGGTTAAACCAGTTAAAGCAACTCTAGCTCTAGCTCCAGGTGGTTCATTCATTTGACCGAAAACTAATGCGACTTTGGAATCACCTTCCAAGTTAATGACACCGGTTTCTTTCATTTCACGGTATAAATCATTACCTTCTCTAGTTCTTTCACCGACACCAGTGAAGACAGAGAAACCACCATGGGCTTTAGCAATGTTGTTAATCAATTCTTGAATGAAAACGGTTTTACCGACACCGGCACCACCGAATAAACCAATCTTACCACCTCTAGCGTAAGGAGCTAATAAATCGACAACTTTAATACCAGTTTCTAAAACTTCAGCAGCAGTAGATTGTTCAACAAAAGTTGGAGGATCAGCATGAATTGGGTTTCTTTGTTTACATTCAATTGGACCTCTTTCATCAATTGGTTCACCAACAACGTTAATAATTCTACCTAAAGTACCTCTACCAACTGGGACAGAAATTGGAGCACCAGTATCAGCAACTGGAGCACCTCTGACTAAACCTTCAGTACCATCCATAGCAATGGTTCTGACAGTGTTTTCACCTAAATGTTGGGCAACTTCTAAGACTAAATCTTGATCACCGTTCTTTAAGGTTAAAGCATTTAAAATGGCTGGTAAGTTACCTTCTTCGAATTGAACATCGACAACGGCACCAATAACAGCTCTATAATAAAATTTCTGTTAGTATATAACAATCTTAAAAATATTAAGAATATTTATAATTTAAATCAATCAATCATCATTAATCTACAGTAATAATTATAGTCAGTCAAGTTGAATAATTTGGTGTTGCTCGCTATCACAAAAGGGAGAAAAATTGAAAAATTTTATTGGCCCGGCAAATTTTGGACAAACGAAAAAAGCTCATAATGGCACTAGTAAATTACATTGACACTAGTCAACATCGAATGAATAAGGTTGGAATTTATATTGTAGATAGTTGTTGAAGTAGTTATGAATCCAATTGTAGAATGATTGAGCTTGATACTAATTTGAACGAATTTAAAATGATTTATATAGATCATACTAGTTAAAAAAAACTAAATCATGACATGGATAACATCCATCTTGAAATTATACAATTCATCAATTGAAAAAGTATAAACGTTCATAATGATGTATATCATGATTGGTTTAATCCACTAGATTCCATTCGATTGACTCGATTGATTATCTTTAGATACAATGAATTGATCCAAACATTTAAATTTAATTAAAAGTTGTATACATACCTGACTTTACCAACAGGAGCAGCAGTAGCTAAACCTCTGTTGAACATGAGGTTACGCTTAGCAGCAGTGAATGCATTGCGTGAAGCAGTGTTAAATAATCTTGGAAGAACCATCGTTAGATATTTAACTTTGACTGATAAACTAAAGAAGAGAGGAAGTAGTAGTGAAAAGAAATGGTTTGAAGACGTTGAAAAAAATGCTAAACTGAGCGAGTCTAGGACCGGCGACATTTGTGAGGTAAGAGACATTGTTAACTATGTGTGTGTCGCACTCCTCCTCACTCTAGCCAATTAAATTCGTCCTTTGCCATTTTGTATGGCGGGAATGGTCTTTGCGAAGTTTTATTTGTTTGATTGGTTTGACATATGTGCAGGATAGGCTATGAGACACACCTATTTTTGCTGCAAAATTAATTATAACTTATAACTACTACTTACAGAACATATTAACTATATACATATATATGTATATATACACACACTTAACTTATTGGATTTCTTCAAGATTTCTTTTGGTTTCTTTAATTAATTCCTTTAATTGTGAAGGGTATGTTTCGTATAATAAGATAGAACCAGTAGGAACATCTCCACTTTCTTTATCAAATACTTTAGTACAACATTCTAAACATAATAATACACTATCTTTCTCATTTAATTTCTTCATAGAAGAAAATTTTTGTACCATTGTCATCTTACCCATCATTCTTGATGATAATGAAGCTGATGATGAAGAATTAGATTTCATTCTACTACTAGTAGCTAAAGTTCTAAGATGATGATATTCACCTTCAATTTTATTTTTAGCATTCTCACTAACATCTACTGGATGTTCTTGTAATCGCTTAGATCTTCTTTTAGTGAAACCTTCATTTTTGGCGTCTAATTCTTCTTTAGCTTTACGTTTAGCTTCATTGACTAATTGATCAAATTGTGCCATCATACATAATTCTTCTTTGGATTCTTCTTTGAATTCTTTTTTAGATTCTTCTTTAGATTCTTCTTCACTAACAAGATCAATAACTTCTTTAAATCTTCTAGAACTTTCATTAGCACTAACTAATTCAGCTCTTTCAATATTGCTTGTTAAATTAACTTGTTCATAAGGTGAAGCTTTAGGTGTCAACAATTGTTTAGGTTCTTCTTTAATTTCTTTCTTATCAATTAATCCTGAATGTTTAGAATATTGGAATCGACGATCCTTATTATTAATAATACAATATTGATATCCAAGATGGGTCTTACATATATCACATAACGGTTCATCTTCTTCATCATCACCATAATTTTCATAAATATCGTAATTAATATTACTATTATTCTTTGACCTTTTAATCTTCTTAGGTTTATATTCAACATTAAATTTAGATTTATCAATTTTAAAGAGGTATTCATTCTGCCTCATCATTTGATCCTCAAATCCTTTTAAACTTTTCTTAACCAAATTAATTTGATTACGATGTATTTTACCGCGTTGACGATTGAAGGCCCTTAAGATATTTTCCAATAATTGATAATGATTGAAGACATTTTCTTTACCTATACTCTTATAATCATTAATTGACTTCTCACCAAATTCTAACCATGAATTCATGGTGAAATTCACTGCCTCATTAAAATTAAATCCACAATTAAATCCAGCATGATATACTCGAGGGTAAGTGATTATAAATTCTCCAGGATTCTGATCAGCATAAACACATTTAATTCCATTTTCAACCAACTTAACTGGTGACAACAATGTTACCAACTGATGTAATAAATCAGGCTGTCTCTTAAATAAATCAGGAGCTGAATCTCTCATTAATTTCTCAAATTTATCTGCTTGTGATGAAGGAATTCCATACCATTTCTTAGTGGCACCTAAATGACAATAATTTGCTGATAAAGTATAATGATCTTCAACATGCCAACAAAATGTTGATAATAATGAACCAATATATATCCAGGGTATAGTCATTCCTGAAATAGCAGTACTGATATAATTTAGAAGAGAACCATTAGCAAATGGTAATTTTGTTAAATTAAATGGATGATTAATATAAAATTGATTTGTGGCATCGTCAAGTTTTATACCAGGGGTATCCATCATTGGAAATCCACTTATTTGACCAGGCTTTAAATTATGAATATCAGCACCATATTTAACCTCCAAATCTGACTTCTGAATATCAACAAATTCCCAGAATTTCTGTTCAATAATATCTACCGTCAATGGTTTACCATTATTATACTTATTGATGAAATCTTGATCAGCTTCTAAACATAAATTATAAAATTGACGTAAAGAATATTTAACATCTACTTCTTCTTCAAATCCATATTCACCAGTTCCAATTAAACATTTATCACAATACCAATTACTCGAAGGAATTGAATTGAGAGGAGTAGGTAAACAGAATGTATGATATGGATTATCACAATTATCACATAATAAAGTTAGAGATGGATGATCATGTTTACCACATATCAAACAATTATCATACTCATCTTCAGAATCACTTTCAGGGAATTCATAATTTGAATTATGTTCTTTAAGAAAATTGGAATAACTTCGAATATTAGTATTGAATTCAGTTTCTAGTTCTTGAGAATCATGAGCTACACCAAACTGACTTTTCAAGTCTTTCCATTTTGTTCTTGACATATTCTTAATACCACCCATACCATCTACTTTAATAAACAAATCATAATAATATACTTTTACAGGGTGATGACCCTTAGCTGGTTTGGCTGTGAAATACTGTTTCAATTGACGTTTCCGACGCATCTTAAGAAATCGATTAATATTATCAGAAAATAATTGTCGAGATCTAGTAGTAATACCAAGATCACTGATTCTTTGTAATCTAGTATGAAAGTTAAAGTCTTTCGATATCAGAAATTGTGGATTCCAATTCTCAGGTGGTACTATCTTGACTATACCATATTGTGCACCTAATTTAGCAATATCAGCTCGAGAAAGGTATTCGATGGGATCACTAAATTCATCCATATTAGGATGAAGCACCGGACATGGAGTTAACAAGTCCTTTCTAAACATTGTCAAAATAATTTAACTATAGTAGAAGCAATTCCCTTTTAATAAGAAGAGAATACTATGACCAATATGATCAGAGAACTGTCGTTATAAACCGAACAATTTTTTAAAAAAATTGTATATCAAAGTCCCAAACTATTAGTGTGAATCAATAGCCAATACTTGAGCGACACTAGTTGGATAACTTTTATAAGTATTTTTAATACTTAACGTACCTAATTTGGTGTTGAAATTAAGTCCTATATATCCCCTTTAAGGAAGCTCGAAATAATTTAATCGTGAAATCCGCACAACGGTTTTAGCACTATATGAATTGCAACGTCAATTAGTACTCTAATTGTATTAACCCCTAAATCCTTTATTAAACTATCAAAGGTTGACTAGACGTTTTTGCAAAAAGATCTACAAAATATTTATCACTATTCTGCAGCTAGATATGAGTGCAGTTTGCGATATTGCAGAGTTCGATCTGAATATTTTGGAACATCAATATGGCCAGATTCCATAGTTAAAATTGCCAACTTTTGACGCACTACATTAGACTTCCCAATTAGGAAGGCATACTCCAAAATTAATTTCAATTGCCGAGTTGGAAAATTTGGCAACTGAGTGCGATAGTGAAAAATTGAGTCAAATATAAAAGTAGCATATTTGGTAGGTTTGATAATAAAGTTATTTCTATATATTTATTAGAACTTTACAATCGATAAGAAAGAGAGATGAAAGATTATACAATTGTCGTTTTAGGATGTGGTGTTATGGGAACCGCTGTATCTTCAGCAATTCTTAAGGCTAAATTTGAACCATACCCCGCTAGAATCATTGGTTGCACTAATTCTTCCAGTACTAATGCACTTTTAGAATCATCTTTACAGCATGAAATTTTTGAATATTCTTATGGAGTTGAAGCCAATACCAAAGCAGTATCTGAGGCAGATATTATAATACTTGGATGTAAGCCATATATGTATCAACAAATTTATGAAGAAATTAAATCTGGATTAAGAGGAGATCAATTACTTATTTCATTATTAGCTGGTACTACTATTTCAGAATTAGAGATTTTCACTCCATATGTTGCTAAAGTTATGACAAATACTCCTGCTAGATTCGGAGCTGGTACAGCTGCTATTGCCTTTTCAAAACTTGCTGAAGAAAAATATGAAGATTTAGTTTTAAAATTAATTAGTCCAGTTGGTGAAGCCTTTAAGATCGATGAAAAGAATATGGATGCTGCTACTGCATTAATTGGTTCAGGACCAGCCTTTTGTTTATTAATGATGGAATCATTAATTGAAGGAGGTGTTAGAATGGGATTACCATGGGAAGTTGCAAAATTATCTGCTGCTAAAGTTATGGAAGGTACTGCAAAAATGGCTCTTGAAACTAAAGAACATCCAGCTATATTAAAGAGTAAAGTATGTACTCCAGGTGGTACTACCATTGGAGGTTTATTAAAAATGGAAGATGCAGGTGTAAGAAGTGGAATTGCCAGAGGGGTAGAAGAAGCTGCTAGAATTTCAGCTTCATTTGCAAAGAAATAAATCACACTAAATATATAATTCATATAAATAGTCTATTCTATTCTGCATATATACAAATATTTACTACCTTTTTCTTCTATTTACAAATATGTATATACTTACTTTTCAGTATTCTTTTGATGAGAAAGGAAAACATCAGTGAAAACACTCAAATCGTCTTGTTTGACTTGAATGTTAGCCTTTTCAAATGCATCCTTTAATTTACTTAATTGTTCTCTAATATCTTTGTCAGCAAAAATCCTCATCATTTGTGTAATTGTTGGAGGTTTACCACCAGTCAGCATACCTTTAACTTCCAATAAGTCTTTAAATCCATTAAGTAATTGACCAATTTCAGGATTTGTTCTAATAGTTTCAGTAAATTTTTGTATCTTCTCTAATTGCTCAGCCGTAGGTTCAGATTTATCTTTTCCTCCAAAGAATTGTACTGGTCTAGTATATGAAAATGATCTAGTAATGGTTCTTGAAGATACCCTTATACCAGAAATTGGGATATTTCTTAAACATGATCCTGATTTAATGAGTGGTCTCAACATCTCTCTTGTACTTGATAATATATATACTAATTAGATCTTAGCTAGGTATCCATTATCTTATTAAAAATGTCTTCTATAAAAATGTCTTACCAAAAAATGTCCAGCAATGTCGGCAGCTGACGTCGTGGAAATACCACTTGTTCGTTCCACGTAGTTGTGAAAAATTCGAAGGTCGAGAAAACGGGCAAACTTTGTTTATTCCTATTCATTCGACATCAGTCAATCTATCGATCAACCAACTAGTTGAAGTTATAAGATCATTATGTCTAACGAAGGCCAAGAAGAATTATTGGATTATTCCGATTCTGAAGAAATTGCAGTTCCAACCACTACTGCCTCTACAGATGCTACCAGCAATGATACTGAAGCTGATAAGAAAGGTTCATATGTTGGTATTCATGCAACTGGTTTCAGAGATTTCTTATTAAAACCAGAATTATTGAGAGCTATTGGTGACTGTGGTTTTGAACATCCTTCTGAAGGTTCGTATACTTCCCCCCTCTCTACAAAAGTATGATGGTACCTTCCTTTGGTTGAATAATACATAATAATAAAAAAAGGACATTTCCCAGACTTGATTTATTCTTTCTTCATTGAAAGTCATTAAAAATAGAGAATGCTGGTCATTCTTATCATTTCATACCATTTATTTGTTTGAGTGAAATTTATTGAAAATGGTTGGTTGAAGTACTAAGTACTTTCCTTAATTTCTTCCTCCCTCACTTATCCACCACAAATTTCCTCCTCATCTTGAAACAATACTCATTTAGAGTAATGTTAGTAGGTAAATTAATTACCTTCTTTTTCATATAGTTAAGTTGACTCTTAACTAGATCTACAATTCATTTCGAATCATTTTATTCCCGATTCATTTTTCTCTTTTCTGTCAAAGAAATTTCATGATCTTTAAATTATTTCATAATTTCTTTAGATAATTTAAGTGGTGGAAGAGAAGAAGGGGAACTAATTCCATATATTTCAAGTATATGTTGGAATGGAATAAAGTGTCATGATAGAAGAGATGATAATTAAATCAATCTGAAGTTTACCTCTCAAAGGGGACTTTCTTTATTTATATTATTCACAATGGAAAGGGATATCATTATATGACACTGTAAAATAAATTAATTAACTAACACATTTTTTAGTCCAACAAGTTTGTATTCCACAATCTATTTTAGGTACTGACGTTTTATGTCAAGCCAAATCCGGTTTAGGTAAAACTGCTGTTTTCGTTTTATCTACGTTACAACAATTAGATCCTATTCCAGGTGAAATTTCTACTTTAGTTATCTGTCATACTAGAGAATTAGCTTATCAAATTAGAAATGAATATGCTAGATTCTCTAAATATATGCCAGATGTTAAAACTGAAGTTTTCTATGGTGGTACTCCAATTAAGAGAGATATTGAAAAATTAAAGAACAAAGATACTTGTCCTCATATTGTTGTTGCTACTCCAGGTAGATTACATGCTTTAGTCAATGATAAAGCTATTAGATTAGCCAATGTCAAATCATTCGTTATTGATGAATGTGATAAAGTTTTAGAATCTATTGATATGAGAAGAGATGTTCAAGATATTTTCCGTAGTACTCCACATCAAAAGCAAGTTATGATGTTTTCAGCTACTTTATCTCAAGAAATTCGTCCAGTTTGTAAGAAATTTATGCAAAATCCTTTAGAAATTTACGTTGATGATGAAGCTAAATTAACCTTACATGGTTTACAACAATACTATATTAAATTAGCTGAAAAGGATAAGAATAGAAAATTATCTGATTTATTAGATTCCTTAGAATTTAATCAAGTCATTATTTTCGTTAAATCTACTCAAAGAGCTAATGAATTAAATAAATTATTATGTGCTTGTAATTTTCCATCTATTGCCGTTCATTCAGGTTTACCACAAGAAGAAAGAATTGAAAGATATAAATCTTTCAAAGAATTCAATAAACGTATTTGTGTCTCCACTGATGTTTTCGGTAGAGGTATTGATATTGAAAGAATTAACTTGGCTATTAACTATGATTTACCAAATGAAGCCGATCAATATTTACATAGAGTTGGTAGAGCTGGTAGATTTGGTACTAAAGGTTTAGCCATTTCTTTAGTTTCTACTAAAGAAGATGAAGAAGTCTTAGAAAAGATTCAATCTAGATTCGATGTTAAGATTACTGAATTCCCAGAAGAAGGTGTTGATCCATCTACTTACATGAACACCTAGGTTGAGCTGTTGGTGTTTTATTAAAATGATTATGTAGTTTTATAGTTTGTTTAGTTTTATCACAGTATTACACTTCGAAAAGAATAAAGGAAAATATTATTATTAAATATATGATATATGTATTGTTATTTACTTAAATCTACACATATATCATCGATTAATTTAAATGCATCTGTCAAATCCGATTTGGGAATTAAAAACCATTCGACATGTATATTATAATCGGAATTAAATGGTGTAGATTTATTCAGCTTATTCGTTCGTTTTGCAGCATTTTCAGAACATCCTGTACAATATAAACTTCCACCTCCATACTTTTTATGTAAGGTTTTATGAATGGTCAGTTCAATACTTCTAACGTTTTTAGGACAATAAAATCCTTGGTTACGAAAACTTTCATAATGGGGTAAGGTATCTTTAGCCTTAGAGGTATTGGAATCCGATATAGCTAGTCTATTAAATAACTTGGTAAGGTCCAAAACAAATCTACGAAAATCCCGAATTTCGCTTAATGAGACTTGGCCGACCCGAGCCTGTCTATCACTCACAAAATCAGATTTTGAGGGTACAACCACAGTTAAATCATGATTACATTTTGATTTCCATTGAAATAATCGTTCTTGAACAGACTTAGTAGTCATACCGATTTTCACAAGGATAAACTCTGAAGTTTTTGAATTAAATGGAACCCATTTATTGTGATGCCTTGATTTTATTTTAGGTAAATTTTTAACCAGTAACCACTCATTTTTATTAGGCTGAAGTAGAAATGAAAGAGTATAAACATAGATATATCCCGCCTTATCAGAATTTGTAGAAACTCCGATTGTTTCAATTTTGTTAGTAGAAGCTTCAATAGGTTCAGTTTTAGTTATAGTTTTTGTTTTAGTTTTAGCTTTAGCTAATGTATCATTGTTTTGATCGCGTCGTTTGTTGGAAAATTGGGGACCACTTTGATCTTTATGATAATGACAGAATTCTTGACCAACAGGAGCTTTCAACTTACATCTTAAACCTTTAAGAGTAATACCTTTGCACTGTAATTTTGAATTGACCATTCTGGGCTTTTAAATCTAAAGCCACGTAAAAGAATCAGTTGTTTACTAAATAGTTTTTGTATTTTGGAGTCAAAAAAGATTTGTTCACCCTGTGGATCTTAACAACTTTGTTAGTTACAAGGGAAGAGATCATACTTTACAGTAGCCATTTGAAATACTGTCGGTTTTGAAATTACAATTCTATCACCAATTATGCGAGATAATGCGTTATAGAGAAATTTGGACTTTCGTTCCATCTATATAAGTAATACATATAAGTAATACATGATTGTAAGCCAAAATAAAATTTACAGGTACAAGTATAAATAATAAACAAGTGGATACTTGTATTTTGGCTCACAATTGTCAATACGAATCAGTATAATTACATCTTAGGATTTTTTTTTTTGCAGCTCAGGGATAATCTGCAATGTGCAATTCAGACTTGTAGTTAGGTGATGGGTTATTTTTGTTACTCCTATTATATTTACTACTAATTATCTTTATATTATGACCCTTGGGCATATGCTATGATGTTATTTAAAAATAATTAGCAGTTATTAAATGAATGTCGTGATAATTTAACGATACATCTCCAGATGTTTTTAATATGCTCAGGCAAGTTATTCAATAGGTATTAATTCCATATTCGGATTTCTCTGTCCTTTGAGTCTTTAGTCTAAGACCAGAAAATTATTTTTAATTTTAGAAAACTGTGGCACGTGAAATGAAGTAACCTTATATATATGCAGTACCTTTAATTGCAGCCGACCAAAATTAACTAATTTCGCTCCTTAAGCGGTGAAGCCCACTACAGTGAATTTACTTATTGTAAAAATTATGGGTTGATTCATTATTATGATAAACTGTGGTTAGTGGGGACTTTATACCCCATAACTCAAAATTAATTTTTCACTTTGTAGTATTTAAACTTGTAAATTTCCATATCAATTGATTTTCAATTGTTTTTATTATAATTAATTTTAGTTTATTCATTTAATTGTATTTTAATTTTAATACTTGTAATTCAATTAAATAGATTCCTTTTATATAAAAATGTCTGAAAATCTTCATTTTGATACTCTTCAATTACATGCTGGTCAAGAAGCTGAAAAGCCACATAAACCAAGAGCTTATCCAATTTATGCCACATCTTCATATGTTTTTAATGATTCTAAACATGGAGCTCAATTATTTGGTTTAGAAGTTCCTGGATTTATTTATTCAAGACTTCATAATCCAACTGTTGATGTTTTTGAACAAAGAATTGCTGCTTTAGAAGGTGGTATTGGAGCTGTTGCAACATCTTCTGGTCAAGCTGCTCAATTAATTGCTGTTACTGGTTTAGCTCATGCAGGTGATAACTTTATTTCAACTTCATATTTATATGGTGGTACTTTTAATCAATTTAAAGTTGCCTTTAAAAGATTAGGAATTGAAGCAAGATTTGTTAATGGTGATAAACCAGAAGATTTTGAAAAATTAATTGATGAAAAAACTAAAGCTATTTATCTTGAAACTATTGGAAATCCAAAATATAATGTTCCAGATTTTGAAGCTATTGTTAAAATTGCTCATAAACATGGTATTCCAGTTGTTGTTGATAATACTTTTGGTGCTGGTGGTTATTTAGTAAATCCAATTAAGCATGGTGCTGATATTGTTGTTCATTCTGCTACTAAATGGATTGGAGGTCATGGTAATACTATTGCTGGTGTTGTTATTGATTCTGGTAATTTCCCATGGACTGAATATCCTGAAAAATTTCCTCAATTTTCTAAACCTTCTGAAGGTTATCATGGATTAGTATTGAGTGAAGCTTTAGGTAAAGCTGCATTCATTGGTCATGCTAGAATTGAATTATTAAGAGATTTAGGTCCAACTTTAAATCCATTTGGAGCCTTTTTATTATTAACTGGTCTTGAAACTTTATCATTACGTGTTGAAAGACAATCTTATAATGCTCTTAAATTAGCTCAATATTTAGAAAAATCTCCTTATGTTGCTTGGGTTTCTTACTTAGGTTTAGAATCTCATCCAAGTCATGAATTATCTAAAAAATATTTGAATCATAAGGGTCAATATGGTGGAGCTCTTTCTTTTGGTGTTAAGGCTTTACCAGCTAAAGAAGGTGATGATGATTTTTCAGCTGCTTCTGTTAAAGTAGTTGATGGTTTAGAAATTGCTTCTAATTTAGCTAATGTTGGTGATTCAAAGACTTTAGTTATTGCTCCATGGTTTACAACTCATCAACAATTATCTGATGAAGAAAAAGTTAACTCAGGTGTTACTAAGGATTTAATCAGACTTTCTATCGGTACTGAATATATTGATGATATAATTGCCGATTTTGATCAATCCTTTAAAAAAGTTTATCAATAGATTTGATACTCAGTAATCTTATTTCTAGAAGCTTGATCTCAATCTCTTTGTTGTTTTGATATTGTTTTATACTAATTTCATTTCATAATTTGATGTAATCTAATTTATTTCAATTAATATATAATTTATATAATTTATATAATTTATACACACATTAATTTATATTCTTCTTCTTCTTCTTCTGAAAAGCTTATCCTGAATTGATGTACAAGTAATAAGAAAAGGTTGAACTAAATTAACTGTACGCAATAACAAACCCCTCATATCACTATCTTCTATTTCAGCTATTCCAAATTTTTCAAATGCTGAATTCATCTTAGAGAGAAATGAATCTGACATGATCTCTAAAGTCAACTGGAGAGAAACTATACCTAAATAACATAAATAGATTATTAAAAGAATCATTATTGAAGCAGAAGTCGAAAAGTACTGACATATCCATAATTCTATAAATAATAATCCCAAAAGGCATACTAGAATAAGATTAGCCAGGCATACTATTTTCAATACTGTTGAATAATATTCCATTTGATAAATATTATGAATAATCTCAAGTGCTTCAGTATCTAAGTTTGTATAACCTGTATCATTTTTAATAGATTTAGTATAAATATCATCTAAAGTTTTCAAAGCATGAGAATAAGTTGTCGAGAGGCTATCACCTAATTTAGAAGGTTCATCAGATTTAGATATTTCTCCCAATTGATAACCTATATCTTTAACTAAACTTGAAAATATATCTATTCCATTTGAACTTAAACAAGTTTCTTTCATTGTATCTTTATTAAATCGACAAAATCCTCCAAAATTAACTTTATATAGATTATTAGTTGATAATGTATCAATTTGTTGAAGATAATTATTAGCAGATTTATTATCATAATCAGAAATACTTAAATCTTGGGCAACATATGATATCATTTTTAATCCTTCTCTAATACCTGATAAAGAATCTTTAGCACTGATTGTTTTATCTGTAATTTCAAATGTATATAGTGGATGACATTTTAAATATCCTGAATTACAAGAAAATAATAAACAAACGTACACAGTAATATATGTTATTATGATAATCATTGCCATTAACTCAAAACAAGTACTATTTGATAACCATATATTAACCTCATGTAAAATAATACTTGATTCAATCCAATACCTTTTAAAATACTCATGTATTGTTTGATAAGATGATTCAAAATATTTACGTATTGATTTTGGTTGACAAAATGATTCTGAATCTAATGGTTGTATACTTTCAATCGGTTTCAATACCATCGATTGTTCGTTATATTTATCATCAATCTCTAACGTTTGATCCTTCTGGCCCTTCTTAAGCCATGATTTGAATGAATTAGTTATGTTTTCCATCCACATCATTGGTAATGATTAGTTATCAGTAAGAAGAAAAGTGGGAAAAGTGGGAAAAGTGGGAAAAATGTGCATTTTTTTGCGGCCAAATTTAATTTCTCATAATTTTGCTTGAATCAAAGGGCTGTGCGGGGGAAGGATCCAGAGATTCTGTTATAGCTCTATTTAAATAAGACAGTGGCAGAAATGGCGTTTGTGCAGGTCTTCGTCTTGGTTGTGATGAGCCAGCATCAGTATCAATTTGAATTTCTTCAAGTTCAACATCTAAACTTGGGATGAGATTATTATTATGATTATTATTATTATTATTATTATGATTATTATTATTATTATTATTGCTATTATTGCTAGTATTATAACGAGAATTAGAACTACTACCAACTGTTGATGGGAAATCTCCTCTAATTAATGGTATACTATAAAATGGATTATTAGCATCATATCCACTGTAAACTGTTTCTGCATATTCTACATTTTGACCTGATTCAAGATCAGTAGAATGTAATGATTCAACTCTATAACGTCCACTATGATTAACCATAGCACCTAATTTTTTTAATTCTTGTTCACTATCTTTATGATTAATTCTTGGTGGAGTATCTATTTCATCATCAATATCATTATTTCCTTCTTGAAGTGATGTCAGTGAATTAACTCGAATATTTTGATATGTTTGACGACTACTAATTCTAATCCCAGTTTTTTCAGGACTTGGATTAGCACACCATAATGGTATTACCCACACAAGAGTAGAAATTAAATTTATGAAAAGTCCAACAAAAAGGGTCAGGAACCATAATCTTCCTGAATGAACTGATATTCCAAATGAATTTAAACTTGTATTAAATTTTGCTTTAATTGATGCAATAACACTAGTAATAAGTCCAACAGCTAATGATAAACAAATAAATGATATTAAAGAAATTATAGCTACTAAATTCAGAACTAATATTGATGTTTTACTTCTTAAAGTTCTATCTTTTAAATATAACAAAATCACTAAAATTAATACAATTATTTGTAATCCTGTTGCTGTAGCTAATCCAGGTACAAAAAATGTATATCTTGCATGTCTTCTATTCAGAGCATTTGTATAAGATTGATCTAAATAATTAGAAGTTTGAAATGCATACAGTAGAATTGGGGAAAGACCTACTTCAACAAGAATTTCTCGATATTCAACGAGAGTTCTCTGATTAGCTTTAGTACAAACACTAACTTCATTATATCGTGATTTTTCATTAGTGGATGATATATTATAATTAGTTGAACACCAATTCCATAATGTTATTGTGATATATTGAGGTGCATCTTCAATTGCATCTGCTGAATATTGACTAATAAGTTGAATTGCTGAACTTGTTAATGATGAATCAAATGGGATACCACTATAATCCGAGTCACTTGAAGGATTATTTGTATATTCCAAAGAATGCTTTAATGACGCTGATAAACCAGCTTGAACATCTATATGACCACAACTTATCTTCATAACATAACTACTTTGATTTGAAAATGGACTAACAATAGTAGTTAATAATAATATTGATGCAATGAGAGAAATAAATAATCGTAATAAAAATAAGATTGACTGTTCGGTAGACATGCCTCTAAGGAGTTGTCGAGACCATTTCAGACCTCCAGTACCCTGAGTCATCATACTGGAAGCCATATCGAATAGAGTTTGAAACTAAGAGAAATTATATATGTAATAGTGAATTCGATTTCTGATATCGGAGATATTTTCTTAGACATCACAAGTGCGATCCACAATAGCACCGAGTGGTTTAAGCTACATTAGTTAAAATTATGCAAATATGATGTGTACTGATACCTACGGGATCCCAAAAACTAAATAAAGAACAAAAACAAGAACAAGAACAAAATTAAGAAACAAATTAAACTAAAACCAAACTAACAAAATTAAAATAATACAAAAGTTTTAAATGACCAGCATGACTTTTAGAAATCTTCATGAAACTTCAATTCACCATACTTTGATGCATACATAGCAGCATCTGTACCTCTATTATATAAATCTTCTGAATCATCTAATTTTCTTTTATTATAATTAATACCTTGATCTATAGTTTGAAGTGGAGCATTATTAATTTGATAACGACTATCCCATTCTGCTAAACATGATGAAGAAGAATCCAAAGTTGAGCCCATATTAGTTAAAGATGGTGGTTGATCTAAATGTGATGGTAAAGGAACTCTTTGCATATTGTTGCTATAACTATAATTATTAGCATTTGGTACACTATAACCATCAGATACTGCCTTCCTTATTCTCATTCCAATGGTTGATAATGCTGCTACATCTTCACTAACAACATTTTGAGGCTGTATACTAGCTTGCATTTGTCTTTTAATACCTGTTGAACTCATTGTTGTTTCTTTTTATGATATTCAATTAACCTTTGGATAATGCTAAAATTTAAAGGTTAAAGATCGGAACCTTGAACGTGCCTGTCAAGTCATGTCATGTCAGACTAAGTCAATTTTTTTTTCCCTTGGTGCTTATATTATTGTTGCGCTTAAATGTTATTTCCTAATTGGGACAAATTACTCACGTGATCGAATTTCTCGATGTTAATTACCTTTTACAATTTGTGTCGGAGTTGCATTCCCTGATTCGCACTCACCAAGTCTTAATTTTTATGGGGAGAATGATTCATTATACCTATAGGTAGTTGACAGCGATGATTTAGTTGTCGAAATCATACGAATTAATGGGTATAAATTAAGTGAAAAATTTCCAATTTTCAATTAGTATATTTATTATTCATCAATTCAATTATCTAGTATAGAAAAATATATCCAATTAATATGTCCGGTCCAGAATTTAACATTTCTTCGAGTGTAACTCAAGAATATGAATCTAAATATTCAGCTCATAATTATCATCCATTACCAGTGGTTTTCACTAAAGCTCAAGGAGCTCATGTATGGGATCCAGAAGGTAAAGAATATTTAGATTTCTTATCTGCTTATTCTGCTGTTAATCAAGGTCATTGTCATCCAAAAATTGTTGAAGCACTTGTTGATCAAGCTTCAAAATTAACTTTATGTTCAAGAGCTTTTTCATCAGACGTGTTTGCAGTTTATGCTAAATATATTACTGAATATTTTAACTATGAAATGGTTTTACCAATGAATACTGGTGCTGAAGCCGTTGAAACTGGTTTGAAATTGGCTCGTAGATGGGGTTATGTTAAGAAAGGTATTGCTCCTGGTGAAGCAATCATTTTATCAGCTGTTAATAATTTTCATGGTAGAACTTTGGGAGTTATTTCTATGTCTACTGATCCAGATGCCACTACTAATTTTGGACCTTATTTAAATGGTGTTGGACCTCAAATTCCAGGTGCACCAAAGGGTACTTTATTAAGATATGGTGTTATTGAAGATGTTGAATTAGCATTTAAAAATGCTGGTGATAAGATTGCTGCTATATTATTAGAACCAATTCAAGGTGAAGCTGGTATTGTAGTTCCACCAGCCGATTATTTTACTAGAGTACAAGAATTATGTAAGAAGCATAATGTTTTATTAATTTGTGATGAAATTCAGACCGGGATTGCTAGAACTGGTAAGATGTTATGTTATGAACATTATCCTAATGTTAGACCAGATATTATTTTATTAGGTAAGGCTATTTCTGGAGGTGTTTTCCCAGTTTCAGCAGTATTATCATCTAAAGATATTATGTTAACCTTAGAACCTGGATCTCATGGTTCGACTTATGGAGGTAATCCATTAGCATGTAGAGTTGCAATTGCTGCTTTACAAGTTGTTAAAGATGAGCAATTGGTTGAAAGATCTCAAAGATTAGGAGATTTATTAAAGAGTGAATTACAAAAATTACAAGGTGAATCAGATGGAATCATTTCTGAAGTTAGAGGTAAAGGTTTATTAAGTGCTATAGTTATTGATTCATCAAAGGCCAATGGTAGAACTGCATGGGATTTATGTTTAGTCATGAAAGATCATGGAGTTTTAGCTAAACCAACTCATGACCATATTATTAGATTGGCACCTCCATTAGTTATTTCTGAAGAAGATTTATTAAAAGGTGTTGAAGTTATTAAGAAATCATTGGCTGAATTACCTAATGCCCCTCATACAGCTCATTAAATAATGACAACTTTTTAATTCTTTTTGTTTTATATACATAGGTTAGTTATCGATTACCCAAAAATATCAATAAATTTTAAACATATTAATTTGTATAAAAATTGTAAGGATTATAAAAGAAAAGATATTGAGACATTCATATATTTTTGCAGCCTATATCCCCAAACCACGACTCGGCACACGACCCGGCGTAAAATCTCCTCGAATCCTCGGCACATGCAAAATTTGTATAGGGAACTTTTTGATCAGTCAGTCGCACAATTGAAAATTTGGTGGGGTTGATTAGGATATTCGAAGCGAATGATTAATAATGAAATATTATAAATAACTTCTTTTTTTCAATATTAATTGTTAATACTAATATAGATCATAGTACACTATAGTAATTTGAATAACTATACGCAGTAAACTTATATTAAAATGTCATTTGTTGGTGGAGGATCCGAATGTTCGGTTAACGGAAATGCTGTAGCTCAATTTAATAAGCACACTCAACAAGATAGATCTTTACAAAGACAGACAGCAGGTCTGCCTGGATTTGTACAGAATCAAGGTTTTAAACAAGAAAATCTTATGAATTTAAGAGATAGACAACAAATGGATCAATTTATTAATAATGGAGGATCAAATCAAAATGCTTTCCAATTTCAACCTTTAAGACATGAACTTAATGTAATTCAGCAATCTAATGGTGGGAAATCTGCTCCTGGTTGGTCTGCTGAATTCCAAACTCATTCACCATCTCCAATTCAACATCAACCACTTCCTTCTACTATTGCTAAATCAAATAGTCCTGTTAATGGTCATTGGGCATCAGAATTTGGAGTTCAACTGCCAATTAATCAAAATGTTAATGTTCAACAATCTCATCCAAATATGATGGTTGGAAACTATAGACCTATGATGTCAACTATGCCACTTGTGGGTAATAGTTTTCAACAGCATCAACATCAACCACAACAGGTTCAAAATATGGATCAAGTTCATCAAGAACCTCTGGTAGATTGGGATAATCAATTTAAACAAATTGAAGAATTAACTAATGAAGCCAAAGAAAAAGATGCAGAAACTCAAGAAGGAGAAATTAAAGAAGTAGAGGGTCAAACTGAAAAGGAAGGGTCACCGGAATTTGTTATAGACGATAAATATCAAGCTACATTCCAAGAGGTTTGGGATGGATTAAATTCGGAAGCACTTGAACAAGATTTTATTACTCAACAATATGAAGATTTTAAAAATACTCAAAGAAGTACTTATGATGCTGATATGAATCAATGGGAAAAAGATTTTGCTAGATATGTATCTACCAGAGCACATTTTGGAGATTATCAATTTGAAGATAAATCTAATAATCAATTTTTAGATTTACCTGCTGAAGTTGAACCTTATGAAATTGGTCTTCAATTAATGGAGAATGGTGCAAAATTATCAGAAGCTGCTTTAGCATTTGAAGCTGCTATTCAAAAAAATGAAAATCATATAGATGCTTGGTTAAAATTAGGTGAAGTTCAAACTCAAAATGAAAAGGAAATTGCTGGAGTAACTGCATTAGAAAAATGTTTAGAATTACATCCTGAAAATTCAGAAGCTTTAATGATGTTAGCAATTTCTTATATTAATGAAGGTTATGATAATGCTGCATTTGCTACATTAGAAAGATGGATTTCTACAAAATATCCTCAAGTTTGTGATAAGGCAAGACAAGAAAATCCTAGTATATCTGATGAAGATAGATTTTCATTATATAAGAGAGTTTCTGAATTATTTATTAAAGCAGCTCAATTATCTCCTGATAAAGCCAATATGGATGCCGATGTTCAAGTTGGTTTAGGAGTATTATTTTATGCAAATGAAGAATTTTCAAAAACAGTTGATTGTTTTAAAGCTGCTTTATCTATTAGACCAGATGATCCATTATTATGGAATAGATTAGGAGCATCATTAGCTAATTCTAATAGATCCGAAGAAGCAGTTGAAGCATATTTTAAAGCATTACAATTAAAACCCACATTTGTTAGAGCAAGATATAATTTAGGAGTTTCATGTATTAATATTAAATGTTATAAAGAAGCTGCTGAACATCTTTTAAGTGGATTATCTATGCATCAAGTGGAAGGGGTAGATGCAGGAAGTACATTAAATCATAATCAATCAACTGCTTTAACAGAAACTTTAAAGCGAGCATTTATTGCCATGGACAGGAGAGATCTCTTGGAAAAGGTTAAACCTGGCATGGATTTAAACCAATTCAGAGGAGAATTCAATTTCTAACCTTACAATTTATAATTTATAACCTTATAATTTATTTATTTATTATTTATTTATACCTATCATTAACCGGATTCTCTCGCCCTTAATGCATATCACTCCTTCTTATCGTATAATTATCCGGTAATTTTTGCAACTTGCCGCACAGGATGACTCAACCGAAAAAAAAATTTAACGAGCTTGAAAAAAAAAAAAAAAAAAAAATTTCGGATAAAGGTCTGGCTGGACTTCAGTAAAAATTTAATTTAATTATCATAAGCTAGTATAGGAGCCCAAGCCCAAGCAGCCATGTCGTTTCCAGTGTTGCCATTCGTTGACCCTGTTGTCGACAAGGAAGCCATCCAGAAGTTTTCGTTTATCGGGAATGTTTTATTACCATTGAAATCTGTTCAAATCTCAAAGTATTTTGCTAGTCAATTTCCCCACCACCTTGAAGTTTATGTTGATGCTGAAGATGAACCAATCGATATTGATAAAGTAATTGAATTATTAAATAATGGAGTTAGTAGAGTTTTTATTAATGAATCTGATGTTGAATCAATTATTTTTTCAAATGATTTACCAACTAGTAGATTTGCAGTTAGATTACTGTCAGATGATGTTTCAGAAGCTTTATTAAATTCTCAAGTTTCATTTGTTTTAACTAAGGTTCACCCTGATATTAAATCATTAATAAATAATGGGAATAGAACAGTTTATTATGATGCTCCATCTATTGGAGAAAAATCTGCTCTTGAATTAGTAAGTCAAGGTTATACTCCAATAATTTCCAGTAAAAAATTAACTTTATTAGCATTAGAAACTGGTAAAATATCAGTATCTGAATTATTTGTTAGTACTTTAAATACTGATCGTTCTGATGGACTTTATACTACTTTAATTACTAGTCCAGCTCCAAGTTATACAGCCTTGGGAGTTGTTTATTCTTCTAAAGCTTCTTTAAAAGCAGCTATTGCTGAAAAAGTTGGAGTATATCAATCAAGAAGACGTCCTGATAGATTATGGTATAAAGGTCAAACCAGTGGTGCGACTCAAAAATTAGTTAAAATTGAAAAGGATTGTGATTCAGATATAGTTAAATTTATTGTTGAACAAAAGGTTGGTTCAGGTTTCTGTCATCTTGAAAGTAATTATACATGTTTTCACGATGGTCAATTAGATAATAAAGATGAAGGTTTTGGTATAGGTTTAAGTAAATTAGATTCCACTTTAGCTAAAAGAAAAGAATCAGCTCCTGAAGGATCTTATACTCAAAGATTATTTAATGATGAAAAATTATTAATTTCCAAATTAAAGGAAGAACTTGATGAACTTATCGAAGCTGGTCAAAACAAAGATACTAATGAAGTTGCATGGGAAAGTGCAGACTTATTTTATTTTGCTATGGTTTGGGCTGTAAAACATGGTGTTAGATTAGCAGATATTGAAAAGAATTTAGATATTAAATCTAAAAAAGTTACTAGAAGAAAAGGTGATGCAAAACCTGCTTATCAAGAAAAGGAATTACCTAAAATTCCAGCCGAACCAGTCTTACCAGACTATAAATTACAAATAATTGAAAATGCTCATAATAATGAAAAAGGTCTTCAAAAGGCTTTATCAAGACCAGTTCAAAAGACTTCAGATATCATGAAATTAGTTTTACCTATAATTCAACAAGTTCAAAAAGATGGTGATGATGCCTTAATTCAATTAACTGCCAAATTTGACGGTGTTAAATTGGATTCTCCAGTATTAAATGCTCCATTCCCACAAGAATTAATGAATATTTCTCAAGAAATGAAAGAAGCTATTGATTTGTCTATTTCAAATATTGAAAAATTCCACTCTGCTCAATTACCTAAAGATCCATTTATGACAGTTGAAACTGCTCCAGGAGTTTATTGTTCAAGATTTGCTAAACCAATTGAAAATGTTGGTTTATATGTTCCTGGTGGAACTGCTGTGTTACCATCAACTGCTATGATGTTAGGTGTTCCAGCCAAAGTTGCTGGATGTCAAAATATTATTGTTGCTTCTCCACCTTCTAAACAAACAGGTAAATTAACTCCGGAAGTTGTTTACGTTGCTCATAAAATTGGTGCTAAATCTATTGTTTTAGCTGGTGGAGCTCAAGCTGTTGCTGCTATGGCTTATGGTACTGAAAGTGTATTAAAATGTGATAAAATCTTAGGCCCAGGTAATCAATTTGTTACTGCTGCTAAAATGCATGTACAAAATGATACTCAAGCCTTATGTTCAATTGATATGCCTGCTGGACCATCAGAAGTTTTAGTTATCGCTGATGATAAAGCTGATGCTGATTTTGTTGCTTCTGATTTATTATCTCAAGCTGAGCATGGTGTTGATTCTCAAGTTATTTTAATTGGAGTTAATTTGAGTAAACAAAAGTTAAATGAATTTGAAGAGGCTGTAAAGAAACAAGCTGAAGTTTTACCAAGAAAAGATATTGTTGCTAAATGTTTAACACATTCTTTTATCTTATTAGTGGATACTTATGAACAAGCATTTGAATTATCTAATAAATATGCTCCTGAACATTTAATACTTCAAATTGAAAATGCTCCATCATATGTCCCAGATTATGTTCAAAATGCTGGTTCAGTATTTGTTGGAGCTTTATCTCCAGAATCCTGTGGTGATTATTCTAGTGGTACTAATCATACTTTACCTACATATGGTTATGCTAAACAATATTCCGGAGTTAATACTGCTACTTTCCAAAAATTCATTACTTCTCAAGAAGTTACAGAAAAGGGATTACAGAGTATAGGTAAAGCCGTCATGACTTTGGCTGAAGTTGAAGGTTTAGAAGCTCACAGAAATGCTGTCAATGTTAGAATGCAAAAATTAGGATTAATTTAAGTATATTAGGATTTTGTATTTTATATATATATACTAATTAGATGAAAAATAATTATCGGACTAGCTTATTATGGTTATAGACAGAGTAGACTGCTTATATACATAATTATACGATCTAATTAATAATAAGCTATATAAATGCCCGGAAAAGTAGCAGCTTCATTAGTAACTGGACTATTTTAATTATGCATGGATGAGAATACCCGATTAAACAACATAGTTTAAGCCTCAAGAGGAAAAGAAGAAATATTGGATGAAGAAAGAATTGGGGCAGGAAATATTTAAAATGCCAGTTTTATTAACAAATGAAAGTGCACTTGGAATGATCATCACGAGCATGAAGTGAAGCATAATTCTTTAAGTATAAGAAAATTTCTATTAAAAGCATTTTTTCATAATCTCTGTCAATAAAATAAATACTTGAAAATTTAAAGTATATTCCACTTCAGGTTGTTCTACAAGGTTTAATATTCCACAATTCATAGGACGATACAGTGAACAAACATTTGGAACTCTAAATCACCAATAGAATTAAACTCGGCAAGTAAAGTTGTCACTTAATAACTTATGAAAAACAGTTTATTCCTTATAAAACAGCTTCTCTTACTCCTTGAATTTTAGAATAAACTTCTGATTTTATTTTGGGTGCAAGAAGGGTTCTCTATTTTATGCCGCAAAAATTGTTATTCTTTCTTGAACTCTGACATTGTAAAATCTACCAATTCTTTACTTTAAATCTACATTATAATTTTATTCGCTTTATACTTGGAAACTAGTATCCAAAAACTGATAATTCAAAAATCCCATATTCGGTTAATTTAATAGTATATGCTAAATTGCATGTACTTCTATACGATAATAGGTAGCCATGCAAATTCTCAGTTGAAAAGATTCAGAATAAGCTGTTTTAACGGTTTATCACTTATTTTTAAAGCACGACTACAAGGTGATCCGCAGATTTTATATTATTATTTTGGTAACCGGATCAAAAGATAATGTCAAAGGTTGAAGTTAAGGTTGAATATATATATATAAGCTAATTAATTTTACTAGATAACTATTTAGAGTTGTGACAACTTGTAAAAGGAAATCCCGATGAAGCATTATTAATAGGCTCCAATAGTTTATTAGGTAATACATATTAATTAATGGACATTAATAAAGCAATTGCTGGATGGTATATGGAAGTGTAGACTTATAACAGCGGAGTTGAACATAACTTGGATACAACATATTAAAGAACTCAATAGGAACCATATATGTCATGTGGTAACCTATTTCTGTATAAACTTACTAACAGATGTAATTGAGCTTTAGCTCGGATAGCCAATTTAGCCCAACCTTAGTGCCTAGCCCAGTTAGTGCAGTAAAGAAAAATCTGGAGTCCAATACCGTAATGATGCTACAGGTCGACTTTAGCCAAGTAATCGTACTGTCTTTACGTTTAGTCTATTTCGTTCTTTGAATATTTCATTCTATATAAATATATACACATTTATTAGGATTTACCGTATATTTATACGATATTATTAAGACCGAATAAACCTCTACAGGTTTCTTATCTGATTCATGGAATTGTGTCATCGTTACTTTCAAGCTCCTTATGGCAAGTATACTAGGATTTGCACGTATTATAATTAGCCTCAATTGCAGGAATTGGTACGACATTTGTATATCAGCTTTACTCTATTGTAGCCCTGCTTACGACAAATGTCGGCCACTATGATTATTTTGTCCGCAAAAAAGAGCGAATCACTATTATTTTATGCCGCAAAAAGATATGTTTCAGAGCTTATATTTGAAACAAGCGTTTAATTTCTAGAATGTAACTATTCTTTTCTTTTACTTCTATTATACTACTATCGTGATATATAATCTTATATTTGAAAACTAGTACTCAAAATATGGAAAATAATAGCCCTGAAGACCTAAAAGAAAAATGGAGAGGCATCTCGATTGGATTAGTTAATGATGCTGCTAATACATTGTCTGAAACAGTTGCCTTTTTAGAAAGAAGTAAAGGAATTATTAGACCCTACAACTCCCAAACAGTAAAACGTTTAAAGCGCAGGATAAAAAGACGAAGTAAATTGCCGGAACGAAACATTTTCATGATTGTCAGCAGCATCATATATGCTCAGTACTTCATTTGTCCACCTCCATTTATTCAAGTAGAGAATCCCTTTAGACATCACATCTACTACGTATCTACTGTTGATGCAGCTAGAACAAGAGCTTTACAATTGATAGAAAATCGAACACATCTATTATATTATGAAAATGCAATAAACCTATCCATGCTCCTCAACTCCTCATTGCCTACCTCTATAAATGCTGTCGGTTTTGAAGAACCTAAACGCAAACCAATAAAAGGGAACATTTGCCAAACATATGCAAATTCATATCATATTGTATTTCCATATCAATTTTTGCAACCTGAAGTATTCAATATTGTCGACATTCCAGCTTTAAATGTTCCTATTACTTTCGAAGATCTTAGAACAATGAATGAATTTGATTTTAAATTACCTATGGGTGTGCCAATTCTTAAAGAAGTAGGCTTGCGATTTGTTGTTCTCACAATTTTGCTACCAGTACAATATTTGTTAGATATGGTTTTTTCGAGAGAAGCTGTTGGAAAAGTAAGTCTTCATCAAGAAGAATCAATTAACTGTGGAGTTTTACCTGACCTTTTGTTCACTTTAAAAACTAAAACTTTATTTTACTTTGTTCCGATTGAACTTAAATCCGGGTCATTCAATAATATTATCGAGGCTGCTAAAATTGGTGATCTAGAGAATATGGCTGCATTAGCAGCACAATGCTGCTCGCAGGCTTTCACCACCTACAGCCCGATATCAATTTTAATGAATGAAAGTTATATTATGGTATTTGAAATACTATTTGAAGGTGAACAAGGTCAAAATGAATTCGAATATTATAACCAATATATTAATGATTTACCACCCCAACAGCCTGATCTTTTAAATTATAGATACGGAAACTTCCAAGTAACTTTGTACGATCATACGAATGGTACAAATTCTCTAGCATCTATAATTCTTAAGCTTGTATACGTGAGATTTCGGAATGCTAACATCAGTATAACGCGTGCAATCAATCGAATTTGGCTGTCATACGCAAAATCGGAAGACATTCGTCAATACAGACAAGAAACATCAATTTTCGGAACCAATAAAATTTTCCAACCAGACCAAGATATGATAAGAAATATTAACATAGATTGAGAAAAGTAAGAGGGGATTTAAAAACAATTTAGATTTATATAGAGCATACAATATACATAATAATAAACATATTTAACGAGAAGAAAAGGAATTCACTCACTTGAATAACTTCAACCTAAACATCGAACCAAATATTTGACCTAGATGGTCTATTTCTATGCCAATTACACCAAGGTCGGATTAATTTTAGCCAGTGTTGTAAGCGAATATTCCCTGTGCAGGTCACATAATGTCGTGGATTAACCGTTTCTTTCACGCAACACGGTTCATCTCCGACATTTCAATAGCATCAAGTTACACTGATACTCTTATTGACACTTATTCTTATACCTTTTATATTCACTCATATCAATTATGTGTGTATCGTATCGAAACGCTACTTCTTGATTTTGTCTAACTATTTCAGTAGGCGGATTTCTCCTCAATATTTAGGTTTTTATACTCTATCAAATATATAATCTATCAAGTATGCTACTAGTTCACAATCGATTCTAAAGCTCTGTGCTATTTGGTCAAATCAACTACCTTAACCAACCCCTTCCGTGGAGTAACTGTTAACTCACTCAACCTCTGTAATTACTCTTGTTACAAAACCTAAACCACAAATTCTTCATCCTCTCTAGTCCTCCCATTAGAGACATTAATAGACCGAGTGCGACAATTAAACCACCGAATATCAAAACATTATATGTTTCAGATATATGTTTCAGATATATGTTTCAGATTGTACTAGGATCACCCTTCCTGATCTTAATAGTCACACATATATAAGGCCGAATAATTTCTACGTAGATTCATGTTCAGACTTTCTTTTATGCAACAATAGGTTGCCATACGCTAGAATATTCAAATTTTAGAACTGAGGAAGCTCTGATTATTTTTTAATTAAAAACTAATATATAAACTACGTTGTTTGAACATATATACTTACTTTTCAAGCACCACTACATCATGCTGATTGAGCCTTGGCCCGAAGAACTTAAGGTCAATGAAGATCTCATTAAAAAGTCGATTGAATCTCTGGTTAAACATTACAGCGACCCTACGTTTTTACTATTGGACGAAAGACGAGACTCTGAGGAAATTAAAAATTGGGATGCAGAACTTGAAGAGTTGAAGAGAGAAATCCATGCTTGCAAATATGGTAGAGTGTACAAAAATAGAATAAAATTGGTGTTCTTACTTTCCTGTTTCCCTTTTATAAGTTTTAAGAATAAAGAATTAACATTGGATCGCCTATATACATCGTCCCCTCAGTTTGCGAAAGACCTAGAAGTTATCAGCAATAAAGTATTTGGTCGCATATGGCGTCATTGTCCAATAGAACATATTGGTTATTTTCAAAACATATTCTTCTTGACATGTTTCTTAAAATTTCCATTTCGCTCCCAACAGCGTGTTCCTTACTCAAAATACTTAGAGTTTCCCAACCATTTTGGTATTATCGAAAGGGACAAAATTAATGATGCTGATACTCTATGTACAGAATTCACATCCCGTTTCGATGAATTTAACCCAAAACTTCATATTCAAGCAGAAAAGCTTGCGGTTCCTGATTTAGAACTGATGATTAAGGACCTTAAAATTGATGTAGATGCAATAGAACGAACTGTATTATTCCTTGCTAATGTTGGAGTTGGAGCATCAGCGAGGGATATTACTGCAAATCCATATGTTGCATTTAAATATTGTTTTTTTGAACCCATCGCAAAGTTATTGGGATGTTACTATCCAACTTTTGAGTATCAACAAACTCATGGAATAGAACTATTTCCTACAGTTCAACCACCTACCTTTAGTTTCACAACTGATAACCATATTGTGCCTGTGATTATGAGATATGCAGGCTTACATAAGAACTTCAATAAAGCTAAAAGACATAAAAATGTATTTTCAGTGTCTGCAGATGTTAGACGACTTGTCAACGAGCTTTTATATCTGATGATATACAGCCGGTCATTAATGGGATTTGCGCTTGATGTTGATTCCGTATTAGTAATAAGAATATTATCATCCACAGTAGTCGATACGGTAGTGAACCCTAAAGATGGAATCATTAGCAAGGAATTAGATTATGAAATATTTTTATTGGATCACAGCCTCCATTATCCAATGATTGGCCTTATCTTGAGTGCTTTCCTCAATAATTATTTCAAGGGTGCTGCTTCCAACTCTGTTCAAATCACCAGAGAGATTCGAAGAAAATTAAGAAGTGAGTCTGAAGAACTTGAAGCTTCCATACAGAGTAAAATAGAATTTGTTAAAAGACAATACCTGGAACGGTTTGACTACGTTGATTCAGCAATAGGAGGGTTTACTAGTAGAGCGTTCCCAAGCTTGTTCATAAAAGTAGAGTATTATGACAAGGTATGGGCTCTTCAATTAGTAGAGACATTCACTTCATCAGATTTTGAAATAACGGAGGTTCTGCATTTAACCGACAGTGAGGATATCGTACATGAATTCAAAGGTGAACTAGATGGTAGAAGTGGTACTTTATTTGTGTACAAAGTATCGTATACCAACGATGAAAATGAAGACTTTTACAAGTTGGTATCAATATCTCTTAATCGATTCTTAAAGCATTTTTTGGAATGTATTTCCAAATTTGCTAAGTATAAGAAAGACTGGTATAAAATTAAGTACTTTGATACTGTCAATGATAATTTCCGATGTGCTTATTATGAACGGGAGGATATTAGTGGATTTTCATTACTATTATTTGACGATGCGGAAGAGCTTGACGAAGCTGATAAAATTGAGGAATATAAAGGTGACCCACCAGTTTCTTTTGGCAATCAAATCAAAAAGAAGCGTCAAAGGTTGAAGTGAAGAGGTAGTAAGGGTTGATGGTATATACTTGCTGTGTCAATCTTTTATGGAGAGCAATAAGTAATTCTCCGTAGTGATGAAATAGTTTTCACTCGTCCCTTCTATTATTAGGATTTACTAACACAGGTTTATAGATTGCCTCTTATTAAAACATAATCATAAAAATATATAGGAAAGGGTATTGTTTTGAAAATAATTATACGATAGAAATTTATCTAATTAAATTTATATTATCTCTTGGTAATTATTCTTATGATATAAGTTTTACATAATTAAATACAATAAATTCAGAATGATTAAGATATTTATTATTTAATTATCAAAATATTGCAATTAGATCATTCACAGAACAAATCTATTGTTAATAATTCTGGTATTTCATTATAGATCTCTATCGTCTTTCGTCTAAAAGTAAAAACGTAGGGTCGCTGTAATGTTTAACCAAAGATTCAATTGACTTTTTAATGAGATGTTCATTGATCTTAAGTTCTTTTGGCCAAGGCTCAATCAGCATGTTGTAGTGGTGCGTAAAAAGTAAAAGTAAGTATATTTTGATAAAACAACGTAGTTTATATATTAGTTTTTAATTAAAAAATAATCCGAGCTTCCTCAATTTTGAATATTCTAGCGTATGGCAACATATTGCCGCATAGAAATACAGGTAGTCTTGTATACAATATAACAGATAAATTAGTAAAAATTATATAGTGATTATTCTACCTTGTTATATAACTCTAGTGTCTAAAATCAAATATATGTGATATTTGGATGTATGCATAGCCTTCACCTTTATATAGGTAGCTTTACACGATTGAACTAGTTCTTGAAAAAAATGTTGATCACTATGTGATAGCCTCATACATTTAACTAAGTATTCTGTATTTAGTATATATGATAATTAAATAAAGAAAAACAATTCAACTTAATCATAATCATCGTAAATTTGTCAGAACCAGTCGATAAATTTACCAATCTAATTTTGATTCTCCACTACTTCCACCACATTCAAGTTTATTACATATAGCTTCCAATTCTTGAACATTTGGATTTTTTGCAGCATGACCTACAAATGCTGGATTAATTGATTTTCCAGCTTCTTGTTCTTTAGCAAAATGTTTCTTAACCATTTCTGCCACAATATTTTGATAATAAACAACTCCACGTTCTTTATTTGGATGTAAATAGCCAGTAGAATAAACACCTTCATTTAAATTCTTTTGGGTTAATTGACACAAGTTGAAATCTTCTAATTCAACTAATTGCAAAAAGTCTACAAATTCTTTCTTTGCTGTATCATCAAGACCCTTTTTAGTATAAATATCATAATGTAAAATAGTACGAGTAGCAGTTATTGGTAAAACTCTAATTGAATACCAAGCTGGAGAATAACAATTAACTCCATTACTTGGGAATAAATAAACCCATAAACCATTGAATTCACCACCAGGGTTTTGTTTCTTTTCAACTTTCTTTGGAGCTTCCTTTTTCTTACCAAATCCAAACCATGATGATTCTTCATCGGCATCTTTTTCTTCATTATCAATTTCAACTTTTTCTTTAACTATTTCAGCATAGTGACGACAATATCTACTCTTTGGCACAACTTGATAAGTTTCCATTTTAAAGGCAGTACTTAAACCTGGATGAGCAGTTGGACAATGATAACATTCTTGATAACCATCCATTAAAGTTTTCCAATTAAAGTCACCATCCAATTCATAAGACATATGATAATCATAATCTCCAAAATCAAATTCATCTAATTCAGTACTTAAACCACTAAACCAATCGTCAAATGGAACAAAATCTTCATTATCCTTTTGACAGAAATTAACAAAAACAAGTCCTTGAGTTGTAGTATGAATATTAATTGGATAAAGAGAATTTTCATCTTTTTCAAATCCTTCAACATTATCAAAATGTGGAGCTTTAGTTAATTTTCCATCAGTATTATAACTCCAACCATGATATTTACATCCAACAACTACCGATGAACCTTCATCTTTTCTTACAACTGGATAAGCACGATGACGACAAACATTATGGAAAGCCTTTAATTCTCCTTCTTTATTCTTAATAATAAAAAAATTAATTCCAGCAACTGTATAAGAGAAATAATCACCAGCTTTTTTAAATCTTGAGGAATGAACAGTAAACATCCATGATTTATAAAAAATAGCTCTCTTTTCAAGATCATATATCTTTTCTGAAGTCCACCAACTGGCTGGTAAAGTATGTTCACCAGCTAAAAGGGGTTCATTTTTAAAATCGACAGGAGGAGCTGAAGGAGTTTTTGCAACTGATACTGTAGCCATAATTATTAGATATGGTGATAGTGAATAACTAACTTAAGTTCTAGTTCTATTAATTCCAGTTAATTTAACTTATAGTTGTAATTAGTTTTAGTTAGTTAGTTGGTTATAGTTCTTTAAGTATATATATATATACACTACCTCCTTTTGCAGTTGCAACCATTCGAGTCAGGCAACTCCCGCGCAAAGATAAGCTTATCAGTAAACCCCGCTGCGAATTTGGAAAAAAGTTCTCTATTCGGAAATATGATCCAGGGGGAATTATTCCGATACCCAATTGAGATAAGATTTGTTATGGATTAACAATACAAACTTAGTATTAATTATAACTGAATTATAATTATCAACTAAAATAGTTAAATTACGAGGAATAATGAAACAAATATATATTACAGATAGATAAATATACAAGATAAGATTTAATTATTGTTCTAGTTTTTTTTTATTAGTAAATGTTTAGTATTAACTAGTTAAGGATTTTAAAGTTCGGAGTAATCTTATAACTTCCTTACCTAAATGATTATCTATTGTAGCAGCTAATGATGTATCAAGTACAAGAGTTGGATCTGGTTGAATACCAGTTAATTCATTAATATCATTAATTAATTCTGATACTTGTAATGGTTCACCAATTTCTTTAACTAAAACAGCATTACTAACTAATGAATTTATAACAATTAATGCTTTAGATAATACTAAAGTAAGTATTTTATATTCATTAGATTCTTTAGCAAATTTACCAGTTTCAGAAACTAATGCAATTGTAACTCTAGCAAAATTTGAAAGTATAACTTCTTTATTAAATGTTAACCATTTAATTGATAAATTACTTAATGGAATTGATAAATCATCAATTGATATCATATCAATAAGTAATTTTGCTCCAAATAATGCTTGAGAAATTGTTGGAGCTCTTGTAAATACAAATTTAGAAAATTCATAACTATTAGCATCAAATGGTATAATACTCATATATAATTGAAATGTTTTAGTTAATAATTGTCCTGCTGTAAAATCTTGACCCTTTAAATAAGATTTTAATAATTTTCTAGTTTCTTCTTGATCTTTATGAGTTATAGTAAGTGATTTAACATTTGAATAAGCAATTGATGATGAAATACTTAAACTTCCAGTTAAAACAGCTTGAATTAATGATCTATTGTGAGGTTCTCTAACCATTAATTTTGTTAATAAATCAATAGCAAATGGTAAATAAGAATATTGATCTAAATTTGATTGAGGAATTTCAAATTCCAGTTCATTTAAATTTGGTCCAAAAGATACAACTAAAACATAAGCTAAAAATGCTTGTTCTAAAGTTCTTAATTCCACACAAAATGCAATATTATCAAGAACATATAAACAATCTTTTAATAAACATAATCTTTTTCTATGGAATACAAATTCTTGTCTATGTAAACCAATTTCTTTTATAATTGAAAATAATAATTTCTTTAATGGTTCATTACTTGCCATTGCAAGACTATTATAATTAAGAAATGATATATTTCTTAAAATCATTGTAATAGTAATTAACATATCAACATACATAATTTTTTCATTAACAGCACTTTTAACTTGAATTTGACTAAAATGATGACTATTTTCTTCTTTAAATGCTGTTAAAGCTGACATATAATCAAGAATTTCAAATTCATATTCTTGATTAGAAGTTTCTGGAGTAGTAGCTGATGATTTATTAGAATCAATAATTGAAAATAAATCAAAATCATCATCTTCATCTTCATTTTCAACTTCTCCAGTTAATGAATCAACTACAAATTGAATATCTTCATTTCCAAATGTTTCACTACCTTTAGCATACTTATTAAAAATATCATCAATATGACTATAATCAGGAAGATGTTCAGCATCTTGATAAATTTCATTAGTTGTATCATTACCAATAATTTTATTAAGAACTTTTGTACCTAAAATTGATAAACTTTCTAATAATTCTAAACTTTCACTAATATTTAATGTACAATCTTTATCAGCAGTTATTACCAATAAAGTATTTAAAGAATTTACAACATCACCTCTATTAAATGCTGAACTTTTAAGTCCCATAATAACTGCCAGTAAATTAATTGTACCTAATTCAGGTGAAAATAAATATACTGCTTTTGCTGTATCAATCTCACTACCAATTTGTGAAATATCCTTTATAGGATATCCACCATGTAAATCAACTAATTTTCTAAATGGAACATAATTTTTAATAATATTTGCTTCTTCTTTTTCAATTTCTGATTTTATTATTGGTTGAGGTGCACTAAATTGAGGACTACTATGTTGACCACTACTAAGAATTCCTGGTGCTTGTTGTAAAGGTAGAGGAGGACTTTGTTTGAATTGTGCTTGAGGTGGCATACGATTTGGAAGCTGTTGTTGTTGAGGAGGAGGTGGAGGTTGTTGAAGTTGCTGTTGCTGTTGCTGTTGTTGAAGTTGTTGTTGACGTTGTTGATGTTGTTGTTGTAAAAATTGTTGTTGAGGAGTCAATTGATGTTGACCCTGACCTTGAACATTGATAGGTACATTTGGTGTTTGACCCAATTGAACACTACTAGATCTAGAACCAATTTGTTGATTCTGCAAATAGGGTGATTGCACCACATTTGGAGAATTATGATTCGAAGCATTGCTAACTCGAGATAATTTCCGTTGTTGTGGTGTTGGAGCTTGACTCAACATTGGACTTTGATGAACTATAGCAGGTGTCGGTACATTATTAATCAAAGGTGATTGAGATGTAGGAATTTGATTGTGTTGTGGATGAGGAGATTGACTCTGAGTGGGAATTTGTTGTTGCTGCTGCTGTTGTTGTTGTTGCTGTTGCTGTTGCTGTTGGAACCTCGCTACAATTTGTCTTTGGAAGTGCTGTCTTCTTTGCTGAAGATCCTTAGTACCTTCAGGTGTACCACTATACTGTTCATAAGGATAAAGAAAGTTAGCATAGCATGAACTAATTTCTCTTTCCAATCTTTCACGTACTGATAAATCTTCAATATTTAATCCATCCAATAGTGCCAATTTTTGTCCCATATATAACCAAGGACTTTGCAGTTGTTGTTGTGGTTGTTGTAACCATCTTATTAATTGCAGAGGTCCTCCTACTTTTTGACATAATAAATGGAAAAAGAATAAATTGACTCGTTTATTATTTATAATTGGAGGTGAAGTTATTGGTGTACCACGACGAGCCATATAATCATTAAGAGTTGTCATAAAAAGTTCCATTTGTAATTGAGCAACTTGAGCTTGTTGAGGTCTTTGAATAGTTTGAGCTGGTTGGGTTGTTGGAGCTGGTTGAAAAGTTCGTGGTCCATGATCAAAATTACTTTGGGGAGGTCCTTGTTGTTGATCTTGATTAACTGGTGCATTAGTTAATCCAGGTGATATATTATTAACCATGGGACTACCATAGTTTTGAACTTGTTGAACTTGATTAGGAATGTTACTAGTTAAAATTGGAGTACCTTGTTGACGGCCAGGAGTTGGGGCTGAAGAGCCAGATAAACTATCACGCATTTCCAAGTTTTTAAGACGAGCTTGTGCTTGTGCTTGTGCTTGAGCCTGTGCCTGAGCCTGAGCTTGTGCCTGAGCCTGAGCCTGGGCTTGGGCTTGAGCCTGTGCTCGTTGATTCTGGGCCTGAGGCTGCATCTGGTTCTGGTTGGGAGCATTGAAGTTCTGTTGCTGTTGCTGTTGCATTACTTGTTGTCTCATTCTCATTAGTTGTTCACGTTTGTTCTGGTCCAACTGAGAAGATTGCATTTGTTGTCTTAATTGTTGTTGCTGTTGTTGTTGTTGTTGCTGTTGTTGTTGTTGTTGCTGTTGTTGTTGTTGCTGTTGTTGTTGTTGTTGTTGCTGTGGTGGTTGTTGGAGTTGTTGTTGCTGCTGAGGTGACTGCTGTTGGGGTGACTGTCTCATAAACATTTGTGGATTAATATTAGAGTTGGCTCCATTATTGTAATCTATTGCTGGTTGTTGAGGTTGAGGTTGACTTTGGAATTGACTCTGATCAAATAACCCATTTAAAAAGTTATCACCCGAGTTATCGTTACTATTCGGAAACGCGGACTCGTTGAGCCACATATTATTGTCAGACATTACTGCTAATAGTATACAATGGTGGTAGTTATAGTGTAGTTGTTGATAGTGGTTGGTACTTTTCAGGCTTTAATAATTTTCCGGAGGTATTTGAGAGTGTGCGCACGACCTTCCTCCCATAGTTAAGGCACCATAGTTAACGCACCATAGTTAACGCTCACATAATTAAGAACGTATCTATATTAATTACGTTAACTATTTTAACTAATGAGATTACCCATATATTTTAATGTATGTTTGTAATATTGTATGCTACTACTTAATGACTATATAATTAATAAATCACCAAAATTTCCACCAAGACTTTTGAAGTTTCTTAGATAATGCTTTATAATGTTCCATCTCTCCCCAACAATCTCTTCCCCATTCACAACCTGCCATATTAATAACAAAATCATGATCTTGAAAGAAAAATTGAGGATCATCAGCTCGATCAGAACATGCACCAGGTGGAAATGCATTGATTGTTCTTAATGGTAAAAATCCAATTCTTTCTCTTATCCATGCATTTGTTGAATATAATGTTTCTAATGCATCTTGTTCACTATGTTCCCATTGCATATGCATTTGTTCATACATTGCTGGATCCCACCATATATCTAATAACATTTCTGACCAACTTGATCTTCTCATTAAAAATGATCCTAAATTAAATCCTCCACAATCTTGAGTAATTACCATATCAATTGGTTGAGAATAATCAGTATATGGAATTGAAATTGGTAAATTTAATGGATTAAAATTATCTAAAGTTCGATAAGTTGAATTTTCTAAATTATTTAAAAAATGATCTTCTAATGAAATATTTGGTTCCATTATATATGTATGTAAATCTAACCACCAAAACCATTCAGTATCAGGAAATTGTCTCATTGTTTGTTTCATAATATCAACTTTTGCCCAAGATTCTCTCCATTCATGAGAATATCTTTTTTTAATTGTCATATCTTTAATAGTTAATCCATATCCATGAATTTTCGCATAATTTTTTTTATTGGCTATACTTGATCTTTCAACTGACCATTCTTGTGGTGATTTCCATTTTAAGACTCCTCCACCTTCATTAGCAGCTAATATTATTACAACTTTTGGACTTGAACTTCTAAAATGGGGAATAAAAGGAGTGGAAGTAAATAATGATAATCCAATTAATGTAAGTATAAATAATGTTAATCTTTTATATGATAATGTAAATTGAGTAATAACTCTTATAAAATTTCCAAACCATGCTTGAATACGTGATATAAAAGATCTATGCTTAATTGGTTTAAATGTATTAGTATAATCTTCAGTAGAAGCAGAATCTGCCAATTCATCTAATTTCCCCTTAGAATAAGGTAATGAGAATCTTTGATTAGCACTCATACCAAATTTATTTAATTTATTTATTTAATTAATTAATTTAATTAATTAATGTGTCTATAGTATTTGTTTTGGTACCTGAAATTACTGACAACTTATGCAATTCTTTTAAAAATTTTTTACTACTAATATCTTCACCCAATTAGTCGCAATTGTAGACCCAAATAAAACTCTTACAACTCTCTATAACTGTCTACCTAATTCTGACTTGCTTAGATCAGTTGGAGGTGTTGATCAAATCTCTACTCAGTGCTGAATCTTGAAGCTACAGACAAAAAAAAAAGAATATAATTTTTGTTGAAAATTGAGATTTGAGTCGCTTACATAAGCATCTATAATTGCTATTAATTAGTTATTAACTAAATAGTTATATTACTTAAGAGGTAGTAAATGTTGTTGTAAACATTGTTGTCTACATAATGGACATTCAGGATGTTCCTTAAGCCAATCAAGTATACAATCCCAACAGAAAAAATGGCCACAATTAGCAGCTGAAGGATTAACCATTGGTGATAAACATAACATACAGGATCTTGAAGCTTCAGGAATATATGGTAATTGAGTTGGATCAGAGAGATCAATATCAAGTGAAGTAGTTGAGTTTTCTGCAATTTCTTTTAATTGATCAATATCACTTATCTTTCTCCAATCTTGTGTATCATTAATAGTTTGACTCTTTTTTTCTTTATGTTCTTCACTATAAGCTTTATATTTGAGTAATCCTTTAATTATATATTGAAGAATTATTATACCTCCTAATAATGAATAGTTACCAGTAGTACTCATTTTTTTAATATCTTTATTATGTCCAAATGCATATCTCATACCAAACAATCGTTTAGATAATGAATAAAATTCTCCCAGAAAGTAAAATACCGCAATATGAACATTTAGTATAGTATCTAATACTTTGAAATATGATGACATCAATTTAACCCATATACTAGAACTATTATTATTATTATCTTCATCTCTATATTTATATTTCTTAACAATTTTAGTCACTATATATGGCAATACCGCATACGATAAAATAAATCCAATTCTAGGTAAGATTTTGGGTATCCTTTTTCCAGATCTATTAACATAAATTAAATCAACATATTCTTCACCTAATGTACGAGCTCCAATTAAAGTTGTCAAAGCAAGATAAAGAGCCTTCGCTACAGTAGTGATCTCTTCAGGGTATGAATTTACAAATCTTTGACCCTTGAATAATTGTAATACTTCATTTATTTGAGTTCGATATGATGACTCAAAATATGCATCCTTTTGATGTGCTCTTACTATATGATACGGTTAGAACTCCACTTTTCAAATATAAATATAAAAATCTATTAATAATTTTAAAAATACGTACCTATTGTGGCTGCATCAGCAAATGGCAATGCCCGATCATTCACCACAGACATTTGAATGGGTATATCTATATACTGATTAGAATTATTTAGTTAATCAGCAATAAGTATTTGAATAGCATTGGAAATTGACCTTTCTCCAGCTTTTCTCTAAGCCGAGGGTTAAGAAAATTCACGAGATTAGTCACGTGCAAACATGAACCCAGAATAATTCAAGCAACACTGTAACAGAATAGTATGAACATCCATATATATAAAACATAGATAAAATGTTATCTATCAGTAAAATAGATAAAGGTTATAGAGCAGTATTATAGCTTGTTATAACTTCAGCACATAATTAAATAGTATTAAAATTTGGTTAAAAATAATGAAATAGATGATATACATAATTGAATCAGAATAATTTTGTAATAATGTGCTAATATACTAAATATATATAATACTTACGTACAGACATGTTATGAAATAAAGTCTGGTAACTTAAGATGTCGAAATAAAGTGGTTTGTCACTTGAATGATGGTTTGATATAATTATCTAAACCTAATGAATAGATGACAATGATTATGGTTTAAATAAATAGGTTATAGTAAGATATATTCCATGAGATCTAGACATGTCAATCTCTTACTCTATTATATGCAACTTTTTAAATTGATTTAATATGGGAAAAATTAATTGAATCAGTAATTGAAAAATCTAATCCAATTTTTGTACTAAAGAAACTAATGCAGCACCAATATCTAAGTTTGGATCTTCCCAATTAATAGAACCTTTGGAAGTTGATTCTGAAACCTTTGGAGCATTTAATTTAGCATATTCACTCTTAGCTTGTTTAATTAATTTTTCTTCTTTCTTCCATTGAACTTGAGCTTGTTTTTCTTGTTCAGATGATTCTAAGTTATATCTATGAACAGCACCATAAACAATACCAGCACCTAAGAAGGAATATCTCAACACGTTGAAAGTAGACATCTCTATCAATGAGTTCTTATAATAATACAAAGTGATTTAAACACACAACTAGTAATATCGGTCAAAGCTGTAAATTTTCCTGGTTTTTTCATCCCGATTTTTTTCCTCTCTCTTACCTTTTTCTTAGTTTGATTGGACACAGCTTAAGTACGGGACTGCATACACCCACCCATTTAGTTAATTAACTGGGAGAACTATCTACCTAAAGCAATAACTAATTGGAAGTTAAGGGAATTGAAAGAGGAATAATTGAATTTTGTCATATAAATTTATGGCTAGAAGATATTACTTAGTTTGCATTTTTTTTGTTCTTATATTCCCTATGTTATTATCATATATAGCTAAAAGAGGTAGTATACCTATTGGACGTAATTTAGGGTCTAAAACAATTCGATCCACGAGATCATTTAGTATTTATTCTTCAACATCAGCTAAATCTGGTGGTAATAGTTCTAAAAGTTTTGGAACTTCAGCTTCAACTCCAACTCCATCTTCTACATCATCATCTGCTGCAACAAATTATGATAATTCAATTCATTCATTAAAAAATTATGATGTAGCAGTAGCTTATCAACCAAAGGATAGAGAAGAATCAAATTTATTTAAGAAAAAGAATAATAATAAGAGAAGTCCAGCATTAGAATCACCTACTGGTGAAGATAATTTATTTGTATCAAAACAATTCGATGATGGTTATATAACATTAGGAGTAGCTGATGGAGTAGGTGGATGGTCTGAAGCAGGTTATGATTCCTCTGCTATATCACGAGAATTATGTGCATCTATGAAATCTAAATTTGAATCATTAACTGATAGATCTAATCTTAGTCCTAAACAATTGCTAACGTTTGCATTTGAAGAAATAACTAATTCATCTAAAGTTGAAATTGGTGGTACTACTGCTTGTTTAGGAATATTAACCCCAGATAAAAAATTAAAAGTTGCAAATTTAGGTGATTCATGGTGTGGATTATTTAGAAATTATCAATTAATTAATGAAACCAATTTTCAAACTCATAATTTTAATACTCCATATCAATTGGCAAAGATTCCTCGTCAAATTGTTAGACAAGCAGAAATTGAAGGTAGAAGATATATAATTGATTCACCTTCAATGGCTGATGAATATGAATGGGATTTACAAAAAGGTGATGTAATTATGTTTGCTACAGATGGAGTAACTGATAATGTTATACCTAAAGATATAGAAATATTTTTAAAGGATCAAATTGAAGGTCAAGGTGATAGTTTAAAAAATGTGGCTAATTCATTTGTTAAAGAAGTAGTTAAAGTCTCTAAAGATCCTAATTTCCCTAGTGCTTTTGCTCAAGAATTATCTCGCTTAACTGGTCAAAAGTATTTGGGTGGTAAGGCTGATGATATCACTATAGTTTTAGTTAGAGTCCAGTAAATGATGATATGTTTGCTAAACTAATGTATGTATATTAGAGAGTCGTAAAATATATGTATGTGTATTTTTTTTTGCGCGTAGCGCTAAAACTTAACCACAAATAGAGTGTACAAAAAGCTGGGGCACTAAGCGATATCAAGAGATGTTCCTAGGCAATGGCATACGGCGCTAGCACCACCATAGACCAACTGGGAGGTCTGAATTCCAAGCAGAAATTGAAACTGAAGCGAGTTCTTGGATCTCCGTTTAAGTCCCCAGGAATAAAATTAACGGAATCTTCTACAGTAACAAAAGACGATACTTTGAAAAGTCCTACACCACCAACTCGAACTAATACTAATACTACTGATTCGGAGACTTCAAGTATACATGATGCTCGAGCAGTGCCGAATAGTGTACCAATGGAAACATCTTCTAGTTTGAATCAGACTCAGAGTCTGAATCATGCTCTGAGTAATCAAAAGCAGATTATAACTTGTCCAATTTGTAATGAAGAAATGGTAAGTCTTTATCAATTAAATCAACATATAGATGATACTCATTCCAGTGACTCAAATACTTCTGCTGAAATTAAGAGAATCTCTCCAAAGAAAAAACTGATAAAGATGGATTTATTTGATAATAATAAAGGTTTTAGTTTAAGTGATGTATCAGAAAGTTCAGTAACTCCACCACCACAAACTATTTCTCGAAATGGAAATAATAATTCTCCAGCTCATCATATTCAACATCATCATTCTGGTCCCAAGAGTCGAATAACTCGTTCTCATTGGAAACAACAATCTACATTGACTACTTCATCAATATGTTCATTCCCTACATGTAATAAAACTCTTAATATTAAGAATGGTATAACTAATTGTCGAAAATGTGGATTATTATTTTGTAATGAACATTCTGCTTATAAAATCAAATTAATAATGCCTTTAGATGGTGGAAATTTACCTATTTATGATAGTACTGGTGAAGGTACATGGTGTAAATCTTGTCAAACTTGTTATTATGATAAACCAGACTTAAAACAAGGAACAGCTGCATGGTCGAGAGATTTAACTTCTCAATTTAAACAAAAGAGACAAGAAAGTTCCGATGAAAGTCTGTTGAATAGAAATAAGATTCAAAAACGATTCATTAAATTAACTAATTATCTTGCTGAATCCAATACAAAGAAATCTACTCAATCATTTGTATCTGCTGCAGTAGCTGATTGGTGGAAAAATGGTACTAGTAATAGAGGAGGAGTTTCAAATATAGATGAAGCTGAAAAAGAAATTTCAGGACTTGATAATTGGCAAGATGATACTGGTATAAGTAATTGTTCCATATGTTTTGTTAAATTTAGTCTTTTATTAAGAAAGCATCATTGTCGATTATGTGGGAAAATAGTATGTGATGATCCATATGGATATCGGAAAAGTTGTTCTATTGTTGTTCCACTTTCAAATTTACTTCAAAGATTACTGAATTTGAATTATTCTAAATATGTTAAATCTAATTGGGAAACAACATTAAATGATGAAAATCTTAAATTTCGATGTTGTGTGGACTGTAAAAATGCATTATTATATGATTGGAAATTAAATCATGTTAGTACTAATTCTGATGAAGAGTTAATATTTAATACCTATGAATTAAAATTAATTCAAAAACATCAGATTGAAATTCTTTTACAAAAATATGAACAATTAGTTAGAGCTAATAATAATGTGGAAGAAGAAATTAAAGTTGGTAATAAATTAGTAATTCAACTTAAAGAATTTGAACAACTGACGATTCAATTCCGTGATAAATATTTTAATGTAGAAGATGGGAAACTTAATGTTAAAATTGTTTATGAGACTTATAAAAGACTTATTATGAATATTCATCAAACTTTTGTAATATTCCTTCAAGATAGTATTATTCAATATAAACAATTAAATGATATCCATCGTGATCGAGAAGAAGCTAAATTAAAAGAAGTTGAACAAAAGAAACAAGAACAAGTACCTAGTTTATCTAAGAAACAAATTCGTGAATTACGAGAACAATTAATGGTAATGAATGAACAAAAATTTATGGTAGAATCTTTGATTCAAGAATATACAAAAGCTCGAAGATTTGATGAATTACAAGCATTAATAGAGAATAAGAAAGAACTTGCAGAAGTTATAGATAAGTTAGAACTTCAATTAGGAGAATTTGGATTTTAGAAATTATTTAAATTATTTAAATTATTTAAATTAAATTAATTAAGTTTGGTATTAAAGTTTCTATGTAATATGCTCTAGTCTATAATATGTGAGCAATATAATAAATAATAATTAAGTACAGATGCAATAGTAATCAAGCCCCAACTACAGCAATATCTTTAGGTTTATGATCGCGTGAATCATTTGATATAGAAGTTTCCTGACGTAAGACATTTTCAGTTGAACTTGTATCAGCATCATCTTCATCTACTGGAAGTTTTCCTGACTCATCTTGTAGCGGTTCAACTTGATTTTCAATATCAGGTTTTGGGTCTTTTGCATGAATCCATCTACGCATAAAGTTGACCAATACTTGAGCAGATATAACTTGTTCAGATTGATATAAAACTAATGGCACTAAGATTATACCTAAATTTGGATTATTTGAACCATATTGAGATGAAACTAATGATACACCTAAAGCAGCAGTTTTAGCAGGTCCACATAACATAATAGCCACAGTATCTTTTCTACTATAATAGAAAGGTCTGAAGATTTTATAAGTAATAGTATAAAATCTTGAGGATTTCTCAGTAGGTTCTTCATTAAATATACGTTTAATAAAGACTGGTCTAGCATAACAAAATGTTATACATGTAAAAAATAAGTAGATACCAATATTGAAGAAAACAAGGAAAATGATTGATGCATGACTAACTTTAGTGAATGCATGTTGATAAAATGCCGTTGAAAAAGATTGAAACATAATAAGAATCAACATAAATGAACCAACTTTAGCTAATTTGAAAGTACTTATAGTCCATTTAGTTTGTTTTGGGAAAACATTTTGAACTACTTGACCAACAAATAACGGAACAAAACATGATAAACCTAATTGTTTCATAGTTGCCTTATATAAATCAGTAATGGTTGTATCACCACTAGCTTGATGACTTGGATTACCAAAATCCCAACCACCAGTCATATATAATTGTAAAAGTGCAGGAGTAACAAAAGCTCCAATAATATTTCCAATAAATACTTCACATAAAGTTAAAATATCATTACCATGAGCTTGTTTTGTCATAACCACATTAGAAGATACTGTGGTTGGACATGCATGAGTTACAATTAAACCAACTAATAACCATTCATTAATATTTTTATCATGACTAACTCTAATTGCGGTAGCTAAACCATAAATAATTGATGAAGTTATAAGAAAAGATAATGATAATACTGTAAAATGAGCTCTCCAATTGGCAGTATTTTTCATTAAATCTTTTGTAGACATTGATAATCCACTAATTAAAAAGATAACAGCCACTGCTCCATAACCTATACTATATTCTGCTCTTATTAATCCACCTTGTCTGGCAAAATTTGGATAAGAATGAGCTATAGCAATAAGACATCCTAATACAACAAAGAACCATTGCTTTATAAGAAAATCAAGAACTGTTTTTACAATTTTATAAGGTTTAGAATCTTTAATAGTTTGTATATCAACCATACTTTAATATAAATATTTAATATGAATTGGAATTGGAATTGGAATTGTAATTAATATGAAATTAATTTACTAGTGCGGATAGATGCAATGAAGTCCGAGGTTGTAAAAACTATTCGGGAAATTAATATAATTAATGATTTAATAACAAAAGTTCAAAGGAATGGATAAAAAATGAATTCACAATGAATATAAGGTTGAATATTGAGTTAAGTAATTCAATTGAGTTAAGTAATTCAATATACAGTCAACTAACTCTTATAGCAAAGAGATATTGAATTATATTTATATAAGTTAATCAAGCAATTTATTAGCATAAAAAAGAAATTACCATCATTAACTGCTACAGGGTACGGCTAAGGGTTCCGGATCCATAACTATGAATAAGTCACGTGAAACAACCGGACATCGGATCGAGTTAAAAATGTGGATACCAAAAATTTTTTTTTGTGCCGGGTCACGAGTAATTAAAAAGATGATTATTAGACGAACCGATAAAAGCTTAATACTCGGATCATAAATTGATTCATTTTAACCTTTATATAATTCTATTGAGAAATCACTTAAAGCATATTCTACTTATTCTACTTATTCCATTATGTATTATTTCACGTCATAATACATCCCATAATATCATTAAAATTCTATTCTAATTGTATAACCAGTAGACATTTTAAGAATGGGTTTCTAGCCGGAGTATAAAATTCTTTTTTTGAGTTATATTATATGAAGTATCGTATTGAATTGTTATAGATGTAGATAACTAAAAGCCTGTCGTTCAACTCGATCCGTAGTCGTTTTTTTGCAGCTCCATATCTCATCTACTCCTTATAAAGTACCTCATATCGGTCATTATAATTATATAATTATATCGCCGATGGTCAAGAATGAAATTAACCCGCCTTATTATGAGCCTCTTTGTGGAATCCCTGGAACAAAGAGAGGCTTATCTACAAACCAACAAGGAGGCATCTGTGAGGGGTCATTTTGATACTCAAACATCTTGTCAATTGATATTTTCATGGCATATGATGTATGCTCTTAAGTTCCGATCATTTTGTTCTCTGCCGTTAACCCGAATAACGGTTGTACTTTTCCGCTCCCAATGAGCTGCAAAAACGAATAAAAAAAAAAAAAAAACTTTTTTGGAGAAAAAGTTGAAAAAAAATGAGAATTACCACACTTTTACTATGAACATTAAATGAATTACTCTCTTAGATAAAAGATAACCAGTTAACTATTTACTATTCATACACCATAAATGGCGACTTTGAATCAGGTTTATAGATTTATAGATTTATAATTCCTGAAATGGATTCAATGTTGTTCCGGGCCATAATAATTCTTGTAGTAGCATTTTAAGGAAAGACTCAACACATCGAAATCATGTATGAAAGGAATATCACCATTTTCAAGTCTCTGATCCATTATATTAACATTGTTATGACATTATTAAATTGATGTGAATAGAGTTTTCGATACATGAACTAATTTAGTTAGTTAGGCTGTAACAACTATTTTGTAAAATGCATCTATGTACAGGAACATTTCTAAGCATTAGTAAAATTAGGCTGCTACTCATTCGATTTTTTATAGTGCATCGGACTTATTAGCTATACGAATTTGACAGCACTTTATTAATATATACAAATGCATATATAAATATAGTTACATTCATTGTATATTAAATAATATTAATTAGTCAGTCCCTTAGTCATTATATCAACATAAAGAGACCGTACTATTAATATAAATTTCATGCATTTCTCCTATATAATTGCAATAATCTTATCGATCGCAACTTCTTATTTTTATTTCATCTATTCAACAAATTCAGCTACCACTAATACACCAATTGTTTCACAGATGACTTCAACAATTGCTGCATCAAGTGCAACTGCAACTGCTATTGCTTCAAAGTTTATTAAAAACTCAAATCCCTTTCCAACTTATTTTATCAGTCATGGAGGTCCTACTTTTATGTATGAAAATGATGATTTCGGAAATAAAGGTGCTTGGAATACTGTTAAAAAAATAGGTAAAACTATTAAAAAGAATTGGAAACCAGATTATATCATTGTCGTATCTGCTCATTGGCAATCATCGGGAAATAACTTGGTAGAAATTTCAGTTCCAAAATCATCAGTTGATCCATCAAATGAATTAATTTATGATTTCTATGGTTTCCCACAGCACATGTATGAAGAAGAATTTTATTCACATAGCTCTCCAGAAATTGCCAAACAAATTAAAGAAGAATTAACAGCTAATGGTTTCCAATCTCAGCTCACAAAAAGAGGAATTGATCATGGAGTTTGGGTACCATTTAAAGTAGCATTTAGTGATTACAACAAATTAACTCGTCAACCAAGTCAACAAGAAAAACAAGAAGGAGATTTACCTGATATTCCAGTAATTCAAGTATCACTTACTTCAAATGATAGAGATTTTCAAACGCATTATAAATTGGGTGAAGTATTAGGTAAATTTTCTAGTAATAAGTTATGGGATGAAAAACAACAAAAATATTTATCAGGTTTAATTGTTTGTTCAGGTATGTCAGTTCATAATTTACGTGATTTAGGTAGATCTATGGGTCAAATTGGACAAATTATGCCATATGTTAAGCCATTCAATAAGTTATTGACTGAAACCTTAACTAATTCCTCAGATATTCTTAAGGGTCTTTTGGAATTACAACAAAACAAATTGCTTTATGCTGCTCATCCAACTTTAGAACATTTTGTTCCAATTGTAGTCGCAAGTGGTATCAATGGAAATTCGCAACCAGTTAAAGAAATATATAGTGATGGTATGCTTAGTTTAGGCTGGAATGTTTATCAATTTGGTAACGAATACAAATTATAAGTACGTTAGTTTACACTAGACTAATTTATTAGATTGTAAATATATGTATATGTTGTGAGAAATATGCTAAAAGTAAAATTGTAGAAGCAGTATATAAATGATTATACTACTAAAACATGAATGAAATAAAAATCTGGAATAATGATGATATCTATAATACAATGATGAATGCCTGGAATCAGATTGATTTATCTAATTCAATTTGATTTAGTTCTTCAATAAATCTTGTAATGCCTTTATGATTCCCTTTTCATCCAAACCTTCTAAGTTATTCTTGATTTCTTTACCCTTTTCAAATCTTGCTGTGACACTTGGTGGAATTCCATAACTTTCTCTAATTAAAATTGGTAAGGTATTGTTCAGGGTGGACTTTAAACTTTGATAATTCTTAGTTAAAAATTGTCTTAATGGAACAGATGCATCTCCTGTTTGGGATAAATGGAATCTTAATTCCTTCAATGCAGTAGGTAAAACAAACTTAGACATATTTTCTTATATGATTTTTGATGTATATGATTCAAGCTACTCTGTATAGTTCTTTAGATTTGTAAGAGATGTTGACTAAAAATTTATTATTGAATTCTTACTGGTTCCGTTGTATGCAGGCACACACGACTTTCAGCACGTGAGAGAAATACATAAAATTAAAAATAAAAGGTTCAAGCATAAGCTATTTTTCTTCATGTGACAATGTTACATACAAAAAAATTAAGAAATTTCAATGTAGATAATTTAGGCTATATTAGGCAATTTTGTAACATTTTGAGCAAGTCAATCGATTATTGAAAATGCACTTTAAAAGTATAATTTAGAATAGGTGATTGCATTAAAAGTACTTTAAATATGCAAAATTGAAGTTTAGTAGAGTCTTCTGATGTAACACGAGCCACCCCATAAATACTTTTAGTTGTCGCAAAAAGAATTTTTACAGAGCCCGAAGGAAGAAGCAAGCTAATTCTAAATACTGCAATTGCCTTAATTAAGGGATGACATATAATTCGGACATCCCCTTAAAACTCATCGGTAATTAAATAAATCGTAATTATATATAGCGAAATTAGAATTTCCTAATTTGCTTTAAGAATAGGCGTGAGCGACACCGTGGAACAGCTACAAAAATATTATTTAGTGATCGGAGACCCGGTAATTGAAAAATTCTACTGCAACAGTTTTATATAAAACGGCTGTGATCAGCAAGTAGGGATTAATAAACCAATTGGATAACTATTAATAGCCATTGGTCTTATTTCTTTCACACAGATCATTATGACTAACGTTAAAGATTTGGAAAAGGGTGGTGACGATTACGTCCCTATTATTGTACAACCTACCAAGAAAGTAGCAAAGAATTCTAATGCTAGTATTATTCATAAAATTCTGACATTACTTATTATTGGTGGAATTTTATTATTTGGTTATAATCATTACTCATCTGATAATGATAATAAATCCCTTACTAATTTGTTAGGTCTCCCATGGTATCAACCTCAACCTCCTTATTATTCAAATCCAAATTCTGCTTCTGAAATTATTTATGAAATTCAACCTCCAGTTGAATTATCTAATTTTAAAGAATATAATACCACTATTTTATTTGACGAAGAAGAATTGAAAGATGGATTAGTGAATCATTTCAAAATCCCTCATCCATCTCATGGAAGATTTAATGGAGCATTTTTAACCTTAAATTTTACTAATAAAAATGTCGTTTCTGAAGTGATTTCTGATTCTTTTGCAGTCATTGAAATATCAATTGATGGTCATCCAGTTTGGAGAACTTCTACTCCTTATGGTGATACTGATTCTTTTAGTTTCAGTTCTTCATACTCCAACATTTCCGATTACATTTCCATTTTATCATCTCATGGTAAACATCATAAAAAGAATCGTTCCAGCAAACATGAAGTTTCCATTGCTGTATTAGAAGGATCTATATCTTTGGTTGATGTTTCTTTAAGTTTAACTCTTACAAAGAGTGAACATTCCAAAAATCATTCAGAAGAAAAGAATAAAATCATTTCTGCTCAAGATATCTTTTTAAGTTCAAAACCTGCCAGTAATGTGATTGCTTTAGTTAATGAAGATAAAAAATTCTTTACTGTTCCAAATAAAGATCAATTCAAAATTAATTTACCAAAAATTTCTTCAAGCTTTACCATTGCTAAATTAAACTTATTTATTTCTGCTACAGCAGAAGAAATTGGATATTTCAAGAATGATGATGATCCAATACGTCATTTAAATGTTTTCATTGGTGGTAACTATGTTTCTACTATTATTCCAAAAGCTAGTTTGTTTCATACTGAATCAATCAGTAAAGTCTTACCAGATGATTTCAACCCTGTTGTTGATTTTGGTAATTTTGTTGGATTAACTTATGAAGTGGATTTAATTAATGTTTTACCACTCTTATGGAATGCTGATAAAGAAGAAGGTGTAGATTTGGAAATCTTTGTTGCTTCTCCTATTAATGATTTATCTTCTCAACGATTGCATAGTATTTCAGAACCAATTACTAAAGACTCAACTCAATCAGTTAAAGATTCATGGTTCATTAGTGGTAATTTATTATTGTGGAATAACAATAGATTAATTTCAAAGTCACATGGTGAAGTTATTGCACCATCTACAAAGCAAACCAGTTCTGGTGTTTTTAGAAATCCTCCAAAGTTTTCTCCATGGCAACCAACTTTGAAAGATGAAGTTGCTGAACATCGTATTTCTGCTAATTCAACTAGTTCTTACCAATTCAAACTTCACAATAACGAAACTTTGAATTTCACTGTTGCTTCTAAATTAAGTACCTATAATGTCTTAACTAAACATGAACGTATAATCACGAGAGGATTCGGTTCTAAGACTACCACAACTGATTTAGGTTTAGTTTATATTAGCTCTAAAGAAGAAGAAGTTGAAATAACTGATAACTTAACCAACAGTACTTCTTTGAAGTTAGGTTCTTCAACCAGTTTCCCAATTAATTTATCTGAGACTAAGATTGAGAGTGGAAGTTTACCAGATGATATTTCTGTTAAGGTAGTCCTTGATTCCAAATATCAAGTTTCACTCAATGGAGAAGTTGTTAACAAGATTAAGGTTCAAGAGAATATTGTTGATAGACCTGAGGGTTCACCAATCATTAGTGTTCACTACCAAAACAATGACTTCAAGAAGAGTGTTCTGATAGTTAACGGTAATGTGGTTGAAAATTAAATCAACTAATATTACGTCGATTTATTTCTTATGCGTTTATTTAATACCTTTAATTTTACGGGGATATATGATTAATTTTATGTTATGTTGTGTTAGTTTGATTTGGCTGCGAAATTTAAAGATTTAGTGAATAGTGAAACTTTTAATGAGAAATTTACAAAATTTAATTTTTATTGTAGATGAAATTAATACTGTTCTATATTCTTGAGAGTCAGGTAAATTTTAATTTTAATTTAATTATATTTAATTATTTTCACTTTCTCCATTAGTATCATCCTCTTTACTATCATCATGATCAGCTTCATCGTCTTTGCTCATATCAAAGCAAATCCAACTGGGCCAAGCTATTTCTTCTCGTATAATTTTCCTAATTTGTTCAACCAAAAACTTTTCGACTTTTCCTACATTTCTTAATACATTTTGTTGTACTTGACCTATTTCTGATTCTATTTTAATTTTTTTTATAATATCAATTCTCTCCGTATTATTTGGATCAGTAACATAATCCACAAAATTTCCTCCAGGTGGGTTAGTAGAAAGTGGAGTATCAACTGTACTTGTTCCTAACCCTGATGGGAAGGCTCCTGGTGTTGAAGTACTAGCCGGTGTTGAATTTGGTGGCATTGTTGAAGCATGAGTACTTGAAAAATAATCCGATGTAGAATCATCTATATCACACAAGAAAGTAAAATATGCAGAATTTTTAAGATATGCCACCGTAGCAAGTGAATGAATTACTAAATCTGTAATATGAAGTTTGATAGGTAAAGAAATAAAATTTGGTGATGGATAATTGACAAGTAAATTTGCTGTTAAATCTATAAATGCATTCCCATGATATTTAATTTCAAGTATTAATTGAATATCATTATCATTTTTAGTTGAAGATTTTTTTGAAGTTTCAATCCTTAAATTACTTTTTGTTCGAAGGGCACTTTGATTAAGAATATCTGTTGGAGTCTCTGTTCCTCCAGTGTTAGTTCCTAACCCAATTATATTATAATTATAATTATAATTATGAAGATAACTTGGAGTTCCTAACATTAATGAAACAGAATCCAGAGCATTACGAGTTCTTTCTCCTAAAAGTAATGGCGGTGAAGGTATAGGACCAGGAGGTGGAGTTGATGCTTGATTTAAACTAATTAAATTATTACTTTCACCTAATGTCATTACATCATCATCTTCATTATCGTCATCATCGTCATCATAATCTTCATCGTCATCATCATTATCATCATCATCATCTTCTACTACATTATCACCATTAGATTTTTCAGAGTTAACATCTTTTTCATCTTTTTCATCCTGCTCATCCTCCTCCTCATCATCATAAAATTGTTCAAATGGATCTCCAACATGTCGCACTATTACTTCTGGCAGGATATCTCCAAGACTGAAATTATTTACAGAAAGTCCAGATATATATGATGGTAAAGAAATACTTCTGAATTGTCGATCTAAAAATTCTTTAATTGATTCATTGATTGATTCATCTTCATTCAATTTTTCCCAATTGATATCAAACGACATTACAACTATGGATAATAATTTTAGTTATTATGAATTAAAACTATACTGATTTTGATGATGTAACCATCATAGATTGCATTTGTCTTTGGTATTCACTATACTGGGCTGCTAAATTTCTTTCCAGTTGGTTTGTTTACTGTTAGTGCTAAGAAAATGTCGCGTTTAGGAAAATGTCGTAACTTTTATGACATATCATTTAGTCGAATTTAAGTCGTTTATTTGAAATAACTCATTAGTCTAACGTAGCCGAAATAGAACTATTACCATCGCTGATATATGAACTATTCCGTTAATTAAGATAGACAATTGTGGGGCAATGAATGAATGAATGAATGAATGAATGAATGAATGAATGTACGAGTATAATTCTAGAACAAAATTGTAAGACATATCTGTACCGACAATTTTATTCGCACTATAAATTCTATAAATTCATTGCAGCTCATTTTGCTAATGTGGGGGAAAAGCATTAAGCCTAAATATATTTATAAAGTCATTTAGCCAAGGTTAACTTTCTTATTTGGGGGTAATATCGAGGGGGAATTGTAATTGGTGATTGCCCCGCAAAATACTATATTGTCAAGTCTATATGGTACATGTATATTGTTGGATTTATACATGATATGCATCACTCCTCCAATAGACTTAACTTGGGCTAGCTCACCTATTAAGGAAAATAAAAAAATTACTCCGTAATTTCCTCCGGTATTATTTTTATGACTCTTTATTATAGCCACATGTTTAATAGTAAAAATAATACGTTTACAATAATTCCAGTTTTGTCGGTAGTTAAGTCATCATAAAGAAAGATCGACTAGTCGGATGACTATGGCTTACAAGATATGTGTCATGATATAAAAAAAATTAAGTTGGCTCATCAACTGCAAATGTCTCTAGTGAAACATCGCATAGTTAAGCGCGGCAAAAAGAATATGAATCATAATAATTTGGCCGCTGCCGGTTAAAAATTGTTTCTTAAATTTCTTTTTTGTGGAAAGGCGAACTATGCTCACTAAAAAAAAGAAATGAAATGCTGTGAAAAATTTTCGTACTTCTGGGGTAAAGCAGCATAAAGGTGCAATAAAAATTATATGGTGAAATATATAGCATTAACATTTTTAATGTGGTTGCAGTTTATATAATTTTGTTTCAAGTAATAAATATTGTTTTTGATTTTTCTTTATTTATATTTCTTTGTATCTTTTTGTTTCATTTATCCATCTTAAAAACCATTTAACCTAATCATTCTTCCACTTGACTGAACTTTTTAATTATCAAATCACTTGTCTCAAAGGTTTGCACTTAATTTATTGGCTTTACTTTTATATATTAAATATACCTTTTAGCCATTAGAAATATCCTGGTATGAGCAATATCATATAACCTGTTAAGATATTCATTATCCTATTTTGCATTCAACCTCAAGTTATTTATTTATCAATCTATAAATATATTGTTGTTTCCAGTCATTCCGTTGTTATTATTTTGCATTTGAATCATTTAAAAGTCATCTAGACTACCCTCATTACTCAAACTCTTTCGCTAATCCCTTAAACATACAATGATTGCTATTTATCCTATTCAAATATTAGTTATAGGTGCTGGATTAATCGGACCAAGACATGCAGAACATGTCGTAAAGAATCCACAAGCTGAACTCTTTGGTTTTGTGGATCCTTCTCCAGCTGCAAAAGATGTAGCTCAAAAGTTTAATACCAATTATTTTAAATGCATCAAAGACGTCATTGACTATTGTGAAGAAAATTCATTCCCTCTACCTGATGGAGCCATTGTCGCAACTCCAAATCATACTCATGTTAAAGTAAGTGCCGAATTGGCTTATTATGGTATTAATCTTTTGGTAGAAAAACCTCTTAGCTCGAATCCACAAGAAGCTAAAGCTCTTAAAAATTATACTGAATCTAAAAATGTCAAGTTATTAGTTGGTCATCATCGCCGATTCAATCCATTTATTGTGGAAACAAAAAAGCAAATTAATAGTGATAATAGTAAATTGGGTGATATAATAGCCATTCAAGGTACTTGGACTTTACGTAAGCCTCAATCATATTTTGAACAAGGATTATGGAGAACAGATGTTTCAACTGGTGGTGGACCATTATTGATTAATTTGGTTCATGACTTGGATATTCTTCAATTCTTATTTGGACCGATTGAAAAGATTTATGCAGAAGTATTAAAAAAGCAAAGAACCCAATATACAAATGTCGATGAAGGTGCTGCGTTAACAATAAGATTTAAAAATGGTATAACTGGAACTTTTATTTGTTCAGATAATGTTACATCACCATTTAACTTTGAGAGTAGTACTGGTGAAAATCCAACAGTACCATTTCATGAAGATGCGCAAGGGTTATATAGAATTTTTGGTTCAAAAGGCACATTATCAGTACCTGATCTTAACTTATTTCATCAAGATAAATCAGAAACAGATGAAAAGAATTCTTGGTTACATCCCATTACTAAGGAATCATTAGTTAAAGATATCGATGAATTAAGAGGTAATTTACCATTTGACAATCAATTAGATCACTTTATTGATGTTATAAAGGGTAAATGTGAACCATTATGTACGGCTGATGATGGTATATCTGCAACCCTCTGTATTAATGCTGTAATGAAATCAATAGAGACTGGCATGCCCCAACCAATAGATGATATTAAGTCAATTAGTCCAGATTATGAATCTTTAAGATTTGTACCTTCAAGTAAAAGTTAGTCTACATAGTAGCATATTAAATTATATTAATATATAAACGAATATACAGAGTATGAATTAAGTAGTTAATAGTTATGTCTACAAAAGATGAATGTCGCGAAATAAATATTGTTAATATATCGAAAGTGAAAAATCCTACTACAAAGAATAATACTGTAACATTTGTTCAAGTAAGTACATAGTCCAATGTCTGTAAATGAATTTGTTAACAAGTTCCAATTTAAGGAGCTTCTCAAATCAGATCCTCAAACAAAGTCAATTGTCTTATTAGGTACAATTGACTCTCAAGATGCCATCATATCACTTGAAAAATCTCATTTCTTATTCGATTCCGATCATGAAACTGATCTCAACAAATTAGTAAAAGATTCAGTAATAATAAACCATAATGATGTATATTATTGGTCAAATGTTTTATTAGAACAAACATTAAATGAATTTCCTACTGCTAAATTAAATTTAATTTATCCTGCTACAGCTACTCATATAAAGAAGTATTGTACTCAACAAGTTCATTATATAATTGAAACCCCTGATATGTATAAGAAATATGTGATACCATATATAGAAACTATGAAAGGTGATCGAATTAAATGGGTATATAATATATTATTTGAAGGAAAGGAATCAGAGACATTTATTCATCATGATAAACATCCTCAATTAGGGTTTGTATTACTCCCAGATATGAAATGGGATACTTTAAATCTTCAATCATTATATTTATGTTGTATTGTTAATAGAAAGGATATTTCTTCTATTAGAGATTTAAATGGTCTGCATCTTGATTTTCTTAAACAATTAAAATCTACCATATTACAGTTAGTTGAACAAAAGTATCCATTAAGTCAAGATCAAGTTAGAATATTTATACATTATCAACCATCTTATTATCATTTCCATTTACATATAGTTAATGTAGCCCATCCTGGTTTGGGAGATGGAATTGCTGTTGGCAAGGCTATACTCTTAGATGATGTTATTGAGAATATATCTATTAAGGATGATTATTATCAAGTCCGTAACATTGGATATTTATTAGGTGAAAATCATGGGTTATGGCAAATAGAAGGTTACAGAAATAGTATTTAAGAGTGAAACGTTTCATTAAATATACATACATGTCTAATAATTAAATTCCGAACTTGAAGATTTAACAGCCAATCTTGCAATTCTTAACATTTTCTTTCTAGGATCTTCTTTTTTAACTTTCTTAGATCCTTCTTGTATACCAGTATTAGAACCAACTGATTTACCTAATTTCTTTGGAGTTTCTCTTAATCCAAAACTTTTAGCTAAATGTCCCAAGTGTAATAATTTAACATTAAAGAAATTTCTTTCTGAAGATAAATGAGTTGCATAAGCTCTTATATGAGAAGTAAATGCTTGTACAGCTCTTTCATGAGCACTACTATCTTCTAATAACCATCTTTCAACTTCTAAATGCCAAGTAGTGGCATGTATATCCCATTTACCTTGTTTATGTTTTGGATCTACTTTCTTAGATCTTTTATCTTGATATTCTACTTCTTCTTCTTCTTCTACTTCAGCAAATCCATCCTTTAATACATTTTCATAAGATATAATTTTTAAACTTCCTTCCTTTGGATGTACAACTTGAAGTTTACCATCTACATATCCTTCTTCAGTTCCAGGAAGTAAGAATAATGCAGCTTTACCTTTATTACCGACTCTTGCTGATCTACCAATTCTATGTAAATGATCATCTACTGTAAATGGAGGATCAAATTCAATGACATTTGAAATATTAGGCATATCAAGACCACGTGATGCAACATCTGTACAAAATAATATAGTATGTTTATGACTTGTATCCTTAAGAAAAGCATTTAATGTAGTTGTTCTTAATTGTTGAGTCATTGATCCATGTAATTTATATATCATAGTACTCTTGGCAATTAATGGAGATGTAGATATACTTGTATCTACTTCTTCAATATCTTCTTCATTATCGCCATCTTCATCTTTATGTTTATGTTTACTATTAGGATTAGTACCATTTCTAGTAAAGATATCAAAATGGAAATTAACCGAATCAGAACATGAAAAGAAAACAATTGTTCTATTACTACCTTCACCGACTTCCATAGTTGATTTTTTTAACATAGCTGCTAATGCAACTAATCTTAACTTTGGCGGCACTACTAATATATTTTGAATTAATTGATCTGGAGCAGTAGTTAAAGCATGTGAATCAGTAGTAAAATCTGTTGCTATATTCTTATTTTCTAAATTAATTAATTCAGGATTATGTAATACAACTTTACCTAATTCTTTAACAGTATCTTGTATAGTTGCCGAACATAAAATATTAATTCTTTTAGATGGTAATCCTTGCCATTTATTTAATGTATCCATTATTTTAGAACTTTTTGTAATTTTATCAGTAATTTGAGTAATTGTTTCTTGAAATCCTAATTCAACTAATTTATCTCCTTCATCTAATATTAACCATCTTAATTGACTAATATCTAATGAAGTAGTATTTTCAAAATGATCAGCTAATCTACCTGGAGTTGCAACTAAAATATTTACTCCTTTTCTAATTCTAGCCTTTTCTGATTTCTTCTTTTCACCTCCAATAACTATACCTGGTACAATTGTATGACAACAACGATTAATTGATTCTAAAACTCCATAAATTTGAGTGGCTAATTCTCTGGTAGGAGTAAGAATTATAGCAAAAAGTCCTGATTCTCTTGTAATTTTATGTTTATTTTCCATCATTAATTTATGAATTATTGGTAAAACAAATGCTAAAGTTTTACCAGAACCAGTTTGAGATTTAATAAATAAATCTCTTTCTACAGTTAACATACTTGGTAAAACTGCCTTTTGTACACTAGTTGGATGTTTAAATCTTAAAGTAGTTTCTAAATGATTTACTAATTTATCATTAAGTCCTAATCCTCCAAATGATGTGGCATCTTTAAGTGGTGCATTTGAGGCTAAATACGTTACTTCTTTAACTTCAGGTTTGGTTTTCAAAGTACTGGACTTATTAGAAGTAAATAATGATGAAACATATGAATTATTCTTCCCACCAAATTCTCCTTTAGATTCACTAAATTTAGTTTTCTTCAATGGAGGAGCTTGAGATTCTTTATGAGATTCTATAACTTTATGATTATCTTGAGGCTTTTCTTTATTCTCAGTACTTTTATCAAGTCTTGAACTAATGATCTTACTATTATTAACTCCAGAGGCTGCTCCATTAGATTTTCTAACATTTCTACCTCTACCTTGTAAAGATAATTGAAGTTTACGACGATCTTTCCATTTTCCTCCACTAACTTTAGATGTTTGATTAGAATGTTTAACAGTGCTATTGTCAGGAATCGCAAAATTCAACAACAATCCATCGTCATCTTCCATTATATATAACTTATACTAACTTTCTATAATAATAGTTTGTATAATATGGAGATGAAAATATATTTACAGTACTTGTATTATATAATTTTTTGTGAGCCGCATGATGCTCTCACGTGAATTTTAATAGAATAGTTATATTATATTATATTATACATAAATTATGATCTAGTTAAGTCATCTACATAACTCATTAAATCTGATTCAGTTATTAATTCTGAATCAGGAGCATTTAAAAACGCTTCTTGTCGAATACTGGTAGCCATTGTTCCATCAGCAGATTCCCATTTCAAACCTGCCCATTCTTCTTCTTCGAATTTCTTTATATGCTTTAAAGATTCTCCCAAGGCATTACCAAACCCGTCACCATGAGTGATTTGAGCTCCTGATTTTGAAGCAGTTTGAAGAATTTGAATATTTGTACTTTTAGTTGTGTCTGTTGCTTCAGCTTTTCTTTGTGCTTGATTATTTGCATCTACATCATCAATATATTTAAATGAAGCTCTTAATTGAGCAGTACTATCAATAGGTACCAATACTATTTTCTTATGACCATCTTGTTTAATTATTTTGGCAGCATATAATCCACCTTCAGTTTTATTAAGTACTCCATTTAATGTTTGTTCACCAATATCTTCACCCCAATCATCTATTTTATGTCCATTAAAGAATTTAGTTGTATCTAATGGCATTTTTACTTCAAGAAAATTCGTAACTGTCTTAACACTAGCCTTATAAAAGTTTCCTTGTAATGGTCTATTTTTTTGACGTCCAGGATATTGTATAACTTGAAATTTATTATTTTGATCTGATGATATATCATTTAGTACTATAGGAATTGATTCTATAATTGGATCTTCTTCATGATCTGGTGAAATATTTATTTCTGGATCTGCCACTATATTTGTATCTTCATCTTCCTCTATAAATAGTTGATTTGACATTATTAGTCGTGGATTTATATATTATATATGTGTTATATTAGATGTTGCGTTCTTTAGTGTATATATTGAAAAAGATGAAATGTTTAAAAAAATTTAAAAGCTGGAGGTCGGAACTCGCTCTTCGCTCACGTGCCTCCACCAAGATTTGTCAATGGCAGTACCCGGAAATGACACATAATTTTCATATAATTTTTACAAATATCATGTTAAGTAAAGACTACGTACTGGTAGTTAATATTAGTTAGAATATACCCCATAATAAAAAGGAGGATCAATGAGTAATAAAGAAGAAGCGTTTGATATTACAAAGACTTACCTTAAGTTTTTAGAAGAAGATCATGATTTAACTATGCCTATAGCAGCCATTGAATCATTGGTTACAATGTTAAGAGTTAAACAACCATCTACATCATCTGAATTAATTAATTTAGTTAAATCTAATATAGATACATTAAAAAGATCTATTCCTAATGCAATTTCACTTTCTGCAGGTTGTGATTTATTTATGAGATTTGTATTAAGAAATACAAATTTATATAGAGATTGGGAATCATGTAAAACTAATCTTGTTGAAAATGGTGAATTATTTGTTCAAAGAGCTAAAGAATCAAGAGAAAAACTGGCTGAATTTGGGATTCCATTTATAAAAGATGATGATACTATATTAGTTCATTCATATTCTCGAGTAGTATATCATTTATTATTAAAGGCAAGAACTGAAAAATTAATTCGATTTAGAGTCATAGTTACTGAATCAAGACCAACAGAAAAGGGTTATCATATGGCTAAATTATTAAGAGAAGCTGATATTCCTGTTGAAGTAATAGTTGATAATGCAGTAGGTTATGTTATTCATAAAGTTGATAAAATATTAGTAGGAGCTGAAGGTGTAGCAGAAAGTGGTGGAATAATAAATCATATAGGTTCTTATCAAATTGGATGTTTAGCAAAGACTAATAATAAACCATTTTATGTGGTAACTGAATCTCATAAATTCGTTAGACTTTTCCCATTAGCTCCTAATGATTTACCAGATAATATTGCTAAAATAATAGAAGATGCTAATAGCGAAGAATTAAAAGATCGTGATCATTTAAAAACTCATTTAATAGATTTTACACCTCATGAATACATTACTGCATTAATTACTGACTTGGGAGTATTGACTCCTTCGGCAGTTTCAGAAGAATTAATCAAAGTTTGGTATGATTGATTAATATATATATATCTATATTTATATATATAAATACAAATTAATTAATCCTTATTTATTATAAGTGCTAATTCCTTTTGTAAACTATCAAGATCATAAACATCTGTATCTTCAAATCTATCTATTTCCGTACACTTAATATTCTTAACTCTTTCTAAATATTCTTTATCAACATGTATAGATGAATTTTTCATATAAACTAAATCAGTTATATAATCATTCCAGTTAATATCATCAACATTATAATACTGAGCCTGCTCAGAATATCTTGCCAGTTGAACTATTACTCTTAAAAAATCTACAGCTTTCATTCCAAAAGTTTCTCTATCGTGACAACCATTTAATAATAGGATTTTATGTTTGTTATTCTTATTAATTGCAATAGATTTTCCAATACCTTTTAAAATTATAATAGGAACTATACTAGTCATAAGAGATCCAATAGAATATATTAAAACATCTGATTCTGCTATAGTTGATGTAACTGTAGTTGGAGCTGTAGGTTTTATTTCTTGACCATAAGGTGATACATAAAAGATTCTTTTAATTGGAGAAAGTAATGGTTCTATATCATCTTTATTAAAATGTAATTGAGATTTCTTAAGGTCTGGATGAATATATTGAGGAATATTTCCTAATTCTTCTGCATCTTCATCATCATCATCAGATAAAAGATGAGAATTTCTTGATATTGAAAGTGCTACTTCATTTATTGGAATATCAATATTTATTCCATCTAATGCTGGAGTACCAAAATAATTTGTTCTTATCATATTTTCTGTTGGAGTTGGAGGTCTTGTTGTATTAATTGGAGGTGGATAAATATCTCTTTTAATATCTCTATGAGATGGATGAGATATTTGAGATTGACCAGTTATAATTAAACCATTTTCAAGTAATGCACTTATATGATAAGTAAAATTTGTATTAATACAAGGTAAAACTCTAATCAGATTATCAATATCAGTTAATTTACTAAATAATTCAATAGTTGAATCAAGTGAACCTAAGAATAATCTTACTCCAGTTAAAAATAAATTTCCTACATTAGCTAATTCATATCTAAATTGTTTCTTTGAAGATGTTTGAGAATATTGATATTTTGATCTCTTTAATAATTCAACATGAATATGAATAAAGAATGATCGAAATATTTCTTTAGTTGATTGATTAATATTTAACCATAATTTATGAGTTCCATCAACTATTGAATTCCATTCTTCTTTTGCAATTATTGGATCTGATGATAATCTAAATGTTAAAAGTTGTCTTAAAGATTCTTGATGATTTGGGATAAGTCTAGTTAATCTTGATCTTACATCACCTAATGCTGGACCTCCAATAACTCTTATAATTTCTGATGTTGAACCTCCATTATCCAGAATAGGTAATATATATGTTACATTTGGAGTTAAACATCGAAATAATGGTACTAACTCATTAGTGGCGGTTCCTCCTCCAAATACAACTATTTTAATATCATTCTTACTTACCATTTTATCATGCAATATAATAATAATATAATATAATATAATAATAATAGTATAATAATATTGTTATTCAATGTCAGCCTTATCGAACAAGACACCTACCTCAATAGGGTAAGAAAACCTGGAGTGCATTGCGTCATGGATCTTTAACTATAACCAAATAGGGGACACAAGAGAAGAGAAGAGGATGGAGCCGCAAGCCGCGACAATCCTCACGCCGCACGCCGCACGCCGCACACTGTGTGGTTCAAACATATCCTATCCTGCATGTATCTCGGCAAGAAAACAGTCACCTCCAACATGTGTAATACCGAGAACGGTCTAAGAGTTAATTTCAGAACGCTGAACTAGTTTCTTTTAGTTCACTTTTGAAAAACGCCTGCACTCGGTCACATGATACACACACTAAAAATTTTTCAACCATCGTACTCAATTCCTTCTGGCTGAAAAATTTTTGAGAACGTTTTTAGGAGATCAATCTATATAGTTAAGAATTTTTCTTATACAATAAACTAATAATCATTACTATGTCTGATCAAGAAGTTTTAGCTTTAGTTGGTTCTTTAGAAGGCCACAACGGTTGGGTTACTTCCTTAGCCACCACCCCAGCTCATCCAGATTTATTATTATCTGGTTCAAGAGATAAGACTTTAATTAGATGGCAATTAACTGGTGGTACCCAATATGGTGTCCCAAAGAAATCTTTTAAAGGTCACTCTCACATTGTTCAAGATGTTACTATCTCTGCTGATGGTGCTTATGCTTTATCTGCTTCTTGGGATAAAACTTTAAGATTATGGGACTTAGAATCTGGTGAAACTACTCAAAGATTCGTTGGTCACACTGGTGATGTTTTATCTGTCTCTATTGCTAAGAACTTAAGACAAATTGTCTCTGCTTCTCGTGATAAGACCGTTAAAGTCTGGAACACCATTGGTGAATGTATGGCCACTTTAACTGGTCACCAAGACTGGGTCTCTGCTGTTAGAATTTCTCCAGCTGATGAATCCTCTACTGTTATCTCTGCTTCTTGGGATAAGACTGTTAAGGTATGTTTTTAATTCTTTCTTTTTAAAGAAGATTTCTTTTTCTTCTTCTTTATTACTTTATTTATTACAAATTGATTGTTGATGAATATTCCAAATGATGTATTTCATATTTGCTACTTCAGACGTTGCTCGCCAGCTTCGAATGAGACATATCTTTATCACCAAGATCTCTGATGTCATAGATCATTAACAATTAAATTTGTAAGTTTCTATCAATTGATAACAAAAGTTTACTAACTTTAAAATTCTAGTCTTGGGATTTACTTGACTACTCTGTCAATGCTGATTTCATTGGTCACACCGGTTACGTTTCTTGTATTACCTTATCTCCAGATGGATCATTATGTTCATCTGCTGGTAAAGATGGTACCATTTTATTATGGGACTTAAACTCAAATGAAACCTTATACACCTTGAATGCTAATGCTGAAGTTCATGCTTTAGCTTTCTCTCCAAACAGATACTGGTTAGCTGCTGCCACTTCCACCGGTGTTAAGATTTTCAAATTACAAGAAAGAGACTTATTAGATGAATTAAAACCAGAATCTGATGCTAAGGCTCCAGAAGCTATCTCTTTAGCTTGGTCTGCTGATGGTCAAAACTTATTTGTCGGTTACACTGATAACGTTATCAGAGTCTGGCAAGTTATGACTTCTTAAATGGTTTGATTTATTTTAATCATAATTTTAAGAACAATTAACAAACTTCTCATACATATAAATTTTATATTAATTAAATTAATATATGCTGTATATTAAAAACTATTTCTAACTAATTAAATAGGTATATTTTCCCACTAGCACTACCTCCTACAGCCCAATTCTGAGTTGGATGTAAAGTACAAACAGCTGGAACTGCTCCTACTGAATCCGATAAATGAGCTAATATTTGACCCTTTTGATCATAAATATCTAACCCTCTATTCATATTTGCAATTATAAATTTTTGAACTCCATCTTGAGGAGAATATTGCCATCTAGCTTTAAGAATTGATACCCAACGACCAGTTTGACAATTATGCCTTATCTTATTAAATGGTTTAAAATCAGCCGTATCAATTTCCGGTGATTTAGATACAGTATATTTTGTAGACCATTTAGTAATTGGAGTTGAATTCTTTTCAGAACCACTAAAATCAAATAAATTTATACTATCATCATATCCATTACATACTAATCTATTATCAAGATTCCAATCAACAGTTGAAACTGAAAGTCTTGAAATATATTTACCATAAAGATGAGGAGATACTTGATTTTCATATTCAGACCATGATGCATTTAGTTTCGAAGTATTTCTTAAATCCCATATTCTTAATGATCTATCTAATGAAGCTGTAGCTATTTGATATGATGCATTGGGGTTAATTGTAAAGGCCCCGATTTTTTTATCATGAAGTCTTAATAAATCCTTCATGCCTGGAGATTTGAATTTAGTTCTTGTATCATAACGATAAAAGTTACCAGATAATGTAGTCATATATAAAATATGAGGATTATCTCTACATTGATTAATATCTGAAATCCCCAATGCATAATCTCCAGATTCAATAGGATCATTCAAATAAGCTAATTCACTCGATTCAAGTTTATTTAAATCCAATTGTCGAACCGATCCATCATATGATGATGTATAAATCTTTGAAGGAGATTGTACTGGAGTTAATATTTTGGAAATAGATTTACCATGAGGTTTAAGTATAGAAACAAGTGGTTCATCTGCCTCCTTATTTGAATCAACAGCCCAGATACCAACATTCCCATTAGTATCACCTGCCATTACAACTCTATCAGTAGTTGATGGATGAAAATTAATTGATGTAATTCTATAATGAGCTAATTTAATATCTAAAGGATCGAATCTTTCATAGATTTTTAAATTATCAAATTCTTTACGTTTAATTTCTATATCTTTATCATTATTTATTGGAACTTTTCGAAGTTCTTCATAGAAATCTCCAGCTGAGAATTTATCTCCTAAACTTCTTAAAAGATCAAGAGCTTTATTATCTTCATCAAGTGGTACAGTTACAGTTTCTTGATTATTTTCAATTTTATCTTCTTCTTCATCTTCTTTCTTAATTACTTTATTTTCAAATACCCAATTACCCAGTTTCTTATCAGTTACAAGATCCATAAGACTGAAATCTCCAAGTAGACGCGTTCTACGTAATCTCTCTAATTCTTGTTTCTGTCTTTCCTTTTCATCCTCTTCTTGTTTAATTTTGGCAAATTCTTCTGGATTGTCTAGTTCAGACTGTATTCCTGCCAAACGACGTGACCTTCTTGAAGGTTCAATTGGTTCTCGTTTAACAGGTCTTGCTTTACTTGCAACTCTTCTCTTCTTAGTATCTCTTTTTTCAGGAACTTCATTAGAAATAGATTGACTAATTGTATCAAGATTCAATTGTTTTAGAAGTTCTCGATTTCTTTGAATATTCTCCTGCCGTTGCTTCTCAAAATCAGATATAGCAGCCATGGTCACCTGGTTACTGATCACTGGTCAATGGAATAATATATGAACTGAATGGTGGATCAGTTCGTATATCGATCTCTACAAAGGTATTTTTTCAGTCTACTCCGTAACGCGCGTTTTGATGTATATATTTTTCCGGACTCGCTAATAATAATATTAATTATAATAATAATACTAATAATATTAATCTTAATAATATTTACGAGGTGGCTGCTTCAATGTAGCGAAGTACATCCCCACATAAATATAAGCTGCCACAAAGTACTATAGGTCTAGTGTCATTCTTGTGTCTATAATTAGTTGCCACATGTTTAAGTACATTAGATATATTTGTTTCAATTAATGGATCTACGTCATTAACATAAAGTGATGCTTCATGTTGAAGATATTTTATATCATAACTTTGAATCCAGGGCATTTGATCAGGTTGACTAAAAGCAGTCACAATTATTGTATCTTTTTCTTTATCTACTATATGACTAAGAATTGATTTAATATTCTTACCTGATGTCATAGCAATTATAAATATAATTCCACTATTATTATTATTATTATTATTATTATTATTATGTCTCTCAATATCAAGAAATTTTCCAAGTTCTATAGCAGCACTTTCATTATGAGCTCCATCTAATAAGATAGATAAATTATTAAGGGTAGGAATAGTTATTTGTTGAAGTCTACCAGGCCATGAAGTATGTTTTATCCCTTCTTTTATTTGCTCTAAGGTTAAATTTATATGATTAGTTATAGTTAATAATTCAATAATTTTGAGAGATATACTCAAATTTTGTAATTGATAATCCCCTCTTAAAGGTGAAGATTTCAAAACTTCTTTTGCAGTAGATAATTTAAAATCTGATAATGTTGGAGGTGGAGATGATTCATTTATACCATCAACAAGATAAATATCTGATGATTGTTGTTGTGCCTTTTCTTGTATAACTTGTATAACTTCTTTATTATTTGATCTATCAACTACACATGGAATTCCTGCTTTTATAATTCCAGCTTTTTCAAAGGCAATTGCTGATAATGTATGTCCAAGTAAATTTTCATGATCAAATCCTATTTTGGTTATACCACTAGCAATAACTCCACCTTTTGACGTTTCAGAATATGGTTCTAATACATTAGTTGCATCTAATCTACCTCCTAATCCTACTTCTATAATAGCTATATCTATTTTTTCTAATTCAAATATTTTAAATGCAGTTACAGTTAATAATTCAAATTCTGTACATCCTAATTGTAATAATGAATTTTGTTCAAGTATGAAATCATTAACCTTTTTAAACTTATCCCAGGGATATATTTCATTATTAATCGATATACAATCATTATAATAAAGCATATGAGGAGATGTGAACCTTCCATTAGGAATTCTAGATTGAGTTAATATTGAGCTAAGATAAGCTATAGTAGATCCTTTACCATTTGTACCAGCTATATGAATTGATTTAAATGCATTTATATGAGGATTATTTAAATGCTTTAACAATTTGGATATCCTTGCCAATCCGAGATCAATCGGCATTTGTTATATGTTATATATTATATGTTATATAGTTATTATTTATATATATATTAGACATACAGTCTTTGGCAAACATCAACTTTTCATATTTGTTCCCCGAGGGCTCACTGAAATTTTTCATTTTCAGATAAGGGCATTAAAAAAACCACCAAGTATAGTTACAAGCGTAATCACGAGTATAATTTATAAAGAATAAATATGTCTATAATTGATGAAAAGGCAGATACATATGTTCAAGAGAGGATAGATGCGTTATATGAAATAGATTGTAAAATTGTATCGTTATTGGATGGTATATCAAGTTTATTCCAGACCTACTCAACATCTAAGCAAAGTCATAATATAGAGAACTTGAAAGATCAAGTATCTGAACAAACAGAAAATGTATATAACATATTGAGTAAAGTGGCAATAGATTTACGTAAGGAAGTAAAGATTATGGATGATAATATAGGAGTGTATGACAAGAATAAGGATGGTGTGATGATATTACCAATTGGAGTAGAACAGAAGAATACTAGTCTAGGATCTAAGAAATTGAATGAATCTTTAAAGCAATTGGATAATGTGTTGGGGATTAAAGAGGAGAATGAAAATGAGGATGAGAATAATGATAACAATGAAGATGATGAGTTTGAGACCGATGATAAACAAGCTATCTCGGTTGAGGAAGTAGCCAAAGAACTTAAGAGTGACGATGTAGATGTAGAGATGGAAGATGCAGTGGAAGAAAAACCTGCTACAGAATCGCTCGTAACATCAAATGTGACTGAAAGGGATGTGGAGGTAGAAAATGATAATGAAGTTAAGGTTACTAGTTTTAATAATGAAGATACTTCTACAGCTAATGTTAAATCTGAAGGTGAAGTTCCTAATGACGAAGATGATGATTTGTTTGAAGACGTATAGAACATAAAAAGTAAATATATCTAACTACATATTGTATTATTATAATTCTTCTAAATAACCTTGTTGAATCAATCGATCAACATCTGACTTTCTTACATAAAATTGAGAATCTTTAATTAAATTAAATGATCCATATTCAGTTTGTACTTCTCCAGCATCTTTTAATACTCTAACATCAATAAAGATATTAGTAGGAGGTTCAAGATCTCCTGATAAATCTATATCTGAAAATTTAGATTTATAATTAAGAATTAAATCTTGATATCCTTTATAATAATCTTGTTCAGCATGATTTAAATTATCTATAGTTAACAGAGTTGTATAATTATTATAAATTGAATTTGAATCCGTACCTGAAGATTTTGATTTGGAATTATTAAGACTATTCCCTGAACCTGAACCTGAACCTGATGATGTTGAAGTTGATGAATCAATTATGGGATTAACATTTAACCATGAGAATTCCACTATTTTCTCACTTCTTAAACGTTCATAAGCAAGTAAACATCGCTTATTTCGTCTCATAGATAATTGAGTTACAAATATTTGACATTGATTAATTTTCATTTCTTCTTCAGTAAGTGGTTCTTCTTCCAACTGTTGTTGTTGTTCTATTAAGTATTCAGAATCATTATTTAAATCTTGAATTTCTTTAAGGATATCCTTTACTAGATCAGTTTGATATAGGGGTATTTCCGAGAGATTCTGCGTACGTTTGGCATCGAGTATTAACTTGTTCGCTATTTCTCCATACATTGATTATAATTTACAATAGTTGGTATTTAGTGAGGGTTTGGTGAGCTTTTATTTATTAGTGCTATGTACTTAGTTCGTAATTGTTTAGTAGATGGATAGTTGCGGCGCGTCTGCTCGCAAAAAATAGTGCAACGATTTAACTGCAAAATACAGTCTCTGAACTTCAAAGCGCAAGGCCCAGTGGATTCGTAACATTGTAGTTTATCTTAAGCATATATAAATGAGGGGGTCATGTATTGATTACTTTCTTGTTTTCCTGTCAATTTCTTCATCCATTTGTTTTTAATATAAACAAGACATTGCATGTTATACAAGAAAAACTTGTATAGGTAAACAGAAATCACCCATCAGTTGTGCATTAACTTTTCCGCAGGAGGGGTTAATATGTGAACTAGATGACAGGGTATCGATAATTGGCTAATTCAAAGGAAACATGTAATATATATAAATCGACGTAATATTGCCTGGTTTGAATACTATTTGCCCGGTTAGCCCAAAAAAATTAAAAATCAATAGTTAGAGCTACACATATTACAAGTTACAAATAACAAGTTGCAAATAAATGACAAACGAATAGCAGTGGTTCCAAGATGCAGTTTTTTCAGTATTTACAAGTTAAAATAGTAAAGTTGTAATAGTTCAAGTTATAATAATTACATAGGTATTGTGTCTATTTCTATATAAACAGATTAGACTATTTAGAAAAGTATAACGAGGTTTGTGGAACAACAGAAATGTTGGGAATAGACGTTCTATCCAATCGTAAATCGATTATTTAACAGATTCAAATAACAATTCTAGTTATAGTAGTTTGACCCCAAAAATTAATTTATCCTAACTTAGAAACTATAAAATTCAACTAACCATTACAATTGCCCTAATCGGTAAGGCCCAATTAAGGTAAAAGTCGTGCGAGTTATATGAAAACGGTGGCATGTGTGTTCTTTACCGACGACAAATGTCTCTTAATCGGTGGACCCCATATACAGGAACTAGGGAGCAGTTCATAAAAATTCACCAAAAGCGGGCCTAACCATTTATAGGGGAAACTATCAGATTTTATAATTAATCTACCAAAATTATATAAAATAACTTTATAAGTAGTTAATAACCAAATTCAGAAACTTTATCAACATTGTTTGATCATTTTGTCTGTGTTTAATTATTGTACTTGACATTCCTTACTGGATAGACTGATTTTTCGTGTCCCATAAAAAGCTCGCTAATTTCATAGTTATCTCGCCGTACGTTACTGCATTCATAAAAATTATAAAACTATTACAATTTATAATTTTTATTATCCATTATAGATCTTTTACTATATAACTGCATTATTTGCTTTGCTTTGCTTTGCTTTGCTTTGAAAACTTTTCCCGTTTCCCTAATAAACTATAGTTTATGATAGGGGGTATTCATTGATAAATTAAATCAAATCATGGCATTAGATTATTCAACTTCTCCTTCTACAAATAATCTGTCAACTACAGCAGCTCCTGTAACTCCAGCATCAACTTCAAGTTCCACCTCAATTCCAACTCAAGTGAATTTACCATCATCTTCAGCTTATTGTTTTATATCAGATAAAGATGTTCATTGTGTACCAATCAATTCATTTAATAGCTTTTCTGATAATTTTATTGCATTAGATAATACATCTAAACAAAATGATGAAGCAGATTTTACTCCCGATAAATTATATTTAAAGAATAAAAATTTACTTTATAGTTTAAATAATCCATCATTATCTGATTTAGAATTAGATTCTCCAACTCTTAGTAATGCAACATTACATACGGGATCTCCACCACTTTCACTTGCAATTCCAACTAATAATAATCTTCAAAATCATCATATTCATCATAGTCAAAATAATCAAACTTTAATTCCTCCATCTCAAACTTCAAGTCAAACATCTTCCGAATTAAATTTACCAGCTATAATTAATAATTATTCAACTCATGCAATTTATTTACCTCGACTTATAATTAATTTATCAGAAAATCTTAATACTGAATTTAAAGAATTAAAAGGTTTATTAATTAAAATCTTTCCTACTTGGTCACCAAAAGATGTTATAAATCTTAAACAATTAACTGGTGGTATAACTAATATGTTATTATCTTGTACAAATCAAGATTTAAATGAAACAGTATTAATAAGAGTATATGGTCATGGAACCAATTTAATTATTGATCGTCATCGAGAATTCATTCTGCATCTTATACTTAATTCATTAGGTTTAGCTCCTCCAATATTTTCTCGATTTAAAAATGGTTTAGTATATGGTTATTTATCTGGAAGATCATTAGAACCAAATGAATTATCAAATGAAAATCTTTTCCCATTAATTGCCCAAAATTTAGGTAATTGGCATAAGAAATTAGATTATAAATTAATTGAAAATGGAGTTGAAAAATTACGAACATTTTCAATGAATTTAAAATTACAATTAAAATCATCAAATGGTGGAAGTGGAAGTGGTAGTGGAAGTGGAATTGGTAGTTTAAAGAATAAGAAATTTAAAAAGAAATTCATTTCAAATGTTTGGGAATTATTAGAAGATTGGATAGATATAGTTCCAATAAATCCTGATCTTATATCATCATTTAATGATAATTTACCTCATGAAGTTAGTCAAGACAATTTAAAGACAATTATTCAAGAAGAATTTTCTTGGTTAAAGGAAAATTTAAGTAAATCAAATTCTCCTGTTGTTTCATCACATTGTGATTTATTATCAGGAAATGTAATTATTCCTCAAGATTTTGATTTACAAAAACCTTTAATTAATTTACCATCAATTGAAGATAATCCAATTAAATTTATTGATTATGAATATATGTTACCTGCCCCTCGAGCATTTGATATTGCTAATCATTTTGCTGAATGGCAAGGATTTAATTGTGATAGAAGTGCTATCCCAACTCCTCATAAATCCAATGAAATCTTAGTTAAATGGGTTCGAGGTTATTTAGGAGATTTAAATGCTCCTATGAATAACGTTGAAGAATTAATTGATGAAATTGCAACATTTTATGGATTACCAGGATTTTATTGGGGGATTTGGGCCATGATTCAAAGTGAACTTTCAAATATTGATTTTAATTATTCTAATTATGGGAAATTAAGATTAGAAGAGTATTGGGAATGGAAAGGTCATTATTTGAAAAAGCAAACATCTCCTTAACTAGAAGCCAGATAGTTCTTTGTTTCTTTATTTATTTCTTGGGTATAAGCTTGCTTTGTTCATTTCTTGTATGTTTTGACATGTTTTCAAAATTGGGTTTTAATAGAATAATCCTCGTTAAATATATATAACTTACTAACTTATTAACTTATTAACTTATCTATATAATCATTACGACATTATCACCGTTGTAAATCAATTAAGGCAGTCTTTTCCGATTTTGGTGAATATAATACTGCCCATTTATGACCCTTTGCACTTTCCTTTTGTAAAGTATTATAGATATTTAAAGCAAAACTCTTGGGTAAATTATTGGTGGAATAAACAACTTTTCTAATCCATTCTTCTTGTTGTTGAATTGAAGTTATAGCTATCATATCAAGTACTTCATCTCTTACATCAATAGTTATAACTGGAGATGTTGAAATATGTTTAATAAATTGAGCTGAAGCAATTTTAGAATCATTCTCTAATTCCCATTTTTCTCGTTTATTATTTCTTCTACCTCGTGGAGCTTCATTAGGAACCACTATAGCTCGTTGATCAATTTCAAGTGAATACAGAGGTCCAAGATCTTCCAGTAATGTTAGATCATTTAATTCATTAATATTTTGATGACGTTGATCTGAAGCTTCTGATTGAAGAATTTCTAATTGTAAATTTCTTTCTTCAATTTCAGCTTCTAAATAATCAATTAATTCATCATATTCTAAATCGGCTTCTTTATTCAGAATTAAATTTCGAACTTTTAATGGTTTAAAACTTCTACTACTAGCTTTAATTCGTTTCTTTTCTTTACCATCTCTATCCTTTTCTTTAGATTTAGGTTGTTTGATTATAATTAACCAATCAGCTCCTTCATCTCGAGCTCGGACAATATCATCATCTTGAGGATCAGGATTTAAAATATCAACACTAATATTTCTTTCCCATAATTCCTTTAGAATCATATAACTGGATTCAAGTAATTGGGAATTAGTTGAACTTGAACTTTGAATTAATACATCACATCGTTTACCCTTCCAATTATCATAATCAAATTCAACTGATTTAACTTTTCGATTAATTAAATTCTTCATTAATAAAAATATAAATGTAGAATTTAATGAAAATCCTACGGCATGTTGAGTTATGGATTTACTAATATCTTGATTTGATAATGAACTAATTAATGAATCATATCTACCACCAGTGGCAATTCTTTGAAATTTCCGATTCTTTTCAATTCTAAATAACGCTTGAAACATAATTCCATAATTATAATATTTACTATTATAATTACTTAGGGGATTTAAATATACAGAATTCTTAATTCCTAAAGTTTCTAGTATATTTATAACTTTATTAATATAAGATAAGGCTCGTTCAATTCTTAATAAATGAACGGAATCAACCATTAACTTTTGAAACTTTTGTAATGCTTTATCAACTGCAATGGTAAAATCAAATTGATCAATTAAATCTTTAGTTACTGTATGAGGGACTTTTAAATCTTCTCGTAAGAATTGTTTAGTTTCATTCAGAGATTTTTCAATTCCTAATTGTGATAAAACTCCAAAGATTTCTTGACGTTTACTTTCTTCAATTCCATGATTTTCAAATGAAAATGATAATACGGCATCCAAAATATCATAATGATTAATTATAATAATTGTTGTTGAATTTTTTATTTTGAAACATGGTAATTTTTGCATGATTTCATCAATGGCTTTAAGGCATTCAGCATCATTAATTGGTCTATTCATAAGATTATGACTAACAATATCAAAATTAATTGAACTATATTTATCAGGTTTACCCACGCCTCGAAGACTGGGTCGATAAACAAATTCATGACGATATAATTTGGTTAATGATACATTAGCTCGACTTAAAAATCGAGCTATAGGTAATGTTAAATCATAAGGTAATGTAAGTACTGACCCATTTCTATCTAATACTTCATAAACCAAATCAGTTGATTGAGATGGAGCCTTTGGAATTAATAAATTTGAATCAAAATCTTCAATGGCTCCATGACGATGAAAGATTTCAAATATTTCTTGAATTAATCGATTAAATAATAAATAATCTTTATTAGTCGGTTCAAGATGATTTAAATGGGAAGATTTGCCATGATTAAATTCAAACATTAAATCTTTAGCTAACAGATATGGTTGATTGAAAAGGGCTTGTCTAACTTGTTGTTGCCAAGGAGATGCTGGATCAGCCAATGACTTTAACGCTTGTTGGATAACTTGATCTTGATGTTCAACTGGTAACCAACCACTTTGTAAAAGTTCCATAGCTCCTGGTCTTACTTTAGGATCATGATCTAATAATGATTTAATGATTTTCTTTTCAATTTTATATTTTGAATCGGTAAAATTATTAGGGAATTCAATACTCTTTAATCGTAAATCATTTAAAGTTCTTGCTCTTTCCATTCCGGTGGATAATGAATAACACATTTCAAAGAATATTATTCCTAAAGAATACATATCGACTTTTTCATCATAAGTTCCTGTGGCAACTTCATTGGCAGTATAAAAAAGAGTACCAACTACTGTTGATAAATCTTGATTACCTCCAGAAAAGATTTGATTATTTTGCAGAATAACTGAAGTAAATTGAGAATTCTTAGCAAGTCCAAAATCTCCTACTTTAATATTATTAGCTCGATCAATAAATATATTGATGGGTTTTAAATCTCGATGTATAAATCCTTCGCCATGAATATACAGAACTGCTTCAAGTAATTGACGAAAGAGTCTCCAATACTCATTGGAATTTCCTGGTAATCCTTGTTCAATTAAATTCATGAGAGTATTATTTTCACAGAATTCCATTTGAATATATAGAATTGATTTAGGTCCATTGACTGGTTTTTTGGGGGGTGGTTTAACATTCTTTTCCTGTTCACTCATACTTTCACTCTGGGATTCAGACTCCACTTCTACTTCTACTTCTGCTTCTTCACCGGCTTCATCAGTGGAATTAGCAAATTCTATAAAATCATCTAAATTATCATCTTCTTCAGTAGAATCATCAAATTCAATACGAGGATCGAATGAATTGGACATAAAATCCACTTGAAAGGAATTATCATGACTAAGTAGGAAAGAAGAAGATCGAGCTTGAATTGGACTGGGGAATTCATTGTCATTCTGCTGATCATTCTGCTGATCTAAATCAGTTTCAGTTTCAGTCTCGGTCTCTGTTTCTTCTTCAGATACATGTGACAGATTATAGCCTTGTTCTACTACTTCTTCAACCCAAGTACCATAATATCTGACAATATACTGATGATTTAATCGTGCTAAAGATAATACTTCACTAAGTAAAGAATCTAATTTATCAGATCTATGCTTAATCTTTTTAATAGCATAGAATTTCCCTTCCATTCGATTTCGAGCTTTAACAACTTCTCCAAATCCTCCCTTCCCAAGTCGTCCAATTTCTTCAAAATCTCTTTCATATCTTCCAAAATTTTGTCTAATCCCCGAGGGAATACTATCTAAATCTCTCATATAATTCAGGATACCACTGGCTTTTCTTATAGAAATCTGATGGGGATTAGGAGCATCAGCATCAGCATCAGCATCAGCATTAGCATTAGAATCAGCATTAGCATTAGCATTAACATTAGTATTATGTTTACTATGTCCAAGCCTTTCTTGTCTTATAGTATTGGGATTTCGAAGCGTTTGTGATATATTAATTCTATCTATAGGTATACCTATACCCCCAATATGTTGATTAATTATCATAGGACCATCTCTTAGGAATTTGACGGCATTTAATTCTAAGGGAGTGGGTCTTTTGGCAGGTTTACTCTGTAACATTTTCGATAATAAATCATATACTAAAGTTGCATAATGTTCATGACCAGAGAATTCTTGCGTTAGGAACTTTCTATGGAACTCTTCGGGTGATGTATAAGTGGAATTAAGTGCAGTATAATTCACCATTATTCGAACGAATAATACTCCTAAATCCCATACATCTGTCTTTTGAGTATGAGATCCACCTGATTTAACTTCGGGAGCAATCCAGTTATCTGGGATAAAGCCTGAAGTTAGCGGTGATGGTTGTGGTTGATTCACCAAAGTTTCTGAATTTCTATGAGTCTGTAACATGTTGAATAGTTTAAACCCATACGAGGGATGGCCCAACTTTAATATTTTAGTGGTACTTGTATCATTCAAGTGAGAATTACTATTATTAGTACTGGAACTACCACTGGTGCTACCACTACTTTCAGATATCATATTATCAATTTGATATATAAATACCGATGAAGGACATATTAATCTATGGACAAATCCACAATTATGTAAATATTCAAGAGTCGGTAATAATTGAATTAACCAAGCTCGAGCCAAGGGCCAACTAAGAAATTCGGCCGTTCTTAAAATATCATCAACCGATTCAGAAGTTGAAGAAAATTCATTCAATAATCGAAGTTTCCAACTACAACCTGATTGAATTTTATCAAATTGAAATCCAAGTAATTTAAGTATATTATCATTCTTAAGACTAATTATCATTTGTAATTCCTTTTCAAGATCTTGAATTTCTCGTTTACCAGCTTCAGTATTCCAAAATGGATTTATAAAATCTATTTCTGTAAGTAAATATGAAAGTTCAATATCTTGTTTATCAAGTTTTTCTTGTAAATTTGATGATAAATATGGTTTAACTATATATTGATGACCTAAATTTGATAATAAATCTCGTTTAAAATATTTAATAAATCCCAGTACTGCTCGAAATTTAATTTTAGTTCGAGTTTGAGGTAATTCATCAGTTATAGGATTTTCAAATATAAAATAAAGATTAGTATCTTGAGGAATTAAATCGATATCACTAACAGTTTCATAATTATTATTATTATGATTATTATCTTCTACTGAATCTTCATAATATTCATCACGAATTTGAAGAATTTGTTTATTTAATTCTTCATCTTGTTTCCTCTTAGCCAATTCCTTTTGTTTCATTTTTATTTCATCTTCTTTCATCATAGCTAATCTTTCATTCTTTAATCTTAATTCTCGTTCTTCTTCCAATGATAATACTTTTTCAGTTATCAGTTGAAATTCATCAAGCATAAATTTAACTTCTGATATTACCGTAAATGAAATTTCTTCACCGGGGAATTGCTTTATAAGTTCTTTTATTTTATTTTCAATTTGTTGAACTCGAGCTCTTAATAAATTCTTAGGATTTAATACTTTAATTAAGGCTGGTGATAATGGATAAGTGGGAGTAAATTCAATATCTAAAGTAAGTGATATTGTGGGATTCTCTTCATTTTCACAAGATTCTAATAAGATTTGAAAATGGGGACATGGTTTCTTATTCCAAATCATTTTAGTTGAAGTTATATCTTTAAAGATATCTCCATAAATTGATGCTACACTATTGGCTTCATCTTGTTGTCGGATCTCAATCTCCAGAGATACCGACACGTCCTTATTCATTATGTAACCATCAATTGAACAGTATAATGAGTTAATTAGTCAAAGTTAACTGTACTGTCCTGTAATGGGTAACTGTACTGTAACGGTAACGGCAGTGACTAACCGATCGATGCTCTTCTAACCGGCCAGCGTATCTGTGCCTGTGCGCATCGGTAATCGGGCAGAAAAAAATACTTCAGTAGGCTGAAAAATTCAAATTCAGTAACTTACAGCGTAGTGAGGTATATGTCTGTATGTCGTTTTAGTGGAGAAGGTATAAGTTATAATTACACAGTCATAAAGTAAGAATAATTATAATTAAACATATAAGTTAGAACAAGCAGTATGCCATTAATTGACCAAATAGATGATGGAATAGATACCATAAAGATCTTATTAACTACCGATAATCATGTAGGATATAATGAAAATGATCCAATTCGAGGTGATGACGCGTGGAGAACCTTTCATGAAATAACTAAATTAGCTCGAGAATATGATGTAGATATGATGATTCAAGGTGGAGATTTATTTCATATAAATAAACCTTCAAAAAAATCTTTATATCATGTAATGAAATCTTTAAGATTAAATTGTATGGGAGATAAACCATGTGAATTAGAATTACTTAGTGATCCAAGTGTGGGGTTATCAAGTGCATTTAATTCAGTTAATTATGAAGATCCAAATTTAAATATATCAATTCCTGTATTTGCAATTAGTGGGAATCATGATGATGCAACTGGTGATGGGAATTTACTGCCTCTTGATGTTTTATCAGTAACGGGTTTAATTAATCATTTTGGTAAAGTACCTGATAATGAATCATTAACAGTTTCTCCATTATTATTACAAAAGGGTTTAACTAAATTAGCATTATATGGAATGGCAAATGTAAGAGATGAAAGATTACATCGAGCATTTAGAGATGGTTTAGTTAAATTTCAAAGACCAAATATTCAAACTAATGAATGGTTTAATTTATTTTGCATCCATCAAAATCATGCTCAACATAGTTTAACTTCAAGTATACCTGAACTGTTTTTACCAAATTTTTTAGATTTTATATTATGGGGTCATGAACATGAATGTAAACCACATCCAATCCATAATCCAGATACAGGATTTGATGTATTACAACCAGGATCTTCAGTTGCAACTTCTTTATCAGAAGGTGAAGTGGCTGAGAAATTTGTCTTTATATTAAGAATTAATGGTAAAGATTATTCAATTGAAAGAATTAAACTTAAAACTGTCAGACCATTTTTAATGAAAGATATTATATTACTGAAAACAGATTTAATCCCAGGAGCAGCATCTAAATCAGATGTAATTGCATATTTAGTTGAAGAAGTTGAAAAAATTATAACTCAAGCTACAGCAATATATAAGGAAACAAATCCTGATTTATTTGATGAAGATGAAAATTCAGAATCAATAGCGAAAAAGATTCCATTACCATTAATTCGACTTAAAGTTGAATATTCTGGAGGTTATGAAATTGAAAATACAAGAAGATTTTCAAATCGATTTGTTGGAAAAATTGCCAACGTTGATGTGGTACAGTTTTATAAGAAACGAACTGTTGAAAGTTCTAAAAAGACAAAATTTGTTGATAAAGACCTCTTTGAATCAGGATTAAATTCAAAGAAGGCTACTGAATACAAATTACAAGATTTAATTAATGAATTCTTAAGTCAAGCAGACTTATCATTAATACCTCAAGCAGGTATAAGTAATGCTGTAAACAAATATATAGATAATGAAGATAAAAATATATTGAATCGGTATGTTCAAGATGAAATTAAGAAGGAGACGAAAATGCTTTTAAGCATAGATATTGATGATCAGGAATTTTATGGTCAAGATGAAAACCATACTAATAAGGCATTCAAACAATTATTAGCTCAAATTAAGAATGATAATCCAGTACTTATACAAGATGATGATAATGGATCTATTAAAAGTAAAAGTGTTAAACCTAAAAAGGGTACTAGATCGAAAAAGGTTGTCTCGGATAGTGATGTGGAATCTGAAGCTACGCCAGCTCAGAAACCTTCAAGAGCCACTAGAAAACAAGCACCCAGAAAGTCGAAAGCAAAGAGTGCAGAAGTAATAATTGATGATGAAAGTAGTGAGGGTGAATATGTAGAGCTTCAAGATGATGAAGAAGATGAAGAAGTTATGTCCGTAGATAGCGAAGAAGAAGTGGTTTCTAAGAAATCAAAAGCCAAACCTACTGCTCGTAAAAGAGGAGCTACTCGAGGTAGAAATAGTTTGAAGGATAGCATTATGGATATGTAATGTATATACAAGTTTTATAATATCTCTATGTACCTATTCAAATGTAGTAGCTTCTTTAACAAGTTCTTCAATATTGAATGATTCATCTCCTGAAGTAAAGCTTCTCAATAAGGCAAGTTTCTTTTCAGCAACTCCCTTTTCTACTTGAGCTCCATAAAATCTTTGAACATTTAATACTAAGAGTTGAGCTTCATCCATTGTGAGGGAACTTTCTTGTTCACAATGACCATTCATAAGGACAATACCTTTATCAGTTAATTCTTGATGAAACATCAAAGTTGTATGAGGTTTAGCATATTCTTTATGAAGTTTATATTCCGCTACTGTAGTTAACATACAATGAGTTGTAGATGGACCAACAAATGACCATTGAACAAAATGCATTTCATAACCATCACCATCTTTTGGTAATGGTAAGATAAAGCTAGGACATTTAAAAGCATTTGCATACATATTACTGAATTGTAAATCATTTAATACAGCATGAAGAGTTCTTTCTTTATTTTGAAATCTAGCTCTCCATATAAGTTCAATTTCTTTACGAGGAAGTTCTTTAACCTTATTAACATCAATATAAGATTCAAGAGTTTTATATGGAGCTGGAGGAGTTTCTTTATCAATAGGAGATCTAACTTTAATGGTCTTTGATTTACCTTTTTCTTCAGCTGCCATTCGCTTCTCATATTCTTCTAATTCAGCAAGAGGATCTACTGCACTAAATTCCTTTTTAGCCTTTTCAATATCATCTTTTAAAGTAGTCTTTAATTGTTCAATAGAATTAAGTCCTAATTCTTTAGCCTTTTGTTCTAATTTGGCTTTATACTTGTCTACTAGATCTGAATTTACAGAGTAACATCTGAATGGATGCACGGATGCTCTTCTCAAGCCTACTAATCTCACAGATCTTAAAGTCTGTCCCCTCAACATTTTCGTATAACCTTTGCAAGTAGCTGACAGATTTTTTTCACAATCAGTTTTTCAAAATTTAAATTTTCACTACTGCAAATTTCTACATTGGTTATAACCCATAAATTTCAAATGGAGAATTTATATACATTAATATTCAAAAAAATTTCGCACGTCTATATAGATACCTGATTTAATTAATTTAATTGGTTATTTTATTTTTTTAACATCCGGGAGACCTTCAACATTTGCTTCTGCTTCTGCTTCTTTACTATCAGAGTTAGACCTCTCATGCTTGTCTAAAGCTTTTTGAAGTTCTCCAGTAATCTCTGTTGCAGTAGTTATTGATTCACCTTTAGCTTTAAGTGCTTCTTCAATATTATACTTATGGTCTCTAAATATATTTAAATTATCAGCTATTAAATGACGATTTTTACATCCAGGACATTGTATAGCTACCGTACCTTTTCTATAAGCTTGATCTGAAAATGAATGAGCAGATCTTGTATTACATACCTTACAAGTAAATGCAATCAACCTTTGAGGATCTATTGACTGAGGATCAGCCTCTTCAGGTGACTTCGATGAGTAGAATTGTACTCTCTGATATGACTGTAAAGAAGGTAATACAATTCTTGAGCGTACTGGTAATAAACGGCCTGTCGTTCTACGTATAATAGACCTTGTAACTATACCTCTAAACATTATGTAATACTTAACTTAGCTTCCTAACTGTAAAAATGGTCAGAAGTAGTAATGCAGCAAACGATCACTATCAATTTTTTTTGCGATATAAAATTCTGAGGGCATCACTGATCAAGTACAGTAAAAGCTTAGAGGGAATCCTAAGCATGTCTGCAAGAACTTTCTTTAGGATCCCCGAGACTATCGGATATGTTCTAAAGATATATGAAAAGAGTTCCAATAAAATTTCGTTATTTCCTGATCCAGATGTACGGAAATTTCTACGAAAGACATCGAATGAATATACATTATATCAACAATCTTTAATACTTAATTCAAATACTATTGCATTTAATGATTTTTCTACTATAGTGGGTAATAGCATAGAACCATTATTTAAAAAGAGAATAAAATTTAATACTATAGATGATATACCTACTCAAGAATTATTTAATATAACTCCAAAACCTATATCAGATGAAGAAGATTCAATTACTTCACTTTATTCAAAAACTACTAGTAAAACTTCAAACTTTTTTGCTAGAATAGTATCTACATTTGCATCTGCAACTTCACCTCAAAGTGAAGTTCCAAAAGTTCCATCCATAGAAAATGCATTTAAATGGTATATAAAATTATTGAATAATACTCCTATAGTATTAATATTAAGTCTGAAAAATCGATTATTTTCAAGTAGTTCATTATCCCAAATTGATAAACCATTAATAGATTTAAGAAGAAAAATCCTTGAAATAAGTAATAAATTAGAAACTAAATCTTTTAGATCATATCATTTAACAAGTTTGGAATTATTAGATATATTCCAATTAGCCATTAAATTTCAAAATAAATTTTATAAACAAAACATATCTGAGTTTATGAAGATCCTTTCTCAAATAAATTGGCAAGAAGATATACCTGATGATGCATTAAGTAATCATATAAAATCTCAAGAACGATATAAAATTATTGATAAATCATTTAAAAAGGTAGATGAAACACAATTTAATTCTTTTCTAACTTATGATAGATTTGTAGCCATTAATGATTTATTAGATGATAGAGAAGTATCAGATGTATTTCTTTATGATCTTATATATTCTATGAATTATCTTCTATGTGTGGAAGAAGCAGCTATTAATCAAAATTATAAAGAGATTTTAGATGCCATTAAATCTTCTGAATTTGAAATAATTGCCGTTAGATTATCGTTAGATAATCAGGAAATTATTAAAGCAATAAGTGATTCAAGTCATAAAAGTGATGAATCATCTGGACCAATGAATTATAATGCATTATTAGAAAAAGCAAAAGATGCACGTCAAGAAAGTAGTAATATAGACAAGCTTTTAAAGGCTTTAGCAAGACAAAATCTTATCAGGGTAGAGGAGGGATGTCATAAAAACTGTATATATTTACTTCCACCTCTTAAAAAGTAGTGTATAATTAATTTATTAATGTATAAATAGAGTTTTCTGTGGATATCGTATAAGTGTTAAGATTCTCCTCGTATATCTCTTGCTTTCCGAGTTCACAGATACTTGCTCTGAGGCACAGATATGGTTACATGTTTAATTTGGACACTATTGCAGATGATTTAATTGAATTGGCGGAGAAACGAGTTAGATATAGACGCATAATGTAATCAGGATCAGGGTACACGGGGGATATCATAAAAACTATATATATTACTTCCACCTCTTAAGTAGTGTATACAATTTATTATAATTAGTGTATACTGTGTATAATTAATGTATGCTGTGTATAATTAACTGATATGGTGGGGAAATAACATCCACGCATCAATAGTTTAATTTTCCAATATACCAATATGCTCAATGAAGATAACCACTACTTAAGAGAACAAGAATCCCTAATATCTCCAATATGGCTCCATTAACACCATTAAGGAGATCACGATTACCCAGATTAGCCATAGGACTTGTTGGATTATTTATAATATATTCCATAATTCGAAATTCTGGAATAGATAATAATTCTTCATATAATGGACCCGTTGATGAAATTACGGAATTTGTTCAACTTGATAAAGAACCAATTCCTATAATTCATAATAAACTTTCAAATAAACAAACTCCTCATAAGTATGATGAAATCAATGAAGAATTTTTAAAAGCAATGGATAAAGCAACAAGTAAATGTATAGATTATGTTGAATATTCACAAATTAAACATGCACCATTTTCTCAAGGTAAATATGAATATCCTTATATGAGACCACCACCAAAATGTCGAACTTTTACATCATTAGCAGTTGAAAAATTAATTGAAGATTTAAAATTAAAAGTATTTGATAATGATTTAGCCCGATTAATAGAAAATACATTACCCAATACTTTAGATACCACAATTTTATGGCATAAATCTTCATTAAATAATAAACAAGAAATAAATCCTCAAACATTTGTTGTAACTGGTGATATTCATGCTGAATGGTTAAGAGATGCGGCTAGACAATTATCAATATATCAACCATTAATAAAACATGATAATAAATTAAAAGAATTAATTAAAGGAGCAATTAATACTCAAGCATTTTATATTACGATTTCTCCATATTGTAATGCATTTCATCCACCTCCAACTTCAGGAGTTAAAAAGGGTAATACAGCTTTTGATCAAGTATTCCCAAGACCTGATTGGAGACAAGTATTTGAATGTAAATATGAAATTGATTCTTTAGCATCTTTCTTAACTTTAACCAATGATTATTATGAAAATTCTAATGAAGATCTTTCATTTCTTAATGAACAATGGCTTAATGCATATGAAAAATTATTAATAGTATTTAGAAGAGAATCAAAACCTTCATTTGATGAAAGAACAGGTGAAGCAATGAATTATTATTATTCATTTAAAAGACAAACAAATATAGGTAGTGAAACTTTACCATTGGGAGGAGTTGGAAATCCAGTTAATTTTGGTACGGGATTAATTAGAAGTGCCTTTAGACCAAGTGATGATGCAACAATACTTCAATTTTTCATTCCAGGAAATATTCATGCATTAACAGAATTAAGAAGAGCTCGTAAAAATTTCTTAAGAGAAGATATTGATATTGGAATTAATATTTCTGAACTTTTAATGGTAACTGATGGATTTATTAAAGATATTGCTCAAGGAATTGAAAAATTTGGTATTGTTGATCATCCAATTTATGGTAAAGTTTATGCTTATGAAGTTGATGGATATGGTGGAAATATATTTATGGATGATGCAAATATACCTTCATTATTATCAATTCCTGATATGGGATTTACAAAAATAGATGATCCAATTTATCAAAATACTAGAAAAATGATTCTTCTGAAATCAGGTAATCCTTATTATTTACAAGGTTCTGCCTTTAAGGGAATTGGTGGACCACATATTGGGATTCATAATGCTTGGCCAATGTCATTATTAGTAAGAATTAGAACAACTAATGATGATGAAGAAATTAAACAAAGTTTAAAATTAGTTATGGAAACTACTGCTGGTTTAGGATTAATTCATGAAAGTGTTAATGTAAATTCTTATGGTGGTAGAGATTTTACTCGTCCATGGTTTGCTTGGTGTAATTCTGAATTTGGTAAAACCATATTACATTTAGCTAAATATAAACCGCATCTTATTTTCAAGGATGAATGGAGTTCTCAACCTTATAATATAGATGCAATTTTATCATCGACAAATCCTGACAATTAAAGTTTTATTTAGTTATATTATATATATATATATACATTCATTCTATTCAACGTCTTATATATTCCGCCATAGTTTCCAAAGTTTTACTAGATGCATCCTTGGCAGTTGCTTCAAATGCTGCTTGATATCTAGCTTGTAAATCAGCATCATTTTTACTATTAATTTCAGAATTTCGATCTTCTGGAAATGTATATTCTCTTTCTGGTTCATCTTCATCTCGTAATACTTCACCATTATTTTCATCATCAAATTCTTCATCTTCATAATCAGATAATACATCACTATCTTTATTCTTTTTATCTTTAATATCTAAATCTTTCATTAAATGATCTAAAGATTTTGCTTGACGTTTCTTTTCATCTTCTTCCTTTTTCTTTAATATTCTATCTCTTTCAGCTTTATAATATTCATTATATTCTTCAACTTTATTATCTATAGCATCAAGAAATTCATCAAATCCTTCTCCAGTATATGCACTAACTCCTACCACATCTAATTGAGAATAAAATTCTTCTAACATTAAAGACATTGAATTAACTAATGAACTCATATAACCTGATGATGTACCTTCTTCACCATTTAAATCTTGATCTTCCTTTAATGCTGCTTGAAATACTTCAAAATCTTGCATCCATTCCTTGGCAAAATCAGCCTTTTTAACATCAGTTTTATTAAATACTACAATCATTGGTAATTTTGTTTTATATAATATTGAACAAGCATATAACATATTTGAAATAAATGTTGTAGGAGATGTATTTCTTGGAGTATCAACAATATATGCTATAACGGTTGGAAATGTTGAAGCAAATGCTTCAGTAATAATTGAACCACTGGCAGACCAAATAAAACATTCAATTTGTCCTGGAGTATCAATTATAACATTTTTAACTTTATCTGATCTCTTTTCAACTAATTTAATTACTTGATCAATTTTAGTAGCAAATAAATTTAAAGAAGTCACAATAGCACCATTGGGTCCTAAATTATATTCTTCCATAACTTTTTTATATTTTACTGAATCTCTTATATCAATATTTGCTCCAAATGGTACTTTTAATACTGCTGGATCTAAATTTATTACATAAGGAGGAGTCTTTTTTGAATGTAAATGAGAATTTAGTCTTTGCATAAACGTGGTCTTTCCTGACCCGGCCATACCAATACATATAACTGTAGATGGTGCCATTTTTGCTGGTTGGTAGTTATGTTATAGATTACTGAAAAATTGGTGATAGTGATGGCCATCGATTATAAATAATTTTATTTTGGGGTTTGTCTTGTCCTGTCTTGTGTGCAGGCACATAGTTAAGCTTCCTATATATAATTACATATTACATATATCAATACAATACATATATATATTTATATTATATTATATAGTAGCTATCTATGTATCATAACGTATATATTACGTAATTACTATGCATGTTGATCTAAAACTCTATCAACAATTCCATCAAATATGGATTTATGAGTTAAAATTTGAATATTCTCTGCTTCTGCTTGGAATAATTTTGAAGCCTTGGGGCCACCAGGACCTCCAATATTTGGAAGAGGTTGTTGTTGTTGCTGTTGATTAACTAATTCTGCAGCTGCATTAGCATCTCCCATTAATAAAGAATATATAGGTCTAAGACCAAATAAATTAACAAAATACCAAGATATAGATGAAACATATCGAACATTTAAATTAGGAGTCTCTATACCAGTTTGTAACATTTGTTTAAATCCATCAGTTAATGGGAAAGGTAATTTCATAATGACAAATCCTGCAAAGAAATAATTTACCCAAGCCATAATAAGAGTTTGGGGAATATAATTCATCATATTCCCCTTTGCCATATTCATTAATGCATCATTAGTACTTGGATCTGAAAGTGGATTAGTACTTTCAGCATTTGGATCTTCTACTTTTGCATAGAATTCCGTAGAGTTTAATTTTTCAATTAAATATTGTCTTCTATTTTCAAATTCTTCAGTAGTTAAAACTCCATTATTTTGTCTAAAGCAGGCTGCTCTTCTTAAGAATTGTCTAAGAAGGTATATATAGTTAGTAACTTTTAATTGATTTCAAAAAAACTAATAACCCACTTTTATACATACTTTTCTCTGATGGCTTTATATTCCTCTAATTTAGGTCCTGGTTGAAGAAGGTAAGTTATATTAGATCTTAACAAACCCACCAATACCATAACAAATGAGATGGGTAAAAGTACCCAATATTTCAATTGAGGATCTAATAATAAATCTGGAGTCAGCATATTTCAGTATAATTTATAATTACTATATAGTGTCACCAAATGCTCCTCTAAATGATTATGGTAGATGATTTTAGTGGACTTTAGTTAGTGAACGTTTTAGTTTTTGTGGAAACTCACTCACTAGTTCGCAAACTTTTTTGAGAGCGCAACGGTGGTACGTTAACAACTAACTAACCATTACGCAGTAATATTACAACATAACTAAGTAGACATACAAGTAATATGGGATGGTTTGGAGGCAGTGTGCCGGCTAAGGTATCTGGAGTATCAGAATTACACGAAAATGCTAATGCTACACCTCAATTTCTTGAGGATTTACCCCCCAAATTTGAAGATATGGATCCATCATCAGCACTTGCTAATAAGAGTAGACGACAACAACAGCAATATGAACAAGAGAGACAAGCCACATTAATGGATGCAGCTAGTAAATTAAGTTTATCTGATTTTACTGTAGAAAGATTTCTTGGAATGCCATGTTTCCGTGAAGCCATGATAACTGGATTTCAATCTATGGGAGTCTTAGGAGCAGTTACATTCTTAATTCATAAGAATTTTAGTCGATCATTTAACTGGTCAATGTGTGGATTTTTCTTAGGAAATATAGTAGGATGGGAACAATGTAGATCCTTAAGAAGAAGATCATTCCAAATGATGGAAGAAGCTCGTAGGAAGAAAGAAGAAAAGAATAAAAAGAAGTTTGAACAACACCAGCAGGAAGCCGATGATCAGTATGAGAAATTCAAAGAGTTCAATGACCGCGGCAATTAGGTGGAAATCACTAACAATATTAATTAATTAACTAACTAATTAATATATATATTACGTATGTATATATATAGCTAAGAAGTAACATGTATATAGCCACTGGCAAACAATCTAATGATAAATGTATATATACCAATCTAATGATAATGTATATATACCAATAGATAAATGTATGTAATGTCCGCTAGTGTACCTCGCTAAAAAAATGCTCCTCCGCAAAAAGTCCACTTGGGCCGCGGAAGTACAGTAGTGATCCACCGAAAAATTCATCACTACGAAAACTGGAGAAGTCGACTTTAACCTAACTTTAAGTTAAATTTCATTATTCTTTTTCTTTATACTGTTAATGTATGATTATATGGATTAGTAGGTATTGTTAATAATGGAAAATCATCGAGCTATCATTAAATATAAGACTGAGAAATCAAATCTTGTCAATTTACCTCCTCGGTTAGGACATATCTTATCATCAGCCAATTTACCTCCGCAACAAATTGTAGTTGAATTAGTTAGTCAGACTAATAATAATAAGAAATATTATACTGGTTGGACAGGATTTAGTAGTTCTGGTGGTAAAGATAATGTTGAATTAGATCCTATATTTGCACAAGCATTAAATATTAAAGAGAATGATAAAGTAATTATTAATATTAAGATTAAAAATTATGAAGCTACTAATATTAGTTTAGAACCTTTAACTAGTTCAGATTGGGAATTAGTTGAATTACATGCTCAAAACATTGAAGATAAATTATTACAACAATCAAGATGTGTAGCATTAAATCAAATTCTTGTGGTTTATCCCAGTGCTACAACTTCGGCTAAATTATTAGTCACTGATATAGGTAATTCATCATCAACTTATGGAATTATATCACCATATTGTGAGATTGCTATTGCACCTAAAGTTCGAGAAAAGAAAGATGACAAATCTAAAACTACTATTGTTAATAAACTGTCATCTCCTAATAAGTTAGTTGAAGATTATTCTTCATTACCTACAGTATTAAGAAGAGGTATATCATTACCTAATGATTTATATACTGATTTACCATTAGATTCAGATATTTCTGGTTATGAAGTCTATGCCAATGTAAAAGATCTTCCTAATGAAATCAAAACTTCTCATGTGGCAGTATCAATTGTACCTGGACCTAATGATAAACAACAAAAGAATGTTGTACCAGAAGATCCTAATGATACTATAACTTATAAAGAAAATAAGAGAATTATAGCGAAATTAATTAATTATCCAGATTCACCAGCGAATACAATAGGACTTTCATCTAAACTTGCAATTGCATTAAATGTTGAATTACAAGTGGGGAATATTGTTGTTGTTAAACCTGCCGTAAAGAATCTTTCCAAACGTCCTTCAACATTTATTATTCATCCATATATTATTCAAACTAAACGCAACACTCAAATTAATTTAAATTCGAGTGAAAAGAAAGATCAAGCCACTAAATTAATTAATGATTTAACGAACCATTTATATTCTAAACAAACTATTTATAATTATCCTATAACCAATTTTATTAAAATTCCTATAATTCCTAATATTTTACCTTATGGAGGATTATTAAGATTTAAAAAAAATGATGATATAAATGCTTGGATTAAAGGTTATAATATTGAATCTAAAAAGCCCATTAAAATTGAAATAGGTGAAGAATTACTTCGAGGTTCATCATTTATTGAAATTCAAGAACAAGGGGAACAATTAGATGAAGCTATAGGATTAGATGATACTATTGAAGATATTATTTCATCATTTATTACTTCAAAGAATACCGGATCTTTAGTCTATGGTAATGCTGGAAGTGGGAAATCATTAGTATTAAAATTAGTTGCCAAAACCATTTCTAAACAATATGGATTTTATACAAAATTTATATCATGTGAAACACTCATGAATGAAAATTTTAATAATTTATCTAAAAATTATATTTTTAAATGGTTACAACAATGTTCATGGAATAAACCTTCATTATTAATTTTAGATAATTTAGATAAAATTTTAAATGTAGATATGGAACATGTTGATTCAACTAAATCTAATCAATTGACGGAATTTCTAATTTCTAATCTTGAAAAGATTCAATCTCAACCAAATTCAAATTTATCAATTCTTATATCTTCAACTTCCAAGGAATCATTAAATAAATTATTATTTCAAAGTCATTTAATTGAAAATTTTAATCATTTAACTCCTCCTGATAAACAATTAAGATTTCAAATCTTACAAGATTATATTGTTAATAAATTAAATTGTAAATTAAAATTTGATCTTATGGATTTAGTTAGTGAAACTGAAGGTTATTTACCTAATGATTTAAAAATTTTAAGTGATAGAATTTATCATGAAGTATTATTTAATGATAATAAAGACAATGAAGTTTATAAAGAAAATTTTCAAAAATCTTTAGAAGGTTATATTCCATCTAATTTAAGAGGTGTTAAATTACAAAAGGCATCAATTCAATGGTCAGATATTGGAGGATTAAAAGATGCAAAAAATATATTATTAGAAACTTTAGAATGGCCAACAAGATATGCTCCAATCTTTGAAAATTGTCCCTTAAGAC